TAATTCCATTAGGCTAATGCATACCCAGATGTCGCTTGCGGATCTGGATGGCGTGATTGAAGATAATATATTTTGATCCGATCCAGACTTCTGGGAAACCGTCCCGGCGATGCCTAGCCCCTGGCCAGGTTATAAAACCCCCCAGTCAAAACACTTCTACCACCATGTCTTGCAGGGAGCAGTCGATATAGACAAACGGGTATGGACCTGGATATGCCATGGGAAAACCTTCCTCGCCTGCTTTCTATTGGCCTCCATTACTAGGTTTATGTTCGGCCGTGGATCGATGTTTGCTGTTAATTAAAAAAAAAAAAAAAGCGCCTCTTTTGAGGCCCAGCGCTCCTCCACGCACTGAAGAATTCCCAATCGAACTGGGCGGCATGCTAGCAGTCGGTATTCTAAGTGATATTCTAGCCTGACTCCATGCTGTGCCTCCAGGTTTGAACCTGACGAAGCTATCCCTAGCTTCAATCTGTGATGCACAGCGTCCCTTCCCCGGAGATTAAAATATTCGTACCTGAATCACCAGGCTAGAACCGATCTTCAAAACATCCCATCGGCTACATACCTTATCGCTAGTCCATTCACAACCCCCCGAGTCAGGGAAATTTCCCGCCTTCGTCGTTCAAATGCCCCAATAGGCCAATGGAGTATGCTGTTTTCGTCGAGATGTGCCTCTGCCACCCCAGTCGACATCCGGGTCAAGGTCATGACGGGATAGAGCGAGCCCGTCTACGCGGAACGCAAAATAGATTGATTTACAGCGGGCAAGGGGCCTACCAACTGCTGTTTATCCCGGGCGTCCCATGGCCTGCGCATACAACACGATATCAGCCCGATGGTTTATTGCTCGGTTTGGAATTAAGAAATTCCTCAATCTTGGGTCCTACCGATCTACATCTATATCGCGATCATATTATCGCACTAGCGACATGACAAGAGTCGAACACTATAGTTGGCAGATCATAATAGTTAGCACAGACGGGATGATCTGCCTGGGAGATTCTTAGCGTGTGTAGAACGACACATTCCGTCAGCATGAGTAAGTACATATCTGTATGATCTTAATTAAGCGAGTTGTGTTTAAGACTGCTATGGCTGATCGGGTACAAGGTCTTGAGGGGTAGGCTTGACGCTGGCCGGGAGAATGTCCAAAACAGGCTTCTCGCTGATATTTACCGTAAGTTGTATATTGTGGCGTCAATCCTAGGCCAACATGAGCAGATATCTGAAATTAACACGATAACTCGCGACCTGTCGGCGTGATCAGCTATTTTGGCGCTGGGGGAGCAGGCAATTATCCGGATTCATGCGCAGAGATCGTTTTTATTTCTCCTTTTAGTGAGGAGTAAGGGCTTGCTAATATGTGAAGTCCAGTTTAGAACCCGTCAGATCTGCGCCAATGAACAAAATCCGCAAGTCATATTACGCATAGTGTACTGCTGCCATTGCGACGCAGCTGGGTAAAGTCGGAAGCGAAAAGGTTCTTCATGAAACCTTTTCTGAGACATAGTACGCAGCACTCTTCTGGCCGCCTCAATTCTTCAAGGCAGCTGCAGCGAGCCGGGATATATCATGTTTATATAAGGCGCAGGGATGTGTGGGCAAGTCTGCAATCCCTCATTTCAGTAGCCCCGAGCTTTGGCTAGAATTGTCGGACATCGGTCGCCTCACTTGCGATTTGCAGGGCTACTTGTTTCTCAGAATTTGCTGACCTTTTTCACCATGAATGATAGGTATTCTCTGGGATTGGCCCTTGTGCTGTATTAAAAATGCCTTCACATCTTTTCAGAGTCTAGGATCTAGGATCATTATGTTATGGGAAATGTGATAAGGGGCCATTCTTCAGCTTGCGGTGATCCCAGATATTGACGGACTCTCGCAGCTGTCGTGCGAAGATGCAAGAGAGGCCGAGTACTGAATCGAGAATCGCCCAAAACAATAGTTGTTTTCACGAACCACGGTGCTGGATTATGCATGCATGATGAAATCTCTGCCTCCTGGGCAAAAAAAAAAAATCGAATATCCTGTTAGCTATACTGAAGCTTGAGCGGCAACCATAGCGAGTATACCCAAACGTGAGATTTCTACCATATTGGGCCTTAGCAGCATTTCAAAGAATCTTAAGCGTGACCACTCGAGGTCCCGGGGGCAACGTGTTTCGACGAGACGTTTACGTCAAAGTCACATATCGTCACACCTTTCTTGATGGGATACCCCTGTATCCTGAGCTGTCTGAACCGCCCAGTATTCTTCTGGCCATATAACTAGCTGCCTTGATTCTGATAATGGCTCTAGTGTTGCTGTCACCTCTGATTGGGATGATCGATGGGCACTCCACGACAGTGACGGTTCAGGCGGCAAACGAGGACCAATACTAGCCTGTAGTACTTGTTTGGTGTCACAGCCCCTGTCACTGTGCTGATAGGGAGATATCGTAGCACATGTCTACGCGAACGCTTGGGCAGTGAGGCTACAAAATTCGACTTCCGGGTATCCTGATATTGCTTCCGCTGGGGCTTACAACAGGAATACTGCCTCATTCTAGGCAGGTGGTTTCTAGTCTCATCCCACTAGGGGATGGCCATGTGTCACAGCGAGCGAAGGGCAACGGGCGATCGGGGAAGAAGATCCACAGTGACGTCTAAATTTTTAACGCAGGTGTCAAACCCCATTAAGGTATACGTGTGGCTGGCTGTATGAACCACGACTCTCCCATCAGGAGAATTTTTCTTCAGGCAACTGACGTGATGACTTCATGCACTGACAAATAGGAGCGGTCTGTCATCGACCAAACCGGAGTCAAGGACGAACTCCGAGATTTGAGGCGCATGATTACCATGGCAAGTCGATCGTGTTCCCATCCTGTATGGAGTACCAGATAACAGGTAAAGCAAAGGTATTAGCCTTGAATTGGAGAGGAAAGCTAGGAATGAGACTCGCGATTGTCATGCGATGCAGAATCGTGGAGGGAAACTAGATGAGTTGTTAAACTTTCACGTTTCCCGAGGAGGCGGTGAGAAGTTCGATTGGATCATGTCCAAGCCTTAAGAGATCATCGGCCCCTCATGAGGTAGGTGAGTATGCAGCTCATGGGCGCAGCAAAGGGGCGGATTAGTTAAAAAATTTCCTATTCATGGCTTTGGTAGGGCTTGGGGATGGAGACCCGTAGCTGGGATGCAGTGGGCAAACGGAAAACGCCATTTTCAATATGTATGTGAGGCCTTGTGGGGTAGACGTGCTTTATTTCTCGAGGACAAGGAAACTGTATATTCGAAGGTCAGCAATGACATGCCATTCACCTGGGCTTCTCTTCGGTGTCAGGGTCTGATTGCGCTCAACAATCCAACTCTATAGTAGGGACAAGGACATAGACACCACCAGAGTTTCAAGCACTCAACCATCTGGCTATCCAACCCATCACAACCTCATAGCTGTCTGATCCTTGTCCGTTATCCATGGTTGTGGTGGGCATGTAGCCCTTTGACTGGCCAAGCGAGGTGTTTGTAGTTGAGATTTCCAACAAAGGCTGCAGGATAGTATCATGTGACCAGACACACCTCCTTTTGGGCCTGCTGTTTCGCATCGTAGACTGTAGTTCTTCACTTGTTTGCGGCTCTTCTCTTCATTATCCTGCTAGTTGCATCTAGTTAGAGTGGCGAGGCTCGATCTCTGGATATTTATTCAGTAACTATGATTTTGATGGCCAACTGGAACATACGGATATAGTTACGGGGTAACTTAATGCTAGAGATATAGCAGGTTATTGAGATGAGTATACAGCCCAGGGCAAGGAACTCTAACTATGCTCTATAAGCGGCCGATCTTACTTCCTCAGGGTACTAATGATGGGTTCCGTATAGATGTTGTATCCCACTAGAGGATGGAAAACGAGAGCCATGCTTTCATCAATTCCCAGTACAAGTTTTAAACTTGTATTCCAATTTTATTGTTTATCAATAACATATGGTTAGAGATATTTTCGGTCCCATACTGGGATAACGCACGAGGTCACCGTGTGCTTCTTACTCATACCTTATCATTTTCAGGGGCTCTCCAGTACAGATTGAAATTCGCTTGAAGCGAAGTCTTTCAGCCTCTTGTATCAAAGGAATGTGGCCCCTTGATGGGATAAAGCATCTACAAGATGCATTGTTAATTTTACCCATTCAAACGCCATCATGATCATTATTTTTTCTGACTTCGAATGAATGGGCATGTCTGCTAAAGGGCAACAAACAAACAAAAAAAGCAGATACTTGGGAGTATAAAATGGGGAAAGCCACAGAAGAGAACTCCATGACGGCGCTGCTACACTATATCATAAACCAACTCTTATCTACCACACTCATTCTATACGAGAATAGAAGAACAGGAAGACATGAAAGTCGAGCCTTAGCAGGGAAGATATCAGGGAATTATTTCGGTGTAACGATCATATCCATCTTTATAAGGCACCTGAGCCTATCATGGAGGGCGCTCAACCTAGCAGCCCAGATACCCCCACGCAGGGTGAAAGACGAGGAAGAGTAAGTTCTCATAGCATCGCAGCTCATATCTCTATCTTCAACTTTATATGCTAATTTCACTAGTTTGAAGTTTTTTACTGTGACTGGAGGGAAAGATTTAAACAACGTGGCTTATCTTCGAGAGGTTTCCAGAATGACTCGGGTGTTATGTGCTACAGGAACTGCGTACTATCGGTATTACTACATCAGCCAATATTTGTGAACGGGCTACTACTCCATATAGATCGAAATCAGCCTTGCCCTATATCCCGAACTGGCTCGAGTTGTTTTGCATGTTACCTAGGGCATTTCGTCAACGAATACTGGGCATTCACTTCAATTAAAAGGCTAGATTCCCGTCTCGACATACTTTGGTCGGCGTGTACCCCATTTTGGGACATTGACTCCATGGATCAACAAGACTGCATCGAATTTTTTACGAGTATGGTTTCCCATATCGATCGCCACTCCCTTAAGCAAGATATCCCCCACATGTTCCAAAGTGTTCTCAAATACCGCAGCACATGCCAAAACTGTCAACACACTAAGTACTCTGAGAAGGATCATTCATGGGTTCTTAGTGCGCCCCCGCTAGAAGGAAAACTGGGATCCATCGAGGACTGCATTCGAGAATACATGAAGCCAGAAATCATCCCAGGGTATAAATGTGATAATTGCAAAACGGAATCAACACTTTATCGGCAGATGTTCATCCGGGACGCACCTGAAGTACTTGTTGTCCAGATCACCAGATTCAAAGTATCAGAGACTGGCGAATCATCGAGGCTCACAACGAGAGTGACCTTTGCTGAGGATCTAGACCTCACACCGCGACTAATCCCGCGGGCCGGAAGATCAGGAGAAACTCTCAGCTACCAGCTTAGTTCAGTTGTCGTCCACCGCGGAACCACTATTAAGGAGGGGCACTATATCTCCTATGTTAAAGGACCAAATGGTGCCTGGGCATCCCTAGATGACGAATTCTCTGAGCACGTCGACATCAGTGCTGTTCTTAATTGCCATGAGGATATGGTAGTCCCCTATGTCCTCATCTATAATAGGAAACCCCTTTTTACAGCAACCCGTGGGGGCCAGAATACAGTTGCCAGCGATACGGGGACACACTCAATTATTGAGATTGGATTCTCCCCGCCCGGTGAAGTGGAGGAGATATCTTCTTCCACTATACCTGGGGTTTCTGCGCATATTACTCCTGACTTGCCCCAGGAACAACAGAATGGGGAATCTGCCCCGGCGGCCCCTGAAGCGAGCGACGGCCTGTCTGACTTATTCGATGGCTCACAGCGTTCGTCCGCTGGTCCACCTGACCCCAGCTTAGGGGCTCGCTGGGAGGGACAGCCAGCAGAGATCGCTGTTCAGGTAATCATGGGTGATATAGTCCTAACAGGGGTCTTGAAGGGTATTTTACAGAGGTCAAAGCGCCTTGGACTTGGTAGCGTGCAAGGAGGTGGTGCAAAACCAACGGGTATTGTTAAATCAAGCCGTTCGCCGTTACGGGCTCATCACGGAAGGTAAACGCCTCCTTCAGCAAATCTCGAGGTTGCCTCCGGTTCACAACCTGGTGACCCTTCTTTTTTTTTTCCTTTTCTCGTGTTAGCACAGACCCTCGGTGGACATGTACTGGGAATTCTGGAGATACGAAGGCAGGAATCAAACCAATGCTTGAATCCGTACTCCGTATGCTGCATGGCTCTCGTTCTTTGACGTTTTCGATCTATTTGTGGCGTTTTATAGGTGTATAAGGGGGAAGTCTAGGTTGTCACCGCGTTGGTACCTAGGTATTCGAGATGGTCGGCTTAGCTATTTTTATAGCGTTACCATCTGGGCTATTTGGCATGTGAGAGGGCTCGATATAGTTATCTGGCTGGTTCCGTAAATATATAATTATAACTCACCATGGTTATACCTCAGGGCTGCATTTGACGTACAAGGGATAGAACTTGGCCTTCAACGTTGACGTTAATGCTTGCTAGCTCGTATAATTTTTAAACCGTCATGCATCTCCAAAGTTCTAGTTGTCAGCATCTATGAGTTCCGTGCCTGGTTTCGGTTCTCATCGCTTCCCTGAATCTTTACCAACTCGTTCACCCAGCTGCACGGTTTTAGCCTATACAGGGGGACGATCGTTGAAGTCAATTCGATGGCGGCCTTGCCCTTTGAAGTCCCAGAGAACTCACTCCCCTGCTCATCGCTCTTTATCACAGGTCTTATTAAACAGCTCGCCGCCTATAACCGAACAGAGCAGCGTCTTGATGGCATCTCTGAGATATCAAATGCTGTGGATGGCGAGGAAGATACGCTAGGAAATCCATTATCAAGGCTGCCAGCAAGTGTTCTTGCTAAGGTGAAGCCGCTGTTGTTGACATTGCATTGTCTCTTCCCAAACGAGCTGCTCCTGGCGCTTGACATACTCGACCGAAAACTGATCACCAAATACACGGTTAGGTCCAGAGTATGTAGAAACGAGAAGAGACGCCATATTCCCAAAGAGGGAGAGACTTTCGGCGGCGATTATGAGGATAATGGAGGTGGGATAGAGATATATTGCGGTGATGACCCAAGGCAACGACAATACATACATGATTACGACGATGACGACTACGACGACGACAGCAACGTCTCCGGCTGGCACAATAATGATGGAATATATTTCGTCTCATCCTCTGCCTCGAAACCTACAGCTTTGAATACTCGGAAGGCTGGAGCAGGGGAAGGAGTACGTCCTGCCGTGCATGGGGAGAATGAATATCAAGTCTGCCTCAACGCATGGAACTGTACCTGTCCTGCATTTACGCTTGCTACATTTCGAGATTTAGACCAGGGCATGAATACACCGCAGCCACATACCCAAAATCACCTTAGATCGCCGATGGAAAGGAAATCGAATATTACATCCGAGCAGGGGAATTGGGCGTTCGGTGGCTGCCTGACCCAGCCTACGCCTTGTACGTCTTCTTCTACTGGATGTTGCTTTATGCATTATTCGCCACCTATTTGCAAGCATTTACTGGCGTGTGTGCTTGTCTCCCAATGTCCAGGCTTATTTGGAGGCCAGGTCAAATTAGCTGCGGTGGATTATCAAGAGTTTGCTGGGAAACTCGCAATGTGAGGGACGAGACAATGATACCAATGTATGAATAAGTTATGACCATGTATGATGTGGCGCCGAGGTGCTCATTTATGAAATAAGGGGGCATGATACAGTTGCCTTGATTTAATGTTATGCGTTTCTGTTTTAGTTGCTTGGTTCATATCACAGTAGTTCTATTGAGGGAAAGATACACGCAATATTTTACATATCGCAAGTCGTTACCGAGAACGTCCTGGGGAGAGAGTAGATGACATGGGAACCGAAGCGTTATGAAGCTGGAGAACGCCAGAGGGATAGAAGAAAATGCATTGGACGTAGACATTGCGTATTTATCCCTTCTTCTTGCCCTTATCATTTGAGCCTGCGGACTCATCCTTCGAGTCCGCGCCGGGTGCAGAGCCCGATTTCTTATGTTCATTATTGGCGTTAGCACCGTTCTTCTCTTCTTTGCCTTCTTCCTTCTTGGCCTCTCTCTCCTCCTGCTGTTGACGGTTCTGGATCTTATTTTCTATCAAATCATGGAAGGCGGTTATGGCCCTGATCAAACTACTGATGTAGATAGACATAAGCTGGTCATTTGTCTTGATGTTCATGGCCCGCGCAAGCTCGGTGTTCTCGATTTGCTGCTCTGCGCCATTGGCACCTGCGGACGAGCCTGGCTTGGCGGTTGCTAGGTTGGGTAGAAGATTGAATACGTCTTGAAGGTGGCCGAGGATGGCGTGGTTGACGGGGAGGTCTCTGTCAAGCACTTTCTGTAGGTACTGGCCAATATCTCGAAGTCTTAGGTGAAGACCTTGTAGGGATTGGAGTTGTGAAGTTATTCTGGTGGACAGGGTTCCGACTGCGACATCTCTGATATCTCGTAGAAGGTGCTCAACACCTATTTCCTCAGCCTCCTCTGCTTCTATTATTGAAGGAGTGTGAACGAAGGTTTTGGATGTTGTTGTTCCGTCCTGTATTATAGACATACGAGGTTAGCGGATGGAAGCCTTGGGAAGCGCCTGGTGGCTATGGTAGGTAAAGCTGGATCTCACATCTTTAATCTCTTCGACCGCAAAGTATGCATCGGTAGGCACGCCGACTTCCTTTGGCTGGACGTCAATGATGACAAGTAGAGGATTTGGGTTGTATCGTTTAAAAAGCTCGTTGATCTCGAGATCTGATGCTCTCAACTTCGGGCCAGAGTGATACCATCCAATCAGCTTCTCGCGGGCGTTAATCTTCTTGAACATGTCGTTCATCGATTCGACAAAGTTATGGTCTAAAAACCAGACAGAGGGATCCTTCTCATCTTCCTCGAAGGGCACTATATTAAGAGAAAGGTTAGCGGGATGCACCCAAGCTTTAGATTTTATATATATATGTATATATGTAAATGCCCGCAGTTCTCGATACACACCTGCAAAACTGTTCGACACGCGGACCGTCTTTCCGTCATTTTGTCCTAGTAGCACACCAACCACTCGCTTTCTGGTCCCCTTTGCTGAACGGCCATAGTGATCTGCGACTGAGAGGAGAACTAAGGGAGCGACGGTAACGGTTGTGGTGACGAGGGAGAAGGTATCGGTGGTGGTAGCAGGCATGGTGAAATAGGCGGCAAGGAAGAGGTATGAAACGGTGCGTAGAGAGACGGCAAGGGAGCAGCTGCTGGGCGTGTCTAACTGCTGCTATGTGTTGCGCTTCTTCCCAGCCTGTTGTCCATGTTGATTTGAGCTGGAGCTCGCAAGCTTCGGTGCTGACTAAATGCTGACTAATATATTATTTAAAAGATGACTAAGTATATTACTAAGCATATACACGTGACATGCTCTAGCCCGTGACTGCTGAGTCATCTTGCCGCGAGCCGACTTTAAGCTCCCTCGGCCTCGCGGGAAGCTTGACCTTTTGCCTGGAGGTTGAAACCAAGACGACACGAAAAAGCAATATTCCTCGCCGTCCATCGTTCTTCTTTCTCTTCCTCCGACCTTTCTCTCTCACCTCAACTCTGCATCGCCTGCTCGTCCACTCAGAGTGATCCTCTCGCCTTTGCTCTGATCCCAAGGATTTGCTTTTTTCTTTTCGTCTTCAACCCATCTTCCTCAGCTCACAATGGCCCCAATTAACGGCGAGTCAATTGACGCCCTCAAGGACCTCATCGGCAGTTTGGAGGCCCGGATAGTTGGTTTGGAGCAGGCATTGCTCAATGGCGGTAACTCACAGTCCAATTCGGCTGCCCAGTCGATGCGGATGATCCTGATGGGCCCTCCAGGCGCAGGTATATCTCCCGAATCAGTGTAATAATATACGTGTTTCGTTGAACCTGCGTGATTGACCACCGTGGCTCTTAGGCAAAGGAACCCAGGCACCCAAGATCAAGGAGAAGTTCTGCATATGCCATCTGGTACGCCTATCTTCGTCATTCAGCTCGGTGAAGCTCACGACTACCAATTGACTGCGACTAACGTTTTGGGAATAGGCCACTGGTGACATGCTCCGGTCACAGGTTTCCCGGCAAACCGAGTTGGGCAAGGAAGCTAAGAAGATTATGGACCAGGGTGGACTTGTCTCTGACGAGATTATGGTCAACATGATCAAGAACGAGCTGGAGTCGAACAAGGAGTGTCACAAGGGGTATGTTTCTTAACAGCCGGCGCTATATGCTGGGACCATGGTTCAGGCTAACTAAATCCAATTTTTGACAGTTTCATCCTCGATGGATTCCCACGCACAGTTGCTCAGGCTGAGCGATTAGATGACATGCTTCGCGAGCGCAAGCAGATGCTGCACCATGCCGTCGAACTCCAGATTGACGACTCCCTCTTGGTTTCCCGGATAACGGGCCGATTGGTCCACCCTGCCTCTGGCCGATCTTACCACAAGATCTTCAACCCACCAAAGAAGGAAATGACTGATGATCTCACTGGAGAGCCACTGGTTCAGCGTTCCGATGACAATGCTGAAGCCTTGAAGAAGCGATTGGTCACCTACCACGCTCAAACAGCCCCAGTTGTTGGATACTACAAGAAGACCGGTATCTGGAGCGGAATTGATGCCAGCCAGGAGCCTGGTCAAGTCTGGAAGAGCATCCTCGGAGTCTTTGAGAAGAAAGAATCTCCAATTCTTAGCAAGCTTGGCTTGTCCAAGTAATCCTGAGATATCGATCTCACAAAACAATACCTTCCCCTATTATTGTTCGTTTGCATTCGCCTCCTTGGATGTTAGGAATATGTGTCTATGACTGTATACATGGAATACCATTTATTCCCTTGTTTTTGAGGCTTTTTGTTGCTTTGGTGATTAGGAGCTCTTGAACGTGTATAGACTTGTGGGATCCGGTGCTCTTGTATACTATATGTTTATCTGTTAGAAATACAATGCATCTGTTCTATTGCTTCTTTCCCTAAGCAATATTTCTATACCAATGCATTGTTTCTCTTTTCTTTTCTGCTCTTTGTTCCCATTTTCCCTGACAATAATGAAAACCCCCCAGACTAAGTAACGTTATCCTGGTTTTATACCACTTCAGCAGCATTTGCCAGACTATGGATAATCTCACTAATATGTCATTGCATCGGATATTCTTCTCTTAGCAGCTTGACTATCTGCCATCACTTCTCTAGTTGCCGACTAAGCAACAGGACATACACAACGCCCTCACCTTCCTCTCCTTCTGATCATCACAACACGTCCACTTCAAACTTCCTTCTCTGACTGAAAACCCTTGCACTCTCTATCTCCTGACTCTAGGTGTTCTTCGTTGCTATCACGTTGAAATTGCAATGGGGTGTGTTCTCTCTTGCTCATGCCTCCGTTCTCACGGAGAGCAGCCACAGCATAAGTATGAGATTGGGAGACCAACCTGGTAAGTCAACAGCCCAGATATCCTGGAATTCCCTCTATTTCCTACCTCCTTAGCAAGGTTAGAAAGTAGCTAATACAAGATGTCCTTAGCCCATCGACCACTGTTGATATCAGCTTGTTGAACCTGCAGCGTGAGTTTTGTCTATATATATGGCTTCCCTGGTTGATAAAGAGTGATGCATGGGCTAGTGCAACTGCATACTGTTCACGTGTTCTGCTTGACCAGGACAGTCTGACATCTTTATATCTGCTACTAGCAAGCCCTGGAAGCCCAGTTTAGTTGCTAAATACATATTTTTACTATGGTTTACTTATACTTGACTTGAAAAATATGCTAACTACTTGCTTGATATAGCAATTCATCCAGAGGACCCGAATACCTCGCGTCCAGCCCTGATTATGCCAATGCAGCACACCTTGGACATGGAGCTCATTACCGCTGCGGCTAGATATGCTGATGAAAATAGATCTCGAGTGAGTCAATCCGTTTCATCTTCTCTACTCATCTCATCAAGTGTTAGTTATATACTATCAGAGTCTAAATTTCCTTTTCCTCAGCGTAACGTCCACACCAACCCAGAAGCTGTAATCGGCCATGCGCGTACGGATAGCAGCGTCTATGAAGCCTCCGGATCTGGAAATTCGGCCACTCCTGGAACTCCAACCCCTCCGACTGATGGTGCTGCAGCGGGAACCGGAGCAGCCACTACCGAACCAGTTCCATCTGGATCCAACGAGGTGGCTGATAACGTGGCTGATACCTCGACTGGTAACGCCAATTAACAGTCTACGGCTACCGCCACGAAGGCTCCTGCTGGTGACACGATTTAAAGCCACCTGCTGTCTTATCTGATGGCTCATCGCTTGACTCTGCCGTCTTCCTCTAGTGTTGTTCTATCTGTTTTCTTGCTATGTTCCCAAAGCCCCCTGATTTTTGATCCTTATTTTATGTAATTCCTGATTGTAACTTTCTGGGGAATGACACCTTTGAGAATTAATTGAGTGAAGGGCGCTGTCTTTTTTGACTTCTTTGCAGTTTGGAGACGTGTTTACCACAGAGGGAATCGCAGAATGTTCTTAATAATGGGGTTAATTTTAGTCAAGACAATACCATATGCAGTTTCACTGGCCTTGTTATCTATAGCCATTAAATATCAACTCTAAAGCCTTTGTAGAATAGCATTTCTATCAGGTGGTTGGTTCAATGTCAATTTAGACGTGATAAAGTTACTGGCCTATCGTGGTTGAGCTTATTTTAATAACTCTTCACTCTAAAGGGACTCTACATTAAAGGATTGTTAAATAAAATAAAATATTTATGCCATTGTTCTATTTACCTTTCCCAATTATTAGCACAGAATGCCCACCTTGCCCCCCCTCCCACCGTTAAAATAGACATGCCATGCATTAGACAAGCGCGGAAAGGAAAAGCAAACATAAAGCAGAAAAATGTAGTGAAACAATAGATCTATTCGCCATGCAACTGAAATAGGCTGAGCTCAGTCATTCTCAATGCGCCTAAACATGATTAAAACAAGTACAGAAAGCCTAAGACGACAATACAGATGGCTGATGAGGATATCAAGTGTGTATATCAGAGTAAACAGGGCTTGCTTCTGCTTGAAATGCAAGAATGGATCAATAAGAAACAAAACGCCAACAAAGGGTAAGAGTAAAGCATTATTGGTTCAGCTTCAATGATAAATTGGTATCAAAGGGCTATGAGGCCGGCTCGGTTTTAATTCTGACTTTGGATGCAGAGAGATCCGAATCCTATAGATGAACTGATTAGTAAAACATTGAAATTAAAATTGCCGGGCCTGGAGTTTTCCAATCCTTACCTCAGCTTTCCGCTTCCCTAGCACTGAATCTGGCGTACTGGTTCGGCCGCGTGGTGTGTCAGGATTCGTGCCCGCACCACCATCCTTGGTCACTTCTGCATAGCAACTGCCGTGGTATATACGGTTCCCAACTTTAATAGCATCTCTCCAGATCCAGTCCTGAGCGTCTTCAAACCATGTGGACTCGAAATTTTCCTGGCAGATTGGACAAGGGGTGTTGCGAAGAGCTGCATCGTTGGGAGCGTGGATCCAGCGCTGTTGCTCTGCTTTTTTACCTGATGCATCTTCGCCGTTAGATTTGCTGGCGGAGGCGGAGGCATCATCGGCACCGATGTCGTCTTCAAATTCTCTGAATTTTATCCAGTCCTGGATATTTGTTAGCGAGGTATGAGAATCAAGGAAGAGCGTCACTTACACGTTCGTCGAGATACCAGCTTCGGTTCTGGCTTCTTTTGGCAGCTTCGTTCATGCGCAAGTTGGTTTTAAAATGCCAATCTAGATGTCTGGCTTTATTTTCTTTGCCTTCCTGGGTTGAGACAAATCGACGACCACATGTCCCGCAGCGGTTCGGTTTGTCATCGTACAGGCAAGAAATTAAGTTCGGACGCGGTCTGTGAAATCGTTAACAACAGAGGGAACTACAAAACGCATGGTAGGGGTACATACATCCGTATTGAGGCAGAGCTCATTGGTACTTTAATTTTAGCATCTTGTGCGTGGGGGGTAGCGGCTGGGGGGGTATAAGTGGGCTGGCCTGGAATGATAAAGGGAAGAGTTGGTGGTGTAGCTGTGGAAATTGCTGTTGCAGGTGGGAGAAGGCCACGAGCCCTTAGGGAGGCTATTAACGGGTTATTGTTCAAAGACGTTGCGGCTGCCGGCTGTACGGCTGCTGCTAGAGTAGGTGCTGACGCCACTGGTTGAGTATAAGGTTGAGATTGCGGATTTGGTGTAGGTTTCTGTGCAGTTGCCTTGATCAGCTCTGCAAGTGTATTCGGGTTCAGGAGAGCTTGGAGGTTTGGCTGTGGAGCCTGGGGCGGTATTGCTCCCATGGGTGGCGTAGATATCGCGGGAGTTGATATGTGAGCAGGCAAGGCGGCAGGAGCAGGCGTTGGCGTTGGCTTTGCGCTCGAAGCTGAAAGCTGAGATACCTGGTCTCGAATCTGTCTTAGTTGTGCCTCAGGTAACCGTTGCTGTTGCAATATGCTCTGTAAATCAACAAGGGCTTTTAGTTTCTGCTGAACTGCAGTGTTAAGTGGGTTAGCCGTGAATTCGAGCCGCACACTTAATATCAGCGAGTCGACGTCACGATGCAAGGCCGCGAGGTTGATGGGTTCCTGAGATTGCTGGTTATATGCTTGTGGGTTAGGCTGCCGATATGTTAGCAAACTATGCATGAATTTGCGTGGGATATGTTGGAAACTTACATATCCATGCCCGTTGCTCGGCATCTGCTGGTTATAGCCATGTACGGCGGGATATCGAGAGGCACCCTGAGGCGGTGTCGGGGTATTTCGCCATGCAGGCGGCGGCGTACCAACTCCTCGACCTAGACTCATAGCTTCTTGCTGGCTTCTCGTCTGCTGTTGCTGAAGGGCCGCTGTTCTAGCTTTAATCAGAGCATTCTCGATATTGCGAGTAACTTCAACGGGAAACACAGGCCTGGGATCCAGGGAGCCCGGAACGGGTTCTTTCCATGTTTTAAGCATTTCGTCTAATTTCTTGCGTGTCTGCGAGTCGACGAGAGTATAGGCGTTCATAAACGTCTGATATAGGTTGCGTCCTAGGAACAGCGTGTAAGGAGTCCCTACATTCTTCACAACTGAGTCCACTACATAAAGAGCTGGTAACTTTTGAGATGGTGGTGTCTACAGAGATCAATTAGAATATAACTCGCTCCAGTTTCTACAACATCCCGAGCAGGCGAGAGTGAAATTATTCGTCAAGGCAAAGTACGTATGCAACAACAAGAGTGAAAAAAGATCAAACAGGGCGCAGAGACAGGAAGAAAATTGGCACCTACGTTTCGTATATGATTCTCCAAGACTCGGGAGATGGCCATCGCATGTTCGGTGTTCTCCTTGGCGATGACGGTCAGGTTGCTTATCTGGAACTTGTCATTCGAGGTGAGATCCTCTAGGGAGTTCTTATAGTCCTCCGCAACTTCATCAGAAACGAGTCCAGACATGGCGGGCAAAAGTGTCGATCAAGCTGTTGTCCAGGAGGCTGGACGAAGTCCGGGGTATAAAAAAGAAAAAAAGAAAATCCGAGGATAAGAGACAGTCGAAAGGGAAAGGTCCTGAGTCACCAGGAGCAATAGACAGTTGGAAAAGACGACTCTTGCTTAACTGCCTTTTTTCCTTTCTCTCTGCCTGATAAGGATTTCTCGTTCTTTTTTTTTTCTCTTCTCTCTTCGTCTCTCTTTCTTTTCGTTCTTCTTTGTTTTTTTTCTTGCGCTGTAATTTTGAAGCTTATATCAAGCGGATAAAAAGGATAGGTAGAGACACAGGACAAAATATTAGAATGGTTGCTAGCTATTCCTTGCAGAAAATCGGATGGCGAGCATGTATGCCAGTGCAATATCCTAAAAAGGGAACAATATAACCGCCCACTTCTTCTTGTCTGGCCTAACCCTGCCTTGTCCACCCTTATCTGTCTGTCACTTGCTTCCCAGCAGCAAAAAGACCCAAAAACCTCACGATGGGGTTGTCCGTAGACTCGTGAACTGGAACGAGGGAAAACACGAGGGACGGCCGAGGGTGACAGTCGCGGTCGAGCGGTAGGCGATAGTAAAGTGATGGCTGAAGCAGGGATGATAAAAAGAGAGGCGAGCAAAGGACGGGCTCAAGAACGAAGGCGCAGCGTCAAAAGGTTAGAAGCAGGGGGAAAGGGGAGGACGCAGAAAACAAGGGGGAGTCGGACGTGTTACCAGCCTGCCCTCCTATTGTGCATTCACCTTTCATTCACCGTGTTATATATCGCTGACGTGAGGTTGAAGTTGAAGTTGACGTCGAAAAGAAAGACTCAGGACGCCAAGACATATATATCATGTGATTTAAGTCAGGTGATACCACGTGTCTTTACCGGCCAAAAGCGGAAGGAAGTGGAAAAACGGATGACATAAGCAACGGAACCCACGTCACTTTTCACAAGGTCGCATCTTGGTATAACAGAACTCGCTATGGACTAAAGCCTAGGCAGAGATATATAATCTTCATGTAAGGGGAAAGGGAGCAGCAGCCATATAAAACGTAAACCCCATCTCTCGTTCGAGTCTCGCCGGCCCAGCCATAACTCGTCTGTCATCGTCCTGTCGCAAATGAAACTCTCTCTCGCCCTCGTTCTCGCTGCCCTCACGCCCGCTATCATGGCGGCACAGATGAAGTCCATCATCGTCAGCTATCCCAATGACACCCCAGACTCCGTCGTCCAGCAGGCAAAGAAGGCCATCACCGATGCTGTGAGTGTCGACCTGCTCCTGTTCTACACCTCGAATAGTTACTGACCATGCTCTTTACGTGCTTTAGGGCGGCAAAATCACCCATGAGTACAGTAAGTCGTCCTCCTGCTTCGCGGATAATAGACATTTCCAGAGTGCTAACCTATATCTATAGCCTTGATCAAGTATGCAGAATGCCTCAGGACACCACTACCGACCTGACGCGCCGTGCTAATATTTCTTTTTCACAGAGGATTTTCTGCCGAGGCCCCCGAGTCTGTCTTCAGCCAGGTCAAGACGATGGATGCTGCTCACCCAGCTTCCATCGAGGAAGACCAAGTCGTCTCGATCAACTAAGGGAATCGTCCCAGGCCTCCCTGCGATACTGCTACGATACTCTGCGATAATTACTGGCTTCTTGCAATTTTTTTCCCCCTGGCAGAGTGGCTAGGATATCTCGGCTGGTGCAACCATGTATGTCAATAAAGGGGCAGAGTCACAGCTACCTGTCTGTCAGATCTGTGGATTCAAAGACACTCGTTTATTGAATATGTTTCATTTATACCAAGACAATCGAGCTGCAACTAAAGAACCTTCATGCACTGGCTGCATAACGTCCGCAAATATTCCAGACTCCCCCAGTAGATGTGTACATGCGAGTGACTCCGTAGTAAAATGCCGTTATACGTACGGTTAACTGTCAAGTCAAACAGTAACTCATGTCTATATCGACTTCGTGATCGGCAACAACTAATAGATGTGGCATGCATGGCGCTTGGTGGGCTGTCTAGCTCTAATTGCATGGTACACGTTTAGCTGCAGCTAGACCTTGGGCTTTGATTGACCATCGCTTCCCCAAAGTGGGCATCTCAACGTACACCGATATTTCCCTCCGCATCGCCAGCATGGAGCATGTCGCCTGGCACATATATCCTTAATTAATACTCGATCTCTACAGATTTCCACTCTCCTCCCTCAAAACGCCACATCCGCGAGTGACCATGCCAAACGAACCCGAAACCGCAACGCTCCTGGAATGGATCAACAGCATCCCCCTGGGCACGTCCATCCAGTCCTCGAACGATTTATACGACGGCGTCATACTCTGGGAGATCCTGCAGGACATCGACCCCCACGAGTTCCTGGGCGTGCTTCCAGAGAGCTCTCCAGAGGACCACTGGGTGCTGAGATGGCAGAATTTAAAGCACCTGCACAAATTGTTGCTGAATTATATACGGAGTCGATACGATGGAGAGATACCTGCCGGCCTCTCGACGGACCCGGACCTCAAGTCGATCGCCGAAACGGCTTCGACTAAGGAGACGAACAGGCTGCTGAAGCTATTTCTTATGGCTGCCATCAGATCCCCTGGAGCCGAGTCATATATCGAACGAATGGTACAACTGTCGACGGCGACACAGGAAGGATTGAAGGATATAATAGAAGAAGCCCAGAACCCCACACAAGACCGTCTCGATCAAATAAACTATGAGCAGGATGAATACAAGGCACGACGTGATGTGGCCATGGACCCCGAGCTACAGTTTGAGGAGCGTGTGGGAAAATTACTCGTCGAGAACGATAAACTGTCCAATGAGAAGAAGCAGCTGGAGAAGGATATACAGGAATTCCACCGCAAGGATGTACGCCTTCGAGAAGCTAACGAGGTGCTGCAGGATAAGCTCAACATCACCGAGGACCGGTTGGCGAGGCTCAAGTCTGGCAAAGCCGATATTGGACCGAATTTCAAGGGCTACGAACACAGGACACAGGACATAATTGCTGCGCAGGAGACTAAACTTACAGCTGCCCAGGATGAAATTGACAGTCTACGGATATCGCTGGAGACCCTTCGTGTTAAGAATCAGAAGTATCAGACTTTACAGGATGAATACGATGAGATCAAGATCGAGCGAGACCAGCTAGCTAGGAAGGCCAACGCGGCTGAAAAATACAGACAGAAACTTCAAGCCAGCCAGGATTACGAGAAGGAAAACCAAGTGTTGAAGAATAAAGTCAAGGATCTCCAGCAACATTTGAAGGAAAGTGATACGCTGCAACGGGTCTCTGCGGCACGTGAGGCAGAGGTTGAGAACTACAGACGACTTGTCGCACGTGTTGAACAGGACCGACACGAGATTCAAGACCTGAAGAAGAAACTGGAGTTTGATAACCATGCCCTTACTGAGCGACTACTCGGCGCCGAAGAACAGCGTACTCGGGATGAAGATACAATTGGTAGACTGCAGGAAAGGATACGAGAGCTGGAAGGCCTTGATAGCCCGGCATCTCCCAGACCATCTACCCCCAAGGACGAAGGCTCCAGCCTGGAAAGGGACCTGGAAGAAAGTGGGAAGCGAGAAGCCCAACTGTATGTTTACATATTTACCCTATTCATGGAGTTTCCTTTGACTAATTTTCCCCTAGTAATGCCGAGAATGAGGAGCTCAAGAAGAAACTCGAAACCATTGCGTCTGTTGACAAGGCTATGCCTGTGAGTCTACCTGCTTCTGGTTATTGAATTAAGGCTTACATTATTTATAGGAGACAACCGACTACGCTGAGGCCGATGCTGCAGAGAAGAAATGGAAAGAAGACTTCTACAAGTGCCCACTTGAGACGGACAGCGAATTCAAGGAAGCTCACCAACGCTTGCACCTCGAATATACCCTCGTACGGACCAAGATTGTCGAGCTTGAGGGCCTTCTTGAAGCCACCAAACTTCAGCTCTCCGATGCTAACATGAAGTGTACGTTAATCGTCATACAAACATTCTACTGCCATTGCTAACATTGCATAGTGAGCCTTATCAGCAAGGATAAACTTGAAATGGTGAACGAAGTGGCGGAAGCTAACGCAGTAGAACAAACCGCATTACGAGAGAAATGTGCGGTCCTCGCAGTCACCGTCCGAACCCTCACCAGCCAACTCGAAGTTAGACGATTGCAGCTTAGCGAAGTCTCTCGGGAGCGAGACAACCTCAGAATCACATTCAAACAGTCCGATACCAAACTTACTACCGAAGGGGATGCTTCTCTCGTGGAAATGAAACAGCTCCTTGAAGAGGCCAATGTCCGCGTCAATGATACGGCGGATGATGATATGACAAATGAATTCTTGGAGAGACTTGCAGAGACGACTGAGCGCAGTGCAGAACATCTCGCTAGGAGAGCTGAGGTTAGTCGAAACCTTTCATATATTGCGCGTTTCTTCCCTTTAGCACTGAATCATAATCACATCTCAATGTACCCCTCCACCACACACCTGCATCTGCACCTTCACGTACACTCGTATCCCATCCCAAATTCAAAATCACACCCAAGGACCAATCCCAGAGCAAGCTCAGCCTTACCCTGGGGAAGTCTCCTCCTCTCAAGTCAAAAATGAAAGAAAGAATGAAGAAGAAAGAAACCCCAAATCGAGACAGAGGTTGACCCGAACCAGGTCAAGAGCCTCGTCGAGCTCTGGCATTGGTCCCTCCTCTTTGCAGGTCTCATATATGCCTATGACGCTGTTAACCCTGGCGCCTCCCTAATGTGTTACATCGGCATGTTCATGAACCCCGAGTTCGGATCTTGTGGCTAATCGGATAACCAAACAACAAACAATTTGGGTTTGTTTTCTTTTTTATTACATTCCCAACAGCATATGAATCACCAAAATGATGTTATCGAGTCTTTGCAAGAGCGAATTAGGCATTACGAGCAGTTCTCTGCGGACCAGGAGGAGGTTAAGGCTAGTAAGGAGAAAGAGGTGCGTCTCCCTTCCCCTCCCCCTCCCGTTTTTGGTTGTTCCATTCGCACCGTTCAACGAGCACGGTATCTAATGCTGTTCTTCAGTCTGAATTGATGCAAATAATTCACCGACAAGCACGAGAAATTGCCCTCATCTCTTCGGCATGGTACGATTTCCAGTCGAGACTACAGAATGGCAATATCGTGCTCTCTCGACACCGCGGGGCAGCTGGTGCAAGCGCACATCATGCAGAGGCCAACCGCACCTGGCTAGGCAAGCAAAGGGCCCTGGTTGTCCCCAGGGCTGGCGGTCGATAGACGAGCCGTGCCACTAAAGAGCGAAAGAAGACGTGAAGAGATTGTAACATTATGCATAAAGTTGGATCAAATGTTATTTCGGGAGAAAAGGGGGATGGATGGCAACTAAGGGGGTTATATATACTACCCGTACATACCTGGCTTGGGTACAGAAGTGATTTTCCTTTGTTTGGATACCATCATTGCCTTTGAGTGCATGTTTAGCCAGGCTAGTTTCGGTTTCATTTGTTTGGGTTTCGTCTTTTATTTTCCTATTTAGCATATATGCATCATCACATCAACATCATATATACAAACAGCAAACAGCTTTTTGGTGGAGATAATGTTTAATAATACACGCTCGCTATTCTAATCTCAAGACCATTTTGAATATAGTATCGTACAATTAGATATGGTTAAGATGCCTGAAACATTAGTAGATGGTATGCGGAGAGGATATCACACCCACTCCTTGGGCTGTTTTAGCACCTCCATCAACTCCTTCTCCCTCTCCATACCCTCAACAGTATCCCCAGAATCTAGACCATCCGTCCTCGTCCCCGAGACAGGGTCCATGTACACCCACTTGGCTGTTCTCGGTAAACTCATCAAAATACTCTCAATCCTAGCACCGGGAGTACGCAGCCCAAAGCTCGTGCCTCGATCATGTACAAGGTTGAACTCAACATAGCGTCCACGACGAAGCTGTTGCCAGTCCTTCTCCTGCTCCGTGAAAGGCATGTCCTTCCGTTTATTCAGAATGGGCACATACGAAGGTAGGAACGAACATAGGCCATCTGTTACGAACGAGAAGATACCCTCCTGCGCATCCTTGGCTGACGTTGAAGCCGAGTCTGGCGAGGACTGGCGTATGAATTCAGTATCAAGGTCGTCGAAGAATATTCCGCCGATTCCTCGTGCTTCGTTTCGGTGTGGGAGGTAGAAGTATTTATCACACCAAGCCTTGAACTTGGGATAATATGAAGTATCATGCTTATCACACACGTCCTTTATCGTTTTATGGAAATGTTCACAGTCCTCAGGAAACAGATAAGAGGGAGTCAGATCGGTACCACCGCCAAACCACCAATTTTTCGGCCCGTTAACCACATCCTTGGGATCTGATGTTTCGAAAAACCGATAGTTTAAATGGACTGTTGGGGCCATGGGATTCTTTGGATGAAGGACAAGCGAGAGTCCTGCAGCAAAGAAATCTAACGACTCGACGTCCGAGGAGACGAATGACTTATGGTCTGCGCGCATCTTCTCGATGGCCGGGCGGGGCAATTTTCCGTATACGACCGAGACGTTGACTCCGGCCTTTTCGAACACGTTGCCGTCCTGTAGAACGCAAGAGATGCCTCCTCCACCGTTTGGACGGTTCCATTCGTCTATTATGAAAGACTTGCCATCTATCTGGGAGAGCTCGTCGACGATTCGTTTTTGTTGATCTTTTATTAACTTTTCCATGCGCAAACGCATGGGCGAGGATGGTGTTATTTCGGATTGGCGCCTTGCTTGTTCGTCAAGCTGAGCAATGGTGGGAGCGTCTAGGGAGATGGGTGGGGTGGTAGACTGTAGATATCATTAGCAATGCCCTCTGTATGAGAATGAAGGTACCAACCGTAGAGTATAGTGCCGCGGCTGTGAGGGCTGTCGCAAAGCCGATGAAGGGCAGAGCTCCTCTTGATCTCCCTATGCTGCCGCTGGCTATGTTATGGGCCTGGCGCCTGGTGGTCCGAAGACACTGGTGCCGTGCAAAGGGTACACGCCGTAGAGTTCCCCGAAGCATCGTGGACATGCGAGGAGTAGCCATCTTCCGAACAAGCACTTTAATAGGGAAGGACCTACAAAATTATAGTCAATTGGAACCAAACGGGGTCTAGTATGTGTAAAATTAATGGAAAATGGCTCCAACTGAACTTCAAGGCCGGTTATATGTCTTGAGCTGTGTTTCTGGAGATAACACAACTTGTTGCCGGATCAGCAAAGCTCCGACACATCTCCACCATCACGTGATATCAACAGGCCACCGCCAAAGAAAGTTGCCATAGTTGCATAGAACTAAGAGCTGCAGAGATAGGCTGACACGAGTCTGAGACGGTTCTTGAGACGGGGGAAAGGGGTCATGTGAAGGCGAGATGCGAGTCATCGCCTGGGACTGCAGAGAGCATCGGCTGTCCTTGACCTGGTTGGAGGTGCCTGTTGATCATTTGTATACCAGCAAACTAGAAGTCTATCAGAAGAGCCGCACGCCGCAAGCCGCAACGCCGTCTCAACCTTCGCTTAGCATGACCACGCCGTTCCAGGTATCCAGTCACTCTCGTCACCCTCTCTGAGTCACTTGTCTTGTCTTGTCTCTTCTTCTTATTGTTTCTTGTCCTTGTTGTCCTTCTTGTCTCCATCTTCCGCCTTCGTGTATGCAGGGTTAGTCATCATATGTCTTTGTCAGCAGATGCATCACGTGGCTGACTCACCGCCTTCGCCCGATCAGGCAGTCACATCAGGTGGAGCCTACGCTAGTCCTAATACGGTCTTAGCGTCCCGTGCCCACCGCTTCCGTTTAAGTACGCGGGGTCCAGCTCTTCTTCTTACTCTTACTCTACTTACTCTTACACTCTACACTCTACACACTCTCGCAACATCCTCCATCTACGCCTCTGCTGATATCAAGCATACACCTACAGCCTCGTCTACACACTACAGCCAGCACCCGCCAGCAACCATGCGATCGAAGTTCAAGGACGAGCACCCGTTCGAGAAACGCAAGGCAGAAGCCGAGCGCATTCGACAGAAATACGCTGACCGCATCCCCGTAAGAGCCTCTGCACCTCTCACCGGGCCCCAGCCGTAACTCCCAGCTTCACAACACATCTAACACTCCCGTCTTTGCCTACAGGTCATCTGCGAGAAGGTCGAGAAATCAGATATCGCCACCATCGACAAGAAGAAGTACCTCGTCCCCGCAGACCTGACCGTCGGACAGTTCGTCTACGTCATCCGCAAGCGCATCAAGCTGTCCCCGGAGAAGGCCATCTTCATCTTCGTCGATGAGGTGCTTCCACCCACCGCCGCTCTCATGAGCAGCATCTACGAAGAGCACAAGGATGATGACGGCTTCCTGTACATCACGTGTGTATTTCCTCGCACCTCCCTTATCTCCGTTTGGTCCGCCTGGCTAACCGTGTGACTTGCTTAGATACTCCGGCGAAAACACATTCGGAACGTTCGCTGAGCTGCAATAAGTGCATCGTCGCTTCGTTTCGTTCGATTTTAATTTAATGGTGTTTACGGGGGTAGTTATGATGTCATGTTATCTGGATAGCTATAGAATCCATTCTTTCAGCCTTGGGGATGACCTCTCGCCTCCCTTCACTCACTCCCAACTTTACCTACGACCTAATGCGGCACGATGCGTGAACAGGAATAATCCGGTCATCCCTCTCGGCTCTTCAACCTCATTTTATTGCTCTTTTCCTTCTTTTGGCTGGCTGTGGATTTTGGTATTCGGCGTTTGATTCCCCTTACGGACAGGACGGACTGAATGGGACAGACAGATAGATGGCACTGCGCCACACGACCTCATCGACACCAGTTCAACGTATTACGATGGTCCCAGCCATCTGTCCCCGTGCTGATGGCTCTCCTGGTTCTCCTTCTTCCCCTCTTTTTGGTGACTTGTCATTTTCGGCCTTGCAGTACAGTTCGCTCTATCAGCAGCAGTGCTGATGGCAGTTGTTGTTGCATACTGGTCTCGCTTTTGTACTTTATCTTGTCCTAAATAATACAAGCGTACCAGGGAAACAGCTTCGTTTTGATAACATACTCGTGACGTTAAAGTTCCGACGAGATAAGCATAAAAGATAGCTCTCTAACATAAACGAATAGTTTCCATGACACGCTAGCACGCTAGATATTGTTGGTACATTTGGTACATTTGGTACAGTTGTTGCAGTATTCGGTTCTCGATTCATCCCCCAAATTTGTTCCTCGGCTTCCCGCTGTTGTTGAGCCCTACCACCCCATTTCGATGCTGCCCATACCTAACCGCTTTTCCATAACGCCGTTCTGGTATCACGAAGGGAAAAAAAGGCACATCAGACACCTCAGCTCAGCCATCACTCCTCATCGTCTCGCGCCCGTCTGGCCCGTTAATTTTCCGAGTTTAAGCGGTCTGCTACTATAATTCTCGCATTCGCCCCGGTGATATAGATAGATGTATTGAGCAATGTTCACTGCTATTATCGGCTTTCACTCCCAGTTATTCCACCATCTCATCGCCCTTCCTTGACCCAGACTAAGTAGTGAAATGATATCAGAAGGCTGATCAGGGAATCGTTCGCGGTGTTCGCGCCTTATTCGGAGAAATGCGGCTGAGCTACCAATTACCATGGCAAAGATGGGATCGGCGATTCTAGAGATGCAGTGTTAGTAGAGCTATTCGTTGAATGGCAAGCATGGATGTTTAAAGCATGGATGGGTATGAAGGAGGAATATATCGGCTATGACATACTTTGAGATAAGGTAGGGGTATGCCACTGGAGACGCCATAGTGAAGAGTAATCGTATCTGCAGATATAGATGGGTTATCGTGGCTGTTGCGACATCGTTGTAGGAGCTTCGGTTTACTTTGAAGTAGAATTAAGCTGCGATGCATATCACGTGATATGCTTTCACGGCCCAGTGGACAGGACAGGGTTGAAGCTTCGGTGGCCGTTAAAGCCTATGGAATTTACAAATGTATAGCATAAAGGGTCCTCTTTTTGAAATAGCCGTATTTTGCATTAACTCCAGAACTAGACTGACATAAAACCATGATTGGGAGACGATTCTCTATAAATACAGCGAAAGCCGGACGAGATATTAAAATCTATCATAAATAGAACACAGAACCCAGGGGAGTTGGGTGATCCCCTGTGTAAGAAAGAGGGCCCGGCGCCAAGAAGAGGCAAGCAAGAAACCAATGAATCAAGCCAGTGATTTAAACTACCTTTCCAAAGGCGGGTATAAGCGTCTGTGCCAGCCAGAAGCTGAACACTAGCTTAGGACCGGTCATCAGGAGCTTGGGGGTCAGACCCTTGAAGAAAGAGGTCATACCCTCGTTCTTGACCATGCTGCTGACGATACGGAATCCAGACTCGGGGTTCTCGAAGTTTCGGTTCTGGATACGGGTCTTGATCACGTCGAGAGGAGCGGAAACTATGAGCGATGCGCTAGCACCGGCGATCGAGGCAATGAAGTTCTGGAACCAGGATGCGGAGTTGTAGTCCGTGAGGCCGAAAACTTTTTCTTTGGTGAATGCAGAACCACCGAAAAGCTAAGGGAAGATGGTTGTTAGATATAAGGTTTTATTTTCAGCAAGAGTAATGATTCTAGGTAGAACTTACGGCGAAGGAACCAGGTGCGTTACGGGCAGCAGTCCAGCCAGCACCACGGTATAGACCCATTCCTTCATCGGCAATGATCTTGAATAGACCTCGGCCACGGAAGGCGTCTGGGTTGGTTTGTCGCTTGATCTTAAGGACGTCAAGTGGGAGGAGGACGATTTCTCCGATACCGATCAAACTAGAGCACTGTCAGAGACCCTACTAGCAAAGAAAATGTATAGTTGGTGGTTGTGTACCTTCCAGCGGTTGCGTGCATAATGGCTTTGCCAGTTCCTTTGCCGAAGGCATTATCAAACTCCTTCCCGTAATTCGCGCCTAGGTAGTCGCGTACGAATGGCTGACCGCCATATTTGTATATTCTTTGCAAGACCTAAAGCGTTCAAGTTAGACGTCGAATCGGGGTTGTACATCATTTACTCGATGGAAGATGTACCTTGTATCCAGCAGCGTAACCAAGGCCGGGGAAGAGAGATGTGAATTTCCGTGCAATGCCGGCAGAGGAATGGTCTCTAAAAACGACTTTGTTCAACTCGGAAACGTTGGCGATCTTAAGAAGGCGCAAGTTAGCAACGAGTATAGCTAGATGGTGTCCAAGAGTAATGTACCTTTCCCTGGTTGCTCATGAGACGTTTGGCAGTTGTATCGACCTAGCCAGGTGAGATATCTCAGTCATTTTGTCCCTTCACATGTATCCCAAACCACGAAGCTATTTACCGGATGGAAGATGAGCAGTTCCGCAATACCAGCGGATCCTGGTAAAATAGGTCAGTAAGAGCTCTCGATCACATTGAAGAGCATACACATACCTGATCCCAACAGACGAGCAACGCCAGACTCTCTCTTGACATCCTTGGTCGCCGAGCCAGCTCCAGCAACAGCAATTGCAGGTGGAGACATGTTGTAATTGATAAAACTGGTCTTCTTTTTCTTCCTTCCTACTAAATATGCTAGAACGAGAGTCGCAAATCAGACGAAATGACAGCAGAGGAGAAGAATGGACGGTCTTTGAAGAGAAGTTGAACGCTGGATGAACTCGTCTCGGCCCTTGCAGCCGATGTCGCTGGAGCCCAAAAAATTTCTCCTGGTAGCTCCTTCTTGGCGCGTCCGTGCCTGGGGCAGCAGCACGTGAGCTGGGCCTTGGGTTTCTCTCTTACCTAGTACTTCGACTTCCGAGACGATGTCGAGATATCACCGTCGTCACTGTTATCACTCGGCTCTTGCAGTGTAGGCTGCATTACTTTATACCCAGTCTCATAGTGACGTTATCAACGGCGGCGTCACTATAAGTTGCTGTTTCTCTTTATCTTATTGATACTATCTATTGAATAGTATGCTATATCCTCGTCACTGTGTTAATGCCTACGTATCATCGACATCGACTCGACTTTCACTGGCTATGTCAGTTGAATCAGTCAATATGAAGTCACTAGAAACGGTCATCGACAGCCAGGATGCAGTGTCACGGTCAACTGCATAAAAGGACCATTTCTCGAGGAGCAAAGATCCCTCTCTTAGAAACCCCCAACCATTAAACCACAAGAATCTGCATCATCTTCTCCGAGAACCCAGATCCAAAAACGATAACCATCTTCATATACTTTCAGTACGCTCGACAAGCCCTCGACAAGCCCTCGACAAGCTCTCGATAAGCAAACATGAAGATCACAAGTGTTCTCTTTCTCGGCCTTTCTGCCCTTGCAGCATACGTTCAAGCCACTCCAGCTCAACCCTCGGCCGCCCCAACCATCGGAGAGTTCACTAGGACCCCCGGCACCGTCGTCGACACCAGCAAGCACCAGGAAAAGATGGCGGTCAAACCGTTCAAGCGCGACGTTAGAACCGACGAGGGCGAGGTTCTTCATCTTGACCTCAACACCATCTCTGCTGCCATTCAGCCCGGAGACGCCCTACATGGCACTCTTCCAAAACATTCCAACGCGGTTCGCGGTCGCTCAGCTGCCACAATAAACTGCCCTCGTTATGCTCCGTGGATCTGTGAGGGAGTGACCTGCATGAACATCTTCACTCATAACTGCTGCCAGGGAGGGCTTCTCTGTGAGGACCCCGATGTCTGTGTACGTGACGTGATGGGCTATCCCGCCTGCCATAAGAATTAACCATAGCGGGATGTGCATGGCTGGTCGATAGGCGAAGCACGTCGAGTATTTTCTATCCACCTACTCTCTAAGACCTTTTTCCATTCTATATTCCAAATTTCATGTCTTATAGTGGTTTAATTGGCATATTGTTCCCTGTTACTGACGTGGATAATCTTTCCTCATTGTACGTAACATAGACACTTGTTGCCGAGAAAGTAAATCTTAAGATTCGAACTTGACCTGCCGACTTAAATCAAGGGGCTTGGGTTGCTAGCTTTCTGTTTGCTGTACGGCGAAAGCCTGTCGAAGGTTATTGTTGTATTTCTCCCTATCTTCTGTCTTCCGGATGAGAATATCTCTAACATTGAACCTCCACTGGAAAATCATCACGAGGCCATATTCCTCCTCGCCGTATTTATCTTTGCCGAGCTTTGGTTGAATTCGATCAAGAAATAGGTGGAATATAGCAGTGGGGCTTTGAAGAGCAAGTGAATACCAAAAAGTACCCGTGTCCCATGCTTTCGACATTATTGTTGATAGTTGAATATTTTTGAGTTCATGGCTTTCTTCCTGAGCTAGGATGTGTACAAATTCCGTCCACATCTCCCTGTATTCATCCTCGTTAATAGCGTCGGCAAACTCGCTTGTAAGCCAATAGGGAGGATGAATCATCTCAACTGGTAGAGAACATCCCCATTCAAGGTCCACAAGCGAGGTGATATTCCACCTATCATCAACAAATATGTTGCTCTGGTGTAGGTCGGTTAGCGAGAATATAAAAGGTCCCCGCCGTAAGTCTCGCCGGAAGAATAGAGGGATAGAAACACGCATTCCTGTTAGCGTTGCTACCTGTTGGATATAGTCAGAGCCGTTATTTATCGCATTTGGTTGATAAAGCAAGCGGCTGTCATGTAGGCCCACTATGTCAGTGATATAGGAGTCTGTGGTCTGGTAGGTATAGTTGCGCTGAATGTCTATAGGAATTTCCTCATTTTCGAGCTCTTGAATTTCGAGAGTTAGAGGTCTATTCGATAATGAGATAAACCCGTTATTATCTATGATGAATGACCCAATACGGGGTAGGGGAACGCGGGCAAAGCTCAACATTATACGGGCAAGCCCACGGAATAGCGTAGCCCTCAAAGCAGCATTGTCCGAGTTTTTAAACCAGGAGTCTGACAGCATTGTCCCTTGTTTTGGCTCGATGCATTCTATCAGAACGTATGCGAGATCTGATGGGGGCTTGAAAGTAGGCAGATGATGAGCGTACTGGGACGGAATAATGGGTTCAGACCATATAAATCTGCTGGTCCACAAGTATATCTGGCGACGTATAAGATGGTACCATCTAGTAAGGAATGGTAGATTCCTTATCGCGGTAAACTAGAGCAATTAGCAAGCTGTACTATTATATATAAAACTAAGAGAGGCCTACCGATTCACCTGAGGATAGTGAAAACCCGTAAAGTCGTGGGATAGGAATATGAGGATGATATTCTTGTAACCAGGCGTAAGTACCAGCCTCGCATCTCACTTTTTCGTCGGCGTTGCCTGGTCTGAATTCTTCGCCAACTTTATAGAGAAGAGGAAGACGGAGAAGCACGCGATTTCCAGGTTGTTCTCTTGTCCAATCTTGAATAGTAACTGGTATACATAGATTAAAGCTCCCCCGGAACCATTCATTTGCTGAATTCGCGATACGGCATCTGGAAGGATCGACATTCAGATGATGAGAAACAACGTCTTTGACCCATTGCTCTCTACTGGCAAGGTCTGCGATAAACTGGTTCTGCTTCTCGAAGTATCCAAGCCTATGGAGAATGTTGATTTCCTTATCCTTGGCCGCTGAGTAGGAAATCTCCCCTTGGAGAAGACGCCGCTTCATGGTGGCTAAATTTCTCTCAACCTCAGAATTCAAGGTCATCGGAAGCTGTTTGTTTATGCGCGTCAAGACCAGAGAACTATTCCCCTGCCAAGGATTCCTATTTGGGGAAATATGTTGTTCCTTAGCCTGAACATTTGGTCTTTAGCGCTAGGCATTGGTTTTTCCATTGGAGTCTTTCTCTAGCTACTCCGTACATTTGACAGGATATTAATACGTAACCCTGTTAGGAGGATACATTGCCCGCTCTGACGGAGCTTATCTCGCTATCCATGCCAAGCTATTCTAGAAGTGTTTAGAGCTTGAGCCTCAAAACATCGACCAACAATTCATGATAGAATGCATCAACGAGATACCAGACTCGAAGCTCGGAAACTGAAGCAATACCCAATTTACTGCTTCCTTATACTATATAGAAGCTACATAACAAGCTCACTGAGCCAATCAACGGCATGATGCTTGGTTCCCTCCCGGTGATAGAGCCTAGGGACGTGAGTATACAAACTGATCCTACACTGCGATAAATATAATTGGTGCTGCTGCTAATACATAATACCTCCAGTCTCACACATTATGGTACTCATCCTCGCATACTGACCGATCTACCTCCAACACCTCGCAAAATGGGGCCGCCAACGGACATCCGCAACCTGCCCGCCGAAATACACGCCCCCCTGCCATGGCATCTCCTCTTTTCTCAGCATCATTTGACCCGCTCGCTACTCTGCTATTAGAAGAACGTGCTCTCAGATTACGAAAGCAAAATATTGCCTCCTTTGGATACTCATGGATCCGGCCTGCGGGCTTCTCAAAGACGATGATGGGTATTCGAGAAGAGGAGATGGAGTGTGAAGAGGGTGCTGGAGCTGGAGCGGGGGAAGGAGATATAGAGGAAGAAGAGTTTATAGAAGGGGTCGAAGGCGGCGAGGGTGGTGGCATGGGGCTAGACGGTCAGGGAGGTGGTGGTGACGGTGAGGAGGGTGGAGATACGGGTATGGAGAGAGATTTGGACGGAGATATCCCTGACGGTGATGGGGAAGGGTTTGGACTTGTGGAGGATGGGGAGGAGGCGTACGAGGATGAAGAGGAGGAGTTTCTGGACGAAGAGGAAGAAGGGATGATGGAGCGGGATCTGGATGACGATGTTCCCGAGGCACTAGCCGGTGGTGGTTCAGACGACGACGATGAAGATGAGGACGAAGAGGATGAAAGTGAAGAAGAGGATGATGATGAAGAAGGAGATGGATATGGTGACGATAGTAGTCAGGTCCGCACGCCTGCTGGAAGAACACCGAACATGAGGACGCCAGGCAGTTCATATATGATGATGGGGCGAGATTTAGATGGTAGCGTACCGAATGTGCCGCAAGAGACCCCTTCCCAACAGCAGGAATGGGAGCATACGGACTCTGATGAGGACATTTATGATGATGATGATGACGACGAAGATGAAGATGAGGACGATGACATGGACGTGGAGAACTCCAGGCTGAGTCTCGCCAGTTTACCCCGAGGTAGCATACCTCGTCTTACACCATCTGCTCCACGAAGAGAGACAGAGGCTGAACGAACATTCCTTGAACGATGGGGTGGGCATGATGAGAGTATAGATTTTGGATCGAGTGGCATGTTGCCGGAGAATGCACTCAGTATAACGCGGCGACGAAGTCGAAGGCAGGCGGACGAAGACTCCGAACAGGATGAGCTATGATTGATGAAGTACGGGCTATACGAATATTAGATTATTATTATTACTATTATTATTATCATTAGATGGCGAATGCATGGACAGCTGGATGAGAGACATTACAAATGTTAGATTCCATGCTAAGAATAAACCTTCGCTGAAAAGGTGTATGAAGAAATAAAAAGAATACAGAGAATAGAAGACCGTCATGCATGCACACATGCCCCCCAGTCAGACAGAAAGACAATCAGACATCAAGCATCATCGTATGTAACATCCTGAGGCCGACGAAAGACAAAACAAAATCCCAAACTCCTCTAACGAGCTCCCCAAAGTAAAGTTATATCCAGTGCACTCCGCCAATGAGAATATCCAACATCAACGTAAGAAGGGTAAAGGTTGCATGAATAGGCGAGCATTATTGTTTGACCTGTTCGATTCGGATCGGATCTAATTCGACGAGCCGAGCAGGCTAGAATAGCCAAACATATGCGAAAAGGCAGAAGACGAAGATGAAGAAGCCCAGCCAGACCCGCCAGCCTACGCCCGTCCGCTCGGCCATCCTGAGCATTCGGTTCATGGTCCCACGTAGCTGGACACGCGAGGCGTCGAAGGCATCGTTCATTTTTTCCGCAAGGGAACTCGACTCCCTTATCTCGTCGCCGATAGCTATTGTGATCTATAAATGAACACTTAACGTTAGCACTGTATACCTATATTCATGAAGTATATTAGGGAATAGACGCACATCTTTCAGCATCTTCACTTTGGCAGTGATACCCTCGATCTCAGAGTCATTCTGTGACTCCAGAGAGGAAAGCACTGCATCGGAATATTGGCCTCTACATACACCGTATCAGTAATGTACTCCGTATATGTCGGGTAAGTGAACGTACTTTGAATTCGGTGTGGCGGCCCTATACGTGGACCCATCACCACCAACACCACCTATATGTCCATTTGAATACCCCTGTACATACCCACCGGGTCGCGAAGGTGATCGGCTATTAGCTTGCGCAGGTGATCTGCTGCTGCCTCCGTTATATGAATCGAACAGCGAGGACGAAGACCGTGGATCTCGCTGGTGGAGAGTCGAGTGTGTGAATCTGTTACCGTTAGAACCATCTCGCCCATTCGTTTGTTCAGGCGGAATGCAGATGTCTTACCGGGATGCCATTTATTCAAGCCAACAAAGGAGAAACCGAAACATTGTTCGTGCAAGGGAGCGAGATCAGGAGAGAAAGAAAGGGAGATCTGTTGTTTCTGTTAATCAGATCGATGCGTTCATTTTCCGTGCTTAGTCAGCGGTATAGCGAGCTTGATGGTTGGTGGTTGGAGGTCGAGGAGCGCAACAAGGCAAACAGAGCTAGATAATTGGTCAAGTAGGGAAAGGTAGCAAGGAGAAAGGAGAAGGATATTTTCATTCGTTAAACTATGATGGGTGCTAAAAGGAAAATATGAAGCATAAAAGGCTGTAGAGGCACGAGTCACTGCTCCATTGGTTCGTTACGTCTTTTAATCATCCATCCGTGAAGTTCATCTGGCAGTGCAACCGTGCTGCGTAGTTTGTTTGTTTTTCCCTTTTTAAAACCATTCCATCAGTCCACCAGCCCGCCCACCAATCACCCCAGCCAGCCACCAAAGGAAGAAGCAGATAAAGAAAAGGAAACAAGTAAAGAAATTGGTTCATAACACCTACACCCATGAAAGGAACCGTAGAGATACTCCGAAGGAAGATGGGGTTCACATTTGTAAGTGGCGTAGTATCATTGGCAGCAATCAATGCTCCATCTCGTCCTCGTTGACGGCGGCCTTGAAGTCCTCATCGTCGTCTTCTTCCATGGCGTCGTCACCGGCCTCTTTCTCCATAGCGGCGAGCTCGGCGTAGTTGACCTGCTTGCCGCGTGTGCGTCGGCCGCTGGGGATGATGTTGTCTGTTGATATGGGCTCGAGGTTATCGTTTCCACCTTCTTCGTCTTCGTCGACAGCTGTGCAAAAAAGTTAAGTGCTGAACATGTTACTGTCTGCAATTGCGGTGCTTACCGTCCTCCTGCGCCGTGTTAGTATTGGTTGGTGAATGAAGTCAGGATGAACGGTAGCTTACAAGCTCCTCTTCTTCCTCCGAGCTCTCATCTTCCTCCATGTCGACGTCGTCCGGCACGCGATCGACGGCCTTTCCCTTGCCCTTGTCCATGGAGGTGTCGATGGACGCGTCGTTTCCGGGGAGAGTAGTCTCGGTGTGGTCACCCATTGTGAGTTGTGTGTCGAAGAAACGTGTGCTAGAGAGTGGTATACAGTATGCTAGAGCGAGAGAGGCAAGGGAGGGACAAGGTAGAGAGGTCCGAAGTGAAGGCGGAAGTTCAGCAGGTTCGCGATGCGCCGAGTTTGGAAGTCAGCTTAGTAACATAACACGTGACTTTTATCTGGAGGGGAAGATATTATGTAAGCAGAAAGTAGTAAGCAGATGAACATCTACGATCTCTGTCCTGTCCTCATCTTAGCATCTTAGTCTTCGTCTTGTCCTCATCTTAGTCCTCTTGATATCAAAGTTGCCTTTGACTCGCCTCGATAAAGTCAATAGGGGAGGATGAAGTGAGGTGAGGGCGAGGGGCGATACCTCAAGGTACCTGTTGCCACAGCTAAAAATATACTGCGCCTCAAGTACCTTTCGCGAACCTTCCACGGACCACCCTGGGACATCCCACCTTGATTACGTCATAAGCCCACCAAACAAACAGAGAGAGAATTCTGCCTTGACGTTCAGATAGATCAGTTGATGTTCACAACAGAGAGCAAGCCAGTAGACCAGTAGCCAGTTCAGTAGCAGTAGCCATAGTGACAGCAGCAGCCAGTGACTCCATTGACTGCGGAAGAGCGACAGGGAAGATGCCAGAAGTGAGGTGAGGTGACGTGAAGGAGCAAGATGCTGGTGGAACCAGGCGAAGATGCTAGAAGCTTCTGGCATGAAAAACCTCACCGCCCGCATATAAACATATTTCTTCCCGCACAACTTCTTCTCTTTCTCTTCTTCTCACTTACACAACTTCACACTTCACCAACTCTCTCTACTTGATTAGAGACACCAGCTTCACACACTCTAAGAAGCATTGATATCGTGCTCTCTTCTGTATACTACCTTACTTCACACACATCTTCACAATGGCGCCCGCTGTTGGTGAGTAATACCTTGTTTTGCTCTTTATTTTTTTGGCCTGATGAAGGATAAACAAGAGATACTAACAGCCTGCTAGGTATCGATTTGGGTACCACGTACTCCTGCGTGGGTATCTTCCGTGATGACCGCATCGAAATTATTGCCAACGACCAGGGTAACCGCACCACCCCGTCGTTCGTGGCCTTCACAGACACCGAGCGTCTCATTGGAGATGCCGCAAAGAACCAGGTCGCCATGAACCCCATCAACACCGTCTTCGATGCCAAGCGTCTTATCGGACGCAAGTTCAATGATGCTGAGGTCCAGGCCGACATGAAGCACTTCCCCTTCAAGGTCGTCGAGAAGGGTGGAAAGCCCATCGTCCAGGTCGAGTTCAAGGGCGAGGAGAAGCAGTTCACTCCAGAGGAAATCTCTTCCATGGTCCTCACCAAGATGCGTGAGACTGCTGAGGCTTACCTCGGTGGCACCGTCAACAACGCCGTCGTCACTGTCCCCGCTTACTTCAACGACTCCCAGCGTCAGGCTACCAAGGATGCCGGTCTCATTGCTGGACTCAACGTTCTCCGTATCATCAACGAGCCCACTGCTGCTGCCATCGCCTATGGTCTCGACAAGAAGACCGAGGGTGAGCGCAATGTCCTCATCTTCGATCTCGGTGGTGGTACTTTCGATGTCTCCCTCTTGACCATCGAGGAGGGTATTTTCGAAGTCAAGTCTACCGCCGGAGACACTCACTTGGGTGGTGAGGACTTCGACAACCGTCTCGTTAACCACTTCGTCAACGAATTCAAGAGAAAATTCAAGAAGGTTTGTCCTCCATTTCCCTTCAAGACATAACCGTTGGGACCATTTGCTAACAAATGTATATAGGATCTCTCCACCAATGCACGTGCCCTCCGCCGTCTCCGCACTGCCTGTGAGCGTGCTAAGCGTACCCTGTCGTCTGCCGCTCAGACTTCCATCGAGATCGACTCTCTCTACGAAGGTGTCGACTTCTACACCTCCATCACCCGTGCCCGTTTCGAAGAGCTCTGCCAGGACCTCTTCCGCTCCACCATGGAGCCAGTCGAGCGTGTCCTCCGTGATGCCAAGATCGACAAGTCCTCCGTCCACGAGATTGTCCTCGTCGGTGGTTCCACCCGTATCCCCAAGATCCAGAAGATGGTCTCCGACTTCTTCAACGGAAAGGAGCCCAACAAGTCCATCAACCCCGATGAGGCCGTTGCCTACGGTGCCGCTGTCCAGGCCGCCATTCTTTCCGGTGACACCTCTTCCAAGTCCACCAACGAGATCCTCTTGCTCGATGTCTCTCCCCTATCCCTCGGTATCGAGACCGCTGGTGGTGTCATGACCCCACTCATCAAGCGCAACACCACCATTCCAACCAAGAAGTCCGAGACCTTCTCTACCTTCTCTGACAACCAGCCCGGTGTCTTGATCCAGGTCTTCGAGGGTGAGCGTGCCCGCACCAAGGATAACAACCTCCTCGGAAAGTTCGAGCTCACTGGTATCCCACCTGCCCCCCGTGGTGTTCCTCAAATCGAGGTCACCTTCGATGTTGATGCCAACGGTATCATGAACGTCTCTGCTCTCGAGAAGGGTACCGGAAAGACCAACAAGATTGTCATCACCAACGACAAGGGCCGTCTGTCCAAGGAGGATATCGAGCGCATGTTGGCTGAAGCCGAGAAGTACAAGGCCGAGGACGAGGCCGAGACTGCCCGTATCAGCGCCAAGAACGGACTCGAGTCTTACGCTTACTCCCTCAAGAACACCATGAGCGACTCCAAGGTTGACGAGAAGCTCGACGCTGCCGACAAGGAGAAGCTCAAGGCTGAGATCGACAAGGTCGTTGCTTGGCTCGATGACAACCAGGCTGCTACCAAGGAAGAATACGAAGCTCAACAGAAGGAACTTGAAGGGTATGTCAATCCAATCCTCTCCTGAAAACCATATGTCTTTTGAATACAAAACTAACTTTCTCTCTTAACAGTGTTGCCAACCCCATCATGATGAAGTTCTACGGAGCTGGCGGTGAAGGTGGTGCCCCTGGTGGCTTCCCCGGCGCTGGTGGCCCCGGAGGTCCAGGTGGTTTCCCAAGCGCTGGTGGCCCAGGAGGCGCTGCCCAACACGACGACGGCCCAACCGTCGAGGAAGTCGACTAAACACCTCACCTCCGACTTTCGAAGAAAGAAACCTTCCTCCACCACTTCATGTGGCTTACGAATCACCTACACCGAAAAAAGAATTTCACAAACCGTCATTCCAAGGGGCGCAGGGTTCATCATGTCTTCTTTTTTTCCTTTCTTCACTAATGAGTGCATATTATGTGTTTTTCTAATGTCCCTTTCCTATGTCCTTACTTGATGACCTTTTCCTTTTTACCTGCTTTAAACGAACGAAAAACTAGCACCTACACCATACCACCATACACGGATAGGACAAGGATGGAGGGTCAGTTGGCCATGCCATTCGAACGAATGTTCCTTTCTCCTTTTTTCCTAAATCCAAAAAATCCAAGTTTTTCTTCTATCTTTCTCAGGATTCAATCATAGATGTGGTCTTTACCAGGGTGGAGGGTGCTTGGTGAAAATAATAGTTAGCAATTCCAAGGCCGTTTATATTATACTTACTTCCTCTGTAGGCTCCAAATAGACACAAGTGATTCTACTACTTTCATCTGCCATGAAGCATGCAATGGGCAGGATAGAGGATAGATCAACACGCAGTGGGTGCAGTCTTGGCGTAGCTTCAAAGACATCATAGCTATCGTATCCTCATAATAAATTAGACATCAATACATGAATACACCAATTTTTAAACGGCAAAGCCTCCTCTATACAGAACCCATTTTTAAATCATCCCTTTACCTCTAGAAACGCAAGAAAATCTCTTCAAACCGCCCACCGCTGCTCTCCAAGCACCCCCACGCCGGTCGACGGCGAAACAATCTCAGCCTGCGCCCTCATGATCTCCACCGCTTGCCCGAAAAATGAATCGATCCGAAGCACAGCAGGCCTCAAAAGCCCAATATTTCTCTCGTCCGTCAGCGTCGAGAGATGCTTGATCGTCCTGTGGAATGTTTCTAACATTTCGTACGCTGCAGTGACGCGGTCTGGTGTGAAGGCGCAAAGGAATAAGTAGATGAGGAAGTTCGTGCAGAGGATGAAGTTACTGCGAGCGTCTGCAGTGCGTTAGTTGAATAAATCAAACCCGTCAATTAATAAGGAGGTATGGAATGGATAATGGCAACTTACGACGACCCCAGAATGACTGCAGAGTATCCTGTTGGATGGTTTCGACGAACCGGACGAATGATCGGAAACAGGCCAGAGCACCATCGAAATGTCGTCTGAGACTGGAAGAGGGCGTTGTTTTTGAATGTACGGTTGCAGGAGTCATCAGGGCCCTAAACAGGAGCGTTTCAGTCGCGTAGAATGAAAGGTGGAGGGATGCTAACATTGGGTTAGCATCTTGATATCATTCTGCTGAACTACATGGCGGGCATCACACACCATTGACACAATGCTCTACTCCTTGCGGAGAGAAGGAAAGGCCAAGACACTGCGGCAGCAACGACATCCAATTCTGCAGAGCTGCCTGGCATCTCAGCAGTGACTGCTCCTTTGGAATATGTCCCTTGATCGATTCGCTATACCCCGCGAGCGTGCTGGAGAGCATCAGCCGACACATTCATTTGCTGGGGCCGGCAATAGAATCAATCACGGCCTGGATTGAAGCGAAAGCTTACAATGAACATCCAAGCACGTTATCCAACATTTTGGTCAGTTTTATCCGCTCGATGAATCGTACTGCTAGCGATATTGCATAGGGTCGGTCACCCTCCTGCACAACCATAGAATATGCATGACCACCCACGTCTTCGTCGGACATAAGATCCTCAATTTCAATGTCCCTGGTATCGAAGGAGTCGTTGTGGATATGTGGAGGGTTGCCGTGACATATCGACGTCCATCTATCCGTATAGAAAGTTGCCCACCAGAGCTTCCTTCGAAGTCGCTTTTCCCATTCTGGTATATCCCAGAATGTAGGATCGCGATGTAGACCCAATACATGGGCACACGAAACCGCCTGTCCTGAAAAGGCCCATACCTTTGGACTTTCTGTCGTTCCGTTCTCGGCAGGTTGTTCATGCAGAACGAGCAGACATGCTTGGAGAGTCGCGATTTTGGGAGACTCTAGCTCTCTGTTTAGTGAGGAATGGACATGTTCGAAGAGAGCTGCTTGGTTGATCGGTTGAGTCTCTCGGAGAGTGTCGTCCTGCGCTATGAACGAGCTGGCAAGTCCATACACCGCGCCCCGTAAAGACGCAGGGATCCTATATTTATCCTGCATATACTCCCTCAGGAACCTTCCCTTAGATAGGATAGGGAATGCCGGATGCACATATTCAAAATATAACCGTACCAGCCTGTCGGCACGATCACCAACTATCTCTTCAATCCCATTCGATGCCAGCAATTTAGCTCTATGGTCTCGTTCCGGGAAGCAGTCACGGACCACAGAGAAGTGAACTGGCGGCAAACCTTGGGAAGAGTTCCCAGGCTCAACTCGGCAGAAGTTGACATCAACATAGTTGGTTTCGTTTAGAATATCGGAGCGGAATGAGGATAGGAGATTCATGTCTTGTTCTCCTGACAGGCCCATGAAATGTGCTGTATGGCCTAAGATCTCGTCAAGGGTGCATCCTTCGGCTATATTGTCGGATGTCGTCGCTATGGTCTGGGGATGCGCAGCTGTGGTGGTGAAGTACGAATAGTCCTGGGGTTGATGGTATGGTGATGCAGAGACAGGGATTCCTGGCGGCCCTGGATGGCTAGGGATAGGATCTGGAAATTGAGACACCGGCGCAGTTGTTGTGCGTTCATGATCTGATACACTCAACATAGAGATGGGACTTAGAGCCCCAATTCCACTCCTCCCCAGGTGGTCAGGTGGTGAATGGTATAGCGAAGCTTCATTGAACCGAGTCGGGCTGCTGGTATGGACTGATCCATTAGCAGAAGGAGACGTGCGATCTTCGGCGTCTCTCTCTCGCCCTTGAGCGGGAGATCGACGGCGTGGTTTCGGCGTTGAAATAAAAGAGCATGTCAGGCATTTGCTCTCGCAGAATCGGCCTATTAAGATATTCAACCAAGTCGGCCTTTAGCAGCAATATTTAAGAACAAAGGGGTATAGCCTGCAGGTCAACAACTAACATGGAGGTTTAGTCACAATGACACAAGCTGTCTTTCTCTTACGACAGGCATCACACGGCCTGTCTTTGCGGCTTTTTAGCTCCCTAGCTCCCCCAAAGCGGGTTTCTATCTGGAAGCTCTTTCGTTGCTTAGGGTGTTGTTTCTGAGCGTCGTCCGCCATGATCGTATGTCCTGTGCGCAGGGTCCGCAATATCGCCAGACTTTGATGCAGATATCTGGTTAGGTAGTATCGAAAGGCCCTTGCTCGGTGAACTGAACCGCACGACAGCCAGCAAGCTTACTGTGGGTATCTTGCAAAACAGGAGCACAAGGGGGACGGGGAAGCCGGGCAGTGATGCTCTACATATGGGTTTACGGCCACCCATCCGGGCGAGAAGATCGGGCACTACGGGATCTCTGATGCAAGGAATAAAGCCTAGAGCTTGCAAAACCCCTCTCATGGCCTCCCCACACGCTAGGCTATATTGTGGCCGATGAGACAGTGGAGTACTCCGTACGGTTCAATAGATCGTAAAGAACCTAGAGGAAACGGATATAGCATCCATCTCCGAGTCCGGCCGCCAGCCAGGTACAGGATATACGGCAAGCGGCAGGGAGATCTTCGTAACATATCGAGTGCATGCAGCGCCGGGCTGGTCTGGATACCGAATCTGCTGCTCGGTGATCACTTAGTTGTTTGTTGAGCTGGTCAAAACACTATTTATTCAAGGCTCGAAAGCCACGCTCGAGCAAAGTTCCACCTTTGTTCCCTGGCGCTTCGCTATGCTACTTACGGAAATTCCTGGGCAGAGATTCCACCAATCCCCAGTGCTTTATGCCGGGGACGCTGCCACTGGAGGAACCCGAAGCCGTTAAGGCTTCGTTGATAGGTGGCATTGATCGAGTTGCAGGCCGGAGATGCTGCGTCGGAGATGGCTCTGTCAGGATCACTGCATGCTGTAGTTACACATTTTTCGTTATATACGGGAACGGTGTGGGTAGGGATTCATGGGCTGATAACTCTATAACAAATCATCAATCATTCAGCTGGAATCTCCGCGCGTCCGATATCCATGGCGAATCCGGAGTAGATATACTCTGAATATACACTCAACGACCACCCGGTTATAGTATTTTTTTCGCCATTCACATCGGTTAGCCATGAGCCATATTCCAGTGGTCGACTTTGCGCCTTTCCGTGAAGGAAGTCCAGCGGATGCAAAGGCTACGGGTCAAGTGATATTTGAAGCTTTCCGGGATGTAGGGTTCGTCTACTTGAAGAACCATGGCGTTCCTCAGGGCGTCGTTGACGATGCATTCTCCTGGGTGGGTTTCAACCTCTTACATGAAGCAGCCATACCTAACATAAATAGAGCAAGAAACTATTCGACCTTCCTCAGTCTGAGAAGGAAAAAGCGCCACATCCACCAGAAGGATGGTGGCACCGAGGCTACTCCGGCATGGGCCGAGAAAAGGTGACGCAGATGGTCTTTGATAAAGAAAACCTGGGAGAGCTTCGCAAAATTCCCGACGTCAAGGAATCGTTCGACATCGGACGAGAAGACGATAAAATAACTCCCAATATATGGCTGCCAGAGTCTACCATGCCTGGCTTCCGTGCTTTCTTTAACAGCTTCTTCCAGATTAACCACAAAGTTGGGCAGGATATACTACGTGCACTGGCAGTAGGTATGGATATGGACGAGAATTTCTTCGAGTCATATCATACAATGCAGGATAATCAGATCAGACTTCTTCACTATCCGCCTGTGGAGGAAGAGTTGCTTCGTCAGGGCAAAAAGGAGCGCATTGCAGCCCATACCGACTTTGCTACGATGACACTACTCTTTCAAGACGATGTTGGTGGACTAGAGGTTGAAGACATTCATCAAGCAGGCGTATTCAATCCTGTGCCATATATACCCGGTACTATTGTGGTGAATATCGGCGATTTCTTGATGAGATGGAGTAACGATACGCTTCGGTCGACAATGCACCGAGTTAGAGCTCCGCCGGCGACGAATGTGGACGAGGAAGGAAAGGAGAAATGCGATGGCTCTGGTCAAAGAATGAGTCGCGCAAGATATTCAATTCCGTATTTCATTGCAGCGAACAGGAAGAAGGTGATTGACTGCCTGCCTGGCTGCTATGGTCCGGATAAATCGAAGAAGTATGAGCCCATCAACTCGGGAGACTATGTCGCTATGAGATTGAACGCTTCGTATTAGTTGACGATTATCAGTATGATCTTTGTTTTTGGGAATGAATGATAATAACGAATATTTAATCGACCTCCTTGATGTTCTCCTCTTGGTATCTATAAGAACTCCAGCAATAGCTTCCGATCTAAAGGCCAGCGACAATCTTCAACCCGACCTTCCCCATCCCATCAACCTGGTAAGTTTGTTCTCGCGTGGTGGGTCAAAGCCGTTAGAGAAAAACAGGGGCCGTCTAGTCGGTCCCATAGTGGACGTCAGGGGTTCATCGTAATCATCTTCAACGGGCCAATAACTCACTCTGATGTCTATATTCCTCGCGTATGGGAACACTAGCTCTAGATGGACTTTGGACTGAATAAGCGTCACTGGAAGCTAGCAGTATACGAGATGGTCGAGGGCATAAGACAGCACTAGGAGTTACTCCGAGCTGCCCATCCTGGAGTTTTTCGACTTTTGCCTTTGACTAACGCCAGAATACATCCACCACCAGCAGGACGAACTTCGCCCAGCTTCTCCGCGCACACGAGAGAATGCTGCATCCTTGTTCTAACGGCTCTAACGGCTGCTGATTAGCCGATATCGGTCAGGTCGAAAACCGGTATTTTGGAGCTTACTTGCAGCTCGAGGATCAAGCATTGAAGATGACGGCGAGCTGAGAGCCAGCTGAGCCATTTCACGCTCATTGGATCGAAGGATCCATGTTGATATGTGTAGTTAAAGCCCCCATGGGCAACAGTTGAACTGGCTGAACCACTTTAACCCCACGACGGTCTCCAGATGCCGGCCTGCTCTACCCCGGATTCCTCATTTTATATATAGATAAATCTCCACACCAGTTCCGCTCTGCTATTCTACCTAATCCGATACCGCTGTGTAGACAGCTGTTGAGTCGGCAGCATGGTAGATTGGGCGAGTTTGAAGCGCAAGCTGGCCGTGTGAGTCGTTCCGCATTGCAGCTGTGGCCATGGCTGTCTCTGTCTGTTTAAATATCGCTGATGTAGTCGAACTACAAGGCCGATAGAAAAAGACTCTCACTACAAAAATACAGTATGGTGTAATAGGGACTTGATACCAATCCCTCCAGAGCGACGAACCTGGGGTGTTTGGGGCTACACCGGTATGCGATTTGTCCTCGGCTCTAAGAGCATATTTTGAAGTGAATAGCGGATAGAATGAACGGCCCTGCTAACAGGCTCGAACAGGCTACTGGACGGTTTCTGGATCATGTATCTCGGCATGGACAACTGGAAGCACTCTTCTGGCATTTGGACTCAGTCCTCAACAAGCAATTGGCTGCGTTGTCGGTCTCGTTTTTCCTCTCTATCTGCGAAAGTGGGATCACTTGAGCTGATATAACTATACATAGGCGGCTGGCGGAATATTCACGGGCTTACTCGCAGTCGCATGCGGCTGGATGGGCGAGAGGCACCACATTGGGTTCCCTGTTGCCTCACGGTTCTCATGGGGCATGAGAGGGTCATATTGTACGTTGTACCAATGATTGTTTTCTCTCGGGTTTAGAGACAAAACTAAACATTGAACAGTCCCCGTCATCCTCCGTTGTTTTCTTGGGTGCATTTGGTTTGGTATCCAGTCATATTGGTGAGCTCTGATCCCATATCGACTTGATGAACTCAACCTAACATCGCTATAGGGGAGGCCAGGCAACTAGAGTTCTCATAGGAGCAATTATACCAGGATTCGCACACATGAAGAACACCTTTGCTGAGAGCTCGCATTTGTTAACCAACGATTTCATCGGCATGGTTATATGGTACATTGTGTTCCTACCATTACTCCTGATCTCCCCCGAACGACTACAGATCCCGTTCGGCATCTCATTCGTCTTATTTGGATCAACTTGTATTGGTATCCTAGCCTGGTAAGCGTATACTGGCATCCCCTGATACCACCCGTTTTCTAACCGTGGTTATCTCATAGGGCGGTGAAAAATGTAGGGGGCCCTGGATCAATGTTCCGCCAACCAGCAACAACAGACTCAGTAGGATGGGGAGTGATGTACGGCATAACTGCCATACTTGGAGCATGGGGTGCTGGTACCCTGGGACAATCTGACTGGACCCGCTATGCAAGTCGTCCGCTGGCGCCGACGTTATCTCAGCTTGTCGCTGCGCCTGTCACGATCACTATTACAGCAATGATCGGGATAATCGTGACTAGTGCAGCTAATGACCTTCTTGGAGAGATTATTTGGAGCCCGATTCAGCTTCTTGCTGCTATGCAGGAGCATTATGCTTCGAGTCCACGAATCAGGGCCGGTGTGTTCTTTGCTTCTATAGGGACTGTTTCGACGCAACTGGCTGTACGAGCCTATTCTCATTCTACCCGTATTCGAAATCAACTAACTCCAATATAGATATCACTTGTCCTAAACTCCGTGTCAGCCGGGATGGACCTAGCTGGTCTGCAGCCCAAGTATATCAATATTAGGAGAGGAAGCTATATCATGGTTGTCATTGGCCTTGCATCTCAGTGAGTGTAAATGGCGCCCTGGCAAGTTGTCGAGAAGACACTAACCATCACCAAGACCATGGCAATTGCTCGCTAGCGCGGATAAGTTCCTCTCCGTTCTGTCTGGTTTTGGAATATTTATGGCTCCCTTGACGTAAGTTATTATCCCCAAGCTGGTATTATTCCAAACGGGGGAAGCTTATGACATGTCTAGTGGTATAATGCTGTCAGACTATCTAGTCATTCGACGCCAGAGGCTTAGGTTATGCGATTTATATAAGGGAGATGCGTCGTCAATATACTGGTATTGGCATGGCTTCAACTGGCGTGGGATTGTATCTTTCACTATTAGTATATGGCCTCAAATCCGTGAGTTCATTATAATCCTTGACCGTTCCATTGGTGGAAGTTAACTCATTTTTATCTGAGCAGCTGGACTCGTTGCGTCTGTCAACAAAGACAAATCCCCAGCTATGCAAAGCTGGATCAAGTTATTCAACCTCACCTTCTTCGTCGGCCTTGCGATGGGGTTCACTTGGATGACCCTGCTTTCATACATCTTCCCGCCACCAGGCTTAGGCGAAGAAGCCCCGTTCGTGCAGGAGTATCTCCCGTCCGAGAAAGCAGCTCGACAAGTTGGAACGGCATCACCTGAGAAGGCTGATTCAGCATCAACGCGGGAGCCTTGACGAGCGTTGCTATCCGTTGCTTATTGCTGTTATTTTTCGTATTCACGGGCGGAGCTTGCCTCCTCGGGGTATGCTTCTTGTGGCGTGTATATCCGGTGGTTACATGTCTTTGCTTACCCATAATATCTCGAGCCCAAAGGCGCAATATGTGCACTGATCCATCACTGCAATTGTGCAAATAGATATTAATATGCATATGTAAACCGGTAGCGTAGAGCACATGCCGATGAATCCACGTGACCGACATCTTCCGAAAAGACCCGACTAATGTTGTTCGTGCTTTTTCTTCTCTTGAAGAGGAGAAAACGGAGGGTTCCGGGACTGGCGACTATACCGTTGTGCCGAGGATTCAGTTTGTTCTGTTGATGGACGCGAACGTGAAGACGGGTTCCAGTCCGATACGATGCGAGGTCGGCAGGAGGAGGGATATCTGTTACCTAACGTCATTGTACATCTCGCCGTACATACGCGTACTGAGTACTACTGCATGTTCTTAAGTGAGGAGAATATACAGGGTCCATAATGAGTTACGTAAGGTCTTTCCTGGTGCAATTATCGCGTTTGTAGCCCTCCATGATGTCTCCAGGCGAGTTGCAAGTCGGTTTACAAGTTGTATATCTATACACACGAGCATCGGCAGAAGCAAATAAAGTGCGGCTCCTGGGGTGCCGATGTCGGGCTCGATAGATAAACAACCCGCCAATGATCGATCTCTCCGGAGTAGTTCAAACATTGTAAATAATGCAGCGGGGTGGGGGAAATGCAGCGGAAGCACATGCTTCCTACCAGGGAGATATAGGGCAAGGCCCACTGTGCCACCACCTTCCGCGGCGGAGTGACAGGGCCAGGGCAGGACTCGACTGCCTCGTCGACTGCCTCGTCGACGCCGTTGCAGTAATTGACACTGCATCTCCTCTCATCTCTGGTTTTTCTGTAATCTTCTCCTATTAACATTTGATATCAACTTGTCGCTCAGGCAAAAAAAAGCTCTGGGCCAGCTTCGTCGAAGCTTTTTAAGGTTAAAAGTTTAGATAAGGGTCTGTGGCCAATCATGAAGCGCCGATTAGCAGATATGCCCCACTTTTTCATACCTCCTCCGTCACTTTTCGGTTTATGAAATATCCCATAGAACCTGGGGAGACGCAAGTTTGTATGGCTGGCGCTACGGTCGCTGCTGCTGGAGTACTTCCGCAGGCGGCCTGGCGCTGGTGTCCCGAGGGTGTCACCCAAACGCATTTGCCACGACACGCTGTAGTTCGACCGGTAGACTCTGTCCCCCACGCTCGGTGGGCACCCTCAGCTGGATATGGAACGGAACGGTTCAACCGAAGGTGATGGGCAACTTCCGAGGATGCCCTGTTCTGGCGCCCGTCCTTCTCTTCCTCCTCTTCATTTCTTTCCTTCCTTCTCTCTTCTTCCTACCCTTATCTCTATCAAACCTCCCTGCCTATATCTGCGGCACACAGAACGTCATTATTATCCGGGCCACAAATCGTGCAGGATAGATAACAATTGGAAGAAAACGGTGATAACGCTCTCTGTCGGTCATCTCACCGGCAGGAAGAATGGGCCTCTTGGGGAAATCCTATGATTTAAAAGCTGAAGAGGACAGCCCCAACGAGTACTCCCCATACAAGGCAGAGAAGGGCTATGGCTGGGCAGAAGCCCTGCCTGAGAAGCAGGGTCTCTATGACCCAGAGCTGGAGAAGGATGCCTGTGGTGTAGGCTTCACCGCGTAAGTCCCCTCAAGCCTATAGACTGGCACAAGGAGAGGCTCACCGTTCTGTTTCTAGTCACATCAAAGGAAAGGCAAGCCATAAAATTGTTAGCGATGGTAAGTCTCTCCGCCCATGAGTGTAATTTTCCGCAAAGCTTTGAGTGTGAAGTTGACCTGGATATGCTGTAGCGCGGAGTCTACTATGCAACATGACCCATCGAGGGGCAGTCGGGTCTGATGCTCGAGACGGTGATGGCGCAGGTGTCATGACCAGTATCCCCCACAAGTTCTTTGTGAAGCATTTTGCCAGAGATATCGATGTCATCCTTCCGCCATTGGGACAATATGCAGCGGGGAATCTCTTCTTCAAGCCTGACCCCGAGGCCCTCAAGGAGTCCCAGGCTACCTTCGAGGATCTTGCAAAGCAATTGAACCTCCGCGTGCTGGGTTGGAGAGAAGTGCCGCATGATTCGACGATACTCGGGCCTGCCGCCTTGTCTCGTGAACCTTTCATTTACCAACCTATTATTGTCCTTCATTCTGCGTATGGAGACGGCAATGTTCCCCTTGAAAACCACGCTGCACTCTTTGACGAGCGACTCTTTGAGCGGCAGTTGTATGTCTTGAGGAAGCGAGCCACTCATGTCCTTGGATTGGTCAATTGGTTTTATCTCTGCTCCTTGAGTAATAAAAATATCGTATACAAGGGTCAATTGGCTCCTGTGCAAGTCTATGAATATTATCATGATCTAGTCTCCGTTGATTATGAGGGTCATTTTGCCCTGGTTCACTCCCGATTCTCCACGAACACTTTCCCTTCCTGGGATCGCGCCCAGCCTCTCCGATGGGCAGCACACAATGGTGAAATAAACACCCTTCGCGGAAACAAGAACTGGATGAGAGCAAGAGAAGGCGTACTCAAGTCGGAAGTGTTTGGAGACGAATTGGATTCCTTGTACCCGATTGTGGAGGATGGTGGCTCCGATTCTGCTGCGTTCGATAACGTACTAGAATTGCTCACAATAAACGGCGTCCTCTCCCTTCCCGAAGCAGTCATGTTGATGATTCCAGAGGCCTGGCAGGACAATCCTACCATGGATGCCGCAAAGGCCGCCTTTTATGAATGGGCTGCCTGTCAGATGGAGCCATGGGATGGTCCGGCTCTCTTCACTTTCTCCGACGGCCGATACTGCGGTGCCAATTTGGACCGCAACGGCCTCCGTCCATGCAGATACTACATCACAGACGATGAGCGTATCATATGTGCATCTGAAGTCGGCGCTCTCACCATTGACCAGGAGCGTGTCATCGAGAAGGGTCGCCTGCAGCCTGGAAAAATGCTTCTCGTCGATACGGTTGCTGGAAGAATCATTGACGATGCAGAGCTGAAGCAAAACGTTGCAAGCCGTCAGCCATTCGCCAAATGGATTCAGGCACAGCTTCTCAGCCTACCCAAGATTCACCAGGAATTCGTCGACAACAAAACAATTGAGCTTGCTCCTAAGCTGGACGAGCTGACCGTGCAGCAAGACCCTAGATTGAAGGCATTCGGGTATACCTTTGAACAAGTTAGTTTGCTGCTTGGTCCAATGGCTGCTGACTCTAAAGAGGCTCTTGGATCCATGGGCAACGATGCTCCTCTCGCATGTATTGCTCAGCAACCTCGTCTCCTGTATGAGTACTTCCGCCAACTGTTCGCTCAAGTCACAAATCCCCCTATCGATCCTATTCGCGAGGCCATCGTGATGTCTTTGGAGTGCTACGTCGGTCCTCAGGGTAACTTGCTCGAAATCAATGAAACACAGTGCAACCGCCTCCATCTTCCATCTCCTATCCTCTCACTCAGTGAATATGATACTATCAAAAACATCACCTCCCTACACAAGGACTGGCCTGTAAAAATCATCGATATCACTTTTGAGAAATCAAAGGGGGTACAGGGCTACCTCGATGCCCTCGATGCCATCTGCGAATCTGCCACTGCAGGTATTGAGAACGGCGATCGTGTTCTAGTTTTATCCGATCGAGCCACTTCCACAGATCGGGTTCCGGTGTCTGCTCTGTTGGCCACTGGTTTAGTCCATCACCATCTTGTCCGCAATAAATGGCGTTCCTTGGCTGCTTTGGTGGTCGAAACTGCTGAAGCCCGTGAAGTCCATCACATGTGTGTACTCGTTGGTTATGGTGCTGATGGTATATGTCCATACCTTGCTCTGGAGTGCATCCTAAAAATGAACCGCGAAGGTCTTATCCGCAAGAAGCTCACCGATGAGCAAATTGTTAACAACTATAAGCATTCAGTTGACGGAGGTATCCTGAAGGTCATGAGCAAGATGGGTATTTCCACATTGCAGAGTTATAAGGGGGCACAAATTTTCGAGGCCCTTGGTATTGATGATAGTGTCATTGATAGATGCTTTGTTGGAACGGCAAGCAGAATTCGAGGAATGACTTTTGAAACCATTGCTCAAGACGCCTTTGCCTTCCATGAAAAGGGGTATCCCTCTCGACAAATTACTGAAATTCCTGGCCTGCCTGAATCCGGCGAGTATCACTGGAGAGACGGTGGTGAGCCACACATCAACGACCCAGTCAGCATCGCCAATATGCAAGATGCTGTCCGTACCAAGAACGACAAATCATATGAAGCCTATGCTAAGGCAGAATATGAGCAGATCAAGAACTGTACGTTGCGTGGAATGCTGGAGTTCGACTTTGAGCAACGCGCACCGGTCCCAATTGACCAGGTTGAGCCATGGACCGATATTGTCCGTCGCTTTGTCACCGGTGCCATGTCTTATGGTTCTATCTCCCTTGAATCTCATTCCACTCTTGCCATTGCCATGAACAGGCTAGGTGGTAAATCCAACACGGGTGAAGGTGGTGAAGACTCTAGCCGCAGTAAAATAGGGAAGAACGGCGACACGATGAGATCTGCTATCAAACAAATTGCTTCTGGTAGATTTGGTGTCACCTCCAACTACCTTGCAGATGCGGATGAGCTACAGATCAAGATGGCCCAAGGTGCGAAGCCTGGTGAAGGAGGTGAACTGCCTGGTCATAAAGTTACCGGGCCTATCGCACATACCAGACATTCTACCCCTGGCGTTGGTCTGATCTCGCCTCCACCTCACCATGACATCTACTCCATTGAAGATCTGAAACAACTCATTTACGATCTCAAATGTTCTAATCCTCGTGCTCGTGTTTCAGTCAAACTTGTTTCTGAGGTTGGCGTTGGTATCGTTGCATCTGGTGTCGCTAAAGCAAAGGCAGATCATATTCTTATCGCTGGCCACGACGGAGGTACCGGTGCTTCTAGATGGACTGGTATCAAATATGCCGGTCTCCCATGGGAGCTAGGATTGGCTGAGACCCATCAAACCTTGGTTCTTAATGATCTGCGTGGCCGTGTTATCGTCCAGACTGACGGACAGCTCAGAACAGGTCGGGATATTGCCATTGCCTGTCTGCTAGGAGCCGAAGAATGGGGATTTGCAACCGCCCCATTAATTGCAATGGGATGTGTCATGATGAGGAAATGCCACTTGAACACTTGCCCTGTCGGAATAGCGACGCAGGATCCCGTTCTCCGCGAAAAGTTCCAAGGCAGCCCCGAACACGTTATCAACTTCTTCTACTACATCGCCAACGAGCTTCGTGCAATCATGGCCAGGCTTGGTTTCCGCAGTGTCAATGAAATGGTTGGGCGAGCAGAGTTGCTGAGAATTAGGGACGACCTGCCATCACCACGCATGCAGAATATTGATCTTTCCCTTATTTTGACTCCCGCACATTCTCTCCGACCTGGAGTGGCGACGTACAACGTTAGGAAGCAAGACCATCGCCTCCATACTCGCCTGGATAACAAGCTTATCGCTGAAGCCGAGCTGGCTTTAGAAAAGGGGCTACCATGCAGAGTTGAGTGCGATATTGTCAACACTGATCGTGCCATGGGTGCCACACTGTCTTACCAGATCAGTAAACGATATGGTGAAGCTGGGTTGCCACAGGATACCATCCATGCTAACATCAGAGGATCTGCAGGTCAGTCCTTTGGAGCCTATCTGGCCCCTGGTGTCACCCTGGAACTGGAGGGTGATTCGAACGATTATGTCGGCAAAGGTTTGTCCGGCGGTCGTCTCATCATCTATCCTCCACGCGGTGCCGTTTTCAAGGCTGAGGAAAACATCATTATCGGAAATGTCTGCTTGTACGGCGCAACTAGTGGAAGCTGCTACTTCCGTGGTGTTGCTGCTGAGCGATTTGCCGTTCGTAACTCTGGTGCCACCGCTGTCGTTGAAGGAGTAGGTGACCATGGTTGTGAGTACATGACTGGTGGCCGTGTGCTGATTCTAGGTCCTACCGGGCGAAATTTCGCCGCGGGTATGTCTGGAGGTATCGCATATGTCCTCGACACTGCTGGAGATTTCTACCAAAAAGTCAATATGGAGATGGTTGAACTTTCTGGCGTCGAAGAACCCGCCGAAATTGCATTCTTGCGTGGTTTGATTGAAGATCATCATCACTATACTGGCTCCGAAATCGCAGCTAGGATCTTGGTTGATTTCACCAAGGCCTTGTCGCATTTCGTCAAGATTTTGCCAACGGACTATAAGCGTGTGCTTGAGGAAGAAGCAGCCAAAGTTGAGGCAGCTAAGAAGCTGGAACTTTCACACCTAAGTTCTCGCCAGAAGCATGTGGCAAAACAAGAAGAGAAGGCAGAACATAAGCATCGTGAGGACTCTCAACCCAGAAGCGACCTCCTAGACATCGAAGATAGCATTGGTGATGCCAAAACCGAGAAAAAACGCACTGCCTTAATCCTGGACAAGACTAAGGGCTTCATGAAGTATGCCCGACGTCATGAGAAATACAGGAACTCGAGAACTCGTACTCGTGACTGGCAAGAACTGTCACCACGACTTACTGAGGATGAGTTGAAATATCAATCAGCTAGATGCATGGACTGCGGTGTTCCGTTCTGTCAGTCTGAAACCGGCTGCCCTATTTCAAACGTCATTCCAAAATGGAACGAGCTTGTATTCCAGAATCAATGGCAAGATGCACTTAACAGGCTACTCATGACGAATAACTTCCCCGAATTCACTGGCCGTGTCTGCCCAGCTCCCTGCGAAGGTGCTTGTGTTCTCGGCATTGTCGACGACCCAGTTGGCATCAAGTCAATTGAATGTGCTATAATTGATAGAGGCTTTGAGATGGGTTGGATGGTTCCGAAGCAACCTCTAAGCCGTACTGGAAAAACCGTCGCAGTCATTGGCTCTGGGCCTGCTGGTCTGGCAGCTGCAGACCAACTTAACCGCGCCGGACACAGTGTAACGGTGTATGAGCGTGCAGACCGCATCGGTGGCTTGTTGATGTATGGAATCCCAAATATGAAACTGGACAAGAAGGTGGTTCAGAGGCGTGTTGATTTCATGGCTGCTGAAGGTATCAAGTTCGTCACCAGCACTACCGTTGGGCCAGACGAGGAAGTGTCTCTCAAATCACTCCAAAATGCCAATGATGCCGTTGTCATCGCTACTGGTGCCACTGTTGCGCGAGACTTGAAGATTCCAAATCGTGAATTGGAGGGAATTCATTTCGCTATGGAATTCCTCCATCGCAACACCAAATCACTCCTCGACTCCGAGCTAAATGACGGAGAGTATATTTCCGCAAAGGGCAAAGACGTCATCGTAATTGGTGGCGGTGATACTGGTAACGATTGCATCGGCACTTCAGTTCGACACGGTGCAAAATCTGTTACCAACTTTGAGCTGCTGCCTCAACCTCCACAGGAACGTGCTCGTGATAACCCATGGCCTCAGTGGCCTCGAATCTACCGTATTGACTATGGTCACAGCGAAGTCAAGACACATATGGGCAAAGATCCACGTGAGTTCTGTGTCATGTCGAAGGAGTTCGTCGGCGATGAAAATGGCCGTGTTAAAGGTATCAACATTGTCCGGGTTGAATGGACGAAGAGTGCTTCCGGTGGTTGGGATATGAAGACTGTTGAAGGAAGCGAACAGTTCTTCCCTGCCGACTTGGTACTCCTTTCTATGGGCTTCCTGGGCCCTGAAGATCGCCTTCTCGGAGATGAAGTTGAAAGAGATGCCCGCAAGAATATCAAGACTCCAGCTGGTCATTATGCGACGAATATCCCTGGCGTATTTGCTGCCGGAGATTGTAGGCGCGGGCAATCGCTTATTGTCTGGTGTGTAACCCCTTTCCATAGTGATATTTGATCTCAGTACGATCGTGTACTAACTCACGCTGCTATTCTAGGGGTATTAACGAAGGCCGTCAAGCTGCTCGAGAAATCGATACTTATCTTATGGGCAGCACATCCTATCTTCCAGCAGCCGGCGGAATTGTCCGACGTCCAGCGATCGAGTCTGTCCCGACGGCTCCTCAGATGGAAGTCCCAGCAGTCGCTGCGTAAATTTTTGGATCTTTCTCTGGTATTTGTTCCATTTCAATCGTCATCTTGTCTCTTGTTATCATGTATCATCTTGGATCAAGGTAAGCGGGTTCTGTCAAAATAAAAAGCTGCATCGTGATCTTTGTTGGCAAATTTTGACACATTTTGTACCCTTATTTTGCTCACTTTCAGTTGCGAGAATCTTGGCCTCTTTCACAATTTATGTATGTTCTTCCTATTCTTTTTTCTTTCCCTCTGTCATGAGCAATCCATCGGGATGTCAGTGTTGGAGCAGAATTTGTTCCTACCAATCCCGTTCGTGGACTTTGGTGTTTTGTTCTTTGCTTTTTGCCAGCGTTTGAGTACATAACTACTACATAGTGGGAATGATAGCACTAGCCAATTACCTATCAAATCAATATACAATCCGAATATATAAGGCATTACTGGTTAAATGGCTGAGTTATTACAATCTGAGTCTAGAGAAACGCCTATATAAACAAATCAAAATTCATGTCGTCAAAGGTCCTTTCAGCCCCAAACGCCGGAGCAGAGAAAGGAAAGGGTATTCTAATTCTACTAATACAGGTAAAAGGTAACCAACGTTTATGGTGCTCGACTTGATCCTCCAGAGTATGGCTTCATATGGGATCCAGCGGCATAATGTATCCCGCACTCATATCACCATCCCTTGCTCTCCCTTTACTTTTGCTTCGTCTTCTTGCTGCCTTAGCCGTTCCATCTCTTTCTCAAAGGCTAGGTAGTCTCCCTGGAATGCTCCCCTAACCGGCTCTTTTCTAAGCTCCCAGACATCCTCACTGCTAGGACCAGTCTTGTACTTAATAGATTTCCTCCGATACCTATCAGATATGGCCTTTTCCCTTTCCTCATCAGGTAAACTCTTCGAGCGCATACAGAACCAAAAGTCTGACCAGTGCTCGCTGCATGACCGGAGTTCACCGTATCGATAGACATTTACCCACTGGCCTCCGAAGGATTGGCAGAAATATGCGTAGTCGAAGGCGGACCGACAGGACATGGTTTTTGGGTAGAGGGACTCCGACTGGAATTGCGTAGATGGCGATTTCCCATCCATGGATTGTGAAGGTAATGGCTTGGAGGTTCGGGATTTAGGGGTAGACGGCGCATTGCTCTCAGTGGAGGCGGTGGAAGAGGAGGTGTTTAACGACTTTAGTAGCTCGTTCAGCTCGGCATCTGCAAGCTCGTCGCGACTTAGAGGTTTCTGAGGCCGCGGTGGTGTAGGATTTTCTGGCGAATTGCCGGAGGGAAATGAGCTCGCATTGTTCGCCACGGGAGGAGAGGGCTCTGATTTCTGTGGCTGCTCAGCCGGAGCCGGAGCACTACTCCATAGCCAGCCCATTGTGTATCTCGTACCCTGCGTTCGGTTCAGAGAAGGTGAATTGCCCATCACTTCATCCAACGAGAACGGAAGAAGTTCTGATAGAGAGGAATATCACGTGACACTATCTAGCTCGGCCAAAATATGCACGTCATGTTGCTTTTTTACTCCAAGAAACTACAAACAAGCTTGCAAGATGGCCGTTCCATGGCCCAATGCTTAATTCCGCGCTTTCGTTGGGCATGCGAAGCTCCGAATCGCTTTTATACTTGCGTACAATATGATTCCAATATCCCGCAGGCTACTCCCTAGGCAAGCCCTTTGGAGGGGTCAACTTTTGGGTGTAGCAGGTAGACGACACCGGGTTTATAGGGGCATATGTCAGGCTTCTGCAGCGGAACCACATAGAGCTGGCTATATCGAAAGAGAGCCGAATGAAGCACTTATCTTTATCAGTAGTAGGTCGATACCGTTACCGACACGTAAAGCTGTGGCATTGCGAGAAATACTAAAAACGCCCTAGATGTGCTTCCGGTTCATTTGAGCTGGATATCTTCGATTCCGTACATAAGCCCCAATGCAATTGTTTTACAGCGGCTGGAGAAGCTTGCAACCAAAGGCGTTGAGCTTACAGGCTCCGAGACAGTTGTTGAGAGGGTTCTACCAAGTGAAATGCACTCAAGGATTACCCAGGTTATTCCACGTCTTACTGAAGGTGGTGCCTTTGTCAAAGTAGCTCATGACTCCGATACCACGAACTCGGACGTCATCAATGCCATAACCCGCCATTTAGACGAGAACCCCGTAAATCCGTGGTTTAGATTCTTCAGATCTGCCAGCGCTGCTCTTGTGCGCGGACGTCCATGGGTGGAGGACTTATCTTACCGCTTTCCCAGCTCAAGGGTCAAGATCGAATTCCTTCCTGCGTCATCAGATGTACCAGCGGCGGAACTAACTCAAGAGTCCCTCTATTCACTTACCAGGACATATGGCAAGCTGACCGATATCATCTCGCAGCCCGCGGAGTCAAAGGTTGTACCTAGATATGCCTTGGTTGACTTTTCCCTTCCGGTGTGCGCCATAATGGCAAAAAACTGTCTTCATGGGTTTAAGATTTCTCCAGAAGATGGTGGAGGAAAGGGAGGGACGATACTGCAGTTTAGCTATGAGCGAAAAATAAAGGCACATTGGATAAGAGATTGGTTTTTTAACCATCCTCGAATTATGCTACCCATTCTTGCCGCTATCCTGGCTGCAATTACAGTCGCCATTTTTGACCCCATACGGACATTTTTCATCAGGATTAAGATATCCCCTCCGCTACAGCTACAGGACAACAGATTATGGATGTGGCTTCAGAGGCAAGCTACAAAGGCAAATTCGTTGTTCTCTCTCCACCGTGACCAATTCCACGAATCCAAAGGCCTCAATGAAATATGGGAAGATAGGAAAGAGGATGCTCAGCAAATACAGAATTGGCTCGTGGAAGGGAATGATACTTTTATCGTTGTGCATGGACCACGAGGCTTGGGAAAGAAAGAATTCGTTCTAGGTGAAACCCTGAAGAATTACAAGAACAAACTTGTGATCGACTGCAAGCCCATCCAGGAGGCCCGGGGTGATAGCACCATGATAGCAGCGGCTGCAGCTGAAGTTGGCTATCGACCGATCTTCTCTTGGATGAACAGTGTTAGCAGTGTAGTTGATGTTGCAACTCAAAGCGCTATTGGTACCAAAGCTGGCCTCTCTGAAACCGTGGATACTCAGCTTGGTAACATATTGCAGAATACCGCCAAGGCATTGAAAAAGGTAGCACTGGATGGAAGGAGAAAGGGCGACAAGGACGGACACTTGAACGATGATGAATGGCTAGAGGCAAACCCTACTCGTCGACCAGTTGTCGTTATCGATAACTTCCTCCATAAAAGTAAGGACAACCAAATGGTATACGACAAACTTGCGGAATGGGCAGCAGCATTGATATACACTAACATCGCACACGTGGTTTTTCTCACCTCGGACCTTTCATATTCCAAAACGTTGAGCCAGGCGTTGCCAAATCAAGTCTTCCACCAAGTTTCGTTTACCGACTGCAAACCTGAGGTTGCCAAACGATTCGTTCTAAGCCATGTATCTGGGGAAGAGGGCTCTAAGGGCGTGGACTACACAGATGAAGGGTATAATAAGGAGCTCAGTGAATGCATCAAGCGACTAGGGGGCCGTTTGACAGACCTTGAGTTCTTTGCACGTATGATAGCCAGAGGTCTGAGTCCAAATAGTAAGTTGCCCACCCCTACCCCAAAACTATCTCTCCTACATATTGTTGTTGCTAACGACTTGGCAGCCGCTATCCAACAAATAGTACATCAATCGGCCGCGGAAATCCTCAAATTATTCATTACGGAGGCTGACTCCAGTTCCCGGGGTTGGACCCCTGAACAGGCATGGTACTTAATAAAAAATCTAGGGACAGCCAAGGCTCAGACAGGAAAACTTGCCAACCCTGACGAAGAAGACGAAGCAAGTATTCGGTACAGTGATATAATTCTCTCTGATCTTTTCAAGAAGGACGGTGAAAATACCCTTCGTGCTCTTGAAAAAGCCGAACTCATCGTTGTTATTTCGAAAAACGGTCGGCCTTCAATCATCAAGCCAGGAAAGCCTGTGCTCGCAGCAGCCTTCAGCGAGTTGGTTGAAGACGAGGTGTTGAAAAGTAGGCTTGACTTGGGAATTCTGAGCCAATTGATTAACATGGAAAATCAGACCATTAATAAAGTCGAAGATGAACTGAAAGTTCTGGGATCTTTGTCGAAAGAGCCCAGCGAGGCGAGGAGAAGAATTAAATGGCTACTGGCCAAATTGGCCCTAAGTCAAGCAAAGGTCGACCAATACGAGATGGAAAGTGCGCAGTTAAAGCTGATTTTGAAAACGGAATTTTAGAAGAGATGGATGAATCCATTACACACATTTTGACATGTATTTTTTTTTTATTGTTTATTTTTACTGCAAGTTCTACAAAGCCATTCTTTTCCTTTTTTCTTTGTTTTTTTTAAATATGTCAATAGGACTCTGTACAAATTAAGAACCTACTTCGTAAACAGGAGACGTATTAAGATATCATATCTCTATCATAAAATGGCGTACCGTCAATAGTACTGTTTCAAATGTTGGGGGTATAAAGGTATCATTATCAGGGCATATGAAAATTTTCGAGGAATGAAAGTATTAAAAAGGTGGTAGAAAGGCGGATAGTTATTCAGAAGAGAAAAGGGGGGCGATGAAAACATGACTAAGGCATGTCAAATAATTTATTAACTATACAAAAGGTATCAAGAATGGCATTAACTGCGGGTCACATTTGGCTAGGGAACTCGTCTAAGTAGCTTTGGGCGCTCTAGTGGGCGCTCCAGTGGGCGCATCAGTCGTGTCATTTGGTACTTCTCGTGGCTGCTCTGGGTACACATGTTGTTCATGTGAAGTATTTGGTTGAGCGGGCTGAGATTGGTGTGGGATCGGAGAAACGTTTCCAGAAGTTGGCGAGACAGCCTGCCCTGGCTGCTCAAATAGTGCGGTGTTGCCGCTGTGGGCTATTGTTGGGAGAGGCTGGTATGGCGCTGGGACTGGCAGGGGTTCATACTGCGTTTCTCCCTGTGGTGCGCCTGGCTGTTGCTCCGTCGATTGAGTATTTAGCTGCTGCTCTGTATGTTGATTGTCTAGCTGCCGGCTAACCTGCTGTTCTGTTTGCAGAGGTAATGACTGTGGGCCATTCTGCTGAGGGAGCGGCGCCATCACCCCTGGTACCGGGGGCTGTTCTGCCATCTGCTGAGGGAGCGGTGCCATAACCCCGGGTACTGTGGGCTGTTGCTCAGTAGGTCGGGGGTCGGTTGCAAGGGGAGGCGCTGCCCCAAGAATTGGAGGGTAACCTCTGCTAAACCCATATTTCAACCAGAGAGTTAATTTCGCAGTAAAAGACATGGACTTCCAATTGCTTGCCAGTACATCCTGTTCTACCTTCGGCTTCGGTCTGTACCCCCGATGCATGCATATGATGAACAAGCAGGATAGGAGTGGGCATAGGCAAGCAAATGACTTGGGCAACCCTCTGCTTGCGCCACGGCCAAGCATGAGATTTCTGAATCTAACAGCGCTCTCGATCATCCCGATAATGAAGAAGAGGCCGAACCACGAGAAAGCGATAATAAGGGCTAGTGCAAGACTAGAAGCCCAATAAGTTGATCTGCCGCAGGAGTACGGGTACCTATCGCAGTAATAGTCGTAACTGGAGCCAGAGCCAGAGCCAGAGCTAGATGACCCAGACCCTGAACTAGACCCTGAGCTATACTCACAGTACCTGATCGCCCTGGGAGTATTGCTGGCCTCCGCGCTGCTTACAACGTCAGATGGAAGATCTGTGGGGTTCAAAAGGGCCATTGTAGTCGTATATCGATATGTCGTCCGTCTATATGCGTAAGAGTCCGTCGACGTAGATGTCGTTGTCAGGGTTGGAGTAATCTGGCTCTCAATGCCAGATGGAATTGAGATGTACGCGGCAGTCGTAATGGTGCTCGGTCCAGATGTTATCGAGCACGATGAAGGGTAGGTATATGTGAGGGGGATGTAGTAATTAACTGTGTTCGATCGATAACTGTAGGATGAGCTTGTTCCCTGGCCGGCTTCGAGTCCGATCTGGAGGGTGGTCATATCATCATAGCCAGTTGTCGTGATTGTAGTTGTGGCCCGGGGAGAAGTAACCGTTGGTACCACTGGTATCGTCTCGGTATATTCCCTGGCGGAGTACGTTGCATGAGTATACGTACGGGCTGGTATCGTGGTTGTAGTGACTTCAAAGTATTGGGTAATTGTCCATGGAGGCGCGAAGGCCTGGGCACTGCCGAGGGCCTGAAGGAGAGCGCAAACGCGCAGGAACCGCAGGCTCGCCATATTGCAACGAAGCCAACAAAGGGTGAAATCACTGTCAGTTGTCGATATGAGAGAAAGGCAGAGAGACGGAGGGCGCAGCGCCAGATAAAGTACTCTCCGTAGCCGTTAGGTAGAGTGGGCACGCGCCCTCTGACTCTTGCGCCTGCAGCTAGCCCATGTTGTTTGCCTCTTTAGCCCTTGTCCTGATTCATTCTGTCCTCCGTACGTAAAAATAGCCCTGCATTATCTGACTCGGGGTATCACAACCGGGATAGGTGCAGCCAAGCGCGACTAGGACCTCTGAAGGAGCAAATGCTACTCCAGATCCAGCCTAGATCAGGTCAAGGACCCTCCGTAGGACCAACCACGGGCGTAGCCGATGCCCTTGGGCACCCATATATGTGGTCTGCGTTAAGAGCAAGCTTTGTCAAGCGAACTTGAGGCTCTGGAAATGAGAGTGTGAGACATCCAGGTGGAGAGAGTGTCTCTGTGATTCGTTAGCTCGGCCTGAACAGCTGCAGGTAACAGTTGGATGTCACCTTAGTGCCTCCGCCGTAAGCCTTTAGCATCACTTTTTGCCCCCCTGGTGGCTGTTGGCGTGGTGGTATGTCGGCGGTTCGGGGCGTTGGACTCAGGGGCATGTTTTCTCTCTCTTTTTCTTTTCCATGTCACGCGAAAAGCATAAAAACTAGGGCTTCCCTTGGCACGTGAAAGGCACCGCTTATGTCATCTATATGATCATGTGATACTCTTACCTAAGCGAGAGCTTCCGCGGCTGGTGCCTTTTTCAGCTCTCTTCGACGTACTTCCTGTGGAAAGAAAGGAGCAGCTCACAGAAAATGGAGAGCGACACCATATCTTTACCGCAGCTCGCTATAGATGCTCTCAGGGAGCTGTCGGAACACCTGAGCTTCTGGAGTGTGGTCGGAGCCTTGGCCGTGATATGCATTTTAACACGAATATCGACCCAGATCACCAGCTTACCCGCACTTAGAACGAGATATCAGGATGGGCCAGTATCCCCGAACAAGGTTCCCTATTGGCTCCCTTACATTGGCCATTGGTTCTCCCTGGGATTCTTCCGTAACAGACTACTGTTCAATGCTCGGTTTGTTCAATCTTTGATCTCCATACTTTTTCAATCCTGTTATCTCTTTACCGTAGGGCAATTATTAACCTATTCGCCAGATTACCCGAACATGGAGCTGCGTTCAACTTCTATTGCTGGGGCAGGCAGCATGTGGTCCTTACGACCCCATCAATGATCAAAGCCTTGTTCAAGCAGCGCCAGTCTACTTCAGTTGAGCCATGCATCAATTACTTGATGGATAATGCGTTTGGGTCAAGTAGGAGGATGCGCAAGTCTGGACGGAAGGGCACTTGCCATGGCGAATCAGCAGAGTGGGTAAAGCTCCTGACAGAGGAACCATATCTAGATGACCTTTCTTCCTTGCTGGTAAAGGAAGTTGAGCGAGCCACCCCTGCACTTGTCTCGTTCACCTCTAGTGTTGTTGACCAGTACCAGTGGGAAAGGATAAGTGGAGTGACTGTCAAAAATGAGAAAAATGGCGAAAGAGTATGCGAAACCAAACTATACTCTTTGATTGGAGGGTTTGTTGGATCAATCTCTGTTAATTTGTTGATGGGGAAGACTCTACTTGACGTTTACCCGAACGTTCTACCCGACCTTTCGATATTCAATAGCAAATTCAATGCTATGCTGCTTGGGATCCAACGGTGGATCCCATTCCCCGGTCTTGTCAATGCCTATCTCGCTCGACGCCGCCTTCTAGTCTGTCTAACTGTCCACAATGCTGCTTTTAGCCAGCTAGAAAACGGGCAGGAACCCCAAGTTGTTTGGCGGGATATGGATGATGTTTCTCCGGCGGTCCAGGCCCGGATGCGTACACGCATCAAGGGAGGCTACTCTGCTGAATATGCCGCATCAGAAGACTTATCTTTACTCTGGGCAATTACCTTGAGAGCGAACGCTTTGATATTCTGGAATCTTGTGCATATCTTGGCTGATGCCAAATTACACGCGGAGATCCTGAGCGAAATTGCTCCCTACGCGAAACTTATACGCTTGGATCCTAGCGAGACAGGGTTTGGCTTGCCAGAACCGCCGCGAGTATCTTTGGATATTCATAAGCTCGTTGGATCTTGTCCTTTACTCATAGCTACGCAAAAAGAGACCAGTCGACTCTATTCCTCCCCTTTCACCTACCGAAAAGTCACATCCGATATCAACCTCACTGAGTCCGACGACGACGCATCTCTCGCGTCCAGAGAACCCCAGACCTATCGTCTATCTGACGGCGATTACGTCGTCATACCGCACTCACTGCGAAATAGGGACCCGCTTTACTGCGAGTCACCAGACAAATTTGATCCACGACGACACCTAGACAAATCTACACCGGAGACTAATGAGGCCGTGGATGGAAAAGATCAAACACTATCATCGAAATCACAGGAAGAAAAGAAGTCCTCGCAGGATGCATCAGACGGAACGGATAATTATTCAGCGGGATGGGATGATCCCGCTTCCACATGCTATAAACAGGAGCAAAGGAAAGCAATTGCCATTTTAGCTGCGATTTTGGTGACATGGGACATTGAGCCTGCAAACGGAAAGGGCTGGAAAGTGCCTAGTCGAAGGAGTGGAAGTTTGGTGGATGAACCCAAGGATGTACAGGTTAAGCTCAAGATGAAAGCCTAGCCTTGTATATATTTACTATTCGAGACCATGTTGTAATAATAACTTCCTTCTTAGCGCTTATCTCCGACAATTTTATCTTATCTCCAAAGAACTCTAAAAGTGTGATGACTAAGAATCGCGACCGCGACACGCTCTATGCGAGTTGAATTTCAATTAAAGAAGAGAAGACACCACGACCATTAAAATCACTACTTGACAGGCTGAGGTCTACGCCTTATGTTGTGATCGTTCGTTATCGCTCTTCATTGATCGTAACCTAAATTTATATCCTCCTTATCGAAGCTCCCATGGCTCCAGATGGCAACACTTTGCGAGGAAGGCCAGCTCGTATGTTACTAAAACCACTCCCTCAAATCTAATATAGCTTTATTTCAGTAAAAATATTAATGGGTTTGAGCATCAGATACTCCCGGAACCACCGTTATAGCCTATACACCGAACGGCCGACAAGTAATTACTGGCGGGTCCAACTCAGCAATCCGAGTATTCTCAGTCGGCGAGCATGGCGAACCGAAAACAATCGATGAGGGTGTGGAAAGCCATTTGGCAATCGCGGCAACTGTGCGTTACCAGCTTACTTTGCTTTTGCTTTTTAAGACTTTCGAACCATCGCATTGGCATGTCTAACGAACTTCATAGAACCAATCCATAATATTGGGATCCGAAGATGGCACTGTATGGCTTTACAAGCTGCACGAAGGCACAATGGATAAGCCTTTGGTTCGATGTACCCTACCGGTCCGTGACGTAGCTCTCTCGAAAGACGAGGAATGGGTTGCGGTTGCTAGTGAGTAAGTCTAGCAAATCATTACACCATTGACATCAACATTCGGAATTTTACTGATTTGTTTACCTTTAATTAGTGAACTCACCGTCAAAATTGTGAATATCAACGATATTACCGAAGTGAAGTATTTACGAGATCAGGCCAAGGGAGCTAAACATGTAACTTTTGACCCAAGTGGTCGTTACGTCACAGTTTCCTGTTCAGACGGCATAATATATATCTACTCGTTCACCGAGGCGGAGCCTACGTTACTGCAAAAACTCGATGGAGTGATTCGACGGCTTGAAACGGACCATGAAGCGACGTCAAGCGCAGTTTGGCATCCGGACGGAACCGCATTCGCTGCGGTAGAGGCAACTCGGGATATCACGGTGATATCAAGTAGAGATTGGACTAAACAGAAGAAATTCTCCGATGGACATAATGGAGATATCACCTGTCTTGCTTGGTCTCCCAATGGTGCACTACTTGCGAGCGCAGGAGCAGATCGAAAGGTCCTCCTATGGGAAACTAGAACCCAGAAAGTGATAAAGTCCTTTGATATCCCGAATGTTCTCAATTTTTGCTGGCATCCCACTCAAAATTCCGCGGCCTTTACCACTTCAGATGGAGAATTGTTTATTTACGATGATTTTGTGCCATCAGATCACCGCCCGCTACTATTAAAGACGTTAGAGGTGGCGCCGCTGCTCTCGATCGGGTCCAGTGAAGGAGTTGCAATCTCTCACAGACCACAAAAAAACCTTGTGAGCAATAATGCCGGAAGCAGACACAGAGGAGGCACCCCGGATTCTCTCGATGATATACTAGGACCAGCAGATGACGAGGACGACTTTGTCGAAGATGACGATGGCGCCGGTTACACTGAAGACATTAATGGACATGGGAAGAGGGCAAATACTCATATGGAGGAGCTATTCGGCCATGATAGCAAACGGAGACCAACAGTTCCTTGGAAGACCATTGCACATGAGCCATTTCAGCCAGGCAGTACACCCTGGAGAGGTAGTAGGAGGTACCTTGGTAAGTCCCAATATACCCAGCTCTACCATGGTATGTTCTAATAAAGCATACAGCCTTGAATCTCATAGGGTTTGTATGGACAGTTGATCAAGACACGCACAATACTGTCACTGTTGAATTCTATGATCGAGAGAGGTACCGTGATTTCCATTTCACAGACCCTTATCTCTATGATAAAGCGTGCTTAAGTATGCAGACCCCCCTTTTTTCTAAAAAATAAAGAAGAAGGACTTGAATATTAACATAATTGTCTATCATAGATGAAAAGGGGACGCTATTCTCGTGCCAACCGACATCGGGCAGCGCAGCAATGGTATTTTACCGGCCACATGAGTCCTGGACTACAAGAGCGGACTGGCGGACTGAACTCCCAGAAGGTGAAAAGATTACAGGTATGGCTATGCCTTATGCAACACTGTACTTGCATGCGTTTACTAACATTAAAAATATGTAGCCATCGCACTAAGCAGCTCCTATATTACAGTCACTACATCTACAGATTATGTTCGAATTTATACCCTTTTCGGGACCCCATATCGAGTCTTCCGACAAAAGAGCCAGACAGTAACCTGCGCTGCCTGGAGGGACTACATATTTACCGTTGGTAACGGTCCTGCTGGTAGTGACGGAGTGGCACACCTGAAATACTCCATTGAAAATGTTCGACGGGACGAGATTTGCCAAAACGAAGACACGGTTGCACTGGCAGGAGGTACACAACTGAAAAGCGTTTTTTTTTCAGACAAGGGTGTATGTATACCACTCCTAGGATACCTTGTAATCCACCGTTGACTAACATGGGTGACTCAGGACCCCTGCATATACGACAGCTCAGGTACTCTCCTTGTCTTACAACACTGGCGCAAACCGGGACAAGCCCGTTGGGTACCGCTACTTGACACCAAGCTGCTTGAGCGTGTTGCAAGTGGTCGGAAGGAAGAAACCTATTGGCCTGTTGCAGTAGCGCAAGATGTATTCCACTGCATTATCCTCAAGGGTGGAGATAAATACCCCTACTTCCCTCGACCACTGCTCACCGAGTTCGAATTTCAAATTCCAATATCCTCAATCGTGTCGAAAGATAAAGTCAATATAGATGGAGACGCCGAAATGGACGATGCGGAGGAAATCGCCAGAACTAGTAACAAGAAGTTGCAGGAATCCCTTGTCAGAACCAACCTGGACTTCACCCTTTTGGAAGACCGCATTGCCGCTTCTGAAATTGGCGCAGCTGGTGAAACTGAGCTGAGGCGGAAGGCTGTCGATATCGACAAGATTCTCCTACAGCTGCTTGCTGTTGAGTGCCGAGAGGGCGAGGAAAGGGGTATGAAAGCCCTGGAACTCGTCACTATGCTTCGAGACCGCTCAGGGAAGATGCTAGATGCTGCCAGCAAGATTGCCCAGAGGTACCAGAGGTCTATCCTTGACGACAAGATCAGGGCAATCGCCGAGAAACGGCTGATGGGCGAGGACGATGACGATGACATCACCGGGGATAATGACGATATATAGTTAAGCGGGCCTTTTTTGTTTATTATCTATGAGTTGGTAGATACATGACATTATTTGCTACTTTTTCTCACATTGAAAGCGAAGAGAAGCAAACGATTCTTCCCTCTATCCTCCGTCCACTTCACTTTAGTTTATATAAATTACCTACATCGCGAGCTTCGGCCATGTGTTAGCCTGAGCCAATCACTGACTTCTCTTATCGCGATAGCTTAAGCTTCAACTTCTTTTTTTATCCTGCCTGGTATTCTTAAGACTCTTCCTTTTGCCCTCCCTCAGTGGCATATTCTTCTAGACAAAACATATCTCCTTAAGCTGGCTGGCTCTCCGGAATACATGGAATGCATGCCGCTCCCTGCTGATAATGGCTAAGCACCTCGCGCATCAAATCGCCTTCCCGCCATCGCTCAAGCCAAAAGCACCCCAGCTCAGCCGGTGCATCCCTAGAGTCTCGTCGCAAGCCGGCTTGCCTGCTCATCTGGGGCAAAGAGCCACTCGTCGGAGCCATGAACCGTTCTCCCATAATCGTTCGCTAGCCCAGCTTTCGCCCATACAGCCTGATGGGCCGTGGCTCACAGTCTCCTCATCGTACTTCTCACAGACAAACCAGGTCGCTCTAAACGGTGGACCACACGGAGATGGAGATCATAAACCGCCGGATGAAAGAATAATTAAGCTAGGAAAGAGTATGTTACGAAGCTGGGGATAATAGATTGAACAAAAGAAGGAACATGATGCTAACGCCATATATGTATAGCTCTTCGTACCCTCTCCAAGCAGCTACCAACCATCCTCGTCCACGCACTCCCACAAGAGATCCTGTCACCAAGCATATCACTCCATTTATTCCCATCTACGCATCCACATCTTCCCACCGTCCGAGGCAGAGTTCCATATCGAGCAGCGTTATGGACTGCACCCGTGGCATGGGGCAGCGTCCCTATTATCGGGAACGTCAATCTACGAATAGTGAGCGAGCGGGTGGTCCCAACCGGTATTGCTAATGAAAATGGCAGAGGAGACAGTCCAGGAGGCGAAAAGCTCGTCGTACGTTGGGTTACTGAAGGTGGGAGCAATGAAGGGAGACCGGCTACCAAAGTTGGCCGCGGTTCAGAGGCGGATGACTATATCACGCCAGGCCAGACTCAAGGAGAACAGGGCACAAATAAAGAGAGTCCGGTCTCTTCGTCTTCGTCCTCGAATGGGATAAATAGAGGACTCAGTGTGTTGCTAGGCGGAGAAATGCCTATATTCAAACTCGGCAAAGAGGAGCAGTTTACAGGTTTATTTATTTTCACATTTGATGAAGAAGGCCGGATAGCTACACATACGATCGAGCACGCTGATGAGGGTAATGGATGGGATCGGACAGCAAAAGTGGTGACTCTAACAGATTGGCTTCTTGGAAAGGCAAAAGGCAGTGCATCCGGAGAAATCGTTCCTCCCCAGCCTGCGTTTGCCTCTGGGAGGATCAGGGAAAACCGCGGTACACGATATCGTTTTGGCCCGTTCGAGATATGACGTGGACATCGGATGCTCTATAGCGTGAGGGCTCATAGGTGCTATACTATGAGTCTCCATAGCCGGCTCTTTTTCTTGAATATACCTCTTTGCCTATCTTAAAGTCAATTGCCTGGAGTTAACGGTGTTTACGAAGATTGTGTGAGGAAAGCAATGGTAGAGTGGAGGCTTGGATTGGCTACATTGATAAGCCACCGTCGTTCTATGATTTTGATGATACCTTGATGTTTTTGCTTCTGGCCGTTGATCGTTATATCCATTTTCCCATTATTTTGCTTTCTAGCGAAGAGCTTTCAGCTTAATCTTCCTTCTCTTGTTCCCTTTCTGTATATTACGCAGTCTCAATCTCCGATCAAATATCGAGGAGGATTAGAATAAATAGGGGAAATCTCAACTCACTTCAATTTAATCACATTCTATAAATTTCATGATAATATACATATAGTGTAAACCAGAGCCTGCAAATGTATCCAACCGAAAGTCATCCAATTAAATTATCCATATTTCCCATTTGATCCTTTAATTCCTCCTAGATAGAACGGGTGACTTCAATAGCCCAAATGCAATTGCACAAACACCTAACATCGCAACTGCACCAGTTTTATATGCAACCTCTCTACCTCCCCACCAGAACAAAGAACAAAACAAAATCGGCCCAGTTGCACGGCCAGCTTGGCCCCAGCTCCTAAGGCGACCCAAGGAAGCACCACGTTCAGCCTCACGGGCTTCCAAGCTACCCAGGCTGTTCAGTCCAGTAACAACGGTTGCGCTAGTTACCGCGAGTAGGCAGCCTGCTGCATACAAGCCAGAGATTGTCGTGATATGGGCCAGTAAGGCAAATGACAGAGCGCATGCCACGAGGCCTATGCGAATGGTGAAGAGCGGTTCAAGCCGGCGTGTTACTCCGCCCTGTATGACCGATGCTAGTAAACCCATGACTGATAATAGGCGGCCATTTAAAGCAGAGGGACTGGCCCCACCAGTATTTGCTGCAAATGAAGTCTCATAGAGGGTAGCTGTAATAAAAGGGAGGGAGAATTCCAGTCCGGAAAATGGGAGGACGAATAAGAAGTGCGTTATATTCAGCAGAGCAGGGTTATTAGTATATCCCTTAGATATCTCTTCAGATGGGTCTTTAGTGCCGGTTTGGCCATGGTCCTTCTTCTCGCTGTTATTATCAGACGCAGATGGCTTGTAATCCTCTGATATCAGCCTCGGGTGTGTTTCTGGCAGGCAGAAATAGATGTAAATCGTCTCCGTGACAATCAGCAACAAGGAGCATCCTGCAGCCGTGGCAAACGGATTTGCTGCAAAGGTAGTGATATTGCTCAACGCTGCACCAATTGCAGGTCCAATGGTAAACGCAACGCTGAAGCAAGCTCCTACCAGGGCCATCGTCGAGCTCCGCTGGCTAGGATCACTAATATCCGTCGCAATGGCATTTGCCATCTGAATGTTTCCTTCGCTTAGCCCACCCACTATCCTACTTCCAAGGAACGTTCGGAAATCCGTAGCAGCAACCCATAATGCAACACTTGCTATGTTTCCAGTCATGGACCATAGAAGTGCGGTTCGACGACCATGTTTATCTGATATAGAGCCTATGATGGGAGCAGCAACAGCCTGGAGGAACGAGAAGATAGACCCCAGTGCGCCACCGAGAAGCACGACATCATATTTCGAGTCAATTGGCTTGAAAAACGAGTTCTTATATGCGTTTAAGTAATGGAGGATGCGGTTTAGGAGAGATGTTGGAGATGGGTCGTTTTCAAGATAGAATCTTATAAGGGACGGGAATAGCGGAAGGATGAATGTGAATGATATCTATACTCGAGACCACCGCGTTAGACGCTGCATTCAGACAACATGCTAGAAGCGAGGAGAGGATCATGTTCACTGCATATACTTACTAGGTCAAGTAAAAGAGAAGTAAAGAGAACAGTGAGTATCTTCTTCCTCTGTGTATTTGACACTCTGGAAGCCATGATCGCCTATGATATGTAATAAGAGCAACCTTCAAAGCAGGTCCTTAAAAAGTGCTCATCAAAATCCGTGGACTTTTACGTGGTGATATGCAGCAAGGCTATTGATGATGCTGCGATATCAACTCAGCCACTACCTACGTCAGTTCATACAATGTTATGCCGCGCGCTTAGATAAAATAATCGCGGGTCCTAAATAGGCTAGCTCGTCTAGTTAAATAACTAACTAACCTCCTCTCGTCGATCTCTTTACTTTGTCGTTCTCGATAATCAAACAGAGCTACCGATCACTCCTTTAACCCCGCCGGTTCTGTTCTGATGCATTCTTAGCTGTGCCTCAAGATATTATGATATTTCAGTCTATCGGCAAAACCCGAATTTTCAGTTTAAGTCGTCAACTCGTTGGGCATTACCATCGAGCAACCATACATTCTCAAACGGTAGCCTCAACCCTACTGTATTTGCAAAAAAATGACGGAACTGGTGGGAACTCCAGTATTTGGCTTTGTCGTCGGGTGCTCAGCTAAATAATTATATCTCTATAGTAACTGCGGCGGTGGAGGAAGAGTTTCATCGGTATACTACCAAGAGATGGCTGTACGTGTCTAGGATAGCAACATATCCGTTGGCTTCTCATTGACTTAAAAGCAGTTCCAATGACGCCAAAGAAGCAGCGGAGAGGTATCGAAAATTTAATCTCCAGGAGCTTATAGATGTTGCCTTGCAATGCTCAAGCGCAGGGGCATGTATGATATCCCCGCTCAACAACTTTATCGATTTACTCACGACAATTACAGGTACTCGTGTCCTGAAATTTCGAGAAGGGCAATATAATAAATCTCTCCTTCTTACTCTCGATGATGGATCTGAAGTGGTTGCAAAGCTTCCAAATCCTAATGCGGGGCCGAAGATACTTACGACTGCAAGTGAAGTTGCAACCATGGATTATGTAGGTAAGCTTCAGACAGTATAATCAAGGCCCTAGAGCTAATGCCAGAAGTTACGTGAGATTATGGGTTTACCCGTCCCACGGGTATTGAAATGGAGCTGTGATCCCGGAAATCCAGTACAGAGCGAATACATCATTATGGAGAAGGCGAAGGGAAATGCTCTTGGTGAAACCTGGTACCAGCTTCCCAAGTCTAAGAAGTGCGAACTCATAAAGCAGATCGTGCAAATAGAGGCCAAATTAGCAGCATTTGCCTTCCCAGAGCATGGATGCATATATTACACAAAAGATCTACCTTTGAAGTATCGACCCAAAAGCCAAACAGCCCTCCAAGGGGATGATACGAACAAGTTTTGCATTGGCCCGGTGGTGGATCCAGGACTTTGGTCTGACGGGCGCTCCAATTTACCGCTATCTCGGGGCCCTTGTACGGTTCTCATCCTCTTATTCCCGTAGCCGTGTTCTAATGCTTGAAGACAGGGCATGCACTAACCGATTATGCGAGAAGCATCGGTACAAATGGGAGGGCGTGGGCATTGCAACATGCACAGCCACGGATAAACTATTTTCGAAGCAATACAGACCGCGAGATGCCCCATGAATACCTAGATCTCATTGACAAATACTTGGAGGTTGTCCCTCGCTTAACACGTCATAAACCTGAAATTGCTGACCTTCTACAGCCGACAGTATGGCATCACGATCTATACCTTAACAACATCTATGTAGATGCCGCTTCTGACGAGGTCACTCATATCATTGATTGGCAGGGTGTGAAAGTTGCCCCTCTAATATTACAAGCCAGGATACCTCGAATGGTCCGGCACTCCAGCCCAGTTCCGCTTGGTGTTATTATGCCAGAACGGCCAGATGATTATGAGAATTTACCAGAGGCAGACAAGCTTCGAGCAGATAAGCTTTATGAGAGTGCTATATGCCATAAACTTTACGAAGTTTTCTCAATCAAGCAAAATCCAAGACATTATGCTGCTATCTGCCATAATGATACCTGGCAAACGCCTCACATTAAACCAATCAAGTCGATCAATGAGGCTTGGTCGAATAGAGAAGTTTTCACTATCCGCTCATCATTGATGGGCGTGGTGGATCACTGGTCGGAACTGTCACCCGGAAGTCCCTGTCCCATTTCTTTTAGCGAAGATGAAAAACAAGCACACAACGAAGAAATAGACAACCGTGACTACCTTGATCAGCTTATAGAAGTGTACCAAAATGCGGGTATCTTGCCGGCTGATGGAGTTGTTGATCCGGAGGACTATGATATCTTGCACGAATCAAGCTACCTACAGAAAGAGAAATTCTTATCGCTAGCGGAGGATGACGAGCAAAGGGAGTGGCTAAACAAAATATGGCCATACCAGGATCGCCCTGTTGATGCATAACTGATATCCTCACCGTATCAATATCGAGTCGAGAGCGTTGCATCTTTTATGTAACCTGAACCATATCTAACAATCAAACACACACACCTTACAAAAGCTTAGATTAAACTTCCCAGCCCGAGAGTTTAGTTAACTTGGCAGGTCTGGAAGTGACTACAGCTGATTCTGTTACTACTTTATTACTCCAACCTCCACCTACGCACTGGTAAGCCACTGCTTCTTCCGCTCCCTAAATCAGGATATGGGCGACTCTAAACTATCTCTCTCTTAAAATGTCGGGAAGTGTATTTTACAGCTAATGCCGCCGAAGAGGGATGAGTCGAAGTCGTCCACGTACGTCTTCATGGAAAGCACCAGGAAGACTGTCAACTATTTCAGTTTGGAATACAAGGTTTATTGACCACTAGAAGTATCTCAATGGCTTGGATTTTAGCTAGGACCAACCTAACAACCGAATGGCGCTTTTTCCAGAGGGATTTATCCTCGCCTCAGTAAACCCGCCTTACGTACTCCGCATGGCACATATATTGCTTGCTCCCAAGTCCATAACTCTTTTTGGCGCATCGATTCGCCTAACATAAAGATACCTACACAGAAATCTAAGGCAACCTTCTGCGGTTCCTCTGCCGTGTATCATGGCTATCCTTGATCAACAGCAAAATCACCCACAAGGTCCCTGCTCGTGTGACAAATGCCATTGCATCATCGACGCGATTCCATGCAGGCACAGACGCAGATAGGCCTCCAAGTACCCGGGGAGCTACAAGCTTGGGGTAGCAGCACGCAACGGACGAAGCAGCTGAGGACCTTGGGATGGGAGCCAGCTAGTTCACGATGATGGCGTCTATTAAAGAGGCCAATTCTCGACTGATTACCGAAAACCCAGCACCATCAGAGCCTGTTTACTAGGCACTTGTTATCAATATGGCTGTTGATCAAAACCCCTCCATGGCGCCGCCCGATGAAAATATAATCCTTGATGTGATCATTATTGGAGCTGGTCCGGCTGGGCTAGCAGTTGCTTCACGGCTCAATGAGGAAACACCGTCAGCTATGTTCACCGATGAAGAGCATGAACGATACCACTGGATCAAAAAGCATGCTGGACGAATGGCACTCGTGCAGGCACATAATCGTAAAATGAAGGGAGTCAAAGCCGCCAAATACACTGGAGTTCCACTTAGCCATAATGGTGCTACGTTTTCGCCAACAAAGGAGCCGCTGTACTCAACTCTTGTTTTGGATGCTTCGGGGGACCGGTGGTTGTCTAAGTGGAGAAGATATTTCAAGATGCTGGAGATACAGCAGTTGAGGAGCCCAATGTTTTTTCACGTCGACCCTGGAGATCGTGATGGGATGATTGCCTACGCAGGGGAAACTGGGAGGGAGAAAGAGCTTTGGGAGCTCCATAATTGTGTTGGGCAGGAATTGAGCAAACACAAGAAGAAGAAAAGATCCAATGCACGGTGAGTAAAAAGGCTACAATATAATTGATGGTCGACATGGCAAACTGACACGCATATGAAGCATCACAGGAGAGCCTGAGATTGACGAGCGAGACCGCAAAGACTATTATTCGCCGGGAACAGATTTCTTCCTTGATTATTGTGATTCTATCGCCTCTCGATACGGATTGGATAAGCCCGGGCACATCTTGCAACGAGAGGTCGACTGCATCAAGTTCGACTATATCACTGAATTTCCCGAAACTGATAAATTCTTTACCGTGACAACCAAGGAAGGAAACACCTTTCATTCCCGTGTCGTCGTCCTGGCCGTCGGTACAGGCGAGGAAAAGAATTACCCATGGAAGCTCTCGCCAGAAGAAAGGATGGGATCCACTCATATCTTTGATATCAAAACTCTTCCGAGTCCAAACGTCAAGGAAATGATAAATAACCGCAGAGAGACCAATGTCCTGGTTATCGGTGGTGGGCTGACGTCTGCCCAGATATCCGATGTTGTGATCAGGAAAGGCGTGACGAAAGTCTGGCTTCTCATGCGGAGTGACCTGAAGAGTATGTGATGCACCCTTTGCAATATGCTCAAGCAACTAAACTAATTGCTATTTAGTCAAGCATTTCGATGTTGGTCTGCATTGGGTGGGCAAATTCAGAAATTATGAGAAGGCTGTTTTCTGGACAGCTGATGACGACGGAGGTAAGTTTTGTGGTAAGCCCCAAAAGTATCAAAATAATACAATATGCTAAGACATCCTACAGAACGGCTTGAGATGATCAACGAAGCTCGAAACGGCGGCAGTATCAACCCCCGATATCACAAGGTCGTTAAGAAGCACATAGCTAGCGGTCGACTGTCGCTTCACACTCGCACGGTGGTCAGCACCAAAAAATATGATCCGGTGTCTAAAACGTGGCGCATTACCACAGACCCTCCAATATCGAATCTTCCCGCTATTGACTATATCTACTTCGCAACAGGAGTCAGATCAAATGTGAAAGAGATCCCTATGTTGAAGCACATCAATGAGGACTATCCAATTGAAGACAAGGGAGGACTGCCTTGCATCACCAATGACCTGATGTGGAAGGATGACATTCCCCTCTTCTGTACGGGTCGATTGGCCGCGCTACGGCTGGGGCCAGCTGGCCAAAACCTTGAAGGCGCCAGGAGCGGAGCAGAACGTATAGCATGGGGGATAGACGAGGTTCTGGGGAAGCGGAGTGATGATAGCGGTGAGCCTTCCCGGTTTTCCTTTGCTGGGTTGGGCAATCGATATACCTGTCTCGCGAATTCGGAATGACCGTATACACTCTCATCCTGTGAATAATCGATCATGCAATGCCATGTAATCCTCCTGGTACTCTTGATGCGGATATCGTCCTTGCAACTGACCTACAAAAGTACAGAGTACCCAATTTCAGAATTTTAGGCGATGCCCTTGTTCACTTCGTATACATAGTACACTGCTGGCTGAAGGATCTACAAAAGTCCAGCTTATGGGACCCAGCTCGAAGCGATAGTTATCAATCTCCCAGACAGCTTGTCAGTATTATCCTAGCGCACTCCAGCAGGCTAACATTAAAGTTATCCCAATTATCAGTCAAATTAACACCAGAGCTTTACCTCTTAAAAACAACTCTGTTGTCCATCTAGCTTACATTGGCCAATAACTATGCGCGATCTCAGCCAAATAGAGAGATCTGGCTCTACTATTAAATGTAGCTGATGGCCGTTGGTGATCACCAAATCAATATATATACTCCGTATACCCTCAAGAATGCCACTTCAACAGCAACCAACATTCGATACAAAAACTGCTCAAACTTTCAACATTTGCACTTCTCCCTCTTCAACCTTGTTCCCTTTATTACTTGTTGACTACGACCGGGAAAATGCTCTCTCTCTCCAAAATACTCCTGGGCCTTACCCTCCTCGCGGCGGTCCCAGTGTCCCTCGCAGCCCCATCAGCCCCAGGGATCGCTGTGGCCCGTCATGAGCAGCGCGACGTCCTGAACACACTCTCTAAGCGTGCTGATTGCTATGTGACGAGCAAGAAGGGAAAAGACTGCCACGAAAACAAGTGCGCGCCTGCAGAACAGTGCGAACTAAACGATAAGGGCAACTGCGTCTGGAAGAATAAAAAGAAGAACAGACCTTTTGGGTGTGAGCAGTGTTCATGCAAGAAGTGAGTTATTAGCCACTCTACCTTTTGATCTAGATATACTAACGAGTATTGAAAATGAACTAGAACATCCATCTAGGGAGGATGTTGGGAAAGGGCTAGGAAGCCTGAGCTTTTTGCTTCGACCAACGCAATTTATACCAATGATTAAATGTTACGGGTTCGGGATATGGATGGATAAGGGATGGGGGAGTAAGTACATTCCGGTGGATGAGGCTTGAGTGTTGGTCGCTCGCTCCTCCACCACGTTGAGGGGGTCACTTGACAAGGAACATGTAGGGGGAGTTAACCTGTGCCTGAGATCACGTACAATGCCGATCTATATTTACCAAAATGAATATGTGATGGCTATCTTCAAATCATTACTTTTTGCCTTGCTTGTGTAAAGATGACTGCTATATACATAACTTCATATTGAGCAGATAGAACCAAAGCCGTGCACACCCTATCCATACCCCTATCCCTATCCCACCCCAATCTTCCATTTCCCTTTCCCGCCCCTTAAGAAAGCCAGCAAGCATAAAATACATAAGTAGTGGTGTGACTAGAATGAGAATGGGGAAATGTTGAGAAGTGAATAGCAGAGATCAGACCAGACCAACCAGTCAGAGGAGAAAGCAGATGAAACGCAAGGTATAGAAGATAAGAAACAAGGGCAGAAAATCGAACCCATATGCACGCTAGTATTTGAAAGAATTAAGTCGTAAGTTTTTTTGGTAGTTAGTAAGTGGGTAAATCCATTCCGCCTCCAATTTTGTATGTACCTGTCCGTCATGGCATAACATAGCATAGCGAAGCATGGAAAAGAAAGCGGGTAGAGAAAACAGAGGAAAATGGTGTAGTGGGATAGTGGATGGAAGGGGTGAAGAACGAATCTAGGCCCGCAATGCAATGAATGAACCAAGCGTAAACAGAGAGTAGTGAAAAGAAGATGGGATATTGAGAGCTGTGGTGACAGCATTATGCAGTAGCAGGGGCTTAAGCCTGAGCTTACGCATCACCGGCCGCGGCAGGGGCAGCTGTAGCCTGGGCTGGTCGTCCACGATGTCCGTTGCCGTTTCCGTTTCCTCGATATTCACCACCACGACCGCGTCCACGGCCACGGAACTCTCCTCCGCCACGGTTAAAGCCGCCACGACCACGGTGCTCGCCGCCACCACGCTGGCCCTGGCCACGACCGCGGTATCCCCTTCCGCGTCCGCGAGTGTGGTGGACACGCTCGAAGCCGTCAACTGGCTGCTTGGTGGGGTCAGTAGATGCAGCTGCAGCTGGAACATCCTCTGCCCAACTATCGGTGGTTTGGAGTGGTGGCCGGGAAGCGGTCTCAGGAGCGGCAGAGGCCGGAGGAGCGGTTTCAGCCGCCGGGATTTGGACGTTGACCCATTCCTCTGTCACGGCGGAGGCGGTCATGGAGTTTGAGTCCCAGCCAGGTGCTCCTGACCTAGCCTGTGCGAGTTCGTTAGCTGCGACATTCTGGGTGGTTGCTTGTGCGGGAACTGGCTCTTCAGCGTGTGGTGGAGCGGCGGATTGGAAACCGTTTGTGGCTGCGGCCTGCGAGACAGAAGGGTCTTGGGCTTCGGTCAGACCGGCATTGGCGACTGTTGGGTCAGTTTGGAGAGCGCTAGCGGTAGTGGTAGCAGCCGTAGTTTGCTCCTCCGTCCAGGCGGCCTCGGGTGTGGGTTGGATGTACTCGAGAGAAGTTCGTTTGATTTGTGCGTCTATAAAAATCCGTTAGTTGGTAAATACGATGGCATGCCAGCAAGGAAAACGTACATGTGATGTCGAGGAGCTCAGACTCAACGCTTGGAACCTTCTCTTCCGCGCCATCAATCAATTTGATCATGGCTTCGACCGCCTGCTCTGTTCCGCCGTAGACCTGATACAGGGAGCCCTCGAATCCACGGCCCTCGACAGAATGCTCATCAGCAACACCCCTCATAGCTGCAGCCGCGCGTAAGAAACGGCTAAGCACCAGCAACCGTTCCTTGAACCGTTTCTCGCCATTCTGCTCTGTCTCGACCACGAGGGACTTCTTCAGAGATTCAAGCTCCTCTTTATGCTGCGTTTCGAGCTTTGTCTTTTCCTTGGCTTGTTGCTCTTCGTAGTACGCTTCGAGCTGTTTGTATTGAGCGATTTGCTCTTCGATATGGGCAACGGTTTCCTGGAGGGCAGGCTTCTTGAGGGCCTGGGCTTTCTGGTCTGCGTTGATTTTCTTGAGGGCCACGAGCTCTTCGAGGGTTTTGCCTGGGTTTTCGGCGATGATGGCGTCGACTCTGGCAGTTGCGTTCTAGGTACTGTTAATCTATCTCTCTTGTCTAGAGCAGTAGAGTAGACAAAAGCTTACCAGCTTCTTGTTGGTGTTTCGCAGATTCCTAGCCCAATACTGTTAGTATACAGTCCAATTTTCCATAGAGATATATTGAACACACTTGTGAAGTTCTTTGAGAAAGCTGGGTTCATGCTGTCCGTTAGTTGCAGCTCCTTCAGCAGAGACACTGGGTGCATCAGCATTAGAGGCAGCAACAGAAGCAGGGGCAGCAGTAGAAGCAGCCGCTACGGCAGAAACCTCTCCCTTGCCGCGTCTCTTCTTTGCATTCTGTGGTGGGATGCTGGGAGCTGTTCCGGCCGACATGGTTGGATTGATGGTTAAATCAGGTGTCGTGTGACTGTGTGTTCAAGCAGATAGGTTGTAAGAGGAGCAGTGACGGTAAAGGAGACTAGGTGCACAGTTAAGAGATGGGGAGGGGGATATCTAGCTACAGAGTGAGCGTAGAAGAGTGAAGATGGAGAGTGAAGTCGAGCAGGTGAAGTGTGTTGGTAGAAAGGTTTTTCCACTGGGAGATGCGCGCAGTCACACTACAAAGACACTCTCCACACAGCAGCAGGACGGCACAGCACAGCAGCGCAGGACTTGAGGATAGTCTATAGCAAGTGTTTATGGGTTTGTTTATATAATTACTGTTGCTACTATTCACTGTCCAGTCCTCGCGAGAAACGAGTGAGAGGGCTAGAAAGAGATGGAAGTGTGAAGAATGCACCTAGTCAATGCATGCAGTAAACCATGTAATATGCTATAACTACTCCAGACTCCAGGGTATCTCGTATATTCTCATCCCAGCAGGCATAACCATGACCGTCGTAACGCCGTCAAGTAAACGATTCCATCATTGAACTCCATGTAGATGGCCTATCCTATCCCTTGAACTTGCGCAATGTTCCCTAGAGCATAACTTGTATCAGAGAGACGCATAGACAGATGTATTCGACCAAGTGAGAGCAGGAATCCTCACCTCAGTAACGCGCCGTATAGCTCTGGCCGAGACGCCCTTGTCACCGCGCTTCCTTCCCTGGATCGAGGCCTCGCGCATCAACCTGCTGGAGTAAGTATGACAGTCGACAGAGACACGAGACGGCGAGACGAACTCTTGCATGAATAGCATGTAATCTAGGAATATCTGTATCATCGTTAGCTCGTCGTCACCATACCATCGTCGTCATATCAAAGGGTTAATCGTCTATTGTTGATGCGAATGTAATGCTCACCAAGATATCCGCATTCTTGCTCAAGGCTCTGCGCGTGTGTGACTTGATAATGCGTTTGACCGTCGCCCGCGGATACAGCTTCTGAACCGCCATCTCTCTTCTTCCTATTCTTCCTTTTATATCTATATCTTCTTTTCTTCTTCTCTATCTCTTCTCTACAGCTCGTGTTTATGTTTACTCATGTGACCTCACGTGCTAGTCATGTGTCGTCATAGCACGTGGGCGCTAGTCCCTATCGGGGCATGTCCGAAAGCAGGAAGAAAGACGAAGGCGAAACTTGAAGCGAAACTTGAACCTTTGCAAGATCCGATTCTTCGCCTATACAAGAGACAATTGGACCTCGTTGGACCTTCAGAGAGCTCGTTGGGAGTTTGCTGCTGGTAAGATGCGTTTCGGGAAGACCCTACAGACGTCCGTCTACCCGCCATGGAAGGACCACTACATCGAATACCGGGCGCTTAAGAAGCTGCTGCGCGAGCATGAGAGGTCGGAGGATGGCGAGGACGGCGAAGGCAGGCCCTGGACGGACGAGGACGAGGAGAACTTTGTCCAGGAGCTCATCAACGTTCAGCTCGACAAGGTCAATTCTTTCCAGGTCGAGACTTACAAGAAGCTGCGGGAGCGTACTAGCGAGTGTGAGGCCGCGCTGGAGCCATTGGCCGCCCACAAGGGAGAAACGAAGCTGGAGGATCTGAAGAAACACGAGGCAGTTGCACAGGAGACTCTCACCAAGCTCGATCGCATCACGGAGGAGCTGGGCGAGCTCGAGAAGTTCAGCCGAATCAACTTCACCGGCTTCCTCAAGGCGGCGAAGAAGCATGACCGCAAGCGTGGAGCCAAGTACAAAGTCCGGCCGCTGTTGCAGGTCCGCATGTCACAGCTGCCGTTCAACTCGGAGGACTACTCGCCCCTGTTGTACCGGCTGTCGGCCATGTTCTCGTTCGTGAGGTCGATTCTCGGCAATGGGGGGGAGTCCGTACCCAAGGATGGACCGGCGGTTGACACCCAGCTCGGCCGTGACGCATATACCTCCCACAAGTTCTGGGTCCACTCCGACAACCTGCTCGAGGTCAAGACGTATATCCTGCGTCGTCTGCCGGTGCTCGTATATAATCCGAATACTTCAAAGGAGCTCGATATCGCCCAGCGTGACCCCGCGCTCACATCGCTCTACTTTGACAGCCGTTCGTTCGACCTGTACAATCAAAAGGTCGCCAATAAGCCTGCTGCAGGATCCATTCGTTTACGCTGGACAGGCCAGCTCAATAACCAGGTCGAGGTCTTCCTTGAGAAGAAAACCATGAACGACGGAGATAGCAGCCGTGAGGTCCGCATTCGCATCAAGAAGAAGCACATCAACGCTTTCCTCGATGGATCTTACAAAATGGAGAAAATTATCCACAAGATCGAGGTCCAGGGCAACGGCGATCCTCAGCGTGCCGACAACCTCAGGCGAGACGTCGAGGAAATTCAGGAGTTCATCAAAAGTTACGGCCTCGAACCCATGGTTCGTGCAAACTATACCCGCACTGCGTTCCAGATTCCTGGTGATGACCGTCTTCGCATCTCGCTCGATACCGATCTAGCGCTTATCCGCGAAGATACGCTCGACCTCGAACGCCCTTGCCGTGACCCCGAGGACTGGCATCGCGCGGACATTGATAACAAAGAAATGGAGTTCCCTTTCTCTGACATCCCGCGCGGTGAGATCTCGCGCTTCCCGCACGCACTCCTGGAGATCAAAATCCGCAATACCAACGGCAAGCGTCGCGGAAGCAATGTCGAAGCCTGGCTCTCTGATCTCATGTCCTCTCATCTTGTTAAAGAGGCGCCGCGTTTCTCTAAGTTTGTGCACGGTGTCGCTCAGCTGTTTGAGGATAACATCAACAGCTTCCCCTTCTGGCTCAGCGACCTTGACACGGACATTAGACAAGACCCGGAGACCGCCTTCCAGAAAGAACAAGAACGAGTTGCGAAGCAGGCAGAAGATGAACTTGCTGTTGGCAGCTTCATAGGAGGCAGCCGTCAAACGATACCCAGCATCCAGCACCTTGTTGGCTCCCCCATCAGCCGCATGATGACGGAAGAGTCGACTCCCAAGACCCAAATTCGCATTCAAGGAGTCGACCAACCTCTCTCCCCCCGCACCGAGTCCCAGCCCCAACTGACCCCTCGTCCTCCCATCCCCGAACTCAGTCTTGCACCTCCTCCCGAGCAAGCCAACGGGGCGCAACCTGCACCCTCTTCCCGCCCAACGTCGTCGCTACTTCGCCTCCCCTTCTCCATGTCCCGCTATGCCCTTGCCCATCGCACCTCTCAGACTCAACTACCACCCGGCGTCTCTACCCCAAGCTACTGGCTCAAGGACACCGGCCCTGTCCGCGTTGAAGCAAAAGTGTGGCTCGCCAACCAACGTACCTTTGTTAAATGGCAGCACATCTGCATTCTCCTCGCGGGTATCTCGCTAGCCATGTACAATGCTGCAGGGCCTGACAAGACCGTCACTCGCTACCTAGCCCTTGTGTATACCGGCTTCTCCATCTTTGCGGGAGCCTGGGGCTGGTGGATGTATGAGACTCGCTCGCGACTGATTCGAGAACGTAGCGGGAAAGATTTCGATAATGTAGTCGGCCCTCTCGTCGTCTGCCTGGGTATTGCAGTCGCTTTGGTGTTGAATTTTTGGTTCAAGGTAGGCTTCCCTCGTCCCTTACTTAAGGTCTCGCTCCGTTGAACATGAACCTGCGTTCGAACGGCCATCGTGTAACACATCACATTACACGTCAATCTCAACCACCTATATCATGACACGTCTACGTCTACCCCCTGTGTAACAATTTGCTAACCCTCGCTCATACAGTACGCCTCCATAGTCTGGACGGTCGATCCTGTCCCCAACGTCCCGTCGCCAACAGGGATTATCACCGAGTCCGCGTCGATCTCACTGCCATTTATGACGGCCCGTCCCGAGTTCCAGGCTCAACTTAACATCTAACTGCCATTTAACTTGAAGAATCTACGTTTTTCTTTAGTGAATTTTCCAAGGTTTGCTTTCAATGATTGTTTGTGTGCGGACAAGCTGCTGAGCAGAACAAAAAAAAGAAATATACCAAATATCTATTTATATCTATATGAATTATCTATGCGATTGTTTGTTTTTATTGGACTAATTTGTTTTCCTGCTTCTCATCATGGTTATCAGTATTCTTACATATTGTTTGAGTATATTGTGTGTGCGTGTACATATGAATGTTTATATTTGAATTTATATACAATGCGACACTAATAAATTATCTTAAGCTCATCTCATTACTTCATTATAGAATAACAGCTAAATTTTAGGGCCATTGGCCATAATCACACACACTAGCTAATGACGGAGTTATGATCAAGATGATCAATTGATAGATAACTAGCTATGACAGAGAGGGGATGATTTAACTGATCATTAGACATCACACAACCAACAGACATGCACACGTAGAAAGGAAAGAGACCATAATACAACAAACAAAATATGGACAAAGAAGTATAACACAAAGCTGGCAACAATATAGCATAGCTTGAAACGGGAAGATTAAAAAAGAGAAAAACAGATAGTACCACACCGCCATGATTAATTTGGGACCGAAAGGTTTATGCGCCGTGTTCCATCTGTAGAAAAATGAGAAAGAGAAAAGAAAAGAAAACCCTGTACACCACATTAATGACCGAATCTGCGTTCGGATCCGAGAAGAGAAAAGTGCAAGGCGCCGATGAGAAAGAAAATGAACATGCAGTCAAACTTAGAATGGAAGAAAAGAGGCATAGAGAAGAAGAGAAAGGGGAGGGGATTGCAATCGCCTAAAAATTAAAGGGTGCAAATTCAGCATGTTAGTCGGTTTATCCAAGTATGCACGCCGGCTTGGGAGATAGTTAGGGGGTAAGGGTGAATTAGTAGTATGACTTCTGCCCAACTTTGTAGTTAGGAAGTTCTTCAAACCAGCAGGCTTGCGGGTCATATTGGTAGACTTTGTATTCGACGCCGTAGGGTTTCTATAGAAGTAATGAGCACGAAGGTTTATCATAGGGTAAGTGTATATAATGACGAGGGTAGCTTACCGGTTCCAGAGAGTAAATTATTCCCAGCGGCACTGCAAGGTCGGTAAGATCCTCCCTCTTCAGGCCTAGGAAATATGCCAGTAACGTTCTGGCAACCGACCTGGGTCCAACGAGCAGGACATGGTCCGTCATTCGCTCGACTTCGACGATAACGGCGCGCAGTCGATTGACAACGTCCAAATAGCCTTCTCCTCCAGGACCAGGGAATCGATAATGCAGTTTCTCTTTCCTTCTTGTCTCGAAATCAGAAGGGAATCGTTCGCGAATCTCATCATATGTCAGGCCTTCCATTAATCCCGCATTCAACTCGTTAAGCATTCTCATCTCCTTGATATCATATTCCTCTTCGTCGAAGAATTGTGCCGTCTGGATTGAGCGGGTAAGCATCGAAGTCCAGACGCAGAAATTTCGCCCTCCCTCCATTATCTGAGCTGCATATTGTGGGTTTGGAGGCGTGCTGTCACCGGGCCGTGGCGGGAAGTGGGTTGATAGGGCTTTTATCTTTTGGTATTCTTCCCAGCGGGCGCGTTGGTGATCGATAAATTTGGCAAGGGCTTTGGCATAGCGAGTCCCGTTTTCGCTGAGGGGTGCATTGCCGCCTATTCTCCCGCTGATGTCGTCCAGGCTTTCACCATGGCGAGATATCCAGATTTGACGCGGGGAGAGGTTGAAGTTTAGTAGGTAGGAGACAACTTGGGAAGCCATGAAACCGGTAGCTTGGTGAGCGACGATTTTGCGACAGACATCGATGGTCTGGACGTATGGCATGTTATGATGTTCCTCGTACTCTCCTAGAGGCACATAGCTGCGTTCGTAGAGCTTGATACGCTTCTTGAAATCTTCCAGCGCAACGATTGGTTCCATATCCTTGTAGTCAGGCCCTGAAAGTTTGAGACGCATGTTTGATTCCAGTAGCATTGCGTCGTAGCAGCAACTCTCCAAGAAGAGGACGTTGAGCTCCGGTCCGGCCCGTTCACGAATACGTGCCATCACCGCTTTACGGCGTTCCAGGGTGCTGTTGGTTGCATCGAGGATGCCGGCGCTTCCACCTTGTTCAAGGATGTAGTCCAGTAGTTCGTCGAGGGTACCAAGGGCGACCTGGTCCCTCAGCTGGACCGCACGTCTGTTGTCTGGGTCGAAGAATTTGGCGGACTGGTCCATTCCATCCTCAGATTTAGATTGCTCCTCGTCCAACGCAGCGTCAGTCAGGGGACTTGGCTCGCGCTGTTCTGCTGGTTCTTCGGGGGCCTTGTCGTTCACAAGAATGGTGGCTGGCGGGACAGAGCTCGGTGGCATATCAAGTGGTGGTATTTCGCCTGATGGCACATCCTTTGGTGGTGTAGTAGCGTTTTTCTCTGCCGCGTCGGCCTTCGCCTGCTCCTCTGGAGGGAGATCGCCTATGCTGAGCTCTCGTACGCTTTTCCGCAGCTTTTCATCAACTGCCGGGTCAACCACCTTTGGTTCAACTTGCGGAGTAGAGCTGGCCACTACTCGACGGCGTTCTCCAACATTGAATATCCTTGTATCGTGCTGTAGCCAGTTCAAGTAGCGGCACAACTTCTTCGTGATATAGCTTTTCCCTCTGGCTGGGAGTCCAACCATGACAATGACTAGCTTTGATCCAATATCACGCTGTGCAATACGGCCGTCCGGAGAGACCTTGGACTTTGTAAGACCGGGTATGTCGAGAGTAGTGGCTCGGTGTTTTCCTGGAGTCGAAGCTCCGGAGCCCAGGGATCGCGGTGTGCTACTTCCATCGAGCGTTAGAACATGTAGTAGAATGATCTCCCCACGGATTGTATAGAAGGAACGAGTTAGTAAAAAGGAAAAAAAAAAAAAAAGAAAAAACTCACATCTGGGGCGACGCTGGTGCACTGGGAAGGGGAGTATCTGCCATGGAGATGCCAAAGCCTGGAGCAGCTAAACCGCCAGATGATTGAGCAGCAGCAGTCTCACCGCCGCTGGTTCGACGCTGCTGGGGCTCAGAGAAGCGATCTATCCCCAGAGCTCTCCCCACGACGGTTTTTGCAGGCGGTGCCAGAGTCTGGCCATAATGATGTCCCGAAGCAGCCGGAGAAGTAGCAGGACTATGGGTGCCGGACGAAGTGCCAGAGGGAGAGTGATCGAGGTCCGTCATGCTCGCGGATGAAGACGCACCATCACCTCCAGACGCGAGAGGCGACAGCGGAATCGACGAGGACGAAAAAGCGCGATTCTTGATGCCGGGAAAGTCGTTCCTGTGAGGCTTGGTCGTAGTGCTTGAAGCTGGCGATGCTATCGATGCCGGCGCTGAGCTGAAGCTAGAATTTCTCACGACCACGGCCCTGGCGAGATGCGAGTGTTGATGCTGCGAGTGCTGGTGGCATGGTGTCTGGTGTCCAGCGGCCATGAAGCTGAGCTGCAGCTGAAGCTGCCCGTCGCAAACCGCAGCCTTGCCCTGTACTTCTTTGACCTGTTCGATGTGTTTTCTGCGCTCTCGTTGGTGGTTTCTTTGACTAATCTATGATGGCGCAGATGGGATGTCACTGGCTGCAGCCCTAGCAAAGTTAGGCCCACCGATGACCTCACCGGTAGATGTAGATGTAGATGTAGATGAAGATGAAGAAGATGTAGAGTAGATGATGAGATGAGGTGAAGAGATGTAGAGAAGGTGAAGTGTGTGGAAGCGTAGGATGGAGGAGGAGGATATACTTTTTGCGAAACAGCGTTGCCTCTGCGTCTTGACTAGGCGATCGTCCCGGAGGCGATCATAAACAACAGGGAGGAAGCTGGAGATGAGCTGGAGGATGCCAGAGTGGCGTCTTTAGAGTACTGGGTGTGTACGGGATGCATTAGATTGATGTATATTATATAAAAAGAATACCTAGATCCTCCCTAGGCCAAAGTACGTCATAGACACGAACAGGAGCATCTCGCATCTCAGACCAGAGGTCGTAGAGAACAGCTGGATAGAGGCTTTATATGTTCCTCCGCCGCGTAGAAGCATAGCTGAAGCCAGGTCTCTCAGCTCGGTAGTTCACGAGGCTGGCGGCCATCACGCCGCAACTCAGGGCCCGATATGCGTCCTTCGCGCTGGATCAGGCCGTCCAACAGCCTCCGCTGGCTCGTCCACGTCGGAGTGCATCGATTGCCAAGGGATTCCGCCCTACTCTGCAGCTCGATGGTAGCACATCCGGTCCGCTGATTGACAAGTCGAGTCCTTGGCTCGGACAAGATATCGACTCGACTCGACGTCAACAATATGCCGATAAGAGCCCAGGAAATATACTCCATTCCTCCATGACCCGTGTATACTCCAGATCTGTCCAACGCCGCCCCGTCCGTCCAAACCGTGTATATATCAAAAGAAAAAGTCCCTTCCATGCCGCTGCAAAGGTGGATAGAAATAAAGCCCGAAAAAGTCGAAGTCGTAAAGATGGAAACAGCTCATACCTCCAGCGTCAAGGTCAAGGCCAGCAAACACCCGTACGCCGCAATACTCAACGCCGTAAGCACAACCACCACGTTCCCACTCGTCCTGAACTTCCGCCTCTGGACGCCGTCCTCATCGACCTCGGCGAAAAACTGCTTGTTCCCCTGCTGTCTCCTGAACAGGCCGATGGTCATCACCCCCGCTCCGTAGACGGCGAACAGTGCACCGATACTGTAGAACTCCGCCGTGAAGATTTTCAGTATGATAAGTGCAAAGGAAAACTGCGAGATGGAGGTGCGGATGTATGCTCCTTCAAACGTCCGCTGGGCCGCGCGCACCTCGACCATCTCCTCCGACGTGAGGACGACGGACCGCGCCCGATGGCGGTGCAGATGGTAACGGTCTGCTGCACGGCGCTAGAAAGAAGTCAGAACAACATATTACATTAGGTGGAGATGACGGTGTATTCGACTTCTCGACCCTGGTTTGGCGGATACACCCCTGCTCTCGGAATACGGGACGTACCTCGAACATATTGCCTGTGGATAGCGGAAAACGGCCTCGGGAGACTGTGTGTCGAAAGTAGAAAGAGGGTATGGAGGATGAACCCGTTCACTCTGGGGCTTGCAGCAGGTGAATATGTGTTTCTTTTCCTTCTTCCGACCGATTTTTGGGCTTTTGGAAGATCAAAGGATCACCGGGTATGGTCACGTGTCTACCCCGGACTGACCTCGAGATACTAAGATGGTAATAGATAGAAGATGGTATTAAGATAGATATAGTTGAAGATGTCGATTCGAGAGAGGAATAACTGAAAGGATGGGGGAGTATTCTCACTCTGCTCTAGGTGATGAGTATTGCTGAAAACATGCAAGTACAGGCTATTAGATTTGAAAAGAAGAAAGCAGCCGCGAGACGACATTGATAATAAATACACCATTTCCATTTCATCCATACTCCCATATCCTAACGTCTCATAGTATCTGTAGACCCCTGTATTGAATCCTCCTGTGGTCATATCATGGCTAACCACGAGTCATGAGCATAGTTGTAGCATATCATATTGCCACAGATCATCCCGTATCGCTGCGCTGCCGTTGGTGTCCTTGGTCCCAGCCGGAAATGATATCCATCAGTATAGAGACCGCTCTCAAGCCCACAATCCACACAGTAACGCAATAAGCAGAGGAAATAACTCCCTTTCTTTCCCCCTTCTCCTTCTATCATTGTTGTTGCGAATTTATCGGATGGGCGGATTTTGAAGCAACAGCCACAAATAAAAAAATGGTCTCGTGGTGGTGACGCGGATGCATTTTCGGTATAACATGGCCATCTCTCAATTTCAACTAAGTCTTCAATCGTCGGCTCAGGGCACCTTGATAACGGGAGTTTCCGATCCTCTGGTGATTTCTTGCCTTTCATAGGGATGTAACACTGGTTGTATGTCTTTACATGAAGCTCCTGACAGGTTAAGGTCAGGGCAAGGCGAGACGAGTAAGGCAAGTAGCTGCTGATTTCGCCCAGCAGCTCGACGGGCAGACCCTGTAGGGTCGTCTCTTCGACAAGTTCAGCGGATTATGGGTGTGAATTTTGGCGGCTCATGTAGTGTAGATATGATGTTGAGCTTCGTAAAGCAGAGCAGAATATATGCTTCTCGCCTTGTACGCTCAGTGATGTGTTGCACATCGTGGCTAGAGACGCGTGCAGTAACACTCTACAACACAACACAATCACCATGGCGCCAGCATATACAGGTATCCCACCCATAGCACAGACAAGTCTCGATATCACGCAATGCGATGGTATCAAGGTGGTTCTCTCTTCTACTTCACGCTCATGGAAACGCGAGTCCTGGATATGCTCGGCCGAGTCGTATCGAGGAGAGGAGTTGAGGCCTTCATCTCGTCTTACCAGGACATTTATGCTTAGAGAGAGCTCTAAGGTGGTATAAGTTACCGGAGTGCGGTATATCCATATCTGAATCAACTGAATGCTGACTGACATTCAACGCAGAGACGAACAGGACGAACAGCTCGAGAAGTGTTTTCGGCCGTTTAATGGCTGCAGAGACGACGTTGGTCCCTTAACCGAGCTCCCGCCGTTTAACTCTGGCTAAGGAACCATGGCCGATAGACAAGCCCCCGGGTTATTGGCTTTGTGGAGAGAAGAGCGTAATGATCACTCTTTCATAGGCGGGAACAACCGGCGGTGGATACGTAGAGACGGTTGATTTGCGGGCTGCTGGAAGTACCCCAAAATTCACGACGGGATAAGAGGCCGACGGTTCTTTTCTTTCTCGACGAGACCATCTCGCTCCGTCCGTCCTTTGTTAGGGCTTTTTTGGTTGCCTTAATCCTCAGTCACTGCTCAATTCGATATATACACACATTCATCGAAGTGTTCTCCCACAGATAAAAAGAAAAGAAAGTCGAGAGAAGCAGGGGATATCTCCGACTAGCAGCCCTTGCAGACTGATATTCAACGTCGTCCCTCCTGCAAGGCCGATCCAAAATCCAGTGGAACCATGGCGTCCTCGAGGATGATAGATGCAGACGAAGGTAACGAGCTCTCCCGTCCACCCGGCCCCTGAAACATACATCTATCTACTGCCATTGGGCCCTCTAGACGCAGAGAGCCGCGGAAGAGAGCTCAAGCTGACCAGTTTTGCTTTTTTGCTTCTGTTCTACAGTCGCCAAGCACAACAAGACGGATAGCTGCTGGGTCGTTCTTTATGGAAAAGTGTACGATGTGAGTGCTTCTAGGCCGCTTATTTTCTTTTTTAATTTTTGGGTCCCTAGCCTTCCTGCGCGCTTCCGGAGCGATCAAAGCGCTGGGCTGGTTGAGAAGCAAACTTGCGAATGAGATGAGCTCAATGAGCAGAGGCGCTATGCCTGGTGGGGAGGGGGTCTGAGGGACCTCAGCGAGATTGAGATAGAGCCCGTTCTGACGTCGACTTATCTTTGTTCTCTACTTTCTCTAGGTTACAGGTTTCCTGCCCAGCCATCCAGGCGGTGCGAATATCATCCTCCAGCTGGCTGGTAAGGATGCCACTGAGGAATACGATCCGATCCATCCAACCGGTACTTTGGAGGGCAATCTTCCCCCAGAAGCCCTGATAGGCACTGTTGATGCGAAATCGCTTGCCAAACTTGCTCCCGAGGCAGTCAAACCAAACAAGACCAGCGAGGGGCTCCCTCAGCTGTCATCTTTGTTGAACATGGATGATTTCGAACAGGTTGCCTCCAAGCAGCTAACCCAGAAGGCGTGGGCGTATTACTTCTCCGGGGCTGACGACCTGATCTCCAAATCATTGAATCATAGCATCTATCAGTCCATATTGCTCCGCCCAAGGGTCTTCGTTGATTGCAAGGAATGCAGCCTGGCAACCACCATGTTGGGGCACAAACTTGATATCCCTATTTATGCTTCTCCCACTGCAATGGCACGGCTGGCTCACCCAACAGGTGAAGCTGGCATTGCTGCTGCGTGCGCCAAATTTGGTGCTATGCAGATGATCTCCAACAACGCCTCCATGACCCCGGAAGAAATTGTCAAGGATGCCCCCGCGGACCAGATGTTCGGATGGCAACTATACGTGCAGATCGACCGGAAGAAAAGCGAGGCTATGTTAGCACGCATTAAGAAGCTTAAAGCCATCAAGTTCATTTGCCTGACGCTCGACGCTCCCGTCCCTGGGAAGAGAGAGCTTGATGAACGTACTAAATCCATTGCAGCCACCCCTGCCATTGCGGATATAGTGAAGTCTTCGGGGGGACACGAACTTGCTGGCGGTAGTGGCCTGGGACAGCAGTTATTCGCGGGCACAGATCCATCGTTGACATGGAAGGACACCCTGCCATGGCTGCTCAAACATACGGATCTTCCCATCGTCCTCAAGGGCATTCAGACACATGAAGATGCTTATATCGCCTCACTACACTCCCCACAAATCAAGGCTATCATCCTCTCAAACCACGGCGGAAGAGCAATGGACACCGCCCCACCAGCCGTACATACGTTGATGGAAATCCGTAAATACTGCCCTGAGGTGTTTGACCGGATTGAGGTCTGGATCGATGGTGGAATCAAGAGGGGTACAGATGTTGTTAAAGCATTGTGCCTGGGTGCTAAGGGCGTAGGTGTTGGCAGAAATGCACTATTCAGCCTTGCAGCCGGCGGAATCCCAGGCGTTAAACGGATGCTTGAGAGTATGTCGACCTTTAAACTCCTTTATGTTGACGGGTTCTGTACTAACATATTCTATAGTCCTCTCAGCCGAGACGAGGACGGCAATGCGGCTATTGGGCGTCGAAAGGGTGGAGGATCTCGGTATGCAGCATGTAAGTGGACCGGTTATCAGTTCACACTTCACGTACACAACTAACAATCATTCAGATCAACGCCCGAGCTGTCGAACAGCAGCTTTATGATGGCGGTTCAGGGCTGGATGGCTTGAGACGTACTATGAAAGCCAAAATATAACGGGCAGAAGAGGATACACAGATTTTATGACTATTTTCCATTATATCTACACTCTTGGACAGACCTAAAATATTATATATTTCCTATTTACATTAGCATCAAGGGTGCCATTTCCGGGGTTCAAGGTCGCTAGATATTTGGATATTATTTCTATTCCCTTGGACATGCTATGAAACGATTCTGGGTCCTATGAATGAGAACGAGCTATCTTCTTGCATAACCCGCAACTTCAATGAGCAACTATTACTCCGTAGCCTTCTCCCCTTGTATTAGAGTCACTCTCTAAAGAGTTAAAAAAAAACACTTGATATCGACCCCTGTTAGGCTTCATGAGCTTGATTAATTAAGTCTCAGCTAGCCGGCTGGCTTTCCCGCTAAAACATTCCAGTTAAACCAACCACCAACCCCGGGCTCTTCCTACTCCAACTCCAACCTGTGCTTGACACGGCATCGAACAGGACTCCAAGCCGGGTCCTTGAGGTAGTATCCTCTCTATTTACACCGGATAGGGGTGTCTTCCTTGGAAATTTCCGCTGACACGGTACTTGAAACAGCTACGCGCTTCATTGCAGGGAGCGGGGTACTTTAAGAATCTCACATCGAGAACGAGATAGCAATAAAAAGGAGCATCCTTCAACTTGCCAGAGCCGGCGGAAGGACACACGAACAACCTCTCACGGATCGAACGCACTCCCATGACCTCAATCTGCCGCATCCCTATAACCCTCCTACTCCTATCCAGAGTGTCTCCGAGGACGACGGTTCAAACAGCGGCACCTTCAGAACTCACCAGAACATTCATATTACAGTCCATAGGTCAGACAGAGTCGACTATGTCGTCGGTTAATGATAACATAGCTGCTGGCACCAAGCGGAAACGCAATGGGGACCCAAAGTTCTATGCGGTGAAGATTGGGTTTCAGCCTGGAATATATCATCAGTGGAGCGAATGTTTGGCCCAAGTGACGGGATTTAAGGGAGCAGTCTGTACGTGATATGTGGCTATACCTTTTATCTTAGCTATCCTTAAGCTATAGAGTGCTAATGCTGTGCGTGATTGTAGTCCAATCCTTTCCTTCCCGAGCGGAGGCCGATGCGTTCCTTACTGGCAACAGAGCTCCATCTCCACAGGGCGGCTCGACTACGATATGTACGAAGTTCTACGGCATTCAGAGGGGCAGGGTACCAGGTGTATACACAGACTGGGCAAAGGCGCAAGATCAAGTGAAAGGATTCCGTGGACCTCGATATCGCAAGTTCTCTACCAGAGAGGAAGCCGAGGCATTCGTACGAGATGGCCAGGCGCCTTTAAATAAGGCTTCACTGCCAGGAGCGCCAGGGATGATGGAAAGCAATTCCAAGGACGAGACTGGCGAGGAATATCCGGCAGGAACTGGCCCACTGCCGCCTGGTGCGGACGACGGATTCGACCCTAACGTTCTACTTGATCCGACTACGGGGAAAATAGTGTATAAAACAACGACACAGAAGGAGGCGACTAAGCTACAACCGAAACCATCTGGTCCTCCGGGCATGCTTAAGATTTACACTGATGGGAGTGCTTTGAGGAACGGAACTGCACGAGCTAAAGCTGGCGTTGGCGTGTATTTTGGGCCAGACGATGAAAGGTACGTAATGGCACTCGGGTTCTAAACTCTTTCTTTCTATTTTGAGTTACATCATCCGCTGACCCATTGTCCTACCTTCTATCTCATCTAGCAGAAATGTCTCAGAACCCTTAGTAGGCAGCCGCCAAACCAATCAACGCGCCGAATTAACGGCCATATCTCGGGCACTTGACATCGCTCCTAAACACCGCGATGTCACAATATTTACCGACAGCAAATACTCGATCGACTGTGTGACAGTATGGTATATAAACTGGCAACGGAACAATTGGACAACAGCAGCCCAGAAACCGGTCGAGAACAAGGACCTCGTTCAATCCATTTTAGCTAAGATCGAAGAACGCAAGTCATTGAAAGTGAAGACGTTATTCGAGTGGGTAAAGGGACATAATAAACATGCAGGCAACGAGGCCGCAGATCGGCTAGCGGTGAATGGCGCAAATATGGAGGATGTGAAAGTTGAGGAATTGTCGGAGAGCGCTGAGGGTGCGAAGAGCAGAAGTAAGAGCAAGAGTCAGTCGCGGCATGATAGTGACTAGTCGTTATGAAGGGCCGATACCACCATCCTGAAGCATTTCCTACATTTTGTCATATTATTTCAGGCCGTGCTGATTCCGTGGCCTTGTTTGTCTCGTATGATATACCTTTTTGCATTCTGCACTTTATGGCGCTAGGATTCTTTTGAAGGGCTAGATAAATTGGAGAAATACATATATCACATCTATTCTTACAAGCATCTATCTCCTATGAAGATTTTACATTTCAATATAAGACTTCATCATTAATTACTGACTAAGAAGGTGTCAAGCCAGATATGGGTATCTCAGGGTATATCTAGAGTATATATATGTGTGTGTCAGTATGTTCTAGGATGGTATGGAATACCACACGCCGAGTACATACGGACATCCTATATCCAAGATGCTAAATAAAATACTAGCTCATTGACATAGTACTACACCTGCTGCCAATGCCGCAAGGAGCACTCCTCTCAAACTCAGTGCCTTGCCCGGTGCACCGTTCTTAGGAGAACGAATAGTAGTAGCGTATGTATAGTACAAGCTGGCGTCGGTCTGCGTACCCAGAACAGTCGACGCGGTTGTACTGGGGACATTCGCAGCAGGGTCTGTATTCGCCCATTGTGACATATACTTATAGAATTCAACAGTCGGGGGTTCTGGACCGCAGTATGCTTTCCATGCTGCGTCAACGTAGCTCTGTGGGAACCAGTGATAGCCTTTACATTGTCAGTTGAGGTCAAACCCAAAAAAAAAAAAAGATAATAGCGGATAGAAATGTAAGAAGGTGGATGTATATACCCTCAATTCCGCCATGTTTCTCAAAGCACTTCATACATCCAAGCACGGAGTCAAAGAAGGGATATTTCTCGCAATAGCATTGTTGCTGTACATCGAATTGGTCAGAATAGGGCAGGAGGCCTGAGATCGAGCCATTTGTGTTCTGAAAATGACAGTTTGTATTTATCGCAGCTTGCCGTTTGCATGGCGCCTCGTTGATCAAGTATGTCGGCCGCGGAGTGCTAGAGGAGCCGGTGGGAGAGGCCCGTCTCTTGTCAATGTCGAATGACTTTTCGACATCAAAGGGGTTGAAAGGCAGGTAGCACACGTTGTAGAGGTGGTGATCGAGATCATTGAGGCCGGAGTATTGGGATGAGACAAGGTAAAACTTGGACAAGAATACTCCATTGGGAAAAACGGGGTAATCGCTTGATCCGGGGAATACAGAGCTGGTGGTGCTAGACGCTGTGCGACTGCCGAAACGCGGGAGGGTAGTTGGCGTCGGCGTCAGCGTCAAAGTAGCAGATGGTGTTATAATATCCATGGCTGCGACGTGGTATATCCTGGAGTTCTGCAGATAGTCTCTCACTGATTTCAAGCTTGTCTTTTTAGCCTCCTCCTCCTTCGCCTCCTTTTTTTTCCTCTGTCTTTGCTCTTCCGCCGTCGTTATAACGTCGCCGAGCCTCAAAAGACGCGAAGGATCAAGATGAGTCAGCAATCAAGCCCTTATCTTCACGTGATATAAGCCCATGTGACACGACTCCACGTGATAAGCACGCGGAAACTCTTGGCGAAGGCTTGTCATGTCTTGGCAAAAGGAAACCTGGAAAAACGCATCTTTTTCGCCTTTACAGAGTTCATTTGAAGCGTTATAAAGTCGGTAGCGTGAAGTTCCCAGTAGTAGGAGGTTCAAAGCTTGATATCGCGAACTGCGGAGTAGATCGGCCTATGATTGCCGGTAGGGATCTCGTGGAATAGATAAGCACCAGTATAGCGCCCGTACGGACATTCCGCAGAGGCCTGAGCCGCATATAAACAGCCAACCACCCGATGCCTATATCCGTATCCGTTAATGATGCGGAAGCGGTGGGAAAATGTGTCATCCTGCATGCCGCCAATTGGCTATTGGGCGTTCATCTTTCCGTTCCCTGCGAGAACTCTAGATCCCGGCGATATCATCTAGAGATCGCAGATTGGTGGAGAATCTCGACACACAAAGTATCGTTATTTAACTGGGGCACCGGCGGCGTTCGTCGTAATTAGTAGTGATTCTCGCGGGAAGGAAGAAAGTATTTAATCTCTTGGAACTCCTCCCTGTTCGCGCTTCGTCTGCTCGTTCTAATAAGCAACGCACGCGATTCCATTGCATACCCTCATCGCTTCCTGTGGTCACCATTGCCGGTTATTCACTTCTCCCACCTCCAATGAGCATAGGACGACATCATAGTGTTGTTTGGAGCATAAGAATGAGCCTTGTTGAATAACATAACGCACTCGTCGTCGCCATTTTGCGGCCGCAACAAGATCTTGTTCGTTTAAACGGCCGGAGCCCGCATATCGGTTGTTCCTACTGTCTATTTTCCCTCTCTCAACTAAGCCGGAAATACCTTCTATCATCTTCAACGGAACGTCAGTAGTATCTATACCTCCAGACTGTGAGCTGGAACTTTGCGGGGTGTTACATCAAACGTCATCCTGGTATGCCTACTCTTGCTGTGACCAACTTTAACGTTGTATGCGCTACCTTGGGTGGCTTCATTACTTTGTTTGGCTTGGTATCGTACCTGTTCAAGGAGAGATTCTACCTATCGGAAGCATGTAAGTGATTAACTCCTTGCACTACCTGAAGAAAAGGGACGCTCCTAACGTATCTTGTAGTAATCTCGCTCCTGGCAGGCGTCACCTTTTCTCCCCATGCTGCCAATCTTATAAGACCTATAGACTATGCTCTGGGCAATCGAGAGGCCTTGGATGATATCACTCTTTACTTCAGCCGTCTCGTCTTAGGCGTCCAGCTCGTCCTTGCTGGTGTTCAGCTCCCAAGTCGCTATCTCCTGAAAGAATGGAAAAGCCTCTCCCTTCTCCTTGGGCCGGGCATGCTGGGCATGTGGCTATGTAGCAGCCTCGTCATCTACGGCCTTGTGCCGAAGCTACCATTCCTCCATGCCCTCGCAATCGCTGCATGCATCACCCCAACTGACCCAGTCTTGTCCAACTCTATCGTCAAGGGTAAATTCGCTGATAAGAATATCCCACGTCCCCTACAGCGGATCATCATAGCCGAGTCCGGCGCCAATGATGGGCTGGGATACCCATTTTTGTTCTTTGCTCTGTACCTCATTCAGTATACTGGGCCAGGGGGTACACGTAAGGCTATGGGTTTGTGGTTTGGTGAGACTTGGGGGTATACAATCCTCCTGAGTGTAGTCTATGGGGTTGCTGTGGGATGGGTGGCTAAGGAGTTGTTGCATTGGGCAGAGGAAAATAAGTATATTGATCGAGAGAGTTTCCTTGTGTTTGCCGTTGCATTGGCCGTAAGTTTTACTCTTCTCCAGACTATACTCTTAATGGGATCTAATAAAGTGGCTAGCTATTCATCATCGGTACCTGCGGAATGATTGGAAGTGACGATGTTCTTGCCTGCTTTATCGCAGGAAACGTCTTCACCATCGAGTAAGCCCTGCACAACCATTCGAATATGTATTGTCGGTATCTAACTTCAATCGCAGTGATTGGTTCCGTCTCGAGACACTAGATGACTCTCTTCAACCAACCATAGACATGCTTCTAAACTTGTCAGTCTTTATGTGGTTCGGTGCTGTCTGCCCCTGGCCCATCTTTCTGAAGAACGACATCATCCCTATCTACCGGCTGATAGGTCTCGGGATTTTAATCCTCTTACTCCGCCGGCTACCTGTCGTCTTCGCTATGCATAAATATATCCATCAGATCGAGGAAGCCCGCCAAGCTGCTTTCGTTGGATTCTTCGGTCCAATTGGTGTCAGCGCCATATTCTATCTATATGTCACTCTGGAGTATATCAGGATTAATATCACGGTCGATGGAGAGGTGAGAGAGGATGCCAAACGGCTAGCTGATACGATGTATATCGTCGTTTGGTTCTTGACTATTTGTAGTATTGTATGTTCCATTTTTTCATTCGTTCTTTTCCCCCCATAACTCTAAACTGATGGCTTCATAGGTTGTTCACGGTCTATCTATTCCTGTCGGAAAGCTCGGTTTCAGTATCCCGCGAACTCTCTCAAGCGCTCTCAGCACAAGCATCGATATAGACTCAGAACGGGATCCGCGTTCTGGTGACAGTACTCCAGGGCTTCATCGGATATCAACTGTGGCCACTTCCACCCCTGCTTCACGCGCATCCCGCTTCATACCAGCTAGATTCCGCAAACAGCCCATAGCTAAAAGCGGTCGTCCGCGAGATATTCCACCAACGCCTGTGGCGTTCCGCATTGGTCGCACTGTTATTCCTGAACGTAGCGCGGATAACAGCGACGTTGGTATCAGTAACCCAATACCATCGTCTACTTCGACTATCGCGTCTCCGCCCATAGCTGGATCTCATGAGCAAGATGAGGAAGTTGGGTTGTATACTACTGGACAAGATACAACCCATTATCCTCCGGGACATAATGAGCGACGACGTGTCCCAGATGCTGAAATGGGAAATCGGTGGAATGAGAGTAGGCCACTTAGCGGAAAAGGATATCGAGCTAGTGAGATTGAATAAGGGAGTGAAATTACGCCGATGATACTTTGGGTATATATCTCGAAGGAAGCGACTGTAGTGTCGCAAGGCTGTAGAAGGGTGAGTTGGATATGGTAAATTGACAGTAAATTTTTAGCTAGGCAATCTGATGAGTAAATTTGAAAAACGATAACTTTTAGAATGATTCAAGAACCCAGTCAAGTCTTTTCGCTCCTCCCACTCGTCTCTGTTTGCTCCATTTTCTGGGCCATCCTAACCTTCTCGTCCTTCACAACCTCCATCGGGTCTCCCCTAATCGGCATTCCAGCCTTCTTATAAATCTCGTCAATGCATTCCATATGTATCACAGTATCCTCCGAGGGCACCCAGCAAATTGGCTCCTTGTCCCTGACTCTCTCCATAAATGCTTCGAGTTGCCATCGATATGTGCTCCAATAACTTTTTCCGCCTTTTCCACCCGTAGTCCACCTATCGCCCCATATAGGCCCGCCAGAGCTCTGTGTCTTGTACTCGGTGATACCGGTCCGCTTATCAGTGATTGATATGTAATGATAAATATGCGGCATCATAGCGTTGTAGAAGTAGATTATCGCCGCGTCCGTTTCAACTTCTATTGATGGCAACTCCCAAACTCGGGGCAGGACTCCTCCTAGTCTGCTGCGCGACAAGTCGGTATAGATCCTGCTAGTTATCGGGTTGCCGTTGTCATCTTCGAAGAGGAGTAGTGCATGCATTGCAGCATCAACACGGCCGTCGTCTTTTGACGGGCGAGCAGCTGCCGAGAGAATCTGTTTTGGACGTTCGTTATGAAGTGCATATCGAGTAAACGATAATGCATAGCATTCATCCATCAACGAGCCGCCTATAAACGCCTCTTAATAAAATTCAAGCAATTTTTTGGGGGTTGTGTAAGCTTACCCCCTAGATCATACTGCCATCGAATATCTCCCGAAGGTATAGCAGGGGTAGAAGTCATCCAGGCATCTGTTCGAATTATCCTATCGTATTTATTCGACTCGAGGATGTTTCTGAATAGATGTGCTGCAGGATGGAACTGCCAATGGAACTAGAAGCACCAGTCAATAAGTGAAAGTAGTAACCGGGTTGGGTATATAAGTAGCATACAGCCTCTTCGACAACCAGCCTTCTCTCTTCTGCCACCCTGAATAGCTCCCTTGCCTCCTCTGCATTAGAAGTAAATGGTTTTTCACAGAGGACGTGTTTCCCGGCAATTAATGCCTTCTTACTCCACTCGAAATGCAAGCTATTTGGCAACGAGATATAAACCATGCTGATAAGCGGATCGTCCAAAAGCTCCTGATAGGAACCGTATGACTTTGAGAAGCCATATTTCGTAGCTGCATTCTTTGCCGTCTGAGCATCTCGAGATGCAATCCCATAAAGCTCTACATCTGGATGTGTTTCCGCTGGATGGATAACTAGAGATCCTTAGCATTAGCTAGGTCGAAGCAATGGATTAAGCTGGAAATACCGGCCGCAGAATTTATCCTCGCAGTCGACAAGACGCCTAGCTTCAAGGCCCTTGTAGACGATTGAGATTTGCCATGAAGTAGTGAAGAGGCGTATTGCTGAGCAAACGTGCAGCCTTGAAGAAACAGTGCCATTTTTGAATACCTATGTCACCTCGACCATTGATCAAGTTTGCAACAAGCAGGGTGGACGTCTTCCTCCATCGCCTATACTTATACACCATCGCCTATTCCAGCTGATCTGACGTCATCTTTGGATGTCATACTTTCAAAGGTAAGAGGGAATAATAGTGCTAGAACAAGGTTGAGTTGATAATCAAACTGCATTCATTTCATGGTTAAGCGCCTGTTTACACTTCCGTCAAAAGTGTCCAGAGTCTCGTCCAACTGGTGCTGCCAAAGTCAGAAACCTGCCAGCAGCTCAAGGGTATTTGCGCATGGCGTAAGATCTCAAGTGAGCCGGTTACTACCAGTGTCCCATAAGAATAGGCCATCGTTGTTACATCCGACTTTCCTTAATTTATAGAAAGGGGAGGTATGAACACCATGCTTAGTTGGTTTGTTGGTGATAAGCACAACACTTGTGGAATCGACCTCAACATAGTGCGAGGAGAGCAGAGTATATATAACATTCCAATAGCCGTGTTGATGCCCGTCAGTGTCTCTTTTCTATTTTATATCAGTGATGTCAAGAGCGGGCCGTGAAAATCTGGGGTTTGACAGATAATCTAAATAACGGGCCCGACCAGGTAGACTTGGACAGGACCACAGAGGACGGAGTAAGATACCTGCGCTCTGACATCATGCGACTTGATAACGGATACGCCATGTAGGACAAGGCTCCGATGAAATTACAAAATAACAACTTCATTCATCTCGAAACGGTTATCGTTCCTTTGCCAACATTGGTAGCCGTCACTGCGTTTGCTTCTCACATCGCAAAGGGCACGGCCGTCCATTCAGCTTCCTCGAGCGACAGCGTCTGCAGTAGGGCCATTTTTCGCTCGTATCATAGCGCAAAGCCGTCCCGGTCTTTTGGTTCTTCGGATACATCATTTTAAACCTACCAGGTTGGCGGGTTTTATTGGTTCGCATAGGTTGATCCAGATAAAGGGGCTACGGGGATATCTGGCCCCTGTCGACCCCATGGAGTGCTTTTCGGGAATTTTTATTTTGTTTCAGCGGGAGGACAGATGGTCGGTGGAAAACAGAAGGTCTCAGGACGACCGTTCACTCTCTATGCTCCCATATAACACCGCGACTGTCGAGGCCAGAGTTAGGCAGCTCCAGAATAGCCGCAACGGACCAGCGTCAATACAACGCAAGCAGGACGGGCCTATTGGATTCGCCCGGACTGAACCCAAAAAGCAAATATAATCAAGGCTGTGTCGTTGGCAGCGACCAAAGAGGCCCTCGCCTACGTGCCTCTTGTCGTGCCCTGATTTTCACGGGCGAGCTTTGTTTTCCATGTTCCCTCGCTTTCTGGCACCTTTCGATTCGAGTTCCACCCTATTTTGCAAGCCATAGACCATCAACGCTGCTGAGCAGTTGAGAACCAAGCGATTATTTGACCCCTTTTGCGTTTGCTCGTATACCCGGTACCCGCCAAATATAAAAGTATCTTGCCCAAAGCGACATAATCTTAGGAGAGTTTGTTCTGATATATGCGATTCAGGAATAATACCATCGCGAATTTATGCCATAAACCCAGCGGCTTAGAGGTAGCAAATCCATACATCCCTATGAGGTTCAGAAGTATGGACGATATAATCGAGGTGGACAGTGTTAGTTATGCACCCATAGCCCGAATCTCCCTCGCGATGGTTAACTGACTCTGTCCGCTTAGGAAAATGATGACTTGAGTCCGGAATATGAATCTGATATCTGGGCATTATCTCACCCGTAAGAAAAACCAACGAAGATTATCCTACGGGTGGATAGAAATGAAAATGGTACCAGAAGAGACCACAGAGCGCTAACATCGCCATATTCATTGGCCGCAGTGGGACCACGTCCATTTCTTCGACAGTTTATAACTACAGGTAATTATGTCTCAGGCTGGTAACATTCTACGAATCAGGCTAATCTTAGTGTTCATTTGAATAGATACGAAGTAAGTATTGCTGAACCCCGGTATACTTTGTTCATGGATATGGGTTGAACACCTAAACTCAAGATCCCGTGAGAAAACAATGTATATTTAACAAGGAATGGCTGCTTATTCGTCTTTTGATTGGATAGAACAAACGCCGATACCATGGCTACAGAGATGGTGCATATCTTTTGGTTAGTTGCCGACATATACACATACTCGATACCCGAAAAGAGGCATGACAGCTTACTTATACCCTGTAAAAGCCAAATGATAAACAAGAACAGGACCGTATGGACCTAGTAGGCACCCTGAACTACCCCAGAAGAAGGATTCCTTGGTTCTTATTGACTTGAAATGAAGGAACATCGAATATATTGTCTTCTTCTCAACGGGAAACTACACCGGGCTCCGTTGATGGAAATCCCCGAGCGGGCACTCGATGTAGGGACCGGGACTGGTACCTGGGCCTTTGATTTTGCCGAGTGAGATATCCAGCCTCTATCGAACGAACAATTCGGAATCAGTAACTCTGCTAACATGTTATTGATAACAGACGTTATCCTTACTGCGAGGTGTTGGGTAAGTTTGCAACCTCCGTTGATATACATTAGCATAATTGCTAATATAAATATTTCCAGGAACCGATCTAAGTCCAATCCAGCGACAATGGTAAGAATATCTACCCTTGAAACGAAGAATGCAACTAAACATATCTGTCCCCGCCGTTCTACGTTTATTTAGGACTCCACGGAACTGTTCGTTTGAAATTGATGACTTTGAAGAGGAATGGCAATACCACGAATCGAACCTCTTCGGCTATATCCATACCCGTAACCTTGCAGGTTCGATATCCGACTATGACAAGTTCTTCGCTCAAGCATATAACAACTTACTTCCAGATGGATATCTTGAGATGCAGAGTACTGAGGCAAACTTCTTCTCAGACGATGGAACGCGAGAGAGGGCTGTGACGGCTAATCTGTGGCAGAAGCTACTTGTGAAGGGTAACAAGAAGTTTGGCAAACCATTGAATGTTGAGCATACATGGGCAGAGAAGATGAGGGCTGCAGGGTTTGTAGATGTTGTTGATGAGGTTGTTAAGGTATAGTGCCGTCTTCTTAACCATGATATAAAATCGATCTCAGGCATGGCTAACATATAGTCTCTGTTCAGGTCCCAATCGGTCGATGGTCTCCAGACCCCAAGATGAAAGAAATAGGCCGTTACCAAGCGATGAATTTCCGCGAGTGGCTGGAATCGGGCTCGCTGGCTGTGTTTACTCGTGTCTTGGGCTGGACTATGGAGGAACTGGATGTGCTCTTCACTGCCGTGCAGAACGATTTTGCTGACCCCCAATCGCACCTGTACGCACAGGTGAGATTTATATATGGTCGGAAACCGAGATGAATACCCTAGACGAAGGACTGGTGCGTTGGCAGGTATATAAATCATCTACTTTTATAAATCGTACTTAATTTATCTCTTTTCATCTATATAATTCGTATTCCTGGCCTTTCTTTACTTTGGTCTTACTTCCCTGACGTAATCAAGAAGGCCGAATGGTGTAGTTGGTTATCACGTGTCGTTAACATTCATTTGTACCGACAAGGTCCTGAGATCGAGCCTCAGTTTGGTCACTCTTCTTTCTTTTTTTTCCCTCTTTTTTTTTTTCTCTTCCTTTTTACTTCTTTTTCACTATCAACACCGTGCCGCCTTGAGTAATAAAACCTGGTACAAAATTACAAAAATATAAGAAAACAACGCCAAGCGAAGACGAAGAGGCGGAAGATGAAGAAAGATATGGCTAAGAAGCAAGAATTTTGAAAGAGGTTAAGTTCAAACTAAACTGAGCTGCCCTAGATCACATACTAGATAGAAAGACATAGTATTAGCCTGGCGGTCCATCCATAAGAGACAAGGTAAAGATTCTGAACTTACGGGGATGAAAAGGTAAGGGACCTGTTTCTCGTACTCAGTCCATGCCTCTCCGTACTTGGCACGGCATCGTTGGATATCGCGAGTTGCACGGTGGGTGATCATGGCGGCGAAGAAGACTGGATAGAACCAGGGGAAGGGGCTGGCAAATCCAGTAATCAAGCCCCAGTTAATAGCAAAGTAGAGATCACAAGTGTAGTGGATTTTACGAGCGTATCCGTCTAATATTGAATGTCAGTGTATAATCTAAAAGTTGACCGAATATGAGAAGCACTTACACCAGCCGTCAGCAAGGATAGTATCTCCCTTCTTAGAAGTGATTGTCTTTGGGTTCTTGACAGTCTGCCATGGGAGCTGTGGAAATGTCTTTCTGATCACAGCGTCACCACGCGATTGCTGGCGGAATCTGTTCTTCTGGCTGTTGGTGGTATCCCAGATCCAGTAGACAAAGAGATAGGCAACGTAAAGGAAAGCAAGGGCGTATTTGTTCCAAGCATACGTCGAAGGGTGACGGTTGGCCAAGAAGACGGTGCAATGGCAGTAGCTGAGCGGGACACCAGCCAAGTTCCAGAAAATGAGCATGAAGCCCCATTTTTCATAATAGATATCCCTAAAAGTGGCTTGTTAGTTTATGATGTCGTTCATTCTATGGGTTACGTGTATTTCATACCAGGTTGGGATAATTAATTCCTCTCCCTTTGAACAAGCATTGGCATACAAAAAGTGTGCCATAAGAACAAATCCAACTTCTCCAGAAACATATCCATAAAGCTCGTACTGTCTGGCCGCGGCGCCCATGGAGACAAGGAGAAGGATGTACCATGGAAGTCGAACTTCGAAGAACATCTTGAAGTCGAGGATTCCAAACAATCTCGGGTTCAATTCCGCGCCCATGAAGAAATCGTATACTGGGTAGCCGGTCACACGATGCTGGGCACCACGCGCAATGGCAGAGAAGTATGCGATGAAAGAAATAACGAAGCCGGTGATGATGGCTACGCTCATGATGGGACCAAACTCATCCATGATAGTATACAGCTTGAACACTCCAGTAACGTGAAGGATGACCGCGAGGACGATGGTAGTGTAGAACGACGAGACGGCAGAGCAGTAGTAAGTCAATTGTTTCCCTCCAAGATGGTCCAACGGTCGACCCTTGACGGTGATTCCGGGCAGATACATATACGCGAGACCTTCGAAGATGAAGAATCCCCAGTAGATGGCCCACGCCTTGAGGGACGGGAATGCGCCGGTGTATACCAGGTTGACGAGGTGTAGGAGAAAGTCGCTGGTAGACTGTCCCTTCGATGCAGTCGGGAACGCTCCATCGTAGTAGGTCGCTCCAATCCACATGTAGTACATCAGGCAAGGGAATCCTATCATCATCGCAATCACGCCTGGAGTTCCGCCAAATTCGATGTGGTCGGTGACTTTGTGGTCCTCCTGGGCCTGCTTCTCTTCTCCCTCTTCCTTCGCGGCCTTCCTCCCATTGACGCCATTCAAAGCAGCAGGAACATTTATTTCAACCTCCACCGTAGGCTCAGAGGCAGCTCCGTTCGCCTTCTTCGCGGCAGTGCGTTTGCGAGTGCTCGACATATTCTCTTTCTCCAGCGGTTCAGCGAGGTCAGAATCTTCCGCGCTCAACTCCGGGGTCGCAGACGATCGGCTCCTGGTGATGCGTCGCGAGGGCGTCTCGAGGTATACGTCCTTTTGCGTCTTTCTATTTCAGAGAGAGTGTGTGTTTTCGTCAGTCGAGTTGGAGATGGACATGCAGTATTTATGCCGTGCGTGGGATAGCTTCCCGCCTCAGCAATCGGGCTGGTCCTTATCCCGCAGTAGAAGAAGCCACTTACTTAGGGGTCTTGCCCGTCTGCGATCGTGTAACGGTCATGGCTAGCTGAAGGAAAGACTACAACCACCGGCGCAGGGTCTATCTAGTAGGGAGTGTAAAAAGGAATGACAGCAAAAAAAAGGTGAAAAGGCGAAAAAACGGCCCAAAAAAAGGGGTTCAAATTTGGCGGGGAGAGAGTCGAGTCTCCCCCTGAAAGATGAAAAATGAACAAGGAGACGAAAAACGGATCTTCGTTGTTTTTTTACGTTATTTAGCTTCCTTGAGCAAACTGTCCTTTTTCTCATTTGTTTTGTTTCCTCTCCGCGTGTGCCAATTGAATTGACTTTCGCATCCCTGGATGTACATATCCTTGGCCTGCGATCTCCAGCAAGCGAGAAGTCAGCAAGTCCCGGCGCGCGCCGTGCAGAACCACTAGTTACAGTCGCTAGTCAAGGCTATTTACGAGCTGCAAGATGGGACGCTTAGTGTGCAGCTACTTCAGCCGCTGGCCAATGATATAGACGACGGGGATGGTGCCTGTTAACGGGTGGACTACGGGAACAACTCATGGATAATATATGATCAATATTAGGAATTCTTTACATCCTTTCTCTAGTCTCTGTGACCGAGATGATATATACGACTCTAGCCGCAGGGCTATATGTAGAATCTATCAGCCGCAAAAAGGCGATAACACAATTCTGCACCCCGGAAACGTGTAGAAACGGTATACCACCAAGCTTCTTCCTTGAGCAAACAATCTCAAAAAGACGTCGCGTTGCGTATTTGTCGGGAGTTTGTGTTATGCAAGCCGGCTCAGCCATGCGATCGACCGCAAACCGCAAAAACAGAGCGCAGACTATGCAGCTCGTCGTGCGTTGGTCGACATTAATGTAATCTTTTTATTTTTCTTCTTTTTGCCTGACGTGGCACCAGGCATGTTGCTGCTGCCGGTGTTGTTGTTGGTGCTACCCATGATAAGGTCCTGCTGTTCAGCCAAGAGCTCTGCTTCCCAGTTTTGAAGCCAGCCGTCGTCACGGTTGGCCGGGAAGGGGTCCTGGCTCGAGCCTGCAGCGGGGGGACTCGAATCAACGATCGTAGTACCCCACACTGTCCGGCGGGAGGGTGGACTGTTAGACGGCGTGGCTAGGGCCGCAAACGACTGGTGGCCTCGACTCTGGGAAGAGGACCATGGGGGCGATGCTGTGGAGAGGCTTGTGTCTATATGATCTTCGTTTGATAGACCGCTTGCGCCGGGACCAAGCGGCAGGAAGTCACTAGCGCTGAAGGGCTGTTCGCTGGGAGAAGATAAACTTGATCGCTTCCGTCGATTAGGCGCCAGTCGCTGCTCCTCTTCCTCTTTCTCAGCGCGAATACGCTCTTTTTCTTCACGCGCTGCCTTCTCACGATTTCGTTTCCTGCGTCTTTCGATATCCGTACGGAATTTTTCAAGGACACTAGGCCTGACAAGGTCAGTCCAGTCGCATTCTAGGAATGTTAGCTCACAGCCATAGGGTAAGTGGCTGAGATATTTGACACGTTTGCGTAGATCGTCGTCCATTATATGGCCTGTAGATATATGTTCAACACGGGGTAGGATGGCAGACGGGAAGAGCGAGAAGTCGCCAAATGCTGACTTTAAAATTCGTATGTCGAGTGATGAGAGGTAGAAATGGGGTAGTGCTTGGTAGAAGTAGTATGGTACATCAGGAGGGTGGCCCCTTTCAGATTCGTTTGCGATCGGGTGCAGTGGTTTTTCTCCCGTTGAAGCATGTGTAGTAGGTTGTTGGGGCTGTATCTCTAGTTTAGATAATGCTGAGGAGACGCCAGCATCTTCAGCCGGCAGGCTCGAAGTGGCACCGTCACCGGCGTCTTGTTCTGGATTCGATACTTGATCAATAGAAGAGCTCGCCGGAGCATGCTGCTGGTGGGAATGCATATCCGGGACTTCTTCTGCTGGCGGTTCAGCGTCTGTAGATGGATGCTGCTCAGGTTGCTTTCCATCTACAGCATGTCTATGGAAATGGGGAGGATTCCCAATCCCCCTTGTCTTTTCCCTGGCTTCCCTTATGGCTGCCATAGCCTTCTGGGTCCACGTCGGCTCCTGTCCAAAAAAGAGTTCATCCTCTTGTTCTTGCTTCTCGAGCGCCTCGAGCTCAGCATCGTACTGTGACATCATATAATCTTCACCACCTTTCATGAACCGCGCGTAGTCGGTGACTTCTGCGGCATTATACCACGGCAGGTCGTCCTCGGGTGCATGGCTATGCCTATCGGCCCCATCTCTGGGGAGAGCAAGGGTGCTACCAGGTCGACGCATGACGAGTCTGAGAAAGACATCACCACCTTCCATCAAGGTATCAATCTGCTGTCCAGAGTACCACCGTACACATCGTGTTTCCGACATGTATATTGGATCCCAGCAGATTGGGCATTTCTTCCACCTAGCCCGTTTTACGGGTGGTGGATCTTGATCGTCTATGGTCTGTAAAAAGCGGATGAGACAAGGTAGACAGAAAATATGTCCACACTTGGCCATCCGAGGAGCCACAGGAACGCATAGACAGATAGGACAGTTTGTCGGCTGCGAGGATGTCGACACCAACACCTGCAGGACGGTGTCCCAGTCTAAGTGAACGTCCGCATTTGTGGCCTGTGCATGATAATTCTTCTTTGGGTTCACAATAAACCGGTAGTTCGCATTAACATATCTGTACAATCGTCAGCCAACTGCCGTCTCTCCCACAGCACCCAATGGTACCGTACCTAGCCTTATCAACACGGTGAGATCCAGAGTGGTATGTCACATTGCGGTGTGGCCTAAACGGTGACGAATGGGGCCGTGGAGGTAGAGAGAAGTTCATAAGATGTGTGATTGACGTCTGGCCCTTTCTGCTAGAGGTAGACTTCATGGCTGCCTACATCTGAGTCAGTTTAATGCGCCCACTTTAGTAGAGAGAAAAAAAAAAAAGATTGGTCCCAGAAAACGTACGGCTTCAGCAATCGCATCCTCATCCACTAAGCGAGATTTACGCTGACGCTTGTGATTCGCCTTTCGAGACTGGTTGTTCCTGGCAGAAGCTAGGTGACTCGACGACTGGCCTCCAACAAGCGGTCCAGAGGCTCGACGCGATGCTGAGTCCGGTCCAAACGAGTAAGACTGCGACTGGGGGATTGACACGGGCTGGCTGGCGGTGCCTGTCACTTTGGATGGCGCGGAAGACTGTCCTGGGCCTGCCGACATTGTTCGCGCGTTTTTGGGAGGATTCGAAGCTCCGTCTGGACGATGACCGGATGGCTCGAACTGACGGCCTGCACTGAAGCTACCGGGGCGGAGCTCGTCATTCCAAGTGCTGCTTCACCACAGCACCGACGACGACGGGTTACGTGTGATAGAAGCTGGCGGAGCTGGAGCAGCCGGGAGCAGTTGGAAAGGCGAGGGTAGATATCTCAGGACGAAAGAGGAGGGGCGAACCTCCCAAGAGGCCAAACAGGGCAAACATGGAAGTACCACTACGCAGAATCTACTATGGCAAGGTACAAGCAGCGTTCCCAGAGCTCGCCCAGCAGGCCTGTCGGTGCCGGAAGAGCAGCCCGCAGCGCCCATTGACCTATCCTCGCATCGCCAGAGGAAAAAGAAACGAAACTGCCACAGCTGAAGGGGCCGCGGTGGAAGTTTCGCTGCCCAACCTGGACTTTTTTGCGATGCGCCAGGTCCCGTGACCTCATCCTTGTTCGGGGCGTAAAATTCCCTTTTCGGGAGCACGCAACGACTTCATAAAAAATATATACACACACCCCTTCTATACCAGCCTACATCTGCGAGTGCTGCTGTCTGCGCTGCCGTTGCTGCGTGCTGCGTCTCTGCGTCTCTGCGTCTGCGTCTGCCTCTGCGTCTGCGTCTGCCTCTGCGTCTGCCTCTGCGTCTGCCTCTGCCTCTGCGTCTGGCGTGTCCTTTGGTCTAGTGAGTGCTGCTCGGTGGAAAGTGGAGCGTGGGAAAGCAGCACTGGGGGAAATATTACCTGACTAACCTTCAGACCTTCTTCCAGTTTCTGACCACGACCACCACCGGCTGCTGGCTGTGATTTTAACACTGTCCATGGCCTGCTAGAGCTCCCCATCCCGCACGCAAAACAGGCTCTTCCTTTCCATTACTATGCATGGCGTCCACGCAGAGCGCATTTTGACAGCCAGTCAAGCCTCCCAGAACCGCTGAAGGAACGAGAGCGAGAGGTTGAGGCCGCGCCCGCGCCCGCGATGAACCACCACCCGCCGCCGCTGCCGCATGGGCAGCCTCCGATGCCTCCTCCGCGACGACAGCATGAGGTGCCGTACTCGTCGGCGCCCCCAAACGTCCGGTCGCCTGGTTATATGGCCTACCACCATCCGCACCCGCACCCGCATGCACACGCACACACTCACGGTCACGGTCACGGGCCAGTGCCTATGCCACCGCCATACGGGCCTCAGAATTTCCAGAGCTGGTATCCCTATCAGCAGATGCCTCCTCACCCTCCGCCGCTACAGCCCTACCCGCAATATAACACCCCATTGATCGTTTGCTCATACCCGCGGCCGCAGCCACCGAACCACCCACCACAACCACCACCACCACACATGTCTCCTGCGCCTCGAACACAGTCCAGTACGCCTATAACATCCTACCCGTCCCCATTTTCACCTACACCCCCCGTTTCCTTGTCTACACCGGCTATCACGGAACCACAGGAGGACCAATCGACACAGTACCCGTCGACAAGGTCTGGTAGTGATGTGGGGAGCAATGCTTCCCTCAACGCTTCTATCAACAGCAGTGCACCTACCCCTCCCCCAATCGCCGCCCGGAGATCTGATCCTCGGCCAGGCGTAAGACAGGTATTCCAACCACCAGTGAGTTCAGTGTTTTATTTGCGAGCCTAAACTAGCAAAATTGGCATGCCACCATGATACTAACTCGTCTCCTTCTACCATAGCTCCCATGGCTCTCCGTTCCAGAAGCACCTTTCCCTTCCAAGCCACCTCGAAGACGTCGTAAAAATCGCACTCCGCAACCTTCTTCTCTTGCTGTAGAATTGCCTTCGAAAGACGAAGCTCACGACACCGAACTACAAACAAACCATGTCGAAGAACAGGCTCTCGACACACAACCAAAATCTACCACTACTACTCAACCTATGCCAGATACCCCATCTGGTCCGTCTGCCGTTCAGCAGGCTCCTGCCCATACTCGACAAGCCAGCACTGCGAGGCCAGGAGCTCCAATCATCCCCGTGGTCCCATTGATGCCTCAGAGCCCACCAGCTCCCAGGCAGTCCAAAGCGATCGATCCCGTTCCCGAGACCCCCAAATCATCCGAACCAGCCGCAACCGCAGGCGTTGGTAATGTACAGGCCACAGGCGGGGAAGGGTCGCAACCAGCAGACTCCTCCGAGACAGCCAGCAACGCAGGGCAAGCCCCAGCACCTCGGGCTGCACCTAAATCGTGGGCTGACCTCGTACGCTCAAAGGCCGCTGCCAACAACGCCGCAGCTCCTTCCCCTCAATCTGGTGCCCCATCGCTCACCCGGGGTGAATCTTTGGCCGAAGCACTCAACAGCTTTGGCGCTAATGTCGAGCAATACAGCGAAAAAATCGCATTTGTAGAACCTCGTGGCCTTGTAAATACGGGAAATATGTGCTATATGAATTCTGTAAGTTCCTTAACATACACTGCATATATCAATGCCTCACTCTAACCATTTCTTAGATTCTACAAGTTTTAATCTTTTGCGTTCCATTTTACGAATTTCTTGATCAAATTGGCCGTCGTGCGGCCCATAGCTTCAAAAGTGACAGTCCATTAGTCGATGCTATGTAAGTCATGTTCAAGCTGGCTATACACGTTATAGCGATGCTAATCCATTCTTAGGATTATGTTTCTGCGAGAATTTAGGGTTATTGATGCGGCATCTTCGGTGGAAAAATTAAGGCTTCGGTTAAAACAAAACGAACTGGAGGAGTACGGTGAATCTTTTATTCCGGAATATGTTTATCAAGTTATTCGACATCTCCCACGTTTTAGGGACATGAGAGTAAGTTTTCTTGGTCTATCTCAATCATTCGTTTTTCAATTTGCTAACTTGTGTCTAGCGGGGCCACCAACAGGATGCCCAGGAATTCCTTGGGTTCCTTCTCGAGGAGCTTCACGAGGAGTGTCTAAATGCCACCAAGAACGCCGTGGCTGACAAGTCTGACGCCTCTACCTCTTCTGATATGGATGTCCACTCTATTGCAGACGAGTCTACCGGTGACGGATGGCTAGAGGTTGGCCATAAACAAAAACCAGCCGTGACCCGATCGTCCGGCGACGTTGCCGGTGAATCCCCAATTACACGAATCTTCGGCGGTAAGATCCGATCAGAGTTCAGAGTCCCTGGAAACAAAAATTCAGTGACCCTCGAACCCTACCAGTCTCTTCAGCTTGACATTGGCTCCCCGCAGGTGAATAACATTATCGACGCACTCAAGGGACTAACCAAGCCTGAAACTATGCACGGCGACTTCTACTCCTCCCGTGGACCGAAGGTCAATGCCACCAAACAGGTCTTCATTGAGAACCTGCCTCCCGTACTTGTTCTCCACCTCAAGCGCTTCCAGTACGATAACGTCACCAATGGTACCCAGAAAATCTGGAAAAAGGTTGGCTACCCACTCGAGCTTGAGATCCCCAAAGAAGTCTTCCCACCTCACCGCCGCAACGCCCTATCTGCCCAAAATGGCAGCCTCCCCAAATACCGCCTCATTGGAGTGATTTACCATCATGGTAAGAGCGCAAGTGGAGGCCATTACACAGTCGAGGTCCGCCGACAAGACGGACGAGAATGGGTCCGGTTCGACGACACCTATATCCGCCGCGTACGAAGCGAAGAAGTAGCTCATGGCGGTAGTGAGGAGGATCCAAGACTCCTCTCTGCCGCTCTCGAGCGCCATAACAACTCAACCGACCACACCACCAGCAACAACATTTACGACCAATTTGACCCTGATGAGCAAGACCATCCAGATAATGGTCGAGGATGGAGCCAGGTCAATGGCACTGGCTCAAACAGCCACTCTAGACAAAAATCCCTTGCTGTAGCTGCAAGCGGCAATGCCTCGCCAAAGGCTGATTCAGGCAAAGGCACACCGACAGCCACCAGCAGTAACCGTTTCGGTTCTTCTCGAGACAACAAGGTTGCGTATCTTCTGTTCTACCAACGCATTCACAACGCATAAGCATAGGCATCAACTACACTAAACCAAAATAATGCCATGTTTCCCTTCCTCCCCACCACGATATCTTACACTAGCATACTTCTTCGATATCTTAAAAATTCAACCATCAACATAACACCCGCTTCTTTGCATTTGCTACATATTCTGCACATAAACTTAATGTATAACCACCTGTGGCAGCATATATATGGTGCATAATGCACGGGATCCTGGTTTTATTTCTTACCTTCCTCCTTCGACCTCCTTTCCCCATCTACCTCTGGATTATTTCCGCGCCCTCCTGACCTCTACCTTCTAAACAGCCTGCTTCCTTTATATCGAATCATGTACTGAGAAACGTATCATCAAAAAGGGGTTCTTGTTCTATTTGTCTACTTCTTTCGTAGCTTCTCTAAGCCTATCAAGCTCATGGTAAGTAGTGAAATAAAAATTTGTTGGCCTACAGCCCAGAGTCTGCTCAATTAATAGCATGTCGCCCGTGGATAAACGCTCTCATATTGATGTATGTGTACGAGGGTTTTTTTCAGATAGCTTCTAGGTTACAAGGTCTAAAACCGGCCTTTCCCCATCAGCTGTAATCCAAGCCTGCACCAAAAATAACCATCTACCAAGTTAGCGCATTTCCCAACTGGATATACTTGATATTCAGCGCCGTTTATCGGACCCTATCGCTATTTACTGTGCCTACCTAGTACAGCTGTGAGGATGCTGGTTCAAGAATCTACGTACGATGTCAAAACGACCGCCGGTGGTGAGGGGCAGATGAGTGAGTACATAGATATAGTACCGAGCAGAAGGGATATTATTCCACTCTATCCACCGCACTATATTCTTTAAATAGGCTTCAGCATTGTCATATAAACTCTTAGCAAAGTCCTTACTATATAATAAGGCTTAGAACGCGTTTAGACACAAGTCACGGTAGAGCGAGCGGAATATATCCTTGGGTTGGAAGCCTGCCATGAATTAGGTTCTCTTCAAAATATAACACGACGCTGTAAGACGGGCAACAGGAGAGCAGTTCGACGTGGTAGACCAGGAGTCAGGGCGCGGCCGTCATCTCATCTCGTCCCTGATGCCTGTCTCTGTTGTCTCTGCTGTCTCTGTCTGCTGTCTCTGTCTGCTGTCTCTGTCTGCTGTCTCTCTATTTCTATCCGTCTGTCTGTCTGGTGTGGTGTGGTTGAGGATGTCGATGCATGCAGATGCGGGTGCAGGATGCAGGTCGACATGGTTGATTATCCGCAAGCAGCTCGCTGTAACTGGGCGCATCAGTCCGAAGTCGCACACTCGTTTTCTTCTCCTGTTTACTCACAGGAGGCGTTGTAGGCGTTCATCTCGGTCGTTATTCGTCTCTCCTCGTCGTGTCTTCGCTCGTCATCCTGTCCGGCCTGTATGTGTGAAGCCGAAAATTCAAGCGATCTAGCCTCGACGATCTCCAGTTTTACGGTTACGGCAGAACTTGCTTACTGTGGGGAGGAATCTTTTCTTTTCTTTTCTTCTTCCTCGTCTCTTAGTGCGAAGGTAGAGAATTCACGGTAGATGTTCCGGCCTTTAGTCATAGTGCGAAGTAGAGACGGTAGATACTCAGGCAGTTCCCTCACCACCATTTTCCTCCCGGTCCAACGAATGCTATAGTAATATATGCCATCGTCACGACTGGTATCTTCCTATTCCTTATCCCGATCATATACAACATGACGAAGACTGAGGTCTCGTCTCTCGGTGAACACGTCCAGCCAATCAACAGCTAGACTATGTTCCGCCCTATTGTTGGCAGCAGGTCTACGAAACAAGCCCTCTGATACATCCGTAATGCCTTAGAGCTTGTATCTCCTATTATATAAACAGTGCATCCCCTTCAGCAGCACTACCTCTGCGCTCATCCTCACCTCTTAGGAGCCTCCGCATCCTCTGAATCACGCACCTTGTCGACTGAACAGTTTGAGCCATGGGGCAATTCCTTTCCAACACAAGGAACGAGGAAGCCGATGCGGTTGAAGAGCCGCCTGTCCCGCGCAATATATTGTTAGGGGCTCGCAATATACCTGATGAAGTCAGCCGGAGGCCTGAGGACTGTGAGGAATGGTACACTGACTTCCTTGAAGAAGCATTTGTCGCCCTCCATCGAGATGGACAGTCTGTCGTTGTATTCTGGCCGTATCCCCACCACGAGGTAAGGGTCGACGAACCGGATCCGCAGGACATCATAGCGAAAGCTACTACGATATACGAGAGTTTATTCTTTGAACATGGCGGACATCCACGGATGGTGAAGTAATAGCTACTCGTGTTATTTATACCCTTACATGATATATCACTAACATATCTATAGGTATCTTCATCGACTAGACGACGGTATTGGGTTCTGCCTCGAACGTCTTACCCCCGGCCCCTTGGATAATATCAGATTTCCACCTCTTTCGCTCCCCATTTCAGCGCCATCAACGCAGAATAGGATGCTATTGGCCTTATATTATCGATGGGCCCTCCAGAGCCTCTCTGCTTTACATTTTATGCATACAAAGTCCGTATATCTTACTGCCGTTGGCAACACATTTACCTGGCTACGGTCCGACATGTCCATTGCCATCACCGGGCTTACATGCGCCGCAAGCCCTATGCTAGTACCAGAGTGGGATGATCATGGTGAAGCTGGTAAATTCATATACCAGATAGTAAGGTTATCACACCGTGCCTATGGAGAGGGTCCAGAATGTTTTCCCGCCGGTAATGGTGACCTCCAACATAACGCAGCTTATGACTTATTCGAATGGGCAAAATGGATATGGCGGCTCATGACAAACTATCATTCAACAAGCCCACCGCGAGAGCCATGCTATAGCGACTGGTCTCCTATTCTACCAATAGACCCTGCATCATGGCCAGAATTTACTAGTTTTGGTCAATTTGGAGAGTATGCAGAGGAGAGGAACAGGCGAGGGGCGTGGCAGGAACTCGAGGAGGAAAGGCTTGGTCCTATACTTCTTAAAGCATGGAACCAAGAGTATCAGAGTGCGGAGCAAGCGATGCAGGATGTGCAAGAGGTTATTAAGAAGATGGGTATGAAGCTGATCGGGGAAGACGAGGTTGAGCTGGAAGAAGTTAGTAGGTGGGAGGATTTTTTTGATATTTTTGATGCAGCTGGAACGGACAAGGGGATATCCGATTAGGAGCTACAGTCTGAAAGCCTCAGAAAGGGGGCTAGTTAGTTTGTTACATCTTGGTTCAAATATGAACCTGTCAACTTATTAGAGTGACAATCTATCAGTATAAGCGGTTAGTCGTTAGCCGTACAGCCCTTGTTAATTTCCACCGGCCAAGTAGATCCTGTTTGGGAATCCTCTAAGGAATAAATAATACTTCAGAATAGCAATATTAATATACTTTGCGCCTAGAAGGCCTTGCTGATCTAACTGTCCCCAGGGTTTGCATGCGTCAACTACGTCAATCTGTCTACAAACACGACACGCTGCATTGAACGCTAGGGCCTTCTGTCCCTTTTGGCCTACTGAGATCGTCTACCTCTATCTTTTATTGGAAACGTCATCCCTCAAGCATGGATTTATTTGTTCTAGAGCTTCAAGTCTATACATAATATGAGGTATTATGTAGGTCTATGCCGTTACAATACAATAAGAATAACCGACCCACAGTCCGGTGCAATCACCACCGAGAGCAGGGTTCAGCTTGTATAGCTGTTCCAAACTAATTCCTGCATTATTTGCCATGTCAAAGCAATAGATCCCATCCATCTGCTGGACCCATTTATTGCAGTTTTCAGGGATTCCCGGCTGTGTTGGCCCTGGCGCAGGCGGGGACGTAGGAGTTGGTGATGCGGTGGGTGTCTAAGATATTGAATGTTAATGATAATGTGCAAAGTGGAGTGAAGAAGGGCGCAAAGGAAGAGATTAGAGTAGGAGAATATTTGCTGTTGGAAAGGTTGCATTACCTCAGTTGTAGTTGTTGGTGCTGGATCTTCGTCATCATTTTCGTCGTCTCCTGTATAGTGACAGTAATATGTCCCAGCAACCATGCCAGCACAATCCATGCCTAATGACGGGTTCATCTTATATAATTCCTCTATCGTAAGGCCCAAATTATTAAGGGTTGATTCACAGTCGACTTCCTCGTCGGCCAGAAACCAGTCAACACAGCCATTTATTTCTCCACTTGCACGTGGTGTTGGTGGTTTAATAGGGGTGGGCAGCACTATTTAGGTTAGCAAATTGGCATTGATAGTCTAACAGAATATATAGATAACGGAGTGTTAGATACCTGGCGTATGACTGGCCACAGCGACGCAATAAGACATGCTTTGCTTGAGGGAGCATGGGTAATCCGGGTTTTCTTCATCTGTCGAGTTTTGAGCGAGCGAAGGATTCCAAAGAATCATTTCCTAACCACAGTCAGTTTGGAAAATACAACAGTAAATATAGATGATTAACACTAACCTCGCGATCTATGCCAGCGGCCCTTGCAATACCCCAGCAGCCAACACTTTCAGGTCGGGTATCATTGACCCAAATATACCTAAGAAAATGAGCTTCTCAAACGGTAAAATTTCTAGATGTCAAACGTACTGCCAGCAGTCCTCGCGTGTTAGATTTGCAAGAGGGATAATGATCTGGTTTGGATCAGGTGTTGGTTCTGAATCTTCCCACGGTATAGATGTACTTGGGCCGGGGGTGAACAATGGACGAGTTTTGGTAGGACCCGATCCGTAGCCAGGGTAGTCAGTGATGTCGCCTACTGGCTGAACGCAGTAGAAGTAATTAAGCCAGATATTGGTGCATTGCTTGTCCACGCCAGGATTAAGGAACCCACTAAAAAAAAGTACTTAGTCACCGAGAACCAAAGAGAACTGTCGGGGGCGGCCTAGCATACAAATCAGGGCGGGAGATCCCAAATTTTGTAGTGACGACAGCGCAGTCATCACCATCACTAATTTTGTAGTATCTACCACAATGTGTGGTTACATTTGGTGCAATATTGTCAGGTATTGGCCTATCCATTAAAATTAGCAAAATGTGCCTTTAATAGGCCTTTTAAGGGAACTCACGCTGGCGTCGGCACTGGAGTTACTGTTGGACTGTCCGGTAGGGTATAATTAGTACCTAATGGGTTACTAAGATATAGAGTAATGTTAGCAATCAAAACATATTAAATTGATTAGAATGTGTACGTACCTAACGCAAAAGGTGTTCCCAATAAACCTGTCTAGATTGCTTTTTGGGTGTTAGAAATTCATGGCTGTATGAAAACACTATTGGAGTGTATCACAATACCTGCAGAACGAGTTGATATTGATATTCCAAGCTCTAAGCTGGACTGTAGAAATATTGGCTGCTGCAGCTATCGAGCTACAAGTCTCATCCTCGGCAAGGATATGTATCTTGCATTTATTTTCTATACATAACGACCCAGACTTTGGGAAATCCGCCTTGATATATGAAAGACCATTGTTGTGGAGTAGCAGTTCCGTTGACACCGACTGTGACTTTGGAACTGAATAAAAGTCGTCAGTTGCTTTAACCTCATAAGAGGTGCCAGTGCACGTCCTTGTTGCAGGGATATTCCTATAGGCTTGGTTAAATTAATAGTTTAGAGGAATATGGGTAGTATAGTTAGATAATTACTTACGTGCTTATCAGAACAGGGTCAACTGTAGTAGTTGGGTAGCCTGTTGCTTTACACTCCGAAGTTAGAGATTTATAGTTATCGTATACCCCTTCATCCGTAGCAAATGGTGAGTTGACTTGTTTCTGAGCGGCTGCTAACATGCAGTAATCACAAGCAGTATCTGGAGTGTCATTTTCGTGGAGAAATATGTTGCAAAATTGTCCGTCGCTAAAATATATTGTTAACAATATGAACCGACGTGGGAGTCAACGAGTTTGTAGACCTAACCTTCGTTTCAAACAGGCAATACCAAGTGCGTAGAGAAGAGACTCATCTGGGTACCAAGGAACCCATCGTGTATTTCCAAACTTGTCGACGTATTCTGCACCCGAACATGCCTCCTTTACCATGTCACGGTGGGAAGTGAGCGAGTCTAAACAGCTAGTTGCACACAGCTCCTCCAACACATTTTTGTCATAGTTAAAGCTGTAGAATGGGTCGACGTAGAGCCTCCCGATAAACCATGGACAGGTAACGTTGGAATTGAAGGTCTTCAGGCAATCATCTGTTCCATTGACGAGAACGGATGTATCGACATCGTAGAGCTGGTGTGTTTGCGAAACGGTAACGCACACATAAGTGGTCAAAAAAAGTAGGTACGTTAAGGACATTGCAGCAATAACACCTGGAACCGCACAAAATCGAATCCAGACAGCTCAAGTTATACCAGAAGAACGAGATAGCTAGACAATTTGACGGTTATAGTCTGTTTGAATCCTGAAATGAAAAGCAAACTGCTTCGTAAAATGTCTGAGACCAGGGCACAAGTCGAGTCACTACTTTCTGAGGATTTCTACTCTACTATTGAGTCCAGCATGAGGACCGGGTGTTAACTAAACCAATACTCCGTAATCCGAGAGACACATGCAGGTCCAATATCCCCTTGCCCCCTGCAAAATCCCTGTAGGTAGCATTGAAGCGCGGACTCTGGCGTAAGGGGCACCTGAGTTCCGGTGTATTTTCACTAGTTAGTTACCTTCACTAGTCCTATTTTGGAAGTTCGTCTTTTCGCTTCTCGACGACGTCTGATCCAACCACAACCTCTTCTCCATCTCTATCACCACTTTCAACCTTGCTCCTTTCCGTTTGTTATGGAACGTGATGCTAAGAATAGGATACCCCCAATACCCGTTTGCATTTGACTACCATGTTTGGACATACCTCCGTCAGGAGATATGGAAATCAATGCATATATAAAGTGCCGTGTACTCCGTCCCCTCGAGCATGCTGCTAATCACCCTTAGTTACTTATTCCATGCCATATTCGCTTCGGGGGTTTAATATGTTCCCCCTTCTCGAATCAAATCTCACCCCGGAGCCTTCGCGGAAGCAAGCAGCAGGCTCCGCCGGTGACATTGTTGAAGCCCAAGACCTCTCAAATGCAAGGGCGGCAGGGAAGCGGAGACGGTTTTAGTTACGCCCATGCAATATAATTACCGGCTAGGCTTACGGTGTACATGAGGCACAGCACGGTGACCCATATATCGCCTTACCCATTTCGGACCTAGGTATGCCCTTTATTCCCCCAGCTTTCTCCTTGTTAAAATACTCGCAAGTATTTCATTCTGCTCAAAAATTTTCTATATCCCCTAAGTCTTTCTCCCTCAGGAGCTAGTCCTTTTGTTCTATGCTATGAGAGCAGCCGGTGCTGATATCTCACGATGCAGTTTCCCTTCAAACTATTATTGCCTTTCCTTGTTGCGTGCTGTATATTTGTGCTTGTGACAAGCTCAAGTAGGCATCATGGTAGAGGCCATGCCAATCATCATCACCATCACCACCGGAGCGATCATACTATTGGCCTCGAAGATGGCACCGATACGCAGTTCAATTCTACCAACCCCCCAAATCGAAAGAACTATGGAAATACCTTAGCTCAATCCCCGGCCCCTCAAGTTGGCCAGACACTGGCCGCCTTTAGCTCCAGTACCTCGACTTCTAACGACTACACTTGTGGGCCTGGAAAGCCATGTGGCAACGGTGCGTGCTGGTAAGTAATCGTCATGGCTTCATTATATACCAATAATTATATCTCCCAGAAACTAACCGCTCGATTAGTGGAAAGGATGGGTGGTGTGGCTATAGTCCAAAGTATTGTGAAGAAGGATGTCAGTCAAACTGCGATGCTAAGGCAGAATGTGGTAAATATGCCGCAAAGCCCGGCGCGGAGTGTCCTCTTAAAGTTTGTTGCTCGTAAGTCTTCTACGCCCCTTCAATACACCCTAATCCCACGTACAGGGAGGCTAATTTGCTCAAAATTAATAGGGAGTTCGGATTTTGCGGTACAACGAAAGAATTTTGTCAACTTGGTTGCCAATCAAACTGCAAGCAGCCTAAGCCCAAAGTCGAACCCAGCAATGTCAGAAAAATCGTCATGGGATACTACGAGGGATGGAGCATGAACCGTCCGTGCGGTAAGATGGCACCCGAGGATATTCCTGTGCATTCTCTTACCCACTTGATATTTTCCTTCGCTTTCATTTCCCCCGGCACCTTCCGCATTGAAAATATGCCCGGCGTCCAGCCAAGTATGTTCGGGCGGGTTACAGATCTAAAAGCGAGAAATCCCAGCCTTAAAGTTATGATTGCTCTTGGTGTAAGTGACCCTGAACCACGTCCTTTAATGATTTTGCCATCTGACAGAGCGTCAAGGGTTGGACACACAATGACCCTGGCCCGTATCAAAAAGTATTCTCAGACTTAGCCTCGTCTCCAGGAAACCGCAAACTATTTATCAAAAATTTACTCGGTTTCATGACTGAGTATGGGTTCGATGGGGTCGACATAGACTGGGAATATCCTGGAGCGGAAGACAGGGGTGGTATTTCAAGCGATGGAGAGAATTTTACTACCTTGCTCAAAGAACTGAAAGCAGAGTTTGGAGATCAGTATCTTCTGACGTTCACTGCGCCGACATCTTACTGGTATCTTCGACACTTCGACATTAAGAAGAGCGCTGACGCCGCGGATTGGATCAACCTAATGTCTTATGATCTCCATGGAGTATGGGATCGTGATAACCCAATTGGAAACCAAGTTTTGGCTCATACCAATCTCACGGAAATCGATTTAGCCCTGGATTTATTTTGGAGAAATAATGTGAACCCGAATCAATTGGTTCTTGGTTTTGGATTTTACGGTCGTTCTTTCAACTTGGAGAGTTCAAGTTGCTGGAAACCTGGGTGTAATTTTGGGGCACCGGGCGACAAAGGGCCATGCACGGGTGAACCAGGAATTCTCTCCTACCAAGGTAAGCTACGATACCCACGAAACCGCATAATCGTCTGCTAATACCACCTTTTGCCTACGATCAGAGATCAAGGGTATCTTAGACTCCACGAAAGCGAAGGCCTATTTCGATGAGAGAGCAGCGGTTAAATATCTAACGCATGGTCAAAATACTTGGGTTTCGTAAGTAACACCTCTAAGTACTAATTGTTACCTTAGCATCTGTATTTGATCTGATTTCTAGTCACTAACATCTTACTAGGTTTGATGATCCTGAAACTATCGAGATGAAAGTCGACTTTGCCAGTAAAATGGGGCTTAAGGGCCTCATGAACTGGGCCATTGATCTTGACGAGCCCAAAGGAGAATTGATAAGAGCGCTCTCTGGTGGCGCAACCGATATCGACAATTCCCCACAACCCGTATTGGACGAGTCAGATGCAATCTCCCACTCAACGGATGATCCATCGAAGTGTTATATTACAGGTTGTAAGGACTCCTGTAAACGGGGCTATACAGCAGTGGGCCGTGGTAATACCGATATCGACGGCAAGAATAGATGTGATACCAAAGATCCACAGCAAGCACGTTATATTTGCTGTCCTTCATTCTCGGGTGTCACCGCTGACCAGTGTAGATGGGATGACAGCAGATCTAGCTCCCGCAAACAAGATTGCTCTGGAAAATGTGGTGTTGGTGAAATATTAATTGTGAATGATAGTTTTGGTTGGAAGGGCACAGTTCATGGTGGTGAATATGGTGACCAATGCTGGAGAGGTGCCAAAAGCTTTTGCTGCAAAGCTGGAAATATGAAACGATACCTGGATATTTGTACTTGGACAAAATGTGGCGGCAGCTGTCCTAGCGACAAGCCACATGCCTTGACAACAGATACAGGAGGCCCAAAGTCGGAAGACAAATGCTCAGGACTCGTTGCAGACCGGTCTAGAACCCTATGCTGCCCTAAGAAAGACTCGTTCAAAAATTGCAGGTGGGAGGCGGCGAAAGTTTGCTCAAGCACCTGCTCACCCGGGCAAATTACCCTTGATCTTGATTCGGATGGCGACTCCCCTGGAGCTCATTGTCATAATGGACGTGAGAAAGCCTTTTGCTGTGACCCTCCTGGTGGCCTTGATAGGCCATTCCCACCATTCAACCTGGAAAACCTGTTTCCAGAAGAACACCTCCCCCCAGCCGACGCAATTCCCAGGTATGATCTCCTCAGTTTCGGAGGATCCTATGAAGCAATTGGCAAGGAAGGTCCCAATGATAGCGGGGTGGGTTTCTTTTTGATTGCTGGGTCATCCGCAGCAGTTGCTTCTATGCGAAAGCGAGACAATCCTGGATTAACGTTCCTGGATTGCCCACCTGATGTACTTGAAAGGCCAAACCATGAAGAACAAGTTGCGCGTGTGATATGCATCAACCCGGATGTTCATGATTGTTTTGGTGTCCGCGAGAAAGGCGTTCATGGCACAATAATACAGATGCCCAACGAATGTGGTGGCCCATCCTGGTCTCGCGCCATATCCCTGACACCATCGAAAAATCAAGCGATTCCTATTGATATTTTAGACCAACACCCTACTTCCACCGTTTTTGACTTTGCGTTTAACTATAACCTTGGTTTAGTTAGACGGGATGCAGGCAAACTAAGCATCAGAATCGACTACTCCAACGTGGCGGGCTACTGGGATGCAGTTGTCAACAAGCCCCCTGGTAACGGGAAACGTGACCTCCAAACGCTTGTTAATCGCTTCTATGGTAGCTCAGATGAGTGGTACGCACGATTCAAAGATGTGTCACTTAACGCTGGCCACGGCGAAACATTTGATACCAAGTTTGACCAGTTGGTTTATCATAAGGGGCAGATGTGTACTTTCAATGAACAGGAAGTTGGCCAGTCGCTAACCATTGCAATGGAGGGAAAAACTAAGGGAGAAGCATTCTATGGCTTCTCCTTGATTGCAACATGGGACCCTTCCTCAACCGTTGAAGTCCACCAAGCGGCAGGCTTTTTCCGTGCGGAGGGCAACACTGACGTGACTTTTAAACTCGCTGGGTCCGGCACCCTTGACACAGCCCAAAGCTTACAAGGGTCAGTGCTCTCAAAGACTGTGGGACCATCTGCCATTTCCGGACATAGCCTTTTTAAAGGATGGGCTGTATTCAATCTATACCAGAAAGATACCATTAGCCTTGAAAGCCGAAATGGCCAAGCCGGAGCCGTTCCATTTAGCGGATACGCAGAATCACGATTAGAATCAGACTGGGGCCGTTTTAGTGTAAACTTCCCTATAGGCGCGGTTGGAATCCCTGATAAAGGCAGCAGCGAAGGGCAAAGGCGAGAAGACAAAATCAGCAGAAGCGATGATAACCAGCTTGACCTCGTCGCAACCTCTCCTGGGACGATAGAAATTAGCACTACCACACGCGTTGGCTTAGAAGTCCAAGTAGCTTTTTCAAAGCTCTATGGAGGTTCCGACTATAAGGACCTCCCTAACATGTCCATATCTCACAAATCGCTTGCAAAATTCACCATTGAGAATGAGCAATCCTCGACCTGTTTAACGACAAGCTTGGGGACTGAAATGAAAAGTCACCTTTCACATGGTAGTTATGTTGGCTGGAAGGACTCGGAGACTCGGTCTTATGTTCAAGCTCTGGCGAGAAGTGGCGTCAAGGAATGCTTCACAGGAACCGGTCACTCAGCCAAAATTCGCCGTAATGAGACCTCGCCGTATAGCAAAACGCCATATGCCGATTCTATACCCAAGCGCCAGATTGGAGACGAGCCGTTCGACCCGCTCGAAGGTATTCCAAAACCTGGTGACAACCTACGAGACAATGGGTGGAATGTTTTAAGTCCAATTATACGCTGCAACGGCTGCGGCTCCTGTACTTTGGAAATTTCCGGGCGTACTCCCTGCTGTGGCTGCTCATGTCTACTGTGCAAATACGGAGTTTCACTTTATCGAGACCCTTTCGAAGAGATCTTTCAGTCACAGTCTTTGATGAAACGCAATTACATCCCCACTCCTGCTACCGGTGATATTGCATCTAAAGTTGAGAAGCGAGCTACTCCAACGACTACAAGAGTTGGCCTTTCCCGCAAGTATATTAGAGCGTGCAATAAGGTTGCTAAGAGTGATCCCTACCCTTCATTCCCCGAGCCAAAGTCACCTAAAGATTTTGACAGCGATCGGTTTTCAGCGCTCGTCCCAAAATATTTCCATAATTCGTCGAGTTCGTGTACTAGTTGGGCAGTAGCAAAGCTGCCAACTAAGGATCAAGTGTGGAATAAAGAAGAAGGTGCCATCACGGAGCAAACCTATAATAGTAAGTATCCCATCTATTCATATTTTTGGTCTCCATGGTTCTATAATAGGCTACAAGGATCTAACCTATCTTATCTGTTTCTAGCTGAACACGTCCTAGAAGCTCAGACAGTTACGCGTTTCTTTAGCTATATACAAGATGACGCGCCAAACACAGTCGACTGTACTTGGATTAAGAGGTGGCTATTCCGCGTCAATGTGCTGCCAAACACATATGACTGCGTAGCGACTCATTTAGCAAAGGAACTTGGGTCCCGTGATCGTCAGGATAGGCTGACTGTCCTCGCAGAAGCCCCTAATTCCATTAAGGGAAGGCTCACATCTGATTACAAGACAACATCGAAATGGGACATCCTTGAAGCAGGCGATGAACAAATGACTTACATGAAAGAATTTGGGATGGTTTACGCATATATGAACCACCAAGAGGTGTGGGATGCATTTTGCGCCACGTACAACGGCATGCGTGACATTCTCGTGAGGTTCGACAACTGGTATAGCCTAAACCATCAGCCTATCAACCTAGCCGGCGATTGGAAAACTTTTAACAAAAAGGAACTAGACCGGCTGTCGAAAACGGGCCGAGAAACGGCACTATACTTCTATACCAGCCGCAAGGCGGTACCGGGTATTTGGAGAGCGTGGTGGTATCTGAGATGGTTCTCTATAACCACACCAGGGAGTCCATTCTATCAGCTTGGTTATATGTCGCTCAACAAAGCTTGTGCAAATCTACAGTAGATATCTTCTATAGAACGTATATAGACTGAGGAATTTAGCTATAAAAGGGTTAAGTGATGAAGCAAACAGGCTATAAATAGGAGACACTATGCAGAAATACATTCTTTGCTCTGGTCTGTTTTTATATAAAACTGCCTCCACATTGCCACGTAGAGTAGTTATGCCCTCGACACGGCGCGCTGCCACTTTGCCTGCCTAGTTAGTTAAGGAAAGGAGTGAAGAAGTCATCTATAAAAGTACGTAGAACCAAGAAGTACCCCGACACGAGCATCATCCAGACGGTAACTAGCAAGTCATAGAAGACTATTACCGTGGGTTGTTGACTCTTCAACTAAGGATGCCAATCTGCAAGGTGCTTCTTTAGCCATCCTCATCTTTATCTCATCACGTGAAGTCGCCATATATTATCCATCGTAACTTGTAAGTGATATGTAAATCGCAGACGGAGTAGAGAGGTAGTACATCCTCGCTTGCGCCTGCAGATACGATCTTGTCACTCGTCGCTTGCCAGTCCTCGTCGTACCGCGCTGCCACTTCACTCCCGTCTGTACACAATCCATGCAGGACAACAATGTAGACCGCTGCCATGGGCAAGAGGAAGCGCAGCCTGAGCCACTCCAGTACAACGTTAAGGATACGGATAACGGTAACAAATGGAAGGTTACCAAGGTAGTTATCCCTTCGATGCAAGCTTTTAGTTATACAGTTAACATCTGCCTCAGAAACTAGCGGCCTATGACGAAGATGCACGTCTCTGCGTTGACCATCTCGTTTCTCTACCCACCTGTAATAGCCGAGTAGGCGCAACGGGAATGTGTCTCGGAGGCCATCTTGCGTACCGCTGCGCACTTGACGCACGCGTCAAAGCTGCCGTCTGCTATTTTGCAACCGATATACACAGCCGTTCACTCGGAGAGGGTAAGAACGATGATAGTCTTCAAAGGTGTGGAGACATAAAGGGCGAATTGGTCATGGTAAGATGTTTCTCCTGAGTCTCTTATAGCAGGCATAGATGCTAATGTATGCTGTGCAGATATTCGGGAAAAATGACAACCATGTGCCAGCGCCTGGTCGAGATTTGATCCGTAACGCTTTGCATGAGAAAGGTGTTTACTTCAGCTTCTACGAGGCTGCCTGGGCACAACGTATGTCGTTTCTCATCCTCAATTGGCTTGTTCCCTAGCTAACTAGTTCAAAAGACGCCTTTATCAGAGACGAGCTGAGCAAGGGCCGCTATGACCTGGCGCTGACCAAGGTGTGTGCAGAGATGATGTTCGAAGTCTTCAACCGCACTCTCAAGGTCGAGCTAGGAGACACGGATGGAAAGAAGCTGGTAGTTGAAGACGTGTGCTAAGAATCGATTTGTATCAACCAAGTATCAACCAAGTACCAATAGGTAGCTAAACATAGGAGGTTTCTCAGCCGCAATATCAAGTCTCGCATTAGTCCCTGAGACTTGGAAAGCACTGCCGCTTTTATAACCTTGGGCTGTCGCACGAAAGACTGGTGCTGAGAGGTTGAACCAGGTTGAGACTAACCAGGCTGATTCCGCGACCACCAATAGACACTGCCAGTAACCGGGTCACCGCGCCACCAACTAACGGCGTGCTCATGTTGGGATAAAGGTCTCTCCACGAGTCCTTTCATACGTTGATATTTATATAGCAGTAATCGCCCTAGTAATGAGTAAACAGTGCTAGTAACGAGTATAAACAAAGGTCTATCAAACTGGACCTCAGCCCTGAGGTCTTATATAGTCACATGACATGATATCTAGATCCCTGGACGGCCTCAAGTCACCGGCGATAAAACACCAGACAGACAGAGGGAACGAGTAAACAAAAGACGACACGAGCTCCGGACAGGCGAATTCTCCTATGTTGGCTAGGCTGGCCCGGGTGAGTTCGCGTGTCCGATGCCCTGGCCCGGCGTGGTGCACCAGGCGTTTCAGGCCCCTCCCGTACATATATTAAAAGAGGTGGATAGATGGACCTGGACGCAGGGTGTTTCATGCATGCAAGCCCATCAACGGGTTCCCCGGCCTTCCCTTCTCTCCGCATCCTCCCTGCATCCAGCGCATCCCTTGTCTTCCTCCCTTTTCTCCTGCATCCATGCATCGGTCTTTTCTCTCTATATAATATCCTATATGGAACGTCCCTATATGTGATTATATAAGCTGTATGCAGGCCGTACCGTCGCGTATCATCCTTGTAGCGATCATACGCCGAGATGTGATGGCCCCCACTAACTACCCGAAGGAGAAGCGAAGAGATGGCTGGGACGCACGCTGGTTGGTCAGTCACTCCCCGTGCCCCTGGCTGAGCTAATCATGATACCTGATACTACCTTACCATACATGATACGCGTACCGCAAAGGTAACAAAGTTACGGCAAAAGACAAAGCGGCTGTTCCTTTCTTGGACCGCGATGTCTCTCCCTGGACTGAGATAGAGAGAAGTCGAGATAGAAGGGACAGCATCGACGTCGACGGCCATCTTTGTCTGCTACGGTGTATAAGACACTCGATGTGAGGTCCGCTGATCGATCGATCGAGCTAGTCTAAGCGTAATAGCCCGGAGCTTGCCTGTGGCGTTACAGAGTGGACTCTCTGCCTCCACCAGGCACAACTTCATCTGACATTTCCTTCTTGTCGACAGATTCCCAGCCCTGCCACACACTTCTTCACCCTCAACTCTTCTCTCTCCTCTCTCACTCTCGCCAGACCACGTCGGCGCTCTCTCAACCAGCTCAATCAGGCTGCCGGTAGCTTGATACACGCAGTACTCCATACGCACGACCTTGACTCGCCCGTCGCCCGCTCTCACCCCCGTCACACTTTCCAACGCCTGTCAAATCGACACATCTACCGTCGCACGCACTAGCTATCGAGACATCCGCTCCTCCAGCCTTAATTCGTATTCTTTTTTCTTTCTCTCGCTCTTTGGCACCATTGACAGCTCGCCGGCCGTCCGGTCGTTCGTCGTTGCGACTCGCTGGGGAGGGACCACACCGCCTGTGAGGTTGGAAGAATAGAAGGATTCCCACCATGGGGTCAACGCAGTTTGGCAAATTCCATGTACGGCCGGGAGACCTGCATATACCGATATCACAGGGACATGCGCTAACATGATGGACTGCAGAACTTTTGTCGAGACTCGACGCTTCCCGTATGCAATGTACGTTCAGTCCAGACACTTGCCGCCGGCCATCGACCATACCAGTACTGACACCGGTGATAGCTCTTCGTTAGGAACAACCAGCCGCCGAATAAGAAGTTCGATGGATGCGCCTTGACGGGAATCAATCTAAATGATGACCGAAATGTTGGGAACTTAGGTACGCATCTCGATCATCTAGTATCTGAATACCATACTTATATCCAATTAGGGTCTATTTTGCTCTGCTTTATTGCTATCTTCTCTTCGCTATTCTTAATATGGAGGTCGGAAAGAAAACGGGCTGCTGTTGGTCGAAGGTATGCTTCACTTCCATTTGACTTGCTAGAACTCTCTTGACTAACCGCCTACTAGGGAAATGCAATTGTTCTTGGTCGGGTTTATAATTATTTCGATTTGTGAGATCTTCTCAGTCGGCGCCTTCCCGCTTAGCGATTCAGTTAGAAAGGTATTGTTTACTCTACATGACGCCTCGAATATCTCACTAATCAATCTATAGGGATTTTCTGCAGCTCATCTTGGCGCTATTGCTGCGACTGCCTGGTTGCTCTTCCTCAATGCTGTTGTAGGCTTCCAGCTTATCGATGACGGCACTGCCATCTCCATTGGCCTGCTCGTCACCTCGGCCCTGGTTCTCTTCATTGGCACTGGATACATTGCCCTGGATACTGCTTTTAACTGGACTGGCCGCTTCCAAGCCAGCCATCGCGCACCCAACCAGAACATAGGCCTGTACATCCTGTACCTATTGTTCCCACTAATCTGCATAGTCGGGTTCTTCCTGTTCGAGACTTTCTTGGTCGTCAAGGTGCTCAAGGAGAAGAGACCCATGCGTAAGTCGTACCATCCATCCAGATCAAGAGAAATCGCCCTCTAACTTAGAGTAGTATACCTCACTATTGCCGGCTTGCTGTTTGCCATAAGTCAGGTATTCCAATTCGTCATCAGTCCACACCTCTGCAATGCCACGAGTGGTAAAATCAACGGTGCCTTCTTCGAAACGCTCTTCAACCTTGGCTCCGTAATGATGGTATGGGTTTTCTGGAGCAGTATCACCGAAGATGACTGGCCAATGCCCGTCGGCGGCGCATACAGCTGATCTTACTACGCACATGCATCCCTTTCACAACAATGAAAAGGGAAACTCCCGCGAATGCAAGAGGATGTTAAACAAGGCATTCCTCGAAGAAGAAAAACGTGCGAACGAAGAATGAGATATTTGCACATTTACGAGAGACGTGAAAGTAAAAGGCAAAAAAGGAAAAAAATCCTCGGTATTAGCGAATGTTTGATTTCCATTTTTTGTTTATTATATTATTCCCCATTTGCTGCGAAATGCTCCAAATGGCCCATACTCACCCCCATACCCTCGTTCACTCCTTATTTACCTCCCGCCACCACCCTATCTACCCATCTACTAATCGATATCCTAATTGATGGCCCAATTACCATCCCATATACCGGAATGTTAATGAATTAATTTCACATCGCCCACCCACCGCCTCTCTTTCATACTTAACTGCCATCCTATACCACAAACCCCACAACCATACCTTGTCCTACTCTACCAAATGTACTCTTGCTTTCGTCGTCATTTCCTGCTTGCTTTATGATACTCACTTTGGTTTATTGTACGTTTGACATCCCTATCATGTTCCTGCCATGTCTCCGTCAATGTGTTTTGCGTTTTTTGTCCTGATGATTTCCCTTTTCAACTGTTTTATTTATTTATTCTTCGTTTTCCCGACTTCATTTTCTCTTGGTTTGATCACTAGGTATGTACGTGTACCAGCTAGCATCGTATAGTACATAGAATAAACGGACTTATAAAGGTTGTTAATCCTCCATTCCTCCCTTCCCTACTGCGGCAGATGTTGTGCAGCTACTCCGTCTTCAATCTACCAAACACACCCATCCCCAGCCAGTACTTCCAATGGCACCAGGCAGGCCACATGCAGACAACTTCGATATTATTACCGGCCGGGTCGAAGACAAATGCTGCGTAGTAGAATCTAGTATATTGAGGCCTCACTCCGGGGCCACCATTCGACTTCCCGCCTTGCTTCAGGGCAGCTTCATAGAAGGCATGGACGAGTTCACGATCTACCAAATAAACGTTTAGACCTGCTATCGATCCTGCCTAGCTAATATCAACGCCAACTAGGAAAAATGTCCACTTACTGCCTGTACTAAAAGCGATATGAGTTGTTCCAAATACCGTTTCTTTGCTTGCAGTAGCTGTAACATCGCCTTCGCCTTCGCCTTCAGCTCTGGCATTGGCGCTGGCGCTGGCACTAGGTACGGCTGATGAAGCGATCCAGAACTCGGGACAGTACACTCCCATACCAACTACTTTTGGATGAGGACGGAGCTGCTCTTTGAATCCTAGCGGTGCTAACGCGCTTAGGTAGAAGGATACAGTCTCTTCGAACTTGTCGTCTGGGACCGTGAGGCCGACGTGTGAGAAGCCCATGTTGTGAGTGTGCTGTTAATTGGATAGAATGAACGCTGATAGGTGTAGCTGTTGGGGAGAGCCGTTTGAGCCTGAGGAAATCAGGGTTCACTTTATATACACTTCCAAACTAGGAGATGAACGATTATAGTATGGTATGGTTGCCTAGTCCATGGCTAAAAATAGCTTTTAGCTTGAATTGGCGTTTTGGTTCGATTGGCTGGGTGTAAAGTATATCTGGCGCCTGTAGCTGTTTATATTCAAAAACGAGCTTACAAGTTGACTCACGGCGTCGTATTTGAAGAAGGTTGATGTTGGTCTAGATGCAGGGGTGTAGAAGTAGGCGAAAGTATAGATATTCTCCTGGGTTTGACAATATGCGGAAATAGTTATTGTCCGGGATAGGGGAGTAAATATCTATATCCCATGCCATTATAATAAATGCAATCATATCAACGCCGAGACACTAGATAACCCCCTATAAATACATGAAAAGGTTGGCCGTATGGAGGTATCAGGAGTCCTTGAACATTTGAATATGAAGAAAGAACTGCATTCAAAGGGAAATGTATATGCTCCAGCCAGCCATCCGACCATTCAGGCGTAAAGATCATTCCATCATTAAAGTAGCAGCCGGGTCGGCCCAGCATGGATAGACATACCGACAAGTGAATACAAGCCGTATTTTGTGCATATATAAGCGTGTTGGATAACGCATATCTCTTATTATAGTCTAACCTTCACATCGACGCATGGGAGCGTCCATTCTCTGCGTCCTAGCAAACTTCGGAACCACTCAAGCCCAATACCTGTCCACTCGGGTTCCCCAGCACTCGACGGCCCGCCGGGTATGACACTGCGTTTGGCTTCTTCAAACGCCGCCCCGGCAAGAGCGGTGACGGTTGTGTTCACAGTATCAAAGACATATTCCGTCAGCTCGTGTGTAGAGTTCAAAGCCGGAGTAGCAGTGGCAGCAGTAGTTGCGTTGGCACATCCGGCTCCAGGCAGGTGAGCGAACCGAGGTGCAAACCAGTCCCCCTTGATATCAAAGAAGCAGCGGTCGGACCAGTGACATGACGAGATAAACAGGATTAGAAGCAGTGCGGAGCAGTATATACACGGTCGATGGAGGATATAGGTGAGGGTAACGAAGGAGAGGATGAACAGCGGGCTTGCATTGGTCGGAATGAAAAGGAGGGGAAGCCAGCTATCCACGGAAAGTCAGCTATCATGGGAACCAGGCGCACGTATCTCCAAGGGCTATATGCATACCTTCTGAGGCAGAACATGTCTGAAAGTCGCGGGCACCTTGGCCGGCGGGAAAGAGGGGTGTTTGTTTAAACAGGTAGAGGCTATGGAGGTTGACACATCTGACGTGACGGCACGTCCTTGGTTTCTGGCCTGAACGATACCTCAGGTCTTCTCACGTCCAGCACACACGATCCCCGACGGCAGAAGCGATCGTTATAGTCACTTGGCGGCCTTCACATCTTCTTCCTTCGTCATGTTTAGCAGCAAGAAAGGCCAAAAGTTCGAGTTGAAGTTGAAAAAGAACCGCGGAACAAGAACAAACAGGGCCAACACTGCAAACAAGACAAACAGTCCCGTCTTAGAACCTTCCAACCTCCAAATATTATTGTTTCCTTCGTCCTCTTCCTCTTCTTCTTCATCACCTCACCTTCACTTCTCGAACGTCCCCCCCCCGTTTAATTCACTTTCTTTGTCACCTGTTTCTCTTCTCTTGACTCGAATTGCATTTGCACGTTCACTTAGCCCGTTGGTAGCGCGTTCTCTTGTTCTCAGTTTCTTTCCACCTGGTTTTGGCTGGCAGCTTAAAACCGTTGATTGCTTCTCACCATGGCTGGCTCCGGTTCCCCTGCAGACTTACAAGCTCTGTTCGCGAGAATAAAACCTCGCCCTTCCCCAGGCGGGCACCCAACTGATAGCCAGCAGCATCTTCATCAGCAGCAGCATCAGCGCAGTGGGGCTTCGCCTGGTGTCATGTCGCCTACGCAGTTCAATTATGCCGCACCATACGCTTCGTCACCACTCTTCAGCCCTCCACCTCCGCCCAACCCTCCTCACCATGGTTCGGACGTGCTGAGCCCTAATTACTCCGGTACTCTGAGCGACCAGAACCAGCCACCAATGAGTTCTGATCGCACGAACTTGCTGAACTTGCTTAAGTTTAGCCAGCCTTCAAAGGGCCCAAGCTCCAATCCGCAAGCCGAGACGGGACTCCCATCCGGCACCCCAGTGCGTGTTGAAGCGAACAGTAACGGTAACTCTAACGGCGGTGGTCATCGCGGCGTTTCTGGCCAACGCAACATATCAGCCTCCGACATTATGGCGTCATTTCTTGGACGGCCAGCAGCAGGTCCCTCTATGGTCCCGGTGCCGTCGTCTACTGCTCCAGTTAGCCACAGCCCAGCCGAAAGGTCGGGCGCGTCACCTGCAGCCTCTGCAGACGCAACACAGGAAATGTTGTTGAGACTATTGAACCAGCCAACAGCTCAAAAGGCAAAGGGTGTTGACTTCGCTGTGCCTCCTCCACAGCCTGAATTTCCGGCCACTCCTCTGAGTCAAATGGACGGCAACGAGAGCCCAGCTCAGCTTTCCAAGTCATCTTCGGAGGAACGTAAAAGCTCCCCGGTTCGAACTTTTGGCGCTGCTAATTCAAGCGAGACTACTCAGTTTGATCCGTTGCAGCCAAAGGCTCCAATTAAGGGGACTATTTTCAGCCATGTCAACCCGTTCGAACATCTTGCCGCGGCATCCTCGAGAAATCGATCCCCGAATAGTCAACCTCATTCCGGCCGTGCCAGCCCGTCAGTTGGAGTTACCAAGGCCGCGAAAGAAAATCAGAAGGGTAGGAGTACTCCCGATGATTTGAAGCGCCCTGCCTCTCAGATTGCCTCTGAAGAAAACGGTGAGCATGTTGCTCACGTACAGCAAGCCACAGCAACTGCGGTCAAAGAGTCCACCAGCCAACAGAGTGGAGGAGCATCTCCTTCAGTGGGCCTCGAAGGTGCAGCAGTAGCTGACGCTGGGGCGAAGGCAGAGAAATCTGCACAAGGGTCTGGGAAGAAATTCAAATCCGAACACCCTGAGCCAGAAGATGATATTCCACAAGAAGTTTTAGATAACATCTCCAAGCAGATGCACAACGCCAAAGAGGTACTTGAAGGAGAGGGAGCCAAGGAATCTACCAATAAGGCGGTAGCCACAAGCAGCGATGATGCCACTGAGCCTACCAAAGAAGAGATTAAGAATGAGAATGTTGCAGAGAATTGGGAGACCGAGGCGGAGACCGACCGCGTTGTCCCTGTCTACAACTTCCCATTGAAGCCGTTCGTTTCGATTACGTGGAAAGCAAATTTGAAGCCAGTCGGCATTCGTGATGATGGAGTGATGGATATCGCTCGTCTGAAGAAAGGATTCGACCAGCTTGATCGTTCGCTCACCTCGGCAACGCCAGAGTACATCGTGTATGCTCTTGCTAAAAACGGCGGAGCACGTATCATTCGCCAGGACGATGGCCATGACAGACAAATATTCCGTTCAACCAATGATAGGATATTCAACGCATCCGTTTCTCAATCCCCACCCGGCTCCGCTATCAAAGAACAAGCATTCCTTGGTATCGGTGTGAGTGGCTCAGTTTACTGGACTACCATTTCCCGTGGCGATGACGACTATTTCGAAAAAGATACTCTTGAGACGCAGAGCTTGGTTTTCCCTCCTTTCCCGGCATCGGACGAGAATGCTTCTGGCGGCCAGTTGAAAACGCGCGCCAAACAAAGCTCTCGCCATCCTGAATTCTTCGCCATCGGACGTGGCAAGTCTATCCACATCGTTCGACCCCGCGTTGCTTTGGCTGAGTACGGTTTCACTTCACCGGGTAAGGTGGACACCGAGAAGTACTTTAAAGAGAAATCTATCAAGATCGCTACCGGAAAGGCTGGAAAAGATTTTGCTTTTAGTGGTGATGACACTGTCATTGCTTCACTTGACAAGACTGGCAGATTGAGATTCTGGGATATCCGCGACATCGACGACATGCTGGCTTCTAACAAATGCGATATCCGCATTCCGCTTCTGACTCTTGTTACTGGATCTCCTAATGAAAAGTGTTGGCCGACCTCTGTCGTTTTCATTGACAAACAGAGACCATACCTGAAAACCCAGGCTCTCAGATATATTCTAGTAGGTTTGAAACAAAACCATACTTTACAGCTCTGGGATCTTGGCCTTGGAAAGGCAGTTCAAGAATTGAACTTCCCTCATAGCAATGAGTCCGATGCTATCTGCAGTATCGCTTACCATGCAAGCTCCGGTATCATCGTCGTTGGCCACCCTACCAGGAACTCAATCTACTTCATTCATTTGTCCGCCCCTAGATATGCCCTTCCCCCAATGTCTCAGGGTGCATTTATTCAGGCCGTGACTAATAAGGATCCCGATTTGCCCAAGCCAGAATCCACTGCTTGCATGAGCGGCATTCGAGAACTTTCGTTCGGTTCACGCGGCCAATTGAGAAGTCTAGAACTTCTTCCATTGGCCAAATCATCGGGTCAGCGTGGAGCTGAGGAAGATAGCGGCCTATTTGAGTTATATGTCATGCATTCACGAGGAGTAACTTGTCTAAGCATCAAGAAACTCGACTTGGGTTGGAATATCGATAACAAGATCATTGAGTCTGTAGATGCCCTGGAAAAAGGATACATTGAAATCAAGGATCTCCAGCCCTTGCAGTCGACAGATGAGAGCAACCGAGGTGAGGAAGGAAGCGCCCCTTCCAAGAGCCCACGTCGTGAAGTGAAGGAAGTGAAGAAAGAAGCCGTGTCCGTTTCTACTGCGTCGGTGATCGAGTCTCCAAAGAAGAAGGTGACGGCGGAACCAGTGTCCACCACTACCCAGGCTCAGCAAGAACAGCCCTCAAACGAAAAGGTTGACAAGAAGAAGAAGAAGAAAGAGGCAGCAGCGAAACCCAAAGAAGCTGTGAAAGCACCTGAGGAACCCTCAGATGTTCCAGTCGCGTCGCCAGTCAAGCCCATTATTGTTCGGAAACAAACCCCAGCCGAATCACCACGCCCTCGACAGGTGGAGGCTGAAACTACGACTGAGTCGAGCTTCTCTATGGATTCCTTGTCGAAGGAGGTTCAGAAGATTGAGCAAAATTTGACGTCGATGTTCTCGACATCTCTCAATGGGGGACTAGATACGGTATATCGTCGTTTTGAAGATGACCGCCGTGCGCAGGATAAACTTGCAACAATCAGACAAGACGAATTGCTACGTTTGGTGTCCAAGACATTATCAGAGAACGTTGAGAAGGTTCTAGCCCATATTGTCTCTGAAAATGTCAAGCAATCCGTTCTTCCAGCCATTAAGGAGAGCACTGCATCGGCTCTGGATAAACACATCAACAGCGCTGTCAAGGCTGCTTTACCTGAAGCAATTTCTCAAACAATGCAAGCCCCTGCCACTGTCCGCGCAATGTCTGAGCTCATGTTGCCATCAATTGTGGGACGTGTTGAGAAGGGGATCTCAAATGCTGTTAGCAAGACGATAATCCCAGCATTCAAGGAAGAGCAAGCCCGTGCTGCTGAGAAGCTCACAAAGGAGGTTGAGCAGAAATTCGCTGGAAAGATGAAGCAGCTTGAAGACCAGCAAATCAAGGACAGTGTTAAGATTGATGAACTGACAACCCTGGTCCGGACCATGGCCGAGTCTGTTTCCACTATTGCACAGGCTCAGAATGGATTTGGCAATGAGATTCTGAAACTTCATCATCAATTATCTGCCAAGGTTGAACCGGAGCCATCGCGGGAACACAGCTTTTCTGAATCGAACGAAGCCAACGATACCCCATTATCTGTCGAAGACATCGAGCTTGCTGAAATCGCTCAGCTCATGACAGATGGAAAGTATGAGGAAGCATCCATTAAGGTAGGCCCCCACGCGATCCTTGCTACTCTTTAGTACTTCTGAAACTGACAATACCTTTTTTTATAGTGGCTTCAATCATCCCAGCAGGCTGAGCTCTTCACCAACCTGTTTGTTAACTTTAACCCTTCGTATCTAGCCACTTTGTCGCCACTTGTTGCCCTGTCAGTCAGTGCCGCAGTGACATCCTCTATGGAATCAAATGTCATGGATCGCTTGAACTGGCTTCAGCAAGTTCTTCGTACTGTCAACGTCACAGTAAGTGCTTCAACTTTAACTTGATAAGCGTAGTTATATTTGACTTTTACTAACATGATAACTAGGATCCTGCGATAAGCGAAGTTGCACCCCGAATTATGGATATCCTTATTCAGCGCCTCCAAGAATTATACAGGACTATCGCTGAAAGGTCACCTAACGATCCTCTTTTGCACCGAATCCCACCAATTACCCAATGGGCGATTGCTCTGAAAAGAACATAGCAAGCGAGTCGAGTATGACGCACCAAAAACGCAACAATGAAATTTCGATATACTCTTTCTTAATTTTCCTGCTCCTCGGTTTTTGGCGATGATGATCATTTCTTGACACGATATTCCGCTGCGACACGTTTACGGTACTATGGCCTGATATACGACTGAAGAATGGAATATTTCTACAAAAATCGACTCTTTTGGGATTGAGATGTACGCTGGAGATTACGACCCATCTAATTCTAACGGAGACAAAAATTTCTTATTATCTTTCGGCTGTATTTGGGACTGGGGAAATTCTTTTTTCCTTGGCTTGAAATGGATAATATTCTCCTTTCTATCCCATTCTAATTTTGTGTTATTCATTATTCATGGTTTCATTTCTTCCTTTTTGTAAAAAAATGCTCAAAAAAATGGTTTTGTTTCTTATTCCACCATGTTTTAACAACCCTTGATTATTTTGTTCCTTGTATCGATATATTTGTATTCAATATGGGGTCCTCCTCGCTTTACTCGGTGGTGGAACTAATAAGCCTGTGTATCATTTATTATGCCAACTTTCTCGAGTGTCACGTCCTTCATAACCGATCCTAACCCTTAACTGTCTAACCATCACGGATACACCAGGGTATATACATATTCAAAAAGCACTCATTCATGAGCCCGTGGGCTTTGTGCGAGAACAGTTCAGGCATTGAACTCCTCCCCAGCCTTGTCTCCCCCCACTTCAGATTCGGTAAACTCAAATCCGATCGCTCGCCAGTTCAGCTCTTCTCTCCAATGAAGCCCATATCCATGCACAGCGTCCAGTGAATTGCCCTCTCCTGACCTGCGCATCCCAGATTGAAGAACCGTCACGCTTCGAAAGCGGGAAAGGAGCATACCCATAGAGCAGCATATACACGGTTCATGCGTAACGTATAGATCCAGTGCGGTGCATAGATAGCCGCCTTTAGAAGACTTTAGGAGGTTAGGGAGCTGAAAGAAGTGCGATTCCAGGGACGTTGGTGATAGAGGCGCCGACTCTACTTCCGAAGGTGTAGATGATTCAGGTTCGGAGGTCACCGGATTGTTTAGTGCTATTCTTTTTCGTGATACCATCGATATCCCCCGCATAACTGCATGGCTTTCCGGCCCGCCTTCATCGTCTGCATCAGGTTCCTTTTTTTCTTGTGTAGCCCCCTCTGCATGTTTCTCCAACGAAGCTTTCCACCACCTCGTATCGCCTGCCACTGCAACCACAGAATTCAAAAGCTCATCAGTGTCATCTGATTTTCCCGTCAACAGCTCAGGGTCAACGATAACAGCTCCCACACCCCGGCCCCGGCCGGATCGTAATGTTTCACCTGCCACCTCCCTGGCTAAAGCGAGGAAATAGCCTGCCCGCGGAGAAATAGATGCCTTTGCTCGGATGAGTTGGACTTGTGGCGGCGCATGGATTGCAGATCGTGCAGCAGGGTTATAGACTGTTGACCACTTTGTACGAGACCACTCTTGAGCTTCAGCTATAGTTGTAGGCGGTTTTGTGGAGATTACTGTTTTTTGAATCCGAATGATAGGCTGCAGGGGTTCTGGTGGCGGGTTGGTGGTGTCTGCCTCGATGGGTGTTTTAGGTGCATACGGTGCGAGTAATGTCTGTATTTCTGAGATTTCAGGGAGAGGCGGAGGAATGAGAACATGAATTGATGCAGCTGGTTTACTCGGTGAACCTTGCCTCTGCTGGCTCTCCTCTAGCTCCCTTTTTAACGGCTCTGGTAGGTGTTCTGGCCGTAGTAGTCGACGCAAGTGAGATAGACTGAGCTCAGGGTTTCGAGGGTAGTTGGTCTCCAGTAGCTTCACAACTACATTGGATAACTTTATGTCTATCTCTGCGACATATGCTTCTTCTGTGACAATGTTAGAGCCATGCGTCACTCTCTCTGTGAGCATATGACCTGTATTTCATACCAAAGGAATTAACTGGTCGCAGCTCCTGGACGGATGGCAGCGTCACCAATTCGCCCTGCAAGGGCGCAATACCCTTCAACCTCTCCGGTACCGCCATGGTACTGGCGTAGAAGCCGGGCTGGAAAAGATGTGGCTGTATATTTAGTTAGCCTTGCGTATTAACAGGGTCATCGTGGAGGGGGGAATAAATGACTCTCTACCTTCAGACGAAAAGCTAGCCGCGACAGAATAGAACAGTTTCGCACAGTGGCATGTTGCAGTCTATGTACCGTCCCCGTCACTGCCATCAACACGCCATCAGGACAGATATATAAAAAACCCCGTCGAGTGCTCTATACAACTGGTGACGATGCTGAACTTGCGATGAAGTCGAAATTTGCGCCAAGCCGGGTTTGCCCTAAGCCCAAGCCCTAAAAGTGGAAAACGGGAAAAGGGCGATCTTCCGCTATAGATAAAGGGGTAGATTTATGGAGTAAATCGGGGTCTCAAATGTTCTGATATAGTCCATGACCCTTGGATAATATGTGTGGCCTCTTTAGATCATTTTTAATAGGGATCTAGTTCTAACACTGGATAGTTATTAACCGCTACATACGGGAATTTCCTGCATAGAACATGCATTCCAGTACGGATTATACTCACGTATTGAGCCTGGCCTCTTCACGACTCGATATAATCTACGGAGTACGATAGTAGAAAATGGAACCTTGGGAATAAGTAAACTGATCGTTCTAGCACCATATATAAGTCTCACTATGTGCCAAATATGGAACAACAGAAGGACCATGATATCTAAAAACCGTTACTATAAAGCACGTCTATTTAAATAAAAACTTACTAGAGCTTTCTAATGAAAATTTACCCCTATCAAGAGCTACGGAGTATATCGGCACCTTAATAGGCTAAATATCGGGCCAAAGGATAGCTAAAGGATAGACCAGACAGTAGGCCAACAAGGATTCGAATAACAAGCGAAACCTATAAGCCCTAACCGACAATATCGGCACAATAACTATTCTCGAGGATATTATCACCCGTCCGGGATACGATACCTTGAGCTAGACGGAGACACTGCCTGGTGGAACCAACCTGTCTACACTAGTTATCTCTAAGTCCGACTTTAAGAGTTGATATGTAATTACATGGTCAATTGAAGTTCTATAGGGATCGTATAGAGTACTATAATATGTATGTGAGTAGTGAATTTAACATGTAAGAGCCGAAGTGCATACACGGTATGCATAAAGCACAGGAAATAAACTAATGCAGGCCATCGACGGTTGAACAAGGATTTGGTTTGGCGTAAATACAGGGTCAGGGGAGGAAGAAGACGAGAGCTTTATACACATAAAGGGATCAAACGATGCAGCTCGGAATAGAACAGAATGCAAAAGAAGAGTTACAGGAATAGGCCCAGAACAGTGCGAGGACTGCCTGATGCCGTCCATCTGTGACTCTATCTCTGTGCAGGTACTATTATCATATGTATAGATCGAACAAGGAAGCTGGGAACCCCGACCGGTTCTAAATCATCTAAATGCATAAGGTAAACATGAAAGGAAACCCAAACGCCTTGTACGCCGGCCAAGATGAGATTCCAAACCAAACAGGATAAGAACTAGAACGTGAGAAGGATGCAGGGTGCATCCTCCTAGAAAAAAAAACATTTTTTGGCGGGTGAGCTAATAATATAAGCTATGTCGAAGAGGATTGTTCGCTTTGCACTACGTCCGGCTCTGTCTTTTCGGCTGCCTCGGACTCGGGATCTGGTTTGGTTTTGGGACTCGAGTCAGATGGTGCAGGCGGTGCAGAGGGTACGATTGGTGAGGACGGTTCCGCTGAGGTGGCCGAGCCCGATGGTGCAACTGGCGCAGAGGGCACAGACGGTGCAGTCGTCGACGCCGACGCTAACGTTGATATCTGGGCTGGTCGAGCACCTACGGCAGCTTCCGCTTCCACTTCCACTGGTATGGCCGGAGCCGGAGCCTGGGGCTGCATCTCATACTCCTCACAGCGCTCGACTAGACTGAGATAGTAGTCAACGAGCACCTCAGGTTGGGGGACAATGCGCCACTCGACACGCCAAAGGAACTCAAGCTCCAGAAGGGCCAATTCCTCAACGCTGATACCGCCAACTCGAGCATACGTCTTGTTGGTCCAGAAGCTGTCACTTAACCCCTTGCTAGCCACCGTTGCGCTGCTAATCAGGAAACGGTGCACTGTTAAGCTGGAGATGGTGAATGCAGGGTACAGAGCGCAGAGACGGTCGATGTAGTACACCATGCTGAGCAAGATTGGAGGTGAGAGGGTAGCGTGAGTCGTAAGGCGTTGCAGGTAGTCTTGCACCGATATTCGAGGCGGCGAACGGGAGTGGAACCGAGTCAATCGGCCATCTCGAAGCGGGATCTGGTCATTGAATCTGATGAGCTCCATGATCATGCTGGAGATCAGCACAACCAGATCTCGCGGATCTGCTGTCTCATACCGCCGCGGAAGTAGCTTGACGGGTGGTTTAGCAGGCCTCAGCCGCTTAGAAGCCGATCCTTCCGGCCGCCCGTCCTCCTCCTCCACCTGCTGCCGCCGTTGCTGGTGCTGCTGCTGGTGGTGTTGCTGCTGGTGGGAAGGATTGGAGGTTGCGGACGACGGCCCTGGAGCAGCGAGTACTTTCGTCGCATCTGGAGTGTTACGTTTGGAGCCTATGGTAGTGCCTGGCATCCGTGAATTGGGACTGGTCCGCTGGGAATGTTGGTTGATACTGCTAGAGGAAGTACTAGCAGCGGCGGCGGCGGCGGCGTTCGAGGAGGGCAGGGAGACCGCTCGAGACGGCGTCGTGGGTCGAGAATACTGGGTGCCTGCATCTACGGTCTGGCGCTTGAAGGTAGTGCGCAGGAGTTCTATCTCGGGCGAGGAACAGGGGCCGCTTTCGGGTTGTTGAGGCTGCTCGGGCTGGGATTGCTCCTGAAGTTGAAGTTGATGCTGATGTTGGTGGTGCGAGGCTTGGTGTATGGGGTTGTCGAGGGGACGCGGGGCCGTTGAGCTGCTGCTGCTGCTGCTCGAGACTGCCGGAGGAGGATTGTGAGGAGGAGGAGGGTTAGGCGAGGCGCGTAGCAGCGCGGCAAGGGTTGGGGATGAAGCCATCATCGTCGCTGCGTCTCGTTGCTACACCTCCTATTCTTGCGGTTGCTGCTGCTGTTGCGCATGGAGGGGCGCACGTGGGCTAGTAGCACAGGGTGTATGGCAAGGCAGGAACGAGCTTGCAGGCCAGGGCGAGGGCGCGGGCTGCAGCACATCGAACTGCGCATCGTAGCGCGGGCGAAAGGGGGAGGATATAAAAGAGAGTGCGTATAGGCGGAAAAACAAACGATGAAGCTGAAGTTTGACGTTGCGATGTTTTTTTGCTCCTTAGGGCCTTGCCGCCTACCCCTTTGGGACACGCGGTGACGACGGGCAGAAAAAGTACCCTAAGATGACTAATATATGACTAAGACGAGTCACGTGGATAGATGGGATGACTAAGATACATGTGATTGGTTGATGCTCTTTTGGGCTAGACCGGGTCTTGCTTAGTAAGTGACATAACGCTAGCCTGTTTGGGCTCTTATGTCATCATTATGTCAGCATTATGTCATCCTTGGGGCAACGGTCTCTGGGGAAGAAGACCAGAGAGAGACGCCACGATCAACGTCTGGAGATAGCGAAAAGAGAGAGATACACGCCTGCTGCTGCTGCTGCTGCTGCTAATTGAACTTGGTATACTGCTGGGAATAACAGTGTCATATAATGAGCGTGGTGAACTAACGGCGAGAGACGCTCTCGTTGCCACACGAGCTTCGGATCTTTTGATAACCCACCGAACCGATCTCCCCCAAAACGCCGGACTCGAGCTATCTCAACCATCCACGAGCGCTCGGCCTTGGGGATAACTTACTGGAGACACTCACTGCCTCTGTATACGTATTTCTACATTGCCTTTGCTACCACCCTGTGCTCAGATTGTTCACACCTGCCGTCTTAAAATCTCCCGCCTGATAGACCTCGCCCACCGGAACCATCTCTCCTCCATATAGCAGAATAGCGGGCTGGCTACACGGCGTCGGTCTGCCTCGACTCTTGCAGGATGACGAAAGTTGTTAGCCCGCGCCTGCTTGAAGATGTCCGTAACGCGGATTCGCCTGCTGCCCGAATTGCTGCCCTACGCGCGCTCAAGAATGATATCATCGGCCATCACCAGAAGAAGCAGGCCTGGACGGAGATAGGCATCCTACCGCTCCTGTCAGATGTCCTGTCGAGTCGCCGTGGCGTGGGCAAGAAGGCAGACTATGACAGCCCGAGACAGCACCAGACGGAGGAGGATGAGATGTGCTTCCAAGCTATCACCATCATCGGCAGTCTCGCCCTTGGTACGTTTCCTCCTGTCCATAGCCTGGTTAGTCACTCTTGACTCTAATATTTATTCTCCTAACCCTAGGTGGACCGGCATACACGTCTCCAATTCTTGCCGGGGAAACCATTCCTTCGTTGCTTTCCATTTTATCCTCTCCGACATGCCCTACCTCTCTCGCCCTTGCCGTGCTTCAAACACTCAACACGATTGCCGACCAGCTCGCCCTGGTGTATAAGAATGTAGACAGCCAGACTCAGCCCATGGGGGCTCTTCTTTTCACCCGCAGACACATACCGACCTTCCGTGACATTCTCCAGCAGTCAGGTCTCGCTCCAGGGATCCAGCCATGTATCGAACTTGTAGCAGACCTAATCTCAAAGACGTGCACGGGAGAGCATCAAAAGAGCATTCTGACTGAATCCGGTGTTCTTGACGCGCTGGGCCTGAGACTGTCAACCTTTATAGTCGCAGGGGGCTTTGTTCTTCCGGGAGCAGAGAACTCTTGCACAAATCCGGGCGCATTAGGGTATATCCCTTATCCCGCTCCAGCTGATGCGAAACTTACCCCCATTCTGCGGGCCATTGCCGTGATCATCGAACAGTCTGGCGCCCGTGCGGAACATCTCCTCACCTGCCCGGCCCTGGTGACCGTGTTTCCCAAGTCATTTTACGACCCCTATCTTGGTGAGGCAAGAAAGGGCCCATGGAAATCTCCCTATTCCTCCGGTTATGGCTTTGCAAAACGCAACTTTTTGAACCCCATTGACTCTCTACTCCCTTCTGTGCCAATGCAAATTAATGGCTCCTCTAACTTCCCACCATTGGGGTCACAGCCTCAATATGATAAGCGAGGGCAATTCTTCGGGCCTCAGGTCCCCTGCGCTGAAAGCCCCCCTCCAGAAGAGCCGGAGAGTGTCCTGATATCTTGGTTACTCTACGTTGCCCGAGCAGACCGCGGATATGTTCGATTAATGGCCGCCCGTATCCTCTCCACTCTTTTCCGTGTACAGTTACTGAAGAAACACCGTGTTCGTATGCTTGGGTTTCTCTTGGTTCCCCTTTTAGTGAGAATGCTCGACAGTGCTCACCTCACTACTGAAGATTCGTCGACGTTTGAAAACTACATGAGCTCCAGCACCTTGCGCGTTAAGGAGGAAGCTCCCGCAGTTCTAGCTTCGTTAGTCATGGATAGTAAAGAACTGCAAGAGTACGCCTTCAACAGTGGAGCTATCAAGAAGCTGTCCCAGATGCTGAAAGAGTCATTCGGCCCAACATCGGAGGATGGTACTCCCATGTGGAGTGCGACGAAGAGGCCTGCCGCATCTCTATTGCAGTCGACGGATTCGGATATGGCCCTGGGACCACCTGGATTCACTCGCCAAGCTCTCTCTAAAATAAAATACCGGGAAGCCATTCTCAGAGCGCTAGCTGCGCTGTCATTGTTCAGAGATGATTACAGGAAAACCATATGCGACTATGGCGTGGTACAGCACATTATCGACTCAATGAAGCCTTGGAATCCAGAGACGACCATTCTCGGCAATAAGACTAGCATCGTAGAGCTTGAAGGGAACCCAACGCCTGTTGTACTTGCAGCTTGCGCCGCGGCTAGATCCTTGACTAGATCCGTCAGTGTGCTCAGAACCAGTCTTATCGACGCTGGTATTGCTGCACCCATCTGCGCGTTGGTGAAATCTAATGATATTGTGATCCAGATTGCCGCTACATCTGTGGTGTGCAACTTGGCCCTAGATTTTAGTCCTATGAAGGAGGTATGTATACGTCCACCAGTAACCGTCCATTCACATAGTTAAGAGACGCCCAGGCTAACTTCTTTGTTTGCAGGCTCTTCTCGAGGCAAATATGATACCTATTTTGTGTGAAAACTCCCATTCACCTAATGCAAATCTTAGAATAGAATCCCTCTGGTCTCTCAAACATATTTCTTACAGTGTGCCAAATAAGACAAAGAAGGACATACTGGAAGATCTCGGCATTGAGTGGATCAAGGAGGTCCTATCTCACGACCCTAATGATCCGAGCAATTATAGAAGGAGGCAAGACGAAAGCACGAGCGGGATGCCCTCGTCGCTTATCGAAATGGGCGCTGCCAATTCATTTGGCGAACAAGTGGATATTCTCAACCCAATGACAATGAACAGTGGCCTGGAATCAGAGGCTCCTGTGCTGGACTTCGAGTCCTCAAAGTCTCCCCTGGATGCACTTTCGGCTGAGAATATCAGGAAACGCAAGCTAATTCTGAATGGCGATTTGGATCAAACCAAGAAACTTCGACAAGACGATACCCTAGCACAGGAAGAACTATTCGATCTACTCCGGAACATCATGTGTGGGCCTGGAGCGCCTGATATGATCGACTATATACTTCAGAAACTCGGCCAAGGGGACTTTTTAGATATCCTAGCTGACAAACTTCGCCCGAGACCATTTCCCACTACCACCGCCATCTCCAACCCTCCTACTATGTCCGGTTTTAAAGATAGTAGATCACAAATCTCTCACCAGCAGCAACAAAAAACGATACTCCACCCCACCGAAATCATTCGCGCCGTAACTTACGTTCTCATCCACATTGCTGCAGGCTTCTCACGGCACCGCCACCTCCTGGTTTTCCATCAAGACCTACTAAAACTAACCATGGCCCTCCTAAACCACTCCAACTGGCAGATTCGAGCCAACTGCGTCTGGATTGTAATAAATCTCACGCTTGACGATGATAAGACTGACCGACCGAGCCGTGTCGAGCGAGCGATGAGGCTTAAAAGTCTAGGCGTGATGGAGCGCCTGAGTAGCTTGGAGATCGACAGTGAGGCTGATGTTCGGGAACGGACTAAAACAGCTTTGGATTGGATGAAGGCACTCTTGGGACAGTAGCGTTTCACATTACATCTTCTAAAATAGCTTATATTGGCCCTTTAACTGACCCCTTCCTAACACATCCGTGTGCATATCTATAATTTCGTTCTATAGAGTACACATTCTCTGATCCTTTTTCTTCCTTTCACAGAACTTGATACGGCGTCATCGGTCACGCTATATGGCACTCTTATGCCACCCCGTTCTTCCCTTTCGTTAGTTCTCTTATTAATACAGACCTGAGTGGAATCGTCGCACATTATACAAGCCCATGGTACTAGACATGTCTTCGTAGTAAACAACTCGACTATCGGCTCATATGTCTCAGTAACTCACAATTAACGTATGTGCTTGGTGGAAGTATCACAGAACTGAAGCTCTTGTAATAGGAGCTGTTATCAATATATTATCCCTACAACCTCGTAGGAATTGTAATAAACTACGACTAACCACGTGATAAGCAGTCGAACGATGAGCTCATAACTGGGATATATAAACAAGGTTGAAGTTGCATGGTCAACGACACTTCAAGCAAATGTTTCTAATGGTCCGCTCTGGGAATAGACAACATTACATACATCTTTAATAAAAAATGTCACGCTCAACTGGTCAAGCCCCCAAGTCCATCCTCCGTGCCCTTTCTCTACCTTTAGATGGATCTGGGACTTCCTTCAAGTCTCTCCACGGGGGATCTGGGTTTGCTCAAACAGGTCATCTTACGGCTTCAGTACCTTGTACTAGCAAGGATGGTAACGGTGTGGGGGGCGAGAGACATTACTTTGTGAAGATATCGTCTTCCACTCCCGCTTCAGATATTGACCTTGACGGGGATGTGGACCCATTACCAGAAGAAGCCGCGATGTTCAGAGGCGAGTTTACAAGCTTGAATGCGATTGCTGAAGCCGTCCAGGATATATGTCCGAGGGCCATTGCGTGGGGTAGCTTTAAAGATGGTGATGACCATGAGGAACTATCCACTCCGCAAACTGATGCGTCAAGCTGGTTCCTCGTCACGGAATTCTTACAGCTTGGTGGCATCGGACGCCGGTCTGCTCTAGGCTCAAGCTCGCTAGCAGTTCGACTGGGGAAATTGCATTCTATCCCGGCGCCATCTCCGCCAACTCGTGAAGAGGTTCAACAGGCTGCGAAGACAGACTTCAGGCTTAATGGGCCAGAGGGAGATGGGGAAGATAAAACCCCTCAGTTTGGATTTCCAGTACCTACATTCTGCGGGAATGTGAAGCAGGCTAATCAATTTCGGCGCTCGTGGGCTGACTTCTATGCAAACCAACGTCTGAGGACCGTTCTTGCAGAGGCCGAAAAGAGGAACCATCAAGATAAAGCTCTACGGAATCTAGTTGAGAGAGCCGCTGACGAAGTAGTTCCTCGATTATTAGGTGATGGGCACCTCGGATTTGATAAAAAAGGTAAAGGAACGCCAGTGGTTCCAGTTATAGTCCATGGAGATCTTTGGAGTGGAAATACCGATGTGGGAAAGATATGTAGGGCGCCTCAAGAACAAGATTCCTGTCAGGATGAGGAGGTTGGGGATGTGGTATATGATCCATCATCTTGCTATGCGCATAGTGAGTTTGAATTGGGGATTATGCAAATGTTTGGCGGGTTTAGTGGTCAGTTTTATAAGGACTATCACCACATTGTACCAAAAACGGAGCCGGTAGAGGAATACCAAGACAGGATTGATCTATATGAGTTGTCAGTTATGCGCACTGCCCTTTTTCTCTATTCTTGATCTTTTTATGACAGAGGCAGTTTATCTTGCTGACGCTGGCACATACTAGGTATCACCAGCTCAACCATTATGCCATTTTTGGTGGCGGGTATGGCTCATCTGCCATGTCAACGATGCGAAGACTGTTGAAGAAATACGGTAAATGATGAGCTTATATATTTAGACCAGCTTCTAAATCGAAAATATGGTCAAGGTACCCCTTTGCCAGCCCTGGTTGCCTTTGCCAGTTCACTCTGAGCCACATTGTCTGCATATCGTTTATAAATAGGCAGAGAGCGTTCTTTATCGCTCATAGTGGAGGCAACACTTTCCCTTGTCTCGACCTCTACCTTCCACTTTCTCCACCTATTCCATACAGCTTCATCTTCCCCTCCTTCTCCCGGAGCCGGTAACCTCAAGCCACCTTTCTTATAATGGTCAATAACCCAAAGCCTAATCGCCAGTGGTGCCAGCATGATATCTGGCAACATGAATTCCTTTCCGTGGAAAAAGGGACCAATCTCATCCATAGCAAGTGTGAATTCTTTTAAATGACCTAGAAGTTCTTTCCTTGCTTTGTTCAATCCCTCGTCGTCGCCCTGGTGTTGCAGGAATCTATAGTAGGACGGCGTAATCCGCGAAGTCACATAGTCAATCCAAATGCGCCCTCTTGCCTTTTGATACGGGTCTGCTGGGTGCAATGGTCGTTCTGGATTGGGAAATGCATCTTCAAGAAACTCGTTTATCACGGTGGACTCGTATATCGGTTTAATAACAGTTGATCCGTCGGCCAGGAGTGTTGGGCAGGCCAGTGTTGGCACTAAGCCTCGTGGGTTGAGTGAAAGAAGTGATGCCGGTTTTTTATAAGGGTTTACTTCAATGTATTGGTATGAAATTTGTTTCTCTTCAAGGACAATCCATACTCGCTGAACTAGGATATGTTAGTTCCACTGGTCGTAATTGGTTATTATGCAAAAAAATTCGTAGGATATATCATACCGAACCTATGCTCAGGTCAATATATCATTCATTTATCAATGAAACTCTAATGAAAAGGAGTGGAATAAAACGTAGCTGTAGCAGGCAAAGAGCATTGTCTTTTTTTCATATTTATTTTAAAAGCTGCTCATATAAAGGAATGGAAGCTAGGACATACGGGCAAAACCAGCCTGAATAGAGCTTGATAGGCTGCTCTGAAGAATGTCTGTCTACAACCTCCTTGGCTGGGCCGGTTGCAGTTGGGTAGATATCAGCATCAGGAGGCAGCCCCATGTTTGTCTCTGAGGTACCCTTTCTCCGTATCTTTGAATGTATCACAAGTCCTTAGGTGATTTGATATCTTTATATAACCCAGAGGTACGAGCTATCTGCAATGTTTATATTATTAATCATGAGGTCATAACAAACTATACGGTCTCGGAGGGCGTATTATAAGGTTTAGAGGTATATAGATGAAAAAAGGCCACGGGAGGGAAATCAGTAGTTGTGTTATGAAAATGATACTATAGAGTACTATCCTAAAAGACGTATAGAGGGCATCAGGGTATATCTTATTAGAAGTTGATAATTAGGCCTTGACCATTATATGTTAGCGAGGATCGAGAGCTATTTAACAAGCTGTATACTAGTTAACAGAGAAGGAAATCTCCTTGCAGGCCTCGTTGGTATCCAAGATGAAAGGAAGTCCGCCATGTTAGTTGAGAAATAAATAAAGCGCTACAAATTAATTCTATAAACTCAATTGTCTCAATATCTCCTGTCATTCAATAAACATATCCTCGAAGTCTGCAATCACTTACCTTTGTTTCGGGTTGTCTTCTTTCACCGGTATTTATTCGTTTACCAGAATTTGGACCCTTAACTCTGGGTTCCTTTGAATACCAGTAAACAAAGGTTCCGGTGTCCGCTTGTGGCTCTCTTTGTCGTTCATATAAATACCAGTATACCCTTCCGCTAAATCCTTATAGGAAGCGTATCTTGTTCCATTTTACACAAAGGTCGCTAATTTATGTTAACTTAATATACTTCATACTTCCATTATATTATTATATTACTATAACTAGAAATATCGGGTTTAAGCCTATATATCTGCCCAAATGTTCCATTGTGAGAGCTGTGAGCTGCCTATGGCCTCGGAAGAGACATACCAAACCCATACCTGCAATGGAAATGCAATGATCGGCCCTGCACGCCACATTGGAAGCCGTGGCTGGTCCAACCCCCAGAATTATATTAGGTCAGATGAAGCGTATGTTCTCCTCAGTATGCTCTTAAACCAAAACTAATATAGGTATAGGGGGATTCATAATCAAGTTGTTGGCTCAAGCAGTGTATTAAATCATAATACAACCCAGGGCCACTTAGATTTCGGCTCTCGAGATGGCCCTCGCGAGGCCACGGTCCAAGAGATGGCTGCACAAAACATAAATCGAACCACTGTGGGAAGACTTCTAGACCTTGACGACGAGATGGACGGTGCACAAAAAAAGGATATAGTGACTCAAATGAAGATCGCAATTGAGAACTGCAACACGTTTCTTATAAACCGCCGCCCCACCCAGGCTCAGACGGATATAAGTCATACTCAAGCTATATCAGAGGAGGGAAAAGGAGGCCAGGGGTGCAGTACTTCGAGTTATGTGCCAGCTAGCAGCCCCGCAAGCTCGAATGAGCGGAAAGGGCCTATGTGCAGCCCTTCCAGTCCACCACAAAAACCCTCCAAACGGATTTCGACGGCAAGCCACAGGATTATCTGTTATCAGTGTGAAGCAGGCTTTGACACAATCATAGGCCTTCAGCATCACCAGATGATTGAAGAACACAATTATTGCGGCATATGCTACGCCTACTTTGCAGATGGGAGATTCCTGGACAAGCATATGGAAGTCGCGCACAGTTTTAGGTGTCCTACATGTGCTTCAACATTCAGTAGCCCCAGCGTACTTTGGGGCCACCAAGAAGCCACAGAACATGGGTTTTGCAGTGTGTGTTGTTGCTATTTCCAGGCTGAGGACGTCCAGAGAAGACACAACTTCATGTATCATATGCGTGTGCCGTGTCCAACTTGTCAGCAGATTTTCCCGACACAGCTGGAATTAGAACAACACCAGCGAATAGCCCAGCATTGCTACTGTGGGCAATGCGACAAGATGCTGGATAGTCAAATCGGGTTTGACATGCATGTAACAACGTCGCATGCTCACAAGTGCACCGTTGTCGGGTGCTACTTTTCTGGGGCGAACCTGGAGATCCTGAAAGACCACCAAGAGCGGGAGGGTCACAATTTCTGTCCACCATGTAATCGTGCTTTTGCAGATGCCCTTGCCCTCACCAGCCATATCAAATCCGAGAAGCATCTGAAGAGAGTCCGGATTGAACTAGGCGAGAATAGCAAAACACATGCCTGAGAGGTCCAGGAAGTGCTCGGATCGGAATCTATATTGCATATTGGATTGTATCTCAGTCTCATTTAACTGTTCGGCATCGTATCTGGTAACTTGATGAGGATATCTCTGCACTTTTGGAAGGGATATAAAGGCCAGGGGGTATCTCTGTGATAATAGTCTTTAAGGACATATAGCCGCGGCAACACTATATTAACTGATTAGTTTATATATAGATATTGCCTGTAACTCGCTTAATCTGCTAGAAGAGAGCGCGATCATGCTAGAGAATAAGAAAACCGGAGTTATAATAAAAGATGTCGTGGATGTAAAATCCCAGAAGTCTGGAAGTGGCCGGCCGGAATTACTTTATCCCGCGCATCAACTTCGCCGCGAGCTTCGAGAGTTTGTAGAGCTATCCAACACTTGAATTCTTTGAATGCCGTTGTCCATGACATTGGAAGATGTCGCCAACAGGGAATGAAGGAGCTTCAGAAGCGCCAGAGGTGGCTGGACAACCTGTAGCGCCTCATCCGTCCTTTATACAGGTCGCAAACCCATATCTATTTGAAAAGACGGTTCAGGATTGCTTTGCTGCTACGGGGGTAAATTCTCTCCGAGAAGATAACAATCGGCTCCAAGGAATCACCTGGATTGATAATGTTCGCAAGGCGCTTCACTTGTATGTCACCCCATTTTCTGTTATATTGCCGTCCCTCCGGCCGTTATGTTCGACCGCTGATTCATATCTCCAGGCCTGTTCGGACGTTCAACACAGCGTCCATTTATTATCACAAGTTTCGCCTGGTCCATCCAGACAATGAGTATAATTACATAGTATGTACTCCCGTCATGTTATGCCGAGGCCAGCATGCACTCTTAGATGTCCCACTGCTCACTAGATTACGCGCAAAGGAAGCTGCTGCATCGGCATTATTTACCGCGTGTAAGATCGAGGACACGCTCAAGAAATCCAGAGACATCCTGTGCTGCTCATACAATCTCAAACTCCCTCCAACAGAGCAACTATCTGCGGATGATCCAGTATGTCTTCTATCGAGAGCCCTCTAACTGTTCTCACATGGATTTACCACTCGTACTAACTATCCCACTAACAGATTTTTGAATCCCATTCTCGGGCTATCATTGGCCTTGAGAGGCTGATGTTGGAGTCATCTGGATTCGATTTTCGAAACCGTCATCCTCAAAAGGTCCTGATGAAGCTTACACGGCAATGCGGCCTTGGTAAAGACTCGAGAGTGGGACGAGTCGCCTATACAATCAGTTTGGATTTGTATAGAACATTCGCTCCACTCAAACAAACGTCGGCTACAATGGCCTTCGCCTGCCTAGAGTTAGCGGGCAGGCTGCTCGAAGAGCCAGTAGAGCAAATCGATTCGGAAGCAGAATATAAGCTGTGGGAAACGTCGCGCGCAGAAGTGATGGGTATGAGTCTACTCGCCTTAGCCTAGTTTTTATTCGTTCTCGTTCGTTATTCTAACTTGGTTAATTTCCAGAAACTATCCTCGATTTGCTCGAGCTATACACGCATAACCGTGCATCGACCTCAGTCGGGCCCGACTTCTCCCTTGACCTGTTCCTCAACGTCCGTATCCCGCTAAACGAGGAAGCAGACGCCAACCAGATTCCCCGATTTGCTTACTGGAAGAAGAGAAAAGCGGATAGTAATGGCGTGCAATCAAATGGCACATCGTCAAAGAAAGCTAAGAACAACCACCACCACCATAATAAGGATACCAACGACACATCCACGTCTACCGAACATCCCGCTCTGCTCGTGAACCCAATGATGCCCACTGCAGCTCACGACTCTGTTGCGAAGGCTAACGAACGCAGCCGAGACACGGCAATTCGATTCATGCTGAACCCCGAGCAAGCGCAGTCAGAACGCGCGACGGTAGCAGAGTACTTCAAAGTCGAGATGGAAGAATACGAAGTGGAGGAATAAGCCAATCTATGGAAGCGAACGTACAGCAATCGAATATGTTTAGCATTCTATTCTATGCCAGGACTCGAGAATTTTCCGAATTCACTGTTCTCGTTTGCCTGGCAGCAAAGCCAGGTCGACCACGAACGATATCAATGAGCAGCCTCTTCCTGCGGGAAGAGGCACACAAGTCATTGATATGCCGGGTAAACGCTAGAACTAGGCTACCGTGAAGGAGCCGTCCCATGCCTACACGTCGACGAAATTTGACATTAGAGATGAGAGTGGCCTACAGGCATGTCAGTTACTTGCAGCGTTTAGGAGGTCTTGGATGATTATATTATCGCCATCCTGTTACGCCCGAACCGTGAAGCCTCAAGATTATTGAGGAAATCAACCTTCCAGGAGTAGCAAGGGCTGTCTGGGGACTAATTCTGGAATTTATGAAATCCGGCTGCCTTCGAGCCTTACCTTTGGAAAGATACCTGTTTATTGGGAACATCCACGAGGAAATAACAGATAGCCCAATCTACAAAATGTATAGATAATTGATCGTGGTGGCCCTAGGGATAGATAACGGATATGTATGTGTCGAGAATCCGTGGAGGGGCATAAAGAATGGAAACCACGAAATAGTAAAAAAAAATAATAAGTATTTATTAAAAAAACAGAGCTAATTTTCGTTTCATGAGAAGTAAAGCACACCCATCGATCTTCTTCCGCGCACATGCTTTGAATACATACGAAAAGCAGGAAAGAACGCGTTGAAAAGAGAAGAAAGGAGAAAAGATCCACGTTCGAATGAGAAGCCTATACAGGATTGTAATAATGCACCGGTTATCTTTTGGGTCAGGGAGAAGAGGAATGAAAGATGCGATAAAAAGATTAAGAGAGTCCCAAAATGTCCGTCAAAGGTTTGTTGAATGATACAAGTCGAAGTAAGATAAACCAGCAGATAAAAACGGGTCGTAATAGGGTCTGCAATATGTCAATGTCGTGGCTGCTGGCCCATTCTAGGATCAGAGAAAAGAAATCACCGGCGGAGTCGTCTATAATCGCCGCTCAAACACTCCACGAGCTGCTAGAATGTCAGTGAACCTGTATATCTGTTAAGACTTTGGGTTGCTAGACTAACCGATTCGGAGACAACCCCTTGATTGTACAAGTATTTGCTTAACCCCTTGATAAGCTCTATTTGTTCGTCAACTGTTAGACCGGTAATGGCGCTCTCAATAACCCCTCCAACACTGGCCTTGTGAACTACGATAAAGCTGTGGTAGTACATATAGGCAAACAGGCCCATGATGAATTGGCAGTCCATTCGATCGGTGATACCGCCGTGACCAGGAATTGACTCGCCAAAGTCTTTGATTTTGAAAGTACGCTTCAGTCCAGAAGCGAAGAAGCCGCCGAATGGAGCAATAAGGGATGCGAATGTGGAAAAGACAAAGACATGGAATTGCACCGGAGCAATATGGAAGGTCCTGTTAAGGTGTGTCCACTCTGGCAGGGTGTATGGCTGGGATTTGAAGACCGGGTTCAGTGTGCACTCGAGTCCTGTCAGGAGGTTGGAGCCTAAATCATTGACTGGGCAGGTGAAGTACTTGTACCGCGACAAGATGATTGTCGCACCGTACCCAAAGATAATAGTGCAGATCCAGGCGCCAACGAAGCCTTCGACAGTTTTCTTCGGGGATAATTTGATCAGTTGCGTTCGGCCAAAGGTAATTCCGCAAATGTAGGCGAAGATATCATTCGTAACCACGAGTGACACGGGGATGCAGAACCAAATCAACCCTTCGAAAATGTTGTTCAATACAAAGTGTGCCTGGACAACAATAAGGTATAGGGCCATGTGTGTCCATGCAAACTGTGTGAACTGGAACTTGTAATGGCCCTTCTGTAGGGTTGCAACAAAAAACACAAAACCTAGAAGCAATGTTTTAGCCTTATATGTCATCCCAGGTGCAAGTATGTGTAAAGTTACCTATAAGATATAGCATGAAGCTAATAAACCGATGATGCGTCGCAAAGGGCAGCAGGATTCTATCAACAAGTAGAATATGCTTGAAGTAATAGAGAACGCTCTCTCCATATAGAAAGTACATGGTTGTCACAAGAAAGTACCAGTTAAGAGACTTTGTGAACTTGAGGTTTCTGGCTTTGCTGGGGACGTTGGCTATCGCGATAACCTCCTTGAAAGACACAATCTGGACTGCGGTGACAACAATGATCAGATAAAGATGGCCAGCAAATATGATGACGAAGAAGCCAGCTATCATGACAAAGGTCCATATTGTTCGTGTGATAAAGGTCTGTCTTTTCTTCTCGGAATCGGAGAGCGACTGCTGCTCTTTCTCGGATTTAGTCTGCTATTAACAACACCGGTGTCAGCAGAAGGTAACAACCACACGCGGTGCTATAAAACCTAGGGTTCAACATACTGTGACCGCCATCTTCTCATGTACCGGGTTAGTGTCTTCTCTGACGGGGCTCTGGGCTTCTGAAGCGTCACTCTCGTCCGACGAAGGATAGTTCGTAGCCTCCGGGCTTTCTGCTGGAGGGACTTGCGCGCGGAGATTCCTCCTGCTTTTGCCCATAACTTAGATCTCGTAGCTCGCCGGTACCATTAATCTATATGTTCTATGATGGAAAGTTAGCCAAGTTATTCCTCCATTAAATGTGGGCAGTTTTGGGCTATCAAGCCGGTGCCCTGGGGATGCTGGCACGAGGGACTTTCAGGGGGAACGAGGAGCGAGAGAGGAGGTACCTAGACAGCGCGACTCTTCCTTTGGATCCGCAGAAGATTAAAACCAGGTGCAACTAGCTAGAAAAGAGAGCAGCGCGGCGGGTGGTGAAGCTGTGTTTCTTCATTGCAACTTGGTGATTTTGATGTTGAAGTGGATCGCGCCCAGCGTGCTAGATTGGTCAGCGCGACTACTTATGATCCTTCTACACATCTTTTGCCTACACTTACGCAAACCGAGTACACTTGGGTAGAGGCCAGCCAGGCATCAGGGGCCTGTCGATTGCGAAGTGCCCAAGGCCGGAAAAAGCCCAATCAAAGTGGCGGACAGGGTTGAAGCTGAGGTCGAAAGCCCTGCGCCCCGAGCTGCGCCTCAGATCCTCCTCGAGCAATCGCATGGGATGAAGCAGACAAGAGCAGATCGATGGAATGGAGGACGATAAGGACGATACCTTTTGGGATGACGGGGTCGATGACTCGGCCTACGACGCGCTCCTTGAGCTTGAACAAGATGCATATCGAGCAACGCAGCAGGACGCCGTTGCCCGGCCCATAGGACCCCCCGCTTCACGGCCTGTCCGGCCTTCGTTAATGCGACATTCCACCAGCAATACCTCAAGCAGCACTGTCGAACAGAGGAGAAGAAGGCTAAATCCCTCTCAGCACCTCCGGCCTGCACTGAGTTTTGGAGATACAGATTACCAGCAGTGGGATGCCAGCGTACTTGATAAGGATGACGGGCTAGACTTGATCGATGAACAGGATGCATTACTGGAAACGCCTGGAGAATCTGGTGAAGGGGACGGCAGACAGCCGCTCTATACCAGCACATCCCTAGGCCCAGGGCAATGGCGCCGAATTACAGCAGATGAGCCTGGGGTGACCGTGGAGCCTGTGCAGGCACATGGTTTGGCGGGAAGCCATGCTGAGACTTCGTTTAACACGGGCGCGTACGAGTCTGTACAGCTGGAAGAGTTGAAAGAGCAGATCGAACAGGTACGACTCCCTCGGCCGCCTTTATGTGATGTATATGGCTCTCTAACTATGTTTCAAAAAAGCTCAACCGGGAACGAGAAAGGCTCTCACAGGAGCTAGCAGCTGCAACGGCTGCAGAGGAGGCACGCGCTGGAGAAATTGCTATTATCCGAGCAAACCAGGTAAAGGTTGAGAAGAACCATAGCCGTCAAATAAGTGCCATGAAAAATGCCATGGATGAGGAAACCAAGAAGTACCGGGCTGAAGTCGAGGCTGCGTTGATGGAAAGCAAACGCCTCATTGCCGAAAACCGATTTCTTAAACATGATTTGCAGGAAGAAGCCCATCGGGCTTCTAAGATGCAGCATAGTTTTCGAAGCAAGCCCAAGAATGACAACGTACCTACGACACCGAGGAAAAGCAAGTCGCTACCTCTTAGAGATGGATTTGATGATGATGAGCTCATGGCGTCTCCTACAAAGTCCGCGGGGAGGAGATCTAAACGCGGAACGCCAACGACTTCGAACAAGCGGAAGCGTGCAGTGGATGATTCCCCGATACCTGTTGCACTCCAACTTAGCCAAGCTCTTGAAGCCAATGCTAATGATGCTGGAAATGATGAAGTAGCCGGAGAGCAGGCTCTTGAGAAGCGCCAGCAGCAGCCTAAGCGAGAGGACCGCAATATGCGGTTTATGCGCCACATTCTCAACCACCGGACATACCCCAGAAAAGCTCCTGATATAGAAGTCTTCTCTAGTTTAGCTTTCCCATCCGACCCGGACCGCAAGTTCTCGTCGATTATCATACAATCCATCACCGCGCATAGCTCTAACAACTATGCGGTTGACTATACCAAGGCCATAGCTTCATTATGGTCTCGCTCATTAAAAGAGCACTTCCACTCTCCTATTGCCCTGTTTATGTCAATAGTGAAATTTATACTTCACTTAGACCTCAACGCCCTTGCCCCATGCCTTATCGAATCCATTGTGCCGGTGCTACAAAACTCTGGCTACATCAACGGCGTACCTCGATTTACCAGTTCCCCCGTGTCGCATGAAAACTTAGGGAAGATCAAGAAAACACCGCAGAAAAAGCTGGACCACCGCGTTAGCTCCACCGAGGCACTCGAGATCCTCTATCTGATTGTTAGCGGCTGTCAGCAAAGTCGACAGGCGCTGGAACTCTTCTGGCGCTGCGTAGGCTATGACTTCATTCTCATCATGTTAAATTCTTACCAGCAACTGAATGACATCATCCTCACATTGAAGATACTAGCTTGCGGCCAGCTAACGAATACCTTTGGCCCAATCTGTGACTCTGAGTCCCAGCAATTAGAGCACGAAAAATACATCATTGACCGCGCTGCTAACCTCCTTAGCGAACTCCCTTCTGCTGACGAGGGCGAGGAGCCATACACACCGTGGGAGATAAACACATTACGCGTAGAAGTCATGTCGTTCCTAAACGAAATCGCCTTTTCGTGTCCCGATCCGGCGCAGAACCGCATCGGTAAAATGATTGCATCCCATCCGAGTGCTTTAGCTCGAGCCTTCCGCGCTATGCATGATGAGCTCGATGCTTTGTACTCAAATCCGCCAGAACGGGATTTGCACGCCACCGTCGTCAATGGTCTGACTCGTCTGGTATATGGTATTATCAAGTCGTTTCCTACCCTGGTTGATCTGCCGTCGCGGCTACGTGCGGTGCCTGGTGCAGTACAGAAACACCTTGTCGTGTTGACTCGTTTGGCGTTTAGTGAAGGGCTGTTGTTGGAAGCCGGGATTCTCGATGAGACTGTTGAGATGGCTCATGAGATGCTGGAGGATGCGGTTAACCCCCAGGAGGCAGAGGCGTTGCTAGAAGCGTTTCGGTCGACCAAGGGGGATGAGTGATCTTCTTCAACTCAGGCTGACGTTCATTCTGCATCTCGAGGTATTGCTGAGCATTTGAACAGCTTGACAAATGCTAACCCAGGGACTCCACGTCCCTCGGGTCAGTAAAGAATGCCGTTGCACCTTCTAGCGGAGTAGCTTCGAGCGATATCATTCTCGCCAGGCCGCCGGTGTCTGATCTACTTCTGCCATATTGCATATACCAGGTGAACTTTGGTTTAAGCTGGAGTTATGATTTGTTGGGATAGATTCTTTTAACTTATTTGCAGTGAACTGGGGCAAACTAGCATATTTTAGACAGGACGCCAGCAGATTCCGGATTGTACCATTCAACGGGTGAATTTCCTTCACTGAATGAAGCCAATTCCCGCGTTGTATCTATAAAAGCTCACCTATTCCTCTTCTCCTCTCTTTGGTTTAACAGACCACTACTTAGCTGAATTCTAAACAGTAAGTGGTCTTTGTGAATATGTCAGCTTGAATATATTGTTAACTGATCATCTTCAGCTGCATCTACAAACCACTACAAGCCAACCTATTCTCTTGAGTCTCCTTTGAACCAAGGTACATCATGCTTCTCAAGACAAGGCAGAGGCAGAATTGTCTGACACTTTCTATAGGCCAACACCATGTGTGAACAATGGGAGATACACTATTCCTGTGGCTGCAACTTTACATTGAGACGGGACAGCAATGGCTGTGATGGAAACTGTGCAGCTGCAAATATCATAATTCTCCCTGATGACGAGTACTCTGGGGAAATATGTGGGGATTGTAGATGTGGCCCTGTGTTTCCTTCTCCTCCCAGCAGCGAGGAAGCGGCTTCGGATGAAGAAGGGGAGGAGGAGAAAGGCGAAGGCGAAGGTGAAGAGGTGGAGGAGAAATAGCTTGTATTAGGAGGCAGTTTGGATATCCCTACGCCGTACACTCTTCATTGATTCAGTGAACACATTTCTTTGAGCCGTGTATGATCTTTATCCTCGATGTTTAAACAGAGGGTTCAACGGCTTCAAATCCCAGATCCAACGCACCAGCTACATAGTAAATAACAAACTTTGGATACAGAACCTTTATACTGCAGAAATCAAGTATCAGCCAACCACTTAACTAGCCTATTGATTCTACTTCCTTGACCCCTGGCCTATCAGTTCCGCGATGTTGTACTCCACAGTAGCACAAACTGGCCATGGACCTTCGTCGGCAAAACAACCCCAGAAGCCAGGTAAACAAGGCTCGATCGTCCATATCTCCATGCCTCTTCGACGTCCGACTGATATCGTGGGTCAAGCTGTCTACCCCTGGATCGGTCCCAGGGGCTTAGTGATTTCCACAATTCCGCAGCCACCATCCATTGGTTCCCTTCCGATCCGCTTCCAATAATTACAGACAGCAGGGCAAATGAACATCCACCTAAATGTCCATGCCACCGGGTTGCAGCCAGTGGCAGCAGCTTTGATTGTGTTGGGCCTAGTTAAAACTGCAATGACGTTGTCAGGAGGTGCCTACTTGAGATTTTATCTTGCAGCCTGAGGATCCTGACTCCGCGGTTCAACAGGATAGACATCGGGGAGAGAAAAGTCTCTCGCTTAGTATTTTTCCGATCTATCCCTGTTGATCGTTGATCAGGCCGTGGCAATGGATCCAGCGACGTTTGTTGATCCGAACCTGACGCAGCCGGACCTGTTGGTTCTCAAGTGCTTGCTGCGAGATATCGACGAAGTACGGTCGAAACAACCGAGCCTGACGACCAATGGCAACGGCCACGCCAATGGATCGAGTACTGGCTCCAGCACGCGAGATGCGACTAAAGGTAAGTTTCTACAGGTTCCCCAAGCTCTGAATGGCCTGTAACTAAGAGTTTTTCCAAGAAGCCGCAAGCTTCCGGGGACCGTCCCGAGACGACATCAAAGACGACAAAGAAACCATCGAGTACCTGAAGAACCTCAACGATCCGGCCCACGACGACTTCGATCCCACCGTCTTCGTCACCTGGGATACGCAGCGGCTCCCGTTCCCGGCCGTCGTGCAGCAATGGCTGATCAGGCCGTATATCGCCATGGCACGCAAGCTCGTCCGCGTTGAGACCGACGTGGCCATGTTCTCGCATCTCCAGCTATACTTCACTACTTCGGTGCCGAGCGCTATACTGCTGTTTTACCACTTTACCTGGGTGCACGGCATACTGCACTGGCTCATGCAGTCGTGGTATATGGGCACATACACGCTCATGATGCACCAGCACATCCACATGGGCGGAGTGCTGAGCAGGAAGCTCTGGCTGGTTGACTATGTGTTTCCGTACATCACCAACCCGCTGATGGGCCATACGTGGAACTCGTACTATTACCATCACGTCAAGCATCATCATGTCGAAGGGAATGGGCCCGAGGATAGATCTTCGACACTACGGTATCAGCGTGACGAGTTGGTTGACTTTCTGGCATACGTGGGCCGCTTCTTGTTTCTGGTCTGGATCGACTTGCCGGTCTATTTCTTGACCAAGGGGAAGTACGTGATGGCTGGGAAGGCGGCGTTCTGGGAGATGGGGAACTACGCCGTGCTGATATCACTGTTTACGATGGTGAACGCGAGGGCGACGGTGTTTGTGTTTTTGCTGCCGTTGCTGCTGATGAGGATTGGGATGATGGTAGGCAATTGGGGACAGCATGCGCTTGTCGATGAGATCGATCCTACCTCCGACTACCGCTCGAGTATCACCCTCGTCGATGTTCCGGTACGTTCTTCCCCTTGAATCTCAAAACGTTGTGCTAACCCGCGTTATAGAGCAACCGGTTCTGCTTCAATGATGGCTACCATACATCCCACCACCTCAACCCCCGGCGCCACTGGCGAGACCACCCGGTGGCCTTTTTATCGCAGAAAGCCCGCTACTCCAACGAACAGGCACTTGTGTTCCGCAACATCGACTATATCATGATGACGGTCAAGCTGCTGCAGAAGGACTACATGCATCTAGCCAAGTGTTTGGTACCGATTGGCGAGGAGCAGATCAACATGAGCATGGAGCAGAGGGCAGGGATGTTGAAGCGGAAGACGAGAAAGTTCAGCGAAGAGGAGATATCAAAACTGTACGGTAAAGCATAGAGGATACTTGCTAGATGGGTCATGGCCATACAGCATAGCGTTGCATACATTTGTATTTACAAGATCAATATTTATTACAAGATGAATATTTACATACAATAATCTGGCTCTACTGAACATTAAACTGTCTAACATTATATCTATTGCAAACCAAGGTCGAAGCAGTTGGCGTAGTAGGAGACGGTAGCGGGCCAGTCAGAGAAGATGCCAGCAACACCGACCTTTCTGGCCAGGGCATCGACCACACGATAGATGTCTCCGTCGTCCTTGATTCCCCTGGCAATGGAAGAGTAGTAAAAGTCACCGTTGGCAAGGACCTTGTTCAGTGGTCCAGAACGCTCAAGGGACCAAGTAGTAAGCTTGATACCAGCCTTCTTGGCCGCAACGGCATAGTCGGACGCCACAATCTCGTTGCCCTCGAGCTTAAGCAAGGCGTGGAAGGCAGGAGAGAGAGTGTTGACGCCGCTCTTCTTCAGCTGGGCCATGCCGGCGATGGCAGCCAGGGCACCCGCAGGCGTATCTGGGCGAGAATCCAGATACATGGCCTGCTTAGCATAGTCTGCATCGTGCTTGTTCCAGAAGTAGATGTCCTGGACGGAGAAGGACTGGAGGAAGACTCGGCTGGGATCGATGCGAGCGGCGCGGTACTCGTCTATCATCTGCTGCGCGTACTGTTCCTGCGAGTACTCTCCTTCAAACGGCATCGGCACCTCGGGCGCCTTCAGCTCGGGCGTGAACTTGAGGCCGAACCCGTCGACGATCTTGATGTATTCCTTGTGCGAGTACAGTTCTCCGCAAGTGGAAGCGTACAGATCGGTGCGGAAACGAGCAGTACCATCCATGTACTCTGCAGCCGTGGTGGCCTTGGGGTTGAAGCCGTCCATCTTGCCGCAGAGAGACTTGAACTCGGCCAGGGAGATGTCGCTGGTGCAGCATTTGGCGGAGGCGGGCTTGCCGTTGGCTGCTGGCTTGAAGGGCTGGGTGCATTTGGCAGCGAGCGCAGGGACGGCGAGGATGTTGGTGGTGGTGTGCAGGTCGCACTGGGAGTGGCGGCAGACGAGCTGGCGATCCTTGGTGAAGGCCACATCGCACTCGAGGATGCCGGCTCCCATGCGCATCGCGGCCGTCAGACCGGCCTTGGTGTGTTCGGGGAACTGCAACGGCGCGCCTCGATGGCTGATGGCGAAGTCGGTCGTGCGCAGTTTCTTGTTGCTGCACGATGCCAGCTTGTCCTTGAGCGGTCCGGCGGGCATGAGGTCGACGAGGAACTGAGGCCTGACGCCGACCTGGATGTTCGTCTTTCCATGTCCATGGCCGAAGTCTGGAGTAGGTGAAGCAGTGGCCGTAGCCAGGACAGCCGCGCCGATGATGCTGAACCGCATTCTCTATCTCTATCTCTATATCTATATCTATAGATGGTATAGATGGTATAGATGGTATAGATGGTATAGATGGTATAGATGGTATAATGGTAGATGGTATAATGGTATGCATAGATGGGACGGACAGGCTATTTAACATGAGCATCAGGCTGACCAGGCTCCATGTAACGTCGGTCTCCATCTCCCTGCCAGAGCTGCAAAACGTGGAAGGCTTAAGGCCGTACTCCCTTCTCTATATCACACATGGAGAAGGCTGGAGTCGTGATTGGGGCGGGCGTATTAACATGGAGACAGAGCTAGAACAAGAACTAGGATGAGAGCCAGGATGGAGAAATTACTTGCCGAGGCATCGTATAAAATAAGATATAAGAGTATCAAAAGAAGAGTAGTAAAAAGATAAAAAGAATATCCAAGGTAAAAGACATCCTATAAAGATGCACCAGCCGGGACTCGAACCCGGGTCCTAACATTGGGAATGTTAGATCTTACCCTTAGACTACTAGTGCAGAGGCAACTATCTTCGCCGTCCACAGTACATAGACCATCTACATACAGACATAGGATAGACATGGTAGAGTAGAGGGTAGAGTAGAGGGTAGAGTAGAGGGTAGAGGATAGAGGATAGAGGATAGGGAGGACATGATAGAGATGGAGAGAGTGTGTAGGGTGTAAGAGAGTCGCCGCCACCACCACCATGGCAAGCGGTATCGCCGCCGGAACATTTCACTCTGCCATGCGGGCGTTCGTACATCATGCACGACGGGACTTATTATAGATACACTCGTGCTCTAACGTATCTCACCACTCGATGACCGCCACCACTCGATGACCACCCCAACAAAAATCTTCATCTCGACAACCACCTATCTTTAACCACCCACAACATGCCTAATGAAGAAGCAATTGCTTGTGCGATTGAAGATTTGAGATTGCAGGACGTCCCTAATTACGCACAAACAGCCAGAAAGTGGAAAATCGATCGGAGGACTCTTGCGCGTCGATATTCAGGCAAAACAGTGTCCAATAAGGAAGCCACCTCAACTCATCGCAAAAAGTTAACAGATACTCAAGAGGAAGTCCTTTTGCAGTATATCGAACGTTTATCGAATAGAGGCCTATCTCCTACACCTCAAATCATTGCAAATCTCGTTCTAGAGCTCACCAAACAGCCAGTTGGCATCAATTGGGTATCTCGATTTTGCAAGAGGCATCAGGCCCGGATAACATCAAGATATCTTCGAACGATCGATCAATATAGGCATATTGCGGATAACTCTACCCATTTTGAGCATTTCTACGATCTTGCAAGTGCTTAAATATTTATTATTTATTAGATATCTCGTTACTAATACCCTCTTCTTTAGCTAGGGAAGGTGGTTGATAAATATAATATTACTCCTAGTAATATCTATAACTTTGATGAGAAAGGCTTCCTAATTGGGCTTGGACATGCAGTAAAACGCATAGTCCCTATCTATTCGCTAAAGAATAAGAGGATAACTACCATTCATGATAGAAATAGGGAATTTATCTCTCTACTTGCTGCTATCTCTGCAGATGGGGAAAGGATTCCTCCTACACTTATTTATAAGGGAGAAGGAGATCTACAAGACACCTAGTTAGATAACTACTCCCCGGAGGAACAAACTACATATTTTGCAGCATCACCAAACGGTTGGAGCTCTGATAATTATGGCCTAGAGTGGTTAGAGAAAGTCTTCGATAAACATACAAAGATAAAGGCCAGCAGGGCAAGGAGGCTCCTCATCCTTGATGGGCACTCTTCTCATATTAATATGCGATTTATTGACTACGCTGATCGAAACCGTATCTTTCTTGCCATCCTTCCTCCCCATTCAACTCACCGTCTCCAGCCGTTAGATGTTGGGATATTTGGGCCACTAGCCAGTGCATATTCCCAAGAAGTCAACAACCTAATACGGGGAGGCCTCGGATATCTCTCAATTAGGAAGAGAGACTTTTAGAAGCTCTTTTATACTGCATGGTGTAAAGCTCTTACAGAGGAGAATATCAAGTCTAGCTTTAGAGCAACGGGTATCTATCCTCTTAAGCCACAGAGACAGCTGCAATATTTCCAGCAAGAACGGCCAATTACTCCAGTAAATGCAGCTGCAGAGCCTTCTACTCCTATTACGATACGAGGCCTCCGCCGGATAAGCAAAAAGGTGTATCTCCGCCAGTCTCTTGCAGAAAGAGACTATATCCAAAAGATAATTCAAGCCAGTGAGCAACTTGTCTTTAATAATGATATTTTGCGGCATGAAAATCAAGCTCTTAGCGGTGCTTTGATTATTAAGAAGCAACGAAGGAAGAGAGGCAAAGGATTAGGCCTTTTTGATAAAGAGAAAGCCGGCCAGGCCCAGTTCTTTTCTCCTTCCAAAGTTGATGCAGCAAGGAAGAGAGCTCTAGATATCGAGCAAGAAAAACAGGCCCAGATAGCTCAGGCCGAAGAGTTAAAGCTTCAGCGATTGATAAATCGCGATACAAAGGCTCAAGAGGCTGCAGAGAAGAAGGCCCAAAGGCTTAAAGAGCAGCAGGAACGGAAGGAGGCCCGTGAGAAGGCCCAAATAGAGGCAGCTGCTCAGCGCGAGCAAGCAGCGCTAGAAAGGAAGCGTAAGGCCGGTGAACAGGAAGCCCAGCGAATGGCTAAGAAGGCCAAAAAGGCCCAAATCAACGCCCCGAGCCCTATCTCACCTTCCAAATTAGGAAAGAAGAAGAAGTCACCCACAAAGGTGGCTCCAATCGATCCTGTCCCTTCATTACTCAATTTCTTATCCCATGGCAGAGAAACACGTTCTGGCCGAACTATCAAGCCCAACACTCGTTTGTTTTCCTAACCTAACTAATTAATATGTAAACTAGAGCTCTACTATCGTTATTTAATATCTAATTTAATTTGTTATTCGCGTTGTTGTGGATATATTAATACATGTAGGGGGGGGTGGTGATATCGGTGTTTATTTTGATGGGTGGTCATCGAGTGGTGGCGGTCACCGAGTGGTGAGATACGTTAGCGGCCCGGAGCAGGCTGCCCGCTTCGTCTAGGCCGAGATATACGATGCAGATATACGGAGCAGCCCGCGCCGTGGCTGCTCTGGTGCGACTCTACGACTCTAATACGACTCTCAACAACATGGACATCACTCATGCATCACTCACAACATGGACATCACCCATACGCTTCCTACAACGAGAGGCCTCGTGCTCCTCGTCTTGATCCCTCGTCTTGACAACTACCATCTCGTACTTCCTGGACATGATGGGTTACGTGCATATACCTCATCCATGCATCCATGTCCATCCACATCCACATCCATGTCATCCACCCATCCAGTCAATTCGCCTCGACGGGGATCAAAAGCTGCCAGCCGGGGTCCAGTGGAACTCGTGGAATCTTTAGAAGATGGTCTTCTCCACATGGCCGGCGGATGTCTCTTGGCCTGCCCTTCTGGACGAACTTGGCCATGCGCTGTCTATCCTAGAGACTCGGCAAAGGGGCAGTCGAGACGTCTCTCTCTCGATCTCATGCGAGTTTACGTACGCCCCGATATGCAGCGTACGGCGACCGACACAGGGATTCGCTCTTCCTGGTAATACTCTGGGTCGGCGCTCTTATGCCTGGCTGTTAAAACGCCGTCTCTTCCCTTTTCTTCCTGTCGTCTACTTTTCTCTCTCCAAGTGACAGTGTGTTCTAAGGACAGTGTGTTCTAAGCATGGCGAACTCACCACGGTCAATGTCGGCGGAGAAGATGGCGGGCAAGGTCGACGCTGACGTCGAGGCGATTGGAGAAGGCGACGGCGACAGCAGTGCTGACGGCGTCGTTCTGGACGTCTCGGTCGCTGGCACGGCTGGACTGAAGACAGCAGCAGATGGACATACCATTCTTGTTCCCCAGCCGAGTGATTCGCCGGATGATCCGCTCAATTGGTCGCCCTCGAGGAAATGGATAATCCTGCTCGTCATATCGTTTGCGGCCTTTCTACCGGACTATGGCTCTGCGGTGGGAGCCGTCACCTTACTCCCACAGGCCGAGTAGGTATCTTATATTCTTTTTCATGGCACGATAGCTGACTGGGCGTAGGATATGGCACATGACGCCGGACGAGGTCAACCATTCTCAGGCTGGCAACGTCTTTATGCTGGGAGTCGGAGGGATCGTTACCGTAGCCTTCTCCGCCTACTTCGGTCGATTGCCTGTGCTTTTCTGGTTCATGGTTGGCGCCGTCGCGACAGCCGTATGGTGTACGGCCGCCCAGTCCTTTGAGTCCTTCATGGTATGCCATTATATCGATCACTATATCTGCAGTCGCTAACGGGTATCAGGCCGCACGTATCTTGAACGGTTTCTTCTCCACCGTAGCTCAAGGGGTGAGTCTCTCCAGCCATGTTAACAGAATAGAGCTAATCGTCAACAGGGCGGTCTCATGTTCATCAACGACATATTCTTCTTTCACGAACATGCCCGAAAGATCAATATCTGGTCCAGCTTCATCATCGTCTCCCCTTATCTCGGCCCCATGCTGACGGCCTTCATCATCAACACACAAATATGGCAGTGGGCATTTGGCGTCTACTCCATCGAAACAGGCCTCTGCTTCATCGCCATCATGATCTTCATGGACGAGACCTTTTACGATCGTAAGCTTCCCGCAGCCCAACAGCCGGTTCGCGTGGCCCGGTGGAGGCGTATGATCGGTATCGAACAATGGCAGTCTCGACAGCTGCGAAACAGCTTCAAGGACGCAGTGATGAGGCCCTTTATTGTCATCTGCAAACCACCGATGTTCATCTCCTGCCTCTACTATCTCATGACCTTTGCCTGGGTCGTGGGTATCAACACCACCCTGGCCATCTTCCTCGTTCCCCTCTATGGCTTCGGCCCCAAACAAATCGGTAAGTCCCTACTTGGTCTGGTTAGTGAAATGCGCTTACCATGAGCAGGATTCTTCTACTTCACGCCCGTCGTGGCCGCCATCCTAGGCGAGATCGTCGGCCACTGGCTTCACGACAAAGTTGCCATTTTCGCCGCCTCTCGAAACCAGGGTCACCGCTTCGAGCCCGAAGCCCGCTACATCGCCATCTGGATAAGCACCCCCTTCATCCTCGCCGGACTTGTCCTCCTCGGCTTTGCCCTAGAACGCGAGTATCATTACATGTTCGCCTCGCTAGGCTGGGGCCTGTACGTCTTCGGCATCATGATCACCACCGTCTCCGTCAGCGCATACTGTCTCGACAGCTACCCCGAGGCTAGCGGTGAGGTAGCAGCCTGGCTCAACTTCTCCCGCTCCACGGCCGGGTTTATAGTGAGCTATTTCATGGTTCGATGGGCAGGCGACCAAGGCCCCATTCGACAGTTCGGAGCAATGACGGGGATCTGCGCGTTTGCATTTGTTTTGATTGTGGTTTTCCAGTTTTATGGCAAGAGGATACGGCGCTGGTCTGGGCCAGTCAACTTTAAGACTCTTTGATGACTTCGACGGCAGTAACCAAAAAAAGTTCGACATGAAAAGGGCATGATATACTCCGTACTTGTGCGGGTATATAAGAGACGGATTGTTTGTATATATTATTGTTTGCTTTGCCAAACAGCTGACATATCATAGATGTATATAGATAACAGCACATATTCATTTTTTTTTTCTCTCTGGACAACACCTACCACCCACACGACGAGTAGGAAGTAGCAGTATATATACCTTTACCTGGAACATACTCCGTGCTTAATCTCCCGTTAGGTTCTTATAGTCGGTCGCATTTAGCTACTAACAGGGGGATAGGCGAGCTCTCCGGCCCGACGCGAACCCAATTTCATACACCTACCAAGCCATCGCTGTGATGGACGGCTATACCGATTACGAGAAGATAAGCTGCCATCACACGCTAAGAGGCGCACTTAGTTCTGCGTAGCTGCCAAACGGCCGCCCCTGGCTCCTATATAATTGGTCGTAACTCGATCATATGCAGGTCACCAGAGTTGCTTGATACACAAAACTTGCATGTCGCACGGATCTAGTTGATGCATCACATCACAGCACATATATACGGAATGGCACCCGCTGTGAAACTATACTGTCCATGATTGTACGCACAAGCCGGCAACCATACTAACGATCATAGAGTTTATCTAATACTTTCAACTCCTAAGCTTGACCTTACACTGTCTTCGTTGCAAAGGGAGATATAAAATAGGATTTTTGGTAGAGAGGCTCGGTACTATATTGGATATCGTGGACATCAAACAAAGGGACTCGCCACGGTCCCACAAACGCCAAAGCGACGATGTAAACGTACAAAGGAACCAGATAACGCCCGGAAAAAGAAAGAAGGAAAAAAGCAATACTAGTCATATCCTGTCATAATGCCTGACCTGACTCAAATCAAATCTGGCAGTCTCGCTGCGAATCCTTGTCACTTTCAACATGCACCTCGGTGGTTTTTATGATACCACCACAGTCCTGCTCGTGGGCGTTTGACAGGATGTTATCCTCCGACCCTTTGCCGTCGGCTGCTCGTCTTTGTCTTTTTGATCGTCCTCTAGACAACGCCCACTTGGATCCTTCATATTCTCGCAGCGGATAGCAATGTGACTCGCTCGTGGTTAGTAGGGAGTCCTTTGGCAAGAACGCGGCGCGGTTGCCATGTTGGGAGCCGGACTTTGCCCTGGATGCTTGTCTAGTTACCGACTTTTGGGCGGTGGGGGTTTTGCCCATGGCGAGTTTCAAGAGGGGTCCGAGAGGCGGTATGCAGGCTGCTATTATGATTAGATATTGCTCTGTATTTGTCCAGATGGTGAGCGATATGGTGTCGAAGGTATAGTCGCTTCGGGCTGTGAGGCTGGCGAGGAATATGGTTTTGATGACAGCGGCCACCATGGCGCTAGGGAGAGGTTAGCTATGAGGAATGTATATGCTAGTCTGGTTGCGAGTGACAAACTTACACAATACCCAAAGCCATGACGCCTCCAACTGCGATTTTGAGCCTCCGTTCCATCTGTAGATTCCAAATCATGAAGATGGGGTATATCGCGAGCGCGCCATCTGAGAGGGCAGAAAATGCTGCGAACGGGGTTAGAATCCACCATTCCCCTCAATCAACCGGTCCAAGGAGAAGGATATATAACATACAGCCTTGGAAAAACGCAAAATCCCTCTGGTAATGTGGCAGCCAGCAATGTCCGGCAACTCTGGAATCCCAAAGGCGTGGAGTTGGCGTACACTGGCCGAAGATAGTAAAAACGCAAACGGAATTGATGATAACCAGCATGCTCGTTATGGTGTAGAGGAATATTTTCTGGGGCCGGGAATTGACGATGATCCGTAGTAGGAACAGTGCTATGGACACTTTGCCAAAATTGGTTGACATGACGTGGAATCCCTGCGATAGCCAGTTGTATTTATTTGCCTGGATGCGTTGAGGCTCAGTAAGGAAGGTGGCATGCTGGCCTAACCCATAATGTATGCTGACTGTAAGCATTGAGGTGCTTATCGTTGCCAATGCCTATAGATAGTTGGATATCAATATTACTGCCTTCTTTTCTTCTCCACTGGCGTCTTGATAAAGGGTGAAAATACCATCGAAAGACACATGCAAGCATCGTCCCAGCCCCAGCTCGAAATGATTCGAGTTCGGGTAATAATTCTGGCAAAAAGAAGGACAGCAGCGACGCTGAACTCAATCCACATGAGCAAGATGAGCCTGAGGCTGTCATTTGTCCTCATCAGCGGCTCACCAGCCATTGGAAACGGAGCCACGGTTGCGGTGGAAATGCTGCAAATTCATAAACTTGGTATGATCGCAGAGCTCTTTGTGGGAGGGGAGAAAAATGAGGAGCAGGATATTGAGGTCTGGCGTATGGGCTGGGGGTACAGCCTGCTGCAGTGTAGCCTCGCTTTGCTCACGCAGGCTGCATATATAAGGTCTGCCAGACCGAGCTGAAGATGTGATGGGCACCACCGCCCGGCATCAAAATCCCTTTGAGGCACCCGGATGCAGGACACCGCGGCGGCAAAACATGAAGGGAGCGGCCGGAAAGATGGATCGATCTCCATCACAGTCAAAGAGCCACCGCCCCTCGTGAAGTGCGGGTGGGTGGTACTATGTTTTCCGTTGCATATATGAACTCCGTACTAAATAAGTAGCTGGCCGTGGGCCGCCCCGGGTTACATAGCACTCGTATTCCAGCAGCATAGCTTCGGCAGCGGAGTAGTAGTCAAATTTCCTTTGTTCGGATAATGATATATGAATGTATATATCAAGTAATGGGAACCGACCGACCGACAGGGCCCTGACGCAAAGGCATTTCGATAAAGTCGCTAATACCCCAGAGCCTACAGGGATGTCTCTGTCAGGCCAGAACCGTTGGACGTGCCAGGATTTTTTATCCATAATTGCTTCTTCCCCAGTCGGCAAATCGAAGCTTGCCACTGGCTAGCAGTAAGACACTAGGACTTGTGCAGAAGGTCGAAATATTAACTGCCAGCAGGGCAAACCTCTTGAACGGCGGAGTTGGGTGACGAAGATACGTTTTAACGATCGATGCCGCGGATTCCATACTCGCTCATTCTGCGCGCGCATCGCATAGATCCTCTGCTGCCACTGTTACTGCGGGAATGCCGGGACCTGTGTTCTGCGCGAAACGAGTTGCGCTGGCTCACTGAGTATGCGCAAAGTCGCGAGTCCAGCATACGCCCTGGCTGGGGATTGAGATGGAGTTGGAGACGGAGGTTGCAGTCACTGGTCAGACAGAGAGCAGCAGGGAAACCGCTGCAGTATATTCTGGGAGACCAGCCATTCGGGGACCTGGAGATCCTCTGTCGAGAGGGAGTGTTAATCCCACGGTGAGCGCAAATTGAGATGCCGGCACGGAGTTGTCAAACTTCAAACTTGCTAATTAATATACGGATATTTAGCCCAGATACGGAGTCTTATACCACACGCATAGCTCAACAGCTGCTTGCTGATTACCACCATCAGCCTGGCCGGCCAGTTCGCATCATCGACATGTGTACTGGCACAGGCTGTATACCACTATTACTACACTCTCTGCTCGCGCCATCGATGCCCAACCTTTCCGTCGTAGGCGTTGATATCAGTCCCATAGCCGTCTCGCTTGCGAAGAAGAACCTAGAGCATAACATCCAGAGTCAAAACCTACTCCCGCGTGCGAGAGACGAAGTCCAGTTCGTGCAAGCCGACATCCTCAGCCCTCACTCTATGAGCCCAGACGGTTCAGAACTCGGTAGGCTTCTCGATAGCCTGCAAAGCAGACCGCCTGTCAAAGGCCAATCTCAGGGATGGGATCTTCTGATATCCAACCCTCCATATATCTCGCCCTACGAGTTCGCCAACGGTACTACTAAACGTAGTGTTCGGCTGTATGAACCTACGCTGGCGCTGGTTCCGCCGATCCGGCCTGCTGGCCTGTCCCAAACAGTAGCGCCGTCAGATTTGGTCAGGGCAGACACCTTTTATCCTCGACTACTGGCCATTTCCGCGCAACTAGGCGCCCGTTTCACTGTTCTCGAATGTGGTGACGTAGCTCAGGCTCAAAGAGTTGCTGCTCTCACTGGCGATCCGAGCCCAAGTCCAAGTCCGGGCTCAGAGAGAAACACACGAACGGAAATATGGCGTTGTGATTGGGACAGTTACGCTCATAGAGCTTCTCCAAACAGTAATGAGCAACAGCCGGAACTTACGGACGCCACGGAAGAAGACCGTAATTGTGACGACCAACCTAGAATCCCAGCGGAACAAGGGGCTCGAGCGGTTGTAATCTCGAGATACTAACCCAGAGACGTTCCCACTAATAGTCGGGTATGAAACTATAGTGGTAAATTATACTCCTACTCGCATGGTAGCTGAACTTACGCTGTTTCTACCAAGCAGACTGGAGAATAAACGATTAGGAAACCTAATGATATTACAGGGGAAAAAACAAAAGAAGGAGGGGTTATTTCCTGACAATTTATCTTATTTTAGTCCTCGTAAACAGGATGGCGACATATATAAGGTAAAGTTCAGGGGATGTGCGCCCCTCGTATGAGCATCGATGGAAGATCAAGAAATTTTCGTAAGGCTTGAGAGCCTTATGACGCCACAGGGCATTTTCTAGATGAAGCTTATTCTTCCATGGAGAGAGCAGTATTCGTATGGGAATTATGGTCATATTTTGCTACCTAATAGAACAACCATCCGAGATAGGCCGGGGATGCTATACAAGAGACCAGCTGTGAAGGAGTACGGAGTACTGGAACATATATGCAAGGATGCACAGCAACAGTAAGGTGGATAACAATAGAACGAGGAAATCGGATATGGTATGTGCATGTCATGAACATCCGCTCTATGCAGGATATGAGTAGACAGGGGAAATATAAAACAAGAACGTATAAAACATATTGAACAGTGCTCTAGCCACGAAAGGGGATATTGATAAGGAATATCAGCAAAGAGATTTCAGGGGATCCAGGGCCGGTTTGGCAGATCACATGGCGGCAAACAGCATGCCAGCACCTGCCAGACCGGCAGCAGCAACGCCAAACTTCATATCTGGTCTCATTGTTGGGGCAGCTGCCTTTGAGCTGGTCGGCCTGGCGCCTGGCACCCCGGTTTCAATTCCCGAAAGGCCAGTGGCCTGCGTGATTTGAGCGCTAGTCACGGCATTTGGTACACCAGTGGCATCCGGCACGCTATGCTCGCCCGTCCCGATCTCCATGATGTTAGTTTCGGTAGAATTGAACCGAGTACCGGCGATGGAGATCTCGTTGTTGTCCAGGTCGTAGACGAGATATGCGCTGCGTAGCACTGTATCACCCAAAATAGAGATGGAGCCGCCAGCTGGTGCAATACCAAAGACACAGGCCTTTGAGCCATCTCTGAAGGTAGCTTCATTGCCGTTGGCGTCTGGGCCGAGGTCGATGACTAGCTCGTCCATGCCGACAGAAATCTGAGGCGAGGAGAAGGTGAAGACAAGTTTCTTGTCATCGTTCGCCATTGAGCAGGGAACGAAAGCGAGGTTGTTGGATGGGTCGAACACGGCGTCAACATTGTTGTAAATTTTAGCTGCGAGTGCGTCAGGGAGGTAGCTTAGACTGCTGCCAGAGTCCATGGCAACGGCGACTGGCTGAGTTGGGAAGCTGTCGATGCTGCCCTGAGAGCCACCTTGGATCCCGACTGCAGTAAGGGCTACAACAAGGGCATTGTATTCGCCGCTGCGGGTATGAAGGACGGGCACAGTTTGCAGTTTTCCATCGAATTTGCCGGTGTCAACACCGCCAAAAAGGATCTGACCACGGCTGGCATTGAGGTCGTTGAGCCAGAGGGAGTAAGCATTGGAGCGGATGTGGCCTGCTTTGACAAGAGCAGCAGGAAGATTGGCGTATGACTTGTCACCGAATCTAGTGACCTGGGCTTCACCAGCTTCATATCCAATTCCCAAAACACCAACTAGGATAGTTTCGATTAGTCTTGAATCCGTGGACTTTTATCCGGAAAAAGGATGTACTCACGAGGACTAGACGAGGTGTGTCCGATAGCAAACTGGAAATCATTTAACTTAACACCTCCCACGTTTATGATATCCGTAACATAGTCGCCACTAGCGCCCGATCCGTCAACATACGAGATGTTGAAGTCGTTCGAGACAAGGTTATAACTGCTCGATTTTGACGAGTCATATGTTCCACCCGGTCGGCATGGCGATCGTCTTGAGCTGCAGAACTGTGATTCTGCAGTGTTAACCCATAGATCACTGCTGCCAGTGTCGATGTGAGCACGGATTGTCTGTGGTGGTGTGCCGAGCGTAAGGTTACAGAAATAGAGGTTTTTCTATAGAACATTAGCCTAAATTTAACTCATGTTGCTACCCAGTATATCAAGACATGCTTACCTGGTTATCTAGATCCTGGCTGACAGTCTTAGTCGAAGCTCTTTTCGCGATGATATCACGGTGAACGGGCTTTGCAGCCTGGAAACGCTCGATATCGAACCCGATAACCGACGGATTATCTCGCTTGACGACGCTGAGTGATTCAACGGTGGTAGATAGGAGTGGTACGACGGCGGCCAGCGACCAGATAAAGGAATCGCCGCGCATGGTGAAAAATTAACAGGAGGGACGTTGATCTAATCTATGCTGATGTATTCGATATGCCAGATAAATCGAGGGGGGAAAGCAGGAAGTATTCGGGTCACGCAGAGGGGTTTTCCGTTGGTCGTCAAGGTAAAGTACACTTTTATAATCGAGCAAAGTAGAAACCTGCTCTAATGATCAGTCAGTTTACCATTATCTCGATGAATGAAGGAGGCGGTACGTACGGGAGTCAAAAATTCGAAGTGGAAGCTGAGATAACTAAACGTCCACTCACAAGCACGGCCGTGTATAGAGGCACTGGTGACAGTGGTGACAGCAGCAGTGACAGCAGTAGCGCCTCGATATATCAATTGTGAGCGAGGTGAGAGAAAAGCGAAGGGATGACGGGAGTGAAGCAGGCTGCTGTTGCTGAGGCTGAGCTTGCAGGAGCGAGTCTTCGTTCTCCACCGCGCTCCCAGCATCGACTGGCTGCGACTGCCTGGATAGAGTTCGATCATCGCCTCCCAAGGCCTTAATGGCCCCGAACTTCCTTGCACCTCGCATTTTCATAGGCGCATTTTTGAGAGGACTGGAGTCGATCTGGAGAGCGTCCTTCGATGTTGTACTCTCAGAGCAACAACTGTGCGACATGGTACATGGCAGCATGGCAACACCGCCACAAGAGCCATACGTCAATCGACGACCTTGCAGCAGCGAGTCTTGCGGCCTGGCGGCCTGCCACGCGTTTGCCCTTCGCCGTAGCCAATTGTCAGCCATTACTAGTACGGTGTCAGTGCTGGGCGCTTCTGCGATACGAGCTGGAGATACTTTAACGCGTCTGCCCCAGTCGCGATTTTTAACACCTCTGTCCCTCCGCATATTGTGCTCCGTAGCATGACCTCGGTGTGATTCAGTGTGATCCTTGTATGTCTTTGTGGCGTCAGGGATGCTAAAGTGTAGGGGACCGGAGTATTGGTGGACAGATACGTCAGGATAGAGATCTATACGCTGCTGCTATTTTTAGCAGCACGACTTTCCAAAACCTCAACCACCAGCATCGAAGGTGACAGACAGCTAGAATATTTGATAACATGGATAGTATTGCTTTTCTATGCTCTTTCCAACATTTCGATACTACAAGGTACATGACAGTATATCGTGGAGATCATAATTGCAGGCAAGCTATGAATATGTATGTACCCCATACAGCCAACGATAGCCCAGGGTATTATAAACAGGGAATTAAAGTGAAAAAAAAAAGGAGAAAAAGCTGCCCGACAGGCTCCAAACGAATAACAAACAACGCCAAGCTGCCCAAGAATCAATAATTAATAACAGTACGCACCATGACCAAGACAACTGGACTGGCATGTCAAGAAAAAGGAGGAGGCACGGAAGAGCAGGGCTATCGCACTTGTACCATGCTTGGTACTTGGAGGTCAGGCTGTGGAGTCTGCGCCTGAGGATTGGGAGCACCGCCGGCTCCGATTATGATCTCCTCTTTCAATTCGGCATCGTGTGACTTGGCCGTCTTCCTGTCTGAAGAAAGGCTCATGACGCTAGCCTCTTTATTATCGATCGAATGAGCACCGGGTGGATGATTGTCCGCAGTCTCGAGGTCGGAAATCGTCGGTAGCGTCAAGCCCATGTTGTCCATGTTAGCTGCCTGGCCAGTGTGTTTCGTGCGTCGGCGGCGAGATGATCGCGTTGCGGTATAGTAGGAATAGTGCGTAGGACGCTGCTTCAGGTTGAAAAGAGATTTAAACGTTGCAAGGCAGCATGTGATGACCGCCACAGACGTTTCCATTGTACTCCAGAACAGAAGCCAGGAGACAGGTGGCTGTTTCTCGAAGGCATTGCTTTTGATAATGCGGACGATAGAGATAGCAATGATACTAAAACCGAGTAGGAACAGGACGACAAGACCGATCTTTTGAGGGCCAGGAAGATTGGAGCGCATAATCAGGATAGTTGGCAAGCACATAACTAGCTTTATATTAGCAACTCTACCGTCTTGTCGTGTTATTGTAGCTGGTTGACTTACTGCATAAATCGGTGAAGATATCCATCGCGGTGTTAAACCGGAGGCTGACCAAGGTGTGCATAATGCTTCTGTCATCGACACAGTGAACTAATATGTTCCATCAGTATTTCAGCCTCCAGTTGTGATTGGATGTCTGTCAACTTACAGACTTCCAATGTCGAGCATCCCACCGGGAATAAAACGGCATTGATGATCAGCACAACGATGCAAAAAATTGTCAAAGCCCACCATAGCTTTCGGTAGCCGGGCAAGTCTCTGATAAGTCTCCAATAGAGTCCCATGAAGCTTCCTTTGACGCAGTATATGCTTGCAGTATAGATTATAGTATGCGCAAACACCACGCGGATCATCAATGTCACTTGCACGCCGTACCCCGGTGGTGGACGTCCGGTAAAGCCCTGGAGATGTATGTATATCACTGGAGCTATAATAGTGACGAGGACCACTTGAGCAACGAGTCCTATGTATCCAAATATGGCAAACGCATCATCCCAGAATAGCCGTCGTTGAAGCCATATTCGGATGACTAGTCGGAAGATCATCACCACTGTCGTGAGGGCGAAGAAGGACCATAGTATTACCTAGTATACACTGTTAGCAAATGGCTGTCATCAAAGTAAATCTCGATATGATTGGGGAATTGACGAACAAGGAGGGGGACTCTTGGGATATGCGTCAGTAAGAGCCGCCGATCGTCGCGTGTAGCCAAATGGTTTGCGAATATTTCGTCCATGTTGGCTGATCAGTGTTCTTGAGATATATACACCCTGGTATAAGATATTAAATGGCCGGGATACCAATGCCCTCCACTTTCCAACTCGATGGTTGTCAAAACAGTCGAGACAGGGTTAGATGGCCAATCTTATAAAAAAAATATCCAGTCTTGCGGCTATGTATCAAACACGGAAGAAGTAACGTTGCTAACGCTGGTCGCTACATAAGCGTATTGATTCGAGGAAGGGAGGGTAGGCACAGGGTACTTCAATCGATACTAATATGCGACTAAATCAGAGCACGATAGTCCAAGTTTTCAAGTCTGGTCCGCATTGGTAGTACGGTTCAAAAACCTTCGTTTGAGGGAGAAAATAAAGAGGCAATGAGGCTTGAGGAAAAAGAAATCCGCAAAGAGACGACCGACATGAAGGAAACTAATGCAGGCCAAAGCCACCAAGAGGCGGCAAATGGGTTAGCGGGACTCGATGGCCTGAAAGTAAGTAACACACAGACCGCCTGCATTTGCGTTCAAGATGCACGGAATACAACCCGCAAGGATGGCATGGGTATCCGTCTCTGTTAATGGCGTCAAAGGACCCCCTATCTTTTGTCATCGAGTTAAATAAAGATATTGCCCCTTGCACCCCGTATAAGAGAACACATAAGTACGGAGTACGAGTATAGGTAAGCTGAAAGGGTGAGCAACCACAAGATGTATATTAATGGTTACTTTTTTCATACTGACCCTGAAGAACTTTCGGCAGAGACTCTGTATTGCGAGACGGGAAAGTCTCGACCACATTCCGTGCCTCCATTCCTACCCGTTTAACAGGCACCCAATCATTGAGTTCATGAGGGAGTGCTCAGTAAAGGCGGCAGAAAGTAACTGCTGGCGTACACAACGTCTACTTTTAGAAAAGATGAAACCTCTCGCTGTTGACGAAGGCCGAGAACAAGAAACGCCACCTGATGCCAAAGTTGTTGTCCTGGTGTTTATGTGGAGCGTGAGGAAGGAGCCTAATTTTTTTTTCGGCCAGTTGACAGGGTCGAGACCGGAGATCGAGAAATTTTAGCTGCGATGGCCGATTTGCGCTTGGCTGTTGATTTATCGGGATTCTTGGGGCCGGAGTTATCCTCCTGGTTGAGCTAAGGATGTCGGCGTTGCTACTAGAGGCAGTTAGTGTGCCATCTGCGAACTTAGCCAAGGTTTCCCCAGCCTGCGTCCATCAAACCAGGAATGCCAGCGGGCCGTTAAGCAGGAGCATCATGCGGACTATTAGATTTTCTCACGCAATTCGGGGTGGTAGAATCGAAGCTGTGGATAGCCCGATGGAGAGAATAGGCACCGGCTAACTTGGACCCAATGGTAACACTGAGGATATGGGCAGATGGCGTCGATCTCGTATCGGAGATGCTTGTCGCCAGTCAAAAGGGGTGAAAGGTTTTTATGCCGCTCTGCCTGTATGGAACCAATTAGCCGTGAAGACATTAGTTAGCCACTATGGCGACTTTAGGGGGAAACAAGTTGTAACTATCCAGCGCGCTGATCTTAAGAGCAAGTCCTTCCATGCCCTTAACAAGCCGGCTATAGTTCCTCATCCTGGCGGGAGGTCATTGCTTTTTCTCATTAGTCACTTATCCTCCTGCCTCTTTCGCCGGTCAAAGCACTATATTGGGTGGTTGTCATCTTTTGCGCATCTTAATTTGATGCCCTTTTCAGCCAGCGTCTGCTCCGTATTCTGTAGATATTGGTTGTATGGCGTACTTAGCGCTGGCGACGATGAATTGTCGTTTTCTTGAATGTGCTGCGGCAACCGCCTACCAGCGGGAAAATACCCAGAGCTTTGTGTACTCCGTACAGAGTACATCTTACATGGCGTCCCCGGGGGGGGGGGGGGGGGGGGGGGTACGCCTTTGACATGACATGGCATGCGCTTTAGGACAGTGCATACCTCCAACTTGGTGTAGGCAAGGGTTAGCTGGTGTCTGCAGTCTGGTCACACGGTGCAGACGAATATATTTGAGAAAAAGACCCCGGCAGTTGTAAAAAGCACAGACTTGCTTATCTGGCCGTGCATTCCTGGGGGTTGTTTCAGCATTGCTGATGGAGAATCGTGACTTGTGTTCTCCATATGGCGTATGCAATAGATTGAAGTGTTCCTAATGTTTTCTCCGCCGTGGCTGCGGATGTCGACTATTGCGTCTCCATACGACCAAAAGGAAAGAAATTGGCAATTGGCCCAGACTAGCACGCACTACATGGAAGCATGTGCATCGACGTGTCTATCATCCACAACCTGATGTTTCATATACATGCAGGTCCTCTCTTCGGGGCATCAGCAATTGATGCATGAATTTGGATATTGCTTTACCTGGTCCCAATTGCTTTGGAATCTTCCCGAGCCTCCTCATTTTCCTCCTTGCATGGAGCTGGAGTGTGTAGGCTATGCCTAAAAGCCCAAGGACGCGTTGAAGCCATCGAAAATGCGGCCACTAGGTTGTACCATCCAGCGTCTGCCATGCCGGCTCTCCCGCGATAGTTACTAGGTTGACCCTTCTCCTGGCTCATAGCAACGGAACAAGCCGTGTGTTATCCCGTACCCCGTATGTATAAGGTGTAGACACATCGTCATTTAGATCTAGAGTACTCCGCAGTCAGCATTTTCTTCTTTCCTCTCAATGTCAACATAGAGGATACTGAATAGAGGGTGACAAGCCATTGTACCCCGTAAAGGATGCTCCAAATCTTGGTCGTAAGAACGCATAAGGCGATACGGGGTCCGAAGTCCGGAGTACAGGACGAGTGATCGCACAAGCCTATTCTCACGGTGGCTTGAAGCCGAAACATGGCTGGCAGAGCGTTATTTGTTTTTTGTAGTCGTGGGGTGCCACGCTCGACGAGCTGCTTTAATTCGCGGTACAATAATAGAATGGGACGATCTCTCACCCACGCCGTTGCAACCATAAGCCGTGACATTGCTTTTGTTAGGGGGTATTTTGTGTGGCCTAATCGTCGATAGTCGCCATCCCTGCTCAACTGGATGCCTTTGGCTGTATGGAGGATAGCAAGAGAATATAATTCGCTCATCGTAGGCGAACACGGAGACCGATTGAGAGGTGGCTTCAGGTTTAATATGAGCCCAGCCACTTTGTTCAAGAACGTGCAGCCTTCTTCCAAGAACTTCCTTAACAAATAAAGCGGAATAAAATAGTAACATTAAACGAGGAGGCAGCTGGTTATTACGCATACTTCTGCAACTGCGGGTAAACAGCTTCTCGAAAAGGGGATACTTTACTCTGTACAACTCTGCCAAATGGGGTGGCTGCAGTCATGCGCGCTAGACGGTTAGCCATTCCCGTTTCGATGGGCAAGGGTGTTGTTCCGTACACATACACCGCAGAGTACTTCATCCTCCTACACATGAAGATAGACCATGAAGGTACGAAATACCAGACAAACATCAGTTTGGTAGCCGTTGGGATCGCCGCGGAGAGTCCCCACCATCAATGCGGAGAGCATCCTTGCTATCATCACTGCGCATCTCCACATCGAAAGAAGGAGCAGTTTTACGGCAGATCAGCCTAGTCCACGTGTGGAAGACAGCCGGCCATCTAGAATAACCGTCAAGTCGTACCGCATTGAAAGTGGGCGGTAACTTCATGTTTCCTTGGAATGGGTAAAGCTTGTCGTGACCGACGGTTGGTATGAGGCTATTGGGGCAATCGTAGGTGGCGGCCGCAGCAAAAATCGGTGCAATGACTCCGTACGCTCCTCCAACTAGCTTTCGCTCCACTCGTTAGGCGGAGGATCAACCACCGGTCAGGCTCTCGAGTTGCTAATCGGTTAGTACCGAAACCCGCGCCGACACGAGCGAGCATAGTGTGCCGTGGTCGACGAATCATGAAAGCTCCCCACGCGATTCGGGGAGCAAGTTAAATGACTGGCTACCGAATAACAACCCAGCTGCCAAACGAACCATGGCTCGACCAACTGGCTAGCACTCATTTACTTCCCACGGACAGGGGCCAGGGTCTGGAAACACCGTGCCCTGGTCGTCGAGGGGCCCCCAGCAGCCGTGGAGAAGAGGCTCCTGATTTCTCATACTCCATAGTCTGATGCATCTGCTCCGTCTGTACTCCGTAGCGCTGAACCGTTCGGAGTAGATCTCTCGAAACCAGCGACATCGATGCGAGGCTAACTTTGGCTAAAGCGACCAAGCGACGCAAGTGGCTAAGGACGGGATCTGATGAGCCCGATTTTCTCTCCAGCTGGAAGAATACGAGCAGATTCGCGGGGACTAAAGGCGCCGCTGTGTAGCCATAAGTGACGACGCAGGACCTCGGTGCAGCCTAGCCACCAGGTTATGGAGAGACATCTCGCGTCTTAATTTCCGAGGGAGGCCCGGTGATGCAGTGATTAGCGAGGCGTATCGAGTAAAAGGAAAAGCCACGGAATGGAAAACGAGAAAACATGATAAGGGGCGTCATGTTGAAGCTGACGTTGAAGTTGAAGTTGGACGTTGATAGAAGAAGGTTCGCTGTGCGGAGGACGGAAAAAAGACCTCGGCTCTGGAATAACGATTGTGCAGATTCTTGGTGCACTTGCGGGCGTTTAGTTTAGTGGTAAAACACCCCATTCGCATTGGGGAGCTGGGGGTTCGATTCCCCCATCGTCCAGGTACACACCTGCGATTCTCTTTTTTGGCTTACTTTTTGCTTACTTTTTTTGATGCTTGATGTAACTATATCATGCCAGGGGTTGGCTAATTGACTCTTCTTTTTTTTCTACAACGTATAGACCTATTGTTGGCGCTGAGAACCGAGTATGATGTCATAATGTTAGCCCATGGACATCCTGCACAATGAAACCACCATCATAAAACAAATAACATCACTCCCTCGTATTCATGCCAACAGTTTAATTCACTCTAGCTTGCATTGTTGATTGAACAGTATACTGCATACTGCTATTCCATCTTGATACCTTGAACCGGTGCCAATCACGAAAACAGGGGTAGTTATCACCGTCGCCATGGCCGATATCACACATATCCCTACTCCCTCCCACTGCATCGCCGATGTCTGCATGATTCCTGTATGTACTATATCCAGTTCTTCCTGTCTTTGCTTTTGCCAACTTCACACCGACATCTGTGGATCTTACATCTGTCTCTGCATGCGTTGGAGGCGATATTTTGGCCCCTCGCGTACATGAACATGGAAGACCCATGTTGGCGTCCTCAGAGGAGCGCGGTGACAAGACGTGAGCAAAACACAATGGCTAAATGAATATACCCCCTACGGAAGATCGGAACGTCCTCGCCTTCTGTCTCCAAGGAAGTAGCCGAAGTGCAATGTCTCCTTCAGAAATCAGGTCTCAAGTTTCATATGCATTCTGCTGGCACTACCATCGGTAAGCAGGAGTGTACATCTACATCCGTACATAATACCCCTTGTAATAAGATGGGATATGAGAGGTGCTGACGCTGGGTTTCGGCTTGTCTTAGAGGGACCCTGGGACAAGGTTCTTACGGTGATCGGCCAGGCGCATACGGTCCTGCATGAAAAGGGAATGGTACGAGTTCATTCTGATATCCGTGTTGGATCGAGGTGAGTTTGGACGTTTGTTTCAGATCGTTGGGCGCAGGTAGGAAGAAGACCTGGTTGGCTGACTCGATCGGCGATCTAGAACCGATAAGAAAGAAACTATGGAGAGCAAAGTTGAGTCGGTTCAGAAGATACTGACTAAGGATGAGTAGCTCTAGGCGAGAGATGTGACATCGGCATCTCTATACATGAGAAGAGGGGACGACATGCATGAGAAAAGAAACAAGGCGGTAACAGAAGATGCCGAGTGTAGACGTCCTAGTATTATAAATTCATTCTTCCTAATGTACAGATATCTTACAGCTAGACGCAACCACTTATATTGCTATGTGTAGCATCATGGTGCTTAGTCGGCCAGCACCTGACGCTGGGAAGACGCTTGATGAGCACACCCTCTCTCCCCCTCCTCTCTCAAAGCCTAGTCTAGCGTAAGTCTGCTAAACCAGGACTGTAAACTTTGGGTGACGGATGCCCAGAATAGAAGCGGGTGTCATAAGTATCCCAGTGGGTTTGCATGTACTTAATCTTGAGTAGTTCACTGCAGCGTCCGCATCAACCCGCCGATTGCAAACTGTAGCCAGGGTTGATATCAGGGTATGCTTGTTCATCTCATCAGATCTTTGATATCAAAGGTAAACTGCTCATCTTGCCACGACCCACGTAGCCCCGCCGCGCGTTCAGAGTAGTTTGGATTCGCCTCCGCAATCTGGAGATATCTTAACCCTTGCTCGCGTTTATTTTGCTGCCGCAGCAGTCCTGCCATAACAAGTGCTGCCTGTGCATGGCCGCCGGCAACGGCGATCTCGTACCACTCAATCGCTAGCTTCTGACTTTCGTCCTTCGTATACCGTGATTCAAGCAACGTTTCTTCTTTATCTCCACCCGGCTTGCTCTCCTTAGAGTCACTCTTCATTAGGTATAGCGTAAGGTATAGATTCCCTAGCTGGTAGCATGCTGGTATGTCATTGCCCATAGCAACCTTAGTAAGGTACTCCTCGTACTTGACCAGGTCTCCAGATTGTAGGATGTCCTGCAGAAGCAACTTGTAGGCTCGTGAATTATCGTACTGCGTCGCACCAACGGAATACGCCTCTTTTGCTGCATCTTGTTGGCCCAATGACTGCATTACGGAGCCGTAAGCTTCCCAGGGTTGTTGAACGCTAGTGGGGAACAGAGCATCGAAGCTCTCGGGCTTATCAACAGGTTTTGATATGTCCATTGCCTGTTTGAACCGTCGTGCAGCATTCTCCAAGTCCCCTTTATCTAGCAGCCCCTGTCCGATAATGACGGCCTGGAGGGGTTCTGTGGGATTGTCTGGCCAGGAGAGCGAATCCGCCTGGCGTGAAGCCTTCGATTTAACGTGGGATAGGTAATAGGACGATCGCACGTCTCCTTGTTTGGCCAAATGGGGTAGGAACCATAGTGCTAATCGTGCATAATATGGAGACCGGAGGAGGACGAAAAGGGTTTGCGAGATCTTATCGATATCTAATAGGTTATTAACGTCACCGCGCCGGTATAGAGGCGTTTAGGTAGTCTTATCTCACCAGTATGAATCCTCTCCGTGAGGACGACTTCCTCTGTCTGTGCCTTTAGCTCCGCAGCAAGCTCAATGCATTCCCGCGCAATTTTGGAAGCCTCCCGAACACCAATGGTAATCAGCCCTTCCTTATGCGCAGACAGGTAAAGCTCCAACGGTAACCTCCTAACCGCATACCCTTGATCTCCCGGCCCGAACTGCCCAGGCAAAGGCGACACTGATCGGCTTATACGGGGAGAGTCCCGTCGCTCGGCTCTAATCGTCGATGGTGCTCTTTTGGGGCGAGATGAGGCAAACCTGACAAAGCTGCCCGTTGCAGGACGCGGTTGGGTGGATAAGGCTAGGCGTTTAGCCGGGATGGAACGATGCATATTGGTAGAACGCTTCAGAGGAGCTGCAGCATGATGAAATAGCGAGGTTGATGCTAGCAGTCCGTGGTAGTGACTCGGACGTCGCCCCGGAGTTGCGTAAGTACAATCCTATATGGGATGCCGCGGTGGTGGGCCGCACAAGGCTGGCTGAGGGAGGAGCACTTTGGTCTTGTCGTGGATGTAAAGTTCTTTGCGCCGTACCACAGGAGAATGATTTTTTTTGACGGAGCCAAGCTAAGCTTTTTTCCACGCTCACCACGTGGAAGCACGGCATGCCATACACTTACAAGATAGACAGCAAACTGGTTGGTTATACGGACATGATCGAAGGGGCCACTGAAATCAGTCGGAGAGGGCCGTTGGCCACACTTGACGGTTTCGAGTAGGTTGGGCGTTATTTCCGTGCAAGCCAGTGAAGAGCGACAACCATGTTGCCTCAAAAGCCAGCTTTTAGCTTTTGCCCCTGCGCTTGCTCGTACCGAAGAACTTGATAGATCGCAATGTTTGTATCATTTATCCTGCGTATCCGTGTATGTGGAGGCCCTTCGTTACAGACGCCGTTGCATCGATGTTACGTATCGTAGCGTGGACGAGAGGGTAAGATAGTGATAGACATCGGTTGGAGGGGACGGAGCATGTTCCCTGCATGTGCGATCAGCGTCGAGGTGAGGAGAAGACGAAGACGAGGACGAAAGAAGGCGATGATGGTGATGATGCGCAAAAGGCGCGAGCCATGGTTCCTTCTAGCGTGAAATCACAAGCCTCTGGCTTCCTTCTTGGTTCATCGCTCTCGTTTCCTTCCTGGCGCAGGAACAAAGCGGGCCTGAGCGACCAACCCGTGGAAAACGCTCTCGTCCCGTAACCATAAACCCATCTTGGAGTAAGTACCCTTTTCGTATAAACGGTAGGGGTGCTTCGGCGACCTGCTCCGGATGCTGCAGTCAACCGCCCTACAAGGGAGAGAGAGATGCAAACAAAGCTGTACGGTCGCCTGCCTGGAATCACATGTTCGAAAGTCGACAAGAGGTGAAGAACGAACCATCCCTACGGTTGAACTAACAGACGGAGCTGAAAGTATACACGGAGAGCGGATCTTGGGACAGACACTGGCAGCGTATCAAACGTCTGTCGCTTAATCCACCGAGTAGCCACTCCCTGTAGACAAGCAAGTGCCGGGCCCACGCTACCTCCTCTGCTGGTGCAGCACATGCTGGTAAAGTACTTAGTTACCTTGCATCCTGAAGTATACGGTGCCCGGTCGGTTCAGGGAAGCATGGCCGGGGCCTCAACTCTGGTCCCGGTCCTGGTGAGTGCTGATGCTGGAGCTGGAGCTGCTGGAGAACGGACCATTTCCCCTTTTGCTGGCCACTCTATGACATACGTTTGCTGTTCTTTCGCGAGGGAGAGCAGATGATGGCCACATTGCGTTTGCTCCGAGCGGTATTGGACATGGTTCCGGGGGCCAATCCTCTTTCCTTCCCTTGTTGTCTTCACAGGTAATCTAAGTATCAATCCAGCCGCAGGTAGCCCTCCGCCGTCCGATGATCTGCTCACCCGTTTTCGGCCTTTTCGTCTGGCTCCTCTCAGCACGGCGGATCTTTGATATAATTGTCCGGATCTCGTTTCTTTTTCTTCAGCCGGCCCAGCCAATTATACGTTCGTCCTACCCAGCTCAGAAACGGGCGTCCTGACGAAGAACAAAAGCCCACTGCGCAGAAAAAGGAAGGAAAATAACCACCGCTCGACGGAGTTCCGTCTCTTGAACATTTTCGACTGCCGTTTGTTCTCTCTTCCACCACGACAACGTCGTATCTTACTAGACTGTGCTCAAACCGATATTGCGACTCATAATTCGTCCCAAGAGCACAGCAACCCCTGTGCCGCCCAGAGGCAATTAGTGCATGCAGCAGTAGTCTGTTCGATTGCGTTTCTTTACCTGGGTTGCCCACGCCTGCGATTCAAGGGCACTGCCTAGCCGTCGTTGCTATTAACATTGCTGTCATCGTTGCCCCGAGTCACCCAGACCTGCAGGCGAAACACAGTACTTATTAGCGTCCATCCTCTCCGCCGTCGCTCGACATTCCTCGCCCTTTTCCATTCTCATGCGGAGGCATCGCTCTTCGCACCAGCCTGACCCCGATCCCCAAGGCAGGTCGCCCTCCCGCCTAAGCCTGTTTCGCTCTCGGCCTCCTTCTTGTGGTATGTAAAATGCCCACCCTGTGCCTGCTACTTTAACGCTTTTCAAAAGCCCAAACAAGCCACCAGTGGAGCTTCTACCGTATCACTTTGAAGTGTTCCATAACGTTGCAGCTAGACTTTCGCCTGGGTCATTATTTTGCTTTCTCAATCGATTCATTGCATGGCGCTGCGCCAATGTTAAGAGATCTGAACAACTGACCTGGCTTCTCTCTCCTTTCTTTCTTCTTACTATAGCCGATTCATCAACCCACCACCTCTCTCGCTCAGGTTCTTCAGCTAGCCGCCTTCCGTTTAGTCGACTGCCCTGGACAACCCCTACGAAGACAACCAATAAAACCATCAACAGCACCAACAGCACCAACAGTACCAACTCTCCTTACACCAATCGCTCAAACTCCACCGTCACGTCGCTGTTTGGCAGCTCTGGCGGGGGCACGATGGATGTTGACCGGTCCCGGAATCGCAGGGAGCGAACTTTTGCTGGCAGCGAATGCGCTGTTTGCGAAGAACCACTAGAACATACCCTCCGCGGCGAACGTATCCTGCAATTCTCCTGTGCGCACGTAGCCCACGAGGCATGCTTTTATGAATTCATTAGAGATGTCGAGCCTCAATATTGTCCAATGTGTTCTGCACCCCTGGGCTTGGATGCTAGCAGAAGCGGCAACGTCCTTGATCTAGGTAAGATTTCTGCTACTATCAACAACTTGGATATCTGTTGACGTGCCGGAACAGAAAAAATAAGCAATCTTGTACGATCGGTGTCCATAGCCGACACTCAAACGAACCGCAGCGGCCACACGCTGGCCACACCATGGGACAATGGAAGTAACAGAGGGGGTTCTGTCAACCAAGATTACGGCAGCCGATCGTTTAACAACCGCGAGAGCAGGGAACATTCCCGCCGCGATAGTAGGGACACAAGCAGCCACCGCGAGAGAGTCGAGAGATTGACGTTGGGCTCGCGCAATGAACATCTCCGTCACGATAGCGGGACAGTCGGAGGGCAGACTGCTTCAGAATACCAGCTGCAGGAGGCTCATCAGTCAATGACTAGACGACATGACTACGACGTGCAAGCCATGGAGGCTGACCTCAGCCCCCGACAGGGCGTCAGCAAGAACCTCATTCCCGCACCAATAGTCACGGTACGAAGCGAGTTTCCTTCCCTGAACCGTTCCAGACAACAGCAGCCTCTCACGTGTCTGGTTACGGTTGAAGTTCCTGGCGGTAAATGGTCGCCAGATCCAGAGCAAATGCGACAGACTCCTGGCGCTGCCGTGTCTGCAGACGACGCGCAGTCGTTAGCTGTAAAGCCGCAAACCCTCCCCAGTCCTGACCCGCAAAAACAGGCTCGGTCTCTCCATGAATCTGAGGAAATGCTCAGTGCAATCGCAGAAGACCTGCGGCTGCGTGTTGATAATTGGCATGGCCTGGAGTTCTCAAGGTGTGTATATTCTCGTTGCTTGGTGTGTTTTTTTATGTTGTCGTTGGAATAGGCATCGTTCTTTCTGCTGGTGCTGACCGCGTCCAGATTCGGCAAGTTGAAACTTCACGGAACTATCCGCGTAGGAAAAGACAGATCCTCATGGCAGGAACTGGAGTGTTATCTCTTCTCTGAAATGCTCATTTGCGTGAAGGAGAAGAAGAACGGACATAGCCAGAGCCAGAGCCTGTTTGAGGAGCCAGTTGCGCAGCGTTCCAGCCCCAGGTATACATTGAAAGGGTCGATTCTCATCAAGAAACATCTTAAGGATCTAGAGACCGTGGCTGGTATGTCCCTACTCTAACCTCTGTGTTTACAGGAATGAGTGTGCTAACTACGATGTCTAGACGAGCTTGTATTGACTCTGAATCTCTCTGTGAACGAGCTTCCGAGCTTCCACTTGAGGTTCTCAAACCAAAGCCAGTTAGATACATGGAAGCGAGCACTACGAGATCTACAGAACGGAGGTGTAACGCCCCACTCTGAGCCTGAGGTGGAAACACCTGCAGTTGAAGAAGATGACTATAGGAACTCAAAGACGACGAGCAAGCGAGAGTCGTCAGGATATTCATCTTCTTACGGCGCTGGAAAGTCCAGCAACACCGCAATAACTGACTACACTAGCCCCGGCCGTGAGCCCATGCCGCTATCGACATTCCACGTACCACTCGATATCGTCGTTGTCATCCCTGTTTCATCGTCCATGCAAGGTCTTAAGATCTCCTTGCTTCGCGACACACTACTGTTCCTAGTCCAGAACCTTGGCCCACGCGATCGCATGGGCTTGGTTACATTTGGATCGTCAGGCGGGGGTGTCCCTGTTGTTGGAATGACTTCGAAGACGTGGAATGGATGGGGCAAGATATTCAACTCCATCCGCCCGGTGGGCCAGAAGAGCTTACGCGCCGATGTTGTCGAGGGTGCAAATGTGGCCATGGATCTTCTCATGCAGCGCAAGTCGTATAACCCTGTGTCAACGATACTGCTCATCAGCGATTCGCAAACAACCGACCCAGAAAGCGGCGACTTCGTCGTCTCCCGCGCCGAAGCCGCAAAGTATGCATCCCTTTCCCTAAAGAGTATTTGATATGCATGTTTACTGATAATTTCAATGATAGGGTTGGCATCCATACATTTGGTCTTGGCTTGACGCATAAGCCCGACGTTATGATCGAACTCTCTAGTCGAACAAAGGCGTCGTACACGTACGTCAAAGATTGGATGATGTTGCGGGAGTGTATTGCTGGATGCCTCGGAGCGTTGCAGTCAACTTCGCATCAAAATGTCAAACTAAAGCTACGTCTACCCGAGGGTTCTCCTGCACGATTTGTGAAGATCAGCGGCGCAATGCACACTACCAAACGCGCGACGGGAAGGGATGCAGAGGCTGTTCTAGGTGACTTAAGGTTTGGGGATAAACGAGGTATGCATATCAGCCGTCACAACCCACCCTTGGATGCTCCCATTTTACTAACCTAACCTACGCTACTCCAGAGGTCCTGGTCCAGCTCGCTATCACCCCAGATACCTCCGCTCCTGAACATGTTCCCCAGGATCCTTGGGAAAGTATTGTTTCTGGCCTCGAGGCACTTGGTGGACCAATTGACAGCGATGACCAGCGGGTAGCAAGCATAGAAGAAGTCCCGCTAATTCAGGCTGATGTTACGTACGGTGACATACTGCGGGAGGGTCACTTAACGCACTCACCACGGCCCTCGCTTCTGGCCATCACCATGTTCCCGCAGCACCAGAAGTCGAAGAATGTTGGACGACCCATTAGTCCTCCAATTCCCCCTCACCCGTCCATTGTCCAGCGACGAATGGAGCTACTCACTTCCGATATGCTGATGAGATCACTTACTCTTGTTACCCGCGGTCAACATGATCGCGCCCATCATCTTCTTGCCGAAACAAGAAGTATCCTCAAGGGACTAGGAAAAGGCGGCCTGCCTCCGTTGCCACCGGGGGCTGCGCCAATCCCAACTCCAAGGCACACTCTCACCCCTACGCTCACTCCTGCTTCTGAAGCACACTCCCCTGGCACCTGCTCGCCCCATTTTCCCGATTCCCTCGATTGTCGCGGTTCGTCCCACTCATCCGAAGCAGCGACAATTACTCCTGTAGCAGCCGTTGATCCCGCAATCATCTCTGCATTGGATGCCGACCTTGAAGCTGCACTCGAATGGATAACCCATCCCGCCGTCTTCAGTCGTGATTCTCGCAAGGCAGTACTCCAAGCCATTGGTGTCATCTCCTCGCAACGAGGATACACCTTCCGAACTCCCTCTGAATCACTATGGGCGGAGCGCATACCTGGCGTGAAGCGCTTGACTGAACGATCCCGAGAGTGGCGCGAAGTTGGTGACGAGTCGTTGGCTGAAGAATAACCAACCCAGCACAGCTACTGAATCTCGGATAGTCGTGGGATGCCATCTCTCCCTGATTCTTAAGTACCCCATAATCCTTATATCTAATGCGTAATGTTCCCCCGGTCTCTCGTTCTTTTTTTATACCATTACTCGGCTTCATTTACAAGATGTAGTGCTATGCTTAATTGTTGATTATACCCATCATTTATACCGTCATCTTTTGCAACCTCTTTTTTTTTTTTGGATATATCCGATGGTGATGCCCCTGGTTTATGTTTTCTATCACAAGATTTTTTCCGGTTTTGAGGACATTGTGATGTACCTCCACGGTTCAATGTTTTCGGGGCCTTGAGGGTTACTGTGATTTTTGCTCTGGTTCAGTTTTGATTATATATATGGCATTGTTTTGGGTTATGGCTTATGCGGCGCTGGTTTGCACTCTACTCATAGAACGAATTGATTCTGGTACTTTTTATATCGCCTTGCTTACCTCGGGCCTTTGACCGTGCCATATAAACCTCAATGGAAATATCTAAATCTAGGGATTAATATTTCACTTGGAGCGAGGAGGAACAGGGAATCAACACGGTGGTATGTAAAACTATAAACAGCACAGTATAAATTCTAACATAGATTATAAAATTCTTGCCAGTGTCGTATTGTACATAAGAAGAGACTTCAAAACTTCCAACTGTCTGTCAGCCCTTTCTTAAACACCTGCTTCCCATATCCTACAAAACCACCGAGGAAGCAAAGCAAATAAAAAAGCATGGTTGGCGTAGTAATACAAGCAGCGAGCCAGCTTGAACCAAAGGTACAGGAAACCACCAGTCCCCTTGCTTAATCCAGAGTGGCAACGGCGCCCAAAGCCTTCAAAGTAGCAACAATCTTCTCGGCCTCCTCCTTTGGAACGGATTCCTTGATAACCTTGGGAACGCTTTCGACGAATTTCTTGCTCTCCACGAGAGAGAGTCCGAGCATCGACTTGACTTCCTTGATAATCTTGGCCTTGGAGCCGGCATCGAATGACTCGAGCTTGAGGTTGAACAGGGTCTTTTCTTGTGCTGCTGGTGCGGCTTCCTCCTCCTCTACGGCGGCAGCGGGAGCTGGTCCACCAGGACCGGCTGCGAAGCCTCCAACTGGCAGGTCAGGGATGTTAAGACGAGTCTAAAGAATTGAAGATCGGTCAGCGTTTGAAACCAGTTTGATGCTTCCATCTCTTCGCACTTCAATCTCGGTCGAGATCGAGCAAACGACCGAACCGAGACAGCTGTATCAACCGAGTAGACTAACCTTCAAGCTTGCAACTAAATCGGCAGTTTCAAGGAGCGTCAATTGACTTATCTGGTCGACGATCTTGGTGATTTTTTCGCTAGTTGGTGCAGCTGGCTCCGCGGCCGTGGACTCATATCGCCTTCGCTGAGTGATGTATGATGTGCTTGCGTTCAATCGAGTAACTTGAGAGGAAGTGCGGATGGAGGCAGAAGCTGAAGAGAGGCGGATAGCGCTTCGGCAGCATCTAGTCGCGAGAGACATCTTTGCGGAGGGTTGTCGAAACTTGAAAGGCGAAAGAAAAAAATTCGACCGTGGATGGAGAGAGGGTACAGGCCCGGGTTGGAGGAAATGAAACTCGAAGAAGTATAACGAGACCCAATAGGAGAATTGGATAGGAGTAGAGAGTGCACGAAACGGTTAAGCAGCTCAATTGGAGGTTTCCTATGTCTTCTGGTCGAATCTTCGATCTTGATATAATTTGCTGTTGAGAGTGAGAGTTTGTCAATTAGCATAGTCACGTGCCACCACTGAACTCCTTCGGGATTAAGCTAAAAAGGAAACGAAACATGGACCTGCATTAAGAGCTATTTCTAGGGAATTATATATGAATTACAAGTATGTTTACAACTACAATGCAGTGTACGACTATTATATTATAGGATAACTTCCAAGCATCACACGTATCATGGACTTTTATTCATTAACGGTCAATAGTCTAAGGCAAGAAGCGAACCATACGATTATTTAAAATGTCTATTGATAGCAAGTACGGCTCGTACTAGGCGAAGATGTTCATTTTTATTTGCCAGTGATGATGCCGCATCCAGTATATCACCTATCAATAGCCTAATCTTCATCCCAGTTTGGGTTTTGGCCTGGTGGTTTGGGGCCACCGGCTTGTCTTGCAACAATAATCTGGTCAACGCTGAGAATTGTTCGTGCGGACTCGGATCCAAGTCGGATAGCCCACGATTTGGAAACGAGGAGGTCAAGAATTTCCTCCTCTACCGCGTCAATGGTTCCAGAGGGTGTGGAGGCAAGGACGTCGACACCGGTAGTCCAGGTGGGATCTTCCTCTTCGGAGCTTTCCTCCTCATCTTCATCCTCATCATCCTCTTCCTCTGACTCTTCCTTTGCTGCCTGTTGATGAGCCGTGTACAGCCTTGATAGGACTTCGGTGGCATTGAGACCGGCGGATTCGGCGAGTGTTCGTGGGATTACCTCAAAGGCTTCGGCGTACTTTCGAATGGCATGTTGGGAAAGGCCAGGAGTCCTATCCGCAAATTGAGTGATTCGTTCGATGAGCTGCATCTCCGTGGCACCGGCTCCAGGCACTAATCGTGGATCCTTAGCCACAGCCTTTACAGCATTCACGCCATCATCAATGGCGCGCTCAACATCTTCCAAGTAGTTCTGGGTGGCTCCACGTAGGAGAATGGTAGATGTGCGGCTTACGGAACCAGTATCTTCTTGTCGGAAGATGGTCACTCGATCACCACCAATCTCCATAGTCTCAACAACATCCACACTTCCCATCTCATCAGGCATAGGGGCACCAAGACGGGCAAGAGGGGTAGCTCCAATGACACGGCATAATCTGCGTAATTCGAATTTCGACATGATCTTTATAACAAGAATATTGTATCGGTTTAGGTAATGGAGGGCCAACTCTCCGACGGTGGAGCCGGCAACAACAACGCGGAGGCCCGAGTCGTAAAGCTCCTTGACGGTAGCTTCAAGACGGCTTTCTTCGCCTTTCGTAAAGTCAAGCATTTCCTTGGCGTTGTGTAGGAGTACAGTTCCTTTGGTCTCGGTTTGAGAGATATCAAGTGGGCAGCTGAAAACACCAACTTTGGCCTTTTTGGCCTTCTTAATGGAGCCTTCTGGTTCACGGGCAAAGACCATACCCTTAACAACGCGCGATTGTTCCAAGCTTCCGCCCATAATCTTAACCACACGAACATTGTCCACGTTGAAGTTGGCGGGGTTCTTTGGGAGAACAGCTAGAACAGCCTCTGCTACGAGAGGTGCAAGGATCTCTTCAGAACCAGACTGTTTGCTTCCGATAACCGTCTTCAGTGCCTTTCCAAGCTCAGTCGACGAGCGCATTTCCTTTAATCTATCAACCTCGAGTTCTACATGGAAGATTACTCGTTAGTAAATAGGCAGCCACAGAACAAGAAAAAAAAAGCGCCAAATAAAAAACGAGGATATTGTAGAGCAGGTCAGAGTGTATGGTGCTCCCAAAGGAATTCAAAACCCACCATCCAAAGTGCTAAGAGCAAATCCCTGTGCAATCTCATAGCCCTGAACGATATCACTGGTCTTCAACCCCATTCGTAGGAGATCCTCAGCCTTTCGTAGAAGCTCTCCAGCGAGGATAATGACCATATTTGTAGCATCTCCCATCTCAGCTTCCTGCTGCTGACTGGCCATGACCAGAAGTTTGGCAGCAGGATGAACGACATCCAGCTCCCGTAGGATTGTGGCGGCGTCAGATGTGAGAATCATCTTCTGCAGATGGTTGATAACGATCTTATTCCGGCCATGAGGTCCGAGAGAGGTCTGAACGGTCTGGGCAATGGCTCTGCATGCTTCGATGTTTCGAATGACGGCGCCATCTTCAGAGTCGTGGCTATATACACGATAAACAGTTAGTGGGCAACGCACATTTGCAAAGGAGAGAGCTTTGGGAAAACAAATCAACTCTGAAAGAAGTTACAAGACGCACCTTTGATAGCCCTGCTTGAACAGGCCCGCATTGGGCGCTTTCGGAATCGTCAACGACATGGCTCGTAAACTGTTCGTGAACTGATATCAAACCTGTGGGATGGAGGCAGCATTCGACCGCATCTTCTCCCCCTCGTTCTGATAATATTCGCAGAAAGCTTCGTCTAGGGGGGAGGGAGTTTGCGCTGTTTGCACCCACGCTGACATAAGCACGAGGCCCAACAACTTTCTGCGCCGAAACATCTCTCGACCTCAACAAAGGCCAGTATCTCGCGGCCATCTTGATCTTCAGAATTGCTGTCTGCCGCTCTTCGTTACAGCATATCCATCGTCAATTGAGATGTTTTCGAGACTGATCCGGGCCCGTGGCGTCGCCCAAGTGGGCAGACAGCCGTCGACGCAGCTGTTTCGCCGCTCTGTGACCACCGATGCTGCTTCTGCGCATGCGGAGGATATTCCAGCTGTACGCACATGAGACCCTGCCAATTGAACGGATATGGTGGGATAGATAGAGAGCTAACAGACTATCTGCTGGATTACAGGAAGATGACAAGCCATTTTCAGTCAAGCTCTCCGACGAGAGCTTCGAGACCTACGAACTCGACCCTCCACCATACACTCTCAAGACGACCAAGAAAGAACTCAAGAAGATGTACTATGATATGGTATCAATAAGGTAATGCATCCTGCTTGTCACGATCGGAGGGAATAAATGTCTAACGCCCCCTTGCAGACGTATGGAAATGGCCGCCGATCGACTCTACAAGGAGAAGAAGATTCGAGGGTTCTGCCACTTGTCGACCGGCCAGGAAGCCGTTGCCACAGGTATCGAACATGCCATCACCCCCGACGACAAGCTCATTACCGCCTACCGATGCCACGGATTCGCCATGATGCGCGGTGGTACCGTTCGCTCGATTATCGGTGAATTGCTCGGTCGCCGTGAGGGTATTGCCTACGGAAAGGGAGGATCTATGCACATGTTTGCTAAGAACTTCTTCGGCGGCAATGGAATCGTCGGTGCCCAAGTTCCCGTTGGTGCAGGTCTTGCCTTCGCCCAACAATACAATGGCGAGGCAAATACTACCGTCTGCCTATACGGTGACGGAGCATCCAACCAGGGCCAAGTCTTCGAGGCTTTCAACATGGCTAAACTGTGGAACCTCCCTGTCATGTTTGGCTGTGAGAGTACGTTCAAACCCTGATTTAATGAAGTCCTATCAATTTTTGGCCGTATTATTGACTTGTTTTTTTCTTCAGACAACAAATATGGAATGGGTACCGCTGCCAACCGCTCTTCCGCGCTAACCGACTACTACAAGCGAGGACAGTACATCCCTGGTATCAAGGTGAACGGAATGGATGTCCTCGCCATCAAGGCCGCCGTTCAGTACGGTCGTGAATACACCGTTGGCGGCAATGGTCCTCTCGTCTTCGAATATGTCACCTACAGATACGGCGGTCACTCCATGTCCGATCCCGGCACGACATACCGTACCCGTGAAGAGATCCAGCGCATGCGCAGCACCAACGACCCAATTGCGGGACTCAAGCAGAAGCTTCTCGATTGGAACATCACCACCGAGGAGGAGCTTAAGGCCATTGACAAGGATGCCAGGTCGATGGTTGATGCTGAAGTTGCGATTGCTGAAGACATGGCCGTTCCTGACGCGACCTCTCGCATCCTGTTCGAGGACATCTATGTCCGTGGCAGTGAACCCAAATGGATGCGTGGCCGTACCGCCGACGAGACTTTCTACTACTAAATTACGCATACACACACACACATTTCTTCCCCTTTTCGTTTTTCCCTCCCCAACCAACCACCTTCTCACTTCCATGGGCAGATTATTAAACGCGCCGAGCTTTACCAGGGCGTCATCGACCATCCTTGTAAGTAAAAATAAGTCGTTCGAGTACTTGGAGAAGCTCATCTCGAGCTAAAAGTTATACCCCTTGGTTGCATATCGAGTGAGCAAATTAATCAGCCATAGGAAATGTTAAAGGTATAGAGATATTGTATGTCATCACTAAGGGCTACTTCAGAATCTACGACGCGGCAGGCATAAAGGGACAGGACCTTCATAAAGAGAATTGTATATACGTTCTTGAGGCACAGCTACTTTCTCCAGGCGAGGCTACTTGTCGGTGGAAATTTATAGAAATGTTAATGCGGAGTGTGGAATTACAGTCCAAGAAGGATGGCTTCATTTGTATTGGAGTCCCCAGCCTTAATGAGAAACCAGCTGTTATTAAGAGTGTAGAATCGGCATAGCTGCAGGATGCACTTAGAATGAGCAGCTGGCTCTGTGTATTGTGACTGTGATATCAACAAGAGTAGTCGTGCAAGCTCCAACTCAGGCAACTTATTTATGCCTTTCCCCTGCGGGATCGGGGAAACGGAAGGTTATCGGACGACAAAGCTGTTTGACCTTTGGGATCGGGATTTAGCTGATAGGCTGAAGATGATACTGGCCCTAGTCAACTGCACTTGGATCTTCAATTCAAAGAAGTTGTCGATAAAAGACCTGCAGTTTAAGGAACTTGATAGGGTCGCTGGACTTGATATGCCGAAGATGTTTCCCCTTACATACTTCGCTATGCTTGAGGATATCATGACGTAGTAGAAATTAGATCCTGGAAGACGGAGATTTATTAATAGGAATGTAGAAAAGGGGAAGTCAGAGTGTAGGCCATGACTTCGGCTGTGTTTGGAACAAGGTTATTATATGAATCAATCATCATCTTCTAGCTTAAGTACAGCCTTCATAGCCCAGAGCACAACAGCCTTTTCTGCAAGATATTTTCTATAGCAGAGACAGTCAAGCCAATAGATGAAAAATATCCCTGCAAAATATGGAAAAAAAGGAAGAAGAGTAGCCTATTGACATGCCGAACGACGGGGAACTGAGTGATCAACATTTTCAAGTATACATTCGACATTTTCTCCATTGGGACAAAATAAAACTTGCATGAAGACAAAGGAAGGAAAAAAGAGAAGGGGACAGAGGACTAAAGACCATCGAATCCGTACACCGTTGTCCCCAACTGTTATTCAATATGTTAGATACTTGAGGTGAATAGATATATACCAACAGAAAGAAGCAAACAGAAAGCCACTTACTCGCTTGAGAACATAGATGACCTGGATGGTTTTAATGAGGTTAGCTATAGATAAAATGAATCACAGAATATCTGAGGAATGCATACATCTTGCGTTGTCACCGTCTAATGTCAAATTATCCATTAGTTTAGGAGGAAATATAAATAAACCAACAATAATAGCTAAACGGCACTCACTTTTCGGGCTTTGCCCGGGGAATCAGTCGACTCCAAGACGTGTACTATTTGTTCAAGTATCTGTTCAAATAACTTATCAGCCAGTGCAATAGTACAAGGCCGAACAAGAATTATAGTCATACCTTTTCCAGGCGCGCCACAATAACTTGACGAATAGTCCCGTATATGGCCTTTTGCATGCGCACTACTCCTCCGCGGCGTGCAAGACGACTGCATTCCAGGTTAGTTATATTTGACGTAGATGAGCGGGAGAGCAGTTGGATTCGCATGATTATCTACATATCCATACCGGATTGCAGGCTTGGCTGTAGGACGGTTCATTAGTAGGTATATATCTAGAAAAAGGAGAATATCGAAGTCACTTACTGATGCCCATGATGTTGTCCCTCGAGTGTTTTCTATCATACCGAAATCAGTTAATTGGTGTTTTCCTGGGTTAGGTGATAGGAGTAATGCTGACTTGTAACGCTTGGGAAGGTACTTTGCAGTACAATTTTTCTTTGCCAGCTTCAGCGGGACGTTCATGTTTAATCGGCTTGCGGTTTTGAGAGAAGATAGCTCTGTAAATAGACTCAAAGGCTCTGTGTCGAGGGAGTAGTTTGTGAAAAGAGTAGAACTGGGGATAGAAATTGGGTATAGATGGGAGAGATATAGAGTAGGGGATGAAGGCATTCACTCTAGTGCTGTGTTGTGTTATGATATGCTGTGTTGTTTGGTTGCGTTACTATGACAATGGTATGTCCCTTAATTGCAACACGCTGACAATAAACTAGATGGACAGCTTGCCGAGATAGGTGAAATGGAAAATAGCACAAGCTCTTGTTATCCTCATTGAATTATTTGGGCTGGGAAGCCATTAGTCTAGCTAGCTTGGGTGTCATCCTGCTTCAAGGTGCTATGCAACCATGGTGGGTGGGTCTCTGGTCGCCATAGTGATTTGAGAAGAGAAGATGAACATTTAGGTGGGTATAATGAGAGATAAAATTCTTAGTTCCAAACCCTGGTATTGATATTAGTATATAGGTAAGTGCTATAGAGATATATATGGGTATATATACGTGTGTAATGCAGGGACATAACGGACTTCTTGCCATTGACCCCGTGAGATGCGGATGCATCTTCGCCATGCAAGGGAAAAGAGCATCATACCAGGGAAGGGATATCAAACAAGGGTGTACCAGAGATAAACGAAAGACGAGAGGAGAGATATGCGATACCGATTCCCAGGGATACACCCGAACGCCAGCCGTGAGACAGATAATATATGCTGTATGTGAGTATGCCGATAGATCATGCCATTAGGAGATGAAAGTAGCTTCCATCAAAAGAGTGCCTTCTTCTGTGATTTCATCCTCGTCCCCGATCTTGATCTTGATGGGTAATTTGTGCGGTGGGCAGAACTGGCAAAAAGTAATTTAGTTTTCGACAACGAAAGCTCATCTGTGGATCTCAAACTGACCTGGTAGACATATGGTCTTGTTCCGGCAACACTGCCGACCAGTGATTTAATCAGCCCGGGGACCTCGGCCAGGACATCGATTCTATCAAGTCTAGGTCCCAAGGAACCCTCCAGCGTAGCCTCAAACGGCTTGCCGTCAGCCGTTTTACCCGACCAAACGACTTTGAGGGCAGTTGGCTCGGGCCAGTCGTTCTCAGAGTCCTGGGTGGAATCGGTATGCGTTACCGTATTCGGCGCACCGGCATATATAATTTCGCCATCTTTGACGACTCCGCCGACATTTACAACGGTAGAGCCATATGAAGGAGGAGTAGTGTACTCCATCATACCTGCGGAAAACGTGGGTGACTGGAAGTCGACAAAGTTCCATCTCGAAGCTAATAGGGGGGGATCAAACAGTTAGAATGGTCTCTCCGCAAAATAAGAGATGGTTAGAGTATACCGAGATGATGTGGCTTCATGCCCTGGAGCGCATGAACGAAAAATCCATTTCCGGCAAAGTCGATTTCCCTCTCACGAGTTATGATAGACCCCTCGACCTTGCATCGTGGCCAAAAGGCGTGCCGCATGCTGCCCCATGGGTTCATCGGATCGGTTCCAAATGTCGAGGTACCATCCTTGCCGGCGACAAATCCCGGAGCGATCCGTGTGAGTGTGATGTTAACTAGACTGTCCTCATTTATGGCCGACTTAATCGTATACGCATTTCCCTCCTCGTTAAGCGTGACAGCAACATTATCACCTCCAAAGGAGAGCATGTCTTCGTCAAAAATGTGGTTCTGGACCGGGTCAGAGGCCCATACGTGCGGCTTTGCCGGATCTGCGGAGAACACCTTGCAGTTGAACTGGCAGGTTGTATGGAGACCACTGCAACGTGCAGCATGTTAGCGACTCGGGCGTGTTAAAATGTATAAGAAGGGAACGGGGAAAGATGTGCTCCAACATCTCCGTCATCGAAAAGGCTCACGCGACATTGTTATAGATCAACTGGAGGGAGGCCATATCTCCGTTGTCCGAGAAGAGGTAGAAGGTCTGGGTCTCCACGCTGGTCGACTGCATCGCGGACCATCGTAGATGATCCTTGGTCATCTCGGTGTAGGGTATCGTCTTCGCCTGTTCGACCACCGACTGTATTGCGGTGGGGCCATAGATGGGCTCTTGGGTGCCGGCAACGTTGGCCAAGCTGGAAGACAGTTAGCTTAGATGTTGGATTAGACGGGTACGGGGGGAGCATACGTTTGCTTAAACCAGTTCATCGTGGTGGTTGGGGGTGATATGCGACTTGTATCTAGATAGATGGAGGGGACTTTGACCAAAGACCAAAAACCGGGTGCGGCCGGACAAGAGGTAGAGGAGGCTGCGGAAGTGGCGGATAAACGATCAACCGTGCAGCTCAGCCACTACTGCCGCGATTCAAGAAAAGTAGAAGCCGCCGAACAGGTCAGGATGCAGAGTTGAAGCTATCGACGTCTTTCTTTGCTGTGTTTTTATCTTCTTTTACTGTTTTTTCTTTGGATACAAAGTCGCGGCTATTTTCCTCCGCGCGGTTCTGGCGGCTGGCGCTTCACTTCTGTTTTGGGACTAGCGCGTGTCCCGAAGACTTTTTGAACTTCAAGAAAACATCGAGAAGAAAAGAAGAAAAGAAGGAAAGAAAAGAAAGACAAGACAGGACGAGACAGGACGAAGACAAGACGAAAGAAAGAGAGAGACGAAGAACATAACGAAAGAGAGAGAGCATTGGACCTAACTGGCTGCTGAGGAAGTGATTGACTTGGACAACGAAGACGAAGGCGCATAGCAACCGTGACGATGGCCGCCAGAGCTATACCAAAGGATGTAGTCGTGAAGCTCATCGTGGGCGCCGGTCAGGCCAGTCCCAGTCCCCCCGTTGGTCCAGCTTTGGGAAGTAAAGGTGTGAAGTCCATGGATTTCTGCAAGGTAGGCCCACGACTCTCCCCAATTGTCAGCGCAATTGCAAGTGCAATTGCAAGCCATTACAAGCCCAATTGCAATTGTGATGTAGCTGCCATCATTCTCCTTTATGACCTATTCTAACGATGATGCAGGAGTTCAATGCCCGTACCGCACACATGACTGTTGGCACTCCGATACCCGCACGAGTTACCGTCCGTCCCGATCGATCGTTTACCTTTGACCTTCGAACGCCCGTCACGTCCTGGCTTCTCCTCCAGGCAGCCAAGGTGGAACCAAGGAAAGCTCGCATCCGAGGCGGCGAGCGTCCAGGACACGAGTCGATCGGACAGGTGTCGTTGAAACACGTTTACGAGATTGCAAAGATAAAGCAAACGGAACTCCGGCTGTCGGGATTGTCCCTCCAGGGGCTGTGCACAAGCATCATAGCCCAGGCGAAAACCATTGGCCTCCGGGTTGTACCCTGAGTACTGCCAGCCTGTATCTAGATCAGTATACTGACCTGGCTGGACATTACGTTGTTGGGAAACCGACTTCTCCCTACGGCCAATCGAACTTTCCAGTGTTGATTCGACCAGCTAGACCGAATGGATTGGCGTGATCATTGCAAGGCGTTTGCGGGCGGGCAATTCTTCTTCTTGGGGCTACTACTATAAATTTTGCAACCTCCCTGTACTTGTGACGTGCTTGGGCTATCCCTGAGCGATGTACAGTGTATTACCAGTGTATGATAGAGCAATGACAGCCCATCTTCAGGGAATAATCCTCCCTTTCTTCTCTCTTTTTATCCCATCAAAAGTCGCCCATCTATAAGGCTGACTAAGCTACCTCCTACCTCGGCTGTCGTTTTCTTCTTCTTTACAAGAAAAAAAGGACGAAAAGATAAGAGAAGAAACATCGCGATCTCTGGCCGTAACCGCGAGAGTCGACGCTGCTGGACGTGCAAGACTCCCTCGCGGCCGCTTTATATTGAGCCCATAGTCCCCTTGGCAGCAAGTCGCTCTGGTTCGAATCAACTAGCAAAACATCGCCCGCCGAGTTCCGGGAAAAGTCTGAGTCCCGACAAGCTTTCGACGGACTCACATCCCATCGCCAACTCTCCCTCCGTCTTCTCTTCTATCAACATATTCTCCCTCGTCTTCTCTTGCGCTTCTGCTCGTCCATACCGTCACGGCCGCCCTTGCAATTGCGATACGGTGCTAGCGTGCATCCTTCCGACTGCCCTGCCCCTCCTATTTGTCGCGCCCTCCTCGTCTTGGCCCAGAGAGCCCCCAGCAAGAGACATCCCAGTCTGCGCGCCGACTAGGGACGCTCGCCGTTGACTCCGCGCAGGCTGAACCCGAGTGCGCATCCGGGGAGGAATGTTTGGCTCGTCCCCGCGAGACTGCTGATATCTGTTTCCTTACCGCCATCTGCTGGGTTGGACCAGCATACGCATATACACAGACATATATATATATAGCCAGACTTACGTCACACCATGGCGACTCTCTCGGGCTCGAGGTCGGCGGAGAAGAAGGCGCAGGAACCAAACACTGTCCGCTTCGCCTCGCAGAATCAAGAGATCGATCCTCCGCAGAGTCTTCAGTCCTCCAGCGGGTCTCCAGATACGGTGATCAAGGACAATGTGGGATCTCTGCCCACAGGGCCGGCCGGCGAATTCATACCGTTCGATGCGGCGTTCAGGAAGTCCAGGCTCCAGGAAACTAGAATGCACAACTTTGCATTTGATCCGGTGTCATTGCCTGCCTCCAGGGTACGTACATGGCCTCCGTTTGCTCATGGGCACAGATATCTATTTTTTGATACACGATACAAACAATTGTACGGTTTCAGGAACAAGTTAACTAAATATTGCTTTTTATATAGGCTCCTTCCCGAGATTCAAGTATCCGTGACTTTAATAGATCGATAGGGATGTCCCCTCCTCCGTCACAACCACAATCTCCTGCCTTCGGTCCCATTGATCTGCCTGAGCATCCAAAGGATGGACCCAACCGCGCCCTGCTAGAGACAACGGAGATGACACCAGAAGCCTCTTCCTCCAGCGAGCGGCCCTCAAAGCAATACATACGAAATCAAAATTCATTTCACTCCTCTAGACCATCTTCGCCTTCTAGCGCGCCGTCAACCCGTCCAGTTTCAGGATATGGCAACATCGCTCTTTCCAAGTTATCAAATGCCAACCGTGGGAAATTCTTTGTCGGTCCATCTGAAGACAGCCCTCCTAGCACCCCTAGATTTGAAGGTAGACGGCCTGCTTCTCCGCTCCTTGGATCTGGAACAATCACTCCATTAGGCGACGAGAACGATCCGTATGCCCGAGATAAACGACCGCCGCAGTCGAAAAACCTGGCGAATCTAGACCAGAGGTTCATCTTTGGAAGTGTCGATGCGAAACGCCGACCTCATAAGTCCCATTCTACCACGTCCTTGTCGACACATCACATTCAACGAGCGGCTCACGCATCTGATGTCAAAGACCAACATCATCATCACCATAAACACGGTCATATCTTCGGTGGCAAGAAGGATCGACATCATCTAGACGAAAAATTTGATGCAAAACACTCAGGCTCCATGTCGGAACTAAAGCGTTTCTTCCGGATGGACCGCAAACACAAACGCGGTGAATCACCATCCTCTATGAAGTCGTCTAGGTCTTCAATCAAGCACGCTCCGTTTCAATCTTCTACGGTTAGTGTGCCCTTTGCCGACGACCACGGGCTACAATCCAAGTACGGAAAGCTGGGTAAAGTCTTGGGAGCAGGAGCCGGAGGATCCGTCAGGCTACTCAAGCGTAGCTCAGATGGGGTCACCTTTGCTGTCAAGCAGTTTAGGGAGAAACACTCGTGGGAATCGGAGAGGGAATACGCAAAGAAAGTCACGGCGGAATTTTGCATCGGCTCTACTCTGCACCATGGCAACATTATTGAGACACTGGACATTATTCGCGAGAATGGCAATTGGTACGAGGTCATGGAATTCGCCCCTTTCGACCTCTTTGCTATCGTTATGACGGGGAAGATGTCGAGAGATGAGATCGCCTGCTCATGGTTGCAAATCGTGAATGGCGTCAGCTATCTCCATAGCATGGGTCTGGCTCACCGAGATCTCAAACTGGATAACGTCGTCGTCAATGATAAAGGTATCATGAAACTGATAGATTTTGGTAGCGCTGTCGTGTTCAGATATCCTTTTGAAACTGGAACTGTTCAAGCCACAGGTACGTTATCGCGCGCTCTTCGTCCATTTTAAAAGAGAAGAAACTAATAAGACCATAGGCGTCGTTGGTTCAGATCCATACTTGGCACCAGAGGTATATGACGGAAAGAAATACGACCCTTGTGCTGCGGATATGTGGTCTATTGCAATCATATTCTGCTGCATGATCCTCCGTCGATTCCCCTGGAAACAACCTAGGGAGGAAGACAACTCATTCAAACTATTTATCGCCGAGCCATCCCCTAATACCCCATCGCCGGAAGACTTTAGTAACCCCTCAAGAGGACGGCCAAGATCGTCTGCTGGCGAGCCAGGGAACAATCCAGCTGCAAACGGAAACAGGGGAGGAGACGGCCACGTCGCCCATCATCGTGGTCGATCAGATCACAAAGAATACCCTAAATCTGATCCCGTATCCCGCGAGTCCAAGGACGAAGCTACTGCAAAAATCGCTGCGAATGCGGAATCCGGCCGTGACAATCAGAAACAGCAAGCTGCCTCTGGCCAGCGTCAAGAGCCCATTAAAGGACCTTGGAGACTCTTGAGAGTCCTACCCCGCGAGTCCCGACTCCTAATCAGCCGTTTACTAAAGCTCGATCCCAGAGAACGAGCGACATTACAGGACATATTAGACAACGAGTGGGTTAGAGGCTGCGAGGTCTGCAGGCAGGAGGAATCCGGACAGACCATCAACGCGCCTGGACACACGCACATATTGGAACCCCCCGCGCCTCCGCCAGTTAAGAAATAGGCATTTAATAGATTTTTTGTTTTGAGGAAGGAATACGTTATTTGTTGGCGGATTTGGTCCATTAAAGGTCGTTGGTTTTTATTCTTGATTTTACATTTTCCTCCCTATTCGTCGTCTTTTTGTTTTCATTGGATAGTGAAAGAAAAGTCAGCCTCCTTTTATAATGCGGGTTCAGCGGTGGAAAGTTATCATTATTTGGTTGGCGTTGGATTACTTCTGCTTCTACCTTACCCCTATCTCCTCGGCGCTCTACAAATGAACGTGGAATTGTGTTACCGTGTTTCCTGTCGGACACCTGATGTTCTCTGTTACCTTGCCTTGTTTCGTACTAGATGTATATTCCCCGGTTATAGTCTTGCAAGAATATAAATCTTAATAATGATAATGGAGTAAATTTCTCTTAGTAGATAGAGCGTGACAAAATGTATATATCCTGCGAGTTACATGCTAAGGAATTTATCCAACAAGGCTCCCTTGGCTAAATATGGTGAGGGTAGATAAAATAAAATAGTAATAAAAAAGTAAAATCACGGGGCTGGTCAAGTCGTTGAAGGCGTCTCTGTTACCGTAGCTGATGATGATTGCATTACCCCAGATGCATCGGTGATCTGTTTCCCATTCGCCTGTTGTTTCTGTTCGGGCGCTGGAACGGTGGGGGCATCTGCACTATCACGGCCGACTCCAGCTTCTTTTTCATCTCCTTGAGCCTTGCTATCTTCCTCTTCGGGGATTGGGATCTTTCGTTTCCCGTTCGCCTTGTAGACTAGAACCATGTCGTTTCCTGTTCGCCATATGTGAGTACGTATTGTTGCGAGGGTCATATCGATAGGAATTAGCTGTAGAGAGGATATGTCAGCGTTTACTCGTTTGGTTAACCATGTTCGTATATGATGGCCTACAATATTTTGACAGTATAGCTCGAGATATTCTTCCGGTTTCAGCGCATCCTCACTTGGATTCTCTACATTCTGCGGGTCAATCCGCTCAGCAACGTAGGCGAGAATCTTCTTTGCACGAAGCATTCGGTTCGCATTGAGGCGTGATGAGTTGGTTGGGGCAGTCCTATATTCCTGGTTAGCGTTGTTTCTGTTGGTGCTGATGCTGATATGTCATTATATCAGTTTCCTAAGTCTAGACACTTACATGTCAGGTTTTATGACCTCAGGGAGGGAATCTTGGAATGGCTTTAATGAGAATGCTATCTTGGGGATTTCTTTGAACGGTACAACATTCTTTAGCGTGAGACGGAGAATTAGCCATTGCATCTTCAAGTAAAGGAGGAAAAGGAAAAAAATCTATCACTCACCCGGAGTAGAAGATCGGCAAGCCAAGTAGGAGCGGCTTTCTCAAATATATCAATATCCTGGCCTACGGTACCAACAGTGCCTCTGTAAAGATCCGCTGCAACAGCTGAATCTGGGTTTTCTTCCTGAATGAGAATACCAGTGTGGGGAGGGATGTTTAAGACTGGAGCCTCATTTTCCGGAGTAGGCGTAATTAATGTCTCTATATCTTTAGTAGGATTAGCAGCCAAATACCCGCCATAATCTGCGTGGATCTTTTCAATAACGCCACGAAAGTTATCATCGAAGGACTTCTCTTTCTCAGATGATTTATCAGATTCTTCCGCCTTCTCTTCCATGATTGGCTTTGTCTCAGTAGAAATTTTGGCCTTCTTCGGAAAGGTCATTTGGAATTTTTTACCAAAGAGAGACGCCCCCCTCTTAGATTTCTCTTCCCTTTCCGGTTCTGGCGAGGTTGTTAAGGGGGCGGAGGGCAGTGATTGCTCATTGGCGGAGGGTGGTCTGACGGCTGAATCTGGAGCATCCGTTGAGGGACGCTTCGTTGCACTGGAGAAATAATCAGAGGACCCAGATGCTTCCTTTCCGGCAGTGGTCTCATTCATCGAAGGTCCAGGGTTGTGATTGTGTAGTTCAGGGAAGGGAGATATTATACTAGGTGTGCCAATGCCGATAGACAACCCTGGAGTCATGACTGAGCGGCTCCCGTTAATGGCTTTTAGGCCAGGAGAACCAGGGTGGGCAACCCTCCCAGGCGATCCAGGCGTGATGACATTTGAGGCAACCGTAGCGTCTAAAGGCTCGTGTTTGTTTAGGCCTTGCTCATCGGCTTGCTGTTTAAGAGATCTTCGGTATTCTGCATCTCGTTCAACCTCTTCCTTGACTACGCCGTCAAACAGGTACCTCAATATCCATTTTCCAAAGTTAACTATGACAGTAAAATAAGGGGGTCCGATCAGCAGAATATACTATGGTTATAATTTAGAGCGTATAGCTTACTTCTCTGATCTTCTCGATAAGTATTAGTACCTGGGAGATCAGCTTGGTCGACATATATCTCCCCGTCAAAGCAGCGGTTTTGTTCCAGAATTACGGATAATCTCCCAGTTCTTGTATGTAAAGTGCACCAGTTGGCGATTGTTTCCGCGGTATTCACTTCGGACGCAACATCGTCCAAGTGACGTTTGCCAAATGATTTTATAGGGACGCACTATATATATGGTTAGGGCCTGGCAAGGAAAGTAGCGGAAGATTAAACTCACCCGAAGTAGGTCCCAGAGCACAACTTCGCCAGCCGTATCTTGAGTCAATGCCCGCTTCCTGTCGTTCAGGGTTATATGTTTAATCATGCCATGCTGGCCCTCAATTGTTTCCTGTGGCAGGGATTGAAGTGGTGTTATGATGCTTATTCCTTCGTCCAGGAGAGCCTCAGCAGGAGCGCGTAGACTGGAGACCGACAAACTCACAACATCGGCCTCGCGATGTGCAGAGTTAGGGAACGTAGCCGTATTTGATAAAACAAGGATAGAGCTTGCAGGGATTTTCTGTTTTGATGAAGGTGGTGGAACAGTTTTGCTCTCTTCTGGCGAATTTTCCGATGCTATGCTCGATGCGTGTCGATGGAGCGGTGGAGGCGTCAAGACTTCTATTTCTGCAGTGGTATCAACATCATTCCAACGATGAATACTAGACTTCGGCGTCGCTGTCCAAATATGATCTCCAGCTGCCACAACCTTGAACACACCGTCATTCTCCTGTAGGGCAGCCACGCAAATGCCTTGATCAATATCTGGTACATTTCTGGTATCCGTTTTTGCGACAAGACCCGATCTGTCGCTTGAATAGAAGACTGACAATTGTGGATGGTCTGAGTACAATGACCATACACTGTCATTATGCATAGTTAGAGTGTGCATACACCTCCCTGCCGCCATTGACCATATTTTGACTGTCTGGTCGGACGATGCCGTCATAATTGTGTCACCATCGCGGTTAATGAGGATACTCCTGACATTATCCGTGTGACCAACAAATTTGGTTACTAATTTTCCAGTCTTCGAGTCCCATATTCGAACCACGCTATCGGGACCACCACTAGCCAGGATTGACCCCTTCGCACTTAGAGCATAGACAGATCCCTTTGGGGTCTGATCGTACTCTGAAACGTCGATTTTCATTCTCTCGCCGCCGCCATTCAGGTCCCAAAGGTAAATTTTATGGTCTAAGCTGCCGGACGCAACCCAGTCGGCGTTTGGTCTAGGAGTTGCAAGGCATTTTACATAGTCGGTATGCTTTCCAATGACCGCGGGCGGGTAGTCGTTGCTTGCTTGCCTCCATGCTCTCACAGTGGTATCGGATGAAGCAGAGACAAGAGTCGAGTTATTCTGAGTCAAAACTATATCGTTGATCCAATGCGTGTGCGCTTGGATTTGGCTCCTAAATGTGGTTGGCGTTGCGTTCTTCTTAGAGGGTCCTGCGGTTGTAAAGCTTGAGGAGGAAAAGTCGTGTAAATCATTTCTCGTTCGGAGGTTGAGGTCTAAATCCCAGGCACATATTACGCCATCCCGGCCAGCGGAATACCTGGAGAGAGTCAGTTAACGTGCTCTCCTTAAACACCTTGGTAGGCAATGTGCGGGGGTGAATGGCATGCTGCCACAACGAATGGCGTCGTTGTAACGCACTTATCCGTTTTCCACTGACGGCCCAAGACGGGGGAACTTACAGGATTGAACTTGTCGTATCAACAGCAAGTCCATTCACACCCAGTCGGTGACCACCGGGAGCGTCTGATGCTGACAGCACTGGTTATTGCAAACACAACGGGTTAGCGAATGCGCCAGCAGTATGGAGCAGTCAATAACGACCAAATACTCACCATAGCTGACCCGCTGACTAGACTTCCTAGCCATCCAGATAACACGGCTTTATACTGTACGGCCAGGCCGATATTACAGTCCAAACGGCGTCCGAAAAGAATAGACTTAGTATGCGCGAGATGGCTCTGCTTGGTTGACAAGCTCGCGCGGCGCCATGGGATATAGTCAGAGGTTTCAGTGCGTGAGGGATAGATAAATCACATGCGTTGTGCCCTTATTGCCGGTCTCTATTGCGCTGTTGGCGTTGTTAGTTGTTGGATCCCGCGGTGATGCGGAGGAAGCTGGCTTTAACCGCGCGATAGCTTATCGCGTCACATGATCTAGATGCTCTATATATAATTTACAAGGGTATGGGCGAGTACAACGACCGAGTCTATGATGGACGAAATGAAAATAACCTGGCTGCATGCTCATAATGGGTCGGCTTCGAGCTCCTTTTTGGCGCGGTGGCCCTCCATCAGGTTCCAAGCTCGCTGGTAACTACCCAGGAAGATAGCACCTCCAATTCCGATCCAGGCGACTCGAGGTCCAATGCCTCTCCAAAATGCACTGGCGCCCTCGTCTCTCCATATTCCTTTGACAATGTCTCTAACTCTGATTTTATCTGTGCTTGATCCAGGGTTTCCGCCACGCCGGGCTAACATAACTCGTGTTTTGACGACATCAAGAGGAGTAGTCAACCCGGCGGATATCGCTCCAGCAATACTCCCGAAGAATGCACTCGACGTTGCAGAAATGGTTGTCGACGTCTCGGTCGGGTCATTCTCCTTCTTCCAAGTGGCATAAGCATCTTTCATCCCTTCCCACATCGTAAACTGTAATATAGTAAAGGGGATTTCTCGAGCGATCGTAATTGAGGTCCCCCGGTATAACTCGCGGATAACGAGAATTGGTCCTCCCTGACTTCCACTGCCATGGCGTAAAGAGAGAATATCTTTAAGTGCCAATAATGTCGAACCACCAAAGAGTCCTGCCTGAGCACGCTGTTTTATGACCTCTGTGGGCACGCGAACAGCACAAGCGGCAATCTCACCCAGAGACGACGCGACCGAATGTGTGAGAAAAGTATGCTGCCATGGAACTGGCGCCGAGGAAGACGTGTTCGGAGGGAGGAAATGTCGTTTCACGCCATCGTAAACGACGAAGAAACTCGCGGCCGACGGAGCAGAACCAAGAAGAACAGACGGTAAGCCTGCATATATTCCGCGAAAGGTTTGTCGAAGAACCTGTAAGCTACTTGCACCGGCATTTAGTGAGGCTCCTGCCGAAGAGCTGGGTGCGTGATGGCGAGCTTGCTGAAGTCTGGTCTTGATCGTATCGAGGGGGAAGAGAGAAACATCTACGGTGAGACCGGCAGCTGCCCCAGCCTACAACGACCGTCAGCTCATCAATCACATTCTCGCAAGATATCCATATACTCACCAGAAGGGACCTAGTCCACAAAGACGATTGTGTCGCGTGCGACTCATCCTTCTGGCCTGCCATCGAATTTGGAGCCTCCAACTGTCGGTATTACTATTGCGAAACTATATCGATGTTCATATTGCCTACAACATAGCAAGCAAGATAAATGACAATAGTAGATAGTCCTTGTGCAGTTCAAAGTATCTTCTCAAGTTGGATTTTTCGAAGTTGAAGTTTTTTACCATTTTGCCGGAGTTAAGCCGTTGGTCCGGCCGAAGCCCAAAACGGAAATTTGAACTTCGACTTCAGTTTGGCTCTACCCACACAGGTACTATCAACACTAATATCAGCAACATCTGCTCTGTACAATGATATAACTAGTCCGATGCATTTAACTTAATCAAGACATTGTAACTTGCTCAATCACTTGACCCTTTTACCTCATAGATGAGCTGGTGCACGTTAGGCTTCAGGGGTACTAAATATTATCGCAGAACTTCTTGTATCTATTATCAAGCCAGTTAGCCGTCGCATGTAATATTCCACCTTACCCTCCTTTTGTTAGCACTTAAATTCTTTGGAAATTCCCTAGACCTCTGGGGCAACGCCGTTCTCATCAAAGCCTCGCGGTGATAACTATTACCTGGTGCGATTAGATATCAGCCTCCCATTATTTAGACTCCTCATCTCTTAATTTTTATCATCAGACAGGAGAGCCTCTGCCGTCGCGCCTTGGTTAGCAAGGTCTCGTTTGGCGTTTATCAAGTATGGCCACTCGGCATACTTCGATGTACAGTATCCGACTCGAAGAATATCGGGTCAGCCCATCCTAACTCCAGATAGGCGCCAGCCCAGGCCGGTCGCACCCACAGGCTCCACTAGAAAATCCAATAGTACAATCTACCTCGTCTTAGACCTGCTTCACGACTTTCCTAATAAGTTATTTAGGTCTTTAATGAAGCTTGCTAGAGCGCTTCTAATGATTAATGGCAAGTTTAGCAATAATAAACAGGTATGGATATATTATAATTTTATTATTTGCCATCTTATCTGTTAATATAAGTAGGATTTATTTGATACTGGTATGTGTCATATTTTAGGATTTTCCTTAGCATTGTCGAGGTTGGTATTGCATTCCCTTTATAGAGTAAAAATGGTATATTCTTAATAATGTCTGCAAGACACGGGATCTTGCCCTTACCTCAAGGTCAGAAGAATCTATATTACCTACTTTCTAAGTCGTTGGCCTGATCATCAGCTTTTCAGGTCTGGTCGATGCTCCAGTCGTGAAATTAGAATTCATTATATGGGTGTCCAAGTGAGTAATTTTGGAGCTCTGAGTTACCTTCAGTATTACTAACCAGAGGATGTTGTAGCTCGCAGACAGTACGCTGCTGTTGGGATCAGCGCAAACAAAAGTTAGGTTGCTTGTTAACCGGTGCCATCGAGAAGTTTTGGATGTAGATAAAATATTAAAACAGAGCCGGACATGCTAGAGTGGAATAATTCTTATCCACTTCCGCTGACCCTTACCCTGATCCTGGAGATTTCCCTCCACCACGGTATCGTCCTATTCACCACATTATAATTTTCCCATGAAATTTGAGCTAAATGGAAGAAGAGCAACTAGGTACGAGGCATCTGCCCAAACAAAGTTCATTTGCATCCTTTAATGTATAGGCATCATCCTACCTCGCCCACTGGCTAGTGTTTCCTAGTACTATATTTACCGCGGCTGTTTTGCCTATTTCTCATGTAGCGCTATTTATAATAATCTCTATAATTTCTTGGGTAGAAGTAACACCTGGTAGTAGTTATTGTGGGCGCTACTGGAGAATTCGTATCCTGGGTCTACGCAGTTAGGGTCTTTTATAGTAAATCTTCGCCCATTGAACCCTGAGCTCCTGACCACACGGATTCGATTAATATTTTTATACTACAAAGGTTCTAAGCCTGAGTTAATCTTTGTTAAGTTGATATGGGCGTAGATATAGGGTCCGAGAGAAGCGATATCCCTATCCCAAATGTTATCTCTTGACCTATGGTGAATTATATAGTAGCAGGATTGATAATGGCATGCCACGTATGTGTATCGTAGGTTATTACTCTATCCCAATCTAGATGAGGATTCATATTAACGACATTGAAGTAGCAAAGATGCCAGGGTGACGCGTGCTAGGTTAGGATCGAGCAACACCAGCGTGATGCCTGAATCAAAGGCGTTGTACCGCCAAGCCATGTGCCAGGGCACGGGTGGTTTCATGTGGGGCATGTGCTGCTAATTTAGTGGATCAGGGCTCCACTTTGACGGGTGTGGCTTTTGCGGAACCACACTACTGGGTTCACCGCTCCAGGCACAGAGCTACATAGCAGGTGGTATAATGGACTACTACCTGCCCCCCCCTTCTCTCTTCATGTACGGAGTAGCTAGGATATATCTCCCAGGAAATATCTCTCTTCCGCAAGGACCAGGATAATCTTTGGTAGACTCCTTCCCAGAGCTTACTTGCGTTGCCGGAGATGGGCTCATTTCCTCCTTGTCCAAGGCACAAAGCCTTTCATGTCAGAGCTCGGTGGAAATGTGATCCCTCGGCGGCATGGTCTTGGGTTGGACCATGGGTCATCCTGCCATAGATGAACGATACAGTACAACCCATCAAATTAATAGATACACATCGTTGCGGTAGTAGAAGATCTTGCAGTCGAGACAATAGATACGTTCCCTGTATACGGAACTGAGTCACGCTGTATAATAATAAGATCCTCTCAATGTATGCTTAATCGCACATTTACTAGATTTGCCATATCGTAACCAGTCACGATCTAAGGAAGTGAAGTCGATATCGACAGTGGTGGTGGTGTGTTCGGCTTGGAAACCCGTTTCTGAGTTTCTGTTTCTCCAAGGGAGGTAGCAAGCGCGGGTCATACTGCACGTGTAGTCGTTAAAGGTCTTGGTCAAAGTGAACTATCGATCTCAAGTGAAATGCGCCGGAGAAAGCGGTTGTTGGGTGTTGCTGTGGGGGAACCGGGGGCTGTAGTTGGGGGTGGGCTCGTAGCTAGAGGAATGAGGTATCCAACCATCCTTGCGCAAGGGTCCTTTGCTCTATCCGTAACGGGATTGGACCTAGAGAGCTAAATAACGACTGGTAATTATGATAGCTTACTTTTCCTCAAATAGATAAATATTGTCAAATGATATATACAAGCTTAGGTTGGGCTAGGATCTGGTTAATTTTTTGAGGTTGTTGTAGATAATAGGGTCATCATTTGAAGTTGGGGATGGGGTTATTAACTAGATAGTTCAATAAATTAGTGAGTATGATGATGTACAGCCCGTTATTCAATATCCCCTCATATCAACTGTACTTGGTAGTGATACTTGTAGAATCATTTAGCTAATGAATTTCTTGGATTTGTTTTGCACGAACCCTCACTACTGCGTAACTACTCGTATGCCCTGTAGACCACCACGCCTTGCGCGCATATAGTCGTAATGTTGATAGTTTGGATAGTCAATGCCACCTACAAGATGCGCAAACAACTGGGCGCCTGGAAGACCGCATCAATATAACTTGTTCCCCTACGGTGATATTGCTCATGATGTCAAATCGAAGTTTCAACCTTCCTAAAGCGTTTTCGGCGCGTAAGTTAACTAGTTAAGCGCGCGATTAACTAGAAAAAGGGGCCCACGTGACTATGATTAATTTTGCTTAGTCAGACTTTATGAAAAAAAAAAGAAGCGCGAGTATCAGAGATCGTTCGACATCAAACATAACCCTTGAGATGGATAAGATACATACATATCTAGGGCCCTGCGGATGACCTTGTGCATAGGTTTTGTGTCTCTGACTTATAATGGCTTCTAAAAGCCTGGGGAAGCTGGCAACATCGCCAATTTCCCTCACAGAATTTTATCATGCTTTCACAAAGCTATGGACCACCTGGGAAGGTGGTAAATATGTGCCTCCACGGCGAATTGGTATGCACTCATCACTTTCTTTAACCCTTGAGTTAGCTGTGTATGCACTTAGTACTAGTCTGCGGCCGAATTTCTGACGAGTTATTCATAGCACTTGGTGTTAGCGGTGGAAGTGATTCTATGGCGCTTGCATACCTCTGCAGCCAATTGGTCACGCAAGACATTCTTCCAAGCTTAGAGTTGAAGGCATATGTTGTGGATCATAAGTACCGGCCAGAAAGCTCGGAAGAGGCGCGTTCAGTCGCAAGTCAGGTGGAAAAACTAGGTAGCGCCACTAAACCAGTCATACGCCAATATTATTACTTTATGTCTTTCACGAGGTAGCTATACTGACACTGGCTTCCAGGAATCGAGTCTGAAGTTCTCACCATGAAATGGCAGGCTGGGGAAGCTTTGACGAATAAGGGATTCGAAACGCAAGCGCGAATTCATCGCTATCAGTTACTTGGGAAAGCTTGTGTATCTGATAACATAAATGCCCTTTTCCTAGGACACCATCAAGATGATAACGTGGAGACTGCATTTATGCGCCTAGCTAAAGGCCATCAGAAACTTGGGTTAGTTGGATTTGATGACGTTGCGCCCATCCCAGAGTGCCATGGCCTATATGGGGTGAGCAAAAGCGGTTTAGATACATCACTCCTAGAGATCCTCGAGAGCACAAATATGGACGGCATTCGCTGGGGCCCACCTACGCAACCTACTATGCGTAATATAATTTCTACTTCGGGGAACATGCGATTTTCCACCGGCGGAGTCTACCTCTTCCGTCCGTTTCGATCGTTCTCAAAATCGCGGCTAATGGCAACATGTCAAGAAAACAATGTCCCATTTGTTACTGATGCTACAAACAAGGACAAAACGTTTACTCTTCGGAATACAGTGCGCCAACTCATAGATTCACAAGACCTGCTTCCACGAGCGCTACAGAGACCGTCAATTTTGTCTCTGGTGGATAGATCGAGAGAGAACACACAGAAATTCCGTGAGATATGCGACGCACTTCTTAGGATGGTAGAGATTCTCAACTATGATCCTCGCTTTGGGACAGTGGTCATTAAAATGCCTGCAATATCCGATCTACCCAAGGAGCAGAGAAAGGCCGTGTATGACCGGGCTGCTCTTCCAGAGGAAATACAAGAAATTTATGCGTCAGCCATGCGAAGCTTATGTGACCTTATTTCACCATACCCCGATCGATGGAAACCCCTATCCCAATTCAAAAACCCTGCACACAGAGTATTTCTGGGGTATGACCCGTCCAACAAGAACGGCACCATTTTCACTGTAGGTGGTGTGTTATGGCAAGCAATAAACAAACCGCAAGCCGTAAAACAGCGGACTGGGCGAAAGAGTGTTTCTAACACTACGCATCATTCAAATCCTACTTTCCCTGGTGACCTAAAACTTAAAGGTCAAGATTTGAATCCGTCCCCTAACCGGGCGCCTAATGTTTGGTTGCTGTCGAGACAACCTATATCATCTGGAAAGGAGACACCAGTATCAAATTTTGAGCTGAAACTACCTAACTACACTGTGAATAGAACGGCTCATGGGTTTATACTACGAAGTGGAAGCTACCGACTGCGGCCACGAGACCACGAGAAGTTCATCTATACTGAATGGACAGATTGGCAACTGTGGGATAATCGGTATTGGATACGCGTCCGTGGTCGTGCCAACATTAGACAACACGATAATACTCGGGACGATAGATCTCGGAAACGCCTATCCACATTCCCCAGATATTCATCCGATTCCGCAATCCCGATCAGACTTCGCGCTCTAAGCGAGTCAGACTTGACTGGGATTCGAAAGGTGTTGGGAGCGACTTTTAGAAGATCATTGGATAATGAAATCTCAAAGGGAGAGCTTACCCTCAGCGAAGAAGGCCAAGTTGAAGTTCCATCTCATCGGGTGTCGCCAGACTCAATTTTGGGCCAGTACCTGTTTTCTCGGCCGTCCCCCTCAGCATCAACAATGCGACCAAATCGAGGGGCTTCCAATCTCCCAATGAGCCCAGTTACGTTTCACAGAATTCTTGGCCTCCTCGCACCTGGAAAAATACGATTCACCCTTCCCGTGTTAACAACCACAGTGCCGGAAAACGGAGACTTTGAAGAATTGGATTTGCAAGAACAGCTTTTAGCGTTACCGTCTCTACCAATATCGCTTCCAACTAAAGTGCTTGTGAAGACCCCACTTGTAGGTGCCATGGGACCTACAGGTAGCTCTACGTTTGATGTACCTTGGAAGGTGGAGTATGAGACGAGATATAAATGGATCGAGCCAAGTACCGCCCGAGCAGTACTTAAGTGAAATATTTATGCAAAGCGTTTGTATGTACGATAGTTTTATATGTAGTAGCTATTTTATAGTTTATACGGAGGTGGGAAGTGAAATAATCATCATATTTTATTCTTTGTTATTGGGTACGAATAAGGTTGGAATTTAGAATATATTATTTAGCAACCAAGTACACCTCAAAGTAAACATAAAATTGGCCTCCCTACCAGTGAATATTAACCCTAAAAACTGTACTGTTACCCAATTCTACTCCCCAGTTGAACGCCAACATTGACCTGTCTACTAGTGCTGCCGCACAGGGGAAGGGACCAAGTCACGGCCATGTTCTATAAATATTTCTTCAGCAATATAGGTGAAAGTCGAGTCACTTGTCAAGCCCGGAGGGCTCACTAATTTGCTGCGCCTTCAATCCACTTATTTCTCTTTTTAACCTCATGTTTTCCTTCTTCACCCGCGCCACCTCATCGAGTGCATCTTTTAGTTGATTTTTAAGAGCTTCCTCCCCAGCACCAAGCCGGATATCCTTAGCCATCTTGCTTAATTCATTATTGAATCGTTCATATAGAGCTTCATTTTCCTTGCCAGCTTCGCGGTAAAGCTCATCAAGTTTTCGTGCACGCTTTTCGGAGACAAGAAGTGAATTCTCAAGGTCATTTTCAAGGGATGTTGCTCTAGCACCAAGGTTTGAGGTCATGGCAGAGAGTTTGCTTTCGAGGGTGCGAACTCGTTGAAGGAGGGCATTGGGCGACGTAGCGGTAGTAGGAGATGTAATAGGCCGAGAGCCTGCGGAAGATAATGGCCGTCTTCTAGAGGGGGACGTGTTGGAGGATAGCTCCTCAGTGACTGATGCGAGTTCTGCTTGCAAGGAAGACTCGGCAGAAGCCATGGCTTTTCTTTCGTTTAGAACGCGCTCACGTAGCTATTACGGTATTAGTTAGTGATCAAAATTACCATAAGGGTTAGAGAATGGGCTTACCTTTTGTGGGGTTTGCATCCGTAATTTTTGTGTTTTGGGCGGAGAAGCCGCATGTGAACGAAGCCCGCGCCCATAGCCATCACTACTACTTGGCCGTGGAGGCTTTTCTCGCGGTCCTGCAATCTTTGATGGAGTTCCGGCTCGCGTACTATCTGCTCTCCTCCGAAGTGGCATAGATATCGTTGAGGCATGCGGCCTTCTATTCGCTGGGCGATCCGCGAGTGTCGTCCTAGGCGAAGGAGGAGGGACATTTTCCTTAAGGGTTGCAGCTATTTGGCGCACAGGCGATGCAATTCGAGTTGGTGGAGTATTCTGAATCGGAGTTTGTTGCGCACTGGGATTAGGTAGTCCCGAGGGTTTAGCGGGCGGTGTTGCAGGCTCAGGGAGAGTAGATGGTGTGATAGTGATGTTTGATGGCTTTTTGAACTCTCTGTTAGCAAAAAGGGGTGCTACATCCGCTGTAGATAGCTGCTTCAGATCTGAGAGCGAGCTTCTCCTCTTTTTTCTTGGGGGAACGTTTCTTTCCACAACATGATGCTCGCCAATAGAGGCGAGAGAAGTCTGTGTGTTGCTATTTGAACTAGTCGGCCGAAGGTCTTCGTCTTGGGCGAATATTGTCTGCATAAGGGGTCGATCCCTTGAGCGGGGCCTTAGGAGACTGTGTAAGCGACTATCTGTGTCTGTTGATCTGGACCGCATGAGCGAGTTTTTGGAAAGCGAAAGGTCAGTCTCTGAATTTCCTTTTGATTTGCTTAAAGACCGGATAATAGAGCTGACTTTGCCCTCCCCATCCTTTATACTATTTTCTCGACTTAGCCCAAACCCAAACCGCTTACGGAATGAGGAGGCATTTGAACCTATTGATCCAGGCGCGAGCAGGCCACGATTCACTTCGTTGACTAAAGCCCCGTCGGGTGGTACGATAGGTCCAAATTCGTCAAATAATCTTTCGAAGTCTTCCACGAGTCTATCAAGAAGAGGTATTGTTTTCCTTGCATCACCGTCCTCGGTAATGATTTCGGAGAAAACATCCGTCAACGCACCTCTATCCCCATCGTTTCCGGAGTCATTGAGCAACTGTGCAAGAAGTTTTATTAATGCTGTAAGTGCACGGCGAGATTGCGGACTTATCTCGGACAGGAAGCCATGAAAATAATCTTCGAAATCCCCCGGGAATAACGCATCGAACTTAGCCAGTAAAATTAATAGGGACGTTTGAGATATTATAGGGCCGAACTTTTCCTTCCACGCCTTTTCAAGGAAGTTTTCAAATGCGACGATGAGCATGTCAACTGGGGCCTCTGCTGCGGCTTGAAGTTGACTGGGATCCTCTAAAAGAACGTTGTAAAGCTCATTGACAGCCGCAGCATCGACGCGGTCCCGTGATCGCAGTATCCGACCAACAATGTTTCCACTCCTGGAACGGATTGCAAGCGTGTAGGCAGTGAATGTTTTCTCCAGTTGCTCCAACGGGCTCGCAGCTCCGTCAGAAATACTAATTCCCCCATGCGAAGTTTTTGGTGGAACAGCATCGTCTAAGCTGATGTTAGACGTTTGGGGCTGAAGGGTCGGGACGGTGTGGGTTAGTACTGGTAGCGATGGAAGGGATTTAGAGGGTGTGTGTCCCAGGGACTTGGGATGTCCAGCACCCCAAAGGTTTGACAGCAATTTCGTTGGAGATGGTGGCCGAAACGCCTTAGACCCTTTTGAAACGCCCAAGATATGTTGAGCAACAATGCGTAAAATATTGAAATTGTTTTGGAGGATATTCCCAGTAAGTAATGGGTTTTGGGGCTGAGATAGCGGACGTAGCAATGCCGTAACTGACAAAAGATTAGTCATAATATCTCCAGCGACAGGCGATTTGTCTACTTACTTCGTTTAGACAGGGTAGCTGTAAAATCACTCGCGGAAAAGGTATCGCTAGATGGAGCGCCGACAACGGAATCTAATTCCATCTTAAATCTAGAGCCTCCTAACACTGGGGAGATCGATGCAACCACTTCTATCTGGCCTGAATTCAACTGATCTGTCAAAGTCGTTGCTGTAGCGTCCACGATCAATTTCACACTGGAAGGAAATTTAGGAATATCAGGTTCGGTTCCATCTTGTTCAAAAACACAAATGAGGGCACCCAAATTGCCAAACGCCCCTCTTGCGTTATGGAGTGACCACTTCCCACGTTCTCTATACTGTTCTGGGAACCTCCCTTCAATCCTGGCTTTGGTGATTTCTTCAATCAGTTTTGTTGCCTTGGCTTCATAGGTCGAAGTAAGTTCAAGGGTGAGAATGATATTTTTTGAACGTGAGTGTTCATGCTGAACAAAATTCTCAGCTGGGACAAGATACAAGATACGGCCACACTTAGATTGTGAGCACCGAACACTGGTAGTTGGTAGGGACTGGCAAAAGGTAAGCTCTAGGGGAGCGGCAGGACCCGCTGCATCCGCTTCCGTGCCCACTCTAGGTTTATCGAGATCGGCGCATAAGCCACGGGCAGTCCACTTGCTCTCGGGGTGCTTAGATAGAAAGACTAAGCAATCGGCGAAGAGTAAGAGTATGCCTGGCTGACCTCTTGATCCGGAAGAGCCTGACCGGAAAGGTGGTAGTAGGGTATACACATCGGCAGCAGTGATTAGACGCCCAGCCGGTGCCACAGACTCTGGCCACTCTTGAACTATCTTCTGCAAGTGTATTAAAGTCTGAGAGTGATCTGAGGCTGAATATGAATCTAGGGAGCATATTTCGGTGATGGTGTCACGAGCCTTAAGCAATGCCCTCACTGCAGGGTGCATTGATGGAAGAGAGCCGGTCATAGTATCAATTAGAAGGCTATACCGTGGGAGACGCTGAATGGGTTCCATAAGCAATGAGCGCATTCGCTGTTCTCCGGTTTCATAGACTCGCTTGGAGAAAGAGGAGTTCTGATCGCCCAGAAAAGAATTTAGAAGAGAGTAGAACCCCGTATGGGCATGCATGTATTGTCCATACGGCTTGGAAAAACGCGGAAGCCAGTCAAGCAAGCACTGTGCAAAAGCAATGGCACCTAAAGGGTCTTTTCTTCGGCCAGTAGTAGGGTCACGGGGGAAGACGGACGGGTCAAGCATGGTATCTTGCGATAGGTCTTCTAGGGCATCCTTCTCTGTTTGTTCAAGGACAAGGCGTATGGCATCCAAGAATCCCATATTCACCTCGAGTATTTCATTTAGACAAGGTGGAAACAGCTTGGCCAACGTTGATTCATCCGGGCTCGTGCTCGTTGGTGGTTTTGCCCTTGCCTTTTGGCAAAACTCCTGCGCAACGTTATGGACAAGGTCGTACATCTTATGAACATATCTCTCCTCCGTATCCACCACCTCACACATTGAAAGCCGAAGTGCTTCCTTTTGAGAAGCTGCAAATAACTTTGACTTGCTCATATTAGTTGGTTTTGATGGAGCCCGGCGCAATTTCGAGGTTGGCAGGAAAACGGGTTCACCCAAGGCATCCACCAAAGGCGCGAGTTTACCGAATCGGTCTGAATACTTCTCCCTGACGGGGGATCCGACGCTGGACTCGTTGTATCCAAGAAGAGATTGTCGCGCTGACTCAATTGGCGATGTTGGGATGTTTATCGAACCCGCCGGGACAACTAGATCTATGTCGATCCATGGAACAACTCTATCCGCAAACGCATCCTTTAGATCACGAACCACAGCTGCCGAATTCTCCACTTTTTCCATCTTGTCCGCCAGGTCAGCTGCATGCAGCTCGTCAAAGAATTGTAATGGTTTGGAGCTTGGTCTCCCCGAGCGCGCGATCGCAACCAGCTCGCTCTTCACTGACTCCGGAATTTCTGAAAAGTATTTAAACAAACACACAGCCAGCCCCCGATAGACTTCTTCCCCTTGTCGTTCGCGTGGTAGGTAGTTCACGGCGGCATATAAAGGAGCAGCCGGCGATACCGTGATGCGGGGATAGCTTTGCAGCCCACCCGGAGCGAATATATGGGCCTGGATGCGCGAGCTGCTGAGGGTCGAGTTGGCCGTGGTTGCTGAGCCATGGAAGACAAATATAGAGGACAGGATCGGGTCGACAGCATGGTAAAGAGCGAGTTGTTCAAGCGGAAGGCTCGCGCACGAGCTGGCCGCGGAAGCCATGACGGCTGCTTCGAGGGAGAAGGGGAGGAGGTATGAAACGAGGATGCTGTCTGTTTGTCTGTCTGTCGTGCGCGTTCCGCGATGTTAACGAAAACAGCTCTCTTGTCTGTTCGGCGATGAGGTCCTTATCCTCCTTTCAACTTTCTCCAATAACTATACGCCAAAACCTGCCAGATATGCCAATGATAACCCCAGGCGCATATGCGCGCTGCTGTATGCTCCGTCTGTCAATCGGTGTCTGGTGAAGCTATACGGCCGCCGAACGCGCTGGTACTCCTCCCTCGCACTGTACTCCGTAGTCAAGGGGGTGTGTCTCTTCACGAGCGCGTCATGCTAGCCCAACGCACAACCGATCTCGCCGCGCACGAAGACAGAGTCTAAAGGACCATCCACGGGAGCGATGCGCCAGGTAGACGCCGTCGCGATCGCTAGGAGGAGAAGAAGCGTGTGGAGTGAGATACTAGTGAGTTAGTACCTTTGATGGACTGAGATCGATCTCTAAATACAGCGTCAGGCTGGCGGCTCGTGATTGGCCGCGGCTGCGTTAAGCGCGTTTCAGGTGAGCTCCACTAACAACAACAATAATTTCACGATACGAAGACGATCAACATTTGATATTCGCTAACAGCTGCTACAGGTATGCTTTTTCTACATGACATAATCACTGCTTGGAGCGTCAAAAGTCGACAGCTGATGCCAGATCGGTTGCGTTTTATGTGTAGACGGAGCAAGCATGGAGGAACCAGGTCAAGATGCCGAAAGACTTGAGAAGCCGGACGCATCCCAGACGGGAGGACGACAGTTTGAATTGGGCCCATGGAAATAAAACAATCCAAAACAGGTATGAGAAGGGAGAGATCATAAGGTACATGAAACAGAAGCGTGAAAGGGAGCGAATTATATGCTCCAAATATCAGCCCGCCTGCGACTATCTGTCCACTCAGATTTGCCAGCAGGCGCAAAAAGAAAAAGCACAAGGTAGAATATCTGAAGATACGTTCGGCATGGCCGAAGTGCAAAACGGAATAAATCAGTGTCAAAGGGAAGTCGATGCTTGCTGGGTTATATCAAAGGCGAACTATCCTCAACAATAGGACAATCGGATATGGAGGGCAGCTCTCAAGAGTCCCAGCCCTAGTTTTAACGAGTCAGCATTTTGCTTCTTGGATAGACAGCCTCGAGGCAAGAGACGCTGAACCAACCTTCTCCTTTAACTTGGCATGGTACTGGGAATCCCTATCCTTTCTCGTGACATGACTGTCTCTAGATCCGGCAGTGGAGAATATACTTCCTTCTCTCTTTTGGAATCGCGATGGCGGTACTTGGGCAGCATCTAGGGGTGAAGATCTTTGTTAGCAATGGGCTAGAATGAAGTGTGGGAGTGACGGCTTCTGGCTTACCCCATTCCTTACTCAAGCGTCTATCGCCCGGTGGTGAAGAGCCTAGAGAAGATCCTAGTGCAGAACCCTGGCTTCCCTTACGCTCAGGTGCAGCGGTGGCCTTTTCAAACCCGTCCGAACCTCGCCTATCGGCAAAGGGATCGTTTTGGTTTGTCATCGGTTCTCCTGTGTTTTGATATGTGTTTGTCTGGCCAGGGACCATTTTTGCTATTGTTGCATATATTAGCATCAGGGAGCTTCACGTTGAGAGTCGACAAAGCCAGCTATGATGATAGCTGCCTGGCCTGCTTGAACGGCATGGAAGGATGCTGGCTGTGAAGACTTACGATCAACCGTCATATGCTGGCCAGATGAAGCCATGGAGATGTGCTATCGAGGGACTCTCTATGTGGGTCTCTATAATGTACTCGATGATAATAGAGCGACAGGAAGCGTTATATACACTTGTTCGGCTTGACAGTAAGCTTGGAGGCAGCGAAGTTATCTCTATATGAGTATGAGAGAACCCTTCAGGTGTATGCGTGTTCTTATATCGAGTGAGCCTGATTTAAAAAGAAAGTGAGATCATATGTGGACCAAGAGTTGCTTGTTAATATGGAGGGCAGTGATGGAAAGAACTCCAACTGGGATGGCGACTCGAGGACCCTTATATAACAACGCGAAACCTTGGTTGGAATGAGGTACGTCGAAGTGGGCGATCTCACATGTACCAGGAAAGTATGCATTCTCCTGAGGCGAGAAGTGTGTACCTTGACGGAAAGTTATTCTTGCCATCGTCCACCTCAAGGGGTAGTACTGCAGTAAAAGGTCGTCATTTAGCCTCTGTCCTACGAGCAAATGAGGGCCATCTAGAGCGTCTCCATCGTCTACTTCAGCTCGATTTTCCCATAGTGTCTCCGCAGACGACCATTATTTTCCGCTACGGAGCACTCAGGCGCAAGCTGTATACATCCACTTGGCTTGGTTCTTCGAAGGGGCTAACGTTGTTAACCAGGAATCATGGATCATCCATGGTCTAGAGTTCGCCTATCCTATGCCAAACCTTCTCATGCTCTCCGTTCCCAGTTCAGGTCGATTCAGTAGGAGCTGAGTTTGGATTTCGAGCTTCCTGTATGGGAGTGGATACAAAAATGCGGAGTGAGGGGTGTCATAACGACGAGGGATCTGCCAATAACCATAGAGGCTAGAGGTCTGGAGATTCTTGACCAGAACCTTGTCCAACAGCGACCTTCCCTGCTGCATATGCTATACTTTGGCAAGTATGTGGCTGATGGCTGTGGTGCCGTGGAACTTATCGTCAAAGTGGCGAATGGGGGTAGTGACAGCCGTATCCATGTCACACCATCTACTCTATATGTACTCCGGACTGCAGTATTTAAGCTGCCAGGATTTGTAAGGCGTTAGCCAGACGAGATGCTAAGCTCATTCCATGGGTTGTAGGTAGAGCTTCTTTCTCACCGAGACGTATAGAATGGTGCAACTTGCCGGTTAGCTGCCTGGGATTATTGGAATACGACATCACTATTGGCTATTCAAGATCCCGACTGCCGACTGGCTGACTTCCCGTGTTCGTGAGGCTTTAATACAGCAAAGAACACTACCAGAAAGGTCTCGTAGTTGACAGGTATAGCTAGACTTTGGCTGCACCGAAGACGGCTGCTTCTTTGTTCTTAGATACGGCTGTAATGGTCGGGTGATGTGATGTGATGTTAGGAGGATTGTTATCCACTCTGAAGCTAGCAAGCCACGCGAGAGATCCACCGTCAAGTCCTAGGCCGCGAGATATGACTGACTCTACGTTGGCCATTCAAGACCAGCCAGGTACATGATCCCCTTGACGGAGTACGAGGAAGGAAACGAGGAGAACACATCAGTCAACCGACCAGTGCCTATCCTGGCCCCTGCATCGGTAACCTAATAACCGTTTTATGCCATGTAGACAAGGGACAACGGCGTCCCTGTTCGTCAAGTGGTCGTTATGATATGAATTATATCGGTAGTCGCCGTCGGACGGAGGGGAACTGCCGATGTGTTAACATGTCTTATAACCTATAGTGATACCTCTGTTATGTCTTATCTGCACCTCGGCCAGAGGAACTGCGTGTTCTAGCCCACGCTCGGTGCTACGTGGGCTATCTGCGACTGGTGGGTCTCACGTTCAATCCTGCAGCGCTTATGAACCGAGATGTCCAACGAAGAGGGAGAATAATAGTCAAAAGTCATCGTAGTAGTCGAAGTCGAAGTCGAAGTTGAAGTAAGAAGATAGAACTTTCCTCTTTCGGCCAAGTGGGGCGGGGCCATCAGGTGGTATATGCAGAATGTGGGGAAATGCTTAGGTAAGTGGTTTATTTATAAGCAGTCACGGGGAAGTCACGGGGTACCTCCTTCTCGAACTTCTCTTGGCATCGGTTTCTCCTTCGCATCTTCGAGCATTTTCAACCAGCAACGAAAAGTGCAACCACTGAGGGAGCAGTCTCACGTCGCCACAGCTACTGTCATACCAGAGCCAAGGCCTTGACCCTGCGTTGGTACTGGGATTCGCTCGGTCGCGTGGTTCTGCACAGCCACGGTCTACTTACCTTATCACGACGCCAGCCAAGCGTCCGCTGAGTACTAGTCGAGCACCGAAAACCCTTGCTTGGAAGAAGTTTAACTGTAAAATTGGCTTGGGGGAGAGGGAGCAGCAAAGGACATGTGATGCATTACTTTCTTGAATCATAGTGACGGCAAAGTGGGTTGCCTTTGAACTCCGTCGATGCATATAGATCCCGGTTAGGGCTGAAGGAATACGCAATCATCACACAGGGAAAATCACAAGATGTTCATGCGAGCTATTCTAATTAACCAATACAAAGCAGAAATTGTACACATTTAGCCAACGAAGATCTTCGTTACCTGTCGGGAGCCCGTAGCGTCTAATCCACTTCATCGTCAGACTCAGCTTCGGCCTGTTCGGTCTGTCCCACTTCACCAGCGTTGGTATTACCTTCTGGCTCTCTAGGTACGTCAGCACTCTGGTCCTTGTCGTCACCAACGCCTGAATCGCTTTGTGGTTTTGCCCCGGGCTGCTTCGTATCACTACCTTCGGGCCTTGAAGGGCGTGCATCTGCCGGAGCAGGGGGGAATATCTCTGCAAAAAGATTGGGGAGGAACCGGTCGAGTCGTTTTCGCGTCTCAGTCCATATCTTGTCCTTTGTGGGGTCCTTGTTCGGCGGTGCTACCAGGTATCCTCCATCGGCCATGACAAGAAGAATATTCTTTAGGCTCTCAGGTACTGCTTCTTCCTGTGAGTCATTTTAGGATATGTTAGTGAGGTTGTACAGAGCAGCGGGTCACAGGCGAGGGCGACGTAGGGCTACTACGCGTTATCGCTCTACCGTCTTCCCTCACTTGAACAACGGGGGAGGGAACGAAATGAGGAATGACGGCTGACCCGCGGAGCATTAAAAACAAAGGAAGGGAGGGGAGATGGTTTGTCTTACAAGGCTGTCTCCCTGCCCGCTATTCATCATTCGATCCAAGATATCCAAAATTTTCAGCCACAGGTCTAACATACCCTCCCACTCGGAGAGTAGGACGAGATAATGAAGGAATATCTTGCACAGTAGGGTGGCGGCCTGGACTCGAGTCTCACTCATACCTAGGGGGTCGGACTGATACACCTCTGGCTTGAGTAGTCGTAAGATCAATGGGAATAAAACCTCCCCAAAGATTGCGACCCATTCAGTGTGGTCTGTCGATGCAAGCTCAGGTGATAACAAGGATCTCTGAAGCGCGGACATGGCTTGATTGCGAATGTCGCGGCACGGGTTGAGACCCTGATTTGTGAGAGCATTGAATATCGGAGACCAATACGCAGCCCATGCTACAGTCAAACATTAGCCTTCAAATATCGAGAGGGAGTAGCATACCACCTGAGGTGGGATTTAGATGTGGTACCTTCGTTTCTTTCAAGGTGGGATTGTTGGATGAGCGTCGGTATACGGCCAGTAATCCGGTGGATTACTCCAATCGCTTTCGTTCCACGGATGACAAATGGATTGTCCCTATTTTCGATATAAGCATCAATGTCTGACCGAACCACTAAGACGGGTAGTAACGATATACTTACCGAACCCTAACTTGTTTGACTGGCTTGGGTCGGCGAAGCGCCATTTCACGTTTGATCTCTCTCACAGTAGCAATTCCTCCGGCAGTTGCAAAATCGTTCGTGATGTTTACTGCAGCCTCATAATTATCCGCCGTAATAACTGGGACTGTCGACTCAACTATACCCTGTAGCAACTCAAATACCATCTGGGCAGCATCATGATGCTGATGCAATCTCTGAAGAATAGACCAGAAGTCTGGTGAAGTGCTAAGTTCGTTCTTCAGAGCCTCGGACTCGTTAAGACATTGCAACAAGCCAGTTACGACAGGAGTTGCAACTATTTCCAGAATAGGTTGGTCGAAGCTGGAGATTATATGCAATACCACAGGTGGTCGCATGAACGATTGTTCCTATAAACTGTGTTAGAACTTGGATATCAATAGTAATCTGAAGACGAAATGACGTACATAGCTATGGCGGAGAAGTGTTAAAAGATAATAAACAGCTCGAGACAGAGTCAAGTGGTGTATATTTTTGGCATCCCGCACAATATCCTGGAGGGCGACAGTCAACTGGTCCCCGAGTCTTTCTATTGTGGCCTTGTCTCGGAGGGTGAGGACAGTCGCAAGCTCAAGAATATATAAAACGCCAGGCTTGTAGGCAGGTTTATTCTTGTCCGTCTTACTGCTCTCAGATCTCTGTAGATTTGGAACAGGGCGCTCAGATTTCACGACAATGACTGCAGCCCCAGAATCAGGAAGTTCCGCGAGTAGGGATTCCACGAATAATACCACGGAGTCGAGCGGCATGTTCCTACAAACGTTAGAAAGGTCTAACTGCTTATAAGCAGCACGATGAATGGCTTACCTAAGATTGGTGAAAAGTTGAGCTACATCACAGGCGTTGATGCAGTCTACCGTGCACAATGTGTTCTCAAGTTCCTCATCAGACGGCTCGGGTGGGTCATCGGCGGCATAACTTGAAAGATAGGATGTAAAGGCAGAGAGTAGGCTGGTATCGCTCTCCCGACTGTCGCGATCGATAACTTGAGACGGTGGCTGGAGAGGGATAGGGGGCATATCGAGGACCTTAGAGAAAGTGTCGAATTGAGGGATAAGGGAGTTGATGAATAGATTATGGAGGATTTGAATAATATGGTCCCACCCGTTCTTCTGTATTAGGGCTTCATTGCCAACAAGGACACGGAAGAGCACCGCTGTGGCGAGCTGCGCTCTAAAATCTCTGCCGAGTCGGACAGCAAGCTCACTAACCATAACGCTCTTCTTTCCGGCCTGTATTTCGGTGTTGAGAGAAGTGTTTGAAGGTGTCGCTGATGCCAACGTGCTGATGGAGCTTAGACAGTATATGATGCGATCGAGGACACTTTTCAGCTTATATTTCGCCGCAATTTGAGCACATTGATCGAAACCAATAACCACCCTTGAGAACACCGCATCATCTGATGCCGACATGAAAACATATGATAATGTAGCAATAACCGGCTGCCAAGTTGCTTCGAACATGTCGGCATCAAAAATATTTGTTTCACAAAGTGAAAGGTTTCCCGATGACTTTGCCTTCAGCAGCAGCTCTTTCCATGCAAAATCGAACGCCTGTTTGTTCTCATGTTCATCCGGCAGGATGATTTCACTATTTTGAATTGATGAGTATATATCCTGTAGATACTCTGTCGAAAAGTCCTTTCCATTATTGACACCGCGGAGATTTCTGGCAAACCCTTCATATGACATTTTGTTTTGGGGTTTGATGTTCTGGTTGTACATGTCCGTGTTAAGGAGAATAATGGCATATGTTAGGACGAAGAGCGAGTCCTTGTCCGCAATTTCTTCGGGATGGACTGCATCAAGATATTTTTCTGCAAAAACAGTGACAATTCTTGCAATCAGCGGAGCTTCGCCTGGTAATCTCAAGGATCCTAGTAACTCTCTCAGAGCTTCAACTACATTCTTTCCTGTGAAATCCTGTAGTCCAATAAATGCATCTAGGAGCGGTTCGTTGGATCTATGGGACAAGTAATCGCCAAGCTCCTTTTTAGATACCCTGGTGGTCCCTTTCAGGAATTTGGCGACAAGCAAGGGGTCATCAGGATTCTCAATTATACCCTTCGAGGCAAGAAACGCTATCCCTGCCTTGGGCTTTTCATTGAACTTCGAGGTTCCCTGTATGATAATTTTCTTTTTCTCACGCTGACTTCGTAGCCGCTTTAGCTCAGGATGGTCATCACTTGGAGGACCTTGGTCAAGTCTGTCTGCTAAGAACTGAACGTAACCTAAAAGCGCATCAAGACACAGAGGCGGAACATTGGTAGTGCTCCATGTTGCAGAGTCTGGGAAGGCATTTCGGGACAATAGGCCAACCATATCTTCGCAAAGGTCTGCTTGATCAACGTCGCAGTCGTAGTTCGTGAAGAGCTCAGCCATAAAGTTAGGAATCCTTACGAGGGCTCCGATACTCTCGACCATGGCTTCTCTAGCCTCAGGCTTTCGAGACCCGCCTTCCATGCCCAACTTTTGACGATCTTTAACAGGCACCGGTGTTGATCGCCCGCTCCCTGCCTGTGATGGTGATGGTTTCACCAATTTTGGAGCCCGTGGAACTCCAGCATAAAGAGACGGATCAATCCCTTCTTCTCTAGGTATATCAACTCTTGGATGTAGGCAAGCAACAAGGTAAGAGAGAAACAATTCTTGCTGTAGCTTCAAAACTCGACGACATGTGGCAAGTAATGTTCCAGCAACCCTTAGCGAGCTATTCAAGATGACGATGTTATCCGACCTTATTAGTTGAAACAAGTGCCGGCATAAATCATCCTTAGCAAGTTGAGCGAGGCTTGGGTGTCTTGCAATAGAAGGACCAGAAACCTCCAAGGCTACATCGATAATTCTGAGAGACATCACTCTCATCGCATCCGTATGCTGGGGATTATGTGGATCTAGCAGATCAATGAGAACGCGGAAGAGCTCGCGAATCGAAGGTAGCCCGTATGGCTTCATTTCCTTTTCTAAATCCTCATATGGCTTGGTTTGTGCAGTAGCCCCTCCTTCTTCTTCTTGAGCCTGGGTATCTGTCGAGCTCTCACCACTAGCACGCTCCTCCTTCTCAGGGTTGGCGGTATCAGTCCCCAAACTCGACACGTGTTGTGATGCCACAGTTTCCCCATCTACAGAAGGGTCCATCTTGAGGTTCTTCGAGGTTTCGTCGACCTTTTCATTCCCAAGGCCTGACTCCGGCTGGGTCTCATCTTCAATATCGAGACGTGCCAGCCGCTGGAAAATTATCTGACACATATTGACCATGGACATCTCAGCCGATCTCCGGAGCACCTCTGATAGACGCACTTGACAGCACATGCTCAGTCCGGTTTCCATCATTTCGCACACGCTCTCATCGCCCAGTAAATCCCCCTCTGACCTAGAAAGCATTCCCTCCATGAGCTTTAATATCCGAAGGAGCACAATCTCATCGGCTGCCGAATCACTGGCTTCAAATCTACAGTGTGTAATAGCTGCGGATAATAGCTGCAGCGCCACCGACAAGCGAGGAGAGTCATTGTTGATGATGTTGTAGGCAAAAAACTTGGTTATGGCAGTGAGGGCCAACGACGTAATTGGAGCCGAAGTCGAGGAGGATCGGATAACCTGCAAGAACGGGTGCAACAAGGATGGTGTGTCGAACAACCGTATATCACTGCAATCCTTCAAGTCAAGTCGAAGTCTGGTGAATGCCGACATTAACGGGTTATCCTGTATGCTTTTGCCTCTTCTTCCTCTTAGGCCCCATCTACCTGCCAGCGAGTAGTCTCCATCCGCATTTGGCGCACCAGGTTTCGAAACTCCAAATCTCTGTATAGGCTTTGAGCTGAGAGAAAAGCTCCCGGGGCTCATGGGACTCGATGTCTCCCGATCCAAACCCCTCGAGCTCACGCCTCCACCCAGAATTGCTGCCACCGACGAGTGTGCCCATCTCGCATGTTTCCTCATAGCCGACGTAACGGCAATGCATTCTGTCGTTACTAAAGCAACGGGATTAATGGCGATCGGTGCAGCGGCCCTCAACGGCGTTGTATTGCGGTCACCATTAATTCGGACGCCTGGGAGGGGGGATGAGGCGGGTTGCCGAAGCGGCAGGTCGTGGAGCGTATGCGAGTCATCATTGCTATCTCTCTCAAGCTCAATGCTCATATTTACCCTATCGCGATTCCTCTGTGGTTAGAATAACAGGTATCTATAGGCGCGGTGTAAGTAGATGGATGGGTAGATCGCCCCGGAATTGGTAGCAGCTCACATATATCGATTTTCCGCGGAGTTCCCTATTCTCTGCGTGTCTAAGAACCGCTACACTCGCAAGGTGTCTTCGCTATAGAGTATTCAAGAAGGATGAGATTCGCCGTTGTTGCGTGTTCGCTGGCCCAAAAGTTAACAGGTAACACCTTGAAGCTCTGGATTTTTTCTCTATTCGGCCTAGTGTGCAACCTGCCTTATATGGACCCAATCCGCCGCCTAACAACAGCATCTACAACGAGCACAGTGAACTATATCAGGGCCGACGAGAGTAGAAGAGAGACCAATTTTTTAGCTATAGTACACAGCGTAGGCTAATAATTGGACTTTGCTTTAAAAGGGGTAAGAGTAAGGTGTAAATGCTCGAAGTTTGAATATAAAATGTTGAGAAATCGGAGGCCATGTGAGGTAAAAAAAAAAGGAGCCACACCCAAACACCAGAATCCCAAGTGAACACCATTTTCCCAGGCTCACAAAAGAAGATAGTCGAAATGTTAGTAATACAACTGAATAGGGCGCGAAGACAGCAATGCATAGCTAGAAAGGGAAAGGGTGGAAGGGAAGGTCGAAGCTTGTCTAGGCGGCTTGAAGGCCAACATATGTCAAGACAAATGAAAAGTAATATGGCGACTGCAGAGTATGTCGAACATGGGGAACAAAGTGTTAGAAAAGGTGATTCCCCAGCCCTAGGTAAAATTGGATGGACCGATGGGAGTGAAGTCATAGGTCTGGTAGGCGTCGATGGAGTGCTGTAGGTGCACCGCCTATAGCTCATCATCAAGGTCGATAGCGTCTGGGTTTGCAGCCGGGGCAACAGGTTCGTCTGAGCGTTTACCGCCCTCCGGCCCTGTACTGGCTGCAACGAAACCAATCGGTGCTTGTGCCTGGCGTTCCAACGCCGCCATGGCATCTGTGGCCCCCTCTCCTTGGCCGGCAGCTTCATTTATGGTCTCCTTGGTGATCTGCTTGCTGCGAGCAATTGCCTGCGAAGCGATAAAGTTGACATCGGTACTGTAATTCATGGTTAGTCCTGCCATGCCATAAAAAATGAAGGAAAAATAATCTTAATGGAGCGTGAACGTACTTGTACTGTGCTTGAACACTTCGTTTAATGCGAAGCATTTCCTTGAAGGTATCTTCATTACCGTGTTGCACTTCAAATGCTTCCCATTTCTGCCAGAACTCCGCGTTGGTTCGAGGGTCACAGAACTGCGAAGCATGGCCATAGATGGCTCTTGCACGATCAATCTCACCCAGTCTGCGTTCCATTTCTGCGAACTTAAGACACATGTCCTTGGCTTCTTTGTCAGGCAAGGCTGCAATAGCTCGCTCGTAGATAGGTCGAGTAGACGTCAACCCAAAGTTCGAAGCAGATTTTGTAATGTAGAAGTTGAACATCTCGGATCGATCCTCATCGGATACAGCGCGAGTTGCACGCTCGTAGATTCGCATAGCATGACGCGCCAAACCCCTTTCCTCTTCAAGATTCCCGTACATGAGATACAGAACCTTTGCGAATTTGGGCGGACATCCATCCACCGCTTGCTCGAAAAGATCTCGCAGTCGTTCGATGCCAATCTTACGATCCACAGCCTTGGTCAAGTACAGATTCCACAACTCGAAGGCGACGGGGTAGTTAAAGAGATCAAGACCACGTTCGTATATCTTGAAGGAGTCCTCGAAATATTTATGCTCCTCCAAAAGATTGGCGTAGTTAACGACGGTTTGAGGGGTAGCAATTCGGAGCTCAAAGATTCGTTCGTAGACTTTCGTAGTATCTTCAAGGCTTCGCACACTCTCAACGAGGTCGACATAGAAACTCCACAGCTTCCAGCTTTTATGGATACGTTGCTGTGGAGAGAGGGTTTCGTCAAAGTAGTCCACGGTAGATCGCTTTGGTGCTTGGGTCGCCTTTGCCATGATTTCAACAGCGCGGTCAAAGTTCTCATTCCGCAGTTCCATCTCTGCCCACTCGCACCAAGTTTCTGCTAGCTCGGCAACGGTTTTGAAAGACACCTTAACTGCCTTATCCATGATTACTCTTGCGGTTTCGAGGTCACCGCCACCCTCATAGAATTTGGCATAGTTGACCCAGAGCTCGTAGAACTTTCCGTGAGCTTTCTTGGGATGGATCGTAGCGATAGCATCGGTATAGGTCCGTACCACTTCCGTCTTGTTGTCACCCCATAGCACCACTCGCTTTTCCCATTCGATCACGTTGTTAGGGTTTTGTCTTAGAAGCACATCGTTAACTAAGAATGGACGGCGGTCCATAAGTTGTTCGAATCGCATCATACGCAGATCCAGGTCGAAATCAGCATTCTCGTCTATTTTTCCTTTCTCTGACCGAGCAGCAGCCTTTTCCATGAGTGCTCCGATAATTGACTCCTCGAATTCGACATACGAATCAAATATCATGGTGAAGTCTCGAATCGTCATAACAGTAGTAATTCCCTCTTCAAAAACATCACGCGCCTTTTCGAAGTTCCCTTTCGTTATCCAGTAAGTAGCCAGTCCGACCCATAGTCTCCCTCGTTGATCCGGGAATTTATCGACGCCGCTCCGAATGATCAAGTCAACGTTGATACCCACATGGGGTCCAGTCTCAATGTCTTTCGCCTTGTTGACGAGCAATTCAACCATTTCTGTCCAGAGCTGGAAGTGGCTCAGTCCGTTCTTCGATTGAAACCGAGGGTTGTCTAAAATCCGTATATACCACTTGATGGCTTCGTTGTATTGTTCCATTTGCACCAAAATAGCAATAAATTCTTCTGCATCTTCTGGGTGAATTTGCATGTATCTATTCCAGACCTTTACGGCGGTATCACCAGACGCCGAGGCGGCAAACGCCTTGTAAAGCTTCCATAGACGATTATGCTGAGTGATAGGCAGGGCACGAAGGGCACGATCAAAGGTCCGCCGTGTCTGAGTAACAAGAGGCTGCTCAAGCAAGAATGTGAGATACATCTCCCAGATACGAGGCATCTTGTTTAGAAGGACGACGGCTCGTTCGAAGAGCGCGTTGACCTTGAGGTACTCAGATTGGTGGGTAGACGGGTTTCGCCCTCTAACGTGATTAATTCGAAGTTCAAGATACTATAGACGGGATACACAGTTAGTCTACGATCAAATAGCGCTTCGAGGGGGTTAAAGGACGAATCCTCTTTCACGGAGCTTACCATCTTCCAAAGCTTGTATGATCGGGGCAATTGTTTGCATGCTCGTTCCATTATCTGTAGCAGCACTTAGCAGTCATTCTCCTCCCCCGGCGGTTAGATGTGACATGACTTACAAACGATTGCTCATAGAGAGTGCCATTCTGCTTTTTGTATTCGATGTAGGAGAGCCATGGCTTGATGCTGCCGGGATCACGGAGGATATCCTGCTCATAGACGGTATCGTCGTTCGCCTAGAGGGGTCAGCAAGGTCAGGACACAATATTGCATTATCATATGCGCCCATACGAGGAGAGACTCACGATCAAATAGAGATCTCGACGCGGAGAGGAGTCCATCTTGTCCCGCTCAGACGACAGCTGCTGGGGCCGTGAGCCAACAAGAGTCCCGGGCATCTTACCACTCGCCGCGAGTGGGACCTATACAAGGTCACCACTGAATAAATGCACAAGTGTGCTGCTGCAAGTGACAAACTGTGCCTGGCGGTTAGGGGTCCCAGGTCCTCTGTCGTCGGGTCCTCCCAGCGCATAAATATAAATTCCCACCGAGCAAGCAACTTGTGGCAGGTGGGGTCACGTGGTGTTGATCTGCCCAAGCTTCCGCCAGTTATGACATCCCATGCACTCTTGGAGACGCCGATATCAAGAGTTCCCTGGAGACGATGATAGGATCGAGTCTTCAGAGCTAGCTGCCGTCCCTTTTCTATGAACTGTTAGACCTCCTACCGACCAACTTTCGCGATGTCAGGCTCAGCGGTAAGCTCCATGCAGGCTGCGAAGCGGACCTGAAGCTGATCTCAGGGATACAGGATCGCGAGGCAGTGTTTCCCACCAGGCAGTCGTTGGGGTTGATGAAGGGGAAGCTGAAGGGAGCTGAACAAGGCCACAGCTTGCTCAAGAGAAAGAGTGAGGCGCTGACAAAGTATGTACTTCCTTTATGGACAGTAGTCTTTTATAATGGGAATTTGAAAGCTAACTACATTGTTTTACCTGTAGACGGTTTCGAGGTACGCAAGTGTCCCAAGGATCAACTACAAAGGCAGCTCTAAATGATTCCTCTTATCAGAGATCACAAGACGAATCGATGAAGCCAAACGGAAGATGGGCCGGGTGATGCAGATTGCTGCCTTCTCCCTCGCCGAAGTGACGTATGCAGTCGGCGGTGATATTGGCTTCCAAGTCCAAGAGTCCGCCAAACAAGCACGCTTCCGAATCCGAACCAAACAAGAGAACGTCTCTGGTGTCCTTCTGCCTCAGTTTGAGAGCCTGACTACCGAAGGAAACAATGACTTTGGCTTAACTGGTCTTGGAAAGGGTGGACAACAGGTTCAACGATGCCGCGAAACCTATGCAAGAGCAGTCGAAACACTGGTGGAGCTCGCAAGTTTACAGGTATGCTCTCGAGTGTTCTTTATGGTAAACCATCTAGCGCTCTAACACCAATATTCAAACAGACAGCGTTTGTGATTCTAGATGAAGTCATAAAGGTGGTGAATAGACGAGGTTTGTTTCCCATTACCCCGGCTGTTCTATTTCTATCTCTTTAGCTAACAGACAATTTCCTATAGTTAATGCAATGTATGACCGTGACCTACTCTAAGTAATGTGGTCGAAATACTAATAGATTTCTTTCTTCAGCGAGCATGTTATTATACCCCGGACGGAGAACACCATTAAATGTTAGTTCTACCCTATCCCCGAAATAAATATGTTGACTAACTTATTTTTTGAAGATATCAACTCAGAGCTTGACGAATTGGACCGCGAGGAATTCTACAGGCTCAAAAAGGTAAACACTCTATGGTATAAAACACAGTTCAATGGTTGCTAAATATTATCCCTAGGTTTCGAACAAGAAACAGCGTGACACCGCCGCGCTGGATGCTGAAATTAAAGCTAAGCAACAGCAACAAGGGCTTAGGGACGGGGGAGGGGAAGCCGCTGCACCAAATGACATGCTAGCTGAAGGGGATGAGGATGTTATATTTTAGGTTGATTATACTGTGAATAACACTGAAATTTGAGCAAATATATACTGCTGGCTTGGGCCCCTCAGCTTTGTGATATGCTTAAAAGCATAAAAAATTCTTTATTTTACTAGAATACATTGAAACCACATCTGGGTACTAACTACCACGAACAACCCAACGCCTAAACGACCGTGAAGCTTTCATATAAGAAAAATGGCAATCACCCAAGAATTTCCAGTCCAGCTCCTATCACTGTCTCTGGTACGTAACCTTGATCGGTTTCTCGTTCTCACCGAGAGCCATTCCTGATGTAGCTTCCTTCGCGCTGATTGCCCCCGATTCATTATCATATTCCACGAATGCAATACCCTTTCTCCCGGGGACAAGACGGACTTCTTTAAAGCCAGGAAATCTTCCAAATATGGCACTCAATCCATCTGCGTCGTATGACTCGGGCAATTCCCTTAAGAACAAGATCTTGTTTGGCGGCAGGTATTCGTCTGGGATAACTGGCGCTGCAGCACCACCTGTAGGCTTGAGTCCGGCTCCCTTGGCAGTCTTTGCTGGACGAGCATCCACGCCTCCAGCTGCACCAGAGGCACCAGCTGGGCGTTTTAGTTTCTTTTGAGCTTCTAGAGCTTCCTGTGCTTGTTTCCTCTCTAATGATAGATAGAACACATGTCAGTGTTGGGTTTCTTTCCAAGAAGCTCCCGTGAATCAAAAGCGCACCTTTCTCAGCTAATCTTCTCCGTTTGTGAGCTTCTAACTCCTCGTCACCCCCTTCCTTCATGACCGTCGCATCACTTCTTGTTTTCGCATACTCCAAAACCATCGGCTTTTCGAATAGCTCAAACCCATTAACTTCATCTATCGCACGTGTGGCAGAGTCGACATTATCAAACACTATAAATGCTTGTCCTTTCGCCTTCAAGTTCGTTTTCGCAACTATCTCGAGAATTGAGCCATACTCGGAGAAGATCTCAGTCAGAGCTTCCTTTAGCTGCTCGACTTTTATTCTTTCTTCTAAGTTTCGGACCTATAAGGAGATCGGCGGCGGTCGCGCCATACGTCAGCATATATCTGAGGATATGTTCATGGCTTTTCAAGGGGATTGAAGGTGCGCGCGAGAGAGACAAACATAGACACTACACCGACGTTAGCACATAGAATTCACACTCGTTTGAGGTTGGAGAGAAACACACGTTGGGTTTGGGGATACTGGGGACCCCGAAGCAGCTGCAGCTGCCATCTTCACAGAATATACTCTTGATTCTTTGGCGTTATACGTTACTTGAATGCCCGTATAATGGGACTGCAATAAATAAAGTCGGTTCAACAAGCCCACCGTGAAGTCCTATCACGTGATGATAGCTACGAGCATCGACTCTTGATAAGGCTCGAAAACATCCAGACAACGACTAGACAACAATACAATTCATCATCTGTTACCGGTCACAGGGACAAATCAACTCTCGATCAAAATTCGGGCCTCAATCAGAGCAGGAATAGCCTTCAAATTTGTCCACTCCGTGCATTTCTCGTATGGCGGCTTAGATTCGCCTGGCATATAAAGAGTGCCATCCAGTTTACACTGCTCGAGAGTCATCGTACGTGGGTTGAATATCCTCTGACGGATTGGCGGCGGTATACCTCGTAGCTTCTCGTCAAAGGTTGCAGGATAATCCTCCCTCCGGACTCGACCGAGCTTTGTTTTGGCATGGAATGCTTCAGAACTCTCTGGCGGCGATGACATGGGCCTGACTTCGTATTTCATTCCTTGCACAGAAACAATGTCGCCCGTTACATGGTGGAATGCTCCAGTCCCAGATTGCGGATCGGTTTCAATAAATATACCAGTGTGGTAGCGTTTTTCGTTGAAGAATGGATCTGGGAACGCAACATTTTCCTGTAACAGGTAAACTGGATAGAAGTTTTCTTCATCCATTTTTCACCCATCAATTAGGTGATTCAATAAGAGACACCAAGTAGCCGGGGTAGTAAAGGAACAAGCTTGATCTAAGTGGTGAGTCGGAAATGTATTCGAAACTTGGAGCCTTCCCAGCATTGATATTAAAATAAATACTGAGTGGTTGTCTCAGACTCGTATTTAGTGAGAACATGTTCGTTGGTAAATACCCCCCAATAACATTCATAGGGATCCCACGGAATATTAGTATTCTAATTAATGCTCTCCAAGAGAACATATCCTGGGCATCTCCCTTAGTTAACCTATAATAGAGATGAAAATTGAGGAAAATTAAGATCTCATTTAGGAGGTTTCAATACGGGTCTATTATAAGTTCACTGTCGGTGTTATATACTCTGCTCGAACAAGTTCTAAGACACAAGGGTCTGTCGCAGATTATCTACCACCGGTTTTAGCTGCTTCGGAGGCCTCGCCCAATCCTGTGTTTTCAAACACTTATTTTCAGTTTGCACGAAGAGGCATTCGCCGGCAAGCACCCGTATCTATAAGCTATTAGCGGAGTTCTGAAATGGGAGGTAGTATAAAGGAAAGAAAGTGAGTTGATATTAGCACTCATTTATCTTTTATACCTTTGGATATGGATGTAGCAACATGCTCGCCATCTTTGAAATAACGACCTTTCTCGTAGTATCATAATCATGTAAACAGTAATATATCCTTAAAGCTGCCTCGATTCGGGGTATATTAGTAGATTTAAAGTGAGAGTTTTGAACGAGACGGAAAAGGGTTTTCAAGTTACTAGGATGAAATATATGGTCAGCGCCTGTATCAGCTCAATAAATACGCAAAAAAAGGGGTAGTCTTGCATACTCAGGATCTAACTCAAGCATCTCTGGGATGAAACAATTTTCAAGTAAGAATGCTAAACTTTCAACGGTGGGTATGGCGTAGCGATCGTTACTAATATTGTCCTCTAGTATGGTAAGAAGGCTTGCAAACACATCCCTTCGTAAAGAACATCTAGTCTCATCATTTTGGTCATTCATAAACTGCACAAGGGCGGTACGGGATGAATTGATGAGGCTATCTGCACCAGCACTAAGGGATGTTACTAGCCCCTTTAATAAGGGTGCGCGAAGCCAGTCTACCTGAAGTAAGGTAACCAACTGTGAAAAATAACCGACTGACGAGACTTCGCTAAAGTGCTCATATCTCCTATGATCGAATAGTTAGATGCCGCCAGTGTAAGAGTAGGGCTGGTTATCAATACCTTTGAAATGGTGGTAAGCTGGTATTTGATTCCCAAAAAAGTTGCAAACACTTCCAGGCCCTAAACCTGACCTTGTCCAGCTTTTCAGCTGCTAGTCTCACAATATGCTTCATCATATTATGCCGATTTGAAGCTTTAGTCGTCGAATTTAAATGAGACTCCAAGATCGCGTTCACCCCCTCAATTGCTTCAGTCCGTATGAGTGACCCGATATCGCCTCGGTTGTCGGTGGTATAGTCGTTGAGTAGTATCTCAATATGATTCTCGATTTCGACCGTGTTATCTATCGATGCGATCATCAGGATGAAGAACGTTTGGCAAATGGGGAAATACAACATGGATACGTACCAACATGTGGAAGCACACCTGTTAGGATACAGTTCACAGCAGACACCCGTTTTACAATCATAGTTTCCTCTGGTCCCGTACATCGCACAAGTTCGTCCAGGATATACTTTCGTCCACTCCCGCCAACTGGGAAGTGTTTGTAGACAGCGCCCAGTGCTGCGATTTGTCCTCTACCTGTAGCTTTCTTCCAGCTAGAGTGAATATTATGAAACCATTCTTGGGTAATGCTGGATTGCTTCTCTGGCGATAGAAGAGAGAACAAATTCACGGCTGCCTGGGAGCTAGCTCCGACTGGCTCATCATCGCTTCGCTGTACGCATAGCATCAAGACTTGCACAGCTTGCTCTAATAAATCATCACTCGGTCGCAGTGTTGTCAACCCAGCGGAGTCATTCCCCAAAATAGTGCACGCGCGAGCAAGGGAGGAAATCAAGCAAGAACAAGCCTCGGCCGTGAGATCTGGTCGGCATGATTGGAGCGTCAGGCTTTCCACGGATGGTTTTAATGGAGCATCAAATATAGCCCAAAGTTGATGTACCTTTTGTGAGATCTCCATCAAAGCATTACCGTCGTTAGAAGCAATAGCTTCAGTAGTTCGATACCGGATGAAAGCGTCAATCGTGGCAGAAAGAGCCAGGAAACCTCCATGTCTAACCTCAACGGAATTTGAGGATGATGTAGACAAAATGTGCATAACCCTGTCTAAGACAGTGCCTATGCCACCGTATGACATTTGCAAGCTCAACTCTCCAATGGCAGATGCTGCTGTTCGCCTTGATTTTGGGTCCGGTGCGCCTATCCCTCTCCATCGTAAGAGTCCTTCCAAGAGAGGGGACCAGTACACGTCGTCAACATGCGCAGCAGCCCTAGCGACCTCGGTCATGGCAGTCTCCCGCCGCGCGACTGAGTGATAGTCCACAACCTGTACGATCGAGATCCCTTCCGGGATTGAGTCGGGATGACGCCCGATTAACTCTTGTAGGGCCGCGGAGGATCCCCTTCGAATATTACCAGAGGAGTCGAGGCAGGCAGAAGTCACAAGCTCTATCGCCAAAGTTTGTAATATACTTGTATTACTGGCACCCACGACGCTTGAAATGCCGGTGTTGACAGAATCCAGTTCCTTTGTGGAGTATTTTCGAGCGAGTGACCAAATCCCAAAACAAGACGCATCTCTGACTGTGACACCAATCGAAGCACCTGTTGATGACCTTTGTTCAAACGTCAATCCAGTTACTAGACAGCGCAGCAGCTGGGGTAGTCGGTCAAGAGGAGGGGATCGTCGGAATAGTAGGTGTCCAAGTGTGAGCATAAGGCCGTGCCATTTTTGGGCATCGACGGAGTTGACATTCCTCATTACAAGGCCCTCAGGCATAGACTCCGCGTTTGTTTTAGAGACTAAAGTACCACTTTGTTTCTCATAAAGAACATCTTCGTCTAGTGACGCGATCACGGCGTCAATTATATCTGCACCAAGGCTTGGATCTAGTTTGAGTGCAATCATGCTCAGCGCCTTGCTTGCTGCGAATCGAACGGGTGTATCTTTATCCCCAACAGCAAGAAGTAAATAATCAATGGTATCCTCTAGGATCCCCGAGACTTCGTCGGATGAGATTTGTAGAAGATCAGGTCTCTCTTCTAGTGTTAAAGATAGAGTAGTCATTTCTCGAAGGATTTTTGTTAACAGTTTTCGAGTAGAGGCTGAAGACTGTACAATGGCGGAAATTTCTGAACGTCCGTTGGAGAGATCTAGGGTTTGTTTGAATATAGGTGCAACAAAAGGTGCAATATCTTCGACCTGGGCGAGGATCCCTAGCTTAGCGATAAATGATAATAGCCCAATACACTTATAGGTTGAAGGAGCAGGACTTTCGTTGCTAGGCTGTAGTGATGCAAGCCCCCATTTGACAAGGGAATTTAAAATTCCGAGCTGTTGCATGTCCCGTCTTAATGCAAGTCTTGATAGTAGAAGCACAGCACCCTCGCATTCTTTCCCTGGCAATACTAGATATTTTAGAGAAATTGAAAGGATTGAAAGGGCTACCTTGGGGGTCTCGGGGGAAAGGTCCGGTAACACAGATAGGTTCTCGTAAGGAATCGGAATTTCCCCCGACGAGATGGAAGATAGATCAAACGGCGCCAGGAGAAGATGCGATAGCCACAGAAGCATAACATATCGTTCCTCCCAGTTTAGTGGCAGACCTTGGCCCGTCATACCTGACTCATCTATATTTGCTGAGACAATTGCATCCCATTCAATGAACGTGGAGAGCATAGGCTCGAGATATTTCGGTTCGTTGCTAAAAAATCGGGATATCACCTTCGGGCCCCGAACCTTGCACAAAGTATAGATAATCTTGCATATTGCTCTAGTCAGTGGATGCATCAAGCCGGGCTCTTTAATTCTGGTGGTAGAGCCATAGCTTTGGTGATGGCACAGCAGGTATGCTAGAAATGCATCAGTAAGCTGGGTGAGGATCCAGTTCAAATGGGGGTCCAAAAGTTGTGGCCACTCCTGGAAAGGGTCCAACTATAAATATACATTAGAGCCATTCGTAAGGGTCGACTTGATAGCTTGAAGATAGTAACGAACAAGGAGTATCAGCTTTTCTACTTTGGCTGCCTTAGCCCAACGATGAGCCACACGTTTCTCGGAACCGGCTCGCTTCCAAAGTAGCGGCGGTAGCTTTGTCCTAAATTCTTCAATAAGCTCAGCTGATGCCCGCTGGAGCTCCACGTCCCGATCGTGGGCAGCGTCCATTGTTATTTCTTGAAAATATTTTATTGTCTTTGGGCTCCTCCTCCGCGCCCAAATCTATGAGGTTGAGGTGAGGGCAGGTCCAAACTTTCGGATAAATTCATCGGACCGGATATTTTAGCCTCGGCCTCAGGCCCTTGTCCGAATTCCAAGTGTCATCGGAAATCCAACTGACTCCGTCACTACATTAAATATCCATTCTGACAACTTAATTACGTCTCGCCAGATAGTAGCAAATCAGGGATATAGCGGTATCATCATCTCGGGCAACTTGTTAGTTATCATAATTATATCCGATCTCGAGCTACCTACTAGCCTAGGAACCTGGTACCCTTGATATGATTGATAAGATTGATAAGCTTTAGACCCACTGAAGAGATAATCTTATCAATCTGTTTGGCTTGTCTGGGCACCTGGCACCTGGGCATCTGGGCGTGAATGCTTAACCACCCTGAGCACGTTAGCTTGGCTTCAGCGGCATCAGCAAATGCAAGAAGTTCGTTTGCTTTAATTCCCCTTTTTCTCTAACAAGTCGTACAGCACACTGCTACCAGCAACGGGCATACTCTACTCCGGCGTCGTAACTAGTAGTTAACTAGGTACCAAATTGAGAAATTAGGGTATTTGGGAATGGGGTAGATATAGCTCAACCCCCTTCCCAAGGATTGACAATTCACTATGATAATAACAATATATGCTCAACTACGTATATAAACAAGTTATCTCCCTAAACACTGGAAATCAATTTAATTCGGTCCACTCCACCCATATAAGGAGGTCATTTAACGATACTATATAATAGGTATGAAACATAAAGCGCTAAAGAAACCAGTTCGCAAGAAACCGAAGGGCCACAGTAACTAAACCAGCTGTTAACAGCTACTATCTAGCACCAGGCTATACCCCAGGTACAGGATGCCGAGTCACAAATCTTCATCTGTTAGATGAGGTATTTGATCAGCCATCCACATAATATCCCCTTTGCCTTCTTCCTCACATTGAGCTATAGTCTTTCGGATCTGTGCTACAGCAATTGCGATAGCTAATGCATTCCAAACATCCTGTCCATACTCGGAAAAGTTAAAACGTGAGATTAGTCTTCCGCTTGTCTTCGTGTCGAATACAGGGTGGGCCTTCGGGTCAGAGTCGAGAGTCATCAATGCCACTATTGATCCGCAGATCAAAAATCCCGTTATAACAGGAAACGTGCGATCCTGGTACTGCTGTTCAATGTCAAAATAGCTGTCGGCCGAGTCGCGACTTTCTATGCTTGGAGTTAGGGTCCAGGAGCTCTGATAACTCTTCGCCACGGCGATTAATCTTTCGTTCATGATGTTGACTGCATCTTTGGTTGTCTGTGAGGGTCTGAGTGAGTACACAGAATACGGGGGTATAAAACGCGGCCGATTGTGTACGTCCGCGTCATGTAGAGTCCATCTAATATAAGAACATAGGTAGTGTTTGATTACTCGCTCCGGGCGCAGATCGCAAGTAATCCGGTCCCTCACACGCCCACCGAGAGCAACAAGATCGCTAAAGTACCTCATACCTAACAAACAGTGTGTAAGCCTTCATTAGAACAGTTCAACTCGCTAAGGAACAAATATCTACCTCGAAACTCGTTCTTGCAAGAGAGATAGGCGGTATGGTCACCGGGAGTTGCGAAAAGTGAGTCAGGTAAAGTCATAAAGTCCATCTTCCAACTGCGCGGCAGTATAGCTTCAAATCCTCTCATTGCCAGGCGGAAATACATATCTTTCTCTGCATCTGACCAATTCCCAGCGGGGCCCTCCACAGCAGCTGCCCATCTCTTCGCCTTCTCCATATAGAATTCAACATCCAAATCCCTCTTATCACCCCTTTTTGCAGAGTTCTTAGCATTGTATATTTCATCTTCACTAAGATCACTTTCATGAGTATCACGATGAACAGTTTCCGTAGAAAGGTTCCTATCAACAATCTTGGGCGATGGGTGATAGGGCTCTTCTGTATTATTGCTGTATCGAGATCCGTTTCTCCTTCTCAGCTGTGTGGATAGCTGCGCCTTTAACATTTCAGCTTCCCTTTCGCTCTCTCTGGCTTCGACCCCAGAGCCTGGCGTCGAGGGTTCCTCCTCATCCGAAAATGAAGATTCCTCACCTCCACTCAGAGAAGAGATGTCAGAACCGGAGGATGAAATATCTCCTGTATCATGATCGGAATCTCCGATCCCGCTTAGTGGTCTATCATCTAGGAGTGTGCTTCCCTCGAAATCGACATCGTAAACCGAGGAGGCATAAGAACCTTCTAGGGAAGTAGATCCATCAGACAAGTCAGACACCCGTGCTCGTTTCGAAAAATTATTGCTAATAAGTGTCGATCCATCAAGATCTGAGTCGCTGTCCTCGTCACTAAGACTGACTCGATCATCTTCGTCGTCCACGATCCTGCGCTTTCGTTCTACACCAGGGGTTTCTGGTGTTAACAGCATGAATGTTCCATCCTCAGTAATATTATCACTAGGTACTTGCAGAAATCCTTTAGATTTGCAAGAACTTGGAGAAGGCAACATCGGAGCCTTTTGTTTAGAAAGTCGCTTTTTAACGTAGGGGCTAACGATTTCACCAGGATATCTTCTTTGGTTTCCACTTGGCGTATTTTGCAGATTAATGAAGGAAGAGAGATTTCGACAGATGCTAGACAAGTAATCCATGCCTGCGGAGGAGTCGACGGGGCCGACCTTTATAGAGGTAGGCTCAAGTCAGATGAACAAAGAGTCTGTTCGTTCAGCAAAGCGCCAGCTACTTGGCTTTTGGGGCACTGGACGGTCTTTATCATAAAGCCTTTATCAAGACAATATTGGTAAATTCCACTGTAGACGAGATTATCGGTAAGTAAAGGATAGCCAGACTGGAGAAGAAGAAGGTCAAACCTGAAGTGTAGTCAACCTGGCCGAATCGGGTAAGTCGGACGTCTTTCCATAAACTGCCCGCTTTCTCCGCCTTGTGTCTAACATGTAGGAGGAACATGGTGAAGTCAAGATATCATAGACAGAAGATTCGCCGTCAGGCTGCGGTATATCGTTGCCTTCAAGGAGGAAGCGAGAGAGATGAGAATTAAGTAAGATGACTATATTTATGACTTGTGCTTAGGTAGTTTCACTTTCGCGTCAACACAGCTAAGACTGATCCAAAGCCCAAACGTACGAACTATCAGTGATTCAGCTCCAACCTTTTCAACAACAAAGTGTGCCAATATGTACGTATCGAAGACAAGTAAAATAACTAACTCATTCTCACCAATCTCAGCTTGCTTTTTAAGGTATCAGTTTCATCACTGTAAGAGAGTGGAAACCTTACCTTCCTTACAAGTGATCGTATCATAATGGGTATATCAGGCAATTAACTTTACTATAATACTGATCAAGGGTATTATGAAGGAAAATAAGAAAAGGAGAGAAAATGGCATCATTATAGGAGGGTGAGGGGAAAGAGAGACAGGTGTACAGGCGCCGCACGAAGGATAATCGAAAACTTCAATATGTGCGAGTAAAAAAAAAGAGACGAGGAGGGGTAGCTAGCGCTTAGTCGCAGTCTACAAAGTATGAAAAGCCGCGGAATTCTTCTTGCATCGCTTGCGTAAGGACTGTTACAAAGGCGTTAGTGATGGTTACTATGATATGCCGATATATCGAGGAATCAAACTTACCAGACTGCACTGGGGTTAGAACGGGAGTGACGCTGGTGAACTCCTGGTCGAAGTTACTGGTATCGGTAGGGCTGGTAATCTTTGGGAAGAAAGGTGGTGGAACACGCTTGTGATAGACATCATCCCAGTTGATGTTTCGGAAGAACGCATGGGACATGATCTCCTGGGCGTCAGTTGGACCAGATCCCAATCTCATTTCTGGTTCGCGAGTTAACAATTTCTGCAGGATCGAAACGGAGTCCCGTGGCATGTGGATGGGGTAAAGCGGTTCGTCCGCGAGAATGGCGTCATATATCTCGTCCTCATCCTCTCCACGGAAAGGTGATTGCTGGAGCAACATTTGATAAATCAAAACACCAAAAGCCCACCAGTCGACAGCTCGGCCATATTTTTTGTCGAGGAGAATCTACAAGAAGATGGTTAGGCACGTTTGAATGAATACCATTGACTGGGGAATACCATACCTCTGGTGCCATGAATTCAGGAGTTCCGCAGAATGTGCTCGTGGTGCTACCGTACCACATCTCCTCCTTGCACAGACCGTAATCAGCAATTTTAAGGTGCCCATCGAGAGTTAACAAAATGTTGTCGAGTTTGAGATCTCTGTAAATGACACCATTCTCATGGAAATATTTCAAAGCCAGACAAACTTCAGCAGCATAAAATCTAGAGGGTGATATTTTCTTTAGCCTTTGTCAAGTCATATATTAGACGGTAGTAAAATAACTTACTGAGCTCGCTTGAGACCAAATTGACCACGTTGGATATGCAACATGAGATCACCACCGCTGATATATTCCATTACGAAATAAACGCGAGTTTCCGTCTGGAAACAAGCATGCAGGTTAAGCAAGAACGGATGGTTCTCCTTATTTGCGATCAGGAACACTCGCTTTTCCGACTTGGTACTTTCCACTTCATCATTTTCGATAATGAATTCCTTCTTCAGCACCTTAATGGCATAAAGTTTCCTACTCGTCTTTGATTCAGCAAGCATAACTTTACCAAAGTTTCCTTTACCAAGAACTGCAAGGAAGTTAAAATGATCCAATCCAATCATAGCCCCTGCCTTTTTCTGTGGGTGGGCAGAAACAGGAGGCATCTGCTCCTTCGTTGCAAGCGCTGAGGGATGGGCAGAAATCGGAGTTTGCTGCTGTTGGTGTTGCTGATGTTGCTGGGGTGGTAGCGCCATGGAATACTGGTGCCCTGCTTGTTGATGGCCAATTTGGATTGAAGGGAGTTGCGGTGCTTGAACACGGGCATAAGCTCCAGGATCATAGTGAGAATGTGGTGGTGGCTGTGGTTGTTGCTGTTGGGACAACCTGGCCTGCTCACGGTTGTCATACGCAGATTCGGATTTAACCCCGGGGTAGTCTGAGGGCAGTTTATCATAACCAGTCTGCTGTGGCAGTGGGCGCATTCCTGTTGCGGCAGCAGCTGCGGCGGCTGCGGCGCTTGAAGGGCTATGTGGAGGTGCAGCGGGACGCCCTGTTGTAGTTGGAGACTGTGGCGGCATGTATGAGGTATTGGCTGCACTGACAGCTTCTGCAGAGGGAGACATTTTTGGTGCGCCGTAACTATCTTGAGATGGCCGTGGTCCACCTTCAATGGAAGCTGGCTTGGGGCGAGGAGGTTTGGTTGCAGTACCGCTAGATCTATTATTATTCCTCGTTTTGATGATAGTCTCTAGAATTTGGTTGGCCACCTCCATCGACATTCCACAGAAGTCCGGCACAAGATGAGCGCAGTTAGCATGACAGGTAAGGGAACATTCTATATAAGTCAGAATTAGTACGCTTGTCTCACAAATCAGACATTAAGAAGATGGTACATACCAGAGCATCGTTTAGCATTCTTTCGCCCGAAAGGTAGCAGGTAACCACAATGGCAGCACCAATTAGCAGAAATATTAGAGTATCCCTCAAATCGATGTGGAATGCGATGGTTGATTTTCTCTTCGTCTGGGTCGGTCTCATAGTTCGCTTTGCTAATACACTTCGTCACGACCTTTGGATAGCACTTTCGGTGACAAGTGTACTTGCAATCCGCGCACTGCATGCCCGCAGCATATTTGAGAAAATCACCGCAAAGGGCACAGCGCATAATGTTGTAGAATTGTTGAGTAATGAATTTATGACCTTGTTTCTCGTGTACCTCCTCCTTCTTTTGGCGAACGGCACCTTGTCGGTTAAGACCGATATCAAATGGTCGTCTATCCTTGAGTTGTTTGGCTATATTTCATGGTTAGCAAGCCCCATTTAAGGAGGTGACTTTCAAGCAAAGAATGGAAATGATTCTTACCGAAGCTCATGGTAAGGTTGATCCTTCCAACTGGCTCCAAAGCAAACCAGGAATCAACCATAACCGTTGCATTTTGGTTCATAGGGGCCTGACCTGGCGGTTGAGGTCTGCCAGGCTGGCCTTGTTGGAACGAACCCCCTTGAAACTGGGTGTCTGGCCTTATGGCTCCGTGGTCCATTTTGTCCGCAGAAACCCACCCAGAGGCGTTGAATTCTGTCTCGATTTTCTTTCGACGCATCTCCTCTGCGATATCTGATATCCGTATCCAAAGCATACCGATGGGTGTGGGCCGGTCACCAGATTTATCGTACACGGTAAGTTCAATTTCATTTGCTTTATCGATGTCGACGTTAAACGTTTCCTCCGTCCATTTATCAGATCTGGTGGCTCGGGTTTTGGCTTTCACCGTATCCTCCACTTTCATGATCACGAAGGTTTCTGGACCTCTAGAGAATCTAGATCCGGCGGCATGGTCAACATCCTTAACAGCGTGGATCTTGATTGTAAGATGGCCAGTCAAAGGCTTGCGCATGTTGGGAGCATTCAAGCTTTCGTCTAAGGCATTGTATTAGTAAATTAGAGCTTGAGAAGGTAAGGAGTTAATCATGTTCTCACCATCTGGGTGATCCGACGAACTCTCAATATCCACGTGAAGGTCCTCGTATCGTTTCAACGCCTGTTTTAGCAGCTGTATCTTTTGGTTGCTTTCAATCCTTCTACCCTCTGCATCGGCCCGGCTCTTTCGATCGCCCTCGTCCTGATATAGCCGTACCATCTTTTCGATACCAGCCTTATACTGCTTCTCAACACTCAATTTAAACTCAAGCTGCGACAGCATAAGTTGGATTTTGGGCCCGAGGTATGGCGTGTCATATTTAATTAAATCTGTATAGCAATAGATATTCGAGTTAGTACATTGTACAATATAGCCAATAAAGGGGTAATGTCGAGTAACCAACCTAATTTGCTGAAATTCGGGCGTGCTTTGGGCACGGCAGCGTCTGGGCGGGGGTCGTGGAAGGGAGCCCGTGGAGGCATAACACCTGTTCCAGCCTGACTATAACCTCCAGGGCCAACATCTCCATAGCCGCCCTGATCACCACGGTATGCACCTCCATCCTTTGGGGGTATGGGGGGCCCCTCTCCCTGGCCTCCTCTTGTTGCAGTGGGAGAACCGCTTCCACGACCCATCTTCCGAATCTGTAGTTCCTGCATCTTCTCTTCCAGATAGGCGATGTTCTTTCGTCCATCCCGTATGTTGGCATCGACTCGCTGCTGCACAAGCGGGTTGTCGGTTGACTGCCTCATATTCGTCGCAGCAGCAATGAGGGCTTTCTCCCGGTCAATCTTGCGATATACCGTGGCGATGAGTTCATCGTCGCCGTCCATCTTTGCGGTGGTTCAGTCGACAAGCGACAGCTCTATAGGCGGATAGGCGGATAGGCGTATAGGCGTATAGGCGTAACGATAGAGTCCGTCGGCAGTTATCAGTACCAGTTCAGCCAAGACAGGCGAGCGTACTGTGCGTGTTGTCTCGGGATGCGGGGGGGGGGGAACTTGGGCGAGCGAGTCCAGGAGTAAGGACGCCGAAAGACCCGGGCAGGTCGCGAGCTTGTCCCAAGTCTGCACCGGACCTGTAAAATAGAGATCCTGCAGCCGCTGGAAGAGTGAAAATGAGGCCTTGGATGGGGATCATGCGATTCTGACGGGTGCAGTTGTATCTCGGTGGTTGTGCAACCGGAGTGCGTAGTGACGTTTTGGATGTAACTGGACAGCCCAACTGGACGACGCCGACAGCACCGTTGAAGGGTAGCGTTGTGCAGCGATACTAGCTCTTGTCCCACATACGACGAGGTCGAGTGTGCGCCCGGTGACTCTGGGTGGACTGGCGGACGGCGAAGGCGAGGATGGTTGTTCGTCGCTTGCTTCGTGGTGGGCGCGCGGTCGCTTTTTGGGAGGGGGGAAGAAGAGCCGCACTTGTGGTGGGGAGAGAACTAAAATTCTACTCTCTCTGATATATCACAGGTTGCTGCAACACTTACACAGCCTTACTGCTACCGTTACTACAGAATGACCAGTAGATAAGGGCCTAGAATGACCAGTAGAATATCCCTTTCAAGTCTAGAATGACCCGGAGGATGTCCCCTCTGCTAACGTAGTCTGTAGCCTATAGCCTATAGCCCCTGAACGATGGCTGCCTTCTACAATACCAGTTTCGTCACAACAAAGAAAGAACAGTGGAATGAGATCGATGAGCAGCTTCGGATTACACATCTATAACTAAATCTCAGTGAAGACTCAAAGACGGATTCAGTGTCAGCGATGCTGCTATTGTAGAATGGAAGACCCATTAGCAGTGACTTCGTATCTCTATGGCCAATGACTCCGTACCTCCTGGCAGCCAGCGTGAATAAGACAACCTCCATCTCATGACTGATTGTAAATGACCCCTTAATCCTGCTCGTTCGCATCCTTCAACATTCTTCAACTGTATAAAAAATATGAAGTTTTGAAGATGAAAAAGGCTAGGACCACACGTGACCCCACAGTTTTCTACAAAAAAAGTCGATGAAAGTCGAAAGCGATTGCTAAACACCAACGAGCCGCTGCAGACGAGAAGTGAGCCGTGAAGATAGACTGACGTTGTTGAAGAGATGGGCAAACCCAGGAGAAAGATGATGGCCACGGCCGAAGAGACGCTCTACCCGCCGAGCTCACTCGAAGAGGGGCAGACCATCGCTCGAGTTATCAAAGCAACGGGTAACAACATATATTCCGTCGAGCTGCCGTCCAAGGAATCGATATTGGTGGAGCTTCCCGCCCGTTTCCGCTCTACCATATGGATGAAGAGAGGCTCCTTTGTGGTCGTCGACGGCACTGCGCTGGAGGATCGTGACAACAAACTATCCGGTGAAATCGTGAATATAGTCAGAGACGACAAGGCGTGGAGAAAAGCAGCTTTCTGGTCAGTTTAACCTGGGATGTTTTGTGCTTGAAAGTCGAAGTGCTAATATGGTCTTGTTGTAGGCCAAAGGAGTTTGTCAAGGTCGTGGTGGAGGAGAGCGATGACGAGGAGTCAACCGTCGGGAAGCTTCCTCCCTCAGACGATGAAGATGTGTGATAGGGACCGAGCTTGACGACGAGGGCCTGTCGGCGAGATACTCATTTATTTATCCCGCCCTCGGACTTGACGGGGCGCTCGTCGACGTCCTGATTCCCCAACAAACTGCCGATAACCTGAACTGCAAGACAGCCTACGACCACCATTGAGCTTGCATTTGTGCTGGGATAGACGTTCCATGCCCATTCCTGTGCCGCCCACACAACGAAAATGAACACTGGGTGGAGGCCGCTTTGCCATAAGAGGAGTGGTGATGCCCACGCGATATAGGCGAAGAACTGGTAATGCAAACTCCGTGCACAGAGTAGTCCAATAACCAGGGACGTCATCATGGTCTTAGCCACGTAGGAATTGGATATGTTGCATCGAAGGCTTTGTCCGCGGAACACCTTTTGTATAAGGCAGCTGAGGCTTCGGTTTGCAGGGCGGACCCAAACGATGGCCAAGAACGTCACCAGCAGTGATAAATGTATGGCCAACAGCGTGACTGAAAAGGATCTAGATAAAAAAACGTCTTCTCCGATAAATCGCCAGTTTACCGTCCACTTGAAGAGGAATTGTCGCGTAAATTCGAACGCCTTTGACAGGTAACCCACGGGATTTTCTAGAAGAAAGGGCAGACCGAGCAAGATCTAGAAATAGAATAATTTAATCTTCCGTTTCCAATGCAAAGCTGACTCAAGTATAAATAAGAATTTACCTGTAACAGCGCGGATGCCACACCAAGCCCCAGGGCATGTCCAAGTCCCACAGAAAATGTTAGGATGATGGCAATTGCAGGCGCAACAAGCAATGCCGTCATCTTCACACTCGCGCTCAGAGTCCACAGAACTACTGCCGCATACCACTGCTTGTTTAGCATCATATACGTCGCCGTCCATATGAATCCCGCCGCGATACCATCATTAAACAATCGTAGCATAAAAATACTATGCAGTCTCTTTGATAGCACAAGGAGTGGGTATATATACGGTGGTGCTCGTACAGTCCTATAGCATGCCATGACCATCGCTAAGGAAAGGAGATATATCACAGCAAAGATCGACTGGGCAAACGGTATGTCACGACCGGCATCCGTGACGTTGTATAGAGCATTATAGGCATATACGTGGCCAGCAGGGTAGACGAGCGGTCCGGTAGATCCTTTCATGGCCGTGTAGTCCCTTTCACCGGATATGTATAGTTGGATATGTTGCATATAGGTAGTCCAGTCGATCTCGGTGTCTATTCGTCTAGCCATCAGTCCCGCGAGCTTGGAGAAGATAGAAGATAACTAGCGAGAGCAAGCCTGTACTTACATGGGACTTTCAGGATGATAGCAGCACATAGACATGCATCCAGGACTAAGAGCAGCGGACAAATCCATCGTGAGTGCTTGGGGTTTGTGAGGAGGTCGAGCACAGTCGAGTAGAGCTGGCTCATGGTGAGAGGAATTGTGAAGTCTGGTTTGCGCAGAACGTTGAATATCGGGGCATAGAGTATCTATTCATACCCCGTAGAGCTCTTAAATCCTTCAATTGAGGCAGAGGCGCCGTGTTCCTAGGTAGATAACTGAACCCGAAGGTATCGAAATGATGCGATGTTAACAATTAAATTTAAACTGGCCTAGCGCGAACCTCTCTATATACACCAAACAATATATTAATACGCAGGGATAGCTATCTAGCTTCTGCCATTAGGGGTCTACTAATTCACAAGGTAATATCAACACTGAATAGGATAGCCGCTACAGGTTTAGAACATAGTGTTGAATTTCGACGGTATGCATTCCGAGGCGGCACAGTCGCGAGCGTTAATTGATAGCTATTATTCTAATATTTGTTTATTAAACAAGGGTATATAGGAGAATGTTCAACAAGATAGACAAAAAGAAAGTCATGGAAAACAATATCGGTCATTAGTATATTCAAGCAAGTTCGTAAACCGGCTTTCTTGGAACCCCCGGAAGTTCAGCGACGCTGTTCCCTCCGTCCAGCTCAGCAGTAACTCCACCTTTTGGTCCAACATCAAGCTCTGCAGCCCGGGTAGCCGAAGCTGGTTCAAGTTCTGCCGGATGAGTACCACATTTATACGGTGGAGGCCCTTGGGGTGAATAAGTCGGGGCGGCAATAGGCCCATTGTTGCCTTGCAGCTCCATCATATCCTTAGGGAGAGGGATATTATTGTCATGTTCTACCCACGGCTTCTGTTTCTGTTCGATTCCCACATTCTCGATAATCAATCGATACCGCTTGTCGAGCTTCTTCCCTTCTTTCTTATCAACGTCCACGTCGCCATCGCCATCCTGCGAGCCCCGTTTCCCTTTCCCCTTCCTTTTCGAGCCGAAAGGCATGATGGAGTCAAATGTTCCGCCAGCCGATTTAGGGCCTTCTTTCGACTTCTTTCTTGGAAGCGCTAGCTTCACATATAGCCCTTTACTTTTAAAAAACGTGTTGTTCCAGTTTCTTAGCACGGTAACCAGCTCCCCTTCGTCTTGTAGGTAGTCGTGGACTTTTGTCTCAATTGACATGGAGTTTACTGCCTTTCCAGCGTAGTAACCGGGCGCGGCGCCAAACACCAGTAAAGGCACAGCGCTCACGAGGCCAACACTTATTCCAACAGTCCATGCGGCAATCTTCTCCAATGTCGTAAGTGCAAAGGCTGCAACCAGTTCATCACTAAACCTTTTCCAATCGGTGGGGGGCACATGGTTCTCAAAAAGCCGCTGGTGGTATGAGAAGCCGGATTCCACACCCGCTTTCACAGTCAAGACTTCAAAGATATTCGGGTTTAATTCAGAGAGCGGGACTATCACAGAGGATGACCGTGATGTAGACGATGACGCTGAAGATGGAGAGGTGGGCGATAGAGGTTTTGGCGAGTGACATATGCGCGACAATGCCTTTTCATGTGGTTGACCTTCTTTGTTCTGAGGGTCGTTGCTTCATAGAGACATCGTTAACCTTGCGATCAGAGAACGGAATACAACGAAAAAGGTCGGTCACGAACTTCGGCGTAAACAACACTAACTCCGATCCCTGGGATGATTGCTTGCTGGAAGCTCCCGATTCCTGTCATTCGCATACCATGGTTAGCAATGTAAATGAAAATGAACTATGCATGAAAGATACCGTTCGACTCACTTTCTGCTCCATTGTGATTGCTCGGTTGTCCATACTCTCTTTATATGGATACCGAATTCATATAGGATATTGCCTGGCTTCTTCAAAGCTGACGGCCAGCTCAGAATTGGTGAATTTCAGCCTTATCGGGCGGAAGGGTCGTATTTCATCTCCCAGCAGTTCAGGGCGGACGGGCTCTTTGTCCCCAAGGGCTGAAGGGCCCTTTTTATTGTTTTTTCTTTGATAGGCCGGCAAACCTAATGGCACTCTTTCTAAACTCTGGGGATTCCACGGATGATAAATAGATAAGGGGCCGTCCAACTAAGAAAATTATAACCTCCGCGCATTGGCTTCCTTCCTCAAGCGTGGTTTATATACCCTGTCAAAGCAATTAGTTACGCAAACAAAATTAATATAGCCATGGTCGCAAGGCTGGGTCATTGTCCCCCGCTGCGTGGAAGAATACGTACAAGAGGTTCTAGTGCCGCGCTAAAGTCTTCTGCGATCTCAAAAGAGGCTAACTCGACGAAAATTATTGGCCTCCTTGGATCCTTCGATCCTCCTAGGCTCGAGACTGATCCCCGAAGGCTCTTGGATTGGCCCATGTTCAGTATCTGTGGCCTGGCTCGGTAGATCGTATCGTCAAACATGTGTAAGTCGGTGAAGTCGGTGAAACACTCAAGCTGCGGCACTGGCCTGGCAAGATGTATAAACGGAGTATCAATGTCAGATATCGTAGTACCATATAATTCCAGTCTCAACGGAGAAAGCAGAGGTGGTATATGGCATGCACTCAGGCTTTCCCTTTCTGGACATCGTGCCCTCCCTTCAAGACAAACCATCACGTGATAATTCTCCAAGAAGTCCTTGATGGTCTAGTGGTCATGATTTCCGCTTGTCAATTCTCAATAAGAGGATAACAAGCGCGGGAGACCGGGGTTCGATTCCCCGTCAGGGAGTTTTCTTTTTGCCCTTTACAGTGTCGTCCTATTTTTTTTATTCTACAGTCAAGATAAAAGGCAAGAGAAACGGTGGTTTTATTAAAATCTCAAATATCAAATATCCAAACTCCGTGGTTATACATTGTATGTTAACAGACACCGCCGAGAGTGGTGAAATAGGTCTATCCGTTATATAACAAGAAAGATATTGTCCCATACCAGTACATGCAACCGATCCCGATATATTGGTGTAGTGTACAGATCGACCTTCTGATGTGGTAAAGAAATATAGTCGTCTCGTCTCTTAACAATTGGTCGTGGTAGCGGATAGGGTATGTCACTCTCCGCCTCTTTTCCACTGGGTATCGGTAGAAGGTGCCCCTGCCTTCAATTGGCTACCCCTGTCCGAGTCAAAGCCCAGAATGTGACCCAGAACTCCCCGTGGCTTCGGTACAGGGCACTCTCTAGCAGATTTCTCGAGCTCTTTAGCCTCTGCTTCCATATGTCTAAACTCAGCGGCTTGTTCCTGCAGATCCCGCCCAATTCCAGGCTTCTGGCGTAAACTCGTGAGTGTTGAGCTGAGTAATGGCTGTCCGGCTAATGTATCAGAGGGCACCGTCTCATCGTCAGCTGGGACAAATTCCTTCCGTCTTCTCCTCCGTCTTATTTGCTGCCCATCTGCAGTCATTATTATCTCGGAATCCGCCAGTGCTCGTCGTGGAGCAGGGCAAGGGAAAACATGCGGTACGCCGACTATTAATAGGGATGCGAGGAGAGTCGCTGTGAAGAGGGAGAGGGTCGATCGCGACCGTGGGTGAAGATGTGAAGACATTGTGGCGGGGGGATATGGAGGGTGGAGGTATTTATCGTTTCATGCAGTTCTTTGCCGAATCCTCCATATTCCCTCGTGTCGAGTTGATCGTGGATAAAAATGGTCGGGAGCGTCCCTCCGCTCAATTGTGACAACAAAACAGTTGTCTAAAGCGATTGATCGCTGTAAATATCGGCCAATTGGTTTAGACTCGTCGGGATGGCCGTACAGGCTCGGTCAAGAGGGCAATGGCAACTAGTCGGGCGTCACTCCACAGCGCCGCGGGTTTTCACAACTTGAAGTCTTATATGTTGATTCTAAGCCAACCGGGATGAGCATAAATGCGATATTCACGTGACTTACCCTCTGCATCAACGCCCTTTGAAAATAGCAACTTCGACATGTAAAACAAAAGAATAGAAAGATGTAATTGACTAGGAAGCCATAGGAGAATATGTATTTTGTTAAAATTCCAGATTTCCGCTACCATACCAAGTCTAGATTCCTTCATTACCAATACTATTGATATAGGTGTTCACCGTACACCAGTTGTCATTAATAACATAGATTTATAACATAGAGATGTTTAATATAATGACTAGATACGGAGTATTCTGTCTCTTACCAAGTAATGCATCTATTAAAGCGTACGGCGTATGGCATTGTTGTTGGGTGCGAGGATCTAAGATCTAATCTTATCAATCGCCTATCTTACTAAGACTTGTCCAAACCAACCTCGCGTTTTTCTTCGCGCCACCAATGCTGCGTAACTCTCCTGTCTACCCCAGATCAACCAGCGGATGCGCATTCCTTGCATTTTATACGAAATTAGGTTTATCAGTTCCGTCTGCACCCCAAGAGCCTGTATATATCGTCACCTGCGATAGAAAGATGAGGTCCATAGCTCTCCCAACATAGCAAACTCAAGTCTGGAACCCCCTCGTGAGACCATAACTACTCTCGCCTATACCGAGCATCGGTCAGAAAACAAGGGTTCGTAACTGGAGCTCCGTCAAGGAGAGCGCATACGCCGTTAGATTAGGAGGAGGCCCCGTCAAACGGTGTTTTTCTATCGTTTAACGTGACAGATGAGTGACCTAGACAAGTATACCATCCAGCTCTCCGTGTGATCTCGCCTTCTCTTACTGACGAGTATACTCTTCCCTTATAGGGCCATTGCGCAACTGCGCTCCTGTCGCCCTATCCCCGAACACCAAGTGCGTGAGCTCTGCTATAAAGCTCGAGAAATATTAATTGAAGAGGGCAATGTCGTCTCCGTTGATGCCCCAGTCACCATCTGTGGAGACATCCATGGCCAATTCCACGACCTGATGGAACTGTTCCGAGTGGGAGGCGACGTTCCTGAGACCAACTATCTTTTCATGGGCGACTTTGTCGACCGTGGCTTTTACTCCCTCGAATCCTTCCTCCTCCTCCTGTGTCTCAAGGTTCGATACCCCGACCGCATGACGCTCATTCGGGGCAACCACGAATCGAGACAAATCACGACCGTTTATGGCTTTTATGACGAATGTATTAGAAAATATGGCAACGCCAATGTTTGGCGGTATTGCTGTGAAGTATTTGATTATTTAGCGTTGGGTGCCTTGGTTTTGGGTGCAGACACGAAATTATCCCCTTCAGGCCCTGTGGTAACGCAGGCAGGCAACGGAGGTGAACAGCATGACACGCAGTCTTCAAACTCCGTTATAGAAGATGATGATGAATTAGAGGTTGAAGTGCTAAATTCAAAGGGCGAAGTTACACAGGCGTCCTACCGGAGAAGGAATCGTGGATCTAACGATATTGCACATGATATTCGGGACGTCTCGCCGCCGAGAGATATATCATCCGTCCCCAACAGCACACCCACTCGAACCGGCCCTGCGGGAACCGGTGCAACGGGGGATAGCATGGGCAGTATATCAAGCAACACTGGTGCAGTTCTATGTGTTCATGGTGGCCTATCTCCCTTGGTAGACAGCGTCGATAAAATCCGACTCATTGACCGGAAGCAAGAAGTCCCCCATGAAGGTGCCATGTGTGATCTTCTCTGGTCGGACCCCGACGAAATTGAAGGCTGGGGTTTAAGTCCGCGTGGAGCAGGATTTTTATTCGGCGCCGATATCGTGAAGCACTTCAGCTATAAGAATGATCTATCGCTCATTGCCCGTGCTCACCAGCTTGTTATGGAAGGTTTTAAAGAGATGTTTGACGGCGGGATCGTGACTGTGTGGTCAGCCCCAAATTATTGTTATAGGTGCGGGAATGTGGCGGCTATACTTGAGCTAGGCGAAGATGCGAGTAACGGTGGTACCATTGCCAGAAGCAATGGAGATTATGGACGTAGCCTCGGTGGCAGAGCCGGAATGCTTGATATGAAAAGGGTCCCTGGCCCTGGGAGACGGTATCGGGTTTTCGACGCTGCCCCTCAGGATACCCGTGGAATGCCAGCTAAGAAACCTGTGGCCGATTACTTCTTGGTACGTATACATTTCATCTTTCGTTTCTTTGTATTTGCAGGATAACTGATTTTATTTGCTTGATAGTGATATCGTCGAATCCAATTTCATAATTAGCATGGATACCCTCTATTTTCTACTGTATTCAAAATAGTTCTTGTCCACGCTTTCCCATAGAACCATGAATGAAACGTATAAGCCAAACCTATGGCCTATTGTTTAATGACGTATACATAATTTGAGTAGATACCCTAGGTATTCTGCTAGCAAACTGTAAGATGTCTACAAATATGCTTCCCATTCGTTAACCAGTATAGGGATTTATAAGGCACAGCAGGTAATAATAACTAAGGCCATACATCTTGCATCCTTTTTGATGATGGGTCATTTTCAAAAAGCCTCACAAGTGCAAGCTGTGTATGCGTAAGAATGAAATAAGAAGTACGAGCAAATTAACCCCCCATCGAAGACCCCTTTGACGAATGCCAAAATAAATATAAAAATAACAAAAGCAATTGCATTGCATAGTCGGTGCAGTCATAGTGCGATGAGCAAACCGAAATCGAGCAGATTCCGCCACCGCTCCAAGGTCTTCTAGATGCAGGATAATGATATAGACTTAACAGGGGATCAGTGGAGAGGAGACAATCAAGGGCATGAGATAAAACGTGTGAAAGGTTCCGTCCAGAACACTGTCCATTAACGGATGATATACAAAGCGTATGACGATCGGAATGACAATTTGTCAGTTAATAGAACATCTCGTCATGTTCTGAGAAACCGTTCTCATCTCGTCGCTGCATATAATTCGGGGTATTTGCGTGTGTAGAACTGGTTTGAGAGGTGAGGTAATCGGTGTTATAGTTGCAAGCAGAAGCAATTGGGTGAGGAAGGCCAAGGTTTACGGCGCTAGGAGGGAGATCATCAACATGCATAGGTTGGTTGTGGCGGCTGAAAGCTTCGGTGGTTTGGATTGGGGGAGTAGAGTTGCTCGCGGTACGCGGGTAATCGACAGCATTGCTGGGACCCTCGTTTGGAGTGTTCCAGCTATTAGACCAATTATCCATACCTAGCGCGAGAGCACTCTGATCCTTTAGCCACCAGTTCTGACTAGCTTGGACCAGTTTTTCAGAGTTTATAAGGGTAGGAGATTGGGGTAGTGCCGGATGGATTTCATTGCTGGGGCATGGTGGGGTGTCCAAAGGCGATTGGGAGATTGTGGGTAGTACCTTTGGTTTGGTCTCATAGGGACAAATTTGGGGGGGAACTATTTCACCAGCAGAGGTCCTCTCCTTTGGACCCGATTGCCGAAGTCGGATAATATCTTCTGAGGGAAGGATCTGAACTTGTTTGGGGTATTGTGGTACGTGGGAGGTAGTTGTATCATTGGCTACCTGCTGAGCAGGTTCTGGTGAGGAGTAATGCGTTGCTTGCCCTAATAAACGATTGCGATCACGATCGTGTAATTTTGGGGACGCATCTGAGGACGATGGCGATTGCATTTGTTCCCATGAGCTAGTAGAGCCAAACTTAGCTCGAGATCTCTCAATGACGGCGACTGCTTCATCCGGAAGCTCGACCTTCCACTTTTTTGATAGCAGATCTAAAATTCGCAGAGTTCTGCGAGCACATGGCCAGCTCTCCGCAATCTCTTCAAGGTGCTTAAGTCCATGCGCAATGTCCCGTTTAGCAGACTTGTCTGGAAGGTTAAGAAGATGTATGGTACACGCGGAATGAGCGATATAGACAGCGATATTGCAGATCTGGCGCAGACCGTACGTGCGTTTATATAAGCGTAGTAACTTCGAGATCACAGAGGCACCTTGGGTGCATAGCTTCCTCGGAGAAACATGAGATGGTAGAGGGGAAGTCGATTTGGTATACTTCAAAAAAGGCCGGTAGAGGTGGATGAAGAGCAATTGGAAGAACATGCTAGCAGGATGTGTTAGTGAGGAGGGTTTGAAATTTAACAACCATACATGGAGAAACATACTGCATGAGGAGGACTTGGGGGAGCTGGCCGTCCCTGGGCTCCATTTCCTTTGGAAGCGCTTTACGCCATGCTTCTAGACGTGTGTGTAGTTGGCTAAGTCGTCTCAGTTCTTCCTGCTTTGCCATTTGTTTGGGCTGTGCAGGATTATAAAATGTAGACAGTAAATCGCCGCTTATTTCACAGAGTTTTGAAATTTGCAGGGCTACAGCTCTAGTCCGTGAGAGCTGTCTATGCTCTTGGGAAACTCCAGCGTCCGTATACGGTGACCAAGTCTCTGTGTCTTCTGCTGGAAAAACATCGAATTTTGGAACAGTGATGTGAGACCCAGACAGCTGCGGTTGGCGACCAAGGTAGTTTGACCAGCACCTAGTTATATGTTAGACGTGCACTACTTTGTAAAAGTGACATCCTCCAACGCGAAAGAAGGGAGGTCAGGATTTTAGCATACTTATCAAACAAGAAGCAACCCCAGAACGTGACCCTGCGGGCATCGATATCTTCCGCAGACAAGTTATGTGACCCCATACCAGCCGAGTCGACGTTTAACCCAAGATCATAGGCCATACGAAAGCTCATTCCGCTATAAACCCATCCTGAGCCTTCTCGGCCACATCCAGCCTCCCTCACTGAAATGAGGGCAAGAGCCTGTACCGTACAGAGTTTCGCCTTCGTATGCTCGTCATTCTCCAAGATTAAACGTTTTGCCTCTTTAAAGAAGTGGTCTCCTGCAGTAGCTGAATCGTTTGCATCCTCTCGTGCTGCCGGCCAAGTACTAAAATGGCAACCAAGGGCCAGCATGGCATTGACTAGCAACGCAGAGCAATACTGGCTCGGACGCCCTTGCATAAAATCGCGGTAGAACAACTCCTTCGACAACGTTGTGAAATATGCATAATGCCATGTAAAATACATGGTAAGAAGGTGTCGGATAAGCTCCTTGTTGTCGGTCACGGAAGTCCAGGAGGTAATGCAATCATCTAGATCGGTCAGATCATTTTGATCATCAGGCGTTTCTCCTCCCGAGTACAACTCATCCTCATCTGAAAATTCTGGGAGGAAGATCAAATTTGACGTCCCACCCACATACTTCACGGCGCCATCAAGCCTGAGCTCGCTTATTTTTCCAGTCAATTCAGACTCAAACTGAGGAACGTCACCGAGGAAAGGTGATTCGGCCCCGGTGGGAGCAAGTGTGTCACATGGAGCCGACTCTGCCTGCTTTTGGCGTTTCAATATAGACTCCGCAACTACTTCCAGGTCTTCTGCAGCCCGTATCTGCCGTACAAGCTCGGGGACGTCGTCTTCATCGTACGTGAGAATTGCCTGCACCAGAGTCTGAAGTGTGGTATTGCGATTCCTGAGGTTGTCGATATCCTGTTTGTATACTCCTTTACGACGATGGTCCGAATTCGGGTCGTATACGCCTTTCAAAAACCAAAGAGTGTCAATGAGTCGTGCCATTCAACAGATAAAAATGCGACATAGGGAGAGATTGCCTACATGGCGTATGATAGACAGAAGAGCATGCAGCGCAACTGGGAGTGTTTCCGTCACACTTTAAAGGCCAATTCAATAAACAGTAGGTTAGTATAAGAACCCTCTACGAGACCGGTTACAAGGACTAGATATCAACTGCGGGCAACGGACCTTCGATTTCCTCTTGCGACAGGCAATGCACGCCGTCGACACACAGCGTCTCTTGACCGGAGGAGCATCGTCCTTATCCTTCTGATTGTCTTTGCCTTTCGATCGCTTCGGTTTCGCCAGTGGACGCTGCAATTGTCCGGATGTCTCCGCAACAACCTCTGCTGCGACTTCGGTCATCTTCGCAACTACTGGAGCCTTATCCAGCAGACCGACTCGGGAGAGCAATATATATAAAAAAAAAGAAACAACAACGGGATAACGAAGAATATAAAACGAATATCGACAGGCGTATCGCTCTCACAGAGAGGCTGTTCGTAGAAAGGAAGTTCTCATATAGTGACGTCGAGATAAGAGTAGGAAAGCGGCGCGTGAGGGACGCAGAACCATATTTGGCCGAACGTTCGACTCTCAACTACACGAAACCACCGTCAACGTCAGCACGCGCAACAGAAATCAACCGCCAGGTCAGGCTGAGAAGTTTCTCTGAGCCAGTTTGAGGAGGCGAGCCGTGGGCTATTTGTCTGATCGCAGCAGGACTGGACTCCATCCTAGCGCAGAAACTCACATCGAATCCGAACCTCGACAATTGGCTGCCGGAGACAAGGCCAAGCGAAGGGAAAGCCCGCCAAAGTGTCTATGACACACAAGGGGGACGATACGGGATGGGACCAAAGGTCTGGCAATGGGGAAATGGGGAAAAACGGGGAGATGGGGGTCCCGGAGAGGTAGCAGCAGTATATATGAGTTTGGGATAATATGGGCGCCCAAGACAGGGTGGACGGGCTTGGTCTAACGCTACAACGCCACTCAACTCCGCGGCTCACGCGAATGGAGAGATGCGATTGAATGCTCAATCTGCAGAAGCACGAGTACCTGAGCCCGCTTGGGAATAGTCCAGTTACGAATGTACAAGGGTAGGTCTGCCCTTCCCTTCCTCCAGCCACACGCCCGAGCAATCGGTTGATATCGAAAGAGTGTCCGGTCGACAGAACAAAGCAACGGGGAAACGCAACAGCAAGATTCGGAGGACGGCGGGTTGAAAGGGGGATCGTGACCTGACAAGAAGGCAGGGTGGTCAGTGGTAGCTCTTCCCCACAGCCATGAGATTGTCCCAAGCGGATAGTGTGGCCAAGATACGACTAAGGGATGCAATGGTGACCAATCATCGAGACATCGTTTCTACATAATTGCCATCTGGAAATATCAGAGAGACGAAGTGCAGGGGGTTAAAGTCTGTAGGGAGGAAAAACGGCGGGATCCTGCTCAACGCTAAAAAAAGAAAAACAAAAAAGCCTACGACAGACGTCGCTCCGGGCAATAATGCGGGCAGAGAGCGATATTCCGGTCATCTACGTGCTGTCTTTCGCAAAGTCGGGACTCTTTTTTGCAGGGACTCACTTGCCAAACAATGCACAGAATCGACTGGGATGGGGCGGACACCCCCACAAACATACCACGACGAATGAAGAACGGACGGCAAATTTCGGCGCCCCGTGCTGCTCTCTTAGACATTAATGAGAATTATGAATTGTGGTCAACCGCGTTTGACGGCCTCGGGGGTCACAAATTTCGCAAGAACAGACGAGAAAAGCGTATACAAACTATCGGATGTGGCATGCATGAGTTCGTCGGTTGCTAGGGTTGGAAGCTCCAATTACGCAGCAGAACCATCCAGCAACAAGCGCCAGGGTTCGCGATCGCCATCTAGTGAACACATATTTAGAAGCTTCAAGCAATCGTCTATTCGGCAGCCAATCAGGGACCATCATCGCGTTGGGGCCTTTGCATCGATTCCTCGCTAGATATGCAGAATACGGTCTCGTCATACGGAGTACAATTCCACAGATGATTTTGTGCATATACGGGGTATATTTACGTACCTTTTTTTGGAAACAAAGACAATTCTCGTGTCTTACTGGCTTTCCGCTAGATTTTATCTTGTGGCGCTTCTACACTTTGAGTCTTGTTGAACAAGTCATCATAATGTCAAGACACTTGCAGAGTACGGAGTATACCCTGTCTTTAATATTTTCGGCCAAATGCTGCTCTATTTTCATCTGATCCCAATCTCATGCAACCGAAGCTTGGGCCAGGTCTTTATACTTGTCTCGGGCGAAATACCCGGAACGAACAGCGTGGAATGCGCAGATCGCACCCCATATATAACTCTTCTGTGGCTGCTGAGCCCTGCTGCTAGAGCAGCACCCGCAGCTGCCCGTAATCGTGGCGCCGGCTGTCACCCAGGACCAAGGGAATGGAGGCTCTTTCTGTTTCATAACCTCTGCCTTGGACTCTTCCACTCGACCGACTTCCAAAACTACATACAACCCACAACGCTATCCTAAGCCCAACCTTGACAGAGGCTCATGTTATGGGGTACATGAACCCCCGGCGTCCTAGCCAGGCCGAAATACCCTTATCCACCTGATACATACGTGAAAACCCATGATGATACTCCTAGCGTCGTGGATTTACCTCCGAACAGGGATAACCCCCGAAATATTATCGTCGTGCGGTCAGCATTATTAGCTGACCTCTTAAAGGACCAAATTATAACACCTTTCAAAATACCATGTTCTGCGAAGCAACGTCAGCTCTAATATGCTGGCGACCACGCGGCCCCTCTTCCGGATTTTCAGGCCAGATCGAGATGTGATGCTGGCCTCGTTAGCGAATGCTTGTTTGATTATGTCAAAATCCTGTCCAATTACGATAGGTATTAACACGGGAACCAACGTGGTGAACCGAGCTGAGGGATATCTAAACGAGATATACCGGGGTCTAACATTGACACCTAAGTAGGCTTTCATTAAAAAGCCAAGTTACCTCGCACGGCCTATAAAGTTTGGATTGGTGAATTTTTCTGCTGCGGCCTTGCCTTTTTGATATCAATATGCGCTCAAATGACGTTTGCAATGTCCCCCAGAATTACAAACGACCTTAAACCGGACATTATACGGAGTAATCATTTCCAACAAACGTTTTTTCTTAACAAAGCATCAATCTTCCTTTATAGTGGTGTAACCCTACCATACTTCCTCTTATGCGAGTGACGTATGCCCCCTTTATGGCCTTCATAAGCTTCGGACACCATCAGATAAGAAAAAACAAGCTTCAAGCTTGGTCTGTATCCTACAGGGGGCTTTCAATCTTAGCTGCCCATAGGCCTCCAGGTGCCGAGTGTAGCGGATATGGCGCGTTCCACGGGCAACTTGGCACACTGCTTTGTCCCACGACAAATTAGGCTAGAGTAGTGATATTGGAAGCTGGAAATTCATCTCAGTCTCTATATTCTTAGCTCAAGTAACGGAATGCTCCCCAAGCTACCAACTTGTGGCGGGCTACTCCTTATGTCCATCCATCCCGCTAGAATGATAACGTCCAAAACATCTAAGTGGCTGTCATAGGGTCGATACACTATCCCCTGGCTTGCTGCTCTCACATGCTGCCGTTTAGATTCTGGGATTCCTCGTCAGACTTCCCCGCTATGAAGGATGATAGAAATATTTGCTCCTAGATAAAGTATAAAATTCATCCACAGCATGCAATAGAGGCATATTATGCATAACATTGTATGCATTGACTTCTTATTTGGGCACTGCAAATCCTATTTAGGCCTAGAAGTCAGAAAGTTGTATAGCGAGGAGTAGGAAGGATTGGCAAGAATAATATCAGAAAAACAGTCCTGATACGTACTTTCTTCATCAACCCATGTTTGTTCTTTCCAACACTCCTCTACCCATTGAACTGTCACAAAATGCGGAATGGCATTACGAGGAGCAATCATTGATCTTAGGGCAGAGTAAGTCTTGGGTTTGCTAAACCCTAGATCCTTATCTTCTAATAGATCGACAACAAGGTGGGTTATCCGATTATTATCCAGCTGGTCAGTAACTGTTGCACCTGCAAACAGGGCCGTGTTCCGAGCAAGTTGCTGACGCATCGAGAGGGTATCTATAGGGGGCCCGGTTGGTAGGCCTGAAGGCTTACTGCAAGGAACGAAAAATATTGTGATGTCCTTAAACAACCAGCCCAAGATATTGGGAATGGCGCTTCCGGAGGAATCCGAGGTCAGGCTGGACATCATGTCTGACTTCTGTTGTGCATGTATGCTGGGTATTATGGGCATTTTTCGAAGAATCTGCATCACCGAGGCTCGTGATTAGTTTTGGGGCTAGATAACAAGGAGGGGCGTTTAGAGAATAGTAAGGTGATGCGGTTACCTCTGTGAGTTCTGCTACAGTCGTACGCCTCGCGAAACTGTCTGAATATTTGTCAACATTGCCACTAATCTCTTCTTTGCGGCTTTCTGTTGTGAAGAACATATGTCTGCCCATGGGAAAAAGAAAGATTAGTACAGTTGGCCCTCGGCACAAATGATAATATTGACTGAACATACCGTGGCTCCAGCGGGAGAAGAATGCTGCCATCCTCGTCATCCGTTTCATTTTGCTCTATGCAGTCAAATATCCAGCAAGGTCGAATGACATTTTCGATGGCTGCTTTCTGCAATGATGCGACTTTCACAGTTCCTAAAACGGGTTAGCATTAAGATAAAAATTGACCAACTAAGGCTTTTTCACGTACTCCTGTCGGCGATGCAAATGGTATTCTCTGATGCAGTATTCGTTTGATAAATTTTCCCTCCATTCACCTTGATTAGCTGTTCAAGGTCGGCCTTGGATTTCTTGACAGGCTGTAGTGATTCGGACATAACAACTATAAGATCATTAGCAAAAGCTAGGCTCTAAGAGGTTCTACTCTGTCACTTACAAAATGAAAGTCCGTCAAAGATGTGTCCCTTTTCACCCAAATAGGGAGACTTCGCTCGGCCATAGCCAGCGACTGTCAGTTCCTTCTTGGTGCTCCTTTTAACTTTCTTCCTACGAGAATTGTCCACTCGAAAATCTTTTTCTTTCTTTTCCTGCTCAGCGCCGGCTTTTAAGTCCATAAACTCCTGTACAGACAGTGCACTCTTCCAGTCTTTGTCCATTCTTAGGCGTTTGAATCGAGGAAAACGAACAGTTAACCCAAGGCGAAATTGATCACTGGGAGTGACAGCTGCGGCTTTAACGCATAAAACAACTGAATCATCGGGTTTGATCCATACATCTGGGCGTTCATGCTGGGCATCACCACCGGCAAGCTCAATGTATTCGGTGGGCGGCTTTTTTGGGTCCCAATCTTTCCATTTGCCATCAGTGTGGTGACGAATGTTCGCAAAGTCTGCGGCGGTAAAACCACCGCCAACTTTGCAAAACGAGTAGCATTTCATAGGATTGGCCCCGTTTTGTGTGTAAGCGTCGTCGACCCTCAAACCGCAAAGGAACGTTGCTATGTTCCCGCCTCTTTTACCAGAGCCATAGTATCCCCCAACAACAATACAATCGAGGGACTCTCCAAACTCTGTCATGTAGTCTGGCTTCACTTTCATCCAGTCATCGTTACGCTCATTGAGCCGATATGGCGAATTTGGGTTCTTTAGGACCAGCCCCTCCGATGCCTCTGCGACCACTTTTCGAAGTAGTGGTTCAATATCACTTGCGCTGCTACCAACCTCATAAGTGTGGAGCTCAAACCGTCGATGCACTGAAACTATGCTAGCTTCTAGAGCTCGACGTCGGTCTCGAAGCGTATACCGGGTCAAGGCCTTGCCATTGAGATATACGATATCGAACACTCTGAATAAGGGGCGATGGCCACCGGTAGAAAGCGGGTTTCGTTGCTCTGCTATAGCTGCAGTCTTGAGAGTACCAAACGGAACGGGGGCATCTTGCTCGGGGTCCCAGGTAATCATTTCACCGTCGAGAATAATATTCTCAACTCCATCAGCGAAGGCATCCTTTAAGTGTCTGGTAAGAGATCCATTCTCGTCGTAGAATCCATTTCCGTATAGATATGTATAATCCTTGGCTTTTCTTGACCAAAATTCAAATCTCTTTCCACCCGGTATGGAACTGTCAGATTCCATATGGAGCTGCATGCGCTCACCATCAAGTTTCTCCTCAATCCAAAAGTGAGGATCATCTTCAGCTAGTCTCATTCTCTCAATCATCTTTTGAAAGGAGTGCATTTGGAACTGAGCAAGTTGAGGTTGGAAACACTGCATGAGTGTTACGCATGCCTCGTCGGCCTCCAAACGGATACTGGGCAGGTATAGTTCCCAGCACACCCGTCGAAGACTACTAGAAATGTTAAAAAGACTCTCCGCATCTGGATGCCAGATCTCAAAAAAGGTACGTTCAGTAGCGCCGACTTTCATCTGGCGTAGGATAATCCTAATTAGCCACATCAACTCTTCTGGGTTCATCCGCCTATAAAATTCGGCAAGAATAGGCAGTTGCTCGTCTTCCTTTGAAGCAACAGCTAAATCATCAAGCCGAGAGTTAACATCCTCTATCGACATATCGCCAACTTCGGTTTTCATGGGCCGCTTAGAAATGACCTCGAAGCAACGGCCGGCAAAGTCACCAGTCATTACACTGGTTGCCCTTTGGCCCGGGAGTTTCCAGTTCAGAAGATTGTAACCATCCTCGGAGTTTTTATCAATCTTCATAGCCTTGACAAGGAGCTTGCCAATTGTCTTCTCCTTCAGCCCGTACATTGCTCGATCACGGTCTTTCTCGGGAACTATAAGCCGGAATGCAGGGAAAAAGTCATTGCCAACCTGCTGGCGCCATCGAGAAATGAACCGTTCGATTATAGTCCGGCGTAATTCGTGCGGCGAGAGATTGCTACGCCCATGGGGCCCTACTTTCCTTCGAGCCGCCGAGGGACCAGTGAGTTTCTTCTTCAAGTCGTTGAGGGGATTAAACAGCGAGACGAAAAGCTCGTGGAAGGGCAGACTTAGCCCATGGTTTCGGGGTCTGTTTGGGTACCTTATTGAAAGATAGGTTAGTTTAATCGATGCTCAAATCCGAGAAGTGGGAGTATATACTTTTCATCAAGCTCCCTTTCCGTCTCAACGGTTGCCGCGCCTGGATTCAATTCCATTGTGGGGTATGGAATAGCCGAGTATAGAGGTGAGGAGAAGAACACCAAGCTATAAGAATGTTCCAGGACAGTAGTTCTTATTAACGGTTCTCCCACCTATACCTAGCCTAAGAAGAATGTATTATCGAGAGAAGTCGACGTTCAATCGCAAACGCGAGATGTTGGAGCTAGATCCAGGCAGACACGAACAACACGCCGGTCCACGTGACTTGACGTCATCACTTAAAGAGACGGGAATATCTCTCGATCGAAGAAAAATAGCTAGTTGGCTATAAAATACTTAAATTAATTACGGCTCGAGATGGCTCTAGATGGGCCCAGCTCTGCCGGAGATTCAGGTACAGCCATGTAGTTCGGAAGTAATGGAACCACCCCACCCCGTAAACAAGATATAAACTGTCCCGCTAGAAATAGAATTCGTCGAGTTCAAGGAATTTATTAGACGGAAAATGGAGCAATGTTGCGACATGCGAAAATGCACCTAAAGTGCTAAATATATACTATCGAGTATAGACTTGAATATTTTAGACTATGGCTAGCACCACCATGACCCAATGTATGCGCGTTATAAAGACTAGGGATCAGTTTCGATCCTGCACGCTGTCTATAAATGACGGGTCTTTTATGCTACCGCCTGCGTCGTTCAAACCCGCGACAGGCCTATTATAACTGAATCCTGCGAACTGGTTCTGCATTGTCTGCGAGAGGACTGGGTCGTCCACATAGGAGTCCTGGGCTGGCTCAGAGGTGAACTGAACGTCAAAGTTGGCGGTATCAAGTGCATCCACCTGTGCAAGTTTAAGAGTTAGTAGAGTAAATATCAGATGGGAGGAGGATAATATGATAAGAAATGCAAAACTTACCACGTTGGGCTTGAACGCCGGCTCATATTTGCGTTGCAATAATTTCCTCCAGTCGATGGCATGGAAGAACGGATGTGCCTTGATCTCTGCTGAGCCATTGGCTCCGAGGCGCTCGGCAGGATCTCGGTTGAGTAGCTTAGTTAGGAGATCCTTCGCAGTGGCAGGAACAATATCGTGGCTTGGGAAAGTTAGAGGATCGGACAGAATCTTTCGATACATCTCGTTGGTATCTTCGGCGTAGAAAGGAGGAAGTCCCGTAAGCATCTCGTATAATAGGACACCAAGTGTCCACCAATCAACAGTCTTATTATATCCGTGGCCTGTTAAGAGCTCCGGAGCAAGATATTCAGGAGTTCCGCAGAAGGTATGTGTCTCGTCCTCGTCTTTCATTTCGAGCTTGCAGAGACCGAAGTCACAAAGGGCAATGTGGCCCTGGTAGTCAAGCAGGATATTTTCAGGCTTAAGGTCACGGTAAATGACGTTAAAGCCGTGGAGGCACTCAAGAGCGCACAACAGTTCTGCGGTATAGAAGCGGGAACGGTTGATATCAAAGCGTTGCTCCTTGGTCAAGTGGTAGAATAATTCGCCTCCATTGACAAAGGCCAAAATGAAGTAGAGCTTTTCCGGAGATTGAAAGGTAAATTTTAGAGGGACAATAAATGGATTGTTGATCTGGGCAAGGACGGAGCGTTCGGCGAGGGTATGGGTCACCTCTTGACGAGATATAATTTTCGCTTTCCGAATAATCTTCATAGCGTAGATACGATGGGTATCCTTCTTCCGAACCTGCATAACTTTTCCGAAGCTGCCCTTTCCAACGACCTTAAGCAACTCAAAATCATCAACATTCAGCTTATTCGTCTGAGTTTCCACATATTCCCATCCAATCTGAAGTTTTCCGGTACCATATTGCAAATCGATCCATTCAACCTCACGGTACGGCCCTTCGAACTGGGGGCTAACCTGTGCAACTCCCAAGAAGATATCCTGACTTCGGCCAGATCCAGGAGCAGCATTCGGGTTTCGAAGGTACATGTGAACCGTGAGTTGGGCTACACGCGAGACATCGAACTTGTACTGAGTGCTGGAGCCAGCCCAGACAGGGTTCTCAGGACTACCGTCAATTGAGTTGACGAAGACTTGCATTTTATCAAAGTCTACCAAGGCGTATGGCATGTATTTCCTGGATATCCGTCCATGGTTTGTAGGGATGCCTGTGAAGCCGCCTCCGGACGTCTGCGGTCGAGTAGAGCCATTGGCACGAGTTACTGAGGTTTGAGCGAGCGAGCTTTGCTGTGTAGAGCCGGTAACGCCCCCCGTGCTGCTATTCGTGCGGTGATGCGAAGCGAACGCCTCTCGATATTGCTCAGGTAGTGAGAATCCCCGACCTTCGTAGAGAGTGATGACGAGGATACCGGGTTTAGATGTGTTTACATCCGGGGTTGGACCGCCTTCCTTTGTAGAGCTGGCGCTGCTCGCGGTGGGAGTGGTAGGGTTGACATCCTTCTCCTTACCCGAAGCTAGGGAGCTGGAGAAGTTCGAGAGGGCGCTTAAATGGGTCTCTTTCAGCTCTAGGGGGGAGAAATTAGTATCTTCGAGAACGGACGGCCATTCCTAAGGGCTCCTACTCACTTTTAGTAATATTCCAAGACATCTTGTGTGGTTTCTCCTGTTATGGGCGTTGGTTGCTCTCGTTGTGATGTTTATACGTCCTCCCGGCAAGCCCAATTTAGCTTCCCTGGCCTACCCCACTTAGGTAAAGGGGGAAGACCATCACGCTGCTCTGCGCTGTCCATCTCTACGACTTCAGGAGAAGATGAAGACGAGGAGGAGGATAGATTTCTACGGATACGCCATGCTACGACTGAGATACGCTGCTCCTCGGCGACTCACCGGCAGGTCGATATATGAAAACCGTTTCCTGCCAACTGTCAACCAAGTGGCGACTTCGACATCAAGAGCAAGTCCTGCTTTATAGCCGACAGGCAAATCTGATACAGGATATAAAATGAGCATGATACCCATAGCCTGTTTTGACGCTGAGATACCCAGGACTACTGTCTATATGGCACTCAGCAAAGAGCACAAGTTCAAGGAACGGAAGAACGGCCAGAACCATGTCATATATATCCCAACCTTTGCATACACAGCTCGAAATACAGTTCGATGCCTTACCCAACAGCGATATACTTCTAATACTTCAACCTAACCGGAGCAGCTATTGAAGTTATTTCCAGCAGCGCCCTAAAAGAGTTCTGTTAGCACGACGCGTCATCATCAAGGGAGGTAGTCAAGGTTACAGAGCCATACCCTATGAGTGATCAAGCCGCAATAAGTGGCCTTGTTCGACCTAGCTTTGCCTTTAACGATGATTCTATCCGGAACATGGCCGACATTGGGTCCTTTGTAAATCCCGTTGGCTTCAATTGGGAACTCAAAGAGTTTCCCGCTGTTACCGTCTTGCTTCGTACAGGCAGGCAGGAGGTGGACGCTCGGGTCTAGGTATCTATAGTTGTGAGGATACTGGGGGTTCCCTATAGCTACGTTAGACCTTGGTTTAGGGGCTAACTAATAGGGAAACTCACCAGGCGTGCGAGACACATTATTGATATGGTTAACGATGGCATCAGCTGTTTTCTTGATCTGCCATGCTTTGAAACTTTGACGGCCTATTTTCTCTCACTCGGCCTTGTGTTAATGAATGGCCCAATGGTGTGCATGTCTTCCTGGGAGTACATACCTTTCCCTGTCCCGCAAGATACGGATTTTCTGGGCAGATTACCGACTGAAGCAAGCATAGCTTCAATCGAGTCGGCATCCCTTGGTTCAGCTACGGGAACGCGTGCTGAAACAGCCACGGTGGTAGCAGCAAGCAAGAGGAGGGAAGTGAGCTTCATATTGATAAATGGGGTTGTGGAAGAGGCTTTGAACTTTCGAAGCAGAATTTGGATGCTTGAAGCGATATTCTCGGTATGGAAGAATGAGAATTGAGCTTTGGCGTCTTTGAGCCGGCATTTATACCCTTTGTCGAGTGTACTGCATTGATTCAGCTCTTCTACGGTGTAACAGGACTCTTCCGAATATCACTACCAATGGAGGTGCAAGATAGCTTCGTGTCCCAGCTGTATAACAACAGTGAGGTGACCCATGCTACAAAATAGCCGTCTTGTGAGCTATGAATCCTATGATGAAATTACTATACATTACTATTATCATTGATTTATAGCCCATCGCTATAGAGACATTAAGGACGCATTGGTGATAGTTGTCTATAACATTGCTTATGTTGGGAATCAGCCTCAGCCTTACGAACAGCGTACATGGGAATCAAATCCTTTGTCACATTCCAACAACATGCATAAAGATGATTCATAGGAGGACATGGAAAGTGGGAGTATATTAATGTGTGCACCTTTATCTGCAGTAATCCGTGAACTGCTTATCTATACCATTTGTATATTAATGAGAATGCGTATCTATACCCTATCTTATCAGATATTCTTGTTATAGAAATGAAATCGCGTGATAAAAATATACAAATTTGGTAGTATAGTAACTATAGTAAGAGACTAAGCCCCCAAGCCGTTAGACAAAGGCCCCAAGGCTGGCTCAAAGGAGGACAAAGTACAACTCCGGAGCATTCCAGGAGAAGCCACTCTTTCATTGGGAGACAGAGAGTGACACTGCATTCTCAGGGTCAGCCTGGCTCCTCCCTTACTGTATATCCGTTATTTAGGGACACAGCTAACGTCAGCCGCTCCTGTGACATACCTATACAACGTCCACCAACAAACACAAACAGGACTTCCTCTACCTGCTTCACCTTGCTTTCTCTTTTCTCTTTTTCTTTGTACTCTGTAGCTTACCTGACATCTGCAGTTTGCTGCCTGGTTTAAAGGAAGACAGCCAGAATGGCCAGCACATACGATGAGTGGTTTGTGGATGCAAAGGAGGATAGTTCATTTCACCTAACTGACCTACTGGCGGTCGAATCATATCTGGATGGATCTATCGGTCTCGATGATGCGGTCCAAGAGCTTGTCGAAGACGAAGACTGTCAGGACATAGGCCAGACCTGGGTGATGCTCCTCGTTCTTGCAAAGCGCTTTCCAGAGGTCCATGAGAGGCTCGTCGACCTAGTAAAGGGCATCGTTGCCATCCCGCCACCAAACGACGAGGAGCACCCAGATGAATGGACGGAGGAGGTTGTAAAAAACTTCGGCGTTAACTGGCGGGATGTCCATGATGGTGAGATATCTTCCTTCCTGTTCCCCAACGCTTCACTGGCTAAATAAGTCCAACGATAGCGTTATGGTCGGACCGCCGCCAAATCAGCCATGCATATGATGCAGCAGGCCAGCACTGGATTAATTACCACGCCTTCTCTGCAGCTTGCATTCGTGACGGTGTCCTCGATGACCCGTACTGGGCATATGTCGTCATCATCGACGGGTTTGAAAGAAAAGTGAGACTCCCCATCTCTCCCCAGCAGGACGTCGACATAGCGGCTGCATCTCAATATTTCATCCATGGTGCCTGTAATATCCTGCGCAACTGCCAGAATAAAGAAGGGGAAAAGCACGGCGGCTGGGATGATGAGAGCGAGCTCTGGAAAGGGGAAAAGGGCCTTAGCCCTGAAAGATGGAGCTTCTGGAAAGAACGTATGGGTATCTTGAGCCAGACAGATGGGCTAACTGACGAGACGAGGGATGCAGCTAGGAGAGCAGAGGTGGCGATTGGAAAATCGGACAGGAAGAAGAAAGGGACGAAGAACTAGATGCAGCTTTATTCGCCTCCCAGGGATGCTGCAGCAGTCTAGGCTATACACGTCCAATGCACACTGCAAACGGTGCTTGGGCCGCTTCATGATATCTATTACTCCGAGCAATGGTTGATGTCTGTATCCAGATTATTATCAAGAGCATCCAAATCATTAAACTATGCTCTCAAGACACGCTGGATATAAACGTTTTAACTATAAGGATCCCGGTGTTGTCACCGTATGCCCAAGTGGGCTTAGTTATAGATGTCTCTTAACCGCAGAGTTGTTCAGTTAACCGTCATCTAACGGCCTCGCATCCAACGGCTTGAAGTGATATACTCAAGGGAAAGCGGTCTCAACTACACGTCATCCTCAATGGCTGCTCTGAGAAAAAGAATTGACCGTCCTTCACTCCTCAGGAACTGATCCGCGGTATATCAACCGCTGTCTCACAGATTGCAATAGCCACCAGCGAGGATAGCTAGCGTTTGCCCGCGGCTGCTCATCAACCTTTCCCACTCTCAATTAAGCCAACAATTCAACATAAAAGCACCTTCAAGATTTCCTCGAACTACCCGAAGAGGTTGAATTCGGATAATATCAGAATACTAGTGGAGATTCCCGTTTTTATTTTCTTTTTACGAGTAACTGCTGCGAAGCCGGGCCGTTTACTCTACTAACGTTTCACGTCTGGGGTTGTTTGCGGCTGGTCGCCACGACTGATATCGCATTTTCTTTTCTTCTTCTCTTGCCGTTGGTATCATGGAGAGAACAAGATTAAGGGACAATCATCCCGCCTGCAAGCCAGAAACCCAATTTAAAGGATATATCGAACTGCAGCCATACGAACAAGGTAGATAGACAAAAGACATGCATAAGGAGGCAGAAGACGTGAGGGAGTTTAGGCTATTAACTGACTCTATTCGCAGGGATGGTACATTATGAAATGGCCAGAATCTGTTCCGATGCTAGGTACCCGATTGACCAGGGCTTCTACGGAGCACATTCCGCTAACAACTGGCAAAGGGACGGACAAGTTGAATATCTCTTCCATTCATCCACTTCATCGCTATGGCGAATCCCCAAGCAAGCTTAAAAGACTTTCATGGATAGAGAATAGGTCTAAAGAAAAAGGAATTCTGTGTGAGGGCCGACCCGGAAGCTATACGGAGTACGATCGCTCTCTCTTCGACCTCAGCTTCTTCTTTACTTTTTCCCCTTTTTTTGCTCTCTCGTCAATCCATACCAGGTAAGTTCTACTCCTGGGGATACTATTAGTTTTACATGTCAGTCAGCCCTGTTTGATTGGTACACGGGGGGGATCGTGGTGGATATACGTTGTATTCTCTCCCGACTAACTTGCTAGCATAGAGAAAGAAATAGCGAGGACTCCGTTTCCTACGGCGAGAGCGCCGGTTCGATATAGATATCACCACGAAGACGGAACAACTCCCTCCCCATCTGAATCTACCTACTGGATGGGGTTTAGGTTTCAGCCAACTGCGGGAACATGGATGTCAGGCCGGCCCAAGAGATATCTGATCTCTCCCCACTTACCGATACGCAGCATTTTCCAGTTGACTAGTTATTTACTAGGATGTATTTTTTGCAAGGGAGACGATGACGCTCCAGCGCCTTCTGACCACCCACGCAGGAGAGCTGTCATATCACATCGAGAACGGGCACCATGAAACACGAAGAAAGCTCGAGTTGACAGCGCGGTATTGCTTTTTCTTCCTTCGTTCTTCCTCCTTCGTCCCAACTTTCCGGCCTGGTCCTTTTTTTATTTTTCTCGCTGTTCTTGGGGATCGGCCAGATGCACCGAGTTCCCAGGGCTCAAGGTCTCGGGGCCAGCCATGGTTCAAATCCAAATTCGGATAACAGAGACGATAGTAAAAGAGCGGCGAACACTTCAGCGGCCCTTCAAGGGGCGACTCTGGCCTTTGCGTCACGGACAGATCAGAAACAGATGCAGAGCAGCAATAGCTCAGAGGCTACGATACCAACCAGACAGCCAGCGGGGCGGACTATCAATAATGGAGCCAGACAGGCAGCTATGATCGCGGACGCCGCAACCAACAATCGAGCCACTGGCGCCAGATTAGAGGCTGGCGAGGAGGAGTTAGACGACCCATCTTCGTGTGGTATTGGAGCGGTTAAGGATAGGATCCAGCTGTTTTCTAGTACGGACGAGAGTGGAGGTTCTACCACAGCAGCTCCGGTTCCACAGCCGGCCGAGTCTGCGAAATCTGCAACGTCGCTGCGGAACGGCAACCCGACGACCTACAGAAATACCACTGCAGATTCTGGCATTGTAACGCAGCCAAAATTAGGACTCAACAACCCCCAACATATCGCAGCTAAACTTGCCGTCGATAGATCTGCCGTATCCAAATCCAAATCCAAATCCGGATCAGGGTCATCCTCACCCCGGCCCGCAGCAACTGCTGCTGCCACTACGACGATAAGCTCACGGAGAACCAGGGAATATCAGGAGCTTATTACACATGACCCGCAGCGAGCTCTGGGTTCATCAACGACTTGTGACGCCGATATTGATATCTCCAGCAGCTCCTGGGGTGCCAGGAAGCATGCATCTCTGAGCTCGGAGGTGACCGAGGCAAGAGAATCATCTGCTGCACAGAATATGCCGGCACAACAGAAATATGGAGTCAATGCTGCTCCTCCGCTCCCGAACAGGTCAGTCGCCGCAGGGACTTCATCTCCTCGAAAGAAGATGGATTCTGAATCTGACCGGGGGTCGGTTCTTTCCCCTCCTCCTCCTCCTCCACCACCACCTTCGCGGCTTAGATCTGCTAGTCCGCCCCCGGCTCTACCTCCAAGGTCATCTATGATCCATCAGACAAAGGAGAAACCGCCCCCTCCAGCTCCTCGCCATTCAGCAGCAGCATCTGCATCAACATCGTCTATCATCGACAATCCTGCAACTCCACGTGGACCACTTCCTTCCCTGCCTCGCCCGCTCCCGCATCCGCACCCGCACCCGCATACACAGACACAGACACGCCCAATTCCACTGCAACCCCAGAATTCTGGGGTATCCGGGAGCTCGTTGGCGGATGCGATTGCAGCCTCGTCTCTGGCATCATCCCGCACTCCCTCGCCCTCCAAGCAAACCCAACCTCCGCTACCGCCCAGCCGGCGATCAAGATCGAGGTCGTTTCTGCACGTTACCCACAGTGGCAACAAGAATGACCACCGCCGTGACCTGCTCAGACGACAGAGAAGTCCGAGCAGGACACCCAGCCCGAGCAAGACGACGGCCATGAAACGAACAATGCGCGCACCGGCCCAGCCCGAACCCGACTTTGCTGGAGGCGGCCATCGAAGCAGAGAGCACAGCCACCGGAGAATCATCCGAACGCACCCGCATAAGCACCGGGAAGGCGATCGAAAGCGCTGGCGGGACCAGGTGACTGGAACCGAAAGAAAGCGTTACGAGGGAGTTTGGGCGGCAAACAAGGGCCTCTTCATAGACGTGCACGAGCAGGTCAACCTCAAGGACAAGTCAGCCGTGCTCGAGGAGATGGTAACTAGCATGGTAGTCCGCGACATCTGGACTCGAAGTAGGCTGCCGACGCATATGTTGGAACAGATCTGGAATCTTGTCAGCCACCATGCATACGGATTGTTGTCTCGGGAGGAATTTGTAGTGGGAATGTGGTTGATCGACCAATGTCTTAAAGGCCACAAGTTACCCGTGAAGGTGTCACAGAGCGTATGGGATAGCGTGAGGTCGGTTTCAGCTGAGTCAATGGGCCATCACTAGAGCCTCTTGCTGGGAAGCCATTGGGCGCCCTGGAGCGCGTACAGCATGTAAGATAAGCTGGATGCAGAGCCACTTGATCGACTACCAGCCACGATCAGAGCGTCAGTCCAGCATTGATCATGATCATGATCATTGATCAACGAGCAGTCAATCATCAGCAATGATCAATGAGCAGTCATCATCAATCGTCAATCACAATCGTCAATCGTCAAGCATGAAGAAGTCAGCAATGAAGTCAACCCTATGCTTTGCCTGCGGGGGTCGAGTACGGGGATTAGCTCTCCAGCTGCTTTCTTTTGCGGGCGGTCTCTAGGCTATCTACGGGGGATATCAGTGGCTCGTCCAGCAGCTGCCACCGCACCCAGCATGGCCTCCAGCATAAATTAGCTGCTAGCGAAGACATCGCATCCTTGTAAAATTGTAAATGTCGCAGGTTCTCGAAGCTTATTTGGGTTCTATTTCGCTCAGCTGCAGCTTCATCCCAGATTCCTATTCGTATCGTGTATTTAAAAAGTGGCACGACTTTTTTGCGATCTCTCTAAGATCGAGCGAAGGGAAAAAAAGCCAGTCAGATAGGTGGGACAGAACGAAACCATAAACCAGGAGAAAAAGGAACATGGAGGGAGGTTTTAAAAAAAACAAAAGAGAGAGAATGCAAAAATAAGAAAAAGAAGAAGAGTGTTTCTTCTAACAAGGATGCCCGTTTTTTGTAAATTGGGCGAATATAATAGGATATTACAAAGAGCAAAGATCCCCTGAAGTCACAGATTCGAACATCGCTTTGCCGTCCGATCTCAATCTCAATCTTCAATCTCAATCTTCGAACTCCAACTCGCTTGTACGGTTATTGCTCGGCATCATCACTGTCTCTGCCTGAGCAGTATATCTGTTTCATACTTCGCTCGCTCGCCCTGTCTCTGACAGGACTCCCTCCCCCAGTTTCCATCCGACCCGTTCGACCGGCCCAACCATCTATCTCCTAGCGAGACATCGCCTCTGCCTCCAGGGGTGTATCTCTGGAGCATCTACAAGGGGAGCTATCTAAGTAGACCCTCTGCACGGAGCTGGCTCTCCCATCCTTTCCAGCCGTAGATGGTGGTGGAGATACAGCAAATCCACGGCAGTTAACTAGCCTCCAGCCTCGCTCCATATATCACATTTCTCCCTGGAAAGATATCCGGAGCAGCAGGGAAAAGGAAACCATCTAGTGCGACTTTTTAAGTTCTCCTTGGGGCCTCAAAGGGACATTTTTTCCTTCTTGTTCCCCGACCTGCTCCCTCTTCACCATTTTTAGATGTTATCCAACGACGCCATGGAGGATGAGAGGCGTCACTCCGGCCTTGATAAACCATCGATCTCCAAAGTGGCTCGGAAGAAGTTCGCAAAGCCGCCGGTCAAAGTCGCCTGTCTCTCTTGGTATGTTAGTTCCTTTTATTCTCTTACCCACTTTCGGCCCATCTTCCACGTTTCTATCTCCGGCATCTCCTAAGTCCTATAGTTGGCACGCCCGAGTCTTCGGCTTCAAATCTGTGTATAATGAATCTTGCTAACCAGCTTATACTACAGTCGAGCATCTAGAATTCGATGCGATGGAAAGGATCCATGCTCCTGCGTACGTGCAAAGACATCAATCAGCCCTGATTGGTACTCTTCTTGCTCTTGATCTACTTCCTTCTTGCTGCCTAGCAGCGAAAAACATGAAGAACTCGATACCAATTACGTTTTACGTTGTCACCTTTAGTGCGCTCTCAAGGGCAAAGAATGCTCCTATCTGCCGAGCAAGCGAGGGGGCCCTCGGAAGAAGAGGGTTGACCCCCCTTCGTCTATAGGCGAGAACATGCAGAACAGGCTGTGGGCTACCGTCCATCCGATTCCCCGAATAGACGAAGGTTAGCATTCAGCTATTTCTCTTTCTCTTTCATTTTGCATCCAGTTCTAGCTGGTATGTTTGGTAGAAAGATGTTGATCGACCCGGACATTAGAAATCTTCACCCAGGTGGACGACCTCGCCGTTCCTGGTGCCGGATTAAGGCATCTCGACTTCCCGGTCGACGTCCAGTCAATGTTCGAGGGCCTCTTTGTACCTCCGAATACGCAGCAGCAGCCCTCGGCCCACCCGCCAGCTAATCAAGCCCAGGTTCCAGCTTCAGAGCCGCCGAGGGTAAGGCTGTACGGAAACGAACAAGATATGTGAGTGTTCCTATCCATTTTACTCTCTTTGCCGCAGGAAAAGTGTCTCAACCATTTCTCTCCAGTGTTTACCACATCTAACCATGGAGAATGCAGATTAAACGCTTATTATATTTATATTCACTACTACTTCCCAATATTCCCTCCGCCACATACGCCAATCACGGTTGACCGCCCCCTAAATGCGCCAACCAAGGCCCCAGCTACAGCATCTACAGACCCATTGCTTCCTTACCGGCCCAAGTCCCCAGTTACTTTGGCCATCTCAGCAATATTAGCCCTGATACCTCATCCGCGGGATCCCAACTCGTTTGCGCCCGAATCCGTACTCCTTCGAAGGTCTTATGCCCACACTTTTGCCCGAGAAGCTGTTGCAAGCATCGAAGCGGAATCAGATCTCCATGAGTCCGGTACCAGTCCATCGGAAGCCCTGGCGCATAATTCAACGATTCCCGCTCGGTTGCCAGTTCATCCGCTCACTCCAATAGACCTGGAGGGTATACTGGCGTTGCTTATTTTAAGTATATACGAGTATACTCAAAGGGGGAACTTGATTAAAATGCGACATAGAGCTGGCCAGGCTTATATTATGGCGATGAACCTTTCGCTCCATGCCATTAGCCATGACGAGAGCGCGTTTGCTGAGGCGAGGAGAAGGGCTTGGTGGATGACTGTATGAGAAGGTCCCTAACATCCATTTCCTTGACGATAGACTAACTGGTCTATAGTTTTATTGCGTTTGTCAAGGTGCAATTGTAGGAACGATGGTGAGTACAACTTTGCCATTCTCAAACTTGGGAGCAAAGGCACGCAGGCTAACGGCATGTCCCCTATAGCCAGCAACAATACTGACACATGACCCTCGATTTACTACACCATATCCACGATTTGCATCTGATTCTAGGGTACGTGCTATCCCAGATGCTTTTCCTGACGACCTTAGCTAACTCATCTCGTGTTCCTGTAGGCATGGTCTATTTTAATTCAAGCACAGCAGGCGCTGGTCGCCGCCACGCAGTATATTATTGATCTTAATCAAGCACTAAGGGCGAGAGCAAACCTGGCTATCATTTTCGAGAGGATGGAAAAGCTCACTGCTTGGACTTCGTCTATATTGGCCCAAGCAGACGCACAACTTCAAGAACCCGCTACTTCACCTCATGATATCGAAGGTGTCACGGCTCAAAGCATTAGATGCATTTCCCGGATTAAACTGTGCAGGTACGATGAGCAAACAGGGATTAATTACGAGTTGGTTGTTTTCTGACATCTTTTTTCATCTACAGTGCACGAATCAAAACACACCGATTCCGAGCTTTTCTTGACATACCGATCTTCATCAAGAAGCACTGCGATCTATCTTGCGCAAGCATAGGCAGTCCGAGTATGGAGAGCACGTCAAACATCCCAGAATACCAGGATACGATGAGACCAGTTCTCTGCTGTAGCAGTTCCTTCAACCAACTTCCAGGAGCCGCTCCACCCACCCAGCTCGAAAGCCCTATATCTTCCAGCTCGCCCATATCCGACTGTTCTGGATCCCACTGGATACCGGAAAACTCATTTCCGTTCTCGAATTATACGTCAACCAGTATATGCTTAGACGCTGCTCTTACCATTGCTCAAATGTTCGACAGCTTACCTTATCCGCGTCCAACTTACGACAAGGAATACGCTTCTTTAGAGTATACCGCCATTGTTCCCCGAACAATGCCGTCGTTCGCGTGCTGTGCAATGCAAAGTAGTTATGCAATGCTCATGCTTTATTATAAGTCCCGTGCAATCAACCCAGAAAATGTTGAAAGCCCACTGAGTGACCCAGACCAACTTAGTGAAGAACTACAGCATGGGTTGGAATGTGTCATCGGTGCTGTACGGAATTACTCAATTGCATTCGAGGCTCTAGATGGAATGAGAGGTAAAATATTTGTCCCTGGTATGGGAATGCTTTAGGCTAATTAATTCTTTTGGTGTAGATGAAATTGAGGTTGCCTTCCTCACTGCATTTCCCCAAGAGTAACACAATTCCATATATTTTTTAAGATTTTACCCTAACGATCGTTTACCGCATTTACGAACAAATTATACCGCCACTCCTACGCATTACGGATGATCAAGGATTGTTTTATTTGGGCTCCGGACCCTAACTCTGTCAACTCGTTCCAGACCAACGATGCAGAAATCGATCATGCCATAGAATTTGTTTTGTTTCTGAAACCAATACCAGCAGTACTCCACATGTGCAACAATACGATTTCCGCAACCTTTTAACGCAAATACATAGCCTACGACGAATGATAAATCAATCTCTGGTCTGAAAATACCGTCCTATATTGAAGTATGTATGCAATTATAACACCCTTGCGTAAATCAATTGATGAATCGCCTCCGTCTATGTACCAAATAAATACAAACCGCTCAAACGCAATGGGTATGACATGAAATGAGGTGACGAAATATTATCATAACTTAGACCTTATTCCTTCTAAACGAAATTTAACATCTTTTAGTATTTTTGTAGATGGTTTCCAGTCTTCGAACTGTCTTAATAGCTCTGTTGTTTCGTCTGATAGATGTTGGCGAACATACTCTTCCTCAAGGACGCCACGCATTGCAAATGGAAGGATATACGGATTCGATGTTGTGGTCGATGCTGTTGGGGCAGATGTTTTGTGAAACTGGATGGCTGCACTGTTGATCTGTGTTGTTTCTAGGGCGAACCTTATGGCTAACCTAAAAATAGTTTTAGTTAGTATATGCAAGGAATCCCTGATTTTCGTAGACAAAAGGAAAGTCGTACTTGTAAACATTTTTGTCGTCGTAAAGGCGGGAATGCCCTTCTCCAGTATATAAACTTCCGGCAAGAGGAGAGCTAAGTTCTCGAATGAGGCCGTGGTCTGAGACCCCTAGGTTACGCAGCTTCATGGTGAAGCCAACTAAATGCGACAGACTGTACAATCGACATAATGAGTATGATGTGCATGCATGTCTCACGTCCGCCGGGAACGTTCACTTACAAGCTAGGCGCATGAACCCTTCCATCAACGAATACTGCGCGGTAAACATGAGGATGAGAAATAGTTGAAAACGTAGACGACTAGGAATTGTTAGTGAATGTCATACCACCCAGCCTGTAGATTTAATCCTTACCTCCATTGATACGAGTTGATCGTCTATACTCCCAACATAAGTAACCTTGACTCCGAACTCGAGAACAGCTTTCAGAGCTGTTCTATAATCCTGTGAGACCTTGCTTTCCGCGTCTGCAAAGTCAAATAATTCTCCCGCCGACCCACTAATCCAGCGAGACCTATAATCACCAAACGGCCCCAAATTAATGCCCGCCATGGCGCATATGCCGATCCGTGCAGAGCTAACACAGCCAAAGGCTATTAATTTCGAGACCAGCATTGTTGCAACAGGGACTCCCTGGCTGTGGCAAGAGATCAATACAAAATCAGCCTCTCTAATATGCTCGATCCAATTGAGGAGCAGCTTCCAAAGCAAGTCAACACGTTCAGAGATACGACCTTCGCCCTCAAGTGCAATTTTTTCAATGTGACACGGTGAATTATTTTCATCTGCCCATTCTTCAATTGCTCTGGCTGCCATTGTGGCGAACTTAACAGAAGTCCCTGTCGGTTGCCCTATAACAGTCCGAATTAAAGGCGTGGGGAAATACCCATGCACTCCAATGGCGATAGCCTTTTTTATCTGCGGAGTGGTTTGACTTCTTAAGACATGCTTTGGCTCCGATCCTTTTTTATAAAGTAGGCGGCTGAGCTGCTCGATAATACCAGGCCTGCTCTCGAGTGGGAAACTCGTTTGGAAGGATGGAAGAACCTGGTTCGGTGGCGCATGTTCTCCCTTCTTTGGGGGAGAAGGTGCGGGAACATTTGCTGGCTGAAGTGGTGGCTCTTTTGGGACACTTGGTGTAGAAGTCTCAGTCGAGGCAGTGGGTTGAGACGCGGCTGTTGAAGCCTTGACACGCCCATTCTTTGGAGTGGAGACGCCCTGTGAGTCTGCGGCCATGGTCGGTGCTTTTGGTTGCTCTCCTGAGTTTCTGTCGGGTAGTACATCATTTTCCGTGGACTGTTCCTCTTTTTTGGCAGTAGAATCGACCTCCAGTTGTGTTCTTGGCCAGAATAGCCATGCAGATACGGATCCTGCTCGCTCATGGGTTTTGTGTTCAGTCGGTTGACTGGTAGGTACCGTATCCTCAAGCTGTGAAGAGTTGGTATTTTCTTCTAATCCATTAGATCGTGGTGGAGCTGTGTTGTCTTTCATATCTTGAGGGCCTGAAGTTGGTTCTTGGGGACGTGTTGCTTGTGAGACTGTATTAGGCCCGCCCCACAACTGCAGCCAGGACCTTGCCTGGGGAGTCTGGTTCTCCTTAGGTGTCAGGCTAGGACCAGTTTTGTGGGTTTCATCACTAGCGGAAGCCTCTCTATTCTCAGATTCAATCTTTGGCGGGGCTGGTTCAGCTGGCGGAGAAGTAGGTAGAGGATCCTCCTTTGCTGGCGTGGATTTGGCCGCTTCCTGGCTTGTATCGCTCGTTATCTTCGTCATTGAGAGCCACTCTAGCCACCCTACCGAGCGAGCAACTTGATCTTGCTGTTCTTTTTGCTCTGGATCAACCGTCCCTTCCGTAGATGCGTTCGAGGCCTCTTGTTTTTGCTCGCCCGTGCCCGTGTCCACCTCTTGAGATTCTTCGTCCTTCTTGAATTCCGTATCCAACTTTTTCGAACTGCTAGACGCTTTCAAATCACTGTGCACATTCCTAACAATATTATCCGAGACCTTTGGCATTGGGGAAATCCCTGTTGAAGCGATATTTACCCGAGTCGTGGCAACTTCCGCCGGGAGCGACCTGGTAGAGACTCCCCCCCTTTTTGTAAGTTGAATCGAAGGAGGCCTTGAGGACCTTGCAGCACTTCGCAATGACGAGGATGATCGTGAACGTTGTGAGGTCCCTGAGCTCGCTGCTGATATGCTCTCACGGGCGACCTCGGTAACGGCGGCTGCCTTCGACTTCGTTGGCCAGGATCTGAGATACCAGCTCTGATAAACACGCAGTCAGTATAGGGCAAGATGATAAACAGTGGGCTTCCTCACCATTCCATCTTCATGTATCTCCGTAACCGAGCCTGCGTTGGTGGTGGCAGCGTTGCCCGATGGCTGTGGTGGGTTGCTGCCTCTCTGATCGTCTGCCGTTAAGTGCTTTGCACGTGCCACGGGAGCCATCGAGGCCGAGAATAGGGCATCACCACGGAATCGGGCGAGTCGGAGGCGCGTATATCATATTATTCTGGCAAAACAGAGCTCTAGGGCGAGTATGGGAGTGGTTTAGATGTCCCTTTTGCTGTCTGGATGACGATGGTTCCCTTCTCTGCGCATGAGCCTCACCTGGTCAGGAAGCTCGAGTAACGTGATGTCATCGTTGCTTATGTAATAATCTGATAAGAAAAGTAGGGGCGGTGAGGGGCGGCAGAAAAGTTGCTGCAGACTTGACTTTGACATTTTTTACACAAGAGACGAAGACAGGACGAAGACAGGACGAAGACGAAGGGACGGACCACGCCGCGGGCTCAAGGACCAGCATCATGGCGATCCAGAAGAAAGTAAGCACTAACTGCTGTTTTTGTCTGCTCTTGAAAAAAGTGCGGTACTAATTGAATTATAGCACGGAAAAGGTCGTTTAGATAAGTGGTATCGATTGGCGAAGGAGAAGGGATACCGTGCGCGAGCTGCTTTCAAATTGATTCAGCTGAACAAGAAATATGGCTTTCTGGAGAAGAGTAAGGTCCTTCTGGATCTCTGCGCAGCGCCAGGTGTAAGCCAATCCCAACCCTGTTTCATCGTCAGTCGATAAGCTCGAGCTCGTTTACTAACACGCGACACTCTTCTTTGATACAGTCATGGTGCCAAGTTGCTGCCGAATGCATGCCATCGCAGAGTCTTATAGTCGGTGTTGATCTCTCTCCGATCAAGGCAATCCCTAAGGTCATCACTTTCCAAAGCGATATCACCACAGACAAATGTAGAGCCACCATCCGCCAACACTTCAAGACCTGGAAAGCCGATACAGTACTCCACGACGGTGCGCCAAACGTTGGTACCGCTTGGGTCCAAGATGCTTTCTCTCAGGCGGAGCTGGTTTTGCAATCGCTAAAGCTAGCAACGGAATTCCTTATCCCTGGAGGTACATTCGTTACAAAGGTTTTCAGGTCAAAAGATTACAATCCCCTTCTCTGGGTTTTTAAACAGCTCTTCACGACTGTCGAAGCCACCAAGCCTCCATCTTCCCGAAATGTTTCTGCCGAAATTTTCGTTGTCTGTCTTGGGTTTAAGGCTCCCAAACATATTGATCCCAAATTCCTGGACGCTAGGCATGTCTTCGCGGAGCTACAGGACCCAAACCCTAATAATGAGGCCAAAGTTTTCAATCCTGAAAAGAAAAAGAGAAAGAGAGATGGGTACGAGGAGAACGACTGGACTCAACACAAGGAATTGCCGGCCACCGAGTTCATAAATACCACCGACCCGATTTCAATTTTAGGCTCATATAACAAGCTTTCTTTTGAACAATCACCCGGCGGCGACATCGCACTTGCAACTCTCCAACGACTACCCGAAACAACAGAGGAAGTACGTATGTGCTGTGAAGATCTCAAGGTTTTGGGTAAGAAGGATTTCAGACAATTGCTCCGATGGCGAATCAGGGTACGTGAGAAGTTCGGGCTTGCGGTGAAAAAGGGGTCAAATAAGGAGGAGGAGACTGAGGAGGTTGCCGAAGTTGAGCCTATGGACGAGGAGTTGGCTCTCCAGGAAGACCTGAAGCGTTTGCATGAGCGCGAGAGCTCAAAAAATAAGCGTGAGCGCCGAAAAGAGAATGAACGAAAACGCAAGGATATCATAAGGTTGCAAATGAACATGACAACGCCAACGGAAATTGGAATGGAGCAAGCGGGCCCGCTTGGTGAAGGAGCGATGTTTAAGCTACAAACGGCCGAAAAGCTGCCGGCTGCACGGACGGTATCTGCCAGCAGTATGGCCGCTGCTATAGAGAGTAGCAGTGAGGAAGAAGATGATTCAGGTGACGAAGATTCAGACGAAGATGGCGATCGGTTAGAGCGTCAACTCGACTCACTCTATACACAATATCAGGAGGCACGCGAAAGTCGGGACGCCAAATTACGAGCCAAGAAGTCGCGAAAGGCCTATGAAACGGAAGAATGGGAAGGCTTTTCTGATGAAAAGGAAGGTGAAGAATCTGACAATGACTCTCCTCAATCGTTTCCTACGGCACCTACCGGAGATCATGTCAACGGTCTCTCTAATAAGGCTGCAATGTTTTTCGACCAAGACATATTCCGTGACCTAGGAGCCGTTGAAGACGAGGAGGCGGACGATGAACCAAGTACAGCAAAGGTGAACGGCGTGCTCAGCAAGAAATCAGATTCCGCTAAGAGAGACACTGCTAGAGGGCGGGTCGCCGCATCGCCGTCCCCGTCTGTAAATAGCGAGAATAGCTATGAGGAGGTCAAAATGGGCAAGTCAGAGAACTTTGACGATGGAGACGATCAGCAGCAGGACGATCCATGGAAGAAAAATGGTCAACTTGGTACGTTCCCCAGATACCACGTCTTGTTAAACGCTTTCTATATAAAATACTAACCTAAGCCCAACAGATGTCGATATAATAACAGCTGAAGCTATGGCTTTAGCCCATCAAATGGCCAAAGGTGAAAAAACCGCTGACGACTTCGTCGATGACGGCTTTCATAGATACTCGTTCCGCGATGTGGACGGTCTCCCAGAATGGTTCCTTGATGATGAGAACGAACACTCAAAGATACAACGGCCTACAACTGCCGCAGCTGCTGCTGCAATTCGTGAGAAGCTACGCGCCATCAATGCCCGACCCATCAAGAAGGTCCGCGAAGCCAAGGGTAGAAAGAAGTTCAAGCAAGCCCAAAGGCTGGAGAAGCTGCGCAAGAAATCATCCCTGCTAGCTGAGGACGAAGGTATCAGTGAAAGGGATAAAGCACAATCTATCGCCAAGATGATAAGTAAGGCCACGAAGAAGAAACCAAAGCAAAACGTGAAGCTTGTGGTGGCTAGAGGCGGAAACAAGGGTATTTCCGGTCGTCCTCGTGGAGTGAAGGGACGATATAAGATTGTCGATGCTCGAATGAAGAAGGACATCAGAGCTGAAAAGAGGTTGGCGAAGAAAAAGAGCAAGTGATAGATTTTGCATAGATAGGAATAGACTCGCCATGAGCTTCTTCATTCTTGATGTCCTGCAATTATTCCGTAGATACTACAAGTATGTATCACTATGCTAAGCATGTACCAAAATCTAGTGAGTAGACCCGCTGAACTTGAATGCATCGAGATAGTTATAAGTAACAAGAAGCATATAATATACCGAGAATAGCACCCTAGCCGCCATAGAACGTGGCCCCTACTCCTTAGCTCGGGGTTTCATAGTTCACAATCAAGAACGAACAGAATACAAGAGTAGCGGCAAGCCAGTACAACAAGGTCGCATACTTGCCCTGGACTATGATTTGTCCAAGCAAGGACAACGGAATGTTGAGACTTAGGCCGATAGTTACGATCAGTGGGCTTGTGAGTAAAAGTGAGTAGGCCCAACATAGATCTGATATGAAAGATATAATTGCATTGACCTATAAATACAAGTCAATATAGTTCAATCATCATACTTCCTGGTTAGGATTATATACTTACCAAAACAATCAGGAAAACTCGAGTGGTCGGCGGGAGGTTGAAGGGCTCGTTTCCGGTAAAATGCAAAATGATGAACCCTGGAAAGAGTATGATGGAGTTGAGTACCCCAACGAGGCCAAAGAAAAGCAGCATGTCGACCCGCGACTCGTCTCCGACCCGTTTCTTCATCATAGTCGTATAAACTCCGTATAATACCGCGCTGAACCCGGCCATGAAGTTACCAAGAATAATCTCAGCAGCCGGTTTTTTAGGGAAAGAAGCCGTCTTTGCATCAGTCGAGCCCGAGATATCAATTCTAGATATCAGATATATGCCGAGAATTGACGTGATCACTCCAACGCATTTATGGGGAGTGAATTTCTCGACTCCGATAAACGATCCAAAGATAAGTGTCCATACTCCTGATGTACGTTAGTAGATGATATACGTTTTTGACAGGGAAGACTTTAAAATACCGCTGGTAGATGTCAAAATCGTAGTGCTGGCAACACTTGTGTGCTGTAGGCAGGCCATGGCAAAATAGTTTGCCTTTTCATACGCCGTTAGATAGATATTCACCGAGTGGTAATGCACTGCAGCCAGGGGGTATATATCTTACCACGAACTGAAGTAGTGGTTAGCAAGCTCCTAACAAATAGTTATCCAGACTGAGAAAAGGCAGAGAAGCGTTGCTTACCCATATTATACAAAACTCCAAGCTCAGTTTAGCCGTGGCTATGACTCCCAGCTTATCACTGGTAGCAGTTGTAGCAACCGTTACATGTTGTTCCTGTATGTCTGCGTCTGCTGGCTCTTGTGGCAGTTGGTCATGGGTTTCCTCGTCTTGATCGGAGTTCAAAATAGGCCTCGACTCGTCACCAGTGGTATAGTTGTCGAATTCCCTAATAAGAGATCTGAGAGATCTGATATCCTTGAGTTTCCCTGTCTTCCAGATCCTGTAAAGCCGGGTCCCAACAAACGGGATAAGTGTGAAGGTGAAGAAAGCGCTATTCAGATAGGTTACGAGGAACGGTTTAGAATAGGTATTATCGGCAAAGATGGTCTATTATTTGAACGTAAGAGATCAGTAACCCGTCGCCATTCAGCTATCATATTGTTATTGGTAGCCAATATGCGGTTTAACCCAAAGCTCCTCGAGCTGGAGACCTACGCTGGCAAGGAAATTCGACGACGTCCAAAGCAGAACGACGACCAGAAGGAGAGCAAGCCCTAGAGTCCGCCTGCTCCGCCTACCGGTGCTGGCTGGGGCCATCGGACTACGATCCCCGTCCAGGAGTGGTGTGGTTGCTGTTGGTGGTCGTCGATTGACGTTGGAGTCGTCCAGGGTTCTAGCGACACCCTGGTCGCCATCGTGGGAGGTGTGACTATCTTCCATTGTTGGTGCATCACCTTGGGATCAACCGAGTCGTCACAATGATTTTGCTCAGCAGAGTACGGAGTACTAAGTAGGGAGTACCTAAGGATACTATCCAGAGGGTTCGCTCTACTACTATTTTTGCCGATAGGCCATGGCTAGCGATGTAAACTCGGTGTAACGCCCAATTTTTAAGACTTACTAGCCAGAAACCTGTGGACATGGCGCTAAATTGGTAAAGTATTTCAGTCTGGGCCATCAATCCTGTTGAAATGCATAGTCTTCTTGCTGAATGCATTTACTACGAAGGAAATATTACAGTCGATCTGCTTCTGGCATAAGTCGGGTATATTATAGTCAACCGCCGAGGAAGCACCAATTATGAGCAGTACCAGACTGGATGCAAGAGGAGATATATAAAGAACGTTAATATGCTATATACGTATTAGGAGCTGCCAGTGTATAGCATAAGTATTCCAGACGGTGCAACAATTAGAGGTAAAGGTGAGCGGATAAAACCACAACTGGTCAAAAGAGGAGTAGATGCAAGCAGACTGTATGTGAGGGCCAATATCCTATATCCTACTAGAAGGCAAAAAGTAATACTAAACAAAAGGAACAAAACGCCGAAAGGGACCCCATGACAGATAGACAAGAAGGAAAGCTCTATAGGAAAGACCTGTAGAAGTTGTATTAACAGGCGCACGCATCTCGATCACTGTCATGCTGAACATTGATGACATCCTCGAAGTCGCCATTGAACTCTTCTGACTCTTCTTGCATAAGTGCGCTCTTGGCGATAACTATAGTTCAATCACTGGTGAGCAGACATCTCATGGTATATCATGAGCAAGGGCAGGTATAAACAAACCTTCAAACGCTTGTTCTACGTTGATAGCTTCTTTGGCACTGGTCTCGAAGTATGGAATGTTTCCTTTCGACTGGCAGTATGTGGAGGCTCGTTTCGAGGAGATCATTCTTTTGCTTTCCTCGACATCGATCTTGTTCCCTAGCACAACCTATTACTTTGTTTAGTAACCTGTTTTCCTTTCTGAATTAGCATAAAGGCGCATAGACTTACGAATGGGAAGCTTTCGGGGTCTCGCAAGTTGGCCTGAATGAGGAATTCATCTCTCCAGCTGTCCAGAGTTTCGAAACTCTTCGAGTTGTTGACATCATATACCAGAACGCAGCAATCCGCACCTCGGTAGAAGGCGACTCCCAAAGATTGGAATCTCTCCTGCCCCGCGGTATCCCATATCTACCACCATTCAAAGTGACCGTTTAGTATTTATCATCAGACAGGGAAATGTTTGTAGGTCTAAGAGGTCATATGTACCTGCATCGTAACCAGTCGTCCGTCTACCATAACTTCCTTGGTAAGGTAATCCGCTCCAATGGTAGCTTTGTAGCTAGCACTGTATTTTTTGTTGACCTAGTCATCAAAGAAAGGTGTTAGGACCATAGAGACTTCACGACATGGTCTATCTTTAGACACAGTGAAAGCAGCACTAACATATTGGTTCATCAAGCTTGTCTTTCCAACGCCACTATCGCCGAGGATGATGACCTGTAGCAGGAAGAGAGGCGTCAGTAAGGGTTCTCTTTTCCAGGTGGGGTGAATATATTCATCTATGGCTTGACACCTACCTTCAATAGAACCTTCTTGCGGGACGCCATGGCTGTGAGGCGGACTGTATTGCAGCAGAAGCAAGCTCAGGTTGTCTTGAGGTCTAATCTAGGAGGCAAGGAGTGGGAGAGCAGCGCTGGGGGGAGAGTGAGCAACCACACGCAGAACGGTGGTGCAGAAAGGTAGGTCTGGTCTGCTGGTGTGCGAGCTGGCAATGTTTCGTGGCGTCTAACAGCTGGGAGAGACTTGAGATATCCCGAGATGGACGGCTTCGAGGGAGATCAGATGGACGTTTGGGAGCTCGGGAAGCGCATAACATCATACATTTAGGACCAAGGACGCCAAGACCTACGCTATTTCTCCTGTAGCGTCACATGATGTCCGGCCTTCACCACGTTAACAGTTAACAGGTTGATATATTAAAAGGATAAGAAGAAGACGTTGGTATATTAATATGGGTGGTCATGTTAATCTATCTAGCTATGTCATTTACCGGGTGAGCTTCTCCCCTGTCTATAGCTGTCTAGGGTGTAATCGTGTCCAAAGAGCGGCCTGCCTGAACCTCCCAGCCCAGTCGACTTCACATATAGGGCGTCGTATACCCTGCGATTATGGGACGTCGTATCCAGAGCCCAAGGCCCTCCCTCAACTCAAGGCCTGTCTCAAGGAGTCTGGAGGACCACGTAATTTAGTCTCATGCAAAATCAGGTCAGACCATCTTGGATAATGAGATCTTCGGTCTCTTCTGTAGATACGATAGGCGAGGTAGCGTTGTAGATATGTGGTATGCGAGCTTGATACAGGCCAACTCTCTTCATCTTGTATCCCTTTCACATAGCTCCGTTAAGTAAACTGTCAAGTTAGGGGATTCATGTATGAAACATAACTCCAAAATGGATGGGTATAGATGTAAAATAAAAGTATGCAGTAGAGACCCCGACGGAGCAGTTTAGTTGACCTCAACTAAACATTTCAGTGCGCTATTCCTCAGATAAACCACTTCTCCCTATTGATTGCAAGGAGTGTGTTGGAAGAAGATGGTTATCCGAGTTGAATGGAAGTGGCTAAATCATGCCAAGCCTTCTTATCTGATCGACTTCTGCCTTACAAAGAACGTCATGGGGAGGACGCTTGCTCCCTGCTGTGAATATAAAACATCTCTATAGCCATGTCCCTAAGAAAGAAATAGGTTTGCTCTTGTAGTGTTGCTGGGCTCTCAAGCTAGTCACTTTCATCACAAGAGCCTGCTAACATAAGGTTTCTTCCTACCCCCATATAAACATGTCAAGCTGGCGGGAGGAATATTCCACGGCCCTGCATATCAGGGATCAGAGTGAGAAGGCAAATATCTCGGTCTTTGATGCTTGTATGTATTTTTCAATACCTATTCTTCTACAATACCCCGTGGTCTGTGAACTACGCAACTAAATCATTATATAGATACACGCCTAGCCGATCGGTCTGGCAAGTTAGAAAAGGAGCGAGTTGAAGCCATCCGATGTACCAAGGGTGTATCGAAGTCCAAGTCCCCTGTCTCTCCTGAGAACAAGAAGCCACTTGGACCAGATGAGAGTCATCCGTCGCCGGGGCTAGACCCCTTGCTCGCTGCAAACCAAGATTTGGCTGCTGCGCAAAAATCACGAGAGGAGCTTTCAAACAAGTTAGAACAAGCCATGTCAAGGCTAGAGAGGCTCACGAGGAAAGTGAATGCAGAAACGCAACGGGCGGCAGATCTAGCCGTGGAAAGAACACAGTTACAGATCCGCTTGAAGGATAGAGACGAGGAATTGAGAGGGAAGGCTAAGCTACTTGATGTTAGTTCAGATCTCATCTTATCTATATGCCTCCTCCGTAGAGTGGGCATAGTTGAGCTAACGTTAGGTGCTTTTTAGGATGTCCAAGATGAGCTTGTTTCGGTCAATTTACAGTTCAACATGGCCGAGGAGCGATCCAAGAGGTTTGAGGAAGAGAATCAACAGCTGGTTGATAGATGGATGGCGAGGATGGGCCAGGAAGCTGAAGCTATGAACAAGGCATCGAAGTTTTCGCAACCTGGCCTTTGATACTTGCAAGACTTATGATGGATGAGTGTGATTTATTTATCGTCCAACATAACTAGAATGGGTTATCGTAGGGTTGACGGCATTCTTGAGGAATGCTATGCTTCCCAATCAGCCTACAACTTCACCTTTATGATTATAGAATCTGCCACCATTAAGAATATAAATATACATTGGTTTTCAATTTCTTGCACCTGATAATTACACGAAGTGACTTGTCAGGGGAGCGATAATGTCGACTGACAATATCACTTCCCCACTATCAAGCCCCAACTATTCATGCCATCCGGGTATAAGTCTCCACGACACCAGCCCAATGAGTACTTCCAAAAGAGAGTGGAATAACACGAGGGACAGAAAAAAAAAGATATACCATACCTTGACATGATTATAACGATTGACTAACGTACCACCAAGAAAGAAGGGAATGAACCCGACGGAACCAAGGAACCAAAACATCTAGCGATAGCGACAGCCCCCATCTATAGTCATCAACGACATTCCAAAACATGTAACATGTAAACGTAATAATAACAGTCTAGGTCATGCTTCCAAAAAAGAGAATGTGAAAAATAGTGTAACCACTCGATGCCAGGCCGAGTTGTATTATAAAAGGGTATCAGTAAACGCTCGTAATCTCGAGCTATCCTTATTGGCAATGAAATATGTACCTCCAGCGTTGGTCCAGCTAACGGAGTCAGACCAGTAATTGTGCTTCTCAACTGAAAGCAAGTTGATCGGTGAGTTGAGATTCCGGGCTTGCATTTTATGTCCTGCTGGAACAAAGGACTTGAGCGAGACTATTTGGCAGCCCTCCTTCAGGTCAAGAAGGTGGTTGATTATTTTATTATTGGTCTCCGGGGTGAATGCCTGGTTGTTGATGAGAACAACATCGGCCCTTCGTAGAGCCTTGGCGATGCGCTCGTTGTCCAGGAAGTCCCCCTGGACCAGATGGACTTTGCCCGACGAAAGGCCCCATAAACGGCAGCGGGCTTTAAATTCAGCTTGCTGGAGCCGCGCCAGGTCGCACGCGTTCTGCATCATTTCGCAGCCCCAGCTCTCACAGCCGACTTCCAGAGCCGCCTGGAGGACGACGTTGCCCACCCCAGAGCCCAGGTCGACGAATACCTGGTCGGATTTTAAATGCGTCTTTTGAAAAATATCTGAGATAAAGCGGGGTAGGAGTTCTCCGTAAACGTTGTCTGTCCCGTTCTCATACTTCTTGAGTGATTCCACGCGCAGAGAGACCGTTCGACTATATACCTGGGTCAAGATTCGCTCTACCCACGGCAGAGACAGCGAATGGGTCGCATCGAGATGCTTGGAGATGGCGCCTTCGTTCCGTAAGCGTTCGATCGCCTTGTTATATGCCCTAAGCGTATCCTTGAACTCGACGACCGATTCCTGCTTGATCGCACGTCGTAAAAGACGGATAAACCCGCTGGACTCGTCGGTGAAGAGCGATATCTGGTCCTCGGGAATATAATTGTGTGATACAGTCTCAACCACCTGTACGATGTCCTCCAGCGGCTTAAACCCATCGTTTTCACGAGGTATGACCAGCTGATACTTCTCTCTCTGCGAGTAGGTAGGGTACTGGAGCGATATTGACGAGCATCCCTGAGGCTCTTTGAACGCATTCTTGAACCCGCCCGACTTCTTGTCGATCGACGCTATGTCTGCAGCATGAACCATAGGAAACGACCGTTCTCCAGCCTCCGAAAACGCAGCCTCGGAGCGTATACGCCGTGCCAAATCCGGCTCCGCGCTTGCGCTCACTTTTGTCCTCTTCGTCAGCCGGATATCCAAGGACTCATCGCTCTCACTGTCCTCACTGCTGCTAACGAGTTGCTGCACTGCGGGGGAGGACCGTTTCCGGGACACAGATCTCGAGCGTGGCGTGTTAACGGCGAGCAGGTCAGAGCTGTTGGGCAACGTGGATTTCTTCTTGACATGTCCGGTAGAGTCAGATAGGGTCGGTTTCCGCGGGGAGGTAACGGTCCGTTTGGCGGAGGATTCAGAATGCGCGCGGGCAGAGGGAGGTTTCGCGCTGTGCGAGGGAGCTGACGAGGACCGGATAACGGTCGGTTTGCACTCTACTTTTCGGATCTGAGCTTTCTGTGCCTGGATCACACCTGTTCCCTTCTTCTGGAGGTGGTCGAAGAATCCCATGGTCAAGGAGGCTGCGGGCCTTGGACGCGGCGTGTTTGAGGGCTAAAACGGCCAAGGAATGCGGGTGGCTAACGGATAGACAAACAAAACAACGAATGGCGGGTATGTATAAGGAATGGATTTTATAAAGATACCTTCGCAACGAAGCGTGAAGCCCGGCTCGTCTTCACTTTCGAGCTTCGCTTTTTGAAGCCGCAAAAACGCGCAGGCAGATATCGAAGTCACGAGACCTACATCACGTGGTCAAGGTCACGAGGACAGTTGAGGCTGAAAAGCTTAATGTGCTTAGTAATAACTATCTTAGCAAGCAAGGCGTACTCGAGTCCAACATAGCAGGTTTATATAGATGACAGCTGTACAGGTGTAGGAGGTAGAGTAACAGGCTATACAGTGGTGTAGGAGGTACGGAGTAAAGTATATTAGAGCTATGTATGCGGTAGAAGATATATAGTAAGTGCATGGATGGCAGGTGAGCTCGACGTTTGGGAGATTTAAACCTCTATCGCCGTAGATGTTGGAAGCTTTTGAACAGTTGGCTAATAGTAAAACACCTCAGCGCTTCGACAGGGAATATCCAGAAAGTATCGAAAGTATCGTCAGGACAGAGTCGACCGAACATTAGACAAATGAAAGGGAGAAAATGTTTGAGAGGCGGCCATAGCTCGGGGGCCTCGCAGCTCATAGTCCAAAGAGGAAGGAAATTATACAGAACGTATGGTATAGAGCAGTGGGTATCCGCTGTAATGAAATGATCAATCGGCCAGTCGCTTGGAACGTCGATGCAGAAGGGTATAGACATTAGAGGTAGGGAGATATTGAAGGGGAAAAGGAGGGTTAGTACATGTTATGAGCGAGCATTCAAAGAACCGCTCAGGGTGCCGGCTGGAGGATGGGAGGACAAATCTTGCAGCCTCATCAACACGCTCTTTACCGAACCAAGCCATTTATCGACCGATTCGTCGTCGTAGGCGCAGAACCTGTAGGTGACGTCTTCCGTGATGAGCTGGAAGCAAAAGGTCTTTGAGCGTGAGAGCGGATCGACCTCGGCGGCATTAATGACTTCGGCCATTGGTATAATCTTAACAGCCGAATATTCGTGCTGGTCCTTGTAGAAAGAGAGGTTCTGAACCCGCAGAACAGTCCATAATTTTTTCCATTTGCGAACACCTTTTCTACCCTTTAGGCATTGTAGATAGCCTTGAAATATGACGCCCTCGGGGTCCGGCTGGGGATGACTTTCGCTCTGACCACTGGTCAGACGGCGTAGCATGGCCTGTTGGTGTTGCTGAGGCTGTTGCTGTGGTTGCGGCTGCGGCTGCTGCTGGTGATGTTGACGGTCGCTATAAGTGGATTGGGAGAAGGATATTCGGTTGAGTACTGGATGGGAGGAAGATGAAGGCATCGACTGGCCGGCAGCGTCAGAAAACTCGGAGCAGGATGTGATCTCATTTCCCGAGTAGTCTTGGGTCGTCCGGCGCTTCAGTCGAGGGCCCGGTGCGGGTGCTGTGAGCAGAGAATGCGCCTGGCCAGCTCCTCTACCTTCGACATCCGACATCTCGCAGGCACTCTCGTCTGGCTCTGCGGCTTGCTTCCGGCCGTGTATCTGCTCGTAGTAGTTGACCACCGAGTCCGGATAGTCGACCGAGCATTCCCGGTGCAGCTGGTCAACCCACGACTCCGCCTCCTCCGCCGACGTAGCCTGGAACCGGTAGTTCTTCGAGGGCGAGAAGATGCCAAAGACGTTCGGCCTGTTCGACCTGGACGTCGCCTTCAGGTGTGCAACGGCGGATACGTCGGAGAGGTTGAGGGCGAGCTGCAGACGGGCCTCCTCCTTGTCTTTGTATAGCGAGAGCAGGTTCGGCCGCAGGACCAAGTATCCCGGCTTCCACGACGACTTGAATGCCTGTCTTTGTCAGTAATCCATTGACCTTTAACATATAGCAAGAACAGACATACATGCTTGCTCTTCGACCGCCGCAGGACCTTGCCTCGCTTCAGCACGCGATCAAACTCGAAGCTCCCGTTCTCGTTGACGGGCGAAAAGGCATCCAGGCCCGGTATCTGGCTGCGACGGACGCCTGGTCTTTCAGTCTGCCCGTCTCCCGCGATCGTATCCATCGCCGCCGGTGCTCGATCCCCAGGTGCAGGGAGTTGTAGTTTGAGCGACATTTGATCCGGGGTCGAAAAGAAATATTTATATACACGCCACGCCCACGACTAGAAACAGGCCCACGTCTGGCGTACAACAGGGTCAAGCGAGCGCAGCAGAGGGCCCTTGAGGATCATATTTATGTCTGCTCGAGAGGATCTGAAGAGAACGCCGGCGCTGGCAGCGGGTTTGAAGGGAGAGGGAGAGGTTTCAGGTCGCCCCCAGTCGATGTAGAGCGCTAAGTAAACAAACTGGCCTGGAACTGGCCTGGATACGACGGGAGATGCTTAATTAATTTAATATATTAACGTCCAACCAGCCTGATACGCTGTACAATCGTTCAGGGGCTCCCCTATTCACCATCAGACAGCCAGACAGAAGACAGGATACAAGACAGCATAGCCAAACAGCCAGACAAGCCTATAGACAGAAGCCAAACAGACAAGCGTATAGACGAATAAAAGACAGCCTGGCATTGGCGTTGCCAATATCAATATCAACCATCTCCTACTCTCTCCTTTCTCCCTTTTCCTCCGTCGAGGCAGGCTTGGCATGTTTCCTTTTTGCTGGCGTTGCTCGCGGATTCTTTCGTCCATCCAACATCAAAGAAGAATAGAACGAGCCCACGCATAGGAGACAAGCGACATCGTCTCTCTCCCGGTCTGCTCTTCCCGCCTCGCTCGATGGCTCTGCGTTGCTCGCCTCGTCTTCCGTCTCCAGTCTGAGCGTCGTTCGTCCCCGGTCGCCCTCCTGGCTCTGCTCGTCGTCTGCGGCCATTCAGCCAACCCTGCCGGTCTCTCTTGACCCGTCGCTCGTTTGATCCCTTGTCCTCCGCCAGAAGTCTCCTCCGGCAGCTCACGCCTCGAGTCTGCTGTGCTGACAACTTCTGTCCGGTCTGAGACTGCCTGCTCGACTGCTTGATTGACTTCCTGATCGATACACCGCGCGCAAACCGCTCCCAAACCCTGAGCTTGAAACACATCCAACCACCGCAATCATGGGGATCATGAAGAGACTCACAAAGGGAGTGCCCAATATACTCTCGTCCTCACCGTTGGAAGACAATTTGAACGAAAAGGGCACGATAATATCGAGGTTTGCTTTTTTTAAACGCCGCATACGACTACGGAGGAACTCTTCCATTTCGATCCCACTGGGCCTTGTTTTACTATTTCCATGCATTGTAATAATCCTTATTGTTCTCCTCTTCGTTACTCACCCTTCTTCGCCTGGTGGAATGTTGCTTCCCACCGGCACTCCTCCTTCTATAAGGTTTGTTGTCTTTCCACCCCCAATTTGGCGTGACCGGAAATGCTGATGGCTCTGGATCAATAGGAAAATTAGCGAGAAATACGATAAAGTCTTCGAGGTCGGCTGCAGAGAAATCGATAACAGTAAGCCGCGAGCAAACGCCGCGTTTGTCGTCCTGGCTAGGAATAAAGAGCTGGAGGGAGTACTCCAGTCTATGAAGTCAATTGAGCGCCACTTCAACCGATACTACAATTACCCTTATGTCTTCTTGAACGACGGAGACTTTGATGACAATTTCAAGGATACCATCGCCAACTACACCAGTGCCGACGTCGAGTTTGGCAAGATTGACGCTACAATGTGGGGATACCCCGACTGGACCGACCATGAGGTAGCCAAGGAAGGCATCCGCAAACAGGGAGATGCGGCTATCATGTACGGAGGAATGGAGAGTTATCACCACATGTGCAGATTCTACTCCGGGTTCGTATTCTATATTCTACATCGGCCGCTTGCTCAATGCTTACTGACCTACGACCAGCTTCTTCTACAAGCACGAGCTACTACAGAAATACGAGTGGTACTGGCGCCTGGAACCGGAAATCAAATATTTCTGCGACATCACCTAGTTCGTCTTCCTCAATTCCCCTCCGACATGTACAGTTCACGGCTAACCTTATAAACTAGTGACCCTTTCCTGGAGATGGCAAAGTATAACAAGACGTATGGCTTCACAATTGCTGTCAAGGAACTCAAAGAAACTGTCCCCAACATATTTCGCTATGCATCTGCCTACAAACGAACCAACAACATTACCTCCCAGGGCCTATGGGAGATGTTCCTCGAGGACCCCGTGGAAGAGGAAAAGCCGGCAGAAGAAGCCAACGTCCTCCCGGATGAGATTCTACAGACCCAGCCCGGTGCCGCAGGTCTCAAGGATGTAGACCCAGAGGCAATGGAAGGAGAGACATACAACATGTGCCATTTCTGGAGTAATTTCGAAATCGCCCGCCTGGATTTCTTCCGTAGCAAAGCATACGAAGATTTCTTCCAAATGATGGACAGGAGCGGTGGGTTCTGGAACGAAAGAGTAAGTCCATCTCTTCTCTTTGTAAATATATATTTTACACTCGCTAACATGGAATTTCGTGTCTAGTGGGGAGACGCTCCCATTCATTCTCTCGCTGCTGGAGCACTCCTATCTCCCTCCGACGTCCACTACTTCAGAGACTTCGGGTACCGACATACTACAATTCAGCATTGCCCCGCCAACGCCCCTGCCAGACAGCGCGTACGAGATCCATATCTAGAACGAACCACTCTAGATCCGAAACTACGCCAAGAAGAGGACGAATACTGGGATTCCCCTGACCCGCCCAAGGAGAATGGTGTCGGCTGTAGATGTCGTTGTGACACCGATATTGTGGACGTGGAAGGCAAACATGGCAGTTGTCTAGCTGACTGGGTCAAGGTCGCAGGAGGATGGGCATCGCCATAATTTCAGTAACCGTTTATTTTACTCTACCAGCGCGACACTGGTTCGGTAGCGCTGAGGCACGAAGATATATTATGACATGTGTTTCCCACCTCCTTTTTTAGCAGCCAACCTCTAGTTTCGTTCCTCTCCTTATATGCGAGAGTATCGACGGGAAGGCGTTTCTTCTTACCGGCCAAAACCCCCATTCACCTCCCAAATACCCTAAAAATGCCATTACCATACAACATTCCCCTGTCTGTTTTTGCGCTCGGTTTGTTAAATACTTCTTTTTTTCTGCTTTCGCCCTAATCACTTACATCAAAGTCTCTGGAGTGCCCGAATCCCGACCCATTCCGTGCGTTGCCCCATTGGAATACTCACGCCTTCTTTTCCCCCCTATTAACTTGCATTGGCATTGGCTGAGTTTGACTTGTTCCCCTTTCGCGAGATAGAAAAGGGGCTTCATGTCAGTGAGCAATAGCCTATTAAGGCAGAACGATGTTCATTATCATTTAATTCTACATTTCTTCGGCTCGATGCCTTTCCCTTTCTCCCATCCTGTGCCAGCTTGCCAAAAAAAGATCAACCAGAAATAAGAGAGAAGAGAAGAGTGCGAGCCCAGCCATTCTCTGCGCCTGTCCGGAAAATATCCTTCATTAAATGAATGCAGGCGAACGTCCGCTCTCCAATCTCGTGCTTTCAAACGGCCTTGGTGTACTCGATTAGACCCATAACCAGAACTATTCAAAGACTTTTACCTTTTAGTGTTTTCCCTCCATTTCAAGTCGCTTCTTTTGAAAGTTGTTGCTTTTATATAAAATTTATGTGTTGCGTTTTATTCTTCACCCTGTCTTATTCCCATCACATTCTCAATTACCTCTTTCTCACTGTAAACTGTTGCGATTATTGTCTTTCTTCGTTTACCTGTCCTCTTTATCTCCCTTTGAGGGACAAAGTCTCCGCACCTCTTACTCACATACCCTATCCTCGTAATTGAATACATACAGACCTCATGAATAATGGAATAAATGGAAGAATTTAGAAATCTGGAGTGCACTATCAGTCTCAGTTCAACGTTGGCCTTCGGAGGTGGCCGGGTACCTGCCGAGCCATGCAGCCAGCGTTTTTTCTTACTTCAACATCAATTCTTTGCATCCTCAAACCCTCCCAACCCTCCGTATTTTGGTTACTCATCGAGTTAAGATGTTAGAAGAACTCCCCGCCGAACTTGCCTTGTTCATTTTCTCTAAGATCGAAGACCGCCTTGATCTTAAATGTTTGTCTGAAGTGTCAAGGCGGCTTAATAGACTTGCAATCCCATTCCTATACGAGTCTATCCTTATTACAACAGCCGAGAAAGCAAACGGGATAGTAAGAGCGCATCAGAGAGCTGGTGTGCTTCAGTATACCAAAGACATCCAGGTTGGGTGCGAAGGGAATGAGGAATGGTTTGACACGCATAATACGAGCGAGAGGGTAGAAAGGTGCCACCACTCGAAGTGGAAAATGCGCACCGATGACGATGACCCAAGCTCAGACAACGATTCTGGAGGTCCAGATGATGGGGTTACTGCTGATGATGAAAATCTCACCAGCGCGGAGCTGGAGGACAAGAAAAGATGGATTGACACGGAAGGCAAGGCTAAATTTTACGCCGTTACTGATTTTATTGAATTCAGACATAGAATCCTGTCTATTCTAATTAGATGCAAGGAGCGGACACTAAGGAGCTTTAGGTGAGCCACCACTGATCGATGATATGGCTTGATGATATGGCTCGATGCTAACATACGACGTATTAGATGGGATCGTAAGGACTGCATCCCTCCTGAAATCCTAGGCGAAGAGGGTTACCTGCCTACGAAACAAAATCCGCTAGAGACACTTTTTATACGCGCTGATGGTTCATGTAAATGTCACAGTTATAATCCCCAGTTATTCACAAAGCTTAAAAAACTGGCGTGGGATAATTTGGGGGCTAGGCCGCCTGTTGGTGAAGAGGACCTTAAGAGACTTCGAGGCTGCTTAGAACTCGTTTCGCACCAGCTGGTTTACCTTGAGCTTGGGCTCAAACGGTGGGAGTATTTATTCCATAACCCTAACGATGATGATGCGACTATTTCACAGGAGATTATAAAACCTAGTCCCGGCCCCGGCGGCAAAAGATTTCAGTTCCAGAACCTACAGCATCTATCCTTGACGGGGTTTAATTTCGAATATGAAGGAGTCGACATAGTAGCGGATTTGAATCCCGCAACCCTACACTTTAACAATCAGGCTTTGTGGCGAGGAGTGGCCAAATTTCCTTGATCGGCTCAATGCCTCGGAAACTCCATTTTGCCTACATACGGTAGAGATACAGGCCTGGACTGAATATGATACCGAGAGTTCCGAAAATGAAGACATTACGAGGTTCATCAATAGATGCGAACCACTTGAGAACCTTTACGTTGCTCTGAGAGATCAAGATGGAGCACTAGAACTATGGCAGTCACTGTTACGGCATCGGTATACACTCAAAGCGTTTGTCTACTATGTAGACCCAACCGTCAGTACCCTCGAAGACTCTACTCCATTCTATATACACGACGCCGACGTTTCATTTGGGAAGCCCCATAGTCACAAAACGAACGCCGAATGGAATCCCCTTAGAGACCTCGACCTAGAATTCCTTGGGGTCAGCTATGATTTTGAATACTTGGTACGTCCCATCCAACAAGTTCCCTTAACACTAGTAACATTACAAGCTGACATGCAAGCTAATGCTATAGCTTCCGGTCTTGGCTCCAGTCACAAAAAACAGATGTCTTAAGGTCTTGCTTATCCGGAGAGATCCTCTTTTGGTGATTGACCGCCTAAAGGCAGTTGAAAAGCCAAAGAGAGCGACAGACTCAGAGGACGATAAGAGTGATAGTGATAAGGATGAAGACTTTCAGGACTTTGACGAGTTTGTTCAATGGGCGTTTGGACCAGAAGGATTTCCATCCCTACAGATGATCGGGCTCGGCGATTTCACAGATAGTATAGAGCCTCGTGAGAAGGCACTACTCTGCCCCAAGTCTGATCCAGAGTCCGAAGAGGTGTTCCCTGGCAGGAACTATCGCTTTGTTACAAGACGTGATTGGGCCCAGCAGGAGTTGCTTCGCAACTATGCCGGCGCAATGCAAGCTTGTCCTACAGACCTTATTGAGGAGTGGACATTGTGAAGCACGCATTTTGATGACAGGCGGTTTTGTGATATCTCAACTCTGGTGTTTTGGATGTCTCCTGTCGAAAACACCATGTATATATTGACGAGCTGCCTCGTCTCATTCTTGTCTTGTGCTTGTTCTCTTTTCGGCTCTAGGCCCTTTTTACGGACCAGAGTCTTGCTGGCCGCGTAGGTTTTCGCCGTTGTGGGACCACAAACTTATGCATGAAGTGAAGAGAAAAAGAAATAGAGAGAGCAGATTATGGCAGGCTCGGATGATCTCCTCAAACGATATAGGCTGGTTGTGCTCCTCCGCCTGTAGAAAGTGCGCCTTGTAATCCAAGGCGTTATCGGAATCCATTTATCTCGCGTTGATGAACCTTACATATGCGACTTTTATCCATAGTGGACAATCTCTTATTTAGGAACCAGATGTCCTTCTGGAGCTAGCTGTTCACCATCCAAAGACATGACGGTAGTTGCTTGCTTGGCGAAGTCGCAAACTTCCTCTGAACAAGACAACGACGTCAACTGCTGCCGTACCAACCATGCAAGTGCAGTTTGAGCTTCTACAACCAAGGTCTTTGCCCTGTGGGCTTCGATAAAGGAATTCCAAAAAGCGGATGCCTCTATGAGGGTCGATATGATTTTCTTGAGAAACTGTCCGTTGCAAAGTCGGTCCACGGCAGGTTCTCTCAAATAGGAGAGCAATTTAACTGCATGGCTATTGAGAAATTTCGCGGATACGTCGAAGCAGACACTTCGTTGGAGAGCTTCAGTGGCATGAGAGGCCGAGACGAGCGTTTCAACACACTGAAGACGGTCGCCTTGGTCGCAAATAGCTTCGAGGAACAGAATCGCGTCAGTGGGTTTCTTGATCTTCTTCCCACCATGCACGACCTGCTTGAAGTGCTCTGAGAGCCTGGCAGATCTGGCAGACATGGTGCAACTGCCTAGCAAGAGGGCCTTGAGTGCGAAACCAACCCTAGTGGTACTGGATATACCAAATGGTTCCTGGTTATTTGAATGCTCCTCAACCAGGAGTTGAAAGGTCAGCAGCAAGATGAGCCGCTAAAGGAATTGGCAATGACAGCAAAGATATGTCTCTAAAATATGCAAGTCAACAAAGCTTCTGCTTTTGAAACATGTTGATTTCTTTGAAGTACTACTGCAGGTTTTACTAGGGCCGGCAGTGTGCGTCTTGCTAGAATTTTCTGCGAAGAAGCAGGCGATTTCCGTTTGGCAAAGGCGCAATAGCCTTATATTACAAACTGTCTGAATTCTTTGTTTCCCAGAGAGGGTGAAATCTCAGAATATATTTCTTCACATAACTCCACAAAATGGCCCATACATCTTTACCATGGCGCCGTAGAGAAGCCAGTCGAGCCCGCGTGTCTACTCATCACCAAGATCCTGTATCTTTACAAGTGGATGCTCGCGAGGCCTCCCAGGGAACGAAACCTCTACCATATGGAACGCTGCTCCGAAAGATTGAAGATGGGAAGTTGTTCAAGTCTTCGGCCGAACCAAGGATTACAGGTTGCAATTATCTAGCGTCATACAGCTGGTCAGATAAACCTTCACCAACTGTCCTTATTTCAGGTATGAATTTGTCCTTGCACTTCGCTCGTATACCCTTGTTAAACATATATTTAGGAAAACCCGCAGCGTGGAACCCTCCTACTACTGCCCGGCAGATCAAGCCGGATACAGGGGAATACTTCCGGGATCTAAACGCTGCTAGGTATGCCGCACATCCTATGCAGCCAGCCGTGCAAGCGGTATTACATCAAAACCCTGTGCTTTCAGCCAGCGACGTCGATATCTTCACTTGCGCAAGCGTCCTCGGAAACCTGTCTCGATTCGTCCGTGGGGTAGAATTTACCTTTAGATTTGTCATGGAAGCAGTCGGAGACACCGTGTTTTTCGTTCGTCGAGAGAATTCTCCTACTCTGTTGATCCCAGACGTTCGAGGACAGCATTACGGGGCCAGACATGGAGGAGCACAATTTTCCTAGCTACCTTAACGAAGACGAGTCTGACTTAGACTACACGGCCTGCGATGCCGAGGGCTGTGGCTACTGTGGCCATTATAAGTACTGAAACTGGTCATTATGTTCCGTACAAAAAGGGTTGGACTTAGATTGGCTTGATCCTTGACCCTTAGCTTCGGTCTATGAACACGAATGCATCCTCAAGTTACATGCGAAGATCTCATATCATGTCCCCGTAACGTCTTCCATTCTATATATGGGGATCGTGTATATATTACTGCCAGTAACTAGGGGGCCTTGATGATAATTGGTAGAGGCCTTCGTGGATCCCCTTGCCATAACAGTACCGCGCTCGTTGATATCCTTCCGGAGGCCCTGCATTAAACTGAATAATCTGTTGATGGGCGTCAGGCTGAGGTGAATTAAGCCGCTTCTTGGATGTTGGCAGAGAGCTTGGTCCAGTATCTTCCTTGCCGGATTCCATTTGTGTCTTTAAGGGCTGATAGGCTTTAGCATCCGCGGTTTCAATAAGCTTGCTATTATAAACAGTTAGTTAACAGTCTTTACAGTTTCCTTGGTAGAACATACACCACTACATATCTCAAGTATATGTTTAGTACCAGGAGTACAGCCATCATAAGAGCAGCGCCATAGTGTATTATCTGCAAGTAGACAGGGTATACACAGGATAGATTTGTGGTGAATGCCGTGGTGTTTGATATGGTACATTGCATCTTGAGAGTACCTTCTGAGAGATGGATCTAAGGATGCCGGTATAGGGAGGGCTGCTGTAGGCGGAGAGGATGAAGAAGAGGAAGATGAAGAGGAAGAGAAGCGAATATATAATGATATCCCCTATCCCAGGCTTATCACAAACATTGAGCCAGCTGCTTGGTGGTATCAAAGGACTACCATTTCCTTTAGGCATCTTTCACTTTAACTGGATTCTTTCCGTCTTTTAGACCCTGTTTAGACATTAAAACCGGATCCTAGTATCTTCTAGGCGCTCATTCACTTGGTCTATAGAATGGTATAGTCACATCCATATATACTCCATGTATATACGCCATAGAACGATGCACTCCATACGGTTTGAGGTTTGGTCAGTCCATGGTCCATAGCCGAGGACTTTATAGTATATAGCTCAGAATATATCTGTTGTACTTCCAAGGCGTAGGGAGTATATTCCGGCAGACAACCACTGGTATATGTAGATCTCTGTAGAACCCAAGACCAGGGAGCAGTGTCTATCTGCCGCTGTGGCGTCTCTGATATCGGTCCCTGGCAGCCCGTTGAAGGTCTATATGGTCTATAGCGTCATCAAAGTGCGTCTGCGATCCGGCTCTTCCATACAGGCTGTGAGGTTAAGCCTGGCGGGAGGCGAGGGAAGGTAAGCTTAACTAAGAAACGGTTTCTTCCACTTCCTCCTCTTCCTCCTCCTCGCTTCTTTCTTTCTCCTTCACCAACAACTCCACGACAACGTTACGATACTCGGTGACCAGAACGTACTCGGAAGAGCTGGAAGAGCTGGCTGCCCGACGACGTGGCAGATATCTACATAGTTGCTCATCTCACATCCTCAGCTAGGCCCCCGCCTCCGTCCGTCCTGTTCCCGGAGCTGCCTTAGATCCCATCTCACCCACATCTCTAACCCGGAATACAAGCTATCATAACGAGTTCCTCCGTCAGACAAGTAGAAGGCTCTTCGAGGTCTCCCTAGAAAGATAAAAGCGTGGGTCTTCCGTCTTTCATACGTTACGGCTGATGGATACATCTCCACCATATACTTACCCACCACATCCTTGACTTGCTTCGTTGCCTTTCATCAGTCCCCTCCCAGGTCTATATGATACCTCAGATGTGTAGGCAGCTTCCTCTTTACAATAGCTAACCTTCTCGTGAGCCTCCAGTGTCCTCACCTCGTTGATAACCGCGCGGTTCTCGCTATCCAGACGATGACGTCAGGGCCCATAATGGAGACGGAGGAACGGTCTGCTAGCCCGATGAGCAGCAGCAGCTGGACGACCCTCGGGGAGTTTGATTCTCTCTCCAACGACGGGTCTGGACACGACAGCACAGATACCGCTTCTCTCATCGAGGGTAGCCTGGGAGACGATGTTCTCAGCCTTGACGGCAACGACGACGGAAGCGAACGCAGCTTCGCAGACATAGACGGGATCAGCAACTCCTCCGAAACACCGTCCCTCGTCACCCCATCCCTCACTCATACTGACGATGACTACAATGATGTTGAGCACGAGTATGAAGACGAAGACGAACATGAGCATGGGACCAATGTTGCTACGCCCTCCGGCTGGGGCTCGACTCCCGATTTGGCCCAGGACGAATATGAGGAAGACCAACGCGTGGCTGAAGAGAACAGAGTGTACATGCACTCTCACTGGGTTTCAACTTCCAGCCTGGACGAAGCCGAGTCCGAAGACGAGGACGCCCCGGAGGTGCAATACGTTTTCGGCGGGCAGGGAGGAGATATCTCCGATGTTCGGGCTGGCTGGAACTCAACGTCCACTTCTACAGAATTCACTCAACCGAATCGCATAACGGAAGCCGACAAAGCTGTGCTGAAAGAGATAATCGAATCCACCACCCAGGCCACTCCTCGAGGAAACATCACACGTCCTACTACCGCCGCTTCTGAGAAATGGAAGAATCGAGGGCTTAACAAGCCGGGCCAGGAGATGCCCTTCCTTATGAAAGCCAAGTCAGTAGTTGAGGCGCACGCAGATATTCTCATAGTTATGTTATTTTCCCTCATATTTGCCACGTTGATGACTATGGTGTTGGGATATGCCTGGCTATATCTCAAAGCCGGAATCGTCTTTGCCTTCCAAGGCTGCATGCAGCTATTTGGACTCTTTTCCGGGGCCCAGGAAGGCGCGTCTACAGGCAAAGTTCAAACAGCAGTCACACCCACTGCCACTCCAGTTATCTCTGTGAATGCTCCTGTATTCTCAACCTCACCAAAGGGCGGGTACATCTCCCCCGTCACTGTCCCGAAACTCCCAGATGTCGATTCATACCTCTTACAGTTGTCCTGGGAAATCCGGAGCCACAACGAGACAGAAGACGTCCAGGTTCATGCCGTCGGTGACAACCACGTAATTGTCCGGCTACCATCACGCCTTGCATCAGGGAAAAGGAGCTCAAAGTTCGATATCAAAGTAACCCGAGATAACAAAGATGTTCTCCCATTCGAGCTTTACAAACTTTTCGATGGCGTGTTTACCCTTCGGCTGGCTCCCGAGGATGCGTATGGCCCGATGAACGTCACAGTCTCCACAAAGTCAAAGCCATTGATCAACCAAACCACTAGCATTGATTTCGGGACTCCATGGTTGAAAGTAGCAAGCTGGAAAAAAGCTACCCAGTTACTGTCAAAGAATCTTCGTGAAGACTTCAACTTTGCCCAAACGGAATTCACAAAAATATACATTAAACTTACCTTGGACCTTCAAAACATCTGCGGTACGGTCTGTGGCGATACCAACCAATATACTACCAAAAACGGCTCATTTCGGCACGTTATCACAACCGCAAAAGGCCTATTAGCTAAATTAAGGGCCATTTCAGATAGCTTCTCACTCGACGACCTAATGGCAAGGGCGAAAATCTTGCAATATGATGCCGAAGACGTTGTCAACGCTATTTTGGCGGCCGCTCAAAAAAGCGCAAGGCAGATTCGAGCTCATGCCTTCCATTTTGATTTGAAGACTAAGTTCCGAGACATCTGCAAGCATCCAGCCCTTTCGGCTGCGCAGAGAAACGCAAGATCTTACTTAGCGAAGGTATTCAGATGACGAAACGAAATAATTAACTGAAAAATAAATCAATAAAAAGGAGACAGCAACGGCAACAGGGCCTATGCCTTGCTAAATCCTTGTGCATCATTCTTTTTCTTTATGTTCTAACTAGGTGTTGTCTTGATATTTAACGGTTATGGTGTCATGATGCTAACATATCTTCGGGTGCTTGGAATCAGTTCTGGGTGGGAAGGAGTTTATGTGGATCGGTTTGGGCCATTATGGGGAACGGGGTGTCATTTAGGGGTTTTCTATCTCAGGCTCTAGAACTATACCAAGAGCATCCATCACCTTCTATGATAAGCATGTTTCACTTCCATAGAAAGGGATACCATTATCGTTTCTCAATCTTATTAACCGGCGAAATAGGCACACCTGTAGCAAACCAGGATTTGAGATTCTCGAAGCATTCGAGCTCTGATAATTGATATGCACCATCCGTATATCCGCCGAGATGTGGCTGCACAATGCACTGGTCACTTTCAAGGAAGTACGGACTATTCGCCAGATTAGCTGTGAGAAGTTTCATGATAGAACGGCAGTTATAGCCTACGTACTTGATCGTCGGCTCATTGGAAAATACATCCAGCCCAGCCATCTTGACTTTACCTGATTTCAGGGCACTAATCAATGCATCTTCGTCAACAATCCGTCCTCTAGCTGTGTTAACGAAGTAAACGCCATCCTTCATTTGATCGAATGCTTCTTTCCCTATTAATCCCGTAGTTGCGCTGTTTAGAGGGCAATTGACCGATATTATATCTGAGCTAGAGAGCAATTCGCCGAGAGTCGAGCAGTAGGTAGCCTTATATTCTGCTTCGACGTCAGCGGAGAGACGGCTTCTATTGTAGTACTTTATCTTCATATTGAAAGCAGCAGCCCGTTTAGCCAAATGCTATCCATATCATTAGCACATCTTCCACATTTCATATAGAGGTATCAAAAGTGATGGATGGAAGGAATACCTTTCCGATACTCCCCATGCCAATAATACCCAGAGTCATGCCTCGAGGAGACCTGGAGATACCAGTGACCTTCTCTCTCCATAATCCTTCTTTGGCGGACCGTTCAGCTACAGAAGCATTTTTCAGAATCGCCATGATCAGGAAGATGGCCATGTCTGCTGTACATTCTGACACGGCGTTTCTAGAATTACAGAACCAGGTTCCATTCTCGGTCATCCAGTCAACGTCGAACTCGTTGTATCCCGCAGAAGCAGAGGCAATGATCTTGCAATGCGGGATCAACGGTTTGAACATCTCTTCGTCAAACGGCTCGAAGACTATCGTCCCCATACGGACAATGACGGCGTCGAATGGTCCATCTTTACGCACGCGGGCGGCCAGCTCGGGAACGAGACCAGCGCGATCCGGGGACGTCAGGGACTGTTATCGTAAATCATTAGATGGACTGGCCTTCTTCTCTTTCGCTATTCCACGTTGGTGGCTTGGGGGACATATTACATGGAGCTCAAACTTGGTCTGAAAATCGTCTAGATATTCCTTATCCGTGAACTCCGGATAGCTCAAGCAGAGCACTTTTGGCCTCTGCTGGGCCATTTCGAATGGAATTAGAACAGTCTAGTCTTTATTATATTATTCCGTTCACAAAGGAGAAGTTTTATGCAGAAAGAAGATATGTTCCGTGATCCAAGGAATATACGGCAATGGGGATACCTCGCCGGCTAAAACCCGCGGGGCTATTCTTCCGTTCGTATTTGCCATGAATATGAAACTCATGGAGTCAGCGAATAACTTCCTTAGGTCAACAGGCTCGTCTTTCGGTTGATTTATTGCCATCAAGATTATTTGACAAAATTGGGGCTAGGGGCTCTCTAATTGTCTAGTTAACTAGCTGTCGCTTCATCTTTCGTTAATTGCCACCGACCAACAAAGCTAGAAGGAATAGTAAGAATGTGAAATCGTCTAGTATTGTCTTGAACTATTGCGTTAACGGCATCTAGGTGAATTTTCCAGGCGCGGCCAATATAGCCACCCAATCGCCATGGCTTCATATGGATAAACGCTTGCCTCTCCGTGTTGGATATCAAACGGTATATCAGAGCAACATCGAGCCTCACCTAACACCATGGCTCAGAATACACTCGCCGTCAACAATCTATCGACTGGCCATCTGGATGCCTTTACCCAAGCTCTCAATCGCATCATCTCCACAGATCATGCTAGAAATACCATTGCGCAAATTGTGAGCGGCAAACCAGCTCGTTATATGGCCTATGATGCTGAGACTCGCAAGTTACTCCCTGCTCCAGTCAGGGTCTCCGGCCCATCCAAAGAAGACTTTGAAATAGCCAAACGGTTTCAAGAGGAGTGTAGAGCGGATATGCTCGAGGTCAAGTCCTCATTGAGCCTCTACAAATGCGCCCCTCTTAAAAACTGACGGCAGGCTTCTAACATAGCATCTGCCTAATCTGGCTCAAGCATATCAAAACACGGCCCTGGACTCCAGAGAGTTCAGGCTTCGTTTACTGGAGATAACGGCCGTTGCATTCCATAATGTAGCTGCATCCTTGTGGTCTAGCTGTCGCCATGATACCCAGCTTAAGCCGGACGATGACCAGCCTGTAATACATCATCCGATTATGAAGTCGCTTGGCCTGCCGCCTCCTGCGCCGCCTCGTCGTTAGCCAACCCGTCTACAGCATCCAGACTACACGTATTACGAGCAGTATCCCTGTGGTATTGCGGACATGGTTAGATACTGGGCATAATTCAAAGTATTTGGAGGGATAATCGTATTTGACCGAGGGGAATCTGAACAGGAGGTGAGCCCTGCCTCTAAAACCCTCATAATATAGGTTATCAGCAGGGTCTAATTCATCTTCTCAGGCACTCGATGCCTACGTCCACCCGAAAATCCCGTATAAGATTTACCAACTTTCAGATGTGCAGCTCAAGTCGTTTGCAGATTTTGCAGTCGTCGTCGATTAATCAGGTTCATCCCCCGGCCTGCCCATCCCTTTCGTCACTAAAAAGTATGCACCTCGATTAGACCCAGACTACTCTATGGAGAAGCATATCTTTCGTGACAAGTATGAGCGCAAGCCATTGTGGATGCTTAGGAAGCCGGGCTATACGCAGCAGCGGCCAACTAGGCTGGAAGATTATCCAGAGGCAGTCGATTTCCTGGAGAGGATTAGAAATGGGGAGGAGCCGTGAGGAGTTGTATATTCCGTGTGGGTTCAGGCTATATCGTTCGGTCCATCATGTTTGATATACTCCTAGTCGATTTCGGGGCGGCCGGGAGGTTGTACAGTAAAAAGTCGATATAACGAACCAAATGAGCCAGCCAAGTGACTTCGCCGCTGCGAGGCTTTGTTATATCGAACAGCTGAATGAAATCTTTACCGATTCGATGAGACCAGACGAGTAACACTGCATTCCTCCTGCTCCTCCAGATCAACGTTTTAACTATGAGCCAATTATGCAATCAAGACCATATGTAAAGAAAGTCACTCCATACGGATGCTCCGTAGCGAATGGGTAACCTGTACCGAATCCTTTGAGGTGAACTCGGCGGATATTTCCATCATCTTTGACGGAACTAACGGTTCGTAGGCCACATGGAATACTCGCCGTGCCTCGGAAAGAACTGGCCTGCATATCAGGACTCTGCATGTATAGTACAGGATGTTATAGATGTGAAGACAACGTTGAAACAACCAACGCATGTTCCATGCAGGTACTCCGTATGCAGTAGCTATACTCCGTGATGGCACGATATAACAGATAACCTGGGGAATAGTAATAGCTCAGCGTTATAGTATGGTGATGTGATGCTGTACATAAGAGTTGATCGATGCTGCAAGTCAGCGATCTCAATCAACCGCGTGTATCAAGACGGCATTGCATGGTATAAGGACAGGGTAAAAGAAGCCGGCCGACCTGGCGAGAAGGAGCCGGAATCATACTTTATTGTTTCCATTGATCTAGACTGCGGCATTGCTGATACATCAGTCAAAAGTCTGTTTGTCTCTTAAGCCGGCAAATAACGACCGTAACGTGTTTATTGAGGTTTGGCTCCGGAGCCAGGCCTGTTTATTGCTAGGGTGAACGAAAAGGGGCGCCGATCAAAGAGAGAAAGAGAGATGCATCTGCATCTGCATCGTCGAGGATCGTGGTGTGATGCCTGCCCGATGCCTGTCTGTCTATGCCTGTCCGTACGCCGTCCCTTCTTTTTAGCTGGAGATGCCCTGCTCTATAGACATGCCTGGAGATGCCTGCAAGATACGGAATATGCAGCACATTATTCCGCTGCATCGTGGGACCCCGAAGCACAACTCTGTATAGGGTTCTAGCTCCCCGTTGACTTCGCTAGCTCGTCCATAGTCTGCGTTTGTTCGATCCTGAAACGAAGCCACGCGACATAGCCCCTGGCCCGAGATGCTGATGGCGTCAGGAAGGATGATTAAACACTTTAAACAGTTTTCCCTTCCGGCCGTCTCGATCCACGTGGAATAGGGCATCATCCTGAGTTCTTCAGCTCGCATCAAAGTAACTTTTGATAACCTTGATAACTTTGATATGGCCAGACATCCACCATCCGTAGCATTCTCCATATCCGTAGCATCCGTACCGTAGATGAGAGACCTTGGGCGACGGTATCGGCCATATTCGAGGATAGTTGGACCGTATCAGCCCTCCATGTGCAAGACGGGCCATCCGAGATCATCAGTCACTGCGTAAGCCCATTTTCCTTTTGCGACTCCCTTTCCTTTTGCCTATTCCGTGTCGTCGTCGCCCATGTTTCATCCTGAGCGTCCATCGCAGCCCGATCTGTCGCCAGCCACGCGAGCGCTCTGTCCCGAAGGCGCCCAGTTAACGAGATATTAATGGAACAGGGAGAAAAGGGGAATAAAGCCCGGTGGTGGATACGAGCCTTCAAGTCGCCTTGCCCCTGACTTTTGGCATTTCCTCTCTGAAACAGCCTCTTTCTCGCTGAAAATTTGCACCTGAAGCGTGATCGTCCTCGTCTTTCGTCTTCTCACGCCATAACTAGCAGAATTAGCCTGGAATTGGCCGATATCGAGTCTTGGTTCCCTGTATCATCCTGAAGCCCAACCGCCTAAAACATCCCATTGGCCGCCCTCCCCCCCATAAAAAGGGAGAAAAGGAAGAAGAAGAAGAAGACAAACAACCCGAGGTTCACCAGAAGATACACACGAGAAGAACAAGTCCTCAAGCCCTGACGCAAAGCGCAGAAAAACGGCGCCAAAGAGTCGATCGCTGTTAGCAGCGTGTTAGTAGGAAAATATAATACCCACCATCTCGTTAACCACGGTTCTGCGGTTGATATATATCTTCGCCCTCCTCCCACCCCCCGCGACCCCCTTTATACGCTCTTCACCATGTCTCTTGCCCAAGACGAAGCCGACGCCCTCCTCAACCGCAAGGAACAGCCTGCTGCCCATCCTGAAGACCTCGCCCACTTCTCCGGCGACGAAGACCATCACGATACCGACGACGAACGCAACGAGAAGCGCACCAACCGCATCCGCGCCGCCGCCGGTTCAGACTCAGACGAAAGCGATATCGACTTCTCCAGCACCATGGTGTCCAAGCCAGCTGCCTACCACATCCCTTCCACCGTCTTCGACGCCAATACGGGACCCAAGGGCGTCATCGCCGATGCGCAGTCCTACGAGCGCGCGAAGAAGCGCTCCTTCAGACGAACCCTGATGGGCTCCGGCGCGTTCGACTACAGCCCTTTCTCCAAGGGATCTGCCCCCAACGCCAGCGAGAAACAGAGCCAGAACAGCAGTAACAGCAACTACATCCGCCGTGGCTCCAGTGCCGACGGGTCCGGCGAGGAGAGCGACGAGGACGAGCGGTTTATGCGCCAGTGGAGAGAGGCGCGGATGATGGAGCTGCAGAACAAGTCGACTCGACGGGTCAGTCCGAGCAAGAGACGGTATGGCAATGTTGATACCGTCGATGCGAACGGCTACCTGGATGCCATCGAGAAGGTCACTCCGGGCACCGTCGTCGTCGTCTGCATATATGATCCAGAGGTTGGTCATATATCACTTCTTCTTATATCTATTCTTACTGACAGGTTGTAGTCTACCGAGAGCTCGATAGTAGAGGACTCTCTCACCTCCCTCGCACGCAAACAAGCGACCACACACTTCGTCAAGCTGCACTATGAGATCGCCGAGATGGACCATATCACCGCCCCGGCTCTCATCGCCTATCGAAACGGTGAAGTCTTTGCTACCATCATCGACGTCCTCAACCAGCTACCTAATGGTCGTGGCTGCAGCTCATCCAGCATAGAAGACTTGCTTATGCAGTATGTTCTCCTTCTCTCTTTTACCACGGCCGTCTACTAACACGCTTTACAGACACAAGGTCCTCTAGACATCATCTATTTCCGCTGTCAATTTCCTTAGACTATCTTTTACGCCATGACTGCTATTTCAACTCACGTACCCATGCATTACCTGTAGCACCACTCATATAATGTTTTCTCTTTCCAACATACCCATCTCCTTTTTTCAGTCTCCCTTTTTTCTTCTTTTTATCTGGGAAGTGGATAGCGCGGGTGCACTTGGTTGGCTCAGGGAGGTGTTTTCTTTCTCACCTTGCATTCTTTACTCCGGCAGTATAGAACGTGATACCAAAACGCAGGGAGGGGGTTTCGGTTTCGGTTTCTTTGTATCTTTTTTTCCTTTATCCCTTAATTTCGCATTTAATTTTCTAATTTTCTACCTATTTCCTTCTATTCATGTCTTTCCTCTTGTCTGCTACCTTGATGATTATCCCCAGGTATAGATAATCCTTATGAAATTACAAGCTCCTTTTTTTAAATTATCTGATAGCTTCTACCTATGGATAATACCTGCTCGAGTTTGGATAAAATATTTAAAAGCTCAGGCGTACAAACATCGTAATAGCATACCGAGGAACATGACAACAACCGCGAAAGCCCCAGGTAATCATAGACAATAAACGATAGACGTCGCTGCTGAGTGTTCACGGTTATCGGCTTCAGGATAGAGAAGCACAGGGTAAGGTACAGATAATATAGTGAGGATAACAGCATAGGGTACTAAATATGCAAAAAAAAAAAAAGATAGAGCCCAAGTTTCGAATTGTCAACATAAATCAAGTCTTCGTCCGGTTTGTAACGCCACTTTTAGATGCCAAATGGTTCGGGGTCGGGTGGGTTTCGTTACTTTGCTCCGTTCCTCCCCCCTTTCACCATGTGTCTCAAGTTCTTCCCCAAGGTGGTTCGTGTTCTAAACGTCATGGTGGATCATACTACGCCCTTTTCCTGTGTGAAGTCCCAGAGCATTCTTATCAGAGCATCGGGGAGGGTATATAAGTCGACGTGGAATTCTCCCTCTATACCGAACGACATGGTTTAGTCACAGGCCACCAGGGTAGTATATCGGGCGTACTTACGTTCAATATCATTCTTGGTATACGAGTCCGAGGACTTGTTGTCATGCACCATCTGGACAACCTGAAGCAGGTCATCTTCTCCTAGCTTCTGTAGACCATCCGCTAACTTATCCATATCGATCTGTCAGGGGTGTTAGAAGATGTCACACTCGATGAAAGTAGGCAACTTACGTTCTTATCCACTCGCTTCTTCTTCTTGGACACCTCATCTTGACTTCGCTTCTTCACACCATTCTCGTCACCTGGGACAGGTCCCGAATCACGCAGTTGGGCCAGGAGTTGTGACTTTGGGTTTTTGAACGTCTATAATAGGGGAGACTTAGTAACGCAATAAATAGATAGGATAAAGAGAATAATACATACAATTACATGCTTTGCTTCATACTTGTTAGACTGGAAGTTCAGGTCATGCGTAATGGTATGGTCTTTATCAGCTGCAGTCAAGACAATTTGCATATCAAATTCTCCCCATCCATCCTCTTCAATTCTGAACGGAGGAGCTTTTATAGCTATCGAGGAATTGCGGTCAGAAAACTGCAGCAACTAAAAAAGAGAGATAGAAGGGAGAACATACCCTGGGTAGCTCTGTCTCCAAAACTGGGATGTAGCTTGTATGTTACTTTTGGGAATAGGGATGCAGGAATAGTCTCTCCATGCTCGTTGAGGAGGAATATCTCGACAGACCAACGGCGGAGTGGAAAGCCTTCGATACCGGAATTCGGGTCCCTATATGCCGTAAATAGTATATCTCGTTAGCTAACCTGTTTGTTCCCCCTGAGTCTAACGTGTGGTCTCTCTTGGAGGGTGTGAAAGCCCGGCGCATCGTCGACGGCAGCATATAGTCGCAGTCGTCACCACCGCCCACACTATTCCATGCACGCAGCAACAAGCATGATGCGCCAGGGATCAAATCTCATCTAGCAGAGGATGAAGCCACCGCCGTCTTCCCCTCGCGCCATCACCGGCTATTCACGCCTTTCGAAACTTCCCCCAATATATGAAACGGCAGACGTGATCGCAATAAACCGAATAAAGAAAAAGGAGTATACGAACGATATACGCTGCTCCGTGACGATTTTAATCGTGCGCTTGACCTGTTAGACGCGTAGGAAACGGGTCAGCATTGTCTCTCTAAGCTGGTCGACGCCCCCAACCGCAACGCGACTCGGACTGGACAAACGGATTGCGAGCAGGCGGGGACTGGTACGATGTCAAAGGACGGCAGGGGACTTACGTCTGGCATCTTGAGCTTGCTTGCCCGTGTTGCTCTGGCAGGGTGTTAAATGTGGCTTGCAGGCGTTGTTGATAGAGGGTTTGTTCGTGATAAAGAGGACTGTGGGCGGGGAGGATCGAGCAGGGCGCCTGGGGAGACAGACGGTCTTTCACAGGACACTCTGGTGGCGGTATTAAAGAGAGGAGCCCTCACGGCGAGAAAAAAAGAAACAGAGAACAGGAAGTACTCGTATATCTACTTCCTAGCAGTACTGGCTCCTCTCGCGCGGTAATCTTAGAGGTTTTTTGGTGGTGGTCAAAGACTTGTCTGAGGTAATCACGGCCAAAGAACGAGATCGAACCAACCAAACGTTAAGAGATGTTCAAGTCGCAGTCTCCTTCACTATATATAATTACTGCATATTTAAGTACGAAGTAGATAGCATTCTAGAGGACACGGTAACCGCAGGGCTGGAATTGTTACGACGGGTTCTTCCCAAAGTACGTGCCTCGTAGAGCAGAGAGCACATAGGTTGGCTATCATCCGCTTTTATGACGGCCAGACGCTCCCGGGGACAGTAAATGAGTCCCCCTGTACATAGGATAGAGATCTCGTCGGGAGGGCATTGCAAGAGCATTGCGAGGGCATTGTGTTAGGGCAAAATGGGTTCATAGATATGGTATGGTGGGATTGGGTGGGCTGTAAGGGATGATCTTTAGTTTCTAATAAGAGTGCGACATGGGGGGGAATGGGGCTCGTGAAAGATGACGGCATAATAGCAGGAGTTCGTATCTGCTAATCGTCAGATGCAGGAAGGGACATGGTGGCTAAACGGTTATATTTCGGTGTGGGTTTTGTTTTTCTTTTTGTTTTTTAATGTAATTGCTCCTCTCTCCAATTATCCTTAATCCAAGGGTATACTAGTAGCGGGGAGACTCGATTTAGTCTTTGCCGAAAAGTAGAGCGTTCTCTTCTTGGGCCTTTTCGAAGGCTTCCTTGAAAAGGTTCGCGTCTAGAGATATAGTTAGTATCGAACCTTGTATATACTAGCTGTTCAGGGGTGATATATATAGAAGAGAGGCAAACTCACTCTCGCTGTTGGCAAAGCGGATAGCCAGGGTTTGGGCCTCGGGCTCGCCCTCGCTGACATCCGCAGCGGCGTTCCACACCCAACTTCGATCACTACCGACGTTTGGCGACAGCTTCATATCAGGCACAACTGTAACGGGTTAGTACCTTCTACAGCATAACATATATAGATGTATATCATATCTTACCGTAGTGGTTGGCGCAGACCTTCAGGGTCTTATCTCTTCGCATAAGCAGTCGGGTCTTGTGGTTCTCCTTGTGTTTCAACAACTTGATATCACCGGTTCCTCGCTCCTTCCACTCCTTGGTTTCCCGATCGAATCTGAAGAGTTTGGCGCGCATCTTAAAGGTCTGCTCCTCGAGCTCTTCGTTGGTCTTGATTTCGACCTTCTCAGTCAAGTGGATGACGGGCTCAAAGTGCACGTCTGGCTCGGCTTCGACGTCCTAAAAGGGGTATTAACAGTTGCAAACACAAAGGTAAAAGTGCAACGGGGTAAAAGTGACAACTCACATCGGCGTCATCGGCCTTTTTCTGCTTGGAGGAACCAGATGGCTCATCGGCATCGTCTTCTGGCTGCTCCTTTTTTTCCTTGGGGGGACCGCCGCCAAACATGGAAAAGACCGAGTCCGTGGTAGCGGGTTTGCTCTCCTCGGTGGCGGCAGGCTTGTCACCCTCTACGACAACGAAATCATCGACCGTCTTGGAGGCATCTTCGGCCGTCTTCTCGGTCGTGGTGGTGGTCTCTTCTTTCTTTTCCTCGGCCACGGTCTCTGGAGGGGCAGTGGTGGTGGGGTCGGTCTTTGGGTCGGCGGCGTCAGACATGATGGGCAGAGTGAAGATGCGTAGGCGGGCGAGTGATATATAAGTATACAGGCAGCGAGATATATCGTCTAGCAGAGAGAGAGACGCTGGCAGCAGTTGTTGGCTTGACTCTCGGTGTTGGAGGGCGAAGAGAGAGCAAAAAAGTGTGGGTTGGTGGAGGGAGGTTTGTTTGGGACTACTCGTGCCTCCGCGCTACCAACCTGCCTGTTGGTGCGCCCCAGCGTAACGATAATATCAGCGCAACGATAATTTTAACCAAAGCATCAACTTATTAAATTCATCCACACCCAACTATGCACTATATAGTGTTATTTTGGTTGCCTTCGAGATAGTTAATCGTATCTCTATCTTCGTTATATATAATACCAAACTCTTGATGCCAAGTTGGCCGATCTGCTTGGTGTTTTTGGACCAGCTGCTCCTCTGCCTTCTTCCGCTTTGCCCACTCCTTTTTTGCCTCCTCTGCCTTACGGACTTCAATATGTCGATTGGCATCCTTTACCCGTAAGGGGCCACCTACGTTCACCCTGCGACGTGTCCTTGGAGCCTTATATCGCTTGGTTGTTCGTAAAAAGTCATCGAGATCTGCCCCCCGTTGAGCACTGAGTTCCGCCTGGACAAGACTTCCTGTAAATATCTTTTGTAGCTGGCTATTGAGACGAGGAGATATCGAATCCAACTCATTTTGGACATCATCTAGACTCCTTTTTGCCTTGGTAATACAGTCCCGGAGTCGCTGTACTGTCTTCGGTGATGATAGTTGAGATGACGGGGCCTCTGGAGAAGCATCTCCATCGAACATTTGAAGCTCTGGTGTCGGACTAAGCCTCTTCTGTAAAGGCTCAAGGACTTTATTAGGATTCCATGGAATGATGCCTCTATCTGCAAAAGAGTGGATGATTGTTGCTGGTTTAAATGCCTCCTTTCGTACGCCTTCTAAAGCCACGAGGAACTCTCGCTTATTGAACTGAGAACAACCAACCCTTGCAGCCTTGTTTACTGCCTTTGAATGGTAGTGTTTATATTGCTGAAAAGGCTTCCCATCGAGCGGCTGAAGCAGGTGAGTTGTATGAGGCGGAAAAGAGTAAGGAATAATGTCATTCTCTTCGCAAAAAGATAGGAACTGGTGTGTAAGATGGGATCCGTGATTATCCATTAAGAGCATTCGATACCGGCCAACCTGTCGCTTTTTTGAATAAGTATCGAAGTGTAGTAGCCATTGGAAGCCCATCTCATCAGTTGTATACCCATTCTCGGTTGTTACAATGAAGTAGTTGCTTGGGAGGGACGTATTTAGATACCAGTCCTCCATCTGATGCTTCCCTGCAAGGATAAGGCAAGGTGGAAGAAGAGAGCCATCCGCAGCAACAGTTTCAATTGCAGTAATTAACTCGCGCGAGAACTTCGAGGAAATAACGTTATTAAGCTCCGGATAGGCTGTAATAACTATCTCTCCCCTTCCCTGGCCAACCTGGAAGCCGATTTCATCCATGTTGTAAAGGTCTGCTGGCTGGATGTGATGCTGCCTCATGGAGATCTTTAATCGATCTCAAAACGTCTGTATAAGCCCTAGATCTTCTACCTCGATCCTCTTTGGGTCCATTGGCTTCCTCTTTACCCTCTCGTAGCCTGGCAAGCGCTGGATAAACCGATATGGCCACATTTTTCCAACAATAGGTGGTTCAGTATCCGGATCTGTATGATTTCGTAGGAGGATGCTATTTGCGCAATTCTTCACCATCTCCACGGTTGGGGCATGGCCGGCACGGTCTAATTGATGAATCCACTGTTTAACTACCTTCTCCTGATCCTCCGTAAGGCATTTATTAGTTGGTTGCGTAGATAACTTCGATGGGATACCTTTTGACCGGCGGCGGAGTCGCTGATACGGAACCTCATATTCACGGGCAAGAACCGCGAGTTTTTGCTTTTTATCGCGAGAATATTGATCTAGAGCCTTTTGAATGCGTATTTCTATATCTTCTGAGCTAGATAACATATTGGTGGTTAATAAATAAAATGATGAAGTTGATAAAGTGATTATTTAAAAATAATTATCATTGCGCTGATATTATCGTTACGCTGGGGCGCACCAACAGGCAGGTTGGTAGCGCGGAGGCACGAGTAGTGGCTCCTACTATTTACTTCGTCCCTGAGAAAAAAAGGACAAAAACCCTCCACCACCAACCAGCACATCGCGCATCTACAGACACATCTCACATCTCGCATCGAGTGGATTACTGGTCAGGCATGGCCCTGGTCGAGACAGGTGGGTTCTACTAGACGAATCATGCCCGGCACTAAGGATACCCAATAATAAACTGTGGCACTTCGATAAGAAACATAATTGTATAGACCAAACGTTATTCACATCCACTAATCATTCTAGAAGACGCCCCTTGACATATCAACTTTTCTCCATGGGTTATAAGAACGTATATCAACAAGAGTGATATTTAAAGAGATATCTTTTCGATCTCGATGTTGCGACAACGGTGCCACGAGGGCAAGGCAAACGGCCGTCACTATCAAGATTAGCAACATATCTAAGACAGGATAATGCTGAATTCTATTCTTACCTGAACGGCTAACGGCCGTATAGTTATTTCTTCATATCGAATATATCGAAACCAGGGAACCCATCTGTGACTGTTAGCTTGGCCTGTTAATACGAGAGAGAGTGATGCATACTGGAAATCGTCCGAGGACGACAGGGGAAGTGAGCAGAGACACTGCTCAGAGGCAGTGTCCTGCCGACTCTCTTCATATCGTATTGCCGAAGAGCCCCAACCGTTGCGCGGTATGGGGGCACCCGGACCCGCCCGATGTAGGGCAGGCCCGGCAACTCTCCTATTGAGAGAAGGAGCTTTCTGTCCTATATAGATGGAGGTGCAGCCGATCGACGACTGGAGGTGTGTGATGAGAAAGGAAGATGGAGGAAGAGGGCCGGGAGATGCTTTATATAGGCAGATCCTGTATACTGCTTATGTCACTGTTTACTTCTGCGTCGACGACAGGAAAGTGCAGTGCCGGGTTGTTTACTGTGAGAAGAAGGGATGGTGTACAGTATAATAATATATGGGAGGAGCAAGGTCACTTTATAATGAAGGTTTAGAAACGAATTAAGGAAACTCACAGTATACATATAGCACTGCACTATTTGAGACAAGCGGACAATTAAGGAAAAAGCAAAGCAGTATTTAAGTTAGAACATGATAAAGATATGGTAAATGACGAGGAGGAGGAAGAAGAAGAAGAAGAAAAGAATTATCTAGGGAGCCGTGGTTATGTTCCTCATGAGAAGAACGCTTACAGAGATGACGAGACAAAACCCCATGAAAGAAAATGATACGTAAGGTAGTAGATTCTTTTAAGGAGACGGGTTAAGAGGTAGGTTGGAGGTTGGTAGAGTGGGCGGATGGAAGGATACATAGGTAGATGGAAGGGCGAATTGGATTTCTTGGATCTTGGACAGTAAGATAGATAGATAGAGAGATACAGGTAAGTAAGTATAGATAGAGGATGGTAGTGTAGAGGATGACAAGGACACGAAGGAGGTTGATGATGATGGCTATGGTTAAGGTACGGTATGGTAGTGATTATGGCTGGCTTGACGCGGCTGGGGGAATCAAAAAGAGGGGAACGGAGTAGGAAGGAAGAAGGAAGGAAAGAAAGAGAGGGCGGATAGTGTTGAAAAGAAGAAAGAAAAAGAAAAGCAAAAAATAATAATTAACCCACTCTTCCGAAGCAAGGTGGAAGAGAGGGAGGGTGAAAAGAAGTAGTAAGCTCCAAGCCAAAAAAAAAAAAAGGTAACATGAAGGAAAAGGAGAACCAAAAAAGGGAGAAAACGGAGTAGGTAGCAAAAGGAAGACAGCAGATCATATCGAGGATAGTGGTAGTGGTGGTAGTGATGACATGGTGGTGTGTAGTAGCGTCATGTAGGAGATGAAAGTTTTAGCAGTTCGCAGGGTGACAAAAAATATAGGACCGTCCCATTTCCACTTTTCAAGAGCAAGACAGATAGACAGAGGAGACAAGGAAAGGAATGGAACAGTATGGAAAGCAAGAGGGTAAAAGGAAACAGCAGACATATAGTTAAACAGTGAACAGGAATTAAGACAGGCAGAGAGATAGTAGGAAAAGAAAGAGAGAGAGAAAAGCAGACGGCGCAGTAAGTAGTAATCTTGTCGTTCTAGATAGCATAGGTAGGTGGCGTAGGGAAGGTAGCTTACGCTCACCAGGCCCAGATTTTAAGCTAGATAAATTGTTAGCTGGATAGTTATAGAGAAAGGGAGTAAATTAACATACCAGTGAATCCCAAGATCCTGTGCATAAGCTTATTCCATCATTACTAACGCCTAGACAACTGACGCGGTTCTCATGGCCACTTAGTGAGCCGACTTTCTCCCCTCTTAGCACATCCCAGACCTATAACTGGTTAGTATTGTTACGTATATAAGGAGTACAGTATACCCACCTTGCATTCATAGTCATCATATCCAGCAAAGAGCAGTCGTCCAGAGACCGAGAAGGCTACTGACGTGATTCCACAGAGTACTTGGTCGCTCTGTTCAAAGTTAGACACGCTACAAGATAAAGGACATCTAAATGATAAAGAACAACATACCTGGTACACATTCAGCTCTCGATCGGCTCTGATATCGAATAGCCTGCAGGTGGTATCGTCTGAGCCCGTGCCAAATGCGTTGCCGTCCGGGAAGAACTGGATGGCATTGATATCAGACTCGTGGCCGGAGAAGGTCTGCACGGCCTTGCCAACACGGATATCCCACAACTTGGCAAACATGTCGCAGGCACCCGAGACGAAAACGTCGTTTGAAGTAGGATTGATGCTGATGCTCATGACGTCTCCGAGATGGTCTGCAAACTCGGTGATCTTGGCTCCGGACTCGATATCCCACAGTATGCAGGTCATATCACCTGATGAAGTGAGGATGCGGCGATCGTTGATAAAACGGCAGCAGGACAGGTATCCCGAGTGTCCGGACAGCTCGCGGGCGACGCGGGTGGGCCCGTCTCTGGACGAGAGGTTGTAGATGGAGCAGATGTTGTCGAGACCACCGCAGGCGACGTAGTTGCCGCTGGGAGCGTACGCGCAGGTCATGACCCAGGAGGAGCGGAGGGGGATGGCGTGCACCTTGTTTGTCGTGTAGGCGTCCCAGATGATCAGTTTACCGTCCTGGGAGGCAGAGACCAGATGGCGGCGGTCCGTGGACCAGTGCATGGCGTAGATTTTGGCGAGATGGCCCTTGAGGTTGCGGCGCGGGCGCATACCGATTCGCGGGAGGGGGTCGGTGTTGTTCTGAGCCACCTGGCGGACTGTCATCTGTCAGTATAGGAAAGAAAAAAAAATGAACAAAGTAGGAAAAAAGGTATAGACTGACGGGTGGTATCGGCGAGGTCATCTCTGCGGTGTCTGATGCGGTCCTTGAGCACTTCGGCCTCGCGTCTGGCGGCGACGATCTTGGCCTGCATCTGCTCGCTGGAGTCGGCCATGGCGAACGAACAGGGAGAAAACGAGAGGACAGAGGGCGGTGGATTGGAGGCGGTGGTCGCTCTATCCCGGGGTAGAAGCAGCGGCGCAGAGGCAGAGGACGGTGCGGTTCAATGGCTGGGCCGGGGAGAACGAAGCAGCGACACCAGACGGCCAATTCCGGGAGACGACGACGACGTTCTCTGGTCTAGGTTTCTGCAGTCCGTCTGTCTTCTGCTGTGCTGGCTGCCTGTCTGAGTCTGGAGTCTGTCGACAGCAGGACGGCGCGGTGAAGGGGGATGGAGATGTAGAGGATGAAGGTCGAAGGTCGAAGGTCAAAGGTCGAAGGTCGAAGGTCGAAGAGGCCGAAGGGAGAAGAAGAAGCGCAGAGAGAGAGCGAGACGGAGGAGAGAAGGGACTAAGGTTGCCAAGACACGTTACCACTTTACCACTTTACCACCTTACATACCATACTTACGCCGGCTCTGCACTGTACATGCCCCCACATCGGGCTAGCCGTATCTACATTACATACATACACATACACATATACAAACATACATACAAACATACATAGAGATATATAGGGACATATATAGAGATATATAGATATATAAGAAGTGAATAGGGATAGATATAGATTATGTATAGATATATAGAATGGTGGTAGAATGGCGGATGGCGGAGGAGACGATCGGCGAAGAAGCGAAGAAGGAGAAGAGAAGGAAGAGAAGGAGAAGGAGAAGGAGAGTCGGCGCTTATCGATCGATTGGCCAGGCTCGCTTGTTTTCTTTTTCGCCCTTTCGGTGTGTGTCTGCGGTGATTGGCAGCTTGCTCGAACTGACAGGCATCAAGTTCGTCCATACGAGAAGCCCTTGGGTTGCTACCGGGGGCCACTGGGGCGATTTGGGGGTTGGGCACCATTGGGGGCTCTCTCTCTCTCTCTGTCTCTGTCTCTCTATCTCTCTATCTACACAGCAGAGTATCTATCTATCTATCTATCTACTCTGATCTCATCTCATCCTATATCTATCTTCTTCGTCTCATCTTATATCTATATCCATCTATTCATCTCTATATCTTCATCATCTGAGTAAGCAAAAAGGGGCATCCCGTGACGCCAAGTCTGTGTTAGTCAGCCAGCGCCACGCACAAGTCACTCCCAGGTATCTTCTTAGTGTATCCACTAGCTAAAGATACCTGTCAGGCCGTACCCTGCCCAGCTTCTCCTCCTCTTCGCCTGCCAACGACGTCTTGCTTCTTCTGTTTCTTCTGCTTCTGCTTCTTCTGCTTCTTCTCTTATATCACATCGTCTTCATCACCCTCACCTCGTCCTCTGCCGCCTTCTCCCCCCATCGCCATCGCCATCGACATCTACCCCGTCGTCGTCGACAGCCGGACGCTGCTCCGTCATCTGCTTCTCGTTGATCAGTTTTTCCGGCCGCTCGTTTTCCCGCCTCCAAAAGCATAGAGATACCCGCACGACCAGCCTGCTGCATCTGCATCTGCATCTCGTCTCCATCTTCATCTTCATCTTGATATCGACATCGACATCGACATCGTCTTGATATCTGTCTGGTCGTCTGCTTGCCCACAGTGACCTCCTTGGATCCTGCGCCGTCGATCGCTCTAGCTGCCGTTCGCTGGCGGACTCACTGTACACGCTCATTCACCTTGTCTCACCATCTACCAGGATACAGTCGATAGTCAACGGCCGTCGATAATCTCCTGCTGAAGCCCTCCTTTTTTGGATTCCACTCTCCGGTCGCTTGCGTGGTGATATAAATAATGTCCCTTGCCCCGGCTTTGCATTAGCCTCATCACTCGTGTGTTTCAGTCCCTTACCGCTTCACCACAAACCGCACCACCACCACCACCATTACTACTACCGCTACAATCGAGTCCAACGTCGATCCTTCATCACCGTGCTGGCACTGAAAACTCTGCCTTTTTGTGTGTTCATTTAGATCAAGGTGCTTCCTTCACCCCCATTCTGGTCTATGCTGCATTCTAACATCATCAAGACATCATGAGAGAAGTCAACTTCAGCATCCCGAGCGTCAACAAGGCCGCTGTCAACATCACCACCACTCTCTACGACAGACGTGCCCTAGACTGCACCTCGACCCTGCCGCTCATCAACTCGCTTAACCACCTCGCCTACCTCACCACCTCATCCGCCCGCATTCGTGATATCCTGACCGTCGATGGCGGCATCGAACAGCTGGTATGCATCCTCAAGGCAGGTCGGAGCAAGGACCTCATGGAGATGTGGAAATGGAATCTGGCCTTCCAGTGCATCGTCAACATCGGTGTCCGTGGCTCAGAGAACGTACGCACTCGAGTCGTCGAAGCTGACATGGTTCCCGTCATCGCTACCATCTTGGATAACTACAATCGCGTAGTCGACAGGATACGTGCCTCTAGCGACTCCGAGTCGTCGCGGACCAAGACACACAAGTCGTCGTCCAGATCGAGAGACCAGGCCGGCCGCTCGTCGACGTCGCGTGCCTCGTTTTACGAACGTGGTTCGGACCATCGAACTACCCGACGACAGGCTCCTCCACCGTCCATTGAGATCCCACAGCCATACGGCCAGGATGGTCCCCCAACCGATAACAACACTGGTACCACAATCGACAATAGTAATACTAATCACACCCCCATAGATGTGCAGCCGTCACCTAGAATCGTCCTGACATCCCCGCCAGAGCGTACGACGTTCCCACACTCCCATCACCATCACCAGAGAGACGGCCATCGCCACCGTATCATGCAACCCCTCGCCACTGCTGTCCCTTCTTCGGGCAACACCACAGATCCTTTCCAGGCCATGCGCCAGACACGAGACGTTGAACGTCTTCCTTCTGTTCTCCCGGGTCTCCAGGCAGGTATAACCTCGCAGCCAGAGTCGCCCACTACTCCACTGGGCGCTGGTGCACCACAAACTAATATCCCTCCACTCATGCCACGCATCTTCCATCGTCGTCCCTCCGTTCGCCAGCAACGCTCGACGTCAGGCGAGTCGGACGATGCCCAGCCTGATGATAACGATATCACCATGGGTGAAGGCGACCTGGATGTCAACGTCGACACCGCCGAACCGAACGTCACCGAATCCATTGTCGATCTAGACAGTGGCGTGGATCTCGAGGACATAAACATGCGAGACCAGGACCCCATGCTCGACGACGGTACTGACACGCATCCCCACCCCCACAGACATGCATCCGTCGCCACGCCAGGCACGGAGACATTCAACATCACCCACCGCTCAGCCGTCGATGGTAGCATCGTCAACGCACCCACTCCTGTTGCTCAGACCGCCTCACCGGCCAACCCACACACCCACGCGCGCCAAACGGCCAACCAGGCACCCGGTGTCTTTAACAACCCTTACCCATTCTACCTTCAGAACCAGAACCAAGCCCAGCCACAGCCCCAATCTCAATCTCAATCCCAATCCCAGTCCCAGTCCCAAGCCCGAAGTGGCAACCCAGCTGGCCCAACCATCCTCGCCGCCATGCCACGCGACGAAGACGTCCTTCTCGCCCTGCAGCTCCTCGCCTACGTCTCCAAATACTGCAATCTCCGTACTTACTTCCAACGCACTCACCTTGTTCCTCGCCTCAAAATCGGTAAAGAGCTAGAGATGCTCGACGAAGCAAACCCACAGCCCGCTTCGACCTCCTCCCACCGCAGCCGCACCCCAACCTCCACCCCTACTCCCGTAATCCCAAAAACCGCCGAAGAAGAGCAAGAGGAAATGGAAGAATACATTCTTCCAGATGACTACAATATTTTCCCGTTGGTCGAAAAGTTCACTGTCCGCCACCACACAAAGGACATGCAGTACTGGGCCTGCGTGGTGATGCGCAACCTGTGTCGCAAGGACGATTCACGAGGCGGCATCCGCCAGTGTGCATACTACAAGTGTGGCAGGTGGGAAGAGTTTCAGCGCCAGTTCGCCAAGTGTCGACGATGCAGGCGAACAAAATATTGTAGCAAGGAGTGTCAGAAAAGCGCTTGGGTTTATCATCGACATTGGTGCCATTCGTCGCCTGAACATTGAATCGATAACCAACTTACTCTTTTTCTTCTATCTACTTTTCAATATTCTTTTTACCTCCCACGAGTTCCATTTGTTACGAGATGCCGATGCCGATGCTGATACCAATACCAATAAAGCCACGAGATTGCCCGCACTACGCTGCCGCTTTCTCAATTCACTGGTCTAATTTTGCCTCGTTCCTTTCTTAATTTTATTTTCTTTTGGCATCTTCGCACGATTCCCTTTATTCCTTTATATTCCCTTCGCCTTTGGATATTAGCGAGCCCGTCATACCTCCCTACTTACTACTCTTCTTTCCGTCTGTTTGTATATTTGGCTCACACCCCCCACCATCTGGCATATCCATGCATAATGCGGCATGGCATGGCACCTTCATCTTCATACCATCTAAACTACTGCAGCGTCCTTGTCCTCACGTCGACGCAAGTCGGCTCTACCTGCTCACCTTTACTACTTGTTTTACCTCGTTTCCTTACCCTGTTCTGTCTTTTGTCTCGGACAAGGGACAAGGACAATCAATGACCACCAGCCGTCTCGGCTCCCGCTTTGAATGACCAATATTATATCATACCCTACCCCGTCATTCTTCTGCACTGCATTACAAATTACGTCACACCACATTAAATTGCGTTGCCCTACTTCTATACCACCCTGCTCTTCTCACCGGCCGCAAATAAGCTATACCACAGCATAGTTAAAGCATACATCATCCATCTGATAGCGTTTTCCTTTGCAAGTTCATCCGTTTAATTTCCTGGTCTCTATCTCCGTCTCTTATCTCTCTTATATCCCTACCAATCGAATCGAGAAACCATATATATCCCTTCTTCCTCGACCTGTCTGTCCGTTTCCGTCGCTTGTGTTTTCCTACCGATTATTTCAGTATTTGTCTTCGCGTGGTTGTTTGTTTTAACAAATGTTTCTGTTTAAAGTACATCACACCAATACCTGGGCTGTCCTTCCTTTGGTTTCATTAATGTGTTATCATTATTTATCCTGTTTTTGGCTTCGCATTTTCATATCCCTATCCATATCATATTCTCCGGTTGCATTTGTTGCATTTTCACGCATGTGACGTAATTGGTATTGGTTAGGTTGGGTGGGAGGATCAATAGGGAATCTTTTTTATATACTACGTTTATTCGTCTCTTTTTCTTCCTTTGGATATATATGTAGTGTGGTATGTAACTGTTTGAACTCGTGTGATATGTCCATGGTAAACCAACAAAGTCCAGACGTATGTATAAACTTCTTACTCTCGGTGATAATCCTCCGTCGACCCACCATAGGTCGCGGCTAATCGACTAGCCAAATGCTCGCGTGCAGTCTGCACCTTGACTATCCCCTTATCATCACCATGCAGGCCCCTTTCACGCTGCTCATCAACCAACTTACTCGGCACAGAAATAAGTTCCGTCTCATGAACAGGATGGCAGAAATATACAATACTATACCTATCCCGCAACGCAGAATCAGAACCAGAACCAAACCCCTCCTGCCCATCCACAGGAAACACAACCTGATGAACAGTCGATTTCAACAGCCCACATGTCCAATGGCTCAGTAAATCACCTATATTAACCAGTATAGGCGGAACTCCCGTATTCCCACCTTCAGCCCCAACAGGCCGAACAGGAACAGCAGCCCATTCATCTGATGGCGTGAGTATCTCTAGCCCCGGCTGGCCATCACGCTGAAACAAGAGCGTGATGCTCCCATAGTCGCTATGGGCGCCGGCACGTACGTCAACGCCATGCTTAAATCCTACAGTATCCGGTGATTCGATAGATGGATAATGCAAAAAGCGTAACGTGCAGCCTGACGGGCCCTTGGAGGGGTCGTGGCGGGACGAGAACCAGTCGGCTGGTATCTGGGTGGGCGTAAGTATATAGATATATGGATGGATGGCTACTGGTTAGTAGGTGGGTGGGTGGACAGGTAGACGTACCCCTAACCCTAGCGCGAGCAGAGTGAGGATTCGATCGCATGTTTTCTGACATAGGGTCGTGAAGTGGTCTATGTCTGCTTCGTGGGGTATAAGGGATTTAGGAAGTGGTTGGGAAGCCTTATGGTTTTTGAATTCGCCAAAGTTGATTGCCCTGTTAGTTTAAGGGAGGTTGGGATTAGGAATATTCAGTGGATGATCGGATATAAGGGGGGTATACTCTTTGAAATCTCCTCTCTGTTAAGGTGATTAGTCCCGTGTTACTGCCTGGGAGGAATAAAGGGGTATTATCATACCTCTTGGTTTTCTGGGTCTAGTGTCTCTCTGTGCATGGCTGACCAGCCCGTGTTCTAACAGCATCAGCTCGACGATGGACAATGTAACGCCTAGAGGGTATATAATGGTCTAGACGTACATCTCCTTTGATTTCTACTTCTTGTTTCTCCTCGACAGGAGAATCAAAGAACTCTTTGGCCTAGTAAGCAGTCAGCATCACATTGTACAATATGAACTGTATCATGTATCTATAAAATGCCGTCTATAGATGACTGTCTTGAAAAGTACCATTTTAAACGTAGAATCTATCTCCTCCTTGGAAAAGCAGCTGCTGGCGGTATTGACGTATAGGAAGCCATACTGAGTTGCAGCCTCGAGTACATCCTTGCCCACAGCCGCAGTTGTACTGGATATATCGAAGATGGGTAGCTGTATCTGCGCTGTCGAAGCCATGATATGTATAGATAACGAGTAAAATGCTCTACCTGAGCTGAATACCTCGAAATAATGAAAGAATATAGAATGAGACTGCGTGTAGATGCTGAAGGATGAAGCTGAGATGTCTCCCACTTCCCAATCTAGATAAGTGATTATATAAGCAAAGAGTCTCGTGACTTCGCCCTCGTCCTGGCTAGCGGCTTAGTCATCCTGACGTCGCTGAGAAACCGCAAGTTCGAGCTGCGACTGAAGTTGGCGAACGGTTTGAGGAAACGCCTTTTGCTCTCTGGTTACGGGCGCCCTTATAGCCTTCTCCTCCGCCGACATCCGCCTATTTCTCCATCCTTCGTCATAGCCCACCGGACGAAGGACCCATTGCAACCCCCCCCGGCGTCGCTTATCGCGTGTTGGTGGAAGCTCCGCCGATAAACAGCTAGAGCTGTCCAGGCATATAATTTTATCCCGACACGACAATGCCAGCAGCAATGTCAGGTAAGTAGACGGCATATTCCGCAGACTACAGTCACACACAATACAAAGGAGGAGATCGTCTAACTCACCTGAAATGCACAGCTCGACCGCTCGATGAATGGGCCAACACCCGCACCCAAACATTTGATATAGCAGCGCTCAAGGGGTCTGCGATAGGCATCCATGCTACACACTACCTCGACCTCCACCTTAACCAATATGTGACGAAAGAACCTCTTCTAATTGCCCTTGGAGGGTTCCCATTTGCTCTCCAGGCCAACATTACACGCGAGTTGCAGGCTTTGAAGGCCGCGGAGGTAACGCCGATTTTTGTCTTCGACGGCCTGGACGCAGGCAAGCCATACCCGGACTTTTCGGCGCAGACGGAGAATGCCAAAGCACTGCAGCAAGCGTGGGATTATTATGACCAACAACAGGCCGATCAAGTTGTTGATGCCTTTAGCGGTGCAGGTATTTACCCCCCACCCAACAATGTTACGTTCCAAGAAATGCAGCTATTAATGAACAATTGACTAGGGAGCGCACATCCTGAAAGCTTGTACAAGTTTTTGCAGCGGATTCTCCAAAGCGAAGGAATTAACTTTATCGTTGCTCCCTATGCGGCATCTGCTCAGGTGCGTATCCAAGCAGTGAAACTCTATATATTTCTAATACTGATTGATTCCAGCTCGCATACCTTGAAAAGGACCCTCACAGATTCATTGACGCTGTATTCGGCCCCGCGGAACTTTTCTTTTTCGATGTTGAAAAAATAATTACAAAGATGGATACTGAGCTTCGTCACTTTAGCTGGGTCACGAAATCCCTCTGTCAAGAAGAGTTCGGTCGATTGTCAAACGAGCAATTCCTTGACCTAGGTCTGCTCCTTGGCTCCCCTTTCCTTCCCACATTCCCGCCCTTCGAAACACCAGGCTACCCTGGAAAGCGAGTCAACATCAGGGAGGCCCTTGGCATGTTCAACTCTGGTGGAAGAAACGCACTTACTCTTTGCTCCCAATTCGAGGAAGATCAAAGAATCCATGAACTTGATTATGCAGACCGTTTCAAGCGCGCTTTCATGACCATCACACATCATGTTATCATGGACGTTGATGGGAAAGTTGGCCCGCTTGACCCTGAAAATGCGTCGTCTGACCTACACGAACTTATCGGCCAACGCCTCCCCGAGGAGCTCTATTTCTATATATCAAAAGGCATAATGGGCTCACGTGTCCCTAACTGGCTCACCTCTGGCGAACTTTTACTATCTCTTCCTCTTGGGGCTGAGGATACCCCTATATATCGCCGTCTTCTCACAGAGAAGCTCCCTCCAATTAGGACACAGGCGTTGTGCCTCCTATCAAACTCGCTCCACCGCTTTTATCAAACGAAGGTCATAAATGTTCGGGCCTGGTACGATGATAAGACTGACAAATCGATCCACCTGAAGGATTTACCCTCTGTCAAAGATACAATATCTAGCTGGCGCATCGGAGGAAAGCAGCTGCCAGAGAGTGTCCAGAAGCTTCAGGTATATAAACTCTTCAAGTTCAACAATATTGCATTGCAGGGTTGCTAATTACTGTAGGATAACTCTCCGCTCCTGACATTTTGCCTCTCCGCGCTAAAGGAGCAAAGCTTTGTTTCCAAGTCATTCTCCCCCAAAGACGCCGCAGTGAGTATCTCATGCTGTACATCTATCGCCGTCAACATGGACTAATTCTTCTAGGCCCTCACATCCAAACAAGAAATAGTATCCAATGTCACCTGGAGATTCCTCCAACTACGAGGCTATGTCGATACCAAACATCAACTTACCTCCTGGGGGAAGGCCCTTGAATCTGCCCTCTCCTCTCTTAACCCCTCAGACAACCTCGAGGAGCCAACATTCCTCGCCATAGAACTCATCCGCTTAGGTATCCTCAACGCAAAGGACTGGTTCCCTAACATTTCAGGTGGCCCAATGAGAGGCTCTGGTAAGTCGAGACCCTTTCTCATTTTATAGCAATTCAGGCTCTAACTCGGTCAGTAGATGAAGAGCAGCAACATAACCTCCTGATTTCACGTGTTGCATGTTTCGGCAAGATTCAACACAAGCCAATTGGCTATTCCGGACCTCTTAGCAGACAACTTTTGTCGTTCCGCTCACTTGTCAGTACCGTACGGGCAACTCTTCGAGACTTAATTGAAGTTATCCTTGCAACCCTTCTGCTTAGCGGGGAAGCTAGCCGGGACCGTGAGGACTGGGCCGAGTTGGGCCTAAGGTAGGCTATCTCTATCATAAGCGTCATAACATATCATCTAACATATACTTAGCCTACCATTTATCGATGACAACGATTGCGGACTCGCCATCGCTGTTCGAACCTACCTAGATGATTTACCGCAAGAACCAGAGCCCACCCCTCAAATTGTCAGAGATGAAGTCAAGGCCAAGGGCAAGGAATGGTTCCAGCACAGCCATAGTTTCTCCGAGAACCTGGATACAGCATTCCACCTCTGGGACGCGGTAAGTTTTAAACTCACCCACTTCACGCCGAATACTGGTGTTGAAGGTGCTAATCAGTACTTTTAATCTTATAGGTATATAAAGCCACCCAAACCGCTGCCAAAGAACCTATGGTTGATTCAAAATTGTGGGATGATACGAACAAATGGCTGAGCGCCCGAAGATAAACTCCGACCGTCAGCTATGTACTTGGATCTGGCTATGAATTTGTTGCACGGAACCTGCCAGCTCTCGGTGTACTGCACTACCAAGCCTCTTGCTCTCGTTGAAACCCTACCACCTTTGTGACCCCGGGTAACGAAAGCTTGATCACGATCCTATATTGAAAAAGCTAGGAAACATATCTTAATGGGTACATCTACTCATAACAATACGTAACAATACCTACTATCAGCATTCAGTTGCCGGTATCGTAGCATCTCGCATATGGATTAACGGTGTCGATGTCCTCGTACTCATCTCTTTAGGGGGGATTGGAGGTGCCTTTGACCTCTAGTAAAAACATTCTAAACTATAGTTCTAGTACTCCGTCATACAATATTATATACTAGTTCGCTATGCTCACCGGAAGGCCCCCTCCTACGGACATAACGCAACTCCTACAGGGAAAGCTACTTAATTAGGGGTCAACCCCCATGTATAGGGGATACTACTTCTATAAATACTGCTACAGATAGGGATAGTTGGTGGCGTGGCACGAGTAGCAGCAAGTTGTAGGGCATCTAAGTAAAGACCACGGCGTCCCCTAGTAGAAAGCAACTGACGATAAGTAGGAAGGGTTGTAAAGGCAATAAAAAAATTGAACGTCCTCGTCTTAACGTCTGAGTCGTGCATGCTTTCATCTGTAGACGCAGGCTCAAATAGAGGCTGACAGATGTCATATAGATCGAATGAGTCGCGAATTCAACGGAGGTTGATATTGAATGATTAGTCAGCATAAGCTTAGGTGGCCCTTGGTTAAAGCAAGCTCTCATCTATACAAACCAGCATCCTTCCTCTGCCATCCCATAACGCTATAAGACGTTTACCTTGCCCCAATCTAATCATAAGCACCATGGCTCGCCTGAGCTACCTCCTCCTTGCCTCCCTCTCTGTCCTCAGTGGCGTATTGGCATCCAACTCCGCCGTGCTAGACCTCACTCCCGACAACTTTGACAGCGTTGTCCTAAAGTCCGGCAAGCCAGGTCTTGTTGAGTTCTTTGCACCATGGTGTGGGCATTGCAAGACCCTCGCTCCCGTCTATGAGGAACTCGGCCACGCATTTGCTTCTAGCAGCGCGAAAGTGCATATCAGCAAGGTCGACTCAGAGGCACACCGACCACTCGGCAAGAGGTTTGGTGTACAGGGATTCCCCACGCTGAAATGGTTCGATGGCAAGAGTGATAAGCCCGAAGATTATAACGGTGGAAGGGACTTGGAGAGCTTGACGAAGTTCATCACCGAGAAGACGGGTATAAAGGCCAAGGGAGCGAAGACAGCTCAGCCTAGCCAGGTTCAGATGTTGACGGATTCTACCTTCGATAAGACTATTGGTGGTGACCAAGATGTTCTCGTTGCTTTCACTGCTCCGTGGTGTGGACGTATGTGCTCTGCCCCGCTCCTAGTAGACAAAATACCTGGAATTTGTGCTAATTGAGGGGTCGATTAGATTGCAAGACTCTGGCCCCCATCTGGGAGACTCTGGCAACCGACTTCATCCTGGAGCCAAACGTTATCATTGCCAAGGTCGACGCTGAAGCCGAGAATGCCAAAGCTACTGCCAAAGCTAACGGCGTTGCCTCTTACCCAACCATCAAGTTCTTCCCCCGTGGCTCCAAGAAAGCTGTTCCTTACACCGGTGGCCGAACTGAGAAGGATTTCATTGAATTCTTGAACGAAAAGTGTGGAACCCACCGCGTTGTTGGAGGTGGCCTGAACGAGAAAGCAGGCACCATCGAATCTCTCGATGCCATCGTGGCGAAATACATTGCTGGAACTAGTCTCGAGACCATCGTTGCAGAAATTAAGGAAGCCGCTGCATCACTCTCCGCCAAATATGCCCAATATTACGTCAAGGCTGGAAACAAGCTGCAGGAGAACTCAGAGTACGCCCAGAAAGAGATTGCTCGTTTGCAGCGAATTTTGAACAAGGGGAACCTTGCCCCTGAGAAGATTGATGATTTGATTTCCCGAAGCAACATCCTCCGTCGATTCTTGGGTGATGAGAAGGCAAAGGATGAATTGTAGTTGATTTACGAGGTATTATATTTTACTGCCATGTCTGGTTATAGGCCAAATTGCCGGAAGACACAGCGAAGTCTTGATCGTTTTATGCTACCAATGGTTATGAAGCAAAAAGTCCATATGCTTAGACGCTATATATATATATATATATATTATACTTAATAGCGATGAAATGAAAATACGCAGTCTCCTTGACTACTCGAGATACATATTCAATAGGGTATTTAAACCAAAACAACGTGTTTAAGCAATCCATAATCTCATAGAAGCGTAAGTCAAGGGACAGGCATCGTGGTATTGCCTCTTCAGGCGGGGTTTCTGGTGCGAGGCGACTGTCTGTCACAGGTCTCGCGGGTATTATTCATGCAGTCGTTTAGGGGCCACTGCTGGTCAAAATAAACACTTCCATCGTAACTTCACCCCGTGGAATCGGTAACATTATATCTTCAGGTAGACTGGGTCGATTCACGGGAGGAAGCAATCGAAGTCTCCAGTTCGTCAATCCGCCGTGACATGTCATCCACTACAGCGCATTCCAATATTAGCTCGCATTTTCCGAATGAATCGAGTAATGTCTGGTTCGCACAGAATAGACACTGGGTATTCAGTGATAATAGAAGTATAAGGCTCACATTTGCCTAGTATCTCCGATGAAACATTTTCGAACCGGTTTTGTAGCTGATCCAGCAGCTCGTCGACTGCAGTCACAAGCTGTTGAGCGCTGTTCTCGTCCGTCGACTTTTCAACAAATAAGATGTCAGCTAAAAGTTATAACAACACTCAATCGAGGTGTAATAACTTACCCCCTTCTGCGAACCCTGTTGATCGGTGTTGGGGGATGCGACGTGGGTAGAGTTTCGGTTTGAAGCGCTCATGTTTTCGACACTCTCTGAGCTGCGAGGCTATCGTTGACTATCAAGTCACTGGCCTGAGAGAAGTATTGCGAGTAACGGGATCATATAACGAGTCCGCGTCCTCGTATCGCTGGAAACTGCGCTTTCTCCCTCCCAACTTTGGCGTCTAAAAACGGTCAAGTGACAATCAGATAAGATAAGATAAGCTTATATTACTAATACACGCTAACTGTTTATGCTTTAGTTAGTCGCCCAAATTTTCTGAGCAAAGCAAGACAAAATGATAGCAAAAGTCCCGTCTAACATATAAGAACCAGTTCTCTTTTTCCGGGCAGGTTTTCTCTATAACTGCAGTCAAGGACAAGTGAAGATCAGCCATGGCGAAGAAAAGCAAGCTCCTATCGGCTTTGGATGCGCACAAGGGGCGCAATTTCGACTTAGAGCACCAGAAAAAACTGCAAAAGGCAGCAACCAAGAAGAAGCAATTGAAGGCGGCAGATGGTGAAGAAGATAAAGAAGAAGCTGCTGAGCAATTGGTAAGTAATGCGAGAAGCTTAGTGCTTTCAGACTCGAGATATAGGCTGCTAATATGTTATTTTGTTCCCCGCGCAGGAAGAAGATGTCACACAGCTAAATGGGAAGGCAAAGTCGAATGGCGTGAAGGCGAGAAAAGGGAAAAACGACGCGAAGAAGGTTGAGGCCGAAGTTGAGGAACAGGACGAAGATGAGGACGAAGATGACGATGAAGACGAAGACGAAGAAGACGGAGGGGTAGACACTGCAGGAAACGAGGTTGACGATGAGGATGAGGAAGACGAGGAAGACGAGGAAGATGAAGAGGACGAAGAGGATATCCCACTTTCAGATCTTTCCGGCGATGAAGCCGCAGACGTTATCCCCCACCAACGACTTACCATAAACAACTCCGCAGCCATTCTATCTTCACTGAAACGGATAACCGTCGTTAACGACCAGACAATATTCTCAGAACATCAATCCCTCACTTCCACAGAAACAATCGACATCCCTGACCCAAATGATGACCTCAACCGGGAGCTAGCATTCTATAAAGTCTGCGCATCTGCCGCAAAGACTGCGCGAACTCTATTGAAAAAAGAAGGAATCCCATTTTCGAGACCAACAGATTATTTTGCCGAGATGGTGAAAGACGACGAACATATGGATAAGATCAAGAAGAAATTGTACGAAGAAGCTGCTTCCAAGAAGGCTAGTGCGGACGCAAAGAAGCAGAGAGACTTGAAGAAGTTTGGAAAACAAGTACAGGTTGCCAAGCTACAAGAGCGACACAAGGAGAAGAGGGAGACACTGGAAAAGATCAATGACCTAAAAAGAAGTATGACACTCTCATCGTTTGTTCTTCTCGTCTAATGGATATAAATGCTAATATGATGTGCTTGACCAACAGAACGCAGAGCTGGCGCAGGCAGTGGACAGACAGAGGAGAGTGAGCTATTCGATATTGCTCTTGAAGATTCTAGCAAATCTGACTCGCGCCGTGGGTCTCGGGGCAAAGACGGTGAAGGGTCTCGCTCAAAGCGACAAAGGAAAGATGCCAAATTTGGTTTTGGTGGTAAGAAGCGCTTTGCGAAGAGTGGCGATGCTATGTCCAGTGGTGATTTGAGCTCGTTCTCTGCCAGTAAAATGAAGGGGAAGAAGACGGGTGCAGCGAAGAGGTTAGGGAAAGGTAGACGAGAGGCGAGACGATAGGGAATATAATTGCCAACTGCGTCCCTGAATTTCAAATAGCTTGATGTCGTAAAATAAAATAAAATCCCTTGTATCATGATAGACCATATATCCGAGGTCGGAAGATATATACCTTATAGTGATTAAAAATGGGCATGTTGCTACTAGTGTTAGAGAGAAAAAATGAGGACAAGGACCGAAGCTACAGAGGCATTGGTAGTTTACCTGCAATATAGACGTGTTGTCTGATAAAGTATTTACTGAGTGTATAAATACAGTGAATAATTAATCACCCCTTGCACATAGAGTACAACCTGTAATCAAAGATGTTCATCTTTGGCTTTATTGCCTTTCATCCGAAATGACATCCTCAGGAGGCGAGGATATCTTCTATCTATGGTCCAAGACAATGGAATTCCATTCCCGACGGCCCTGCTGCACAACGAGGTGCATCTTCCGTAGGGTATGGAGATTAGGGTATCGAGAAGTCAAGCATATTTTTATGCAAGTTATATATTTGGGCGGGTAGGCATCACCTGAATGCTGTCCTCAGTTCAGGTTCCCGATGCACTTCTACCTAATCGTTGGTAAAGGGCCTAGCGATAAGCGCATAGCTGGTATGGCAGGCGGAGCAAACCTAGCAAGTACTCAGAATTGTGTACAAGCACTTCGCAGTACTTAGTCGTCTCTCATGGTTTCGTGTTTGTGGTTGTAAGGTTGTTGGGATCTTCCATTATATCTGGAAGCGCAGTGCCACCGAAATCGCGGATACGGCTTAGAAGATTGCCAACCGAGGCGTTCACATTGAGGCGCTGTTCAGCGAATACCAAGTCGACTTTTGATTGAGTATCATCAGCGTGGACAAGGTTATGGTCGTCGATGGCTTCTTTCGATCGCTTCAATGTCGCTTTTGGTATTCTTTTACCACAACCTGGTACAGGGCAAACCCATGTCTCCGGCGGGATATGACCATTGGAAATTGCAGAAGTGTCGTTTTCGGCATCCTGGTCGGCTTCATTTCGTTCGGAATTGGAAAGGCGAGGCATGTTATTTACCTCCATATTCAATTGTTCATGCATCAGTAGCGATCCCCCCTTTGTCGGCGTATCGTCCGCAACTATGATATCTTCCATGTCTTCGTCAGAATCAACCGAGGCATAATCTCTGTTCCGTTTACCAGCCTTTTCAGATACTGAACTCATTTTTGGCCGAAGGATCGATTTGCGATTTCTTCTCTTGCGATTCTTTTTAGCAGGGACTTCCTCCTCCTCCTCTTCTGGCTCCGAGTTGGGAGATGAGGCCGAATCAGACTCGTCTAGGTCCTGCCGAAGCTGAAGAGGCGTGGCGCCAACAGGAGGAAGATCCTCCAGCTCCGCAACTTCTTTCAACTGTCGATATATTGCCTTTCGAGACCAGTCCAAGGATGGACTTTGCGCCTCATCCATAAGCCCCAAAACACTTCCTGCCCTGGAGTGCACGAGATTGGTTGCATGCTCTAATGAGCTCATTTCATATCTCTTCAGCAATTCCTCAGCCACACTCTTCAAGTTCAGCTTCCGCTGTGCTAGGAGTCCAGCATCTTTCATTCCTAGAATGATTTCGAATATAGTGTTTGCCTGGGATTTTTCCAAGTCCGCGCTGCGTAAGCCGGACGCATCGGCCGCATCTGTATGCAGGTCTCCGTCTTCTGAGTCCTGTTCTGCATCATCGAATGCGTCCTTAAATGATATTAGATTTTAAAGTAGGCACCAATTATAGAGTAAATAAGGTCGTACCGGGAACTCTTCACGTAGGTGAGCATAAACCAATGTATTTGGCCAGTCAATACCCTCCCTCCCCTGGACCATCTGCCGTATCAAAAATTCGTGGTGTTTGCGGAAGACCTCTAATGATTCTTCTACATCCTCGCATGCGCCGTGAGTGTGCCGTGTATACTATCGCCGGTTTAACCATTAGCATATCGGAACGGAGAACCAGGCAGATTATGAGTTACGAACCTCATCCAAGAGGAAATCCCATGTAGGTTTCCAATTCTTCCCTCTCCGTTTCCGGGGCTTATTCTGATCTACTAGGAAATATAGCAGATCAACGGCCTCCACGACATCGTTGAACATCGGCTTATAGCCCTTCGCAGGAGAAATCGAGAACCACCCCGCATCGCCGGCTGCCCAAACCCCAACTCCGCCATCGCCGTCTTGTCCGTATGCGTAGTGTGTCACATTTTGAATGATCACGCGTTTTTTAAGGTAGTCGCCGTCCAAAACTGCAGGATAACCGGACGTGCCGTCAGCAAGGAGGAAACACTTTGGAGGGGTATCCCAATTGTAGATTTCTAGGGCGGACGGAAATTATGAAGAACGCGCATCTGGCTTACCGAGTGATTCCTGTTCTTCATCAACATCGTCTAGCTGCCCGGTAACCGTTAAAGGGTTATCCGCCGAAGCAGAGAGGATGTTCGCATAGCGCGTCTTGCCAGGAATGTAGACCTTGACATCGTTCAAGGTGAACTCCTCCCAGTCATTTTCATCCGTCAAGGCAGGATCCTTGGACGCTAGAACCTTTTCTATGCGTGCTGTCATGTCTCCGAAACCACCATGATGGCGAACTGTCTCAACGCAAGGCCGCGATGCTCTGGAGAAATTGACGTCAAGATGTGACTGAGATCGCAGGCAGAGATAAACAGGTGAAAGGTATTGTAATTACTGTATATAATCACACTTATACCTAAGACTGTTCCAAATACCTGTATGTAAGTTACATGCTTAGAACTAAATCTTCTAGAGCTTCAAAGTCGCAGCTTCAATTCTTTACATCAAACGCCATTGTCCCGCCAATTACACTGGTATCCAGCCAATATTTACCGGCATCAGTCTATTTCAGACAGACCTTTTTACTGCTATAAAGATCTACGCTCCGGAAAACTTCTCGATGAGCCTTCGCCGCCTGCCGTTGAAGATTCACGCCGCAATGTCAGACGCCGCCAGGACTATGGACGGTGTTTTTGGTTAGTTTTGCTCGCAGGACCAGGTAGTTGCAGATTCTAGGATGATATTTTCGGATACTAATTTTCTGTTATATAGCTGTACACAAACCAGCCGATATTACTTCTGCACAAGTTCTCCGCGACCTTCAGCGACAGTTCAACCGATCAGAATTCTTCAAGCCCTGGCTAGAAGCCGAGCGCCAGAGACTAAGAGAAGAGCCCAATTGGAGTAACCGTCGTCGTGGGAAAAAATCGAAGTGGGTGGACGTCAAACTGGGCCATGGCGGAACTTTGGATCCAATTGCGACTGGAGTGTTGATAACTGCTATAGGCAAAGGCACAAAACAACTCAACAACTTTCTAGGATGCACAAAAACATACGAGGCCGTCGTACTCTTTGGTGTTGCAACTGATAGTTACGATCGTGTTGGGAAAGTCGTGAGCCGCGCGCCATACGAACATGTTACCAGGGAGAAAGTCGAGGAGGCATTGAAGAAATTCCGCGGTAATATAATGCAGCGGCCCTCTATATTTTCAGCACTGAAAGTGAATGGAAAGAAGCTCTACGAGTATGCCAGAGAGGGAAAAGAACCTCCAGTTGAGATTTTGGAAAGACCTGTCGAGGTTTCAAATCTAGAAATCGTTGAGTGGTATGAAGGTGGCTCGCATAATTATGTCTGGCCTACGGAAGAAGCCGAAGGGCCGGAGAAAGACGTTGCAAAAAAGATGCTCGGAAAAGAGTCTGCCATTCTGGCAACTGATGGCATAACCGTGGCCGCAGATGACTCTGTCGTTGCCAGTGAAAAATCAGAGCAGCCAGAAGGAATAAGCCACAAAAGGAAATCTCCGCCTCCATCAGATCCAACGGAACCAGCAGAACCTACAGAACCACAAGAGAGCACAAAGGAAGAAACGTCTGAACCTCCAGTAAAGCGACAGAAGCTGGAACCCGAAAATAAAGCGGAGCCAACCACTACTATCAACGAAGAGCTACCATCTACGACCACACCTGCAGTAGAACCACAGACGTCTCCCACACCACCTGCGGTGAAGTTGACGATGACCGTCTCCTCAGGATTCTATGTCAGATCCCTATCTCACGACCTAGGCCTTGCACTCGGAAGCAACGCAATAATGAGCGAGCTGGTGCGGACTAGACAAGGCGATTTCGAACTCTCTCCTGATAAGACCCTTGAGTATTCAGATATGGAAGCCGGTGAGAGTGTATGGGCACCTAAGGTGCAACGATTTTTGGAAGAGTGGAATGGCAAAGGTGCCCAGCAAGAGGAGCCACAGGCAGATAATGGACCTGCTGTAGCGGATGCTGGAAAGGAAGAAGAAAAATAAACACGTTCTCCGTGGGTTGCCGCTGTATATATTACTCCACGCACATGTTAGATAGTAGATAAGCATATGTAGACATTTAAAGCCAAGTTTATGCACGTATAAAAAGCATTGTAAATTCTTCACACCTAACACATTACGGCAATTTGGATAGCAAGTAGATACTTTAACGGCAATGCATGACTGTCTATATTTCCAGGATACGCTGAGTAGATTGAAAGGCAAACACAAAATATCACCCAGAACAAAGCACCCTCAAAAGCACAGGCTAAACAAAGATCAAATTCAACAGAGGAAAACAGATGGTATAATGAGTCTGACCCCGGCGATGGGATACAAGTGAGGACGCCAGATAGGAAAAGTTCTGAGATGGAGATAAGGATTAAGACGAGAGAGGGGGATCGAGCGAGAGAGCGAACGGCGGGTTATGACTAGGGCACAGATTAGGGAAGAACGCAAGGAGAGGATTCGATAGAATGATGACCCTGATTGTTTTTTTTTTAAGAAAATGGAAGAACACACAACTTGGTAACTGAAGGAGAATCAATTAGGAGATTAAGGACAGTGAGTAGATGGATAAAAAAAGGGAGGGGGTAGATAGAAGGAAGGTGAATAGAGAAAATTATATAATAGAAATACAAGGTAGATGAACGGAGTATGGCACAATGGTTTGATCCTGATCCCAATGCAGCTCCGGATCAAAGCCATTCCAAATTCCAAGAAGTCGAAGCTGAACCAGGGTATATCCAGAGCGACAAGGACAAGGAGGCCAGAGAGAGTAAGAAAAGCACCAACGACGGTCGACTAGAGGGTGGGAGAGATATTGTTGTGGAACTACCAAACAGGATATCATAATATCATAAAACTCATGAAATAAAAGGGCCGCAAAGCTCTGAATTAATCACTTGCGGGTGTACTTAGATCACGGAAGAAGGGTAGTTAAAAGGAAAAATCAAGTGCAATGAACGGAGGATGCGAAACGAGCGCAATTTTGCAGGGTGGTAAGCAAAGGGTGTTTGGTGTTTGGTGTTTGAGGGTGATTATTGGGTATAATTATGATGAGCCTCGATCAAAGCTATACAACTGATTAGTACCGTATTCGATGGTTAAGTAGATAGATTGGGGAACTTACTTTGAAGGGTAGTACTCTGGCCCTGCTTCGACTCACAGGCACATTGAAGTGTGTTTCCATCACAGAAGTCCAGAAGGATACTGTTGGGTAGCTCCTGTCTATCATGGTCTGGCACATATGGTCTTCGGAATTCGGAAAGGTGGTACCGTTTCACTGTATTTCGAGGATTTCCATCAATGGTGCCAGGAGTGAGGATCAAGTATCCTGCTTCATCGACACGCATGAATCTACGTTTCCACAATAGAGTGTCAGGGAATTGAACGTTGACTTCGCCTACATCGACAACATGGATCGGTGGCTGTGCGCTGCCGGTGGCTGAAGCTTCATCTATCTTTGGTGGCTGGATGCTTGCTGATGACGTCTTCTGATCCTTGGCCGTGGACTTTCGTCGAGAATTTGTAGTGATGGAAGACATACGCCGGATGATCCGAGACTTGCGGGATCCCTTCTTATCCTCCTTCGTTTCTTCAACGTTATCAACGTTATAGTGTGCAGCGTCGCTTGAAGAGTGAGAGTGCGAAGAGTCAAACTTTGGTCGAGACGAGATGGACAGTCTGCTACCTATGGCATCAGACGGAGGAGATTTTGGACCGCTGTAGGAGTTCCGTTTGGAGCCTGTACTTGAGCATATTGAATGGCGTTTGTCGGCGCTTCTGATACCCAGGCTAGACGACTGGAGACCTTTTTCTCCTCCCTGCTCAACTGTGATCTCACTGCGTTGTAGATTCAAGGAATTTGGATCCAGCTGGTCTGAATGCTCTGATGGCGCACCAGTTGCACCGCGAACAATTCTCGCAGTGACAGAAACAGATTTCGACTTGGGCCGAGTCACTCCGTTGACTTGTTTAGGATCATTATGTTTAGCAGCATCACCTAGTTGTGGTAGTGCTAGGTTGCTCGGGGAGGGCGAGAGTGATCCAGGTGATTGGGATATCGATGTTCGTTTTCGGAATTTCTCAAACGCAGAAGGTGATGCAGTCTTTGGTGGCTCAGGTCGGCTTGGTGCCTTGTCTGGGATCGGGCCAGCTTCACGACTCGAAAACATTTCCAGGGCCTTGATACGTTTCGATATGCCAGAGGAAACGTTTACCTTCTTCGCCACAAGGACGGGGGCGGACTTCTCGGACTCGAAGAATGCTCTGGACGAAGCAACACCAACTGGAAGAGCTTCGATGTCTGATCTTGCGGAGGAATTGGAGACCATGCGAGAACCGTTCCACCTGTCGACAGAAGGGCCTTTCTCGCCATTGCTCGTAGTAGGTGTGCGAGGGATAGCGATTGGTCGGGCTTCTTGTAGGGTCGCGCTGCCTAGCTCGTCCATGAAGGAATCATCAGATAGAAGAATATCTTCCTCGGAGTTGTTCGCGTTGGTTGGAATCTGCAGAGGGTCCAACATCGCAATTCGCTTATCCTTCTTCCTAGTTACGGCACTATCTTCGACATCTGACTGCCCAACCGTCTTCGAGTCCTCGCCTAGCTCGAGGTTCTCGATCGAGGCTTCGTTATTTTCCACATCGACGACACTGTTTTCGACCTGAATGATGGGCGATGGTACGCCTGCCGGCGATACATCTACACATGCTTCATCTTTTATTTCTGAGGCCCCGTTCGTCACGTCTCGCGGTGTAGGAGTGTCTGGACCAAGTTCAGAGTCGGAATCGGAAGGTACAGCGACTTGGGGAGGAGATAGTTCTGCCTTTTCGGTCGAGGTAGCGGTAACCTGTGGCTGTTCAGGTTCGGACTCCTTGACGACGTCGGGAAGCTCATCGGTGATGCTCGACTGTGAGGAGTTGGCGTATATGGTATGTTTCGAAAGGACGTCTGACTCGGTGTCCGACACGTTTCGAAGAGTTGAAGTAGAGCTTGTCGCAACCGAGGACTTTTCAATTGAACGCGAGGTGATGGAGGAAGAAAGGGAGGATTCGGGAGAGTCTTGAGGAACGATAGGGGTTGGTTGAGACGGAGGGTTAGGTTGCTCTACGGCGCCAGACTGCTCGGTCTCAGCCATCTGGTCTAGTTGTGAAGCTGGTTTGACGTCTGCCATCTTTGGCGCTGAGTATGCTACCGGCTTAAGGAGCTCCAATTCCTCAGGAGGTGTCTGAGGTGGTGTAGGTTCAGGGTCCGCCTCCTTTTCAGCAGCCGTCCGACCGTAAGCTTTCTTCTGCTCGAATGCTGTAGAAGGGTGCGACGGCGAGAGCTCAACAGCCGAGTCGGGTGTTGACGCCTCGGACGAAGGAGTTTGTACAGGCTCTGCCATTTCAGGCGATGTTGTGTTTTTTCTGCTCTCAGAGACAGCTGTCTGACTGAGTTGTGGTTTATTAGCAGCATCCTGGTCAATAGTTGGGCCCACAACCGTCGCCGATCCTTCTTTAGTGACAATTTGGTTGGGTATGTCTCCCTTATCCTTTTGCCCCTTGGCTTCTGGAAGGGGTTCTGGAGTTTTCTGTTCAGCCTTCTTTGGCTGTCTAGACATCTGCTGCTTCCGCAGCTCCAGGGCTCGCATCAATCGCTGTTTCTCGGGGGTCATTCCAATTGTCGTGGCACAACTTCGAATCGATCTAGGAGAGGGCGGCGCATGTCTTGAGAATGCTCCAATTATCATTGGTGGAGGGACCAGTAACGGAGGTACAGGAGGTGTTGTTCCTGAGGATTGAGGGTTTGCCTGGTCATAATCTGGCTGTGATTTGGGGCGTGATGTCGATTGTTTCCGGGACCGCATTCCTGCCGGCAATGATGCGACTGGTCGAGGTTCATAGGAACGAGTCATGGAGCCTGCCGTCTTGGGTCGACCGTTGGCGTCCATTGATGGTCGTGGACCGAGTCGTACCTTTGGTCTATGGATACTGATCTGATCTAGATCGCGGAGTGACGGCCTGACTGACTGTGAAGACTTTCGGGACTCGGCAAGAGGCTGGGATAGTTGGTCGAGCAGATGTTGTTGAGGGATGCCGTTGGCACGGCTGGCAGTGGGCAGATTTGGTACTGGAGGTAACGGTTTAGCTGATGCCGCTTCTGAGGAGAGCAAGATGCTACTTGTCCGGGGTTTCGAACCTCCATCTCGCAGCATATGGTGATTAGGCACCGCCGTTGCCTCTGACGTTCCGCTGAAGACACTTTCGGCTCTGCTATGGCTGGACGACGTTGGAGCAGGCTTGGACTGTTCCTCTTCATCTGATCCGTTTTCCTCTGCATCTTCGGTGATTTCTCCCAGCCGTCGTTGTCGCAGGGAACTGGTGGACGAAGTCATGGAGCCGGACGCGGTGTGAAGCAGGCAGGTAGAAGAGAGCGCATTTTCAGTGAGTTCCGAAGGGGTGGTGAGTGAGAATACAGTATCATGAGGAGAGAAGCGGTCTAGTATCGACTGGAATTGGACGGTGATTCGAGCTAGACGGCTAAAAGTCAGTAACATATAGGCCAGGGGTTTATTGGGTGAATAAACGAATATACATCGTCGTATTCACCCGCTGCTAAGACGAAGCCACCAAGAATAAAATCGAAAATACCTTGGATTAGTCTCGATATCCCTTCAGGCACATATCGGAGTATGATCTTTCGTCGACGATACTGTAGGAAGCCGTAGAGCGGTGACTTCTCCTCGTAAGCGCTGATGGTAGAGCGTATCTCGACGACGCCGCCTGTCCCCTTGTGAAGGAGAGCAACGACATCTCGAGACACATATTTGAGCAGGAACCTAACGCCGATGTTAGCGGATCTCCAACATTTAAGAATGCTTGTAGCTCTTCGACATCGACATCGACAAGGACATAGAATGCTTGTAATGCTTCGTCTTCGACATCGACACCGGCACCGACAAGCCAGCAGGCCAATTGAGGGCGAGACTCACCATCCTCCGGCCTCCGCGAGCGCACTCTGGTAGGACTCGATGATAGAGGGATCATCTAACCCATTAAGCGACATGACGGGTTCTGCATTGGAATGGGAGCTTGCAACGCCGGGAAGGACGAGAAGCAGCAGGTGTCAAGCAGTCACAGGCAAGACAAAGGGCCGCTCCGCTGCTCAGGGGCAAGACGCTGAGGATACGAGATCTATCGCGAGGACGGGCTTGAAGGCACTTTCAGGGAGAACGAGGCGAAGGAGAGAGGGAGGAAGAAGTGCGCGCGCAGGGAATTTGGGGGTGGGACCGCTGGACGTGCTGCCCCCGAACTAGCAGCTTAGCATCACCTTCGTCTTTTCTTTTCTTTTCTTTGACAGCAGGAGAGCAGGAGAGCAGGGACGGAGTCGGCGCCATACGCAAGCGGCAGACGGTTTCTTTCTTTACGGGCGGTTCCTACTGAGACAAGACGCTGTCTCGAAGCGCTGGAGATGGTGAATATCTATCCTACAGGGTATTCCCGTACTCAACCTCGTCTTTACATCGCACAGAGTACAGGCTAACTAACGTCCGGGATGCAGATCTGATGGCGGCCATACGCCAGATCAAAGTGACATGTCACCAATCTCGCCTCCAGAAACCCTGCTAGGCGAGCTATCTCGATGACGGAGGAGGAAGAACAAGAAGAAGAAGAAGAACGACTCAGGGGTTAAGAATAAGAATGATCCACCACTGCGCTAAAGTCGAATGCAACAGTCGCCATCTTGGAATATATATTGAGGAGTCGTATACTTGCATGCTGGATCCTGAAACCGGAACCCCTTTCGCCCGTGTTCCTGACCCAGAACCACTCTAGAAATGCATTTCGATGCCAGGAGGACATCCGAGCCAGATTACACAGTCGATACATACAATAATGTACCGTTTATACGGAGGCATCAGACTCGATTGGCTGGCTCCGGCGATCGACAAGCGTTGTCAAGGCCTCCCATGCCACGCCCATCTCTTTGCTGCCAAAAACTCCGGCTGCCATATCACCCCAATCGACGCGGTTTCAAGGGGGAATTGCTTTTTTTCTGCAACCGGCGCTGGCCATTGGTGCTGGTGTTGGGCCTCGACGTGTGCGACTTTTAAAAATAGGCACTCTGCCCAAGGGACGTCCATACTTGGATGCTCAGAACGCGTCCATGGGCTTAAGGCAGATTCGAAGGCATGCCAGATGAGGTGTCGTCGTCGTTCCTTTTGCCAGGCAGGTCTTCCACCTTCCCACCGTCCTGTCTTATCATGCAATCTCGATGGATGCCAGTTCAATTTTATCGTCGCCAGGGGAGAGCTTGAATCTTTTTAACAGCCTCCATCGCGCCATCGTGTGGGGATACCCCGGCTGGCAGCCCCCGAAACCCCAATATACAGTCAAACAGCACCATGCGCGGGTCTCACAGCCCCTCTAACGCTGCTCTTGCTACTCCGTACATATTATAGCGATCTTATGTACCAGGGTAAGGCGTGGGCAATGAGAGTAGGCCAAGTAACTAATCGCGGGGAGGCGTACGAGGATATATTAGATGAACGGTACGAAGTATAGCATGGATGTCGTATATTGACATCACGCTGGCCAGGGATGTCGGCGGCACATCTGTCGAACGGCAGACTAGCTGCATAAATCTCTTAGCCGACGAGCTCTTCCTTTCTGCTTATGGATACCAGCTCCGTCATAGGCAGGTAAACCAAGTAGCAACCCGGTGTATACTTGCTGGGTAGGACCGATGCTCTCATCTCTCCGGCGGCAAAAGCGTGGGAAACTCGGCCTAGAGATCCCACAGAAGAAACACGAGTGATGCGGGATACGTCAGTTTCACTATCCCAGCTCCCACAAGAGAACCAGACCAGATCAAGGAGTACAGACACTGCGCTGGCCCAATGTCGTCCCCAAGCTTACCAGAAGCTGCATCGCTCCCCTCCCTCCCGCCGGCGGCGCATATCGCGATCCTCAACACGCTCTTCGAACCATCGCAGCATCTCCACGACCTCGCCGGTCCGCTCTTCACGCAGCAGCCCTTCTCGTCATACCAGGACCTCATCGATGCCGTAAAGGGTCGGCTGGCTGCGCTGGCCGGTAGCGCTACCCAGCCCGGCAACAACGACGATGCGCGAGTCCTTTATGACATCCTAGGCTCGCATCCACGGCTAGGGGCGTCTCGCTCGGCCTCGCATCTCAGTGAATCGAGCAGGCGTGAACAGGCGAATCTTGCCTCGCCGGACGATGGAGATAATGAAGCTGATCAACTGAGGAAGCTGAATGCGGAATATGAAGAGAAGTTCCCCGGCTTACGATACGTGTATGCTCTACGCCGTGTAGTACGCTGAGTGTACTCGTATTAATTATTGCTAGGGTTTTTGTTAATGGCCGAGGGAGGGATGTCATTATGCAGAATATGCGCGAGCGTATCCAGCGGGGGGATCTCAAGCTTGAGATCCAAGAGACCATACAGGTAGTTTCCCTTTCCGAGTCTATAACGCCTATCTGCCTAATAACTCTTTTGTCTAGGCTATGTGTGATATTGCAAATGATAGAGCATCCAAAGCTCTTTGACATATACCTATCGTATCGAAGAGTAGCCATTGTTTATCTACAAACAGATTCACTTGATCTTTACAACCACTTCTCAAACAGCTTCCTTACCTTACAACAGCTCACTTTATCTTTATACAGCTTCCTTCATCCCTCAACATCTCGTCTTTTATCACTTTCTATCATCTTTCTAGAAGTGCCACGTGATATATGGCAAGGATTAGATAGGTCCCGTGATCTAACTGTTGATGACTAAGTATATTATGTCCCAAATAGGAAATTTACCACTGACTAAGCCGATGACATCCATATACAAATACATACACTTTTCCACCAATAAGACTCTAGTATACCAGGTATCCGTGTACTGTATGGTATGGCTTACGAGAGATCAGATAACCGGGAAGGGTTTATCCGCTCCGGTGTTTCCCTTCTTGGAAAAAGCCGTGTGATATTTACTTGCATCCCTTGAAATATCGTCCAGGATCAACTGGGAAAACGTCATGGGATACAAGTGATTTCTTACTTAGTCCACGCCATAAATATGACCGGCTTCCCCAATTAAATACGCAGCCCGGCATGGGGTTTATCGATCCTGGCATGCGGCTTTCTGAACGATGGCGGATGCAAAATATGCCACTTCCCAGACGGATCCTGCTGCCACGCTGCGCCGTGAGACATCGGAGGGCCTTCGGAGAGGCTCAGGGAGTATGGACGGCGCGACTATCGTGAATCAACCGCGACTAGTAGCACCTGGGGATGCGAGTAAGTGGCCCACCCTGCTTCGATATAGTTCGTGCTGGCGTTTGCCCGATCGGCGCGATTCTCAAATGTCTGGGATGATCCGCGGGCTGAGCCGCCAAGTAAATAAATGTACAATACGCCTTTCGTTGCGCTTCGAGAATTAACGAATCTTGCGCCGTACTACCAGATTCGACGAATGATGGCTCCCTCTACGCGAACAGCCACCAGAATGCGACCTCCGAGGGCCCGAAGGACGGCAGCGGCTCCTGGGCTCAACCGACCACCACAGGCGCGAGCCTCAGAACTCAGATGTCACAGATGTCACAGATGTCGGCATCCGGACGCCAGAAACAATTGCCTAGCTCTTCAATCTCTCGCTACGATACACAGGACCAGTCGCCTATTGACCCGTTATCCCAGGTACGTCATCGCCATATACACAGAGTTACAGGGATCTTTCCTTGCTGGGCTTGTCTCGTATATATATCTAGTATTTGAGAAGATGATACTACTTCTGCTCCTTACTTGCAGTTGCAACTTCTATAGCTAATGACTGTTATTTCTCCCGATCAGCATATCCTGAAGAGAACAAACACAGAGAGATCGCTCTCCGCCAGGGTCAGGCCGCGGCACTCCTTCGAGAATGAACCGCTAAACTCAGATGGCCACTTGCCACGACTCTCCGAAGACGGCCCGTCTCCCGCAAGAGCTGACGCCAGCGTAGGACAGTCGCAGACTAAGGATAAGAAGTAAGCTGATCTGCGTCTTAGCCGGTTGGGTCCCTGTTCTAATAGTTATACTAGGAAGGGAGTTTCGTTCCTAAGCCGAATAATTGGCGGGAAGAAAAAGGGATCAGTCTCGGAGTCAAACGATGATATATCGGAGCTAGGTGAACAACGAACTACGGGTTTAGATGGAGAAGTCTTTGCACACCCAATAGGGTATATACCACGGTACCCGCCTCCGCCAAAATATATCAAAGTACGGTCCAAGCACGCAAAGAAAAAGGCGTTCGATCGGCTTTTTCTTGCTCAGGAGCTCAGGGGGGCTCCGGTAGAGGCTGAACTGGACTCAACCGAAGCTGAAACGCATGCAAAGGGTAATAAGGCGGTATGGGCAGCAGAGTTCTCTAAAGAGGGTAGATACCTGGCCGTTGCCGGGCAAGACAAGCGTGTCCGGGTATGGGCGATTATTTCAAAAGCAGAGGACAGACATGCTCATGAAACGGATGAAGAGGCAAGAAACGGCCAAGCGGCTGTAAGGCTAAGCGCACCAGTCTTTAAGACGCATCCTATCCGGTTGTATGAAGGCCATACTGCTAGTATTGTTGACTTGAGTTGGAGTAAGGTACGTGTTTGTAGCTTCCTACAGAACGTGGCACCATGCTAATAATATGGCTATCTACAGAATGACTTCCTTCTTACCACGTCTATGGACAAAACTGTGCGCCTATGGCATGTTACGCGGGATGAATGCCTGTGCTGTTTCAAGCACGGCGATTTCGTCACCTCCATCGTATTTCATCCCCGTGACGACCGGTTTTTCCTTGCTGGCTCGTTAGATTGCAAGCTCCGGCTATGGAGCATCCCCGACAAGGCCGTTGCATACAGCGTGACCATTCCAGACATGATCACAGCTGTAGCGTTCACCCCAGATGGGAAATATGCACTGGCAGGCTGTTTAAACGGCCTCTGTGCTATCTATGAGACCGATGGGCTAAAACCGTTGTCGCAGCTTTATGTTCGGTCTGCTCGTGGAAAAAATGCCAAAGGAAGCAAAATCACTGGTATAGATACGATCGTTCAACCTCCTACTAATGAGAATGGCGCCGTGAAACTGCTCATTACCAGCAACGATTCCCGGATCCGCCTTTATAACTTCAAAGATAGGACGCTGGAAGCTAAGCTCCGTGGCAATGAGAATATGTCCAGCCAGATTCGCGCCAGCTTTAGCAGTGATGGACGATATGCCATCTGTGGGAGCGAGGATGGCCGAGTTTATATATGGCCCCTGGATTCTACTGAGAGATACCCGGACAAACGGCCTATTGAATTCTTTGAAGCTCACAACTCGATTGTCACCACTGCTATAATGGCACCTATCGCCAGCAAGCGGGTCTTGGGGACGACAGGTGATCTATTATATGACCTATGTAACCCACCACCTGTTACCTTGGTCAGTGCCGCGGCGTCAGTTATTTCAAGGGATCAGGGACGAAACGATGAGGAACCTGTACCACCACCTACACCACAATCCCTCCACCCACCCGGCCAGCAGAAAGCAGAGGAGTCCCCAGCATACATTGCACGGTCTGCACACCCCGGCGGTAACATCATCGTAACGGCTGATTACCACGGTAGAATCAAGATATTCCGGCAAGACTGTGGCTACCACAAACGTCGACATGAACTCTGGGATACGAATTCTACGTTCTCGAGGAAACTCCTAGGTCGTACGAACTCAGTATCCACACGACACAGCGTAGCATCCTCGATCGGAAAGGAATCGAAATCCCCCTCGGAACGGATCCTGTTGTGGCGCAACGCAGTGGTTGGTGGCTCTGATAACCGCAGTGTCGACAACCTTCGTGGAACCCTCGAGTCTGCTGGCCGGAGCGGTTCCCCTTCCAAGCCACGAAAGGAGAATGGCTCCGTGGATATACCCAAGTTTGCGACGCCAGCCTCGCCGGCCTCCCAACGATCCGGTGGTGGAACCTCCTTGCTTCACCCTAACAGCAAACCTCCACCATTGACCAAGTTCCTCAGCACTATTCAATCAGGAGGGGCAACCCCATACAGTCCCGGCACTGACAACGACGAAACCCCGCGGCCTTCTGAGTATAACGCGAATGGTGCAGACCAGAGCTATATATCATGGAATAAGGCCCAGGCAGACTCTCTGGCAAACACCAGTGGCCCCCCGCACTCTCTCTTTACGCCAGACGCCGGACACGCTAAGTACAGCAGCACGAATGCTTTGGCTAGCAACGACATTACCAGCGACGAAGATGGCGAGTATGAGGAAGAGCTGGGGTGCTCTAAATGCCATGGCACGAATTTTAAAGCTGCCCGACTCAAAATGGGGAGCAGAGGCTAATATGCATACGATGCGGCTGTGCAGCATCGTAACAACGCAACCAACTATACACGCCACTACTGGCATTGGATCTCTGCAACTTTTTGGCAGACTAGTCACTTTCTGCCATGTGAATATGGCTTCGTCTCGTTTTCTTTTTTCATTTTGAGCTCACTTTTGTATTTGTTTTAGGTAGATCTGGGTTGGTTTTGGCGAAAAATGCATAAAGGGTAGGAGGAGGTTGAAGCATGTAACTATATATGGATACAGTACATTTCTTGGCCGGGGAAGAGAAACCCTGTGTTTGCTTAGTTTTGGTTTTGGAATGAATAAATGATATACCAGGCAGCCAGCCATGGATGAAGAAAGAATGATTCCTCTTTAGCCTTGACCTGAAGTTGGTGATGATGTTCTATATAGAAACGGGTAAACAAGAAGTGTGGTGTGTTTGTCCTGTTTGCTTCCACTCACAAACCACAAAAAATGTCACCGACGTCACAGCGATAATCGAATTATCAATTCCACCGCCCACCTCGACAGAGAACGCCAGATCAGATATTAATTACCCACTGCCACCACTTCGAACGAAGGAGATATAGACGGACTTTTACTCGCTGGTCGATATCAGAGACAGTAGCCATGGTTTTCCTAGAGACGTCACAAGACTACCTCAAGCAGTCGTCGCTATTACTCGAAGCATACCCAGACACAGTACGTTGCGCCTCATTCCGCATACACGGTCTCTATCTATCTACATCTTCTCCAGGGAACACAAGAATAGAAGAGCAGAAATATAGCTCCCTCTCAACCCAATTGTAAAGCTAACCATGTTTATCTAGACCCGGATATCCACAAGATACTCCTACCCCAAAAGACCGTCCGCGAAAGAGAGAGCCAAAGCCAAGTCAAAAGCCACAACTTCAGAATCTACGGAGCCCACAGAAACAACCGTGACACCTGCAACATTGACTTTAAAGACATTTAACCCTGGCACAGGCATATGCCTAAAATATCAAACAAACAAGGCCGCGGAAGTGGGCAGGCTGATAGCTGGGCTGGGCAAGTTGGCTAGCGGGGCACCGATTGAGGATCTCGTACCGCAGATACCGGGGAAGTCTCCGGCTGGTGAGACTGAGGATGTTGATATGCTTGATGTCCCATCGCGGACTCTGGCGCCGTCACCCGTAAACGACGAGAAGGATGGGGGTAGTAGAAGTAATACTCCTGTTGCGGGTGGTGCTGGCGGGGGAGGCGGAGGAGGAAAATCGGCCAAGGGTAAGAAGAAGGGTAAGGGGAAGAAATAGCGCTATTAATTTATTATTAGAGCATGCTCCAGGTGCATTGGTGAAATATACCAGCCTTTACGATGGATGGATTATATATGATTAAATGCTAGGATGCTGCATTTGGGGGTGTCCTAGTCGTGGAAGATAAGCATATTTTGAAGTATCCCAAAATACCTTGGTCTTCAGATTTAAGAATCATCCAATTTTCCTAAGCACGAGACTTTTGGATGAGTTGCAACGCCATACACTAAGCCGAGAATATTGGAGAATAAATGATAAATGTACTGTTTTTATTATACGCGCATTATCACATTCCCAACCCATCCGAAGCGGACCTCCGCGTGCAAAACCATGGATATCCGCCTTGGATAAAATACATAAAAGATATAACCCACAAATCCAAAAAAAACGCCGAGCCTGCATGAACATCAAGATAGGAGAGTAAGAAAGGAAAAAGGTATTAAAGCATCAGTGGTCTATGCTTGATAGGCGTGGGAAAGTTCGTGTAAGGATATTGAGAAACGAAGAGAAGAGATAAGAGGTCGTAGCATGGAGGGGGAATCATTGAACGTAGAAAGGCAAGGGGCGAGGCGTTTAGAAGTCTTCGTCGAATCGGAAGGCTCCACCGTTTTCATCCTCTTCGGTAGACTCTTCTTCCTTCTTAGTGCTGGCCATGACGCCAGCCTTCTGGTAGTCACCAACACGCTTCTCGAAGAAGTTGGTCTTTCCAGCAAGGGAGATGTTGTCCATAAAGTCAAAGGGGTTGCTAGTGTTGTAGAACTTCTTGTTGCCAAGAGCCACAAGGAGTCTGTCGGCAACGAACTCGATGTACTGGCACATGAGCTTGGAGTTCATGCCGAGAAGGGCGCAGGGGAGAGCATCGGTCAAGAATTCTTGCTCGATGCCGACTGCTTCTGTGATGATGGCCTCGACAGCGCTGGGGTTGGGGCGATGGTTGAGATGAGAGAATAGAAGGCAGGCGAAGTCGGTGTGGAGACCTTCGTCACGGGAGATGAGTTCGTTGGAGAAGGTGAGGCCGGGCATGAGACCACGCTTCTTCAGCCAGAAGATAGAGGCAAAGGAACCGCTGAAGAAGATACCCTCGACGGCGGCGAAGGCAACGAGACGCTGAGCAAAGGTGGAATCTTTATCTTGGATCCATCTGATAGCCCAGTCGGCCTTTTTGCGGATGCAGGGAACTAGCGTAATCGTTAGAATGATGTCACAAGACGGGCAAGGCAGCTGGATAACATACTGGTGTCGATAGCCTCGAAGAGGTAGGTTCTCTGCTTCTGCTCCTTGATATATGTGTCGATGAGGAGAGAGTATGTTTCGGAGTGAATGTTTTCCATCATGATCTGGAAGCCGTAGAAGCATCGAGCTTCGGGAACCTGAACCTCGCCACTGAATCTCTCGAGGAGGTTCTCGTTCACGATACCATCTGACGCGGCGAAGAAAGCCAAGACGTGAGAGATGAAGAATCGTTCATCGTCATTGAGTCTGTTGTTCCAGTCGTGGATATCCTTGGACAGATCGATCTCTTCAGCAGTCCAGAAGGAGGCCTCGGCCTTCTTGTACATTTGCCAGATCTGGTAGAGTCAATTGACGCGTTAGCCACCAAAAAAACCACTTTATCGCGTAACGCGTCACGAATTGCCATACCTCGTGATATTTGATGGGGAACAGGACGAAGCGCTGAGGGTTCTCTTGGAGTAGAGGCTCCTCGGCCTCGAGTTCCTTGGGTGTTTTGGCCTTGACGACCTGGGCCTCAGCAGGCTTGGTAGACTGGATGTCAACCTTCTTCAGCTCCGGTTCAGCGACGTCGGAGGAGACGGGAGCGTTCTCCTTGTCGGGGAGGTTCAACTTGAGTGGCTTCATAGGCGTATCGTTCATCTTGAGCTTTTCTAGCGAGGAGGCAGTCTATATCAATTGGAAGTAGTCGCGTCAGTAAACCACCCACTTTAAACACGCGTTAGGAGGGGCTGACGAGGGCAACATACCTGCTTGGAGGGAGTAGATAGGGTGGCCATTGTGATTGTAAGCGTGCTTGACTCGAGTAATCGGTTAGATATCGAGAAGGGGAGAGCTGGATGCTTGAAGATTGTTGATGGAGGAGGAAGAGCAGAGAAACCGCGGATGGGAAAGCTCGCTCAAATAGTTTTTGCCCGGAGTCGCGCTAAGTCACGCGACCACGCGCCGGAGCGCGATAGCTTAGTCATAATAGGCTGTTTGTCTTGTTTGCATCATACAAGATCTTATCTGATCAAGATAAACCCCTGACCGAGGGCGCGTTATCCCGGTCAAGATGCAGGTCAAGATGCAACAAGATGCACCAAGATGCGCTAAGATGCAGACACGCCGCAAGGCTGGGCCAGTAGGCTGCTCGTCGGCGGGCTCAGGGGTCTCAGCCAACACCCCACCGCGCGGTTTCTCGGTCTGAGTGGCCAGACGGAGGCTGCTGGTCCGCTGCGGGCGTCCATGGGCTTGTTTACTATGGATCCTACGCTGGACGCGACTTTGCCTTCCAGCTTGTCAACTGGCTTTTCAGCGAGATGACCGATCCGCGTCATCCGCCGCAGCCAGTTCGGCTTGCATATCTCGGCGGAAACTGGTTTTACTTGCATTTATGACCGAGAGCTGACGCGACGCATCGGACTATGGCTTCTCCACACGTTGTGGTCGAAATATTACGCTGGCTACGGAGTACGGAGTACTGATATTGGAAGTACGCTTTCCGCTAGCTATGCAATCTTCGCGTACCCTGTAAACGGGAATTTTTTAGATTGGTTGAACTCAGTCTTGTTCCTGCATCCATCAGCCTTCCGAACTTTTATAAATGACGTGTTTAAAATATGGCATATATCAAGTATTATATCGAGTAAAGGGTATAATATTATCTCATTTTCTTTTTTTAATAAACCGAGTTTATTTTAGCATCTATCTGATATCGGAAGGCGGGAAGAAAAACCATCTATATCGCCCTTCCCCAGAGGAAGATATTATCTACTGCAAGGAAACAACGCTGGACCTGGGAGAACAAGGAGACAGTCTATATATACATGGAGAGATGTGAATATACAGATAGAGCAAGGCCATCTATATCCAAGCCCTTACGGATTCTGGCAAGAAGCTGTCTTCGGCCTTCCGCATGAGAATGGTACATTGTTCCATAAATGTGAGTGTCAGGACCTAAGGCATGTTATGTCAGTATATGGCTGGCTACTGGAGCACAAAGCTTGGAAACTCACTGTATGAGGTACGACACGAGCCAGATGAGCAGATACACCCTTATAGATGGCAAAGAGTCCCTCGGCCTTGATTGTCTTCTTGACACAATCGAATACACCATTGTACAGGTTTCCGCTCTGGTTGTACATTCGGGACATGATAGTGTCTGGAGGATGCATAGCAATGCAGACAACAACACCACTGGCAGCGCTACTTGCAAGGTGCAATGGAAGTCCCTCCTCCATGCCCAGATGACGTATCAGGTTGCGTTTGGCAAAGAAGTATGTAGGCAGCTGGACAGCACTACCGAAACCCGTTCGGATCATGGAAGCCATGGCACCACGGTATAGTCCGTGTACACCCTCACTGCGGTATATCTTCCGCAGTCCATCAGATGAACCTTTGTAGTCGTGCTGTGTGCCGACTGGAAGGGATGGAGAGAAGGATTGCAATCTCGTCTTTACCAGGAAAAACGGTGATGCAACAGCTGCACCTATGACACCCGACGTCGCTCCAGAGAAAATGTTTATGGCCATAGACTGAGCCTTGGGGTCGTCGTATATGGCCGAGGTGATGCTCTTGCGCATTGGTTCGTAAAATGAGAGACGGCAACCGTTCAGCAGGAGTTGGTATGTGTACTGCAAGCAAGGATCGGTCAGTTGTCGATTGCGGAAAGCATCTGCAGAGCTTCAATACATACAGCTGCGTCAAGGCCGCGGAGTAGACCTCTTGGGCCTTCATTCTTTAGAATGACAGTGATTCCATGAAACACGCCCTTGTACTGTTTGGCGACATCCTTCTTCGCCTGCAGCTCGCCTTGTAGTTGTAATCTTTGGTTTCATCATTAACTCCCTTGAGCTTCAACCGGCAAATGGAGAACGGGTCGGTATTACCGGATCTTGACTGTCTCGAAGCTGTGTGTCAGGGTGACAGCACCACAAGCGGCCAGGCCACCGGCAAGAAACGCTCTATAGTCCAATTGAAGTCAGTCAACTGCATTCATTTATTGTATTCTGTCAGCTTTCGCGACAAACCTACCCAGTGGCGGTGGACATTCTTCCTTACGTCCGGATTCGTAGATCTAAGCAATTGGATAAGAAAAAGAGGTACTGAGTGGAGAGGGTGACTAAAGGAAAACAGAGGAACTAATAACGAGAAGCCTGCAGAGACATCGACATAATCCTTATCGGCTCAACAGCTATGTCGATAGAAAGAGAACAGAGCATGGGGGAAAGGGAATGTCTACACTTTAAACCCGACCTCCCAATTGAAAATTCCAGCGTATCAGCTGAAGTTTTAACTAATTCCACGGGGCTGTTTCGGCCGGCGGATCATTGTTTATCCACAGCTGGCAGATGGATATCAACGAGACGATCAAACAGTTTCAGCCCTCGTCCACAGGCAAAGCAAAGAAAGCATTCTCATACGTGGCGACGATGGCGGAACAAGCAGTCGCCCCTATGCAGCCGGCAGAGAAGGTCTCGGATGTGATCAAGAATTATAGGGCGTCAAAGGTAGGTGTAAAGATGTGCTAAGCTTGGGGGTTGACCGCAAAGCTAATGGCAGCTCTTCCTTGCAGGCATTTAGAGGCAATCCCAAGTCAGATAAGCAAGTAAATGTCACTTCGCTGGACTTCGATGACCAGGGAGACTATCTGGTCGCCTCGGGTGACGATGAGATGATACAGGTATTCGATATCAAGGAGGGAAAATCTACAAAAACCGTCCCGAGCAAGAAATACGGCGTACACCTGGCAAGGTTCACACACCATTCACGCCAAATTCTCCATGCGAGTACGAAACTTGACGGTATGACCTTTGGATTCTGCTGTTTGCTTTGGTACATATTCTAACGACTGTAGATTCACTACGACTTCTTGATCTACACAACGAGAGCTACCTTCGATATTTCACGGGCCACACGGATAAAGTGACTTCTCTTGCCCTTTCTCCGGGATCAGACGCATTCCTATCCTGCTCAAAGGACGACACTGTTGCTTTTTGGGACCTCAACTCACGGAATGCCCAGGGCAAACTTAAGCTTGCAACTCCCTACCTTGCTGCTTTCGACCCATCCGGAAGTGTCATAGCTATCGCTTCTCAGTCAACCTCTTTTGTCCTCCTATATGATTTCCGAAACTACGACAAAGCGCCCTTTGCGACGTTTGATCTCTCGCCTCTGGAAGACAGATATGCCCCAACAACTAAGGGGCGAGCTTGGACCCGCCTTGAATTTTCGAATGACGGGAAGAGTCTTCTCATCGGAACCGATTACCATGGCCACTTCGTACTCGATGCCTTCGAGGGCAATCTGAAGGCATTTTTGGTTGGTAAACAGGGCCCAACTGGACGTGCAGCACCAGTCTCTACCACCGGAAAGCCGCCTGGTCAGGGAGATGTATGCCTCACACCAGATGGGCGATATGCAATTGGAGGTGCAGGAGAGCAGCCTGATACGTTGGTTTGGGATTTACATCAACCTCCGGATGCGAAAATGTTTCTTGAACCAATGACTCACTTGCCTTATTATCGATCGAGGACGGTTCTCGTACAAACCAACCCAAGATATAATATGTTTGCAACTGCGGATAGAGAAATCGTCTTTTGGCTGCCTGAAGACGGTACAAAGACGCCTGACAAATGAGCTCCACATGCAGAATGATACACTCACGCGTTCCAGGGACAACAGATGGCCGTCCTTGGCCACACCAGCATTAAAAGGAATCTACAGGACCGGGACAGTTTGCCAAGGTGACATAATTGTCGAATATTCAATTCTTATTTATTCCCAGCATTGAAAAGGAGCCATTGATATGTCTCTATATTTACGAGGTCACGCTATATGCTGCATCATGAATCATCATCTTTTGCTAAATCCGAACGCCATCAATGCGGTCAAATGGCCCTATTACTATCTTTGCCGATCAAACTGCGGGCAGTATCGCAGACCCAGACGGTTGGGCCACAAACCTCATCATCATCGCCGCGTTGCTCCTCTATCCACCCTTCAATCTGTTTTATGACAGTTCGGTTGCTCGATATCGTGGTCAACCCAGCCGCCCATCCATAAAGGAACACGCTTCTGTTGATGTCGCTGAGCTTTTGGGCAATATGGCGAGCAATAAATGGAAGAGAACCGTCCTTCCAACCCCGATCGATATCGACTTGGGAGTCCACCACTTTAATCGGAAGCTTCCAGTCGAGAGGGACTGTATAATCAGATAACTCTTGGAATTTAGATATCAGGACACTCCTGTCTGACACATCAGTGTCACCCATCAAGAGCTTTGTTCGCTCCTTTTCTTTTGGCGTTCCTATTGTGTCAACGATCTCTTGCATTCTCTTAGCTGCCCTCATTGTACAGACGAGATCCCTATCTCCTGTGGCAGGCCATAACTCGGAGGGTAGCAGCTGCTTCTGTGCTTCAAATTCTATCTGTCGATTGATTGCTGGATGATAGGATGGTAGGCACTCGAGGTCGCGCGTGTGCGATAGGTCGGACACAAATGCCAGTAGCAGGGTGCAGTCGACATTCAAGATCGGTGTCATATGTGGGAAAGGGTTTGGGAGCAGGGACGAGAATAAAGCGGCCGGGTCATGAATAGCAGTATCAACGGGTACTTCGCTATCTACCACGAAATCGAAGCTGGGCGCTTCAGACGTAGCACATTCAACAGTAACACCGACCTTACGGACTTTACGGATAATCTTATCAATTTCGGCGACCTGTCCTTCCACAATCTTAGGTAGGACCAGCCTGATGCGCGGGTGTCTATATCTTACACGCACCTCAGCGGCAGCTTTCTTCATGTCAACCGCCAATTTTAGAATTTCGATCATGTCATCGTCGTCTTCACTATCGTAGGCGTGCATTTTAGGTGTAGAACTGGTTCTACTCCCATCGTCGTCGTCGTCATCGGAGTCCGAATCCAGGCCAATCTCCCACCCCTGTTTTGCAAGATCAAATAGCAGCCTATTCGGTGTGACTGTTGATACTTTGACCCATTCCTCGCCATTGTCAGCTACAATATCAATCAAGACCCCTCGTTTGTGCATTTTTGTGTCAGGGTTTCCCGTTTTCGGCTCGGGGTTGGCTTTAATCTCCGGCTCCTCGACGTCTGCAGCCAGGTCTTCATAACCGTGTTCCAGGGCACGTCTCTTGTTGTTCTGGTAAAAATAGAACTTTTTATTAAATGATATAATCCCGGTGCAGGTTGTCTTTGCCACTCCCCATACGTTGGCGTAGAATGGGAAATTCGATGACCGTAACGAATGTAGCACTTTCAACTCGGCCTGACCCAGGCCTTCTTCCTCACTGTCTTCATCTTCCTCAGGATCTCTATTTTCACCTCGTGTCTCAATTTCCCCAGTTTCTTGTGCTTTGCCGGCATTCTCCTCTGCATCTTGGGCAACAGCCTCCTCTGCCTTTGCCGCCAACCTCTGCAACGATTTCAGTTCCGACTGAACGATAGATTTAAACTGCCGTAGTTCGACAAGATGTGGCTTCCCAATCGTTACCAGGTACGATTGGAACGATGAGAGCTCAGAGAGTAGTTTCTGACATTGTTCAAGCAAAAAATATGCTAGTTCTCGACTACTCCTCGCACGTTTGCTGACAGGCTGTTGTTTGAGGGCCGCCGAAGTATTGTCCATAATTATCCGTCTAATAAGTGCATAAAACAAAGCAATACTTAATAGCAACGACAGGCCTCAGCCAGAATTTTGCAAAGTGAGAGAGAGAGTAAATGGTTCTTCCTCATGTTACTTTTCCTGGTGAGCGTGACGCATTTATTTCCCCATGTCACGTGGTGATAGCCTCATTCAGCTAAAAATATATGGATCTTTACGTATAAAAAGAATGGCGCTGGGGAGGCCAAGGACGTCTATGGTAGGCACTTCTGAAGGCGATGTCACTTGCGGCTACTAGTGGTATACCTTCTTTAAAGACACATTCCCGGGATCATGATGGTATTACACGAAAAAAAAAATAGTATGCAATAACGATAAGCAGACGAAGACCTACAATATAGCAAGGAAGAAACACAGGATGAAAAATGGGAAACGGGAGAGAATCCTAGGAGACAAAGGTCATACCAAAAACGCCTCCCAGATATCTGCCAAAGGCACTGCAGCATTATACATTGGTATTAAAAAGGGTATATGATCCTTCTTCAGAACATCCCCCTAATCATCTTTGCGCATCAGTTTTTTCCTCTCCGTCGAGTTTCTTGGTGACACATCATCGTCAGACCACCTGTCCATGTCCTCTCCAACTGCGAATATAGTCTCGCCGTCAAGGGAATGGCGGACTTGGTGGGCGCCATTATTCGCTTGTGCACTAGCGGCAGCGGCGGGAGAGCGGTCGTTTTTCCGCCCGTTTGTATTCTCAACTGCATCTTCTTCATCGAGAGAATCAGTGATGGAGCGGATTTCAAACCCGTCATCCTCTTGGGCAAGCTATACAAATAATTAGTTCGTAGGCATCTTTAAATTTTGGTACAGAGGGGACCTTACCTCATCACTCATAGCGAACCGTTTATTGTTCGCCGTTGGCCGCCACAAGTATGAGACATATGCAATGTTGAACAGGTAAACGATGTTCAACCAACCGTCTAGAACGAACCATCTGCTCTTCCACTGGGCGGGGATCAAATCGGCCACATTTGTGCTAGCGAACACGAACGAGTTGATGAAAAAGAAAGCAAAGATAACAACAATGCTGCCCAAGAGACACCACCAGAGCTTTTTGTACATCATTGCTTTCACATGTTGTTTCCTACTCACGAGATCCTTCATAGTTGCGCTGAGGGAGTTGAGAGTCCATACGTAGAACGCGGTTAGGGAGCCTGCAAGTGGAAGGACAACGAGAAGGACCAACGGGCCAGCACTATCCGGCGTAATTGAAAGACTGGCAAGTGAGTAGATGACTCCGAAGACAAAATGCGTAATGGCCAAGATGCGAACGTAAATCATAGTTCGGCCAAGAGAAGGCTTAACGACTCCGTAGCCCATGCAGACAATGAGTAGTAGGAAGAATGAGAATGAGTTGCGGCCGGCACTTAGAATGGACACAATGACCATTAGAACCTTGGAAACAGCATTCGAGCCATATCTGTTTTGATAGTCTGTTTCGAATTAGCGATAGCAATTGCAGCTAGCGAGCAGAATCTACGTACCATAGAAACCCCATGTTATGAGCTGTTCTACAACCAGGAAAACGATAATTGCGGTAATATAGTTTTGCACGGGCACTGTAGGATACATTAGCAGACGTTACGAGAAGTGAGAGAATGCTTACTCACAAATGTCATGGCGGTGTTGAGCATATAGGAAACCCCAGAACCTATAAACACGTTTAGTAGAAGTCACACGATTAACCTCCCGAGGAATCGAAAACTTACACTCCCATCAGAGCATAGAGAATCGTCAACCCTCCGTAGAATGGCAACTTCGGGACCTGTGTAGCAGGAAGTTCCCCATAGGCATTCCTGAACGTCACAACGCCATGGTACTCTAAACCATCCGTGAACGGGTAGGTAGTGACGCAATAGAAACCACTTTTCGACACTGGGTATTTGATAGGCTTGGGATCAGTCATGTTTACGGCGAGCGAAATAAGAGGAGATTTCGCTTTGTCGGTAGCGTTTGGCGCAAGAATGAAGGACCCAAGCTCGTTTTGAGCACAGAGTTTGGCGTCAACACTTGGTGCGTCACATATCAGCTTCTTCTGCGTCTAATTTAGTTAGCATCGGGAGTGAAAATAAAAGATTGGGATACGCCTGGTAGCGCTCGAGGAATAATAATATACCATGCCATCCTTTGCTGCCAAGTTGCGTCCAATCAAATCCTCATCTTTCCATTCAAACATAACCAAGCTCATTATCTGATCCTTCTTATCTTTCACGCTTTCCATCCTCAGCAAGATAAATGGGTTTATATCACCGCCCCATGCCTTCTTGCCGTACATTCCAGAGCATTGTTGTCGGTTGGAGTTGTCGTGGGCCTGCGGATTCAACGGTCAGCATTAATTATCCATCGTCACGAGCCTGAGTAGAAGTCTCACCAGTTTAACATCATTTGCGAGCACACCAGTTGCCAGTATGGCACCTAGCCAAAAAGCGCTCTGCGGCCACCGCATGATTCCGGCTCGCTCCCAGCAGCTATAGTACGATACGCCCTTGAACCCGTCAAGGGCTTCTGTAATGTAAAATAAGAATCAATCGAGATGGTCTCCAGTCCTTCCCACAATACTCATCATGCGGCGTGCGATGACTGTCTCAGGAGTGAAAGGACAATGGTGAAGCCTTGGAGGACACTTTTAAGCTGTACTCGCAATGTTTGACTGGAGAATGACGTAAGCAGGAACCTCGGGAACTCCACCGCAGAAAAAGGAAAACTCGCATCCTATCAAAAAAATATTTTTGGAGATAGCATCATTCGTATTAAATATTTTATTCTGAAGGGAAGGGATATTAGTCTTTGCAACTACCCGGTTATTAAGATGGATACTTGCGTCGACTGCAAAAGAGAACCAGCCTGTTTGGCTACACGGAAGCGGAATCTCTGCCAGTAAGCCCAATCTCACCTTCAATGAACGCGGGGCTATAGCTAATGCCAGTCGTAAAAGAGGATGCTTTATTAAATTTATTCACACGAAGGCCCGGCGGAGGATGGATCGATATAAAGATGGCCCAAAGGATAAAGAGCTAACCCTCCTTCTACCGCTCTCCTTTGGTGTCTCCTCGTTATCGCTTCTTCACCTGTTAGACGACCAGCTCGAACACCAGCGAGGGAATGAATATAAACGAGTTCCGTACAAGCTGCATGTCCTGTCGGTGGATTCTCCTACTTTAGACGCCCCAGAGGAATCGAAAGACACAAGACTAGAAGTACTGCGGTCGACGTTCCCCGAATTCACCTTTACAGAAATCCCTCTACATTCGATCTTTCACTACGACAAAAATGTGGAGGAGTTTATGCTGCAACACTCATCTAATAGAGATATAACCGACTCATCAATAAAAGACCAGGATCGGCTGGAGGCGTTCCGGTCCTCTCTTTCTACAGCGACTTCTAGAGCGGACTTTGACTGTGTATTGCTGAGGAAGCTGGTTGTTGCGTTTGCAACTTCCGAAGGGTGCGATGGCGTATTATGGGGGGATTCTGATAGTCGGCTTGCAGCAAAGACCTTAGCGGGAGTTGCGAATGGCCGAGGGATCGCGTTGCCCTGGGAGGTATGCGACGGGCCAACTCCATGGGGGGTACACTTCACCTTCCCTGTCAGAGACATCTTCAAGTCAGAACTAGTGCAATATGCATCCGTCAAGTTCCCGGATTTACTATCGAAGATTGGATCTAAGAAGCCGAAAGTCTTCAATGACCAGGTTACGAAGAATATGTCCATTAGCGACTTGATGACTCAATATGTTGAACAGCAGGGAGAGAAATATCCTGGAATCATGGCGAATATTGTCCGAACAATTGATAAACTACAGCCATCGCAGTTACACTCCGGCCCAAATTGTGTCTACTGTGGAGTACCGTTAGAGTCGGGCCAGATGGATCCAGCGACTCTCAGCATCCTCGAAGAACGAAACCTCATAGATGACGAGAGCCACGTGAAAGATACTGCCACATGCTATGGCTGTGCTAGGACATTTCTTGATTTTAAACGGCCGGCTGTTACTTCGAAATGATATCATATGTCCTACGTCGTCATACAGTTTCTCTACACGTCAACCTTGGCTCGGGGGCAACAAAACGTTCAACGATCAATGATTAATCCGTTGCGGACATGCCAGGAAACCTTCATGCAAGAATCAAAACCATTTCTCCGTGGCTATTCCAAACGAGATTAAATACAAATTAAAGGTTATACATGTGGTATCTCAGATAAAGACATGAAAAGAAAACGTACCCATCGACAAAGCACAAGAAAGAAACGAATGTCACAGCGCCATCTACGTCTAATAAACGCTCTACCGATGGGGCCTTGATGTGTTTGACCGCCTGGTCTCCTTAGGCAATCGTGCCGGAGACGGTCTGGTGGGCTCGTCATGACGCATTGGGGGTTCAGTGTTATGGCGACGCGTTGACGGCCGACGACCACCGGATGTAATGATCGTCTCATTCCCCTCTTCCAGACGCGAGAGGTTATTCCTCCCCTTGTCACGCAGGTAACGCTCCAACAGCACTGCGTTGCGCGTGTTGCATTTATATAGAGCGTCTACGAGATCGCCCACAAACGGAACCAGGCCGATAATGAAATCGAAAAGGACGTTGAACACCATCTGGATTTGGATGTTCGTGGGGAGGCCACCGTCGATCTGCCTGCACGTCATGACGACCATCAGGGCAAAGAGAGTGTCAATAACATCTCCGAAACTAAATAAGAGACGTTAGTTATATCTATGGTATTAAATATAAGAAGATGGAAGGGGAATGGGGCAAATCGTACGCTGGAACTAGACCGATAACGCTCCCCCATCCGAAGCGTATCCCGCAGAAGTTACAGAGGGAGAGGTCCAATCTGTATGCTCGTCTTTTGACCTTTGTAAGAATCTTTGCATCATGCGACGAGATGCCTTCTGGAGCAGCCTTGCGCCGCTTTTTAATCTTCTGTTGGCCAAACATGTTCGTAGCCGGCACGCTTTCGAAGTAAGGGTCCTAACAGTAGCATCTCGGAATTAGCAGGGGTCTATACCGGATAATTCGTTGGAGCCAACTTACCTCCTTGCCAAAGTGATTTTCAGCAGTCTCCTTCAACACCTTCTTCGACAACGTGCCGATAATGTAGGATGCCATGGTGTATTTCTCGCGCTCTGGCGCAGGGTCGATGGTTTGGTCAGGAGTATGAGAAGGAGAGGCAGTGGTGCTGAGAGAAATTGGGTAAAGCAAGGAAATATATAGCAGGATATAAGGAACGACGCTGAAGAGAAGGAAAACAAGGGTAGCGAGTGTGAATGGAGAATGGAAGGCTTTGTGACCTTTAAGCAGAGGGTTGGCCGGTGAATGCGATTTCGATTAGCTTTTACCCCTTTAGCCCTATCGTGCGCACGGAGAGCACTCAGCGGGAGGAATGAAACATCTTGACGCCCGGGAGGGGTGTATATATAAATACCTGCTCGCGCGCAGGGCAGTGTCAGAGAACCTGGTCCTGGAGTCGCCTGCGAGCGATCTTATTGCTTCGACTGCGAGTCTCACGGCGGCAAGCAAGATGCGTTCACATCCACTCCGACGTCATAGTGACTAAGCTGTGCATGTAGATATGCGACTACACCGTTCTCCCTTTTCTTTTTTTCCTCGTCTTCTTCTTCTTTCTTCTTTCTTCGTCTTCTATCTCTCCTATGTTTCTTGTCTATTCTTTTCTTCTTTTTTCTGTCTTTCTTTCCTGTCTTTCTTGTCTTTTGTCTTGTATACTCGTCTTTGTATGTATAAGATGACTAAGCAGCCACAGTGGCTGAGGAGTGGCGGAGGCTTACTAAGCTAAACTCCGACTGCGACGAAGAAACGAAAGAAACGAAGAAACAAACAAGAACGAAGAAAGAAGAACGAAGAAACGAAGAAGAACAAGATAGAAGAGAACGAGCACTTCTCTCGGTCACGGTGCCTTTTTCCTTCTTGTCTGGTGAAGGCTTGAAGGTCGGTTGTAGTCACTTATAACAGGCTGGCAAGCTCACTCGGCTGGCTCCACGTCAACTTCAACCTCGCCTTCTACCAACACATCGCCGCCTGCGCGTTCGGGGATGCATTATTGTCTGAGGCGCCATGACAGAAACCAAAATGCGATTAGAGGACTGTAAGGAAAGCATCCAAGAGTCGCTGGCCCGTGGATAATGAGCTGATCCGTGTCTTTGCTGCACGCACCTAACAGGGCTGGATGACCTATGCGTTCGGTTCATTGTAAACCTCCCCAGAGAAGAGCTCGAGTCGGTCGAGCGGATATGCTTCCAGGTCGAAGAGGCACAGTGGTTCTACGAGGACTTCATTCGGCCACTTGACCCAAACCTGCCGTCTCTGAAGCTCCGCGAGTTCGCCCTTCGCATCTTCCAGCACTGCCCGTTGATGTCACAATGGTCGCACTACCACCACTCTACCGCGTTTTCCGAGTTCCTGGCTTACAAGACAAGAGTGCCGGTGCGTGGTGCTATCCTGCTTAACCATGAGATGGACGAGGTCGTCCTCGTCAAGGGCTGGAAGAAGGGCGCAAACTGGAGTTTCCCTCGAGGTAAAATAAACAAGGAAGAAAAGGATCTGGACTGTGCCGTGAGAGAGGTCTATGAAGAGACTGGGTTTGATATCAGGGCAGCCGGCCTGATTCAGAATGAGCAGGATGTCAAGTACATCGAGATACCGATGCGCGAGCAAAACATGCGACTCTACGTGCTACGGGGGGTGCCCAAGGATACACACTTCGAGCCCAGGACGAGGAAGGAGATCAGCAAGATAGAGTGGTATAAGCTGTCTGATCTCCCGACCTTGAAGAAGAACAAGCAGCACGAAAACGTGCCTTACCAGAATAATAACAAGTTCTACATGGTTGCGACTTTCTTGGGGCCTCTCAAGAAATGGATTGCCAAACAGAGAAAATTGGACCAGGCACGAGCTTCACACCCTAATCTAGCCTCGCATGAGGAAACTGTTGGAGGAATAATTACAGAAGATGAGGGGGCTGAAGAACACCATGATATCACTGGCGGTTACCCTAGCCATCAGGTTTCGTCGATGCAGATGCCACTGCCGCTTCACTCTGACCTGCCTGAGGTGTCTGCGCCGCTGGACCCGTCTGCCCATTTAAAACGTCTCCTTAACATTGGAGCCGTCGCTCCTACCGCGCCTGTCACTCAACCCGAACCCGTCCAGCATCAACATCACCACCAACAACACTCCATCTCAAATGTAGAGAAAGGGAATGCTCTTCTACAGTTACTCAGGAAGGGCTCGGAAACCCACCCTCCCGAGAATCCACCTCTTGCGCCCATCCCGGTTCACCCCAGCAGAGCACTCCCAACAGTGCATTCTCAGCAAACCACACCACAACCCATACCTGGACAAAGCATTCCTGCTCCTCATATGAGCCTTGGTCCTGACGATCAGTTCCCCCAGCACATGCAAAACCCTCCTCATATGGGTCATGTCTCTCAGCAAGCTTACAATTATCCGGATCAAAAGTCGGCTCCCAGGCATCAGTATGGCTATGTGGGACAGACGCCACAGCAAGTGTCCTCCCATGAACATACTAAACCACCCTTCACGGCTTATCCACCACCATTGCGCCAAGTTGACTCACTGCCTTCTACCTCTACTGCTCAAAATGTTCCTCCGCCCTACCACCGTACCGGAGATCCCCAATTCGCTTCAAGCCAACAACTGCCCAGGATGAACATGCCTTCCGTCCCGCCGGCGACCGCATTGCCCTTGCCTAAACTTAACAGCCACTCGCTTGCCCTGCTCAGTGTGTTCAAAGGCGAGAATTCTAAGAATACCACAACGACTTTACCCTCTCAGCCAACTCAAGCACACGCCGAAGTAGATCCAAAGGCCCAGCATAAGAACGAACTTTTGAAAATGTTAAAACAACCTAGTGGCTCAATTCCTAGAAATGGCACTATCGCACACCCACAAGGTCATGCTGAGCTCGCGACCCAAAATAGTCCAAGGATAAAGGCCCAGTCTGGTACCCAGCCAACGGAGATAACCTTAGATGGACACGTCAAGGCTCCAGTGATATTACAAAACCCACGCAGACCCAGGACCCCTACTCAAGCAGCAGCAGGTCAGACGGGAGCTACTCTATCTGCACCTCTCAACCTCCCCAACTTTGATGGAATTGCTAAGTCGCCACGTAGTCCACGCAGGGAGAAGCCAGCTCCTGCTCATACTCCAAAGACAAATATTAAAATCCTTCCTCGTCCAGTAGCCAATAACAAAGAAGCGACCCCACCGGCTACAAAAGTCCAATCCCCTTCTCCCACTCCACCCAGAGCCAACGTCAGGCTTTCAGAGCTAACTAAGCCGTCCAAACCTAAAATCCTCCGTCGTCCAGACAAGGATAATCTCGAGGCTTATCTTCCTACGTCCACAGTTACCGTGAGTGCGTTTACGCAGCCGGAGCGTCGAGCAACGCCCGATGAAGGACCAGCAAAGCAGACACAGGCAACATTCGATCAACGAACAAGCCAGTCTGCTGCTCAGAAAGAAACGTTGCTTTCCCTTTTTAGCAAAGACACGACCACCCCGCCAACCGCCGCAAAACAAGAGACGAAGAGGCAGGTGAAGTCGCCGGTTCTAGTTTCGCCTCCTTTCTCGACCCTTCTCAGTCCGGCTACCGATCCTCTTAATAGTCCCAAGGAAGCCACCGGTGGGCCTGGGTCCGATAAACAAAGTAGTATAACATCCCCAACTAATCAGGCGTTCTTGCTTGGGTATCTAGAGGGAGTTGCGATGGGCAAGAAATGAGTATGAAATGCGAGTTTTTATTGGCGAGCTTGGTCTCCGTGTACTGTACTTATTTGACGCTATCCCGTCTTAGCGAGCATACTTTCATGCGGAGAAATTGGATGACTTGAGTGATAACTTTTTGAGATGCCCGGGTGATATACCTCTACGCCTGTCTGTATGGCGAAATTGACAACTATACGCCTTTATGCTGTTCTCATATCCTAGTTGTACGAAGCCTTCATGATGAAGTTGATGCTAACTAACCTATGCCCAGGGGTAGCCATTTCTCTTAGGAAGACTAGAATACTTTATCTACCATAAAACCATGCTCAAACTAATACTTAAAGCTGCAAAACCAAATAGCTCGAGTGCTAGCGCCTCTAACTGAGGGATACCTTGGGGCTTTGACTATGTTTTTTATATCCATTTGGAACTAAATATTAATAATCCACTTCGGATAAAGGATAAGCATAAATTGTCGTCAACTATTTACGAAGCTCCAACATCTCCTCGAAATACTGATTCTACGAGACAAACGAGGTACAATGGTGCGAGGGTTCCCGTCGAGCCCTCTTTGCGGGCGATGTCTACTGCAGACTCGTCGCCAGCTTTCTCTTAACCAGATACGCCACAGCCATTCGAATCCTCCACCACCACCCCAGTCCGGCTATTCACGTCTCACCAATCGATCCCTCATCTCCCTCTCCGGCATCGATAGCACGAGTTTCCTCCAGGGCCTAATAACGCAAAATCTTGCTGTGCCGAAGAACTCTCCACCCGTGACCTCCCCATTCTACGCAGCGTTCCTTAATTCCCAGGGCAGAATCCTAAACGATGTCTTCATTTATCCGTCCCATGCGGCCAATTCGGCGTCTTCAGGTGAATTGGAAATGGAATATTTAATTGAGGTTGACAAGGAGCACGCCGCAAGCTTGCTGAAACATTTCAAGAGGCACAAGCTTCGTTCGAAGTTGAAATTTCGGGCGCTTGATGAAGGGGAGCGAAGTGTTTGGGCGCTATGGGATGAAGGAAACGTATCTACCTGGCAAGGAGGCGAGGCTATTGGAGAAAACAATGCCATTGCATGCCTGGATAATCGAGCGCCAGGAATGGGACACAGGCTTATTGCCAGTGGGGACGAATTGCAGGCACCGATCAAGGAAGTTCTTCCTGGTGACGAGGCGTCAATGCAAACATATACCTTACGTCGAATACTACACGGCGTTGCGGAGGGACAGGCTGAGATGGTTCGAGAATCAGCCCTACCGATGGATAGTAATGTTGATATCATGAATGGCATTGACTTCCACAAGGGCTGCTATGTGGGCCAAGAACTAACCATCCGTACGCACCATAGGGGTGTAGTACGCAAGCGAATCCTGCCTGTTCAACTTTACGGCCCTGACCAAGCGTTGCCGAATTCAGATGGCCCAGTCTATATTCCGGATACCAACCTGCTTTTACCACCCGCCGGAGTTGAAGCCAATATTTCTAAGGTTGGCGCAAGGAAGGGTAGAAGCGCTGGAAAATTCCTAACAGGAATTGGAAATGTTGGGTTGGCTGTGTGCCGACTAGAGATGATGACTGATGTTGCCCTGACTGGAGAGTCGACTCAGTATGATGCTAGCCATGAGTTCAAGATTTCTTGGGACGCCACTGAGGGTGAAGGCGTTGAGGATGGGGGTGAGACTAAGGTCAAGGCCTTTATCCCCCCATGGATAAGGGAATATATTGTTAGCGGAGGTGCACGGCATCGCCAGCCGAGAGGGCAGAAGAAGTCCGATAAAGATATGGAGGAGGTGGAAGAGCAAGGTTAGAGTCATTCGAACCTATTGTACGCGATATCCAAATATGCAACAACAAGGACAGCTGTGAAGGGCCTTAACGAAGTATGGAATTGATATATGCCCAAGGCACGTATGGGTTGTTGGGTTATGCCCTATTTTGTATAACAATGTAAATAGTATAAAAGAGGCGCTAAATAGATAAGAACAATAAGGGATTAAGTGGCTACGGTAGAACCAGCAATCATTTTATATATGTAACATAATGTCCATCTTTTTATTATATTAGTATGTTTGGAAGGGTTTGGTAGAAGCATCAATCTAGATTGTCTGCGTATAAATACAATACAGCTTGTGAAACACCAACTAATAAAAATGGATGGCCAGCCCTTTTCTGAAGCGGCAATAATGTATAGACGGAAGACCGAGTACAAGGCAATCAAACAACTTTAAAGCTATCATTCATTCCTCATACTCTTTTCCTGCTCCAGACATTCGCATTCGAGCAGTGTGTCCCAGCCAAGGAGCGTCCAGACTTCCTGAGTGAACCACTCCCCTGGGCATTCCTGGGAATCGATTGGTGGCACTGAATGGCTAGTGTCTGAAATGATTTCCAGGGGGAAGCTCAATGAGTCCTCAAGTGAAGTATCATCGGCACCAAATACACCCTTGAGGAGGGTACGTTGTAGCCTGGCCCTTGCACCCGCAAGTAGATTTAATGGCAATGCACCATTTGCTGATATCGATGTTTGCTCGAATGATTCTTGGTGTTTGTCCATATATAGCACTGCCTTTTCCAGAAGCCATAATAGATGCTTTGAGTTCCAGAGTGCGGCTATTTCAGCTAATTCAGGTATTGGCGCTCTTAAACTGTTATTGGTGGCTGTTAAGCATGCTGGAAGGGGGAGCATGGGGTTCACAGTAGACAGCTCTGCATTGGACGACAAGTCCCTGAACGTGATAATTCCAAGGAGCTTGCCTATATGTTCCAAAATCACAAACGTGAGCCCTTCTAGTACGCCCTTGTGTTCAGGCTTTCCTGGGTCCAAGGATATAAACATTATGGATGCAATGCGCGCGAAACAGGCTAGGGTATTTTCGGTGCCTGGAGGTGGTTTGTCAGAAGGCTTCTTCTTCTGCCTTGTTGTTTTAGCTTTTGGTTTTTGCCTGGATTTTGCGGGGGGCTTTTCATCTGAGCTTCCTGGATCTGCTTTGGCAAGGGCATACTGGTATGACTGCTGCATCATCTGCTGGAACAATACGGTAATGTGGTAGACCATGAGTCCAGCGCTTGCCCTGGCTTCACGTATGCTCGATGTCCTGGTTAGGCCTTGCAAAATGGTTGGATAGATCCTTGCGAGGATAATTGAAAGTTGTTGTAGAGGTGATTGGATAGGCTCCTTTCCTCTTTTTGCAGGATACTTTTGAGCTGTCTCGTCTTGAACAGCCGAAAGTAAGGCTGTCTCGAGCATTCTGCATATTGATACAATAACATCAGCTATAGCCTCGGGATTTGTTTTCTTCCGCAGTAAGGTCTGCAGGGTATGGAAATTCCTCATAAGGTGTGTTGTAGCTACAGGATATTAGCCATAGTTCAAATTGAAAGTCAAGTGTCTAGACTAGACATACAGCCTCCACAAAACTGAAAGGCTTCGAGATTATGCTGTAGCCAGTTCCTGCTAAAGGGCTGGGTACAGGTCTGAGATTCTACGCTCATTGTCTTGGCCCTCTTGTTTGGACGGCTTGATGTCGGTCGTTTGGGATCCGTCGGTGCCTTGCTTTGCCCCGGCAATGCCACCTCGAAGGGGTTGTCCCATCCCTCTCGCAGCACACGGGCTTCATTGCGTTGCTCTAGTTCGTATATTTTATCTAGGAGTTTGCTTTGCGCTGCTTCTGACTTCTCGTACGCCTCACGCCAGAAGGCGGTGCTATCGAGATGATTCTCCTGACCGCTTGTCTCCACGTATGTTCTCTTTCCAGTGGAAATATAGTTTCTGAGCTTTAGGATATGTTCTAAGAGAGATTTACTGTTAGTAACCCGCTAATCTGGTCGATTATTTGTGTATGATTGGTATGTTCAAACCTCGAATGCTTGTATCCGACGGCTTTGATTTAACGACGGCTAAGGCCAGAGCGAGTTGAAACTGCGAAGGACGGCTCAGCGTCTCGGTGGCCATAATGACCTTATCTCCTTTCTTTTGGTATGCGAAATAGAATAAAATGTGAAAAAGGACTCCAGGTTGATGTTTTGCAGGTGGAAAGTCGTCGGATTAAGCAGTTCCTGAAAAGACTCCGCCTTTCCAAATTGGGATATCATATGCGGCAGTTCTTAGAGCTGTATTATATGGGATCATATTTTTATTCTCCAGGATATAACTTGTAGAGAGTATCATAGAATAGGCAGATGGCGAAGGTATAGCGAGATAACGTACTGCTATACCTATTGCTGACAAGGAAATGCATGTTTGTTAACTAGATGCTAGTTAATATGCTGTGAGTGAAATATATAGCTATTTGCAATCAACTAGCCAAAACCCAAGTACAGAACCCGTTTACAATAATCAAAAATATCAAGACGGGCAACGATCATTTTCTCCTTCACTGTCCCTTCCGATGACGTGGAATGAAATCATGAACTTGCTGCTCCAGCTATTTATATAAAACCGTGATGACTAAGCAAACTTGGCGATGGTTAAAGCTTCATCTCGGACTTACGATCTTGTTGAAGATGAGATTCTGTTTCTACAAGCTCCCTTAACGTCTTAACGATACTCCAAGCAAGGGATAAGCTGGCCTCAAGTGCTAGCAAACTACGACTTACACTATGGCGCCCTCTGACGATCTGAAGTCTCACGCTACATCCTCCCATGACTTTTATGCCCTCTTGAACATCAGCCCCGCCGCTGTAGATAGCGAGATCAGACGCGCATACCGAAGAACAGCTCTCAAATACCATCCTGATAAAATTGTGAATCCCACACCAGCTGATATTGACAAGTTTCATATCCTCCAAATCGCATACGATGTTCTCTCCGAGCCTGCTGTACGTCAGCTATACGACAATGCCAGGGAAGCACGCGAACGGAAGAAGAGGGAAAATGAGCTGCTGCAGGGAGCGCGGAGAAAGATGAAAGAAGACCTAGAGGCGAGAGAGCGCGGGGTTAAGCGGCCGTGGACCCCAGGTGGCGCTGGAGGGGAGCGGGATGATTTGCAGGTGGCAGAGGATAAACTGGAACAGGAAATTAGGCGGCTGGCGGAGGATGGGAAGAGAAGACGACGAGAGAAAGAAGAGCTGATGCGTAGCCAAGTGCTGGAGGAGGAAGAGAGACTGGACCGAGAGCAACAGGAAATGGAAGCAAGGAAGCAAGGACCAACGAAGCCTAGTGCACCACCCAGAAGCATGGGCGGAACTGCAGTACCGGAGATAGATCGAACGGTGAAGGTTCGATGGATCCGCGAAGGAGCTGGCTTGGACATGGACAAGAGTCGGCTGGAGTCTTTGTTCTCGACATTTGGCAAACTGGAGAGTACATTCACCTTGAAGGATAAAAGACAACGGGTCGGTGACCAGCGCGAGAAGAAAACTACTGCAACGGGCGTGATTGTATTTTCCTCCGTCGTTGGAGCCCATGCAGCTATCGAGGATCGATTGAAGCATCATGGTGGTGAATGGGATGTCATCGAATCCGTGGCCTGGGCATCGAATAACCAGCCAGACTGGGAGGCATATCGGTCTTCCGCCTCTGGTACGGCTGAGGCACCTGGGTTGGCAACATCATCTTCCACGGCCACCGCTGAATCCGATATACCCCCTTCTTCAACAACCACCAACAGGCCCAAAAAATTCACAATGGCAGATCTAAACACACCGAAAACCGGGACCGAGGGAAATAATAAAAACATGGCCCCTTCCTTCGGGTCCTTTTCTCCAGCTGGTGCTACTCCTGGAACGAGCTCCAATTTTAACGCAAGTGGCCCAAGCTTAGAAGAAATTACCTTAATTCGGCTTAAAAACGCAGAGAGGAAGAGGTTAGAAGAACAAATCCGGAAGGAAGACGAAGCTGCTGCAATTGCAGAGGGCGGTTCTGCGCAATGAATTTGACATGGTTGACTTGTATTGTATATTATTGGACTTTCTGTTTAGCGATGATACCCCCATTTTTATACGTAGGTAAATTAGATAGATGGTTGAACGGCGAAGCCGTGTGATGAAGCGAATTGCATGCTGGTAATACCTGAAAAAAGGCGCTTTTGAGATGCATAGAAAAAGGGAGAGCGTGGATATACTGGTCTACCAGAGCGTGTGTCCTTTCCACCATACTGACCACACAACAGGAACCACCAAACCTAAGACCGAAAAACCGGCAGACATCTCCACAACTGCCCACACCCATAAAGTACCCAGAGCGGGAGTCTTCTTCATTGCCGCGTAATATGAAGCTTCATTCGCCATAGCAATCAATTTCGTCCCCAGGAAGACGGAGAATGGTAGAAAGAAGACATTTTGAGCCGTGAACGGAAATAGAGCCAATATTAGAGACTTTCTCGCGAGTTGACTTAATTTACTATCCCGTTTCTGCTTGTCGGATCTGAAATCTAGCCATTTAAAGGACGGTTTAGGGAACGTCACCATATGTCCGTGGACGAAGTGAATCAGGAGAGTCATAACTGGAAATGCAACAACCACGGTTTCAAATATGATTCTTTCAACTTCAATTTCCTGGAGAAACTGATGCGCCGCGAGGAACGAGAGAGTAAAATGAATGCAAGAGAGCGACAGTGAGAGAAAAATGGTGTCGGCTAGCGGTGGTAGTGATTCAGGATCCTCTTTTCCGGCTGGTATAGAAGTGGCTTCAGGAGCGCCGCCTGGGACTGGAGAATGGACGATTTCACCGTCTGCATTCATATGAACATATTGCACTTTGGACGGGAGTTTCCCATCATTAGATGACGGTTGCTGGCCCTGTGATGCGAGTAGCTCTGCCTGCCGTTCTGCAGCAAGCTCATATAGCGTTTTCTGGCCGGTGGGTGCTGCTTTGTTGCGTGGAGCAGGGGCAAGTGGTATTGATGGACCATCTTCGGCATTCTGTTTCTTTTGCCGCCGGGTCGCCATGTTGGGAATTAGTGTATACACCGCAACAATAGTATTAGTAGCACTAGGAGGTATAGAGATGCTATCAGCGTCGTGTCAAGTATCAGGAGTGAAAAACAGATGTTGGTTTTCATAGGGCGATGTCTATGGACGCTTTAGCTGCACACTCTTGGCGCATTACATAACCACGTCCTACCTTAGGTACAGCTATGAAACTTCAAGCATCTATTGGGATACTCAGATATTTGGATTCCTATATACCAATAACTCTTCCACCGGGCTCTTGTCAAAACCATCTCTACAGGCTTATACTAAATGATTCCCGATATGGCTACAGGGAAGAAAGCCTTTACATCACATATCCTTTAGCTTGTTAAGTACGCTGTCCAGGTTCTCTCCAGTAGCGCTTGCGTTCTCTGCAAAAGTTGCTACAGACATTATCAATCAGTATCCAGAAGACGGAAGACGGAAGGGCTGGTGGACTGGATTGTACCATCAGGAGTCCCATCTAGAACTATCTCATGCATTTTCCCGCTTAAGAATAAAGTTGCTGGGCTTGTACTTGACTCTGTTTGGCGAGGGATCTTGCTTGGGACATAGAGGCGGGGATAACTCGACGATCCTATCATTAAAAACAAACCATCAATACAAGGCTATACTAGCACTCGCACACTGATAACTTACCAAATCCGAAGTGTTGCGAGTCATGGAAAAATGTAAGTTTACATCTATCTTTAGCACTAGCTGCAGAAGCTGATGTAACGGGGCTGGCAGCACGGAATGCACTACCAACTCCCGTCTCAATCAAAACATAATTTTCTCCAGGGTTGCCGATAATAACGGGCACCTTCTTGGTAACCAGATTTCCTTTCTCGTCATGGGTAATGAAATCTGTTGTGACACGATGAAAATATCGCGCAGTATTAGCCCTTCCGACGCGGTGTAAGGAAGAGACGGGCCGAGAGGCACCGCGAAACATGTGGAATGATATTAATTGAAGGCTCAAGTAAAGGAACAGGTAATTATTTCGCGTTTGAGCCGTACAGTAAGCTCAATAATTCGCAGGATACGAGAAGTGCTCTTAAAGTCTAACTCGACTCAAATTCTATAAACTCCACGTGACTTTATGTGGGGAAGAATAAAGTTCAGTCAAGGCGGGAGCTAGTCCTAATAAGGGCAAGTCCAACCGCACTGACAATCATGACTAAGCATCTATACACGTGACCATATACGTCACATGGTCACTTAGATAAACAAAAAAAGCGACTTCGAGTTTCGCGACTTCGCATAAAAGCTGCAGGGTTTGATATATATACGTTCATACCTGTAGGAGAGTCCGCGGCCAGGGATCGTGCAGAGTGCAGGACAGAGACCACAGGGCTGCGTGCTGCAAGGGGTTTACCGGTATCCGGGTCGGTTTTAAGATCCGCAATAGGGACCGCTGCTCTGTTAGCGCTCCACCCCCCGCCCCCCTTATCCCTCTCGCAAAGAAGATAGACCACCAGGTTAATGACACGTTACATCTTCGCGCTCAACCTTGCCGCCGTTAACTTTCCGCCACGGCGCTTCTCCTGCGTCTGATACTCCTGTAGGTGGTTCTCCTGCATCAAGAAATCCTCTGCGTTGAGTGTGGTTGCGCAGTGTAACTCTGTTATGCGGAATTCGATGACGCAAAGTGGAAAAGAGGAACTACCAAATCGCATCGCATCGTCAATAATTGAAAGAAGGTTATGCGATTATAGCCTCTGCGATTCTTTTGAGGCTTTGCTAGTCGCGACGGGAGAGCCCTTTTCCTCATTTGCTGGACGTGAAATCGTGAGCGCATAGGATCAGTTGAGCCGGTTAGTCGAGTATTTACGCTTTACGCGCGACATCAAAAAGCGCCATGAACTTCACGTTTACTTTATTATCTATCGCCCTATTTCCGCTGGCCCTGTTTGCCTTCTGGTCACTGTCGGCGACTGGACCGTCAGCGCCTCTTGCGCGCGGATTCCCAACACTGTACAACAAGCGGATATGTCTCCTAATTGCGCATCCCGATGATGAAGCCATGTTCTTTGCGCCAACCCTGGTGGCCCTCACAAAACCCGAATTGGGCAACCATGTTAAGATACTGTGTCTAAGCTCTGGTACGTGTGTTCTCTTCATTCGATATAGACATTTTGAAAAAGAACGAAGCTGACGTCTAATTTCTCCTGCTACACAGGCGACGCAGCTGGTCTCGGACACGTTCGCAAACAGGAACTTCAAAAGAGCGCACTCCGACTCGGTTTGCGCAATGAATCTGACGTTTTCATTGTGGATGACCCAAGCACGTTCCCTGATAGCATGTCTGCTACCTGGCCAGAGGCCAGTATCGCGGCCCTCCTCGCCTCTGCGTTCGCGCCCGAACTTGCCCCTCAACCGCCCACTTCACCACAAAACCATCGAAGGAAGTCCTCTACCGCTAGCACCAAAAGCTCATCGGTCAATGGAGCTGCAGTAAATGCTGAGACACCAAACCAATCCGCCCCTGTCGCGACTATCGATGTTCTCCTCACCTTCGACGAGTCAGGTGTGAGCAACCATCCAAACCATCGTTCCCTCTACCACGGGGCACGAGCATTCCTTCGAGCTCTCATGCGCGGAAGATCCGGCTGCACCTGCCCCGTCACATTATATACCCTTACATCAACAAACATAGCGAGAAAATATCTAGGAGTCTTCGATGCACCTATAACTATGTTGAATGGTGTAATAAACAACGCCTTCGGTAGCTCTGACGACGTGAACACGCCTCCACCTACCCAGTCCAAAACACAGGAACTGAGGGGGGTCCGTGAACCAGCACCTGCAAAGAGATTACTCTTCGTTAATTCAATAAACGATTGGCTTTATGGGTGGAAGGCAATGGTGTATGCGCATAAGAGCCAAATGGTTTGGTTCCGATGGGGGTGGATTACGATAGGACGATACATGGTTGTTAATGATCTGAAGAGAGAGCAAGTATAGAACAAACAGTCAGTTCCTATATTTATCCCCTAGTCTATCTAGAAGGGGTCAGTTTTGAGTAGCTTACCCTCGCGCTCTCGTTTTCTACAAACAGAACAGAAGATAAATTTACTTGCTGGGAATCATATCTAGTTTATTTCTTTATTTCACGGGAAGAGTTTCAGCCCCTATCCTCCCATTTCCCAGCTTTTAGCGTTGCTATTTCCTTCATTCTCTCGAATTTTGAGTTACGATGTCAGAAATTGCACTTGGTATATTGCCCGGCCCATTTATGTATAATTACATCTCCTAGTCCTTAGACTTATTCTAACTAATAACAACCAGTCGCTTAATATCAAAAGAATAATACATTTACTCTTGCCAATGTCTATGGCCAACAGAGTATATAAGTGGGAGATAATTTACAGTTCTGTGATCTGGTATACAAAGTTTATAAGGCAACAGAAAAACAGAAGGCTAAAATGGAGTGTATAAAACGCCAAAAAAATTCTATCATGCCCGCATTCCGACCTCCGCATATTATACAGCCCGGAGAAACATAGAACTAGCCTAAGCTGAATTATCGCATCAATGATGGAGGGTCGCCCGAATTGGCCTGTCATCTCCCCAGAACTGAGATGGGTCGAATTCAACCATGCCGCCAGTTATATGGTAGCGCACAACATGAGGTAGGAATAATTTCCATTCCTTCACGATATCGGGAAGACCTCTCCTTTCCCATTCATATGTGGTACCTGTCCATCGCCTTCGAAGTAACATAAAGAGTGCCCAACTTTGAAGATAGTCAAGTTCTCGACACGCTGCCATCTGCACGATTTCGAACCTATGATATAAATTCCAATACGCTTTCGAGGCCGTGGGCGGAGGGGTGAGGGTAAGGGGGTTGACATGGCGGCCTAAGCCGCGCGAAGTGGCTCGGGTCGAATGGGAACCGGCTTCGTGATTGTTCTGTTCAGCTTCCATATCCTTCCACGCCTGAATGAGGTTCCTTGACAACGCGCGTCGTTTCTTCAGCGTCGTGTTAAATAATTCTCGCCCATCACGCATGAACTTCTCCGTAGGATCTACTGCTTGACGGCCCCAATTAAGCTTCGTTAAAACGTCGTACATTTGTAGTGTAGGTTCTATGTTGTAAGGCTCGGAAGTCATTGTTTTGAAAATGCCGATGACGGAGTCTTTGGGAATATGGCCTAGCATGTTATCTTCCGGGTTAGGTCCGTATCTATTAGTAGACAGAATATAGGACCAGACAAAAAGTTCCATCCAGGTACGCCGAGGTATCGGGACGTTATAACTGACGGAGATAAAGTCAACTAGCTGTAATGCTGTCGAGATATCATTGTTCGTGCAAAAGATGTGCGCTACGGCCAGCAAGAGCTCATCCGTTGGGTGTAAAGGGGATGAAGTGGGATAAGGAGTAACAGGAGGAAGGTTTTCCTCGCCACTTTGCAAAAGGCTAGTATCGATATTCCAAACTGTCTTCAATGTATCCTTGACAGAAGCGATATCCCATTCACGGCCGGATGCTATCATCAGTTGTATAAACGTGGATTCGTTGGCATCTAGCCCATGTACCACCATGTCTTTGAATAAATCATGTACCTCATCACGTACACCGTTTGTCCCCGTTTTGTATCCTCTATAATTCGGATTACTGGTTCCCTGGCGCCTTTTTCGGTAAATCCAAGGCGTTGACCTTAATGAATGGTTTTCCTTGGGAATAAATGCCATGTTCCATACTTTGGCCTCCATGTAGTGATTGTAACATAATACATCCGGCGTGACCCCATCGGCAATCATGCTCTCCCACAAGGTATTTGCCATGGATTCATTTCCCATCGAGCGGGCACAGTCCAGCAAATGGGTATATTCAGCAAGCCCTAGAGTATGTCCCGCTTGACGTCGTGCTTCGACGATCGTTGTGAGATTCTTCGCAAACTTGGTGAATATCATTTCTAGTGGCTCAACCTTGGCATATAATGCGGCAGAAGAATGGAAGCTTCGTTGGATTTTCCTCCACGGTTCGACGAAATAGGAGGGAGATAGCAGTCGAAGGGCCTCTATGAAGGTGGTTGCGGGTAATTGACGCATGATATAATCGTTGTTTGCCGGATCAAGGAAGATGGCCATTACTTTGCCTGGTTGCCCTTCTACCAGAGCCGCGCGAATGTACTCTTTCTGTCGCCGTCTTGCCTCCTCGCCCATATCATCCTTCTTAGAACCGGGGACACCGATTTGCCAATCATATTCATTGCCCTCTGACGGGGTGGAAGGATATTCCGTGTCGATTTGGCTATCCGGGGATGTTCTGGAATGCACAGCCGATTGAACGAATCTTGTGTTTACTAGTGTCCATTTCTGAGTGCTGGATGGGCGTACTTTTCGAAGCGAGGGTCTAGTAGAGGTATGTATGGATCGTAGACGGTTCCGGGAGTCTGAAGAACGGCTAATGCTAGAGCCACTGGTGCCATTCAAGCAGACTATCCGCCAGCTACATGAGGGACATATGTACTGGGAGACGAGATTCTCGCCGAGGAGAGTTGTTGCACGCATCAATTTGGCGCCGTCCACCCCATGAAACAGCCGAGCAGGTATAGAATGAGGAAGAAGTCGAGTTTCCAGTCGTGTCGATGAGCAATTGCTCGCGTTGAAGTCGGAAGATGAAAAATGGTTTCTTGACAGAGCGAGCTTTTGGTTGCCGTTTTCGGATTTTTGCTGAGGAAGACCGCGCTAGGCCGTTTTGGGAAAAGAAGCAGGTCTCCAACTTCGCGATAGCAAAAAAAGAGCGAGCAGAGAAATGACAAAAGAGATCAACTTCTAGACTTTAGGCTGCACTAATTACGAGTCACGATGGCAGCGGTAGACGACGACGGAACAGCTCCATCCTTTTCGGAGCCGTTGGATCTTGTCCGACTGTCGCTCGATGAAGTTGTGTTTGTGAAGCTGCGGGGAGATCGCGAGCTCAAGGGCCGGCTTCATGTACGTTCGCCTTGACAACGCTGACAACGAGCTCTGATGTTGACATACACTATCTAGGCCTACGACAGTCACTGCAACATCGTCCTCGGCGACGTGGAGGAGACAATCTACATCATTGAAGAAGATGAAGCCGGAGAGGAGACCGTAAAGGTAGCTTACGAGCCGTTAAGGGACCACCAGACCCAACGTTAACCGTTTTATATAGACAATCAAGAAACAGGAAGAAATGCTGTTCGTCAGAGGTATGCCATATCATAGCCACTTCCTCTATATTACCGTACTAAGGGTCGACTTCTATAGGTGACTCCGTTGTTTTGATATCGCCGCAATCTCCATCCGGTTGATTCGGAGGAGCATGAGGAAGACGACGATGACGATGACGATGAAAACGACTCCGAGCTATGGAATGAGCAACTCGGTCCGTTGGGATAGCCCGCTGGCCATCTATCTACACGACTTGACTCACGATGCTGTGGCGGATCATGACACTCTGGGGCGAAGGGCCAGAAACTAAGCCCACATGAGGCTCAAAACACACTAGATGATTGTACCAGGACGGCTTTTACGCCCACGAGAAGCGTGGATAGTAAAGTACACAGTTAATACACCAGTTAATATTCAACTAAGAGAACAAAACATCCATTCAGAGCTGAACTCGGCGTCTCCAAACTAGTGGTCGGAGGCTCTTGATGACTCAACCACCATAGAACCTATGACTCTGTGAACTGCTCACCAACCAATATCAGCCCATCACATATGAATATCTCCAGGCCCACGACACGATAACCGTTGCCTTCTTACTATTCTTTTATCCGCATTAATATCATTAAATCATGTCTCTATAATCTAAACCGTGTCACACCGCTCTACTACAAACAAGAGAGATGATCGTACGAATACGACTGACCTGAACCTGTCTGCGCCTAGTCGCACCCTATGATACTTATATTGATGCCCTGATAATCGCGAGCCAGACGTCATGACTCACGGAGGACAACACAAGCTACCGGTGGAGGAGCGGCGCAAATGGGAGAAGGTATGCATGTCTCCGTCACCTTGCACCGGGTTTGGCGCATTTTCCCTGCCTGGGTCAGTAGCTATATCTAACCCTGGCCTCTACAGTCCCTGAGCGAGTTTGCGGAATATGTCGAGAAGCAGCAGGAGAGGCGGTATATACGTGGTCAGAACCGTGACGGCTCCGTGGCTCCGAGTGACAGCGGCTATTCCACTGCAACCATCACAGCAACAGACGATCATTCAGAGCTGGACATCCTCGACCAGCTCGGCCTATCAGACCATCCAACCAGCGTTCAGCTAAAGGACCTGCTCTTGGACGACTCTCCAGATGCAGATAATACGATCTCCCAGATAAGGAAGGTCGTGAAGGGGCGGCTGGATGAAGGCCAGGGCGAGACTATATTTGACCTTGGACAGGAAGATAATGGCGACTGGATGGGCTTCGACAAGGAGCAGTGGGAGTTCGCCTTGGACCGTCTACGGCAAGCTGCTCATCAGATTAAAGCGGACTGCCGGGTCCTGCTGACATATAATGTTGGCGGCCCCGAGGAGGCAGAGACCAAGAGTGATCGCATAAAAACCGCGTACGGGAAGATTTTGATACGCCGGGCACCTGAGACGGTGGAGAACGTCATCGAAACCAGGATAGCGGTGGTTGGCAATGTCGACGCCGGAAAAAGTACCCTTCTAGGTGTTCTAGTCAAGGGGAAGCTTGATGACGGACGTGGTAGAGCTCGAGTGAATCTGTTCCGCCACAAGCACGAAATCGAGACCGGAAGAACCAGTTCTGTCGGTATGGAGATTATGGGATTTGATACCCATGGTAACGTTGTTGGTAACGGACAAGTGCGCAAGCAGACTTGGGAGGAAATTGGGAGGCAGTCTGCTAAAGTAATTTCCTTCACTGATCTTGCAGGACACGAACGTTACCTCCGCACTACGGTCTTTGGAATGCTGAGCAGCAGCCCAAATTACTGTCTACTGATGGTAGCCGCCAATAATGGACTCATTGGCATGAGCAAGGAGCATCTGGGAATTGCCCTCTCACTTAACGTTCCGGTCATGGTGGTTATCACGAAAATTGATATCTGCCCTCCTCAGATTCTGCAGCAGACCATCAAGCAGTTGACCGGTATTTTGAAATCTCCCGGTGCTCATAAGATCCCCATTTTCATCAAGTCGCGAGAGGATACTGTCAATACGGCTACACAGTTCGTCAACCATAGGATATGTCCTATATTCCAAGTTTCTAACGTGACGGGGGAGTGCCTTGACCTGGTACGGATATTTTTGAATATGCTTCCACATCACGGTCGATATGACTCCGGTGCTCCTCTGGAATTCCTGGTGAATGACACCTTCTCCGTTCCATTTGTGGGGACAGTTGTATCCGGTGTCGTGAAAGCCGGAGCCGTTCATACGGGCGATTCGGTGCTCGTTGGCCCTGACTCCCTCGGTCAGTTCAAGGGCACCGTCATCAAGTCTATTGAGCGCAAGCGAATCCATGTGCACGCTTGTTCAGCCGGACAATCTGCATCCTTCGCTCTGAAGGGTGTTCGTAGGAAGGATGTGAGGAAAGGAATGGTTGTCTTGCCTAAACTTGACCGTCCTCCAAAAGTCTACCGTGAATTCGTGGCCGAAGGTATACCCGTCATCCCCTTCTCTTATATGTTGGTTGTTTCGGTTCTAACATGTTAACGCAGTTCTGATCCTTTCACATGCCACCACCATCAAGCCCAAGTATCAAGCGATGCTGCACGTAGGCGCTGTAAGCCAGACCTGTTCCATCATCGACATTGACCGTGACTTCATCAGAACCGGTGACCGCGCTCTCGTTGCGTTCCGCTTCATCCAACGGCCCGAATTCCTTTCCGTGGGAGACCGAATTCTCTTCCGTGAGGGAAGAACTAAAGGCCTTGGAATTGTTAAGGAAGTCTGTTATGACCCCAAGGTTCCCCTGAATCCAGAGAAGAGGACACCCTCGACTGAACAGGGGAAGGCTAACTAAGCCAACTTTTTTTAACGCTTCTATGATTACGCAATTGCATTCCTTGTTTTTCATTCTATTTTTAACATGACCATGCATTTTTTTTCAGCCTTTTTCCATTGCGATCACAGTCTAGTCGTTTTTCGTTGAAAATTATCCTGTTGGTCGTTTTCACTTCCCACTTCCTGTTTGGTGCTAGGTGGGGGTATGACGGGCTGCACTGTATAATATGTTGGTCCCACTGCATATACTTGATCGCTACTGCATATCCTTCGCCACAATATCATCAACTTTCCTGTTTTCATCTCGCATCCTTGTCTTCTTCTCTACGCCCGCTGGTGTAGGGATATATATCACGTGATAGCATCATGGTTTTGCGGTGATGTCATTACCCCAGAATACGTCACGTCTGAAGTCATATCTGAGAGCTGGGGGCGAAGAGCTGTCAAGGAGTTCGCATGGAGCTATGGACATTGCCACGGAGTACGCTGCTGAAGGGGGCCCCGCTATCGAGATGGCAGTTATATATAAAGGTCCTCCTGTCGTGGACAAGAGGCTTTATTCATCATCAATCACAAAATTGAATTCCTCAATCTACATATTTTTTACTTGAAGATACTTGAAAACTCAATCAATCATGGAATCTATTAAGAACCATCTGCACGCAGCAGAGGAAGCATTACTTGGCCATAAGTCAGGCCAAGAGCCTGTCTCTGGCGTCAGAGGACAGGGCACTGCAACTGACCCGTATGATGCAGGAAACGCTACCAGTATGCTACAACACCCCTTCTATCATCCTTGGACTGTGTCAACAATATGCTAATGAAGTTTACATCTGAAGACCAGCCAACCACAGGACAAGGGACAACTGGCAAGCATGCGGCCGGCCATCAAGCATACGGCGGCAGCAAGGTCGACGAGGGCATTAGTGGTTTCGATAATAACACCGCCAGTAGAACCACCGGAAAGCCTGCAGTAGGACATACATCTCATGAAACCAGCGGCGTGCCCGGGCATACCACTCATGGTGGCACCGGAAGAGTCGATGAAGGTATCAGCGGCGTTGGCGGAGATAAGACTGGATACGGCAACAAAGCTCTACGCTCTGAGATTCAACAAGGAGACGAATATTCCTCTGCCATGGGTATTGGCCAGAAGCCTTCAACAGGGAGTAAATTGACCGGCGGAACTACCAGTGGAATGACCGGCGGAAACACTAGTGGATTGACCAGCGGAACTACCGGCGGACACACTAGCGGAATGACCAGTGGAACTACCGGTGGACACACTAGCGGATTGACCAGTGGAACTACCGGTGGACACACTAGCGGATTGACCGGCGGAACTACCGGTGGACACACTAGCGGATTGACCGGCGGAACTACCGGTGGACACACTAGCGGATTGACCGGCGGAACTACCGGCGGACACACTAGCGGAATGACCAGTGGAACTACCGGCGGACACACTAGCGGATTGACCGGCGGAAATACCAGTGGGATGACTGGTGGAACTCTTGCTGGAGGCGCTGCAGGTGTTGCCGGAGGTGCAGCTGCAGCTTCTGCTATGGACCACAGCCACGAGCCAGGATCTGGCATGAAGAAACACTCTAGTCTGATTGAAGAAGCCGAACGAGCTCCTGGCTCAACAACACGAGGCTCGGACCTACATACCGGTTCTTCTGGAGGCTATGGCCAAGGAAAACAGACTCAGCTTGGTAGTGAATATGGTAGAGAGTCAAGTGGAGGAGCTGCCCTAGGTTCAGGCGATGTCACTGGAACCGGCGGTGGCACTCAATATCAGCACCCTTCAGGCACGACTCAGGGACATCATGGAACTACTAGTGGCATTACTGGAGGTTCTGGATATGGCGGCTCCTCCCAATACCCCTCCGAAACGAAGCAAAGCCAAACATCAGGAGGAATGCCAGGTGGAATCAGCTCTATGGGGTCTGGCGGTACTACTGGTTACGGTTCCTCAGATATGAAGCACGGAGACCCTACTACTAGCCACACAGGTAGCAACGTCCTAGGAAGCACTGGCGGCTCAGGCCATAGCGGTTCCCAGCACGGAACTCATGGTACTAGCCAAACAGGTAGCAACGTCCTAGGTGACACCGGCAGTTCAGGCCATGGCAGCTCCCACTATCCATCTGATACGAAGCACGGAGACCCTACTACCAGCCATACAGGCAGCAACGTTCTAGGCAGCACTGGTGGCTCAGGCCATAGCGGTTCCCAGCACGGAACTCATGGTACTAGCCACACAGGCAGCAACGTCCTAGGTGACACCGGCAGATCAGGCCATGGCAGTTCCACGTATCCATCTGAGATGAAGCAGGGAACTTCTACTACCGGCCAAACCGGCACCGGTGGTACCCTGGGCCGTTCCAGTGGTGCTGGCTATGAGAGCTCCCAAGGACCAACTGCTACTACTAGCAGTCGCACAACTGGTACCGCACCATCTGGCGGGCCAACCGGAACGGGAGAATATAATACTAAAAGCACTGGATTCGCAGCTCAGGGCGGAAACTTTGACGCCAAAGATCCTGGTGCTGGAAGAGAGGCAGACCGTAAGTTACAAAATCCCCTAAGACATATAAACCAGCAAAAACGGATGCTAACATTTGACTGAAGGTCTTCTGGATGAGCGCCCCACGAAGTCTACCCACGGCACGTCTGGTCATGTGTCTCACACCGGCACCAGCCATGATACTACTCATTCCTCTCATAAATCGGGTAGCATCACTCAAAAGGCCAAAGACGCCCTTCATATCGGAAAGCACAAATCTTAAGGTTGTACATACTGCTTCTGAATTGTGATATTTGCTCCTAACTTGCCTTCCTCTTTTCTTATGCCCTTTTTACTTTGCACGGAGAGGATTTTTAATGCCACTGGCCTGAGTTGCTAGGCTATAATGTACCCTTAACTGTGTCATCATTGCAGTCAAATATCCAAAATGTAACTATTTTATTCTGCATGTTTTGATGTACAGTACTCCATAACGAAATCGAACAATTGCTTTAATGTTAACACACCTGTCCAGTATCGTCATGTTTTTGCGTTGGCTAGAATGCTATGTCTCTAACAATAATTAGTAACTATTTAAAAATCTGTATTAGCCCAGAAGGTGGAGGGTTTCATGAATCGCCAGAATGGCCAGGTCAATTTTCTCGCTTAGTTGGCTATGTGCTTCCTTAAACTGATAGTTCGGCTGTAGCCGTAGACATAATATAAGTCTTATATTTCTCTAACTTCTTCTCAACGACTCCGCCTGGCCCAGCATATCTCTCGACAATCTCAGGAGATCGGCCAATAAATAGCTTAGGGTCAAGCAGACCATCGATCTCACCCCATACTGGTTTCTGTTGGACGGTTATATTAGCCAAAATATTCAATAAGATGTGCTAGGGAAGAAGAAACATACGAAGAATTCAGTCTTCTTAATTCTTTCGATCAAATCGTTTTTCCCGCCTTCCATTTTCACGACATGGGCAGCTTGGTGGGACAGAACACGGATTTCTTCGTGAGCTTCCTGGCGGGAAATGCCATGGCTGCACAGTTTCATGATGATGTTCTCTGTAGCCATGAACGGTAGTTCCTCCCGTAGTTGAGAGTTAACGATGGCTGGGTATACGACAAGGCCATTAGTGACGTTGTCAAGGCTGATAAGGATGGCGTCTGCCATGAGGAACATCTCAGGGATGTCAATGCGGCGGATGGCACTATCATCCAGAGTTCTCTCAAGCCATTGACCAGAGAAAGTCTCCGAGAAGTTGGCCGATACGTTGCTCAATTTTCGGCCAATACTGCAAATTCGCTCCGAACTATATAAAAAAGTCAGTGTTTATTCAAGAAAAGTCGAAACATCAGTATTTAGTAGGGGAAAAACCCTCTTACCGCATTGGGTTGCGCTTGTAAGCCATGGCAGATGAGCCGATTTGATCTTTCTCGAAAGGCTCTTCCATGACTTTGTCATGAGCAAGATGGCGAAGGTCAGTTGCGATACGAACAGCAGTTGCTCCGAGTGCTGCAAGCGCATTGGCAATGCGCAAATCAACCTTGCGTGTATAGGTCTGTGTAGAGATATCGTAGCAGCTAGTAAATCCTGCTTTCTCGCAAAGCATCTGATTCAGCTCGTCAATCTTAGAGGCATCGTTTTGGAAAATTTCCATAAATGAGGCCTGTGTCCCGGTTGTTCCTTGTGCTCCTCTGAACTTCAGACCAGCTCTCACATATTCGATGTCCTCCAAATCCATAACTAGATCCTGAAGCCATTGAGCACCACGTCGACCAAGCGTAATAGCCTGGGCTGCTTGATAATGACTGGGTCCCAATGTCAGTGGCTAGTTTTAATATGGGAACTTAAGTCCTCTGGATGTAGATCTAGGCTGATAGGGCACGTACGTAAATCCAAGAGCTGGCAAGTCCTTGTATTTCAGGGAGAATTGGGTGAGGTTGTGGATTACTTTGGCAAGCTTCGGGAGGATCAAGTCCAGCGCATCACGAATGAAGATTAAGTCGGCATTGTCAGTGACCTGTAGAAATATATCAGACTTGGATACGTAGAACAAGACGTATTAGACGGAGAAGGAAACGCAGCGTACTAGAATGATTATCTCCTGTTAGATTCGAATCAATATCCCAAAGAGGGCCAGGGTGAAAATGACACACCATAGCACGAGGTAGCTCCAAGATGGATAACACCAGCTGCCGCGGGAGCATCCTTCTCCAACGCAAAGACGTGAGCCATGACATCGTGTCTCCGGCGCCGTTCTTCAACAGCGGCGACTTTGAATGCCTCGTCGGTCATGACGACATTGGCCTTGATCGCCTCGATCGCCTCATTGCTGATTTGCTTGATACCGAGTTCCATCTCGGCTTCCGCAAGCCAAAGCCAAAGCTTGCGCCATGTTGTAGCTCGCTCGCGGGCAGAGAAGATCTTTTTCATTTCATCGCCTGGTCAATGGCATCTGGTTAGCTGTGATATTCCGATCATAGCGGGGGTTGCGATAGCGAGATGCGGGGGTTGATAACACCAAGATCGTATAATTGTAGGACTTACTGGCATAGCGAGACGCCAATGGCGTCTGATATTGGTCGTTGGAAGACATGATGGGCTGGATTACTGCTATTAAGCCGTGATGTCGAAGAGTTGTGCTGGCTTGACAAAAAAAGTCACTTTTGCCGTGGTCGAAAAAACTTTCGTCCCGCTATTTATGACCCCTCTATATTTAATTAAGATGCAGCCAAATGAACTCGATATTAGATTTCGCATAAATATATTAAAACACAGGAAAGAGAAAACTCTGGGCGAGTATTCGTTTTAATCGTGTTCCTGGCCTCTATCGTACATGAACCCTTGATTCCTGGGTTGATGGTGAACATGCTATGCTAATGCTGGATCAAAATCCAAAAGCCCCCCGTGTGCCATGATATATACAAAATGTTGCAAATGCCGGGTATAGAAAGGGTCAATATTTATTCAAATAATAACTTCAACTCTTCAATCCGTTGTTCCCTCTTATCCTCATCACTTCCATCGCCACCGACTCTCAATCCAAGGGAACCGGCAATCATCATCTTCCGCTCTTGGATCCTGAGAATTCTCCCTTCAATACTGTTTTTGACCACAAACCTGAATACCTTCACGTCGCGTAATTGACCCATGCGATGTACGCGGTCAATTGCCTGTGCTTCCACAGCGAAACTCCACCAGGGATCCATCATGAAGACGTGGTTTGCAACAGTAAGATTCAAGCCAACGCCGCCAGCCCTCAAGCTAATTAACAGCACATTTGCAGGCGTGGTCTTGCTTTTCTTGGGTTTGGGTTTGTTTCTATAAGCTCCGAAGGGGTTAAGGGGATTCGAAATGTCATCGTCGTCTTCAATGTCCTCTTCGTCGAATATAGGGGCATTAAACTGTGCAAGGACCGTAGCACGGGCTTTTTGGCTCATAGTACCGTCGAACCGAAGATGCTCAATACCGGCTGCGATCAGTTGTGGAGCTATTAGATCTAGAAAGGATGTGAATTGTGAAAATACCACAGCCTTAGTGCCTTTAGGTAGCCGAGTAAGATGGTTGATTAGAGCATGAACCTTCGCGGATGTTTTAGCTGAGGGTGACAGCGGGTTTATTCGTCGTAAAGATATACGATTTGCTGGGGAATTGGAAGCTTCTTGGAGCGGAAGGTCTGGAGTTGCTGGGGTTTGTGACGGTGAGTCGTGCCGTACGACTTCAAACATATCGCGAGAGTTTAGAGGCTCGCGGCAAGAAAAGCACCTGGGCGTCTCCCCTTTATCAGTCTGGTGCTTGATATAGGATTCCAAGCAGTTTTTGCAAGCACTATGCCAGCATGAAGTAACTGCAGGATTAATCATTGGTTCCTCTGAACAAATTGGACATTCACCACTAGACTCTGCTTGGATCTGTTTCAAGGCATGGGTTGTGAAATTCGCTGTAGGGTCTCTTTCCTCACCATCCCCAGCCTGCATAGAGGCCGAGAACTTATCAATGAGTTCTTGAAGGTCCATGTTATCCTTTAGGACATTCATCTCATCAGCCGCGATAGCGGCATCTTCTTCTTCTGCAACGATAGATTGATTCCGAGTAAGTATAGGATGACAGCATGTTTGCCGTAAACGAAGAATCTGAGCAAAGATAGTGGTATAAGATTTTAGAAGGGTCCCTGCTGCAATATTGTCATTGAAAGTCCGCTTTGCTCGCGTGAAAATAACATCATAAATTTCTCTTTCTTGTTCGGACAACTCAACCTCTTCCACTGTGATGGTACGAGAGGGCAGTGGAACCAGGGCCTCTCCTTCAGGGGTTTTCATGGTTTTGGTGCGTCGGAGAACCAATGGTTCGAGAACAGTTTGTACAACACTCAGAGCGCGTGCAAAGTCCTTTGATTCGAATGGAACTGTTATAAAAGTCTTCCAAAAGGAGAAATTACACCAAGGTTCCACTTTGAGGAAACGCACAAGACTGTAGAGGTCTTCCAGTCGATTCACGATGGGAGTTCCAGTCAAAACCCATCTGTGTCTAGCTTTGATCTCATAACAGGCCTTAGCGGTTTTGGAAGCCCGATTCTTGATGTAGTGTGCTTCATCGAGAATCACGCGAAAGTATTCCACCGAAAAGAGGCTATCGTTGCTCATATTTGTGCGGCCAGAGAGAATCTGACTGTACTCTGAGCGGACGACGCCATAGCTTGTAATTATTACGTTTGGCGCGGAGGAATTTTTAGGGGAACAGAGAGTTCTCAGGTTAACTGATTTATCTGTTCCATAGTAAACAAGGGTCTTCATTGACCCTGGCTTTGACGCCTTTAGAGCTTCACTCTCCCATTGCGATAAGAGGGAGGTAGGAGCAACGACAAGCGTGGTACGTGGTGCTTGGTATACATCGGAAGGATTGTGAGATCGTGCAAGGCTATGGACAGACGAAGACGTCACGTCGCCATTTAAAAGCTCGACGCTCGGTGTATGAGAGTGGATTAAGCTCATCATCTCGATAGTCTTGCCCAGGCCCATTTCGTCGGCAAGGATCCCTCCAAGACAACTCTGTTCTTGTACAGGGAACTTGAGGCTCAGTTCCCCAGAATACGGGTTCACGTAAAAGTAATCTCTGCCACGTACCCGTGGAAGAGGCTTGTCATCAACATCTTTCACAGGCCAGGTGTATTCTTCCCATAGGGGGTGCATGGATTCTTGTCTCGTAGACTTTCCGTCCTTCTCCTTGGTAATCAACCAGTGAAGTGCCTGCTTTTGATACTTCCGTAACTCTAAATTGAAAGATTCACTCGGAGTGGCCTCCGGCATGCTGAAATCAAAACACTGTGCCTTGTGGTATAGAGTATCGAGCTGATCTTGGTCTAGGTTCTCGCCCTCCTCACTTTCTGACGCCTCGTCTGGATCATTAGACTGGTCTGTAGTTGACCTTCCTGGCTTGGTATTTTGCTCCGCCATTTCGGCGGCACGAAGAATCCCATTTTTCTTATGTTTCGCAGTTGCTTCGTTCATGGAGGTAGGAGAGAGACAAATCTCATCAAAAAGGGTTACCAACGCAACCTGACGTAAACGGAGTGCTTTCTCTTCCGACGTTTCCTCTTGCTCGAAGAGACGAGGCGTATTGTCATCAACCCCCAGAGAAAAGCGGGCTTTGAATGCCGAGTTTAGCACATAGCATCTGAGTTGCAGGTATATCGTATCATTTATGCGAATCCTGTCTGGTGCAAAGACACAGACTGCTGTAAATTTGCATATTCCCTGATCGATCAAGGTTGATACCCAGGAAGCAGTTTCCTGAGGCAGCCTTCCAATTTCATCACCATTGGCGTTCGTAAACCTCGTTATGACGTCCGTTTTCGAGTTTCCTACCGCTCTTTTGGGCTTTCCCGCTTTCAACTGAGGTTGGATTTTGGAGCGTTGAATCTTGACCTCTTCCCCAAACTTGAGTGGACTCGTACTCGATCTGGTAGCCCATCCACCGACACCAAAAGCACCCAGATATCTATACTCGGGGTTTTCTGAAAGAACGGACTCGTCATCATTCTCATCAACAGCCGCTGTCTCCACCACTTGGTTGGGCGGTTCTGGAGTAGAACTTTTGGTGACAGCAGCCCCGTCAGGCTCGGGAGCGTCTGGCGTCTTAGGAACATCGGTCATCTTATCATGATCCTCTTCCCAAGAGCCGTCGAGGTAGAGGTTGACAGCTCTCTCCATATCATTCCCTGCCTGTCGGCGAAGTTGCGAGATGACATTTGCAGAAATCGGTCGGCCAACCACGGCGGAGAAAAACTCGACATCGAAACTAGGATCGTCTCCGGTCGTTGCAGTGTTTTCCATAGCATTACTGTCTATTTTATTGTATTCAACTGAGCCAGGGGCAGCTTTCGACGAGCTCGATAAGCCGAAGCTGTTAGCGGCCGACGCGTTGCCATTGCGGAACTGAAGGGGAACGCTGGATTCATTTTCCTCCTGGAAAAAACGTCTTTTCTTAACAGGACGCTGCTCTAAATCTCTAGAACTCATCGCCGGTGGCCGTCATGGAAGCAGACAGCAAGACTGTCAACCTATCTCCAAAAATGCTGCTGTCTTTTCATCCAACAACGCGCGATCTTCAATTACGACACGCGATTTTCCATTTAACAAACATTACTAAGCATATCGGTTAAATATATATCCAGTGGATTACATAATACATATTTATCCGAAGTGTTTTTTTGGTCTTTCCAATTGATGCAATTTGAGATCTATATACACGGAGTAGAGCTGGCATACTCCTTGACAATGACTGCAAATTACTCAATGTGCCTCCGGTGCACATTTAAACAGGTTCGGCACCAGATATCCAGAACTACGGCGAGGAATTCGCAACAAATCCGTTCCCTGTCGAGCTCCGTACCTCACTTGAAGCCGGCAAATATCTCGGAAAGCTCCAAAGCTGAGCTGGAATCAGCGCATAACTACTGTGTTGAGCTTCTAAGGTGTGGACTATCTGCATTTGGACCTATGGTCCTATATCCGCTGCCTGAATTTGATGAGAAGCTAATATCTGCTAGGAAGTATGATCGACCGTCTTACACTCTCAGCACCTTTATTCCGCGACACACCACCAAGTTCTATATTGCCCTCCATGCGCTTAATGTCTCGTTGTCGATGATACCGGAAACGACATCTGCACATACAATTGGCTTGATGAGATTACAATTCTGGAGAGACACGGTCACACGGACACTTGCTGGAACTCCGCCCAAGGAGCCCATTGCTATTCTCCTTGCCTCTGCGCTGTCGGATCTTCATACCCGCACTCAAGGCAAGGCGAAGATAAGCAAAGGATGGCTAATGCGGCTGATTAACGCTCGAGAACAACATCTAACACATACGGCGTATCCAAACCTGGCATCCCTAGAGTCGTATGCCGAGAACACATACTCTACGCTTATGTATCTAACGCTCAGCGCATTGCCTCTCACCTCCTTGACGGCAGACCATATAGCGTCACATATCGGTAAAGCAGCAGGTATCACTGCCTTGCTTCGCGGGGTACCACTAGTTGCATTCCCACCGCCCCCCAATCATCATTCAAGCCAGACTCGGATAGGTAAGGAGGGAGCAGTGCCAGGAGAGAGTAGACAAGGCTCGGTTATGCTACCGCTTGATATTATGGCAGAGTCAGGAGTGAAAGAGGAGGATGTTTTTAGGCATGGTGCTGACGCACCCGGCCTGAGAGACGCTGTGTTCACCGTTGCAACACGGGCCAGTGATCATTTAATCACAGCCAGACAGATGTTGAAGAACCTCCGGGCCGGCGAGGACGTAGGGCACGACTTTGAACATGAGGGAGAAGAAGGGCATGAATATCACGACTCACACGAGGCGTACCAGTATCGACCAGACGACCAGCAGGCCAAGAGCACAAGCCTGAATACGCAGCTACGCGAGGTCGAGCGAGGATTTGGAGTTTTGCTACCGGCGGTTTCCACCGGCCTTTGGCTGAATAACCTGCAAAAGGTAGATTTTGATATATTTAAACCGGAGCTTCTCTCAACAGACTGGAGACTGCCGTGGAAAGCATACTGGGCCTTCCGACGGCGAGAATTTTGATAGGATTTTGGCTTCCCGGCCCTGTGACATTAACATATATGTACTATATAAGCAGTCTATACCCTTGAGCTTCCTACCGTAGTCCACTCGCTTCATATCTAATAGCCTGTCAATACCCGGGCATCCATCTCGAAAACTTTGAGCTGCCAAAATAAAATTCATCACAGGCCAAGATAGTATATGGGAACAAAATGTTCCATGGATAACATGGGGTTATTAACCTGGGCCGTTGGTTATGATATAAGATAGCTCTCAAAGGGTGGCGGTTTCGTATATGCTGACATCGACTTTGACATCGACAGCAGTTGTCAGGTAGCTACATTAAACATCTGTCAGACCAAAAGCCGAGGTCGTCTATTTGCAGGGGATTATTAGCACTGTAACTGTACTCTGCAAGGCGACGTGGCTGAAATGTGATTCTTGTATATAGTTGCAAGTGGATAGCGGTCTCCATTTTTTATACGGGGAATCTAGAAGCAGGTTTACAACTTGCCAAGTTGGCACTGAATATTCAACGGCTTCACATCCAACTCAGCACTCACGATGGATGCTCCCCTATTGGCCCAGGGCCGTAACTAGAGGCTCAAATAGTTAGCCTGCTGTGAGATGACTTGCATTGCATCTGCTTCACCAGCCACTTGAAACCACTAAAGATGAACAAGCTGCACTTCATCACAAACACCAACGAACAACAACAGCGTTATGAAGCCGTCAACTAGCTACGGCGTACGACAGCCGAGACAGCCCTGTCTAGTGTCAAAAACTCTACATGACTGGCTGGCCGTTGAATAACTCGTGGCTCGCCTCTGGTGGCGATGCGAGGGCTAGATGTCATACTGGATATATATCCTGACATACTGGCTGCCTGGGGATAAAAATGTTCGGCTTTACTACGCTGCTTAATCAAGAGCTTGATCTTCAGCTTCATCCTCGTCTTCAGGCTGGCGATGCCTCTGCGACAAACGCAGCTCGAGTTGGAGAGAGCGCGTGTCCGGGATCTTTTGAGGTAAGGCAGCTAGCTACCACAATCTCTACTCACAACACTCAGCTAACATGATGTATAAATAGATACTATAGGCCGAATCCGAGGCAATATCGTCCAGCGCACTATGAAGAGTGCACTTCGGTCTGCGGTGAAGTGCCCGAGCCTCTCAACGGATGCCATCCGGTAGAGGGGGACCCGGCAGAGAGCATTCCAGATGATTCACAGCTTCTCTCGCATGACCCTACGCTGACTGCGTTTGCGCAGTTGGGGGCATTCCGGTTGGACTGCCAGCGGAGTTTTATCTCTCTCATGGATCACAACCACCAATATATACTGGCAGAAGCAACAAGGAGCGTGTCTCTGATGTCCCGCGAGGTGTGCAACGAAGGAGATGGAGTGTATCTGGGTGCAAGAGTCCTGGACTTAGTATGGGGAGTGTGCCCCAACGCGATCCAGGTCTTCACCGCGAAGGATGACAACTGCAACATTTCTACTTCCAATGTCACTGCGAACCAAGACTGCTACGTTATGAATGATATGGCCACCATAGACAAGTTCAAGGACCGTCCTTATATCGTCGGGTGGCCATACATGCGATTTTATGCCGAGGTTCCCATCCATAGTCCAACTGGCCATGTAATTGGTACCTACTGCGTTGTTGACAACAAGCCAAGGGATGGTCTCGACCAGAAGGGCCTTGATGCACTGAACGAGATATCCTCGGCGATCATGAAACATCTTGCCCTCGTTCAGGCACAATTTGAGCTTCAACGAGCAGGGGCAATGGTTAAGGGTCTGGGCCGCTTCGTCGAGGGCAAGACACGCCTGCAAGGTGGCAACGGCAGTGGAAAGCGGTCAAGCAATCTTGGGAGCATCTCAACAGAACCGTCGATATCTCAAACGGGCACTTCTCGAACAAGTTCAACCGCATCTGAGACCCGTAGCGAGGTCTCCAATCAATCGACATCTATATCAACCGTCACGAGTCAGGGGCCAAAACGAACAATTGAGGCTGCCGCAAGGGATGGGCCAACATTGGGGCCGTCTATGGCCAGTGTCCTGCCTAAGACGAAACCAGTGTTACCGGGAGAGCGAGAGCTGCTTCTAAATGACCCTAGCTCTCGCCATGCGCTGACCGACTCTGCTGGAAATACACAGCTGTTTCTCCGTGCTAGCCGGCTGGTTAGAGACGCTCTAGATATGGATGGCGTGATATTCCTCGATGCCTGCTTCCGCGACATCGCCATCGATCCAGACAACCCAGTGCTTCTCCCACAATCTCCTACATCTTCTGGATACCGAGGTATACCTGACACGCCTGCAAACGAAAAATCCGACTGGCTGGATGCTACTGAATGCTCCACTACACAGGTCACTGGGAACAATTCGTTCCTGGGTCCCGAAGTGACAGCTCCTAAAGCGGATCACAGCAGTCGCTCAGCAAGTGAAATCTTAGCTTATTCCGTCAAAAGCCCTTCGAATATCTGCGACCTTCTTTCTTCCGGCACACGGGCACCCCTTCCCCGGTCGACTCTTCGACTGTTGCTGCAGAATTACCGACGGGGTCATTCGTTTGTATTCGACGAAGACGGAGCACTTGTGCAAGGTCACGATGAATTATATCATCGCCACATGGAGGACTATGGGAATGATGAATCTACAGATGCTCATCATATGGAGGAGGAATGGATTGGCCAACTTTTAACCCTCTGCCCTGGCGCTAGATCCATAGTCTTCCTCCCGTTATGGGACCCGAAAAGGAATCGATGGTTTGCTGGCAGCCTAGCATGGACCAAAGATCCCACCAGAATTATAGAATTAGCCGACATTGCTTATTTGGAAGCATTTGGCAGCTGTATCATGTCCGAGAAGGCTCGACTTGAAGCTATAATTGCTGACCACGCAAAGTCGAACTTCATTTCCTCTGTTAGCCATGAACTCCGCTCTCCCCTTCATGGCATTCTCGCAAGTGCAGAGGCCCTACAAGAATCGGCAACTACCTCTACACAAGAGGACATGATCCAGACCGTTATGGGATGTGGTGAGGTGCTGTTAGACACCGTGGACCAAATGTAAGCAAATTTGCATATCCTCTGTCTTCGCCTCTCCCTTCACTTGCTAATTTTATCTAGTCTTGATTACGCTAAGGAGAGCCATTTGAAGACCGACCCCCTATCGAAAGAGGAGAACAAGGAATCGATCTCCACTCTAACCACGCCTTTGGCTTTCGCCAATCTTCTGGAAAACACCGTTGACGCTATCGTTGCCGGGCACGACTATCGGAGGTCAGACTTTAGCTCTCTGAGCAATGAAGTCCACACTGGACGCACCATGTCTACACTTGAGTCATCAGCACGCCGCGTTATGGTCATCTTAAATATTGACTGGCAGACACCTGGGATCTTGAAATCGCAGCTTAGCAGCTGGAAACGGATCATTATGAACCTTTGCGGCAACGCACTTAAGTATACCTCGTCTGGGTTCGTCTATATCTCCCTTGGAACACAAACCGTCCTACCTGCCTCCAAGACGGAATCGGCTCAAAGGCACATCACACTTCAAATCAGTGATTCTGGGAAAGGGATATCGAATGATTATTTGAAATACGACCTTTTTACGCCATTTTCTCAAGAAGATCAGCTCGCTGGGGGCACAGGTCTTGGCCTATCGATCGTTCGACAGCTCGTCGCCAATTTTAGCGGTGATATCGACGTGCAGAGCGAAGTAGGCTATGGCACAACGGTCAAAGTATCCGTACCAATCAATGATGGCTCGCGTATCTCGAGTGTAGATTCCGAGAGAGTCAGCTCGATTATCACAGACACAAGAACGCGATGCAAGGGCTTGAAACTATGTATAGTTGGCTTTGAGTACTACCCCGATATCGGGGATGAACCAACTGGGATTTTGAGTCCCTATGCACGATGCTTACTCGTCCTCAAATCATCACTCACCAAGATTGCAACCAACTGGTTTGGGATGGAGGTAGTCGCGGCTTCTACCTTGGAAGAAGCAAAAGGAGATGTGGTAGTTGGGCTTCGGTCCAAATGGAGTCTCTCAGAGAAGCATAAAGGGGTATTACCTTTGATACTTGTCGATGACACCGCAGAAGGGAAACGCTGTGATGCTGAAGGAGTGTTCAGCCTTTCACAAATGTGAGTTTATCCCCCTAATACCAGCCCATCCAGCAGTTGTTTTACTTCTTTCGAACCCGTTTTGCCATACTGGTTCCATGCTAATTTATTTTTAGTGTTGGCCCGCAAAAGCTAGCCAGAGTTCTGGCATTATGCTTAGATTACAAGCCGACAGCTGCACACCCGTCATCTGAAAAAGAAAGGCGAAGCCCGACACCTACACCGGCCTCGTCTAAACTGCGAGAAACACTTAATGGCTTAAACATACCCTTGGTTCCTAAGGAAACACCTGAAGTGGAGACCACTCAGCCAAAAGATACGCTTCCACAGAGTGTGGAATCGCCAGGTCCGAATCACCAGGAGCGGGAAGTATCGGCCATAGACAAGAATTTAAAGGATATGCAGCTCTCCGAACCTCCAAAACAGCGTCTTCCTGAAAGATCTAAGGTCCTACTAGTTGAGGACAACATTGTTAATATGAAGGTATGCGACACCCCTTTTGAACCTAATTTAAGAGCGACAAGAGCTAAACATCATCGGCTTCCCAGATTCTGGTAAATTATATGAAGAAGGCGAAACAAGACTACGAGGCCGCGGCAAATGGGTTGGAAGCTCTACAGATATTCCAGGCTGAACCCCTGCGGTTTAAGGTCGTCTTTATGGGTATGTTGTGCTCGACCTACTCTATCAAGCAGCAAAGAAGCTAACATTATAACTGCGTAGACATTTCGATGCCAGTAATGGACGGTCTCGTCTCTTGTCAACGCATGCGAGAACATGAAGGCAAAAACTCCCTCGCTCGCACTCGGATTGTTGCCCTGACATGCTTCTCCTCTGCAGAGTATCAAGAAGGCGCTGCACTAAGCGGGTTCGACAAATTCCTCATTAAACCGGTATCGATGAAATTGCTCCAGCCTATTCTAGAGCTGGATGCAAACGACTTTAGTGGTGGCTAGATAGTACTAGTTAAAGTAATGCATATTAAAAGTGGCTGTCCATTTTTCTCTAGTTAAGCTTATACCCTTGGGCGTCACGGAAAATCAGTTAAAGGTTGCCATGATAATCATTTACTTAAGAACTACACTCCTACGCCTTCTCTAGACCTATCCTAGCTATACCCCTAGCTCTACTTACTCAGATATGTAACCAGCTTATTTATATAAAGGAGACCGCCAAGACAACGGCCAAAGCATTTTCCATTTCAACCTTCGAGGGCGACGACGAGGTTCTAACAGCAAGAGGTCCCTGCCAAAAGTCCCTTGATAGCATCCTCTCCTACGGACAAGCCTAAGCGGAAGATCCAAGGATAGGCCTACGGATAGTCAGGAAGATAGACTTAAGGGCAAAACTCCGGGGTTTAAGGGCTTTTGGTAGGGACCTCTTAGTACCGAGTCGCGCGTCTTTAACTCTCCCTGTCATGGTTCAAAGCGCATCCATTGAGACCACGTCAGGATGGCTCCTGTGAGACAGCATTCAATTGATGGAAGCGACATCAGCCCTCGCGCAGTTGACGTTGAGGCCCAGGCAAGCGGTGATGCCTTCAGACTAGAGCCATTCCCGTCCGCGTCGCCGAGCTCTGCCAGACATCCCTTCGGCCTCGAGACGCAAGGCAGCATCAGAAGACGCAGCCGTCGCTCTACTACCGCTCGCCCTTATTATCCTGAGATACACTCTCCAAATTGGCACCCTGGCGAAGAACCCGGAATCGATCCTGCGGACCCGAGCCTTCCTACCGCTTTCGCCGACGAGGGGACCTTGCTACAGGAGCAGTTATATCAACGATGTGATATTACGGTGGTGGATTTCTCCCAGGAAGCTATGCGCATGTATCACTTGGATAACGCGACATTAGTGTCCTTCCTCGAGAGAGAGAGAGAGCCATGGGTCCAATGCCGCTGGATAAATGTGAACGGATTAAGCTGGGATGTTGTCCGGTTGTTGGCGAACCACAAAGGCCTTCACAGGCTAGCAGTGGAGGATCTTATGCACTCTGTCAACCGGACGAAGGTAGATTGGTTCTCTGACCACACCTTCATTGTGCTTGCAATGCAAAAGTTGATCAAGCAAAGCTCCGGCGGTAGCCCCGAAGATTCGGAGGCAGAGAGTGAAGCTGAAGAAGGCGACACGGGAGAGGATGCGGACGATTCAAAGCCGCCCAGCCGCCATTCCAAAACTAAGAATCGGGGAGTTATAATGACGGCATTGATGGATTTATTCATACCCAAATATCAGCAGAGGCGGCAGGGACTACGTGGTGAAAAACGGTCGACCTTGAATCAACCGCATGAGGTGCCGGCCAGCCAGCCACGAGCCATTCGGTCTCTACAGCGTTTTAGAGGAGGCCCAAACGAAGACCGTATCGATTTTATGGAACGCCATGCTGTACTCAGTTCTAAGGGCCTCAGTGTCGGCATTGAACAAGTCTCCCTCTTCCTCCACTCAGATAACTCTGTGACATCCTTCTTCGAGGCCAGTGCAGACGATATCGAGCCTCCAATAATCCAGCGATTAAGATCTCCAGGTACCATTTTGCGACAGAGCTGCGACGCAAGTATGATCTTGCAGGCCATAATCGATGCTATCACCGATCTGGCTATTCCTGTAACAATGGCGTATCAGGATGCGATTGGAGACCTAGAGGTCCAGGTTCTTACCGACCCTGATATCAAACAGTCGAGTAGCCTCTACATTCTTACCTCTGAAATTTCTGTACTTCGAAATGCCATCCAACCCATCATCGGGGTTATCAATTCGCTAAGGGACCACAAGTCAGCTACCAACAACCGCCCACAGTTGGGATTTAAGACTGCATCGTCTCCTTGTTTACATACCAACAACTCAGACTCTGCTCCTAGCTCTCGGGTTACTTCACACCCAGAGACGGAAGGTGTTAAAATGCCTTCAACTGTGACGATTAGTCCGATGTGCCAGACTTACCTAGGTGATGTCCTCGATCATTGTATCACCATTAACGAAGGCTATGATCAAATGCGGCGTTCGGCAGATAATATGATTGACCTGATATTTAACACAATTGGTAAGCTTTGATGGTTGATAGGATCTCTGGTACATGAAATCATCGAGAACATGCACTGACAACTTTATAGGAGCCTATCAAAATGAAAGTATAACACAGCTATCACTTGTGACATGCATGTTTCTGCCACTGACTTTCCTTTCTGTAAGTTAACTTTTCGTCCGTGGGTTGAGAACATGAAGTAACATTCGATAGGGATATTTTGGAATGAACTTCAAGTCTTTCTCAAGCATCGAGGTATATAGTGATGCGTAAGTGTAACCATTTCCGCGGTTCCCGCTCTCCACCCCTTGATGATATATCTCCGCTAACACCAGTATAGCTTTTTCTGGGCCATTGCTATCCCGTTCGTATTCGTGGTGATGGTTATCTTGATGTAAGCGAACGGCCATGACTTAGAGCTGAATTAGGAGGTGTATCAATGCTGACAATTTTTGTTTAGGCGCGAGATGATCAAACGCTACTTGATGAAGCTGGCAAACAAGAGGTTAATCTGGAGCTCTAGGCGGAGGCGAAGGCCCGCACGTCAGCGACCCCACGCCAGCTGATGATGTCTTGGAGAAGTTATGTATCCTTTACTTAAACGTGGAAGCTTGTATATAATATTCTTAGGGTAGTGATACAGCCACAACTTTCTAGCTATCTATACACATATCTTCAGTTAACCTTCTACCCGTTAGTTCTCTATTAACGTGTAGTATTGTAGAAAATTTATTTAAATTTATATCAAATGATTCTACCGGAGTGTTCGTCAGATGCAGGAGGTAATTAATACAAGCCATATAGATTTATCCGGGTCTGATATGAATATGTGAAGTATCATTAGAAACATGTATGTTATCTCCAACCATACACCTGAAACCTCCCAACTCTCACACATACGCCATGATCAAGATATCAAGAAATAACAGTAAGAAAAAGTATATATATGTACAGAAGATCGAAGCTTGAAATTAAGTGGAAGGGTAAGCCGCGGCGGACAAGCGTTGGAGGACTCGAGAATAGGAGAGATAGGAAGCGCCAACGTGACATTACATCATGGAATAGCGTGAGGACAATGAAATAGATTAGACGTGGATATTTTTATAATGCGTAGGGGAATGGGGATTAAGAGGGTATATTTAGTTATACAGAGGCTGGTTTTGGTTTCCAGCCGAAGCGATGAATGGTAAAGGACGAGGGTTTCGTGAAACTCTGCTGTGATTTGACACCTGGAAGGAGATCCGGCTGAATATCCATTAATACGGCCTTTTGTGGTTCTGCATATCGCGGTATTTGCGATTTTGATCCTCTCTTCGGGACTGTCTTTGTTGTACCTCCCGAACTCGAGGCCGTATTCTTCTTCATCGTCTCCTTTATTAATTCTCGAAGCTCTTTATCATCGCTCGTGATTTGCGCTCTGATAAAGTCCATGCTGCTTGAGTTTTGTAGAGATGACATGACGGGTTTTCTGGGAGTGTAGCTGTATTTCTCAGGGGCAGGTGGCGATAAAGGAGTAACTGAGGTGTCCAACCTCGCCTGATCTCCTTTGGCGAGGAGGTCATTGATATCAAGGGATTCACCATGAGGGATTTTGTTGGGATGAGAAGGCGTCACGCAGTCCATATTCACTTCCTTTCTCAGAACGTGGTCGATATCGATTGCTGAAAAGAACGCGCATGATTGTGGGAGATCATCGATGCCCATTTGCTGTGAAAACATGGCACGCGTCCAGAGATTCGCAACCTGTAGCGCCATTGCAGCCTTGTATTTATCGGTCTCCTTTACCACATACCGAATCTCATCATGGACAGTAATAGCAAGACGGGCGTCCAGGTTGAATCGCCTAATGAGATAATCCATCGATATGATGAGTAAATGGAGATAGTCCACACCAGATGACTGAATCGCCCAGTTAATTCTGGATGTCATGAAGCCGCCTTTATTAATAAAGCGTCGCATTAATGCTTCAGTAATACCTGCCCCGAGAACGGGGGTCCGTGGCCGCTCCTGCTCTGCGAATTCTTCAAGTTTGTTGAATACGAACGATTCAGTCCCGCCTCGTAGGAATGGGCTCTCACTTAGCATTCTGCGAGTCGTTCGAGTCCCTTTCGTCTCTTTATATAGTTTGGCGGCCACAGCCTTTGTCTCCGCTTCGGACATGGTTGGGTTGAATTGTCGTAGAAGCGTGGCAGCGAATTTCAGACCAGCCCCATATATTCTGCCATAATTAAAGACCTTTGCGTTGTTTCGAGAAATACCTAGGATCTGTGCCGTTTTCGAGTGCAAGTCCGTACCAGCCGCCTTTGTACCCTCGAGCGTCATGAAACCTATGGCATTTCCACCATGAAGTTGGAATTGTGCATCACCAACAAGACTTGCTATCCAAAGTTCCTCTGAATCAACGTCGGCACCAACGAAGACGTAGCCGGGTGGTGCCCGAACCATCGCCTTGAGCTCAGATCCAACACGATTTGGTTTAGCGTTACTCGCGGTGAGCCAAGTGTTTTCGACAGCCCTGCGTGTAATTGTTCCCATAGGTATGACTTGTGGAAGTATAAAGCCTACTTTCGATTCTGATGAAGGCTCCTTGCCAGAATCCTCTGCCTTTACCAAATCTTTTTCGTACACGACTGTTTGAGACTTTATTCGATCCCTCGCGCTTATCCAGTACGAACACGAAGCGTTCATTTCCAGCGCTTCTTTAGCTAATGGAAATTGAGACGAAAGCTTTCCACTTTCGAAATATTGTAGATATCCCTTTGAAAGTGGGCTTGTACAGCGCGCGTCCGGTCCATCTTTGTGCGGAAGCTTGAAATATACGTGCTCTTTGCTCTCACGCAGAACAGGGTTGGTCTCCTCTGCCATGTCGCATGCAACAAGCGCCTGGTTCGCGTATCGATGTAGCTCTTTTCTGGGAACTTCAAATGTCCATGCGTATTTATCAGACCAAACAAGTGGAAATCCGTCCCATGATAGGTTTAAGAGAATAGGTGATATTCGGGTGCGAACTGTAATACTGATATCTGACTTGCTTGTCGGGAATAGGTCCTTATACCACTTTGGCATTCCGGGTTTCTTTTGTCGTGCTGCAGGTCGTGGAGGGTCACCTTTCTTCTTACCTTTGACCATTCTAATCTCTTGACCCGACCAGTCCAGCTGTCGAAGCCAAGGATCGTTTTGATATATCTCAGGTTTGTCTTTCACACTCAGCGCGGTTTCACACAGTTCAATTAATCTCTTTTGCACGTTTTCCAATGCACGATGGTACGTCTCTTCGGCATTCGTTAGGTATTCTTGCCAGGTTTCGTTGACGGGAAGGATAACGGATGAAAGGTGTCGTAATGCCGCAAAACTGACAGGATGGGGGCATGTCTCTAAGAAGTTTGGAAACACTTTTTTGTACACTCGATGAGTGATGGCAACGTCGGCGGCACAATAGTCAAGAAGCTCGTCTAATCGTTCATGGATTCCAGCACGATCAAGTTCACCAAAGTAGTTCCGTTGGGCTTTATCAATAGTGATATTGCAATGAAATTTGGCCACGTCACGAAGAGAGTTTATGGAGCTCCTTCCCACCCATAGTTCCTCCTCTTCCTCGCTAAGCATTTTATTTTCGACGATGGATGCGAGTTCAGCAGACTCGGTTTCGCGCGTTAGCTTATCGCGCAGGTCCCTGTTTTTCTTATGCTTCATCCAAGTTGGCCGTTGCTGCGAGCACATCCCATTTACAGCCACATGGAGAGACATTGTATCGATAAAGAAGTTTCGTGACTGTTTGATATCGTATTCCTCCAGTATTCTGGCTCGATCATAGCCAATATTATGGCCCACGATAATCCGGGATTTTGAGGTGTCCCCGAGGGGTACCAGGTGTTGAGTGTTTTCAGATTCCCCCAAGAGCCACGGCGAGATCCATGCATACCAAGCCGTTGGGCCAGCTGCACAAGCCATCACTGCAAACGGATGTTCTTTCCACATCACTTCGGTATCGAACGTCAACATCGCCTCATCAGGGGCATCGATCTCCTCGGCAGTTCCGTCGTCATGATATTTAGTCCAACCGCTCCGTCTGACCCATTTTCGTGGTTGTTGGGGTAAATGAACCGTGGCATATTGTTTGGCATCGGTTAAAAAGGGTTCAGACGCATCCATCCCCAGCTTGTGGAAGTGTTCATCAAGGCTCTGCCCTTTAAGGGTCGGAAGATCGAATGCGATCGGATCAGAGCCATCCTGCGCCTTGCCTAGTAAATCATGTCGAGATAAATGGTCCTGTGCTAAAGCAACTAGTTTTGGGTCCGCAGGCGTAGGTTTGTTGCTAAATACTTGAGGGTGAATGACGCTGCTCAGCTGTTGTACCCCGATCTCGTTAAACCGGCCGGTTGAAGGGACTAGATATGATAGGTAAGTGTTTGTCCATACGACGAATTCTGGAGGGGGAAAACGTACGTGCAAGCGTACCCTGCTTTGGCGCGTGCTCTGTAGCATCCTGCGCCGCCTGTTCCACGTAGTTCCTTGCGAAATATGCCGATGTGTTCCATGCAGGTATCACTCGCCGGGTTAATCGTGCCTTGAAGGAGGTTGATAAGGTGCTTTTATACGACCCGCGGCTTAAGACCTGCATAATTGCGCGGTCGATAATTCATTCTGCTACCACGATAGTTCAGCTCACAAGCCAGGTATTCTCTCGGAGCTCTTGTAATTATGTCTTCACCACGCGATCGCTTGCTTCCTTGGATTTCTTTAGCTGCATTTTTCCCCTTGTCGATGCGAAATCGTATATCATATCACGTGTTGCGATAAGATATGCTTAGTCATGATCACATGAGCGCCATCGGGAATATATTAATCCGCGTATCCTTATCGGCGATAACGAAACCAAAATGCGGCAACCAAGAACCGCATCTTGAACTGCAACCATCTTCACACCAACTCCCACTGTCGTTTCCACCCTGCTCACTCCTCCGTTGACGAACGCTAGGCGGCGCCTGGTTTACGCAGTACAGACTCCGTTATATTTTCCAGAGGAAAAGGAAACTCCTTGTCTGATTCTGGCCCAGGCGGTGGCGCATATTTGAGGAAATATCCGGGTCTAGGGTCTCACTCTGGTCTCATCCAGCACGCCCGTTCACCTCTGAAATCATTGCGGCTACGCATCGCGTCCTTCCTACGAATGCCCAATTAATCGCATCTTGTTTCGTACGCCCGTGATTTGGCCTTTTTCGATATACATTCTCGCTCGCCACTTCCATTCTCGTTCGCGATGGACAACAACTCTTTCGTTGACCTAACTGCGTCATCCCCAGTCTCGGCACCAGCCGGAGGCGCGAGACCTATGTCACCAATATACGGTGCATGGGGTAGCCGTCTTCGTTCTCGTTCTCCGCCCAGCTTAAGCCAACACAATAGAGAGGAGACTAAGCGTCGGAGGTTAGATAACAGTAACGCCACAGCTAGCTCTTCTTCTCGGGCACAACAAAGGGCAACGAATGGAATCCCAGGCGAAATCGAATCCGTGGATTTGACTGGCGTCAACGACTCATGTTCCCTTGCCAAATTCCTCGCCAAACAACGTGAAGATGCCGTCCTAGCCCAGAAAAAGGTTACGAACGACAAGGAGGCACGATCCGCGTTGACAGGGTACAAGTGCCCTGTTTGCATGGATGTTCCGGAGAACGCTACAACTACCATATGCGGTATGTATATGGATCTCTACCCAATAGTTCGTATGTCCGTTATTAACATGTTTTATGTTTACAGGTCATTTATTCTGCCATAAATGCATTATAGACACTCTTAAGTACAATGAAGCCCGTCGTGCGCTTGAAGGTAACAGTAAGGCGGCACGAGGGAGCTGCCCAGTCTGTCGAAAAATCATATCCAGGAGTGATACGCCCGGTCCCAGGCGGAATCTGGTTCCTCTACAGCTCAAATTAACAACTAAAAAGAAAAGCTGAGAGCTCTTCATACCTAGTCCACTTTCTTATTTTTTTTTAGACGTATGGGTGTTTCAGACAACCCGATCACGCCGGTACCATTGGTCCGTTTGGCATTATGGATTATGAATTGTAACGGCATGCGTGGAGTTTTTCGTTCTCTTTATAATGGTTGTTTCTAGACTATCTGCTATTCGGGAGGTACCTGGCTGTTTCTTTTTCATGAGCGTTGCTTAAAAGGGTTTGGGACATTAGTGGAATTTATTATTCCTTATGCATAATATTTGTCTCAGTTGTTTGCTTCATTGTCGGCCACGAAGCAAGGATATGTTATATTGATACGTATACCAGGCCTCTTCTACCTCTACTGTAACGATCCTTATACGTCAACAATGACCAAATCTACCATTAAGAGGTCATTTATTTCCGCCCAACGCCTTCCATGGTGTTCCTTCTACTCCTCTCCCCGCTCAACCCAACCCTGACCATTGCATCCCCCTTTTTCCCCAATACCACTTCCAGTGCCTGCACCAAAGCGGTCGGATCATACTTCATCCCTACTACAGCTCCTTCCTCGTTCACTACCTTTCTCCCATACAAGCGTAAACATTCGATGCCCATCTCGTTTAGACGATCTCGATCCACCTGTGGTGTTCCTGGCCCATCAAGATGCAAAATATGCGTCACATAGGACGTATACGGTTCCTGCGGCGTTGTAATTCGTGGCGGGTTAAACTTGGGGCTACAAGCGTTTTGCGGTGTCGAGTTTTGGCGCCTGTGGCCGCGACTCTCCTCCGCCGCTCGGACGATAGCTTCAACAAACTCGGACGCTGTTAGCGGTCGAGATGACGGGCCACTTTCACGATCTAAAGACCCGTTTAGAATGAGGATCTTTTGTCGTGCAGGACCTGCCGCTATTGCACGGCCCACCCCTCTAAGGATTATGGAAGGTATGAGCGAGGTGTAGAGAGAGCCGATGCTGTAAATTATCGCTTGAGATGAACGCAGTGCCTCCAGTACACGAGGATTCGCTGGAGGCCTGATTTCTTGTCCATAAGGGTTGATATACCAAACGCGGGAGATACGGCTTGGGAGCTCATCGACGGCCGATTTGCTGAACTTGATGTTCTTGTTCCTTAACGTCGGAAGCGAGCCAGGTAAATGGCTTTCTTCATATAGGGGATCTTCTAGCTCAATGCTTGGATCGTCCCCATCAGCCAACAGTAAACTTGGGCGTCTGCAGGAGGGCATTGGTTGAATGGCGGTTGCTTCACTTGGATGAGAAATGCTGTTTTGGCCAACAATCACGGTTCCATCCTCGAGAGAGGCAGATATATGATGAGAAAAATTGGAGTTGATGGCGGGAACAACCCGCATGCTGTCAATAGGAACAGAACATATGCTTGCAAGAAGGTAAATAGCGCTCTCAAAGCTCCCGCTGAAGACCCTGGCAGCAGTTAAGAAGAGATTGCCAACGCTGGCAGAAGTAAAGTCGAAAGTCGATGAAGGAGGCCTCGCGCGCTTTAGGATCTCAAGATTAAGTAAATTCAGAAATGAGCGGACCAGCTCCTTTTTTGCAGGAGTGATATCTTTCCACAGGGAGGAGTTTCCCTCAACAATAGAATACCACTCATCATGTGCGGTGCTGGCATTAGATGAAAGTCGATGATTGAAAAATGTTTTGATAGCAGCCCGTTCTGGATCAGCTGGTGAATCGGGAATCAAACGTACGAGTCTGCCTATTATATATGCCTTAGTTAGACTCCCAATATAAGTCACTTTGGGTATTTTCTTACTTCGGACATCTCCAATACCAGGACCGCCAAAGAATCTGATAAGTTCGGATGATGATCCACCATTATCACTGATTGGAATAATGTAACTCAAAGGACAGTCTTTGGTTTCCCTGATGGCACTGAAAACGTCTACTAGATTATTCGCAGCACTCCCACCGGAAAACACGGCTATGCCCCTATTTGGACCAGGAGTAGCAGCCATCTAACAAATGCCTATAACGTTGTTGTCTTCAAAAAAGCACAGTATGCATGAATATGGGGTATCGTGCTGGGTGAGGGCCGAAGGAGGTTTATGATACAGTGTCCTCAAGTTCCAAGGTTGAATTCCTCCACGCAAACTTGGAACCCCCTAAGAATCACGTGACGCCTGTCTATATCCATCCAAGGTCTGTGTACAACGTTTAATTCCCATACTCTTAAGGGGCTATACTGAAGTTAGCTATAGTTTTATATCTGTAGGCTGGGAAAGTGCGGCTATAATACTAGAGATCAGGCATGAGGGGTATGAGAAACTTCGCATCAAAATTTGACACGTAACTAAACTAAGAAGGCGTGTTGTTGGCTGATGAGAGAAAATGAAATAGGAATAGATACAGGCGGATCTCAAGAAAAGAGAATTTCTATAACTAGTTCATGAGTATGTAAAAGTAGTTACAGGGTATCTTTTGTAGTAAAAACGCTCATCACACGTATATGTGCAAACAACGCATATCAAAGTAAACATACACAGTGGTAATATCCAAGGCGATGTCCATCTGGGTCTCCTATATAGAGATACAATTAGACATATGCAGCCCAACCTATAGAATATGATTAGCACTCCAGATCTGCAAGAAACTTAGAGTAATTTAAAGACATACCGCAATACAGGACAGCGAGGTTCCGATCATCTGTAGCCTGTTGTATCAATTCGTTCACTGTGGCTGCCACGCTCAGCGATTTTCCAAGCTTCTTTCGAACGACTGTTAAGGCTCTATCCGCTTCATTCGGCTCGTTGACATTTGCCTTTCTCCCGCCTCCCCCGGAAGCAACTGTGCCGTTCTCGGCTTCTTGAGCATCTTGCATCTTCTTCCTTCTGAGAGGAGATAGTGTCCAACTGTAGAGTGGATCGTATCGCAATACGTCCAATATGGTCATTATGCTATATGACTCTTGACGGAGAGCTTCAAGAGTAAACTCGCAGCAACGTCGAAATACTCCCTCGCTTTTTGTAACCCCCATGCCATCCACAAGATCTCTAGTCAGCCGAAATGGTACACCCTCTGGGATTGGTAGAACACGCCCTTGTTCAAAAGCCACACCCAGGTCAATATGCACAACTTCTCCAGTTTCTGTATCCAGCAAGATATTGTGCCCGTGTCGATCACCCAGGCCGAGGACATGCCCAAGCATAGAAATCGCAGCAGTGCTTCTTGTATAAGCTAGTCTTTTACTAAACCAGTCGTCTGGGTTTGGGAACTTTTCCATGAAGAAATGTTTCATGACAGGATGGAAATGGTCAGTGACATGACGATATGCTTTTACCCGTTGGTCTCGAGACTTTCCTTGCGCATCGTTAATAAATTTTCGGCATTGGTTCGGTTTCAAATCTCGCGGGAAATGCCTCTGATGCGCTGGCAGTAAGTAGTCATTTAAAGGCATTGTGTTTTGAACGAACTCAATAATACCAGAATTTGATGCAAGCGGCAGCACCTTGTATGTCCTGATACCGATTTTTCGTTGTTGAGTGTCCCTGTGGTCCCGAAGTAGGTCGCTGACTTGTTCAAAAGTCTGCTCCATTATTGCATCTTGCCGTAAGTCATCGTTTCCGGATTTAAACTATAGTATGGTACAGACATTTATTAGCGTCATGCTTCACCGACAATAAAGCATTGAAAAGAGAGATTCTATAGCCTACCAGTTGTTTATATCGCCCTCCATCGGACGCCACGGCCGTCACAATCTTTGGAGCACTAACACCCGATGCGATGGTAAAGGTTGGCTGGAAACTGACGAGATGCGGCACATTTGCATAATCGCAATCGGCGCGAAGAGGGATTGTCATGGTTGGCGGCGGAATTTTTGTGTTCAAAATGGCACTTTGTAGTCGCGTACCATAAATTGTCTTCTTCAACACCAACTTAGCACCGCTTTTCACTTTTCCATCCACTGATTCCGCAGCAAAATTTAAGTAATGAAAACTAGTATTGTGAATGGCTAGCCATTCCCCAGATCTCTTTGACTTTTTCAATGCATCCACGATCTTCCCAGCTGCATTGTACCGGGAAATAGCCTTCGGGTCATTGTCTTTCTTTGACCTGCTGCTAACGAATATGTGATACATGCCATGGTAGGGATGGTCAACGCAAATTTGTAAAACCAATGCTGAGAGCAATGGCTGAAAGGCATCTGGAATATCGAGTAGCCTCGAGGATAATTGGTTCATCAATGTTGCGAATTTTCGGCTCGGCACATCAGGCAAATGCTTCGATACAGCATCATTCGCAAGCTCGTTATCTGAATTATCAAGCCATAACGCACAGAAGCGAAGGACATCGTTCCCGAAAAAGTCACATGCCTTTAGAGATAGGAGGTAATTTTCAAGGCATTGGTATAGAAAAGATTCCCTGCTCTTTTTCAATCGTTGATATTCGCGATCGTCCAAATCAAACCATTGTTTTGCTTTCGTACGATACATACGCAACTGGTCTCTCGCTTTCCCTTCGGACGTTTTCATCATATCCTCGAGGTCGGTTACCTCTTTCAACTTTCTAGATCGTATTTGCTCAAGTCTAATAAAGTCTTCTAGCATGTCTGGGTTCTGTAGTTGCTGGTCGCAAAACGTCGCGAATTGGTGAAATACTAGCCCGGCTTCCGGTCCAATGTATTCGCCCTTTAGTTCTTTGATCGCCGGTACAAGATAGCTCTGGATGATGGCGTCTGGTTGTTCTAGTCTTGCTTCGGCAATATGATGTCCCTATATAAGAATAAGTAGACTGGCGGTGGTAATGTAGTATTAGAAGGACTTACCAAGCTGGCCAAAACCTCTGCCGGGCTCACTGGGATGGTCTGTTTTTGTAGATCTTTTTGGTTACTTAGCTTTTGTAGAATTTGGATTGACGTCGTCATCTCTCCTTGGTCCCATAAAACATTTGCAAGGTCGAATGCTGCTGCCGCATCAATTTTTACTCCTAACTCGGCGCACGGTTGGACTAGTTTTGATAATGACATCGCTGACTGGAGAGACGCCTGGGATATTTCATGCTCTCTACTGATTTTGAGTGACTCCCTCATGCATTTTGCTTGTAGCAACTGCGCATCCCTCGAGTTTAGATTCGCTATCTTCTTCAAATGTGGCTTGCGACTTATTGACGAGAAGATTGCCTCTCGGCTAATAAGTATCTGGCTGATATCTTGAAAACTATAGGTATGTTGGTAATTAGCTAATTGAGTCGTAAAAGATGAGTCAAGTCTAAGCAAATAACTGACCTTTCAGGTTTTAGCCACGAGCTACGGCTTATTAACCTATCCCATGCCTCTTGCATCTGTGACGTATCATTGGAAACAACTATCTCATCTATTTCAGTGAGTATTCCAAGAGTGGTCATAGAAGTTTTAAGGGACGATAGTGACTGATTTTCTTGATTAAGACATTCGATAACTTCAAGGAAACAGTCATCAAGAAACTTTATTATTTGCACCTTGTCCTCTAATCCATTCAATGCTTGTAGAGACTTGAATAGAGTTCCGGTGGGCGAAGTTGTTGCAGGGACTGGAATATCCCATTGCTGTAGATATAGATTGGTGGAAAGCATGTAGTCAAACGCCTCGCTACCCGCACCCGTTGGTGTGGATGAGCGAAACATGGCGCTTGACAGGCCTTGTAGGTTTGTGTAATTGAGTGCTTTAATCACTTCAAACGACCCCCCATCGCCCACACAGCGCCCAAGCTTGAGGTCAGTATCAAAATTTGCACTCTGGAAAAACAAGTTTTTGAGCCCGGAACTCTCGTGTTCCAACTTCTTCAGTACAGCGTCGAGCGTCTGGTTTTGCTGGATACCATAAAAAGAGTCCGGGTCATCGATATTTTTGAATATGCAATGGAGCAAATCAGTTGGCTCAGATACCTTCGCTGCAGACGATCGTCTAGAAGGCCCAGCGACCTGGGAGTTACAGATCTCTAAAAAGAGCAGTGATGTTTTATACATCTGACAACGAGTAGCCGCAGTCGCTGCTTGCATAAAGTCTATATCGAGCCACCCATTTCTCTCGCTCATAGTAGCTTCACGCGGTAAAGGCTGGTGTCGAAGGTAAAGTACGCACGTTATTATAAGCCGAATATGGGGAAGATTAGAGTCAGCTATGTCTTGAAGAGCCTCCTTAAACAAGTCCGAGACTTCATTTCTCGTCTTTTGAAAACCGTCAATTTCTGATAACAGCACATCATGGAGGATGTACGGAAGAAGTTGGACAGCAAAAGATGGAACAGCAAAGATGATCTTGGGCAAAGCTCCGATGACTGCATCATCAGCCACTTTGTGGCATAAAAAGAGTGCGAGATGCCGAGCAAAATCAGAGGCTGTTGCACCTACATTCCACTGTGGCAGGGCTAAAAATGGAGACATTTTTGGTGGTGGGAATATAAGCCCTGGGCACTGATAAGGCTCCCATGTTAAGGCTTTAAGGGACGTTGTCGGAACAGTTTGCACGCACTCGGCCAACTCAGGCTCCTTGTACAGTTTGTTGAGGATGACTTGAAGGGTTCTTTCGGCTAGGCCAACAGGATCACTACTATTAGAGAGCGAATCACATAATATACGCAGAATTGCGATTTTTGAACCAGCAAGGAACCCGTCATGCGAGTAGTTCAAGAATTCGGACCTTTGTTCTTTTCGAAATGATGGGCTTATTACGCCCGTTGCTGCATATGCACGACCAAGCGCTCGAGCTAGCCACAGACGATAACCTTTTCCGTGAGTTTGATTTTCGACAGAGGACCATAAAGTCATAGCATAGGAGGCGGCAATTTCATCGTCACCCAATATATCATCCCGAAAGTTATCTGGCCTTTGGAAGTTATCGCATAGCTGAGATAGAACAAGATTACTTGTATGGGCTGTTAACAAGTTCCGTCCCGAGGTTTTATCCTCTAATAACTCCAAAATAAGCTCGCTTTCGTATGTACCCTTAATACCGTTCCCCAAGAGTTGAATATTCTGAGATGCCTGAATAATCTTGCGCAGGGACTTCGCTGACGGGTCGTCAAGGGTTGAGTGGCTGTACTCGGTCGAAGGGCTGTATTTGTTTAGGAACTCTGAAAACCAAAGATGAAATTCATGGGCCTTGGAGAGAGCTGCTTTAAAATGAGCCTTTTGAGTAGTGCTTTCTTGAGGAGCGGATAAGAATTCTCGGAGAGAGGCCAGCGTTGAAACCGCCAAACCAGCGGTAAATGAAGGGTTGTCAGTGAGATACGCTCTACCGCGCTCAATCAAGTACCAAACTAGTCCTATTGCGTCTTCAGCACAATGAAAATCCGTGAGAAACGGCCTCAGGCCACGTAGGAGCATTTCGAGTGGATAGTCATATAGGGCTATTTGGCCAGCAACACAGACCAAGATTCGGAGCTTGCGGATAACAGCGCATGTATGTAGCGATCCAAGGGCAGGGTGTGTTGAATCTAAAAGCGTTCTTGCAACAAAACAAACTAAGGACGGGGTCCACATCGTTTCGATATCAAACCCGCTTCTCTTGCATAGAAATTCTATTTCATCGAGAAGATATTTTGCACGGAAACATGGTTGTTGGCTAAGTGGAAGAGCTGACGTAGAGTGACTCTTCTCGTGTATATCTTTCCACGCTTTCAATGCATGATGGAATGACGGTCGTTTCTCGAATGCTCTCTGAATTTGCTCCGTTTGGTCAACACTTCCGAACAGAGCGGCAACAGTCTGAGGGAAAAATTTCTCTGACAGCTGGAAAAATTTCTCTTTCCCCAGCATATCGATCATGGCACGCTCTGCACCTTTTGCCCCGGCTTCTTGCGATGGTGGTAAACTAATGTCACGAGCCACGCTGTATGCTTCAGCCTTAAAAAAAGATTCGTGAAGTAGGTCTTCGAACGAGCTGTTCAAACATGTTTCAATCGCCTTTTTATCGTCGTCTTTCACCCTCATGGCAGTCTGACCAACAACTTCATCTTGAATGTCGACTAGGAGTTCACGGAGTGTAGGGTAGCCAAACACTCCAAATGGGATATCCGTGACAGACTCTTTATCCATCCACGTATAGAGAATCTGCGGTGTGAATAATTGAAATACCTCCCTCGAGTCCTTTAGCCCCAGTGCCCTAGAAACCTCCCGAAGGCAGGCTTTGGCATGGGGGATGGACGCCGGAACATTCCCGGACGTTTCAAAAATACGGTAAATGCTTTGACGGAGAAGTGTATGCCACCGTGAGGCAAGCTGAGCAAAGAGATACAGACGTAATGCAATACCTTCGGCCCATGTTGAATCCTGGGGTAGCCTATCAATAACATCTTCAAGAATGGCATCGTGTTCCTTCAGCACGAAACGACTGAATATATCGGGTATCAACTTTGATATATGAAATTTCACAACCAGATCACCATCACGGAGGATTTTAAAAAGAGTTGTTCGAGGCGAGGCTTGCTGGCTATCTCTCGAATGAGACGGGTTTGCCCGTAGGATTGCTTCTGACAGATCTGCAAGCCTAATAAGTATTTTGGAGGACCCAAGCCCTTGTCCCAATAGGACATCAGTGAACCACACATAGAGCTCAGAAGCCGATTCGAATAAATCGTCTCTCTCATTTGAAGTCCAGAGGTCTACAAAGCACCCCACTAGACTAATGCAGGCACAAATTGCAGCCTCGCATCCCTCAAGGTCGTAAGATTCGAGGCATTTTTCTCCAAAATACTCTATAATTTTACAAGCATTGAGCCTTGAGATATCTGACCTACTCTTCAAGAGGTGAATGATATACTGCCAGCCCACGAGGATGTCTGCCTGAGTCAAAGTCGTGAGATAACCAGTAACCAGGTCGTCCAAGGATAAGGGGGTGTCATCAGTCAGCCGGAGCTTGTGAATAACCGAGAGCTGAATAGATGTTGCAATCCTGATTGACGAGCTATCAGGGAATAATGGGCTCTCATTGTCTCCCCGATGTACCTTTGAAAGAGTATCTGTTTCCGCAGTTGTAGGCCTTTGCGACGAAAAGCTTGTATCAATATCCATGGCATCGCTAGCTTGAGAATTAACTTCATCAGAGAGTCTGTGCCGTTCGATGATGGGCACAAGTAGCCCCGTCATCTTGAGCAACCCGCATAAAAGAACGTCTTTTGGGTCGAACGGAGCTTTCAATGATAGCGTGAGTGGGGCAAGGACCTCTAGACATCCGTTAAGATGTTCTTCTTCCTTAGTAAATCTATCACATAAGCTTGCCCACAGTTTGCCCACAGATTCTTGGATATTCTGACACCTCAGTGTCTGCGATGGAATAAACTCAAGTAGTACATTTGACACCAAGCATAGTGAGGTCAGAATTTGAATGATCTCTATTGTGACATGGTGTCCCTTATCAGTACACAGCGCGGTCCACACTTGGTAGAAGGTATCGACTTTATGCTGTAGAAGATCGAGAACCAGTGTTTCCGAAGGATGATGTCGAGAAGCGGCGTATACAGGCACAGCCTTTCCCATCTCCCAGTCATGAGGCTGGCTGCTTTTGGTGAGCAATAAGTAGCTAATAATTTTTGAATTTTGGTGGAGAGAGGCCCATGTCCTTGAAATGCGGCCGATAGGGCCTACGAAAGATGAGTTAAAGGAAGGTACCAATACTCCAGAACAAGACATTAAAAGATTCAAGAGGGGGAGCGGGCGAGCATATGTTGCCATATGACTAGTTTGGGCTCTATCTGTTGGAACTATAGGAGACAAAGTAAGCATTGGCTCATGCACAACTGAGGTTAATTATAATACCTAGCATCCACTTGTTCCTTAGCCATCCGCAAGCTTGTTTTGCAAGGCCTTGGCTCTGTGTAGCATTTGATTGGGACCACAGCTCCAAAACATTGACCCAAAGGGACAAGGCCGAGTCATTTAGACTAGCTGGACCATTTAGATCCGCTGAGGAGACGAGCGAATCTAGAGTATGGACGATATCCGAGTACTGTAACAGCTTGAAATGCATGAAAACACTCATTAAGTGGCAAACAGCTCGCGATGTAGCTGGAGATGAGATGTTTCGCACGCTCAATTCCCAAACTTGAAGCCATCGCCCTTTAAGCTTTTCCGATTTGGCACTCTCACAGGAGGCGATGCTATAAATGTTATTTTATGGTTTAGAGAGCGATCAAATAGGGCTACTAACCTTGCAATGGCGACAATACTCCAAGATGCAACCATAACGTTGTCTTCAAGTATGTTCGTGATCAGCCGTCCAAGCAATGTGGAGAGGCTCCCAACGTCCGGCTCAGCTTCAGATAGGATGAAGGGAATGAGCTGTAGGGCGCAAATACGGCTCATACCGACAGCCCGTGAGGCCTCACTAAATATATCGTCGGTCCTCGAGAGCAGGTGCTGCTTTTTGTTTGATGTTTCTCCAGCCTCTAAATCCTCATTCTTTTCTGAGTGGTATTCATCTACATATTTTGAGAATGTTGCAATAAGTGATAAGATAGTCCAGTTCTGAACAGCTCTAGATGCCCCTAGATTTGGTGAGATGAATTGTATCCCCATTTGTGAAGAAGCAGGGCGAAGGGAGAATGTTAGATCATCAACCTGCAAACCATCCCTTTCGGAGAGACGAGTGTATTCAGAGTATAGTCGGTCCAATATGCTTTGAATAACCTCGATATCCAATTCTGGCCGGAGAACTTCGCCTCTTCTGCAAAGTATTTCTTTGCCAATAATAAGAGTGGAAAGCATTTCTTCCTTCAGCATAACCGACTTTGTCGTCCAATATCGCTTGATCGTTGGTATAACATCGCCGATGGTATCCTGGGCCAGACTGACATTCTCTATGATAACGACAGAGAGGACCGTATTAAGTGCATCAAATGCGGCATGGGGCGCACTTCCAACAGGATTCAATGACGATAAGTATTTTGTTAGGCCATGGAGCAACTTAGGCGCGGCATCAAGAATTGGCATGCACGGGCATGATACCAATAGCTGAATACAAAGTTCAAATTCCTCTGAATTTCCCCTTGTATCTTGCCTCGTTGATGTGTTTCGCGGCGGCGCAGCTGGGTTAGGAGAAGAGCGACTGCCTTGGCTCGATTCTTCCGGTGGCACTGATCGACCACTGCGAATGCTCATCTGCAAGGGATTACTATCTTTCGCAAGCCCAATCCCTCTAAGGCAGAAATCGAGGACATCATACCAGTCATCTTTAGGGAGATGTTCGATATGGGGTGGATATTGAAGAATGATTCGTAAAGTTTTGATGTAGTCATTGCTGAGTGGTTCCCATAACCCTTCCCCAGGAGCCGTCAGTGAATCAATAATATGATTAACCAGGGCTATCACGGTTTTAGGCCTGAGCCGCCGGAGGGAAACCTCAACTGCTGTCCGAATGACGCCAGCACATTTTGCTAGCCGACCCGCCGCTTGGGTTTTCGAAACTGCTCGGCTGGTTTTATTGAAGCTGGACTTCTCAATAGCAATAAATCGAAAGAGAGTTTCAAATATTCCATGGTATACTTTATCACTCAAAGATGCCCTAGAGAACGCATTTGTAAGTCACAGTGACATCCGTTGAATCAGTTACGGCCCTTCTTACAGCTTAGTCGAACGCCGATTTTGAAGCAAAATATGTTTTAGATCTAGTAAAAATCAGTTGGCTATTCAAACCGTTAAGATGGTGAGTACGAAGGAGTATTACCTTCAAGGCCGTCTACACGATCCTTGAGCCTGCCAGAGGATATCAAATTGACAGCTTGATCAACGCTGACTTCGCCCATGGTGCTCTCAGCTCATAGTTATCCCCAAGTACTGAATATCCCCACCAAGTCAACATTTCATCTTGACATCTTCTGTTGAGGAGGATGTAAAACTTGAACTTCAGGAAAGCTTGCATACGAGACTCGATTCCATCCTAGCTCATATTAAATAATTATTGCTCGTTAGTGTTAAGCAGCTGTGAAGCTCACTCGTCGTTCTTCTTTTGAGCTTGTCCCGCGGCCCATCTCGTACCTATTTCTTGGCATTTTTGTCGCGTTTGGCCAATAGCCTAACCTAGCTTTGCTTTCAATAACATAAAAGGTCCTGACCCGTCAACAACAGCGCGCGGAATTCATAATGGAGGGGGATGAGAGCTCTGATAACTTACGGGGCCTCTACCAGGACCTTTCGGCATTGTCCAGGTTTGCTCTGCCAAATGCAGAGAGGCTTGTGGCCGAATTGGAAGCAACTCTTGAAGACTTTAGGAGGCTTCTAGACAAGCCGTCCAAAAACAACGACAGCAGAAAGACCGTTCTTTCTGGTAAGTAGACGAGGCTTGACGTGCCTAGCGACAATACTAGCGGGGCCTGTTTGCTGATATTCCCTTTCATTAGGCAAAATCAAACTCGACGATGTCGAATATGAGGTTAACCTCGAATTCCAGCAAGAAGTCCTGCAGGTAGCAGATGCATTAGATATCGATGAGATCGAAGCCGCGCGTTACTATATACGCGCTCAGTCCGACTCCAAGAAGCTGGATCGCTCCCCCATCGTGAGCTCTATAATCCGTTTCCACGAGCAGAGAGAATTCGTCCTAGAATGTCTACGCCTAGTCCTCCACGAGTCGTTCGAGGTGGAGCGAGAAGAAACTCAGCTTCTTATGAAAGAATACGTGGCATCTGTGCTTGAGATCCAGAATGGCCCTTTGCGGAATGGCTCGCTTTTCGCAAGAAAGTGCATGGATGCCATGACGGACATTGAAAAGTGGCTGGTCCTTTTGGGAGAACAAATACAAAAGGCATCAATCGTTGGACAGTCACAAGAGGCAGATATTCTTGAGGTTATTGAATATCAACGGCAAAGTCTTGGGAAACAACATGAATCCCTAGGGGCTATCGTATGTTATCTATTTAAGGGGACCTACACAAGCTCAGAAGATTTCCGAAAATTGCTTGAAAAGACAAAAAAGGTCGACAAATTCGACATGCTTCTAGTCCATTATATCCCATCGATCATAGCGGCGACCTCGCAGTATGGCTCGTCGGAAGGCCAGGGGATTGATGATGCGAGATCCCTGCACAAAGTGATTGCTGAATCCAAGGACTCTCGAGGTTGGATACTTCCTCAATTCCATGCTGCGACCATAGTCTTTTGGCTGGCTGAGTATAGTGGCTGGTACTTTGATAGTGGGGCCGCTGCTCACTTGCAGGGTATAAACTCCGCAGATGAGTCTGCAAAGTTGTCGAAGGCTCTTCTCACTGCCCTCGAGGATGCTGGTTTCCATTTCATACTTAGCATTTGTGCTGGAGTTGGACTAGACGAATGGAAGAACACAGAAAGAAATGAGTTGGTCTCCCTGCTACTAAAAGATGGAATTCGCCTTACTCTTGAACCCGATTCTCCCTCGCCATATTTCCATTCTATTCTCATGGAGAGCATCGAAGGTTTTACCGAATCGCTGATCGCAAACATGCCCGATGCGATTCGAATGCTGAAATCAGAGGAAGACATGCAGCGGTTAGATCAAATTACTGCTCTTAGAGACACAGTTTCCCCAAATCTCCACCGAGGACCTGTCGAAGTTCGTATGCATTTGGAATGCTTGCTCGCGATTATTGCATTTTCCTTTGATCGCAGAAATGATGCAGCCCAGGAGTTCTGGTTAGACCCTGACGGCAACTTGTACGGGTTTCTCCAATGGGTCTCGAAACGACAAACTGTACCCCGTGCTAGTGCGTTCTGTGAAATGTTATGCTCAATTTCAGGCGGCGAAGAGAACTCATCTTCGGCACACAAGTTTCTTATTGACGAAGATGCCTTGTCCTCTACAAAATTCCGAAGATCTGCTTCCATGAGCTGGACTCAAATGTTCGCCGAGATTCAACTATATGCAGTGAGAATAACAGAGCGGCCATCCACATCGCAGTCTTCAACCCTACGCCTACGCAAACTGGAAGTGCCAGATATCGAGGAGCCTGAAAGTCCAATCATGCTAACTAGCTACCTTCGTCTCATTAGCCATCTTTGCAGAGAGAATAGTAAGATACGAGACTGGATTTTACAACATCAGACCGCCAACTTGATCCCGATGTTGCTTACATTATGCGGCGCGCCCATTCCACAACATCTAAGAGCAGCTATTTTTGTTACTTTACGATGCTTAATGATAGACCGGACAATGGCCCACTCAAATGAAATGTGGACTTCACTTGACAATTGCATTTCTGGGTCTGGCTCCCTTCCGTTAGCACTTTCTCGATTGCCTCCTCTCTCTAGCCCACCAGTACGAAAGGAACGACATGCTTTCCAACGTATCACAGAGAGCTTTGACCAGATGAATGCATTTGTTGAGATGCTAAATAACTTGGTTACCCCGGTATCTGACGCGCTAGATTCCCAATTATCCCTACCATTCCCGGAATCTCTAGGTTCCTCATACCGAATGCCTGGTATTGAGCCGTATATCGATTACGTGATGAGCCAGGCTTTTGCAAACAGGACTTCCATGTCTGAAGATAAGGAATCACATCTCCTCCAGTGGAATTGCATGAACTTTGCAGCTACTTGTCTGGAGTCCTTTAACGAAAACCTTGTGAGCATCGTCAGCCAGCCATCGATATCCGCCCAGCCGAACTGGAAGGTGACATTTTCTGCATATCTTCGCTTACACCCATTCTCACGAGTGATGGAGTGGCTTTTTAACGAGGATGTACTCAGGGTACTTTTTTCATGTTCTCATAAAGATGCGGATGGGGTTGCTAAAGCTTCTTCCGATTCTATTTTGGTGTCTAGCTTGGTTCGGAGCATTAACGTTATGAATCTGATCCTCGATCATCAGCCTACCTATTTTAACATTGTTCGGCCGACGATCAAGAATTCTGGACAAGACTCATCCTTCAACATTGCCAATTCTACCCTTGCATCCTTCGAAGATTGTGTCATCGATAACCTAGGATTAATATCTGACCTATGCCTCTATTGCGGAACTGGACATCCACAACTGACTCTAACGTCATTGGCGCTTTTGGAAAAGTTATCTGCTTCCCGCAAGCTGAACAAGTCTTCCACTATTACTTCCCGATGGCAGGCTACTAACCAGATGGTTGAACAATTGAACTCAAATGTAGAGGCGGACCGTGTGGCTCGATCACTAGCCTCTCAAATGGATGTGGATGTACGAGAATTAGAGAGCGGTCCGGACTCCTCAGGTTACCTCATTAAGATGGGATTGCTTCAACTATTAGACAAGTGCCTCAAGATGTCGCCCGATAAACCAACTATCGCCCATCTCCTCCTCGGTTTCTCCTGCCTTGGAAATTCTCTCGATATTTCGCCAGACAGCTTATTTGAAGGCGGAATTTCCCTGCTACACTCTATACTCGAATTCGTCAAATCTTATCCTCTCGAGGTAGATGGGGCGATCGTTTCTTGGATGATACACCTTAGGCGCCTAGGATTTCAAGTTCTATTAAACCTATGGGCGTCACCTCTCTCGTCCAATCTTACTTTACCTCATCTTCGCGCTGGTCAACTCTTGCCAGTACTCTTCATCTCCCAGCCAATTGTTACTGCTGACACATTATGGGATAGCTTCAGAACACACGAGCCTGATTTCTGGCTATCATCTTCACCCACCTCGCTATCTGAGTTGTTGGTACTCCGCACTTTACTCTATGAATACGCAACGACAGAAATACGAGCGGTATACAAACAAAGTTCACCTTCTCTCCAGAGGGATACCTTACGGACAATTTTAGGCAGCACGGTTGCTGAGGGTGACCAAACCATCGAACATCCATCCTTGTTTGATTTGTTTGACTTTGCGGACATTGATATCGATTTCTCCTACGCATGGCCTGAGCTGCAATTCTTCAAGAATATCGACGTTGAACATTGTGTGAAAACCCAAGAAGATGGGGCAGTTTCTCTGTATGATCTCGAGGCCCTCCAAGAGCTGCTTCAACTCGTCAAAGAAGACCTTGTTGCAGCAGGTGTAGTAACACCACAAAACGAGGAACAAGTTATGGCTGAAAAGGAGAAGCTTTTGCTGTTTCTGCGCGCCATCAACGAATTCCGCTATGTTCGCTTCAATCGCTTCGTCGCGTTAAAGGCCTGGACAGAACTCGTGACAATTATTTCCGTTACATGCAAAATGGACCCAACATACCTGGCTTCATTTATCCAGCAAATACTGCAGCTCATACTTCCCAAATTCGAGTCGTCTATTGTTGGAAATTCAGCTGAGGCCATAGAGCTGGCACATCTTGGAGAGACCCTCATTGATGGCCTTGATAAGATTCCTACCAGTACGAACGGTGATGTGATCGATGAGCGTCTGGACTATCTATTCCAAGTGTGTATAAGCGGCATACCACAGACATCCGACAATATCGTCCTGAGAGAGAGTCTTTATCAGATCTGCTCGAAACACCTCGCCCGGATCACGGCATCAAATTCGATGCGTGATAGGTTCAAGGAGCACGCTCACGGCGCGGTCAAGGTAGCAGGGCCTGCACTTATGGAGACGATTTGCGACGATGCATATGGCGGTAGTGAGACCTGTAGAGTCTCTGCTTTGGTCCTCCTAAACCTTTTGGGAGCCCTGGACCAACAGCAGAATTCCTCTCTCCTTGTCAATTTAATTACTCACTCCAACTATCTCGGAATGTTCCTCGACGTGCTAAGAGTAATGCCTTCAGAATTTCGAAACGCCAAAGCCGCAGGTACATTTCCGTAACCCCATATGTATACTATCCTGGTTACTGACTATCATCTAGATACGGCACAGTTACTCCTGTTCTATGAATCACAGTTGTCACTTCTACAGCAGCTTTCACAAACAAAGGCTGGTGCAGCCCAGCTCTTGGACGCCGGCCTGTTCCAAGCGGTAAAAGAGTCACAGCTGTTTTCTGCTGACCCAGACATAGGCATTGGTAGGCTTATATACCCTGTAAATCAAAGCGTATGAGCATTTTACTGACCCGCCTTCTAGATATCGATAACAACGACGCACTCCAACGATACTATGATCTACTTCTCTCAGTTCTCCAAGTGATCGTTTCCACAATCTTTGCCCGAGGGTTACATAACCAGTCCATCCGCGATCAGACGAGGACGTTCCTTTCAGAAAATAGGCAAAGCATGGTCGGTATATTCAAGCGATGCGCGAAGAGCGGGAGTTCAGACGATCCCAGCATGAAAAAGTGCCTGGATAACCTGGCCAAGTCGTATACTGCATTGATCGCGTCAGTCGACTTTCTCGATGTAAGCCACCTTCCACCCTATTCACTTCACGATAGTTCCTTGCTTACACCTTGCACAGTACGAAGATAGCCAGTCGACCTTCACATCGAAGCCAAAATTCTTTTCCTAAATCTCTATTCGTGGTTCATTGTCGTGCCAGTGTTTAGAACTGCGTTGCCTAGCGATACGATATCACCGAATATTTTGAGTTCGCCGCTTCCTACTTTATTTTATCTTATTTTCTGTAGTTTTAGACCATAAGGCGCTTAGTTCATGTGTATAAACGGACGGTGATAAAAAAGTGAAGCTAATTAATGTCTTGTCAACTGATCTATAATTGGTGCAAACCTCCTCTGGCGGAGGATTTATTACGTGGTCGTGTTTATACGGGAAAGCCACGACTTCACGTGCTTCGGTGACGATGGCCTTCCATGAACCCGCCCTCCGCGCTCCAATCTCCTAACTCCATGGGCAGGCATGAAAACACCACCGAGTTCGCGGCTGGCTAGGATTCCATCCTGTCGCTCGACCACCTCGTCGCCATAGTTCTACCTCCCTCTGCTCTTCCTCCGCCCTTTTTCACCGTCGAACAGCCTCATATCGATGAAACTTAATGCCTACTCTCTCCTCCGGCGGGAACCGCAAACAAATGGGTAAAAGGAAATACAAAGACTCAAACCGAGACGAATTGCAAGAAGAACAGGAACAGAGACAGAGGACAATCCCGGATCTCTTTTCTAGAGACCACGTCAGCTCGTCGACGTACAAGCAACCTCCTCTATCGCCGTCAAGCAAGCGGCTACGGCGCAACGAATGCGACTCCGCGCTTGAGACGTCATCCGAAGGGCCAGCACTCATCACTGTCGACAAGATGTATAACTTCACCAGCTCAGACGGCAAGGGAAACAACGGTAGTGCGTTCGGGTTCGGTCGCGCCAATAACCACACTCCTCTGGTGAAATCGAGACCGTTTAACGCCTCTACGAACCCAAGTAGCTTTACACCGCACACGGGCGCGAAGACACTCAAGGTCAAGAATCTACGTGATACTCCCCGCCTCGACCAGCAGCTATACTTCGACAAGGTCTGGTCACAGCTAGACTCGGCTCTTACGGCAATCTTCAACCATGAGAAGCTTCCATTTTCGCTGGAAGAGCTGTATAGAGGGGTTGAGCACGTGTGCAGGCAAGGACGAGCGGCGCAACTAGCGAAGAATCTCAAGGATCGTTGCATCGAACATATATCAGGAAAAGTCATGCAGTCACTGCTCGCGAAAACCTCCTCTGGGGATGACGCGGGGGTGTTGCGTGCTGTGGAGGCTGCATGGTCGCAATGGAATGCGCGCCTCGTGAGTTCTCATCCGTATCGCCGATTACTTTCTTTTTTGTATTTTTCTAACGTTTTCTAGGTGACAATTCGGTCCATCTTCTACTATCTAGACCAGTCGTTCCTCCTCCATTCCCCCAACAATCCTGTTATATATGAAATGGGCCTCCTCCAGTTTCGTTCGACTATATTCTCCGATGCCACTCTGAAAGCGAAGGTATTTCAAGGAGCCTGTCATCTAGTCGAGCTGGATAGACAGGAGGACACTTACGCCGACCCCACCCTCCTGAGGAGCTCTATAAAACTGTTTCACGACTTAAAGATATACACCAGCCAGTTTGAGCCATGTATACTCGAGAATTCTGCGGCATATTATAAGAACTGGGCGGTTAGCCGATCGGCGGGTGACGATCTTGCGGGCTACGTGGAAAAGTCTCATCGTTTCATTGAACGGGAGATGGCCCGATGTGACCTTCTCTCATTCGACCGAGGGACAAAGCAGAAGTTGGCCGAGCTACTTGATCAAAACTTGATGGTCAATCAAAAGAGCTTCCTTCTTAACGAGGTTGACATCGTAGGACTCCTCCAGGCAAACAATACAGTGGCACTGGAGCGGCTATTCTCCATGCTAGAGCGAAAGGGCATGGGTGTGGAGGTGAAGCCGGCGTTTTGCAAATATATCATTGAACAAGGCTCTGCAATCGTATTCGACGAAGAACGCGAAGCGGAGATGGTCAACAGACTCCTTGATTTTAAGCAGAATCTAGATCATATCTGGAAATTTTCATTCCACAATCACGAGCAGTTAGGACATGCGCTTCGAGAATCGTTTGAGACCTTTATCAACCAGCATAAAAAGTCAGAATCCAACTGGGGAACCGACAACCCTAAGCCAGGTGAGATGATTGCAAAACACGTGGATCTATTGCTCAAGGGAGGTGTGAGAGCGATTCAGAACCGTCCGATCCAAGACATCACTGGCGGTGCTAGCCTTACCGATGAGGATGCGGAAATTAATAAACAACTTGATCAAGTGTTGGATCTATTCCGATTCGTTCATGGTAAAGCCGTGTTCGAGGCCTTTTACAAAAACGACCTAGCTAGAAGGCTGCTCATGGGCAGAAGTGCCAGCGATGACGCGGAGAAGAGCATGCTCTCGAGACTCAAGACAGGTACGTATTCCATGTCTCGTACATATAACCGCAATTAATTGACAATTGTATATAGAGTGTGGCTCAAACTTTACCCATAACCTGGAAACCATGTTCAAGGACATGGATCTCGCCCGGGACGAGATGGCTTCATACAACGCTCTACTAAGGGAAAAGAATGAACGACCGAAGATCGACCTCAATGTTAATGTCATCTCTGCCACTGCTTGGCCCAGCTACTTGGACATACCCGTCAATATACCACCCTCCATAAGTCGGGTGATCAATGATTTCGAGCAATTCTACCACAACAAGTATAGCGGGAGAAGGCTGCACTGGAAACACGCTCTAGCGCACTGCCAGTTAAAGGCACGGTTCCCACGAGGAGACAAAGAGCTGGTCGTGAGCTCTTTCCAAGCAATCGTGCTTCTTCTATTCAATGACATTGCTAGCTCCGAGACGCTACCATATTCAGTCATCAAGCAGGCGTCAGGTCTATGTAAGTTTAACCCCCCTGTCCAGTCGGTCGAATCTTAATTCCCCGTTGGGCCTTTTTTTTTTACTAACAGACGCCTTCTGCAGCGGATGTGGAATTGAAACGGACACTACAATCACTAGCCTGCGCCAGATACCGTGTTCTCACTAAGAAGCCGAAAGGTAAAGAGGTCAATGAAGACGACGTGTTTGGGTACAACGCCAAATTCGAGGACGAAAAGATGCGCATCAAGATCAACCAGATCCAGCTCAAGGAGACCAAGCAGGAGAACAAGACGACGCACGAGCGTGTTGCTGCAGACAGGCAGTATGAGACCCAGGCCGCGATTGTCCGCATCATGAAGAGCCGCAAGCTCATCGCGCACTCGGATCTGGTTGCGGAGGTGATCAAGGCCACGAAGAATCGCGGCCAGCTCGAGATCGGCGATATCAAGAAGAACATTGACAAGTAAGTCACTCATGCAGACATATGATTTTAAGAAGCCGCTGACCAGTCTATCAGACTCATCGACAAGGACTACATTGAACGGGAAGAAAACAACCAGTACAGGTACACATGCTAGCATAAGCCAAACCCGATAGCTTGACACTCAAAATCTCTTCGCATTGGATGGAGTTTACGGAAGACATGCACCTCTAGCTCTGCTTTCTCACGAATAATAATATGATCCTCATTGACTCTCTACTTCCTTCTGCCGATGACATAATCGGGCCAGACACGCAGCATGTATAATGGACTGAGATCTCGAAGCATCAGATGATCAATCAAGCTTCTCTCCAGGGCTCCGGCTAGGTGTCCCTCTGCCATGGTAAGAAGCAAAAAGCGCCCCGTATATACTCCATATGGGCGTGATATTCGGCCGACTTTTTCTCTCCTGAAGCTCTAGAAGAGCCGGGCCGGTAATTCCCAATGCGGTAAGCCGAGGCAACCACCGAAAAAGAACACCGCATCACGCGTATATCATACATCTTTTATCATACATATACGAATACCATGTCTAGATGCCATTATCAGGCAGCATCAGGACCCCAAACAGCGTAGTATATGGTCGTGTGTTAGTAACATACCCAGCTAGTTACCTGGATTGTCTGGGGTAGCCAGGGCCGAGAGATTCTCCACTGCCGGCAGCTTCGACTTTTTTTCTCCCTTCATCACATCTCCACATCCCTGGCGCATCCCTGGCGCATTCTCGGGACAGCGATCGAACATGTTCGTCCAACGGGGAGTTCTGGAGAGCACAAGACGTAACTTGGCCTGTCCCACCCCAAGCTCGCCGTAGGATGGCTGCTGACAGCTTGCCCCTCCTGGCCTGCCGGGCCTTGCCCCGATGGCCGGCACTTTTATATCCTGGCCGGCGCCTCAGTGCTACGTTGAAGGTCTGTCTCGTCCTGCTCTTGTCCTCGTTCTCTTTTCTATTTCTTACTTCCCAAGTAGCTGTATCCGTGTGTCCAGTCACTTCATGCAAGTTCGTTTTGTTCTGTAAGAAACATCCGATCTGATTGTCAGGGAGCTCGTATCAGATTGCGCAAGCAGCCAGAAACAATACATAGAGCGTGCAGCAGGAGAGAAAGCCACTTTGCAGTCACCATGCAGAGTATGTCTCTCCCCTTTCCATTATGAGATATGCAGATACTAACTGGGTACACAGCTAAACACTTCTTCTCGGATCCAACTCACCTGGTCAACTCGGCTCTACACTCACTCACTCTGACCAACCCTTCTCTTGCTTTTGACAAGCAGAATAAGATCATCTACCGTCGACCGTCACAGGATGCTTCTGAGCCCTCCAGAGTCTCCATCATCTCCGGCGGTGGCTCCGGTCACGAACCTGCCTTTGCCGGCTTCGTAGGCAAGGGAATGCTTACGGCCTCGGTGGCAGGCACGATATTTGCCTCTCCGTCCGCCGAACAGGTCAGGAGAGCTCTTCTGCAGCGTGTTGATGGCTCCAAGGGCGTTCTTGTCATCGTCATGAACTATACAGGCGATGTGTTGAATTTTGGACTTGCTGCAGAAAAGGGCAATGCTGCCGGTATCAAGACGGAGTTCTTCGCAATTAGTGACGACGTGGGTGTTGGCCGTGCAAAAGGTGGTAAGGTTGGTAGGAGAGGGATCGGTGGTGGTGTCATGGTGCTGAAGATTGTTGGAGCTCTGGCTGAGACTGGGTAAGTTCTTCCTCCCCTTTGGCCGCTCAACATGGCAAGCAAAATGCTAACTAAATATTAACTACAGTGCATCTCTGGAAGAGGTTTATGCTACTGCTCAGCTGGCCAACAGGAATCTCGTGTCAGTTGGTTCTTCCCTGGAGCACGTCCATGTCCCAGGCAGGGATATACCAGATCCGAATTCCGAAGACTTGGTTCCTCATGGTGAAATTGAAGTCGGGATGGGCATCCACAACGAACCTGGCTCGCACCGTATGAAAGGGACTGCAGAGGAGATGATACAGACCATGCTCAAGCAAATGCTCGACCAAAACGACAAGGAACGTGCCTTCCTCAAATATGACTCCTCAGACCGTTTTGCCCTCTTGATCAATAATTTAGGAGGCGTCAGCACGCTAGAATTGTCAGGGCTCACTGCTGAGATAACACTTCAGCTAGAGAGGGATTACAAGATCAAACCCGTCAGGATCATCCAAGGAATGTTCCTGACGAGTCTTAACGGCATGGGCTTCAGTGTCTCCTTGCTCCGTCTTGCAGACACCGGACTAGGAGCAGGCAAATCCCTCCTTGAACTACTAGACGCTCCATCAGAGGCAGTTGGCTGGGCTGCCCCTATACGAACCTCGACATGGGACAGTCAATCAGCCAACCCCTCAGAGTCCGCAAACTCCCCTCGAGCCCTCAAACAGCCTTCCAACCTCAAACGTAAGTCTTTCTCTTACCCACATAGCCAAACATCCATAGCTAACCAGCCATACTATACCAGTCGATCCTACCATCCTCAAGAAAGTACTATCATTAGGCCTCGAGCGCGTCATCAAAGCCGAGCCCCTCGTTACCCGCTACGACACCATCGTCGGAGACGGTGACTGCGGCATTGGGCTCCAGCGCGGTGCAGAAGCAATCCTGAAGAGCCTCAACGACACATCCGCACCTCTAACCCCCGACCTCCTCACCAGTCTCCACCGTATCATCGACGTGGTCGAAAACACCATGGACGGCACCAGCGGCGCCATCTACGCAATCTTCCTCAACGCTTTAGCCCATGGATTACGTGAACAGGATTCCTCGTCACCCGTTGATGTGAACTCCAAAATATGGGCTAATGCGTTACAGCACTCTCTCAAAGCGTTGGCGAAATATACACCTGCCCAACCTGGCGATCGAACACTCATGGATGCCCTGTCGCCTTTTATCAACACACTAGTTGAGACGGGCGATATTCGAAAGGCAGCCGAGGCCGCAAACCAGGGCACCGAGTCAACTAAGAGCATGAAAGCCAGCCTTGGACGGGCAGTGTATGTTGGGGGTGAAGATGAGTGGGTGGGCAAGGTTCCTGACCCTGGTGCCTATGGCCTTAGCGAATTTTTGAATGGGCTGGCTGATGGTATATAACTACAGCCTCTTACCTGGTCGTTTTCCTTTTCTTGGTAAGATATTTGGCGATTAATATAATAATAAGATAATTTACCCTTTTTTTTAGTTATTGCGCTGTTTAGCTTTGGCTTTGCGTCGATATTTACTGTCTGCATTTTGGGCGTGTATATATTGTCGATATCTCTTCTCTATACTACTGTATTCTCTCTTTGAATCATCTTTTATGCTATGAATATATTCAAGTAGCAAGTCGTCGAAACGTATTGGGATGAGGATGAGAATGAGGTCAGGCAGAGTAGTACCACGTGACTGTCTACAGGGATCACATCCGAAGGCAACAACAGCTTCAAGTGCAAAGGTCCAAAGGAGGATGCAGGCCATAGATGACGCCGTATCTTATTCGGCCTTGGAGAATAAAGGCTTCATATTTCATCATATTCTGGAGTTTTCGTGTCTTCTCCATATAATATCATATAGACTCCCATAGCCTTCTGCCAAGTGTAACATAGGACCAGTGCACAACAACCGGTCTCCCACCGTGGACTCCGTGTAAAGAAATTGCAAGTGAAACTGAAAGGCATGGTTTTTGAGAAGAAGAAAAAAACACCGAAGACGCCGACTTGCTGCATTATTGTCCTCCGTTGTATAAGTGTAGGACGGAAGCAAGGTATCACTTCGCTAACAGTCAGTGCCACCGGTCCCAGCGCGGTTACTGCACTAATATACCGCTTTGCGTGTAGAGATTGGTGGCTAAGAGAAGCGATCACCTGGCGACGGTATGGCGAACGTGTGCGGGCCGCACCATATCGAACCAAGAAAAGAGAACGAAGCTCAACTTAAAAGTACCAAGATGACAGAATCGCCCCTCAAGAACCTATACAGCCACAAGAGTAAGTATTCAATACACCTATCATGGTAGGAAGCGGGGCAAGGAGTGGTAAAGAAACTCCCGTTGTTTGCGTGCGCCAACTTACATCTTGCTGATAAACCGATCTTTGTTGACGCCTTTACCCTTGCCACCCTTGGGTTTCTCAGTCCACATCTCCTTGACATTCTCTAGAACCATGTTACAATGGCGATCGAAAGCTTTGACACGCGCGAGAAGCTTGCGGTTGTTGCGACATGAGATCAGGACTTGAGAGTGAGATCGGGTAGCAGTTTGGAGGATGGAAAGAGGGCCGGTAGTAAGTTCATGTTCTTCGAGCACAGAGACTTCGTATTCACTATAGTCCCGTATGGGTTAATAGGGTTAATTATTCATGCGAAAGGTAGAGTGATATGGGTGTGGATGCCAAGACGGTGAAGGAATTAATGATTATAGGTGGTGGGTTGACGATAGCATCAAGAAGTTGGGATCGGGGGACGGGGGAACCAATGGAACGTACGTCAGCTCACTCCGTGGCTTGTTGAGGAGATCTCTAAAGAACAGGGCCGGATGTTAGCATGTATCCCACATAGTAACCAGCGCAATGCGCACCAGAAGGGGAGCCAGGGTCGCAGGAAGCAGCTGCCTTCGCGGGGAAGGGAGGGCTGGCTGAGTCATCTGGATGCGGCGGTTGATGGGAGGCTGCTTACTGGATCTTGGTGTCGGACATCTTGGGCGGTCTATAAAAGGGCAGCAAAGGTACGCCGTTCGTGGAATCGTTTGTTCGTCGTGGATAGTTTCTTCCCTACAAAGTCAACAACCTGCGAATATTTCGGGCAAGCTTGATATCACGTGAGATACAACATCCGCCAAGCCCATATACTCCGCTTTAAGACTAGCGCGAGTCACGCTTCGGTGTTTTCTTTATCCGAGCCGCGGCACGCGTTGTCTTGGCGCGTCACTAGTCTAGATCGGGAGGTCCTGCTTCATCGCGCGCTTAGGTCAGCATCTCGATATCGCGTTTGTACTTTCGCGGCTTTGGCATCACGCTTTCCACCTCGTCCTCTCCAACCTCCCCCCTCTCCCTCCAGACTCGCCTGCACTTCACCTCGTCTCTCCTACGTTGAGCTTGCGTGGGAGGCAAGCAATTGAAGGGGCTGAGCGTGTATCTTATCTATTCATCCTACCTCCTACTCCTTCTCGTTTCTCGTTCGTTATCAAATCGACAAAGCTTCAACAGATCCTGATATCGACTTTTCCTTGACCACGCCGCCTTGAATTATGAAGTCTAGTGGACTATACGGAGCAGACACCAATATCATACAGTGACTCATTCACTGAGGGCGACCCGGCGGCTGGATTGGTTGCTCTCTTAACGATTACGAATTTCTACCCGTCTGCTTCCTTGTTCTTCCTTCCACCAGCCGTCCAACTTTACCGGGAATTAGATGGAGCAACACTACTAGAAGCTCGTCATCAGCAATACCGAAGCTTCTTTGCATTAGATCTGCCTCCTTTCCGTCGCCATCTGCAAGCGTTCGATTTACGATCTTGAAAAATGGAAAACGAAGAAGGCATCTCTGTCCGGCCTATGAGGCGTGAGTTTTCCCACAAAGTTCTCAGATTGACCGTCTAACCTAACTTTCCATCTAGTCAAGGTCCTCTATACGTTCGATAATGAGAGCAAAACCAACTGCCTTGCCAGGTGGCCTCACATCCTAGATATCCAAACCGCCTACCTTGACGAATCCACCCAGGTTGGCGTTATCGAGCTGAAAACTTGCATTCAAACTATCGTCTCGGCTAGGTAAGGCAACGACGTTTCCTTCAGTTGAGGCCAAATCTTTCTAACTTTCATAGTCCTGAATTGGTTGCAAAGCTTGGACGGGATTACACGGTTTATGCGTACGACTATTCCGAATATGAGACCCCACTGGTTGGTCAAGGAATGCTTTCGTGGGTGTTGGCCTCAGCCTCACCTACACCCAATGCCCCCGCACACCAATCCAAAACCATAGTCACGGGGCGTGTCTGCAAAAATTTGGGGCTGTTTGCTAGAGGTGCACAGGAGACCCTTGAGGTCAAGCTTCGACTCGTTCCCGTACCGACCGTTCTTCAGAGCGAATATCTTGAGAGCATGCAGAAGTACCGTGAACTGAGCAATGTCATCCCCCACGACTTCGATGCGCAAGCATGGACAGCTTTTTTGCAATCGAATCCTGGTCTGATGTCAGGTTCCAACACATCCTCGCACATGGCCGAATCCGAACACACTACGCTCGACAGATCTGGTCTAGAGAAGCTTCAGCAACTCCTGAGTGATGGTTCCACGCCTCGTGAGCTACCAAATGTCGGCCCAGGAAGCTTCCGTGCTGACTCCCCGACCCATTTTTCAAATAACGCCCCCAGCCGAGCCTCAACACCTGGCATGGCTCGGTCAGCAAGTCAACAGAAGAGATCCGCGGACGAGACACTTCGTCCAGCCTCGAGAGCTTCCATACTTAGCCCAGACTCCTATAGAAATACCAGCCGAAGAGGATCCATCATGTCAGGCTACGGCAGTGGGGATGAGGCAGCAGAGGGACCAGCTCCAAAGAGGGCTAAGTTGGTTAGAACTGATACTTCGGGCAGTGTGAACACAAATATTGAACGGCAGCCTAATTCTCTACGAGTGGCTGCGAGCACTGCAGCGTCTGTGAGAATCCACCGCCCAACTCCGATCAATCAGGCTGTCCATCCATTACTATCAAACGAGGAACCAGTCCGTCCACCAACACCCGTGCCATCCCTCACCCAGGGCCCCAACCGCCGAAACCGTGTTGCTCCAAGCAACTTACGTCGCCAGTCATCCAGCAGATCCGATTCGTCGCAGCATTGTCCACTAATTGCCCCAATGCCGGTGTCTAGCAATCGTCTTGCCTTTGACTCACAGGCTACATCCCCAGAAGACCATCATTACAGCATGCTCACCGATACACCTTTCAATATGCCATCATCGCCCCCTATCATGGAAACTAACTACGCCCAAGCTTCGAGCCCTGGTCTCCCTCCTATGTCCGACCACGACTCGGGCTTTATGAGTGCTCAATTTGAGTCATTGATTGATGACGACAATTACAACGAGGCCTCAAAATCCAATCAAAGTGGGCCAGTCTCGCAGCCATGTGGAAACCAACCCAAGACTCTCATGAGTAGTATTCAACTCGAGAACTCCGCGGGAGATTCCGCGCTGGCTCTTCCACCTCAACCAGCCAGAATATCAAACTCACGTCCCTCTTCCAGAGCGAGCATGAAATCGATCAAGTCTCGAGTTGCTCCTAGCCAACGAGCATCGTCTCATATTCATCGTCCTACAGTACCAGCCAGTGACCCCATTCGGCCATCGCAGCCCTGGCAACCACAGTCGCAGCCGGTCCATCCTCTAGCAAACGAACTGCCATCTGTAGCTACCCCTGGTCCAACCACCCAGCAACCAAACCAGAAACCTCGCAGTGGAGCTGGTGCTAAGCGGACGAAACAGGTACAAGCTCGTCTAGAGCAATGCATTCGCGAAGGAACAGTGCCTCCATTCTGCGAAAACTGCGGTGCCATTGAGACTCCAACATGGCGACGCGCCCATTCAAAAGTTATACCAGGAAACGCAGAGGATGCAGAGGTCTATAATGATGATCCAGCTATCCTATTTTGGGAGCCGGCTGAGCCAGAAGAGGATGGATCTTATACCTCTATCAAAATTTATAAAAAGTCACTTTCCCATGACGACCTAGATTTTGTCCAGCTTTTGCTATGCAACTGTAAGTACAAGTTCAATTGCCGTTCTTATTTTACTTGTTATATACTAACATAACTTCTAGCATGTGGATTATGGCTCTATAAATTCAAGACCATGCGACCCGAACACAAGTGGCACAAGTCAGGTCCAAAGGACAAGCAAAAACGGAAGTCAAGCAGAGTCAAGCCACTGGAAACACGATCTCGTCGCAAAGCCCGTAATGCTCGAGGCACGGAATCTTCACCAGGTCCTTCAGACGCATCGTCTCCTGACGGTGATGAGGGAGCGACTACTCAGGCAGAAAATGATACCCAGGCGGAAAACGATAGTGAAGACAAAGGCACCTCAAAGCAGAGCGACAAGAGAAGGGCTAGTAGCGCCGAGCCGCCTAAGTCAGCAGAGAAACGCGACCGGTGGAGGGATGAAGATCCATTCGAGGCATTGAGACGGGCTATCCAGTCAAGTCCTGCCAGAAACTTGGATTCATGCAAGCCTCCGTTCTCAGAGACGCAGCTTACCCCCAAACCCGTCCGTAGGGCTTTGTTTTCCTCGAATAAGGAGGGCGAGTCCATGAAAACCCTGAGCGATGCATTGATCAATGGCCTACGTCGCAGTCCTCGGTCAACACCCAAGCAGCCCGGCAAGACCGTAGATCAGGAGAATATTCCCCGGACACCTGCCGACGGCCTTGATCACCTTTTCAAGGACGCGGAAGATGATAATATGCTTGAATTCCCTGGCAGCCCAACCCCAAACCGCCGAAACAGGTCAATCCGGTCTAAAAAAATCCACGATGCTACTACACACACTTCACCATCCCAACAAACTGCCCGAGTCCTAGCTCAGGGCTCGAAAGATGACAGCTGCCGACCAGGCTCCATGTTGATTAGCCCAAACAAAGGCCTCGACACGATGGACAATATGGTTCTTAATTTCTTGGCTTCGGATATGGACCCATTTGCAAACACCGACTCATTCTTCCAGTTCGATGCACCCAAGACCCCCAATAGCGATCACTGGGCGAACTGGGATCCAAATGACTGCCTCCCGCAAGAGAACAGCGCCTCTCGCCAGCGCCAAAAGGATGTTACCAACACTCCTGGCTCAAAGGATAAATCCAAGTCAGGAGGTGAGAACCCTCAAACTCCAAGGCGCGCCCGTAGTGTGCCAGCCATTTCACCTTTCAAATCCTTTCTTGATAGTGAAATAAACGATATTTCAGGCATGCCAGAGTCTGATATATTTGACGCTGCATCACTCGTCGATCCGCAGCTGATGAATCTGTGGGCGAAAGACACCACCAATCCATCACCTCGTGCCAATGGTACGGACGGCCTCGACCCAGCGGTCTTCTCCGCGATGATGCAAGAGATTCGCGACACCACCAGAGGCCCATAGATGGTACCTGAGGGTTGTAGGCATACTTGCTACCCCCAATTCCCGAATTTTTTTTTGTATGTTGATATTTTCCCCTATGCATTAAAGCGTTATTTTCTTTGACCCAGTTTCATTGGATGGCTACCGTACCAGCCGGTGACTTTTGCCAAGGGCCTGGTATCTGCCCATTTGGATTTTTGTTCGCCCAGTTTCTTGTGTTGCTCAGTTCCTGTTATGATTATGATGATACCTTGTTGTAGTATATTTATGAGCTCTTTTCATGTTATTGGCGATGCATATCTTGATAACGGTGTTAAGTCCATTCCCTCGTGGCTGTCATGCTTGTTATTAGTGCAAGGCACATCATATATGTGCCCTTCATAGGGTCAATCAGACCATTATTTAGCCATTAATTGATGATTATATCAAATTACCAAGAAGTCGTACTTTATTCCATGTCGTAGATTAGCTAGAAAAATCAAGGGATATTAACATTTAACATTTATAGAAATTGATATACGTATATGAATTAAGATCAGGAATTAATTCTCCCATACTAGTGATATTTGCCCAACACTTCAAGCCAGAACTGTGTTCTACTAGATTCTAACATGGCCAAGGTAGCGTCTACCACTAGCAGGGAATCCTACATAGTCAGATCCTAACGTCTCTACGAATCAAGCGAACCCGCGACCAAACTCCAACATATGCAGAAGGACTGTGGTACAGGCCTCTATCCGCTCCACTGTACTGCACTTCATCAGGAGCCGGATAGGATGGCATTGATTCACTCCACCAAAGTTCCAAATACCAATCTCTTTAACAGCCTTCCTCTCATCCAGAATCGTAGAAGATAGCTCTGAATCTATGGGTGCTCTCCACCACCTGTTCATAAATTTTATAGTCTATCGAATCAGTACTCCACCGTTAGCTTCGTTTCAATTCATATGGTAGGAATAGCATAGGTATAACTTACCAACTTCGTGGGGGCTGCCGCAATCAGTGGCTCCAAACACTCTTATCCCCAGATTCTATATTACCACAATATCAGCATCTAGACAATGCCAACCATAATTAGGCGTATTTTCCAATTTTGCACAAAATACTCACACCCTCGACTTCCACGACCTTCCCAACGACATCCACCATCCTATCCATCTGCAGATGCGAATCTCTGTTCAACAAGAGCGTGACATCACCATGATCACCACAGGTAATAGTCGCGTATTCTCCGCGTAATGAGGATACCCTCCCAAGAAGCCGTACAGCACTTGGCATTCGGCCACTTGTTGGCCCTGCAGCGTGGAATTGTTGAAGATATTCGGGGAGAATGCGGGGGGTAACGAGTGACATTGCGACGCCTTGAATTGGTATTTTCTGGTATTTTTATTTTATTTTCAAATTGACTGCTTTGTAAGAGCAATATCTCTGGTAAAGGCAATTGCCTCTTGAGGTATAATATTTCTCTTTCTTGTTCTGTGATACTGTATGTGGCTGAAGCAAATATCCCACCTTCAATAACGGCTTTCCAACCTCATTTGCGCGAAGACGCGTGACGCGTGGGTGACTAAGCTTAGTCATAACGGAAGCGGATTATCTTTACGCCGGGTTTCATCTGATGAGGCTGAAATCTGAACACCCAAAAGGTATCTCGAGAAAGACGAAACCCTTTGAAATGATATTAAAGTCTTTATAAATGCTATACACAAATCTCCCCATTATGCAAGCATCTCGCTTCCATAACTCTACACAGAAAATAATCAACAAGACAAACATATTCACCTTACAACGACGCCAATGAAACGGGCATGGAACAACACTTGACTGGGGAGGGGAGGGGGCTTCGCGACAACAGGATTGAGGACTATATGGGTAAATAGGTGCAAATACTAGTAAAAGGCGAACCACAATGTGTCAGGGATGAAGTGCGGCAAAGACAGTACGAGGGTGGGGGAGGTTAATGACAGATAAGCGCATTGGGCCAGCCAAAAACAACAGGTCGCGAGGGGAAGCGAGAGCCAGTGATGGGGAAGAGGAAAACACAGTTTATCAAGCACCGACTGGTTTATATTTGTGGCTCCATTGAGTCCTCATGGCCATGACGTTGTTCTGGTCTTCGACAAACTTGCTGTTCTCCATGGAGAACTCGCGTCGTCCAACTCGTCGTTGCTTGACACAGCAGAAGGCTATGACGCCCATACCCAGAAGAACAGCTCCGCCAATGGAAGCGAATATAGCAATCTTGGCTGCGGAGGGGAGTTCTCGCCATCTCTGAGCGAGGGACTTCGCGGGGGGTTTGTTGATTTCGTTCGCGATATCAGATACACCGCTGTAGGGGAATTGTTAGCCTCAATCATACACAACCTGAGACACAATTGATTGGCAACTTACCCTACAACTTTGATACTTTGCCAGTCGCCAGACTTGTCGGAGTATTGGTACTCTTTTCCACTGTGGGCGTCGACGACCTTCAACTGCTGGACGCTCATCGTATATGGTGAATGGGAGTAGTCGATTTCACCACCAGCCCATTCAATAACACCCGGCTTGTTCAGGGGATCTCCACCAGGCCAGATACCTAAGCGAACGGTCGAAGGGGTTTGGGGAAAGTTCTTTCCACCGAGGGCTTCCTCGTACATCAGGGTTCGGACCAACTTGGTATCAATATACCATTCGATCTTTTCTGGCGTCCAGTTGACGGTATAGTTATGGAATGCATCCATAGCTCCCGGAACGTCAAAGGTCTTGCCGCGGTCATAGGAGGTGGTATTTCCCTTGCCGAAATAGTTGGTCTGGACCTTGTTCGTGTCCGAACCGACCCATTCCCAATCGATTTCATCCAGAACCTCTGACTGGATGACTATACTGCTAACCACACCTCGTCCGGTTGCGGCCTTCATGTGAACCTCGACAGTGCCGAAGAAGATATAGAAGTAGGATTGGAGGGTGGGCGAGTCGAGTCGCTGGTTGATTGTGAAGTTCGCTCCATGCTCTGTGATATCGACGATCCCGTTGGTGGTGTTCCAGACCTTTTCGCTAAGTTGGTTAGTGAAGTTGGTGGTGAAGTTCTGCCCCAGAGCTGGCGCGGCAGGGCAATCGTCCTGCTTCAACGGGTTGCAGTATGAAAATGTCTGGGCTACAACTGGAGATAGAAGACATGAGAGGAGTCCCAACGTCGAGACGAGAGACACGGTTCGTGGAGCCATCGTTGTGCGACGTTACGATATAAACGACGGAAGACGTGCACAAAAGAGTGAAAAATGGTATGCAGGTTCGCCGGGGGAGGTTTTAATGAGTGTAAGCTATCATAAATCAGTGAGACCCAGGGGATATGAAGGAGAGACAATCGGCCACGCCCCTCGGAGGGGGAAGTCTGATAGCAGCTGGTGGTGATGATGAAGTTGAGAGAAGGAACTTGACGTCGGACGGTCAAACTACGATTACACCCCCTTCTCGTTATTATAATCTGACGGGGGCTTTTGGGCCATGAAACAACAGACTGCCGGGCGATGCTGGTTGGTCTCTTCTCGCTCCACCCAGCAGTAGTCTACGACCAGGGACCGAAAACTAAGCCTTCTGCAGCTTAGTGTCCCCCAAGATTTTGGCGATATTCCAGGAACAAAATGGTCGCGCTGGGAAAAAGGAGGCCCTATTTCTGCGGAGACCCCTGAGATCCGCTGCCTAATGCCTGAGAACGGGGCAAATCCCAAGGGCTCTGAAGAATGCACAGAGTGTCCAACTCATCACAGCACACCCAACCCTCCACCGCATAGATCGTCCTCAACTCCTCGCTTCCCTCCCGGTCCCCCATCGCCCCCCTTGCTCACTCATCAAACAGCCCAGGAACAGGGCAATTTCGGCTGGAGTAATTGCCTCAGGCTGCCCAGTCCGCCTCGGGGCAGGTTAAAGCGTGTGCTCCACTTGGCGCGTCAGTGGCCAAAAAAAAAGACTTTTGTATCGCCCGTATTAAACCATCTTCATCGTCGCAGGCAAATCATCTTTCTTTGCTTGTTTTAGAAAGATCTTGGAATATGCGGTCACGTGTAATTAGACATGTCTTATGACTAAGTCGGTGCGGATTATAGATATTCCGTTGTCGTCTGACTAAGCGTTCGATTATCGATATTGAAAGCTGCTTTCATTTTTGACAAGCACTGAGGATGAAGAGCTCTCTGAAAGCTCACCCCTTCTCAGCTACCATGTCTGCTGCTTGATAATTGACAGACTACCGTTGACAAGATGGCTCCACCGTCATTCCCGAGCTTCGGTCGCAGCACAGCCGCGCCGAAGCGCATGCAACCCGCGAAACGATATCGACCAGGCAAGCCGATCGCGGACGAAGTAGAATCATCTGAAGAGGAAGACGAAGGTTCTGAACAAGACTCTGAACCAGTGCAGCAAACGCGACCTCCCCCGAGCTCTAAACAAATTACTTCTGGGCTTCGGCAGGCCAAATTGGAAGAGGAGGCAGAGGACGAAGAAGGTTTTGTGACGGAAGAAGATGAAGAGGATGCTAGAGAGAGCACTTCCAAGCCTCCAGCACAGGCTTCTCCCGGTCAAGCGCGCGTGGAGGTAACGGCAGCTGTGCAGGAGGGAACTGCCGAGTCAGAAGAAGAGGAAGAAGAGGAAGAATCAGGCTCAGAGGAGGAGTCGGAAGAAGAGTCTAGCTCAGAAGACGAGGCCCCAAAGAGACTACTACTTCGCCCAACATTTATTAAAAAGGGCGAGCGTAAATACCCTGCGACTTCAGGTGTGAGCGGCCATATTGCGAACGCTTCATCGGCGCTCGATCCCGAAGCAGAGGCTGAAGCCCTACAACGGCGCAAGGCTCAGGCTGATCTGTTGATCCGAGACCAGTTAGAGAAGGATGCTGCTGCCCGGATAGCCGGTAGGAAGACATGGGACGATGATGCCGACGAAACGGGGACAGGAGTGGACGAAACCCACATCGACGATACGGACGGCGTTGACCCGGATGCCGAATTAGCTGCTTGGAAACTGCGCGAGCTGAAACGAGTTAAACGCGAACGTGAAGCAATCGAGATTGCAGAGAAGGAGCGGGAAGAGATCGAACGCCGGCGTAACCTTACTGCCGAGGAACGAGATCGGGAAGATCGTGAATTTATTGATAAGCAGAAGGAAGAGCGAGAGACCGGGAGAGGGAAAGCAGGGTTTATGCAGCGGTACTTTCACAAGGGTGCCTTCTTCCAGCCTGACTCGGAGAAACATGGTCTTACGGAGCGTGACCTTATGGGTGGTCAATATGTGGATGAGGTCAAGAACCGCGAGGCATTGCCGGAATACCTCCAGGTCAGAGATGCGACCAAGATCGGGCGCAAGGGGCGAACAAAGTATCGTGACCTGAAAACCGAAGATACTGGCCGATGGGGAGTAGAAAGCTACTATCGATCGAACGCACCAGCCAGCAGCGCTGCGCGGTTTGGTATCAAAGACGAGCGATTCTTGCCTGATAGCCGTGACGGCGATGCTAGGAGATCATCAGGGCCATCAGGAGCGAATGCAAGTGCATTGAGAGAACGTCGTAGACCGTCACCTAATCGACAGGATAGCCGTCCTCGTTCTCGATCTCGTTCGCCTCGCCGGCGACGGGACTACTCAAGGTCACGGTCAAGGTCTCCTCCACGAAGAGATCGATATCGTGACGACGATAGAAGCCGGAAGAAACGCAGCCCCTCGCCTTATCAAGATCGAGATAAGAGACGGAAGGTGGACACAGTGTCATAGCTTTCATGCTTATATTTACTTCTTGTATAGCGATTCCTTTATGCCTGCATTTTTCCGGAGCCTGGGGTCTATAATGTTTTTATATGTACTTTAGCATGTATTCCAGCCTGTACTTTCTACAGGATATCTTAACACGGACATGGATTGGCATTGGGGTATTTGATCCCTTTATTTCTTTGGTTTCGAACCAACTTTTGATATTGTCCATGTCTAACGGGCTCCATCCTAAGCGATATACGTAGAAAGATCATCGCAAACTCTCCACGTAGACTTCGCATAACCTTGACCCCTAGTTGATTATTCCTGCTCTAAAAGGGACTCGTTATCCCCAACCGTAAACGCCACGCTTCTTAAAAACAAGGCATAAAAATGCTCCAATATGCATGAAGGGAAGGGAGTTCCCTCTTGATAGATCGTTGATGTGGAAACCTTTCAATCAACAATTAGATGGATGACTGATTCATTTGATCCCAGCTCGCTCCAAGGTCTTTTCCCTTTCCATAACCGAGTCTCCAAATTTCACCAAAAACACGGTCCTGCTTGGCCACATATCATTCCCCTGATTGTGCGCAGTCACTGAAGCTTCAAAGCCACAGCCATCACAAACTCCTTCGATGATTCCGGCTACAAAAGCCGCACAGTTCAACATGTTCATTTCCTTCGGCACGGATATATAAGTGTTCGTCAGCGGGTCGTTGTCAGTAATCATATACTCGTTAGGCGTAGTTGGAGAGACAGAATGCTCAAGAGCATCTGCCGGGCGTGAGAATAAGAGCTTCCATAAGGGTCCATGGATTAGCTGGAGTAGTGGAAGGATGCGAAGAGGTCGAACGGGTTGGTTGCTTGATGACGACTGGGATGTCAAGGTGCTCGTTGTCGATGAGCCAGTCAATGATCTATAGAGAAGGAGGTCCAGCAGGCGGAGGCCTAGCGGATAGCCTTGTTCGTTCAACCTAGTGGTATAAGATCAGTATAACATCTCAACGTAATATTATCTGCTGGTGAGAAATTTACCGTCTCTCTAAGTCTTGAATTCCTGTAACTCTTCTTTGGGCGTATACAACCATTTCAGAAAAGAGGTAACCAAAGCTGGCTTTGCTCAGTTCGGCATTCCGTGTGCGATTCAGATTCCGGTCGTATATGGTCTTGCGATTAGAGGGGACTCGCAGCCCCGTGGATGTTTGTGGGGGTTGCGGCGAGCGTGAAAGTGCCGGCTGTCCTCCCTGTGCACTCGAGCCGGCACCAGCAATCGCGCTGGCAGAGGCAGCATGCGCATGAGCCTTAGGAGGTACGCTCATCGTAGCTGGTTTGCGAGGGAGCGTTTTCGATGGAGGGTTATAGCCAACCCCCCTGTGTGCGCGCGTGAGTTTGAGAGTTGAAGCGTCCTGTTGCAGGCGTCGTGTATCCGCAAGCTGGCGTTGAAATGGAAATAGGTAGTGGGTGGGATTCGGATATATTATTCCTTCAATTGATTGTTATCCTGCGATGTTCAAGGTGGGCAAAGTAGCGTCGAGGGCGTTTTGGATGAAGCTCCCACGCCAAGATTCGATGTTGACGTTTTGATATCAACCACAATTAACAAGATGTTCTTCCTCCCTCTAGCTATTCATACGCATAGTTGAAGCCAGGTTTTCTAAAGAGACGGCCGTCTGCTCTAATTATAGCATCTCTCTCATACGCAGAGATTAAAAGACCCATATCAGCTATTTACATCAAATTATTGAGTCCATGTGCTTCTCCCTATATTCTACGGGGATTCTTTGCATTCCATCTTGATAGATAATAGAGTATTTTGGTACGGCTAGTTGTATATCATATAGCCTTCATAACCAGGTTAGCACAAAGGCATGACCAAAAGTCCAAGACGAATGTAAGTCCAGTGAATGTGCGCTACTGAGGAGCCTGACTTTGCTCCAGGTACTTGCTCTCGTACGGCTTTTGCTGTCTATGCCTGCTATTCCAATTCAGCGTGCGAGAAATGTTCTGTATCCACTCATAACTACGCTGGCCGGAAGGTATCACATTGGCAAATGGGAACCTAGACGCGGATATCGTAACGTAGTCACCGGCATGGAGCTCGATCCTTTAGAGACTCAAGTCAGCAGGTTCTCGGTTGAAGCTTCGACGCTGTATTAAAGGGGGAGAATCAGGACATACCTCTCACGGCCATCAAAACTGGCCCAGGAACTTGTCCGGGCATCATATGGAACCCCTATACGTAACACTATAGTATCAGGAAGTATAATTGGCCGGAAATTAAGAGTGTGAGCGCAAATAGCTGTAAGGAGAATGACAGGGTTTTCAGGGTGAGATAGAGAGCCGCCAGCGGCCAGGTTATATGCCGTAGAGCCTGTGGGAGTAGCAACACAGACGCCATCGGCTTGAACAGACGTGAAATGTTCGTCATCGCCAAATATCTCGAGGGACGACATTGCTAGGAATCGACGAGTGTTAGCCCAAATAGAGAAACTTGTCTGATATATAAAAAAAGGTAAAGAATCCTAACATACTCGGATTTGGCCCACGGTCAACAACAATCTCATTTAGGATTTGAAACATTCTATCCGGAGAATGTGTGACGTTGTCTTCTGACTCTTCACCGATCAATTCTTCTGCCAGATCCCTTTCTATCTGAGGCTGGCCAGAGGACCGCCGCCTGCTCCGCATAACAGTGCATTCAAACCGTAGCCGTAAGCTGACGGTGACGCCCTCGGTAAAGGACCGGTGTAGTGTATCCTTGTAGTCGTCGAAGTCGAACTTGGTCAAAAAGCCTAGGGATCCCAGAGAGAATGAGAGAACCGGTGGCACTACGCGTTGGAAGAGCCAACTTGCGTATAAAACCGTCCCATCACCACCAAGCGTTATCACAAAGTCAACGAGGTGATGGTGATCCTCGATGAGGCAGTTATCCCAATATTTCAGTCTTTGTTTCTCCAACGGCTCTTCAGTTATGGTTTCCGTATCGAACTGCTTATCATTCTCCAGCCTCTTCTCCACGTAGACAGTATATGGGACTCTTTGATCTGGTCCGAGGAGCCACCTCGTAACCTCTCTCGTCAACCGGGCTAAACTCTGGTCCTGCGGCTTCGTCAAGATAAAGATACTATGGACGTTGAGCTTCAGCTTTAAGCTGCCCAGCTTCTTTGATAACGCGCGCACATTCCACGCCATATCTGAGAGCTCTCTCTTCGTCAAGAGCCGCGAGGGCCCGGACGAGGGATTGTCGCCACCATCCTCAGTCTGCCGGCCATCGTGCGGCGTCGAAGGCTCCCCACGCTCGTCAATAAGGTCGAGCCGCAGTTCTCGAGGCTGTCCAAGGAGAGAGTGCACGAAGCATGCTGCCTGGTCTGATGTTTGTGCTTCGTGTCGACGGGCAAGGCGCGGGGTATCAGGAGAGACAAACGAGGACTTGCGACGGTGGCCAGCGTTGGTATCAAATACTACCTGCATGCAGAATGACCCCTCGGGTAACGGTTAGCCTTACATCAAGAAGCTGCCCGGCGAGCCCCAGGTGAAGCAGCAAGCCATGCTGGCTGTGTTTTGGCGGGTGTTTCTTCAGAGTCGTATCGCGGGTAGTACATACCTCCAGGTGATGTCGAATCTCGGCATGATTCTCCATGGGATCCCGCGACATTCGTAGATACTAGTTAGATAAGGAAAATTGTACAGAAGATTGCATCTTGGGAGCTTGGGGGTTGATATCACGCTGCGGTGTCGAGATACTTCAACTATGACAGCATATAATTTTATCTCGGCGAAGGCTTTAGCCTCGGACTTAACTCTCATAAAGAACTCTCACACCAAAACACCTACCTCCAGACAAAGACGAGACTACATATTTCGAGGTGGTTTACGGTTCTAACACGGAGAAACACGATATATCAATGCTACTGCCCTTTGACCAGAACAAACGCCTGGATTCTGCGCGACGGACGTGCCAGCATATCCAAGTCTATATACCTCGATATGATCGCGCCTCATCTGCCCTGGCAGCACAAGCACTAACACAAAAAGCGATCTTCACGAAGCAGTTTTATGATAGATGGGATACGTGTGAAAGGACTGGGTAGCCTGTGTTGCCCTGCATTGGTCCGACCTGCTGTGAAATCTACAACGTTTGCGGGCGTGGCGTACAAAACCACAGGGAGCGAGCAGCACAGCCTCATCCTCATACCAAACAACCCTCGTTATACAGCGTCGAGCTTGCCGGAGCCTGCTGGAGACTGCTGGTCGCAGCTGGATAATGGGTGGAAGGCGTCATCTATCCTTGGATAGAGATCACACGAATAAAAGTCAAGAGCATCAGCCTGGACACAAGCCCCGAAGTCCACGACATCGCCGCCTTCGCGAGAGAGAAAAGGAAAAGAAAGAAGCCTGAGCCAGGATGGATAGTTTGCCTATCGCTTGCCGACCTCCTCTTGTCCGTTCGAGGCTTCTTGCATCGTCAGCAAGACGATTACACGATGTCGGATGCAACACCCAGAATCATACTAGCATCCGCACCTAGTCGACCCTTTTTTTTAGCGAATGCCGGTTACCATCCATCCCATTCTGGAGAGAAACTCTGCCCGATCTTCATGTGTGGCCCTCCAGGCGAGTGACTGAACTGTATAGGTCCCTGTGGCAGCATACATTATATTAAACCGGGCTGCCAAACTGGATGTTGAATATGTAATATCCATTATCAGCTCCGTCACAAATACGCGGCCCTCAAGAAGCGTCATGCTCCATCAAGGCGTCCACATAGGTGCAACGGTTTTGATAGAAAGAAAGTGTTATGACGAATAAATATTGCAGGCTGGCGGGCCGTGTTTATTTTATTTTTTTTATTTTTTTCTTATCTTTCCCGCTTTCTTTTCTGTTCAACAAAAAAGAAAGCAAGAAAGAGAGAGAGGGACGATCCGACCAGAATACCTGCCCGCGATGCAAGCATGTTGAGTAACATTAATTGGGCCCAAAGTCCCTTACGTGGTGACTGCATGGAAGTTTAAAGTGGTAATTGGTGTTTGCTTTCTCCGAGAAGGCTCAGCATCATTATATTAAAATGTTGCTTTTTACTTCCTGGCTGCAGAGATCCGTCAGCCAGGTCAGGTTGCACATGGTGGTTTTTCCTTGAGCCATGCCTCCCTGGCCATGAATTATGAATTAATCTGGCATCGGGTAGAACTCAGCCAGCCAGCCCAGCTGCATCAAGATCCAAGGCTCTCGGGCCAGACGGCTCTGATCGACCAGGGATTCACACAAGGACATGACGATACTTATGTATCTTATGTAAGTAAGTATGTATATACTTACATGCATCGAAAAACTCAGTCAAATGAACCCAGCTGGGCCGGGCGAGCAGTGGGGTTGGCTGTGTCAACAGCGTTCAAGCCGTGAGATGAGATGACTGTGGAGACCCCATGGGAAATATGTAGGTTTCATCGCAAATAATTGACTCGTGAGAAGCGGCAGGGATCGAGGGAGGGGAGCAGAGGGTTGACCGGCGACTCCCAGATGCCCAACGTGCTGAATGGGGAGTTACACTGGCGACTCTTATCGCCAAAATCCGAAGCGAGGAAAAAGAAAAGAAAAGAGAGAAGGGAGAAAGAAGGAAAGACAGTCAGCCGGGTTGCGCACTTCGCAAATTGGCCGTTGGCCTCTGATCTGCCCTCTCAATAGACGAAGGGAAAGGGAACAGGGGAAGAAAAACAGTCGGTGAACAAAAGCGAAAAACCACCACAACTTGGATCTCGCGGTCCGTGGGGTCTTTTAACTTTTTCGAGCATCAAAAAAGTGTGGCCTCCTTGTGCGGCAGCGGTTTGCTCCAACTTGTTTCTGGCACGGAATCGGAATCCCTGGTGCGTGGTAAAGGACGCAGTTGGTGTTGGGTGATGGTCTGCCGGTTGCCGGGATGATTTCCGCCGTCGCGAGAAAGGAACCCAAGACTCTTTTTAGTGTATGGGGTATGGGATATTAAAGAAAAAGGCCTAATAAAAAAGAGACACGCTGGCGATGAAACGTCCGCGGGACCTGGGCCAAGCGGACATATACTATGCGGAGATGCGTGAAGGAGTAAGATCTTCGCTGGACGAGGAGAGTTCGTTAGGGACAAGCAATAGTATAGGCATGTATAAAGTCACCGGCAGCCCCGTCGACGCCAATTAGAATGCATGGTTAACCTCTGCATAATTTAGGGATTTTCGATTTCGTGCTTTGCCCGCCAGCCAGGGTGACCGTGATATCCATGCTAGGATGGGGGATACGACGTTCTCCCGTAGAACGTGTCGAGCCAAAGTCGGGAGGTTCTCGGATGGGGACCCCAGAACGGGAATAACAGGTAGCTAATGTAAGTAAGTATACGGAGTATGTCCATAATACGCTCGATTATACTTGTTGGTAGGGATGAGCGGCCTGTGATTGGTGTCTTTAACTCTCTTCCTTTGACTGGAGCTAACTTTGCCACCCTTGAGCAGTTTGGATGCCAGGGATGAGAAGGGATAATTCATCATCTGATTGCATACAGCATATCCCATGCATGGAATGTGAACGCACTGCCTTCTTCCTGCCAGCGAAGTACTGTATGCATCGAAATAAAGGTAACTTACAAGTCTGGGGGGGAAGACCAGGAAAAACAAACGAAAACAAAGCTGCCTGCATGATGTCCTCCCCTACATATAGTTCCGTATGCAGCTGAAGGGGAGGGAAAGTGAGTCACATCTCCCTATCTCAAACTAGCCTGTGGTATCACCTTCAATAGAAGTGCATATCAAAAGGCTAAGTTAGGATTGAAATGTCGCTCGCTCACAAAGACAACGCCAGCCACTCCTCCTTTCGCGAAAGGGCGCAGAAACAAAGCCCCTGGGGGAAACCACAAGGTGTACTCCGTACAAGGTGTACATACGGAGTACACGAGGAAACTAAGGAATGTCCAACGGAAACGAGCGTTGCCATGCTTGGTAGGCAAGTTAAATTTAGATTGGCTAATGGGAATGAGAACTATCGGATTAGCAAGTTACATGTACATGGCGTACTAAGAGCAGCCCAAATATCCCCGCCAAGTGCTAGGGGAGACCGAATTCATCCCAGGCAGCGGCTATGGGCATGGCAGTCGAACGACTAAAATTAGCGTATAAAGTGTATAAAGGTGGCTGGAAGCCTGGTTCGCTTTAAGGATTTGAAAAAAAGAAGGAAGAAGAAGGATGGGAAAATGCAAAAAAGCAAAATACATAAGTTAGACGGAGTAATGCAAGCTCAAGATGTGATCCATGGAACGGAAAGGGGGATACTGCACGGGTGGGTTCTACAAACAGGAAGTGGGCCATAGGGATGACAAGCGAAACGTCTTCGATTGATACGTTTACACTTTCGATGTGGAGGTATAGAGAGAAAAGTGTACGGGCCGCGTGACAGACGCACACAGGCTGCGCAGGCCGAAAAGGCGGATAGACGAAGTAATATCTGATGAGATCTCCTCCGTAGTCTAGTTGCAGACAGACGGGTTGTAAGTTAGTATGGAGGAAAAAGTAAAGGTGGCCCAAGGAACGGGCGTTTTCGTTTTCCTTTTCCTGTCTGCCTGAGATCCGAGACGCTGAGACCGAGGCTAGCAAGTAAAGACAGCGATGGGCGATGACGATGCTGGCGATGCCTTCAAGTTACTACTGCATTTGGAAGTAGGAAGCGGACATGATGGGCAATGCCGAACCCAGTTTCGGTCATCTTCCAGGTGTGCACACTGGTGCTAATGCATAGGCAGGACCCGGGATGGACTGTCAGCATCCTACTCTGTTCGGCTGCCCTGTGGCTCCATAAATTAACTAATGTACTCCGTATGCCACCAGATTGCATAACGTTGGTGCATCACGGCGGGCGGTGGACGGAAGGAAGATATCTCCAGTTGGAGGGGCGCTGTGCAGAAGAAATATGTACTTAAAGAGGGAGAGAAGAAAAAAAGAAAGAAAAAAAAGGGAAAAAAAAGAAGAAAAAAAGCAAATGGTGGAGACTAGCCATGCGCGTGGAACCCTTTCCCAAAAGGAACCCGCGGGCCATTCAACTCTGTTTTTCAGTCAAGCCGTGTTCCAGGGCTTCGATTCGTGAAAGCGATCATATTGGCACTTGGGCGGCTCCTTTTGAGTCGGATGGAGGCGCCGAGGTTGCCACACAAGCGGTAACCTGCCACGCCCGGCAGGTCAGACCCCGTCGCCTCCGTATCCTACACCGTACTCGCGATGAGAAGGGGGGTGGATAGGAAGAATGGTGAGACTTCGGATCTAGATATCTCCTCGGTTGTTTGTGCTGTCGACGTGGTTAGCAAGGGAAGGACGCGCGGATGAAACGGTCGAGATACTTATATTACTGCCTTGCTCCGGATATAATACCCCATGTCCAGGTCCTGGCTGATCCCGGCCGCTCCAGGGCTGAGATGCCCTCACCCGGCGGGCCTTGGGATCGTATTCTTGTTCTTGTTCTTGTTTCTTGATGCTTGATGAGAGAAAAAAGCGAAGACGGACATCGCCCAAAGCGGCAACTGGGACTGCGTATCCTGCCGTTAGTCAGCATGTATCCGTAATACCGCATACTGAAACATGATACGCGGGCCAAGAAAGCAAAAATACCGCGTATATCATCGTATATCTTACGCGAATGTGACGAGTTTCGCCCCCTTAGCCCCCTATATAGAGAGACCCCTTTCCGGTTATATACATACTTCGACCTAAGGGAATCCCTGCTGGCCACCGCCTCCGCCTGTTGATATTGGCGCCAGCAGGGGCATCTTGCCTGCGATGATCGATGCTACCGTCTAGCTGAAAGTATATTGCGGCCTCTTGGGGGAGAGGAAATGCTCCGTATTCGGCACTATCTCTCTCAGCCCCATCCTCATCCAGCTTCGAGAAGGACAGGCATCTTCTTCTCCGGATGCCCAGGGTCTGTAGTCTGTAATCAGCAGGCAGTCCGTACGTAGCATCATAAAAACTGGCAAGCATGGGGCTCCATCAGTTTCCAGTTTTGGGGGTGATGGATGAGAGCCAGCTTGCATATCACATCCATCCTTTCCTTTGACCCGCTGGCCCGGCCCCATTCCCTCAACACAGACTCCGGTGCATGAGGAAAGAAACGTCGTAGCCTGGGCGACATGTCAATACTTTGGATACTTTGTAATGTGTATCTGCAATCCCATGTGCGACGCGGTCGGTGCAACTATTAATATAACCGTATCTGGATTGCGACATCGCTTCGGCGAGAGTTCCGCCATGCTGGTGCGTGCGTGCCACTTTGCACCGGTTCGACTGGTAATTTCAGTAGTATAGCCCATCCTCGTCGGTACAAGTTGAAGTATATAGAGAGGGATGTGATCTGAGCGTGCTGCGGGCGCTTAGGTTTCTCGTCATTATTGCCTCTCCCCCAGTAAAAAGGGCCGTAAAAGGGACATAATTAGTATCCGAGATCGTTGTTCCACTCCTGTTCCGCCTCTGCCTTGCTGTTTCAAGCTGTCTTTCTGTATCGCCGTGGTGTCCGGTGGGTCGTGGCAGGTTTCTCTCCGTATAGTCCAGCGTCGTACCCTGCTGATCGCATTTGACAGACCAGAATAACCTCCTCATCCCCCCCCCCAAAAAAAAGAGAGGTGACAAGATAAGTATACGTAACACGAAGAGGAGCATGCAGCCTGGCCGCAAGGTTCGCTCTATCACCTACCCATCAGGTAGCTTGACGAGCGTGGCGTCGGGGGAAGCCAATAGCCCAGGCGATGAGCGATCTGATGCTGTTGGCTGAACTGCATCTGCATGCACCGCATCCATCGGCAGAGCAGAGGCAGCGAGGTACCCCGTAACTAGCAGCGGTTTGACCCAAGCCATGATTTTCTTTTTCTTTGCTTCTTCTGCTTGTTTTTTTTTTTTTAAACGCTTTGGCACCGATACGGACGGGCGATGTTTGTTCCCCATGGCTGGGAGCTGGGATGCACCTTGGTCCGTCCATTCACCTCCCGCCCTGCTTCTCCTGTCGTCCACTGTCGAGCCATCGTGTGATTGATCCCTGAAACAAGAGCCTGCTGTCGTCTCTCTCTCTAGTGTTACCGCTAATGTAAGACACTCCACCGATGAGACGGACTGAGAGGGAGAGGGATAGAGGGAGATGGATGTCTAGCCGATGCTGACTGCCTCAGACATCGATATATCGATGGGATAGCCCGAGTCCAAACTTAGACCCACGTCCGCGATCTGGATCCAAGCACTGGGCGTCTCTCTCTCTTAAGATTATAATATAATACGGCGCGCGCATCACGTCACGGCTGCGGTGGACGGCGACGGCGGACGGTCCGGTCGAGCTGCTGTGGTCTTCCTTGATACCTCCCGCATTTCGCCAAAACGTTTTACTTTTTTCCCTCGTTCTTTTCTTCTTCCTGGAGGGTTTTCTTTTCTGGCTCTGCTTTGAGCTCTCGCACTGGACGCACTATCAAGGATCCCCATCGCCTGGTCAAACACAAACAGGCCCGGGTGCATGGCGGCTGCTGGAGCCCATGGGTCTTCTCTGGCCCTGCCACAGCATGACGCTTTCTTAAAATTATATTCAATGCCCGAGTGGATGGCTCCGGCCGTACTCCACCAGCATGGGTTCTCTTCTTTTTTTCATTCTTTTTTACTCTTTTTTCCCTTTTTTTCACTGTGACTTGATGATGTCTTTCTCCATATTTATTTTATTTTCACGAGTTAATATTACCGCCTGATCTCCACAGGGCCAGGCTATATGGGATCTTCTATATGAAATCAACCAACCTCTCTTCAACCCGTTCAGGAGAACTCTATACATGCTTACTAGCAGCCCGGTCTAAACGCTTGGTATCTGGCAAGCTGTTATATTGTCCAGGGGACGTCATAGCCAAAGTGGACTGGCTCGTCTGCCTTATTTTCATTCCCCGAACAAAGGCCCTCCTTCTCCCCACATAACAATGGTCTTATCCCTCTTATCAGACCTGTTGCTTGCTCCTTTTTTTTTTAAAAAGTACTTGAGTGGAATTTTCTAGTCTTGTCATATGAGATAGCTTTTTCAATCATATGGCAACTTATTTCCATCTCCGTTCCTGAAACCTTTATTTCTTTCACACCCGCCAACATAACACTGCAACACAACATCGACATCGCACACGCACACGCACACGCACACACAACGAAGAAAAAAAAAATGTTCCAACAAAGCTCGAGTTATCTTTCTCTTGCTTCTGCAAACCCTTACTCAGACTCGATTGATCAAGATATCATTGCCTCAAGACAGGCACTCCAATCTACTGCTCGAGCAATCAGTGCTGAATCCAGCTCTCGCCTGGCAAGCATGGCTGCTCATCACTCTTCAGACCATACCATGTTGGCGCCGTCAAACAGATATGAGCTTCACCAAAGCGCATTGATCAGTGCCGCCGGTCTGCCTCGCTCGGCATACTCTTCACCAAATACCCCGGCGTTCTGCCATCAGCAACAGAACGCCGCTGCTCAGAGCATGGCCTACGAGCAAGCATCGGTGCCAGCCACGACGATGGCTGCATCTTCGTATTTCCCAAAATACCAGCCGGTGCAATATCCCCAGGCCCAGCCTATCTCCTCGGACTACATGTATTCATCCATGAGCCAGCCGCTATCACCCTACGACCAGTATGCCATGGCCTCGGAAGCGTATTATGATACCTACCTACCTTCAGGCCTGTCCATGGCCTACTTCCAGCAGCAAGACGCAGACATGCTCTCATCCGCCTTCAACGACACACCGCCAACCCACGCTCATCTGTCTCTACCCGCCATGGACAGCAACACCGCCTTCTCGACTCCAGACATGCCTTCAAACCAGCAATTCCCTGAACCAAAGACACCACCACCTCCAACCTCATCCAGCTCCTCGTGTGAAAGCGTCAGGGACGACGACGATCTCGTAGGCGTCGGACTCTACGATGAACCGCTATCCACCTCTTTCTGGGAAGAGTCGCTCTCCAGCTCGGTCGACCCAATCCTATACCCACACCCGCTTATGCGCAAGGGCCTGAAGCTAGAGGAAACCCTCGACCCATCTACCCTGAACTGCAGTGATATGGATGCAGATGGCGATGACGAGGAGGAGGAGGAACAGAACGACCAGACTGCCAAGGACGCAGACACAACATCAAAGTGTCACGATTCAAACACAGCAGCCGGATTGAATACTCTGAATGATGGCCACTTGTTCCCGGTGGACGATGCCGAATCATACAACCCCCATGTGAACTGGACGGCAGCGCCGGCAGTCATGCTTAATAGCTTCGCAGCGTTCCCAGGGTCCTACCAAAACTTTTATTCCACTTATTAGGAACCTAGACCAAATCGTATGGCTGGACCATTCTTTAGCGCTTCTTCACTTCAGGTAGATAGATATTTTAGCTACTATTAATACGACTATTCTTCATCTCAATCAACACACCCTTGTAACATGACTCCATCCATCCAAATGGTTCTCATAATCGGAGTTGAGATTTGAGTAGTTGATATTTGCAAATTTAAACACCAGCCCTATATCGGCTTAGTAATATATTCTCTTATTTTTCATTGGTCAAAACGAGTACCAAGCTTTTTAAGCTCGAGCTAAACTTTAACTCGGCAAAAAGTTCGAGATGTCGTTGATATTTTGTATTTTCAGTAAATGCGCAGAGGGGTTGGTTGTTTTTGGTGTTATATATGCATATAGATGCATATTTGTTGATTGTTTACATCTACTATCGAAAAAGAGGAGGACGAGGAAGAAGAGAGAGGGAAAGAGGAAAGGATACCTAAGTGACAATGGCAAAGCCAAAAGTGACGCCGTGGAAGGTGCCCTCCCAACTTGTCTCAGTCCGAGATCAATTCTATCCCAAGTCATCCGACGAGCAGGATAGCCGGGCCAAGGCCTGTTCGTTGGTGAGACGCGACCTGTCCTATCTCAATGTTTTCCTCTGAAGAAAACTAATGTTTCATTTTCGTCCTAGGTCTGGGTGTGGAAGGTCAGAGGGAACCTGCCGCACGCAGTTGAAGCCACTGCACTCTTGACAGATGCAATATTACATGATGACCCGAGCAAGAATTCCATCTTCTCTATCCGGGCCGCTTACTCGTTAGCCTTTTGCAGGCAAGTTCACCCCTCCTCCGTACTCTGGTTTCATGCTAACGATATTTTTTTTTTCCAGGTTCGTAACTGGACTAGTTGACTCGAAACTCCATGGCCGGAAACAGTCCATGTATCAAAAGGCTATGGCCGTAGGTGTTCCCGCATCTTTTGTGGAGTTACGCCATGAAGCTACTCACAGGGATTTACCTTCCCTTGTGGTTTTGAGAAACGCAGCTCAACGGTCCATGGAATGGCTTTGGGATTTTTACTGGGCTACCGTCGAGGATGATTGTAACTTTGTATCCGACGCTCCCGGAGTTGCAGGACGAGAAGATGCGGAGGACGAGAACATGGGGCCCCTGAGAGATGCTGTATGGGTTACCCTGCGGCCTCTTGTTGACTTGATAAACAAACCGAGGAAGAGCGATCGAACAAGCGCCAAGGCAGGGTCACTGTTGGGCGAAGAGGAGCGCAGCATGCGAAAGCTCGGTGCATTTTGCTGCAGGGAAAGTGCAGCAGGGGCTGTGCTGGTGCAGGCACTACTGGATCCGGACCTCGACATCCTTGTATCAACTGTGCAAGAGTACGTTTGAACCATTCCTTTGTTGGGATCATATTGACCTTTTTACTTTTTTTACTAAAGGAGCGACGGGGAGGACGAGCTACGATCGCCGTTTACTGCCTGGGACGAGGTGTTGAGAGGGATATGTCGATATCACCCTCCATTCACGACTACGCTAGTCGAAGAAATGGCTTCCATATTGATTGCTGCTGACACAAAAGGCTCCAACAACGATAAAGGCCAGATCTTAACTGACCTGGAAGATGACTCGTACGAGGAAAATGTTTTCTCGTGGTTAGAACATATCCTTACTTCGGAAATCTGGGCTACGATATGCAATCGATACCTCATCTTGTCACACCTCGAAGCATCCTGCGGTGCACCAGGTACATCTGCAGGGTTTTGGGCCAAGCGGATACACGATCTGTTGTCTCACCAACAGTATGAAGATTCTATGATTCATACCAGGCCTAGTTCAACGTCGGAAGAGATGGAAGTCGATACGGCCGGTCCGTCTGCCGCTCCTGATACCTCAGCAGATCATGACTCGGACATAGCTGTCCTTCGAGGTTACGGATGGGATTTTGGTCAAAAAATTACGTATAAGCCCATAGGCAGCACTGTTTGAACACCTTGCACATTACAGCCTGGCAACGCCTATTGATTAATCGTTCCGGTTCGTCGCACGGAGGACGGAGGACGGAAATAAGGGCCTGGCCAACGTCGGATGGTCGGATATATGTCGAGTAGAGCCGCGAGCTGGGCCAGGAAGAACTGCAACCTCGTTGGCTGAAAGACCGTTAGCGCTGGGATTATCTATTAGTAAAGCAATGGCTAGTGACAAACAACCTATCACTCGTAGTGTATTTGACCTACGTATAGGGGGGGCTTTTAGTTATGATTCCAATCACGGTCGAGAATTAAATGGTATATAATCAAATAACCAGGCTTAACTCCTATCTCGAAATGCTGTTGTGCTTCTAACCCTGGGTTGAGGTCTGAGTAAGCAGCCAAAGGCAGCATCATCACATAAATACCTCCGTACACATCCCCTCACCAACGTCATCCTCCATCACCAACATCTGTCCCTCATGAACGCGGGAAGAACTTTTATTTCTCGTCGGTTGATATCAGCAGTAGCCAAACGCAAGATGCATATCGAATCTATTCCCATGTGTGAGTGACAGGCTATCTCATTATCATAGCTATAACTAGATGCGTGTTTCGTTGCCAATCCCCGTTTGTTGGTTGACCAGATATTCCGTCATAGGGACCGGGACCGGTAACAACTATGCATACTTGATTTCAGATGATGCAACAAAGGATGCCATGGTAGTGGACCCAGCAAACCCTCCAGAGTAAGTCCAATCTATGTTTGAACGGAGCAGGGAATGTGGCTGATAATGTGCATCCGTTAACCTGAATATAGGGTCATCCCGGTTCTTACATCCCACATACATGACCGGAAGATCAACCTAAAGGCTATCATAAACACCCACCAGTAAGTTTATTCCTGTCGACAAGTGTTTACGGGAATGATATCAGAGGCTGACCATCACATAGCCACCATGATCATGCTGGCGGGAATGAGGGAATTGTACGTTCTCTATCAATGTGACACAACCAGCTCTATAGCTGGGAAAACGCTCCGATGTAGTACTTGTGGACAATCGACTGACAGAGCTGCCTTGATATCCCTCTAGCTCAAACAATTTGGCAAACTTCCGGTGATTGGCGGGAAAGACTGTGCCCACGTCACGCAAACTCCCGGACACAGCGAGAAGTTCAAAATTGGGGAGCGGATTACCGTCACTGCTTTACACACCCCTTGTCATACCAAAGATAGCATTTGTTACTTTGCCGAAGATGGAGACGAACGCGTCGTATTTACCGGTGACACGCTATTTATTGGGGGTATGTCATCCAAAAGCTACCCTCCATGAGGGCCGGCAACAAGGATTGTAGTCTTATCTAACATGGATACATTTGTACGATGCAGGCTGCGGGAGGTTCTTCGAAGGTGATGCAACCCAAATGCACAAGGCGCTCAACGAAGTCCTGGCTTCACTCCCAGATGATACAAGAGTATATGTGAGTCGCATGATCTTCTCCATTTGGGCCGTTCCGCAGTGTATGACTGATATTTATTGAAAGCCCGGTCATGAATACACGAAATCGAATGTAAAATTCTGCTCCACAGTTTCCCAGTCGGATGCAGTCAAGAAACTCGAAGACTATGCCAATAATCACCAACAGACCCAGGGAAAATTTACAATTGGTGATGAGAAGGTACCTTACCCGGCCTCCTTGTGCTACTGGCTTTCAGCTAGATTTGGCCATTGCTTAGCCCTATTACATATGTATAAATTCTAACGGTATCTAACAGCTTCACAACGTCTTTATGCGTGTCACAGTAAGGATATGGTTACCCCCATACCCCACTCCCTCTTCCATCCCCGACATGAACTAGCGCTTTATAACTAATGCATGACTCTTTTTCAACTAAACAGGACCCTGAAGTCCAGAAGGCCATAGGTGTTTCAGACCCAGTTGAGGTTATGAACCTTTTGAGGAAGATGAAGAATAAGATGTAGGGGGCAGTGGTGGCTAGCTAATTTGTATGTGTACAATCCTACAGGATGTGACCATAATGCACAGTCAATCATGTGAACATCTGATTTCCCTGAACAGTTTCGAGGTATTTAGGCATTTTATCAAATAAATCCATATTTACCCAATATAAAAAAGCTTTCAACCCTAAAAATACTTACTTGTCGTCGATTTGTATGTACCTCTCTAGCCTGAACGAAAAATACTGATCTGAATGCCGTTGTTTGCTTTGTCCTTCAGATGTAGGGTAAGGTGACAAGCATATACTAACAATGAAAACTAATTGTTGCCTGAAATGGGTAGCTCGGGTTGGGTAACATTGCCTAAGAGAGATTTTGTGGGAGGATTCCATCAAAGCAATCATGATGTGGTGGAGGATCACAGAATCATATTCACAGGATGAAGGCAGCTCTGTTCAACCTCGTCCTACCTCGATGGATGGGTTAGTAAACATGGAATCAACAATACGGGGGAGGGAGGCAACCGTCAGACACACCATTTCACTAAGTTGACCTGATTTCAAGATATGTGTTAACGTCAGATTATTAACTCCAGCTGACTATGTGTGCTCGAGACGGGAAAACTTACTATCAAGCCGATGACCTGTTCTATTTCCATCGTTAGAAGAAAAGAGCAAGGAATAGTAATCAGTGCTACAGGGGAACACGGAAGGGTGTTTTTGTCCCACAAGTGTGGGTGGTCCGTCTACGCACGCCTTTTGTGCTCTTATCCAGCCTGGTTCGATTAAATCGCATACAAGGATTATTTATTACGGAGAGAGTAGACGTAAAATGGGGTAAAGGGAATGAATGCGGTTAACATTCAATAGGTTTTGATATCTAACTACCCATCAAGCTTTCACATAAGAAAGCTTGAGAGCTATAAAACCGTATTCTACTGCAGTCGAGGGTATCTCGAGTTGGTATGTCTCCCACACAGCCACTTAGCTCCTCATAATCCGTAGTTAAACAGATATCAGAAGTCAAGACCGGCCACCGGGGTAAGTCTAGCACATTTTGAAGAAGAATAGTGACTGAGACCCATCAGGATAATCTTGCTTCAGTGTCCACACCTGCTCGTCCTAGGAATTGAAAACGGCAAGTTCTAGCTATTTGAAGAAGCGAGGGGCTGGGAAGGGTACGAGGATATATCACTGTCTAAGTCTTTTTGTATTAGCATAGTTTTTCCTATTAGCATATTTCATAAAATTGTCCACATGGCGACTCTCAAGCAATACAAGGAAAGAAACCCTTTGTCTATTATGTTGGCATCACACAAGAATAGACAAATATCGGTCTGCCCATTGGATATTATCATTGGGGTGAGAAACAAGGCGTCATCTCATAAAGAAGTCTGAGTGTGTGGAAAGTTGAATCTTTGGACGAAAAAGAATTCAAAACCAATAAGCGGTTCGGATAAACATATATCCTTAAACACGTGAGAATATCACTAATTAACGAAGGATAATATATTATCCGTTCCCACCGGAAATGCTAAGTAAGCAACCAATGGGAAGCTCCTTCGACTTTCCAGCTTCAATATTCTCTGAACATCTCAAAGACGAAGAGAAGATGCGCAGACGCTGGTAGCAGATATCCGAATGACCGGCCGCGTGTTCGGTGCCCTGAGCCGTCAGAAGCGGGCATTTATCTATACCCTCCACTTCGCGGGCACGTTCTGCTGGTTCAAGATCTTCAATGAGCACTTTTACGAACTCAAGGCCTCTGGGGGCCCGTCCATGTATCCCACGATACACTTCCAGGGAGACTGGCTGCTGATTGCGAAACGATTTAAACATGGCCGTGACATTGGGTTCGGCGATATAATTGTCTATAAAAAACCGCACGATTTCCACTCCGAGGTTGCGAAGCGGGTGGTTGGAATGCCTGGCGATTATGTGTTGAAGAACCCTCCGCTGAACGGGGAGACTGTTGTGGAGGAAGATACGCAGATGATACAGGTTCGTCGAGTAGACTGTCCTTTGAATAGATGGCTATAGAAGCACGTTAGGGCGTTTTGACTGAGTTTATATTCTAACGGGCTGTTCAATTGATAATAGGTCCCTGAAGCTCATGTTTGGGTAAGCGGTGACGATGCGCCGTGGTCCAAGGACTCCAAAGATTATGGACCAGTGCCGATGGGCCTTATAATAGGGAAAGCTCTGGGAAGAGTCTGGTATCCGTTCAATTACGAGCGGTTTGAGAACCCATTGAAACCGGTTACGACCGTTGAATGCTAGAGATGGGATTGGAAACACATATCTGTACAGAATAGTTATATCACAGTCATGCTTCTGGGCTTGGAAGGGCTGTGCAAAGTGGTCAAATGCTAGTGTACAATACTATAATGAAACAAAATTATATCCTAATACATCAATCCTGAAATGAGGATTATCTGAAAGCAGCTGGGTTTCTCCTCTTGTATGGAAGTGGCTCAACCCGTTTCCTCTTGAGCTCAATATCTGCGCCCTCTACCTCGAGCTCTCGCATAACAGCCTCCATGTTATCATCCCATTGGGTTCTGAAGAGACTAGCACCAATTGGCTTCAGTTGGTGTCTGGTCTCCAAGGTTCGAAGGCGGAGACCGTCTCGGTTGGTGATCTTCTCAGCAACAGCTTTGGGGTCCAGTGGCTTTTGATCCTTCTGCTCCATCACGAATACAGAAAGTCGATGGTAAGGACTGCCCTTCAGTGCATAAGGTGCCGCCCAGGGAAGAACCACTTGGGATTCAGGAAGGTCTCCTAACGAAAAGAAGGTGGAGGTAGGCGAAATAGGAATGTTGACTGCAAGGAAGTTGACTTTGCTGTCAAACGTGTCTGATTCCATGTTTGGTATATCTGGGTCGACTACGGCAATGGTGACCAGCTTTTCACCTTTATCGAACGACTGGATGTCGATGTTGGGTGGGAGCATGCTGACGCGGGAGTCGACGAAAACACCAGGTTGGATTGGCTTCTTTCCGAAAAAAAGCTTCACGTCGACGATAGGATTGGCATGAGCAAGCACATCCGGGATGACCTTCATCTGTGTAAGCCGCTGGATAAGAATCAATCGTCGGTACTCTCTCCATTTCCGGTTGGCCAAATGTCGATAGATCGGTCTGGACATATCACCTAGTAAAAACTCGAGGGTTAGCTTCTGAGACTTCCTATTGATTATACAATGAAGAAGAATTTACCCAATCCATCCTCGAATCGTTTCTTGACCAGGGGATCATTGATGTCCGCTAGAATCTTCAATTCCTCGAGATGTTTTTCCATGCTTTTAATCCTGGCTTGCTGCTTTGCCTCTCCTCCAACGGTCGCCGGGTCTGCTTCACGTAACCTAGCCAATCGAGCCCTCTCTTTCTCTATCTGCTGGATCTTCTCCTCGCGGTCCTCTTGAAGGACCTTCCGAGCCTCCTGAAAGCATTGGAAGGGTAGCTGTTCGAAAGGATGGTTGGGCGAACCCTGAAGGGCTATACGTCGACGACGAGAACCGATTGGGAACTTCCCAGCCCGTATAAGCTTCCGCTCAAGACGAGGACTCGATACCAGTTCCGGGTCGATCGTTCTGTAGAATGGCTGTTTGGGAGCTGCTGGTTGTGCTTCAGCGTCGGTGGCAGCAGCTGCGGTCGAAGAGAATGGACGGTCCAGCCGGAGTTGCGACGCAGCGAGACGGCCTCTGTACGCCTGTCGGAGGCATTGCAGTATCGGCTTTGACGCCGCTTCGCAATGTGCCATCGCTGCTATGCCTCAGGGCGTGAAATGTTCTTGTTTCGACTGTCTTTTGAACGCGCGCTCGCCGTGGTTTTTCTCTCGCTTTTGCAGCTTTTTTTTTAACATACAGAAATCCGCGCTAGTGCCGAAAAGGGCAACCAGCCAAAAACCAAAAAACTGCGACCTTTTGCACCAGAATCCTCACGTTTCTCGCAATTCACCAGCATATCGACACGCCGTGCACTCGACGTTCAGAATGGCGGCAAGCAAGCCCATCGGAAGCCTGAAATGGCTGTTACGGGGGAACAGGGGCGTTTTTGGTGGTCAACTTGAGGCCTCAAAGGTGAGAGACCGCTTGTCCTCAAGAGAAAAAAGACCTCTGCTTCCAGGTTCAAGAGCTAACGGGCTGGTTATAGCAATGTATGGCTAGACAGCAGTTTCGGACAATGGCCACTGAAGCAAACTTGCCCAGGGACTCGATATCGACGAGCCAGTCACCGCTAGTGTTGGGCCTCCAGGACGACATTCCCAAGCCAGTATGGAATCCAGCTCCTGCAATTGTCACCCTCTACGACTTCCCTTCGATGGAGCCCATCCAGCACCTCGAATATAAGGCCGAACACCTACTCCTTCCTCTGCGCCGAGACATACTGCACCGTGCTGTCATCTACGAGGGCGACAAGACTCGACAAGGTACTGCTAGCACAAAATGGAGAGATGAAGTACGAGGTAGCGGGAGGAAGATTCGGCCTCAGAAGGGTTCAGGAAAAGCCCGACTAGGTGACAAGAAGTCGCCAATGCTGAGAGGCGGTGGTGTAGCCCACGGCCCCCATCCACGAGACTTTTCGACCGACCTACCACGAAAGATTTACGATAAAGCCTGGCGGACGGCGCTGAGCTACAGATACCAGCGAGGCCAGCTGATTGTTATCAATGACAACATCTCCCTTGAGCGCGGGTCTACGGTCCATCTGCTCCAGGATATTATTCAAACACACGGCTGGGGCAGCGAATTTGGCCGGTCATCGCTCATCACGGAGGTCAAGAAGGAAAGGCTCTTCAGGACTGTTGCAGAACTTGGTCGAGATGCAAGGGCTTTGGATCGTGCGGATGTTGACGTGAAGGATCTACTCGAGACCGGACGATTGATCATTGAGAAGCAGGCCTTGGACAAGATGCTCGCCCTCCACTCGAGTGACCTTGGCCGTCCTCTTGCAGACCTGTGATTGGGATTCTAGGCATAGTATGGCGTACAGTGTAATATATATATGAATAGAAGTATGTACCAGTAAATTTATCGTCTGCAGTTTTCATGTCACTCGGTGATGACTTTATACTCGACTCACTGGCATAACAAATAGAGAGAGCAGCGTCTTTCGTCTTCAACTATTATCTCTAGTGTAAATCATGTCGTTAATCGCTACTTATTTATCGTTGTTGGCGCTTGAGTCCGCGCCGAAGCCGCCGAGCGAAGAAACCGCAGGCCAAAACTTTTTTTCACCCAGCGCAAGCTTCGGCAACAAGAACTCACCACTCGGCAGTCGTTGAACATATAGCAATCGTTTCGGTTCCAGGGCCTTTGCAGTTGCAATGTCAGTACTTTTTCTTAGATCAAATTGTCTTCGACCCTCCACACCGTCGAGCTGGTTCTCACGGAGCCTATCGCGCCAAATGCCACTACGGGCCAAGGTCGAGAGCTCAGCGTTCAGCGGAAAGATGAGAGTAAGTAAAAAAGGGGGGAGGAGAGCGTCTGCTCTTGCGCAGGAAGAAGATTTTTAGGTCGACTGACGATTTATTTGTTTGGGCTAGATGCTCTCTTCCGCAGCTGCTCCGAAGGAATTCCCAGACGACGACCCGGACGATGTCCTCTTCTCGAGCCTCCATGGCGTCAGGTTGATCGAGCTTAACCGACCAAAGAAGCTGAACTCTCTCAATGGCTCGATGGTGCGGAAGATTCTTCCTAGACTCCAGGTACGCCTCTACAGATCCAAATGCACCCTTATCGTGACGAAAACGGTACTAAGACGCAATTGGTATTTAGGAATGGCAAAATTCGCACCTTGCCAACGTTGTGATGATCGCTGGTGCGGGAACCAAAGCCTTCTGTGCTGGAGGAGATGTTGCGGAACTGGCACAGCAGAATACGCAAGGTGTTAGTGGCCAGAAGAAATCCAGGGAGTTTTTCGGACAGGAATACCAGCTCGACCATTACATTGCGACCTACAGAAAACCCTTCGTTGCGATTTTGGATGGCATCACCATGGGCGGCGGAGTTGGACTCAGCGTTCACGCGCCGTTTCGGATAGCTACCGAGCGCACCATGTTTGCAATGCCAGAGACCACCATCGGCTTTTTCCCAGACGTTGGCGGATCCTTCTTCCTTCCACGCCTTGATGGAGAGATTGGAACGTACCTTGCGTTGACTTCGGAGCGCTTGAGTGGCGTGCAGGCATTTTATGCAGGCATTGCAACTCATTACCTTCCCTCCAGTGCCTTGGGCAGCCTTACCAGTCGACTCTCGGAGTTAGTGTTCCGCGATATGGCTCCATTGAAACGGCGTCTTGACCTCATCGAACAGACTATCTCCGAATATACCATCACCCTGCCAACTCTCAAAGAAGAACCAATGCTCCTGGCTGGTAGCCTCCGTGAATCCATAGATCGATGCTTCGCTCCGTCGACCGTTGAAGAAATCGTATCCGCTCTGCAGGAGGAGACGGTGAACCCGGAATGGGCAGCAAAAACTCTCAAGACAATCAGCCAACGGTCTCCCATTGCTCTCAAGGTCACCCTGCGTCAACTTCGCCTGGGCAAGAATTGGACTATTTCCGAGGCATTCCAGCGAGAAGATCAAATTGCTGGACACTTCATGGCCCACCCTGACTTTGTCGAAGGTGTTTCTGCTAGACTTGTCAATAAGCCTCCAACAAAGCCTGTCTGGAAGCATGGATCACTCGCTGAAGTCACCGACGAGGATGTGGATGCATTCTTCCGCATCCCAGAGGGCGAAACCCGTCTACCATTGCTCAGCCAGGATGGAGATTACAAGGAGTATCCTTATGCCAAATTTGCTCTGCCTAGAGAACGCGATATTACGGATTATGTCCGACAACGACAACCAACTCAAGCCCAGGTCGTCGTCGAGGGTATTATGGAGATGTGGGAGGAGAAGCTTGGGGTAAAGGAGAAAGTGATTGAGGTTTTGAAGCGAAAGACTAAAGAGACAGAAGAGGGGTTGGTATTGGTTGAGTAGAGGGTTGATCGTGTCGTTTAGACTAGTGTATGTACGTTTTTTGTATTCCTTTACCTGAGCTAGCTACTAAATAGAACGGGTCATTAACACCAACTACATACTTACTTAGTATTTCCATGGACTAGTAGCTGGTGTGGTACATCGCAGTTCCTAGCTCCTCCCTTTCTCTCATTTGATCATTAATCTGTGTCATTACAATTATGTGATGGTATATAGGTATTATTCAAAGGAAGCCTAATCACAGGCTGTAGACATCTATCCATCATATATCCTCTATGATGTCAAACTATATAGTCACGCAAACTGCAAAAAAGGCAGGGCTATCAATTTTTATATAGCCCAGGACCTACTACCCTACCCTACCTACACTTGTAGGCATTTCAGTTCCAGCGCTGAGACATATTTTATTGTATTGCATCTATTCAACTATTTTCCTTACAGAATCGCCAAGGCTCGTGGATGCTGATTGCCTAGAGCAGTCTACCTGCTTATCTGAGTACGTAGATAGCCCTGAGAGTCTTGTACCCAAAACTCAGGCTGTACTGTTTGATTATACAGGTTGTTTCTTCCTGGTATGTCTGTGGACAGAGGATAAGCAGCAATGGAATAGAGCTGGCTTATGGCCAAAAGAACATTCCAAATGGCGACAGCTTCCTCATACACTTCCTTAATATAAAGAAAATGCCATCTATGTTATATAATGCGGCTCTGGCATAGTTGTAGGTATCGGTTATCTGCTTGATACCTGCCAAAGAACGTACCCGCCGGATTTCTATATGCCTGGGAGATGCCTCCTTTTCTGGAACTTCTATAGGGTTATCAACTACCAGTGATCCAGCATAAATTCCCTGCTATCTAATATTCACGGGCTTCGAAAAAGAACTTTCCCTAATAACACATAAATGTTATAGCCACCTATATCTGCTTTCTAGCCATCACATTATATTAATGATTTATATACTTTTTAATTATTATGATACTGCTTTCCAGCCCCTTCCCTGCAGAGAACAACGTCGATAATCCAAACATTTTTCTTTAACCAGATGAGACGCCAGGTATTGGTCCATAGGCTCTCATATATATCAAATGGCTTGAGCTGGTTTACTATTCTATTATATCTGCACTGCGGCTTCTATCTCTTCGCACAGCGCATGAAACATATGGATGGAGATCTTGAGCAGAAACTTACCATCTAAATCTTGCTAGTCGCTGATATTGAGGAAATAACCGATCCATTGTCATATTACCAAAACTCGTGGACTGAGAGATGAGTGATGATGGTTGGAGCCGAGAAGTGCAATTGAGACTCGAATCAGTGTCGTTGTTACCCACTGTTTTGATTCTATGTCACTCAATTTGTATATATATCAGTTTCCTACAGGAGACGCTGCAACCTTAAAATGAGCACTCCAGAAATTGTCAACAGTACCTCTTGTCGGGCGGGGTATACGACGATATGCCCTAGAGCTGCGCCTACGCTTACCTCAGGATTTCCGGATGGGGTGCCCACGCTATAATGTCTGCTGACCGGTTGAATTGTAGTAATCAGTAGACTCAGCCACGAATTATGATCTCATAGTCGCTTCTAATCCAAGGATATAGGGTGGTATTCATGGGAGCTTTCGATATGCTGTTGAATGGGTATGACGCGTTCTCACTTCTCTCTGCTCACTAGTTACGGTACCACTCAAATATCCTCGTTTGGCCTGTGAACTAAAGTAATAATAAAATGATTCCCGTGGACCAAAATAAACACCTTTAAGCAAAGTAAATACAGGTCTTTAATGTATAGAAATGGGCTATATCTGCCCGAGATAGGTTATGCGAAATGCAGCATGCTTCTCGATTCTAAGCAAGTTCGGTGACTCACTAGAAAACTCTCTCGATCACGTTACGAGCGATGGTGGGAATGGCAAGCTGGGATGGCGGGGTTCGCAGGACGTGTTATTGCGTATCTAGATATGATGTTTTGGTGATTTAGTGGTACCGACCCAATGGTACTGAACCACCAACCAGTATCCGCTGTTCAGGAACAAAATGACGACGTTTTCAGAGTCACCTGGGCCTACAGCATGCAACGTGCCCTCTAGAGCGCTATCTGCTCAAATATCACCATATTAGCTAGTAGCCCTGTCTGACCACGTATATTCGATAAAGATGCATAGATGTTTAGTATGTAGTAAATATTTTCTCCACTTGTTCTGGAAGTGCGAGGAGCGTTTGGTGGCCCGAGCGCTGGACTCGGGCCATGCCATGTGGGTAACAGGACAGGGGCTTGGCTTTAACCTTAAATTATCTTAACGTCAACCCCCCATCTATATACGCTGAAACAACCCTACACTTCGCAAAAGGAGAGGGATAATGCATGACTCTCCATGAAATGCACTTCATGAGCGTTTTTAATGCCATGACAACCAATATCAGTTTATCACTGCGAGAATCGCTCGCCTTCGGTGTTCTCATACCAATATATTGCTAACTATGTTAGGGCCATGCTCTGCAACTAGTAGGCGTACTTCCGCCACAGTCCATCCAGAGTGAGGTTACTAGGACTGGACTGCTCCAGACCTATATGAGACCGTGGATGAAACTGTATGCCTCTTCTTTCCTCTTCCTGGAACCCATGAGATTCATACCCTATGACGCCGTGAAAAAGCGCGCCTCTGGCAGAGCTATGCCAACTACGTAAAGGGTAACCTCAAACCAAACAATTTTCCTCTTCAGTCCATGGTTCCTCCTCTTTGGAGCGCCGTGATAGGACGTTGATGCAGAAGGCCGAGACCATTACGTCGAGTCCGTTGATTAATAGCCATCTTTAACCAAAGGACAACCTCAAACCGAACATCCAACCTCATAGATCCATGGATTCCTCTTTTGGTGAAGTCATAGCAATGACGCTGGGGCAAATAATGAGTGTATAAAGCAGAGCCGAATTTCCCCCCCTCCCCCCCCCCTCTTCCTCCTCTTCGTTTCACCACGATCGCATATTACGACCCGCATTCGGCCAACCCGTCGCAAGATAATATCATAAAACTGCTAGTACGACTATAGCAACAACCACAGCCTTCCTTGAATAGAATTTCAGGATACGCCCGCCTTCGATCGTAAGTAGCCCACTCTATACCTATATACAAGTATCTAATGGGCTTGAATAACAGGAGCACAACAGAACGACAACTATTTGATCCCGAATATTATTCAAAGAGAAAACGACACTTCCTCGTAAGTAGCCCATTCTATATCTATATATCCAATATCTAACGAGCTTAAAAGAGCTGTAAAAAATGGACTACCTCCCCGCCCCCCAAGCCGGCTTTCAATGCCCGCTAGGCTGGGCACCTGCTCCCGCAATGGGTGCAGCCTTGGAGGAAGACTACCAGATGTTTCAGCAGCCTCAGCTGAATCAGCAGCAGCTGGCAGCATTTCAGCAAGGGCTGCAGGAGCTAGCAGCAATTCGGCGAGAGAAACAGCAGCTGGCAGCAATTCGGCAAGGACAACAGCAGCAGCAGCAGCCAGCAGCAATTCAGCCAGAGCAACAGCTGCTTCAGCTGCTTCAGCAAGAACAGCAGCAGCCAGCAACAATCCAACAAGAGCAACAGCTGCTTCAGCTGCTTCAGCCAGAGCAACAGCAGCCAGCAGCAATGGAGCAACCGACACCGCATCCGGTTCCAAGCGTACCAAATACACCATCATCTGGGCGGCTCAGTGGTGACGCAAAGCAGCAGCGCACCAGGGAGAACAACCGAAATGCACAGCGACGTTGCCGGCAGAATAAGAAGGAGGCTCAGGAGAAGAAGGACAAGGAATTCCAGGAAATGAAAGAGGAACTCGGCAGATACAAATGGGCATTCTGGGCGCTCGACGAAAAAGTCAACGATGCGATCTTCCACTCCCTCCTCGGCAACAATACCGACGAAATCATCCCAACCCTGGCATTGTCAGCAAGTGCGTTGGAATGTGTTGTGGAACAACAAGAGAATGAGGGAAATTGAAATTGGGACTTGTGTTTTATTTCATTTATAACGCGTTGCGAAGTTTACGCTATATTCTGCACCTGCACATTGTTTGTTATATTTCCTACTATCCTGTAACATTTCTCTCATGTAATTTATTTTTTGGATGTCATTTAGTGGGCTAGGTTTCAACAACCTGTCCACCCCCCTGTATTATATTTTTATGTCCCATGTACTTCTATTCTGTACGTATTTTCCTATCTATCACTCTGTATCATATTTTATGTCTATGTACTTCTATTCTGTACTTATTTTCCTATCTATCAACCTGTATCATATTTTATGTCCCATGTACTTTTGGTTATGTACTTTTTTCTTTTTTTGGGCGGGATTCAACATCCTATTCAACCCTGCCTGTATCATATTTTGTTGCGTTGATAAGTCAACGTCCCATGTATTTGGTTCTGTATAATTTTTTTTGATAAGTCAAATGTCCCATGTATTTGGTTCTGTATCATTTGTTGCGTTGAAATGTCCCATGTATTCGGTTCTGTACGTTTTTTGGACGTGGTTGACGGGCTTCAGCATCCTATTCAACCATATAGGATGTTCTCTGCTTATCCGATGAGTCGAAGCCTGTACATAGCCGTGAACAATACACCAATCCGCGTCCAACTTCCTTGAACCATAGTCGTAGCAGTGTCGTAGCAGTTGTAGTCGTGTCGTAGCAGCCGTAGCAGTGGTAGTGGTAGCAGTGGTAGTAGTGGGAGCAGGCTAAGTGGCGACTCGTGGCTGCGTCTTCCATCAAGCAAGCTTCCATGGTGTAGTTGGTTATCACGTCAGTCTCATATTACTAAGTATGAGGAGCAGCTCAAACTGTTCTGACATCTGAAGGTCGCCAGTTCGATCCTGGCTGGGAGCATTTCTTTTTTCTTTTTCTTTTTACTCACTTTACATACACTCTTTATATTTACGATGTTCTTGATGTTGTGTTCCGATGTTGATGTTCTCGATGTTGTGTTGATGTGGTTTAATTATTACTGTGAGCGACGTTGAAGACTGATGCTAATTACTACTGTACAGACAACTATCAAGACACAACAACTATCCAAGTCTACTCGCGTCCGTCGAGGACTTCCCACATACGCAGCTGTGCAGCGATGCCTTTCCACAGGTCAACCAACATCGTCGCTACATCGGCCGACTGCGTTCCCTCAGCCAGCTTAAACTGGACCACCGGCTGAAGCTCGCGGACGCCCGTCACATCATGCAAGAAGGAGCCAAATACCCGTCCCAGCGTACGCGGAGTGGGCAGTGTCATGCAGAACTCGCAGGGCCCTGCGCCGTGGAGGTGGAAGTACTGGTGGGCGGTCTTCCGGTCTGCGCATTCGTCTGCAGTCAGCGCGAGAAGGCCGAAGATGGCGCAGATTAACTCCAGCTGCATGTCTGTCGTCAGCGCCAGCAGGGCCATAGTGATCATTCGGACCTTCGCTGCGAGAGAAGGAACCATGTCTGGGACGTATTCCTTGCGGCCTGGGTCTCGCGATTCGTTCGCGGCCGAGAATGTCTGGTCGTGTATCTTCTCCAGGACGCTGTACAGATAGGACGAGCCCAGAATACCACCTGGCAGCTCGCAGAGGAAGTGTCTGAGGACCGAGGATATGTCCTGGACGTGGGCGTCACCTCTTGTCCGGGCGTATTTATAAACATAGCCGGACGGAAGGCGAACCGACCTCGTCGTCCTGCTGATGGTCTCCTTCACTCGCTCGGCTCTGAGGATCTGGGTTGCATAGTGGCCATACAGCGCTGAGACAACCGACTCGTCCCACGAACTGCCGTATCCGTACGGTGCAGAGGTACCTACATGGGTGAAAACTGGCTTTTAGTCTGGCGCAAAAGTGAAGTTTGTCGGCGGGCAAGGGGCTTACCATGCTGCAGCAAGAAGTGGACTGGAGCTGCAATACAGGTCGGCAGTCGAAGGACTCCGGGCCCATACTCGCGAGGAAAGGTGAGAACACTCTCTCCTCCGAGGCGAGCAAGGTCTTCGATCGGTTTCCCTTCAAGTGTGCCATATTGTACTTGGACATTTATATTTGCCATCGTCTTGATACGCCGCAACGAGTGTCTGGTGTTGTCTTTTCGTTTGACCGTGAGGTTGGACTTGACTTTACGCAGCCGGTTGAGCAGGGAGGTCTGTCGTGCGGGCGTCTCAGCCACCTCGACTGCATGGGAGTTAATATACCAGCACGTTGAAGGTTGATATAGACGGCATGCACACGCTTACCTGGCGCCGTCGAGGTTGGTATCTCCTCAGGTGTCAAAACACTCAATCCAAAATATTCAGCCGATACATTGAACCCAAGCAGTGCCCGCGATCTAATCAATTCCCTTCGCCCTTCGTTATTACCTGCAATCAGTCGCTGAGATGCCGAGTTGGAAGAGTGAATACTTCCACTCCTTCGCCCAGGTACCATATCAAACCCAGCAGACTTCGTGGGCCTGTCTCCATGATGCTCTTGGTTTCGGTTATAATAGCTACCGTCCGAGTTCTCCGTTTCGTTGCTGAAGGCCTGGGACGAGCCCCGCGGGACAAGGGCAGAGCGTGTTCCCTCCCACGATACCTTCATGGCCTTACCGTCAGAAAAGGGATTTGACTCGGCCTCAGACGGCGTTATCCTGTCTATTGTTTCGATGGGACTTGTGGCTCTCTTGGTAGGGTCGTGGTTGACCGTTATGCAGGATCTCTCGGACAGAGCTGTGTGGCTGCTTGTCTTACTCGTTGTCCCCATCCCATTATACACGCCCTCCCCAGTCGTGACGGCAAGGTTCAGCGACGTGGTGTTGCGATGCATCATAGGCCCTGCGGCGGGCTGAAGCGTCTCTCCTCCCTGCTGCGTCTGCCTGTTCGGATTACGTGGTGGAATCTTGGGAGGTGAAATGGCTGATTCCCCGACCGACTCGTCTCCCCCTGAAAGGTGAGCTTGTATTTGTTCAACCAGGTTCGCCGTGCCGGTATCCGTTAACCCAGCAGCTGGCGGTTTCGTGCTGGACGTTTCGCTTGATTGCGTGGACTCGCTCTTCTCATCGGTAGTAATGGCGGAGCGGCGGACCTTTTTTGGTGCCAATACGGCTGAATGGAAAACATCTTGAGAAGACGACGAATTAAGGCTGTCTCCTGAAGTGTTTGCCTTTCTCCGTTGCTGATGCCTCACATTTCGTTTGGATCTGCTATAGAAACTGGTCAAATAGTTGTATGCTTCCGAGAGCCCCATTTTTGGCTCTTTTTTTCGGGCGTATATGTACGATATAGCCTCGATGAGTTTGCTGATATACGATTTGCACTACTTGTTTTTACTGCTTTTATGGCCATATATTGCCTAGATGGCCCAAATAGGAAATATTTACTAAAGGGGGTGCTCCTTTCTTGCAAGGTGATTGTTGTGCTTAAGTAGGAAGGTAGTAAGTAGGCTGACTGGTAAACAAAACATGATAACCCATAAGGTGAAGAAGGAGTCTGAAAGACAGGCGAGAATATACAAAGGAATCCAATATATCCATTATGATGCTATGATGCCAACAGTATCTGGAGAAACTACCAAAAACAAATTCCAAACAGCCTCCATGATTTATTCTTCTATTCATGCATCATCAACGCCAGAAGTCTCCATTTGACCCAAAGACTTATTCGAGCCTCTCTTCCCGTTTCCAGATATTAGATGTGTGCTTTGCCGTTCTTTTGAGATTAAGGTCACATATATGCGGTTTGTTCAAGATGGAAAGGAAAATAGCGAAACACAACAAAGGGAATGTAAAAAAAATGACGTCGTTTGCAGTAATGCATAACTCCAGCCCAACGCCCACCGGCATCCCTCAAATAATAATATAATAATATTAAGAGCAAGAACAAGAAACGCCAATTTTTATGCACATGGTTTCTTTATCGTTTATCATGGCTCATCCTGCTCACCTTCTAGAAGTAGGTAATGGAGGATATCACTTAATGCAAGGACTCCTCGGAGACGAAAGTGGTCATCGACGACTACCAGGCGATGGACTCTGGATCGACGGATGGTGTCAAGGATGGTATCCAGCCCGTCTTCGACGGAACAAGTATAAATTCCAGGGAAGTCCTAGAAGCCTGTTAGCCAGTTTCTGTATGTTTCTAGATGTTTCTGGAATTCCAGAGATTAGGTACTCACTGGGGAGCGCTTCTTTAATACATCCCCTACCTCCAGATTGAGGTCGTCATATACACCTCCCTTGATCAACGTGATGACGTCAACGGCCTCGAATACGTTATATACAATGCCTTTACCACAAGATCGTTAGTGAGTCACACGCTTGCGAGAAACTGGGCTACATGGTAAGCACATACCTTCACTGTTGACGATGGGCACACTTGATATGCTCCTTTCTACCAACTTGTGGATAACATCAATAACGGGAGTGTCCATCGAGGCCGTTACGATGTCGGTGTAAGTTCCGAGATTGATCTCCTTTAATGGCTTCCGTAACTTCTGCGTTTCTGCCACGTTTACCGCGACGAATTTGAGAAGACGGTACTGGGTGAGTACGCTGACAACTAGTGGCCTTTCTGTTTGACTGTCATATGAAACCAAAGGTACTCGACGTGCCCTGGACGATAGCATGCTACGACATGCCTCGTACAGTGGACGTTCCGGACCTATAGAAATGGTTTCTGGCGGCGCTACGCCAAGTGCCCGTTCGACCTCTGCAAGGGAATAATTAGCTTCGATAGCTCGTTTTATATGGGTAATCCTGGGTCCAAGGGTATATACCTCTGAGGCTGTTTAGGCGAAACTGATCGATTTTGGCCAAAGCTTCCTGGTGTTGGAAGTAATACTGTATAACATTAATATAATCTGATGTTGTCAATATTCCGGCAAACGTAGATGTAGTAGAGTCCCAGAGAGGAGCGGAGACGATTCCTACACGTTGAGGATAGATTAGATATCGCCCATAATTAACCACTGAGGTCTGCCAAGAGGGATATGAGGGCCCGGGGAAGGCAAGGACATGGTCGAATAACGTACCATTTTGAATAAGGATGTTCAAGCTCTCTTTCACTGATAATGAGGTGTCGAATACGATGAGTCGGAAACTGAGCGGCAGCACATCATAGCTTGTGCGGACCTTTAAGAAATTTCGGATGGCACGCTACAAAGTAAAAGAGTTAAGCCGGGGAAGGAAAACGTAGAATAAATAAGCACGAATATGTTGAGTTTGCAACAGATTATATTCTTGTTATAATTTTTAAACAAGGATAGATGATGGTTTTCTTGCATCTTTGTATCTGGAGGATCGGCTGGGGTATATATAAGTCAGGTGTGCTACTGTCGTCCCACCACTTTGGGCCGGAAACGTATATATAACCCAGTACGTAGAACGGGCAGTATTCCAGCCGTGATTGGAATTTCCCCGAGATTGCAGTTGACGGGACACGAGAGCAGTCGATGGAGCGGTCGAAGCTTTGGAGCTCCTTGAATGCACGGGTGGCAAGAAAGGGGTTGGGACGGGGCAGATGGGGGAGTAACAAAGCATGAAACACGAAACACATAAAAACAGAAACATATGCTGGGCCTAAGAGCTTACCAATGCCTGTCGTTCGTCATCGTCAACAATCCTTTCCTGCTGGGTGGGGGTCGTTGGTCGCGAGTAACCTTGGGGCCGTAGATAGGAAGATGGCTGCACAAAGGGTGCCTCATGACTGCCCTTAGACCTACTATGGGTGTGCGAGCCGCTTGCATGAGAAGTAGGAGAATCGGAATGTCGTGGTGGACTAGAATATTGTCGGGATAATGAGTCTTCCATACTCATATTCTTCCGCGGACGCGGGTAACCGTTCGTTTACCAAACAAAAAAAAAAAAAGAAAAAGAAGAAGAAAAAGAAGAAGAAGAGAGAGAACGAGCTGGCCCTGCCAACTAGAAGTCTAGCATAGGCACTCTCAGTAGACCAAACAGCAGACCAATTATTCGGAAGCGGTGGTCGTGCGGGAGTGGTGTGTAGAGATATAGACCTGGGCGGCTGGTGGATGCGCTACGGTACCGATGACGATGGAGCGAAGAGGTATAGTCGGAGTCCCGATCGAAGGTAGGAAGAGAAGGGAAGCTCTATCTAGGGCCGCGGCGGCCATCCAATGAATTGATAACGCCTGGTGTCCTGGGCCTCGAGGGGAAGAAGCAGCGCGATCGATAAGCTGTTGTTGGTTGGTGGGGAGTATTTGCTGCCCTGTGGGAGCCAAGGGTTAGTTACAGGGCGTCCTGGGGGGCTAGTTCGCGACCAGCACTGGGGAATTGGAAGCTATCGCGGTCGCGCAGACGTCCAGTTGCTCAGCAGCAGGAGAGACACTGAGGATGCGCGGCAAGCAGAGTGTTTGTGATACTTGTATAGGCGAAGGCAGTCAAAATGCGAGCAAGGTCGGCGTTGCTTCGGGTTTCCCTTCCTAGCTCGGCGGGCGGCGGGCCGACGGTTGTTCCAGCCGGCTGACTCAGCCATATCTACGCAGCCAAAAAGGGGTTACAGGGAAAGGGACTGGACGATAATGAAATATAGGGAACGAGGGCTGGACGATAATGAAATATTATTGAGAAACGCCGGCTGATGTGCTCAGTGTTTAAAATACGGGTAAGAGGTATCTCAAACGGCGCGCTATCCGAAAGAACTCTACGTCTAGTTCTAGCATTGGTGCCACGACAAGCAAAAATATCAAACGCCATTTTATAAAATAAAAAAGCACCTTCAAGTCACAAAAACAAGGGCTTGATATATCGTAGACGTAGCTAGAGATCAAGCCGTGGTTGTGGCTGTGGTCTCTGGCTGGTCTTTGGCAGGATCATTGACTGCCAGGCTCTCCATTTTCTCCTGGATATCGGCAGGAGTGTCGGATGGCTGTGCGGCGTTTGTCTCTGCAAGGCTCTTTCCAGGTCCTCCCTTGAGGTAGTCCTCGTGCTCGCCAATAAACTTGCCTCCCTGGATCCATCTCTCGCGGTAGGCTTGTCTTTTCTGGGTGGCTAGGGCATTAAGGGCTGGCCAGTAGACGGAGTGGTCGTATTCAAACTCGACATCACCACCAGTCACCTTGAGGAGCTGTGAAGATGGGACATGTTGCCGCATGTCCTCGTTGAACTTCAATTTCTCCCTCGTCAACGGGTCAATGAACGGGGTGATCAGTTTGAAGAAACCAAGGATGAAAAACGACACTGCAACGGAGTCAGTCGGGGTTGTTTAGTGTATGAAAAAGGACAAGCGGCCGCGGGGAACGTACTGTTAATAACCAGGGCCCTGCCGAGACGCTCTGGATAGTGGTTTTGAAGGATGCTCAAAGTTTGCCTTCCCTGGGAAATCGTAGCGTTCTGGCCAGAGCTGGTCTCCTTGAAATTCACCAGCAATGCAAGCGATTCCTGGCCGGGCCCCATCAGATCGATAACACGCTCGATCATGAAGACCAGATGCTCGATTTGGCGGGGACTGTGTTCGGTATTCTGCTTGCTAGGGTTAAGGTATAGGCAGGGCCGGGCGTGGATGTCGTAACCGAGGATCACCTGCTTTCCGGTCTCATTCTCAACTGAGATGTACTCTGGAGTATGTTTTTTGACACCGTACTCGCGGCGCCAGACGAGAGTTGCTTGCAGGCGGGATTCTGCACTGTTGACGTTCCATTTGGTAGCACGAAGATATCGGAGCAGGCATTCCCTGGTAAGGAACATGCGCTCATCATCGCTCAGCGGCTCTACTGGCGAGTTCTTTGCGGACGTAGTCGGGATAGTGGACCATCCGCTCACCAATGCCAGAAGGCCGTCGTACTTGGATTTCTGTTCGGCGGTTAGCTCTGCCGGAGGGGGAGGCTTGCAGTGTTCAAGCGGCCCATGGAAGAGGGTTTTGATAACGCCGTCGGCAGCAGAGGACGGAAGGTTGGAGATGTCAACGGTTTTCTCCGCAGGCTCTTCTTTCGAAGGCTGGTCTTCCGTGTTCTTCTCTTCCTTTGATGTGTTATCCTCTGGCTTTATATTCTCCTTCTGCAGCTCCTGCGGGGATGCAGCTGCGGCCGTAGTAGCTTCATCGGACGCCATCCTGGTTTTCCGGAAACAGCTCAAACCGTGACACAAGACAGTAATAACAGTAGCAACTTCACGGCCTTCTTTAATCGTTGTATCCTGAGCTCTCCGTGTTCCCTCCTGTCTGTCGATGTTGATTTCTCTACCCCAAAGCTCTCCTTCTTCCCGCCAAGATTAAGTAATCCCTTTTTTTTCAGGGGAGCTGCGAACGGCAGAATCCCTCACCGCCTTTTTTGTTAAATTGAAGCGCGTTCCTAGAGAAAAAGAGACGCGTCAAGACACGCTTTCTATATGCTCAACACTACCACCATTCGTCATTTCTACGGCCTATATAGAAAGACAATTGAATAATTGACGATGGCGGAACCAGTGGATCAGCTAAATGAGCTTTTTGGAGGCCCGTTCCCTGATGGACTCCCCAAGGACGTGTTGGGAGAGCTGCTGTCCATCCTGCAGTTCCATGCCATCGACCCCCAAGAACTTTTCTATAAATGGGAGTCTTTCTGTCTGAAGATGGGTGGAGAGGAAACAGTGTTGAGTCTGGATTCCGTTCGGTCCTTCAAACGCAGCCTTCAAGATTCTATAGAAAGAGAATCGCGAGCAAAGACGCAGATGCGGGGCGCGGAGAAGAGACATATAGGAGCAGCAACACCTCGACCGGCAGCTGGTGGGAATCAGGGGATACTTGACATGTGAGTATTGTGGTCACATATTTAACTATGGACACTTTACTGACGCTTCTCAGGCTAGATGATTTTACTCCAAATACGCCCAAACGAAGCGCGAACGGTCCCACTGGCAGTTCCGTAAAACGAAAGGCATTCGACACTCCTACGAACTCAAGATTTAATAAAGGTGCGAAATTGGATTCTCCCGGGGGAGTTAAGACTCCATCGCGGGCAGTCGACGGGACCGCCAACGGAAGCTCGTAGGATATCCCAAGCTTTCCAAATTGATGAGCCACTGCAAGTTATTAACGGTTGAACAGTGTAACCCCGTTCGCCTCCCGCCAAAACAGTGGCCAGGTTATAGAGACGCTCAATCCCCATATGAACATGGCCTCCGCTCCGTTAGCACCCTATGCGGATTCCCGCATCAAATTAACCGCAAACACCGATATCAAGAAGTTTTCCTATAAGCCTATGGCCATGAAATTATCAGAGGCCTCTGAGATCCTCGATGACCGGATAGATGAATTTATGGCAATAGTCCAGAAGCATCACAAGCTAGAGGATTCTGCTTTTGGCAATGCCGCCCACCAGAGCACACGTGAGATTGTCGCTGTGGGGAGAATAGCATCAGACAGCCCAGAAGGGAGGCTGAATACTGCATCTCTTGTCCTCGAAACTTCTAGGAGGACGGGAGCAGGTCTACGGGTGCCGTTAAAAGTCGACTTGCTACAGAATATAAACTTCTTTCCTGGTCAGATTGTCGCTCTGAAGGGTATAAATGCTTCTCGTGAATATTTCACTGTTTACGAAGTATTGTCTGTCCCACTATTGCCATTGCCGGCTTCATTGCAGGCAGAAATCGAGGCCACGAATGAAAAACTCGATAGCTTTGGTGATCAGCCACTGAACTATATATTTGCAGCTGGCCCTTATACGGCAGATGACAACTTAGCCTTTGAACCGCTGAAGACTCTCTGCGAGAAGGCCGCAGAAGAGTGCGCGGATGCTCTCATATTGACTGGGCCATTTATAGATCTGGAGCATCCTCTTATTGCCTCGGGTGATTTTGACCTACCCGAGCTGAAGGGCCTAGACCCGGACACTGCTACCCTCACCACCCTTTTTAAACACTGCATTTCACGACCGTTGACCCAGCTCGCCTCGAAAGTGCCGAACATCTATATATTGCTTATCCCTTCTGTCCGAGATGCTGTTAGCAAACACGTCTCATGGCCTCAGGAAATTCTACCCAAACGAGAACTAGGGCTCCCTCCTAAACAGGCGAAAGTCGTCACAAACCCTGTTGCGGTTTCGTTAAATGAAATCATGGTGGGACTCTGCGCTTCTGATGTTTTGTATGAGTTAAGACGAGAGGAGGTGGTGGGTGGGCGGCCGAGCGAGAGTGACCTTCTAAGCCGACTGCCCAGGTATCTAATCGAACAAAGGCATTTTTCTCCAGTTTTCCCTCCAACGGCGCGGGAGAATCTACCTAAATCAGGCGTCGATGAAAGTGTACAGATCGGGTCGATGCTTGATACTAGGTTTCTCAAGCTTGGAGACTGGTGGAAAGCAAGGCCTGATATTCTAGTCACCCCTAGCGTACTGCCAGGGTTTGTCAAGGTAAAAATCTCCCCATTCTCGCTGATCTCTATGCGGACTCGGTGAATGCTAATAATGACGCTCTAGGTCGTTGAAAGTGTGTTGGTTATCAACCCTGGAAAGCTATCCAAGCGTCGAGGGCCTGGAACCTATGCCCAAGTCGCACTTCACCCGAGAAAAATCACCGAAGAGGAGCAGGATTCGAAGTTCGTCGGGCACAAAGTATTTGAAAGAGCGAGGGTTGATATTATCCGCATATAAAGGCTCAGAATTTTGATTTGCGTTGCAACTTTAGCTAGCCAGGGTATGGCGTTTCTAGGAGTGAGTTCGGGGTCTGGTTACTGGTATAGAATCTTGATGAGAACATGTAAAATATGCTTTGTTAACACAACCTGGGTATCTATTTTGCGCCATAAAGAATGATAAACGCCGACGTCCATACTTCCGACACCACGTTCATCGTAAACAAACCATCCTCTTTCTCCTCCTCGCAGTACTCCCCGGAAGCCCAGCAGTACCGCCTCTCACCCCCAACCCAACACCAGTTGTCCCTCTCACTGTAGGCCTCGACTCCCCTCTATCCCCCTGCGTCAGTCGAACACCACTCATCAACTCTTCAAGTCCCAAATCGCGCCAAGAAATCTGTCTTCTTGAATCCATGGCCCTCGTAATGCCAAACGCCGCATGCTGATCCGGTACAACATCGTCTTCGTCTTCGGGATTAACGGGCTGGAACTGGGGTGGCACGAAGATGTCCTCTATTGGTAGGAATGAAGGGATGTTGGCCGGGGATGAAGGGTCATTTATAGCGTTTTGTTGTTGCTGGTGGGCATCGGATGAATTTAAAGACGCCGATGAGAAGAGCGAGGTGTGTGGACGGTTGAAGTCTTCAAACACATCTGCTAGACGTGGATGGTGGAGGTGGAGATGTGTTGCGGAGGAGTCTTTGGACTGTGGGATATAGTTAGCCTATAAGCTGTTTGTAGGCACAGAGGGGGGAGCATATACTATACCATTATTCTTCTCCCTTTAATCTTCCTCTTATCAAGGGTTCGCCGTGAATATATTGTCGTGTTTACACCAAGAGATCGAAGTCTAGAAGTGGACCTCGGTTGTATAGAGTCAATCACGTGATGTACTACTACGCGACGAGAAACTAGATATCCTGATAGTAGAGACTTACCTCTGAAGTAAGGATTACTGTGGCATCGAAACATCACCTGGGTCTGAAGAGCCTGAGTTTCTGCTGCATGGGGTTTGCAGGCACAATGAAAGGGTAGAAATTTCTCAATCTTTGGGCAGCCAAGGCAAGAAGGGGGTTTATATAGTTATGAAGTCACCTCACTGAGTCAGGGGATATGACCATTGAGCTACTAACAAGTTAACATACAGCGTCTCTCGAGGCATCGTCGTTGGGTAAAATCTAGTAAGTAAATAGTTATGAAGAAGGTAGAGTTGCATGCTTTTGTAACGTCCCATAAACCCATATTAATTCGTTCATCATCATCATTTTCATTCCATGACGTCACGCAATTGAGGATTGTATACTTCTTGCCCTCGAAATCAACACAAATAACAGAGAGGCTGGGGAGGCTGGGGACATGTATAATATACAAAGACGGAGCAGAGCTTCTTCTCCAGCTGATCAGGGCCACGAGTCCGTGAATTTCTGAGCCCCGATTCCTCCCCTCGCGACCCTGGCCCCGCATTCTCCTTGCATATTGCGTACTCGTAAAATGTTTGCCAGTGATGGCATTTGCGAAATAAGTAACCAGCTGGGTGGGCCGGGGTAGTTTTAAGAATCAGTGCTCATTCGATGAACGACCGGCACGGCGCTGGGAGGTAAACTTCCCATCTCGGTGACTACCATGTCCACGTACTCTGCCGGGGTAAGATCGTGCATAATATTCAGGAGCTGCAGGTTAGGCATCTCGCGCCAGTTTTCCAGGGGTAATTTTGGATTTTTCAAATGTGCTGGTATCTCAATGGCCGACGACGAGGAGCCCTTGGACGTCTCAGGTTTGCTATTGGTGACTGGTGGAGGGATATCTGTAAGTTGTGTGCGTGGCTCGGCGGCGACTAGCTCGTCGGCCTCGGCAATCTCGTTGACCACTATACTGTCGAGTGCGACACGGTCTGTGAACTTGACTGTCTCGCAGCAGACGATGACGGGGATATTCATGCCTCCAGCCTTCTCCTTGGCCGACATCGCGACCAAGGCGGTGCCGACTCTGGAAAATAGACCGCCATTACTGGTCATGGCGTGTGCGCCGAGGAACACCTTTGTCGTATCTTTCATAGCCTGGCTGATTCCGTTGATGAGAGAATATTGAACTTTTAATCCAGCTTTGGCTAATGTTTGGGCGAGGTGTCTCCCTTCAAATAAAGGTCGGGTATCAATGATTGAAACACGGAATTTCTTCCCTAGCTTATGCGCTGTGAGCAAAGTCCTTTGGACCACACTGCTTCCTGCAAAAGTGAGAATAACGTCGCCATCATCTATCTTTTCCGCGGCGCTGTTGGCGATGACCTGGCCGGCGACAGTGACCTTCTCGCGAATGAAATTCTCGATGAACTCGTAGATTTCTTGTTTGGCTTCAGGTTCAGGAACAGACGGGTCGATGGATGATATAACTAGCTTTAGTGCACGAATCGCATTGCCCTGACTGATTGCGAGGGGTCGACAGGTCGCAAGAAAGGCGATCTGGTGGCCCAGATGAGTTGTTAGGTGTCTGGTCAAGGACGTTCCCGGGGGTGTGATATAAGACTGAACAACCTTGAGATCGCAATAGAAAATTAGTACCCGGCGCATTGAACCATGTATAAGAAGAATATTAGTGACAGACATACCCTCTTGAATGCCAGGAGTGTCGCAACGCATCGCGCACTGCTTCCACAGATAACGTAGTCCTTGACCTGCATCCCGAGCGAGAGAACCGCAGGATGGACATCTTTGTTTGCGCCCGCGATGCCAGTTCTCCTGGTATACCACGGCAGATGGCCAAACACAGCCACGACCTTCTCGTCAACGACCTCTCTCCTCTTCTTCTTCGACGATGTCGACTCGACCGGCGCTGGTGGGGTGGGCAATGTGTGCACCGATCCACGCCTCTGTATCGACGACTTGCTCGGCGTCTTCACAGACTCCTGCTTAGCAGCAGCAGTCTTCTTCGGAGTCGGCGGGGTCTGCGGAGTAGTGGCAGCGGTAGAGCTCGCTTCATGGTCTTCAGTCGCTGGGCGAGGACGTTCCTGTTTGTCCTTTGCGCGCCTCGAGGCCTTTTCAGCCTTTGCTCTCTTCTTCAGTTCGGCGCCAGATAGTTTTTCTGCGCTGCCCGGGGTGACAGGCTTCTCCTTTGCCTGTTTCTGAGCACTGGCTGGCTTCGGGGTGGTTGCTGGCGCTGTCTCGACTGGCGGAGTAGGCGCACTTAGCGGCGTCGTAGTGGGCTGGTCTTGGGCTGGAGCACTTGTTTTGTCCTGCGGCGTTGCCATTGTAGCTGTTTCTGATACGGAGATGGCAGGCTGCTCGCTGTCGAAGTCATTGGCAGTGGCTGTAGTTGTCGTTGTCGTTGTTGTAGATATCGTCGTGGTTGTGGTTGTGGGATGCGAGAGAGAAGGTTGAGTCATGGGCCAGAGAGTCTGCCAGGCACGCTGCAGCCAAGATGGCCACCAGATGCGCTGGAGATATCTATACCATCCAAGGCCTTCTCTCATCTGCTGCTATACTGATGATGGTGCTGTTATACTCTGTTACTGATGCTGCTGGTATGAGTGTTAGAACCGAGGCAATAAGAATTCAATATTAATATAGTCGGCTTGCAGCCTTGTCATTTATTCATTCACGCTATCTTGCCAATCCCACCAGACAAAGGGAATAAGAAAAGAGAAGGACGATGTCCAGCAAACAAATGCACGACGCCTCCAGCCCGCGGCCTGAAACACCACCACTGTTATAACCAAAAAACCGCAAGCCCCCCTAGGAAAGGATCGTGTCCGTCGAATTAGAAAGGTGAGTGTGGTGGTAAGAGGAGATAGAATGGTTAGCTGTTGGCTCCGAGTTCGCCTAGCACCCTCCTCCTACCGTTGTTGGGCCGTGTAGGTCTCTTCTTGACGCCGAACCGTTCACAGTCATCGGCCAGCTTCCTCTTGAACAGGTTCAGGTCCGATAGGAGGTCTTCCATCTCGGCGTGGACTTCGAGGGCTTCAAGGTCGAAGCGGTTGAGGCCGACCTGGTTCTCGCCATCCAATATCTGATCGTCGTGGTGGCCTGGAGGCGCCGTGTTCTCCTTCTCTGCGTCTTCCTCTAGTATCTCGATACTACCTTCGTCTTTCTCGGGGATAGAGAGCACGCTACTCTGCCTGTTTCGCTGCTTGACAACCTGTACCGGAGGTATGGGGTTCTTCAAACTTTCCAGTGCGAGCTTCAGATGCAGACGGAGAGCCTCGTTCTCGGTTTGAAGCTGCCGGATCTTGGTCTCGCTGACCATTTTCGTTTCTTCCATCAACTGCTGCATCTTGGTGACCTGTTTCTGGTATTCCTCTAGTTTCTCCGTCTGCATCTCGGACTCGCGCTTGGTGACTGCCTGCTGGCTTACGCTGAGCTGTAGTGTGCGGATAATCTCAGCCATCTCTGCAATCTCGGCATCTCTCTGGGCGGCAGATATGTGGTCCTGGTTGACAACTGCACGAGTACGGATCCGTTTCGCCTGATTGGCATATCGAAGCGTCGACAAGGTCTCGTCATAGTCTGCGGGTGCAATACAAGCTATCATAGCAGTCTTTGAATTGCCACCTAAACTGTCCTTTAACAGCCAGGTCAGGATAGAGTCTCGGTACGGGACAACGTCTTTAGTCTTGCGCCCGGTTTGGCGTCCTTGTTTTGAGTCTGCCAAAGATGCAATCACACGGCCCAAAGTAGTCAGCGACTTGTTAATGTTCGAACCCTCACGCAACCTCTTCCCCGTTGCTTCAGTAGATTTGGCGCGTTCAGAACCGGCCAGATCTACTAGCCGGATACGGGCGACTCTCTCTGTGGTTTCATCGGAGGACAGGTCATGGTGAATCTGCTTGAGCATAATGGTAAATACGGCATGCGACCTAGAGCTGGTGTCGTTCATTTTCGTGCTGGCAATTGTCCGGGAGGCGTCTCCTTTCCGCATATAACGCATGATCTCAGCGATATTCCGAACTGGTACGTCTGTTAGATCCTTCACATATGGGCCATCTGTTGGCGACTCTCGGATTTTGAGGTAGTAGGGGGGGTCTGTCCGGGGGACTAGCAGATCGCGGACATGCTCGTTGTACACTTCGAAGTAGGAAACGCGGACATTATACGTAATATCTGGGGACTCCGAGTTCTCAATACGCTGGAACAAATCTTCGCAAGTCCGAGGTATCAATCCAGGTTGTTCAGGAGTCCCCATCATAGTGTAACTCTTCCCTGATCCTGTCTGTCCATATGCAAAGATACATGTATGGTATCCTTCAAAGTTGTGGTCCAAAAACTCCTCACCCAGACAGTTATATACGTCCTCCTGCTCAGCATAGTGTGGATCAGCCCTATCGTGCGACCAGAACGAGTTGTCAAACGTAAAACTTTTATCTTCAACCGCTTTACTCCTGCTCTGCGCTCTCGCGCTCGGAGAGTCATAGGCGCTGGTTGACGATGGCGCGGACAGGGTAGTCGACTGTGTCTGGGGGTTCATTGACACCAGACATTCTGTTCCGCGGCTTATCTCTATAATCACAATGTCAGAATCCAGCTCGCGCGAACCCACGGCCAGGAGGAGGGGCCCAAACCTCTCGGCAAAAACGCTCGAACTCGCACAACGACCTTCACGTTTCCTCCGCTATTAATTGGCATTTCTGCCTTGGTCACAGGCGCCATGACGCTTTCTCTCGATCTAAACGACGGTGTGGACGCGGTCGATCGTAATATGGCTGAGGATGCGGACGTGAACGATGCCATGCTCGGTGGGGCACCGCCGTTCGTACCAGGGTAATAATATTGGCCAGACGGAGACTCGACGGGAGGTGTGCAGACTCGTCCCTGAGACGCGAAATGATCAGGCTGCCCTCCGATGTTGTTGTAGAATCGTGGATCCAGGGCCATTTTCCTACTGTCGGACTTTAACATTTGGGCAAATTCGGAGAGAGTGTCTTGAAGTCGTGAAATGTGATTATGAAACATGTGAAAGAGAGTAGAGAGAGAGAAAAGAATGAGAGAGAGATGTGTATGGCGTTGGACGAGGAGCGTCCCTCGCTGTCTTGTGTTGATAATATAAATATGACGGTTTACCTTTCTTTGGGTCAAGGGCTCAGAGAGACAATCTCATTATAAAAATGGGAAAACACCGGGGATCCAAGACAGGTATCGATGGGATAAGTATGCCTGTAACTGCTTCACGGGTCTCTATAGCATCAGATGTTAGCCCCTTGAATCTTGCGACAGAGGTTCCCTGTATAATTGGGTAAACCGTCGCTGTTTCTTTGTTTACGCGGGGGAGAACATGGGAACTCACGACTCGGGGTGGATTGCACAGTGTAGGGGACAGCTCGGCCTGTCGCAGCTGGCTTGAGAGAGCTCTACGGCAGCTCTTAATCGTACGGGCGGTTTCGACGATGTTGATTATTCCGATCGTACGGAGTATCTAGTTCGCGATTTGCTTACTCGCGATAAGATCTCGTTGCCGGGGTGATGGTCACGTGGAGTACCTGAGGACATGAAGACGGGCAGACAGACAAGAGAAGACAAGATGAACAAGAGACAAGAGAGAAGACAAGAGACAAGATGAGAAGATGAACAAGATGAAGACAAAAGACAAGAGAAGAGACAAGAGACAAGAGAAGAGACAAGAGACAAGAGAAGAGACAAGAGACAAGATGAGAACAAGATGCGAAGACAAGAGACAAGATGAGAAGATGAACAAGATGAGAAGATAGAGATAGATGATAGAGATGACAGTATAAGTACATCTAGCCTTGAACTGGCTGGAGATCTTTGGCTATACTCAAGGCTAGGTTCTTCCTACAGAAGATTCAACTCATACTGACTCCTCTAGCTCCCAGATATTCGGCCTTACGCTAGATCACTTGCTTCTACGCAGATAATGAGTGTTTGCATGGGTCAGGGCCTATAGAAGAGGCCGGCAATGTTCAACATGCCATGTCCAACCAAGACCATGCTTACGGTGATTGATCTAGATACTCACACGTCTATGTCAACGTCTAGATGTCCATATCGCAGGCTGAGTTGCATTCTGTATGAGAGTTACAACCTGGTGGGCAGTGATTGGCCGATATCGAAGGATCTATGCCTGATCTTGGCGTCGTTTCGGATGTTTACGATGCTGCGCAGTTTGAGGCTGCCCCTCAGCTAGTTTGGCCTCATTATTCAGCCCCTCGACAACGATGGATCCGTTCTCGATATCGCTCGGCGTCATCACTCTTGTGGGCTTTGTTGCATCTACAATCAAGGTTACCTCGAGCTATCTGTCGAGTGCAAAGGACAGGACGAGTTCCATCGCTACGCTGCTCGCCGAACTCGAGGCTTTGAAATCGAACCTGCTAGGCCTGGACAAGCTGCTTCAGAGCAAAACAAGCAAGGGCTTGGTGTTTGAGCAAACTTCGGCACTTCAGTCCTGTATATCGTCCTGTGAGGTCAAACTCAAGGCCCTGTGCAAGAAACTGGGTCAAGAGGGCGAAAGAAGGCGGAGTCGATTACTATGGCCACTTAGCGAGAAGGAGTACCAGAAAGCGATTCAAGACCTGAGGACTTTTTCGCAGTGGATACAGTTTGCACTGTCGGTTGATGGACTATCACTCCTGTCTCGCACTTCCGATGGCGTTCTGAGTGTCCTAGAAAAGCAGACGGAAAGCTTTAGGGTGTTAAAGGGACTAGAGGAAAAGACTCTACACTTACAGGATGCAATCGAGGATCAATCACGCCTACTTCAAGATGACCGCAGTAACAGAAAGCGCAAGGAGATCCTCAACTGGATTTCAAACTTAGGCCACGCCCAGAAGCATGCTAATCTGCGCTCTCCCCGCGTTGATGGCACGGGAGGCTGGTTTCTGGAAAAGCCAGAGTATATACAATGGCGAGACGACACCTCCAGCTCCAATGTTCTTTGGTGCCACGGCGTTCAGGGATCCGGGAAAACAATCCTAACGTAAGGAGCATATATATATATATATATATAATCTTTTTGTATTCTGCATATGCTGATAGTTCAAAGCACAATCGTTATTGATGAGATTATGAGCTCGGTTATGGACTACGAAGTAGTGGCATTCCATTACTTTGACTACCAAGATCGGGACTTTCAGTCGCCTACCAGCGTATTATCCAGTGTCCTGAGACAGATACTCACCATGCTGCCAACTATACCACAATGTGTGACGGATGCATATAACAAACTAGGAAGGGCTTCCTCATCCATACCACTGCACGAGCTCGAAAAAATGTTACTTAGTATCACTCAAGACATCCGGCGCGCCTACATTATTATTGATGCTCTTGACGAGTGCGTGGAGGCCGCTAACCGGAAACCATTACTCTTGTTCCTGGATCAGCTATCAAAGCATAATCAGGCCGTCCGGCTGTTCGTGACTAGTCGGCCATATCCTCGCGATATACATACTGCGTTTCAAGCGCAACGGCAGATCCTCGTCCAGGCCCACGAATCCGACCTCAGGCGGTACCTCTATCGAGAGATTGACCATGCCGACGTCCAGGACATCGTAAACCATAAATTCGCCAGTAAGATCGTTGGCACTCTTATTGACAAGGCGGAGGGCATGTAAGTTAAACCCAAGCTATGACACAGGTCAAAGGAGATTGGTATTTTTTTTCCTTCTTGACGTTAATGCTTAATGTATATAGGTTTCTGCTTCCAGTTCTTCAGATCCGGACGATTCTGGCCCAGCCTACTGCCGGTGACATCGAAGATGCACTGTCTTCTCTGTCCCAAACACTTCCAGGAGCCTTTGAAGAGACCATCGCTCGCATCAAAAGGCTTCCGGAAAGCCAAAAGCGACTTGGCATGAGCATTCTCATGTGGATCTGTCATGCTAGGCGGGAAATTACTGTACCTGAATTGAGTAATGCCTTGTCTGTTAGAGTTGGTCAAAGGGCGATGAATACGATGTACAGCCCTTCACCCAGGGTAATGGAAACATGCTGCCAAGGTCTGGTGGTTATTGACTTCCGGACTATGGCCATCCGCCTTGCTCACTATTCAATACAAGAGTACTTGGTCGGGTGTAGCGATCAACTTTTCCTCCATGCAGAGGCAAGTCTGGCATCAATTTGTCTTACATACCTGCTCTTTGATACGTTCAGGGAAGGTCCGTTGCCTGATGGAAGTGGAATTAATCTTCGAATGGAGACATATCCTTTTCTTTCGTACGCCGCAACATACTGGGGCGTTCACGCACAACGATCTGAAAACTCTTCATCCGTGCAGCATTTGATATCGGAATTCTTTTCATCCAGGGATGCGGTAGCATGCGCAAATCAGGTCATGCAATATGCCAGATTTTACCGCAAGCTGTACTGGGAACCTGCCGAGTGTTATAGCACTACTCCCTTGCACGTCGTCAGCCACTTTGGCCTCGAAAAGACGCTCCATAAACTGCTCGATCAAGGAGATGTTGTTATCGACGAACCTACAAAGGCGGGTACGACGGCACTTATTAAAGCAGCGTCCACGGGCCATGTGTTAATAGTCAGGGAGCTCTTGCTAAGGGGTGCTGATCCCTATGTGATGAACTGGTTTGGAAATGCCCTTCATTGTGCTGCTGAGGCTGGCCAGGCGCGTGTTATAGACGAGCTTATATACCACGGCATGGATCCAGACGGCGATGGACTCGACGGCCACACGCCTATTGCCTGCACACTCCATAATGACCGCGCTGCTGCGTTTGAAACGCTCGTCAGCCACGGTGCTAAAATCCTTCCCGACGAAGATGATGAAGGTGGCTTGTCTATTTTCCATAGGGCGATCTTGGATGACTGCGTCGATATCGTCTATTCGATTTTAGACCGGAAATGGGTAGACCCTAACAGCAGGTCCAGCAATGGCCAAACCGCGATGCACTACGCTGTAGATATGCATAATACCACTATTCTGCGGAAACTTATTAAAGCTGGAGCGGATATCAACGCTCGAGATAATACAGGGAAACGACCGTTAGACTACGCAAGGCAGAATGGGGACGAAGATATCATACGCTTGCTATTGGAGCGCGGGGCTAAAGGTTCAGCAAGGCATTTGACGGATACTGTGAGTGAAGGAGGCTCTAAAGGGCAGATGAATTTAGTAGATATGAGCCGATTGGCCCTCATATCTTAGCATAGAAGCTCTTGATGAGTAGTGATTGCTTGGGCAGGCGGCTTCCTCTACGCTCTCAAGGAATATATATGAACAACATGACATATAATCGGGTTAAAAATGGACCTACTGCGTAAAAATAAATGGTAAAGCAAAAAAGATAAAGATATGTTGGGGATGAGAAAAAATCAAAAACATACGACAGTCGGGATTCGCTGGTGGTCACCCACCCAACTACTAACCGACCGGCAAGTGGCTTAAGTACAGCTGAGCGGACGGGAAGCTCTGTTTTCCACTTCCTGTGGTCGTATGTACTGGACTCTAGGAGGAGTGGGTATATAGCAGCATCGGCAATGGTACACAGGTTTATAACTCACACGGATATAAATATAAGAAATAGGAGGAATGATTCTATATAGAGGCCTCTACTTTGCGACTAATCCTTTACCCATAAGCTCCTGGCCGATTTCTTGCAGAAGGGCCTTCTCCTTCTTGAATGCATCGATCTTCGCTTTCTCAGATACAACGGTCGCAGCTTCTAGTGCCTTGCATAGCTCTACAACCTCGCCGTCCATCCGGGCATAGTGTACTAAAAGGCCTAACGATAAAAGAAGGCCATGCAAGGTCTCTGGACTCTCAGTCTCTGCCCTGATAGCCTCCAGTACCGATGCCAACAGTTCAAATTGATCGGCTTCTGGAAGGCTTTCAGCCGCTGGGGGATCATGCAGTCTTCCGTTATGGTTAGCGGCGGCGAGGTTATATATAAGTGACGTCCCCGTTGCCCGTAGATTGCTGCGGGTGTCGAGGAGAGCGCCTGTCGCGAGCTTGATGCATGCATGGCGAAGATTTTCATTGTGTGAGATCTGAGTTAGGTAAAGGTGAGATGTAAACAGGTTGCATGCAAGGTGTGTCATGACGAGCTGCTGGTTATATGGAGTATCTGTAAGGTCGTTGGCCCGGGACAAAAGGGTCAGAATGGTTCCATGGTCATGTTCTTCGGCGAAATATCCGCTGACTCTGGGATCAGAATACGCGACTCGAACGAGGTCCAAGATGGCAAAATGAGTATCTGGGGGCAGAGCCAGAAACTTTGTCTTCACAAAAACGGAGAATTGCGCAAGGTCTGGTAACGCGGGTTTTGGCTGGCCGGGTGTATTCAACACTTTAATAAAATTAGCCAATGCAACAATACTGGGGTCGCTAGAAGCCGATCCGATCTTTTGCATCAGTTTATCCAGTGGGGGAACCTTCTTGTAGGATATGTATGAATCGACATGGCGTTCTAAACTTGGAAGTTTGATGCGGGAGTGAGGATGCGGCGGCCATGCCATCTGGATTAGGAGCCGTACATTTCCTTTGAGTGTTGCTTCATTCGCTCCAGACCACTCACTCTCTCGTTTCCCTTTGAGATAAGTTATAAACGTTGGTGTTGCCCTCACTTGATAATGGGATGAAACATCATATGCTTTGCTGATATCCACCTTAATGAGCACCGCCTTATCACCAGCTTCTTCAGCAAGCTGGTCATAGGCCGGATACACAATCTTGCAGGGAGGACAGGTGGCGGAGGTAAAGAATATGACGGCACATGACGACCGTGCGGATGCAAGTAAATCTTCCACCCCTTTGAGCGTTGAAATATTATGAACCTGGCCCCTCGGAGGCTGAGGCATCATCGGGGTCTGGTGAGCTGGTGCAGAGCTCTCTGCCCTAGCTGCTGGCGGCGCAGCTCTATCGGTAGCAGTAGGCTGAACATCAGGTCCTTGGGTAGCTCCACGAAGCATGCCGTCGATGTAAGGTTTCATCATCTGCCCAAAGGGGGTATTGAGAAAGATCTCGGGAAGATTTCGGATATGCTCTGGAATCCCCTTGCCCACAAGAAATGTGGATAGGTCGTGGGTAAAATTATTGCAGTTTCGGAGAAACAAATCATAAGACTGGAAAGAGGTATAGTGTTAGATTAACGTCCACCTGAGACTATGCATATAGAGGTGTGATATGGTTGTCATACACTCTCATGATAAGTTTCAGCCAGGGATTCCATGTATTCGGCTATCACATCTATTGGGAGATCGGTACGCCCTAGCTTGATAGTCTCTATCGGTTGACCATGATGAGTTGACCCTGGAACAGCTTGTTGAATGCCTCTGCCAAAGAAGTATTCTGTTCCATCAAAGACAAGCGATGTATGATATATCGCATCTATCTGTACCCCCGTCAATGGGAGCGAGAGCTGGAAACAAAAGATCAGTTAACTGCGTCTTCTATCCCAGAGTAAAATAATCGTATGCATACATCCCGAGCAACTCCCTACATAACGGTTAGCATCCGGAAAAATAAGCGTTTGATGCCTGAGATAGTCACCCTGGACAGATCGTAAACGTAGAGTAGCACATCCATCGCGGTCCTAACTAATGCAAATTCTATAGCTCCAAGGGTCTATCGCAAACTTGTAAAGTAAAACTAAGTCAACAAGTGAAAATGGTAGTTATATCTTGGTGAATGCTCTTGATCATGTTTATACTGACATTCTGCAGGCGCCAATATAGAAGACGTCACAGGCAACAGCGGGAGTCGCGTCTAAAAGTGACCATCTGCGCCAAGCTGAGCCGCCAAACTACACATCCTCTGCGATAGAACCAGCATCATCACCTCCTTCTGGTAGAATGTAATTAAGCATGGTGAGTTTTTATAAATGTACCCTTATTCTACTATATGTACTGAGGCTAACCTGGATACTAACAGCCTCCGAAACGTCGAGGGACAGCGGCCTCATTCGGAGGACCAAAAGAAAAGAAACCGCGACTTTCCAAGCTAGCAAAAGAAAACAATATAACTAGCGAAGAGGAGGCCGAGATCAAAGAGGCCTTTCACCTCTTTGCGGTGTCTGATAATGACGAGTACCCGTCTGAGAAGGAAGGCGTTATTGCGACTCGGGATGTGCGTCGAGTACTAATGTGAGCACCCCACTGTTCAAGTGCTATACTTATATTCTGTCTGGTTGAAATGGACCTGTATCCTAACTCATATACAATATTTAGAGCCCTAGGCCTTGCGCCAAAAGACAATACCGAGCTAAAATCTATAATCTCCGCCGTTGATCCGTCCGGTGAGGGTTACGTGATATATGAGCATTTCCTTTCTATTGCAGCATTGAAACTACACAACCGGACTGAAGACTCGATATCCGCGGAGGTTGAACATGCGTATGGTTTATTCACCCATGGCTCGGAGGGTCCTATACTTATCTCACATTTGAGGGCGGTTGCGAAGAGTCTAAAGGAAGACGTGAGTGAAGATTTGCTGAAGGACATGATACGTGAAGCAAATGGCGGGGAAGGTATACAGGCTGGCGTCAATATTGAGCAGTTTAAAGATGTCATGAGCAGAGCTGGCGTGTTTTGATCTATGACTATAGGAACTGATTTTGGAATGGATTGGCGTTTGGGGGAGATTTTCAAACAGCACACACCGCATGCGATTAGTTAAACGGAGGTAGCAATGGCGTTGAGGTACGGAGTATACAGTGGGAGAATTCTGAGATACTCTTACACGTTCAAAAAAGGCACAATGACATTCGATTCGCAACTAAAAGTCGGTGGCGACTTGAAGAGAAATGTATATACTTTGAACGAGGAGAACTCCGCACCTAAACCGCCCATATCGGCGGTTTCTTGAAAGCAATGCAAAGAGCACATAATATACAAGTGAACGCCATGCTAGAGCCTAAAATCCCGTAACCAGAAAAATGCCCTACTACCGCAGCAACACAAAAGAATGAATTGACCAACGCCATTGTCATGACAGATCGTGGGTATCATTATGTTAAAAGAAAGGCCTAGGTTGACCCTAGAGCAAGCAGCATCTTGCCAGAAGGGAGGAGGCAGCAGTGACGGAATTAGCAACTATAGTGCTCTGATTAACGGAGACATGGACGAGGTATTTGGATTCTCGTGTGGGTCAAGGTTCTGGTTCTGATTCTGAGGATTCGCTGTTCTCATGGCGGAGGCTAACTGCTGAGCACTGCTCGCGATTGACGGTTCTTCGTTGGCAGAAGATGGGTTAGTGTCTTCAGAAGAGCTCGAGGTATGAGACGACATGGAATCCGTATTAGGCCTCTTTGACCAAACCGGGCCCTCCGCTTGCGCATTTGGCGCATTGTCGGCGTTCCTGACTATCTTAGTAGCCCCATCTGAATTGTGCTGTATCTCTTCGAGTGGAATTCCATTTTCAGCGAATGGGGCAACACTGAGCTGGGCCTGGCTGATTGCACCAGTAACTGCTGGCAATGGATCTATTAGTTCGTAGTAGAGCATGAATACTCCGCCTTGAGCTAGCACACTTCGCTCGCTGACCAGGCTGACATCCTCGTCGCTCAATCTGAACCAATGCTCTTTCTTCTCCTTGCCTCCGTCAGCTTCAAGAACGGCCTGGGGAACTTCTATGGGGAATGCATCCACAGAATATTTCCGATAGCAGATGTAATGGCCATTTTCATGGCGTCCGTAATGTGTAATGGCGGCTTGTAGCTCATATCTTCTGTTAAGGCTGTTTATTTCGCTCTCTGGGCGAGGAAGCATTGATTCGGACGGGTCTACACCCCATGTCTCAATGGTATCCTTCGAATCTCCCGTTGGCATAGTGCCTAAGCACCACTCATCCAGATCCAAGGATTTCGGAAACCTCACATCAGCATAGTTTTTCCTTAGTGCTCCCGTCACCTCATCAAAAACACTGCGATTAACATGAATGATCAAAGATTTCGGTGGTCTTGCAATCACTGCTTGCTTCGATTTGGTAGACGCGACATGATTGCGAGGGGAAATGTGGCATTTTTCCTTCAACGTCTTTTCGCTGAAATCTTCAGCCTGGAGCGATTCTTGAACTGCGCTCAGCCTAGCTTCAGCGTTTCTCCTCAAGGCTTCATTGAGCTTGGTTGAGTCTGTTTCATCTGTGGACTCTTCAACTGGGTCTAGTTTGACGAGCAACTGTTCAAGCTGGGTCTGGGTCCGCTGTAACGTACATTTGGCGCATTCTACGCCCTCGATGGATTCTAGACTGGTGTATTCGTCAAGGCACTCCCTAATATCGTATTCCCAATTCTTACCCAGGGTAACTGTAAGACAGTTAAACGGGATAAGTGAGAGACCTTCGGTCCAGCCACATTCCATGCACCCCACCCTCTGGGCTAGTGATCCTTCCAGCGGACTGCAATAAGGCAGGCTATTTCTATCAGTATCCGGCTCACTTGTAGCCTGTTTTTCCTCGCTGGTCTCTGGTGGAGTTGAAGGAGTGACTTCACGGCGGAGACTGGGCTGCGGGATCAGCTTGAGACCCATGTCACTAGTAACTCCTTTAGAGGCCTCGTGTATCTCCTTATCTATTTGGTCCGCTATTATGGAAAAATATTCCTGCGCATCCTGCTGCTGCCAGCTGCACATAGACTTGAGCTCCGCAGGTAACCATAGCTTCTGTCCAGCATTTTCGGGATCATTAAGCTTGTCGATGATCACCCTCAGTGCGATATGTGTAGAGAGGAAATGGCGGTGCCCCAGGTTTTGTATGTTTGACCCTAAGAATTCCCGGAGCGAACGGAGGGAGGCGAGGCCCTGTATTATGGAGTTTTGATAGCAGGAGTTGTCCCAGTTCCCAAGTCCCGGCGGGTGAACCTCGTTCGAGCCTAGCAGTACGCTGCTCAGGCTTGAATACGCCCTTGATCGAGGAAACGCGGGGAGGATGGAGTTTGCGCCGCAGCCAATTATTCTCTGCATTGCCTCGCTCTTCTCACGCAAGCTCCTGTACCCGGACGAAGCTGTCTCTCCGGCAGTCGAAGTATTCTGCGCTCTTTCCTTATCTAGTGCTGCAACAAGTCGTGACGGGGTGAGATAGACGATTATCTTCCAGAAGAACCGAGGGACCGTGAAGGGCGAGAGACCAAAGGTATAGAGTAGGAAATAGATGGAGGCCAGAGACACGAGTGCGTACACTATAGAGGACCTATCGCTCGGGTGTCTGGAAAGAGGATCATGGTGGTTTCCGCGTATACTGGATCGCTGCTTGGGAGGGTAGTGGTAACCCGGGTAGGAGTTCATATTTCACAGACCGGCCAGCTTGGATGCGCGAAGGTGCATGTAGGGTTATCACGCAGATGCACAGGTGTGACTGTCGTTAGCCGGCATATCTAGACGTTTCAGGCAGTGTCCAGAGTCCTCCATGGAGCATCTTCCGCAGAGGTCGGAGTTGATGTTGTCTGATAGTTGCTTCGTTTTAACTTGACCCGGCAGAAGGCGCACATGGAAACTTCATCTCTGGTGCTTCTGCCCAGCCGGACTATATATGTATTTTTTTTTTATTTCTTACTCCCGCACAACGTCGATATCAGCTTGAATATCAAAACAAAAGGCCAGAGGAATACACTAAGTAACCAGTAGCCATGGCGAAGACACCTAAATTAAAATCCAATTCCAAATGTAGGTCGTCCCAGCTTCCCCCGTTATCGCACACAGCAACTAATTGGCCCCTCTATAGCAAAGTCGAACCATTCTAGAGCAGCAAGACGAGAAGTCTCGCCGTCTGTAAATGTCGACAAGTCCTTGACCTCGCTTCCGAGGGCAGAGCGAACTAGCACGTCGGTCCCAGCTGTTCTCGGGGCACAGCACAACTCCGGAATATCGAAGAAAGGCAAGAAACAGAAATCAAGGGCCCAACGGCTACGTCACGAGAAAGGCTTAGAACGCGCGGAAGTGGTTCTCGACAAGAGAGAGAAAAAGATTACTAGGAGTGTCCGAAAAATAACTGGAGTAAAGGCTCGAAAGGTGAGGACACCTGAAGCTGGTGATTATGGGGATCTATATAATGGAGGATTCACTAACCCTGTAACAGGCAACCTGGGATGAACTAAACAAAAAGATAACCCGTGCGCCGGAAAAGGATAACGCAGGAATTAAAGATGTTGATACCTTGGACACAAACGAAATGGAGACTGAGATAACTCGTCCCACACCCCAGTCCGCAAACAGCGCTGTGCAGGTTCCGACAATACAAGACGAACAGGTCGGAGTCGAGCTCGACGAAGATATCACTTAAAAGTCTGTCAGGATAGACGATGTGTGTTTTCTATGCCTCATTTCCTTGGTCTCAGTTGGTTGATCATGCGGTCAATTTCCAGTACCGCATTGCCAGAGGTGCGAGTCCTAAGATTCTCGAGGGCCTTCAAGTCCTTTGCTTTCAGAGCTTCTTCGCCTGCCCTGGCCGCCATTCCGCATTTCATCCACATGTCGATTCGTTCAGCAACTGTCAACGACGCGCACTTGGGGATAAACATGGATGCAAGCTTAGTGTTTCCTGCTCCGAGAATTTCGTTGTAAAAGGGCTGTTATGTTTTAATTAGCCATTGGCCGGGACAGGATAAAAAAGGGAGCCCTGGGAATAATATGCTTACCTCCCACCCGATCGGCGACTTCTTGGTCTTGCTCAGGTCCTCTAATTCGCCCCAATCTCTCTTCGCCACGAGACCTCTCAGTCGTAACCACCAATAGGTCTTTTCTGGCACTTTGAAGTCGTTCTGGATTTTGATGGCACGCTTGCCATAACCAGACCGAATCAGTCTGTAGATAGTTTCATTAACACTCAAACCCATGAACAAGTCATTACTATCTGTAAGGTCCTTGTCTAGCCCGTCTTGGACTTTCAGGAGATATGCTGCATCGTTGAGTGTTTTAAGTTGTGCCTGAATAACTGCGTCTTTCGAGTCGGACAGTAGCCGCGCGGCAACACGTAGTTTATCGGTTTTACCATGGAGATCAGTCTGATTCAAGGCATCTCTTAAATGAATGTTTGACCCATCGGTCGCTCTGTCATCCTGGTAGTATAGATCTTTCAAAAGCTCTTCGTCTTGGTACCTCGCGGATGCCTCCACTAATGCTGATGCGACTGGTCGGTTGCTCAAAGTCCTGAAGAAGGTGGCAAGTGGTAGCTTCCGCTTGAGCTGTAGAAGTACAAATAAGATAAGGTCGGTGTCTCCGCTCTCGGTCGCCTTGTCCAAAGCGACACTATCTTCCTCCATGCTAAGAAGCAGAGGGACCTGTTTGCCCGCACGCGGTTCAAAGTTTAACAGCTGAGTTGCTAGGTGCGACCGGCCTTCGTCGTGAGCTGCTCGTGCAATGGATTCGAAAGAAATTCCTTGCTTTCCTTGAAGCCGTTGTACAACTAGCTGGCAAATCGTATCGTCATCTTCCGTGGATGTTCTGACTTTCTGGATTGCCCATTGGACGAAGACCTTGTCGGCAGGGATATGGAGGTATTCAGAAATGCGTATAGCGAGAAGGCACTCATGGCGATTTATTAGGCGTTCGATGAGCCTTTCGGGAGTAAGTCGTATATACTGTTCATATGACATTGGTAGGCCAACCTTATAATCACGGACAGCATTAAGTACGCGGAGCTTTTCGCACATATCGACAAACTCGTCGCTATTATAAAGCTCGAGGATGGATTTTCCAAAGGATGCTGCTTTGAGAAGCTGCTTTTGCCAATAGGCGTTGAACTCGTATCCAGCCGCTCTGACACAGGTATCTACTGCGTCAACCAGATTGGAGCGAATTCTTTGGATATTCTCATCAGCAGCTGGGGATTTCTTTTCAAGCTGCTCAACAGCATCGAGTAGAACGGATGCCGGTGCGCTTGATCCAAGCCTGAAAACCTCCTCCGTTACATCTAATCCACGTCAGTATAGGAAAATTGGCCGAAGTAAGGGATTGGCTACATACCGCGGACCTTGTGCAGAAACTCGCAGACATCATTCGTTAATATCCTGATCCCATCAATATCAGGTATAATATGGACCTGGCCTTCATAAAAATATCTTCAAATATTGTTCATTAGACGTGTTTGTAAAATAATCTGGAGGTAGTGGCCATACCTTGCTGCTGCGCCATTTGGTCCAACCATGTGGACTTCATCTTCCCAGGCAAGGACGACGGCATCGTTGCCGCACCATGTCACAGAGCTAGGAGGAGTCTTTGCTTTCGAGTCGTACTCACTGAACTTGTTTTGGAAATCACTGCTCACCACCCATACCTTTCCATCTCCGGTGAATAAGGCAACAAAAAGTCCGTTCGGTGATACGCTAACATGTTTGAAAGGCCCATTCTGTAGCATGCGATCCTCGGAATCGGCAGCATCCACAACGTATATAGTCTTGTCTATGGCTAGTAAGACTTCAACTGAGCGCGACAAGGTGTACCTAGGCGGAATCAACGACCATGAATTGATCTCACCCTCGGGTGACGGGGCGAGCAATTTCGGACGAGGCTCATCATAGTGAGACACCGCAACAAGTTGGTTATTGGACAATAAAGCAACGAATCCAGTTGACCAAAAGCGGCATCCAACCACGCCATACTCTTCTGCAGCCTGTGTATCAGGGTTAGCCATATTACCCCTAGTGAAATATGGAATATACAGCTACCTACCGATCCTAATGAAAATGGCGTAAAGTCTCCGCTGAGGCCATAATAGCAGCGGACGGTACCATCCTCAGTAACGGCCAGCAGTTTCTCGTCCTCAGACCATCCTAGGCCACGGATAGATCCATGATCCCACTGCAAACGGCATCTCGGTCAGCTTCGCCGTAGAAATCAGCCATATCACAGAAATAACGTACATTTACGCGACATATCCGCTGTCCGGAACATGAATAGATGTCAATGCTTGACTTGGAAGTCTGCGCGCCTCTGTAGCGCTGTAGTTTCCGTTCGTCGCGATAAAGGGCTGTTTATGGCGTCAGAACGTGATCCATTCAGCTCGACAGAACGGAGTACTTGGAGATATCTACCTATTGCACCGCCATAGGGTGCGCCTACAGCGACATAATTCTCCAGCTCCACGTCTTCATCGAACACAGCGTCATAGATTCGGGACTTTCTATAGAACTGGTCTCCAACTTTTTCCCAGTCAGCGAGAGGGTTCGGTGGTGTCATTGCCAGCCGCCTTCATAGCTCAAGACGAGCCTTCAGGTTGGTAGATGGAGATGTAGCAGTCCGGCGACTCCTAGTCAGACAATATATCCTTCATAGCCTTGAGGTTCTCCTTTGAAGTCGTTGGGATATTTTACTAGCGGTATCAACCTTACGCCGGTGAATCAATATGAAATTTTGGTGCAAGTTGTTGATATCACGTGACAGTAACTACGCTGATGGGCTTCGATATACAAAGTAGAAGCCAGCGGAGGCCTTTTTTTTTTTATCAAAAAGCCGATCTTGGGGCAGCAAATATACATTTTTGGGATATAATGGGCACCCGTGCGGATATTATCAGTAAACTTGAAGACTTGACAGATCTCGAGTTTGCCGTCCTCCTTTGCCTCCTTGCTAAAGAACATTGCTTGATTGACACTTCACTTGATACGTTGGATGACCTTGCTAATGAGCTTGTATTGGTAGGGCCTCTGTCTAGTCCTGTGTGTAGTCAACAAGCTTATGGATGTTATTAGATATCCCGGGAGATATTTGGCTTATCGAGCGTCATCATTAACTGCACCCCTGATACGTCCGTGGATGAGTTCTTTAACGCAATCCTGCAAGATGGCAAGCAGGAAATACAACCACATATCTCCCAGACAGAAGGCGATATAGCTGGAGTAAGTCTTTGGCAGGAGTTGCTACTAACCCCCAACAGCCTGGTTAAGGTGGCCATATTCGTATTTCACCTTTTGTACCCACATCTTCACTGTCTCCCCCTGATATATGTCCCCCCGTTGACCAGGAATACCCTAGAGAGGACGTATATTTGAACCAGCCCGATTTATTTAGCTAACAATGAGATAGCATACCGATGCTCGGCGTCGTGGCGGTGGAGACGCGTTGGAATGGTCTAAGCCAGGCATGAGCAACGCTGATGGTTACGAGGTTGTCAACATAATTATCGCAAAACACTTCGATCGAATCTCTCAAAACGTCCAAATACAAACCCTAGAGGTATTTTTTTTATATTTTACCATCCCCGATTCCTTGCTCCGCTCTATACTAATTTTATTACCACTGTAGATATTACGCTCTAGACGAGTCTATACCAACACAGCAACGTACAAGGCTCCCAAGGATTTCATTTTTATACCCCTTCTTTCTTCTAGTGCAAGAGAACTCTCTTCTCGGCTGAATAATCACCTAGTACGTTTCCCTATCTTCAATATACCAGCATGTTACTTACATCCCTAGAATGAACATATATCTATTTCACACTACCATGATCCATCTATCGGCCTTGCTAATCTGGAAGGCGATGGCACTTCTATGGTTGATGATGGAGGCTCTCTATCATCAGTTATACGAAATATTCCACTGCAACCGCCTTTCGCCGATAAAACTGAAACTCCACTAGTTCTTGAAGAGGTATGCTTAACAATTTTCCGGGGTTATCATCCAGACCAGCCTAACTCGCTGGGAATATAGAATATTGACTTCCTAAGAAAACTATCACACGATGTGACTGTATCCACCGAAGTCTATTGCTATCTTGAAAACATTATCAATTTTTTGAGGTTCAACAGAGCGGTTTTTGCTGGAATAACCGCTCCTGCTACACGCCAATTTCACAAGCTGGTGAAGTATGCAAATTCACCTTTTTAATCTCTACTCTTAGGTACTTACAATTATGCTAGATGTCTTGCACCTTTACACGGAGTTGACTATGTCCCGCCATCCCTAGTCGCTTTAGCAGCAAAGAAAGTCTATCGCCACCGCATCTCGATTGCAAGACCACAGGACGATCGCAGTATGATGTATGGCAGCGACCTCAATGCTATAAAGGCCATTCTGTCAGACGCGACCCCGGAAAGTATTATCGAAGACGTGTTGGCAGAAGTTGAGGCACCTTTGTGAATTGTTGACGCCATTGATTCTATCACACTCTGGCACCACAACTACTTGCTATACCTACCTTTGTAAGGATCCCATCCTTGCGCTGACTACGACTCCCCATTTCATTACAACTAATTATGGAAACAGCACAAGTTCCCAATTTGGAAAGAGTTATGATGGCATGTTCTTATGTCATCAGGTAAACACGGTTGCCCTCTTCACGGCGCCCATCTGCTTATAACTACTGTTTGTTTTTCGTACCCAGTTTTTTGTTATAATTATGGGCATCCATGTTTTATTCAAGTAGCAGGATACCCTCATTATTATTCAGGCGACGTGGACGACAGCACTGCACATTACCGTATTGAGGCCGGGTACTCCGGAGCAAGGGGTCACTCAGGAAACGGCCTTCTCGGAACTTTTGGATAGGTTATTGACACCTCCGGAACCTGCCAACAGATTGATAGTGGATATTATAACTTCCTCCAATGTCTCAACCCATGAAGTCTAGCCTGGGATTTAAATCCGAGGACCTTGAGTCTAGCAGAAACGCCAGTCCATCTTCTCTATTGACTAATCTGTCATCAAATCTGTGGTCGAGTGGCGGACATGTCGATGATAGAGAAGAACTGGAAGAAGCGAATGAAGATAAACCGATCGTGTTCAATGCCACCGGTGAGGCCCACCGTGCAGACCTAATTCATCTCGGCGTTGCATTGCAAGATAACAAGGGAGATCCAAAATTTTACGTACGTGTGTCTGATCATCCAGCCCTTACCGACCCCCTAAATATGAAACTATTATGCTCACGCCAGCTTGGATTCTTAGATCCCCTACTGGAGTTTTGATGAATTTATGAAAGTCCCCCCCCGAATCCCTAATACTTTAGAGGCCAGATTCAGACATCAGTCCCGACAATATTTTCTTCTAATGCACCTATGGTTTATCCAACTCGGTGATATGCATCGCAGAACTTTGCAGAACGTCCAAGCAGCGAATACATTTTGGAACTCAAAAGGGCCGAAGACCTGGGATGGAAGGTCATATGCGTACTACCAGAATTGGATACCAGACGCTATTTGGAGGGTTAAATCCGATCTAACCTGGATGTTCAATCCCGGGATAAAACGACAATCACGACCGGGTCCTGTAAAAGGAGGTGAATTTCCTTTACTCTCAGCAGGCTATAAGAAGTGCATAGAAAGACACAAGAGATTATGCAAGGAAAATCGCAAAGCGAAGATGCTTGATGCTACCTCCATGTCCACCGATACACGGCGAAAGATACAGAACCTATGTTGTCAGGTAATGCACGAATTTACGGATTGTTCTTCTCCTAAGCCTAAACCCTCCCTGGCAACAAAAGGCCGAAATGTCACCAATATAATTGATGGACTGCGTACCACCCGTCCTAGCCCAGTTACTCGGCCAAGAGGAAGAGGGGCGATAGGGCTAGTAGTGCAACGACGGCAGCCTAGTGCTTCTTATTGCTTGATTCCCTCGCGAAGGGCGCAACGTCCGAGTCTGACATTAAAACTTCGCCATGGGCATGGACAGGTTCCTGGAAAGGCTCCAGATTTGCCAATCTCAGCAAGGACCAGGAGTAAGAGCCAGACTCCCATATAAGGCTCATTGTTCACAGAACAACTACTTACTATCAGGAAGCGAGAAATGTGGCTATACTGAGAAGGAATAATGAGTGCGGAGCATTATACGGCTGTTTGTTCAATTACGGCTGATGTGTAGGCCTCATCCCGGGTATTTAATTATTATTATCACATGCGAACTAAGAATGCTTTGATGGGGTGGTAATTCAATGACTACGGATTCTCTAAGCTGGGCCGTTGTCGAGTTCAATCTTGGAGCCGAAAAAGCTGTCATTACTGTTACTAGCCAGGATTAGAAAGATGAAGTGCCAACCTTATACTCCCATTTCGTTTACATTCGTCTCTTTGCTAGACTAATCTTCCACCTAGTATGAGTACTACCTTCATATATGTTCTCTCTAGAGAGATAGGCTTTCTTCTTTCTTCCGGGACATAGAACCTCTGGCCTTGGTACTGACAAGATCTTTCCATTCTAATAACTAAATACTATAAACTCAGTCTGAATAGTAAAACAACGTAGAGGTATATACAACTAGGCGGGGAGGCGTGAAACATACAGGCTAAAATCAAGCGCTGGCCACCAATTGGGTCTGAAACAATGATGATGTATGCAAAATAGGAAACTGGGCACATTCTTAGATATGAGAGGTCTCTAAACCATGGGTATAACGAGCGTCTGACGTATGAGAAATGAACAAATTAAGTAGAGGCAAGCACCACTAGGTTCGAATAAACATCTCTCTACGAGAAACATTCCCGTTGCTAACCCCATTGCTAACCCCGTTGCTGACTCCATTGTTAGTTCCGTTATGGGTGCCATTAGTGCCATTGCGAGTCCCGTTGTGAGTACCATTGTGAGTACCATTTCTGGCACCGTTAGTCACTGTATCATCGTCATCAGCATGAGGGTCATTCAGCTTCTTCCACTCATTAAGGATGGCTTCAATTTCAACCCTTTCGTCTTCAACAATGGCATCCATCTTGATATCATTCTTGTCATAGCCAAAGGGGTCTTCGAGCTGAGAGCCAATTCCCTCAATACCGTAGAGAGTGAATATAACCAAGCAGACAATCGGTACAGCCCACCAGCCCATGTCATCTACCATGGCAAAGGGCAGAACACAGCCGAACAGAGCCAGTACTTGCTTTTGGTGGATCCTAGCCTGGATTAGAATATTGCAATTTGGACGTTTGGACGTAGGCGAGTGAGAACTTACAGGTGAGCAACGGGAATTGGGGTCAGTTTGATAGTCTCCATCTTTCCGTATGCATCAATCATCGCGCTGATCTGGTTACCCATCTGGTTGGCACTGGGAGGATCGTACCAGCCTCTCTTAACACCACGATGGATGAAGGCCTCGATGGGAAAGGTCAATTGAAGCGGCAACCCCAGTCCATCAGCCTCGTGTGCTTGAAATCCAGCGGGCAACAAGCTAAGGAACTCCTGCTTGGGGCCTCCAGACTCTTCCCTGTGGACGACCTCTGCTATCATGTTCGGGTTCGAGATGGAACCCCATTCTGTGCTCCATTCGGCACGCAGATAGCACTTGACGGCGTAAGGGAAGGCAACAAGTAGACGTATCGTCCTTTCGATATCCTGCTTTTCAGCATCTGTGAGGGGTCCGTTGGAGTTGCGAGAGCTAACGAGGATTGTACGGATGAGATTGCGCATCGACGTGGTGATGGCAGTCAGGCTGTTTCTGCCATCCCAGAAGCGATTGTAGGACGTTTGATTGCGGAAGACGAGGATGAGACCGACGACGATAGAGAGGGAGGGGATCTACTCGTATTAATATATTGATTGCAGGTAGGAAGAAGCAGGCAAGCAACTTTGCATATCTATCACGTACGATCGTCGGTGGGACGCCCACGGTATCAAATACATGTTTATCGAGGAAGACGACCAGGACGGTGAACAGGGCATGGCACACTACAGGGACGAGGATGGCTCCGTGTATAGCTCCCTTGATGAAGCGGAGAACCAGCGGCCATCTTTTGCGGTTTGTCCTATGCATCAGAACGAGTTCATAGACGGGTTCATAGGATAGAGAGGACTCGATACCTTCGCGGCTTCGAGCGATGCGACAGCCTGAACGGATAAGTAGGCCGTCGGTCATGGTGTCTGCCGTTCTCCTGGGCGCTCAGCGCAGTTGTGATCTCTACCGGCATGGTGATGGGTGTATCTTCGTCTCACGGATACTTCAATGCTGCGAGAGGGTGTGTGGACGATGTCACTCTGAAGCCCCTGAAACAAAGCACCGAGGAGCTAGTCCGCGCAACAGAAAGCACGAATAGTAAAAAGAAACGAGATAAAGGAACCTCCTCCTCTCGGCAAGTAGCAAGTAGCAGGAATTTAGCAGATGTTTTTAAATATATAGCTGATATAACTACTACGGGATGTCGCAGGGATACTTCTCCCCCTTCCCCTGTCTCGCCGGCTTCACTTTGACAGTCGCGCATGTGGAAGAAAAGCAACTCTAGAGGCGTTTCAAGTGGATCCGAGTACAAATCAAAGAATGGGGATTGATGCTGGCGAGAGTCACTATGGAGCAGCATTACGTTGACGGGTAGCGCGTTATGCATGAATTACGAGGCCTGACGGGAAAGCAAGGAAGTACTTTTTTGGTGTATATAAAAGTCACTTTAAGAGTAGTTCATTGGGTAACCAAGAAAATCAAATGATGTAATCGCAGTGGTATCTGCGGGGGAATCAAAATAAAGGGACAAGGAAGGATGGACGGGGACAAAGGAGAAACGGGGGATAACAGTAAAAATGTCATCAGACACGATCATCGCTAGAACGCCGATGGGAAAGGGAAGGGGGGAGGGAGGGATAGTAACTTAAAGAGTAGAGAAATACGAGTTTAAATCATGGACAGGAATAGCCGCCAGTAATGCTTTGACAGGATGTAGAAAGGGAATGTATGCAAGTGGGAGGATATATGTCGAAATGGTGTCAGAGCCGTCCAGCTCGGCCGTCGAGAGCAAGTAAGCCAGTATCGTTTCTCGGTGTGAGCGGATCTTCGACGAATATCGTGTCTCGATTACTACTGTCCGGCACCCTCCTTCTCCCAGTGCCTGCCCGGAGAGTCGAGCTTGGAGATAATATGTCGATGTTTGGGCTGCGTTGGACGTCGTTGGCCATGGCTGACTCTGACGGGTCCTGCATGGCCGGATGATATAGTTCTCTATCTACGCGTTCTGGCGGTTCGAGATCGGGTTCTGGTTCCGGTTCAGGGTCAGACTCTAGTGTCATGTTTCCTGTAGCAGCAGCCAGGGTCCCGTCTGTCTCCGTGTGGGTGTAAACAATGGGTGGGGTGGTGCTTGAGTTGTTATTAGCTCTAGAGGAGTTGCTGGCGGTGTTTTCGATCGCTTGTGGAGGGAAGTGGGATGGGGTTTGTCGTTGGGCGTTGGCGGTAGGTTTGATGTTTTCTTCGTACGAATCGTTGGAATCGTCGACCTCGGCGTTTAGGTCTGTGTATGCTCGACAGTTGGGGCATTGGAACATGGGATATTCGGGAGAGTGGATGAGGCGGCGGATGCACTTGTAGTGCCAGACGTGAGCGCAGGCGGCCATGAAGAGGCACTGATACGGTCTCTGTATAGCTGGTTAGAATGCGCAAGATAGACACGATATATATAGACTTACCAAGACGGAACCGAGACATATCGAGCATTCTCTACATCCCTCGTAGTCTGTGGCATCTGTAGAGCCCTTCCCAAGGTTATTTATCAGGGCTTCGGTGTTTTTACTTGATGCTTGTTAGAACAGGTCATCAACAAGATAGCTGTCGAGGAACTTACTTGAACTCGTTGGCTCTCTGCTGCCACATCCTGTTGCACTCTATACGAATGCGCACACATCTGAAGATCAGCTCCTCACCGCCTCTAAAGTCGATTCCAAGCTGTACGATATCCCCATCTCTCACGGCGTACTGTCTCGACGGCACATTAGGCTGGCTGAGGCGCATATGGTTGAGAAACGTCCCGGACGAGCTCCCCACGTCCTTGATATGCCACTGCCCGCCGATGAAGGAAAACTCGCAGTGTTTCCGGCTGACGACCTTGGACTTGAATCCTACAGGTGCAGCTGATGGACCTAGGGTGTTTTCAGGCGGCACACCGTCTCGTTCCGAGTACCGGCCTACTTTTATAATGCTGGCCTCGTCTGTGATGGTTCGTGTCATGGGAGTGAAGGGGAGGGATGGCCTCGAGTTCTGGTGGGGGTCTTGGTAGGCGAAGAAGCGGATAGTAGATTGCTGCTGGCCAGTCGAGTTGGCCTGAGAAGTAGATGTCTCTGATATTTCTGATGTCTCTGCTGCTGCTGGCGCTGGAGCGTTGCCCGCTCTAGATGTAGGACCGTAGTTTTCGTTTGTAGGAGGCCGTTCGCTCCCTCTGCTCGTTTCCGGCGGTGAAGACGAAGAAGAATCCTGCTGCTGGCCTGACTCTGCCGCCGGAGTCATATTCAGAGCCTGAGCCATCATCTCTCTCGCGGGCAGACGGCCAGACGGTATAGACTGCTGCTGCTGCTCTGGCCGGTCCTCCGAAGTAGACGATTCACTGCTCTCAGCGTCCGAGCGACTGAACACGCTGTACCGCTGCGAGGATGATTCCAGCTCCGCCGAGGGACTGCGAGCGAGCTCTGCGTGCAGCAGGTCGGAGTTTTCCTGTTGCTGGAGCGACGACTCTGCGTGGTGATGGTCGTGGTGGTGGTGGTGGTGGTCTTCTGGAGCCGCGGGCGTGTGCGAGGCGCGGCCGACGACCCAGCTCAACCGCTTGCGATACGAGCGGTGGCTGCTGGGCGCTGACGAGCTGCTGGTGTTGGAGTGTGTTGGAGGCCGTCGCTGGCTCAGACGGCGTAACCTGCTCCCAAACGACGGCGGGGCGGTCGTTGGGCAACTGGGCGCCGCGGTGGTCATGGATAGAACTGTCGCCGTCTGCGAGATCAGTCGCAGACCAGGCCAACAGACCAGCGAGATAGCGAACAAAGATGCTCACCTTGGGATAAGCCCTCGCTGAGAACTCTAGAAGTTGAAGTCGACCCAGAACTCGACACTGGAAGTTGACAGAAGTTGAGAAGTGAAGTCGATATCTTGACCAGCAGAGTATCGAGATCTACCATATACCGGTGTCTGTCAGTATGGCATCGCGCTGTCCAGCGGTCTACATATATCACCTATATAGGTTGAGCTGACGATAGACGAACGACGACGACGACGACGAGACGAAACGAGAAGACAAAACGAAGAGACAACGACGAGACAACGAAGAGAGAAGGATGGCGAGGATATATCAACTTCGCCTGCTCAGCCCGTCTACCAGCCCGTAATCGCTCCCTACGGCGCTGCGGTGGCACGACCAACCTCCACGCTGCATCAAACTAAACCAACTACTCCCTATTTAACTCCAGGCTAATGGAGCGAGAGGGAGGTCCCGTGTCCTCGCTGGCTGCTTGGTATCTCCCTGGGGGCTTGCAAACTAGTGTCCGGCGTGTTGTTATAGCATGCGGCGGGCGTACCTAGACTGCGTATAATTTTATGACGGGCTTCGTACTTGGTTTCAGGCTTGCTGGGGGGGAACCAGAAAGACGAGGACGAGGACGGAGGCAGGCTTCGGCGAGATGCTCCAATTACTCCCAGTGGGTCGAAGGGAATTGCTTTTTCACCCTTGATCTTCGCTGCATTACGAGTTACATATTACATCGGGAGGATGATATCGAGGACCATATCGAGGAGGACGATGGGCAGGACGAGGAGAAGCAAGACCGAGGACGAGGACGACGTCAAAGCGTGGATAGACTAGACGACGGGTGGACGGATAACTAGACGACGGAGGTGGACAGAGCTACGGTTTATATCGCGATAGTCAAGGGCATCGCCGTCGATCAGAATCCAGCGCTGGGTCACTGACTCGATTACGGTTTGACAGCCGGCATATCATCGCTGCTGCATGCATCTGCATCGCTGCATATCTGCCAGTTCAGCCGTAATGCCAATGCTCCCGAGCTACCCTGGTTCATGGACTCCGGAGTTGAGCGCAAAGAACAGCCAGAGGCGACGACGACCGGTTCTGCCCTGGAATTGTAAGATGCAGCCTTGCGCACGTCGGCATTCTACCGGTGCAACATGGTGATCCTTCGTGGCTCGATGTCCAGGGCGATCGTAATCGACCGAGCCTGTGCGACTCTGATGCGCCATGTCTACGGTATCACCGTCCGAGTTGAGTTATTAGTTGTGCAGTGGATTAGATACGAGGACTATCAAAGGCATGTCGCAGTCCTGTCTTTGACCATCTCCCGCCGAAGATCCGCCCTGTCTTCGAGAGGTTCATGAAAGGGAGAAAGGGAAAGGGAAAGGGGCTGTTTCAGCCTTATGAACCTGGCTGAGCATAGCCTCTGTCTCGGTGCTGTTGACTGGAAGCAGAAGGACTTCAGACACAAGACCGGGAAGATGGGAAGGACCAGACTCGGACGCAGGTACGGAGAATTAATCGGTGGCTGAATTCGCGATGGGAGATCGATGTCTTTCACTTTCATTTCGGCAGGGGATAAGAGAGACTATTTAAACCTCCCGAATGCGGTGCTCTAGCTGGCTTCAAGATACGGTCCCCGAGGCTTGTGGAGATTGTTCTATTTATGCATCCGACTATCGACGCCAGGATCGCTTCCGTCAACTTCAACCACGTCAAAGAGCATGTCGAGAGCGTCAATATATTGATGGCGAGGAGTATGGAGTATTGATACTCGAGGAGAATAACATTATATGTCTCTGCCAGGGTCTACGCCATCACGGCCAGCTGACATGCTCACGCTGGCAGGGTTGTTGCAGTTTGGCACCTGTCTTACCGGGGCCACTATTGGCCTGCGACAGCTCAGACACCGTCGACCAAGGCCAATGATGGTGGAAGCCGGAGCTGCATGATATGCTTAAATCGGCCGTTTCCATCGTCCAAGCATTCATCGTTCAGCATTTAGCATTCAGCATTCAGCGTATACAGCGCTGTCGATCTCCAACACCGCCATCTCGCTATAGCATGGGCATGGGCTTTACGAGTCCACCTGAAAAGAAACGACCGCCAATCGGGGGGGAGAGGGAGGCCATTTCAATCTCGTGCAGAGCTATTGGCAATGGACGGAGCTTGTCGTCTTGCTGGTTACTGCTGATCTACCGTGCAGCTTCATCACTTGCATAGCAGATCCGTCTCTCTACCATCTCTACCATCCTCTTCCTACTCTATCCTGTCTATCTCTACCATCCTCTCTTCTCTATCCTATCTCTACATCTACATCTACCTCTACCTCTACCTCTACCTCTACCTCTACCTCTACCTCTACCTCTACCCCTACCTCTACCTCTACCTCTACCGTCACCTGTCTATCTACATCGACATCACCCTACGCATACTACCTAGTATCTACATCTCTATCCTATTATATATCTATCTATGTCTATATGTCTATCTGTTTCATGTTTGTCATGGGATACCTGTAATTCGCCAAGCCTGGCAACGTCCTGCGTAGTCATCCCGTATCCACCGTAATACAGATACACCCAGCCACAGAAAGTTCTCCCAGCTCGTTTCTTCTTCCCCCTTGTCCAAAGTCGCAACATCGGAGGAACAGGAACAGCATCACAGGAACAGCAGAGGACGAAGAAGAAGAAGAACAGCGCCACGCACCAAGTAACTCCGAGCTGTGGCTGTCGCCCGCTCGCGCATCACAAGACTCTCTTCCCCTACGCTCGCTCTGCTCTGCTCTGCTCTGCTCTCCGGCCGGGGATGACTTCATCAGCTCTCGGTGCTCCTGGGTCTCGTTCTTCTTCTCCATAGCCAATCGAGCTCGCTCAGTCCCTGCGTCCGCCCGTCGACCGTACGCTCTTCGTGCCTCCGTCCGACCAGTGCCGCACATAGCTCACAGCTCACAGCTCATCGTCTGCCGTCTGCCGTCTGCCGTCCTGTTTACACGCCTGTCGTGGAGCGGCGTCTCGGGGGGAGCCTAACCTACCTCTGCTTCTCTCACCATCCCCCACCAACCACCACCACATCCTCCTGCCGCCGGTTGCACTTCTAGACAGTCTCGAAAGAATGGGAAATGCGTGTCTTTCCTGCTTAACAGGTACCTTCACTTCGATCTCCAGTTGCTGCCACCACCGCCTTGCTGACCTGGTGGCTCCCTGCAAAGGTCGATCGAGGGATAGCCTCTACGAGCCAATCATCGCCGATACCGAACGCGAAGCTGTAGCAGACCTGTTACAGTATCTGGAAAACGTATGTTCTATCTCATGATCTTTGTTTTGTCGTCTCTGTGACTACGGGAGAGCTTGGGAGAGCTTCGCTGACTTGGTTTCAACCGGTGCTGTAGCGGAATGAGACCGACTTCTTCACTGGCGAGCCGCTACGTGCGCTCAGCACCCTCGTCTACTCTGATAATGTCGACCTCCAGCGAAGTGCCAGTCTTACCTTTGCCGAGATAACGGAAAGAGGTGAGCAGAGAGACCCCCGCTTTTGCACCCGTGCTGCACGTACTAAGACCGGGTGTTGTGATATAGATGTTCGTGAGGTCGACCGGGATACTCTGGAGCCAATATTATTCCTGCTCGAGAGCCCGGATATCGAGGTGCAGCGCGCTGCAAGCGCTGCTCTGGGCAACCTTGCTGTTAACAGTACGATCCCACTTAGTACCCTTTTTATACTCGTACGTGCTAATATTATATAGCTGAGAACAAGGTGTCGATAGTCCTCCTCGGAGGCCTCGCTCCTCTTATCCGGCAGATGATGTCTACAAACGTCGAGGTGCAGTGCAATGCCGTTGGATGTATCACCAACCTAGCTACCCATGAGGAGAACAAGGCGAAGATTGCGGGCTCTGGAGCCCTAGGTCCGCTCACCCGGCTAGCAAGGTCAAAGGATATGCGCGTTCAACGGAATGCGACTGGCGCTTTGCTGAACATGACACATTCTGGTATGTACTGCCGCCGGTCAAGGTAATACTCAGACATGCTAACGTTTCTATAGACGAGAACAGGCAACAGCTCGTCCTTGCCGGCGCGATACCGATACTGGTCCAGCTCCTCACCTCGCCAGACGTTGATGTACAGTACTACTGCACCACTGCTCTAAGTAACATTGCAGTTGATGCCCTAAACCGTAAGAAGCTTGCACAGACTGAGTCGCGGCTCGTCCAGTCTCTCGTTCAACTGATGGACTCGTCGACGCCCAAAGTACAATGTCAGGCAGCTCTTGCGCTTCGAAACCTAGCTTCAGACGACAAGTACCAACTAGAGATCGTTCGTGCGAGGGGACTCCCACCGCTCCTTCGATTGCTGCAGTCGTCGTATCTCCCATTAATCCTGTCCGCAGTTGCATGTATTCGAAACATCTCCATACACCCAAACAACGAGTCGCCAATCATCGATGCCGGTTTCCTCAAACCGTTAGTCGACCTTCTCGGCTCTATCGACAACGAAGAGATCCAGTGTCACGCCATCTCCACTTTGCGAAATCTTGCAGCCAGCTCAGATAGAAACAAGGAGTTGGTGCTGGAAGCTGGTGCCGTGCAGAAATGTAAAGAACTAGTTCTACAAGTACCACTAACTGTACAGTCGGAAATGACTGCTGCCATCGCTGTTTTGGCACTAAGCGATGACCTAAAAGCTCGCCTCTTGAAACTCGGCGTTTTTGATGTCTTGATCCCTCTGACCGCTTCCGAAAGCATCGAGGTTCAAGGTAACAGTGCCGCAGCATTAGGCAACCTATCGTCAAAAGGTATGCACCCCCCCTCCCTTCTCATTTACACCGTGTATCCACACTCCTAACCTTTTTTTTTACATCACAGTTGGCGACTACTCTATATTTGTCCGAGACTGGACTGAACCCAACGGCGGTCTCCACGGCTATCTAAGCCGATTCCTAGCCAGCGGTGACCCCACATTCCAACATATCGCCATATGGACCCTCCTCCAACTGATCGAGTCTGAAGACAAGCGACTAATCGGCTTCATCACCCGATCAGAAGATGTAATACAACTCGTGCGAGCGATCGCGAACAAAAGCCTTGAATCCGATGACGACGAGGGAGAAGAAGGCGAAGAAGGTACCGGCGAAGTCATCACCCTTGCACAGAGATCGCTCGAACTACTTGGCTTCGACTCAAAGCATAGTTGATCTGCCAAATGTCTACCGCTTAACGACCTCCCCGACGCAGTGCACCTAGTGTCACTGCTTTCTATAATATATCCTTACTCCCCTGACTGGACGCCTCTTACTCGTTGCATATCACTTTGCTAGCTCTCGATACCTGCTGCTTTGTCGAAACCTTTTTCCCGTTTTATGTTCATCCGTCTTATATTTTCCTTTTAGTTTTCTCTCTGTGAATATTCATTTAACCGTGGCAAGGAGTCCAGGCGTCTCGGCGGCGGGTACTGAAAACAACCTCGTTCTCTCGCTTCTCTCTCTCTCTCTCTATTTCCTTGACTGTTCTACTCAGCATCGCTTCCTTTATTTTATATAAGACTGTTTTCAATACACCTTGTCCTTCATTGTATTCTCTCTAGGTCTGCGGCTTACTCTCTGACATCCCCTATCCGTCCACCGACTGTTACTTTACATGCCTACTGTGTTTATTTGGTAATGCTCCTTTTACTTGCTGGCCTGAGTCGAGTTTTGCATCCAGATACATAAAGAATGTATTCATTTATTGGTGTTCATACCCTAATATCAACATGGTCTTCTTTGCTTTTCGCTCTTTTTTAGTCATTTGTTTACCTTGTGACGTCATCCCGCTTGCTGAGTAAACAGTAACTCTAGCCGAGCTTATCTTAAACCTTCTCGGGTAAAAATTCCTTCGATAACAGCGATATCAACCTCTTCGTCCTCCCAGCTTCATATATCGCTTCGTCGCTCACTCGTTTTTTCTCTTCCGGTATTGTAGAAGCTCGCAGTTTATTTCCTCGCTCCAATAATGGCCGCCAAAGTCCCCTCAATTGCCGTCCCGGGCCTTTGTCTAGGTGATCTCTCAACATACACATCCGGCCCAGGAACATACGTTCGCGACTCGTCCATCTGCGCCTCCATTGCAGGCCCAGTAATCCTCAGAGATGACGATAAAGAATCAGACCCAAAGCGCAAACCCCGCAAAATCCTCACAGTATCAAGATCCCCAAGAACCGAAACCTCCCACTTAAACGGAACGCAGCCCGTCTCCAGCGCCCGATCCAAATCATCTTTAAAATTCAACACCTTACCAGCCGTTGACTCCATCGTTCTTGCACGAGTCACCCGTGTCCAAAAGCGTCAAGCCACAATCTCCATCCTAATGGTCGTAGACGACCAAAACAACGACCTGATCGACCAAGATATGCGCACAATCCTCTCTTCAGCACCCATAATTACCACCGCTGGCACAGATAGTGCAAACACAAGTAATACCGCCGACGACCTACGGTTCCAAGCCATCATTCGGAAAGAAGATGTTCGCGCCGTTGAAAAGGACCGCGTCGTGATGGAGGATATGTTTCGGGTTGGAGACATTGTGCGCGCATACGTTATATCCGTCGGTGATCAGAGTTCATACTATTGCTCTACAGCTAGGAATGAGCTGGGCGTCGTCATGGCTAGGAGCGAGGGAGGGAATATGATGTTTCCTGTTAGTTGGAAGGAGATGAGGGATCCCGTTAGTGGGTTGGGAGAGGCCAGGAAGGTCGCGAAGCCATTTTGATAGATTTGATATCCCATTTTGTAGAGCTTTGTTTATTAGAGCTGGTATATCCGGTTCGTTTGGTCGGGTTAGTTGAAAGGTGCCTATCTGAGGAGTTGCGAGAGTGAAGGTCCAGATGGGCTAAAAATCGCCGACTTGACGTACTGGCCATAAGGTCTGCAACGCAAGCATGATGGACGACTAGACAATTTGATACCACTTGAGAGGAAAGGATGACAACGCCGATTTCCCCCCGTCGTGGGTCCTCACTCTGGCGAGTCTCAGGAGATATGATCTCTGAGTCAGGGTTGGGTTATTTCGATATGTTGAGCGCCGTGAAGTGTACGAGGTGGTTTGAAGATTCCACGGCTCTACAGCCGGCGATATGTGGAAGATGATATTCAATACTAATGGCTCTGACATCGTTGTAATTCGCGATGGTATCTCATTCAATATATCTAGATAATGCTAATTTTTAATGGCCATTCCCTATGCTCTATCCTCTTTATTTACCTCTTTAGCGTCTTCTGCTTTTCAGCATCCTTAACCAACTTTTTCCCAGCAACGACCATTCCTTTCCTACTCCTAACGCTATCCATATACCTCTTCGCCACGTTCTCTTTATCAGCCAACTCGCCCAGATCTTCTAGCTCTTCCTCCGTTGCAGGAACCCAGAACGGATCTTGGTCAAGCATTTCGAAGCCAGTAAATATTAACTGCGGAGACGCGGCTCCAGACGTTCGTTTGCGGATTTCGTCTGAAAATCCAAACGATTCCGCAACAGGTAGAAGAGAAAGTATAGTGAAAAAGGAGGTTCCTTCTTTCATTGTTTCAGAAAGGATACGTCCGCGTCTTCGCGTTACAACGCCGTAAACACGGCCCAAGACCTCAGCTGAAGAAAAGTTGAGTTAGTTTCATTTATGATGACGGATGGGCTATTCCACAGTATTCACTTACTGGTAGCTTGGATTTCGCAGCTGTACATGGCAAGCATGATTCGGGGACTCCAGTCAAGGAACCCTTGCCATACAGCGTCACGTACTAGCCTTATCACTTCTCCTGTCAGACGAGTTTGCTCTTCATCTCCAGCTTCTTCTAGCGTAACATCCTCGATGAAAACTGCAACGCCTTGAACTGGTTCGCGGCATAGAGGACCCTGGGATGTGGCTAGTTGGAAGGCATAAGATATCTTGTCTGAGAACAGGCCAGAGTCACGGCCTGGCTTGTTACTAGAGCCCTCCGCAAATCTGAATTATGTTAATGATTAGCCTGAGTATAGATCATAACATCTTGAGGGGCTTCAACTTACAGTCTCTCGTAGCGTCCAGTTGGTGTTGCGTCAAATAGAATATTAGCCCCTGTTTTTCTTGGTCCGAATTCAGATACCTTTGCAAGTGCACCAGTCCATATTTCCTTATCTTCCTTTACCGCACCAAAGCAGGCAGCAAGCTCTTTCTTGAATTCGTCAATTGAAAGTGTGTTTCGGCTAGAAGCAGCACCCTCTGAGGTGGCTTCCTGAGAGTTGGCTGTATCATGGGTATCTTCTTCAGTCGCTTCCGCGGTATCTGTTGACACATTCCTTTTGCGTGCATATATCCTTTTAATAGTGCCTGCGTGCTTCAGAAGGAATTCTGATATCATTGTAGGCAGTGGCCGCACTCGAATCTGTATCTTAAGCTGCTTTGACCCTGAAGTTGTAATCACAGTCCCGCGGGGCAAGTCTGCATTTTTAGGAGGGGCCATTTCAGCAGCATTTATTATTGTTTCCCTGTATGGCACAATAGACTCTCCAGCCTGGATATCGCATTTAGCAAATCTCTCTCGAAGATCCTTCAGACATCGTTCTAGATGCAATTCTCCAGCGGTCAGAATAACATGCTCTCCACTCGGTAGTACCTCATACTGTGCACATGGGTCGCTCCGTTCCAACATCTTCAGTCCATTTATCATCTTATTGAGATCTGCCGGGTTCACAGGCTCCAATGCAACTCGAACGATAGGTGGATGGTTTAATGCAACGCCGGCAAGATTCACAGCCCCATCTACCTGGCTGCACAAAGTTCCTGTTTTCATGATATGACCTTCGAGTCCGGCAATCCCAAAAACAACCCCAGCGCTGACACTTTCCAAATTCTCAAGAGCGCGTCCCATGAGGAGGTATAGCCCCTTTACTATCACTTTTTCGGGTTCTGGGCTAGCTCGGGGGCTCATGGGAGAGAATTTTGGAGGCAACACGTATATCGAATCGCCGACCGAGAGCGTGCCGGAGTATAAACGTGCAAATCCAATAAGATGCTCTGGTTCAACCCTTTCTTCCACTTTGCTAGTCTCGTCCAACCGTGACTCTGATAGAGCATGTGCGAGGCCTGAGATATCATCCCCTTGTCCCTCATTTGCTTCACTTCGAAGTTTAGCAAACTCTTCCCGCTTCCGTCGAGCAATCTCTCGAGCTTCATCTGCAGACATTGTTCCACCGGGCATACGGCGCGTTTTAGACGGCAGCTCGCTTTCTGGAATCGAAACCATTTTACTGACATACCCTAGCACAGGATCATCTTTCCCTGACTTGGAGTTTATCATGGCGTCTCGAACTTTGGGGTCAATATAACTTGCGTCAGGCGAATCATCAATCATATCTGGAAGTCTGAGGGCCTGGGCATCTATGGGGCTAGGGAGATATTCAATAACGGAGACAAGCACGGCGGTAGATAGCGGTAGCCATGATGAAAACACAGCAGAGAGAATATTCCTAGGATCTCGAGACCGGAGAACATGAGGGGGTATCTTTATCGAGAGAGATTTTGTGATCTTTTCTAAAAGTGCAGGATCCCTATGAAGACGGTTAGAAGGGTATATATAAAGATGGCTAGTTACTGTCGGAACATACCCTGTGGAGTTAGCTCCCCCCGTAGTTGCGTTATAGACGGCCCAAATGGTATCCAAAACCAGCTGAACGAACATCGGACTTAAACGTCTACCCTTCAAGTGCCTCGGACCAAGGACTCTTTTCGTCTTGGGGTCTAGGTAGTATTCACCCCATAGCACTTTCTCCAGCGTAGCTCGTTTAATTCCAAGTTTCTTTTCATAAAGTCCGGCAAACTGTCGAATAGTAAACGCCCAGCCATCGGTAGCACTGCAGAAGATGACATTATTCTTTTCTGGAGCAAAGTATAGATCTTCATCATCACGCTCCTCAAACTCTGCGGCTTCAGGGTCCGCTTGAGAGTCCACATCCGTGCCTGTCTTCGACCGATCTTTTTCTTTTAGTGCTGCAGCTTTGACACGTTCTTCGACCTTCTCTCTCCACTGAAGGTCCTCTTCCATGCGTTCTCCCTGGTAGAAGCTCCCTATCACAGCATTTACTTGTTCCAAGATCTTGCTGAGGTGAGAATAAGCTTCTGAAGGACTCAACTTTAGCTCTGTCACTAGACGATCAATTTTGTTAAGGACGAGAATCGGTTTCAACCGCTCGACCCAGGTATGTCGTAGAACAGTGACGGTTTGACTGCAGACGCCCTCGACAGCATCGACGAGAACCAAAGCACCGTCACAGAGCCTAGAGGCAGTAGAAACCTCACTACTAAAATCGATATGGCCAGGGGAATCAATCAGGTTGATGAGATACTCTCGCTTATCTGGAGTCCCTTCCGGGGCCGATCTCCGCAGCATAGAGAAGTAAAGAGAGATGGCTGACGATTCCATCGTAATCCCACGTAGCTGTTCATCTGGACGGGAATCCAAATAGCGGATTTTTCCCGCCAGCTTTGGCGAGATGATGCCATTTGTGGCAATCAAGCTATCTGTTAACGAAGTCTTTCCGTGATCCTAGAAGAATAGACAGATAATGTTGCATTAACACGCTGCCTTTGGAGTTTAGAATGCAGAGTTCTATGGGAACGTACAACATGTGCGAGAATACATATCTATTACAATGGTTAGTGCATGCATGGTTCAAAAGCTCAAAGATATTCTCACTAAGATAGCAAGATAACGAGATAGCGGGGGAGGGGCAGCCATACATTTCGGATATCTTCAGCTTTATGCTGGAGGCGAACAAGATCTTCCAAGTTAACTACCGGCATCTTAGCATCTGGCGCGAGGTAATCTACCTGTGAGCCCGCGTTGAACGAAGGTGCGACTATCCAGGTGTTGAACACTGCCTCTTGGCTTTCAAGGTCCTGTTCTGTTCAAATCCGAATTCAAATTTTCGCAGCTCGTGAGATTTGCTAGATGACGTAAATATCAGGCCTGAGGAGATTTTGCAGCAATATATATAGAAATGCCGAAGATGGTGTGAGGTGAAGTATTTTGGTTCACGGTTTAAATTCTATCGTCGGATTTTATCTGGTCGGACCAAATATGACTGATTATTATAAATAACGACGAATTCTACAACAACCCGCTTGGCCCACTCAACTTGCCTTTGAATCCGCTAGATTATGCTGGTAATTGTTCCATTGTTCGATAACTACGATTATGCATTATATTTTTTGTAATTGTATCGTAATTTGACTGGGTTGTTGCCTGACCGTGAGTCATGGATATCTCATTCTTCATCGTCAAACGAGAGTTTGATCTTCTTCTTCGTGTTCTTCTTTCTCTTCGGCGCATTATCAGACTGCGGCTGAGGTGTCTTGGAGTCCTCGGGACCATCGCCGCCTCCTACAACCTTGCCTTGCTTCCTCTTTTTCGAGGCTCCAATCTCTGCTACGCTTTGCTTTGACTTGGAAGGTCGGTTGCCCACTTCGGCCTCATCTTCACCTGCGCTATTCTTCGTAGCCCCAGGCTGGCCATCCTCTTCTCCTTTTTCCCCAGAACCAGCGGTTTCATCCTTGGGCCCTTCTACCATCTCCAAATATCTGTCTTTCGAGATGACTTCGTTACTTTCTTCGTCAACATAAGTAGGTCCGTCGTCTTCGTCTTCGACATATTTTGCTTTGGTAGGACGCGGATTCGGCGCGCTGCGGTGGTATTCGCCGCCATCTCCATATTGATTTCTCAATTTACGGAGGAACGAGGGCTCTGGCTTCTCTATACAGGCAGGGTGATAAGTAACACGGTTCTGCGTAGATTGCACCACAACTAGTATTTACCGTATGAGAGATTCTTCGCCTTGTGGCTCATTGTGACTTGGACTGTAGGATCTTATTTTATGGCTTGCGTTGACTTCTGGCGCATAAAACGTTCGATCGCAAGCAGTGCGCCACCGTTCACCGTGTCATGGTTGGCAAAATAGTATCGTAGTAGAAGAGCGAGGACGATATAGATCCTCCAGAACGATAATGACCGGGTATTATCTTCCCCAAAGGCATTCAACGGCCTTTTTAAATGCATCCTCTCTTGTCGGCCTTTTTGGAGCATTCGAAGAGATGGCCCGGAGCGGAAATACAAACGTCCGAGCTAGCAATGGAAATCGGAAATTCATACCAAAGTCCAACGATTTCGTGACGAAGCTTCAAAGACGCCCTTAAACAAACTCGCGAATCATGCTGTGTGCTAGTAAGAGGATCTATACTCCATGCCGTACTTAGAAATTAACTGACCTTTGGCGATTTAGTTTCTGGTGAGGCCCCTCAGGTGCCTGTTGTGTCGCGCAAGAGTGGTAAGCAATGCTCCGCAAGTTGCCATACAATGTATACTTATCCTTGAATAGGGAACGTTTTCGAGAAGCGGCTCGTTGAGGAATACATATCAGAGCATGGAAAGGAGCCTGTGACGGGCGAGGAGCATACCGTGGAGGATCTCATCGAATTGAAATCTGCTCGCATCGCCCGACCCCGACCACCAACCCTTACCTCAATTCCCTCGTTACTTGGTGTTTTCCAGGAAGAATGGGATGCACTCGCCCTGGAAACATATACGCTCAGACAGACACTTGCACAGACGCGGCAAGAGCTTAGCACAGCACTCTATCAGCACGACGCTGCGGTTCGCGTCATTGCCAGGCTACGAAAGGAGAGAGACGAAGCCCGGGATGCGCTCTCAAAGGTTTCGGTGGGAGCGAGTCGTACTCCCGCAGCGGGAGATGCTATGCAAGTGGATAGCGCAGGCCTTCCAGAGAGTGTTGTTTCAAGAATCGAAGAAACCCAAGAGAAGTAAGCATTACCTTGCTCCACGGATCTTACACGATATGTTAACTAACGGTCTTCCTTTTTGCAGACTTTCGAAAACTCGACGCAAACGTCCTATCCCCGAGGATTGGGCCACCGGTGATGCTATTCAAGAATTCCGACCCTCTAGCCCATCTGAGCCACTTTATCCCGGCGGGCATTCTATATGCGTAAATGCGTCTGGAAACCTAGCATTGGTAGGCGGCGTGGATGGTGTTGCCGGTGTATACTCACTATCCGAGAAACGAGTTGTAGCCTCTCTCAAAGGAGGCAGCGGTGCGATAACGGACGCTGCGTGGGTTGGGGACAAGGCTGTCATCGCAACTTCTGCTGGTGCCGTCAAGGTCTTTGAGAACGAATCTGAGATTGCCAGTTTCAGCGTTCATGCTGGCGCAGCAGCAGCTCTGGCCGTGCATCCAACTGGTGATATAGTTGCCTCCGCCGGTATCGACAAGAGCTACACTATATATGACATTTCCAACTCCGCTGTCGTCGCCCAAATATTCACTGATTCAGGTACGTACACACCATTTAACCCTTGATAAAGAGCGCTTGCTAATTGTTATACAGCCCTGACATGTGTTAAATTCCACCCTGATGGCCATCTGATCGCGGCTGGTGGAGCTGACGGTCAGATCAAAATCTTCGATGTGAAGACTGGTACCAGCGCGGCTACGTTTAACATGTCTGGCCCTATCAAAACGCTATACTTCTCTGAAAACGGCACCTGGCTTGCCGCCGTGACAAACGAATCTTCGGATATATCAGTCTGGGATCTCCGTAAATCGGCAGTCGTGAAGGTGTTGGAGACCGGGAACCGAGTCGACTCAATCAGCTGGGATTACACAGGACAGTTCCTGCTCACAGGTGGACCGAACGGGCTGACGGTGCAGCAGTACTCTAAGGCATCAAAGTCCTGGACGGAACCATTAAGAAGTGCGGTGCCTGCCACTGCTGTTGCTTGGGGGCCTTCTGCTCAGAGCATTTTGGCGCTTAACGGAGAAGGCGTTATTGTACCAGTTGCTGCTCAGTGATTTTAATGTAACGGGAATATATTTTCTTTTTTTCGCTTGGTTTCTGTACTCTACATGGTGAATTGATATGGTCAACTATACCCGTATGCTTCCGGTAGGCAGGATGTATCAAACTCCAACCCTCGATATACCTACTGTTCTCATCCAATCTCACTGTCTCCAACGTATCTAAGAATAAAAGCCATCCATGGATGCTGTAGAGACTCAAGCTTATGTCATCATCAAAAAGATATAGAAATATTTCTGCATCCTCCATCATTCACTCTTTTTCCATCTTATTTATTCTCATATTCATTGGCTCTTGATCCTATCCTCATATCCATGGCAGTTATGTAGTATTACTTATCCCTGGCCCCCTATTGCTGCCACATACGAACCGTGTATGCCATGTATATATACATTACAGCCTTTACCCTCTTGACAAAGCTGGCCTCTTGTCTGCGTGAATAGAGTGAGAGAGATCATAGAACCCATCTTACTAACTAGAAGCATCTCTCCCTTTTTACTGAAATGACAGCAAGTTCTCTTTCTCTTCCTCAGGAGCATCCTATGTTCTGGTCCAAGAGTAGCCCTGGACACTGTAGCTTGTCACGGCCACACACTGTTTCATCTGCAACATCTGCATGACCAGCACCATATCTTACACAGGCGCAGTTATCCTACACACACAGACAATCTATCTGTCTCCCTTCCCATTACCTTTGGCCAGGAGGCGGGCGTTCTGTGGGTGGTTTCGCTCTTACAAACGCCGAAAGTCTTTACTGTTTCTCTCGAAGTTTACCACCACCATCATCCAACTTCCTCCCCATCTCTCAACTCCTACACCACCGAACCAGCATACTACCACTCGCTATCGGCCTCCTACCATGAATGGGGACTCAAACCCGCAGACTATAACCTCCCATCCGTCAAGAAAGGTCAGCTCCGGCGTCTAGTAGTGGGGTCTCCCTCTTGGATCATAGACACTATCCTTTTCTGACATCAATGTAAGAAATGACGGCAACTAACTATATTTCTGTATAGCGCTCTCACCGGGAGATATCTGGATCTCACTCCGACAGCCAAAGTCAGCCGGCCTGGGGTCGGAATGCGGAGGCTTCAAACTCAGCAGGCAGCTCAAATTCCTTCAACAATTCCCGTCCCCGCCTACCACCCCTTCCCTCGCTCCCGCAGATGAGATTTCCTGGCGACGGATACGATTTCCGCAGGCCCATAATGTCGACCGGAGTCCCGTCGCCGCCCTCTGCGTACCAGAGCCTACAGCGAGAGGATGTCATCGATTTAACACAAGACTCAGACCCAAGTTTACGGACGGGACGGTCGGTGCGGACGCCGGGGAGGCGAGATGAATCGAGAACGAACAGAGCATCGCGAGGTCCTCGGTTTGGACGGGACATAATGTCTGAAGTCGTGGACCTGGAAGCCGACAGTCCGCCTTCAAGCCAGGAGCAACAGGCAACAAGTCCAGAGGTACAGTTTCTGGGCTCGTCAGTAAGAGCAGGCGCACCGCAAGCATCCTCCAGGCATCGCCATGCACCGAATCAACCGCAGCGTACGCCGTTTTTCATTGGAGGCTCCAACCTCATGAACCTGCTGAGAGGCATGAACCGGCCTGGGCAGCCGTCGGCGCTTAACCAGGAAGAAATATTTCGACATGAGATTGCCCTCCGCACAAGGAATCTACGGCTTTTCCGACGAGCACAGACGCACCAGACGTCTTTGTGGGATGTAACTCCGCCGCAAAATGGGGTAGACTTGACGATAGACCTGGACAACGATGTGCCGATACACCTTGACTACAGTACAACAGGATTTAATGGGCGTCTTACTCCCCAGGCGGAACCTACTTATGAACCACCTCCAGCTGCCCCGGAAGGGTTTACTAGGACGGCTCAGGAGGAGGACGAAGTTATCTGTCCTAACTGTGAGCACGAGTTGGGCACAGGAGATGAGATACAAAGGCAGATATGGGTTTCAAGGGCATGCGGACATGTTAGTGGACTATACTCTATGCTTTGTTGACTTGCACTAATTCGTTACAGGTTTATTGCGGTACATGTACCAAAAACAGAGCCGTTTCTTCTCGGGGGAAGAAAATAGACCAACCGCCCGATATAAAAACGAAGCCCTTTGCGAAATGCGTGGTGGCTGACTGCGGGAAATCCGTGAGCCAGCCAAAGGCAATGTTTCAAATATATCTTTAGCCCACTTTCACTCCTCCATATTGGCGTCATTTTCTCTTCACTTGACCCAACCGTCTTTTTCTTTTTTACGTCTCCGGGGTTGGGCAGGCACTATATCGATTTTTCCGGCGTCTGGTGGAATGTGCATAGGGGACATCATTCTTCCAATACCCAGCATCCCATGGTTTCAGGTGCATTTTATCACATTTTATTGTATTAGCGGTCCACAAATATATGTCTACATGAGGTGTTAATTAAAAACGTCAAGGTTCTCCCTTTAGCCGTGTCCGAGGACCAAAAGATTACGTATAACCTTGCCAGATAAATAGCTGGATTGGGATGGAGGTCTCATATGTAAGAATATATCCCTAGTAATCATATACAACTCCTGAGTATAATGCAATATACCTCCAAATAGCAAAAAGTCACTCGAGGAAACCAGACACGCCATGCCATAATAATAGTACATTCTTCTCGGCCTTGCACCACCGCAGCAACGGATCAGGCTGCCACATTATATCTTCTTCATGTCTCCGTGGTAAGGAGACCAGATACCTCTGACACTCTCGTTCGTACTGAGAACAGGCTTCGTTGTGCGTCGTAGCTTTTCTCCGCTGGCTTCCCTCAGCAGGTTTGCTTTCTGGAGAACTTCGTGTACTTCAAGATTTCGTACGCAGATTGCCTTCTCGCGGCCGTTGATATAGTGGCCCTTGATAACGGGGTGTTTGTGTGGACGGGGAGAGATGCGGATTTCGACTTGGGGGTTCCGTCTAGCGAACTCGGGAAGCAATTCGCGGATGAAGGAGCTGGTTGTCACGTATTAGCTTGAGATCATGTAGCTTCAAATGAACAGAAGAAGGCTCACTTCATGCCCTTGGAACTGCCTGCCCAGTCGCAGTAGTGAAAGTCGAGTCGCTTGCACTGTAAGATGAATGCTCCGACGCCGTTCTGTAAGACCCCAAATTAGCACGAATTGACGGGTAACGAGTGAAGAAGCCACTTACTCGGCTGGAGGCCAGTGAGATAATCCCTTTGACAGACATGTTTGCGTCTTCCTCCCCCGTTTATCTTGCTGCTTGAGAATCGCGAAGAGGTGGAAAGTTGTTCGCCAGCTGCAATTTTTGGCTGCTCTCTAGCCTGCAAAGTCGCGTGATTGGCCAGCGTCGCTGACTGGGCGTGAGTTTTTCGAAACGGGCAACATTTGAACTGCCAGCGACGAGAAAAGAGATCCAACCATCGACAGACTGCGCGCGTAGCTGTCGTCTCTGTCTTTTGGGCTGCTGGATGCTCTACTGACGCTCTCATCTATGCTATTTACCTGCGAGAGCCATGACTGACAAGCTCCCTCCAAACCTCCTCGCGCTTTTCGCGCCGCGACCTCCGCTGCGCTACCTGCAGCCCATCAACAGAGCGCCCGACGATGTCAAGCCGAGTACGATATCCGGTGTCGCCGGTTTTCTCGATGAGCTGAAGAAATATGGCGAGGAGGTTCCATATACGCCGACTGAGAGTTGGCTGCAACGCAAGGATAGGCAAAAGCTGGAGAAGCGGGAGCAGGCTGAGAAGCGTCTGGCTGCTGGACTTACAGAGTGTGAGTGCATTCTGTGTACACATAATATATCGAGCTCTATCTTCCCCTTATATATGGCGTTTTACTAACATCTCGGTTATAGATAACCCTGCTGAAGACCAGCAAATCCGTGGTGACCCTTTCAGGACGCTCTTCGTGTCCAGGCTTAGCTACGAGGTAAAGGAGGCAGATCTGGAACGAGAATTTGGCCGATTTGGCCCGGTTGAGAGGGTAGGTCCTTTTCTTTATTATTATACTTGACGTACCTGGCTAACCTTTCTCTGGTAGATCCGAATAGTCAAGGATACGAAGAATCCCAATCCAAAGAAACCACACAGAGGATATGCTTTCATAGTGTACGAGCGTGAAAAGGATATGAAGGGTACTGAATCCTGAACATTTTGTTCTCCCCCTACCATCCCCCTTCTCCTCCCAACTCAAGATATGAATATAGCTATGGCAAGGTAATGGACTACATGACTAATGCTATTGAACGCTATTGCTTCACACCTACAGCCGCCTACAAAGAAACAGATGGAATCCGCATCAAGGATCGACGAGCCCTTGTCGATGTTGAGCGTGGACGCACAGTCAAGGGATGGAAACCCCGCCGGTTTGGTGGTGGGCTTGGTGGGCGCGGATACACCAAGGCTATGCCCTCGAGGCCCCTTGGCCCCGGTGGATACGGACCTCCATCCGGTCCTGGTGGTTTCCAAGGCGGTTTCCGTGGAGGACCAAGGGGAGGAGGCTTCCGTGGCGGATTTAGAGGAGGAGATCGGCCGTTTGGTGGCCGTGGAGGAATTGGTTTCCAAGGTGGGCGCGGCGGATTTGGAGGCCCGCCCAATGGTGCAATGGGTCAGCCTCCGCCAAACGCTCCCCTCGGCCCTGGAGGAAGTCGTGGTGGTGGGTATGGTCAGCAGAATGGCGACATGGGCCATGGTGATAGGCGTTTTGAGGATAGAAACCGTGGTGGCTCCAGATACGACAGGTCCGGCGATCGAGGTGATCGAGGTGTGACTGGCAGCAACCGCGAACCCGTCAGACCTAGAGCATACGGAGATCGGGACAACAGAGAGCGAGACAGGGATGGTAATCGTGACCGTGATCGTGACAGAGACAGAGACAGAGGCGGCCGAGGTGACCGTGACCGCGATAGACCTCGAGACCGTGACCGTGATCGGGACAGATACAGCCGTCGCGATGACGACCATTCAAGGAAGAGACACCACGAAGGAGACGCCTACGACGACCCCCGGACGAAGCGAAGGTACTAATATGGCTTATCCTAAAAGATTCAACAAAACGGTTTGTTGGTGGGTTGCCTCGACTTTTCGATTTATCTCATCCTTTCATAGCCTCAAGGGTAAGATCATTGGTGCTTAGAAGATGAACATCCGCACCGTCATTTTCAACGAAGCATACTCCAACAAAGCCTACAACAGCTGAGGTAACATATTTTTTCGCCTTATAACGACCCGTAACCAACGTTAAGCCCCCCGAATTTTTCATGGATACCCTCATACTTTTTCGCCCATTCGATTCTCCCACTCGTACGGGCTTTACGCTACCAAATTCTCGAAGTGATGTCTTATTATCATACCTTTTCCTCTATCCATCTTCTTGTTTGCATTTACCTTGCTGCGTTCTTTCTTTCTTCCTTTCGATTCAAGGGGTTTGTTGCCGGAGAGAGGGGGTAAGTATGTACGTTATGGCACCAGTGGTGAAATTGTACGTTTATATTCGAAGGAAAGGTATCTGTTTTTAGGTAAGATCGGGTAAGGCTGTTTAGTATCACTGAACATTCTCGCATTGATCATTGCAAAGACAGGTAACATGGGTCCGTAATAGTTAATTCTTTCTTTTTTTGGCTTATTAGCGATGTATTATCTATCTACACGATGTGAACTTGTATAATCCCAGTAATATATAAAGATAGACTGCTTTTCCGTTTCATCATGGTATACAAGAATTGAAACCATGGGATTCCATAAAAAAGAAAAAAGAAAATAGCCGCGTCAGTACCATGAGTAAAACACCGATCGCCAGAACTCCTTCCAAAATGCCCACGAGTTTCAACTGGTCATCATCTCATCGAACGAGGGGGGGAAAGTTAGAGAGCAGGATAAAATATAGCCAAAACTGCACTTTGACTCTCCCTCACGGGTCGACTTCCATTGTTTCCTGCTTTTCTAAAACCACAATCTCTCCACTCTCCTTCACCCAACGGGCCTTCATCTCCACCTTGAATTCCGCAACCGCAACACCAAACATCTTCAGAAGCGTCGATTGCCTAGAGTCCAACTCTTCACCGGCCTTACAGACCTGATACCCGTCTCCCTCCATTTCCAGCGTGACTTTTCCCTTCACCAACCTCGTTGGAACGTTCAACTTCCGCAGAGTAGGCTCGACCGTGTGGCTGATTGGCTCATCATCTTCAGTGGGTATCTCGCCTGCTCGTGAATATACCACGCCGCTGGGTATCGTGAAAGAGCGAGGTGTCACGTTCCCTGCACGAGCAAAGTCAAGCGGATGGAACGATTCAAAGTAGTCGAGGACCGATTGAGGGTCGCGAGATGTGAATAACAATCCAACTGCGCCGGTGAGGTAAGGTGTGAGGCGGTTGAGATTTGGCGCGTAGGCAGTTTCAGGGGTCATTCCCAGCGCGATTGCCATGACCTTGGTCTTACCGAAGAAGAGTCTACATGCAGACAATTAGCATCTACCTTACTCGTTGCAAGAGGCTAGGGCTAATACTAACCGACTATCGGCAAACTCTGCGCGTACATCCTTCAGGTACGTATTTCGCATGTTGTCAACGGCGAATACGAAGAGATGGTCATATTCGGTGACTGCAGCCTGCACATTGGCGTACAGCCGACGAGTCTGCTCTTTGTGCGATTTCTTGAGGGTCCTGGATTCGTGGACCACTCTGGCCCTTTTTGAGATAGGCATGATGGATCTATTCAAGGGGTATTGACACTAATTGCGTTTCTCGGTTCTCTCTGCCCGCCTCTGGACAGTGCAGCTGGGGATTGTATAGATATATCTACCGCCTCGAGCTGTTAATTATCTCTATCGCGGTTGCTGCTATCGCTTTTTTTTTGCGTTTGATCTCGGAACCGGAAAAACGTTGATAAGAGATGGCGCTAGTCCGGGTTAGTTATGCTTAGTAATGATCACGTGGCTTTATCAAAAGGCTCCGTCTTCCATATATAAAAGTAGTAGTATAAGTTGTCCTTCCTACCTTCACGATGGACGAACGAACGTATACTAAATGGCCATCCGCGGATATGAGATGGAGCTACACTCAGAAGCGCCATATTTTTCATTTAGGATTTGCTGCTGAACCTTGAATTCTTATACACCAACCGCTACCAGGCTCCCGGACTTGATTCTCGGACCTCCACAGAGACGTGATAATGTATTATTCTTTTAGTTAGCATGTCTACCATAGCTTCGTGGCTTTCATCCGTTGCCATAGTTAGTGCCGTTTTTCCGAATTTATCTTCCCATATAATATTGGCTTCGCCCGTTGCAAGCAACAATTTAGCTGTACCCGCATGCCCGTTTTTGGCTGCATATATTAGAGGTGTTCGACCCTGTGTATCTGTCGAGGCAACGTCGACCCTGTCCGTGGTAAGCAACACTCTAACCGCGACCTCGTGTCCATTCATTGCTGCCAAAGATAGCGGTGTTTGCCCGTTCAAGTCTTTCGACTCAATATTGACTTTGCCAGTTACAAGTAACAATTTGACCAAAGTCTCATGTCCATTCTCTGCTGCCCATGAGAGTAGCGTTTGATTTCTCAAAACAGATGTCGGCTCTGATCCGCCTGCTGGCTGCAACACATATCTAACTAGAGCCTCGTATACGTTCGCTTCATCCCACTGGGACGGTAATTCATAGCCGCATCTTTCGTCGTTGGTCTTGATAGTCGTGAGCAGCAGAATGATCAAAGCAAGATGACCTTGCCATATTGCTTGTGACAAAATCGTCTTGCTACCTACCTCTTTTAAATTTGTAACTTTTTTCAACGTTTTGAGTAAATGGGGTAGTAAGTTTTTGATGACTGGGCCTGGCTCCGAAATTCCTAATATGTGCTGCTGCCAGTATAGCCTTGCATATGAATAAAGGTGAAATGGGCCAAAGGAACGGGTATTAGAAGACTTGCATGCTGCCACGAGGCTTTCTCCAACGTCACAGTCGGGCATTCGCTTGGACTTCAAAAGCATTAGTGCAAAATCCTGAACTCTGCTTGAGGATTCCAGGGTCGAACGAATGATATTGCCTGGTATTGATCCAGCCATTATTTTGATTTCCGGGGCCGCAAGAGTGGACAACTGGTGGTCAAAAGTGCCGTAGTTGAGGTAGGTGACAATGACATTTGCCATTGTCTGGTTTGCATCAGCTACTGTGAACCTGACGCTTGTAGAGACCTCGGGCCCGGCTAGGAGGAATTGCTTGAAGCTGTGATGCACAAGTTGCACTGTAAATTCTTCTTCACCGACCACAACGAGACTCCCGCAACATGTTAGGGTAGAGTATATGTCATTGATAAAGCTCGCCATGTTCCAGGTCGTATTGCCTGGATCTACGCTCAGTGCTTCTTGAAGCTCCTCAACGTACAACGGACGATGAGCCACAGTGATGAGCTCTAGGATCCGCCTCTGGTACGGTTGATCTACCACTTCCGACCTCGCTAGAATGCGAGCGAATGTTTCCGAAAGGGTTTTGGGAAGATCCACCAGGGCTTGACGTATAGCATCGTCTGTTCTCATGCTGCACAATGACATGATTTGGAGAGCCACCCAGAGAAACATCCCTTGAGCCCCACGGAGGAGAGCATCCTGGATTTCCAAAATTAGATTAGGATCTCCTATTATTAGCTTTTTCGACTTGAGGCGGTTCTCCAGTTCTTTTTGTATAAAATCCTGGATATCGGGGTTGTCTTCTGGAATTGAGGTGCGCGTTGGGATAGTAAACTCGTATGCACTCAATTTCAAAACATTATCAGGCTCTAGTCTGAACGAAACACAAAGAAGAATTGTAAATGCGGCTTGGAGCCGTCGGAGCTGTATAATCAGCGTCTCTCTTTCCATAGTGTCACATTCATCCAGCCCATCTAGGACGAAATACGCTTTGTATGTAGTTGGAAGGTTGCGGCGAAGCATTTTTAACAAGTGCTCAAAATCTGGAGGCGACGTTGTATCAACGAAAGAATCGCCCACCATTTCAAGATCTGCGATGGGGCGTAGCAATTGTCGAACGAGGGACTGGATGATTGTCTTAGTTTCCAAACTTTCAGGAATGTCATGACGGCAGAAAAAATAAGTCACTGGGATATCTTTATTCTGAATGAAAAGATTCAGGTCGTCGACAATATTGGCTAGTAACACGGATTTTCCAGAGCCTAGTTTGCTTGTATACAGAAGCGTACTGGAAGTTGATTTATCTCGCCAGTCCTTGTAGTCGACCGTTTCTTTGAAAATAGTTGCATTGCCGATCTTTCGAATCTGCTTCCATGGTGTCTCGTAATCGTAAGTAGAGCAAAACTCGAGGATTCGTAGTCTTTTTCTTATTTTTTCCTCAAGCGATGCAGCCCTGGAACCTTTACTCAACAGAGCTCTGAACTTGGTATTTTCTTTAGCTTCCCCTTCGGCCTTTTCAGCCTGTATGATACTTGCCTCCTCTTTGATCATACTTGCCCAGAAATGGAGGTCTGATTCGGATGCTTTTAACTCGGAATCATCAAGACTCGTCGCAAGCTTCCCAATAGTCGACTTTTGGGTAAACCGGAACAGCATATGACAAAGACGAACTACCATAACAAGGTATTCGGTGACATGTGACTGCAATCTATGAGATCTGGCATAGAGTGAGGCGATAGTCCGGTAAACGGGAGTAGAGAGGCTAGCCTTCATGAGGAGACCAGATATTCTCTCAAGATACACTGAGAAATTCACGATCGACTACCAAAGGATTGATATTCAGGTCCACGCAGTAAGGATGAGTAAGAAACACTAACAAGCAATGATAGTCGTACTATCGCCCAGACACCACAGGCAATGAGATTCTGGGAGCCGCCTACCATGACGTCCCCAATGGGGGCGAATACCTGAACGCCATGGAGGAAATTGGTCATTCTCGTTCCAAAGCAACGTCCGCCAGTTCCCCTTCTTGCTGCGCAATGGTCAAACTCGGCTGTAAGACGCATAATGTCGCTGGTATCTGGGGGAGCATTCTGAAGTTTCTGAAGGACAGCTTTCTGATCGCTCGAGAGGTCAGCAGTAAACTGTGAGACTGCTTGCGCCAGTCGAATTTCAGGTTTTAGCCGAGAAGCCTTTGCTAGTGCATTAGACATGGTGGAAGAACCCCTAAACACGTAGGTATGATATTCCTTAATAGATTAATGTTCTGGTTAATATGGGTTGAGGGAGAAAGCCGCAGTATGTATCTAATCGCGGGGAGAGATGATGCAGCCTTGTAAGAACCAGATAGCTAGATGTCAAATGTACCTTAGGTACCTACTAGGTACCTAGTGTCCAATGGGAACTACCATAAGAACGAGCCGTACCCAACACAGAGAATCTGCCATGCGTCATAAAGATTTCACTTCGATTTGAGAATCTGAGATACCATGAGGAACGAGACCTTTCCCTTCTAGTACCCTGATAGAAAAGGAAGCATCTTTACCTATCCCACCCATAGAATATAAGGGTCTTTAAAACGTCACGGTAGAGATATTCGTACAGAAGAGACCACATATAGCGGATATATAGAGCCAGTCGGTGGGAATAGCTGTTTTCTGTGTAGTGGAAGTCGAGATGTTGAGAAGTTGAAGTCAAGAAGTACGGAGGTAGATGCAAACATGGCAAACACATCCTCAACTTCGATGCGAAATGCGATCAGTAAATATACAACAGACAGCTTCACGGACAACGCGTCCACGGTACGGGCAATTGGTCCTTGTCTCCCCCGGAACGCAGCTGGCGGCCTCATACGATGCTCGATTTTATGGACTACATCCAGCTCGCCTTCTCGGACGCCTCGGGATGGAATCGTGATAACTCATACTCTACCCTGACAGACACGGCGAAAGGTGCTTTGCCCTCGGGGACTGATAGTCGATAAATATAACTTGAAGAGCAAAATAGCTGACCATGGCCGATTAATATCTAGCTCTTCTTGACTTTTCGACTCCAGAGCGACTTCGTGTTCACCTGTCTTCCCTTTCTACCCCACAGTTTGCGACCTCCTATACCCTCGGAACAGTTGGACTCATAGATGGCTCCGTATCATATCTATTCAGCACAATACCTCTAGACAAGACGCCGAGTCGAAGCGCCCTAATTTCTCTACGAAACCTTGTACTGGGATATAGACAGATATATCCGCCAGCCGTGCCCCTGGACCCAGGCTTAGAATGGACTTTAGGAGGCATTCCAGATAGCGCAGAACAGATCCTATCAAACGCATCAGAGCAGGCCGGGACACTTGAGAGAAAGAGAAAGGCAACCCTACTCCATGCCACGTTCCATCTGCCGCCTCCAACGACACTCACGGCCCTTTTCCTTCATCGTCCTTCACCGACTACCAAGCTCTCAGTCGCATTATGGTCCAGTCAAGCAACTAATACATCTAAATCGGCACCACCACAGGCGTCACTATTAACGCAATTGTTTCACGATACCGGAAAATATAGTACCGAGTTCTTATTTAGCACAGACAATTCCCTATTTGGCTTCAGGGGGTTATGGAACTTCGGCCCTGATCCAAGGAAGACCGAGGGCGAAAGTACCAGCACCAATGATGTTCCAAGGAAAAAAGCCCCGTGTTTGCAGTCTGTAGCACTCCTCTCTGCTGGCGGAGAGGCTTACTATTCACCCACTTCAAGCGTCATTGGCCTCTCGACCGGCGTGCGGTTCACTACATTACCCGCTGCATATGATGCACGTCTAAATTCAGCCTCCTCGCCCATTACTAGTAGTACCGGTGTCAGCCAGATCCCTTCTCCAATTTCAACATTCCCGTATACATTGACATTGACATTAACTCCCCTTACCGGCTCCCTCTCAACTACATATTCCCTTCTCGCCTCCCCGAACCTGGCTCTCAGCTCCCGGTTCGGATTCAACGTATATAGCTGGGAAAGCGAAATGGTTGCCGGCTGTGAACTTTGGAGAAATAGGAAGAAGGTCGATCTTCATCGCTATAACCCCGACGGGAGCGTTGATGACTTGGCCTGGGCGAAGAGGAAGTTGGGCCTTTTACCTCCCTTAGATGCTTCAGACTCAAGCCCGTCCTCATCCTCGACGTCATCCTCGCTGTCTCCTTTATCTTCAGAGTCGGTTGTCAAGCTTCGCGTCGACCAGTCGCTAAACGTTCGACTTCTTTGGGAAGGCCGTATTAAGGATCTATTAGTCAGTGCTGGAGTGGCACTGGGCCCTACATCTGCACATACTCCGTCGATGTCATGCTCGGCCGGATCTTCACCCAAAGGCTACGGCTGGACCGGCGTGGGTGTGTCTGTATTATACTCGTCATGATTTAAACGATCTCCATATATCCATACAATAATTTTTGGTTCTTTATATCTTTATTTTTATTTTCGTCTGATGTGCTGGAATGATGCCAGTTCGCCTACCGGTCTTGGGATGGGGCCATTGACAACAGATACATTAGATATGCTTTTAATTGGGCTTATTTTAATATTGCGGGTACATCTATACAGGATCACACCGCGTGTTTCCCCAAAGCAGAGGCCATGGATGAGAGCTGCTATTTATTAGCTGGATCATGGCCATTTGTTGTTCTCTTTAAATTTGTTTACAGACGAGCATTGATGATGTCGACGACTATTTCGATCATTAGCTAGTTCTCTTCTAATGGAAGGGTTCATCGGTGACTTACAAGCAGGCTTCAAACTGGCACCTCCAACCAAGAATCCGTCAACATCTTGTTGCTTGGCAAGCTCGTTGCAGTTCTTCTCGTTGACGCTGCCTCCGTAGATGATACGGGTGGCCTCGGAGACGGCAGGGGAGACGGTTTCGGAAAGCCACTTGCGGATGGAAGCGTGGACCTCCTGTGCTTGTTCAGTGGTAGCGACCTTTCCGGTTCCGATTGCCCTAGAGATTATATTGGCGTTAGTTATAACTCGATATTAGCAATAGCATCAGGGACCTACCAGATGGGTTCATAGGCAATGACAATCTTGGACCATTGCTGCTCAGACACCTTTTCGGCAATAGCCTTCAATTGTCTGGTAACGACTTCGACGGTCTTGTTGCTCTCTCGCTCCTTCACGAAAGTTAGCTGGAGTCATGCAGCCATTTGTGGTTCTAGGCCATACCTCGAGAGACTCTCCAATGCAGACAATCACGTTCAACCCACCCTCAATGGCAGCCTTGGTCTTGCGTGCAACGAACTATATCCACAAACAGCCAAATTTTAGCACTAGTCCTGCCGTATACATCTTAGTTGTTTTGCAGGAGAAGAAAATCCTACGTCATCGTCCTCCTTGAGGATAACCCTTCTCTCACTGTGTCCGGTCAAAGTCCAGTCGATTTTAGAATCCTTCAACTGGTCAACGCTAAGCTCGCCGGTAAAGGCACCGTTTGGCTTGTCGAAGACGTTCTGGGCGGCAACACTGATTTTGGCGTCTGCTTGGTTGCGGGCGAGCAGGAGGTAGATGGCTGGAGGGGAGATGACGACTTCGGTGTTTGCGTCGAGCTTAGCGCTGTTGAGGTTTGAGATGATCTGGGAAATCGATTGAGATGTTCCGTTCCTGTGTGATTCGATTAGCTGCTGATTCATGTCTATATATCGTGGTTTCGTTGGGGGGTATCTCTGCTTGAGGCGGGGGAGGGGTACATCTTGAAGTTTCCGCCAACGAAGAATTTGCGAGCCATGGTGGATGGTTGTGGAGATAGTCTGTGAATAGGATGAGAAGATGAGTGAATGTAGTTTATGTATCTTAGATGAGGTCGATACGAAGCAATTGTTGGCGTTGATAGAAACCAAGAATGCGAGCGTTGGATATTTATTATATTTTGGCGGGGACGTGGGGCGCGGCAGAAACCGGACTTGCTCTGCCCTATTTTTATAGCAGGCATGAAGTCTCACCCAAGGTGAATACGCAGCAATTCTCACCCAAGTGCTCTCTATAGGTCTGAGTTGGAAGTAGCTGGAGAGTCGATCTGACATGGATGGTTGTCCATCTATACGTATCTTGGTTAGAACCCATTTACTCGCTGGAACGGCGCGTAGGGCAAGGATGGGCTACTCCACCGCCGTACTCTTGACCCTGCTATACAGCTACTACGAGGGAAGTGTCAGGGTAAGCGCTGGAGGTTGTGAGACGATGTCCTTTGGACTCTCGCTAGAGTCTTGTATGTCATCCTTATCCCTTTCTGAGAGCCAGCTGAAGAGTATCCGGAAGAGCACAAAGGAGACGGAGAAGGAGTTGATATCCGGTTCATTGTATCTTGGACGTATCTCCCTTCAAGAGGACAACAACGCGCCTTTTAAAGGGAGATCAAAGGAGATGCCAGCGCGTAGAAGCCCTAGACCAACGGCCGTCTTCCTCCTCACGGCGTCTCCAACATTTCTCCTAGCATCAGCCGAGTTATTATCCTCCTCAGCCATTGTTCTCGTTGTCCTTGCATCCTGCATCCTGTATCCTGTATCTTTATCCTGCATCTAGTATCTTTGTCTTGTCTTGTCTTGTCTGTTGTCTTGTGTCTTGTCTGGTCGTTCGTGTGAGCTTGCTTATCGATAGACACATCACGTGTCTTGCTCAGCCTCCATCAACTTCGACCTCAAGATCGGTTTGCGCAAAGAGAAACGCAGCTTCTTCACCAGGAGCCGGCCAGGGAGACGACTTTATGAGAAATAGCTCCAGGATACGAACTGCCTGACGTTGCGCCTACTAACCCACCGCCCCTGTTCGTTTTCACAGCCAGCCATGGCTTCGCAGTTCATCGGCTGCACCGTGCTGGTGACCCTCAAGTCTCCGCCAAACTGCCAGGTCGAAGGCGAGGTCATTGATGTCGTGGGGACTAGGCTCAGCTTGCAAAACGGTTGGTCACTTATAGTACACTATAGCCAGTGCTCGTGCTAACGCCTTGTCTAGCACAACTCTTGTGGAATGGCCAGCAGTTCCCGTTGTATCATATCGACGGTTCAAGGATCGCAGACCTAGAGATATCCGGTCACCCAACGCCCCAAGCCTCCTCGCACCTTAGAAATGGGCACCTCGAAAACAGCGGGTATTTCCCCACGCGGAATGACCAGCAAGAACATGTCTCGGCTGCGGCTCATCGCGAACCTGTGTCCCACGGCGCGGAACCTCGATCTTTTGTAGATCCGGCGATCCTAAGCTTCAAGCGGCCGCTCAGACAGGGTGGGCACCAGGATGCACCCAACGAGGTAGAGTCGTCTACCATTACGTCACACCCGATTTCTACTTCTCCTGTAATGCTAGGGGGCTCGGAAGTACCTACTTCGGTGCATTCCACTCAGATAGGGCACCACACCCGTCTCCCGGCAACATTGAATGCGCCCTTTAGCGACCTAGAGCTGAATAAGCAGGAAATACTGTCCTCTAAAACGAACAATATCATTGAGGAACAGAGGCTGGAGCAACAATCTATACCCGGTGCTGGCTCGGCCACGACCCAACTTAAAAATACAGGAAAGCGGGGCAAGAGAGGTGGTAGAGGGAAGCTTGAGAGAGATACTGGGGAAACTACCGATATGACTGCCACCGAATCACATGTCTCTGGGAAGAAAGGCAAGGGGTGGAGACAGACTGCTTTTATAGAACCGATAGATGCATCGCCCACCGCTAATAAACCCAAATCTAGAGCATCTAGGAAGGTGAGAGCTCATAAGGAAGACCTGAACGGGTGGGCAACCGAAGATGCAACCGATATTCAAGAGTTGGGTGACTTTGACTTCCAGAGCAACTTGTCCAAATTTGACAAGCGAAGAGTGTTTGATGAAATACGGAACGATGACACGACTCCCCTTGAAGATCGCCTGGCATCCTTTAACAGACGCCCTAAGCCCGGCACGAATGGAGGGAAAAACCTTCATTATACGGAAAACGTCTTGGAGACAACACCACAGCCCGCAGGCGCCCGATGGAACAGCGAAGCGGGGGAAACGGACGAAGATTACACAATAGATGGCAGGACGTCTAGTCGCAATCGATCCATGCCCTCACGAAAGGGCAGCGGGGTCCTGGCATCCACACCGTCGTCCGCTCAGTTTACCATTCTCGGCCGTTCGCATCTCTCATCTACTCGTACCACGAGCCCACAACCCATCAAAACGATGAGACACTCTACATCCTCAATTACAGGGTCTTCCGGTTCTTCTGGTGGTGCACTACATATGATAACCACAGGCAGGCAATGCCCAAGCATCAGTCCACTTCAAATGGTAGAGATTGAACAGTTAGCCATATCGGAGTTAGGTCTCACCGAGGACATCATTACAGAGAATGCCGGCCGAGGTATTGCTGAAGGCGCTATTTCTCTTGCAACTGGACTACGTGCCTCTTCGATCATTCTAGTTTTTGTCGGGAACCATAGAACTGGTGCGCGCACTGTTGCATCAGCCCGACATCTGCGCAATCGTGGTTATCGAGTTTCACTCTGCATCCTTGGCAATGATCGTGAGAACGAGTTCACTGATGGCTTTCAGAAACAAGTTGATATCTTCAAGAAGGCGGGCGGGCATGTCATGCGGTGGGAGGACCTTTCTACTAGGCTATCAGCTGGTGATTATGTGCCAAAGCTTGTGGTTGACGCCCTTTTTGGTATGCATGTCGCATTCGAGGATTTGCGCACCGACGACCAAGCAACTGCCTTTGAGATTATTTCCTGGATCAACCGAAGTAATGTCGATGTGCTATCTGTCGATATCCCATCTGGTCTGTCTGCAATTACTGGTAAGTCAAATAAATCTCACCCGCTATACGCTTCACTTACTAGCTGTGCCCTCGCTAATATCAAATAGGGGAAGCGACGATTTCGCAAGGATCCCAACTCGCGGTATCTTCCCAGTTCGTCATCTGCCTAGGTGCGCCCAAAACAGGACTTGTGAACGCATTACCTTCACGGGAAGGAGAATCCTGGCAAATTGCCGTTGCAGATGTAGGCATCAGCCCTGCAGCGTGGAGGAAGTACGGGACTCGCCGCCGCCATGGTGTCGAGTTTGGAAGTGCATGGGTTGTACCTCTACGATTCCAGCTTCCAACCCCATGATAAGATATATTATATTGTGTTGCATCTCCTATTTTACCAGTGTTTACATTTCTTATCTTTACGATTCTTTCTTTCCAGGCATCATAGGCGGGAAGGTCAATGGTCATGATTGGTTCTTAAGGGGTCTCATTGGGAGCTGGTCAATGGGTATGGCGTTTTTCTTTCTTCGTGATGCGATTATGGAACAGAAAAAGCGATTACTTTCTTCTATCTTTAAATATAACTTAGGATTGTCTCTTTATTGTTCCCTCACTTCCCCCGGGTTTCTTTGGTGTATCACTTATTTTTTAAGGCTCTCATGACTTAGTTAATGTGTATTTTATTCCCCAGTCATCGATATACGAAATATGGGTGTTTGCAAGTATCAGTTTTTCAAGGGAGATATCCTATTTTCCAACCATTAAACCGGCCTTAGCCTTAGGCTTGTAGTAAAGGGCACGCTGGAACCGGCCGGTATGGCACAGAGACTGTAGTCACAGCCTTGTCTAGCACTATACGAGAAAAGGGCCCTGTCAAAGGCTTTGTTTCCATCTATCCTATACCTGGACAATGTTTTCAACATAGCTAGACAATGAGCAACCAGGGATATAAAATGGCCAATTTCGTATCTTCTATTTTCTAGAGGCATGTAAGATACCCTCCCTATACCCCAGAGGAAAACAAATACCCCTATGAAAACATTCTGGACCCCAAACTACACATATAGTTCTCACTCCCCTAACACTACTTCCATTCCTCCTGCATATTTAGCACCGATATAAGCTGTCATGGACTTTGACCTGGATAGATGGTGGGGGGCTAAACGCCCAGTAGAGGACGCTGGTCGGTCTATAAATGCCATGCTTGATGGGCAAGTAGGGCCAGAATTGCAGGCGATTGTTATGCGGCGCCGACTCGCTGGGCCACGTCTACTCTCTCGATGCAATGATTTAGTCCGCATTGGCCCTCTCAGCCTCATGAAACCCCCTGATCAGGGCCGGGCAGACACATTCAGATACCATACAATGTCCCATATCGGATACCCCGACGACAGGGACCCCAAGATTGGGCAAAAATATTTTGATGACATGTGCTCTGATATGCAAAGGCGGTTTGTGATATATGGAAAGATTGGGAAAGGAAGTAAGTACGATATCAATATCCATAGCTAGTCATTGATCATATCCCCTTTCCCCCTATTTTCTATCGAGGCAGTTTGGCTAGACATCATCCTAGCGTTTGGCCAGATATATGCGGCTCGAGAGATCAATCCTCCTCCATCTCCCACCAACACCGATACTAACACTGGCTCTGGCTCCGGCTCCGACTCTGACTCTCCGCAACCAACTGGCGGTTCTGACAATGATGGCCCACGCACCGGTACTACCGGGAATGATAGACCACGCCAGTTCGCTATAAAGATGGAACTTCAAACCCCTTTATCTCGAGCAACAAAATACCAAAAGGCCCCAACATGTCTCTATCGAGAAACTTCCACTGGAGCTGAACGTTTGCTGCCTGTGGAAGCGATCGTACTCCAACTACTCACACAGTGTGACCGGTTTCCGAAACTTGATTCCGTCTATATCCATAGGGAGTTTTCGTCGATAGTCATGTCTGCTGATAGCGTCGATGACGATCCATTGCGAGGGACATTGCCCCAGCTAAAAACAGTACCAACACATTTATTTCCGGGGTATAATGGGGAACAGTTGATGTACTGGAAAACGACGAGAATCACTGAAATCCAGGCGTGCAAAATCGCGTCCCACCTTCTTGAGGCGATCGTTTATCTCATGGATATGAAGATGATGCATGGCGATTTAAGCCATCGAAATTACATCTTGGATAAGAATCTTAACGTATGATTGTCCTCATTTGCACCTAGCCATGAAATTAAGAAACTAAGCGCTAACTTCGCAGAACAGGCTCAGCTTATCGACTTCGGTGCTGTATATGCGGCTGAAAGGGACGGGTGGATGACAGATGAATATGGCTATATCGAAGCATTCGAATATTTTGTTAATCCAGAGATAGCCCTGGCATTCGCAACCTCTGGCATAAGCAACCCCAGAGACACACTTGACGATAGAATGTTGGTCCTGGATCACGACATTCGTGTGCAAAACCTCTGGAAATTCGGGGTGTTGGTTTACGACCTGCTTCACGGATATTCTCCTTGGGAAACACCGGAACGCCATCCACACCAGGCAGAGATAAAGGAGCTCCATGACTGGTCGTACGACGACGATGAGAAGTATATCTACCTCTACGACAGGAGGGTGCGAATTATGAATGAAGAGCTGCCCATCGACGAACGTCTATCACAGGATTGTGTGGACGCGTTGAGGCATTTGCTGGCAAGAGATATATGTGATAGGATGAAGCTGGCAGATTTGCAGAACCTGCCCTGGTTTCAAGGACACTGGGTTGACCACCATCCTAGTGAGCTGGCCAGGCCACCGAGGAGAGCGCATTAATTGACACGATATCACGGACTAGAAACATCCAAAAGTCACACGCCATCGTCATGGATGCCATGATAGAAAAAAACCGATTCGTGTTTATTGATAGGATATCATGGTTTCAAGTGGTAGAGAACCCAGAAGCCGATCACTAGCAGAGTCATCCGTTGTGTCAACGGACCCCTTATTTAAATAGCTGTACCATAAATGTGAGAAAGCTTGGTTAAGATTCGTATGTCCGCAGAACGGATGCTGAACCTGATCGATACCAAGTCATTTGCTCATTCGGTAGCTTATATTAAAGCGCGTCGCGTCAGGTATGACTCGAAAGATAGTTTTTTCAATGCCAAATCCTTGTGTATATGCCATCAAATTATCATATCGAACTGCGCTCTCACCAGGAATCGAAGGTCCCAAAACCTCCACGGCCTGCATTCTTCGCCTTCTTTCGAACATGCTCTGGTTCCGGTTCATCGTCGTCAACAAATCCAACAATTTCATCTTCATTCCCAGTGGGCGTTGCGGCTGCGGCCTTTAGATATTTTCCAACTCCAGATACGCTTCCAGGGGTATTATCTCCTCCAGCAGAGCCATATCCACGTAACCTCTTTCCGGTCCATGTAACTTGGTCATCGTCATCTTTGCTCTTATTAGCCCCTCCATTGGCCTCAGAATTGGATTTCTGTTGAGCACTCTCCTCTTCGCGCTTTTTGTTCAGAAATTCTTCGAAAGGATCCACGAAAATAACTATATCAAGCATTTTAATCGGAGGCGTCGGCCGGTTTGAGCTGGAGTCCACAGGAGCGACTTCCATCGCGTCTAGGGTCGGCGAAGACGGTGAAGGGTCATCAATTAAATGACCAAACACAGTGTGTTTGCCGTTCAAATGAGGAACAGCACGATATGCAAAGAAACTACTCAAGGGTTAGCAAATGTCGGTAAATGAAAAAGATGATGAAACCAACTCACAATTGACTACTATTAGTGTCCTTCCCTTTATTCGCCATACTCAGCGTTCCTCTAGAGTCATGCTTGAGAGGGCCGATAACCTCGTCTGCGAAATTCTTGCCCCAGATACTCTCACCTCCCCTACCGGTTCCAGTGGGATCACCACCCTGGATCATAAACCCTTTGATGTTGCGGTGGAAGCTAACACCTTTGTAGTAGTCCTTTTTCGCCAGTTGAATGAAATTCCACACTGCTTTGGGTGCATGTTCAGTATGTAGCTCGATATTTAAATCTCCCATGTTTGTAACTATTCGCGCATAGCCCTTGTTCTTTACGCGGCCACGTTTCAGCATATACTGTTCGTCCGTCAATATTGACAAGTCTGCAGCCGTGTGTGGAGTTAACCCGGTACTGGTGAAGGAGGCAGCAGCTAAACCGGTGGTGTGCCTTGCCGCGTTAAACGGTACCGGTTTGCCGCTTTGGTTGGTCGAGCTCTTCCTCGTCGAAGCTTCTTTTTGTTTCTGGGTTGATAGAGCGCTTCCCGATATGGCTTTCTGCTCTCTCTCAGCCCTTGCTTTAGCAACTGCTTCCTTTGCTCGTAGAATCTTAGCAGAGCTGCCCATTGCATTAAGGTTGATACTCTGCTCATCCTTCCCATCCGAGACTTTGGTTTCTCCGTCCTTTAAATATTTGAAGGTACTCAGGTCCCGCGCGTTCACATTATGCGGGTCCTGCAGTGTGATAATATCCTTCCTGCCAAATTCCTCGTCGGACACTAGATCTCGCCATAACTTGGGTTTAATATTGAGTCTCTGCACCGTATCCCACGCGAATACGTTCCCCGTGTTCCCCAAGGCAACAATATGTGTGTTGTCCGTAAAGACTTTGTATGTAACTGGGTCGACATATTCTCCCGAGTCGTTCTTTGCGAAGTGCAGCTTTATGAGGTCGGAGTTTTTCATAGGAGCACCGTTCACAGGATTAGTGCCATGCTTTTTCACCCAGGGTAGAATATGTGTCAGGTCAAATATGATCCCGTCGGAGGTGCATACGGGGTGAGAAAACGGCTGGAGGGAGAGAGAGCAAAAGTTGAAGGGCAGTCGTTTGAAAGATGCGCCAGCACCGCCAGTCTTTTGTCGGGCAGCACCAGCGCCAACGTTGGCCGAAAAGGCATCCTCGGACGCCCATTCGGAATGGGTAATCTGTGTATTTCAAGAGTCAGCTTGACTCGGGTAGGGTGAATGGGTAATCGAAAAGATATTGGGATCACGGCGTACATAGAGCTTATCAGTTCCTACAAACTTGAGTTAGTACAACAGAACAACTGTTTAAAAGAGTAGAATCTTGCGATTACACGTACCTTTCCCCATCTTAGCTGTCGTTCCAAGTGTTCTTATTTAAATCCAGCTTTGTACTTTGGACGGCGAGCTTGAGCTTCGAGCTTCATCTCTAGCGCTTCGGGTAAACATTTTACCGTCGACTTTATGTACTTTCTTAGAAGCATCTCACCATATACCATATCCACCATCTTGATAGTCGGCGAAGAACCTCTTCTCCGGAAAAGTCTAGTTGTGATGGCGTGTGGGATGATGAGGATCTCTTCGTCCTCTGTCAGTCACTCTTAGCTACTGCTCATATTGCGAGGCTTTGGCCATATCAAGAGAATACCGTTAACCATACTAACTTGGTTATAGCTTGTATTTCTACGATTCCTGGCCTTAAAAGGCATATCAGGAGTAATAGATCAATCCTACTCTCTCATCACGCATACTGATAAAACATGGCTTTCCACGGTTTATGTATAGTTGTAATAGTGGTTAAAAGAGTTGATTTAAGCAAAGGTTCGATTACTCTAGCTCTCAGCCATCGTCGTTTCAGATATATCATGGCAGGCGAAGTTCCTGGTCGAGAATTCGTGCCTCGTTCATATCCTAACTAATACAGCCATCCAGATATACCGAGAATCCGTTAGAAGCGAATCAAAATGCCCGGATGAGTTTCTCTTGCAATACTTGAGGCTCAACCCAATGACACGCTTTATATCATGGCCTGCGCCCGGTTTCGCTGCGTCTGGTGACAAGCTCTGTCGGAATCCCCTGCTCTCCGTTCTGATTTGACGGCCGCTTTCTGCTAGCGAAGTACGATGACGATGCCTCCATGGGCTACTGGCAGGGTTGATATGCAGGGCGTCAACTGGGCAAAGGGAGTTTAGATGCCTTGCAGCTGGCGTGGCCTTACAATGCCCGAAGCTGCCTTTGGGCGCCTGGCGGCAACCCTCAGCCCAGTCCGCGTATCGACAATATGTTGTCGAGTCCTGTCGACGCTCATAAATCGATTTAATTGAGTTTGTCTACAGTGTTACGAAGGTCTCCCCGGATTTGACGGACAGGCGGACAGGCGGTAAGCCAGCGATGCCGTCCAAAAGCCACTCTGGTGGTTAACGATTATTCCAGGGATATCTTACACGGCTACGAAGTACAAACATGTACTGCTCAGAAGAGGCAGAAGTTGTTCGATCACTATCAAAGTCAAGTATGGCCTATACAAGGGATTATAAGTAGCTACGAGGAGTCAAAATGTGCCTTTTTTTGAATACGGAGAAGTCACTCTACATCGACCAGTTCTACGCCGCTTCGAGGCTCAGACAACTAGCCAACATCTAAATACTTCCCGGAACGATACAATTTTAGAAAGCTCCCAGGCCGTGCGTCCCGCTGTTGCATGCATATCAGCGGGGAATCAGCATGTTATCTCCCGGATATATGGCTGAGCATAGCTGGAGTGCGAATCCAAGGTGCGAAGGAGGTGTTACATACAACGACATGCGCTTATGTTGTAGCCTAGAGGGGTGTTCTCATGCATAACTGCAGGATTATACGGAGTACGGAGTTATGGCCAGCACTGCATCCTGGTTGGCCGTGCAGCGATCAGCCTCAAACACCCCAGGAGGAATGCGAGGATTGGGGGCGATGCTTTTTTTCGCTGCAGGGCGCATCGCGAGGGCGTCAACATCTCCCAGATGTTACAAGTCGAAAGTGACACCCCTTCGCTTGCTCCCAACGCCCGAGTTGAGTGACGGTTTTTCCTTTTCCCCTGGCACCATCAACTATCCTAGACTTCTTTTGGCTTTTTGGAAGCCTTACGCTTGCATGGGGGAAGCTGATGGTGTGAGGGAAATTCATAGCAAAAGCGAGAGAAGAGAAAATACAGAGGAGGTTTACACACTCTTCAGCGGCTCATCGTTAAAGATAAATATCGGCTTCTCTGCTTTGCCTATTACGCTATACTCATTCTTGAACATCGCCAAACCTGCAATGAACATTGATCACGGCTCAAACACAATCCTGATAGCGCGGTAACGGGGCGCTTGTTGTTGCCCATACGATTCCCAGATTTCTTCCTACCTGCACCTAATAGTAAAGCGACAAATTGGATACCTCCAGGTATTTATTCCCTTCAAATATTTTACTGTTTAACCCAATCAATTACGCTTAACTCCACATTGCCTTGCCCCACAGTGGCTTCATCTACGATATCCCATCAAGCAGAAGCTAATGATAGGCGTTTACTAGCTCTGTCAACTCCCGTTAAGGGCGCATTTACCATGGATATGAGCCCTAGTATGCATAGCATCGGAGGAGATAGCTCCCTTAGCCAGAGCTGGGAAGATATGCCAATGCCTGGCAACTTCCCCGATACCCCGGATGTCGACGATCTAGAAGCCCTTAATGACCATCTCAAGAAGCTCGGCCTTGGTAACAGTTCAAATGGCCATTCTCGGGGAGATCAGCTTGGGAACCAACTAACCCAGAGCACCTATGAAGGATGGACCTTATATCGTGGGGAGCCCAAAACTCCAGGTGCAGAACGAACCTGGGCCACCGCTACTATGTGCAAGATGCCCCTTCCACAGGCAGAGTTACTCGACCTGGTTCAGAAACAAAAGCGCAAGTCGGTTACAGAAGCCTATAATGAGCTTACGATGGTCAAACGACAACACATCGACAATTTGATCGAGGAGAAAAAGCAAGAAATTGGCGGCGCGAAATATGACTGGACCTGTGTCTATATCAACTCCGCTACTAGAGAAGTCCGGTCTGCCTTTGGCCCCAGAAAGGTCTTGACAATTTCTATAGCGATTGTGCTCCGCAAACAGCTGAAGCCCGAGGTCGTTAATGCTATACGTACTGCACATATCTTAAAAGAGAGGAAGCTTCGGAATGCTGAGAACCGCCAGAGGGCCATGGAACAACATGAAGATTTTAGGGATTTTGATGATTCCGTCCACCAGACTCATAATCGATCTGGTCTTGGGCTAAATTTCCCCGGTCCGCAACATCATCCACAAAATCGCCCACAGAGCAACGCTCAACGCCCTCCTCCACACCACCCACAGGACAGGCCTCCAAATTATCCTCCACACCACCCACAGGATAGACCTCCAAGTTATCCTCCACATCACCCTCAGGACAGACCTCCAAATTATCCCCCACGCACTCCACAGGGTCACCCACAGGGTCACCCACATGGTAACCCTCAGCATCACCCCCAAGATAATCATCAATTGGATCATCCGCATGCTCGTGGTATTGGGCCACCTCAGGACCAGAGGCATGCCAACCACCACATGCCACACCATGACCCTCGAATGATGCCAGAGAGACCAATCCCAGTGGGACCACCGCCCGAATCTCGACATATGCCTCCATTTGAGGAGAATCGACACCCTCATCATCAACAGGGCCAGAGAATGCAACCAGAGATGGTCCAGGTTCCACCAGGCCACCATCACCAGGGCCAGAGAGCACAACCTGAGATGATGCAGATCCCACCACCCCCAATAGGACCCCATCAATCGCAGCCTCGCCTACTCCCTCCTCCTCCTCCTCCTCAGCATCCTCATCCAGGACCTCCGCATGAACAGCTACCTCCAGGTGTTCAAATATTAAACCAAGGCCCCCAGGATCCCCGTCAGCACCACCCCGGACATCAGGAATTGCCTCCGGGCGTTCAGATATTAAACCAGGAGCCCCACAATCCCCGCCAGCACCACCACAGGAACGAACAGCCACATCCGAGTGCTCATGTATTAAACCAAGGACCACCAAATTCTCACCAGCAACACCCTAGAAATGGACATGGGGAACTACCACCAGGAGTCCAGGTATTGAACCAAGGGCATCAGCATCCCAATCAGGGCCGTCCTAGACACGAACAGGGCCCTCACGGAGCTCAAGTATCAAACCAAGACCCTCGTCGTGCCCACAGGCAACCTCCTGTGCATGACGAAGTACCAGCAGGCGTCCAAATCATAAACCAACCCCGTCAACAACAACGGAAACAGAAACAGCTCCCTCCTAAGGTCGTAAACCCGGGAAAAACTAGAAGGGATCAGGCTATGGTGGAACAGTGGTTGGAAGAGGAGGAGGAGAGCGATATCTCAGAGGACGATTCATATTTATTCGACCCAGAGAACGCAAGCTCGGTGACAGAAAACTCATTTTCTTCTGGAGAATATGACAAATGCGATTTCCCTCCCGATGATGAGTACCTTCGACCCCGTCCATCCAAAAGCCATAGGCGTGAAAAAAGCAAAAGCAGTGACCGTAGCGGCCACCGCCAACGTCCCTCCCTAGGATATCGCACCCATGAACGCCCTTCGAGGAAGGCTTACCTGGCTGAACTACCTCGACACCGGGGCTCGAAATACTTAGCTGAGTCTGCCGAAATCCTGCCGTCTAATAGCAAGCACAACCGCCAGGGGAAACTGACCCGATCGGAGTCTGTTTCCTACCCATCTCGACGCCAATCGTTGAACCTCCATCAACGTGGACCACGATCTTACAGCCCTGACTCACCTCCTGCACGCGTGTCGCGATCTGAGGTCGAGTGGGAAATAGAGCAACGGGAGCATGACAGGGCATATCTCCGCTACCTAGAGAGCCAGCGACTGGCCAAAAAGGAGGTAGAAGCTCGTCTAGAGCGTGATATAACCGACCGCCTGAACATGGAAGGCTCAAGGCCGGCCGGTGCTCAACTAGGAGGATACACTCCGCAACGAGTGCTGGATACATATGAAAAATATGATCGGATGAGACGGTTGGACGGCAATCGCCGCCAGTCCTACATGGAGAAATCACAAGCGCCTACTTATCCAAGAGACTACCCTTCACGACATGAGAGATTATTCCGGGGATGAAAAATATGAAACTTACGGAAGTAAGGATTTCCTTTTGTTTTGTTTATATGGGGATCATTTAGGAGTATGCAATGGTTAGGCTCGGATACGGTTGGCTAGGAAGGATCAAGCTATGATGCGATATTTCCTTTGGTTTGGGCGCCTTTATTTTGTTATTACGTTTATACGCCGGGTTTTAGGTTCAGGTTATGATGGAATCGTTCTATTTCTAGCTTTTCACTTGTGTTATATGATGAGTTACCCCTTTGTCAATAGTCACGAAGATATCTTTCCCACTAAAATGAGAAATATTCCAATCCATGTCATTCTCATAAAACCATACGCCAACTCGCGTAGTTAGATTACTAAAACCAGCAAAGCTATGCCACGGATCGCAGAAGCACGAAAAATATTTTTTTACTTGTAGATATCAATTCTATCATTAAAATGTTTCTATCTATATTACAGGTATAGAGAAGGCTGTGCCTATTTGTTCCACCTACACATATTGAGCTAGTGAGTCGAAATCATCGTCAAGGTCTGAATTGTTTCTCTCTTGCACCTTTGGTTTCCTTCTGTTATTGATATCATTGATGCTTGATAAATTCTGATAGAATTCAGTCACTTTGGGATGCACCATGACTTTTTTCGGGTCAAACCGAGATACTTGCAGTCCCTGCTTAGTCGTTGCTCGACTGAGAGCAACATAAGCTTGACCTCTTTCAAACACCCTTCCAAGATCAACCTTAACACGTTGCAAGGTTTGGCCTTGAGCTTTATGTATTGATAAGGCCCACGCAAGGATAAGTGGGACCTGTTGTCTCTGAGCTTGAATCTCGCCGTTAGGAAGCTCGATTTTCCAGGCTTCAGGCATACATAGAAGCTGCCTTTCAGAGCCATCTGGTAGTATAAAGGCGACCAGAGGATATTGCTTGGCAGTCGTGATACCACCAGACCCAGCCTTCTGGTCAAAGGCCATGCTTTTTATCTTTTGCTTTCCCCAGTCCAACTCTTCATCAAAGTCATTAGGGGCGCCGTCATATTTCTGTCCCTCCCTCATATGGTTATCGAAGCCTGCCTCATCCATAAACGCAACGACTGTCCCTAGAGAGCCGTTCACGAGGGTTTCGTCCTTATTTTTAATGAGCATCACCTGGGCCCCTTTCTTGAGATGAATTGTCGGAGGCGCCATGCAGTTACTTAATAATCTGGCTCGGACCTGCTCATCTTTTATCGCTCCGGAATCGACTGCATGGAATGTCATGACCGCTCCTGAAAGGCGGTTCATTCTCCCTGAGTTCGCAAGGTCTACCTCTGCCCGGGTGGGGAACCTAGCAAGCCATACCTATTAGACATCAAAAAACAGACTAGCGGGCGTATAATAACTTACAATTCTGTAGCTTCTATATTATCACCGCAATTCAATGGCCTTGAAAGGTCTTTGAAAGCTTGGATGGCAGAGGGACTCAAGCGACCGAGGCGCATTTCATTAAGCATATTTGCAAAATCAGGATCTTTCTGCCTGAACACTTGTGTCAAGAGAATTGTATGTTGAATTGACGTATTCCAGGTTCCCGCTGCAAATGCGAACTTTGCCTCTTTACCGCCTTCAGGGACGGGTGGGAGTTGAAAAAAGTCACCAGTGGTAACGAGTTGGATCCCCCCAAAAGGTCTGCCATTACCTCTGATCTTACGAGCGAGTTCTTCAAGTTTATCAAAGAAGTCCCCGTCAACCATCGATATTTCGTCAATGATAAGTACCTTTGTTTTCAGCCAGCGATTTTTGGCTTTTTGGTTTCGTTTCACCTGTAATGTTTAGCAATTATCAGGAATACATTGAATGGTTCACAAACCTTCTTAACAAGCTCCTGGGTCGATTCCTTCCCAAGGCCGACTCCAGCATAACTATGAAGTGTCACACCTTCAATATTACAAGCCGCTAGCCCTGTTGACGCTGTCACAGCCACAGCGTCAGAGTCCCGCCGATATTTGAGTCGTAATTGCCTAATGATTTCCCGCATCAATACAGATTTACCCGTTCCTGCAGAACCTGTATAGAAAACGCTTTTGCCCATTTTTACAATTGTCTCGATAACTTGATTCTGCTCCTCGCTGAAAAAAATGGACGGGACCCTGGTATTGGGTGGCCGTGGAATGTTGTTGAGCCTCTTCTCTATTGAAGATGAAGACTTGATTTTCATCTGTCTTCTTAATTCTTTTTGCTCCTCCTTAACAGCACTAAAGGACTTATCCCATGGCAGCTGCTTTTCCTTCTTAATTGGAGGAGTATGTTCTGTTTTGATATCTTGAGCGTGGCTGACAGGGCGATATTGTGGTTTGGGGGTGCCATCATACGCATTAACCATGGGCCTTTTGAAGTTGCCCTTTTGATTGGCCGCTAAGTGATCCGAGTAGGGGCCAGGCTTTCCTCTGTTATCCTGGGTTATGTCTTCCCAAGGCAGTGATCTCTTTTTCTGCTGACGTTGGGAAAGGTTCGGGTATTCAGGCTCGCGCGGCGGGGAGGACGACCAAGGTATGGGAATACTGCTCGAGGGGATAGCCGTTGCGGGGGTAGCCCCTTCGTTCACCCGCGGATTGGGTTCTGCGAAGGACGAATTATGAGATGCGCTTCCAGTCTGGGTGTGCTTCGAAACCGCATATTCTATTTCAAGGAAATCGTCGTTCTCGGATTCATTCTCGCCGAAGAATACAGCATCGTGGAGATCGCTTAATGCACTTCTGCTGAGCTCTGGTGTGGAATCGGGTTTCCGCGAGCCATGCGTCTGAGGACTGTTCGAGGCTACAGTCGGGACTGCATTAAGCCGGGTGCGGTTTGGTAAGAAGGATTTGGGCTTCTTCTGCGGCTCAGGGTGCTCTTGGACTGCTCTGGTAAACATTTCCGGCTGCAACGGCTGAGCATACGTTGAAAGTCCCGCGAACCTGCGAGGGAAAGCTGGGGTCAAATGTAAAAGGGTACTGAGGGTCCGGTGCGTTGATAGTGAACGGAGCATGTAAATGTAAGGAATTTATGTAGTCTTTAATCTCTAGAGACCAGCCTGGAATAACCAGGTATCCAAAAAGCACAGCACGAGAACATAGAATGGTCAATTGTCGCTTTGTTTGTTTGAAGAAAATTGATACGTAGTTGCATTTTTCCTAATTTGGACTTTTGAAAGTCGCGTTCGCGTTGAGTCACGTGGTAGATAAGATAAAGGCTTATGTCAGCCGAGCATTTGCAGCATTTCGTCATTTCTGATCGCGTTTTCTCTCTCTGTTATAAGCAAGGGGACATTTGCTTTGGATGACCGACTTGAAGCCCTCGATCGCTGCGTCGGATGATGGGTATACGGGCCCTTGACGATGAAGAATGGCCCAAGATGCAGAACTCGGTAGACAACCTCATGGCTCTCCCCCATTTTCGGGTTCAGAAGCTAACATCGTGAAGCCAAGGAGCTGCCTCTTGCTGGGGTGATTCTTTGCTGCACTTCAATTCTTGCAGAGCACCGAGTGAGTACTGAGAATGAGGGTTAATACGTACTGGCCTGTGTACCACTGACACCATCACAGTCTCAATTGGCGGATATAGCATGCCAGATGGGCGCGATCCACAAGTTCGATCTTACCTCTGATGTCACGCACCTGATAGTCGGCGATATAAACACGCCAAAATATAAATATGTGGCCAAGGAACGAAATGATGTGAAAGTTCTTCGAGCTGAATGGGTAGAAGCTGTCCGGTCTTCATGGATTCTAGGTGGAGACACGGATATTCGGACCCTGGAGGTGGAATATCAACTTCCCCCATTCTTTGGGCTATCCATTTGCATTACTGGGTTTGAAGATAGTATGTATTCCTTGAAATTACGTACATTATCGTCGCGGATGTCGCTGATTGTTGAAAGTGGATTTTAGAAATCACCTTCAGAAGACTGTCAGTTCTAACGGAGGTGAATTTCGGAAAGACTTGACGAAAACCGTTACCCATTTAGTTGCGCGTGTTGGCGACGGTAAAAAGTACAAGTTTGCAGTTTTATGGGGAATAAAAGTTGTGAGCCTAAAGTGGCTTGAGGATAGCATTCAACGTACTATGGCCCTCGATGAAGCTCTCTATGACCCTCTAATGCCGGTAGAACAACAAGGCATCGGCGCATGGAACAGATCGAAGCCTGCTATTACCGAGAAAATTACTAAACCCCAAGAGACTGGCCATCAACGTGCCCGGAAGCTACGTAGAGTTGCTAGCATCAAACTTGGTGGCCAGACTGAAGGAATATGGTCTGCCCTTGTTCCGAACCCTTCCACGGTTGTCGACAACAATGACGGCTCGCAATATGACGGTAGCCAGCAGTTGGTGGGGAATGCGCGCCCAAACTTGCTGGATACAAAATCATTCGCCAGCGAAACTACATTTCCGGAGAGACATGATAGCGTATCACACGATATCAAACCTTCTCCAGTATTGCCGATTGTCGAACAGCAGCCGAGAGGGTTCTGGGATAATTGTAGATTCTACATGACAGGGTTTACAAAAGAGCAAGTAAGTCATCACTGGCAATGATTGCTTCCTAACATTATAATAGCTGACCTTCCATTAGGCACGGATATTGGAATCCCATCTTTTCGCGCAGGATGCTCTTATTTCTCCATCCTTGGACGATTTATTGCAGCATGATAATCAGTTATTCATGGTTGTCCCATTTAACTTGCCTCGACGAGAAATACCGGGGATTGACGAAGACATGGATGAACTTAAAATTGTCACAGATATGTGGATTGAAAGATGTCTACGTAGCCATGCGTTCGTTGCCCCAGAGGCCCATATAACCAGCACCCCTTTTCCAAAATTCCCCATCCCAGGTTTGTCTTGCAAATCCTCATTTCTATACAATATTTCTTCACTAACTTTTTATAGCATTCCAAGGAATGAGAATCTGCTCGACAGGGTTCACCGGGATCGACTTACTTCATCTCTGCAAACTTGTTAATCTATTAGGTAGGCTATACATCAGATATATACATTGTTACCTCAAACTCTAACATTGTATAGGCGCAACGTATGATGAATACCTTACGGCCAATGCCTCCGTTCTAATATGTAACACCACAAGCCCAAGCCCAGAAAAATTAAGACACGTGTTTGAATGGAACATACCGCCTGTGATTGCAGATTGGCTATGGATATCCGTCCAGACTGGAGAAAAGAAGCCATATGCGCCATATTTGATCCCAGATAAGCGCACGGTTTCTCAGGGAGGCCATAAGCCATCAGAATCACACCTAGCAGGGCATCGGCTTGAGAACCCTCTGCCTCTCGACCATTATTCCTCCGACCACAGTAATACACATCAAACCTCCGAAGAAATGGATGGAGGACAATTCAACCCACCAGAGACCGAGGCTACCAATGACCGACCTTCAACCGCCCTTAGAGAGGTTTCTGCAAACCTCCCAGTAAAACCTTCTCGCTCCCCATCCCCCTCAAAGGAGTCTATCCCACCAAATCCACCAATTTCCCCAATACCACTCCCACAACGAGACTCCACTTCCAAACCCACAAACAATCTCGAGAACAGTATATCTCTCAATACCGCAATTAGTGAACTTTTAAAACAGAAAAGAACACGAACCCAACACTCTACCGCTGAGACGGAAGTCCCTGTCCGCTCCCAAAGACGACGAAAGCTATTTGGTAGAGCCAGCTCCTCATGTTCTACCCTAACGACTGATTTACAACGGGGTATATCCAGAGCAAGCTCGATAGACACTTTAAACGAAGACGGCTACGGTAGCGTAGTCGACGGGCTCGATAGCCCATCCACTAAAACACCCAGCAATGCACCAAGTTTTATCTCAATGCCCGCTCAAAGACGCGATGTCAGTCGACCGGAACAAATAGAAGCGCAGCAAATGCTACAGCGCCGGCTTGCTTTATTTCAAAGCAATTCTGCTAATGGAGAATTTGCCGAGAAGGGTGCTGGTGAAGACGAACCCTTACCTCTCACACAGCTTGGGTATGAAGATCCAGACGCTGTAGCAATGCGTGAAATGATCAGCAACCAGAGTCAAAAGGACAATACAGCTGAAGGAAATGGGCCGCCCGGCTCTCGTGCAGGCAAAAAGCTAATCATTGGGAAAATACAGGATGGTTGGGGAGGTGGGAGAAGAACAAGATCTCGCAAGTCGGGTGGTTAACAAGAAGTACTGAAGGAGTTCAATAGAATAGACCGCTATTGCTTATGCGAACAGCGAGTCCTCCACACATAAGCCTTGTTTCTACGATTGTTGTTTTAATGACGGGAGTTCCTGGATGCCAAATACTGTAGATATGAAGCAAATACTAGATTAGCGGAACATATTCTAAATCTATTTACGTTTTTAACATAGTCTGAATCAGATTTCTGGTACCACGGTATGACTATTTACCTCAGTTCCAAGTTCCCTTATATTGTATCTATTTTGACTGGAAAGGAAAGCAGTAGTATCCAAGGAGTAAATATCAAATGTAACATCATTTAGGGAAAATATAGGCGGACCGGGATCTGTATAGCAGAATAACAATGGGGTCCATTCCAATTTGGATTGTTCTAATTGATTATACAAAAAAATCACGCAAACGCAATTGCCAGAGTAAAGGCAGAGAAGGGGGTATGTGTAGTTGAAATATTACGATGCAGGAAATATGTGGGTGCCTCGGGGTTATGTTGGTTCCTGTTTATCCCAAGACGCCGGCATCACTCCTTAAAATAAAAAAAATCATAAAATCATGAACAGTGTGTGGGGGGGTATGCGTCGGCAACATGGAACGATAGGAAAAATGTAAAACAAAGGGAATAGAGAGTGGAAAGAAATACATGCCGGATAAGGCGGAAGGGGAAGCTGGGTACTGTATTATACAGGTTGCGACAATAGAGTGGAAACCGGAGAGAAAGGGAGGGGACCATATGATTTCTTATGCGGCAGCAGGGGGAGCTTGCGCATCAAGGTCGATCTGTTCCACTGTTCTTCTATGTTCGGTACTTTCGCGGAAGAGATTCGAGAAGTATTTCTGTGCAATTTCGCTTTCTTTTTTAATTTTCCCAACCTCATCCTTGCGCTTGGAAAGTTCTTCGGCCGCTATCTGCAGAGTTGATTGCAATCTTGTCGCGGGGACACGAAGAACTCGCCCAACTTCAGCAGATATACGGCTGGCATTTGAGTGGATGTAGTCCATTTCTGCGAGAGTCACAGCGATCTTACGAGATAAGCTTGACGGGAGAGATGTTGGGACCTGGGAGAGAATGTATGCTCCGGCCAATATTGCTAGCAAGGGGGTTAGTAGGACGTCGACAACGATCATCAGATGAGGGGAACTTACTTGCACCCAACAAGCCGGGTATTAATAACCTGCGCATATTATTCGGACCAAGCATTCTTGCAGCTCCTAAGACACCATCAAGCCAGCCAATTCCTCCTAACGCTCTTCCTCCAAGCACACCAACGACAGTCATAGCCATGCCGGTACCTGCCACTTTCTCTTGTCGCTCCCAGAAGCCGGGAAGATCAATGAAATCCCAGATGTCAAGTTCGGTATGTATTTGTCGCGCCAATTCATGACGGTGCTGCCTAAACATGACTTCGGAGCGGAAGTTTAGGCTGGGGAATTTATTTTCGCCAACATGCAGTAATCCAATGCTCTGGATCATATTGACACTTTCAACGCATTTCTTGCGCGAGTAGTCTTCGCATTGGTAAACACAGGCAGTGATTTGGTCGAGCATTGCCAGTTTGACGTCCTCAGCATAGCGGAAAACTGACAGAAGACCTGGGTAATCCACACCCAGATCAGACTGGGCGACTGTCGATATTTTTTCCGCAAGAGATGAGCGGGTATGGTTGTATACATCATTGGATGAGGCTGCCATAGAGCGTTCTAGTTGCTCGGAGATCTCTGTCCGCTGAATCTTGCTCTTTTCATAGGCTGGTTCAAGTTCACTGAGCTCCGCCGATACACGTTCCAACTCTGCTACGGCAACATCGCGATTGACCCTAGCAAGAACGTTAAGGTCGGACAAGATGTTAAGTAAGTAGGTTCTGGCTGGAGCAAGCTTGGATCTAGATCGCTTCTCGAGGACAAATCGTCGTAGAGCACCCTCCAGATTTTCAAAATCGCGGAGCTTCTCTTTCGCTTTTTCCTTCCCTTTGCCCTTACCCTTCGGGTCATCGTCGTTATCATCATCGTCGCCATCACCACCCCCACCCCCACTGACAGGTGCAACAGGAATGGCGTTACTGGAAACGAAGTGAACCAGCTCAGCAGACTCCTTGTAAGTGTGTGGGCTCAAAGCGGCCACTTGGTTCAAAATAGTCCGTTGACACCGGGCTGTGTCTCTGATGTTATCAAATCCGTTGACAACTATAAAGATATAGGCCTTTTCATGGGCGGCATTCCTGATAAACTCGCTTGATGACAGGGTGAAATGGTTCGCGGCGGAAAGAACAAAGACAACAACGTCAATTTCTTCCTGTCGGGCGAAGACAGCGGTAGTTTTGACCGAATCAGAGTTTAGGCCTGGGGCGTCGATCAGGGCGATATCGACAACTCCATTGTTGAGTAGAGATTCGTCGATTGTTCGCACGTCCTTCACGTATACCTTGCATTGCATGTATTTGCTGTTATCCACAACAATAGACTCGAGATCGGTAAGAGAGTAAACGTCATAGGTGCTCTCGTCGTTTCTATTGTATTGCTTGTCCTTTGGGATGGCGTGCACTTCCTCCACTCCTCCGTTTTCTCTAGCATCAAGCACTTCACAGAAGATACTAGTGCATGGCTGCTGGTCTTCAGGAAGAATCTTGCGACGTAATAAGGCATTGCAAAAAGTTGATTTTCCGGCGTTAAGATCTCCGGTAATGAGGACTTTGCTTGACGTATCCTCTATCCTTCCTCGTAATGCCAACAAGTGCTTAATGCTCTGACTAACTTTCCCGTCGAGAAGGGAAGCTATAGAGTTCTTCTCTAACGAATGGACGAGTTCTGCCGGGGATAACGCGCCAAGCTTCAAATCCAGCTTCAAGATAGAAAATTCTCGAGCAATCTGTGGTGTTACTAGCCTTGGCTCAACTGGTGACCTGTTTTCTGCGGCCCTGCTTGATTCCGCTGCCTCGCTGATTGACGTGACGGTACGTCGGATTGAGCCGGGTCGCGGGTCGGCTTCAGCACCCTCCTCTCTACTCTCTTCAAATGAACGTGTCCGCGAGAGGATGGGTCTGTTTTGTGGAGGAGTGTCGGTGCTTTGGATGGAGGGGTAATGCGCTGGCCATTGCCGGTTCATTTCCTGGAGCTCTTTCAACAACTCGATAGCCCGAGTAACGGATCGGCCGAGTTTGGTTCGGTTAGAGTTACTAACAACCGTATTAGCATTACTGAAACATATATGCATAGGAGGCTTCAATTCGTACTATACGAGTTGATGAACGTGGTTCGCGATAACTTGTCTTTCATGCTGCGCTGAAAACGGCCATGTTAGCATTTAGAATCCAGAATAAGCGGTATAGAACATGAGGAAAACACACCTGCATTGCTCATGTAGCCAGGTCCTACCGGCGTGTGTGATGGAGTAGGACGGTCCTCCATCAACCCGGCATGCCAGGATTCAGGGCCCATTTCCGAGTTGTCGTCCATAACGCTTCCACCGTACCCGGAGTCCTGGTTCAACGTAGACATCAGCGAGGTCGCATTCCCGGACGCCGGACCAGATCCAACTATCATATATCCGGGGACCTGGCTGGGCAACCGCTCCTCAGAAGACTGTCGTTCGGTCGATCGAGAGGATCCCTCCCCAGCGGAAGAACCCGCGTCCTGGGAAAAGTAGTCTTGACTCATGGCGAGTAGAATGATCTGGCGCGTCTAGGCTATACCCTGTGCGTCTGCGTCACTATGCACATAGCATTTAGAGCCACCCTGCGGACTGTTCGCGGCGTTGTCGTTCGGAGGCGATGGACAATTTGATAAGTAAAAGAAGAATTGTTGCGCGAGCGGCGGAAAATTCGGCGGAAAAAAGATGTTCCGGATCAGGCCATCAACGTCACCGAAATTCAACGCGAGGAAGACGAGAAGCTGCGATGCAAAGGACGCCCGATACTGTTGAATAAGACGCTGCTGGTACTGAAACCATGAATGTAAGCTGGTAGAGAAACGGCCCTCTCCATTAGACACCGTGCTGACCGGGGTTAGATCATCGAATGGGCGTTTGGGAAGCGGATGACCCCCGCGGAGAGGCTGCGCAAACATCAGAGAGCGCTTGAGAAGACACAGAGAGAGCTCGATAGGGAGCGCGTGAAACTCGAGAATCAGGAGAAGAAGCTTGTACAGGATATAAAAAAGAGTGCGAAGAATGGACAGATAGGCGCGTGTAAGATCCAGGCAAAGGACCTGGTTCGAACGAGACGGTATAGCCCAGCTTATGCTTTTTGCTTTGCTTTTGCTTTGCTCTACAGGGGAACGAATAGACGTCTAATCATTCTGTCTGGATAGGTATATTCAAAAGTTCTACTCCATGCGGACACAGCTCCAGGCTATCTCGTTACGGATTCAGGTACGGATGGCTAGGCTCCACCCGTATATTTTTATTCCACATGTTAACTATTTCCAGACCGTCCGAAGCAATGAGCAGATGGCACAGTCGATGAAGGGTGCCACAATACTGCTAGGAAGCATGAACAGGCAGATGAACCTACCCGCACTTCAAAGAATCGCCATGGAGTTTGAGCGAGAAAACGAGATAATGGATCAACGCCAGGAGATGATGGACGATGCCGTCGACGAAGCAACCGGGCTGGAGGATGAGGAGGAAGGAGAGGAAATTGTCAAAGAGGTGCTAGATGAAATCGGCGTTGATCTTGGGCAGGCGGTATGCTCTTCGTCCCCTTATTCCTACTCACTGACGACTCGACTAAGACCGTTTCACTATAGTTCGGGGAGACACCGAGTGGCATTCAAGGCACGGCGGTCAAGGAAGCCCGTGTTGCCCAAGCGGTTGGCGGAGGCGGCCATACGGATGATGAAGACTTACAGGCCCGACTGGATAGTCTAAGGAAATGATCTATTCATAGGCATTCTGAGCACCACCAGTGAGATATCAATTCTAGCAGCGGAGTTCCGGAGTTATGTGAATCAGCGGGCGGGAAACAGGCCCAGAACAGCAGAAACTAACTAGATTAACACCCAGGACCTGGATATCTTCAATGTGACTATAGAGTCTGTGAGCAGTTTTAAGGCTCTACCGGAATACTTTTTTCATTGTCAACCAAGAAGCTGGCTGCATTTACTAGTGATGCAGCTTCCTGGCCTGAAAAAAAAAAGATTGCCTTACCATCCGTTCTGGGCTTAGATGAATTCCATCCCCCCCTGATCTGCCTGTCTGCCTATACGGGGCGGCTGCTGGCAGAGAATAAGAGTTGCAAGCCCCCAGATACTACCCCATTCACCCCTCAGGCCCTCACACCACGCTTACGAACACGATCCCATTTAATATCGACTTAGACTTTGTGGGGTATGACCGTAGCCCATCAACCAGGGTGCATCCTGGGTCCCTGGCCCTGGATATGGCAAAATAAGCCCTCGGGGGTAAATATACGGCCTGAAGACGGCGTGACATTCTGGCAGGGCATGGATTCCATGCAGCGCGGTGTGAGGTTCGGGCTAGTTTCTTCTAGAAGAATGTAACGTACCGGGGGCCCAGGGCCAACTGCCGGTCTCTTCTTGTCCGATGTATCTGTATAGAACTTCCTCTGACCTTTAACCAGAAACCTGCAAGATCATCGGGCCCAAGCCTAGATACCGGCACATCCAGAGATATTTGTATAGACTGTAGACTCTCCTCTATTCTTCTATTCTCCCTTAGCGTCGAGATTCGTAGAGCCAGGAAAGACAGCAAATAGGACAAGCTACTGCTACCTGTAACCGTTTCCCAGAGTCGGACAGGAACAATGAGCCATGGCTTCCTGGCTGCTGGTTGTATTCTCACTGGTGGAAACCTGCCCCTTAAATAACATTCTTGCGTCACTGTATCTCTCATGTGAATATTCAAATATTCACTGAATACACGTCCACCTCAGTCACTGACATCTGCAAGCTGACATCTCCAAGCTGAACACTGCAACCTGGCATCTAGCTGATATCTAGGTGAACACTGTAGGCTGGCTGTATCGGCGCTAAACGTTCATCTCGTCTGATCTTCGGACATCCAAAACCCACCAGCAAACACAAAGTCCAGGATCTCAACAAACCTAACAGAACCACCACACATTCCCCTGCATCACACTCAGATCCACACAAGCTTCGAGATCGCATAGCAGCCTCTAGGTACGTCTCGCGCCTTTCTCCAGACTGTCTGTACTGGCGCCGGTGAAGCGCCCGTTGGAGGAGGGGGCAGCGCCGCTGAAACGTCATTTGCGGCACGCCTGATGCGCCGTGTCTGGACTCCAGATACCCCAGCCTGTCCTGTCCATACGGAATACTGACTGCTGCAATTCCTAATTCTAGCTCCTGCAGCTGCTGGCCAACCCCGCGAAGCCTGCCCGAACCTCCAACTTCGTCCTTCGTCAACGGACACCGGAGGAAGTCAAGCTGGCAGGAAGCAAGCGACAGAGTCTGTCGTATCAGGGCGGGATCCTGAACAGAATGTTCGGTGGCTTCTCGAGCCCAAACAAAGAGAAGAAAACAGATTCATCCCCTGCTGCCGGTGCTAGATCTGCTCCCGCGTCCTCGCCGTCGCCCCCAACTTCCAGCCCAGCCGCAAACACCTCCAACTCCGCCTCCGGCTCCAACTCCAAGTCGAATACCGACAAGGCGAACGAGAGTAACCCCTCCAGCCGCGAGAAACGCCACTTCTCCCTCACGGATTCTTCCAAGCGTGCGTGCGAGAGGTGGAACCAGCCCGGTGACAAGAAACGACGCAATAGCTCCGTCAATAAAGCGGCAGCTCTCTTCACCAGCGCGAAGAACTCGCTGCATCTCTCAAGCACCAAGAACCCGCCAAAGGAGCAGCCGCAGCCTCAGGTTGCGGAGACGCCTCTGCAGGCTCTCGGAAAGATGGATCCTGCCTTGATCGTGCCCCAGGGGTCGTTAAACAATTCCGCTGGCGAATCTATGCCGACCTCACGCTCGTCCTTTCAAGTCGGAGTGACGGAAGACAGGAATAGAAAATGTCGAAGAACGATGGAAGATACGCATGCATATCTCTACAATTTCTTAGGGGCACCTTTGGCTCCTGCTAAGCAGACTGATGTCCCAGCACAGGGCGAAGGTGTACCCGATGCTGCCAGTGATGTGGTAGAAACTGACAATGGCTACTTTGCTATATTCGACGGCCACGCTGGATCATTTGCTGCAGAGTGGTGCGGCAAGAAGCTACATTTGATCCTTGAAGACACTATACGGAAAAATCCTAGTGCTGCCGTCCCCATGCTCCTCGATCAGACTTTCACCTCCGTTGATCAGCAGCTGGAACAGCTGCCATTGAGAAATAGCGGCTGCACCGCCGTCATCGCCGTATTAAGATGGGAGGATCGCCTTCCAAGCCCGGCGGCATCCCTCGCTGAATCGACTAAGAGAAAGGGTAATTCAGATGACCCTGAAGGCGGAAGTATAGAGGGTTCGAAACCAGGCCCGTCGGAAGATTCTCCTGCTGTATCGCCACCAGAGGAACAGGCCATTCGTTCTAGAGTTCTATACACTGCGAACGTAGGTGACGCGAGAATTATTCTATGTCGTAATGGCAAGGCTTTACGGTTATCGTACGACCACAAGGGAAGCGATGAAAATGAAGGACTACGAATAACCAATGCTGGAGGACTTATCCTGAACAACCGCGTCAACGGTGTTCTTGCTGTCACTCGCGCTTTGGGAGACACTTATATGAAGGATCTCGTTACCGGCCATCCCTTCACCACCGAAACAATCATCCAACCAGAGACTGATGAGTTTTTAATATTAGCTTGTGACGGGGTAAGTTGGACGTCGTACTCTTTCTCTTTTCTTCCTCGGCTGAAGTATGCTAACTGATTCTCTAGCTCTGGGATGTTTGTTCCGATCAAGAGGCCGTGGATTTGGTGCGCAACACTAAAGATCCGCAGGTTGCGTCAAAGATACTAGTAGAATATGCTCTTTCGCGCTTTAGCACCGATAACCTCTCCTGCATGATTGTTCGCTTTGATACAATAGCTACAGCAGAAGAAGCAGGCCGACAAGCCTCTGCTCCCAAGGAGTCGAGCTCTACTAGTGGAAATGCCAATAAGACGATGAGCGAAGCTGATAAAATCGTCGAGATGGCGAGGAAAAATGCAGTCGATGCCGAAAACAAAGCTCGCACGGACGGTTCTACTGGCAAAGAGCAGGATACGGCTGGAAATTCAGCATCAAACGACCAGCAGCAGAAAGCATCCAGCAATAACAAGAGCGGTGCTAAATAGCCCACATATTGGCAAATTCATACGGACTGTTGACGTGTTTCACTTTTACGTTAACTTCCGGACTGACTATTGGGGTCAAAAAGGACTCCCATAACGATAGAATGGACCATGCCGTCATGGGATTTATGTGTTTTCTTTCTTCACTACTATGCTTCGATTTGCATGCCCACCCTTGCTGGCCGTCTTTCCCTCCCGTACCTGCATCTTTATCCCCTTCATCATTCCTACGTCTTGGCCTTACAGCCTTTGGTCCTTTGCCCTTACCATGCCTCGAGTTGTGATCTATCTCGTGTGGGAGGCGGCACTGAGATTGATGATACCTTTCCCCTTCATATCAGATGCTTGTAACCCGCTTTTTGTTTTCTCAACTTCCTATTTCTCTTTGATCCCATCCTTTATTTACGTTTTCATTTGACTGTGAACAGGGGGTAGGGAGCTGGGGCGAAGTCGATCTTGTGCGCATGCCTGGGTATTTGGTAGATAAATGGATGTCTTCTCATGTGTATAAGTAGAATTCTACGTTTTCTTTGTGTCCATTGGCTCGTCGACGGCTCCTCACTGAATCCATAACAGGCCCGTAGATATCGACAACCCAACCCCCTTAGCCACCCGCACCATTAGTTGATACCCACGCTGTCTCGACTTTCTATATTTGACGGACGTCCCATTTAAAATCCGCCTACAGGAGCGGCTGCACAGATCGACTACGTCATTCAAGGCTATATCAGATGATGGGACCGCGATGCCGTTTCTCCATCACAGCGCATATTTTATATTCTATATCATATTGAGAATTGCCCTGGGCGCCACCACGTCGACCTCGGCAGCTATTCGGTCTCGATAAAACATGTTTTGAGGGTCTGAAGGCAGGAGTTAAAGACCCTGGTATGAATTCGCCTCACCAACCTGTGATCTAACTCCCCTTGTTCTCATATTTTGAAACTTTTTATCCTACCCTACTTGGGATGAGGGGAAAACAATATCGAATATGATAACGAAACCTAACCCACCCACCACCATATATCAGTATAGCCCTATTAAGTATCAGGTTATCACCATGAAAAAAACCTGGACGGCCAGGAGAAACCTCCTTGGCATATCTGCTCGTATTTGCCTTCAACAAACGGTTTACTCCATATCTCATGTCTCGAGACCATGCTAGTTTGCGAGACTTGATACAGGATCCCCCCCCTCACCAAGTTGGGGGAGAAAGATGGCCCGTGGAGGTATAGATTTCGTGGTGCATATGTCGTCGGAGATGTCAGCAGCATGCTTGCCATATTAACCGTATACGAACAGTCAAAAGTCGCTAGATTGATCCTGCTCGATCACGTTGTAAAGTCTCGACGGCATGCTTGTTCAATCAGATACGACGCGGGCATATATGTGTCTTGATCAGGGTCGGCATCAATTGTACTGCTGAACTCGTATCGCCGACATGTAAGTAAGCATACATATGTTCCCGCATCCCGCATATACGTTGACATCGATTGCACCGTATATCAACTATTCCCAAGCAATAGTAGATGCACATACCTCACCGCGTTCTCATGCAGACACGGGCTGAAACGACCTGACGCCAACGAAGCCGGCCGAGACTGAGATGCCTGACAAATCCCGATGTATAGCTGCAGTTTCGGCACTTGGAAGCAGTAGCTGGTGCAAAGTTTGAGGCCCAGCCCGTCCTCTGCGATCCCGATCATTCCACACGCCTATATGCCAGAAAAGGGTGGAGTAATATCGTCCTGGAACCCCAGCTGTGCTTCAAACCTAGAGACTCGTGTATGTCTGATATGCATCTTGGCTCTGTTAGATTCAGATTGCACCCGCCTGAGGATCGCCGCTCCAACCTGGGCGGCCCTGGCAGCTTTGCGACAGCGTTGATTAGGGCGGGCAAGGCAGAGATACTATCGCATGAATTCCGGGGCGACCCTGGTACACGGTCCTGCAGGTAAGCAGACTGTCAAGAGTATGTCAAGAATATGTCAAAAATATGTCAAGCAGTTAATGCAAGGAGGAAGAACAACGTCTATACATGGATTTATTGTACATGGCATTTAAGACCTGGGGATACATGAGTGATGGAAACATATCAAAGGAGAGAAAACACGAGAGGAAAACCTAGAAGAGCAGCCCCAACCATGGCAACTCCAGGTTTTTTTTTTGCCGGCGCAGAACAAGGGCAAAGATTCCAAAGCATTCAAAAACATATGGCCATCGAGTTAGGGTAGTCGGTAGGATCGACATATCTAGACGATCTAGTTCTTCCAGAAGCTCAATCCCTTCTTAGCTGGCTCCTCGGAGGGGGGATCGGTCGGGGTACCCGTCGAGGCCTCACTTTCGAGGAGTTTCTGCTCCAACGACGAAAAACGGTCGCCCTTGTCTCGTTTCAGGGTATGGCTGATGATATGCTCCCGATTTGGTTCAAGCTCTCCGTGCTGGACGACATCGGGCCACGAGCGTGCATACTGTGCGTCCTGCAGATCCGTCCAGAGAAGTTTAACCTCGCCCTCGCCAACCTTGTAGTCTGACAGTTCACCTTCCCTATCAATTTTAGCTTCAATACCTCTGTTAGACATGGATTTCTCAAGCTCTTCAATTCGCTGTCGAAGTTTTTCTTCATGTGCCTCCTGTCGTTTCTGCGCCCGTATCACACGCCGTCTCGTCCTGTTGGACAGCTTCTTCTCCTTTGGCTTCCCGTCCTCATCTGCTACTGCTCCTTCTTCTCCTTCGCTCCCCTCCTTCGCTTGCTCCCGCTTCTCACGTTCAGCTTGGATGGTCAAAACAGCAGCAGCGTCCGCAATGCTAGTAGCTTTCTGGTCCATCAACACCCTTGCACGGTCTTTCTTCGCCATTATATGGCCCATTCGAGAAGCCCATTTCTCGTCCCATTTCTTAGCCTCAGCTGGATCTCGCGGCCGTTTCCGTGCCAGTGTCTCTTTAGAATTTGTAATTATCTCCGTTGGTGGTTCAAGCTGTCGTCGTAAAGAAAATTCTCGTAGTAGCTTGTAGGCTTCGAGACCAAGCGCTGAAGTAGGGAAATGGATCGAGAAGTATGGAACCCACATGTCCTTGCGAAGACTGGCAGGAACTGTCTTCTTACCATGGTAGATAAGCTGGCGTAGGACGTTTTGGTACTATTGTCAAGAAGAATGGTAGAATTAGAAACCTGGCCCCTTAGCCTCAGACAAGAGTCAAGAAAAAACATACATCTAGGGAACGAGAGAGCGAGTAGACCACCTGGTTAGTGCGGAAGTTGTTGTAGGCGAAAATATTCTTGCCATGGGTGATTTGTTGAAGGGCTTTCTTTAGCCTAACGGTCTCCTGCTCTCCGAAGGCTTTGGCTGCCTGGGAATTGGGAAAACGGGGTTTGCCTTGAATCACCTTCCCATTTGTGTTTGGGAATCGTACAGCACGCGATGTTACGGCCGTCGTTGGATCGAATAGACGAACCGTCTTCGACGCCGCGGCGGTCGTCGCAGAGGCCATTGTGAGCGATCCGTGGACAAATTTCAAATTAGAGAGAAAAACAACGTCAATTAGGGTGTCGGTCTATCAAGCATTGTCCACTCCGGCCGTCGTGCGGAGGGTTGGCGGGCTGGTTGTTCGGGTTGTCGTGTTCGTAGTTAAAGGTTGAAGTTGCAGTGAATTTTTGCTGGAGCTCGAAATTTCTCGATTGGGTCAAGGCGACGTCGCCAACCCTTACCAAAGCACCACCAGCAAAAAAGTCGAGTGACATCAACACCAACAACCGCAGTTATCTATTGCTGAATACCGCGCAAGCACAGCAAACATCAAACATGCATTCTACCGGTCTTTGCCTGCTGCATTAGATGGACTGCTGCGCTATTCGGCTTCTACGTACGGCCTGAGCTCTTGGAATGATGGTGCATTACTTGGTATTATGCTCGCAGCACCGCAGACGATTAGTCGAGCATGTCGACCATTGTGGATGAACTGCCAGCCGACAGTGGCTTTGCTGGCAGTAGGCGACAGGGCCCATGGCTTCTTCCTTCGGTGCGTTATCTATTGCTCTTTGTTGCTACAATCATGCTGACATCGTGTTAAAATCGCATATAGAACCGCAAGTTGAGGCATCTACAAGGCATTGCCGTTCGCAACCTTGTAGTCTCTGCTCCTTTGGTGAATAGGGCCCGGGGAATAACAATAGACGATCAGAGTGTCCCTTATACTCTGCAATCTCCAGCAAAAGCCCTCGTGGGGCGAGAGGGTCGGACCGTTCAGCATTCGCGATCTACAACTGATCTCAAGCAAACTCGGTCTCCCCCCAGTTTGAAATTTACGGCCAGTGAAAATGGGAGTGAAAGCAAAGAAGAGATCTATATGCGGCGGAGGCGAAGTACGCTACCGTGGGCCGGAGCTAATCCTGGAGTACGGCAGTCCAGGCTAGAGGAGATTGTCCGCAGTAAGATGACCGACAGCTGGTTTTCACTGCATTGTGAGGGCATTCCGGAGCCTGTTTATATCAGCGAACTTGTTGAAAATGCCTTGAATCCCAGTTTCAAATATTTCGATCTGAATATCTGCGGTCCGGTGGTGTCACGGCTAGACGAAGCTACGGTGAAGCTTTGGACTCGGACGAGCCAGATGCCAGATTACTCATTGTTATTGGAACTCCATGTGAACTTCAAATCCTTACAATATATTGGGAAGCATCTGGAGAACTTTCGACAACCCTTTCCACCAAACTGCGTTATCTTTCATTTTACGGACGGCATATATGCCAGCCTGACCGACGTACCTCCGAATGAACGCCTCGTACCCACTCAAACCCAGACAGGGGAGCCTTCAAGAGGCGAACAGCAACAGACGTCATCATACGACGCTCTGATGAGGTTGGCAAACTTTGACGACTGTATACAAGACGCTTTGGTAACCAGAGAGAAGCTCGAGGCCCAGATTAACTCCATTCTTGAAGAGAATCAGGCGCAGCTTGAGGTGTCAAGTCGTAACTCGGAGGCCCTAGAGAGGCTCTCAGCCGTCAGACGCGCAGTCACCGGAGAGAAGAGCCGTCTTCGACAATCGTTAGGACAAAAGGACAGTATGGTCAAGAGCTTGAAAGCACGGAGGCAAGCTATGGCAGAAGGGCGTCTCAGCCAAGACAATAGCTTAATTTACCTATCTGAAGCCCAGGAGGCAAAAGATTCCAGCCAAACCCTGTTGAAGAAAGCAGCTGAAGACTCGATGGGGCAAATACGCCGGATTTGTGAAGACTTGCTTTCAACGTATCCTATCGAACCCATTCCAAACACGCCTCTGGGATTCACGATACGGGGTCTGGCTCTCCCGAACTCCTGCTTTGACGACATTGACAGGGAAGCAGTTGCGGGGGCGTTGGGGTATACGGCACACGTGGTGTATCTCCTTTCGTTTTATCTTTCAGTGCCTCTTCCCTACCCTGTCAGGCCATATCTCTCGACCTCGAGCATCCAAGACCCCATATCAGTAGGTCTTGCTCAACGGACATTTCCGTTATATCCGACAAACACGCAGTTCAGATTTGAATACGGAGTATTCCTCCTGAACAAAAACATAGAATACCTGATGAACCGGCTGGGGTTGAGGGTTCTTGATATCCGCCAAACGCTTCCCAACCTCAAGTATCTATTGTATATGCTGACGGCTGGGACGAATGAGCTTCCTGCGAGAAAAGTGGGCGGCATTCGCGGTCTGCTGGTTGGACGGATGACACCCAACTTATCTCGACAGGTAAGCCGTGATAGTCTGGCAAGCATCGATACGGCGACAGTGGCACTTCGTCAGAAAAAGATTCCGCTACCTGCCAATAACTATCCTCCCTCACAATCTCACCACCCTCACCCTCCTTCTCATCCCAACGCTCCTCCAGCGATATCAGCTTCCAAATACAACTTCATCTCCGCTTCTGCTGCCAAGCCAAGCATCGGCCCCATGCAGAAAAACCTGGGGACGACAGCACAGAACGACCAGGTTGCTGCATCGATGACCGTCGCCACACCCGCCATCACCAGTAATGAACGGAATAGTGATATTTTCATTAGTCAGAAAGATAAGGCGCAGAGGGGGCATAACAGCGAGAACCTTGCGCATGCAGATCAGGGTGGGATCCAAAGTTCCGTTTGACAGGGGATATTCAAAGTTCAGTTCGTCTTTTTTTTGGTTGATTTACTTACTTAATTGTACTTATACGATTTTTATCGGTTCGTCTACGGAGGACAGTAGTCCATTTTATGCCCGTTTGACTTTTTTTCTCGTTTCCAGGGACAGGGTCTGCTCGATATTCATTGGTCGGCAGGCGTGTGAATTCAGGCCTTGGATGGAATATCTCTGCATATTTCTTACTTTGCACCAATGCGGCTATCAATATATGCACATACTCGACGATTGGACGGAGTACTGTTCGTGTAATGTTGCTTTAAACTTCCCAAGGTCTCAATGCAATGCTTCCATGTTAGTTTGTGTGTGTTATCCATCCAACCCTGGGTTTTGCGGGGCAAATGCTTACCGTTCATCCCTCAGCAAAGGAGTGTATCTATTTATGTATGTGCATTGCAGTCAGCTGGAGGAGCGACACCTGTAGGCTCGAGGGTTAGCTTGATTGTGATAGATGTTCTTTTCTTTTTCTTTTGTATCCCGAACATTTGAATGATCGACCGCCTTAACTGACTCGCTTATCTCTATATCGTCTTGGCTTGTTTCAGCAACAGCTATTTTCCCCTTGTATTTTCCCACCAAAAATTAATTCCTGAGCTACTCCCAACGGCCTATCGGCGTCGGTACGTGAAGGATGAGTTGGGATATGGGAGTATGCAGGTCTCACGAACCCGTTTCTTGAGATGAGGCGGCCTGGGGAGTTCATGACAACGATGTCGCTTCATATACTTTATCATCCTAGATATTAATGCTGCAAGTAATGAACGATGGTAACATGACCGCCTGAAACCTGCCTGCCTATAGCTGCCACCTGCTAAGAGTCAAGGTTTCCAGCAGGCGGCTCATGGACGAGTAGTTCCCACGGGAAGACTGATAAGGCAGTACCTATACGGAGTAGTAGGAAATGGGAGGCAAAGCGTTAGTTATAAACGTGTTTGAACTATAATTTAAGAGTGTGTCAGAACGCCTGCTCGGTATTTGAGTGACGAAATCTTAATAATATGATATTCAGGACAGCATGTTCATCAAACATGGAACATGGAACACAAGCGCTTCCTTGTCTCGTTCTATATCAGGTTCTCGGGATTATGAGGGTCAAATTGTTTAAATTAGCTTTTCGGTGCTGATCGACGTTGTGACGTGCAACGGGCCGGATAGATACCTGTCATGAGAGCCATGCATAGATATACATAGTACATACACCTAAGAATCGGCATGGCCCATGAATGTACGGAGTATAAGCACGGGGGGTTCATGGATTACCTCGCCGTTGAGGCGCTCAGTGCGTGCTCCGTAGGCTTGGGTGAAAGCAGGAACCAAGCTCTGAGGGTAATTCATTGCATTAGTAGGAGGGCGAGGAAAGAGGAAAGTCTGACTCGACTAGTGGCCTCGGTCTGCCTTTTTTTCTTTTTCCCCGTTCTCTCTCTCGTTCCCTCTCGGTCTTCTCTCTATTGGGGAGCGAGCTTCAGGCGAACACGATCTCCAGACAGGGTTCTGCATGCGTTTGGGTTTGGGAGAGCGCCTATGGAGAGGGGAGGTCGATAGAGCAGGATTGCGGAGTACGTTCCGTACATATACTTAGGTACCATACGGTGCGGCAGCCCCGGAGACAAAAATGATATGGTCAGATTTCGGGATCGATGGTGCATGATCTGCCAATTGGGGAAATCGACAGCCTGTGTGTGGGCGAACGATGCCGATGTCTATCAGTAACTCGGAGCCGAACAGCCCCTGACTGCAGGGAAGACGTTTCTATTTCCCCGGACTTTGAACCGAAAGGAGAAGGAGAAAAAATACCGGTGAATCCAGATTAACCTGTCGATTCTTCTAGCCAAGAAGACAGTAACATGGCAAAATACAGGGTCAGTCTGATCATTTTTGCTTATGTCAAAGCGCGAGGCAGGGACAGGCCCCCCTTTGGAGTACCATGAAGGGAGACAACAGTTACGAGGGGAACCAAGGGTTCAAGAGATGAACCGTAACTGTCGGCGAGCCGATGTCCCACCAGCTCGTTCCCGCGTCCCTCGTTTGGTCTCGATACAAATCAGGGCGGCCGCGAGAATCGAACCCGAAAGACCATGGTGATCCCTCCGCTAGATCTCGAGTTCGAGTTCAGAGAAAAAAAGGCTAATGCCAGCTCGACCGCGTGATATGCACTCATATGTACTCCTTTCCTCCGTTCCTCCGTATAGGCGATTTTGAACTCAGACCTCGAGGACGATTGACTGTGTACGGCGGTAGTGTACGTTAGTATGTATGAAATATGGACTCCATCAGTACGGGGCACTAATGATTGTATGATTGCCTCCCGTCCACCCCAGCAGGTATTTTAATCAGGTAATGGTGGCCCCGTGAGCTCCATAGCTGGAGATGAAAATGGATCCGGGTGTTTTACCAAAGCCGTCCTTAGTGCGAATCTGCAAGATTCAAGTCACGGTGATGCTATGCAGCAATTGGTTAGAAGGGACTACCCCAGATGATGCACCCGTTTTGCGAGTTTAATTTCCCCCTACCGCGGAGGATATTAGGTCGTTTTGGGCTGGGGAGCAGCCCTCGGATTAATAAGGACGTTCTATCCAAGCGTCCGACACCAACGCTAAAACAAGAACTGCGTATAGAAGGATTCCATGTTCCAATTATTCCATGGCATGGTTCTGACGGGTGTACCATCTCCACCAGACTGAAAGGTCATCACGCAGTCGTAGTGTCCTGGGCATGCATCAGGATCGTACATTAGCCTCTAACGGCAGGCCATTCAGCAGGCAGAGAATCCGGGCAAGCCCACCGATTTGTGGAGAAGGGAAGTCTAAACAAATTTTTCGTCTCTGTTCTTCTAGAAAGATGGGAGTGACATTTCTCCTCGTTTAAAGTTGTCTCGTTGGTGTGCCATCCCCTGCAGCTATTACGCAACAGCAACTCGCATCCCGCCAGGGAAGACCAGCCTGAGGTCGCTCGCAGGTCGACGGAGCAGAGGAGAGGTGAAAACAGCTTGAGAACGGCGTGAAGTCAGCGTGAAGTCCGCCTCGAGGATGGGAGAATACTGCACCTGAGAGCGTCACAGATGTCACAGATGCTGGCCGGTGGCTGAAGCAGGGCCCAATTACCACGATAGCCGCCTCGATGGAGCAGCTCAGCATTCCTCCCTCGTCTCTGCCTGCAACCTGCCATAACTCTAATGCTGGAAGTTAATGTCTTAAGAAACGTTGCAGCATGGATGCAGCAGCACGCCCGCTTCCCTCCCCCTCAGGGAACAACACCGAGTGTGTGTGTGTGTGTGTGTATATATAGACGGCGGACAACTCGGGGCTTCCTCCGCGCCTGCTCTCCATCCCGATCGCACGTATATATGCTTCTGCTGGGGGGGTTTTGTTGTTAATTAGCGTTGGGTGGAGCTCGCATCATCTCTATAACACCTTTACTTTATATATTCAAACCCGCAAGACACTTTTTTTTTTCTGCCGCCCACTCTCCCGCACTTTTCTTCTTCTCCGCCTCAACCTCAACCTCAACCTCAACCTCAACCTCAACCTCAACCTCAACTTCGACTTACACTCCAGACGGAGATAGAAGACAGAGAGACGACAGATAGACGATAGAGACAGACGAGACGTGCTGCTGTGCAGTAGAGCGTCTGATCTACAGGAACGTCTTCTGAACGTCTTCTTGATCGCCGTCGTGACGACTGTGGCTGGCAATTGGCCGCGCTGAGGCGACCTCACAGCAGCCTACAGTGCAGCGCATACGGCATCACACAGGCAGTACGACGCCTATCAGACAATGGACGATATCAGAATGACCGGCAGACCGGCGACGGTGGCCGCGGTGCCTTCGTCCGCTGCGAATTCCTCACCTGTTGCCCACAATCCCACACCGCAACACCAGCAGCAGCAGCAGCAGCAGCAACCACAGCAACAGCAGCCCCAGGACCTCAATACCAGATTCTCCCCTCAGCGCTCCATATCTCCGCCTGCCCAGCATCGTAGAGGCTACCAGGCTTGTGATCCGTGCAGAAAGCGCAAAGTGAAGTGCGATTTGGGAAGTATGTTGCTGCTTTTTTTTTCTCTCCCCTCTGGACAAGCGGGGAAGCAGATACCGTATCAAAACTGAGGCGCTGACTTGATACCAGGTGTCGACAACCCACGACCGCCACCATGTGTGCGGTGTCGCCGAGAGAGCAAGAGATGCGAGTTCTCTGCTACAAGACGCAAGCGCAAGATCTCCGAGGAGTCTGACGACAAGGGCGGTGCCGGTGTCCTGCGCAGGGATAAGCGCATGATGGTTGCCGACGGATCTGTGTCTCCTAGCATGGATAACGATAGCATTTCGAGCCCTATCCCCAATGGCGTAACTTCGCATCCACGAGGCAGTCTGCCGCCATACGAAGGTGATCCTCGACCCAATGGCTCGGCTGCGCAGCGCAAATGGTCCAATGCCACCGCACCACCACACCGAATCTGCATCCCCCCTACCGGAATCACCATTCCCGCTCCGACTTCCATCCCACCAGACCAGTACCACGCTCATCGCGCGAGTTTCTCCGGCGGTGGACGACCATCCTTACCCCCTCACGTTCTTGAGAGCGGCCAGCATATGATGAACAAAACTGCTGCTGAGTTGCTTTCTCCCGCCATCAGCAATACTCACGATGCTCTACATCTTCTCTCAGAAGCAGCCGGCAGGACGGAAGATCTAAATCGCCAGCAGATGGAATATCAGTATAATGGACGCCATTCCTCAACGTCAACCTTCGCATCTGTCTCACCTGGCCAGAACGGAACCCCAGGCAGAGGTAGCAGATCTAACTCGACAACACAACAAGGTGCCGGAATGAGCTGGTACAATCAAAACAAGGGCGGTTCCCCCAGCGTTGACGTCCTCGTCGAGGGCACCGACGCTGGCTTGAGCCCTCCCAAGGCTTCTCAGGATATGGACTACACCAAGGCTCGCAGAGCTTGGTCCAGACTACGATTCATCCGCGCCGGCTGGTTTAGTGTTGATGAAGCAATGTCTTATATTGAATAGTAAGTCTCTAAATTCCGTTTTACTTTCGATTATATGTCGCTAAATCTTCATCTTTAGCTATTACGAGCATCTTGCGCCATTGACTCCCATCGTCTTGAAAAATTATAGCTCACCCTCGACACATCTTACTCTTCTGACGGAAGAGCCGGTATTGACCGTGACAATGCTTACTATCGCTTCTCGCCATATGAAACTCTCTGGAAACGGAGCCAATTCCCGGGCATACTCTATCCATGAAAAGCTGTGGTCATACCTACGCGGTATGATCGAACGGCTATTCTGGGGACAAGAGAAGTTTGGCGATTACGGCGGTGTCTCAGTACCAAGGCAGTTTGACGTGGCTAATCCACTATCCACCGGACAGGCACAAAGAAGTGGTGGCCAATTAAGATCCATCGGAACTGTCGAGGCGTTGCTCCTTCTCACGGACTGGCATCCACGAGCTCTTCATTTCCCTCCCGGCGACGATGAGAACACCCTGCTTGATGTTGATCCACAGCAACTCAACTATTTTGATGGAGACGGCGACGACCATTTCCCAGACCACCACCCTGGTAAAGGCCAAGGCGGTCCTGGTGAAGGTCGTCTCGCCTTCTATAAATGGCTTGAACCCGTTTGGCGCTCCGACCGCATGTCCTGGATGCTCCTAAGTACTGCCCAGGCCCTTGCCTTTGAGCTGGGTATCTTTGACCAGAAAAACGATCTGCGAGCCTCCACTGAAACATCATGCGAAATGGCTCGGAAGCGCCGTTTACGGCGACTGATTCTTGTCTATGTTTCTCAAAGCAGTGGTAGATTGGGAATTCCTTCCATGCTCCCTCTACCGCAATGGAACCAGAATACCGAGCCTCCCCGTGCTGAAGACATGCACTCGCCGAATTTCCACGAGGATTACATGATTGATCTGATGCAAGACTGCTGGATGGATATCTCTAAGATCATGTACAACAGCAACCAAGTTCTCTTCCTGTCAAAGGAACTCACCACAAACCTTATTAAGAGTGGCCAATATCGCGATCGGATTGATGAATTTACCCCTTCTCTGAGAGAGTTTAAAGCGAAACTTGACAAGCTTTCAGGTGCGTATTCATTTGTCTATGTGCATAAACTTACACACGGGCAAATCATATTCTAACTAACCCCGCACAGTCACACCTCAAATGCGAAATGTTTTAACGATTGAATACGAATATACCCGTGAGTATCCTTTTAACTATAGGTTCTGGAGAACTGCTGCTGACTCTCACTCAGGACTATATGTCAATTGCTTAGCCTTACAAGCCGTCGTTGAACGATGGACTACTATGAATGAGGCTGGTTCAAACGCAAACCAGAACCATGCCAACGGAACGACCAACGGAACCGCCAATGGAGCAACATCTGGCGCTGGAACTGTTCCGCTCCAGGTATTACTGGAGCAGTATGAAGTTAACGAACCTTATATCCAAGAAGTTGTCGATGCTTCTCGAAGGATTTTGCAGATCGTACTGGAAGGATTCGTTCCGGGGGATATTCTAAAGCATGCACCTGTCAGAACATATTTTAGAATTCTCTCCGGGATGATCTTCATCCTCAAGGTTAGTAATCCTTAGCGATCCTTTACCGACTTCTAGAGGCTAACCATGGATGGCATAGACGTTTACATTGGGTGCTAAAGAGGACGATGTGAGAGTATCTTTGGAGCTCCAGGATCGGACCATCGAATGTCTTCGGACCTGTGTCGTGGACGACGTCCACCTCAGCGTCACAATAGCCGATCTGCTTCAGTTGCTCACATCAAATATCCGAAATCGATTCCTGCGCTTTGCCCCCTTCGACCGTGTAGGCGAGTCGGGCAGCAGGCATCAATCCCCCGCCCCCGCATCAGAACAAGACTCCCGAGAACAACAGCAGCAACAGCAACATCCGTCCAATGAGCACAATGACTACCGTTGGCAACAAAACCATAACAATGGAACCCCAAGCACAAACGGTTTCTCATTCGACAACAACCATCCCACCTCCGCACCACCAACAACCCATCACGACCCGCTCGCCAATATCCCTGTCCAACCAATCAATTCCTCCAACATTAACGTTTCTTTCATGCCCCCTCCCCCTTCCGTGTATTACAATTACTACGACCCTAGCTCGACCTCTCCTAAAATGGAAATGGACGAATCCTCTACCACTGTCGCGCCTCCAGCTATCAACACTAGCGCTCCGAGTGGCAACAATACCACGCAGGCAAATTCAAACAGCATGTCAGATTGGTTTGCTCTCCCACTTGATCAATTTTTCAACAGCTCAACTGCAGGTGTTGACCAAGGTCTTGGAGGCACCGGCCCAATGGTCGGTGAATTCGATATGTTAGAGGTTCTGCTCAAAGAGCAGTATACGAGCGAGAACAATGCAAATGGTGCCGGTGCTAACGGCGCGGCTCCAGTAGCTGCTACAAACGGTGCTGGAATATCATCTCATTTCCTATAACGACTTTCCTTGCAGATTTATTTTTTTTGATCCTAGATGTTTACTTGGGATTAGACATGACAGATTTCTGGTCGTCAGGTGAAGGCGCGGGGAAAGGTATAACTGGGTGTTTGGTCCTTGCTTCTCTCCCGCCCTTATCACTTGAATTTTTTGTCGCGTACACTTTTCTGCTAGGTTGTATATATGCCAAAGTCCCCCTTTGTCTATATATGTTGGAGTTACATCCTCCTGTCGTTGTTTTATGACCAAGTTGATGCCCAGTGATGATCTTCCTGTCATGGGACAGATGTAAGGCGGTGGATGTTTATACTTAGGTACTAATGTGAACTTTTGTATCGTCCTCTTCAAGATCAATGTACAAATACCGCCACTTTTCCTTCCCGCTAACTGGTCTGAATTTCTATCCACTCTCCCTTCTAGTCAGTATAAGTACTTCGACTACTCTATCAAATCTACGCAACAATATAGTCCTCTAGCTATTCCCCCCTATCTTAGGATCAATATAAGGCGCCGCTCCCATTTTCTCTCGTTCTTCTGTCTCATCGTCCTGAAGAAGCCGAACCTGGGGTCGCCAGGCTCTATTCTCATACTAGAGTTGGGGATGAATCTGGATACTCATTCGACTCTACGGAGTATGATGTATTAGGGTGATTGATCCGATAAATCTTAACTTAAATAAATTATATTTTACACATAGACGATACCTACTATTTCTAGTAGTTATAAACGACCAGACGTCTATATTTCGAAACACATTGTAACCAAAATCAGCCAAAATCCGACTCCTGCCCAGATCCATTCTGCACATGAGTAACCGATCATAAGATCTACCTTCTCGGTAAAACAAGTTGGGGGTATATAACAATACATATATAATAATGATTATGTAATTAACATAAGACGAGAAAGGTATATAGAATGTCGGACTATTACTTCAAATCTCCTGAACGTCAAGTCCCCATATCTCCCACTGTTTCAAGACATCCCAGCCGACACGCTTGACGTGCCGTTTCCATATAAATGGCTCGTTCTTAGTGCCACCCCTCACTTCAGTAAAGCAGTCCCTGAGACTACGCCGCAGATTTTCCGGGATCTGAGCAACCGTGGCTTCGTCTAGGAAAGAGAGAAATGAGAGGTTGGGCTTGCCGTTGACGTCCGTGGTATTATCTGCAACAGTGCTATATCCGGGGTTGATATTTGAAGCATTCAAATGGGGTTGGTTTTGAGAATGATGCTGTTGCTTTTTTGTTTTAGGTTCCGTCGGGGAATATGTCTCTCCACCAGGTGATGGAATAGGGGACGTGAGGTTCTGTTCATTATATTTCCGCTTCCCTAGCGGGATTCTACTTCCTGGTAGAGCAATTGAAACTTGTGACGAGTGTCTAGACCATGGCTGCGTGCTGTAGTTATCTGACCCATAGGTTTCGGCTGGTGTTGCAGCAGGATTCCTCAAATTTGCTGAAGGATCGCCATTTGGGCTTGAATTGGACACGTCAATGGCGAGGTCCGAGGTCGAACTCTGGCCGTTTGGTATACCTCCTGGAGCCTGCGCGTCCGGAGCTGTGACTTTGTATAATTCGCCAACCTGCCATGCTTTCCACCCGAAACCGAGTATTTTAAGGTTACTGAAAATCGGCTCTGCGAGACGTAGGGAGAGTACTTCAGCATGAAAAGCGTCATCAAGATCTACCAGCTGTGCAATATCCCGTGCATCTGATGGCGGAAGAATGGACAGATCAGGCCGTGGCATATTCTCCGACCTTGAAGGAGCGGTGCAATTTCCATCGGTTTCGGTGTGGTGCCCTCCCCCATATATACTTGTACTGGCGGCCGGTGTTCCAGACCTCCGGTCACCGCCCCGAGAGGTTGGGATAAGTATTCGGAGTGCTTCAAGTTTCCTTAAGAAGGGTGATACGAGTCCAATTACTTCAAGGCTGTTGGTATCAACAGAAAGGGCAAGCTGCTCTAGATTGGGACAAGCATGGACTAGCCGCGCAACGAGAGGTGCAGGTATATCCATTCGTGCGGGGAGAAGTAGGCGCTTTAAGGTGGCTCCATGAACAGAAATAATTGTTGACAAATGCAATTCCCTTAGGGATGTTCGGGAAGCTGAAGATGAAGCTGATTGTTGGCTCAGCGCAGGCGGCGTTGACTGGTTCTGTTGTCCATAGTCGTTCACCATAGTAGGGTTGCCAGATCCATTGGGGAGGGGTGTCGAAGGGGATGAAGGGTACGACGATCCAGGTTTTGCATTGTTGACATAGTCTATTGGTTCGCGCAGTGGGTTGACAAAATATAGGTTCTCAAGAGGTGTTAACTGTTGTAAGAAGTCCAATCCTCTTTTCTCCACACGGTCAACTCGGAATGTTTTTAGATTCGACATCTCCTCCCGGGGCCCTTGATTTGGCCAGCTGGCTTCTACAAAAGTCATTGCCGACTTGTCACTGGGACTCGTTAGCATTGTAATCTCTTCCAGAGAGTCATGGCTAACGCCGTTGCTCGACTCTCCGGTATGAAGCGCATAAAAATTTTGAAAAGAGAGTTTCTTTAAACGTAGAGGCGCCTTTGCTGCGATGCACCTTCGAAAATAATCAGTGAGCGCAACACTAGGTTCTTGCGATTCACGCATCCGGGGAGACCAATGCATCCTCAGGTCACGTAGCTTCCTGCTACCATATAATAGTAGAGAAATATCATCCGGATAGCAGAGGGGGTCGATATCCGTGACCTTGAGAACGCGTAAATTGGGCATAGGAGGTATGGTGGTTGTCGGTCTTGGGTGTCGACTGGACGGGAATCGAAGAGTCAAGGACTGGAGGCTCTGAAGCTGCGCAAGGCCTTGACATACGGTCTCCAGTGCTTTGGTGTTATATATCTCCCAGCTGTTAACCCGTGGGACGCGGATATATTAGCAACTGTCCTTCTTTCAAATGTAAAAAGCTCTAGGGGGGGCCTGCATGAAAAGAGCGACACCCGCATACCTGAAGCTCTCCAGCCCAACCATTTTATCAATAGCAGCCCGGACACTGATATTCAACATCATAGACGAGTCCGGGACCCTCCCAACCCTAGCATGTTCTTCTAAACCATCATCTCGCCATTCCCCACGCAATGTTATCGATCGAACCAGCGGCGCAACGTTGCGAGTGACCAAAGCATTCAGTCCCATGGAAAACGGGCTCGCGCTCCCATAACCTTCCGGTAGGTCGTCTTCATTATATCGTATCCGGCCGTAGGATGTAAGGGTGAGATCCTTGTAGAGTTGAGGAAGGGACATGTAATTCAGCACACGACAGGTCCGGCAGAGGCGCGCGAGGTCACCGACATCGTCAAGCTAGAAGCGAGCGTAAAAATCAGCAAACAAATACAAGTAAGCAGGCCTCAATAATTGTAGGAGCTCTCTCTCTTTCTCTCCCTTGCTGTGAGATACGTACGTGAGCTACTATCAAGGCGATTAGATTTAACGGAAGCCTCATCAGCGCCGGGCCCCTCACAGGCAGCTCGCGGCTCACGCCAGCATCAAACATGCGGGAATTGACATTCGACATCGATCGAAGAGTCCTTCGAATGTAGTATGCAAGCTCGTATATGCCGATATCGAGTGTTGAGGGGGCTGAATGGTCGGCGTGGAAGCCTGTTGGTTAACGTCAGCTTGAAATAATAGAGCTTTCATGCAAGGCTACTACTAAGCGCAAAGTGCGCCCAGCGAATCCTCTATCATCTGCATAATTGCATCGTTACATCCCACCAGATCGTGTGAACGCCGGTACTGGCAGGCAGGAGACTACTCATAGGCATAGATACAAGTGTTTACTGGAACTCGGTTGAAACAGAAGATAGGATGGGTTGATGACGGCTATGTACGAAGTAAAAAATAACTGAGGCGGACGGAGATAGGTATGTAGAGATGAATATACATGAAAGGTAATCGTAATAAAGATAGGCCGTGAAGTTCCTCTTTTGAACGCATTCCAAAAATATCCTAAAATATAAATATCCAGAATTGTACGCCGCGCTAAAATGGGACAATGTATGGGACGAACGGCTTCCTATCTTACGTCGAAATCGGATGGAGAGCGATGTCGTGTCTGAGATGTAGCTCCCTCAGGGTTCGGTGAGGGATCGGGAGGCTCAGGTGGTTGTTGGTTTGAATGAGAGTCGGATATGTGTTCAGTGGTGGCGGTGGTGGTGGTATCTTCACACTCCCTGGAGTCAATTCGGCCTGGGGGTGGATCTAATATATCCTCCATGTATTCATCATCGTCACCTTCTTCTTCCTCATACCTCGTGTGTTGAATGCGTGTTGGGCCAGATTGAACGTTTGTTGGCAAGAATAAGCTCTCTTGCGGATCCCGAGAATATGTACCATATGGCTGGGAGGAGAGCATTGAAGATGGGGTCTCTCGATCGGTCAAAGGGGCGTGTGGGTTCGGACTTGAGCTCGCTGGGCTGCTAAATAAAGGACGTCCAGGTTCGTCTAGACCTGGAGTTGACCATGTAATAGCTGACCGTGACCGAGCAGGAATCACCATCACAGGTAGCGGTGCGTCCACCCCTTTCCGTTCACCACTAGATTCGCCCCATCGGAACCGTGAACTCGGGGTGGATGTATCCTCGCCAGAGCTTGGTGCTATTCTCTCACGTTTGTTCTTGACAGGTATAACTGTGACAGGGAGAATCGGGGGTTCAGTGCCTCGTTTATCAGGTGATGACCCTATCCATTCACGGTGTAGACGTGATGCTACTACGTTAAAAGCTGGTGCGAGTTTCCACCGGCCTTCACGTTCTTCATTGAGCCCCGTAGCCAATGTAGCGGTTGCAGCCATGCCTTCTTCTGCTTGTGCCGTTGCAACCTCCTGTGGGGGTGATCCACGTCTTCGCTTGAAGGGGTTGACGGCATTGAGCCAACCTATGCCTATTTTCCGCGAAGGGACCGGGGTAACTATGTCGCTTTTTTCCGTTGAAAGAGTGCCCTGTTTAACTAATTCCACCGAACCGCCTCGCTCACCATCCCCTAGCCGTGTTAAATCGGAGTTGGACGCCGATGGAGTGCCGACGGAGTGATATCGCACACAATAGAGTGTGCTTGTAGCGCTAGTCGTATTCTCTCGACTAATAGGACTGGCCACGGCGGGGGGTGGAGCGGTTTCCACAACTTGGGATGACTCAATATCTGGAGGGTTCATGTCTGCCTTTCGACGTTTGCGCCCATTTATATTAGACGGCCGGCTGCATGATCGATGATGAGGGCGGAATGGGTTGTATGGAATCTTTGCAATGCGTTCCCAGTTTGGGCCGCGTCCAAACCCGCCATGATGACCATTTCCGCGCGAATCTGGTGAGCTAGTATCTTCAGACGGAGTCACCTCGAGCATCTCATCGCCGTCAAAAACCTCGCGACCGAGGATCCCGTCCTTCCGTTCTTCGCGTTCCAGGGCCTCAATTCTTTCAACCCATTCCCAAACCACCACACTTGCCGCTGCTGCGCCGACCCAACGAATATATTCACCCCAGCCTGCAATGTTCGGTTGGGAAACATCCAAAATAAAGAAGGCAACGGGTATTAAGAGTGCAAGTAATGATAACAATGCAACAAGGCAGATATTCTGCATTTTGGGATGAAAGAAAGCAAACCTGTGCTTGGAAAGGGAGTAGAAAACAACCCATGCTGCGTAGAGCATACTTAAGGCTAGTTCAAATAAGTAGTTTAGCGCAGGAACAGCGTCCCTGAGTTTTCCGGGGTGGACTATAGTGTTCCCCGGATGTGCGAAATTATTGAGTATACTGAAGATGGTATCGAGAACGATGAGTGCAAATCCCACCCATTTGATGACGACTTTTTCCTTGTGTCGTGGGAACAGCCGAATTAGGGTCTGGACTTGCGCGAGCCAGAGAAACGTGCTTGATATGACACGTATAATGCGCAATTCGAGACCGTTGACAACCTCGTTGGTGAGAGCTGTAGAATCCATGTATCCCATTTCATACTGCTCTTTTGCAACTGCGAAGGAATCGGCTGTGGCAATCGTGAGGGATATGGCAACCGTCAAGGCTGCAATTTTTTGTAGCCAGGGTCTCCCGCCAACCCCGATGACTGAACTGCTACCATATGACCCGCTGATCATGCCATGTCGACCTAGGAAGCCTCCACCGCGGCCGCCTATAAAAAATGTACGGGGTGTAATGAAGAGAATTATGGAGAGGACGTATGCTAGAACGGTCGCGGTTGCAATGGCGTACATCTGGGGAGAGGTCGAGGCGTAGAAGTGTTCACGGACATCCACGATCGTTGACGGGTCATAGGAGTCTGGCTCGATAACGCTGGTACAGGAGGGCTCGAAGACGGCATCTTGGAACAGAGTGACGGCGAATGTGTCATTGAAGACGATAGTTCCTAAACGTTCAAAACATGGGCAAAAGGATTAGTCTACTCGTTCGTCTGCTCTGGCCGTTTAAGTGCATGCTTGCTCCACATAGCAGTAGCATAATATGAAACGGGATAGTGAGTGTATCTTACCTCCTTTCCCCAGGGTCAATGAGCTACATGGGTGCCTTGAGCCATTGAACTTCCCTTGCTGGATCTGCCACCCATATCGTAAAGGCATGGTGCCCGGTACCTAGGCTATCCGGATAGGTATACGCGGCGGCTGCCATTCACACAACGGCCTCTTCTCTCAACATGACAGCCGTGAAACGCGCGATGGGTGGGGGGTGTTCGAAGGAGTGTCCCTCGAGTCGAAGGGCCAGCTTTTCGGAGTGAAGTCGTCACTTTTTGGCGTCTGTATCGCGTAGAGACAATGGTGTTGTTCGACGGCTGCGTCTAGGTATGCGACTGGGGGCGCGTGCGGTGCCGGACAATGGCCTTTTCGTTCGTCTTTCTTGTTCGTTTTCTCGTTGCTGCGACTGACGAAAGCCCGACGACGTCCTGTTGGTTTCCCTTTTCGGCCTCGTTGCCCGCCGCTTTCTCTGATTGGCCAAGCCTCGCCAAGCAAAGCCAAGTTCGGCTTAACACGTGCAAGGTGGGTCGGCTTAGTCAGTTATTCATTAAGCTTTTTTTATGCCAAGACTAGTCTATTTTGGGAGGTTGAAGTAGATGTTTACGAGAGTATGGGGAAGACGCGATATAAAATGATATAAAGGGGATATAGACATTGGCATTGATAGATAGAAAGTCATGTCGAACGCTAATCACAATAATAAATGCCGTCGAGGTCTCTCAGCTCAGCCTGGCTGATAGTCCAAACTGTACCAAAACAAAACATTACTATACATAAATATATAAAGGGCGCCATCACTCCAATATACAAAAATAAGGGGTATATAAGGTTGGTCCGTCGATGCGGGCCGTATGTTTTTTGTTTCATCATCTTGGAGGCGGGCTGAAAGTCATATGTCCAGGAGCGGCATAGGGCACGCTCACGGTGTTACCGCCGCCAGAGCGAGCAAACTCCTCGCGGGCTTTGATTTCTCGCTCATCCTGTATAAGTGTGCAGCAGGTACAGCACGAGGCCCGAACGCAGTCAGACAAGATTCCACCGGGGATTCCATATGCCCGTCTCGTCCGTGTGTGCTGAATAGTCGCCAATAACCCTGCTCACGTTAGACCATACTCAAAAGCATACAATAGTTGAACAAACGAAGGGCAACATACATTGACATCCACATAACAGCGCCATGGCTGTACATGACGCATTACATGTCTCATATCCAAGCATGTTCGTTGGATCTTGTCGTTTTGATTTCCTCGACAGACGGTGTTGTGTCCGCCCATAGAGGATACACGGACACCATAGGCCCATGCAGCAGATCCCTATATCTGTACACTCGCAGAGTCCACTTGTCCAGCTCCCACCTTTCAACCCTTGCTGCTGGTGGAACGCTTGGCCGGGGGTGTGGCATGGTATATCTGGAACAGCAGATATTCCCTTGGTATGTATTTTCTGTGGTGGAATCGAGTGTGAAACATAGGTAGGCGCGGGTGACTGTGGTGCCAGTGGGTTACTGTCAGGGACAATTGCAGCCTCTTCCGCTTGCCTCTCACGGGCTTCCGCTTCGATGTTGTGCTTTACTGGTAGTGGGCCTGGAGATAAGGGAACGACCATAGGAGAGTGCGGTACTACTCCGTGCTGTTGCTGTTGTAGTTGTTGATGCTGTTGTAGGAATTGTTGCTGCTGCTGATATTCCTGTTCCTGATGGTACCGCTCCTGCTGCTGCTGCTGCTGTTGTTGGTGCTGGTGGTGCTGCTGTTGCTGTTGGTGGTACTCTTGCTCCTGTTGCTGTTGATAGTCCAGCTCCTGTTGCTGCTTTAGATGGTGAGGCTGCGGCGGTGGAGTGGTATTATCCGCAAACGGTGCAAACTGCGCTGGGTGTTCAGAAAGCGGCGGGGGAGAAACATGGGCATAGAGATTATTCACGTAGTCGACATCATTTCTGTTCGATTCTGTCGATATTGATTCATCTGCTGGCCTGCCGGCATCAGGTGAAATATACGAAAACGGACGATGGTTACCCGGCTGGCTGGGTTGTGAATGAGATTGTTGGCTTGTTGCTAGTTCTGCTGGAACAGTGTGACTTGATGGCGCCTGTGTGGGGAAAGTCGGCCCCTGTAGAGCGACAGGAGTAGGAAGGTATGAGTACGGTCGTTGTTCGGGTTCTTGTGGATGACGTGGTGGCTGTTGCAGCAGCTGCTGCTGCTGTTGGGGATGGAGATGGCCATTATAGTATGGCGCATTGCCAAAATGCGATGGTTGATTCGACATTATTCGTAGTCGTCGAGCTGATTAGGGAAGAGGATAGAGAGGACAAGCTCGTGAGCATCAGGTAACCTGCCCGTAGTCCCTTTCCCTCAACAAAGGACGGGGAGTCCGGTGGGTGTTTGCGCAACGATAACAAGCCGGTGATTCTGAGCTGGCCTTGCCTGGGGATGCACGAACCCGTATTTGCTCTGATGTCAGCCTGATGTGCTCAGCTCGTTTGTAAGTGGTGCGTCTAAAGTCGTTCGTCAATCCTCAACATATATTCTCGATGGACGGTCATCTCCTGCGTATATGGTACGGGTCACCGTGGGAGAGAGCGCTGCTCGGCGAGATTATATTCAAAGCCTTCACCCAACACCCTATGGGGGCGGCGCTTAGCCCTGCTCGTATTGGACGAAAACATCTCTCAATAGCAGAACAAGGGCCCCCGGAGTTCCGGGTGAGAAGGGAGTGACGGAGGCTGTGCTATGCTTATGCCCTGCAGGAAACTGGCCCCTCTGGACGAATCGCCAACAGGCCCATACGAAAACCGACCCGAGTGCTCGGGAGAAGGCCCAAAATGTCCTGGTTGAAGTGTGATACCGTGGTGATCGGGCCTGTGATGTCTGTCCCCCAACGCTGCGGACAAATGGGAGTGTGCGATTCGTGCTGACTCTGCGCCAGGATGCAGCTAGCCACCGCCCAACGCCTTGAGTCCTTGGAACTGCGATGTTGACTGGCCGCGGACGAGATGAGGAACTGCCAGTTTCAGCCTAGCGAGAGGAGCAGTGTTTGATTTCATTGGGGATTTGGATGAAGAATCACAGCACAGGGAGTCTGCATCTGTTTCGTCGTCTGTTGGTGAAGCCGTTTGTTTCCAAGGAGACCCTGAATGACGGTTACTCTGCTCACTGCTTCGATACACAGTTGTCGTCCAGATACACAATCGTCGTTCATACACTCTGATTCTCCACGCGGGCGCTTCGAGGGCCATATCAGGATTTAGCTATACAACGTTAACTGTCATGGTGGTTGGCGCCCTGGTGGACCCTGGCCGATCTTCAAATGTCAATGTCGCAGGCTTAAAGGTATGGAGTTAATATTTATAAGCCTGGGCTGTTCGATTATGATAACTGTCATTTAACTGCCGCTGAGCCGTGTTCGCTGTCGAGGGATGGGAGATGTTAGCTGTTTATCAACTTGGCCTGAGATTGGCCATCACCTACAAGTATATCATCCATGATTATTCAAGAACCAGACAAAAAAATGTCATCTGGTTAGAAGCAATCCAAGATGTGAGGGGTCGACTGAGGTAACAATTAATTCAACATCCCTGGTGGACAGTAGATATGTCTTAACCATGGAGACTTTGCCCCTGTGCCGCCAGGGGTGAAGCTCTTCCACGGCCGAGTTGAGCATCCATGGTTGATAGGAACTGCTTCAGCGTTCACAACATACGCGACCCTTGACTTTGAAATGTCCATTTGGACTTCCTCGCATGCTCTCTGTTGTGCTCTCCGTGCTGTGAGTGCATATTCGCCTAGTAGCACGGCATCATATCGCCAGGCCAGATGTGAATGCATGCGGAGACCGTGGAGATGGTGGATTGGAGACCCTGCTGCCAATATACATAGCGTTGCTGGCATTAGCTTGGGATGCTAGTTAGCCCTGCAGCCTCAGGGTCTAAAGTCGTGCGTGACAAGTACGCCGTAGCCCTTGAGGGTTTCACTTCTAGTTGTTGGATGCAGACGTCGATGTTGGGGCCATACTTTGGGGCCAGTTCTTACTGTCCCTGTCCAGTGTTTACGCATATTAAACCCAGTGTCTATGATGTGTATTGGTTCGATATTTTATCATGTTTTGACCCTCATTAAACCTATTACTTATTGGAGAGACAGGTACGACTTCATCGACGTTGTATAGCCTGTAATCGTTTAAGTATACCCAGGATAACCTTAGCTGATTGAACGTAGCAGCTGGCTGAACTCTTTTGCCATCCACTCCACATACGTCTTCCAGGCATGGTGGTCATTTGATGCCTCCGCCGCGGGGAATGCCATCTGCAGCTCTCGACTAATTTTCAGCACACCCACTGACGCCTCTTGAGCCTTCTCCAGCTCCTGTTTAACTGCTGATTCTTTCGGTTTGACGGATAATACCACTCGGAATGAGTTACTAAACGCATCCAGCCGAGAGAGGGTTTCTTCTGGTGCCAAGGTCATCAACTTCGAAATCATAAGATTGCACAGGGTTCGGATATCTTGCTCGTCTTCGATACCGGCTATGATTCGATCGTAGACCTCAGAAAGGTTGACAGTGGAGAATGCCACGTCAAGACATGTATAAAGCGTCTCGTATGCGCTCTAGAATTTTTTTAACTAGTTAGCCAAATGAACCAAGTATATAGAAAAATGACGAATATAGGTTACTTACCTTGCGAAGCTCCAAGCCATCGTCGACCTTGTGTTTGAACGGGCCCATTTGCACCTCTCGTACAAGCTCGGGTTTCAAGTTCGTATCACCCATAACGGCAGGTAATAGTTGTGGTAGATGTGGAAGAACAAGTGCCGTTTTGTTGTGAATTGCGGAATTCAGGGTTGTCAGAGCAAGGCGGTGGTTGGCCAAGTCGCTATCATTTAGAATTGTGACCAACACTGGAACTATAAGTGGACGAAGAGTTTCATTGTATGTGTTGCTTGAATCAGCAAGGGTGTAGCGGAATGCAGAGATAACCGTGCCTCTAATGGTGGCATTTGGATGAGACAGATATTCCTATTATAAGGTAAGCTTGTGAGCTACATGAAACTTCACAATTAAAAAAAAAAGGAGGGAACATACCTGCAGCTGTGGAATGTAGGTTGCTGGATCGATCAAAGACAAGCGTCCGATACATTCGGCTCCCACAGTACGATTATCTTCATCATCAGAAGCTGATAACAATATTTGCCAAAGACGAGTGGCGAACGGAGCCACATGAGTCTTAACGTCTTCTGGGTGCTGAAGGATCTCCTTTAGCGAATGAAGAAGGAGATATTTAGATGATTTAGACTTCTCCAACCCCTCGAGAATGACAGGCAAGTAAGCCTTCACGTTGCTAGCTCCCGCGTTACCAAGTGCCACGGCAGCGGAAAGTCGAACCTTATCCGAAGGAGAGTTGAAGTTTGCAATGAATAGTTGAGGGTCGAGGGGAGAGTTGGCACCCATTCGCAGTCCAATCTCTCCCAGGATGGCCAAAGCAAGACATTTACGCTGGTTGTCATGGGCAGTCTTGAGTTCGTTGAGGAAGTCCTGGGTTTTAACACCAATATTTGGTCCACCATAAACTAGAAGAGTTCCGATTGCCCTACCGACGACGGCAGAATCACCATTAACCCCGACGTTTTGTAACAAGGCTTTCATGAGTTTTGCGCCTGCTCCCTGTTCGCCTATCACACGGACTAGAAGGATATATGCCTTTAGCGCAGTTCCCGTTAGAGTTCCTTGAACCGCAGTGCAGAGCTGTGATATGATGTTATCATTAACAAGTTCTGGGCCGTAATGGGGCAGTAACTTGGCTAAGATGACTAGTGCTGGCGTCAAGAGATGTAAGTCATCCGCAGAAATAAGAGGGGAGACAGCAACTCGTAAACCGTCAGTGGTGGTTTGATCTAGATATTGCCTAGTCTGAGAGTTGATCGCAATACTCTTGAGAGCCCCGAGGCACACATCTCGCAGTGTGCGGTCGACCTTTCTGAGCTGGGCTGCTAGCTCAAGCGTAACTTCGCCGAGCCATGAAGGTGCAATATCATCAGTGTGGCGCGCGAGCAATGCAACATCGTCTATAGCACGAGCAGCGGCAACTCTTGTTGTCTCATTCTTTAGTCGTTCTAGAAGAACCAGCATCGCTCTCTGTCGATGGGGTAGAGAAATAAATCTACGCCCTTCTGGTCCAGATGTTCGACTCAACATCACTCCAAGCACATGTATACCACGCTGTCGAACCCCTAAATCTGTACTATTGTCGGTGACTTTCTCCACAACAATATCGTACAGTTTTTCTAGTTGTAACCCCAAGTCTCGATCATCTGCAGAGACTCGTGGGGGAGTAAGGGCCACCACAATCTGTTCGATTGCTCCAAGAGCTTCACTTGAAACCTTGAAGTCTCTATCATTCACGGATGCAACAACTCCAGGTATCAATGCAATAAGGAATGGCGAGAGTGAGTTCGAAGGATGAGTCTCAGAAATAGCGGCAATTAATCCCAATGCCTCGACCTGAAGATTTCCCGCGCTGACTGAATTCGAGCCAGCAGAAACTGTCACTCCACCAGATAGCCCGGATGTCTTCAAAGCATCAGCAATAGGGTCCTCAATTCGCTGTAAATAGTCTGCCAGGCCTCCGTATCGGACAAGGGCAAGGGCCTTCAATAAAAGAATAGCACCTTGTTTCAGGGGTATTGATGCGCCTTTCCATAACTTGGTCAACGCCTGCACAATGCCTGGCGTTAGGTCTGCGAGGTCAGTCTGCGGGCCTGGCTGAGGTGTCGAGGGTTTGATGATTGGGGTATCTAAAGCCGCTGCAGCGGGAAAGTCTGATTCAAGGTCGATCACAGTGGCGTTACTATCCTGCCGTCTCCTTTTTCGAGATGAACGTGCTTGAGAAAATGGATCGCAGTACAATGAGTTAGGCCCGGTTGCAAGATCACTCGTCTTTCGAACTATACCTGTCATCGTCGCCACAACTTCAACTTTGACGCTCTCTTCCCTTTCCTTAGTGAACCTTGAAAGAAGTGCTGGCGCTATCTTCTGATATATCGAACCGTCTTCGACAGCCCGTGCGTTCCGTCCTTGTGTTGACACAACAGTGTATAGAACCTTCGCAGAGCATCTACGGACTTTCCAGCTCAAGTCATCAATATCGCTATAGCCCTCTTCTTCCTCAAAGTCATCGAATGCATCGTTGTCTTCGTCGGGCTCCTCGGTAGCACCATCGTCACTACTTTCATCTTGAGTGCCACCCATTTCTTCATCATCTTCCGTCTCAGCCACATTTGGGTCATATTTCAGGTATCGTAAAGCAGCTGCAATAGAGTCATTCAGGTATGGCTGCATCTCGGAACCACAGCAACCAAGCAGTGTTTCAAGTGATATCAGTGCCGTCTCACGCAACTCATCTTGCTTGGGATCATGTTCTCCATCGTCAGACATGTCTTCGTTCATCTCATCCATCTCCTTTTCACTAACGGCTGAAAGGACGAATGGTGCCAGTGTTTTCAAATAGGGACCAAACTTCGCCGGAGTCGACCTTGCCATTGCAGAAATAGTAGCGATTAAATGACGACGACGGTTGATTGTAAGATGCGGGGATCGAAAGCTCTCAATGAGGCCCGAGACGAAGCCACTTAATTGTGCATCTGATAGGTGGATTGACAACATCGAGATGGCCGTTAGAGCGCGTTTAGTGACCACTGTCCCTGCATGGTCGTTCTCGATAACGCGTACAACTGTCTGCAGAAGCTCAGATAGCTCCTCGTCGTTTAGCATGGGTCCATATGACCGCACTACATCGATCAACACGTCAATAGCATCACTGCTGAATCCCTTTGCTGGGTCGTTCACGATCATCCCTGGTGCGGCAGCTGGTGACTTTGTCCTCGTTGGTGCACCGATCAAACGGGGAATTAAAACCCTAGATATAGCTTCATAGCTGCTCTGAACTTCTTTAGAAGTGATTAGGTTGATATTTGGACGCGGAAGGGAAGCTAGAATCATTCGAAGAGCAGTATTTGGGACCGACGTGTCAATTGTCTGTGAGCTCGTGAGGATTGCAAGCTTGTCGATGAATGGAGTGAGAATATCGGGCGGTAGACGCGTAGCCAAAGGACCTATACTGTTTCTCAGAGTTAGAAGAAGCTGGATATGAATTATAGAATATATTTCAATCTCACCATTTCAATGCCACGTTTTGTACCTCGCCGTTCTGGTCTTCTAGAGACTTGAGCAGTCCATCCACCATCTGGTTGCATGCTGGGTGATCCTGTGAAAAATAGGATGAGTTGCAGTTCTCGATAAGTGCTAGAAGGTCGTTCAGGGACATGTATCGAATATCTGGATCGGGATCGGTGAACTTGACCAGCAGTGGGCCCAAGGCTTGCTGTATCGACTGTTTATGGAACGCCATCCTGCTACCCGAAGCTGCTGGCGGAACGATTGTAAGATCCGGATAAACAGCCCAGAGGCGCGCTCCTCTTCAGATACACAAAGCTTCAAGTGGTGAGAGGTAGATGGAGAGAAGGGAGATATGTGAGAGAAGTTGGAGAAATATCGAGCCTCAGAGTGTGGGGGTTGAGGACATGGCGGGGCTGTCTGTAGGCAGCAGTGGAAGAAGATGCAGCTAAGAAGTGTATGGAAAACACAGCTGCAACTGATGTCTGAGATCCTGATGCTGATATGGACTTTGGGATAGCTAGAGGTAGCTGTTCGATATCACTATGCCTGATGTTTGTCTCAGGTAGTGACAAAGGCATGGAAGCCGTTTATGTGCATGTTTACCTATAACTACAACTTGGATGCAGCCACCACTGTACATTCCAGCTACATAAAACTAGACTCACAGTCACTCCATACACAGTCTACCAGTCTATACACATACACTCACACACACATATATATATGTATATATATATATATACATCTCTTGCACACTCCTGTATAGATGTGAGGTTGTGATGGCCTAGATCACGTGGTCATGGCCCTTGGACTGCTTGTTCCAACCTCGCAGTTTCTCTTCTGTCCTTCGCCTGTCCATCCGCCCAGCACCAAACAGCACCCTCTACGCCCTTCGAGGAGTCCGATTCCAGCCCAATTGCGCTCGATTTCAGCAATTGACCAGCTTCACAATGGTTCTCTACCGGTCACCTGCCGTCCGGTCGTTTTTCTCGGCTCAGTCGAGACGGTTCGCGGCTCCCAGAGTACCGACTGCCCGAGCATGGCAGCGAGTTTCTCGACGAGGTTACGCCGACCACGCCGGCCATGAATCTCATGAGGCTGGAAGTGATATGCCATGGTGAGTTGGCCTGTCCATTTTTGTCCTGTGAAGGGTCTGTCTGGAATCGATTCAACCATCAAGACGGTCGTACCACTTTTGGCTATGACGTTTTATTGTGGAAGAAATATTTTTCTTTCTTTCTTGAATATGGCGAACATTGGCTGATTCAATTCCTCTGTCTGTTTGTTTTTCTGCTGTAGGTTGCTTGGTTCCGTCGCATTCACTCTCCCGGCAGCATACTACCTTTACCAGTCCGGCCCCGCTGGAAGGACTGGCCACGGCGACCACGGACACGTTGAGCACGCCGTTGAAAAAGTGAAGGAAGCCGTCAGCGAGCCAGTCAAGGAGGAGGCCAAGCCAGAGCCAGTTGCCGAGCCAAAGGCCGAGTCTGAAGAGCCCAAGTCTGAGGAACCAAAGTCCGAGGAGGAGCCAAAGTCTGAAGAGGCACCAAAGGCCGAGACCGAAGAGGAGAAGCCCAAGGAAGAAGAAAAGCCTGCCGAAACTCCTGCTGAGAAGTCCGAGGAGGCCGAAAAACCATCTGTGAGTGTTGCTCTAACTAACACATCAATACTTGATGCTTTGTTAAGTGGAATTCCCAACTAACTACGTTATTAGCCCCAGGAAGAGAAGAAGCCCGCTGAGACTGAAGACAAGACTCCTAACCCAAGGGATCCATCCAAGGAGCCAGCCTCTAAATCCAGCTAGACTTCTTTGAATACATGGTGACGCCAGACGAGAAGGAAGAGACAACCACAACCCCATCAAATGTCCATTCTTTAGAACAGTTGCCCAATTTTGCTACCTTGTGCTGTAATATAAGTGAATGACATGATCATAAAATCCATACAAGAGCATGTACAGACACCGACCTCCTTACAACCACCTGTTTCATTTAGGTTTTAGAATAGATGCAAATAGTATATGTTCCATTTTATAGCTTGTGCTGGACATTATCTTCTACACCCTGAGTAGATATTCTAGGTAGGTAAAGCAATCATAAAAGATTTAATCTGATGATGATAATCATTACTGGCCTGCCAGAGGCAAGACAGGAGGATGTTCAGATAAGCGTAAGCTTTTTGGATAAGAAGAAGAGTAATAATAATAGGCATTAGAACCATCGTATAAATAAAAACAAGAAAAATTTAAACCTCCCCTGGGCTCCATCGTTAAATATCATCATCGTCAAGATTCAGGTGTGAGTTGCGATTTCACTCTGCGTATGAATGCTCGGATGGCATATCCTATTATATCCTGTCTTGTAGTGAAAGTGCCGATGGCTGATGGCGAATCCGCTGCCGCCACTGAGGGCCTATTGTTTGCAAGCATTAAAAAAAAACATAAGTCAAATCTAACCGTGCGCCGATGCTAAAGCCGGTCTCATAGATGAGACGTCGAGCCCATGCCCCCGTATATATATATTCGGGCTTCTCTTAAAATGCCCAGCGACAAAAGGAATACAAATGGAAGAACCAACAAGGAAACACGATTAGCCGCGATATAGGGAATAAAAAGTGATATAATAAAGGACCCTGACCCGCCTAAGCTATGCAATTCAAGGGTATAAGGCGGGAACAAGAAGTGGCGGGACGGGCCGTCCAGAAAATCTCGCGTGTTTTGTATGTAATTAGTTGCTCATTCATTTGCGTTTCGTGGCAGTGCCGTTTGCGTTGCCGTTGGCTAACCCGGTAGCTGATCCGTTTCCAATTGGATCGGCGTTCTCCTTTGTAGCGTGGCCGTTGACAAGCAAAGTCGGGATACTATTGACCCCGTTCCCATCACCGTTTGCCGTAGCATCTTCGATCTCGTCCTCGTCCTCATTGTCACTTCGTTCATCTTGCAACGCGTTGCTGAAGACGTACGTTTTGGCGATACGGATAATAAGGTAGAGCCAGAATAGGTTGATGGCCTGGAGGGAGCCTAGGAGGCCGAACGTAATGTATTGACTGAGCCAGAACTTGTACTGTCCGGCTGCCCAGTCGACTTCGAAAGGACCGACAGTCCGGAACTCGGTCAGGACAGCCCAGAGAATGTGGAGATTGAGATAGTGTCGCATATAAACCCAGACAGCAACGAAAATAGCGAAGAAAGGGGTGATTATCGGGGAGTCGAGATAGTTGAGAGTTTTTGACGTCTGATAGCACACACAATTGATTAGCAAAAAAAAAAGACAAGCCTATCGGATATTACGGAAAAGAAAACTCACTGCAAGGAAGAAGTCAGAGATGTCGTGGGTGATGTATACGGCGAGTCCAATATAAGTGAAGTGGAAGCGGTAACTCAATGCGATAAGCGCCAGGGTAATTATATGGTGCCCGACCAATTCTTTAAAGTCCCTCCGCGGTTTTTCGAGCTGAAGCAGCAGTACGAGCCCCTGCTGTGCCCAGTAGGCGGCTTCGAGAAGGTAATACGCCTTGAAATCAGCGGTATGGGCCTTGTGCGGGAACCCCTCAAACATGGCCGTGGTGTTGAAGTACCAGATATTCGTCTGCTTCATCACGTACAATCCGAACGGCCCAAACACACTAAAGTAGATTGCCGTGTACACCTGTTCCATGAACCGGGTAGTCTTCGAGCGGCCCTTGATCCCAGCGTATACCGCCCACGGCCGGATAACGCATTGCATCAAGAATTCGCGGGTAAAGGAGAGCGCAATTGTGTAGAACGCAACGAACGCAATGTCTAGTTTCCCCTTGCCGTAGAGAACTGGCCCACCCGGCGTTTCCGGAGGCAGTGGGTAGGAAAGAAATATACCAGCGTGTATGGGGTTCGACTCTGATGGGTTTACGGCGTATGCGGCGAGGAGGGCCACAAGGAGGGCCAGAGGCAAGATCCATGTGTGTTTAAAGCAGATATCTCTCGACCGACGGAGCCACGATCTTGCTCTTCTCCGTTTAGAATGAGGTTTGCTCGTCGACAGGCCGTTTTGGTGTCGCAACTGCACAGAGCGCAAAATGTCAGATCCTATCTCTCAGGCTGAAAGGAGAGTTGCGCTACAAACCACAATCCACGTACCTTGTGCTGGGGAGACTCTGTATTTCCGCCAGCCATGAGCGGCATCTTCGACTCTTCCTTCATGGCATGCATGTTGATGGCCTCCTTGACGTCTGTACTGCCCTGCAAGTTGGAGGAGGACTGGTGGTGTTTAGGAAGCTGGCGGATGGACGATAAAAGGAGCGTCGATCTCGGCGCCAGCTCAACCGGTGCGTCTAATTAAATTTTATTGTTTTTTTTATTATTTTATTTTGGCTTTCTCTCACTTTTCTTTTTTTTTCTTCCCATCCAGTATCGGGCCTTTTCGCGTGGTCTGAAGGAGCTGTGGTGAAGGAAAACTTTTTCCTCGGGGGAGATCTCCTGCCTTGTCGCGTGTTGCTTGCACGGAATACGGAGGAAGTCAACAAGGGCGGCGCAGAGAGTAGCTATGACATAATAACAGGGCGATGCACTGTTTCGACCTCGATTCCCCTGGCTCCTTTTCTTCACAAATCAATAGTTCGATCTGATATAAACTCCTGGTCTAAGGGCTTAAGGGGCTAAGGCAGTTTTATCTCTCGGTGTTTCTTTCTTCCGTTCATTGGATGAATAGATGAGATGCAATTTCGATAGATGAGATACTCTTAGATGAGCTGAAGAGAGGATGCATGCCATAACCTCTAGAGTCACGGAGAGGCCTGCTGTCTAGGGATGATACGTTGGTGTGTGTCTAGTCCACGGATAAATATGTAGAATATGAGAAAGGATATCAATTGATCAATTTCTTGTTCAAGGTATTTTCAAGGGATCAAGGGATTATATATATTCATGTACAGAAACAGTCGAGTAACCGGTTTCACCTTCATCAAATTACCACGGCATTACTATTCATAGCCAAGTCATCGGTCAAACCTGGCTGGTTTCCAACTTATCCGACTGGACGACGCCATGCTCCTCCAGCTGTGCAGCACGACGGAAAGTGCTCCTCGTCTTCCAGGCCGGCGTGCCAATGTATTTGGTGCCCTTGGGATCAGTGAAGATCTGTTCTACCTCCTCCAGGGTTTTACCCGCAGTGTCAGGGAACATAAAGTAGACGTGGATGAACATGGCGGCACAGAAGACACCGAACAGCACGTATGTTTTCCACTGAATGTTGACAAAGGATGGAGGCACAAAGTAGCCGAGTGCGAAGTTGAAGGCCCAATTTGCCGAAGTTGCGAGGGCAACGGCCTTTCCACGGACGCGAAGGGGGAAGAGCTCTGGGGGATAGATCCAGGATACAGGTCCCCAGGTCGGGGCGAAGGAGGCGACGAAGAGGTAAGAGCATGCAATCACAGCTTTGCTCGGGGGCCCGGTGATCTCCCAGGATTCAGCTTCGACGCCATTGAGGCCTCCTGGCGGAGCTGGATGTCCACGACCTGCCAGCAAGCCGGCATTTACAAACAAGAATGTCATCATGAAGAACGCGCCGACCAGGAGAGGGCGACGTCGACCCCAGCGGTCGATCCAGAGTAAGGCCGGGACCGTCATGGCGACGTTGATGACATATTGGATGCTGCTGGAAACTAGAAGGGTGTTTCCGGTCAAGCCAGCCATTCCGAAGACATATCTGCCGGCCATTAGATGGGATACTTGATCTATGGAAAAGGGGTTAAGACTTACGTGATATAGTACATCATCACGTTCATGCCAGTCAACTGACTCCAGATTTGGGTGAAGACGCCGATATGAGTACGGTTGATCATGTTGGGCTTGAAGAGCTCCAAGTAGGAGACATCGGCGTTTCGTTTTTCAAACTCGCATATATCCTTGATCTCCTGGAGTTCGCGGAGGACGAAGGGGGAGTTTGGATTGCCATGACCGTGAACCAGAGTCAGTACCGCGTGGCACTCATCCCATCTGTCTTTACGAGCGAGCCATCGAGGAGACTCGGGGAGTGGCATCATGCCGAAGAAGAGAAGGACGGCTGGGATAGCCTGTAGCCCCCATGGGACACGGAAGGCAGCTGGACCCTTGATAAAACTGCACCCATATGATATACTGTTTCTGTCAGTATCTCCTTTTGGCAGAGATAAAGGGGGAAGCCTACTAGAACATGATGAGGATGCCCCAGGTGATTGCCCACTGCTGGCATCCGACGAGACGGCCACGTTTGGTAGGAGGTGCGACTTCCGAGATATAGACGGGCACCTGTGCAGAGCAGATACCAACACTCAAACCGTTGATGACCCGGCCAGCAATCAACATGCCAATATTCTGGGACGCACAGGTGATTACGGAGCCGATGATCCTAGTTTCTCGTCCTCAGCTGGAGTTCACATAAACGGCACAAACGGTGGGCTTACCAGATAACGGCTCCAACCATGATGGCTTTCTTTCGTCCCATCATATCAGAGACGAAGCCAGATATCAGAGCTCCGAGCCAGGAGCCACCGGCCATGGCTGCAGTGATGCCGCCCTGGACTGCAGGCCGGGGACCACCACACTGGCCGTCGCCATACTGGTTGAAATAGCACTTGTACTGGTCGGTGCCGAGGATAGCAGACATCGACGAGATATCAAAGCCGAAAAGACCGCCTCCTATGACGGAGACGGCAGCAATGATATAGATGTTCCCCGTATTGAACATCTTCAGCTCCCTACGTTCTCGTCTCTGGTGGGTGATTGTTCAATATGGATAGTGAGCATAGACACCTCCCTGGGAGCGCGACATATGCTAAACATGAGGATAGGTGCTAGAATAGAAAGAGAGAGGAAACCAAGTCTGATAGGAACGACTGAGACCATTATATACAGCCTACGGTGCGGGGGATGGAAGCTACCATAGGATCGGCCATGCTACCAGCCTATGATCAATGACGCTGCCACCAGGTCCAGTCCAGTCTGCCAGCGTCCGTATCTACGACATCCATCTTCTCCACAAGTCTTGTGCCGCCCCCCGCAGACACTCGTCCATCGCACAGAGTATACGGAGTACGAAGAGTTGCATATCTAGGGGAGTGACAGGTGTCGCGTGCCGTGTGCCACTGCATCGATCTCTGGTTCCGCGCACTTCCAGCGGTTGGCCAGACCAGCTCGTCGAGGCCGTTCCAGTGGCTCCCTGCTCTTTTCCTTGTATCCTCATAATTGTCGTTAAAGGGGATCTCGTTAAAGGGTCTCGTTGAAAGGATCTCGTTGAAAAGGACAAAAAGAAGCAAAAGAAACGATGTATAAGATCGACGTCTGCCGAGCCGTTTCGGGCCATCCTTCATGCAACCACATGAAATCCACAATGCTTGTATTCTCAAGTATATATACTTGTGATATCACCAGAAAAGCATAGGGCCGGAAGTAGAGGTATATCTACATGTCGCCTCCTTCCCCCAGAAACAACCCAGGGAAAACCTCCTATTCGCAGCGTCATCGCTTCCGACATACTTCCCTGTTGCTTCCTTCGCAGGCTGGAATACCACCTGAAACCCTGAGATGTAACTGCTCCATCGGCCGAGCCGTCGTCACGGCCCCTCAAGCCATCCGCTGTCTCGTTGGCGCAAGGTTTCACAGCTTGGGCGTCGGTCTTCATCTCAACTCGCCTCTACTCGCCCTCTTCTCGCTCTTATCCACTGCCTCCAAGCTGGCTCGGGAGGTCGGGAGTCCCGATGCATGGCTGAAGCTTCCAGGAGGTCGCTTATAATCCTCCGCGTCTGCATTAGCGGCCGCTCTCAGCTTTATATCACTGAATTCGACTTTCCCATGCTAAACTCTGAAATCTCGTCACTACTATATAATCCTGGAACTCGTCTTGAGGAACTCCCAAGGAATTTCGTTGGGATTTACCAGTAGAAGTTGTCTCATTAACAACGGTTTCCATCAACCATTTTACGAATGGTCTGGTAGAGACGTCATAGATATACACTCCCTCGAAATGTGAGTATATATACTCTGCCAGGACATTATTTCTTTCTCTCTCTCTTTCTTTTTCTTCTTTTTCTTTTGTCACACACTCAGCGGAATATCTCTAATATCTTCGTTTCATTTCACTCCAACGTTTGATGGAAGAAAAAATCTATCAACTTCAACCTATTGTCGAAGCCTTAAGCATCCATCTGCTCCCTGAAATGAATGAGCAAGAGTGGCCTCCTGATGACCCTGAGTATGTGGTTGTGGGAAGCGATCTGGATTCAGAGGCCTCGCAATTCGATGCTGGTTGGACGGATAAATCGAAAACCAGGAAGTCGAGCGGGATAGGCCGGGCCAATATCCGGAAGGAGAGCTTCAACACCTCTAGGCCTCAGGCGGACAACTTGGGCACTAGACGGAACAGAAACTCAACCAGGTCCGACACGCGGCATACACCGGAGCCGTGTTATGATGAAGGGCAAGAGGCCAAAACAGGTAACGGCAAACCAGGCTCCTACCAGAGTACCGCTGTTGGGGGTAAATGTTCCCATGGCTCTCCCCGGGACGTGCACCCTGGATGTTTCCAGGCGTCTTGCTATGACGGAGTATGCCAATCAGCCGTCTTCGATATAGGATTGGAAGGTTACATCCAAACCTGCCGATACCAAGCCTATGTTAATGATGGTGAAGAAGAAGTTTACTACGACGCCGTCTCATCGATTGACTCTACGCAGGAATCAGCGGATAGATATGAGCACTACCATCTAGATGAACACTACTACCGACAACGCGACTTCTCATCCGACGACACGCTGAAGCTGGACGATCTCATTACCATCCAAGTCTGCGCCCAGCTATTCATCACTAGGGTAGCTACTTTGATCAGCGGCAGCGACTACTTTTGGAGTTTCCTTCCAATTAATAGGCTGCTTGATCCCGAGCGCCTCTTGTTAGATGAATGGCAATATCCGTTCTCAAAGCGGCCCGTCCTTCTAGATGACGGAGCTTACTTTGTCGACGCGGATCCAGATATGTTCAAATACATCTTGAACTTCCTGCGTGGTGAAAACCCGCCATTATTCTGGTCCAAAAACAGCGGTCATGATTACCCGCTCTATCATCGGCTACTTGCTGAATCCGACTTTTTCGCTGTTCCCCGCCTGACAACATATTTGAAAGAGAGAGCATACATCCAGGCGCTCTCAGGAATACTTGGAGTGGAACGCCACTTCTCACGAGTTGACGCCATGTCTACGGGTAACGCTCCACACCTTGCGTCCTACGACGACGATGATTCAGATAAATTTACCGATTTTGAGGAGCGGTTGCTTTCATTGGAAAATCTCTCTTTGGAAAGACCCTTGGAAAGGCTACCCTTGAGTTACCCTCGATCTTGGTTGGGAGAGGAAGCTCCGGACGGCGTACCCGCTACCTGGTGGTAACAAAAGTATGGGGAACTCAAGCGGAGAGAAAAGCAATAAAAACCCAAAAAAACCCGGAAAAAAACCTCCTCCAGGCGAAATGAAATTTGATTTAAGTGTTGACTATTTTGATAGCGTAGCTGGGCTTGCATTCAACTCCAACCTAGAATAGATGAATATTTATATTAGGAGTAGGAACTCAATCAAAATTGTGACTTGCACCCCCCCCCCCCCAAAAAAAAAGGAAGCGGAAGAAGTGGCAGCTAGGAAAGCAAGGTAAATCATCGTATCAGCATTAGACTTCTATCATTGCCCTAAGTTATATCATTAAGTCCCATCCATCCCAAGTACCTACCCGAGTAGCACCCTCGCCGCAGACATAACTGCTATGGCTTATCGCAGCCGGAGAAAAAGAAAAGCAAAACAAGGTATATTAAACAAGACTCCATTCGGCAACTGCATTGAACCCCATCCCAATTCTACCTACCCCTTGCTCAAACTCTGCGATTGTCATACCACGTAGATTCTGCCGGTCACCAAAACTAGTCAACTCGTACATCATCAATCTCTGACCAGCGCAGCCCAGCACTCTACCATCAGGGATATCCAAATACCAGTAGTCACCGCCCCCGCCAGGGTTTGTGCCTCGAAAATGGTTAAATGGAACGAATTTCTTTTCTCTGCCATCGATCCCATGCGTACCCAGGATGAAGAAGGCTGCAGCGCTTTTGCCGCCGTGCTTGGTAATAGACCAATGTTCGCAGATGAGACCGAATTGAAAATGCACCGGACGCCCGGAAACTTGTCTGATAGAGATAGATTTCAGCCTTGGTTGGAGGGTAGACTGTCCGATACCGTGGTCTTCTACGGCGTTGCTGAAGAGAGTGGGTGGGTCAGAGGGAATATTCATTTGCGCCTTGAGGCCACCGCTAATATATTCTTCCCATGTAATGTCAGTGCGTCCATCCTCACGGTAGAGGTCGGATTTATTTTCAGGGTAATGGCAGAGGCCGAATTCGTCGTTCGACATGGTGAAATGTTTGGGTGAAAATTCTTGAATGTATGGCATGTTTTCGCCCTCGACGTGGCCGGCACCCCAGCAGCTATCGATTAGCTTCCACTGGCCGTTGTCAATGCGTACTACATTCCACGCATGGTTGAGATTATAGGAAGGCAATGGTTCTCCGGGTACAGGTGTCTTATGTGCATAACCCGCCCCATGGCCGCTTAGTAGTCTAACCTCTAAGCCGGCGTGCCTTGCTAGAGTCTCGAAGAGAGAAGCAAACCCAGCACAAACCGCAAGGCCACTAGTGAATACATAATCTGGCGATTGTGGCGTGGATTTGCCCTGAAAGAAGCTTTCGACATCATAGCGGACGTTATGATGAAGCCACTTAAAAATCACCCTGGCCTTGTCTGTAAGCGACGGGAATGGGGAGGTGAGTTGGGCCGACAGCCAGGCCAAATCGTGCGAGGGAAGGGATTGACGAGGGAACTTGGCAGCATGTGCATCAGGGGCGGAGAAGTCACGACATTTAAAGCACACGGTTGACGATGTGGCAGGCTGAATTGCATTAGCATGGGTCGGAAGGATTCCCTGAGGCTTAGATGTGGTGGGTATCTGGGGTATTTTTGGGCGGGATGCATGCGGTATGGGTGGTGGGATACGGGACATATTTTTAGCCCGGGCCGAGAGAGGATTGTCGTTGACCGCATCATTGACACTACTGCTCAGTGTCGCAAATGATACCTGCCTGAGTTTTTGGAGGTCTGCGCCTCGAGGTGGAGGAGGGGGAAGCTTCCTCTGTGTAACGGGTGCCGAGTCTACTCTCTCTAGCAGAGGTTGACATTGTTGCTGACACTGAGCCTGCTGTGCTTGGGGAATAGGTGTAGAGTCCATGCGAGGAGGGAGTTGCGGTTTCGCAGGCTTTAATGGAGGAGGAACTTTAGCAGGAGAAACGAGCTTATGGCCAGCCAACTGGTTCCGTAACGCTGCTACATTGCCGTTCAGACTTCGAGCATCGAAGCTCGGCTTGGATTGCGATTCCCCCTTTTGCCTCTCATGGCTGGTATCCTTAGTATCTTTAGGGCCGCTATTCCACCCTTTCACAGCGGGCAACTCGGTCTGGCCCCATGCTGGAGCGCGAACGCGGTAAACGTCAGGCTTGCAGTCTGACACGGACGAGTTCGAGGAAATGGATGCGCTCGAGGGTGTATATTCGCTGGAAGTCCGACCATAGTCCGACGACGTTCGAGGAGGTAGAGCTGGCGGCACTACTGGCGATGAGGCTGCTGCTGCTGCTGCTGTCTTCCTTGGCGGCAACGGAGGGCCTGCCGGGATGGCCTTGCCTGACTTTGGCGGCGGAGGCGGAGGAGGCCTTTTCTGGCCGGTTCTGGCGATGACGGGCGGAGGTAGAACCTCCTTTCCTCGAATCATTTGTCTGGGACTGTACTCCTCGACTGTGAAGAGATATTGCTGCTCGCTCGCTCGTCTAGCACGTCGGAGGCAAAGGGGATCAGGGACGGAGTCATCGCAATAATATATGGAGAGGCGGAGAGTTGTTCCCTGTTCGTTGGATCAAGCACGCCTCAGGGTATATTACATGCTGGTATCAAATATCAAACTGCTTAGCCCCACGTCAGGCCCACAGTGCCCAGCCCCAGACGCAGCGGCTTGCTTTTTTGTTGGACGTTTCGTGCATCGCGCGCCCTTGAAATCTGTCCGTATTGCGGGCGTCGTCGTTGGTGTTTCAGCTGCGGTGGTTGCTTCTGTCCAACTTAATTAACCTTAAGTTAAGTAAGCAGCTGAGGCCGTCTTATTGGCGGATATAGCGATCCGCTTGTTGGTGGCCAATCAGAAGGCGAGAAAATCCTGATAAGCTCAGGTCAAATGAAGACGCGAATTCTCATTGGTTGGTCCCTGATGCGGCTCTGCTGGCCTAAAGAGGAAGGCCGTGGCGGGCCAACAGTAGAAGATATAGAAGGGAGGACAGAGTGATAGAAGAGCAATAGAAGGGATAGCAAGAGCAGGAAGAACAGGGAGAGGGAAGAGGAGAAGGATGTCCACGGGAGGAGATAAAAATATCATATAAACTACGCTAAACATCTATGCTGGCCGGATCATGCACCGCAAGCCAGGATAGCGATAGCCCAAGTCATAATACACCATCAAGAAAGGAACGGCGAACGACAAACGACGGCGACCTTGAATCTTAGACTACTCGGACGCCCCCAACATACGACGAAGAACCCTCAAGCCCCGTCAACTCCCGCTTGTTCCCCCCAGAGACTATCACTCAGGACCATGGATAGCAAGATCTTCATCGACCATAGCGGCTAGCCGTTACATCATGGAGACATATACATCGTCACTATCGTCACCTTTCCTCGTTAGACGGATTGGTACAGCAACAAGGGCTCGCCGATGTTTTCGATTTCGGGGATCGTGCATTTGAGATCAAACGCCTTGCTAAGCACGATTTTAAATATCTAAAAATAAGTAGAGTTAGAACCGGGACCGGCCGGCCGTGCTAGAGGACAACAGACTTACCTTTTGCACGTTGATGCTATGACTTGTGCTGCTGAAAATTAAGCTCGCCCTCATCGCCTTGGCGAATCGTTTTGCCTGCCAAGACCTGTCAGTCCTTGAAGTAGATAGTAGATAGTAGATAGTTAAAGCAGGGACAGCAGCACACCTGTATGGATATCTCCTCTTGATCTTCGCGCGGGAAGTTGACGAAATGGTCATATTTAGTCCCCACGAGAAAGGGAATGGCAGTCTTGTTGAAGCCACGCCCTTGTCGATACCACTCTTTAATAGAGTTCAGCGTGCTTTTCCGGGTGAGATCAAACATGAACAATATAGCCACGGCGTCGTTGCAAACAAGAGGCAGCATGTTGACGAATTCTCGCTGCCCTCCCAGATCCCAGATCGAAAATGTGATTTCTGTGTTTCGGATTGAAATCGTCTTTTCCATAAAATTGACCCCTAGTTGCATTGTCAGTGATAGGGCTGTAGATTACAGGGGTTGTTGCGTGCCCACCTAATGTCTGAATATAATCTTCGTCCCAGCTGCCCTCTACATATTTGACCATTAAACTTGTCTTGCCAATTTGAGCGTCGCCAACCATCCCGACTTTAATCACAACACTATTCTTGTTTGGAGCCGCCGATTGTTGTTGTTGTTGTTGCTGTTGCTGTTGCTGTTGTTGTTGTTGCTGCGGTTGCTGCTGCGGTTGCTGTGGTTGTGGCGGCCTCTGGTTCTGATTGTGGTCTTGGTATTGTTGCGAGTATCCGTACCTATCTCCGGAACTCGATACCCCAGAGCCTGGGCGGGAAGCAGGTTGTGAAGGCAGTTGGTATTGCTGGTATGACATGGTGGGGGAGTTATGCCTTGACGCCGGCGAAAGGTCACTCTCATGTGTAGGTAGAGTTGGAGTAATCGACTGAACGTATTCGGGAGAGTATGACGAGTGGTGGGCTTGTTGTCCGTTGATGTAGCCGTTATTATAAGTCTGCGGGTAATTCGACACTGTCTCTTCGGCGCGGGCTGGAATGTCCTGCTCTGGTGTCTGTGGAACCAAGCTCTCGGGGGCAGACGCTGGTTCGGTCTCTGGAGCAGGCTTCGACGAAGACACCGGTTCTAGTGCAGATACGGGCTCCGGTACAGATACAGATGCAGGCCCAGTCCCAGGCTGAGTAAGTGGTTGTTCAGTATTTGTTGTCGTCGCCGTGAATTGTGTCACCGTCGGCTCCTCCTCCACCTGGAGCTTATCGATCTCCTTCGTCAACGTATCCATCTCCGCGTCTAGTCTCAGAGTGAATCTTCACGGCGTATAACGGTGGTATCACACGAATTGTTAGGTTTATGGAGAGGCATAAATAGACCAAGGGTCTCTCGTGCGGTAGGGTCGTCCGTTCTCGGCAGATGCGTCGTTTCGCTCGGTTTCAGGGCGAGTTGAATGAAAGCGCTGCACATGCAGGAAGCGTGCCGGGTAAATCCCTTATCCCAAATACCACTCTGCCGTAGACAGACGCCGCCGGGCTTCTCCTTTTCTGAGCCAGGGGAGCTTGAGGGAGCTCAAGGTTTAAGCGCGTAGGGTCGAGGGAACCGCGATATCCCGTGGAGCTGGGGGGTTTTCAGGCGATCGAAGATCCGGTCTCAGGAGGGAACGAGTTGGCCTGGCGTCCGAACAGAGAGAGACACTGCTGCAATCCGTCGTTCTTTGTATATCGTCGTCGACGCCGTCTATCAAAAGCGAATGTTCACGAAACCGAAACCAACAACGCAAGCTGGGATTGGCCCAAAAGGAGACTAGCGCGGGCCCGCATTTCCACCCAAACATGTGGGAAAATAAAAAAGATTTTTTGATACTGGAAACATAAATTTTTTTATTATCGATAACACACGAACGAGTTGCTCTTCCTTCTCTGCCACCGCACCTGTTGTTAGGTTTTATATTGATCGAATTGGCCAGAGGGAGGTAGTTCCAGCATGTCGAAGCGCAGTATAGAGGCCGACGAGGCGAGCGGGGCACTGAAAGCTGGTGACCGGCCCATGGAGGACGCCCCGCCAAACGAGATAGGAGATTTTGAAGACGAGTTTGAAGACGAGTTTGAGAGCGAAGATGAGATCCTCGAGGCTGGTGTTGACGGCCGGCCAGATGCAGAGCGCGAAGCTGAAGAGCAAAGGGGTACGTGGTGGCCCTAGAGCCGGGTTCTGCGGTGTGCATAGCCAATTCGTCTTGTCTCATGATGATAAAAAGGAAAATAGATGGCTGACGGGTGTGACTCTTGTCTTGAATAGATGCAATGGAGGTGGACAAACAGACATTCATCCCCGGAAGGACAAAACTAGGCCCCGGGGAGACTCTGTCGCCCGATCCGTCCACATACGATATGCTTCATACACTAAGCACGCCATGGCCGTGTCTTTCATTCGATATCGTGAAGGATAGCCTGGGCGATAACAGAAAATTGTACCCAGCAACCGTATATGCAGTGTCCGGTACACAGGCAGAGTCGAGGAGGGCAAAAGACAATGAGCTTATGGTGCTCAAATTGAGCGGGCTGAACAGGATGGAACGTGAGCCCAACGAAGACGAGGACGATGAGTCAGATTCAGACGACGATTCTCCTTCGGAGCCCATCCTCGAGTCAAAGTCGATACCCCTAAACTCTACAACGAACCGGATCCGGTCACACCAAACACCACATGCATCAGGGGACCCCACGAAACCTCCCCAGACACTTGCCGCGTGCATGCTGGAAAATTCACAGATTGTGATCCATGATGTATCGCAACATCTGGCCAGCTTTGATAACCCCGGCTTAATACTTCCGCCATCGGCGGCCAAACCTCTCTCTACACTACGAATGCATAAATCTGAGGGTTACGCACTTGACTGGTCTCCTCTTTACCCTCTAGGGAAACTACTCACGGGCGACAATGATGGCCTCATATACGTAACCACTCGATCCGAGGGTGGCGGATGGGTTACCGACTCGCGACCATTTGTTGGCCATACATCATCCGTCGAAGAAATTCAGTGGTCCCCCAACGAGAAGAACGTATTTGCGTCCGCCAGCAGCGATGGGAGCGTTAAAATATGGGATGTTCGGTCCAAATCACGAAAACCAGCAGTGGATGTTAAGATCTCCAACACAGACATCAACGTCATGAGTTGGTCAAAGCAGACTTTCCACCTCCTTGCCACAGGTGCTGATGATGGTCAATGGGGTGTTTGGGACTTGAGGCAGTGGAAACCCGAATCTTCAAATGGCGGCTCCTCCCAGTTCAAGCCCGAGGCAGTAGCCTCGTTTGATTTCCATACGGAGCCCATCACGAGCATCGAATGGCACCCAACTGACGACAGTGTTGTTGCTGTTAGCTCGGCGGATAACACACTTACACTTTGGGATCTTGCCGTAGAGATCGATGACGAGGAAACCCGAGAAGAAGCTGGCTTGGCAGATGTCCCATCACAGCTGTTGTTTGTCCATTATATGGAGATGGTAAAGGAGTTGCATTGGCAGGAACAGATGCCAGGTACGATCATGGCTACTGGAGGTAATGGCTTCGGGTAAGTTCCTTCCTCATCCCTAAGCGTTTTCTTGAAATTTTTTACTGACTTTATACGTGTAGTGTTTTCAAAACCATCAGTGTTTAAAATTCATAATATAACTACTGAAACAAAGCGAAAAAAGGTTACAAAATTTATGGAACCCCCATGAGTTGAGCTTTTGTGTTCATACGGCTTTATGATTTTATGAAATAATCAAAATAGAAGGTCAATATCAAAAATAAAGCAGGTACAATGGGACCATATTCCCTAGGATACCTGTGGTTTACATAAAAAGAATCTGCTTAACACAGCTCCAAGATGAGGTCTCTTAATTTTTGTGATGACAATCTATTTCTTCCATGACAGTCAGATTCACGATTATCTTATCTAGACAAAGAAGAGCCTATTATAACCACGGTGGAAGGTTAGAGCCATTTAACTGGACATAAAGTGAAAATAAGATTGATGGTGAGTGAACCTTTACCATGGACCTGTAGCATTTGTACCAAAACAAACCTACAGTGACAACCAAACAAACACAAAATGCCCTAACCTCTTTCACGGAAAGAGTGACGTTATATAGGGAGGTTAACGGATAGGTCTGTCATTGTCTCGAGTTTCTTGTGATTTACTGTTCACCCAGGCCAATCCGGATCATGCCTATTCAGTCTTCCCCTTCGTCACCCTACCTTTTCTATATAATACCACCTAACTTTCTTTACTGGGAGGAGCTTCCGGCCGCTTTTAACTTTCTAATTGTTTGGATATCTATCCCACCGCCTTCCGGGGCCTATAAGAGCGAAGAGGGTTATCGAGAAACACTAAGACGACCTAGTGACGTTCTATCTGTTTGCATTTGGAACCACCCATCGCCAACATCATGCTTGATCCAAGCCAGGCTGCCCAAGATGAAGATCCAAACCAGGGACATATTATTAGCCATGAAGACCGTGACGTCTCTGAAACCATTATGCAGGTGAACGATGACTATTCGTCATCAAGTCTAACAGTCGATATATGTGTCGAAGCAATGGAGGGCATGGCTATGCAAGACCCGCGATCGTCGAACGACCGAGCGGCCCCAGTTGATATCCGGAATAAACATGCTGCTAACATTTCGTCCAAGAAACCACACAAGCGCTCAGATACACCACGAAGGGTATTCCGTCGATACGTATCCATGCCTCATATCCTTCGGACCCGGATACAAGTGATACAGCACCAAATCGAAGTCTGCAAATCAAGCTTGACACCGAATCATATCCTCACAGGAAAGGATTGCCAGACAAAAACACCGTTTCTAGTGAGAAGAGTGCGTCCACGGGCAACGTTCTCCAGAAAACCAACCCCCCGCATCGTCCGGACTGGGTGGAGCACTATTAATAAACGGGTGGGATTGATGGAAGTTCCAGAAATAATGGAGGCAGATTGGACAGAGTGTGTAGAAGAGACGCTGCATCTGCGCGGGGGCTGTGGCGGATGGATGAACAAAAAGGGGAAGATACAACGATTGGAAGACGATGAGGAACTTCCGCCAATTATATGGTGGGTTGCTGGGGGAAAACCGGGATATCCTCTCCCAACGGGCAAGCGGTTAAGAGAATGGAAGACAAAAAGTAAAGGGAAGTGGCAGGAAGACCAGAGGAGAGGGTATCTTCAGGAATTCGTGTTCGTGATGTCCGAAGGGAGATTATGCAGGAATCAACCTGAAAGGAAGATAAAGGGGAAAAACGATGTGAAGACAAAGAAAGCTAAGGGCCCTGATGACCTGGCTGAGGGCGGTAGCTCGATACTCGCGCCAGGATAAATTATCTTTCTGGATGGTGTATGGATACATTTTGATAGATGTACTCCATAGCTACACAATGCTATTATGTCCCTGGCTGAGAGTTCTAGCCAAGGGCGTTGGTTCCATTACTTGGCAGCATCATTCTAACGAGATATATCACCCTTGGGAATAGAACAGTATATCAATTAACTCCAGAGGATCTGCATCGTCTCTAGGCAGTTGATTCTTCTTATAACCTTGATATTGAAGAAAGGAACCTCGAAGTAAATTAGGTTCGACCATTCTTGTGGAGGGGACAATGCAGCATGGAAGCATGGTCCCTTCCTGACACGATGTACGGAGTAATATTATCAGACTTAATATACCCAATATATCAAATCGAGCTAACGCTTTTTTTACCACACTTATCGAATGTAAGGTTAAAGCCGCGTTGTCCTCCAACAACTGTACTCTCGTGAAAACCCTCGGCCAAGATGGCGGCCCATCACCTCCCGCCAGGGCCGTCCGTTACTTTCAGCCACAAGGTCATCCAAAGGCCGAATGCAGTCTAAAGCCCGCTTGCCCTTGACCCAGCAGCAGGCATTGTTGCATCATGTGCACAGCTTGTGCTGATAAACTTCGAAGGGCGGAAAAGCGCCCTGTGCCTGATTGGCAGGCCAATATGCATGAGAACGCCAGCTACTGGTTATCCTTGTACAGCTGTTAATGCACGACATGCGGAAGCACGTCGATTGCCAGCTCCAATTCGTTGATATATTTTGGGATGATGAATTTTGGTTTGTTCGAGCCTGGCTAATTGAGGATCTCAGCGGAGGACGACTCTGTCCTCGTCACCACATAACCCCATAAGCTCTAGCAGTGATGATTGGACCCGGCCACCGCGTGCTGATAACTGTACGCCCATACGTATATCGGAAGACCGTCAGGCAGTGAACGTATACAGGCATACACAGCATAACGATGCAACCCAGAAGCTCGGGAATGGAGTTAGGTTCGAGGTGAGATATATATATATGTGAGTATACGAGCTTTCTCATGGCGTACATACGTACATATACATATGGTCATCGTCACCGGCCTGCCAACATGCATCCTCCAGCGATTAGTCTTTCATCTGCACGGAGTCTGCTCAACTAACTAGCCACTAAGCTGCTGAGGTGGCGTCGACTCTCTCGTATTGGCGACCTGCTCGGCTGCATATCCATCCCAAAGAGCTGGGCAGCAGCTTTGCAATATATGTACGGAGTATAAAATATTATTATATTACTCGTACCAGGAACGATAACTCTGGACTGGCCCTTGTCGCTGGGAGAGTTCTCGAGAAGCTGGGTTCAAACGGTCTACCATGAACTTTCCCGACCCTGTCGGTCTGGGGGGGATTTTCCTTGCAGTTTGATAGGCAGGACCATGCTTCCTCGGTGAACTGTAAATGACGTCTGGTTTGTAATGGTGAACCACGGGCGGTCCCTGTTGATCTCCGTTTGGACGCCTTCTGTGCTGCATGCGCTGTGCTGCATCGATAACAGAGCACAGGTCGAAGAATGGCGAAAAAGAAAGGAATATTGTTAGCGGAACAAAGACAAGAAAAGTTGAAGTTGAAGTTGTTTTTTTTGGCTGATGACGTAATTCCGTGCTTGCTTAAGCTAGATACGCGCCGCTAGTCCATTTTAGGAAACGACACATGACCTGTCGCATTCCTAAACGGGAACTAGCGCGGTGCTTACCGACGCGGCCACTAGTCCCAAAGAAGTTTAGCCCACAAATATTTGGTAACGTCACAGATATGTATTATTACACTGCATGAAGTGTAATACCATGAAATACCAGGACCTGTATTGGTACGGCCAAATACCAACTCTTAGTGCCTTTTGCATCGAATATCAAATCACACATCGATCAGCACCGCTTTTGCCGTCAAAGCTCAAGAGCTTGGTGTGCTAACTATAGAAGATGGCCCGGGTTTGCAGGCCTTGGCCGGCCACAAACGCCGATGTCGCACGGCGCGTGAGCTTCTGGCCGTAGACGATGATGTCAATTGGCGATTTGGCGGCGTTGTCGAGGGACAGCCCTTGAAAGCTAGATGGATGGACAAGCCATCGAGGTACCAAGTCGTTACTCTGCATGAGCATAGGCCACTTGAGGCGTCTCCTAGCTACACCAGTCCAGCTGCTGAAAACTTTAGAGTGGGAGCACTCCGTCCGAGTTATGTCCATCGAATTATGTTCGTCGGGGATCGGAACGGAGTATGTGCTATTATGACTCGGCAGCTCGGGCGATGCTGGGCCCATGGCAAGTACAAGAAAATGCCGCGGTACGGATATTCTAGCGAGCTTTGGTCATCTTCACACTCAACTTTGGTTGAAGGCTGAGGTCGAATTCGTCCAATCCAGTCGCTAGATATTATTCAGCCCGTTCCTTGGAGAAAATTAAGGGCTTTTTTCTGCTTGCCTCCAATTTCCTCTTTTCGATCCTGCCGTGAGAGAATCCACATGGCCAAGTACGAGCATCACGGCTCACCGGTATGCGTAGATGTAAACAAGTTTCGAGGATCCACTGCGCCCCCAGACTCCACGCGATGGACTCGATGACAGCTAATGCTCGATTTGTGGGGAAGCAGCCGTAAGTAAGGGCCCATCTCTGAACTCCGGGAAGGCCTCGTGTTGGCCACACCATTCATATCGCCGTTCGGAGTCTAGGACAGACGACTGGACGGCTTCGCCTAGGTTTCTGTGCTCGTCTAATCCGGCTCCGCGGACCTTACGAACACGAAGAAGTAAGTATTTAGCCGAAGTCGAGGTGTCCCAACATCACCAGCCGATCGTCTTGTCTTCAAGACGTTATTAAATGGAACCGTCGGGCATCAATCCAGAATTTTCTGCATGTGGAGAGTTGTCGATGATGCCTGAACGTTTTTATTTCTTCTTGGGGCCCATGGAGATGATGACATAAGCATGATATGGACGCTTTGGGGCGCGGATATAACTTCCCAGGATGATCCGGATAAATGGAGTGGTATTGATCCGGTATCGATCGGGCGGACGTCGATATATCAAGAGCAGTTATGATAGCTAGGAGATCGGTGGTGATCCAGAGTCAGAGTCGTCGCGAGACAGCATGAACATGAACTGTCTGTGGAACGAAGCACGGCGTCCATGCCGCTCCCGTCCAGATGGAAACTCTGGTGCCTTGTGGCTAGATACATCGACGGACCGCTTGGACTACAGCAGGAGCGAGGCCGTTCTAGGTCCTTTGAATGCACCGTCTCTGGGAATCTTTTTACCACCCGAGCGCGGCGATCTACGCACCGTGCATGCTCGATCATGACATTTATATACAGCTACTTGCAGTTACGGGACCTTTTTTGGTGCCTCGCAGCATCGCTTCGAGCCACAAGGCTGCAGTTGCATAGCGTACGCTGCACGCCGGCGCTCGTTCCTCCAGAGCAGATGGATTGCGCCCTTGTCTCGCTGAATATTACTCCGTCTTATTCTCTCGAGGGTCAAGTATAGAGGCCTGCATTGTGGCTGTGACCCTGCGTGCAGTAATACCGCCTGTTACACCTGCAGTACCCATGGTATCTACCTCGTACCGGTCCTACGCATTGAATATGAGTACGGACATACTCCGCACGGTGTAAACATCCAGGGTAACAGCCACTGGTGCTGCTAATAATTATCTATATCTTGAGCACTTTGTAAGGAGTAGATGAGTACGGAGTAGATGTTGCTATAGAATACGATGCCAAGGGATGTGCCTGTCTGAGCGCTGTATTTCTCGTAAGATACCAGGTACGGCGTACGGTAAAGATACGCCATGTCCGCATTGAGTAACCCGGACGACATGCGACTTCGAGACTTCGTGACATCGCGGAGATATGTCTGAGATACACTCGAGCTCGCGCTGATATCGCTGGCATACACAGCCTCAAGTGCCAGTGCGATGCCTGGCCGTCTTGGATCTCACGAATATACAACGCAAACTTGGTTCTGCGGCGTAATTAACACGCAAGGCTAACGAAATACTAGTACGAGCGCCCCAGTCGAGGTGTGGAACAACGCTAACATGATACAGGGGAACCGCTGGAGAAGTACCGTCGTTCCATGTAAGTAAGACGATGCGAGCGCCGCCACCAATAATAATATACTTAAGCCTCAAGGCCGAATACCAGCACAGCCGGAACGAAGGACAAGAAGGACAGCAGCAGAGAGCAGCGGCAGAGTAGCAGAAGCAGCAGCGGTAGCAGCAGCATCAGACGCCGAAGAAGAAGCAGCACGACGAGGGACGACAGCAGGACAGCAAGACAGCGATCTGAGAGACGTTGATCCGGCATCGTTGGACAGCCTGCTTCCTCGACCTCATTCAAGGCCATATCGCAATTACATTCATTGCTCGCCGTTCTCCCCTCCCCCCATCTGCTCCTCGCTGACATCACATTACATTCATCTCCTGCGTTCGCGCCGCTGAAACACGGCCATCTGCGCGTTGCATCCCTCCTCCGCCTCTCGTGGGCAATTGAAACGCTTCATACCAGACGGCAGAGTGTTTCCTGCTCCTGTTGCCGCCCACGCTTCAAGCAAGGGGCTGTTTCTACCTCTACCCCATCATCCTTCAGGCACCGCCTTTGGCCCCGTTATCTCTCACCGCACATCTCCGTCCAACGAATTACTATCTTTACAAGCTTGAATTGCCGCCACGATCCTACCAATATATCGCCTTTCCCCGACCTGCTGGCCATTCTTTTAACGCCGATTTAAATATAGTTACTTATTAGCACTTCCCTCCAGTCTCGGCGCCAGCGTCAGCCTCGCCTCTCCGGTCGGTACATGGGAAGCTGAGCGTTCGCCCGCCGCTATATGACGTATAACAAAGCATTTGATTATCTTATCTGCTGCATCAATCGGACGACCTGTTCTCTGCCCTCCTTGTGATACCAGGTGGGGGTTTCGAAGAAGAGTTCCCGACTGTATGGTTGTTTGTTGCTGTTTGAGAGCTTCTAGATCTACGGTATCTTACTGGATGTTATCTTTACCCGTGTGAGTGCATCTCTGTCTCTCGGTCTATCGATTCAATGCATATGCGATCTCACTCATCCTCACGCATTGTTCGATTCCATGGCCGTGTATACTCTGCTGTGCCTCTTCCCTTTATACCGCTGCTGTTGCGCCTTTTGCGCCGTTGCGTGGATTCAGTATGGCTGACTCGTCGTTTTTTCTCTCATCTGATGTTACAGATATCCCTGTGTGACCCGTCGATGTCCCCGTTCGGCCTAACTACACGACTATAGCTTTCCTACATGTCGAGTACCCTGTAACTATCACCGGCTGTGTATTATTTCAAAATCCCTCTATATTAACGTGGCATTCCTAACCCGCAACTACGTCGTCTACGCTTGCGCACTCTGATATTGTTAGCTGAGAACGCATTGTGAGAAGAAAAGTTTGAAGAGCTTCGCGGCACCACACCTGTCAATGATGGCAGACCATATTGCTCTTAATAATGAGTCAAGTCAGGACCTGGCGGCGATCAATGAAGTTATGCAAAATGGTCCTGGTAAGGTTTACATCGCGGCATCCCATCGTTTGTTGCTTTTGCCCGAACGGTGCTTATCATGATTGCAGTATCCCATACAGCTGGCCATATCCCCAGTCACAAGAATCAACAAAAGGGGACCAACCCGGATATTCCTCCTCCAAAGACAGATAAACCACGGCCGCATGTGTGTATAACCTGTTCGCGGTCCTTCGCCCGCCTTGAGCATCTTAAGCGTCATGAGCGATCCCATACCAAGGAGAAACCCTTCGAGTGCCCCGATTGCACAAGATGCTTTGCGCGAAGAGATCTACTTCTGAGGCACCAGCAGAAACTCCACATGGCGACCACGCCAGCATCGCGGCCAAGGAACGTCAGACGAGAGAGCATGAGCAGTTCCACGAGAGTCCGCAAGAATTCGATTGTTGGCGGAACCAATACCATGAGACCAAGAGCCAATACTATCAGCCATGTCGAAGGAGCCGCTGTGGGTATGCTATCTCCCGGAAACTCAGCTTCCAGGCCGACTCAGCCAGGCCATACCCATCATCCTAGCCTTGGTGGTCTTTCGAACTTTCCCAACTTCGATTACCGTTCAAGCATCAGCTCACTCAATGGACTCACCAAACTCGACACTGCAGCTCTAACCAGCGACTTCCCCGATGCTCTTCGAACCGCACCAGTATTTGGAAGTTTTGATCTCCCATTTGGGATGGGTGATGCGATGATTGGCCAGGGAAGTACAATCAACCCTGCACAGTTGCACTTTGCAGGTTCGCCCCATGGCTTTGCCGATTCCCCTGCCTCCCCTTTCTCTCAGAGCTTTTCAAACATGACTGCTACGCAGAGTACAATTGAAGATGACTTGAAATATGAATGGCTAAATGGCTTTGACAATACCATGACGTTCGCGCCCAACGACTCCGCCATCGATGGCTCATCCCCATCGGCCATGAGTACTGGAAGTCAAAGTGGACTTAGTGAAGCGATTCTCGACGCCGCCAACCAGGCTGCCACAACATCCGGGGGTAGTACAGCCTGGTCTGGTACACTACTATCCCAAAGTCAACCTCAATCCCAGCAATATGCATTGGATTTCGCCAACCTTACGTTTCCCGAGTTTGCTGCACCTCCTGATACTGTGTCCCCTAAGTCTCTCCTTTCACAAAACCATGTATCCAATTCTTCGTTCTCGACATCTACATCCTTAGCGTCGATGAATGGACCCGTACTCTCGGGAGCTCCTACTAGTACGTTCCATATTTCCTCCGTCGGTGGAACAGATGGCCTCCAATCTTTTGAATCTGGCTATGGTCAAACGTCTCAACCAGCCTACTTGAGTTCTATCACTGATTCGACGCGACAGGCTTTGATGGGGACTTTACAACAACCTTCGGGTTTCAATAATCGTCGATTCTCGCAACATTCCCTTAGCCCGTCGCCTTTGAGCCCTTCTAGCCCCGGAAATATGCTAAGCAACTCCCCGTACACCTACAACTTACCCAGCACCTACGATCTTCAGCGATATGTCTCTGCATACGTTACTTATTTTCACCCCCATTTACCGTTCCTCCACGTTCACACCTTGGATTTCACCGCTCTTGAGTATTCAGGAAAGTCTGGATCATCTGGCACCGTTGGCAATATTGCCCTCGGTGGTGGATGTCTTGTTCTTTCCATGGCTGCTATCGGTGCGCTTTATGAGTACGATACGGCCACATCAAAGGACCTTTTTGAGTCTGCCAAGAAAATGATTCAGCTTTACCTTGAGGAGAGACGACGGGCAGATATGTCTGCTGCCCTCAACCGTTCTAATTTTAGCCGCGATAATTCACTTCATAACACTCCGCTTTGGCTTGTGCAAGCTATGCTACTTAACGTTATATACGGCCATAATTGCGATGACAAAACTGCCGTTGACATTGCGAGTACACATTGTGCGGCCCTTATTAGCCTGGCGCGAGCTGCAGAGCTAACGCAGTACCATCCACCAGAGAGCTTACCAGCTGAGCAACTAGGGTACAATGCTTCCTCCAATGATCTGTCTGGCCTTAATACAGATATGTGGAAGGGCCAACAGACGGAAATCTCCAACGAAAGAAAAGAATGGCTTAACTGGAAGATTGTGGAAGAGAGGAAACGTACCCTATATGCTATTTTCACCTTGTCAAGTTTGTTGGTTTCTACATATAATCACGCACCCGCTCTCACAAACTCGGAAATTCAGCTCACTTTACCTTGTGAAGAACAACTCTGGGCAGCTGAGTCTCCTGAAGCGTGGAGAGCAATGGGAGGTGCTGAGAAAACCTCAATCGAGTTCTCTACTGCTCTCAAGACGCTTCTCACAGCAGGTCAAGCCTCCTCCCATGACCAATTCGGTTCGACTATCCAAGTCGATGGGTCATTAGCTAGTGACCTGCGGCCAAGTACCTTTGGATGTTTGGTGTTGATTCACGCTTTGCATAACTATGTCTGGGAAACACGACAGTTGCACATGGGGAAGCAATGGGCAAGCCAGGAAACTGAGGCAATGCATGTGCACATCGAGCCTGCGATCAGAGCTTGGCAAAGAGCTTGGAGTAGCAACCCTACGCACAGTTTAGAACGACCTAACCCATTCGGCATTGGTCCCTTATCTGCGGATAGCATTCCCCTGTTAGATCTGGCTTATGTTCGATTATATGTCAATCTTGGTCGGTCCAAAGAAGCCTTTTGGCAGCGGGATTGGAGCAGCATGGCAGATGAGCTTACGAAGGCGGTTCAATCTGTGACCCTTTCCGACGGTAGTCCTGAGTCGGACTTTTCTCTCTCGACCCATGACGACGTTACGTCAAATCAAAGGCTAGAATCGCTTGCCGACTATGGAGTAGCGGACCTCACTATATCTAGCTCCCCAGATCATGACCTCTCGCAACTTATCGCTGGCTCGCGAAACAACATGCAAGCTTGTAGAAGCGAACGCCTTCTACGCAAGGCCGCCTTCTACGCAGCAGATTCCATGTGCATGTCAAACGAATGGGGCAACACGTTTGCCGAATTTACCTCCCGTGACCTGCCCATCCAAAGTGCTATCTGCCTATTCGACTCTGCCCAAGTTCTAGCTGAATGGGCCACCACGATCCAAGAACGTGCTGGTCCTTACCTCGGAATTTTGGGTCAGGACCACGTTGATTTCAACCAAGTTCCGGCCACAGTCTTATTGGAAGACGAGGACCGCAATTTGATGCAGAAGATCCAGGATATCTTGAACAGCGTTGAAAATAAGATGAAGAATATGTTGCCGCATGTTGGGGTTAGCGGATCGGAGACGTGGAACCGTCTGCCCAGCTCAATTGATGGTGGATATGGAACGAAGATTGTCCTCTCTGCGGCCTTTTTGCTTAATAACGCAGGTGTCTGGCCAGGTAAGCCTTTTCCCTTCTGCCATTACGTGTAAACGGCTACTAACGAATTTATATGTAGTTATTAAACTGATGTCTAATGCACTTGAAGCTCAAGGCCACAAGATGAAACTGAGAGCGCAGAGCTCTTGTTCCAGGTAAAATATTGTTTTTTGAGATGTTGGTTCGCGTCTTGCCATACGCCCTGTTGGCAAGGTACCGCATAACTTTGCGTTACTCTCTAGTATTCGCTTTCCAAACGCGTTGGCCACGATATCTCTCATTGTCTTTGGTAAACTTCTCAACCTTGAAGTTCGCCTGTTAATGATTTATGCTGTCACGTTATGTTACGGTTTCTTTTAGAGAGAAGAAAGGACACATACAACAAAACTGATGAGGGAGAATTTATAAACGGAACAACATCAGGAGTCAGGCGATAGACCATGCACCTCTTTTTTTACCAAACAAGAATTGCCCGGCGCTACGGATGTTCAACAATAAAAACGATAAAACGAAAAGGAAATAGTACGGTTCGAGCATCATGTCGCATATTCGCTTCTTCAGTCTGATGTCGTATAGGGGTTCCCAATCTCCCTCATTGTTACTTGTCTCTTTCTCCTATCTGCGTATTCAGAGTATACGTTGACTGGTTGTACATTTGTTTTTCAAGACCCCTCTGAAACACCTGTTTATGTTTTTGCCTTCCGGAAGTGTTCCGTGATCTACTTGTTCAAGAGTTCCTTCTCTTTGTTATGAGACTTGTTGTCTATTTCTTCACTCGGTCAACCGAGGAGAATGTTAGGGTCGGCGTTTGGCTGCATCTGCCCATTATGCTGGAGTTGTATGCGTGTTACTTTCCCCGTGGTTTTCGTTTGATGATACTCTGATCATCTTGATTTCGTATGATTTACTTTGTTATCTGCATGAGATTCCGAGTCGATTTATGCTGTTATATATTTTTAATGTCTGTCTGGCATCCCTATCCGCGCTTGAAATGCATTCGATCTCGTACGCACAGTCTATTTCCATGCTATTTGCCTCTTGTGAGACTTACGGGTAACGTTATCTACCATTGTCTTCCTTTGTTTATTGCACGAACTTACTTCGCGCAAGTGGTTTCTGTTTTGTTGTTACTTCACATGATATGGATCCAGTGTATGATTTCTGGTTCGAGCTTAAATTACAGGTCCTTCTTTTTTACAACTGATTATGTACGATTTTCCTTGATGAATGCAGTGGATGAGCAAGAAGGGTATCTGAGCGACGAACGGTATTGCATCCGATGTCCAACTAAGAGCATGAAGCTTAGGCTTACCGTTTTACGCTGGTTAAAGCTCCCGCTACCATGTTGCCTTTCGCTGTCGTATCTGATAATTTCTCTTTACTATTGTCATATATATCTTATCTCCAAGCTAAATTTTGACCCGCTTACCACTCTTATATTACAATTTATGGAAAATGAATAGCAAATATGTCAGTTTTTCTCCGTGACCATCTAGAAGATAGAGATATGTACAGCAATACTAAATAATAATTCTCTCAAAAGAATACTTGCCAACTGCCTTGTGCTTCAGGTGGGCAACCTCGCGGTTGCTTCTGGGTTTCACCTCGCCAGTTGCTTTGTGTATCTTGTTCTTGGTCAACTCGTCGCCGACACCGCCGACACTAGATTGAGTGCCACTCATTTTGAGAGACAATGGCAGCATCTTTGAATCACTGCCTTCCGCTCCAACTGAATTTTCAGGGGTATCATAAACTAGGATCTGAGCACCATTGTGGCGTTCTTTTCTCTTGAGTCGTTTATTATCTATGGATTGAGTTTTTGAAGCCGTAGTGTTGCTAATAGCACGCTGGGCTTTGGGCATGGCAGCGGACGTTTCGCAACACCTTATGAACTCGCGTAGTATCCCCTTCAGATACGTAGCTTCATCGATTGCAGCAAGAGTGGCAGCAATTTCACTCTTCATATCGGCTATCAAAGATGCTTCACTCCCTGCTGTACCAGCAAATCCGGCCGCTGATATCCATCCACTAGGCCCAACAGCATCGATACACGCGGTAAGCATGTCGACAATAATTGGGAGAGACAAGGAAGGGATTTTTGGGCTTGAAAATGCGGCTGGTGGCTCTTCCGTGAAACGTGAGGTATGACCACCGGTTGCAAGGGAGTGGCGAAGGTGGTGAATTATTGAAAGAACGTCAGTATTTGAAAGGGTGGAGCGGATAGATTTGGTTATGTGATTTAGTGGATGAGTGTGCAGTTTTATGAGAGCCAGATTCAGGCCTGCAATTGCCTTGATAAGGATGGTGCTTGAGGCTGGCGTTTGTTTTTCTACAGACGTCTCATTTGCGTTTTCGGTAGTTTCGTCATGAGCAGCTTCCGCGAGCGATTTTTGGGAGTCTTCGGAAACATTAGTATGAAGTCGAGCGACCTTAAGAAGTTCGCAAAGCGCGTGTGCCAGCTCATTAGCCTCCAAGTATCCCGGACCACGTAGCAACAGAAGCAAGGAGTGAAGAGATGGGTCGTGGGATCCTAGGGCCTTGACTAAAGCACCGTCTGGAATTTTAGGAAGACCGTATGGAGCCGCAGTGCGTCGGAGAGAGGCTTGGATGTTGGTGATGCTCAGGTGTTTTGAGCTAACGAGCCATTTGAAGGTCTTGCTGGGCATAAAGGACAAAATGAGCTTGAGGGACGTTGAATCACCACCAACAGGCTTCAAAGAGAATATCCTCGAAAGAACAAATTTAATTTTTTCAGGGTCAATAAACGGCCCGTCTGGCGGGGATCCGTCAGCTTCCTCTTCACACGTCTTTGACAGCTTCCAGAATTTTGATATCATGACGGCATCAAACCCAGACCCCTTTTTCGATCTAGCAAGTTCATCAAGCTCCAACTTTAACTCGTTCCATTGCATAGCGAGTTTCTCCTGCGTAAGTCCAACCGGTTGCATATGCTTCAAAGCTGATTCTTCGATTTGCTGTCGGCTGGCCTCCACCCCTTCTAACTTGATCCCCTTGCCTATCGAGTCAATTAAAAGGCTCCTGCGTGGTCGTTTGCGAGAAATATGGCGGTCATTTTGGATAGCAGCAAGATCGAAGCTGTATAAGCTACCGCTATATGCTGCGACCAATACATCCAGCTTGGAAAAATGAGATATAAACTCAAGTGCCCGCTTACGGCCTTGCTTCTTGCCTGAAGTAGCCCTGGGGATCTCGCTTAATGGCAGTTCCGCCTGGAGTGACTGATACTGCGCATCATATACTGAAAGGGTAGATTTACCTCCGGCAATGATAGACTGGGAAGATATGCGCAAGATCGAGGAAAAGCATTCATCCTCTATTATAACATGGGAGGATATCTTAGGGGAGAACTGAGTGATGTCGAAGCTTATGAATCCAGACTTGCAGGAGAGTGACAACTCCCCAGAGGAAAAATTGGTACTCCACTGGCCGTCAAGGGCAGTTAGTAAACTCTGATTTGGATGCGCAGGCAGATTCAAAGTCATGAGATGCTTTAGAGGTTCGGAGGTCCGCGTCTGAATGCCATCTACTTGGATATGAGCAGGAATGGAGTAGAAAACGATTTGCACATCGCCAAGCTCGAACGTATCAGCTCCGGTAGGACGAGAAACCAATACCAAGATAGTAGAATTATCCGGGTCAGTCCCAAGTCTATCTCCCAACACCGAAGCGACGATATCTTCACGTTTTCGGAATAGGAGTTTACGAGCATCTTCGAACCCCAATGTAAAACAGGCGGCGATCTCACGACCAGACCAGGTATTGTCTGAGCGAATGGTCCATCTCTCGGTCTTCAGGTCCGGAGATAGCCTCCTCAATCGGCCGTCTCGATGGGCCACGACGACGTCGAAAGCATCAGAGCTTTCGCCAGTTGATCCCTCGGTAGGAATAACTCCGACAAAGACTGGATTGCTGCCTGTGTCTTTTATTGGAAAAGAGACGGTTGATATGTTTGGTGTGCTTCGACCTGGAACTACCTCGTCAACGAAACATTTGATTTCCTTCCCTGTCGTTTCCACGGCGCAATATGTCTGTCTCTTGGTCCCCGAGGTCGCCGATAGCTTCTGTCGTATTGAGCACGGTGGACAAGAGTGTGACGCCTGAGGTGGGATGGCATAGGAGGTGACAAGTTTGGGGAATTGGGCCTATACTCTGATGTTAAAATTCCACATCCCAGCTTAAAGCCGTGGTAAGATGCAGCCAACGCACATTGTATATGTTTACTCCCTCCCCATCGATCGCGGCCGTGATTTCATGACGCTTGCGCTTCTTGAAGCCCTGGATGCCATGTACCTCTCCAAACTGGATCTTCCCGCCGGCATTGGCCAGTGGCTGAGGCAGCTGGGCCAGCAGAGACGGCGCCGGCAAAGACATGATTATTTATGTCTATTCCCCGCCAGTTCAGAACAGCGTTCCGTCGTCGTCGTGGTCTCGGGGCGTTTTGATATCAAAGATCAACTTCTTTTTTTCCCATTTTCCCTTTTTTGACTTTTCGCAACCAAAATTTTTGACTTTTTTGGAAGTGGGCGGGAAAACAGTTTCTCCGACCGAACGTCATTAAGAAACGCGAAAAGGGAAAGACGCGACGAAGAGGCCAAAGACGTGTTTGAAGATGCAAGCAACGGATGAACCGAGAGCAGAGAGCAGGTCGCCATGATCTCAGGCCTGCGTTCAGTATAGGGCTGTCTGTGGCTGCCGTGGCTGTTTTTGGATCTATCGCCGGCAGCAGCCGATGACTCTCAGCATGGTGCGAAGGGCTCCTGGTCAGACGGAGCAACAGACGCTTCTTCCGTTCTTCAACAAACGTATGGTTTACAGTGATAGACCCTTTATGCGAACTCAGCTGACGCTGCTTAATAGACCAGAGCGTAACTCCGTCTGCCCTGCCAGAACCATTACGACCACAGTTCCTCCAGCGTGACGCCAACCAGGTCTCCTATACTAGTGGAAAATCCCCTATACAGACAACTGAAGCTTCCCCGGAAGGTCTGCATGGTGCTACGCCTAGCCTTGGAACGCCTCAGTCTAATGATAATGTCGTACCCCAAGTCATAACCCCATCTTATGAGATTGGCCATTCGAACGAGACGGAAGCAGGCGGCCACCGGAGGAAGAGGTGCAAGATATCAGGCTCAGGGAACACGAGCCCAGTCGCTTCGGATGTTTCTCTAGACGAAAAGATTACAGCAGAGTCTTGTGATTCTGCTGCTGTTTTGCAACCCGGTTCCGTTTCCGGGGCGCATCCCAATGGAGCCCGCATATCCAGTCCCTCGACAGGCCCAGGTCTCGAACAACGAGCAATCAGCAGGTCCCACAAGGAGCTGGGGGAAGAGAGGACGATATTACGTCTACACCTAGACTCCAAGCTGCTTAGCTCTTTCCCGCCAGGTGATCACTCTGACGGGGGACAAACTCGCCAGAGCAAAATAAGGAAATCGTCCCGCCTAAACACGGTTGCGAAATTTGTCAACCGGGTCAAACTTGCAAGGATATCATACAGCTCAAATGAAACCTCAAGACAGAACATTGGACAGGTCATTGAAGATATCATGAGCGGCCGCACCACATACTCAGAGTTCAAACGACGAGTGACGCAACCGAAGATAGCCTATCCAATGGGCCCAGTTCAGATCGGATATCCTAAACCTACTCACCCATTCTTCCTACCCAAGTCGCAACAACAACCGCAACAACCTCCTCTAGAGACAGCGTCCCCTAGCACATCAACTGGGGGTGCACCTTTGCAAGGCTTGACACAATTAAAAGCCAACCCTTCGATATCAGCCGCGCGAGCCTTTCCGCCGTTGTCCAGGACTCCACCCTCGTTCCCATCAACTTTACAAAAGCAAAAGGCCCGTGGAGAGGGCGAGTCTGTTGATCCGATGTGGCCACCCCGCGATATGGTTCACGTTCGGGGCTGTATCAACTCTATAAACCCGCCATCTAGAAGAACATTTGAACGGAGAAAAGCGAAGCAGTCGACTATTTCTGTTCCCGATACTGAGAGCGTCCTCTCAACGATCTCCCTACCCCCAGGAGAACTAGTATCTAGTACTCCCAAACGACAGCGGTCAAAAGCTTTACGGCGCCCTAAACGGCATGTCCTCAAATGCGATGAGTTCCAAGCAGTCGTTATTGAGAAGATTGATGCGTGCAATCTAGGACAAAGGGAGAATAGTCCGTTGAATAATAATTTGCCCCGTTCATCACATCCCGCCCTGGTGAAACTTGCGTCATCCCTACATACGGCAACCAGCTCTTTTGACAGGGGTGAATATGACGATACCCCTTGGTCTCAAAAGTATGCTCCTAAAACTGCGGCTGAAGTACTTCAGGTAGGCTCTGAAACGTCCGTCCTCCGTAATTGGCTACAGCATCACGAAGTCTCGGCCGTCAATACAAGCTTAGACACAAAAAGCCCGAGGCAAACGCCGGATAGCAAAACAATGCGCAAGAAGAAACGAAAAAAACCCAAGGACATGGATGGCTTTATTGTCTCCAGTGGCGATGAAGATAGTGTCATGGATGAACTTCAGAATTCTGACGATGATGAATTGGCCGGGGGTGTTACAGTCCCTACAAAAAGATCAATTGTTCGATCAAATGACTTTGCATCGACAGCTAACTCTACTAAACGGCCTGCAACAAATACTATACTCCTTAGTGGATCATCTGGATGTGGGAAGACTGCTGCTGTCTATGCCGTGGCGGGTGAACTTGGATTCGAAGTGTTTGAAATAAATGCTGGTACGCGGAGGAGTGCAAGGGATATCATCGAGCGAGTCGGAGATATGACTCAAAATCACCTTGTACAGCTTCTGAGCAAGGCAGACGGGGAGTTGGACCAGGGTACCCCTAGCACGGTGGACAGCGACAGAGGACCGAAACAAAGCACGGTGGCCAGCTTTTTTGCGAAGAAGACCCTATCCAAAGCAACGGGCGCTGGCCCCGGACGAAAGGCCCCTGAAGGGGAAAGCCCGGAACCGCCAAAGCCTCAAAGAAACCAGAAACAGTCGTTGATACTACTGGAAGAGGTTGATATCCTGTTTAACGAGGATAAAAAATTTTGGAGTGGAGTTCTTGCATTAATCGGACAGTCAAAACGGCCTATCGTGATGACATGTAGTGATGAAAGACTCCTTCCTCTAGAAAATTTGGCTCTGCATGCGATTTTACGGCTCCAGCCACCTCCTTGTGACCTGGCAGTAGACTACATGTTCTTACTCTGCGCCATCGAAGGCCACCTGCTGGACCGCAAAGCCGTATTGGACTTATACACAGCCCTTGGCAAAGACCTTCGGGCTACTATCATGCAACTGAACTTTTGGTGCCAAATGGGTGTAGGCAGCAGAAAATCTGGTCTTGACTGGATGGTTAACCAGGAAACTTCAGATCTGCGAGCTTCCGGTTGCTTGTTCCGCACGGTAAGCTGTGATACCTACATGGAAGGCATGGGATGGTATAGCGCAGACACCGTTGTGGGCGAGCCAAATCTTGTAGAACACCGACTGCAGCTGTTGACCGAAGGAATTGATCAATGGGATATTGGATTAACGAATTGGCTTGAAACAGGAAATGGACGAATAAATGGTGGACAGTTTGGACCAACTGATAGCTTGGAACAAGTAGGCCTTGCAGCCGACATGAGGAGCTGCTTAGATCTCATGTGCAACGAAGGATACAATGATATTAAGGTAAGTTAGGACAGAATGCTCATGGAGACTTTAATACTAACCATAACCACTTTAGCATTCATTGGATCCATCCATGCCGTCACTTTCTGAAAAGCAAAGGCTAGATTATATCGAAGGATATCAAGCCCTCCAGTCCGACCTTCGGACGGAGTTCAACCAGCTATCCGTAAAGATCGGGGCAACCCTGAGCATCTTTGCCGAAACTGTTCTCAACTCTGAGGTACATATAGGGGAGCAAGACGATATAATAGAACGTGTCCTTGAACGGTCTGCGCCCCCGAGACCAAGGCAGCTTCACAAGACAGCGTTCCAGGATGCCTTCCAGGCGATTATTGAACCAACCGACTACCTAGGCTCAGTATCGAGCTTCCGACCCCTTTCATTCGAGCACGGTACCGCAATCATCGCCGAGGACGTTGCGCCATATATCCGACATATAATCTCGTTCGAGACGCACCTGGAGCAGTACCGACTAAGGCTCAACGGCCTTCTTCCCCAGGACGGCCCACCAAGCAAACGGCCGAGAACAACGCGGGCGAGCAGGGCGGCTGTCGAAGGTGGTGACAAGGCAAATATCAGACGCGAACGGTGGTTTTCTGGCAGAGTAATCCCCGAACAGGTCATGGCGACGGGAGGGAAAGGCTGGGAGAATATCCTGCAGTACCCTCCTGTAGTAGACCTGGCGGAAATACAGGCAGTGTTCCAGAACGGGCGTCTCTTGTGCCCTGCTCCGGCTGCTTCAGCTGGTCCTAGTGAAGGTATATAGTTGCAATATTTGACCTGTACAATCACTGCACATTGGCTGATCTAACGCAAATGAAACCTACCAATAGAGATATATAACACAATCTATAGCTCAGTTCTGACCAGTACTCTATATCCCAGTTAATATGTCGTAAAGTAGGATGCTGTGGTGTCGTGGTGGCCTCGTGTTATGGGCGAGTTTAGGTAGATCCCAGCACCAGCTCCTGGTACAACCAAAACATCGTCTACATCGAAGCTTCATCCTCGCCTCCATCCAGCCACCGAGCCTCCGCGACTGACAGCAGCGAAATACACGGATTCGACGGTCTCTCATATCGTCTACCAGGCCGGCCTTCATCCTCTCCACTGTCAAGACGCAGAAAACCTCCGTGGCTTGGCTTCATCCTAGCTGTCTGTCCCTGCATTCCAACCTCCAACCTTCGCAGTTGCGATTGCTGCTGCCTCGAGGCTTCACCCGCGCATCCCGCCGCCCCTGTAAATATCTGTTACGTTTCTTTTAGACGCGGCCGCTGCTCCCTCCTCTTCCAATGTCGCTGTTCGGGTCCTCTCCCGAAGACTCCCCGTTGGCCAGCAAGGCAGCTCAGCCGTCGTCATCGCGGGTGAAATCAACCCTGTTCGCAGACGATCCCTCCTCGCTATTTGGAGAAGACGAAGGTTTCACCTCTAACAGCAACAGCAACAACAGCGGCAGCAACAACAATAACGACATCAACAACACTAGAGGCGTTGCTAGCAACCGGGACGACGCGGGCTACTCGACGCCGTGGGACATGCCGACTCCCAGGAAATCCGGCTCCAGGCAGCAGATTGTCAAGACTCTACTTCCGTCAACCGATGTTCCGGAGAGCTATATTGATGCGTTTGATGCGCTGGTTGAGAAAGCCGGTGTTACGGGGGGTGCCGGCGCGGGCGTCGGGGTTGATGAAGCAAGGAGCCTACTAGGGAGTACGCATCTGAGCCCTTCGGAGCAGACGGGGATCTTGAACTTGGTGACGAACAATGGAGCCCAGCAGAGCTTGGAGAGGAACGAGTTCAATGTCCTGCTGGCCCTTGTGGGACTGGCGCAGGAGGGCGAGGATGTTACGTTTGATAGTGTTGACGAGCGCAGGAAGAGTGAGTCCGATCGTTCCTCTATCCATACATCAGGACTATCCTTCAATGTTACGGTACTGATTGCTATGTCTCTATCTAGGATTGCCGGAACCCAACGTCCCTTACATCACCCGTCTGCAGGCTGGAAATGCGGGAAATGGACCTACTCCTCCTCAACCTGCCGAAGAACCTGCCGTTCAAATCCCACAGGCGCGCCGCAGGTTACGACAGGATTCTTTTGGACCGGAAGCAGATCCATGGGGGAGCCCGGTATCCCGTCAGCTAATTCATCGTCCAGCGCAGAGTGTGACAAATGGGTTCTCTGCCGCCCATGAAGGCCCTGCGCCTGAGACAGTGTCTAAGCCCAATGTCCCGACTGAACCCCGGAATTTTGGAGGCACAAGATCTAACGAGACGGCCAGCGGTGCTCCCGCGAGCGTCGGGTCTGGATGGGGAGGCGGTGGATTTGGAAACTCCTCGTCGGCAAGCGGCTTTGGGAATTATGATCAGGGCGCACTGGGTAATGGATTCGGTCAAACTGACAACGGACAAGGTAACGCCAGTCGCAACGATCTTTCACGATCGTTGGGTGGTGGCCAGGTAAACAGCTCGGGAATGGAGGATGTAATTGCCATCCAAATGCTTCCTGAGAAGGAGGGCATGTTCCTCTTCCAGCACCGCAACTATGAGGTGAAATCTGCTCGCAAGGCCACCTCCGTGATTCGACGATATAGCGATTTCGTTTGGCTAGTGGACTGCCTGCAGAAGAAGTTTCCCTTCCGGCAGATCCCTCTACTCCCTCCAAAGAGGGTTGCAGGTACGTTCTACAGGTGGAAAGCTTACCTTAAAAATGCTCACAAATATTTATTCATAAAGTCAATGGCACTCACCTATCAGCGGATTCAAACTCCTTTTTGGACAAACGTCGCAGGGGCCTCGTCCGCTTCGCGAATGCCCTCGTCCGTCACCCAGTCTTGAACCAGGAACAGCTGGTTGTGATGTTCTTTACCGTTCCCACTGTGAGTTCAACCCCCCCTGCTTTATTTTGTCTACACGAAGAATGTTGCTAATCGAGCTAGGAATTGGCTGTCTGGAGAAAGCAAGCCTCCATCTCCGTACAGGAGGAGTTTACAGATAAGCCATTGCCTCCAGATTTGGAGGACTCACTTCCATCTAACCTGACGGATACCTTCGACACCGTCCGCTCTGGTGTCCGCCGATCTGCTGAAATCCACATAAACCTGTGTCTCTTGATGGACCGGCTCGTAAAGCGCCACCAGGGTCTGGCTGCAGAGCAGTTCCGAGTCTCGCGGGCGCTCCATGCACTTACTGAAAGCACAATGGATACATATGCCGCCGACACGGGTGATGTTCCTCTATTAAACAACGGCATCAATGCGACTGCCAATCATCTCCAAACAAGTCAAGGTTTGTTGGAAGATGAAGCGAAGGCCTGGGATCTCGGTGTCCTTGAGGATCTAAAAGCCCAACGAGACTGTCTGGTTGCCATGCGGGACGTATTTGATCGACGAGATCGCTATGCAAAGGATAACATTCCCCAGCTTGAACGACGAATTGAGTCCAACGAGAAGAAACTACAGGCCATTCGTGCAAAGCCTGAAGAGGCCGTTAAACCTGGAGAAGCCAAGAAGGTCGAGGATGCTATTATCAAGGTACGTCTGTATTCAACTTTCGCCCACGGTGGCACAGACTAAACATTTTAAAACAGGACAAGGAATCCATCGTCCAGCAGCATGCTCGTGGTGTGTTTATCAAGGAATGCATCCGCGACGAGATCCTCATCTTCCAGAAGAGCCAGTACCGTATTAGCCTGCTGCACCAGGACTGGAGCCAAGAGAGGGTCAAGTACGCAGAACTGCAAGCTGACAACTGGCGTGCTCTAACCGATGTCGTTGAGGGCATGCCTACTGCCGACTAACGTCCTCGTCTATCGTATCTTAACCCTATCAGCCCCCCCAACTATTTTCGGAGTTGGAATAATAATGGTCTATGGTACCGCTGCTCCAGTGAATTAGCGATCAGTCCGAGTAACTTCTAATTCTTTCCTTTGTCCATGAGATATTCCATCTGATATATACCCCCCCATGTTCCCTTTGGATCTGCGCCTCAAAGCTCGAGTTAATACAGTTTTCTGATGTTCTTTTTGTGCTATTCTTGATTGGTAGATTGTCTATTGGGTAGTATATTAGTATATTGTTGAGATCTTGGCTGTTCCGCTGCAGTGGCTATAGCCGTTGAGGATGCCGTTAGTCTTGTTTGCTAAGCTGCCTGGGCCGTTAATTAAACCTCGTCAACTCCATAAATATCCATACGAAAAGCCGAATCTAGCACCGTGTAGCTTCATCTCGAATCTGTTTTGGGGACCCGGCAAAGATCTACTACCGGCCTTCTTATCTCCAACCATGTCCATCCAGGGTACAAGAGGGGGTACGGAGTGTTCGGTTTGGCCCTTTTCAAGGACGATGTCAGGAACGAGAAATGCCGAGTCATCACTGTGCCGCAATGAGGTCCGCGTTTGATAGGCCGTCTCACCGCCGACAAGCGCAAGCCACGGTCCTGTCCATCCAGACTCCCCCCTTCCGTTTGATCATGCGACTTTAAAACAGGACCTGGCTGCTTTCCAACGCACCCCACGACGGAAGATCCTCGTCAGACATGTAGGATGACCAGCATATAAGCGATATTCAGAAACCGGGTAAGAGCGAAGATCGCCATCATTACTCCAGCGAGGCCATGTCCTTGCCTCGAAAATAGCTCCGAGTCGTCCCTCCAGGTACGGAGTAAGCGAGAATCCCTCAGCCTTGCTCCCGCTTCCACATTTTTCTGGACCTCGACTATGGTTGGAGAGTGAACCCCGGAAGACGAGTGACGTGTCGGCGCAAACCCGTTCAATGGACCGCTTGCAGAGGTTCGCAGAGGCCTAGGTCCCGTTATCGCTAGCTTCCGGTCTCACTACCGCCTTTCGCGCGGGTGGCGAGGATAACGAAAAGACGGCGATGGGCCAATGAGATCGATCGCGCAAATGGTTCATGTTTGAGGGCTTCTGGGTCACACGGCAGCCTCGAGACAGTCAAAGCGCAGCGTGCAGCTCCTGATTATGAGGACTGTTTGAGGGCCTGCCTCCGGCGAGGATGATAGACACGTCGCATCAGGGTCTCGGGATGGCACAATTGATTAACGTATGCTCCGTACGGAGTACGGAGTCGAGCCGGGGCAGATGGAGAGACAGTGCAGGAGAGACAAGCTTTGCCCATCTTATTGGCAAGCCGACAATCCCAGGGAAGGGTCAGCTCCAAAGAAGGCCCGGTCCCTGCTATCTCCTGGCCCCTCAATGCTTGACCGCGATTCCCTTGATAGATTTGTAGAGGTTGACGAAGCTTGTAAAGAAAAAAGTCCGTAGATAAAATGCTTCTTTTTGTTTCTTCCTCCGCGCTCACGTGACACTCAAGCTCTTTCTTGGCATTCCGCCGGGTGCCAAGACCCCGCACGGCAAAAATCAAGGAAGTTCCGGCCGGTGTTTATCTTTACCTTCTATCTTATATCTTCATCTTCCACCTTCTATCTCGGAGAAAACAACACTCTTCGCTCCCTCGATGTGGCAGCTTCTCGCGTTCCGTGTCGAGGGCGACGAATTACCGAGTGGCTGCATGAACGAAAACAGAGATCGGCCCGATTATCATTGAGAGGGAGGCCCTGGTCAGCGTGCAGAAACTTTACAGGTGGGTACCCTAGCAATGGGCTGGGAGGGTTGAAACCACCATCCTCGACTTCCTTGCCAGCTCTAATCCGTGGCGAACCTCTCAGGTTTAAATAGCTGGCGTCCTCGCCCCATTACCCGGCCGTTAGTCAAGTCGTCCAACGGAATCCACCGCTGGCACCAGCTTCTACAATCTTACTACGCTCTTTTTTCTTTATCATTCAGTCGATACCCCACGGAATACGGAATACTAGGAGGTTATGGTGAGGGTGAGGGCTACGCTTGGATATATCGTCTTTGGCGGGCGTTTCGGTTTAATCGAGGTGGTGTAACAACCACGACAGCTATCGACAGCTCCGGGGACAAGCTCCTTCGCCGTTGAGGGGTCACGATTCACCGCATACACATTTCCACGTTGCCTGGCTGGTTTCAGGCTTGTCTAGTGGCTGCATATTTCCTTCTAAATCTTTCACCATGGCGTGGGACCACCTCGATATAGATAAGCCACATTTGGCATACATGATCCTTGGCGGCTTCACAAGCTTGTTCATGCTGTGCTCCCTCTTTGTGAAGGAGAAGATGTACATTGGCGAAGCAACCGTGGCGACAATCTGCGGTGTTATATTCGGGCCCAATGCGGCCAACCTATTCAACCCCATCTCGTGGGGGAACGTCGACAAGCTGACGCTAGAATGCTCCCGCATCGTCCTGGTCGTGCAATGTTTCGCCGTCGGTGTCGAGCTGCCCAAGTCCTACATGGAGAGGCATTGGAGGTCGGTGGTCATGCTTCTCATCCCGGTCATGACCATCGGATGGCTGGCCACCAGTCTCTTTATCTGGTGGATGGTTGAGCCCTTGAACTGGCTGGAGAGTCTCATCTGCGCAGCCTGCGTTACCGCGACCGATCCCGTCCTTGCCTCGTCCGTCGTCGGTAAGGGAAAATTCGCAAAGCGTGTGCCGAAACATTTACGAGATATCCTGTCCGCGGAGTCAGGATGCAACGACGGCATGGCCTTCCCTTTTATCTACCTATCTCTGTACATCATGGCATACCGTCCGGATGCCGGGAAGGTCGCCGAACACTGGATAGTCACGACTATTCTGTATGAGTGTGTTTTTGGTGCCATATTTGGCTTCTGTATTGGTTACGCTGGTCGCCACGCCATCAGATTTGCCGAGTCCAGAAAACTCATCGACCGAGAGAGTTTTCTTGTCTTCTATTTCGTTCTCGCCCTTTTCTGCGCTGGCGCCGGAAGTGCACTCGGCATGGACGACCTTCTCATCGGCTTCTCTGCCGGTATCGGGTTCAGTAACGACGGCTGGTTTACGGAAAAGACTGAAGAGTCCCATGTATCCAACGTCATCGATCTGTTGCTCAATCTGGCCTATTTCGTCTATTTCGGCTCCATCATCCCCTGGCAACAGTTTAACATGCCAGAGTATGGCATGGTACCGTGGCGCTTGGTAGTCCTTGCACTGCTCGTCCTTTTCTTCCGCCGGATTCCTGCCATGTTGATGCTGAAGCCATTCATTCCCGATATCAAGACATGGCGAGAAGCATTATTTGCTGGCCATTTCGGCCCCATTGGTGTTGGAGCTATCTTTGCCGCCATTCTGGCACGAGCTGAGCTTGAGACGCACTCAACGCAGCCACTCGCAGAGATCCCAGGGCCTGGTGGGAAGGACCATATCATTATTTATGTTATCTGGCCAATCACCACCTTCTTGGTCATCACCTCTATTATCGTCCATGGTTCTTCCATCGCCGTCTTCACGCTGGGCAAGCATATAAATACATTGACTCTCACAATGTCTTACACTGTAGCCACCGAAGACGGACCATCTTGGATGAACCGTCTCCCCAGAATTCAGTCTACGGCGAAATCTTCGCTATCTCGAAAGGACTCCTGGGACTCGCCAGCGGAGAAGCCAGAATTCCCTCCTGGAACCCTTGGCCCTATCGGGTTACCTGGTAACCTTCTAAGGCGACAAAAGGAAGACGAGTACACAAGTCTACCAAACAGTCGCACATCAAGTTTGAGGCGTAGCCGACGCCGTAAACAAGGCGCTGGTGGACCGATCAGTCAGTCGGCCATCACTCCCCAGCGAAGGCCGGGCGCAGATACCCCGATCAGCAAGCCACACACGCCGGAAGGCGATACAGCTGACGACGCCAAGGGACGCCGACAGTTCTCAGAAGGAGGGGAGACCTGTGTTGGAGATGCCGAAGTTTACCGGGAAGGTAAAAATATCATCATCGAGGATCAAGAAGGCAATGTTCTTAAATCCGATAGAGTGGCAGGTGGATCATCAGGACATCATGGCGCTGCCGATGAGAACGAAGGCGGAGCACTCGGGAACTTTAAGAAGCAATTCTTTGCTTGGACTGGCCTCAGCCAGAAACCGAAACCTGAAGCCGAGCCTAATCGCGCACGCCGCTCTGCCCGTGCATACCAGTTTGCAAACACCATTATTATTGAGGATGAAGACGGAGAGGTTATTAAGAAATACACCATTCCTTCCAACGTCCAGAAGGCCGAAGGTGAAGATGATCGCCCTAAACTGCTGCGCCGTCTGACCAAACTTGGAACCTGGGCTGAGGTAGGAGAGGGACCTTCTTCTTCAAAAGCAGAGCAGGAGGAGGAAGAAGAAGATGTAGGTATTCGATTTACGATACCTGCTACTGAAGACACACGACACGACTTGAGAGGCCGCAGAATGAGTAAACAAGATTTCATCCATCAAATGCAACATCTTGGACCAAAGGGTCGAAAAGATGCTGCCGAATCTTCGAAATTTGGCCACATGTTCCGACGTGAGGGTAACCGAGTACATTTTGCTCCTCAGGGAGGCGATGCCAGTGTTCCAACACCCCATGATATATCAGCGATGTTATCCAAGTATACTGGTCCCTCTGCTGCCGATAGACGACGTCGCAGCTCGCTGTCAGTTCAGGAATCAACTTCATCTTCAATCAGTGGTCACGATTCCGAAGACGATGGTACAGAACGCATTCCCCCCGCCTATCGTCGAGCAGTCGCCACTGGACAACAGCTACTCAGCCCAAGATTACCAGCAGGACTCCCTTCCGCCAGGAGTAGCAAGCGTATCTCTCAACTTGACGAGGCCGAAACACCCGCAGAACGAAAGCGCCGTCTAGCAGCTCTCAGCACATCCATGGGCTCCTCGTCGCTCCATGAAGACGACAGTGAAGACGATGGCGAACCCCGCGTAGTCAAGGGCAAAGTGCAGTTCGCCGATGGAACTAAGCCAGCGAAGAAAAAGACCCCTACTGAACAGGGCGCACTTGCTTCCAGCAGTGCGGCTCCTGTGCCCGTACCCGTACCCGATTTACCTGCTGCCCCTCCTGCAGCGTTAACAACGTCGTATAACCCTGAGGGTAATACGCCGTCTGATAACGGTAGCAGTATGCCAGGCTCTGCGAGCCGAAGCATCAACGAAGCGAGCGGGAATGGAAACAACAGAAACGACAGTGTTGCTCGCAGTGGTTCCAAGATATCTTGGGGAGGCGAAATCGGTCGCTGAGGTTGAATGTCGTTATGAGAGTTCGTGATATCTATCAATTTTCCTATCTTCCTTCTTGTTTTTTCGTTTGTCGAGAGTATCGATAGATTGATGCTGCCTCATTTTAGCTGGATTAAACAGTGCTGTGCTACTGTTTGTTACGAGCGTTTTGTTGCCCGTTTCAGTTACTCACATATAGTTTTGTAGTTTTGGTCGTTATACGCATTGATAGATAGAGCAAATCCCAGCCTAGTTCAATAGCAAGCAATGAATATTTTCATCTTTTTTTTTTTTTTTTAATAATTGCAATTCATCATACAAGCTGTGAGAAAGCCTTATGTATATTCTGGTACTCCGTAGATATAGATATAAATTACCGAATGATATTAAAGATAATATTGTTATTCGAGTATATAAATGACGCCGAACCATATGGGTTGGGGGATATCATAAGGAAAATGATAAAGAAAAAAAAATAGATAGATAAGGAACCCGCTTTCTCCTTTCCCCATTTTGTGAGGTAGATAAGGAAATGAAGTTACATTTTTGCAACCCATCGATCCGTTCGCTCCTTATAAAACTCCGCCAGGCAATTGTATAGAATTTTGTTGTGTGGACTGCGCTCGTAGACCAGCGCTTGGTTGGCCGCCCGAACCTCCAGAAGGTAGTCCGCCAAGGGTGATAGCTGTGCTACCAGGAGTGCCAGAGTCAAAGCCACTGCCGCTGGGTGGGAAGCCAATCGTCGTACTACCGGCTCCACCGCTGCCAGAGCTGGTATATATGCCAGGGACCTGCCCGTCGACCATTTGTGTTTGCCGCCGAAGCATGAACATTGGCTTTCGACCGTCTTTATCAAGTTGTTTGAATAGTATTAGGGGTTTCTCTTCAAGTGCCAGACATCGTTCCTGGTCACCGTAGACAATATATAGAGCATATAATCGCCAGTCTTCGTGGATGTTGTACTTTTTAAGAGCCGCAGGAAGAACCTTGTAGCAAGGGTCATCCATCGAGACGCGGAAAGATTTAAATATTTCGACACTGGGGCCTGAGTCGGACGTGTTTTGTGCGCTGCTAGACGCTTGACCTCCCCCGCCGCCCGATCCTCCGCTTCTAGAGGTGGTAATGGCAGGATGGTCTTGTCGACTTGAGGAGCTTGAGTTCTGATTGCCGCCAGATCGGTCTTGTCGCTGTTGTACTTGTGTGTCTTCGGAGTGGTCATAAGCTGTGCGGTTGTTGGTAGAGGATGGAGGGTCGCGGGAATATGATCGGGATGCTAGTGTTTGTTGGGTGTAGAAGCTGTTGGGTGATGTGGGTGATGGCATGCCCTTGGGTGAGGGCTGGCCACCGGTCATAGAGGCTGTTAGGTGAGAAGAGGCTGCCATAGCAGCGGCGGATGGATCAAGGGTGGACGAGTCTGTGAATGCTCTACCTTCGGGTATTGACTGTGGAATGTGTGTAGGGGAATTAGTCTTTGGAGTAGAGCCGCCAGCGAAGAGCTTTCTCGATATTGTTCGAGTTAGGCCGCTACCAGGCTTCTCCTGGCCAAGGAATGAGGGTGAGGTTGCTGGGTCGTGGTTATATGGTTCTGATGTTGCAATGGTGGATCCCCCGTAGGATATAGTCGTTGGAGGTTGGTATGGTAGAGGAGCTGATTTATCTTTGGCGATTTTGAATACCGGTAGCAATTCTTCTCGCAGCCTTCGGTAGTCATCTGCAAGTTTCCGTAGTTCCGCTTCTGCTGCCACAAGTCTTTCGTCTCGCCGTCTGATGGATTGGATGAGGAGGGCTACGTCATCCTGGGTAGCTGCATCTTTCGCATTGCTTTTATCCGCCGCTATAAAAAGGAAATGATTAGGACAGAGGACGAGCATGGAACGAGGAACTGCACATACATAGAGGAACGTAATGGTCGGGGTCAATGGGTACACCTTGCTTCACCTTCGCTTCGTATACACTTTTTAAGATGGTCAATCGATGTCCAACACTCGATATTCCAATTTCTTTCAATTCGTCATGTTTCAAAGCAATGAGGGCCTCTCCAACGATCTCGTTTTCTATATTGGGCGCAAAAACAAACAACGATTAGGCTCTGTTTTCTACCAAAGTGAGATCTTATACACGAACCTAGAAACGCTTCACGGTACTGCAGCAAGCCCAGACTCCCCACGAACTTGGCACATTCCTCTGCTGTCCAGTCATTTATGACCGTCTTGGGCGAGCCGCGGTCCTCGGTCTTGCCGTATGTGGGAGTGTTTTCCGTCGAGGGTTCCTCTGAATCGGTTGGAGAGCCCTCGGAGTCTTCGGCAAGGTGGGGTGAGATCACTACGCTCCGCTCGTACTCATCATCTGCATCCGAATCGCCTGGATAGGCGTCGGCAAAGGCCATTGCTGCGCGCACGTCTCGAAATCCCAGGGCAGCCCGGTGCCGTTGAGGGGTGTTATATAGGTGGTTGGGGCCAAGAAAGATCCAGCGTCGCCCTAGCTATGGCGGTTAAATATAAAACGCAAATACGTCGAGTCCAAAAATATAAGAGGTACCAGCTGGGCACCGGCAAGCCTGTCTGGAGATATATCGAGAGAGGTACGAAGGGAAGCAGAGGCGGTCGTGGTAGTGGCGGTGGAGGTGGGCGTTGGGTTTCGAGGGAAATCGCCAGGGTCAGAGCAAGGGCTGGACTCGAAGCGACGAGACGGGACAAAAGCAAGGAGAGCGGTATGGACGGCCGCGCAGTTGACTGACGATAATTGCCTCCAGCCCCAGCGAGCAATTCGGGGTCGGTCAGGGCTCGCTAGAAGGTGTTTTGTCGCGGGATGTTCCAGGGCAAGGCCAGGGAAATGAAGTATCGAGGTGGGTATAGATAGGGCGGGTAAGGCGAGCAGCCCAGCCGTACATGCACGAGCGAGCCCACCGTGCAGCGACGACAGTCCGCGGCGTTCGAGTGGAAGCCAGCAGCAGGCCGTAGTCTCGTCGACGCAGGCTGTTCCCTTGGGCCTATAGGATGTGTGGTCTGTCGTTGTTCTTCTTCGCGATGCTTCAACTTTCGACTTTCACGTCGATTTGCGGCTTTCGCAGCGTCGCCCAAAGCGGAAGTCACGTGGATAGACTTCATACGAGACGGTAAGGCGCTAGTCCAGATATAGTTAGTGGTAATATATTATATAAGAGGGTTAGTCATGACTTACATAAGCACCTAAAGTGGAAGTAGATGTCGAGGTAGAAGTAGAAGAAGAAGTGGAAGAAGTAGAAGTAGAAGTAGGAAGATAAAGGAAAAGGTAATAGACGAGGGAGCAGGTATATCTACCTGGCTGGAACCGGTAGCTCCCGCACTCCGCCCCAGCGACGCGTGAAGACGTATCGAGAAATGTCACTGGCTGCGAATACTCCGTAGCCTTGGGGTTACATAGTATATGCGGTACACGATGGTCATAACTAGTATAACTCCGCGCCTGACGCAATTGGATGGGATCCTGCGGCCTTGTGAGAACGAGATTCCTTCGGGAGCCACAAATGAGCGTCGAGGGCAGCCTGTCGGTCCAATCCCAGCTCAGCGCGTACATGTATATATCCAACGTCTGCAGCGAAGGCTGGATCCCGGCACAGCCCAGTATAACACACGCCCGTCCATGTGACTCGACTGTGCGATGCTGCTACCGGTGCTGCTCTTGACGTTGCTCCCGGCGCTGTTCCCGGCGCTGCATACCCGGAAGCATCTAGCGCGTGAACTGTCAGCGTACAACTGACAGCTGGAAGCCGTTGACGCATTCGGGCATATTCCTCTATCCCTTTAACCTTCCTTCGTTTCCTTTCCTCTCTCTCCTTATGTAGTCGCTCGTCCCATGTAGTTGATAGAAGGACGAAGTAGATATATGTAGATATAAACCCCTGCAGCGGCAAAGCCTAAAAGTTTAACCAACACGGCCTTGGCGAAATGACATCCGACTTTCGCTCGCTCGACCAGCTCTCCCCATATAGAGCGCGCTGAACAGACGACTTCTTGGATCCTCGCATTGGGAGCAGGCCCTGCCCCGTCAGTCGATGCGAAGAAGAGGCGAATAGGCCCTCTGGTCATGAATTAACGGGTTGACAGAAAAAAGCGTATCGGACTTCTGGCTCGCCCTATTCGGAGCCGGTGGTTTTTTTTGGGGCGGAGGATATACCGTCATTGATACCTCATTGTGCAGTCAAGCTAGCATTCATTGAATGGGAGCCATGACTGCGACTGCACAATAGAAAGGCAACTCGGCCCCAGCTTTCTGCAGTGAGCATATTTGTGTTATATACCATCTCCTCGTCTTCTCGTCTTCTGCTGACACCTGCCACTTTCTCAGAATCGGCTCTCTGCGCGCATGCACTTGACATATACTACACCGGAGTTTAAGAACATTTAGACCGCTAGTCCTTACTATTTCGATAATCACTTCCTAACATACTCTACACCTCCAACGACCTCTCTCCGATCATACCATGACGAGTGTCGCCGAGAAGCCCAACGATCAGATGGCCAACTCCACAGACCCTGCAGACCATCTCATGGACCACCTGCTAGCCACGCACAAGCTCGAAGACCTACAGGCCTCACTCGCCAACTCCCTCTCTACCTGCGGCTGGACCGAACGGGTACGCAACCTTGCCTTTGAGCTCTTTCGCACCAACAACCATACCCGCTTCGAAGATGTGGTCGACACCATCGTCAGCATGGCTACGTCGGGAGATGGGACAGACTCGAGCTCGCCTACGTTAGGGAAAAGGAAACGAGACGGAGAAGACGACTCGAAACTGGTCAACGGTGCTACCAAGAACGGGAAGCGGGCGAAACATAACCCTGCCACGAACGGCGGCGGAGAGGCATCGACGGAGAAAGTGACCGTCAAGAAAGAGACGACGGAAAGCAACTCCATCGGTGAAAACGGCACAGCCGCTCCCAATGGCACCGCTTTGCCTGAGTTTCTGGCAGACTACAATGTGCAGATACCTGAACGAGCTGTAAACAGCGGCGTTAAATTCCTGCATGACTCGATGCATGAGTTATTCAGCTCTGACGGCGAAGACCAGACGAACGGCGCCAAGGCCCACGACCCAGAGAGCAACGACGATATACCAATTGCGAGAAAGGACGGGAAGAAAAAAGCTAGCGACCAACCAAAGACCAATGGACATCCCTCGTCGAAAAGCGGCAAAGGAGCCTAGCAGTACTTTCCTCTCGGGCTGTTTATTTTCTTGTCGTTATTTTTTTTTTCTTTTTCTTTTCCATGACTTTTCCTCGGGAGTATCTGGGTCAACGGCGCTGCGACGATACGTATTCTAATATGGAGTGTGGACTTTGGGGGCACGATAGAAGGAGGCTTCATATGGCTGTTTTATTTACATGGGATATAATGTTTCGTTTCTGTTGCATGTGTATGTACAGGTGTGGCATGTGGCATTTAAACAGGACCTGGCGCGTAGGTGTCCTATCATCTACAGTTCTATCATATATTCTTCTATATCACTCTAGATCATGTCCTATATCACTTCTATATCATGTCCTATGTCCTCTCTAGATATATGTCCATGTCCCCGCTTAGTCATAAGGCGGTGGCGCGCTTTAACGCCCTCCCCCCCAGGCTGCGCGCCTCCAGCCAGGCTCCAGCGCTGCGTGGTCTCTTTGTCTGCTTTGGGACGCCCCATCCAGCGCCTTCCAGCGCCTTCCAAGCTGGCTCGCCGCCTGCTGCTGATTGGCTAAGAGAGCTCCCATCGCTGACTAATGTTCTCCTGCAGCCTAAACAGCGCGGTCACGGGACAAGCCAGATCTGCCAGAAACGCCGCTGACTCAGCCATCTCCAAGCTTGTCCGCCATCAGTTATCGCCAACGGACCTGACAACAACAACATCAACCACTCTCTCACACCCACCATTCTGCCCCCATCGTCTGCTAAAGGACCCCCAGGGTAGCTTCGTGGTAAGCCCCAGCACACCTGGTTGTGATATGCTTCAAGCAAACTGACCTTCTCCCGCCAGGATATCGCCTGCTACTTGTGACAGGCCACCAGCTCCCGCTTCGAGCTCCAACCTCTCTCCCCGTTGAGATTTTTGCGTTCCCATAGATTTCTTTCGATCACAGCGTTTTCAAGATGCCTCAAGAACCGGATAACAAGCACAAGGCTAACCTGAAGTGAGTTTATCTGTTTGGCGTTTGGTCTAGAGATGTAATATCAACTAACACTTCGACTTCTCCCTGATAGTGATCCTTCAGGCGCCGAAAAACGTGATGTGAGCACTCGCTTTTGCCTATCGAGACGAAGCAGGCAGACATATACTAATATTTCAACCAGGAGCTTGACACTTCGACCGCCATCCTTAAGAAGAAGAAGAAGCCAAATTCATTGATGTGAGTAGTAGCTCTTATTACGTTTATCGAAGCTGTGGCGGGATAGCTTGGTCCTGACGATATATAGTGTCACTGATGCCGTCAACGATGACAACTCCGTCATTGCACTCTCAAACAATACTATGGAGACTCTCCAGCTCTTCCGCGGTGATACCGTTCTAGTCAAGGGCAAGATGCGAAGAGACACCGTCTTGATCGTACTTGCAGACGATGAACTTGATGATGGCAGCGTACGCCTCAACAGAGTTGTACGACATAACCTACGAGTAAAGCACGGAGATGTTGTCACCGTCCATCCTTGCCCAGATATCAAATATGTAGGTCTCCTCCATCTATGCTTAACGTTTTACACAGAAAGGAAGCTTACACCGTCTGTGACCAGGCTAAACGCATTGCCGTCCTACCCATTGCCGATACCGTCGAGGGTCTCACCGGCTCACTATTTGACGTTTTCCTTGCCCCATACTTCCGTGAAGCCTATCGACCAGTCCGACAAGGCGACCTTTTCACTGTTCGTGGTGGTATGAGACAAGTGGAGTTTAAGGTAGTAGAGGTTGACCCACCAGAGTATGGAATTGTCGCCCAAGACACTGTTATTCACTGCGAGGGCGAACCAATCCAGCGAGAAGACGAGGAGGGTAACCTCAACGATGTTGGATACGACGACATTGGTGGTTGCCGAAAGCAGATGGCTCAGATCCGTGAACTCGTCGAGTTGCCGCTCCGTCACCCCCAGCTCTTCAAGTCCATTGGTATTAAACCTCCACGAGGTATTCTTATGTTCGGTCCCCCCGGTACCGGTAAGACCTTGATGGCCCGTGCTGTTGCCAATGAGACCGGTGCCTTCTTTTTCTTGATTAACGGTCCCGAGATCATGTCGAAGATGGCTGGTGAATCCGAATCGAATTTGCGAAAGGCCTTCGAGGAAGCCGAGAAGAACTCCCCCGCTATCATTTTCATCGATGAGATTGACTCTATCGCCCCCAAGCGAGACAAGACCAACGGAGAAGTCGAACGCCGTGTTGTATCACAGCTTTTGACCCTCATGGACGGCATGAAGGCTCGTTCCAACGTTGTTGTTATGGCTGCCACTAACCGGCCTAACTCTATCGACCCGGCTCTTCGACGTTTCGGCCGTTTCGACCGTGAAGTCGATATCGGTATTCCTGACCCAACTGGCCGTCTTGAGATTCTTCAAATCCACACCAAGAACATGAAACTTGGAGAGGATGTTGATCTCGAATCCATTGCTGCTGAAACTCACGGTTATGTTGGTTCTGATATTGCATCTCTATGCTCTGAGGCAGCCATGCAACAGATTCGTGAAAAGATGGACCTTATTGATCTCGACGAGGATACCATCGATGCCGAGGTCCTTGACTCTCTTGGTGTCACTATGGAGAACTTCCGCTTCGCCCTCGGTGTTTCCAACCCATCTGCCCTTCGCGAAGTCGCTGTTGTCGAGGTTCCCAACGTCCGTTGGGACGATATCGGTGGTCTCGAGGAGGTCAAGCGCGAACTCATCGAGAGCGTCCAATACCCCGTCGACCATCCCGAGAAGTTCCTCAAGTTCGGTCTTTCGCCATCCAAGGGTGTCTTGTTCTATGGACCCCCTGGTACTGGTAAGACCTTGCTTGCCAAGGCTGTTGCAAACGAGTGTGCTGCCAACTTCATTTCTGTCAAGGGTCCTGAGCTGTTGAGTATGTGGTTCGGTGAATCTGAGAGCAACATCCGAGACATCTTCGACAAGGCCCGGGCTGCCGCTCCTTGTGTTGTCTTCCTTGATGAACTGGACTCTATTGCCAAGTCTCGAGGTGGTTCCCAAGGTGATGCTGGTGGTGCGTCTGACCGTGTTGTTAACCAGCTCCTTACTGAGATGGACGGAATGACCTCCAAGAAGAACGTGTTCGTTATTGGCGCCACTAACCGACCGGAACAACTTGACAACGCCTTGTGCCGTCCTGGTCGTCTCGACACCCTTGTCTATGTCCCTCTACCAAACGAGCCGGAGCGAGCGGCTATTCTCAAGGCCCAGCTCCGCAAAACTCCTGTCGCCAGTGATGTCGACCTCGCCTTCATTGCTTCCAAGACCCACGGCTTCTCCGGTGCCGATCTCGGCTTCGTCACCCAACGTGCCGTCAAGCTGGCTATTAAACAGTCCATTGCTACTGCTATCCAGCGAACCAAGGAGCGTGAGGCTGCAGGCGATGACCGCATGGATGAGGACGTCGATGACGAAGACCCCGTTCCTGAACTCACCAAGGCCCATTTCGAGGAGGCCATGAAGGATGCCCGACGATCTGTCACTGACACTGAGATCCGACGTTACGAGGCTTTCGCACAAAGCATGAAGAACACCGGCAGCAACTTCTTCAAGTTCCCATCTGACGGAGCTGGTGCGGCCGAAACTGGATTCGGTGATGCTGGAAACGACGACAGCCTTTATGATTAAACAAAGGTAGCTCCTAGCTTCACGTATTCCTTTCAATGATGTTCTTTATCCCATTTGGTACTCGTTGCGTAAAAGGCAGCTTACTCAAGAGCTTTTTAATTGCAAGAGGGGCGGGAGAACCGGGGTTTTGTGTTCTGTTCCAAATTGGGCTTCTTGCTCTCTCATGCTTATGTCTCATAGTCACGCCCTTTCTTAGTTACCTCTTGAATGTTAACATAAGATTTCATAATGGTATATGGATTATGCATGTCAATATCTTCTTGAATCCTTACGTCTTGTAACATGTAACTAGTACGCTTTCCATGGTTGTCTTGCTATGAGGAAACCTGGGTCAAATATCTAGAGGTTCCGTGGTTGATGCCAGTAAAATTCTAGCTTCCCGAATAATTGTTACAATTAAATAGAACATAAAGCCATATATTATCATATCTCTCTTCCACTATTTTATACGAAGTCGATATTTGTATACATAGAAGTGCTCTTTCCATATAAAACGCCAGTTTATTGTTTTGATAGCTGCAATAATCGTACCTTCTTACTTCCTGATTAGGCTTTCAGCAAGGAACCATAGGGAAAAAAGATAGGATCCTCTTTACCATGGCAGAATGAACCATTCATTTACCATGATGTCATTTTGACATTTCTCTTTTCTCTAAATATTTCCAGTGCCTCAGGGTCCTGATCCAGCATGTTCATTTCCATGTCTTCGAAGGGATTAGCCTCCTGGAACGTGAATATTTATTCAAATATTGGTGCTCTTATTTCGACCCTTGGGATATTGCCCTAAAGTGCATATGGGAGCCTGTTAGAGGATAGAGAGTAAGTCTCCCCTTATTCCCCTCTGGCCGTCCTCATTCAACTTGGGTATCGCCATATTTTCCCCCATCCCCCTGAGGGGTAAATATATCCCTCTAGGCATTTTCTAAGAAAAGGTCAAAGAAATAGTCAAACACCGTCTCGGAAATTATCCTCCATCTCCTTCCTCCCCTTACAAGGCAGAAATGGCCGAGCTGGAGGTTAAACGGCTGACAATGCTCGACCATTACCCTCGAGAATACCGTCGAGCTCTGAAAAATACCCTAACCCAGGGTCAGCTCGAGGAATATCTCAAGGGGTCGACGCCCATGTTCGTCGTCGGGCCACTCATGCTGCCGTCCTTTCTCAAAGCAATGACGGAAGCTGATTGCTGCATGGATCAGGCCAGATATGTGACGCAGGCAAGCTTGTTATGCCATAAGTTATACCTGTTCGAGGGTATCAATACTCCACTGGTGAGGGCCTCTGACCGGACAGATGATTATGTGGACGGCATGCTTGTTTTCAGCCTCTCGACACAGCGTCGAGGTTGGATACACGACCTGGAAGCCTCAAACGAGATGGAACTAAAAAACGTTCAGGTTGAGATCACCCTAGAAGATGGCAACTTGTGTACCATTGAAGCGGGAGCCTTCGTCTGGACCGGGGCGATACATAATGGTATAATCCCGGCTGAAAGAAAGGAGTGGATAGTTGATGAGTTCCTGTCGAGTTCCTGGTATGGGACTATCACAGCAGAGTACGGCTCATGCTAGGGTCATACAAGGCAAACTCCATCTAATTGAGATCATATTAGGGTGGGAAATTTCGAAGTAGGTATCTCTTTCAAAGCCCCATTGTAGTATCCGTTTACTAACTAGCCAAAGGAACAAGGAACGATATATGAAAACATCTATATTTTAGCGACTGGCGTTTTGGATATTTCCTGCATTTAGTTCATGTACCTGGGAGCATTAGAGAATACCCCTTTTAGTTTTTCTTTTTGAATATCAACATAACAAAGGCTTTATGCCTCAACATTCTGAAACTTGCCCTGTATAAAGCTCCGTAATAGTTCACAAAGGCAAATGCTGCCAGCTTTTATGTGAATGTAGCATCCGGCATCTGGTATATTGTAAAATAGTGACAGGAGTCCTAGCAATGCGCAATGTAGTGTGCTAGAACCTCTATCATTGATATCAGAGGCAAGGTATAAATTGCGGCTTCCTATAACCACCTAAGGGGGCACTACCCTCTTGGATACGTCCTCCATGCATCTGAGGCCCATGGTTTGCCCTATAAAATGATCCTCACGTCCTGCAAGGAGAAGATTTTCACACCCATGAGGAGGACGTCCTCCTGGCGACTAAGCGAAGGGGTTTTCTAGGGCGCTGCCCTTGTTTTGATTTGATTTTTCCCCTCCTCAGAGCATGACGTCTCACTCTTTTCACAAACCCACAACCTTCTGCTGAGTCTGAAATCTTCACCCTTCCTCAGGCATTTGATACTTTGTCTGTGAGCATCTTGAGAGCAACTTCAGCTGCCTGGGCTTCTAAAGGTAGGGCTGAATATCAAAAACAAGTCTGCAGTCTTGTCAGGAGTTCAAGGGGGGTGACAAGGCAATTTTCCTTCGATGACTGAGCTGACCAAGTGATATAAAGGGGTATTTCAGTGATAGGAGCTCAGACTCAGCAAAGGCACCAAGGACTTCGTCTCTGAAGGTAAGTCAAGGTCGATAGGTTCGATCTGCTGTCCTGTCAGACAGACGAAGACTAATGGCAATGCTTAGGAAGGATTTGTGATAGTGGCTCAGACTCGGCAAAAGTATCAAGGTCTTCGTCTCTGAAGGTAAGTCAAGGTCGATATACTTGATCTACCCTTCCGTTAGAGAGACAAAGACTGATGATGCTTAGAAGAAGGATCCGTGATACAGACTCAAGCTCAGGAAAAGAATAGGTGTCGTCTCTGAAGGTATGTCAAGACTGATATACTCGATCTGCCATCCCATTTACTAGACAGACAAAGACTAATGCGACCTTTAGGGGAATATCAAATTCAAATCAAGGGTATCAAGCTCCTGGAAAAGGCTGGAAAGGTATGTACTATGACTCAACTGGCACTGCTCGTAACTTTGGATATCGAATTAACGAGGCATAGTCGGCACGATGAGTGGCTTCGTCGATGATGACTGGAATGTAGCGGCTGCTGGGAATCAGGTACCTGCTGCTGGTTTGAATGCAACGGGAGCACCGATGGCTGTGGGACATCCGGTAGCTGCTGCTGCTCCAAACCAGACGACCTTGACCTCTCGCCTCCTAGCACTGCCGCTGCATATCCGTGAGGCCATCTATACAGAGGTCCTCAAAGTTGAGAACACGATCAAACATCATGTCCATCGAGACTGGGAGATCGCTGACATCATGGATGACATGGCCAATTCTGATATTCCAACTGATTGGGTATGGTCTATGAGTCCACGCATCACCACGTACAATTTCGATACTTCTCTGTTGCTCGTGAACCGCCAGGTCTACCTTGAAGCATCTCGAGTCTGGGGTCGTCAAAACACCTGGGTCCTTATACGACTTGGAGACGCGCTGCTTATCAGGGTCATGCAAGAATCGGGGTGTGCCATTCCAATACCTGACACCTGGACGCTTGCTGGCCTCGGTGATACTTCTGGTAAGATGCAGAGGATTGCCGTTGATATCACCGTAGGTGGGACGGCGAACAGGTATGCGGCGCAACAGAAGATGTTCATCATGAGCGTAGAGGGAGTATGGGACCTTGTGGCCCACCTGGTGTCATACTCTATCACGCCCTGGTGCATCGTCGTGCGGTACAACAAAGCCGATATCTTCCCTGCGAGCTATCGTCGCAAACTTGCAAAACGAGTCAGGGAGTTGTTCGAGCCACTGCGAATTATCGGCCCCAACGACCAACGCCGTGGTGTGATCCTGATAACTGAGAACGACGAATCTAACGAACGATCTGACCGAGCTGCTGACCCCAGCATACATATCCCCCTGACCACCTGTGAAGTCTTGAAGTTGTTGAGAGACTACCTTCCTCCATTCAACGCGGATGTAGACAAGGTGGACTGGGTTCATGAAGAGGTGAAGATGGCCGAATGGAGTTTCCTCTTCACCAACGCGATCACGAAGTACGGAGTTTCTGAGGAGTTTGGTCCTGGCTGGCGAGACACCCTCTGCATGGCTCACGCGCGAATGATGGCCATCAGATTGGGTCTCGGAGACTTGGAGCAAGCTGAATACCACGCGAGACGAACTGACGATATGCTGGAGATGCACGAAGCTAGGATCTGGTGGTACCATGCCGTTGTGTCTAACATGAGGACCTGGGGTGATACACTGAGCAAGAGCGTCACCCAAGAGATCCTCGACGTTATCTGGTGTCTGTCCCACAGCGAGGACAAGCAGTGGTTCAACCTCTTCTGGCTCAACGGCAAAGAGGACGAAGAGAGTGAGCGCAAGGTCGTCCTCACGGCAGCTCATAAGATCGAGGCAGCGCGGTGGGTGGCATCAGTAGAACATCCAGGGGACCACGGTGAGCGAGCCAGGAGATTCAGCCAGTTCATGGCCGTCCAAGGCCAGAAGCTCGTCGCAGGCTTTTCTCCTGGCGCCGTGGACGAATACAACCTCTCGATGCGTGCTCTGGTGGTCGCCAACAGGCTGCCAGACAGCTTCCAGAGCTTCTGCCACCAGCACGGCTTCAAATACTGGTCTTTGGTTGAGGTGGTTGATATTGATGTGAAGCTGAGATGAAGCTGAGATGAAGCTAAAGAAAGTAGTGAGATAGTCAGCCAACATAATAATAGTTAAACAATGCTTCTTTAAATCCCTTTCGTAGTCCTCCCAGTCTAATGATAAGGAGAAGTAAAGGGAAGTGAAGGGAATAAGGTGAAGAGTAGGAGAATGTCCTCTTACCTCCTTCAACAGCATCATCAACGCTATGCGGACTACTCGGGCTACAACGAGGCCATAGAAGCCCTTAAAGAGAGGGATTACTGGTATCCTTATTGATAACCCTTAGCCTTATGATAATATCGCCATGACTTTATTCATATCCGTAACGCGAGCAACAATATAACATCCAGAATGCGCCTGAACTCCAAGCTCCAGTGACACCCAACCCCGTTCGACAAGAAGAGAACCCAGGCTACGCGAGCTCGAAGACGTTTGCCTTGGTGTTCGCATGAGCTCCAGGCTGGCTTGGATTGCTGTCAGGATGCGCGATGGTTGCTGGACCGCTGTCGATTTCCGAGACCGATCCGCACACACTCATGGCAGGATGAACCCGGTTGTCCATCGTCATCTGGCCGGACATGCGAGCCCTGTTGACGGAGTTCGTCCAGCTCGAGCAATGCGACATCCGATCCTGCTGGAAGGTTGGTGAGAGCGAGGGTGAAGTCGCCGTCTCTGATTCCGCCCGCTTCTGCTCCATGATATCTGCCTTTAGAACGAGCCTGTCGACCAGCACGCCGTGCGCCTTCTTCAGCGTCTTCTTCACGAAACCCGTAGCTAATACGTTGCATCGCATATTGACGTCTTCACGGAGATACAGCCCTTCGCGCGGCGCACCCGGTATGCCCAGTTCGACCGTCTCTCGCGGCTCGCCCGGCATGTTCCCTCCCACGCTCCATTTCTCCTGTATGTCCAGTCCGGTGGGAGCATATACGTGTGTCTGCAGGCCTGCCGGAAGATCGTGGAAGCAGGCCTTGTACGTGACGTTGCCGGAGAGGAGGCCGCCAGGTAGATACTGCACCTTGTCCGTGAGCTCGTACCAGATGCAGTGGAATTCGTCTGGGGGCGCAGAGGGCGGCGGCGAGCACTTCTTGAAGTCGATGACCAGCGGATTCAGCTTGATCATCTCGCTGTGCTCGTGCAGCGTCCTTACCACCATCTCCCTGGTGATGTAGGGAGGGAGAGGGGTGACGGAGGTGAATACGCTCCGTTTGTTCATGATTCTTATATTGCTGTTTCGGATGGTATACAACAGACGATTCGATATATAAGGGCAGTATGCAGCAGATGATTCGATATAGAGTACGAGGTGATATCTCAGGCCTTGGAAGCGATCGTCTGCTTGTTTCTACTTATCATCCAGTCGCTTGTATTTTGTTTTTGACTATGGATTCCTCCAAATCCTTCAGCCCCAGCCTGATGTGGCTAAACCTTCGCTTTCACCTGGACAGCCTGCTCTACGATCTTATTATTATATTCAATAGCTGACGTTGCTGCTGAACGGAGTCCTCCGTGGTATAGCCATGGCTATATTTGCTCGACAGGCCAAGGGGCATCACGGCTGAACCAACTCGACCGTCTACTTATGGCCATCGCCGAGCTGAAGGGACGACACTGGGGCTAATGCGCAGTCAAGACACGATAGTCTCCACGGGGCTATTTCCATGGCTCGCTAAGTCGTCAATCTTCTATCACGTCCGTCCTATCATTCTCCTAGGAGAGAGCGGGCTTCGTCTAGCGCCAGGTGCATCTCTCACCGAAAGAGCTGATTGCTGGCTGGAGCTGAAGCATCGCCCTCCCAGAGATAAATGCGAGAATGCGAAAATGCGAGAATGCGAAAATGCGAGAATGCGAGGATGCTTGATGTTCGATCGCCGCGCCAGACGACTTCATTCGACGCATGCTGTCTTGGTTTCATGGTGATCAGTCCAGAGGCGATACGGATACGGATAATGTCTAGAGTTGTGCTGGAGTCAATATAGAGATATCCACGCGAAAGACTTATTTTTGGCTCAGTCTAAGACATTATCCAAGCCCGATCGTGTCGTTGGGATGTCATAGTTGCGCTGTTCTGCTGAAGTATATAAACGCCGTCCATTCGCTGTGAAGCCGAAGAAAAATCATTCTCAATACCAGACTCAATATTCAACTCCCTTTTAAACAACAGACAATAAAACAGCTCCAATCTCTCAAGATGCGTGCCGCCACCGTCCTCTTCTCTGCCCTCTCCCTCCTTGGCCTTGCCCAGGCGAGCTGCCCTGAGGGAACAACGGTCAACTGCTGCATCAAGCTCGAAGGCACCACTGCTTCCACCTGTATGTCCCCGGATGTTTAACCTCTAGCTATAGAGACGACCTGGCTAATATAACCTCTATAGGTGCTCAACCTGGAGCTACCTACTGCCAGGAGCCCGGCAACTCGCTCCTCCCAGTCTGCTGCAAGAGCTACAGCCTGGTAAGTCCGCATAATATATCCTCTGCCAAAGAACAAGGAGCTAACGCTGAGATATGTAGACTCCAAGGGGCTATGTTGGCACCGAGTGCACCAAGCTCTCCACAGGCTGCTACTAGACCTGGATTGATAGACATGCTAGTTACAAGATACAATATATAATGAAAATATAGTGTATGCTGCTGAAAGAATCTAAAGTATGGTATTAAAAAATGTTATATGTTCCGTCTCTCCGTAGTTCAAGTAGCAAGCCATAAATCGTGAATTCCCCATGCACCGGCAGTCAAGCTGAGGACTCCAACCAGACTCGCAGGGACGCCGATGCCGCCGTCAACACTCCAGTGCAGACAGAGCGGCAGCCACGCAAGACTGTTGACCAGCTTCTGGTTCCGTGCGCGTAGCTTCAGAGAAATCTTCTTCGCTTCCTCCTTGCAGCTCTGCCCGAGCCCCTTGTCAGTCGTTCCAGCACCCTTTCTCCGCTCAGCAGAGGAAAGCTGATGCTCGCGCGCAAGCTTGACGAATTCCAACAGGATATGCGTCAGCCATGCTCGCACGCTCCAGAGAGACCACTTCGATAGACTGCCCCATTTCTCTACCGCGCGCTTACTCAGAACGCCCTTTGTAGCGAGGAAGGCGACGTTTTCGAGTAGCTGGAAGAGAACGCAGGAAATGACCTGGCCGTAAGCTATGGTTCGAAGGAGGGGGTCGGACGGTGGTGATTTATATGTAGCCGACCCCCATGCCCACAGCGGTATGAGGCCGAGCAGCCGTAGCGACGTGCGTGTTTCAGACACGAGAGATGCGAGGGCGAGGAGATGCGGGTGGGAAGCAGGCGAGTTGGCGGATTTTGATGGGACCTTTCGGCCCAGGGCAGAGAGAGCGAGCCTGTTCAGCCTGCGCGAGTGCGTGAGGGCGTAGTGTAGGATATGTGCAGAGTATCCGACTGTTGCGATTGCTCGTTCGGTTCCATGGGCGCTGGAGATGAATCTATCGGAGGGTTTAGTCTTCCGTCTTTCATCGTTTATCCTGCGGTTTGATATGACAATTGTAGACTCACTTGTTCAGCCGCAAGATTATAGCATCCAGGCCTGACGATTTGGCCGGTGATGATGGTGCTGATGATGGTGCCGGTGCTGGTGCTGGCGATGGCTTCTTCTCGTCCTCCGGCGTCACTTTGACCGGCGGCTGTTCAACTGGCTGCGGCTTCGGTGCAGACGGAGCGATGTCCACCAGGACGGTGGATTCGGTCAGGCTCTCCTCCATCGCATTGGCTTGCTGCTCGAGTTCTCAACGAGTGACGAGGGTTATAGCAGAGGAATAAGGGGTGTTTTATTTAAATCACAGCTAAACACTAGAAATCGTACAAGGCGCAACCTTTCTCCGCATCCCAAGCCGAGGTTAGCATCATGTGCAGTAGGGATGAAGATATTACATTGTTTTTTATTATCATTACATTAATCAATTATGGCATCAGACGAGCCAAAGGTGATGCCGATACTCCAATCATCCTAGCATTAGTCGTTCGTGTCTGGTTTCTCCGTCTCTATCTCGGACTTCTCTTCCTCCGTCTTTGCGTCCGTTGACAGCACATTTGTATGCTCAGAGAGCTCTCCCGGCGATGGCCCGGTCTGTTCAGCGATGAACCTTGGTCTTAGCATCAGGCGTGGCCGTTTCGCCAGCCTGGACAGTCCGCCTGGATGGTCATGCGTTGGTTTGGACATGTAGAGGCTGTCGTTTCTCGCAGAGCTCAAGCTCTCATGGAGTCCGACTCTGGACCAGTGCTGGGAGTTCTGTAGGCTTGTGCTAGCAGCTATTATCTGCTCTTCCTTTGATGAGTGTGTCTCTTCATTGTTCTCGTTTCTTTCTTCAACGTTCTCGATGTTCTCTCTACTGTCAGTGTCTGATATAGCTTCAGACTCCATGGAAGTAGTCATCGAGACATCATCGTTGGAATTGTTATTATACCTCACAGGACGACGAGGGAGCGGACGGCGGATGTCAGTCATTGGAATGTCAAAGATGCTCTTTATCTTGCCGCCGTGTCTGTCCCTGACTTCCATGTTCTTACGGCACAGTCTTTCCAAGCTCTGCCACGACCTCTCGCAGCCGCTTGGTCGACAGTAATGGCAGTACGACGTCTTGCACGGCGGAATGACAGCCGGATGTGGTTCTGGACGATCCAAGCCAAAGGCCTTGCAGCCCTGTTCTACGAGAAACGGATCTGGTCTCGGACGAGCAAACACTGGAGTCTTCCAAAAGGCCAACTTAGCGGCCCATCTCTGCCTCAACTCTTCTTCTTTCCGCGTCGACTCCATCCGTATGGCTTCTAGGACGTCCGCACGCTGGGCCCGGAGCGTCTCGACCTCTGCGTCCGTGTAGTGCCCGTCCTCGATGGCCTTGGATACCCATTCGTTTAGTGACAGCTCGACAGGCGTAGAAGCGGTAGAAGCGGTAGACGCAGTGGCAGTGGAAGAGGTATCTGTCGATTCACCGGACGTGAGAGGCACTGCAAGGTCGCGGATGAACTCGTCACTGAGAGTTCGATTCTGGTCTTCGGTGCAGATGTATACCCAGCGCAGCATCGCCTCGCCACAGCGAGTACATCCGATGTGGCCGTCGGCATCGAACACGCGTGTCATGCTGGTATGGGTGCATTCTGCGCGCCAGTTGCGGGTTTCCGGCGGTGGATGGGTGTTTATAGGGTCCATGATGGCCTCCTTATCCTGACAGCTGGACGAGGGAGAAAAGGGAGATGGAATCTGAAGAGTTATAAGAAGTTAGGAAGGACCGGAAGTGCTGAGGATGATATATTGGCTGCTAAAGGTGAATCCTGAGCCTGACGTTAATGGAACTGGCCGTGACTAGTAGTTAGAGGTGGAATTCTCCGACAGAGCGGCTTAGGGAGATACTAAGCGTTGAAGTTGAAGTTGATGTTATGTTGAAGCTGTTACTGAAGCTGTTGATGGCTGGTCCGGATACTGGATAGTGGTAGAACCATGGATCACAGCTTAAATATACATATATAGAGTAACAAGGGGATATCCAGTAGCAATGTCTTTAACTTCATATATCAAGTGTTACTCTGATGTTGTAGATGTAGATGTTGTCGATGTTGTAGATGTTGTAGAAGTCGTATAGAAGTTGTATAAGGGTGCAGTTCATGAGATATCTACTCGACTGTATACAAGACTCAGTTGACTACATACTAGATCTATACAAAGGGATTAATGTAATATTCCTGCATCTGCATATTTACTGTACCAGCGGAAGAGACGACAGAAGAGCATAGGAGCATAGAGAAGAGCTAGAGAAGACAGAGAAGACAGAGAAGATAGAGAAGAGCTAGAGAAGAGTATAGAGAAGGAGAAAATATACACGATGAGATGAAGTAGAAGAAGATAGGAGTAAAGAATCTGTAAAGCACCATGAAGCCATCACCAACTTCTATACCGCATCTACCTGCATCTACACTCGCATCACCTTCTATACTACATCAAATCTACATCTACACCTATACTCCGTATCTATATTTACATCGTCTACATCTACATCTACATCGACGGCGAGATCCTTGCCAACCTCGGCTGCGATCACAACAAACAACGCTAGCTCAGCCGGCCAACTCGAACGCGACCAAGCACCAAACCTCCCTTTCCCCACGCCCGACGCTGCTATCTTCTGCAAACCTGCTTTCGCTCTCCAGCATCGTCCATCCGCAGCTCGCACTGCCGTCGCATCGCTCAATTACGCTCCAGCTGCCTCTCGCTCGCGCCGCGCCCGCTCTCGCTCGCTTTCCTGGCCCCCAGCCGACGTCTGCTCGCTCCCGTAACCATGACGACCTCCGTCAAGTTCGAGAAGGACACCATCCGCACCGCTGGCACCGCCGCTACGGCCGCTTCAAAGGCCGGCGAGGACATCGTGCACAAGGTTGGAGAGCGGCTGACTGGCGGCAAGTCACAGAATGGATATCTGGCTGTACGTTGTTGATCCTGGCGGTGATGGGTGCTGTGTTGACATTGGGCTGATCCCTAACATGTTTACCAGGTATACCTGAAGCAGCTTCAGTCGAACCCGCTGCGAACGAAGATGATCACGTCCGGTGCCCTCTTCGGTATCCAGGAGCTGCTCGCTTCGTGGATCGCGCACGACCGCAGCAAGCATGGCCACTATCTCAACTCCCGCATCCCCAAGATGTCGCTCTACGGCGCCTTCATCAGCGCTCCGCTCGGCCACCTGCTCATCGGCATCCTACAGAAGATCTTTGCCGGACGCACCAGCTTGAAGGCGAAGGTCCTTCAGATCCTCATCAGCAACCTTGTTGTACGTCGAATTCCAGCTTCTCGGCTTGCTTGCACGCCCAGGTTTTACCCGCCGGCGCTTAAAATATAAACACAGCTAACACTGCCGTATTACAGGTCTCCCCGATCCAGAACGTGATCTATCTCACTTCAATGGCCATCATTGCGGGCGCACGCACCTTCCACCAGGTCCGCGCGACCGTCAAGGCCGGCTTCATGCCGGTCATGAAGGTCAGCTGGATTGTATCTCCCCTCTCTCTGGCCTTTGCCCAGCAGTTCCTCCCCGAACAGACCTGGGTGCCATTCTTCAATGTCATCGGTTTCATTATCGGAACCTACATCAACGCTCACACCAAGAAGAAGAGACTGGAAGCCTTGAAGCGCAAGGTATGTTGTGTCACCCTACACTCCAGGCTAGAGCTATAAACTAACCACATCTCTAGCAATACGGCTCCGGAAAGAGCTCTACCGGCCGTCCAGAGGACTACCCACCACGACGCGACTACTAAACTAGTCGCACCTCCGCTATGGGCGGACTTGGACTCATGTATCCCTAGTCTTCAGCAGCGTTACAAGCGACCCGATTAAATCCAACCCTTTTGGCCATAGCCCTTCCCTACCAACTGCTTGCCCGCCCCCTCAAATTTTCCCAGGAAATATAAAAAAAAATTACATGCAATATCTCAATGCCACCTACTGTCGTGTATAATCTTTAGTAACGCGGATATTCACCTCTTCCTGTCCGCGCCACGCCAAGTTGATATATTGATCATATTTCCAGGATAAATTTTATCCCGCGATATCCCTTGTTTTCTCCCCCCTCCCCCTCCCGTCCCCTTTCTTTCATATGTTATACGGCCTTTTGTTTCTTGTGATTTGGATTTTTGCCTTTTTTTTCATCTCCTTTGTTCCCGCAGAATGGTGGACTATCGCGGCGACATGCTCAAACACGGAGAAACAAGAATTTTCGAGGTTGGGTTTCTACATATCTATTCCTTCTGTTTCTTTGGTTTGTATGGCCCGATCCCTATCTGTGTTTTTTTTTCTCATGTATCTCTATATATGCACGGTCCCGACTTAATTCTATGTGATATTGAATGACTTTCTGCTTTACGGAGTACTTGTAGTAGTAGAGCCATGCGTCTAGTGGATAATACTATGCTTATAATAGATGTATAGAGAGACTAGGAAGATATCCTTGAAGCCATAGTTGAAACGTTAAACCTGCTGAATTACTCATAAACGACCGGAAAAAAAGAATAGTTTCAACGCGTTTATATCAAGCTTAGAATACTGAATATTTAGAAGATACGAAAACCAACGATATCTCTGTGAATATTTTTGTTTCCTGAATGCTCACTCCTCCACACCAAGCCAGATGAAGCCCTCCGGTACAGTGCCTAGAGTGAACTGCTCGATTCTATTAAGTATAGATTTCCTATTCCTAGGTGCAACTAAACTGAATAGTTATGCAAATCGAATCTTGCTATCAAGAATTTCTAATTAAGAGGATAGTGAGCGAGCTTTATAGTCGTAGTTAAATAGAGCCGCTAGTTAGACACTACGTTTTGGCCTCACTATAAATCATCCATCGTCATCACATCGGTATCCCATCGTCATCCCATTGGACATATTCAAGAGAGATCTTCTATCCATATTCCACAGCTATGTCATCTGCTCATCCATGCTTGATGCGCTGCCGCTTATTTTTCTACGAAAACGATTGCTAATATTCCGTACAGCTCTCAAGCTATGCCTGGCCCAACGAAGAGATAGCTTCATCAAATCCTTATTTCATCAAGATCTCTCCCACCGAAGACCGGCCTTACATAGTCAAAGCGATGAAGCTGGGAGAGTCCTCTGAATGTATAAGTGGTATGTATAAACTGAAGGGTGGGCAAGTTTGCGTGGCCTCCTCCGGCCAACGCTCATCGTGTAACAAAATAGCCCAACCACTCGCCTCAACGGGCATTGAAGCGTTTGAGAAAGGCTGGATTTCGGGTTCTAGCATTTCAAAGACCATCGTAGCCATCTGGCCTATTCTCTCTATCGGGTTTTATGACGTGTTCGTCTGGCTATGGGTAATTTTTTACCACTCGAGGATCGGTCGTGAGACAGGGTACAAAAGCCTGGGCTGGGTTTGAGCGACGCAAACGTTGCAGTTCTGCTTTTCATAGGTGAGTGAGTCTGCTAGTAGTAGCAATTCGTGTTTCCTCTAACAAACTATAGGCGTTGGGCATACGGTCGTGGTTACCGTTGGGAATGCCGATATTCATGGACCGCTCTCTTTTAAGGCCTAGTATGGCGCTTTAGACGATTGTTCCTTGAACCATAAAGGAAAAGATACCACTCCAATGTTCCTATATTAGAACGGACCTTTTACCAGCAATCTTGCACCGGACAGTTTGGGCAGAGGGCACTTTTGCGTTGATGGCCAAGCGGTCCGCTCCGTGTGACATCAAACAAGGCCAGGCGCACTCAACGTTAGTATTAAACAATAATATTAACGTATATGAATCAGGCTGCTGGTATTTTGCCATGGTATTAAAGAAGTGCCCAGCCCAGGGCCATTCATATCTTGAAGGGATCCTCAAATCATTGCTCATGCTCACGGCTTCAACCAATACCACTTCATTTTGTCCCAGTCTAGCAGCGGACTAGGATACTTGAGCTATAAGTTATTTACAGTTTTTTACTTCACTATCTTCAAAATATGTCTCGACCTCCTAAGTGTAGCTGTCGGACTTATGCTGAGGCTGCCGGGGAAAAAACAGGAAGTGGATTACGGTGCCTAAAAGCTCCCTCACTTCCGAGCCTGGGGATTAGCGAAGTTTTGGCGACGAAACTGGCTCTTGATGCGCTTGAAGATTTCCAGAGTCCGCCCTTGGAGGCACCTCGCTGCCTTCTCCACGGGTATAAATACCTTCCGTTCAGGCTGTTCAATACACTCGACTCTTACCTCTTCAGGGGCTTGCTTAAGGACCAAGTCCTTCTCAGATGGTCAAAAATATTACCATATACCGTCCATGGGCTGACTAGTAAGCCAGGGACGAGAGATACGAGGATTACGATTGATCTTCAATCTGCTCTAATAAAAGAGAGCTCGGCAGAGGGCATCATCTCTGTTTTGATACACCATATGGCTCATGCATACTTTCTTGCCTGTTGTGGGTTACCCGCAGAGAATGGCGCCCACTCCGAAAAACAGAATCTTGGCCATGATCTAGCTTATAGCACCCTGGTATATAGAATCATGGAAGTTTTTCAGGCTCAAGGATCCAAGCGGCTTCCCAACCTGTTCCTTTTCGATCGTACACGCTATAACGTCAACAATCCCCGTCAACTTTGCTTTCAGGAGAGGTCCGTCTCCAGCTTGGCCGAACCCGGCAAATGCTGTACCTACCAGTCAACAGATTTCATACGCAAAAATGTATGCCATGATCATGTTTTGACCCTAAAGGAACTACGGCCAGGACAGGAAACAGATGGGAAATCAGCAATGGGCGATCCATAGTAAGTAAAAGCCATGCGACCTCCTTTGATAACAACATATACTTACACTGGAAAATTAGCCCAAAGTCTCACTACATCCACGTTGTGGACCTTGAAAACCACACATTCAACCCAACTTTGCGAACGCAGTACTCTTCTCCACCGTCGGGTTATATTGAGCTACACTATGCAAATTACGCTGTGCCATTCCCACGTTCAAACTTAAGAAGGGATTGCTCTTTGACTTCTAAATTACATGAAGAAGTCAACTTTCTAAACATACCTGCTCCCTCTCATCAAACCTTCTTTGCATTTTACTTGTACTTGCTGAACGGTGATTATCCTCCGGAGATGATTAAAGTCACATCACCTTATTTTGTGGCAACGAAAGCCCAGGGTCCTCCGATTATATCAAAATATTCCCCTGCAGCAGAGGATTACCTGGTAACTGATATCAAGATGTTCAGCCTAGCAAGCATGCTAGATTTTTCAGACTTGAGGGAAAGTGCAGCAGAGAGAATGTATTCACTAGGTGAAACACATGCGAATCCAATTGCTATCCTCGAGGAGATATATCACAGCGAGACTCGGAATGACGATGATAGAGATCGATTGCGCAGATGGGTGCAACAATTCCTTACTAAAACCAACTCGGATTCTGGGGTCACCAATCTCGATATCTTGCAGGCTGAGCAATGGAGTGGCCAACTTGCGAAGCTCAAGGATGACAACGGGCTATTCAACTTGGACTATGGCGCTGCATTCGAAAATTTAGTTATGACAAAGGCTTTAGCGTGTATACGTGCACATACCGGAGAGAACTCAGCAACTAAGCAGCCTACGGAAGCCTCAGAACAACCTGACTACTTATCAACTGCTGAGTCTGAGCTACTCTGTCAAATGAACCCAGACATACTAAAACTGTACGAAAATGTCGTTGCGTCAGGACAGAAATCGGCCTCTAGACCTACGGGGACAGTCGATTCCACGGCACAACAAGACGATAACGGCAGACCTCAGCAATGTTCTTGTCACAGAAGAGGCCAGGCAGGCCAGACTACTGAGTCAATTCACCAGCAATGTCAGTGCGCATTTTGCCATCCTCAACTATTAAACGAACCGGGTTTACATGGACAGGTCCCCTCTTCTCCAATTCACTTGAATGCTACTACACCCATGTTTTTCCCCGGGAGCCCCCAAACTACATGCAGCACTATAAATTATCCTTTCATACCATTCTCTACCCATCACTATTTTAAGCCATGAGCAAGAATGAATTAGTTCGTGGAATGCCTTGTTTGTTATTGCAGCTTGTGGTATAGGGGTTTCAGTTTTTCCGCTGTTGTTGGTCTAAAAATTGTTTGCTCGATTTTATTTATACTGGTGTTTGATTTAATGTTGCGTCAATAAAGGGGAAGGCATTAATAATACCTGTGTATTTTATGTTTTGCCTGTTCCTGGTTCTAAGGAGTTGTAAAGTGAGTAAAAATAATCGATTCTTAAGCCTGCTTCGATAGAGTACAAAAGTTAATTGTTTATCATAGAAGAGGTTAACCGTTATGAGTACAAACATTCATTCATAGTAATACCTGGAGATCGTTTTTCAAGGAGAGGAAATAACAATACTCTAGAAATTGTCCCTTATTATAGTCACTAGAAAGCTATTCTATTGGAACTTATATTAACAAGGCCACTGAACGAGAAAATATAACCACTAAATGAGGAGTGTATGCTAGTTTAAGCCCTTTTCTCCCAGAACGATGGATAGGCAAAAAAAAAAAAAGGGAAAGAGGAAAATTTCCGATCCATATGTCCCGGTCAATGCAATTTATCTTTACTTCGTCATCATTGCGTTGCTGTTCCTCCTTGCTTCTCCTTTACAAAGGCAATGAAATCGTCGATAGCCCCTGGCCAGGCGGCATCAGAGCTCCACCATTGCATGGTCTCGTCTTCCATAGTTTTGCGCATCAGAACCTCTGTCTGCTCCCATAAATCCTTGTTGATTGGACGCTTGTGCCTAGTTTCGATAAATTCGATCCACCATTTCAGCCACGGCACACATTCGGTTTCCCATGCGATCCCTCCATTTTCTGGCGTAAAGAATAGTTGCCATTGCTCTGTGGCGATTTCTATGTTGACGTTGCGCTGTCCAGACATGCGACATAATAGAAAAGTATAGCGGTAAACTCGACGGAAGTATTCGGGGTCAATCGGTAGCCGTCTGCGCAAGCTATCTGCATAAATAGCTTGTTTCTTAATGGTATCACAACTGTAAATCATAAGCAGGCGAAGAGGTAATGGTATGGGTGGGGAGATAAGCGTACTCTGTTCTTTTCCATCCATCTATAAACTGCTCTCGAGTGAATTCTCCCATAGATGGGGAACGCAGTAATTCTGCAATGGCTAAACACGCGACCTCATCTAGCCTAACTTGAATGTCACCAAGGTATTTCATGGCACCATCGATTCCGATCTCATCAGGGCTGTCGGGGTCCTCTACCAGTACCATTAGCGCTAATATACGACGAGGAATCTGTGGCGTAATGTTACCTCGATATTTGTCAAAAATTTTGCTCACTGCAGCCGCCCTGTCTTGTACCGGGCCTGACTGCCCATTTTGAAAGTAACTACCATGGAGGCACTAGATTAGTACCAAATGTAGCAAAGCGGGTAAGATAAAATGGAACGTCATATCGAAATTTTATAAGCAATATGAATAGATGACGCTTTTTAAAAGGAACATAGTATCTGTTATTCAAGGAGTTGAGGTGCGCCTTTTGTGCATTTCCATGTGTATGACGTGGGGATGGCCTGACTGATATGCAGTTTGGTTTGAAAGTCCATGCCGAAACAAAATGGTCAAACGACAAAGCTTGACCTGGTGTAGCGCATATCATCAAGCCCTATACAAAGGACTCGCCTATAAAATGCCCAATATGGGATACTAAACTGGGCTCAAGATTGGTAGGATAGACGGAGGCTCCGCGAAATAGAGGGGTAATAGAGGGGCAACGCGAAGGTGGGAAGGTCAAGGTGGAACAAGTGAGCCTGAATATGAGAAGGAGACATAGGAATATAGGGAAATACATACTCGTCGATAGCCTGGTCTACTTTCCATCCATTCGCTTTGAGACACTGATATCACTAATTGTCAGCATAGATAAGTAACCTTAAGAGCTATCAGAATATAAGCTCGTGACCGACAAGAAGCAACAAAACCCAGATAGTCTTGTACCTTTGTAGCGAGGCTATCCTTTGCGCCTGTAACGCTCACAAACTGTGCTATAGCACTTTTTTGACTTGAGCTGGGTGGCATCGTTACTGGGTATCAGAGGGGTGAAGGCGAAGAAGTGATGCGTGTAGCTTCAAGGATGGGTAAAAGGGCGTCACACTGAACGATATCAAGGCCGAAGTCACGCCCCGGTCATAAACAAGAGAAAGGAATGGCTTCCTCTCCCTCGCATCTACTTCTTGCAGTTGAATGTTTTTACCCCAAAAGCAGAGAATGGGAAGGTGCACGGACCACAGAAGGAAAGTGAGGGCGGAAAAGGCACGTGATCTAGGTTTGAGGTAAGAATAAGCTTAATCTGATGACATAAGCATGGCCATAAAGGGAAGGTGAAGCCGAGGGCCTTTTTCTACCTTCTTTGGGGACATGTATAAAAAAGACAGATAGAAAGATAGAAAGATAGAAAGATGGCAAGATGGGTGGACTATGATACTAGGGAGCATGGTTGAGGTCCTAGATTTAAGCAATATATCCTTGGAGACAGTTCAAAGGGAAAAATAATGGTATCTCAAAGCTTCAAAGCTATCTAAGAAGGCCGTTGAACAAAGTGTTGCCTTTTAAAAGTACAAGCCATATACATCAGTACAAAACTCCAGCAGCGCAGAAACACCATGACCCATTTTGTGTTTGTCGAACTGACGTATCGAAAGTAGATTAAGTAGTGAAAAGGGTATCCTCCTAGATGTATAGGTTAGTAAGGTACGTTAGAATAGAAAAGGCTGTGCACAAAGTCCTACCTCTCGTAGATATTCTCCTATGTCTCCTTGCCTAAATGCCACAACTCCAGTTGGGTCTAACTTTCGAGCCTCCATCGTTGATCGAGCAGTGACTCCAAAACCCTGTAAGAACAACCAGTTAGGTCCTGCTGATATATATAATGATTTGACGCTTGGTAGAATCGAGGAGACATAAGGAGAATCCGGAACTTACAAGTGGCGTATCATCCATTGACAGCACAACGACTCCTTGATGCTCAGGGCAATCCTCACTCCATCTGCCAACATGCGCCTTGACGATATTTCCACCGTATAGGAACGGCATTTCTCCATTGGGCTTAATCCACAGCTTATATCTGGCATGTGGTGCTATCACGTCCAGTGCTGTGATGTGTAGTCTGAATTTGCCAGTCTTTGTGTATTTACCGAGACATGTACCTATCGACAACAGGTTTGGTCTCGCGATGGATGTGGCAAGGTTGGCGACGGAGAGACGAAGGTAATAGACCCTGGAACCGTGCAGTCTGAAGACATGGCGATCGTCTGCAGACTCGTCGCCGGATGAGGTGGGAGGCGCAATGAGGTGGTTGAGAGAACGACCGGTGTAATTGGCGAGCTTCGAGAAGAGGGTTTGAGTCTCGGACTCCGTGAGCGGGCGCATGGCTGATATTCGTCAATATGTGACCCCGGAGTGTGTTGGGACAGCTTCCTTTCTCGTATAAACGGGGATTGATCTTTGATGGCGGGAGGTCCAACGGTTCAATATTGCTGCAGAAATTATTTCCTTTATCGATAGGATTTTTAGAGTTGTGAAATCTTGGCATTTTTTCGCATGGAGAAGAAAATTTATTTACTTTGCTTGCGCGCATCGATAGAACTGAAACCGAAAAGGAATCCAGACGAACAGTTTTTCGCACACAATGGCGGCCAGTGTCTCCGTGAAAAGGAGACGGCTAAGCCCATCGGGCGATGCGGCACCTCTGAAAAGCAAATTTTACAGCCAGGCCGCACAATGGGACCTCGAGCAAGACTACGAGCGAAGGCCGCGGAAGTCGAAAAAGGGCAAGGAGAAGACCCGATTGCCGATAAAGACGCAGGAAGGTACATTGGAACATTTGGAGGAGGATGATAAACCGGACGAGAGCTCGGAGAGTGACATATTTTCCTCGGACGAGGAAGATGGTGAATCTGCTGCGACGACAAAACCAGCTCCGGCGACAGTCTCCTCACTCCCTCCCAAAGTTCAAATACTCGAGGCAAAGGAAGCCCTGGCACGAATAGCTTCCCTTATAAACGAGGATCCCGAGGAACACATGGAGCTTTTTAAGAAGCTGACAGAGATGACGGAATCTGCATCGCTTCCGGCAGTGAAGAAACTCGCGCTGGCCACTCAAGCGGCAGTTTACAAGGATGTCATACCAGGATACCGAATAAGACCGCTAGAAGGTGAAGAATTGACCGCAAAGGTTTCCAAGGAAGTGAGGCAACTCCGTGCGTTTGAGCAGTCTCTCCTTTCGGGTTATCGCGAATACGTACAACAGCTTGCAACACTTGCCAGAGCAAGGCGAGGAACAGAAGTGCACAGCTCAGGCCTGAAAAGCTTGTCGGTTAACTGTGCTTGCAGTCTCTTGACTTCAGTACCGCACTTCAATTTCCGTGGGGAGTTGCTGAAGATTCTGGTAGGACAATTGGGACGTCGGCAGATGGATGCAGAATTCATCAAATGCCGTGAAACCATGGAGGAGATATTTTCCAAAGATGACGATGGCACTATCTCGTTGGAGGCAGTTACTTTGCTAGCAAAGGCAATCAAAACAAAGGAATTCAGGATCCGGCCGAGCGCCCTAGACACGTTCCTTCATTTGCGATTACTTTCTGAATTTTCATCCAAGGGCTCCAAGGATGCAATTGACAAAGAAGAACCAGAGGAAAATAACTTTGGAAAGAAGCCAAAGCAGAAAAGGGAATTTCGAACCAAAAAGACACGAAAATTGATGAAGGAACGAAAAATTGTTGAAAAGGATATGAAGGAGGCTGATGCTCTAGTAAGCCACGAGCATCGGGATAAGATGCAGGCAGAGACCTTGAAACTTGTGTTCACGACCTATTTCCGCATACTCAAGACTCGCAATCCCGAGCTCGTCGGCGCGGTTCTAGAGGGACTCGCTAAATTTTCGCATCTTATTAATCAGGACTTTTTCGGAGATTTGTTAGAAGTCCTCAGAGATTTGATATCTCGCCCTACCCGGTCAAGCTTAAGTTCAGAGAATGGAACTGCAGGCAACGATGAAGATGAAGATGGTGACGGAACAGCATATGGGTCTAACATCAGCGAGACTCGAAATGCTACACGAGATGCTCTTCTCTGTTCTACAACTGCATTTGCCCTTCTTGAAGGCCAAGATGCAAGCAAGGCAGCATCAGCTCTTCACCTCGATCTTAGCTTCTTCATAAGCAACCTCTACCAATCGCTACACACCTTATCCCTTAACCCAGATATCGAATTTCATCCCAGTAAATCACTACGTTTACCTGACCCCAACCCATACAATGACAGTCAAAACGATAGCACCTTGGCCACGAATAGTGCCATGCAGGCCAAAAAAGTTGATTTCCAAACTCCTACAGTGCTACTTATCCGATGCCTCCAATCGATATTAACCGCAAAGGCCAACAAAGCACCGCCTCCGATTCGTATCGCGAGCTTCACAAAACGTCTTATGTCTTCGGCGTTACAACTCCCAGAGAAGTCCGCGTTGGCTGTGTTGTCACTGCTCACCCGTGCTGCGAAACTACACGGACGAAAGATAGCACCTCTATGGAACACCGAAGAACGGAAGGGCGACGGAGTGTTTGATCCAAACGCTGACGATGTAGAAAGGAGTAATGTTTTTGCAGCAACTGTGTGGGAAGGGGAGTTATTACGATTACACTATTGCCCACAGGTTAGAGATGCTGCGAAGGACGTTGAAAAGGCTATAGCTGCTGTCAAATAAATTCATATATTAGAGTAATCCCATGCAAGGTTACCCAGGCCAAATATCCCCCTTTTGCTCAATGTTGGCCGCAATGATTAATAAATACATTAGTATGTGGGATAAACGAAATGTGTCCTGCTCAGGCAATGTCTGTCTTGAGGTCTCTTGAAAGTTGCCATATGTCGTCCATCCCTCAACTCTAACCGTTATCAGCTTCGGATAGCTTCTTGCTCGTAAACGGGGCGTGTTTGTTGCTGATCTCTGCGACTGGTCTCGCCAGTGAATTGAAAGAGTGGCGAGATTTGAGGCAGTAGGGAGACTCCAGGTTTCTGAGACAACGCTCGGAGTGGTCTGGGGGTGCAAACGCCATGAAAAAAAATTAGCCATTGGAAAATGAGAAATAAAATCGATGCAAATAACGAGGACAATATACCGATTTAACAAATCAAACAAACTCCTTTTACTCGCGGGAGCATCTTGACTGGTTCTTCGTACTGAGGTTCGATGAGACGCACATGCAAACGGGTGACGAGCTTGTACAGCGTCGTTCAATTTACCCTGCCATTTGCATAGGCCCTTCGATACCAGTTCGAAGTTCCACCCCATTCGCCATTGCTGTCGCTAGCATCCCGAGACCGAGGGATGCTTTGCTGGCCGGGCCGTCGAGTTTGTGATACCACCAATGACCCCTGAGGGGGTGGTATATATCTCGACGGTTCAGCTGGCGGCGGCAGCGGGTTCTGCGTCGTGCCTGGACGCGGTGGCTGGACTGCGTGCTGATGTTGGCTGGAAGCACGCCGTCCGTTTTGACCACCACGCCGGACATCGCGAACTGGTCCGCTGCCATGGGGTTGACTGCCACGGCGAGGCGGGTGCCTGGCTAGGGGTTGACCACCGCTATAATTGCGGCTCGGCACGATGACGGGCCCCTGATAACCCGTCAACGGCAAACCCCCAGATGGCTGTAGGCCACCCATCCTCGCCTCGACTGCCGCAACTCTGCCGTTGAGCTGATGGAGGTGGTTGGTATTTGCTCTGACCTCCTCCCGCAGCGCCCTGGTTTCGTTCGTTAGCCCGCGTAGGCTTCTCAAGATGGCTTCTGTATTGGCTGCTTGTGCCATCAAGATACGTTCGAAATGGGCGTTGATCACATCACCTACGTGAGTGTGAGTTGCTGCTGGCTCAGTTGGCATCGTTGCTGGCGTCGCTGGCGCCACCGTTCCTTCAAATACCCCCTGAATACTGGGGATAGCTGGCCTCTGAACACGCGCAGGAATCCCATCTGTAGAATGGGAAACCTGTTGGGTGGGGGTAAATAACGGGCCACCCAAGATGATGCCCTCGATGTTTGGCTGGCGAGGGCCATCGCGGTTCAAGAGTCTGCTTAACTCCTCAGTATTCATCTCCGGCCTTGGTAAAGCTGGAGCCGATGATGTCTTCCGCAGACCAGGTCGGTTTCCTCGCGTCGTAACTGGCAGCTCTGGTTGTGGTCTTGGGAGGTTGTCGGCTGCTGGTCGTATGAGAGGTGCGGAATTTGGGGGGACAAAGCTGGATTCACTGTCCCTCAGCCTAGGGTAGTAAATTTTCACTTCGCCGGGGATGTGTTGAGAGGAACTTGGTGCAGAATCTTCCGGCTTGATTCTGCTGGCGTCCTCATCCTTATCAGTTGTCACTCCTGGGTGAGCCTCTGGCCGTGACCAGTCTCTCACATTAAACTTTTCCATGAGCTTGGTAAGGATGGCTGGCCGCTCTCTCGACACCTCCCTATGCTTCCTCTGGATTGGTCTTTGGGTAGCTGGGACAGCAGATAGGGGGTGGAGGTGAGCTCTTGGTGGCGCTGTAGCGTACCGTAATCTTGTTCCATGCAAAGGCCACTGGGGGAAAACAGTTCTCTGAGCATGGGAAAGATCTGGCAGCCGTTGCTTTCGGACTACCAGGTTCACTGAGGGGGATATATATGTGAATAATTTTGAAAACATAAAAGAAAAAGAAAGAAGGAAAGTGCCATGCTTCTGCATCAAAGGCATTAAGGGGATGTTTCAACATACAAGGACAGTCAAAGGATGGGCTGGAACCATCTGTCTCTGCTGGCTTGACCGGAGTGAGAGGAGATTCAGGCTCAACAGCAGCAATATATTCCTCCTTGTCTTCAGCTGGCAGGCTAGGAGCTAAGCTCACTGACAAACACGTTAGAAATTCACTGTCTCGGCTTCTTTGTGGGATAATATTGTCAACACATACTTGGATATATCACTGGCTGGATCACTGTCTCACTTGCAGCAGGGAAGTCGACTGGCACCAGGAATTCTCTTTGATCTGTGCTGGCTTTCCTTTGCTGGCTGCAGAAGCTTGGGAATCCACGGGCTAGGTAAACAGATAGGTAAGTATATATCTCAGCACTTAAGGGGGCTTGAGGGCTAATAATTGGGCTCATGATAGTCCTTAGGCTGATAGTTTTAAATGCCTTAGATCCAGGGGAAGAATCTGGGATTCAAGCTGGGTTTGATATTTGACGCGTTGTCTCCTTCACTTTCTGCTTACCTCTAAGGTCGCCATCAAGGGCAGAGAAGCTTGCTGGCCTAGAGGAGATTGCTGGCAGCCGAACCAGTGCTGAACCAGGTCCTTGAAGCTCTGGTGGATCAGAAGAAGTCTGCTGACAACCGTGGCCTTCCATTGCGTGGCTGAGATGCGAGAACGATAGTATTAGAGATTAGGGGATGAAGGGCTTCAGATCAGGTTTCTTGCTTGTAGGTGTAACAGATAGTCAACAGAAGAACAACAGATATTAACAAGGTCCGATAGGTGAAGCAGGAGGCAGGTGAGAGGATTTGGCCTTTCAAAATATTGTGTTGTGGGTTTCTGAGAAAGGAGAGCTCCTTTACTAGAGCTGTCCTCTGATATGGCGCTAGCGAGGCGCTAACAAGAAGATAGGCAGTTGTGCTGAGAAGTGAATGAATGATCACTTTATATATTGCTTGGGATGACCTGTTAGGGCCAGATTTTGGGCTTATCAGCCGTTAGCCATTATATAGAGCTGGTTGAGGAGGAAGGCAGCAGAGTATCAAAGCCTTCTAGCCCTGTGACTAGCAACCAGGTTTATATATTGGCAACAATCATTCTAGATTATATATCTGCTTGTTAGGAAGGTCACTCCACCATTAAGCCCCAATTCACTCTTACCTTTAAGGATATCAGGTTGGTGCCAAAATGAGGGAATTGGCCGGGAGATATATGGTCAAAAACTGGATATATAGAACATGAAGTTCTACAAAGAGGAGGCAAGGGTAGTAAGTAGTATAATCGTTTTTTTTAGCTGACTAGAACAGGTAGGTATCATTCTTCAAAGGGTCAAAAAGAGCTGACAACCAAAAATCATACATCACAGAAACAGTCGTAAACAAGGTTCATTAACAGGGGGATATCGTGGGGCTTATTCTGATAGCACATATGAAAAGAACATACAAAGAAATCCAACAAAAGGAAAACATTAAACTCGCAATATTAGGTGGCCATTTCATAACAGCCGCCACAGTTACTAATAAGTCGCTGGGCAATATGGACAATACCTATTCTCTTAGGAGATAGGTAAGGGTATGAAGGGGATATCCATGAGAAGCCAGCGGGTAAAGGTAGCTTAGTGCACATATAGATTATTGGACGGCGGTATCGCGACGACGGAATCCAAAGAGACTACCAAAAAAGTTGACGAATATTGCGCGCCACAGGGCTTTCAAGAAGTTATCCCGTCGATGAGCTGTGAAGGAGCTGATGGATTGGTTTCCAGTTGTGGGTCGAGGTTCCTCTGAAGCTCCATTAGTTTTTGTTCCATTAGTGTTTGCTCCATTGGTATTTGCTCCGTTGGTATTTGCTCCATTGGTGTTTGCTCCATTGGTTTTTGTTCCGTTGGTAGTGGCCTTGACGGCAGGGGCACCAGGCGCAGTAGAGCTGGATGCTGGTCCCTCTACGGATTTGGGTGTAGAGTCAGAGGCATCAGGTGCAGCCTTCTTAGTCTCCTCGGGAATAACGGACCTTTCAAGGGCAGGTGCTGAGATAGTAGGGGTAGATTCTGACGCTACGGTAACCGGCCCCTGTGCATCTTTGATCAAAGGTATTTCCGCCGGCTGTGGTTCAGGGGTAGCATTGGCAACCGTTGATTCTTGTGGGACAGCATGGGACTCCGTATCCTTGGAAGGCTCATCTTTACCCTCGGTCTTGACTTGATTTTGAGACGGAGTGGGAACCTCGGATGGAGCTTGCTCTTGAATAGTGGCCTCCTTGAGATGCTCTGGGGCTTCCTTTCCAGAGATGGATCGTTCATCGGTCGTGGGGACGGTATCCGGAGCTGGTTTGGAGTTAGTCGTATCGGACTTGGTGACATGGGTTGCTAGTACTGCGGCCGCAGGAATAACAACAGCAGCCCCCAAAGCTGCGGCGGCTATAGCTGCACCATTGGTTTTAGGGGCATCCGTGGCCTCTGCACCCTTATCAGTGGCGGCTTCCTTTGGTGGGTTCGTCTCAATATTTGCATCTTCCATCGCAAACTCTGCCTTGGATTCCGGTGATTGAAGTTTTGTCTGTAGACCAGTAACCTGGAATGAGTCTGCTGGAACATCGGGTGAATCATTTTTGGATTCACCTTCGTCTCCTGAGGTTACCTTCTCAACGGGCTGCTCCTCTGGGGTGACTTCCTTCGTAGTTTCAGTCTCACCGGCAGACGGCTCAGTCTCGGTACTAACGATGGGCTGTGAGGGTTCGTTTACATCTTCCTTTGACACCTCGTCAGTAGGAGCTAGCACGTCTTCGGACACAACAGTCTTTGCAAGGTCCTCCTTTACGTCCTCAACAGAGACAAGCTCATCGGCAGCCTGTTTATCCTTTGAATCGTTGATAGGCTGTTCAATGTCCTTGGGCTCCTCTGCAGGAACAACGGAGTGCTCTTCGACTTCCTTCGAAATTGGCTCCTCTGAAGCTTCGGTTTCAGTTACGGCCTCTTCCTTTGCAGTCTCTGGCGCAGCATTTTCCGTTGGCTCAATTGGGGCGGGTGCGACCTCCTTTACATCAACAGGATCACTTGGTTGGGGTGACTCCTCGAGATCCTCTGCTTTGGAGACTTCATCCTGGGTGGTCTCCGGTTCCGGCACAGAAGAGGGCTCGTCCGCCACCGCCTCAGCAGCTACAACATCGGCCTCTTGACTCTCGGCCTCATGCTCGGCTGCGACAGCTTGTTTCTCAACCACAGGCTCTTCCTCGACGAGCTCAACTTCCTTGTCGTCAGCTTTGGCACTGTGGTCCAAGCTCTCTTCGGGGTCGGATTTAGGTTCATCCATAGTCTTGGCAGGTTCCTGAGGCAACTCACTTGTGACGTCACTAGGGATTTCTTCGATTTCCTTGGGAAGTTCTGGCTCATCAACAACAGCAACATCTGCCTTCTCTTCTTGTTTTGTCACCTCAGGAATATCAATTGGTGCTCCTGTAACAATTGGCTCTTGCAATTGAACATTGTCTGCTTCATTCGTGGCTTGAGTCGTGGCCAAATCGTCATGAAGTTCCTCAGGCTGTTGACCAACATCGGGCTCTCGAGACCCTTCCGAAACTTCGGCGGCCGACTCGTTCGAAGGCTCTTCCACTACTTGACGCGTCGTTAGATCGGCAACAGCAGTCGACTCGCCCTTTATCTCCTCGCTGGGAACGTCGGTTTCTGGTTCAACTGGTGCAGGAGTTGGTGCCTCGGTATGGGCAGCAGGGTCTTCTTTAGTTGCCCCTTCAACCTGGACTTGTTCAACCTCGGAGATTTTCTCCTTTTCTCCGCCTGTTGGCACTTCTGGTTGCTCGCAAACAGGCTCAACCGCCTTTTCTAAGGTCTCGTCATCCTGTACATGCTTGATATCGTTTGTTTCAGGATTTTCTTCACTGGCAGCTTCCAGCTGTGCAGGGGCTGGTGAGGGTTCCACTAGAGTTGCAGAAACTTCTTCGGAACCGTCCTTGTTACCGGCTGTCTCTTCCTGAGTATCAACCTTGGGTTCCGCCTCTTTATCAGCCGCGCTAGGCTCCTCAGGTTGACTGATGACATTGGCTTCTGTGCCAACAGGTTCATTCAACTCCCTAGACTCTTCAGTCTCATTTCTCACAGGAGGCTCAGAAGTTGCAGGTTTATCCTCAGAAATTTCATTTGTTTCTTTTTCAGTGGTCTTAGGGCCCACGGCTGCGCTAAGATCAAAATCCGAAGCCTCTGGGTCGGCTTGCTGTGACTTGACGTTTTGGAATCCCCCTAAGGCTGCCACGCCTCCTAGTGTCGCTACGCCTCCTAATGCAGCAACACCTCCTAATGCTGCCAGATTAGAGACCACAGGTTCATCGGAGGTGACCTCATCAGCCTTTTCCTCTGGCTCAGTATCCTTCACAGCAATCTCCTCAGGTTCCTCTTTGGCGATTTCTGGAGATTCTGAGATTTGCTCGGTGGCTTCCTCCTTGACTTCAGTAGGTTCAGAGGTCTCCATTGCTTCCACCTCCGGAGTGTCGGTGACAGCGTCATCTTTAGGGTCTTCTGGCTGATTTTCAGGGATGACATCGTCATTTTCAGGGACCACAGCAGCCTTGCTCTCGATTTCAAGAGGTTGAGAAACCTCGGCTTCGTCAACTGGGGCTGGGGCATCAGCGGTGGACTCTTGCTTGACCTCCTCGACTATCTCAGATTCAGGGGCATCCTTGGATATTTCTTGGACAGAGACCTCTGGCTCTTCTGCAGCGGGAGCTTCCACTGCATCAGTTGGAGCGTCCTTGCTTAGCTCTTGGGTATCAGAAGGAACTGGAGCGATATCCTTGGGCTCTTCGCCGGGCTCATCTTTGGACACCTCACGAATAGGATCTGGCTGGGATGCATCCTTTTCTGGTTCTTCGCTAGCTGTCTCAACTTCAGTAACTTCCTCTACCGCCGCCTCAGGGGCTGGATCAGCCTTGGGTGTGTCGTCCACTGGTTCTTCAGCAGCAACCTCAGCCTTGTCAATGGCAACCTCGTCTTTACTCAACTCCTGAGCCTCGATAGCGGCTTCAGCGTCATCAACGACAACGGCAACTTCATCCTTGGCTACCTCGGGTGTTGGAACAGGCTCGGAGGCTTCTTTGTTTGTAGTTTCAGTCTTATCGTCAACTGGGTCAGAAGTAACTTCTTCTTGCGACGCCTCTGGCACAGCCTCGGAGGTGATAATTTCTGCTTCCTCGTTGGTGACTTCCTCGTTGGTGACTTCCTCGTTGGTGACTTCGTCCTTGGTGACTTCGTCTTTGGGTTCTTCTGCGGCAGGTAGGGGTACATCCTCAGCTGGCTCTTCCATAACTGCTTCCGGTGCTTCTGTGGCTGGAATGTCGGCATCATCAACGGAAATCTGTTCTTTGGATACAACAGGAATGATATCTGCGTTGGAGGCTGTTGTCTCGGGTTCTTCTGTTTCGGGCTCCTTGGAGGCTGGGGCCTCGGAAGTATCTACGACCTCTTCATCCTTGGATTCGATTGGTGCAGGGTCTGACTGAGATACGATCTCTTCCGTCTCCTCTGCAGTTTCCATCGAGACTTCAGGTTCAGTCGTCGTGGGCTCCTCGGTTTTGTCAACTACAGCCTCCTCAGCTGCGGATGCCTCGGGGGCAACGCTAGCTGGAGGAATTGTCACCTCGGGCTCTTCTGGTGCTTCAGGCTCAGTGGGGAGCTGTTCGCTTACAGCCTCGGCCTCGGGGGCGACCTTCTCGGCCTCTTCAGTTGAGGCTTCTGGGGCGGTAGCAGGAGTTTCGAGAACATCATCAGAAGGAACCTCTTTATCGGCAACTGCTTCTTTGCTAACTTCCGTGCTCGTTGGTTCTTCAATAGGCTCCTCTGTTTTGGTGACGATTGTTTCCTCAACCTCAACTGGAGCTTCGACTGCGGTAGTTTCTAGGGCAGAGTCGGCCTCTGGGACGGTTGTCTCCTTCTCAGCCTCAGGTTCCGCAACAACAGATTCCACGGTTTCCTCAGAGACTATCTCTTCCTGGCTGGCCTTTGGCTCCTCAGCTGCAGCCTCTGGCTCTGAGGCAATTGGTTCTTCAACCTCAACTGGAGTGTCTTCTTGAACAGCTTCGGAAACCAAAGCAGCCTCCGGTACGGGTGTTTCCTTCTCAACCTCTGCCTCAGTAACTCCATCTTCTACCTCTTTGTTAGAAATGGCTTCCTCCTGAGGCAATTGGGTGCTCCCCGGCTCTTCGACAGCAGCCTCTGGCTCTGTAGCAGGTTCCTCAATATTAATAGGAGCATCCTCCTTTATGGTCTCCGGGACCAGATCAGCCTCCAGGACTGATACGTCTTTCTCGGCTTCGGGTTCGGCAACAACCGGTTCAGTAACCTCGTCAGTGACCTCTTTGGTAGCCACAGGCGCTGACTCTAGCTCAGTCACTGGCTCATCCTTAGTTGGCTCCTCCGAAGTAACCTCCGGCTCATCGAGAGCCGGTTCGTCAATCCCCTTAGAGACGACAGCTTCCTCGACGTCTTCTACAGCTGGATCCTTTGGTGTGTCCTCTGGATTTTCAGAGGTTGGCTCCTCAGCGACCACTGATGTCGACTCTGGCTCAGCCACTGGCTCCTCCTTAGCCGGCTCCTCTTTAGCTGGCTCCTCCTTAGCTGGCTCCTCCGAGGTGACCTCCGGTTCTTCGAGAGCCGGTTCATCAATCACCTTGGAGACAACAGTTTGTTCGACGTCGTCTACGGCCGAGTCCTCAGGTACGTCCTCTGGCTTTTCGGAAGTTGGCTCATCGACAACATTAGAGGCAGGCTCCTCAGCGACTGCTGGTGCCGACTCTGTCTCAGCCACTAGCTCATCCTTAGCTGGCTCCTCCGAGGCGGTCTCCGGTTCTTCAAGAGCCGGTTCATCAATCTCCTTTGAGACGACAGCTGCTTTGACGTCTTCCACAGCAGAGTCCTTGTGTACATCTTCTGGCTTCTCGGAAGTTGGCTCATCAACAGTAGTAGAGGCAGGCTCCTCGGCGACCACTGGTGCAGACTCTGGCTCAACCACTGGCTCATCCTTGGTTGCCTCCTCCACAGTGGCCTCTGGCTCTTCGAGAGCCGGTTCTTCAACCTCCTTAGAGACTACGGCTGCTTCGACGTCCTCTACAGCAGAGTCCTTATGTACATCCTCTGGCTTTTTAGAAGCTGGCTCCTCAGCGACTGCTGGAGCGGACTCTGGCTCCTCCACGGCGGCATCGGGCTCGGCGGCAGCTGGTTCTTCAACCTCTTTTGAGACGACAGTTTCATTACTTTCCTCCAAAGGCAGGGTGGTGGGTTCATCCTTCGACTCTTCAGTTGGAACCTCTAGATTTTCAGCAATTGGTTCATCAGCTGTATTAGAAGCAGGTTCCTCCTTGGTAACCTCTGATACTAAATCGGTTTCAGGCAAAGTAACGTCCTTCTTCAGCTCTTCACCTGCAGCTTCCGGCGCTGTGACGGCTGGCTCTTCAGCGGCAGCAGAAACGATTTCTTCTTTGGCAACCTCAGGCACCACATCGGCCTCGTCAGCTAGCACAGCATCGGAGGTAGTTTCGGTGACAACTTCAGGGGTAGCTTCCGGTACCAGATCGAGTTTGGGCGCACTCTCTGGCTCCTCGGTTACAGAGTCCAGCTCTTTCGGGGTAGGCTCAGGCTCCTCGGCAGATTTGGAAGTAACTTGCTCTTCTGCAGCTTCTGGTACTACAATAGGTTCAGAGACATCCTTCTTCGGCTCCTCAGTGATAACCTCGGATTCGGCGACAAGAGGTATTTCAACATTGTCAGTGGTGTCTTCCTTCTCCTCAACCTTGTCTAGATCAGAAGTTTCGACTACGTCCACCTTCTCAGGAAGCTCCTCCTTAGAGTCCTGGGCGGGTTCTGTGGCTTCCACCACCGGTTCTGGTTCCTTCTCTAGCTCCTTTGACTCTTCTGGGAGCTCGGTCGTGGATTCTGGAATAACGTCTTCGGACCGTACTGTTGTAACCGGTTCAGGGGCCTGTTCAGCTTCCTCTTCGGCATCATCAGCCTTTGGAATATCCGCGACTACCGGCAAGACATCTGGTATTGGCTTTGCATCAACAACAACCTCAGATTCGTCGACGGTTGGCCCCTTCACCTGCTCGGGGATGGAGGAATCTTGTTTCAGCTTGGCGACGTCAACAGGTACAGACTCCTCGCTCTTTTCTAAGATATCATCCACCGTGACTTCTTTAGCGTCGCCGTTTTCTTTACAGACTTCGTCCTTGACATCGTCGGAAGAAACCGTTACCTCATCCTTCGAGGGTACGGCTTCCGTTGCCGGCAGGTCTTCGGGTACGTCCATGGAAGCGTCCTCCTTCGCGACGATAGAGTCTACTGCGTCGTCTGGCTTCTTTTCCTCCTCCGGCGCTGCTTTATCCACTTCGTCAACGGGCGGTTCTTTATCGTCAAGTTTGGCCACGACGACCGGCGGAGCTGGTACGTCCTCGTCTGCCGCCTCCACCTCGGCGTCCTTTTCTTTTTCTTCCTCAACGGGCTCCTTTGAGGTGGTTTCGGTGGTATCGGTGGTATCGTTGATGTCGTTGGTGTCGGTGGTGTCGGTGGTGTCGGCGGGGGTATCAGATGTGCCGTTGGTGGGTTTGGAATTGTCAGTTTCGGAGGTGGTAGGAGCGGTGTGCTTTACGACGAGGACGTTGTTGGCAATGCCATCTTCGTCAACAACTAAACAGAAACCACAACGATCAGTCACCGGTGTCCAGCTCGGTTAATCAATAAGACGAGTCTCGGTGAATTCAAGACTTACCTGTGTCGAGATCTTTGTCACAGAACCAAGAGCTCTCGTCCGTGCCGAGCCGGAATCGATATTGGTGCTTGCCCTCGGGCAGCTGGAATTTCATGGAGAATTCATACTCTTCATCCTGCGTAGAGCTATCCTCGGCGGTCGACGTATCTTTGGAGCTTACGAGCTCAGGCTTAAGCTCCACTGGCTCCCATGCCGGGTCTGCGAAGGACGCAGCAACGAAGACTGATGGAGTTTTGCTTGGTCGACGGATCGCAATGGTGATGGGGTGTTTGAGATCTTCAGTCATGGCTAAAGAGTTGGCTGTTTCCTCTGGGTATTTATCTCGTGTATCTGCGTGAACTCGTAACGTCGTGGCCGTGAGAATCGTTGAAGCTCTGTGAAGCTAGCTATGATATACAGACCAATAATAGAATTTTCTGCAGCAAATTATTACAACGCGGAGGGCAAAACAAAATAAAAAGCTCGAAAAATCAATAGTATGCCCCCAAAAGACGACGAGGGTATATCAACAGGCAAAGCAAAAAAAAAAAAAACAACAGCAGAAAGAGGATGACGGGCGAGAAACTTTTGATAGACAATGGCAGAGCTCTTCGAAGCTAGGAGGCTGTTCCCTTGACAAACTGGAGGGGAAGAGGGAGATTGAAGAATGGACAATGCAGGAAGAGTCTTCCAGGGGGCTTGATGCAATGTTTATTGGTTTAATAGAGGGAGATCTGAGCAAATGGCTGCTGTTAATTCAGAAAAGAAAACTCAGAGCAGAGAGTCAAAGCCCAAAAGCAATATGGGGCACAAATTCACACCAGCAAGCCGGAGTGTCCTCATCCTGCCTGAACAGGCTAGCGCTGCTGTTTTGTTGTCAGAGGGATGGCCGCTTAGCGTGAGTAAAAAGTGCTTGCATCCCTGTGCATTCAAACGTTTAGCCGGAGCTCATTTGCTGCAGCTCACGGCCTGCTGAACCGCCGCCGCTTTGCTTTTTCCAGGCTCCATATTTCGAGGCCGGCTGTTTACTGTATGGCGAGCACCATGGCCGCTTCTACTGGGGGACTGCCCATCAGCAGCCTAACTGGCCGCCCGCGACTGCAGCACCTTAGGCATGCAGGAGGCAAGGCATGCGATGATGCAAGTTGGGCAGGAAAACAAACCGCAAGCCTTTTTTTCTATGCATGCAAACGCTATAAAATTCTGTGCACGAAGCTCGGACTAGAGGGAAATAGTTCTGCAGTAGTTGAGACATTTAGTGGAGTCATGTGATACCATAACGCTTGCAGGGAGCGAGCTAGAGAGATAACAAGGGCAGATCATGCTCATCCGAGGTCCAACACGGCATTCTATCTAAAGGTCTTATCTACAGCAGCCGGGAGAGGCAGATACAGAGTAACAGAAGGGGAGAGACAGAAGCTGGGAAGGTAACAGTAACAGGTAAAAAATTCCACAAGGTCTCATCTATCATTTCGCATATTCAGAAGGTCATTGTCGTTATGGAGAGTCCAGGAAGAGACGGTGTAAATGGTGGGGCAATAAGTATGAAAGGTAAGAAGGAGTACGGAGTAGTGTACTTCTTCGTTGAACAATGAAGGTCAGCGCCTCAGTGGAGGTAGGCTGTCCTTTAAAATAGAAAAAGTGTCCCTGGCTTCATACATGGCCAACCTCATAGAGATCGGGTTCTCGTTATCAAGGGAAGAGGACAGCCTCACATAGCGATGTTCCGCTATGGAAGCAAAACCAGCGGATCTAGAAACAGGGTCTCCATTGGTGGCCAATTCACGAGCAGGCATATCCGGGATGGTGGTATCCTGGTCAACATATGCAGTATCAGTAGCCCAGTAGTCAGGTCGTAGAGAGCAAGAAGTCGCTTGGTGGGACCAGATACACGAAGCACAGGCTCCCTTGCCGTCCTGGAAATTGGCCCGGTCAGCTCCAACGATACACTGCGCAAACGGGCCATTGCCGGCTGCGCATTTAGTGCATGGTTCAGCTGCTTCGCGGCCGCGGGAATAGTTAATGATGGCATTATTCTGTGAAGTGGTATTAATCGGCTTCGCATTGAAAAAGCCGTCTGGACTCCTCCAAGTAATGGGCCGACGCTCAGGCATCCTCTTCATGTTTCTTGTTACCCTAGATCCGGGCAGAACCTCAAACTTTCGCTTAACGGTTAAAAGGCGGTTATTCTGGAATGTGCTAATGTATTCAGAAACACAAACACCATCGATACCTCGATATCGATGTGGAGGAGTGGGGGGACGGGTTATCTCCGGTGTGGGCGAACGTGCTGTAACCGCTGATGCTTCGGAGTCCGAGGTGTAGGAATCTAATAACCCGCCATCGCCATCTGACACAGAGGGCGAAGACGTAGCAGCAAGGGGGGTGGGCGTGGAAGGAGCAGGTTGGACTCTATAGGTGTTGGGTAATTCAAAAGCAGAGCTCAATCTTGCTAGGTTTTCCCTTTTAAATATTCTCAATCCAGCATCACGAACGTAGTCAGAAATATGAGGGTATGTAGGGTATTTAGGGTATCTCTCCTCCCCGTTTTCCTTTTTGACCGGAGTAGAAGAACGAGCTTTAAATTGCTGGCGAAAGGTGTCACGGAACCTCTGGTATTGATGCCGTTTCTGAGTATCATTCGCCCGGATATGAGCACGCTGCATCTTGAGGATCTCGTAGAGATAGGCGATGCAAGTGATGGCCAATGCAAGTATATGGTATCACCCCCCTGCCCTGTCCGCCCTAGAAATTAGCCGCCCTAAAGTCCGAGTAAGTGATCGCTATCACTCACAAATTTCACCCGCCGAGTAATGATCAGCCCAGAGTATCGCAACGTAGCGCAGTCAAGGTAATAAATCTATTTTCCTGGTGTCGATAGTCGTGTTAGTGACAATTGCTAACCTGCAAGAAAGATGTGCTTTGTGGTGCGACCAACACAACACGAAAGAAACCTCCCGAGGCCGGATCGAGGGGTAGGTCACGTGATATATTAGCCCTGGTTTCGGATCTCGGGACGGGGCGTTCCGATAAACTTAATCTAGCGCCAAGACATGAGGGACAAATTCGTGGCTTCAAGTCGCATTTTTCCTACGATGGGACAACTATTCCAGCCCAGGAATACGAAAATCTCGCCGATGATCTACAAGCGAAGGGGCTTGCAAAGCCCGCCCCGTCATTCGGTGTTGGAACCTTGGAGTCTGGCCCCGCTTCGCTTTCTTGCGTCCCGGCCTCAGTGGTTTGTGCTCAGCTGAAGAAATTATTTAATTTGTGATTATCGTTACAGAAAGCTGCTCGTAACGCCATAGTTATGGATAACATCATATTTTCCACGTGGAACATGCGAGAAATAACGGAAATATATATAGAGAGCGAAATATTCCCAACAAATTCGTCAAGTCGTTAAGGAAATCAAAAGAGATGGGGAATAAATAATATAGCACGAAGGGTCAAGAAAACGGCTTGGAAATCGATGTCGAGAATATGTAGAACTTCAAAAGATTTCCAGATCTTCAAACTCTACTACCAGCGAGTTCGATGAAGGGCTGTTGTCATGGATAAATTGTCCACCATTTCTCGCCGCCCACATGGTACTCGATATGGAGATATTGGCTGGCCGACAGGCATAGACACCAACATGCACACTCTTGTCCTCTACTCCCCAGAAAAACCATGTCACCTCGCGCAGTTTTCGCCAGGACTGGGCAGCCGAACCCGGGCTTTGACTAGATTGTTGTTCCGTCGAAAACGAAGACGGCGGAATCTGATACCACACCCAGAGAGAATGTCCGATGCGTTCCAGTTTAATCCGCAACGATGTTATGCTCGTTGGTTGGTTGGCTGGTGCTAGGGGGGAGAGACACCAGTCTGCTCCGTCTGAAGTGGCGCTGACAGATGATGCATTGACAGTGCCAGCGGAGAACTCAAGGCCGGCTTTCACCCATTTGCCTTGCCCTAGGTTAAAGGCTGGGTATGGTGGGGGTTGGAACGGTTGTTGTTGCTGGCTGTCCCCAGCTTCGTTAGAGTCATCGTTATCTAAGTTAATAATCGTGGTTGGTATAGATTCATTGACGTTGTTGGATCTGACCATGAAGAGGGTTGGTTAGCTGCTAATTACATGCACCTTAAGGATCAAAGTTGTGACTTACTGGGTCGCTAATCGCGGCCCTGGTGGAGGACCTGAAAAGATAACCAGGCCACCCTGGTCCCATTCCATCTCCCAGTCCGCCGTGACTGTTACCTCGGCAAGAACAAACGGCCGCCGGAGGGAGGTGTATAGTATCGGGGCTGTCGAGGTTTCACGGTCTGGCGGCTTACGCCAAAGATCTGTATCCGGACGGGCCGCAAGGGAGAAATACTCCATGCTCTCTGGTAATGTATATCTTGATGGCACATTAAGTGCGGTGAAGGTCGACGGATTTGGAGGCATGATTGCCGTTGACAGGAAAAAGTTGACCCCGTAGGGTTGGAGGCCGCGGTTCTCTCGGGTCTTAAAGCCGCACCTGGGTTGACTTTTTGTTGGATTTTGAAGACAAAGAAGATTTTTGGCTTGCGCTTAAGCAACGTTGCCCTTTTCGGTCTATACCCGCTCCCAAAATCACACAGCAGTCAGGAATAAAACTCTGGAATATAGCTCCCTTGGCTTGATATAATACCGCCTTGCACTCGACGGAGGAATTCAGCTATGGTGCAGGGCTGAAGGACAATATGATCCAGTAGTATGCTGCGCGCGTATATTCCTGGCTATTTTAAGCACACGAGTTCCTGAGGCGAAGCAACCGGGTAAGGGGGGACCGATAACTTTCGCTTGAACAGGAACTGCTCTCAGCCCTTGGTCGCGTGATGAGAAGAGGAAAAGTTTGGCGAGAATGAGTTGGCGATAAGAAATAAGGCCCGGTATGGTATGGCAAGGTCTTTATGGCTGAGAGGACCGTACACCTTATAATGAATGAAAAAAAAGTTGTTAAGTAAGGCCCAAGAGCCAGCAGAAGACTAGGAGTTAATAGCCGTCATGTTCTCTCATAAAGGAGATAAAAAGAAATTAAGCTAGCGGAACGAAGGTTTGTCAGTCTTAATACCCATGCACGATGGAGGGAGAGCTATTAGCCACCGATGGCGGATTTGTTGCCCCGACCCAAAAGCGGGTGCTGTGGCTAAAGACGTTTTGCACACCCCCGATGAATATAGTAGATCAAACAAGGACCCACATAACTAGAAGGCGGCTTTAGTATGCGAGCTCCGTGTATGCATGCAGAGTAAAGCAATTAAGTTGAAATTTTGCCCAAAGGGTATAACTGTACTTTGCTGTTAGCCTCCCACTCGGAAGAAAAACAACTAAGGAATGGCACAACTGCTGAAGGGTGATAGGTAGATCTCAATTATGCAGCAAGTGGGTTATGCCGACTTGAAGCTGTGAACGGCCGGTGGGAGCAATGCGTAGGTCATAGAGTACCCGATATCATCAAAGAGCTAGGAGAAACCACGGCTTCCTTCCCCAGATGGGCGAGCAGGTGAAGAGTACCCCGTACTAGTGTAGTATGCGCGGAGGAGAAGAGGAAGTCGGAAGGGCTGTAAATGATAGCCATCCATGATTCCAGGCATATCCCGGGTCTTATAGCGTAGCGTCAACTTGTACCCAAAAATTTGCTACATCCAGCCGGGGTTCTAGGTTTGAGGGTAAGTGCTACGATGGGCCGTCAAAGCACGAATTGGAGCCATGACATTCATCATTTTGATCAATCAGGGTTAGTTCTGGAAATGTTCCCATTTCCCGTTTTTAAAATCAACCTTTGTGATTCGCGGATGGTAAGCTAATTGTTGCCAGGGCGGGAGCGGTGCTACATGCTGTCAGTGTTCAGCAGCGCCGCTTCCAAATCGTACCGCAAAAATGGATTGCATGCTGACTGGCGGACACAAAGCCACCAATTACGGGCCGACTTTTGACGAGATAGGGCAGATATTTCGACTGATTCTCAAGAAGGAAGACGAAGGACCCCGGCAGGATCAGCACATGACCAGAACCGCTACATGCTCGTTAATGCATGTAGGATAAGGCGCTGGAGCTTTGTGCGTGTGGAGGATCAAGCCCGAGATGGTTGTAACTAAGTGTCAAGGCTTGGCTCAGCTGGGATGCAAATCCAGTGCGCCACCAAACCGATCAGATCGCGAACCTTGAGAGACAGGCGACACTGTCGTATGTCACTAAATGCGCAGGCACTCTCAAGGCCTGGATTGTTGGATTTAAGGTTGGTTGACCGATGATACATGGCACGAAGCAGGTTGCCACCGCATAGATAATTTCGGATTGATCTGTGGACAGGGTTCCTAATTCTAATCCCACAGGAGCTGTTATTAAGCTGTTGACGCACATACGTATGCTCCCCACCTGGATGTGATGCATGAAGCTTACCAGACCTTTGGTAATATTGGGTGGCACGTGTAGGGGATCAGGCTGCAACGGCTCAGAATTAACCTCCATCCTCGGGTGTCAAAGCAGGGGAGCTAGCTTCTCCGTATAATACTCCCGAATAAACCGCAAGGAAAGGGTTGTATTACTGATCTTTACCCCTGAATGACCAAGTTGTCGATAATAATTCGTGAGTACTTGTTCATAAGTAGCGCCTTGTGTTCCTTCCGCCACATTGGCCAGACGTGGCGATTCTGGGTGTATATAATATCATGTTTACATGTTAGGGGCGTACTATGGCCACGGTGTGAGCCTGGTTTGAGGGGTTGGTTCTACCTCATAGGCAGCCCAATATCTGTGACGATGTTATTTTGTTGAAGCGGGAGCTTAGAGCCGATTCAGTGATGTATCAGATCAAATAGCCAAACAAACTGTTTGAAAAAGGCAGCTACAAACGTGGCCTAATTTTGCAGAATCGCGGCAAAGCCCGAATAGAGTTGCCTCCTGTCATTCATGCCACGCGAGTGTTTAGTTTTTTGGTTTCTTCCTCTTATTGGGACATTGGAAAGAGCGCCTCGTCGGAGTCGCCGTGAGTTTCATTTTTCAAGGCAACTCTATCCGCACGTCCAGGGTAACATGACGCTTTTCATGACACGTCAGGTTTATTGTAGTGCGACGGTCCAATGAATCACGGCGTTCGTTATCGCCACGGGGACCCGAGATGAAGTGAAAGCTATTCGTGTCTAGTTGCGATGCAGAATGGCTAAGGGGCTGAACCGTCTCTCACATGTGTGTGTATTGTTGTGGTATGTTGTAAGCCTAATGGACCAATATAGTATCATCTCATCCATGTCCACGGAGACACCACGACCCTGATCAGGCTAGCCCCGCAAACTGGGGCCCTGTACGGAGTTATAACTGTGACTCTGTACTCCATATATAGATGGCTGCATGGATTTCCTCGCCCCTGGCTGTTATACGTGACGAGGGTCAAGTGTGTAATTTGCAGACGAAAATGGCTTTACCTGGTATCCCTGCTTCAGGTGAGTGAAAGAAGATATTAGACAAATTATAACTGGGCGTTTAATATGGAAAATATTGAAATATACCGCGTGTCTGTTGCATAGAGCACGCAATCTGTAACCCGCAGCCGACAGGGATGACTTTGTCAAATGGAGATCCTGGTGTTGTTAGCAAGGGACGAAATAAGCAAAAGGTAAAAATACAGGTTATATCTTCAGAATTAGCTCGAGCTGGGGGTCTCGTCTCGGCCGTCCTACAGAATGACACACCTGCCACGGCCCGCTGCCGCTTGGGAAGCCTTAAGGCATAGCGGAAGCGGACCGGAACGGACACGGTTGCCACGGTCGCTGTCAAGTAGGGATAGGTATCATCATAATAGTCAATTTACTTCAAGCAGTGCCACTATGGCATGAGAGAAGGTCCCGTGGACGTCATCCTGCTCTTGCCAGCCACCTCGTCCCACAGAAGCTATCCCGGTTAAGATCAGGGACCGCTACCAAGAAGCGTACACGACTGATGCGGCCTCGCGGTCGTGATGGGTCCCTATGCAGAGTTGATGCGTCTTGATGCGGATTGACGGCGGATTGACGGAGCATCGATGCTTCATCGAGGGAGGTCGTCAGAAAAGTCTCTGCACGAGCCACAGCATCCCCGTCAGCCCTACAAGCACCAGCCACTCACGGGACGCGCGGTGGAGACGGCCTCAGCTGGCAGTGTGGCGCAGTCCATCGCGACAACGACGTCAACTCTCTCTGCGATTATCGTATTTGTTGGCACCGAGAAACTCCCGAGGGCCAGAGACTCGACGCCCGGGTTCTTCTCCCATATTCGACAATCTTCTCCTCTATTTGTCATTGCAGGCAGCGAAGCGAGGTCGATCCTTAGACCTGTGACTCTCCCGTCTCTTGTCTCTCGCAGGGGTATCCGACTCGCAAGGTGGGCACGAAAATGGTCTGCTCAAAGTGCCAGAAGAAGGTCGCGAAGACGGAGCTCGCCACGCCGGCGGTTAAGAGGAAGAGCGAGATGTACTACGGGTCTCATCTGGCTTCTTCCGGCGGCGGTGGTGGCACACGCAGTGGCGACAGCAAGAAATCACCAGCAACATTGGGGAATACCGGGATCTCAAAGGTATGTGTGCTATATGCTGTTTGCTTGATTCGATGGTTCCCCTTCAGTTACCTGTGACTCGACATATCTGGCCTGCATTCACATGTCGGCCCTAGAATATGCATGTCTCACAGCACGCTGCATGAGATAAACGGTTTTTCCGTCTGCAGGGCCGTGATGTCTATACATATACCTGTTTTGTTGTTATTTGTTTTGTATACTGGGCCTATAGGGAGGCTTAGCCGGCTCAAGTTTTCCTGCCCTGCACTATACTCATGACTCTTCAAACTCCATTTTCCTTGCTCTTACCGCGATCCCTGGCTAGAAGAAACTATGATTAACACCAGAATAGAACAAACTGCTCAGTAAGAAAGCTCAAAATCCATATGCTGCCTACTCAAGCTCTTGTGAGACATGCAGCACGAAAACCAGTCAGGGGTGGAAATATTGCCAGAAATGCAGTTATCGAAAGCATGGTATGTTATGGCTCTCTTCTGGCGTTGTCAGCTATACTAACGCATGGGTATGCAGTGTGCGCAATGTGTGGTAAGAGCTTAAATGCCGGCGCGGGTGCCGCGAACAGCCAGCCCGTTGTTCAGGGCCAAAAATATAACGCAAAATAGTCTCGATACCCGGTATTATTAAGCGCATTTACCCGGCGGATCCCCAGGGGCGGGGGAAGGGCGTTTGTGGAGTAATTGAATAATTATGTGATGCATAAAAAATGTATTTAACAGTCGGGGGCCATTGTATACTGTATAGAATAAACAAAAAACATTGACAAATATAAGAAAGTCTTTTACATGTCTAAAAGTACATCAGGTTTAAAGAAGGCGAGCAGGTTTCCATGCATATGATAATCCAACTCCCTTCTTTATCCTGCAAATGCTCACACGAGATGGAGTATAATTGTATCCGTGCGGAATATGCAACACGGGAAGCTGATGGAAGAGATTCCATACTATCCAGCTCAACCGTCTACCTCTCCGACAGCGCATTTTGAACAGCGCTCCAATATGGCAGCATCACGTGTTTCTGAACTTCCTCCTTTGAGAGCCACTTGAAATCGACGACGTCTTGCATATTCTTGGTGACATCAGCCTGGCCAGCTAGGATCCGGCCCTTGAGGAAGAAGGTCTTCTCGCCTTTAAGTTCAGCGCCCGTCGCTGTGTCGATTATGGGCTTGGTGAACCTCTGAACATAATGGCTGACTGGATGGTAGCCCACCGTCCAGACGTTCATGTTTGGTCCCACGGATTGCACCAAACTGCGTTCGGCTCCCTGTTGACATAATCGTTAGCCTTTAGAACTTCCACTGTATATCAATAATGGTGCATATCGGGAGACTTACTGCTCGAACGTTCTCCTTGACATCCAATGTCACGCTTGGGAACTTCCAGTAACCCTGCTTTACCTTCACTAGCAAATACAACGTACGCTGCATTGCTCGATCCAAGCTCTTCTCGTCGCCAGTCGTGTCTGCCTCGGAAACTCTGGGAAGAGGCTTTGGGATCTCCTCATGCCTAGCCTCCCCTTCATACTCTGAAGCCGAGAAACCTTCGGCATCACGAACAAGGGCATCTACCTGGTTCTGGGGTTCGGACTCGGTGGCGCCAACAATTAACTCGTCATTCCAAGCAGTTTCCGCATAAGCATTGTATTTTCCTATATCTCTTGCGGGTGTCTGTCGATCCTTGAATTTGCGTTTCCATTCTTCATTTACCGGGGTACCGCGCTTGAAATAGAAGTATCGTGTAAAGGGAAGAGCGAGACGTTCGTTCAATCGACGCTGGTAGAAGTAGAATGACTTTTCGAAGGGGGTGAGATCACGAGTGATACGGGGTGCGCGCGAGAGAATGATGCCTGCTTTGATTTTATAGGGAAAAATTTGACTAGCTTCGACAGCTTCGGTTGGCGGTATGGCGCTGGCCGTCGAGGTTATTTCTGAAGACGTAGCTGCCGTAGCAAATCCTCGACGACTTAGAGTATCCTGGCAGCTCCTACAAACCGCCGAATCGAACCTTGAATGTGATCCTGGTGAATGAAAAAAGACTGTTAGGCCATCGATCGAGCTTGGAGTCCCAAATGAGACTCTATGACGGGACAAACATACTGAGAAGCGTGGCTATCTGCCTAGTTCCGTTATTGCCTGCCGCCATCTCCCCTTCCTGTAGCGATGCAGCAACTCAATGCCGTCTGTTTTCCTTGATAAACACAACTTTGCTGCTGCCCTTCTTTTCTTGCTCGAGATCGAAAAATCGTTGAAGCCCTTTTGCCCCTTGGCGCGCTAATATCACGTGACAGCTCGTCTCTTTTTCCTCCAAACAAAAATTCCATTTTCGTTTCTTCCTCTTCTTCTTTTTCTTTTCTTCTTCAATCTCATGGCACTTCCTTATCATCAATTGCTTACATGTCCTCATAAGTATTTGACCATTATAATAGTGCCTAGAAGAACTGATCCTAGTTGCAGTCTTTTTTCGCTAGCGGTACCTTCTTTTTCAAGGTGTACGGTTAGATAGACCCTGCAAACAGACCGCATAACAGCAGCATCTTTGATGAAACTCGGACGAGTGAGAGGATGAGCTGTCTTTGTATTATTGATGGGGCGTGTATTCCAGACGTAGCTGGTGGAATAGTAGTACATCGCATGCGCGGCGTTGAGACCCGTAGATGCAGCTGCTCTCGTAGCCGGATATTACGCAGTTTGCCGCATCCCCTCGAAGCAGGTCTTTAAATATCATATAGCTATACCAGCCAATCGTTCATGCATTCTCTATGCTATATTGCTGCTATCGTTGGCCGTGGACTGTGATGCAATTTGAGATGTTCTTGAGACGAGACACCATGCAACAACACGATCCTTCAACCCCCATCCATCAGAGAAAGTCTACCTCGAGTCGCATTTAAATATATAGGCCCATTCTTCTTATTTTCTGCCTCCTCGGAACGGCCAAATTTCGGGAAGAATCAGTGTGACCAGTAGAAATCATGGCTGGTGCAAACCTATCCCTAAGCAATCATTCCAGGTCTCGAGGATGGAGGAGATATCCAGGGCGCTCCTCGACGCCCAAATCAGGTGCGAGAACAGACGGAAACAGCGAGATGATACTGGAGACTGATTCTCCCTGAACTGCCTGCAGATTGCTCGCATTCTCCCTCTCACATTCCCACTGTCTAGTGTGGATATCAGGGAGGAGCATACCGGGAATTACCATCACATATCACTACTACAACAGCAACAAACGAACTCATATAGTTAAGTAAATCCACTTCACTTAAAGGCCAGTAACAGTCTGATAGAGCGGTGATCGCCTTTATGTCCCACGTTTATATATCTTTGCTATTACTATAACCTGTCCTGTTCTGACCAGTTGCCCTAGGTGCTCTTTTCACGCATATTTTAAATGCAAATATCTCTGTTAACCCTATCAACTGTTATTATCTTTATTGGAAAATCACAAGAGATGACTGGAGAGTCCGCCCCTTCTCCAAAGAAAGGTATCCTCCCAGTTCTCAGTACAATTTTCCATGGAATCTTCCATCACTGGCTCCTCATTGGCATGGGAATTGCATGTGTCCTTGCCTACTACTTTCCCGGCATTGCCAAAGTACAGGGTACTATACGAGCAGAATATTCGATCCTATACGGAGCAGTGGCCATGGTCTTTCTGATTAGTGGACTGAGCATCCCACGACAAAAGCTTGGAAAACATTTGCTTAACTGGCGTCTTCATCTACTGGTCCAGGCCATCTCTTACCTAGTTGTGCCGGCAATTATGACAGGCTTGATACGTTTGATCTATGCCAGTGACACAAATAATCGGATTAACCTTGCCGTGCTGGCTGGATATATCTTCGTTGGCTGCCTCCCAACGACAATATCGTCGAATGTGGTTATGACAAGAGCCGCTGGTGGTGACGACGCAGCGGCCTTGGTGGAAGTTCTGATAGCAAATATAATGGGCCCTTTTGTTACTCCTGGATGGAGTGTTGCTCTGCTCCCACAATCGACGGATTTTGAACCCTGGAGACATTCTGGCGCAGACTTATCAGTTATGTACCTCACCGTTTTCAGGGCACTTGGATTGACTGTCCTAGCTCCGTTGGTCGTTGGCCAGCTCATCCGTTGGGCATTCCCTGAAAAAACGGCGAGTATCTTCCAAAAATATCATCTTGCAAAACTATCATCCTTTTGTTTGATATTGCTTGTATGGTGAGTTTAGGCCCCCTTCTCAATTTCCAGTTGCGTCTGCTAACACCGATGTCTCCTTTGTTAGGACGAGTTTTTCTACATGCTTTGGTACGCATGGCCTCGAGTCCCTTACACCAGAGACAATTATCCTCACCGTATTCTTCAATGTTGGGCTCTACGTTTTCCTAACGGGAATATGCTTTCTCCTTGCATACCCGCCAAAATTCCTCGCCGAACGGCCAGTCCTTCGACATATTTTCCGTCGGCTCCCACCTGGAGAAGTTATTGCTATTTGCTTCTGCGGTGCTGCAAAAACAAGTGGTCTCGGAATCCCCCTTCTATACGCCATGTACGAAACGGAGAGCCTATTTCAAAACGCGCAAACATCTGTTCCCGTTATTTTATATACCGCGGAACAAATCTTTTGTGCCAGCTTTATGGTTTCATTGTTTCGACGATGGGGTGCTAAGGTAACCAGAGTGAAGGCAGACGAAGAACGTCCAAGTCCAGACCCTCCAAGCACCCCATGCCCCCCAAGCACTCTAAATTCTCCAAGCACCCCGGTTACTCCAGGCGGAGTCAATGACCTTGAAAGTAAGAGGATAGACTGGAATAAAAAATATCTTGGTGGTCAGTTCAGGCCCGTCCCACACGATATGCTAGAGGAGAAGTGATTGCACTGGAGATTTTCGACGTATTGGTATTCTCATCGAGCGTTTAGACTTAGAAGATAGATATGTGAGTTAATTGGCTTAAGTAATGATACTCACTCTGCTTTTTATTTAGGTAAATATTTAGATAGTGAATCCTTGATTGTATCGGTATATATGTTCAGTATTCCCAGCTCAGATCTGTAACTTTAACAAGGACATAATCCGCTACCACCATGTTTAAACAATCCCTCGACTCCAAAAAGAATTTATATAATGTAATAAACAGACAAATGAACTTAAACGTGGCTGTATAGCCTGATCTTAAATATAGCTGACCTTAACGCCCATACCAATGGTACCTCTGACCTTCTGCCAGCCAGCGCCGGTGACTTGGCGAATGCGATTGCGAACATCTGACCTCCCTAGGGCCATGAGGACGCCTAAAACGACAAGGAGAGATTTTAAATAAGATAGTGGGTTTGAGGCTAGCGATCGAGCCAGGTTCTTCATAAAGGTGACCAGTAGATTCGCCAACACTCGCATTCGTGCAAGTAGAAGAGGTTGGGATTTCCCTGTTGTACTCTTCTTCGTTTGCTTAGCTGATGATGGCTCCGAGGATGTTGACTTCTTCAGTGCCGGCTTAACAACTCGAGTTTTCATAGCGGAGTTTGGATTCGACTTCTCAATTCCGTAGTCAACTTCACTACTTGATCTTTTATGGTTGGACGTTGACTTTCCTCCAGACGACGAGGAGGACTCCTGCTGACGTTTCTGCTTTTGTTCTCGCTCTTGTTTCTCCCTTTCTTCCTCAGCTATTAGCCTTTCCTCGTCTTCTCTTTGCTTTCGCTGTCGTTCTAGCTCTTCTTCTTTCTCTTGCTGAATTTCGGCCGCCCGTTGAGCTCCTCTTTCCTTTTCTTCCTGTAGATTATCCAGCGTCTGAATGAAAGCTTCCTTCCTATCATCATCTAAGGCTTCGCTAAGATTGATAAATTCTCTAGCGTATTCCCATTCGTCGTTTCGGGGGAGAACATGTAAGGTGAATATTTCTAAGAGCTTGACTCGTACAGCCAGATCTTTTGGTGTGTCCGTTCCGGCCGCAGAGGTCATCCGTTGCTTTCGTTTTCCGGATGAGAGATGTTGTAGATGCGCGGCGACATCTAAATCAGGCTGGCCGTAGGAAGACAGGTACGTTTCAAGCCGTTCTTGATTCAATTTCTGCGACGCAGAATGGTTCAGGAGCAAAGTGGCCCTAGAAACATGGTAATTAGCAAATTAACGGAACATTTGGCATATTTTCCTGGCAAAACGACATTGACATACAAGTTATAAACGATATCTGCATCCACAGATCCTTCCCTGCCGCGGTAGCCCATGCTCACCACCGTCTCCCAAACCTCGCCTTCTCTGACTTTGGTTGCAATAGCTTTCCATTCCTTCTGACCAAATTGGGCCCTCCCTTCTTCGGGTCCAAGGTCAACAACGGCGCTGAGTATTGTAATATAAAGGTTCCATATCTTGATCTTTAGATTACTGGAGGCCGTTGTAATAGGTGCGAGCTGTGGCGGCGTTGGAGAATCACCATCTCCATTCTCTTGTTCGGTTTCCTGGCTGGGAGACGGTGTGATAATAGGCTCGAGCAGCGAAAGCGATTCTTGGAGTCTGCGTGTGAGGAACAGCTGGGATGCTTGTTTGTAGACCTGTGATATTTGTTTGCTGGACATAGGTACGAGTGATGACGTCGAGGACGAGAGATAGGATTGCGACATCTGAGCTTCGTCTGCCATGATGGAGCTGCGATTTTAACGGCCGAGGATTGAGAATAAGACAGTCCGTCCCTAATTGCTGCGAGATGGTAAATTGCGACAGAGCTGGAGCGATGCTCAGGAGCTTTTACGATGGATCGCAGGGTAAGCTTGTCGCCCGATGCTTCTAACTATATCCTCGGCTCGTTTTCGACCAGCGGCAGGATCACGAGACCAACGCCCAAGAACCTCCGTCGGGCTCATTGTTTGCAAAGTCGATATACGGGATGAATATACAACAGTTTGTTCTCCCGTTCATCTCTGGAGGAAGGTCTCAGGACATTTCAAGATGTTTGCCCTTTATCTGTTGCAAGACAACGCCAGGACTGCTTCTTTATCGCATAGTGAACAATTGTAGCTGTTGCCCTGAGCCGGCAAGTAGGAGTTGCTTCTTTTCTTACGGGTTTCCTTCATAAGAGAAAGCAGGACGGGACATAATCTCACGTCCTTTCTTTGCCTCTATCTTTTATGTATAACACCTTTCCCTATATGAATGAGAGTACCGAATATCTTTTTAACGCTACATTTACAACCTTTCCCTGCTACTCGGTCCTGCGGTAGAAAGCGAGCTGGCATGGAGGTCACAAAGCACAGTTTCACACGGTTGCTGCCTCGCATGCTTCAGGATATAGGAGATTGTTCCTTTGTTGCCCTAGATTTTGAATTCTCAGGGATATTCAACCAGAAGTTACGTCCGGCTGCATCTTATACGGATGGCGATCTCAGCTTACAGAAGCGGTATGAAGAAGTGAAGCAAGCTGCAGAGGAGTATCAAATCCTCCAGGTTGGGATCACTCTCGTGATTGAAGACAGTGAGAACGGTTGGAGACATCTTTTCTAGTTGCATCCAGTGCCGTGGATGCAATTTTATTTACTACGTTGCGTGGGCTAAGTCGAGATAGGAACTTATTCGTTGCGGCCATACAATATCCCTCTCAGCCCAATTCTGGACCCTAGGTTGGACATAGAACGGAAATGGTCATTTCAGAGTAGTGGTTAGTCCTAGTCTCCCCCTACGGTTTTGATATAAGTTTCGCTGAAACATCTTAGCGGTGGCATTCCTGATGAGCCATGGCTTTAGGATGGAGTCTGTTTTTACAGAGGGAGTTCCGTATATCTCTCAGAAAGAGGAACAAGCTGTGAAAGATCGAGTACGCCAGGGTAACTCCGGGGTATCTCTAATCAACCTGAACACACTGGGCGAAGACCAAGTAGAGTTCATCAGACAAGTCCGTCAAGATGTCAACGAGTGGATCGAGAAGGATAACCCAAAGGTAGGATATATATATATATATATATGCCAACGGCAAATTATCCTAGGCTAACGCACGACTACAACATTAGGACACTTATTTGAACATTCCAAAGCCCACTTGCTTGACCACTGCCAACAAACTGTCGATGGAGCTGGACAACTATCAAAAACGACTTGTCCACCAGATAATCAGAAGCGAGTACCCCGGCTATGTTAGCATGGGCAAAAAGTCTTTTGTTCAGATAATCCCATACGACAAGGAACGAGAGACTAAGGTCGCTGAAAAGAAACTCCTCCGGGCTCGCAGCAATATAGCCAATCAGAAAGGGTTTAGCTGGGTGATTGAAGCTTTGACCCGTGGAGAGCTGTCCGGGCTTGATCTGAGGTTCTTCTGGAGACCCGATGGAATGTTCACAGCGGCTGAGGGGAGTAAACTTACAAAGCAGAGTGAGATCATCAGGGAGAAGCTAAAATCTGGACAGCCGGTTTTGGTAGGACATAATCTGTTCACGGACCTTGTCAATTTCTACAAGTGTTTCATTGGTGACCTGCCTGAACGTGTGGCTGATTTCCAGCGGGCGATTCACGAATTGTTCCCTCTGATCGTCGATACGAAGTACATGGCCACGCATGGGGGCCTGTTACGAGATGGATTTTCGGCGTTGTCGACGCTGAATGAAACCCTGGGGTCAAGGGAGGTCCCTAAATCTGGTACATCCCACCCCTTCTCTGAAACCATCTCGATCGGAATGCGCTAACATGTATCCAGCAATTGATCCCGATCATTCGGGATACTCTGCCAGCGCCCCTATGCATGAAGCGGGGTACGACAGCCTTATGACTGCTCAAATTTTCTTGAAGCTAGCGGTGCAGTTGTATGAAACGAGTAGCTCACGAAAGGCACTCATACAACAGACCAATGGGGCCGCTGCCGGGATTGAGCTCATGGATCTATCAACCAAGCCCGATGAACCCCGTAAGCATGATGATGCGAAGTCGACACAGGATAAGTTCGTGTATGGCCATGCAACGAGGTTCGATCTGCTTTTGGATATGGAGGCGGAAGACAATATCTCCGCGGGCTCTGCAGAGGAGGATAGCCCTGTGGACCAGAAAATAATTGAAGGCAAGCTCCTTCCCCGATTTGACGACGAGTTTTGGACAGAGTATGCGAACAAGCTCAGGGTATTTGGAACAGCGGAGGAAGTATGTGACCTTAGCGCTCACGCAGCATCAGCTCTAGAACAAAAAATTATTAATTAATGAACACGGAGAACTCTTGGGCCAAAATGCATCCTGTCGTGTCCTTAGTTGCCTATTATGCCGAGAATACCCTTTTTCCGCAACTGGCTGATTTTATTTGTTTCTGGGATGCGCGCTTACATTGGCTGTATTGTATCTTACAGTAGCTCAAATGTTGCGTTAAATTGTTTTTTTCTCCCCTCGCGTTCGCATCGATGTTTGAACCTATCGCTTATTTCCAAAGCGTGCAATTGGGGTGTCTCGCAGCGCACTTCACACGCGAAGCCGGCTTCATAATAAAATGAGCTCTTAGCTGATTCCGAGAGGGAACGACTTTCGACCAGCGTTGTTTAGGCCTGTTGCAGTGTCGGCTTTGCTGGCACCAAGCTGTCCCGACCGATCCCTGCATGTCATCGTATCGTTAATCCCTTGCAGATCACGACCATCGGGCTAACCGGCCGAAAGACGATCGTCGCCGAATCACCACCGACGCAAGAGGTTCAGGCCATGAAGTCACCGAATATACTCCGTCTGCCTGCGTTTTATTGAAGGCTGTTCTTGTTAGCAGTTACATAATTTCGAAGCTGAAACCTGTGCGATCATCTTTAACGACGTGCTCCACGGTCCGTGGTTTGGAGCTGGCCGTGTTCGCCGCTTGCCAGTCCGTGTTCCAGGGTAGACACTGCTTATACGGAGCTCCAGTAAACAACAGCTCAGGGTATATAAACTGAGCAGCAGCGATGCGAAGTTATGTGGAAGGGTAAAGCCGGCCGCTTACATAACCCTGCGACTTCCGGTTTGTTCCTTGGCTTGGCGCCCGGAGGAAGTTTTCCCGGCGGCCAGCAAGGGCGAACCTCGGCTGTTTTTCTTCTCTGGTAGCGGAGGCAAGTTCTCCGGCGCCGGCACTTTCTGTTCGCTGAGCCCCTCGACGCCCAAGAAAAGAGCCGGCATGTGAGTATCAGATGCGCTGGTGGTGGTTGCGTGCTGCGTTTGATATCCTGCTTGTTGGTTGCGTGAAGTGGCCATCTCTGGCTTGAGCCTCGGAGGTTCTTTGGAACAGCTGGCTGCTCTGAGCTGTTCTTGTTCTGGGGGAGATATCATGCGCCAAATAGCCGGTGCTTGCCCGGCACTGCACTATACGATGCGCAGCCAGACGCCAGGGCAGCCATAGTAAGGGAGAGAAGCTCGAATGGCGCTCTCGAACTGGCTGCAGCCCGGCCTGCATTTATAATCGTTAATTTCTTCAGTCTGCCCCCCTCCACCCCCCTGCTGTGTGCTTCTGTACATGTATTGTAAACAGCGGTTATGCGGGGAGCTTTCCGCCCATCCAGTTCATGCCCCAAGCTCCGCTCCACTCGCTGCACACCGGCCAGTAGGAAAATAATATCCCAGTCCTGCGCAACTGCTCTTATGTTATCGTTTCGTCTCATATGTAAACTCTCTTTTTGGCCTTCGCAATTGCGCAACCCGTGACTCTTCGTGGGGTCCCTGTCGTTCCTAACACCGGGCCAACAGTCCCGCGTGAGATCCTCGGCACTCGCTCGCGAGGGTCCTTTTTCTACTCCGTCCTGTCCCTTCAGTTCATCATCTTGACTCATTCTCTTCTCGCGGGCTTCTCATACACTCAATTGCTCCGGTTTGCTGTCCTGGTACGAGCAAGACACCGTCACACCCCTCCGCAATGGCTTCGAAAAACGGAAATGACAAACGGCAGCAGCCTGCCACCGCGGCGGTTAACCTGATCGGTGAGCATAACTGGAATTCAACTTGGCTGCGGAACAAGTAATCCGGCTAACGTTTTTGTTTATAGCTGGTGGTGGTGCTGGAATGATGGAAGCTCTCGTGTGCCATCCCCTTGGTATGTCCTAAGGAGTTACCCTGAACCAGTCAAGCATGAATATTTTTTTTTTTTTGCTAACGGCAGTGTGTAGATACTATCAAAGTCCGAATGCAGCTTTCGAAGCGAGCACGAGCTCCGGGTGTGAGTCAAATTGAATTGGACAGTAGTCTGGCTGTGGGAACGACTAGATGCTAACGCATCGTGCAGGTTAAAGCTCGTGGCTTCATTGCGACTGGGCAGGAGATTGTGCGACGAGAAACCGCCCTTGGACTGTACAAGGGCCTGGGAGCCGTTCTTAGTGGAATCATACCAAAGATGGCCATCCGATTCACATCTTATGGTTATTATAAGCAATACCTAACGAATCCCGAGACGGGCAAACTCTCAAGTTCCGCCAATATGCTTGGTATGTCGTGGTTGAAATTTCCCCAGGCTTTTTGCTGGTAGACTTTGGGATCTCCTGACTGACATGTTTGGCGATTTAGCTGGTCTTGCTGCTGGTGTAACCGAAGCTGTGGCTGTCGTCACACCCATGGAGGTTATCAAGATCCGTCTGCAGGCCCAGAGCCACAGTTTGGCAGACCCGCTAGATAAGCCGAAATACCGAAGCGCACCACACGCCCTATTCACCGTGATAAGAGAGGAAGGATTCGGCGCCATATACCGTGGTGTCTCGCTGACCGCGCTCCGTCAAGGAACCAACCAAGCTGCCAATTTCACTGCGTATTCCGAGCTCAAGAAGCTCCTGAAAGACTGGCAGCCACAGTACAACGAACTACCCTCCTACCAAACCATGTGCATCGGTCTGATTTCCGGTGCCATGGGTCCATTCTCCAACGCTCCGATCGATACCATCAAGACCAGGCTACAGAAGACACCCGGAGAGCCTGGCCAGACCGCCATATCCCGCATCACTGCCATTTCGAAGGAAATGTTCAAGCAGGAGGGTGCCAGAGCATTCTATAAGGGTATCACGCCTCGAGTAATGAGAGTCGCACCCGGACAGGCTGTCACCTTCACCGTGTACGAGTTCCTGAAGGAGAAGCTGGAGAGAAGCAACTGGTCCATCATGGGCGGAAAATATGAAGAATAAACGCCTCCGTGCCGGTCAACATTACCTTCTGCCTTGTCTAGGGAACGAATTCATCGCCGATACCCGAGTTCCTAATCCGATATAACGCGCTTTGTGATTTCCATCTGTTTCCTCGAAGCGACCGAACCTGGCTTTATTCCATTTCATATGTCCGGCTATTGATTTGTTTTTATCTCTGCGACCGTTTAGAGGCCAGTGTATGCGTATTTTCTTTTCATACTTTGTATCTGCTGCTTGATGCTTTGCAGGTGGACGAGATCAGTCCTGATGATGGACGACTTGGCCATGTTGAGACACAGACGAGTAGTATATAGATTCCTGGGTCTGGATTTTTGGTGCATTAAAGGCGGCCTTGCAAAAAGGTTGAATATAGATCTGTGATATTAACTGATGTTCTCGCGCTTCGTCTTCTTATTTTGGCTGTTGTGGCTGTTGATTGATGGCCGTAGTAAGATGGCTGTAGATGGCTGGAGAGTGTGGGGGTTTTGGCTCGTAGCTGGGATCCACCACCACATCTCGACGTCAGCCTGTATACATAACATCATACTCCCACTCTGCATCTTTGGATCTCAACACAAGACAGAGACGATATCAAAAATGCAGTCTGGAATAACCGGTAAGCCGCATCCTCTAGATATCTAGCTCGAGCTAATTCTTTATAGTTACCGCGGAGCTTCAGAATGCCTTCGCCAGCTTCCTCTCCGACCCCTCCATCTTTTGCCTACCCATAGCAATCACCAACGAGCAGCTGGTTGCTCTAGAAACTATCCCCTTCTCGTCCGCGACGGGTAGTAGCAATGACGGTAACAGCCAGTTCTACGCCTCTCTCCCTTCGCTCTCAGGCCTCCTCCAGCCAAAGACACCAATCTACCTACTTCTCCGGCGCTCATCCGAAAACGCCGCCGTGGGGTTAATTGCACTCACATATGTTCCGTCAAACAGCCCTGTGCGCTCCAAGACTCTCTTCGCAAGTACTCGGACTACACTTGTGCGAGAACTAGGGTCAGAGAAGTTCTCGGATAACATTTTCGCTACAGATGTCGAGGAGGTGCTTGATGAAGAGGAATGGAGAGAGAGAGAGCTGGATATGAATGCGAAGAGCGGCGCAGGTGGAACAATCGGAGATAGTAGGTTGGATGAGCTTATGGGAGAACAGGAAAGAGAGTTGAATGCTGTTAGAAGAGGTGAGAATGACGCGAGGGACACGTGGAAGAGGAGGATGGATATTGGCATTGGTGGAACTGTTGGCAATAATGGACAGGGTCAGTCATCTGGATCAGGAGCTTCAGACAGCAGCGTTCTTTTTAAGACCGGGGAAGGGGTCGAAGACGCTTTACAAAGCCTAGGACAAAATGGGGCTGCTGTTCTTTTGGTAAGTTTATTTCCTATACGTTTTTTTGAGGTCTCAAAAATGGACTTCGGATCTCATTAGATTGGCTCTAAAAAATTATGGCAGACCATCGACGTGCAGACGGAGACACTGAATCTGGTCGGTACAGAGTCGAATGTTGCCCCGGATTCTCTATCAGGCTTCATCCCAGGATCCAACCCACAGTACACGTTCTACCGTCACCCAGACTCCTCTGAATTAATCTTCATTTATACCTGTCCATCCGGCTCCTCCATCAAACAGCGTATGCTCCATGCTAGTAGCCGCGCAGGAATGTTGATGTGGGCCGCTAGAAATGGCGTATCTGTAAATCACAAGGTGCGTCCATTTCCTCTTTTATAAATCTATTTGCAACGAGGAGATGCGCATGGCAAATGGGAACGAGAAAATTAGGAATTTGCTGACGCCGGACGTACGGATATAATACAGATCGAGGCATCCGAGGCCGATGAAATCACCGCCGATAGACTGAAAGACGAGATAAGTCCGCCTGTCGAGGAGGTCAAGAAAGCGTTCGCGAGACCGAAGAGACCGGGTAAGAGGTAGATATGTATTTTTTCTTAAGAAACCAAAGAACCAGACACAAATTACTGGCTGCTCCGCGGATGGGTTGGTTTAGAAGATGATAGATATCCGTCCAAAATGAGATAGATACTTTAGCATCGGGAGTTTCGAGGATTCTAACGGTCATATTTCGTATCGTCGTAGGGGCGTGTTTGGATTATTGAATGCTCCGCCATAGTGACTCGATATTGCCAGCCTTAACAGTGCATGGAAGCCATATAACAGGTCATGCAGGACGTCTTTATCCCCCGTATCACGCTCCCGCGCCTGCACCTGCGCCAGCACCAGCACCCGTTACACGATGCTGTTTACGCTGGAAGAACAAATCCGTCCTCGAACTACCCAAATTGATAATCTTCGGGCATCCATCCCTATCTTTCTCTAGCCTCGTACACTCGAAGCAGTAAAATGCATCACTGATCCCCTCTCCACCGCATACTATGCATTTATTTTGGAAATTTCCGAAGGAGCATTCATCGCACACGCGTACTAAGGTGGTAGGACGAACGTATGAATCGCATACGGGACATTTGCCGTCACATTTATCGCAGAGGCGGCCGATAGCAATGCCTGTTTGTTTCCTGCACATAACGAGATCGGGGTGATGGCGCGACATGATGAGGTGTTTCGCGTTGAGAAAGCGTGGGTTTCGAGGATTCAAGGGTCTCAAGGGTATTCTGTTAATATCTCCTGCCTCCCGTACCCCTTGGACACACTGTTATTATCGAGCTCGACGAAATCGCTCGTAGAATTCATAAAATATGCCAAAAAATAAATATGGCTTCCTGGTGGATTTGAAATCCATATCACGTGTGTAGCTTACATCAGCATAATATCTAAGTCACATGACCTTTTCTCGAATTAACATTAATTACAACCATGAATGGTGGCTGCTTTGTCTAAAGTGGTCCCACAGACATGAACTTGCAGTCAATGTTAATGGAATATAGAAAGCTAACTGAGGCAAAACTATGAGAAATATTCAAAACTATAAAAAAGACAAATGTATATTAAGCAAAAACGACAAAGCCTAGGATGAGACAGAAATACCAAAGCAAAGCAAAGCATGGAAAAAACAAGACAAAACAACACAACTAAAACAGCCAACTGGCCAGCAGTTCTAGCTATCTCTAACATTATCCCCCTTTTTCCCAAAATGTGACAAGCAGACCAACTTCTCAACAAACTTAGCCCTAACAATTTTGCAAACAAATACCTGCTAACTATAGCACCAAAGCGATAGATAGCATCTCAGTTAACGACGGCGCCACCTAGGCACAGGGTCATCGGGCAATAAATGCCTCGTGGCTCTACCGTCCGCGGGGTAGCGTTCCTGTTGGAGTGAACATCATTAGCCATATAATACTTTGATTCAGCTCATTTTGAAACACTGTCAACAAACCTGTATCGCACCCCTGGCGTGGTCCCTTTCTGCTACCGCGTAATGCCCGGCCGACGTGGCGGCCATTTCTTGTTGCCGTCGATGTCCCATATAGTTATCCCGGGTTACACGACCGATATGGTCCCTGTTGAACTCTTTCCGGGCCTCCGAATGCCTATTCTTGAGTCAGAGGATGATTCTCCGGGACAGCAGGAGGGGTACTTACGCGGCAGCGGTTTCCTTTGCGCTAGTCGCATATGGTCTGACCCTGGCATGATCCTCAGGATAAAAAAATCTGCCTTTAGTGGCGCCATAGGCACGTCCATCGCGTTGGTTGGCATTGCGGGGAGCCATGAGTCTGTCCGCTGTGGCATTGTATGCGATAGTTGCGGCTTCGGCAATCTCATCCTTAGCTTTGTACGAATTGTAAGCTGTGCACATTCTGGTCCCTTCCGGGTAATTCTCCCGCCTCCCGTAGCCGCGGTCGTCATGCCTCGGAGCGCTTGAGGAGTATGCATTTGGCGGGAAGTCGCCCCATTCGTTCTTGTTGTAGCCGTGACGAACACGATCCTGTAGCATCGGGTGTGGGTCGGCCGCACGAGGAGGATAGGAATCAACTCTATGGACTCGCCTCATCGTGTAGTTGAGCTTTTGGGCTCCTGGAAATAGATAGTCTAACGGGAAGGCGATAAGCTGCTCAAACAAAAGGCAGTCCGGAGAGGTAATGTGTACAACAGCGTGGATGGAATATGAGGATCTGATGGCTTCTCAAAGATCTCGTTCCAGAGAGGCCATTATATGCCTTTCTGAAGCACCTGGAAGGTATAGATAGCCGCCGGGGGACAGCCCCTGCGAGCGGTTGCTGAGCAAACGCAGCATGCTTGAAATAAAACGTCTTCGAGCGATGAAGACTTTGGCTGAATGGACTGGTTCACGCTTTCTCTTTTAGAACTGAGCTGGGATTCATGAAACGGTGTTTTGACAACACAAGGTATCAAAGGCTCAAAATAGCAGACAGGGGGCGAGCGCATGAACTCGAGGCCTGCGCCGCTGGAAGGCTTGCCGCCGACTTTCAGAGCGAACATCAGGAGCCAGTGAAGCCGGCGACTGGGAGAAGTGCTAAAACCAACATAGCCCCCATCTTGTCAATGATGGCGGCGCTTGGGGATCGATTCTCAATGCGTCATTGTTATTTTTGTGATAGGCTTGAAATGCGGCGCATATGTCCTCATGCAACTCTCGTAGGCGCCCAAAACACCTCGGCCCCAATAGCGAGGGATGGGGGTGGGCAAAACGAGTTGCTGCGAGCGCTGTTCGAGGGAGTTGGTAGTTACGAGTGGCTGTAACCGCTGGGGAGGGGATCCCGGCTCGCCCAACCTCCAACGTCATTGGAATTGCTCGAAGCGCCCATGCCGAAAATAGAACTGCTATCAAGATGGACGGATGAAATAATAGCTAACATAAATCACCCCAAGCCTTTCATTTCGTTCCCCTTCCACTTCCCTTCATCGCCTTTATTACCCTTGTGCTAGCCGTCTTCACAGCTCTTTATATCCAAATCTATTCCAGAGTGTTCTTCTTTCCTGGTGAAGCGCGCGCTATTGAACTTCGAGATGGCGCAAACATCGAGCCGCCGCCCAGGCCCCTTTTTACCTCTTGCAGCAGAGGTCCGGCAAGCTATTCTCTGTCAGTTTGACGATGTTGCAACATTAGAATCCGCTTCAGCAGCGGATCGTTCCCTTGGCGCCGCATTCTCTGGGGCTCCTTCAATTGTGCTGCCGAGAGTTTTGCACAATGCTATTCCATCAGGGTTATTGCCAGAAGCGCAAGCTCTTCAGGCTTCATATAATCTGGATTCGAAATCCCGAACAGTTGAGCGAGTGACCGAAATTGTGGACGCCTTCGTACGGCGTGAACCAGCCGACTTCACCAAGTGGGCTCTGCCGGAAGCTCGCTACGTCAGCGGTTTAGCACCCGTTATTGAATTCTTCATTGATGATTTTGCTTCGTGGGCGTGCTCCCGTCGACGAAACACAACAGCCACAGTCGCGCCTATCTCATCCAGCGAGAGATGCCGTATTGCGCGGGCTTTCTACCGCTTTGAGATTTACTGCAACCTTTTCCGACCATCTAGAAGGGTTTCCCTCGATGCTGAGACACAGGAGGAATTATTTATCCGACAGTTTGCACCCTGGGAGACTGAACAGCTGTGCTGTGTTTATGATTACCTAGTTGAAAAAATAACCCCAGGTAAGATAGCAAATCCACACCTGGTATCAGGTCCCAATATTGCATCACTAACGTACAGTTGATAGCTTTTAATGATATTGCTGAACATAATATTCAGTGGGGAGAATTCAGTGTCCCGTTTGATGCTGGACACCCTGGCGCTGAAGAGCGTTATGATTATGTTGTATGGAACAATTTATACCCTATTTGGCATGTGGTAAATTAATAGCAAGGCTAACACCGACCGGGCAGGTCTCCTTAGGGCTCTCTTCTATCTATCAAGTCGTAACTGCAATGACTTATGAAGAGCGCTATGAAGTGTTATCTGAGCACTTTGGAATTGCTGAAGATTTCCTTCTTCACACTTTGTGGCAGTGTAGAAGCACGGAAGAGTACGGACGCCCGCTTTCTGACTATGATGAAGTCACCAAACAAGCTCTGATTGCCCCGCCTGCCTTGGATGATCCCGATCCAGGTCCCAGAGATATTTGGTACTGGGTGCATGCCGAGGACACCTTTGAAGAATTCATCTACAGTGACCGCCATAGATATCTTCGACGGAGAGGTTATGTCTTGTGGGATGTTTCTAGGCTTCGACAAGAATGGAAATTTCTAGACGGACATTACGCAGATCCCCCTGATGAAGCACTCGAGCCCTTAGACGACAAGCCTAAGTTGACCCATAGCATGGAGGAAATGCGAGATTCGTGGAAGCAAAGGTCGAAGATCTATGCGGCCGGAGGCCGCGGGTGGTGGAGCAAAGATGACGAGAGCAAGGTTGTCTACCCAACTCGAACCGACGCGGACGTCCGGCGAGAAATGCAGAAAGAACCCCTTCCAGACACATGGCAGACTTTTATCGAGTTTCAGAAAACTTTTCCTAAGGGTTAGTAGGAAATGTTAGCTTCGTGCGCTTTAGCAAATGTTATCAGTTAGACCTGAGTGATAAATTGTGCGGGATACATTCGGTCTGTGGCACACCTGAACTACCTCTACAAAGACCATCATTGGGTTATGGTGTTCTCCTTGATTAGATTATGGCTTGTCTCTTTATTTTAGAGTATACGGCCTGTAATAACAGCCACTCACACGTCTGCTTACTTATAATGTCAAAGATTACTTAGCTTGCTACCTATAGGAGAAAGCAAAGCTTTTAACCTCAACCTAGTAGAACTATTCACGGCGGAAAATAAAATAAAAAAAAGAAATAAAAGAGAAGAAATAGCAACAAATGGCCGCCGTATCTTCAAGATTACCCACTCACAATGAAGCGACGAATTAGTATAATGTCCATCCCTCTATTTCCCAAGCAGAAAGTGATTAAACCACAAAAACGTCAGCGCCAACAAATATTAATACAAAAAGCCCGAAGCCTTCCACATCGCTATGTACTTTGCTACAAGTACACCACTTATAGGCTTTGCATTCGCCAAAGTTTGGGAATGCTCTCTGCATCTAGCTGTATCCAAGATTAGCCCACCGCACGACATACGGGTGAAGTGGTCCTCAAAAAAATCAAGGAGCATTTTGGCAGGATTATTTGAATCGGTGGAACCGTTGAAGTGGCGAACTCGACGCATCCATACGTCAAGGGGAACGATATAATCTCGTGGGATACCCAGTAAGTCAGCTAATAGACGAGTCATCTCGATCCAAGGCTGCCTGACAGGATTTTCAATGTGATAAATAGGGTAGGGTATATTGTCTAATACGAGGAGATCACTAAGCGTTGCTGCAACATCATCAACAGGGTACCACGAAAGTTCCTATTATCCTGTTAGCAAATCGACTCTGCGGGGTTTTAAGGGGTTAGACCCTGGCTTGACTGTTGACATACCCCTTTAAGATCTGGTAATGACCGGAGAGTCTGTGATGACTTAACCAGAAATGAAAAATGCTCCACCGGGTTCCAATACCCATTGCCTTTGGACCCAGCAATTTGTCCGATACGTACGGACATAGCGCGGAATCTATCAGGGTGATTTTGGAGTGTTTGCTCTAACATTTTCTCGCATACCAATTTTGCATCTCCGTAGCCACTTGGTAGGACTGAGTTAATAGCCACACCTTCCTCAGGCACATGAGTCTGATGAGTATGAATTGGATAATACCCAACGGTAGCAATAGATGAGATGAATTGAAATCCAACTTTCGATGCAGGCTTTGCGCTTGATATTTCGGCAGCTAAGTCAATCAAGTTCCTCATAACTTGAAACTGCGGTTCAAATCCCTTTACTGGCCGCTTTATGCTCATTGGCCAGGCTCCGTGGACAATGTGCGTAACTGAGCTCGCAAGGTATTCATACTCGGCTCTTTCCAGCCCCAACATATCTCTATCGCTCTGAGTTGCGAGTATTTTCAGTTTTGAGAGGGATTTTTGATCTAATGAGATGCCTTTATCTCCCAGCGACTGCAGTTGACGAAGTGATGCATCCATGCTATTTCGTCGGTTCAAGCATACTACTTCTCTGATCGTGGGTAATCGCGCGAAATGAGCGACAAGGTGGGATCCCAAGCTTCCAGTTGCCCCTGTAACAAGCACGCTATGACCTTGCAGATCTGATGAAAAAGATTGTTCGTTCGTTCTGGTTGACGGAGTGAATACTCTAGTATACTCTCGGACATATTCGTCAACTACGGCCTGACGAGCCGCACAGTCAGTTGTTTGACTCTGAGCGTGGTTTAGGGCCATAGGCAAGCGCTCATACCTAGATCCAGAGGCTAAAGCAACTATAATTCGTTGGATATTTGCTTCAGGGCGGTTTCCTTCGGTCCAGTCAACATGGCCATACCCAGCTGACAGCATGGACCTTTCCCATATGGACTGATGTGCCACCACATGCTTTCGTCCATCGTCATAAAGCCACCAGCCTTCGAGGACACCAAAGACAAGATCTACCCAGTACAGCGTATCAGTCATTTCTAAAATCATCAAGAATCCGTCGGGCCTCAAAACTTGACGGATCTTTTCGGTCGAGTGTACCAAGTTATGAGTAGCATGAACGCAGTTGTTCGCAATCACGATATGCTGACTATGAAGCAGTTCAGTAGCGGGATCCTTCTCTATGTCGTGAACGCGGAAGTTCATAAAAGAGTTGGCCTTGAACCTTTTTCTAGCAGCAGCAACCAACGATGAGGAAAGGTCAGAGAATGTGTATTCAACTGCGGCCCCGAGACTGGCCAAGAGAGGAGTGAGGACGGCAGTAGTTCCTCCCGTACCAGCACCCATCTCCAATATCTTAAGAGGGCCACTGTGAGTTGGAAGTTTGAGTATAAGGCGCCTGATGAAATCTTCCATCTGTTTAAGCCACACCATATTGATTGGCGACCTGCCATAGAGGCCGGAAACAAGTTCTCTTCCTTCAGATGACCCAAATATCAACTGTACCCCATCGCATCTACCAGATAGGCATTCTGCTAACTTGGAGCCAATCAGGTGTGTGAGCTTGTGGTCATTGGCATGGTCAGGATAATTGGTAATAAGTTCCTGTAATAAAGCTCCAGAGTGCTTGATGGGTGGCTGGATGGCTGTCCTCTTGATTCCAGTATCTTCGTCTATGTCCACCAAACGGGCCTCCTTCTCGAGCATCATATAGAGATAATTCACAAATTTCTCATGTTTGGGGAGATATTGGATGCGATCCAATGTGTCACCCGTTTTTGCCTTTCGAAGGGAACATCCGAGCTTCTCAAATGCCTCGACTATGTACGCAACACAAAGTTCATTCTGCTTGAGCAGAACACAGTATGCATAATCTGCAAATTTGTGATCAGATATAAACTCATCCGTGAGTTGCTTTGATTCTCCAAAGGCCTCAAGAATTATCTCAGTTGGAAGGTTTAACTCCTCGTCTTCGGAAAGGGTGCCGTTCATTTGATGAGTATGGCCATTCACCTTGGTAGCTTTAATGTCCACGTTAATATTTGCCTTAATAGCAACCGCGCCTATTTTCGCATTTCCCTCAGGTGTTGCGTCGGGTTGGCTACAGCCCAAGGCTTCTTGAATGCATTTCATCAAGCTCTTGAAGTCAGTCACCGCATTCAGTACCTCTGTATCCAATGAACATTTGAAGACAGTTTCGATTTCGCGGGCCAACTCCATACCCATGAGTGAGTCAATCCCAATGTCAGAAAGGCTCGTCTCATTTTTGATCTCGTGGGGTTCCAGGCCTGAGACATTCGCGAGTAGATTCCTAACGTCTTCTGAAACATCCTTGAATGCCTTGGGATTAGATAGTGTTTCCTTTGAAATCGTAGTTGTTGGAGGTTGATCAAAACCTGAAGCTTCGTTGCTATTTTCAACGTTCACAGCCGGCTGCGCAGGGTTCATTTCTGACTTCCTCCCAGGAGTAAGATTGGACAGCATTTTGCCTAAACTTCGCTTCGATACTTTCTTGTAACCTATTCCAAGTATAATTTCTAGTAGTGCACCATTCTGAGAGTCGAAGATAAACACGTCGCTAAGGAACTCCTTTTCAGATGGGCGGCGATGGAACACGAGGACATGCCAGACATTTGGTCGCAAATCGCCTGGGAGCAATTTAGGAGAGCGAATCCATTGTTCAATTTTCGTGGAAATATACATTTCCTTGTCTGATATATCGGTCATGCAGTTAACGAAAATACCAGCACACTGGCAGAATGAATCCGCTAGTGGAGTATCAAGCCAGGTGGTTCCGGTATATTTTTTGACTACCCGCCCGGCAGACTCGTTCCCTTTGCCAACAAGCTTCTGGACTCCACGATAAATAGGCCCATAATCTACAACTTCGGCGAAGACCTTATAAATGTTGCGGCCCTGGATAACATCGTCACATTCGTCTCCATTGAGAAGGAGGAGGCAACGTTCGTGGCCAGAAAGGCGCTCATACCTTGCAAAATCATTCCGAAGCTGCTCGTCCTCGTTAGACGTAAAGATAATCTTGCCAGAAACGTGTAAAGTTGGGACTGGGTTGTCATTAGCTGGTCCACTGATCATTTTAAAGTCCCATGCGTGTGACTGTGAATCGGTGGCTTCAACATCTAGCCAAACACAAAGAGTTGGGTCTAGGCAAACTGGAGCGTGGTTTTCAAGGTCCCGAAGTTGTGGCTGGAAGTTGGAAGGTAGAAATTCTGGCCGTATCGTTACAAGGGCTTCAATAACAATATCTAATTGGAGAGTGCTAGGGCATAACGGAGCTGCATGAGCGATGGTGTGTCCAGCAACATATTCCTCAAATTCCTTGCTTGCAGTATTGACCTTGAATCGCGCGCGCCGTTTATCATCATCTTTGTACCCAACAAAGTTCCAGAGGCCTACCGATAATTTTTCAGGGGCCTGAGGCTCGGATGCAAGGTTGTCAAGTGCTTCTTGTGGTTTTTTAAGGGTAACCCAATGTCTTGTCTTATCAAACTGATAAGGTGGGAGGAGAATTGGGTTATATTCAGAAGTTTTGGATGAATGATGGGGCCAGAATGTCATATGGACGCCATGTTTCCATAGGCTAATGGTAGCATCAGTAAGGTTTTGCAAGCCCTTACCGCTGGTGATGTTTATGGCTTGAAAGTGAGTATTTGGAGGTAGATTCAAAGCTCGACTTGCCATCCCGGTAATAGTGGAATTGGAGCCTGCCTCTAGCCAGATAGATGCTGGATGTTTGAGTGAGAGCCTGTGTACTGCATGATTAAAGTATACCGGGTATCTCATATGCTGTGCCACAAATCCAGAACTAAACTGGTTGGAAGACATTGGGTGTTTTGTGCATCTTTCAATGGGGATTCTAGCTTCACGAAAGAGTAAATCCCGCCCAACTTTATCCAAAGGTTCCACGAGGGGTCCAACTAACGTTGAATGGTATGCATTTGTGACATTCAACTTTTTCAATTTCATCGAAGAAAAGGCCGGATTGCTGGCCATTACCGCTTCAATTATTTTGATAGATTGGGCGGGTCCAGCAATTGTAAAGCTCCGAGGGCCATTATAACACGCAATTGTCACGTCGCAATTGCTATCGTGTTGTCTATTTGCCTCACACAATAGTTGTTCCACATATTGGAGATCGGCTTCAATGGCCATCATAAAACCCTTGTCAGGGCCCCATGCATCCCTAACGAGGCGCGCACGATTTGCAATCATTTTAACTGTTCCAGCAAGGGATAGGACTCCAGAAACACAGAGTGCGGTGAGCTCTCCAAAACTGTGCCCAACAAGACAAATTGGTTTAATCCCACAGTCGATCCATGACATGGCACAGGAGTATTGAGTTGCAAAAAGTATTGTTTGGAGTTTCACAACGTCATTCATTGGTTCTTTCTGGAAGATATCCGGGTATATGTCCTCCAAGCCAACAGATTGGATTACCGTGTTGCATTGATCCAGATAACTTCGGAAGACCTTGCAACTATCATACACTTCGCGGTCCAAGCCGATAAATGTAGATATTTGACCTCCAAAGCAAAGAATGACGGGTCTGGATGTAGGGCAGTTTGTGGGCAGAATTTCCGACTCGCCATTCTCAAATTTCGTGAGGGTGTCTTCTAACTCGGCTGTCGAGCCACAGCTGAGAATTAAAGCGCGACTAAGCATTCGATTGGATTGACGGTGGAGATTAAATGCTAGGTCGGGAACAGTTGTGACTTTTCCGCGTGAAACCCTTGACCCCAAGAACTGACGAAACCGAGCAGAGTATCTTCGGAGGCTATTGTCATCATTTCCGCAGAACCAAAATGGAAGCTTTACCCCAGATAGCAAGGTCGACATATCAGTTATTGTTTCCGGTCTGGGCTCAGGTGACTGAGTGATTATGAGCGAGGCATTCGAGCCCGAAGCTCCATAATTGTTGATTAAGGCAGCTGGAAAGTCCGTTTCCCACTTTTTAAATGTTGTTGTGATTTCAATTTTGTCTGATGAAGAGTGTTTAATCGCGGGATTGATTGTCTTAAAGCTTGCCTGTGGCGGAATGAAGCCCTCTTGAATCATAAGGAGGACTTTAATCAATGAAACGATGCCCGCTGCAGTTTCCGCGTGTCCAACTAGCCCCTTCACAGAGCCTAACGAAAGAGTACCTGGACCTGGGCGGTTAGGGCCCCCAAATACCCTGAGAATACTTTCATATTCTGCCGGGTCCCCAACAGGGGTGCCTGTTCCGTGAGCTTCGACAACCGTTATGTGCTTGGGTTCAAGCCTTGCATTGCGGGTAACATCCCGGAATAGACCAGAAAGGGAATCTGCGTTGGGAACGGTTATTGGTGTGCAGTTTTGATTTTGATATACCGCGCTGCTCGAAATAACTCCAAGGACCTGATCTCCACTTGCAAGTGCAGAGGACAGTTTCTTTAGGACAACCGCACCGACCCCCTCGCCTCGACAATATCCATCAGCATCGATATCGAACGGTTTGCAGTTGCCTGTCGGGCTTAGAAAAGACGCCCCTGCCAAGTTTTGAAACCATTGAGGGCTAGTTAGAATCGTTACGCCACCAGCAATTGCGGCGCTGCACTCATCACTAAGAATTGCCTTGCATGCATGATGGATAGCCACAGCAGATGATGAACAAGCAGAGTCAATAGTAAGTGAGGGACCAGTCCAGCCGAAGTAATGGCTAACCTTCCCGGCCACGAAGCTTCTTAAATTCCCAGTCGCAGAGAATGCGTTGGCAGGATAACAAGCAATATTATGTTCATAATCCACACACCCAAGGCCAATATAGCAGCCTATATGTTTATTTTGGTCCGGCGAAAGGAAGTACCCTGATTGTTGCAGAGCTTGGTACGCAACCTGAAGCATCCACCGTTGCTGTGGGTCTGTCGATATCATCTCACGAGGGCTCTTTTTAAAGAACTTGTGGTCGAATGCGTCGGGATCTGTGATAAAATTGCCATACCACTTTCGCTTAGGGTCGAGTTCACGCCAAAAAGTACCAAAGTGAAAGCGGTCAGAAGGTGGTTCGGTGTGTTGTGACTGTCCAGAACGTAGTATGTCCCAAAATTGTTCAATATCATCTGCCCCGGCAACTTTGCAGGCCATACCAACAACTGCGATATCACCTGCATTCCGTAGATAGTCAGGCATAACTTCTGAATCTGACGGGCTTCTAGGTATTGGAGAAGCTATGGTTTCAAGGTTCGTAGCATTTACTAATTTTCGTCCTGGTTTTCGCGCGATTGACGGCGGCACGCAATTATCATAACCAAAAAGGACGACTTGTGATTGAGAGTCATTCTTCTGAGGAGAGTGTGTAACAGCAAAGGCGCGGTACCAGTCACATTGTTCCACGAGTATAGACCTCAAAGCAATTACATGAGGTTTCCTGTCATCGACAGAGTCTGATTTGTAGCACTGGCTGGCAGAAAGTGGTCGTGAATGCTCTGAAAATTGAAGTTGAGGATTGGAATTACAGAATCGGATAAGTAACTCCACTGCGTCTTGGTGACCCTCGTAGTGAAAGCATCCATGGAGGTTGAGCTCCGCGACTGTCAGGCCTTCTGCCCTTAGCTGGCTGGTAAGTTTTGCTGCCGTATATTTAGAGCATGTAACTGTGACTCGTTTCTCGTCGTAGCGAACGGATATATAGGCCTGTAATCACGAATGATAAGCCTATAGTCCTTGTCATGGGGGGGCTGACATATCAATGGAACCTACTCGTGGAAATCTCTTTAGCACTTCTAGCATCTTCGCCTGTGATTTTAAAGAATTCCAAGTAATAGACTGAGAGATCGATCCTCCTTCTGGGCTGGACTCATCCTCGGCATCAACCAGAGCTCCAATAAGCATTGCCAGACGTATTGCAACAGCTCCATTATGTTGAAACTGCTCTTTGTTTGTGGAACTGGACACAACTATTGCGCTCAGGAGGCCTGTGCAGAGACCGAGTGTTTCTGAATCGGTATGGATGGGTGATTGTAGATGATTCGGCCCCGGGTAGGTAGGATCAACATGTTCCAGATATCTCAAATATTGGGTTAAATGGGTGACGACAACAAGTGGTGTGAGAAGGGTATTAGGGAGAGGAAATATCGTTTCCGTAACTGAGTTTTCCTTGAGCCAGGTCTTCAAGGTTTGAAGCAATTTCCCGCCAGGTAAAGATTGTATAGTTGGAAGTTCCTTTGAAGCTGTATCCCATAATTCCGGAAGAGATTCGAGAACATCTAGAATCCACTGATGGTGCGGTGTGCTAATCAACACATTCTTAAGCGTATTGAAGGCTTCTTCGCGGAACGCAAGGGCTTGTGGCCCAAACAGATGAATCGTCGGGACCCTTGCGTGCGCGGATAATGTACCAACCATGACGAATGTAGGTAACTCTTGGAAGTTCTTGGGGTTGAACTCGTTGCGTGTTTGTACAACTTACTTCAAAATATTAATAAGGGAGGAAGAAAAGCTCCAAAAGGACGATGTTCCATTGAATCAAGGATAAAGAGGCGTCAGATGTAACGAACGAAGGGTGTCATAGAATAAGGGAGGTCGCAAGCTGCAGCCTTTGGGACCAATGGCATAATTATCGCCCAGCGGTCCTGAGTATCCTGCCGGGCCCGAATATTTCATAGAAGACTTGATGGAGTAAAGAAACCATGATAACTTAAAACGGGGTCGATTAGCAGATTTATCAGCAACAAGGGTAACCTGAGTAGGCGGACCTGAGTAGGCACAGGTTAGAAGGGTACCTACTGCTTTATATCCCCAAATATTGGTTTACCATGTCCGGCCATAACTGTATTGGTAGAAAAGTCTTCTTACTTGCTCTTTTTGCCCGCCGCGGACCTTTGACATCGCTGCCCGGAACCGCAACCATGGACATACTTGGACTATCACCAGACATCTTATCCCAGTTCACCCATATCCTATCCCTTTCTATCATCTTGCCTCTTATCCTTTTGCTCCTTTCATCAGTCAAATCATATCATCGTCTATCCCACATACCTGGGCCCTTTTTCGCAAGGTTCACAAATCTGTCCCGTTTATTATGGGTTAAGAGCTTCCGCGCCCATGAAATACACATCGACCTGCACGAGAAATATGGTCCCATTGTCCGCTTCGGTCCGAATATGGTGAGCGTTGGAGACCCAAGGGAGATAGGAACTATATACTCCTTCAAGAAACCGTGGCCAAAGGTAAGAAAGACGCTAGAGTTATGGAAATGTCAACTTACCTATTCATAGTCTGATTTCTATCGGTCTTTATTATTAAAAACGCGAAGTAAACCAGTCGAAGGGATATTTGCAACGCAAAATGAGGCAATTCATCGAGCCTTAAAGAGACCTATCTCTAATGTTTATTCAATGAGCCACTTAGTTTCCTTTGAGCCTTATGTGGATACGTCGATGAAAGTGTTCTGTGAACAGCTTGAAGACCGTTTTGCTAAGCCTAATGGTGAAACAGAGAAAACGGTTCCGTGTAACTTTGGGCAGTGGTTGCAAATGTTCGCCTTCGATGTCATGGGAGAATTGACGTTTTCCCATCGGTTTGGCTTTATGGAAAAAGGCGAAGATATAGACGGTGTGATGGGAGAGCTTTGGAACACACTTCGAAAAACTGCGTTGGTAAGATAAACTCCTTTCGACCAAATAGTGAAGAAAATCTAACAGGAGGCGAAAGGTCACGCAAATGCCTTGGCTGGGTGATGTATGGACAAACAATCCAATTCGACGCCTCTTTAGGAAAAATATCCAAAGCCCCGGGGTAATTTTCGCGATGCGCAGAGTTCAGGAGAGACAAAAAATCGAGCAAGGCGAACTCCAGAAAGAATGGAAAATAAACAACAGGGACATGCTTTCACGTTTTATGGAAGTGGAAGCTAATGATCCCTCTGTTCCTCCCTTGTAAGTCAAGTCCGGCTTCCGAAGGTGATATACAAGCTAACAGAAACTGTTGGCTTTCAAAGTGCTCTTCTCGTGTGGACTTCTTCGAATATTACCGCAGGCAGTGACAGCACTGCAATGTTTCTGAGAGCCATGTTCTATTATCTTCTCCACAACCCGAGTACGCTTAAACGCCTGGTTTCAGAGTTTGATGAAGCAGCGGCAGCCGGGAATCTAGACGAATTTGCTGGATTTAGGCAAGCAAAGGATCTCCCATACTTCAATGCTTGTATCAACGAAGCAGGTCGAATGCACCCTCCTCTTGGGCTTCCAATGGAGAGAGTAGTTCCACCCGAAGGGGCCACTATTTGTGGTAAGCGACTAGAGGGTGGAACCGTAGTTGGCATGAGTTCCTGGGTGACCCATCATCACAAAGCAACATTTGGCGAGGATTGCGATAAATGGCGACCGGAGAGATGGCTGGGCGAGGCAGAACAGGTAAGGGAAATGGAAAGAAGTCTCCTCACGGTATGTATTATATTGATTCCACCCCCATCCGACCCTGTTAGCGAATAATCATCGAACTAAGCCCGCAAATCTAGTTCGGTGCTGGCCACCGTAACTGTATAGGGAAGAATATCGCCCTGTTGGAGATATACAAGATCGTGCCGACATTGTTAAGGCGATTTCAGGTAAGCAGTGTTATTCACCTAACAGCAATTGCCTGCTAAGACGTCCTTTGTCAAACAGTTCGAGCTCCTTGATCCCGATGAAGGTGGTGACTGGGTTGTGATGAATCGATGGTTCGTGACCCAACGCGGATTCAAAGTTCGGCTCAGGAGAAGAGTTTCTCCGGGACGTTGATAGTCACGTGAAATGGTGAAAAATGCAGACCACTTTCCCCTTTTAAGCCTTGCAATTTACTAGCAAAGATAACAGTGAATATGAATCCCGATCACTCTATTATAATAGGAGATTTAATATTCTGTAATCCAGCCGATTCCTTTCATTATCTCCCACCCTTGCCCAAGCGAAAATTAAATTTGATTACGCTTTTAAGGATCTTGTTGCTGGTGACTTGATATTCATATTTCCCTTCACCCATTTCGATGAAATGCAAATTTATACACATAAAGCAAAGACATGTATTCTCAAATACCACTTCTGCCTGCTTCCCAGTTTATCCGCCTTGCTGCTCCTTATCATGGTCTACTGCAGACATATCCTCTTTTTGGTTCTGTAATTTTACAGACACCCACTTCATTCCCAAAGGTCCAATGATAGATAAACTTGCCATTATAAGCCCAACTCTAAATGCTCGCCGCAGGGCATCATTGTAGGCCAGAACCACCCTTGGAATATCCTCTGGGGGGATAATTTGTCTGAATTGCGTTGCGCCCACGCTGATAAGTTGACGAGGATCCAAGCCTGGAATCCCCATCGCTCCAACTCTGGCCACAAGTCGGGACATAAAAACACTCTGTGCAACAGGGATAAAGATAGCTCCGCCGCCAAGCTGTGAGAATAACATGATCGCTGTGCCAGTGCTAACTTCTTCGAGAGGCAGAGCAGTCTGCGCGGCCACAAATGGCTGTTGTAAGCCGAATCCAGACCCAATAGCAAATAAGAACTGATATCCTACCCATTGGCTGGCGGTAGAGTCTACTCGTAATGTGGTTAGAAGACCGGCGCCGATGGGCATTGCTATGCTTGAGAACCAGATCCATGGCATGTAATAGCCAACTTTTGTGGTTAGGAGCCCTGCTGCGATAATTCCAACCGTATTGACTAGAATTAGAGGCAGGTAATTGATACCAGACCTGATTGGACTCGCGTCCTTTATAATTTGAAAGTATAGCGGCAAGTAAAAAATGAAGATGTTGAAAGCACCGCCTTGACAAATTGCGAACGTGGCTCCAAAGACCATATTTCTGTTTTTCGCTATGTGTTTTGGGATTGTTGCATTTTTATCGTTTTGTAAGACTTGAGCCAGAACGAATGTGGCAAATAGTACGGAAAACAACGTCAGTAGGGCAATGACAAAACCTGACGACCACGGGGCCGTTGTTCCACCGTATTGCAGTGCTGTAAGGAGACATGCAATGCTCGCAACAAAGGTGAATGTGCCTACCACATCCAGCCGCCTGAGCATAACGGCGAAGGGCAGGCGCTGTCCATTGGCGCTGGGCGGCAGATTTTTCAGCGAGAGTAGCAGTGTCAGCGCCGAAGCACCACCAAAGGGGAGATTTAGATAAAATATCCATCGCCAGCTGACTTTTTCGGCAAGGGCTCCCCCCAGTATTGGACCAACAACGCTTGCGATTCCATACACAGCGCCTATCAAACTAGTAAACGTTGGGCGCCAGCGGACTGGCGCCGTATGAGCCATGATAGTCATCGCACCACTTGTTATTCCGGCTGCACCTATACCGGCAACAGCGCGGCCAGCAATTAATGTTTCGCTTTTGGGTGCTACCGCAGCAATCAACGAACCGAGCTCAAAGATGAAGAGGGAGCTCATGAAAACCCATCGTAGCGGAAAGATTTTGTACAGTTTGCCATAGAATAGCTGAAAGGCGCAGTTCGTTAGAAGATAAACAGATCCATACCAGCCGACGTGGCTGAGACGGCGAAAATAGTCTGTAATTGGTGGGATCGCAGTCGCGATTATCGTATCATCAATCGCCTGGCAGAACACAGATACAAGCAACGAGCTGAGGATGAAGAATAGACGGAGACCTGTAGTGCAGAATTCATTTTCAGAACTCCGTTGTTCTTCCAGCATAGGCAGCACAGGGCCACTTTCGCTTTCTTTCCCTCGACCACGCCCATCTGCATCTTCAGGGCTGGCGTCGTCAACCTGGTCGTCGTTGCCGCGAAGTTGTGGAGCGCTGCCAAGAGCTGGAGGGTCTGCGCTAGCCATGCTTAAATCTTGTTCCGTCTTGGTGATGCTTATTGCAACCTCGTCCTTTCTTCCTCCTCTCCCACCTGGCGATGAGAAAGGTCTTGGATGGCGATTTTTACAGCTGACCCTGATGGTATCTTATGCTGCGTCCCTGTGGCAGTATAATGTGTCACCACTCTCTGGAACCTCCGAAATTGCCGGTAGTGCCTATAGGAGGACTGTCGAACAACGGATCGAAAAGAGGATAACGGACTCTCGAGATGCTTGAGACAGCTTCCGATGAGATCAAAATTTCAGACTGGACCACCAGTTAGTTGCCATCTGGAAAGGCGAGAGCTAAATTCCTGGAAGTGAGCGAAGAAAGGCCTCAAGTACGCGCGTACCTAGCACAGACGATCAGCAATGTCCTCACAAACAACCCAACGACCGGGTAATGACTGTGTCAAGAATCTGGGCATCTCTCTTTCAAGCTATCGTGAGCGCTGATATTGTTGCCCTGTGTCGCCGTTGTGCCGCTGAACGGTCACCTCTACCTCCAGATTCTCGTCTTCGCTTCTTTTCCCGTGCGGTCATGTGCGAGCGGGAGCTGAGTATATCGGGGTTATGGTGCAGCATGGCCTTAACTCCGGAAGATTGTCCAAGGATGCACCACTTTTACTTCTCGCGGTGTATAACGATCGCATATATCAATTCCGCTGTTCGCAAGAGTCGCTCTCCCCAGCCCAGATCCCATTTTTGTGCTCCAAGGTCCCCAGTTCCTCCAATAGGCCAGCTCGGTTTGTCTAGCTTCGTGTAGTCAATAATAATACCATTACCGCTTGAATTGAAACAATCACGCAATAGCTCAAAAGCGCCACCACCTTGATATCTTTGTTGACTACGAAAGCTCTGTTCTCGAGGAAGCAAATGTGCGTTTGAGATGCATCTCTTAAGTATACCTTTCGACTCCAATTTTGTTGGTATGGATATGGCATCTACTGCTTTCCGTCACTGCTGGTACTTGACAAAAGGAAAAGTATCAGTAGTCATGTTAGGTGGTGTCAAGTCTGGTGTTAAAAGAGCCCTTACCATACGTTTTACTCCATAAAACAGTTCAAAGGCAGTTCTGATATGTCCGCAACCCAAAAGGTATTTATTTTCCCCTAATAAGTATACTTGGGCGGACTTAATGCTGATTTGATATCTATTCAGGAATTAATGGACGTAGTGGAGGCTACCGTAATATCCACCAAAAACGGGGAGGTCTGATATTTTGCAGCATCCCGTGCTGTGAAGAATCGCATTTATAACGGCGCACAGCATCCCCTATAATAGTTGAAAACAGGTCATGGTGGATTTATATACAATATTCACGCTACTGCAACCCATATATGGAAGCACTCAAGCTTGGTTTACCCGCGAACACCGAAAAGTTGAATTTTCGGAGCTGGGTGGTTAATTATCTCACTTTCGGAACGGTGAGTAAGTGATCATGCCTATTTCTTGCCTCATTATTATATTAGATACTACTCTTAAACTTCTGCAGAAAAGTTTTCTTTCCCAGAATGACCACCCCTTTTCTGAATGCTAGTCTTCGCCGACGATTTTGACATCCACGGTCGAGCCGGAGGAGAAGAGCAGCTCCAAAACTTGCCCAACTTGATCTGGCTGCATATGCTGCAAGATCATCGTGCTTTTTCGATTTCCTCTCGAAACCGTTCCCAGGATTTCTTCTATAGAAGGCATTGTTGGATCGTTATAATCGTTATTGATGACCAACTCTTCACTTTTCTCAACGGCGACCTCCTCTACACCCTCGTCCTCCTCCTCTTCTCCATCATCTTCATCCACATGCTCTTCTCTAGGAAGAAATGTTGTGTCGCTCGCTCCCTGAATGATCGGAAGGCAGTCTGCGGAATTTGAAGAGGCTGAAGGCGTGTGTAAACCAACCACCCCTTCAACATCTGTCATAGTTGTCAACGCTTCAAAGAAGGTATCTGTGATTCCCCCACAGTTATCTCCACCATTTTCAAATGAGCTTGGAATACAACCTGTGGGCAGCTCAAACCCATGGCCATTCAATCTTTCTTGGTAGGAATGGTTACTCGGCATGATCTGCCACCCGGATGACGGCGCTGTCCCCGTATAATCTTGCGGATGCTCATGCGCTGAAGCCGTGGTGAGTGGGGAGCCTAGCAGGTGGTCTGATTGCTCCATAAGGAGTGCATCAAAGTTACTACCTGGATGCAGTTCGGGTCCCCCTGAATCTGTGGCAACATTATAATAGAAGATATCCCTCATCAGGTCCACCGAGTCGGTTGGCCACCAGTTATTTGCGTCATTCTTCTCTGCAGCCTCCAGAGTGCTGCCGTTTCTTCGACGCCTAGAAAAGGATGGCCTTGGACGATCTGAGCCTGAAGCGGCGCTGTTCTTCCTGTTTCTCTGGAGGATTGCGTGTCTATATAACGGTTGTAAGTCACTAGACGTACAACTCCCAGCCCTAGGGACTCATCTTACCTATTTTTGGCATCTGTGGCTGATCGTCCATGAAGTATCTCATCCACGATCCTTCTCCAATTCCGTCCGCTTCTCTCGACCGCGGCCAAGAGACGCTCATCCTCTTGTTCACTCCATTCACTATGGTTCAAGCTTGGGTTGAGAAAATGCAACCAACGTTTAGCACATTCTGTTAAATGTATTAGCGCCCCGAATCATGGTAATTTGTTGAAAGCCTCCATCAGGATGCAGGGCAAGGCTAGTGATAGACTAACGATCAGCATGCCGTGTACCCACAACCTGCGCAACTTCCGTCCAGCTGCAATTTCCAGGAGTGTCCGTCAGTTTGACTCTAGTGCAGATATGAGACACGATGCAGTTCCTCATGAGACTTACACGTTTGAATGAAGCAAAACTGCTTTATGAAGACGCTGGTCTTCTTCCTGGCTCCATGGGCCTTTTTTGACAGGACCGTCCAACTTAATCCAACGTTTTCTGCAGTCTGATCTGAAGATTAGACTCATAGACTCGTTTGTATAGACACGAGGTTAAGAAATAGAAGTGACCTTTGTTGCTTCGACCAGGAAGTTTCTCAGCGATTGTTCGCCAGTCCTTCGCCTTTCCTTGCTCCGCTAATTTGGCAATTTTGTTAGCCATACTCATGGCCACGTCAACCTAAGTCTCATCGCTTCCATATTGCATTTCTTTCTTAAGAGTTGACTATTCATTTACCTTGCCTGGCAACTTCACCGCGCAACACGTTATCCTCCTTTTCCGACCACAGCTTTCGAGGTTTCAATTCTCGCACGTTGTCCATGTTTTTGACAGTATCCAGTGCTTTTTGCAACGAACAAATAATTTGGTGGTCAAATGCCACACGCTCATCTTCTTTCCTTTCTTTTGGAAAGGAGGGAGACACAAATCTTGGCCATTCTATGCGTTCTATGGGTGTTCCGTATTTAAGCCCATGTGGCTGTTATTCCGGTTTGCTGCAAGTTACTATGGTATAACCCGTGGCCGTAGGGACTGGGCCTATCCGAGATTCTACCACTATCCCCTTTGAAACAATGACGGGGGTATATCCATGTCGCCATCCAGATCTATGGAGATTATAGCCGGCTTTGGTTCAGGTGATGGCAGCCTCTACAACTTACAAAAGCTTGATGTCAGATGAAAGCTGCCATACATCCTCTATCCCGAGGCATAATATATTCGGTTATATGATCGTTATTTCATCCTTCCTTTTTGGGCAGCTTATATGAGGTAAGAATAGTGCTTTTTGAATGTACTCTCGTTCAACGTAACGCATACTAATTGCAACGTAATAATCAAATGATTACCTAGGCATAAAGCGGAATATGCTCCAGTTACAATTTCCTCGGCCTGGTGGAGGCCATATTAGGGAATTTTCTTACAAGCGGTTAGGCTTCAACATTCAAAATCATCCAAATACAATTCACTAAATGGCTAGATTTCGCAGATTACTGTTGGCTGGGATTCACCACACGCTTATAGGTTAAAACATAACAAGCTTCAACGTAGCCAAAGCGGCCATCCAGCTATCTAGGCTATCAAGCACGACGTTCTACGTGATAAAGACACGGCTGTTGATTGGGAAAGCAGGCCTACTTTTTTGATACCTCCAAGGACCCCTTCAACCAGTTTCATCTCCCAATTGAGAAGGTCAAAACTCCGAATCTCAGTGAGCTACACTTTATTCATCTTTAGCTTTCCATAAATCCAGGTTGAAGCTCAATTCAGTGGGTCGTGGATCTGGCATATGAGTTACAATTGGAAGAGGCGCGTCTTTCATGATAGTCTCGCCTTTGGAAGAAGAAACCATGATCCGCCCGCCCGTTAAGACTGGGGTTCCTTAACTCTTTCTCCATGCCACCGTTGCTTATCTCCATCGCTTGTTACTGTACCTCACTCAATTCATGAGTTTAAAATAGCTGAGTGGCCTAGGCCCATCTCCAATACTCGGGTCCCTCTCTCGGGCCCTCGGAAAATGTTACACTACACTCATTATGACGTTACTGCTGACGGCGATGTCTCGCTGCCTGCTCAACATAGTCATATCGTATCTGTATGTGGATGTGGGTGTGTAACGGAGGCGCAACATCAAGATAAGGGGACCGAGTGATATTCTACCCGCGGCCACATAACCGGGAGGGGTTGATATTCTAGAAATTCGTCCCTGGTTAGGTGAGGGGGGATGTGTATGGCTTTCCTAGAAATCACAGATAAATTAAGTAAAGATTTCCCGTAGAAAACAACAAGCTGACATTTCTCGATGGGCCCGGCTATTCCGCCAGTGGTAGGATGCTGGTGCAACAATGAAAAAGAATGTTTGTAAGTTATCCGCGGAGTAGCTGCAAGCTATATTTTATTTGCGTTGGGCAGCCGGTTTGCCAGTCGAACAGATCGTTCGAAATACTTTTTCCTAAATATATAACTGCATAGTATCACGGCGGATTGTCGTGAACCGCGGGCAACATGGCGAAAGATAACTCTCCCGGTGCCCCCACGGTCGATATATCACCTTATCTCGACGATCCCAAGTCTGACGCTGCCAGGAAGGTTATTGACGATGTTCGTGAAGCATGCATCTCGACGGGTTTCTTTCAAATAATTGGACATGGTATTCCCAAGGAGGAACAGAATAGTGTCTTTGATGCGGCACACGCCTTTTTCACACTGCCTTTGGAGGAGAAAAAGAAGCTTGACGCCGCAAATTTCATTGGTCATAGAGGGTATGATGTGTTGGCCAGTCAGTCATACGAGGAAGGCGTCTTACCAGACTTGAAGGAGGTGAGAATTCCGCAGAATGTATACCCTTCTGATTGGTGTGAATTCGTTTTTAGTGGCCACCGCTCCCTCAGGTAGCCCATCTTGCCCCGACTGGCCTCCGATCTATCACCGAAACTTGCCTGCTGAAGTCATGAAAATTAGGGATACTACGTAGGCAGCAACGTTTTGCCATCAGATCCTTTGCATGGCCGTTTCTTCATGGGGCCAAATGTTTGGCCACCGGCCGCGTTGCTGCCAGCCTCGCAGTTCCAAACACCATGCGAACGATACCATGAAAGTGTTCAACAGCTTGCCTTCAAGGTTCTGCAATTAGTTGGAGCTACCATGATATCAGCCGCTTCCAGTGAGCACAGAGCCATTAGTACGACCGGCAACATGCCAACTGTTTTGCACGATTTGATCAAATTGGATCAGACCCCGGCATGTCCACTTCGCCTTCTGCACTATCCGTCGGCTGCCCGACATGGCGGGGACGTGGCCGGCATGCCACAGTATGGGGCATCCGCACACACTGACTTCGGTGTGATTACTCTCCTCCTTCAAGATGATAACCCAGGCCTCGAAGTGCTCGGAGAGAAAGACGGGAAGCATGTCTGGTGGCCGATCGACCCTAACCCGGACGCGTACGTCGTTAATATAGGAGACATGGGTAGCATGGTTACCAACGGGTTGTATAAGAGCAGTATGCATCGGGTGGTGTGCAAACGGCCTGAAAGGGAGAGGTATAGCGTGGTATTCTTTCTTGATGGCTGCTTAGACGCATGTCTAAGGCCTGTGGAAGGGTTTGGACGTTCAGAGGAAGAAGATGCCGGTCCTTACAGGACGGTAGAGCAGCATATGGTTGAACGATTATCGATGAGCTATGCGAAGGACGGCAAAGACCCAAGGCATAATGAGGATACCGTCAATGCCTAACTGTGGTCTTTATTTGGAGCGTAAACTCGAATTTGCCTATTTCCAACAATGTACTCAAGTAGGAGCACAGTTAGCCCGGCATCTCACATTTATCAACTTTTTATTTCCTCGTCCTCCAGTTGATAAACGCGCAGCCAAAATAACCACAAAATGTTTCGCGTCAACCATATTGCCAGTGCTTCATGTACGCGTAGCTACACACGGCCAATTGCATATTTGCACAATATACGCTGCTTCAACCCAAGCATAGCAATCAGCATCGCGTACATTGGAAGTCTTTGGTTAAAATAAAGATTTCCGCCCCTGTACATCTTAACTGGCTGATTACATAACTAGTTAAGGAAGTCAAGGTCTAAACTTCCCGAGTAAAGGATGCCAACATCATCTCCCTGCAAGGAAACGATTCCAGGCCGTCTATATTGTTGTGACGAGGTATTCCCAGCTATTACCCATGACAGAGAGGTAAGTTATATGCACTGATGCCCTGTTAATCTCACTTCTTCGTCAGTTTGCTGATATAAATACAGTTCGATCGCCTCCGCCGTTGCGCTACCAGAACCCCCACAATATCCTGGTCCAGACGCTTTACAAAAGCGAAGACAGAGCGTCTCAAGCGAGAACAGCAGTAAACGGAGACGGCTCAGTGCAGACGGGGCCTCCGAACATGCTGTCTCTTCTGCAACACCGTCGTCCACCTCAAATACACGGCGGACCAATAACTCCGCGGACGGGAAGGCAGCGAATCAGCGCAAACCGGGGGTAGAAGAAGAACGAAAGCGTGGCCGGAGGCTTTTCGGCGCTTTACTTGGAACACTTTCTCAAAGTCCATCCTCGCCGGCGCAAAGGCAGCGTTCAGAGATCGATAGAAAGCAACAAGAAAAGCTGAAGCTGCAAGATAAAGAACACAATGAGCTAACCAAAAAGAAATATGAAGATCTTATGGCGGCAAGGAGGAAAGACCAGATTTTATACAATGAGCAATCGGTGTGTTAGCACAATGAGTTCCTTGTCCCCTTGTCACTATGCTTGCTAATATCTCCAGTAGATGAAGTTACATCACTCCAATATGCTAGCAATGGCACACTCCCTCCGAACCAAAGCGGAGCCCCCTCTAGTAAGTGCCCTTAAGTTATGATCCTTTAGAAGCTCTTATTGACATTACTACAATTGATAGTATTATCGGCCGTGGTACCTTCGGCCACAAGACGAGTTGAAAATCCAGGACCAGATTGCTGAAGCAAAAATGACCATAGCAAAGGAGATAGAGGACGCTAACCTATGCCATAAACCGCAGCACGAGTTGGCTACTGACAAACTGGAACATAATGTTGCACACTCTGACCTTAACACGGCTGAGGCTAAGGATACAGAGAATCTCAGGTTCGGTGGGTGTTAATACTAATGATAAAGGCGAACAGACCAGCGAGGCCCCGCAAACGGCCTCAACTAAGACATTCTCCGGGCCGGAGATTCCTATTACGTCGCTAGTCCCTACTGAACTTGATGAAGAGCACTCCGGTGAGGTACTGTTGGAGGATAACGAGGACGCTGTGATCTACTAGGCTGATGGACTGTATGCCCTCGGTTTTCTCTTCCTCCTCTCACTCCCCGTTATTGGCCCTCTTTGAACTTACTTCTTCAGAAAATGCACTCCATATAACCCCCTTGCTTCTCTACAAATTGCACCTAGCATCCTCAAACCATCTCATCTTTGGGTACCGTTCAAAAGCCCTGCGGTCCGTACGTACCTTTTCCACTGGTATAGGTTAGAAGGTGATATCTGTCCACATAATGTGCACCAGCATGGCCTTATTCTTACGGCAACATCGGCATTCTCCGATTGTGCCACTCTCTCTTAAGCGTCTCATTCCTAAATTCCCAAGACTTCCAAAGTTGAACATCACAGGAATGAATGTATATTAATGAAAATAAATCACAGTCATCCTGTATGGAAAATATACTGCACTGTAGTTGTTATTCCCGTGTAGAGGGTAGGGAATAACCTCGGCTGGTTACCCCCTGTTGGTTGCTAGTTACGTAACTAGAGCCAGGCAAGCATGTCGTATATATAATATGTAGCAGCCCCCTCCAAACTCTCTTAACTCTAGATATTTATCAGTTCTTCATCCGAGGCTGTATCTAACAAACAAGTTGGGGCTTTCGTTGAAGGCAGTGGTTCGCAAATGCAACATTGCACAGCCGCGACGACCAGTACGTAACGGTTCACAGTCCGTCCAGCTGTTCTACATATATCAGCCGATATGCCGGTAGATAAGATACAAGTTCCGGATGATCCGAGGATTCAGCGTTGTTCTACAATTGTGAATGGGACAACATATGGTATCGTTTCTCCTTTCTAGCTGTTCGCTCCTTGAATTGATATGTCATCCCGTAGTTACGACGTGTGTATGTTAAGAGTATAGATACTAACATTGGAGCAGGATACCTCCTTGCCGTTCCTCCAAATGGCAAATATCGAGCAACGATCTTTCTGGTGTGTTGCGACCTTTTTCTGAACAACTGCCATTCCAGGGTGCTTTCTGTTCCCTTATACCCTAACATGATAATGCGGATATAGATCCATGGTTTCCCGGATATTTCTATGTGTTGGAGATACCAAATCCCTACCCTTCTCAGTCTCGGTCTGAGGGTAGTCGCACCCGATTGCATTGGCTATGGGCGTAGTGTACGTCGTTTATGTTCTACTCAGCTGGCGATTTTAGCTGACCCCTCACAGGAAGCTCCGCGGTTTACCCCCGAATCAGCCTGGCGGTATGGCTACAGGCAATGCGCTAAGGATATGAAGGAGCTTGCACGCCAGCTAGGGTCTTCGCAAGTTATTCTAGGAGGCCATGACTGGTAGGCATGACCCAATATTCTCCGGCATAGAACTATATATTCATATCTCTATGTAGGGGCGGTGCTGTTGTTTATCGTATAGCACTTTACGAACCCGAATTCGTCACCCATCTATTTTCGGTCTGTACTCCTTACTGGCAGCCGACAAAAGAGTTCAGATCACTTGAGGAGACAGTGGCGATGATCCCGTACTTCGGATACCAGCTTCAACTTGCCAACGGGGGTTTGGAAAATATCCTTCAGACAAAGGAACAGATTCGTCAATTTTTAAACGCCATGTATGGAGGTCGGACAGCAAGTGGTGAGGCCGTAGTAAGCACGGAAAAGGGCATACTTCTGGAAAAGCTGCCTGGAGTCAAGCAAACTCCATTGCTCAGCAAGACGGTACGTATTTACTCTAGTCAAATAAGTGTCTTACTTGCAAAAATTCCATTCTGCCAGGCTACTCCACGAAACCTAACGGATGCTAATTTGTCACATAAATAGGAAATGGATTACTATGTGGACGAATTCTCAAGAACAGGTCTACACGGGCCAAGTAGGTGTTCCTTCATATATAAAAGTCGGCGTTAGGCTAATTACAAGCTACTGTCCAATAGTGAACTGGTACCGAACCCGAAAGCAAAATTGGAAAGAGGAACAAGAATTCATGGACAGCTCTATCGAAGCTCCCGTTCTATTTATCCAGGCAACCAAAGATACAGCACTACGACCGGAACTTGCGCGTAATATTGACCGGTATCTCAAGAATCTGACCAAGTGCGAAGTTGTTGCTTCACACTGGGCACTATGGGAAGCCCCAGAGGAATGCAACGCGCATATTAAGCGGTGGCTCGAAGACGTTGTGTTTGGTAGAAAGGAAAAGTTGTGAATGGAAGACTGGTGTGCTCAGCACAGGTCAAAACTCTCCCTCAATACAAATACATTAGATGATATAATGATACAAGATGGTAGGCTTTATCCAATTAAGCTGATAAATAAAGCATGTCTCCCTAATATAGTATATGCATCGGAATATTTTCGTATAATTCGTTTATGTCCAAATGGTCGACATCATCCCTCGGTAGCAATCATTGTTCCAATACCGTAGTCTTGAAGTGTGCGCCGGCATTTTCTAGCTTTTCAATGTACTCGTCTTCCAAAGAAGCAGGCGTTAGGTAGCCCGCCTTAATCTCCTGCCCCACCCGGTTGCTCCTCGCCAAAACCATGGCGGCCTCAGCCAGGAAAATCCCCGTCAACGTATACGGGCACCCGTCATAACGGAATGAACCGAGTACTCTGATATCCTTTTTCCCAGGCTTGTCCTGTTTGGCAGTTGCAACACCTCTGTATTCAATTGAGAACCCGGCTTTGCTTTCCTCTGGTGCTCCTTCTCCAGGAGCATAAATGTATCTCGGTAGCAGCCATCGCACAGGTGAGAACAACAAGACAATGGCGACTGAGATAAGAGTGAAGTGCACAGCAATACCGGTGAATATGTTGCGGGTTTTCATGCTCTCCCAGAACCGAAAGTTGGGGCTAAAGAGCTGGGGCATCATAGAACTGGTACGGTGGACAATTGAAGTGTCACACGGCTCGCAGACGCAGGTAGTGCCGACTCCGATGTCTGGGACATAATGTACGCCAAAGATTCGGCGGAAAATAGAGACAGACCTTGGCTGAGCGGGCTTGGAGAGTGAGATGCAGTAGGGATCGCTTGAACTTGACTCAAGGTTGTTAAAGAAGTCAAGAATTGTCGAAAGAGTACCGCCGCTGAATTTTCCTCTATTATCAATGTTAGACTGTGATAGTTCTATCAGAATGACAGGAGAAACGTACTTTATGTGATAAAGAGACATCGTTGTCTCGTCAGTAACAACATCAAATTGGTCCTTGATGGATTTGGCCATAACGTAGGTCAACAAGTCGGCGGGAGCACTTTCAATCCCATTCGCTGATATCAACTAAGACCCAGTTAGACATAAGGGATGACGATGCCTTTTAGCGAGACAGTACGAGAGAGGTATACGAACAATTGCGCCAGTGGATTTTGCGGTTTCATGGAATTTATTGACCATGTCCTTGACCCACGGGGCCTCACCCGTCCTATACGCAAAAGTCAGTATCATTCTATTAATCGGTAACAGTAGTGAATAGCCTTACACGTCAACATAATGGGTACCATTTTCAGCACAGGCCTTCACCACAGGCGTAGAATATTTGCGGTATGGGCCGACGCAATTGATCAGGACTTTCGTCTTGCAGGCCAGAGCAGTCAGTTCTTTTTCGTTAAACTGGAGTACAAGTTGTTCTATTACTCGATTAGCATTCAGCCTTCAATTCAAAGCCTGTGGCGTGGCCTAGGCTGGGAACAGGCAGCCATGTAATAATACCTGGAGCCTTGCGATCCTTATCGTGTTCCTGCAGCTTCGTAGCCAACGCCTCCAACTTCCCCAGTGATCGACCTGCAATCCCCCATGCAAGGTTGGTAGGGAGACTTTTGACAATGTGCTCAGCGCAAAGCCTGCCAGTATATCCAGTCGCGCCCAACAGCACGATCTCGAGGTCCCGGGTGGAAGACATATCGATCGCGATGGTCGATGACGCGGGCAGGGCTATAGAAGGTACGAGGCGACTTCAAACTTCAAGTATGCGATATCCTCTCTCACGGACAACTGCTTCTCATCCGTCGATGTCGGTGTCTCTCTGTTACTCTATACCCTCCCATGTCGTTATCTACTTCCAAGATAAGTAGCGCCAAGACCTTACGAAGCCAAGCCGAGGTTAGAGTCACATGACTGGTCATATCACGGGATCTCGCCAAGTCTCGCGATCAAGTAAGCGAGCACACACAACGATCAAAGGAAAGCGCACTTCAATTTCTCATCATCAACATCTCAACTTCCGTTGCCCTTGCATCACATACCAAGCGCGACAAGATGACGAAGCGCACGAAGAGTAAGTTGGAAAGCCGTGAATCAAATTCCTGGAGCCGATAGATACTAATTGATTCCTGCAGAGGTCGGTGTTACCGGTAAATATGGTGTCAGGTACGATTTGCACTTTTGTCCACAGTGAACTGAACGACGCGATACGGCTGCTCGAACGGGATCGATGAACTGGAGTTGACTGGTGATTTTACAGATACGGTGCCTCGCTCCGAAAGCAGGTGAAGAAGATGGAAGTCACCCAGCACGCCCGCTACATCTGCACATTCTGCGGCAAGAACTCGGTGAAGCGCACAGCCGTCGGTATCTGGGAATGCCGCTCCTGCCAGAAGACCGTTGCCGGAGGTGCCTGGACTGTCTCGTAAGTCATTCTCAGGCTCTACCAGGGAGCATTACTTGATCCATGAAATTTTGATGAAGCGGGGTGAGATGGGGGAGGGGAGGAAGAAATGGCTAACATGGTGACTCTTCTTTTTCGCGACCTATAGCACCGCGGCAGCTGCCACCACCAGATCGACCATCCGACGTCTACGAGAAATCGCCGAGGTATAAGTTTGGGTTGGAATTAGGAGTTGCTATTTCTTTAGTTTTAATACATGGGGATTTTCTCTTGCACTTCCAAATCAAAATATGATGATGACGCCTTCAAACAGCCCCCTCATTCTGAGCAGGGAGGAAAAGCAAAAGCAAAGCAACGGGTCGAATAAAGGTCGCCTGCTTGTCTCATGTCGGATAGCCCAAGCTCAAGCTCAAAGACAAGGTCCGGCAATCGACTGTTACCAATAGATGTTAACACAATAAAAAAGACAAAATAAAATACCATTGCTTTCCCTGGCCGGCACCGTCACCCGACCCTGGCTCCTCGCTCTCTTTCCCTCTCTCCTCTTCTCTGGTGCCTCTACTGCGATCCATCATCCAGCTGTTTCCCCATGGCATGGGCGCTCGACCAGGATCGACGTGGGAGCCTCTTGACTCTCTCCTCGTAACCGCGGAGGCACTCTCGTAGCCAGGTCAGTCGCAGCCTACCCTCAGCCCATCTGCTGCGCATGCTAACCTTCTATCCTGTCTCTACCTGGCTTCTTATATCCCTGCCCTGGACCTCACCTGCCTTTCTCCATGCGCTTACTAAGCCAGATCAGGTGATGCTGAGCTAAGTCATGGGTGCAAGTCACGTTGCGCGCGCCTTCCCCGAAGCGGCCTAGCGCGCTACTCGCCCAGCTTCAAAAAGAACGGCCGCTGTTCCCCCACAACCTCTTTCGCCCTTCTTCGTCCCGTCTACTGCTGCGAAGCCGCCCAAGATATCTGCTCTTCATGCCGCCCACCACGCCTGCACGCTGCACTCTCGACATCCTCCACACCAGCAATGTCAGATACCTGTATTGTGTGCTTAGGCGACCTTGGCGAAGGCGACAGTCGCAGCCTCGATGCCGCTGACGTCGTGCCAAGACTAGACGACGGGGAGAGCGACACGCCCAAGGCGAGCGTGGATACGGAGGCTTCTGAGATCGCCCATTTACTTCCCTGCGGCCACAACCTACATAATGACTGTTTGAAGCCGTGGGTGGAACGGGCAAACAGCTGTCCCATCTGCAGGCAGAGCTTCAATGTTGTCGAGCTAATGTCCAAGATCGGAGGTATGTAATAACGTCCCTAATATAGTATATGGTAGCTATCTGCGGTTTGATAAAGCTTGTACTGACCACGATTTGTTTGCAGGCCCTGTCACCTCGTCATATATTGTTGAAGACCGAGTTCAGGTGGCGGACATCGACCCGTCCATGATAGTTGATGATTTACTTGAACAGGTGGAGGAGTTCCAACCATGTCCAATTTGCGGCGATGACGACAATGAAGCTGTACTCATACTATGTGACGGATGTGACGTTGCTTCCCATACATACTGCGTTGGCCTGGATTCAGTTCCACCCGGACAATGGTTTTGTGCCCAATGCGAGTCCCAGCGTGCACTTCCAGCCGCCCAACCCTCCCAATCCCGGAGGGCCCATCGACGCACCCGGGCAGATCAACGAAGGGTTCGCAATACCAATCAAATGCACGCCTTTCACTGGGCCCGGGTGTGGCAATCCGTCTGGGATCAACTCAACCTCGACCTTGACTTTCCATTTGATGATGAAAATGCCGCAGACCGCATTCTACAGCAACGAAGACGTGAGGCTTCAAATGTGAGAGAGTTTAGAGCTTGGGAAAGGAGATTTCGTGTTGCCGAGCGTCAGGGAGGGTCGAATCGCTTCCGGGAAACTGCCCCTGCACTGCTAGAGATGCGACGAGGCTGGCCATCACGGCCAAGACCTAGAATCCAAACCCCTGAACCGGAATCAGTGGACGAAATCAGAGCTTGGAATGCGTTTGAGAGAGCCAATGATATCCAAGAAGGGCCTCCATTGAACCGTCGAAAGAGAAAGTCCCCTACTGCATCTCCAATCGAGCCGGAGCCTAGCCAGCCAGAAAGAAAATTCAAGCGGCCACGAACTAAACGCCCGGAGGCTCTGGCAGATATCCTCGAACATGGAGGGGAGTCATCTAGTCGTGGCAGACTAACCAATGGTGACGACCACGCCCTGCCAGGCAATTCTCCGCCGTCCGGACCCAGCTTCCTCCAGTCCCTACTCAAGGAAGTTGAGGAATCATCAACACCCAACATAAACAATGGTCCATATAGACTCGCCTCTTCGTCCTACAACCCAACGGACATGAGCTCTTCTGGCCCTTCATCGCCTGCCCTTTCTCCACTCTCATCTAGCCGCTCCTCCTCCCGTCCATCATTTACTACACCACCGCCGCACAACCACCTCGCTAGCCCCCTTGATTCCACCCCAACCGATGCAAACTTCTCCTCTCCTGAGTTCTCCCCTTCCCGCTCTCCTGCACTCGCACCCGACCCACTACCAGCAGAATCTACACGACGTTCCCGGAGTCGCATTCCCGTCACCCTTTCATTCCGCCGCAATGATCTCTCTCCCTCCCCTCCCCGCCTACTCTCTGACGAAACGTCTCCCAGCCGCGGTCTATCCCTCTCCACCAAATCCCATCTGCAAAAGATGGTCAGCTCCTCACTTAAGCCGTACTATCGTCGCAGGGAAGTTTCAAAAGAAGAGTATACAGATATCAATCGCAGGATATCTCGGCTTCTATATGACCAGGTCGACGCATCCGGTGCCCTGGACTCCGAAACCAAATCAAAACTTGCTATACTTGCCAGTGATGAGGTCAAAAAGGCCGTTTCTATACTAAGGGATCTAAGGACAAATGAAGCCACCGATAGTAGTGGTGCAGGGTCTGCCCTGGCTTCATCTTGAGCTTTTAATGAATACAACGATGACCACGACGGATGAACGAAAGATAACAAACCCAACTCCCACATGAAATTGCCTAATGAAGATTCTTGGACTTGATCCTTAATACCAGCACGCATGTATTTTACTCATATGTTTTATTAACCAGGCGACCCTACACTCCTGCCTATTTCACAGCCACCATCACACCCAAATAACCCTCTCCTGGTGATCTTGTCTTCTATCATCTTTCGAGAGCATGGCGTTTTGGAATGGACTATTATGTCACAGGCGCAAATAGGGGTAACGGAAAACACAAGGGAAAGAACGGGTTGGCGTCACGCGGTTGATATTCTCGTATCTCTTAAAGGTTGCAGTCGGATGCACATGGGGGCCTTGTTTTATTTTATTTATGCTATGCTTTTGATAATATTTTCCCCAGAGAAGGGGAGGGAACTGGCGTTGAGGTCTGCTGTCTTGATTGTCTATTAGGCAAGAGATTTATTTCATTTTGATAGAATGAAGGGAAAGTACATTACGTGTTACCAGCGGATACTGGATACTGATGTTTTTATACTTTATACTATGCATAGACTAGCCGAGATGATTATGAGATAATGATGCATACCACCACTCCCATCCATCCATCAAAATACCCGTTCTGTGCCTCGTCCTCGGATATATCACAGTAACCCCGACGTGTGATATGATTATGTAAGTAAATAGTTACTAATCAACTTGCGACGTCTTCTCCAAGCTCTTATGAAATATCCGCGACGACCACTGACGGAATCGCTCTCATCCACCTGCAACTGGCGATATTTTAGCCACGGAGTTAAGATACGCTAGTGTGGGCCGAATCCTGTAAATCCGATCGTTATTCTACGTTTCGGATAGACTTCGCGCCGTTTTGATTGGCCCCAGCGGCATCCCTTAGCTTGTCTTAGCTTTTATCAAGCCTCGGTTCAATTTATATTTTTGCGGAAACCTGACTTGGGAGCTCAACTGATACGGGCGAAAGAGACACTTTCGATGCTAAAAAAGGACAAGAAGATGACGCAACAGCAGGGAATAGGCCATCCGTTGAGGCTAGAGCATTGACTCATTCGTGTCAAGCACTTTTGGTGGATAACACTTTAGATCCAACGGCCAGCATGCTTGTTGTTGGTTGTTGGTTATTTTGATTTCTTTTCTAGACTTCGCTCTAGAAATAAACTTATACTTTGTAGCGGCACATAGTAGCCGCGGCTATACCAAACGTTATGTTCAGTAATTCGTGGAACTCGGTATGTTGGCCCCCGCTCTCCCGTCGAGATTCAAATGAGATAAAACGTGCTAACAGACTTAGTGGTGTTATCACGGCGGTATGATGACTCGCCCTTTTGCGTTTTATGTCTCTTTGGAGCCATCACACCATCGTATTCACATAACATCCACCTGGGTGGAGATGCAATCATCTCGGCACAGCGGTCGGCCTGGATATTCGGCTCCGAGTCCCACCCAGGGCCGTGGAAGATTTGAAATACACGCTTGAACGTATGTGTATATATACATCCAGCTATGACTAGTTCAATGGACATGAATTATCAAAATTGGTCTCCACGAGCATCCAATTCAATATCAATATATCGCTGAGCCAACGTTCTTTTTAAACGTGTTTATTGGTGGCCACGACGGAGAATACAATAACCCCAAATAAGATAACTTCCACTTCTGTCTCTACAGCAGAGGTTCATCATTTGATGGACCCCGGAAGAGAAACTCAGATTAGTGGTCCGGGGGCCCCCCAAGATAGTATCAACTCACTTGAGAAGGCGGTCATTGAGGACGAATTCGACATTGAAAAGGGCCAGGCACCAGGATCAGTCTCTTCTCCTCCTCTATCACTAAACGATGAACTGGCGAAGGATCCCAATTTGGTGCGCTGGAGCGGCTCGGACGACCCAGAGGACCCGACGAACTTCAGCCGTGCTCGGAAATGGTACATCACAATGCTTTTGTCCATATTGACTTTCTGTATCACCTTTTCTAGTAGCATCTTCAGTCAAGCCACAGCAGTAACAGCAAAAGTCTTTGGGGTGTCTATAGAAGTTACAACTCTTGGAACGAGCTTCATCGTCCTGGTGAGTGAAAACAAAATCTTCATACTAAATAATCCTACCAGTTTACTAACGTTATGAAAAGGGATTCGCCCTTGGTCCAATTGTCTGGGGCCCTCTTTCCGAGGTGTACGGTCGGCGGCTACCTCTCCTCATCTGCTTTACCATTTCAGCTATATTCCAGGTCCCCGTTGCGGTAGCACAGAACCTCCACACAATCCTAATATCTCGGTTTTTGATTGGGGCGTTTGGTTCTGTCACGCTTGCCGTTGTTGGTGGCGCCCTGGTAGACATCTGGGACCCCGTTGATCGTGGAATCGCATCTGCTGGCTTCTGCGCAGCTACATTCTTAGGCCCTATTGCTGGGCCGATAGTTGGTGGTTTCATTGTTCACTCGGGCCTTGGATGGCGATGGACCGCCTGGATTACACTCTCCGTGGATGTAGCCATAGGCGGCCTGGCTATGTTTACTCTTCCAGAGACATTTGCGCCCGTGATTCTGCAACGTCGAGCAGCGCGCCTTCGATTCGAAACGAAAAACTGGGCCCTCCATTCTGCTCTTGATGAACAACCCCTGTCGTTTAACGATATAGTCACCAAATATTTGAGTCGTCCATTTGCAATGTTGATCTTGGAGCCGATTCTCTCCCTGGTTACACTCTACCTTGCTGTTGTTTACGGGATTCTATACCTCTTCTTCTTTGCATACCCAATCTCCTTCCAGCAAGTCCGAGGCTGGAAAAATCCTGGGATTGCAGCTCTTCCATTCATCGGTCTCTCCGTCGGGATCCTATGTGGCTGTGCCTTTATTGTCTACCTAAGCAAAACCCAGTTTGCACGAAAAATCAAGGAATCAGGGCGTCTAGTTCCTGAAGACCGTCTGCCACCCATGATAATCGCCGCGGTAGCTCTCCCTGCAGGCCTTTTCTGGTTTTCTTGGACTTCGTCACCAAACATATCATGGGTGCCCCAGGTCATAGCAGGCGTGCCCATCGGTTTTGGCTTGATCATTATCTTCCTGCAAGGCATAAACTATATCGTCGATGTCTATTTGATGTATGCCAACTCGGCTTTGGCGGCGAACACTCTGATCCGCAGTCTTTTGGGTGCTGCCTTTCCTCTATTTGCTTCGAAGATGTTTCATAAGCTTGGAGTTGAATGGGCCGGTAGCGTGTTGGGATTTGTGACCGTGGCCATGATCCCCGTTCCAGTGCTGTTTTATATATATGGGGCTAAGATTAGGGCGATGAGTCGCTTTAGCCCAAAATTGTGAGGTACTCTTGGAATTTTTGCCGTTTGTTCTGCTCATAGACTAGCTTGGGTGTTACTAGGTATTTTGTATGCATAAAATGGAGCTTTCTTTAGACTAGGACTGTGCTATAATGATATTGTTATTCTCTTCTCCCTCGTATAACATCCATTCGGGGTGTACAGAGTACCAGACTTGATGATTGACATAGAATATATGTTCTATTCGTCTTCATCCTTGGCTTCAAAAAGTCTCGGGAGAAGTGATATCCTCACGTGATGATTCTCTCACGTGACATAAACACTTGGTTACATAAGACAAAACGCGCTCGCGCATCGAGGTAACTTTCGAGCAGGCAGCCCAAACTGAGCGAAAAGAGCCCATCTCGCAGTTCGAGCTCATCAGTGCGGTTTCTCCTCAGACACTTCAAGCTATCTGGCCAGTTGTGTGGAATTGGTCGAGGCTTCCACGCTGCCAACTCCTGATACAACACGAGCGCGCACTGCCCGGGGCCCGGGGCAGCACCGAGCTTGATTGCGAGGGGCCACTGGTCTATTCGCGAACGAGACGTCCAAAACTTCATACTACGAGCTTCTTCCTCACTAGGAGCGCATGGTTTACGAGAGTCTATAAACCCAAGACTGCCATTCGGGGCTTATTAATAGCTGTATACGCTATACCATGCCCGCGCGCACACGGCACGCGAAAGGCGCAAAGGCGCCGGCCACGGTTGTGACAGAAACCGTGGAACCGGAAGAACAAGAAGAGGAGCAATCCGAGCAAGAACAAGGCGACGATTCATTGCACCAACTCAAGTTCAAACAGACGCTCTCATGGCGCGCCGGGAAAGCTATACCAGTTGCAACTTTGCTACAACGTCTCGAGGCATTGGGTTCGGAATTGCGAATGCTGGACCAAGAAGAGACGGACCGAAACTCGTTGACTAAAGTCTCACAAGAGCTTGCCGCAGGGCACTTATTGGGGCATAGGGATAAAGGTGTTCGCGCATGGACGGCCTGTTGTGTGGTTGATATCTTGCGCCTATGTGCGCCTGATGCTCCATTTACCGTGGGTCAGTTAAAGGTATGTATACTTCTTCCATTTTTCTATCTAGGTACCGTAACTTACCAAGTCATGATGGTTTTATAGGACATTTTCACATTGATTGTGACGTCGATAATACCTGCTCTTGCCGACCCCTCCAATGCATATAACGACCAGCACATATACGTTCTTTCGTCATTGGCAGATGTCAAAAGTATTGTACTGCTCACCGACGTCCATGCACCTGATACCTTGATACTTCCACTTTTCTCTTCTTGTTTCGATATAGTATCAGGCTCCTCGAAGGCCTCAACTGGAGAAGACCTAGCGAAGAATGTTGAATATGATATGACGCGACTACTCGCCCCAATTATTGACGAGGCACCTAGCTTGGCGCCAGAAGTAGTCGATGTGATTGTCGCTCAGTTCTTACGCGTGGATCCTCGAGCCATAGACCAGTCCCTAGCCACCCCTACCACAAAAGGTAAGAAGGGTGCTACTGGAGTGATTGATGCCAAACAAGGCACTCTACTATTAAAGGACTACCCACCAGCTTATAACATGGCAAAAGCGATCTGTAATGCTTGCCCGGAGAAGTTGACAAGCTATATCAGTCAGTACTTTAATAACGTTATCCTGGACGCTTCGGGGCCTTCAGGCATGAATGGGCTGAAACACCGTCGAAATAGCTTAGACGACTCAGAAGACGAGGGTGAGAATATCAAAGATCTCAACAAAGCCCACAGGCTAATACGAGAGCTATGGCGCGCTTGTCCTGATGTGTTGCAAAATGTGATTCCACAACTGGAAGCTGAGTTATCTGCTGATTCAATTTCCCTCCGTCTACTCGCAACTCAAACTATCGGAGATCTAGCAGCGGGTATCGGTGTGGCAGGCCCGCCTCCAGATCCATCCATGGACCCTGCTGCTTACCCCCAATATTCGTTAACTAATGACACGGAGTCTATCTCCCCAACCAATGCTCTCCTAAACCCTCTCTCGCCTAAACCATTCTCACAAGCGCATTCCTCCGCCTACGAAAGCTTCCTTTCCCGCCGCCAGGATAAGTCTGCATCTGTACGAGCTTCGTGGGCAACCGCAGTTGGGAGGATACTGCTCACCTCGGCAGGAGGTACTGGATTGAATGCTGCTGAAGAAAAGAGTTTGGTCGGTGGACTTACCAAGGTGCTTGGAGATGCTGACGAGAAAGTTCGAATCGCGGCGGTAGAGGTCATTGCAAAATTTGGCTACAAAGATGTCATTAAGAAACTTGGGGCTGATGGCGGGCTCTCAGAACCTGAATCCCTTCTTTCGGTCCTAGCAGAGCGAGTCAAGGATAGAAAACACGCAGTGCGTGAACAAGCAATGACTGTACTAGGCAGGATGTGGGCAGTAGCATCCGGAGATATTGAGGCAAACAACGATGAGGTTGTAACCGTCTTGAGGGACGCGCCTTCAAAAATTTTCGATGCCTACTATACAAACAACCTTGATCTTCAAGTACTTCTTGACCATGTGATTTTCGAGGTGCTTTTACCCTTAACTTACCCTCCGGTTAAAACGAAAGCGGGCAAGGGGGAATCACGGAGGACTAAGACGTTGAAGGACAGCCAAGGGAACGAAATTGACGCAGATGATATTCGTGCCCGTCGAATACTCACGTTGGTCAAAGGACTAGATGAGAAATCCAAGAACGTATTTTTCGCATTCCAAACTCGACAGCTGAAGATGAGGACCTTTATAACCTTTTACTTGGACGCATGCGAGGAGCACAACGTAAGTTCATTCCAAGTAACCCAATATCCCTTCTCAAAACTAACATATATTACTGATAGGGTGGTGTTATAAACAAAAATGAAGAGGCTGTTAAAATTAAGCTCACGAGGGTCATTGATAACCTCTCGAAAATGCTCCCAGAATCTTCACGAGCATCTGCAGACCTGTGGAAGTTTGCAAAGATGCACGACAGGCGCGGCTATCAGCTTATCCGGTTTGCCATGGCTGCTGCGAGCGATTATCGTACTGTGGCGAGGGCAATAAGAGAGCTGTCAAACCGCATTACCTCTAGTACATCGGCGACTACAACCATGCTCGAAACCCTGATCCCTCTGATATATCGCAGCAGTTCCCTGATTTTCAACAGAAGCCATATACCTCGGATCATGAAAATATCAAGGACGGATGAACATGGGCTGGGTAATACAGCACACGAGATTTTACGCGAAACGTCCTCACAAAACCCAGAGGTGCTAGAAACACACGTTCAGGAAATGTGTAAAGATTTAGAGTCACAGGCACCCAGCGCGAAAGACAGTGACGATCCAGGCGTAGAAGAAATTCTCAAGGCCTGTGCTGGATTTGCCAAAAAGTTGCCAGCAAAGCTTCCCACCCATAAACAATTCCAGGTCGCCTTGACGAACTACGCGCTATATAGCTCTTCTCCCGTGGCTGCAAAGTGTGCGGTTTCTATAATTATGGCAACCGCGGACAAGAGAGAAATGTACGCACGGGATTTGGTCAAGAGGAGCGTGCAGAAGTTCAGTTACGGGTCAGACCATTTCCTCACGAAATTAGCGGCTCTCTCCCAACTCACCCTCCTCGCCTCTAAAGAGGCTGATAAGGAGGAGGATGCTATCCTGAATATTGCCACTGAACAGATCTTATTCAAGAACCGTGACCCAAAAGCAAAATCTGGGTATTCCTGGTCAGAAGAGGTTGATGAAGAGCTGTTAGCGAAAGAATGGGCCCTCAAAATCCTTGTGAATCGCGTTCGTTCTAGGGAACATTCTGATGATGACGAGGAGTTCAGGCAGTACGCAGATTCCGTTTATGCCATTCTTAACACTCTCATCGAGAAACAAGGAGAGCTCTCAAAGACTGGAGATACTCCGCCTGCACAAAAGTCCAGGCTTCGGTTGCTGGCTGCCAAACTAGTTGTTAAACTATGTGCATCGAAGACAGCCTGTGACCGCATGTTTACTCCTCAGAATTTCAATACCATTGCTCTTGTGACCCAAGATCCTCTACTCGAAGTGAGACGAGGGTTCGTTGGGCAAGTCAAAAAGCGACTTGTACAAACGCCGAATCTCAACCCTCGGTGGTACATCATTGCGTTTCTTGTCGCGTTTGAACCCAATGCCAACCTCTATGAAAGCACCCTTACGTGGCTCCGATCACGAAGCTCCTTTTTCTCCCGCCGCCCTGGCGGTTCCCTAGGGCAAGATAACCAAACGACGATGGAGGCTCTCTTTGCTCGTCTTCTCTCCCTTCTCGCTCACCACCCTGACTATCCACCTGAATCGTCCGATGAAGCTAGCACGGTGGATGATCTGGTTGATTTCACTCGATACATCCTCTTCTACCTCTCCGCAGTCGCTAACGAAAATAACCTCTCATTAATATTCCACATCGCACAACGTGTCAAGCAAACACAGGACGCAATTTCGGATGCAGAGTTAACCTCGACCATGTCGGCCCGACTACACACGCTTTCAGACCTAGCGCAAGCTACGATCCGGCGGTTTGCAGAATTCTATTCTCAACAACACAAAATTGGTGGAAGTGGAGGCAGCGGAGTTGCCAACATTCTTCAGACATTCCCTGGTAAAATGCGGCTGCCTGTCAGTCTCTTTGCAAATATCGCAAGTCACCAAGAGGCTCAATCAATAGCTGAGAAAAATTTCCTACCGGAAGAGGTCGAGGACAAGTTAGATCGAGTTGTACGAAGGTTCATGAAACCGAAAGCTACTGCCACAAGCCTTCACACATCCGCGGTAGCGGGGAAGAAGCGAAAGATCGAATCTAAGCCTAGTAAGCAAAAGGCTGGCGATGACGATAATGATGCATATGGAAATGGTGGGTCTTCAAAAAAGCCACGAAAGGAGAAAAAATCAACTTCTCGAACCGTTCCGATTCGCAAGAGGGTAACGGCAAGCGGTGAGGCCTCAAAGGAGCCCGGACGCAAGAAAAAGAAGGGCGAAGACGCGTGGGGCTCCGACGATGGTGATGAGGATCGCTCCTCGCCTGCGGCTAGACGGAGGAGTGGTCGCGGTACAAAGATACACGTCAGCTATGTCGAAGGTGACAGTGATGAGGATGACAGGGCTATGCTAGCGTGGGACGAAAGAGCAACAAAGGGGAAAAAGAAATCAGAAGTTATTGCGGATTCGGACGAGGAAGACGATAATGACAGTGCCAGGGAGGAAGAGGACGATGACGAAGAGCAGGATAGCAAACTTCCTCCCCAAAAGCAGCAGCACACAGAGGCCATCGAAGATACTGATATGAGTGATGTACCTCAAGATTTATCCACTCCGGCTGTATCCTCATCTCCACCCCCTGAACCATCTTCACCAGTTGCTGAAACCCCAAAACCAAAACGAGGCCGGCCAGCGAAATCCGCATCCAAACCTCTAAAGAAACAGCCAGGCAGGCCGACAAGAAAGAGCGCTCGGGGTTAAAGAGGGCGACGGCTTTGATCCGCCGACTCTCTTGACTCTCGGACTTCTCGTTTCCCCCTTCCACTCTAATCTCTATGTTATCTTTTGTGAATATATACGTGCCTTGTTTGATATGTAGTTGCTATGTCTTATTACGCAGCCTTGACTCTTGCGCAAACCCATGTTATGGTCTTCTTTTTCTCCTTACTTAGGGTTACTAAATAGCCTACTGTTCTAAAAATCTTCAACGTCACTAATCTTTCGTTTCTCAGCATTATCTATCAATAGATGTATTTACGTGGCGCATATAGAAAACATTCGATGTAGCATATTCTTCACTTAATACTCGAGCACTAAGCGTCTGATAAGAGGAAGTGATAAAATAGACATACAATTCCCGTGCACTTCACCAGAGTTTCGCGGTTAACTATGCCATGGACGAAATACATCCTGCAAATTACTTTGATTAAACATCTACAGCAAAAATTTGTCCCAACATTCTGAACAAAGGTGCAAATATCCCGTTCTTGTAACAATGGACCAAAAAAGGTATAGTAATTGGAACAGGAGTAAACGGAGAATATTAGGAAACGTACAAACATGCATGATGCCAAAATAATGAAATCCACTCGAATCCCATCGAGGGCCCATAAAGGAAACAAACAGCAACGGACTGCAGTTTTGAGTTGAGTACCAAAATAAAAAATAAAAGGTAAAATGTACTGTTATCAAGAATCCAAGGGACGATTTTAGTCCACTTGCATTATGGGCTTATTTCGTAATTGCGTTATGCAGCACCAGCTATGGAATCGTTTGTTGCAGAGTCATCTGCGCCTGCTGAAGAATCGTTTTCTCTTGTTTCAGCATTGGCTGTCCCGCGTCTAGTACTGCTGCTGGCAGTGGAGTTCCCTCTGGATTCTCGGCCAACTCGTGCTGCAACGGCCTCCTTGTGGTTTCTGTTTTTGAGATGGACTTCGAAGTTTTCAACCGTCATCGCGGGTCCGGGAGTGTAGAGTTTGCCAGGACAGTCGTTACATCGGATTCGAGGGAAGTATTTGTACGGTAATTTCTGGCCAGGGTGTGACTGTGCGGCATTGGGGATGGGTAGATTGGTGGTTGGATCCACGGCGGTATAGCGCATAGTTCCTTCGAAGGAGTCGTTGGGGTACTGGCGTTTTAGGCCAACAAGGCCATGAGTGAGCCACTGTGGAGGAGGAGGCTGTATGATTTCGGTTAGTCAAATGCCGTAGAATTGTAAGGGGTATTCTCGTTATCTGATGGTCGAATAGGTACTCACAGGTTGGGTCCCTGGTGGTAATGGATGTGGTGCGTCGATAACACCATGGAATTGGGGAGGGTTGACTGGCTTCTTGGTAGCCGAGCCAGGCTGGCCTTGAGACGGAGGAGGTCCCATAGATCCGCGAGCGCTAGATCCACCCTTTCCTGTAGGAGTGGTCGATGGCCCGCCAGGAGAGGCAGTATATTGTCTTGAGCCAGACTTCAAGTCTCGCATAAACCGCCGGAATTTATCTGGGTTTATTTTCAACTTGACAATGAGGGTTTCTGGTGCCTCCGAGCTTTCCTCTCGGTAGTCCCGGCGTCTAGCGGACGTTCTCGTCTCGTGGGCGTGTACTGTGCTTGTCTCGGGGGTAGCAGAGCGACCCATTTGTCCTCGTATGGCTGTCTGAGCCATGGATGAAGCTTGCCTCATGCCCCTTGTTCTGGCAGTGCCCTGACTGAGGCGAGAGACGGCCGGAGATCCAATAGAAGACTCTTCACTGTCAGAAGAATCCGAGTCATCCAGACCATCACGATGACCAGTTGAGGTCCGTCCACGACGACCGGTACTCGATCGTTTAAAGAGTCGACTCTCTTCTATCGACTGAGCAGATCCAGGTATAACAGATGACACGACCATGGTCCGAATTGTTCGTTGACGGTCTTTGAGATCAGGAAGTATTGGCCCGCCTCGTCGGTTGACACGCTTCTGTCGTCGCTGTTCACGAGAAATAGAGACTTCTGTCCGGTCGAGCTCGGCTTCATTAAGTTCGTAGAGGTATGGGGTGTATTCCTTGGCGATATTAAAGGGACGGAATGAAGATGGGATGGGAGATGGTTGGAAGGCGTCTTTTAGCTCTGGGTCATCGATAGGTCGTCCGTCAAAGGGATGGGCTACAACGTATAGACTCTTGGTAAATAATTGTACCTGCTCCCGAATGGAATGTGCGATTGCAGTAGTAAACTCCCCAGGTAAAGACAAATCCTGGGACATTTGAATTGCGAATCCCTCGGGCGAGTTGTGCGGATCGTTTAGTTCCCATTCGAATTGATCTACCAGCGTGTGTTGTCCGATGGTGATGTTCAGCTTTATCAAGACTCTCATTTCGTCGTTTTTGTAGGCAGAATATGGTAGATGGGGGTCGAGAGGCTCCTCTTCAATAAAGACCTGAGGATAAAAGTCCGCTAACTGTTCATGAATGCTCTGCGTGACTTGCCGTACTAGGGGGCCACACGACTCGAGCGGGAGGCCCAAATCTTCTACCAGCTTCTCGGCAAAGACCTCTACAGGAGTAACACGATCGTGAAGGTTCCACGTAAAGGTATCCCGCACTTTAACCTTGTCCCAGTCGATATCTAATCGAATTGGAACCAGGTTCTCGTCCTGATCGGATTGAGTGAGCATATCTTCTCGTGGTATCCGCAGCTCCTTGGCCTTCCTCCCGCCCGGCCGCCTTCTGTTTGAAGGGTAGAGAAGTTGTGGATGTTGCGACCTGAGATCTGTCCTGGCGTTGCCGTAGCCTTCATAGCCAGGCCCGAAGATGGCAGCGGGGTTCATCTGCCTCTCTTGATTAACCGCGAGATAGTACTCTCTCTCCTGGAACTTTTGTCGGAGCGTTTCCTGGTGGGTATTTTTTGTGGCCGCAAGCGCGGAGTGGCCCCATTCCCGATAGAGATACTCTTCAAGAAGGACCTTGTCTAGAGGAGTCTCGCGCGGCAGGCCATCCTTTTCTGCCGTGGGAGATGCAGAGCGTATGATCGAACCGGAGCGTGACCGCTTTCGACTTACTCCGTTCCCGTTTGTGACCCCGGTGTCCGATAGAGGGGAGGCGGAGCTAGGTTTGACAGCATCGTCGTTGTCTGCGGGTTGTGATGGACCGTCTGGCAGCTCTGAAGCTCCTAATATAGCTCTCGCATTCTGTTTCCCTTCCAGGATACCCGCCGGTATGGATCCATTGTGTGACTGCTGTTCCTGTGGCGACTCTGTCGACTGCTCGCCCGGCTGGTCAGGCTGCAACGAGCCGCCGGCGGCAGCAGCAGCTTGTGGTGAAACCTGCGGCGCGACATCGGGCTGGTTCGTACTGGTATCGGGGTTTTCTGGCCACGGCATGTTTGGTGGTGAAGGGTGAAAGTCGTTGCGTATCGGAAGACGCTACCTGTAACAATGGCGACGCCTCAGTCCGCGTTCAAAAGGGAGGCTGATGCCACAAACACGAAGTTCCGGAGAAAGCAGAGAGTTAAGACAGGACAGGCTATGGAAAGAAGGGCATACCGGAATCGCGCAGTGAATGCGACGTGTAGAGATATCCCCAAGCCCTTGACGACGCGGTCGAGCGAGGGTGACAACCGCATCCAATGGCAAAAGGGCGGGCTGGTGGAAGGGGATGCGATCAAAGAGTCAGGAATTGACCCCAGTCAACGAGGAAGAACACACTCAATGCGCTGCGAAACCAGTATACATCGCCGGCTCGACTGCTTCGAAACCCTGGAACTTGCGTGTTGAAGATGCTCTTGCGATGTTCTTTCCTGGCTGTTTTGCGCTAGGATGACTAAGCCACGTGTTGCTGACTAACCTACACATACACATACATAGACATAGACAATATAAGATAGATATTAAGAGACATTAAGATATATTAAATAGATATGATTAAGAGACATTAAGATAGATACGAAACTAATGAAGGGAGACGTCAGCTACGACGGCGCGGTGGTCTGAGATGAAGACGCCGTTGTCAAACTTATTAGGAAGGGCAGCATAGCCATTGACGGTCCAGGGGATAGCCGAGTTCTTCTGGGGACCAAGCATCACATAGTCGATGCGACCGCCCTCGTCCCCCCTCTTGAAGCCGGTGAAGGTGATCTCGTTTCCATAGTGCTGCGCCTTGGGGACCTTCTTGTACGTGTCGACGATGAGGGAGCCCGGTTTGGTGAACTCCTTGTACGCCTCCTGGCTCTCCTCGCTGTTGAAGTCGCCCGCCAGAAAGTTCCCAGATATGTCATGGTTCCCGTCGAGATACTTGGCAATGAGCTTGAGGATCAACTTGGCCGACTCGTAGCGCGACTGTGAGCCCTGGTCGTCCATGTGGGTGTTCATGGCGAGAATCGTCTTGCTGGTTGCGCGGTGCTTGAAGACTCCAATAGTGACAATGCGGATCGAGGCAGCATCCCAGCCCTTTGAGGGGACGGTGGGCGTTTGCGACAGCCAGACGGTTTCCTTTTGCTTCAGTTCCCAGACGCCAGGGCGGTAGAAGATGGGCGAGTACTCTCCAGCCTGCTTTCCGTCGTCCCTGCCCACGCCGATGTAGGCCCATTCGTTGGCCGTGTTGGAGTTGAGTCCGGCGACGACGTCGGTGACCTGGTTGTGCAGAGCTTCCTGCAGACAGATGAAGCTCTCTGGGTTCAGACGGGAGTGGAATTGGAGCTCGTTCAGCATGTGTGGTGCGCGTACACTCCACGGCTCCTCGCCCGCAGACGGCGAAGTGGTTGCATATCGAATGTTATGCGTGATGATGCGAAAGAGCAGGTTGCCTAGCTTCATCTTAACGTCTATAGATGTAGATGTCGATGATAGATGTCGATTGATTCCTAAGACAGGAGGAGACAAGAGAGAAAAGAGAGAGAAGAGCAGGATTATATAGTCAGTTACCTCGTCTTCCCTGCGACATCTCGGCCTCCATCTGATATTTCACGGTGCGGGTCATGCTGTCCATGTGCGAGACTGGTTGGTTAGCTCTTCCTCGTAAAGATGTCTTCTACCGGCGTGATCCTGGCTCAGATCAAACATGGTAAGCAAGTCCGAAGTCGAGCCTCGGACGTTGTATAGACATAAACAAGAGGAAAAAGAAAGGCGCAGGTCCATGCAGCCAGGGCGGGGATGTTGAGGTACTTAAGTCTTCACTATAAGTTGGTGTAGGTTTAGGTACACTTACATTGGGAGTTGCTGGTGTTTTGGTACGTCATTGGCGGGCGCGAGGCCCTGCACAAACAAAGTAGATTCCCACAACAACCAAAATATCCCACTTCCGCCCTCTTCCCCCTCCAAAACGAACAACCCCGCTAAGGAGGAAGGATTATCTCGAACTGCTCGTCCAGGTAAAGGCTCACACGAGTACGCGCTCTCTGGCAGTCTGCACTTTCGGGCTTCTACCGCAGCCGCCTACTATTTAACAGCCTCTGTTCTGCCGTTGCTTGCACGGCCTACCTAGTCGCCATGGCGGAAAACACAGAGATCGGTGAGTTATCAGCTTTGTCCATGAGATGTCTTATACCATGTCAGTGTACTATACTCGACGCCTTGATGGTTATATTCAAGGAGTGAAGAACGCTGGTTTGGTTTAGGCATACCCCGCGTGTTTATACAACGGCTGGGATGAACCATGGCTGACACGGATGATCCCAGATTACACCCTCAATAACCCAGATACTCTCACCAAGTACAAGACTGCAGCCCAGATCTCCCACAAGGTTCTCGAGGCCGTTACAGGTGCGGTGGATTCCCCCTCGCTGTCTTTGTCAACAGCCGGAGAGTACGGCAAACGAAGGCTGGTTGCCGTATGTCTGATGAACACTGTTGACCGTTGATAATAGGATGGTGTGTCGAGGGAGCAAAGATCATAGAGCTATGTGAAAAGGGTGACAAGCTGCTAGACGCCGAGGTGGCCAAGGTATACAAAGGCAAAAAAGTGGCAAAAGGTCCGTCTGAAAGAGAGATGTGGTTTCATCAGCTCTGCGTATACCCATTCTTTATCATCTATACCCTTGCATTGTCATCCGTGCAAGAATAGGGAGGGAACACTCGATTGACAGTGTTTTTGGATTATCAGGAATATCTCACCCAACAACCGTATCCCCAAGCTCTTTTGTGACTCCATACACCCCGCTATCATCTGATGCGGAGGAAGCCGCAACAGAGCTAAAGGCAAATGAAGTCATCAAGATTCAATTGGGTGCCCAGATCGATGGATTTGGAACCATAGTCTGTGACACCATCGTCGTGGGAGGAAAGGTAACTGGCCGTGAAGCAGACTTGCTCTTGGCTACCTACTATGCCAACGAGCTTCTCCTCAGGCTCATGGTCCCCCCCGGTCTCATCGCCCAGGGAACAGAGGAAGAGAAGAAGAAGGCAGCTGCAGAGAAGGCCCCTACCCAGGCCAAGATATCTAGCTTGGTCGAGAAAGTTGCCAAGTCATATGACTGCACCGTCGTTGAGAACACGACCAGCTGGCTGTTTGAGCGCAACGAAATCGAGGGATCAAAGAAGATCATCGTTGCTCCTGGCACCGGAGTCAAGGGAGAAGGTACCCCCGATGTTCAGGAGGTTTGGGGTGTCGAGGTCGGCCTCAGTTTGGGATCTGGAAAATTGAAGACCCTCGAGCATAGGCCAACTCTGCACCGACGTACCACCACCACCTATATCCTGAAGAGACCCAGCTCCAGACAGACTCTATCCGAGGTCGTCAAGAAGTTCGGAACTTTCCCCTTCAGCTTGCGTCAATTGGATGACGAGAGGGCCGGCAAGGTTGGTGTTGTCGAGTGTGTCCGTGGAGGCGTTGTGCGCCAGTATGAACCTGCTGGAGAAGCAGATGGCTCTCCAGTTTCAAGACTGTTAACCACCGTTGGTATGTTACCCCTTTTCGAACATCTACCCCTTTGAAGATGCTAATGATAGATATATAGCCATTCTTAAGAACGGTCTCAGCAGACTGTCTGCTCCTCCACCTCTCGACCTGGAGAAGGTCCAGTCTGATAAGAAGATCACAGACGAGGAGGTCCTGGCAATCCTCGAGCGTCCGTTGGCCAAGTCTACCGGATCCAAGGGTAAGAAGAACAAGAAGAAGAAGAAGCCAGCCAAGAAGGCCGCTGCAGAGGAGGAAGAAGATGACGATGAAGAAGAGGAGTCTGACGACGAGTAAACGTCTCTGTTTACAACACTACATATCTAGTGGATATCCGGTGGACTTCCAGGCGTGCATCCTCAGGCTCACTTTGGTCCTCGACGCGAGTTACCTATCTCCTTGAAAATTTTGATATCGGCTCTTTGATACATGCGTTTCAGGGGAATTGAGTCGAATGGCCTGCTTTTTACACTTAATGTGGGAGATATCTGTTTGTTATAATGACAAAATATGCACAATAGCAATGAACATTCACCAGAAGCATCTGGTGATACCACACAATGCCTTTCTCTTTCTGATATCAACACCACACACGATGGAAGTGAGGCATAAAGAGTGATCTTGATCTCGACCTTTGTCCTCCCGCATCAGATCAACCAGATCAACCCCGTCAGATCAACCTCCCCGCCCCCAGAGACTCATCTAGACAGTAGCGTATACCAGACTAGTAACTAATACATATCATACATATCACCGTCCTGTCCTGCCCTCATCAACCAGCCCCCTCTAGATCAACCCCCCCGCGCGAGATCAACCAGTAGAAGGCCTCGCGGATGTGTTGCTGGCCCTCCAGGACGCCGCTAGATCACCGTGTTACTGTTCTTCGAAGCTGATAGAACTTCCTAGCAGACTTTTCTCAGGGCAAGTCCCGAATCACGCAAGTCTAGCGTATTTCCTAATCGGGACTGTTGTTGTGTTCTCTATAAAACCTCACTTCCCCCCGCCTTTCTCTCTCTCTTCTTCTTCTTCCTCCTCTTCCTCTCCTCGCAACGCAGCTTCATCACAATCTACTACCTCGCCAGCCTCTCACCCTCGTTTGACAAGATCATAACCAGCCAACCAGCCAACCTGATAAGCTGCTCCGAGATATCTCATCCTTTCTCTCTCATCTTCAACGACTCCTCCTTCGACCTGAGACGCGCCTTTTGGCAGCTGTATTCCTCCTACCAGTCACCAGAAGCTTCATAACTCCCTCCTATCTCTCAGAACACGAAGGCACCTCTTTACAGAGCATTCCTCGTCAGAGCCTTGAATCTCCTCTTCACAGAGTCGAGAACAAGTGCATCTACCATCCTAACATCCTCTCTTCCTAATATCAAACGAGCCTAGACAACGGGCTTCGTCCTTGATCACATCTCTCACTTCTCCTATCAAGATCCTGTACCGTCATCCTCTTGTCATCCGCCTCTCTCACTTCTCCCTTACTCACAAAAAGAGCCTATACAGTCACACTCTTTCTCCTACACCTCTCCATTTCCATCTACAGAGCCTATACAGTCATCCTCTGCCCTTCTACATCTCTCTATCTCACAATCTACTACCTGTACCCGTTACCTGTGTAATACCCCTGAGTCGAAAAAAGGAGATCTCAGCATCGAACTGAGACGAGCGAATTTGGAAAATCCACATATTCCATCATCCGTTTCCCCCCTAGCTACGCCTTCTTACACCTCTCGTAAGTCTTCTCCCGTGTGTTTTTGTTTGTGCTTGTTCTGCGTTCTGTGTGGCTGACAGCTTGGTTAGACCACCCAAAACCTGTGACTTCTCGGGCCAGAAAAGACTTCACAGCTAAAAACCTCACCTCAACCTCTACCAACCACCAACCACCGCCGGACAGCGCGGTTACCAACATCCCCCGTTCTTCGAGTGTTGAGCTTTTTAAGCCAACCCGGAAGGAAATTTACTCGGTAAGTATTTATCCTTGGCTTAATTTACGTGCCCTGAAGCTAATCGCGTTAATTACAGAGCACTTTGAACGAGGAAGCAATCAGCTTAAAAAAAAACTGCAGAGATGGCTCCTCGTCTGCGATCCTCGTCGCGCAACACCTCGCGCAACAACACCAGGCCATCTTCACCTCACAGTGCGCCAGCTACCCGGCCGTCCTCCTCAACCTCAGACAACGCACGACCAAAGAAACAGCGGAAGACGGGCCGCGAAACGCGTTCCCCGGTCGAGGTCGTCGAGGAGGAAGAGCGCCGGGCAGAGCGCAAACCAGCTGGCAGCCAGATGGGCAGCGTGCTGGAGCACCCAGAGCCGCAGCAGCAACAGACAACAGAGCTGCGGAGCTCCCAGCCACTGGCTACGGCGGCTGAGTTGCCCACTGGCCCGGGCAACCAGCCTGCCGGCCAGCAATCATCTGCGCTGCCAGCAGACCAGAGTACGGGACCAACTCAGACTGCAGCCTCGCGAGCAGATCCAGAGACATGGGTGGAACCAACACCCCGATCACAAGTCCCAACCTTCCGCGAGTATGGCTTTACACGGGGCGGCATCTTACAGAGTATGATGCCGCTGGGTACACGACCAACCCTGAGTGCCCGTCGTAAAGCCGGCCTTGCTCCCCCAGCTCCCACCAAAGCCAGCAAAGTCACCAAGAGGAGGGGCGGCAGGGCCGCGAAGCCAAAGCGGACGACGAAGAACGACGATGAGCGGCCAAGCACCGCTTCGACTTCCGCTGAGGACGCAGCCGCAATCTCTGATAGTTCCCGTGCGGAGGGAATTATCCAGGGAGTCCTCGAGCGCGAAGAGCGGTCAGAGCCAGCGGCCGCACCAGCACCAGCCAGCAGAATTACACGATCAAAAGCTGGCAAGGACAAGCTTGACGACTCTGCTGACAGCCAGTCAGCTGGTCCAACAGTTCCCTCATCGAGGAAATACACCTCGGAGAAGCTAATGGACATCCTCGGATCAGCCATCCTGCGTGCTGAGGAATCCTCGGATTCCAAGGTCGCAGGTGGCCTCCGTTGGATAAAGGAGGCTTCGGCCTCCGATCCATTTCTCCTTGGTACCTTGGAAGGTGCCATTAATGGATCGGCGGAAGCTCACCACCGATCCGCCTTCCAAGCCCTGATGAGGGACGCAGTCAAGCGCGTCCAGACCCAGCAGGACGAAACCAGTGCCGCTGCCACCCCGATGGTGCGCACTGGTTCGGCGACGACCACGTCGTCGCTCTCCACGGCTAAGTCTCTAGACGCCGATGCCTTCGCCCCTGCAGCGGCTGAGCAGGATCCAGCCAACGCCATCACCTCTGCCAAAGGCAAGGTAGCAAAAGCTACCAAGCCCAAAGCAAAGGGCAAAGGGCGAGCTGGTCCCTCGAAAGCTCGCGCGGTCCCCCCAACCGAAGAGCCTTTCTCACGAAAGCGCAAATCGGAGGAGGACCCAGAGTTTTCGGAAGAAGCCGTGGCTGCGAAGCGCAGAGCCTTAGAGACGGCCACCAATGTCGAGACCGGCGAGGCAGAAGAGAGCAACGTCCGGACAGCCATGGAGCCACCACAGGGCTGGATTTTCCCGGCTACCCTCTCTGTCCGTTCGGACAGTGAGGGGCCAGGGACCAGATCTGCGGCGGCTCCTGTGCCAAAGGACAAAGGTCCTGGTAAGCCCGCTGGAGCCTCCTCCAGCAACAAAAGAGTTCGCAAGCCGAGAGTGCAAGCGGATGAAATCGATAACCTCGATTTCTGCCGTGCGTGCGGCGGTAACGGGCAGCTTCTATGCTGTGACGGCTGTGTGGATTCATTCCACTTCACCTGCCTGCAACCCCCAGTCGACCCCAATTCTCCACCAGCGGGACAGTGGTTCTGTCCCGCGTGTGAGAAGAAGGGCCTTCTGGGTGGGCTCGCGGAGGTGATGGAGTGCGTCCCTCAGACCGGCTTCCAGTTACCGACTGAGGTGCGCGAATTCTTTGCTGAAGTTGAGACCGGCAAAGATGGAGAGTACCGGGAAGCGCGTGCGCTTCCCGTGGGCGAATCCCGAGTCAAAATGATTCGGAAAGGTCGCGGATTCCCGGAGGAGGCTGATAATCTAACGATTATGACTACTCCGGGCACGATCAGGGCCTGTATTCGATGTGGTCTAACCTCAGAGAATCGGAGACCGGTCATCCAATGCGACTATTGCCCATCCGCGTGGCACTTGGATTGTCTCGACCCGCCAATGGCGAATGAACCTCGCCAGAGGCCGGGGAGTGACAAGCCTTTCCATTACTGGAAGTGCCCGAATCACATCGAAAATGCTCTTGCCGAACACTACCCGGGTAGGGTCCGACGACCCCGTAACCCCAAGTATGTTGACATCGAAATCCTGCCCGACAGCGACGAGGAGAGCGTCGACGGGCTCGATCAAGAGGGCATCATTTATCGTGTGAAACAGCGCGGAATCGTCCACAAGTTCATCACGCACGCTAAGAGCAAGCGTGCGGCGGTGGAAAGGGCCAGAGAAAGAAAGGCTCGCGAGGAAGCTCGTGCCCAGCTCGCGAGAATGGATGAGGTGCCGGCAACGGCGTCTACCTTCGAGCAGCTTGGACCGGTCGAGCAGCAGGCTGTGTTGGGCCTTATGGACATCACAGGCTGCTCAGGGATCGAGCGGGCGAAGCAAGTCGTCTCTGGCCTCATTGCGCAACGGCCCGATGCGTTGCGCAATGCCACCAGTGAGCTTGGAATCCTTCAAGCTATTCATGAGTTGGTAGGAAAGCGCCTCCAGGCGCTTGCTCCGACCTCCGAATCTACCAACTGAGACCATTCATTTGGTCTCAGCATAGCCTCTCCATGCTTGCATGGATTCCATACGAATGTATTTAAGCAGGCTTTGGTCTAGATTCGGAGTGTTCCAATGCTTCTTGCGCTGGTATCAGCTCATTGAATAGCTTAAGGATCGATCAAAATGTGTTTTTGCTGGCTGCATCAACGTTCTTCACGGCACGGACCAATCTCGACAACACTCTCCAATTGGAATGATGTGCCTTCGTCCAAATTGGCTTCGTCATACTCGCGGCCACTTCATGTCTCTCTGCTCGCGGCAAAAACGCAGCCTCGCTGCGTGACAAACGCTGCAGTTTGTTTAAGGTTGGTCCCTTCTCTGGTCGGTAACTGTGACTAAGAAGATGTTCCTGGTGATGTACCCTACATATAGCGTTGTGTTTTTTTTACCTTGTTATTTTTTTTTCCTTTTTTGTTCTTGGTTGACTACAGGGTGAAGACAGGGAAGCCGCTATATTATTACCATATCTCCTCCGGCGCAAAAAATCACGACAGCAGCATCAAGACAGCCCGCTAGCCTGCAGCCATCAAGTCCAAGCATGACAGTGTCGAGTTCCTTTCGGTCTTTCAAAGGGGCAAAGCCAACCTTCCAGCCCTTGTTCATCTCCATGCCCACCCCTACCCACAAAAAGACCAAAAAAAAGGCATGGAGCGCTCAACTTGGTGCTCGTTATAGCAACTTCCGACTTCCTCGGGGGCGGGTCGTACGTTCTTCTTTTGAAAACGAGGCAATTGGTCTTGCATGGCCACTCGCCCCTGGGGTCGATAACAGAGAAGTAAAGAGCGCCAAAACAAACAAACCCTTTCTGCCAAACTCCCACAACCCACAGATACCCACAAGTGGGATAAGGGCAGAGAGTCCACCAAGCTCTGCTTAACGATCAAGGCCAAATGCTCCCAAAGATTGACCGTAAGTACTCGTTGCTGATACCAACTTCCACCAGATGCTACCAGATTAGATGGCCTTCAGAGCCAGATTCGGCGCTCCCTGGTGACTGCAACTTCAGATCCACCCCTTTTAAAGGGATACAACCACCACATCCATTCGGATCTTAACTCTCGCCATCCCGACCTTACCACCCGAATCCGATTCATAGCTAGCTTCCCTATCTTTACCCTATTTTCTTCCAAGATTGACATATTAGATTGAGCGTCATTGCATGGGCCTGAAAAGGCGGAGTTTATGGGGCTTTATTTCCTTTGAGCAAGCATACATAGCATTGCTCTTTTACTTTTTTTCTTTTTTTTTTCCCTGGGACTTTGAAGCGAACACAAAAGATGGTACGGCGTTGTTCTGGTTGCTTTTGTGTTTTTATACCCACTTGTCCACTCTCATCCATAGTATTCCCATCCCGCTTTACAGCGGCGCTTGGGGTTTACATCCCGCACACCCAAAGGACATTGTTTGATATTTTTGTTTGTTTTATTATTTCCTTTTTGTTTCTGCTTTTTTTTGCGCCTGCGTCAGCTTTCATTGTCCCATTATCCTGTATATTACATTTCCAAAAGCATCAATATGCCTGCGAGCTAAAGCTTGCAACTTCTGACGTCAAACACCTTTCCTTGAATCGTAAGAAGGTAAGTATGTAGGTAGATATAGCTTAGGTTCGTAACTGTAGCCTGTAGGTAGGGTATGGTAGAAACAATAGAAATGATTGATTGAGATTTTTTTTTTTTCTTCGATAGGCTTAAGAAATTTAGTTGTTCCCTACTATTCAAGTAGGCCCAGTTCGTTAGATATTTGACCGCAAATCCGGCCTACAAATAGAGCTTTGGGCAAAAAAGAGAGTGGCCGTCATAGGTCATTATCAAAATTGAAATTCATCTATGTAGGCCCAATAGCATCAACATTCCTTCCCTATTTTTACTTCGTCCGTTTAGCGCAAAATGATATTCAAGCAATAGCTAGTATACATGCCAAGAACGATAGCGAACAAAGGAACATCGTGAGAGTAAACCAGAACATAAATCGGCAGGCAGAGGGATATGGGAGGCTATGAGATCATGGAGAGGACAAAAATATAGACCCGAGAAAGCTACGTAAATGCAAGATGTTATATGGTAGATTTATTTATAGGAACTTCTTTGGCATGCCTGATCGACGTTTCTTGTAGAGAACGTAAGCGGCTGCGAGCAGCAGCTGGACGGCAATGATGAGGAAGATGAAAAAGCCCATGCGTGGGGCCGAGGAGAGGATGCCTGGGTTGTGAATGAAAGGTTAGTATTGCTCAGATAAATATGATATGCTTCGGAGAAGGGAAAACGAACGATGAGATGACTCCTGGAGGTTATCCAATAGGCCAGAATGGGAGTTGTGTAGCAAATCCTGTAATTGCTTGAACTGGTGTTGGTAATCCTTGCGCTCTATTTCTCTCTGCATAGTCTCGACCATTCGCTCTATTCTCTGAATTCTCTGGTCTACACTGCTCACTTGATCACGGTGTGCAATGATACGGATGATTTCCTTCATCCGATCCGCATTGGTAGCTGATAGCGCATGCAATTCTTCCATCAGCTTGGTAGTTGCGCTGGAAATTGTTTGAAGTCGATTTTGAAGATCCTTAACCTGCCCATCAATGTTACCACCACTAGGGGCTTTCTCATCCTTGGCTGGTGGAGGTCTATGTTGAGCTTCATAGTTCCTCTCCTTTTTTCGGTTGGCTTCACTCGAAGATTGAGAGGTAGCAACGAAGCGGAAGGCTTCAAAGGAGTCAGGGCTTTCTGCCGACGCAGCTGTGATACCGAACACATTCCCGGGGGGAACGAAGGCCTTTGATAGTTAAGTTAGCTCCCATACGTTTCTCGGTTAATATAACCATACAGGGGATTATCAACCTTTGCTGTCTTGAAGCAGGTATTTCCGTCGATCAACACCTCGAATTCCCGCGTTGATTGTTTTATCTGCAGCTTCGATGGTCGTCCTAGATTGCGGTATTGATAATCACAGTGGCCAAATGCAAGACCGTCGACATTGGCGCTAGACCTGTAATCTATCGTTCCGTCGTTCAGAAACCCTCGAATTCCGGCCTAGTAGCTGTCAAGTCAGACCCAGCCAACATTTTCAGCTATCGTCAGCGATTGGACTAACCTTTCCCCCATGCGTATCGATTGTGATAGCTAATCCGTCAAATTTTCCAACGGTATATATGCTCGATGTCCCAATGGGCCTCGCGTCCTTGACATACCAGACCTGAAGGTTACCGCCGCTCCTTTCCTCGCCATTTGCTCTGAAGTCGAATGCCGCACTCCATTCCGGGTCGTGTATTCTGTATTATCCGTTAGCCCTCCGCATGAGAGTATATTCCCTATCTTCCGGGTGGAAGCCTACATTTCTTCAGCCCATAATGCGCCTCGTTTGTTGCCGGGGTACGGAGGAGTCAAGATAATTCTATCGGACAGCTGGATAGTAAGGCAAAGATCTGTTAGCGTTTGTTATGTGACCGCCAAAGATTAGCGAGATGCTGTACCATTTCTGGAAGAAAACCTGAGCCAGACACCAGCCATCCTGTCAAGCCAGCACCGCCATGGGATATCCTATCAGGCCAGCCGTTAGCATTTATGGAACCTGAATCCGGTTCTACACGTACCGTCGTCCATTCCCGAAACTAGATCTTTCAACAACCGAGCTCGCCTGGGAAAGTGCAGCAGATATCAATGCCCAGACAACAGATTTGCCAATGTCCTGGAATCGTGCCATTGTAGCTATCTCGAAGTATAAAACGAGATTGTTGTGTGCGAATTGGAGGTGGCCACGCCACAAGGGTCCGAAGAGAAAACGGGGACCTTCTTTTATGGATATATAAACTCAGTCAACCGGTATATTCCTGGTATAGCTAATCGTATCGTCCTGTGTCAAGGTAGCTGTTCTCGGTTGCGCTGCTTGACCGGGCGTATTTTCCCCCGCTGGAGGTCGATACGGAGTAAATTGAAAGAAGCCGGCTCAATCGTCTCGTAGAATCGGAACAGTCACAGGCCGGATCTAGGGAGAGAGGGACGAAACAGACAAGTCTACAGTTCGCTCTTGTTCTGTTGCAATTGTTTTGTTATTGTCGAGCCAGCTTGTCCTTTTGGCGGATAAAGCTCCATGTCAAACCAAGCAAACTCGCCAAGATAGGCAATTTTATGTCTCGTCTACCCCGTACTTTTACTGTGCCCCTGGAATGTTCGCAAAAGGCCGTCGTGTTTGAGAAGTGCGATGTAGGGCGTGATGAGCGCTCGTCAGATATAGATATGTTATTATCCGGTATCGTCCAGGTTGTACATGGCAGAAGCGCGGGAGCTGGCGTGGTGGGAAAAGGGGCTTGCTCTTCGCGCGCTTGTAAATAGTTCGACTTTGCGCACTCTGAAAAATAAACAAGTGGACAACATCGATAATCCAACGCAACGCCCGCCAGCTCCGTCCGTGGCCACAGAACTGCACGAGTAGGAGGCCGGTTAACCATGACCTAGGTTACCATGGCTGAATTCTATCCCTCGCTGACTCAATGCGCCGTTGTGGCCGCTGCGTTTAAAATCCTCTTGTTTCCGGCGTAGTATGTCTTCCTCTGCCACCTGTAGAGCTGGCGATAGAAAGAACTCAACTAACTGGCGAATTCAAGCAAATCAACCGATTTCGAAGTTCATCGCAACTGGCTTGCGATCACGCATTCTCTTCCGGTCAAGGAATGGTACTATGAGGTATGGTGATTGAATAACCGGATGGATGGGGAGTGATTTGCTAATGACAAATATGAATAGAAAACATCAGAATGGACACTAGACTATCCTCCATTTTTTGCCGGGCTAGAATGGTGTCTTTCTCAGATTGCTGCGTTGATGGACCCGGAGATGCTAAAGGTGAAGAACCTGAACTATGATTCCTGGCAAACAGTGTATTTCCAACGCAGCTCGGTCATCGTGCTCGAGTTGATGCTCGTATATGCTCTGAACAGGTGAGACTCATCCTTCCATCCGGTTTATATGAATGCTAGGTTGCTGACCAGAGTATTCTGTTAAACTTGGCTTGTTGAAGATACATCAAGTCGGCACAAACTCAAGCAGCCAAGGAGCTGGCTCATGCTGCCAGCTTGTCAATTCTTCTCTCGCCTGGCCTGCTGATCATCGATCATGTTCATTTCCAATACAACGGTTTCTTGTATGGGATTCTGGTTCTTTCAATCGTCCTGGCGCGAAAGCAGTCTACTCTACTCTATAGCGGTATCACATTTGCCATACTGCTCTGCTTCAAGCACATATACCTCTATCTATCGCTGGCATGGTTCGTTTACCTTTTACGGGCTTACTGTTTGCACCCCACGTCTATGTTTAGACCTCAGTTTGGCAACATTGTGAAGCTCGGAGCTGGGGTTCTGGGTGTTTTTGCAGTGGCCTTTGGACCATTCGCGAAATGGGGTCAACTGCTGCAGTTAAAGGACAGGCTGTTCCCATTCTCCAGAGGCCTATGCCATGCCTATTGGGCACCGAATGTCTGGGCCTTGTACTCCTTTCTCGACCGTGCTCTTATCTTTGGTATGTCTATCAACTTTTCCCGGGCTTTTGCGTGTGTATTAACTCGGGTAATAGTTGCGCCTAGGCTAGGATTGCCAGTCAAGGCTGATGCTCTGGCCAGTGTGACTAGAGGATTGGTTGGGGATACTGCCTTTGCGGTTCTTCCAGAAATCACAAAAGAGTACACTTTTGGATTAACATTTGTATTCCAAATTGTAAGTGTCTTACCCTTCTATACAAGAAGAGCAGTTAATTAACATCTTCCAGCTGTGCCTCGTGAAACTGTGGTTCAAACCAGACTGGGACACCTTCGTGGGAGCAGTGACAAACTGCGCCTTCGCCGCGTTCCTCTTCGGCTGGCACGTCCACGAAAAGGCTGTACTCCTGATCATCATCCCGTTCAGTCTTCTAGCCATCAAGGACCGACGGTACCTAGGCGCCTTCCGCCCACTGGCTGTAGCGGGCCATGTCTCCCTGTTCCCGCTACTCTTCACTGCCGCCGAATTCCCAATCAAGACCGTCTACACGATCTTCTGGCTGGTCTTGTTCCTCTTTGTGTTTGGCCGGCTTGCGCCAGCTCCGCTCAGGCCGCGTGTCTTTTTGCTCGATCGATTCTCGCTGCTGTATGACACCGTGTCGATACCACTGATCATCTATTGTTCACTGATACATGGGCTGGCATTCGGTAAGCGATATGAGTTTCTACCGCTGATGTTTACCAGCGCGTATGCAGCCGTAGGGATACTGGGAAGCTGGATGGGGTTCATGGTGGTCTACTTTAATTCTTAGGAGAGGTCTGCGGTACAAATTATTGGGAAGAGATTTAATCAAGCGGGCGCATTGCCTTGTATATCGTACTATGCCGCCACCACGGGGCTCATAGAGATATCCCCACCACCTGCCCGATAGCAAGTAAATAAAAACAACCACTGAAAATATAAAAGACAGCAGTGCAATGCCCGTCTGACTGCGTGAGAAATTCCGAACAGAACGAGTGCTTATACGGGGTGTTTTGGGTGGCGGATGGCGGGTGGAGGGTTGAATGGGCTGAGATCAGGGCTTGAACCCCCCATGGAGACCGCATCTCGGCACACCAAAAGAGGACAAGAGAGCAATGGATGGGCAGGGACAGGGGTTCATCGACGAGACTACCCTGTACCGTACACGTTAATTAGTATAGCCTACTCCGGAGCGAAAGAATGCAGTGTATGCGCCGTCTACGTCGTTTCTGCATCTCTTTCCAGGCCATCGAGGAGCATTTTCGGCGTTTTAAGGCTAGAGGCGCGCCAAGTCCACATGGTACAAGTCGACGTCGAGACGAGGAGGCCAGATAGAGATGGAGGAATCATTATCGTCTCTGGCCGGCGTAGAAGAGGTAGTCGAGAGGTAGAGGAAGGCCGATGGATAGGTGGATGCTGCTTTTCCTCAACGGTAGACCTGTAAAGGGCAATATCAGGGGTTTATATAGAAGATATAGATCTCCGGCCACAAGACTCGACGATATAAACTGAAGACGACTCCGGCTAGTGCAATTGCGTACTCTCTGCAATGATATATCTCCTTGACAGCTGCTCTCTCGTCCACACTGATGTTCCGGCGCCTCTTGCTCGTCCGTCTCCCATCGTTCACCCCCCCATCCGCATCTCCCTCGAGCTCCGCTGAAACCAGGAGTCCGTCGATCAGGAGGAGTCGAATTGGCCCCAGACGAACTTGCACGAGTCTCAGCTACAGCCAGGCTGACTCGAGGCCGTCTTCGCCCAGCTGTGCATCGTCCGGCACTGGCTGCTTGTTGTGCGCTGTGGTGGTTGGGCTAAAGGGAGGTTCCGCACCGGCCCAGTAAGGTTTCCCTCCTCCGCCTTCCCTTTCGCCTTTTCTGCCCTTCCTCCTCCTAACCACAAAACCAACCACAGAAACCACCAGCAGCAACCTCACCTCCCAGCACCGCCAGACACCGCGGATCGCGCATCGTCCCTCGTCTCGCTCTGTCTGTCAGCCGGTCTACCGTTTGTCCTAGATCCGCTGCACCGCGATTATCCTATTAGAAATTTTTTTTGGGAGGAGAAAGGGAAAGATAGGAATGCGAGGCCTCAGGAACGACGCGTCCACGAGCTAGTTCTCCCGTGAGCAGAAGCCATATCCCCTTACCAATCTATCCTGGCCGGTTTCCATACGCGTCGAGATATCCGTGGCCTGCATGAGCCAATTCACTATGCCCGGCCGGGTCTCAGATTCATTGCTCCGTTTGCTGGAATATCTCTTGCTGACCTTCTGCGCCTCGTCCTCGGGGTGTATTGCACATGTAGACCGCATCCTTTTTCCTGCTCGATTTCTACTCCTCGCGCACACCGCATCACCCAGCTACCCGCATAGCTTCAAGGACTTTTGCACATGATTGGTTACCGCCCGCTCTTCGCGTTTCTGAGCTTGCTCCGGTCTTTGGAAGGGACTGCGTGTCCGTGATTGCATGTGTGGCCGCATTATACACCGCTCCCTGATATATTTTGGCCTCTGAACGTCAAGATGGTACGCCTCGCTCGGGTCTCTGCTGCTCCCGTACGCCACGACTCACATATACACGGTTTAGGTACTGTTTAAGCGGAAACCGGTGCAGTTCCTGCCAAAACCCACAATTGACGATGATAACTCCGAGGTCCGCATACTCCGGGCATCCCGTGCTCTCTAGGAAAGCGTTGTCCATGTTGACATGTCTCTAGGTTTGGGTTATACCGGAAACGAACGAGGTCTTTACCAACTATGAACATTTTCTGCAACGGTAGGTGCCATTATTAATTATTTGGTGTGATTGCATTAAAGGACCTTGCTAATATGGCCTTATAGAATGAATTTTTATAAACAGGTAATTCTAAACGTCAACACTTTCAAACTTCCCTCTAAGACATGCGATATTTTTTAGAGGCGATTTATCTGCGAGATTACCGGCCACTCCTCCCTGACGTTCTTCGAAGCTTTGACGAGCGAGGTATGCGAGCATCCGTTGACGAGGAAGACCAATTTGCGGGGTACAGCGAGCTTATCAAGTTCTTCTACGCAGACCGAAGGATCGAGGGAAGTCAACAGCGCATTCCCTGAACCCCTGAAGGAGCCTGTTTTGCGCAGAGTTCAATTTTCTACCATTTCGCGAATAGACAGCCTTGGTAAGTTCTACGGATTGTCAGATTTGGATAATTTGATCTAGCTGCTAATTAAGATTGTATCGCAGTGGACCAAGTATTCGAGGTTAGTTGATCAGAGGGAGCTCTTTATATGGCGATGACTTACATGAACTAGGATTTCAAGCAAGATTTCTACCCTGGAGAGCGCGTAACTGTGCTTCTCACGAATGGGTCGCGGCTACATGGCATCGTCCGGGAGAAGGCAAGGTTCCCGGAGATTCTTGGGCGTGAAGGCAGAGTCGAGCGTCGGGCATCTTCCCGTTACTTGGTCAAGCTTCTAAATCGCCACAACGAGGAGGCTTTGCTTGACGATGAACACCTTATCCGCGATCGGAAAATATTCACAAAGCAGATGCTCCGCTCCTTTATCAAAAATACAGTCACACGAGAATCATGGAGCGGCGCCCCCTGGCTGGTCAAACCCCAGATCGCGGAACATTTCCACATCGATACCGAAGTGCCCAAGCATCTGCAATACGGCAACAAAGCTGGCAAGAAAGCCAACGTATCCGCAGAGAAGGAAGAAGATGAAGCCATGTTTGGCTTCTTTGCGTCTCAGAATCGACCGCTGAACTCTAGATCTGGCAACAAAGGTCAGAAGGCAAAGTCGGCCCACGAACTTGCCAAGGCCAAGGAAGAACAGTACTTGGCATATCGACGGGCTCTGAATGGGAACCCGTCATTTCGCGTGGATAAAAAGGGGTATACAAAGGACACTATTCCACATCATGATGCGCATGAAAACTCCTTCCACGATCTCGCCGTTGTCATCAAACAGAAGTCTCCCACCCCGCCGCCACCACCAATTAAATACCCAATTGAGGATCTGGATCTACCCCCCGTGAATGACCGTCAACCCCGACCTGCATTGAAATTCTTAAATGAAGAAGAGGGTTCTGGCATTAATATGAGCTCAATTGGCTCTCTGCTTGAAACTTGGAATACTTTAAATGTATACTGCGAAGTCTTCCAGCTGGACTCCTTCACCTTTGACGACTTTGTGGAAGCAATACAATTCTCATCCGATGACGTGGACTGCGAGCTACTGGTAGAGATGCATTGTGCTGTGCTAAAAACGCTGGTCAATGCAGAATCGGACCAGGACGGCGCAGTTCAAATATCCCTCCCGCCGCTCCCGGAAGAAGACGAATCCGATGAAGAAGGCGAAGAAGAAAGCGAGGCTGAACCTGAGCCGGAGCCAGAGCCGCCAAGACGAACCACAAGAAGCAGCTTTGCAAAGGCACAAGCCGAACTCGCCGAAATGGAAGAGGAAAAGCCAAGTGAAACTGAACCGGCAGAGGTTAGGACACATCGTGCCGCCGACATGTTCGAAGAGTACGATTGGATTGACCGCCTACGGAAACGTGACTTCAAGAATGGCGGCTGGGAGATCATCCTTGTTGGCCTATTGAATCGCCTGTCCTTGAAACCCAGACTACAGCAAACTTGCGAAGAGATATTAATACACATGGCGCCCTTGGATGCAGAACCAACTCAACAAACCGCACGAGCTCAATATGCTACCCTAGACGTCAACCTTCGAATCCAAATCCTGCAAATCATTTGCATGCTAACGGTTGAAACAAGGGCAGTGAAGAACTACATGGAGGAATGTAGTAACCAGATGACTGAATTCCGCAAAGAGAAGATCGAGCTGCAGCGTGCACGGAAAGTAGTGTAGGTAGCCCCAACCCCAACATTGATATTTTAACATTACTCACGCTCATACTTTGAACAGCCTTGAGGAATTACGGGTTCTCCACGAAGAGAGGAAGCAGCTCGAGCCCGAGCAACGGGATACACCTACACGCCAAGACGAAGAAATGCTGGAGGCTCAAATTGATGCTACAGATGACACCGAGAGTGCCACTGATTCAGATGAGCCTATCGGGCCCTCACTAAGGGGCGGAGTCGACCGAGCCCTGGAGCGGAAGCGAAGACAAGAAGCAGAGCGAGAAAGAAAGGAACAAGCAACCAAGCAACCCAAAGGCTCAAAACAGTACCAACGAGTGCTGAAAAAGATGGACGAGGAAAAGAGCAAGATTGAAACAATCGAAAGCGAAATCGCTGTTCTGGATAATGACTTGAGGGAGGCAGATTGCCCACGAACAAGAGTCTTAGGCAAAGACCGCTTTTGGAATCGCTATTATTGGTTTGAGCGGAACGGGATGCCCTATGAGGGTTTACCTAACAGCTCCACGGCTGCTGCCAACTATGCTAACGGGCGCCTCTGGGTGCAAGGTCCCGATGAAATGGAGCGTGAAGGCTTTATCGATGTCCCCGAAGAAGTTAGCCAAGAATACATGCAACGTTTTGGAACGACGGTAGCGAAACGCAAGCGAGCTGAAGAAGGATCGCCCGGCCTTTCTTCTGCCCAGGAATGGGGCTACTACGACAGTCCGGAAGAACTCGACAAGTTGATGGCGTGGCTTGATACGCGTGGAGTGCGGGAGTTGAAACTTCACAAGGAACTGAAGCTACAACGCAACAACATCGCCAAATACATGGAGAATCGCGAGAACTACCTTACAGAGGTCACATCAACGGATGAGGCCAAGGAGCAGCCGGCGATGCGCATGTCGACGCGGACCAAGGCCCAAGCCAACGATCAGAAACAAGGCTGCCTCAAATGGCGAAATCTGACTGCCTTGAAAGAATGCGGCCATCTACACGTCGAATCCGAACGACCCTCGAAACGGGCCAAGAAGGCTGCTGCCCCAGAACCGGCTAAAGAAACCAGAATGACTAATCGTCAAGGCAAACCCCTGGGTCGACAGGGGACGAAGTAGCTGTTTCTCTTCACCTCATCCCGTCCCATGCATCTCATATCTCATTTAACCTTTTGAACTACCATCCTCTTAACCTGGAGCATTATTTCTTTTGGACATTACCTTATTTGCATTACTAGACTTAAACCATGGGCTTTAACGACTAACGACTTTGTTGGGGGTGGCTGCAAAAGAGATATATTATATATTGCCTTTCTAGCCTCATGTTCTGTTCTTTTGTACTTGGGACTGACTGCACTTAGCGATTTTGGTGTGGCTTGGAACTCTTCCCTCTCGTCTCGTCTCTCATATTGGAAGAATACTGCGTATAGGTCTATCTTGGTAGGAGTCAGGTGTATCTATCAGAGCTGGTTTGCCAAAATATCAGTTGGCATTTCTCGTTAATAGAATATTTCTTCTTCTTCTCTCCCTTTCCCTTTCTTGCTCTTTCGTCTCCTTCGGCACTTCGGCGCCGGCCTCCGGCATGTTTCATCCACGTGACTTCTTGCCGCGGCTCGTCGGGAGTTTTCAGCGACGCTAAACCTGATCAGGACTGCCGCTCACGTGCTCTGGCCACTGCACCGCGATCACCCGCCAATCCAAGCAGAGACAAAAGGCGAAGGAAAAAGAAACTCATGACGTTACGGACACAATATAATACCCGCAAGTCTTGAAGAGTCTTTCGCTTTCTCCAGTCCTGCCTGCGCGACGGGGTTGGCCTTCTCCCTTCTCTTTCTCTCGTCTCCTCGATAGCCAACAAAACCGTTTTTTTCCTACATGACCGTATGATGTCGACCAACGATTCCTCCCTGGTTTCTCTTCTTTAACATCCCGCATTTTTATTTCAAGCGTGGAGGGCTACCCCGACATCCAGACGATGATGACGCATAGCCCCTTAGCAACCTCGACGGCCAGCGACCCCAGTGCGGCGTCCACAGATAGGGGCCATGAGCTTCCTACATCGAGTCGTGGGAGTCTTACAGGCCCAGGGGCTGGTAAACAACCGACCATGAGCAACCCTGGTGCGGTCACAGTTAAGCAGGTGGATACAAGAAGTTGGGATTACTTACTGCGAAGTGGTTTGGCGGGGGGATTAGCAGGTTGCGCCGTATGCATTATACCTTTTATCTCCCTCTTTTCACGGCGTTGAACTAATCATTGTTGTATAGGCGAAAACCATCGTTGGCCCTCTAGACCGAGTAAAAATTCTATTTCAGACATCGAATCCCCAATTCGCGAAATACTCTAGCAGCTGGTTTGGCGTTGCTTCAGCGATGAAGAGCATAAATCACGATGAAGGAATTCGCGGTTTATTCAAGGGCCATTCAGCTACATTGCTCCGTATCTTTCCTTACGCCGCTATCAAATTCATAGCATACGAACAGATTCGCGCCGTCATCATACCCTCAAAAGACCACGAGACACCCTTCCGACGGCTGATTAGCGGTAGTTTAGCAGGCATCACGTCTGTTTTTTTCACATATCCTTTAGAACTTATTAGAGTGCGATTGGCATTTGAAACCAAACAAGGCTCTAGATCATCTTTGCGAAATATATTCCACCAGATTTATAATGAAAGGAGCAGCGGTGTTGCTGCTTCCTCCGATGCAGCCGCGAGCAGCTCAACAGTATCGTCTGCGGCTGAGAAAATAAAACCTCGATCCGGCCTTGTCAACTTTTACCGTGGTTTCTCACCAACCATGGTCGGCATGTTGCCATACGCAGGCATATCTTTCCTCACCCACGACACAGTCGGCGACTGGCTTCGTCACCCGAGTATAGAAAAATACACCACGATCCCGCATTCTGGAAAAGACACACCCAATGGCCAAGAACAGGCTCGCTCCCATCGCCCACAATTGAAGGCCACAGCTGAATTGTTATCCGGCGCCATTGCTGGACTTGTCTCACAGACGTCTTCATACCCCTTGGAAGTTATTCGACGACGCATGCAAGTTGGCGGTGTCGTGGGTGATGGACATGTATTAGGAATAAGAGAAACCGCACAGAAGATCTTCCTTGAACGCGGATTCAAAGGATTTTTCGTCGGTTTGACGATCGGATACATGAAAGTCGTACCCTTGGCGGCGACGAGCTTCTTCGTTTATGAGAGAGGGAAGTGGTGGTTGGGTATATGATGTGATATCACCCATACCTTTTCCCTCCCATATGCTTGGATCCTCCGTCTTACCATTGTGGAATGTCGGCCATGATACACTGGCCGGTGTGTACGTTTTTTCACTCGTTAAACCTTTCCTTCTTATCCCTGGGGACTTATGAGGGCATGTCGATTATGGCGTTTGTTGGCATGCATTTTATATTTCTTATGTCCTGTTTTGAGGTAGATCAAAACTCGTTCCATCCCAATTAGCGACGGGCCGTACCAGCCTATTATTTACCAGGGTTATTTCGTGTATACACCTACACTGATATTTACCTAACTGCCATGTATATAAAGTCATACATATACTGCATATATACTTCATTCACTCTTAATTCCCAGCCTAAGGACTAGATTTATGACATTTACTAGTTAGACATGATGTGGTATATATAGATAGCAAAAAGGTAAAATAAATCATAGGGAAAGATGAAGGTATATATATCTAAACAAGAACCCTCCGTAGCCCATCCGTTCCGCCCAACACTCTCCTGCCCGTAACCGGGCACCGCCCCTTTCCATTCTCCCAGTTCCCCTCCCTATTCTTCGAATCCTTCTCTCCCCTATTATTCTTTTCATCTCCACCGTCTTGATTATCGTCATCGTCTTCCCATGCAGCACCATTCCCAGCGCCATTCATGAAATCAATTTGACGCTCATGCTCGCCGTTTAACCATCTAAATATACACGTATAGCAATATACGTATCCGGTTTGGCAGGCTGTGGGGTTGGCAAGTGGATTAAGGCAAATTGGACAAGGGGTCTGGGAGGTGTCTGGATCAACAGGTGGTATTGGGACGGTGAATATAGGTAACAGGGATATGGATGATATTGGAGACTGGGTACGACTTGGTTTATGTTCTTGTTCTGATCCCTTCGGTGGTTGTTTCTCACCCGCTGCGGTAGGCGTGGCTGTGGTAGGTTTTGAGGAAGGTATCCCAGTCACCACTGGAGCCGGAAGCTCGATAGATTGAGTTGCTTGTTTCGCCAATTGTCTCGAGAAATCACTTGCATGCCACCACTCAAGGAACTTGAGAGCGAAAATCGATGCGGGCAAGAGAACTTTAAGTGAGCCCAGCAGATGCGGATATACTGCCTGGGGGCTCAATAGACTCAGAGCACTCGGACGTGACCGTGATCGCGCCGCAGTACTTCCGGTATGTGGTGTATTTGCTGCTGTCGCCATCGCAATAGCTTTATGATCTGCCGGACTCAGCCGTCGAATTCTCGTCCCTATCAACCACAAAAACGGCGACGAGTATTTGGTATTATCAAAGAGATAAGCTAGATTAAACGCCAGTATTGAAAAGTAATATGCTCCGTTTATCGATGGGTAGACGTTTCTCAAAAACCACTTATAATAATACAACAGTCGTTGCTTTATAGTAGGATTATGAGGCATATCATCCGACGGGTGATACTGTGGACCTCCAGTTCCTGCGACGAGTGCCGCATGCGGTGCAGCGTGTATATCGTATCCTTCATCGAGTTTTCGCTTTAGGTATGGTATTCCGACCATAATCACTAGATTTCGCCATATATCCGAGTCGCGCAGTTTCAGTGTTTCTCGAACGGGGCCGCCAGCACCAAGCTGAGCGCGAGGGGCTTCTCCATCTCTTAATGCTAGTACGCGTTCGCGTTTTAGAGAGTAGAAATTCTCTGTGAATGAACCGCCGAAGTTTCGTAGGTAGTATCCTTCGACAAGTACCGATACAAGGGCGTATAGCTCGTCGTACGAATTTAATATTCGGAGGAGATAGCGCGGATGTCTGTGAGTAGCGATTGCGAGAAGATAACGGAGAGATGGAGGGAGAAGAGAAGAGAGCTGTTGTTCTGATAGGAGTTCTATTTGAAGGTGTTAGCTAGGGGCCAAATATCGTGGTGGCCAGGGGAGCGCTTACCGAAGAGAGACGGCTTAAAATCATCAAAATTGTTCTGCAAAGCTGACATGTACTCCATATTGGCAGCCTTGCGACGTTTTTACTCAGCTCATAGCTATCCAGCTGAGGTAGAAGCTGTTGATGGAAATTCGGCGTCTTGACATGATGGAGTAGTAATGTTTGGAGATTGAGTTTGGCTGGGGAGTTTATGCCGAGGTCCACCGCAGGCGCTTATGAAATGAACAAGATACAAGCATCAACTTGGTTGAAAGAGCTGGATATAATCTTAGAGTCATATATTGATATCATTGTCTAATCTCGATATTAAAAAGGATATACTATAGTACAGATTTATTTAACCAACACCCGACTGAAATCCAATCCAGTGGCACAATCGATCGGGGTAAAACAACATAATAATACAGGCATGAGAGTAGCTTAAACAGATAAAATGCATCGAGTAGCCATTCGCCAAATGGAAAATGTAGCTTGGAAAATGCGGAGTGTGTATAATATTCCGTAGCAACAGGGTGTCAACAGGAACGAAGTCAAGATGCAATGCAGGTCATGATATATGCGGAAGAGATGGTGATTATTGTGCACTCTGGGTAGCCTTCGAATTGGCGAGAGTACGAAGGCACTGCCTCCATAGGCTAGTAAACTGGCTCACTGTCTCATCATCTGCCTTCTGGTCAATAGCAGGATCTGCCACTAACATGCATGCCATGATTGCTTTCGTCAGGTCTTCATCCATAGGAACCGGTGGTGCTTCTCGTGCCATCATGGGTACCCAGGCCCGGAGACATTCAACAGCTTGACGTTGGTGGCCCAATGTGGCATGCAGATGGAACATGAGTAGATAAAGCTCTTTCGATCGTGGTATTTGCATGAGGGAGACCTGTCGCCATAATTGCCAAAATTTTGAAAAGTTTCCGTGCTGGAAGTACATTCGGAGCAAGCTTGGATACTCTTTATAATCAAACTCCGCGTCCGTGGAATCCATGACTTTGCTTAGTCGGAGATGAGTGGTGGCCACATGATCGAATTCTTCGGCGGGTACTTTCACGACGTTGGTCGTATCCATGGAAGGGGGGCCGCCGTCACCACTGTCTTTTGCGGGGCGAACATGGGTACGGAATGCTGAGGCTTGGTGAAGGAGAAAAAATACTTCCCCGTTGAATATGTTAATACCTCGTAGGCTCATATGGTCAAGAACTTTTAGTGCTAGATCGATATCGTGATCGGGAAGGCGTTGCTCAGGTAGAGGTTCGGACTCTTGAAATAACAGTAGTGTGCGAACTGTGTCCATGCCCATTTTTTCCGAGATATCGCACCCAGACGCGGCGGCATTTTTGAATGCTTCGAGTAGATCCATTTTGTGGTACGCGGGATGTTTTAGACGAACGGCTGCTCGAATGAGTTCCAGTTTATCTATAAGCTCTGTTTCTGTGTCAGACTTCGACACTGACTCGTAAAACAGTCGTAAAAATAGAGTGGAATCTCTATCGCCAGGACCAGAACCGAGCTCTCGCCGAGCTTCTTCCTCTGGCAGCTGAGACAATTGTTCCAGGAGAGAGGAGACATTTGGGGATGCCGCGGAGGTGCTTATTATTGTGGGTGACTGTTTGGACCTGACAGGCTGGGTATTGTCATTAAATAGTCCTTGAGACGGCGGCTCGATGGTCTCGCGGCGGGCTTGGATGTGCATATGCCTCCTTTGCGGAAACCGTTGGTTAAACGGGGTGACCTGGCTATCGCTGGGCTTTCCGGAACCAGTCGTAGCAACGGTCGTTCCTGAGGATAGTTTGCCCCAAATATCGTCCTGAGATTGCTTGCCCTGTTCTTCGGGTTCTGGGTTAAGCAGCTTTCCCCAGAGAGCCTCGAGTTGAAGTTCAGCTCTCCTTTCTTCAACAAGCATCTGTACAACAATACGGACTTTGTCCCCGGGGCCTCCAAAACCAACAAACGGCCGCTTCTCGGCATCGTCCACTTTTAGGGGCCCATTTTCTATACCTCCAACACTGACACAGATCCACCCTGTCGTGATGCCATCGTCGCGGGAGTTCAAAGTAGTACCCGCCTCACTGGCTGCTTTTGCCTTCCTTGCCCTCCGTCGTAGTTTTATCTTGAGTTCATTTCTACCCAATAGGCCATCAGCTGTCGGCCTTAGTTGATAATTGCTTCGTAGCCACCGGCACATCCTATCACCGGCAACATTGAGATGCTTTACACTGCGGGCTGTTGCAATGATCATAATAAGATTTGCACCGAGGGCAGGGGGTGGATCGATGTTCCGCAGGTCAAGGAGAGCGATGTCATCAAGACCGGCGTCGACGGAGACGTAGTGTAGGAGTTTTTCCAATATCGGGGGTGGATTCTCTGGAAGAGGCGGCAGCTCTTGCTGCTTAAGAGGGTGGGCGGCGGGTTTCTGGGACTCGTCCTGGAGATACCATGGGATGTGTGAAGCCCCAGCATTTCCTTCGTCTTCTGCTTCTTCTTCTTTCGCCTCGATTTTAGCCGGTAAATCGCTATCAGCCTGAGGATTCGCCGAGTTGAAAACAGAGTATGGACGACTCCTAGCCACCTGGACGTCTCTCTGGTAGAGCCGGGAGCCATAGTAGGATATCGAGGCTTGCGGCCGAGGCGAAGGAATGGAGACACCACTTAGGGCAACAAAGGAGCGGAATGCGGCATTGCGACAAGCGCGGCACCGAAGGCCCTGTAAAGCTAATCCACTCATGCTCTCAATCCGCAAAACACGCCGTTGAATTGGCTTGTTAGTACTTGTCTCGTCTTGAATCTTTTTTCTTGTCTTTTTGATATCTGAAGCTTTTTACAAACTGAAAATGTTCAAATTTCTCACGTGACCAATAAGATTAATAATCCATGACTAATATTGAATTACAAAGCAATGCTTAATAATATAGACAAACAAGACAAACACAGCCCACTTAAGGCAATTCTTTTGCTTTTGTATCCAAGGCAAATTATTTTCTATTCCTTCTTGCTCCCACATCAACACCTCTTTTTGTCTCTTTTTTTAAAGGATAAGGATTTTTAGTTACACTTCTCACGATGTCGATGGATTTAGACGCTCCGGTGTCTATGCAGCCGGTCGAATTTCATCCCCAGCAACAAGCCGCAACGTGAGTAACCCCCACTTTGAATAAATTTGTTATCATAACCAAAAAACATACTGATAAGGAATTTTTTTTATAGAATCCTCTGCTGCAACTGTGGCGCCCCTATAGATGGAACAACTGCCGCCGGTGCGCTATGTGAAGACTGTGTCAAGCTTACGATCGATATTTCAGAAGGCGTTCAACGTGAAGCAACATTACATTGCTGCAAAGATTGTGAACGTTGGCTGCAACCCCCGACCCAGTGGATCAGTGCAGCCCTGGAGTCACGAGAACTACTTGCTCTCTGTCTGCGCAAGCTTAGAGGACTTTCGAAGGTCCGAATTATAGACGCTGGTTTCATTTGGACCGAACCACACTCTAAACGACTTAGGGTGAAAATTACGATACAACAGGAGGCATTCCAGGGTACAATATTACAGCAAGCCTTCGAAGTGGAATATGTAGTCGCCTCACAGCAGTGTCCAGAATGCGCCAAGTCATACACTGTTAATACATGGCGTGCGTCGGTCCAAGTCAGGCAAAAAGTACCTCACAAGCGAACATTCCTCTACCTTGAACAGCTCATCCTCAAGCACGGAGCTCACAAGGATACGATAAACATAAAGGAAGTTAAAGATGGCCTAGATTTCTACTTCTCTGCGCGAAACCATGCAGAAAAGCTGGTGGATTTCCTGGCATCTGTTTCTCCGATAAGAATGAAGAAGTCCCAGCAACTGATTTCAATGGACATCCACACCTCTACGAAATCCTACAAGATCACATTCTCCGTGGAGTTGATACCGATATGCAAGGACGACCTCGTTGCTCTTCCCATAAAGCTTGCCAGGTCGCTCGGGAATATCTCTCCACTCACCCTTTGTTACAGGGTTGGCACATCCCTAAACCTCTTAGATCCTGCCACTCTCCAGACTGCCGATATCCCTGCTCCTATCTACTGGAGATCTCCCTTTGCCAGCCTCGCTGATGTTCAAGAGCTTGTTGAATACGTTGTCATGGATATCGAAGCTATTGGCCAAACCAGCGGCCGATACCATCTGGCCGAAGCAACCGTCGCCAGATCTTCTGATTTGGGGGTGAATGATACAACGTATTTCGCACGCACACATCTTGGTGGTGTTCTCCACCCGGGAGATACGGTTATGGGTTACCATCTGACCGGAACCAATTTTAATAATACCAATTTTGAAGAAATAGAAAGTAGCCATACCTATGGCTCTATGATCCCTGATGTGATGCTGGTAAAGAAACATTACCCAAGGAAGAAGAAGAACAAGAACCGTAACTGGCGTCTGAAGCGCTTGGATAGGGAGGAGGAAGAGGAACGACCATCAAAGAAACAGAGCTCGAACAAACTGGAAGAGGACTTTGAATTGTTCTTGCGCGACGTTGAAGAGGACGCCGAGCTGCGAAGTACCTTGGCACTTTATAAAGCAAAGCATGCGAAGAAAGTGGAGGCAGATGCTATGGAGGTGGTGGAAGAGGAGGATGAGGATGAAGACGAGGTTCCAAAGATCAACGTTGATGAACTACTTGAAGACTTTGAGGAACTCAACGTCGGCGAGTAAGGAAGGGGTGCATCTGATTTACACAAAAATAAAATGGTTATGCGATTTGATGACTTACTTAATGAGTGGATTGGCCTTTTATTCTCTTTTTCATACCTACACGTCTTGAATATGTGGCTATGCGGTTCGCAGGTTTAATGGTTTTATAGTTTAGGCGAAGAGAGCATATAACGGCGTTGAGGCTATAGTTATATAAGATGGGTTTTAAAAGAGCTAGTTAAATGATACTTTTTGTTTGTGAAATATTGCTTTTATGAATCGAAAATCTTCTGTCCCTCATATTTTATCAAAAAGTCATATAAACACATGTTATATCTCACAGCTGCATACCCAGATACAAAGCCTTACAGCTGATAAATTACAGGCGCTCGTGGTGACCCTTGGGAAGGATCTTTATACTGCCCAAGGCGACGGATTTGGACATTGACTCCTTTTTCTTTGAAGGCCGCGTTGGTTGGCCAAAATGGCCGGTACTCATCACGAAAGTCTACATACGTATATTGCGCCCGGATAAATATTTCAGAAATGGAGGGAATCTTCTTAAACGGAGTAACAAGATGTGTCAGCGAATTAATGATATGATGCATTGACGGACCCGGAACTTCGGTGAGCTCAAGCCTTTCTAACGAAGGAGGAAGAAAACTCTCAAGAAAGGGGTCACCATGGTCGGATAGCGGTATATTACAAACGTGAGCGCGGAGGCATTTGATGTTAGGAAACCCAGCAAGTGAACCCAAAACCCGTTTTTGATCTAGATCTTCGACGTATTTATCGGCTATATTATACTCAAAGTAGACCGTCTCGAGCGTCGCTTTGGCATGCTCAAGCGTACAAGCAAAGAGGCCATGAGTCGGTTTGCGAGGGTATTGCACCAGCCGCGGCCGACGGCATCCGGACTTGGTCATATTCCAATAAGAATACTGAAACGACTTCAATGCTTTGCAACGGCTGATTAGGTCGACCATGCCGTAGCGTCCGATACAGGAGTAGAGCTGAAGATGCGTAACCGGTGAATCTTGATATGAACAGTTTGATTTGGTCTTGATCAAGAAATATGCTGAGAGATGGAAGCTTGAAGAATGGTAGAACATCGGTTGAGGTCAGAGTACGCCGGGCCTGTGGGAAAATGGTAACGGACTCCAGTCGATTAAAGTCTGCATGATCGATCACTCTCCTAAAATGAGTTGGGAACAACGGGAATTCGACATTGAGAGAGCGCAGGCCAGATGAACATGCCGAAATGATTAATGCAATGAAGGCATCGGCGTCCGATTCTTCAAGCTTCGAGACCCAGTCAGCTTTGAATTTGTCGCAGTCGGAGCCTTTCTTCAATGCCCCTTGAACAAAATCGGCGTTCCCCCAATCATAATTCTGAATTTGATGAGCCGACTTCATCCTCCGGGCAGCGTCTAAATCTGTGAGAATTCGTCTACGCCTTGTCTCTCGGTGGATGAATGAGAAATTGTAAATCTGATCTGGCATGTCTCCCGGTGTTATGGGAGGAGGCGGAGGCCGGTGAAGACCAATATCCAAGGTCCGGACCCAGGGAATAACGCCAGGGCTCCTTAGGATAAAATGAAAGAAGCCTGAATTATACAAAAACTCATCTGACCCCGTGAAGAAGCGGGTATTGATATAGAGAGCTGGTAGAAAGCAGACATGCATGCGATGGGAACAGCGAAGCAATCAAATGCAATCGCCACGTTTAAGAAATGTGGATATATGGGTAATAAGTTCCTGAGGTAGAAGCTCAATACACGAGAGCGTTGTCCATAGCTGGGAGTGCATGTTGATTTCTCGCTGCGTACTTGAGACTGAATTGCAGGTCGGAGACTAAAAGTCTGTATAGAATGCGACAGACAGGAACCACTGACGGTATTATGGCACCTCATAGCCGTAATGATTGTGGCATACAGAGGGCGGAAGAGTAACAGGTGTATCTCCAACATGAGGCTGGTAAGATCCTTGTATATCCTAGTGGGTGAGATATATGGCATGGGCCTCGGAAAATGTGTATAAATGACAACCCAATGATTAGAACAGAGAGTAACCGTATCTCATTGACGTATTGGCGATTAGAAAATCTTCGATAGAACTCGCTGCGTATCCGAGTCGACTTTCTTTGTACTGCTTGTAGCACCAGCTGAAGCACCACCGCTACCCCTGACCTCGTTCTGTCTAAACACCCTCCTAACCTCCGTCTTCTTCTGTGCCGGCTTTTCACTATCACCATTGTTCACTTTCAGCTGTTCCCTCGCCTCCCTCTTCTTCTTTATCCCTTCCACTATCTTCCCTTGCTCTAATCCCTGTAGGAATGCCTTTTCCTCTTTCCTGGCCTTTGTGTCTTCGATTCGTCTTCTAGCTTCTGCCTCTCTCTTCTCTCTCTGCACCTGCTCCATGAGGTCTGTCCACTTGAACCCACGTAGATATTTCATATTCCACACGTCGTCGTGGTACCATCCACCCTTTTTGCCGCCTACGATTGAAGCGTTAAGTGTCTCAGCGCATATCTTTGCGGTTCGTTTGGATGCAAATTCCACCCATCCGTCAGTGTACATGCGTCGTTTATTGCGACTTGCTTTTGCCGAAGCTCTGGAGGTACTGGTTGAAGGAACGTAGGGTGATAGGAAAATCTTGGTGATTGGACCGAAACCCCGCGCTACTAGGAGAGACTTTAGGGCAAATGGTTTGAGATATGGCGGCAAGGAGGACATGTAGATGACGCCTGTTTTGTTTTTCCTGTCTTTCGTGGCCTGTTTGCTTGACGATGCCGATTTTTTGGCTGGAGGCTTGGTAGCTGTTGGCTCCGTTGGAGGGTTCGTCGCAGAATCCAAATCCTCGTTCTCCTGGTCCTGGGCTAAATCATCGGCTGCGGCTGCAAGGTCCAATATATCTGATCCATCCTCATCATCACTGCCATCGGTCTGGTCTTCTGGGAGTTTTCTTCGTTTCGACTGGGAGTCTGCGTTGGATGGATGTTTTCGCTTGTTGCCCCGTCCCTTGGATTCCTGGAAATCTTCCGAGTTATAGCCTGCCTCACTTCCCTCATCGTCACTAGACCCTATGTCCAGGAACTCGTTGCGTTTTTGTTTTGACATGGTTGCTGATAGTTTGTTGAAGCTGTGGATGAATCTTTTGCTTGCGAGACTTGAAAATGTTATTTTTTTTTTCATCCGCAGAGATCTTTAATTTTGTCAGCCAATCACGTCGATTCGCAGCTATCCACATGCATATAAAATATTAATCCCTGGATCTATGAAAGAGCTTGCGATTGAAGCTGTCTAGTTATGGGGAATTAGATACAGTGCAATGGTTTTCATTATGATAATTCATATTTAACAGCTAGAATTAATTACTGGGGAATAATGCGGGAACCGCAAGAAATAGTAAGAATAATCAATCAATCATTGCCCGTACATTAAATATGGGCATCAGAGGCAATTTTATACGGCTTTGCGCCTTTGCCAAAGATAAGGTGCGGCTTATTCTCAGCCAGATCAAGAATGGTTTGTGCGAAGACACTGTTCGCCCACGCAAACCAGCTGCGTGTATATCTCACGATACGGTTCACGTCCACGCTCTCATGGACTAGACCAAGGAGACACGAGTCGCGCACCATGTTGATTGATTCCATGACCTCTGCGTCGGAGTTGGCGGTGCGCGCGCGCACAAGGACAGACATCGGCCAAGCATTTTGTAGGCCAACTATTGCGGCTATCGTTAGACTGGATTGAGAATGAGGGAGGAACAAACTTACTGTGTGGTCCACCAATTCCGTGAAACGCCGACCCAGTTAGATAATAAGGGTTTCCGGCCTTGGATAGAATCATTTTTCTGGTATTTTTGTAAACCTCGTCGTTCTGGTCGACGAACCCAAGGAGTGGTAGGGCCAACAGCGATGGTAGGTTGGCATCATCCATGAGAATGGTCGATCCATAGCCGTCTACTTCAAAGGCGAAGACGCGGCCGAACTTCTTGTGTGTTACGATCGCATGGTTGTAGATGCCTTCCCTAATCCTTTCGGAGTATTGGTTGAGCTTTTGGATCAAGTCCTTGTTTCCCTTGGCCTTGGTAAGGGTATCTGCCGTCCGCTTGAGTTCAACGGACATCATTGCATTGGCAGGGATGAACAAACCGAGAATGGAGGTATCGTCGCTCGGTCGAAAGGCGCTGCGAACAAGTCCAGTGCCGTTGCCCAATGGGTTACCAATGCCCGATAAGCTGAGGGTCTCCGTGCCAGCATTGGTTTGGCGTTGGAATGTATATTGGTTGCGAATGTACTGCCCGTCGTCATCGAATGTGGACTGGCTCTGTTCGTCCAAAACCCGTAGAACGGTATTTAGAGCTTCATACCACCTCGGTGTAAGGAATGCGTCTGATTTGGTCTCCGTGTAGAATTGGTTCCCAAGGGAAAGGAAGTTGGCGATGGAATCGAGCTCATACTTGCACTCGAACACCACGCTCGGCTCATAGGCCGGGTGCACCTGGTCCATCTGACCGTTTGTCGTTGGCGGCAGGTTGCTCGGGGGAGGCGGTTGGAAGGCATTGCAATATGGCGACTGGATCACAAATTCGGCCTGCGTATTAATAGCTCCCAGTATCAAGTTCTTAATCTTCGGGTCTCCGTTCGCTAGCTTCTGGTATTGCGCCAGCTGGTTCGTTGAATCTCGAAGCCATTCTGCATTTATATCACCGGTGACGATAAACGACTGAGGACCGTCCCATACGCCGCCTGCGCGTTTGTTCTTCGAGCTCCGTTTCTTCTTCTGCGTGCCGTCGACATGCCATCGAACCGTCGTATCGAGTGTGTTTGGGAAGGCATTCTCGAATATCCGGGCCAGGTCTTTGTCGACCATGCGCGAGGTGACGTCCTTTATTATCTTCTCGACCAGGGGAGAGGAAAAGGTACGGCATTCTGGAATGGGACGCTGGTATGAGAGCTTAAGTGGCCCTTCGCTATATGGCGGACTAGATAGATGCAGCAGTTAGCGATATCGTTTAAGTATGGTGATGCAGATGCGGCTTCGTACTGTTTGGCCTGCGAGTATGCGACATAGTCCGGACAAGCATCGCTGATATCCTTGCGCGCATGCAAGCCGGCAGCCCAGCTGTCCGCGGCCGATGCTCTGTGGCAGGCCAGCGCCCCCAGGACTGCGATATCGAGTCTCATGGCTATGGCTGGATGGAGGAATGGACGAACGGACGGCGGATGGTAGCTCTGGATGTGACGATGCGAGCGCAAAACAGCTGGCTGCAACCTGACAAGCAGGGAGAAACGGAACCAAACTGCGATAGGAACAGGAGTACTTGGGCTATTTATCCTCCTCGTACCTCCATCCCGGCTGCTCCAGCGCCAGCTCTCGTGGTTCAGATATCAACTGGTGGGACGAAGAAACCGGTGGAGTTTTGGCGTGGAGAAATCCTAGGGGCTTTTTCTCTTCCCTGCCGTGTTTCGTTCCCCCGGACTGCAGCAACTTTCAAGATGCAACCCCTTGCAAAGCGATATATCTGCTATATTACTTCTTTACAGTGCACGGCGGGCTGTTTCCTGCTGGCCAGACCCCGCGCTTTGTCTACGGAATGCAAGATGGATGTGCGACGATGCCGGTTGCACCGTCGTGTGATCGATATTGATCTGCGGCTAGGGGGTAGAATGAGATACGTACTGCAAGCCGAGTTACAACGGTGGAGAAGACGCAGCTGCTTGCCTCTATCCCTGTTCCTGTACGAAATGACAGGAGGACTGTGATCACAAGGGGAGGAAGTGCCCAACGGGTTGCTTGTTTATTCCTCTATCGTCACATCTCCGGCATGGCTATTTCTTGCCGAAGAACGACATGATGCTACCCTGACTAGACTTGATACCACCCTTTGCAAACTTTGCAGACGACGACGGTGGCAGCTTTCTTTTCGGGGGCTCGGGCTCGTCTTCTGAAAATGACTCCCATACCAGCTCCTCTTTGGTGACTACAGGGGGGCGAGTGCTTGTTAGATAGATTTCCTGAGAGGGTAAATATTAGACTTACCCAGGTATCCTTCTGCATCCTTTGACACCTTCTTTTTCGTCACCTGCCGTCTACCTCTGCGCCGTTGTCCCGTGGACGGTTTTTCTGGCACGCTTGACTCTGGTTCGGGTTCTGGCTCCGGTTTCTTCTGTGAAGTAGCCGAGGTAGAGACTGGAGAGGCCTTCTCACTTTCCGCCGGCGTTGGCTCCTCTGATGGGGATTCTGGTGCGTCAGGCATATCCTCGTCTTGCAAAATATCAGCATCATGGTATTTGATTGAAGACGTGGAAGGTTGTTCATCATTACCGTCCATCATCTTTCTTAACATTTCTTCCCGGTCCCTTCTCGACTCTTGCTCTTTATTGCTGGTTCGTTTCCCTGTATCCAAGAACAGGTCTTCTCGCTCTTCCTCAGATTCATCATCTTGCATGGCTATACAGTAGTTAGAAATTAATCAACCTGGGCAATCTGAGATGATAATATCCGTACCATTCTGTGACTCGTTTGGTGTAGTCTATGAACCAAATTAGTCAATGTGCTTATATAGCTGAGAATGGTACCTACGTCAGCTTCTTCCTCCTTCACCTCTTTTTTTGGCCTTGTTTTGGCAAAGGCCTTGAATATATCAGAAGCTTCACGTTTGATGGTGGGCTTCGTAGCCTGAGAGCTTCCTAGCTGGCGGAAAGGCGCTGTAGAAGGCTCCGTTTGTTTATCTAGTGTTTGCTGTGCCGGTTTCTTATCCAGTGGTTGTTGGGTGGGCTTCTTAGCTAGTGATTGCAATGCTGGCTTCTCCTCCTTGATAGGGGCAGGGGGAACCACAAGAACACCCGATCTTCTCTAGAGAACAACGTTAGCAGGTGGCCTCATTCTGTTCGGGGAATCATGCATACTTTGACATTTTTATTCTGGATCATCCCATATTGCTCACTGTACCGAAGAGGATCCTCAACACGAGTAGAAGAGGATGCCTGCCCGATGTCTGCCAGGACATTCAAGTCTGGCGGTGATGTGGGCTGCACGCTATATATAAAGATGGAAAGTATCTTTTGAAACTGGGTTTTTGCATCTACAAGATGCATTAGATCGTTCAATGACCCGATATACCATTTGTAGCTGCGGTCTTGAATACATACCTGCTAGCTCTTCCTCTCGAACCAGCAATATGAACGTCACGGTAGGCGTGTCCACAGCTTCTACAGCTTCCGGCTGGGCTGCCTGGCTGCTCATAAATGGACTACTTTGCATAATCTCATCTTCACCGTCTTTCAAGTGATTTCCCTTCAACGGCGAAGGCTTGGTATATCCACATATCCCCGTAAGGAGATAAGTTGCATGCACAGATTTCGGCTTCTTTTCATTTTCGGAACGATGAAACTCGTACAACATCCTTTTTTAAGAGGTATATCAGCCCATGGACATGCTCTTACTGGACCACTTCAAGCATCTGCACATACCGCTTGGCCTGGTTGCTGTGCACTCTCTGGGCTCGACTGAGAGCTCTGTATGTCACCTAAACGTATCTGTCAATAGCTGTAGCTCTGGTATGCATGAAACCTACTCACGAATTCTTCATCGCCAAACACCTTCTCGGCAAGAAACTTCTTATAATTTGCTGCCATTGTCTATCTACGGGGCTGTTCATGAACTCCCGAGTCGATGTTTTGTTTCCTCTTGAAGAAACGCGTGCAAGAAACCAATTTACGCGTATCAGTCAGCGTGCAGTCTTGGCAGCAGGCGAGGACGAAAGTCGCAACTTCAGCGTCTTCTTCTATATAACAACTCTTTGACTTACCGATTACCATCCTAGACCACGCAGCGTCGCGGGACTGCTCGATGGACCGCAACTTCGATATCCCAGATTCCACAGACTGGGCAGTCACGCCACTCCCTGAAGTCGGCCACTTCGAATCCGCCTTACGATGTCAGATATGCAAGGACTTCTTCGATACCCCGGTCATTACCTCGTGCTGCCATACGTTTTGCTCCCTGTGTATACGACGATGCTTGAGTGCCGAAGGTAGATGCCCTGTCTGTCGCAGCAACGATCAGGAGCTCAAGTTGCGCCGAAACTGGGCGGTTGGGGAGTTGGTAGAGTCCTTCAAGGCAGCCAGGCCATCGATCTTAGATTTTGCGAGGAAGAATACTATTCGTACAACTCTGGTATCCCGGCCTGGATCGGAGGATAATGCGGAAGGCCCGGCGTCGAAACGAAGGAGGATTGACTCTTCTGCGGCGGCAGACAGTGCTTCAACTTCGGATACTGCGAGGAGAACGAGGTCACAGGCTAGGAAATCAGAAAACGGTGCAAGAGCAGAAGACGAACCTATAGTTATTCAGGATAGTGCCGATGACGAGGACTATGAGCCAGGTATGAACTTACGATTTCTCGTCCAATATACGTTGGTGGTCATGGTGGCTGACCGTTACGACAGACGATGGACTCGTGGCGTGTCCCGTATGTGGGAAGCGAATGAAGAATGAATCAGTGTTTATTCATTTAGATAACTGTACTGGCACACCGGTAAAGGATAGCACGGCCAAAGTTAGTAGGTATGGTTTCCCCCTGTCTATAGTATTACTGAATATGTATTGATAGAATAAACTAGAACACCCGGGTTTCCAGGCCCAAGGAACCTTTTCGGTTCTTCGAAGCCTCTAACACGCCTCCCAGCCATAAACTACGCACTTTTCAAAGACAACTCCCTACGAAAGAAGCTCAAAGAGCTTGGTATCCCAGATTCGGGCCCGAAACCTATATTACAGAAACGACACACGGAATGGATGAACCTATGGAACGCCAACTGTGATGCTATAAATCCTAAATCTAAACGCGATCTACTTCGAGATCTTGATATGTGGGAGAGAACTCAGGGTGGCCTGGCAGTCTCGCAGTCTTCATCCAGGTCCAACTCTTCAATAATGAAGAAGGATTTTGATGTATCTGCGTGGTCGGAGACGCATGATGACGATTATAGAAAACTCATTGCTAATGCACGCACAATGAGAGCCACGCGTGCTGTGGCGCCTAGTGAAGTTGGAGAAGGCCAGTCGAATGATAAGGAGGACAGGGAGCAGCAGCCGCCCACCACCAAAGATCTAGAGCTAGAGGAAACAGGGCAACCGGCCGAGTCGACTGATCCTAGCAAGCATGAGCCTGCTGATCCGGTCAGTGGGATAGAAACAGAAAGCGCAGACAGGACGGTGCCGGTGGCCCTAGTGGCACCATAGTTGCGGCTTGCCGGCAGCTGGTGTTAGCTTTCCTTGTTGACTGTCATTGTCCTATGCAATATACAATGGCTGTAGCCATTCGCATATATATCACGTAGAGCACATCCTCTCAGATGTGAGAGAGGGAAGCAGGCGGCTACTCTGCAGTCTGTGGCAGAGGCTCGGGGCCCTGTTTGGCCTTTTCCGGTCGCTTGTCACCGATTGACATCTGCGACAGTTTGTCAATGCTTTCTTCCAAATCACCATCAGTGGTTTGACTAGCAGGGGTTCTTATTACCCCTTGGTTTCTCTCCAACTCTGCTAGTCGTTGGAGAGTCGCTTCAGCTTCCTTATCCTCCCTAGCTTCGCGCTCTTGATCTTCCATCTCCTGCAGCTCATCATCCAGCTCGGTTTCGTCGATCACGGGCCCAGCCTCGTTCAAAATGCCTCCAACTTCATCCACATTCTCCATTTCCTTTCTCAACTCTTCGACTACATCCTCAACTTTGTCCACACCGCCAAGTTGGGAGTTTAGCTGCCGCAGAACCCCTGTACTTGCTTGCATGACCCGTACGATATCAACCTGGCTAGCAGCTTGTTCGATTTTTAAATATACTTCTTCGAGCTGCAACAGCGTATCGCTGCGCTGCTGGAGGTTGCGTTCCGCTAATTTCCTTGATCGAAGGGACGATAGAGCGAGGATTCGGTTCTTGTTTGCCAGAGCATTCTGTGCATATGCAGTGAGTTTCTTTATTTTCTCGGCCAGGGTTGTGACTTGCAACGTTAGCCGAGCAATTATTGTCTTAAGGGAGGCGATTGCTCCATCCTCCTGTGAGATACTATCGGATGTATCGCTCGTATCTCTGAATTTTACTGTCTGTGTATATGTCAACGGTCTGAAAGCTGTATATACAAAAGAGCATGATGCAATACATACCTTTCCATCGTATAATATTACATTCCGATCCCGTGATAGGTATTTCAGAAGTACAATGAAGTCGGTAGTAGAGAGTAATGTCTCCTCTCCAAAAAGATGAGCAAACTGTATCATAAACATTTCTTTGGAATATATCCGATCGACGCTCGAGTTATGGTGGCCCACAACCCCCTTTATAAGTCGATTTGCTGCTTGCTGATAATAAGAACGTTAGTATGCATACCGCCTGTGATCTGAGACTGTATAATCCAATTAGTGAGCATACCTTGAGGTTATCGACCAGCACTAAATCGTTGGTCTGAAGCATGCCTGTGCCAGCCAAGTGGTCGCTGTCTGTCCCTATCACCAAACCACGAGCCTGTTTCATACCCCATGTAACGACCTGGGACAAGCTGGGCGGACTTGGGAATCGTAGCCAGCCACTCCTGAAAGGGCTGGTTTGACTACTTAAGAATATATCAAGGGGAATCATATTTCCACTGCGCAAAGCCTCGTCCTATCAGCCATTAGAATATGCCGAGTTATAATTAAGTAAATAGTCCGACAACAGGTAATAACAGACATACAATGACACATTGCAGTGACAGTGGCCTCCCCCACTCTCGTGTTTCTAGGTCTGCCATGAGCGCATTGCTAGTTCGCAGAACTAGGAGGTTGTTTCTATGCGATAGGCTTTCCTTCCCGGGGCGTGATTCGCGTGTAGAGCTGGCTGATAAAGAGGGGACATGCCCTGATAGAGTAGCGTTTGCTAGAGCCCGTTGCCATGCTGCCACGTTGCTATGATAGCCGTCAGGGTTCGTTTGCCTCTGCGGGGAGAAGTCGGAATATAACGACGGGAGGCGAGCCCTGTACATGACAAAATAAAGTCAGAAGCTGGCAAAATAAATTTACTATGGAGAGATGAAAGCAGACCTGCGGAACGCATCCTCATGATCGAGGATGTATGATAGAAGCTCACTCATTGTTGTGATACTTGCGGAAGTCAACACCAGCTTCTATATGAGGGTATACAGAGGAAAGCTGTGGTGTTCGAGCATATTACTCCATAGAGATAGGTTCACCTAGACATGAAATGGGACCAGCAGATCAGTCGTCTTCTTCTCGAATGCTCTTCTTCTTCACTCTTCATTGTTTCTTTCCTCAACTCGCGATGTTGACGCCGCAGATCTTATCGATAAGCAGGGAACTATCACGTGAACACCGTTATTATATAAGCTTCTTCTGTTTTGAGCCTCATAAAGGCCGTTTTTATAGAGAAAGGCGAGGGAGAGGGACAAGATGAGTGATTCTTTTTTGCATGGAGTGGAATGCAAAGATAAGTAAGAATCGTTTTTGCAGTATGTCAAATCAGGGACCTGACCCTGCCCTGTTATATTAAGCCCTTCTAAATCTATGCTGAGTGCCCCATAAAGGGGGACCATGAAGCAGTTCATTAATTAATTATAGAATAAAGTGGTTGTTTCAGATCCCATATCTGAGCTTCGTGGCAGCTAATTATAGGCAAATTAAGCTCTTATCTCCGTTTGATGGTTTCCACGCGGATACGTAGATGTTAGGCGGCCGGTAGTCAGCCTGTATAATGCCGTTGTCTTTCCCACTCCCATATCGGTAAACCTAGCACGATCCGGGCAAGCTCATCTGGTGGTGAAGACGGCATCTCTCCCAGTTTGTCTCCCTGTTAGCGTCAACGGTAGCTTCCAATGGGCGCTCTTGCGTGTGCTGGTCGGAATTGCCTTCTATATTCGTAAAATCATGATAATCCCGCCATACCAGGATCTATATACCTATACCAACTTGCAACTTAGGAAAATATCGGCATGTAGTGTACACAAGCAGAAGTCGAGGTTTGCCTAACCGTAAAAACGTTGACATTTCCAAGAGCTGTTCACGGCCGCTCACTCAAAGTCGTCATCTGCAGGTTCTTCGTCCTCGGTTTTTAGCCGTGTTGGTAATTGGGTAGGCTCCAAGGGCCCAACGGATCCCAAAAACGATCGTCGATGACGGCGAAAGTCAAGCTTCTCATTCATCTCTTCGGCAGTATCAAGCTGTTCGTCGGCAGACTGCTCGTCCTCGCCCTCGAGTCCTTGGGCTTCGAGACACCCCATCTTCACAGACAGCCTCAACTCTTCTACAAACTTTTGTAGATCAGGAAAAGCAAATAAGCCTTCCTCCAGAATATGTCCATAATGCCTCTCAGCTTCCTCTAAACAGCTAGAGGCAAGAGCAGGTTTTCCAATGCCTAACCAATAATCAGCAGCGAGAAGGGACCACATTCCAGCTTTTCGTCGTCGAGTTCCCCATTTAGTGCCTTCTGTTGCAACTTTGGCTGCAAAGCAAGCAGAGGTTCGTTCAGAGACAAGGATGCGGCCGACAGGCCCGACGAGGTTCATGTTCAGGACTTTCATTTTCCATTTAGCAGCATGCTCAGCGGCTGCACCTCCCCGGGATTTCAGGAGTTCAGCCCCAAGAATGACCGTGCGAAGAGTATTCTGGCTGTCTGAACATCGAGTGAGGTAGGAATAACAGGCGATGTCTAGTAATTGGTCAATAGTATCAAGTTTAGATTTAATCGTTGACGTCAGCGGATTAAGTAGCATGCTAATGGCGCACATCTCATGGGCACCGGCGTGGTATCTCCAAGCCTTGTCATTTCCGAAGTCCCCCCTGAGAAGATCGTACGTGGACGAAGCAAGCTTGAAGTCACGGAGCATGAAGGAATAATCCGCCATCTTTCGAAGGAGGGCTTCAGGGGAGTCGGGCTTATAACAATCTTGGTAAGGGTCGTAATTGCTTCCCGGTCCACCGGTTCCAAAAGCACCAGAGGATTTTGAGCTCGAGCCAAAGCCAGTCCAGCGCTTGGACATTGACATGAAACGACCACTCAGACCTCGTCTTCGAGAAGCAACCTGTTCGTTCCACAGGGCAACACGATTCTCCATGTGAGGGATAACAGATTGGGCCACTAGCTCCCTGATAAAGGATATGATGGCCGTTACATCAGACTCGAATATGTAAGGAGGTTCCCACCCAACATCTATCAGCGGTTCTGTGGGTCATACATATATTAGATTGACGGTAATAAAGTACAGGTTCCATATAAGAAAGGGAAAAAAATACCTTGTTCTCTCATCTCTACGAGTTCCTCCCGTGAACTCCGCCACTCGCATGTCGGAAACGGCATGCTATCGTCATCTGTCAAAACACACTGGTTGCTTCGAAGCCTCAACATATGACAGTGTAGACCAAAGTGTCGTTTCATTTGGTCAAACAGAGTGGTTGACTGAGTAATATCATCTTTATCTTCATCGTGAACGAGAACGTAGTATCGGAGATATTCTGGGTTAACCCAGGGTTGAGGCCCCTGCTCTCCATGGCTTGTGCTAGCATATAGCTGCCGTAAGGCTTCCAAGGGCGACGGCGTGCTAGAGCTGATGGCTATGACGCAGGCCACAGGGTGAAGGAAGGTTTCATGGGGTGTAGGCGAGTCCACTGATAGAAGCCGTTTTAAAAATAGTTTATATAGCGGAGATGACAGCGTGAGGCCTTTGGGTGCAGATTCACCAGCAAATATCGCGTCACTGGCCGCCCTATTAGAGGGTTCTAGGTGGCTTTCCAGTACTTTTTCGATTTGTGCTAAAGGGGGTATCTTGTCTATATCTTCCCAACCAGCCCCTGAGGCCTGATTGCTGCCATTTGAGTGCATAAACCGGACTCCGTAATCGTCCCAACTCCGACTTGAGCCCACTCCATCACGAATAACCACCTTCCCGGTGATGTTCTCACCAAACGGCCGCAGGAGCTCGCAAAAACCGCCTTTGAGACCCTTCCTCCGGATAAGCTCATTCGTGTCATGTGAAGCGTAAACACTGATAGCCGGAGAAAAGGCCCGTATTATTATGGACCGTATGTCATCTGCGGCATCAATCTGGTGTCTGGCGGGCGAGAGAGTGGACGACCGAGAGAGTCGTTGGGAGGAGCGCGAGAGGCGTCGGTCAGGCGAGCTGGCCCGGGACGAGGAGGTGGACTGCAGCTCGGAGGCCAGGGAGCTGTGCAAAGCGCTTTCAGAGAGAGGTGTCAGCGCCGGCTGCTGCGAGTTCTGCAGACGCTCAGCGTATCTAGACTTGGTGGGCAGAGGCGAGGCCGGCGAGAAGGAGGGCGGCGGTTTGATCGGGGGAGCATCGTCGGGGGTTGTCATGGAAAATTTGGTGTCTTTGAAGGAGCTTTGGATCTGCCGAATGGATTGCTTGCCGTGAACATGTAGCCGATGCTTGCGCAGAGTTGGACGCTTGTTGCTGAGAGAAGTCGAGGTTGAGGTCGAGGGTTGATGCTTGCGTGTTGTTGTTCACAAGCAAATCTGCCCGACGGAGAAAAGATGACTTCATCGCCAAAATATATATTTATTTTTATTATATTCGAAACGGTTTATTCAATATATTCCTCCGCCATTCACCAACCTCTAGCGATCTCCCCTTGCTTATAACGTTCGTTAGGTACGAATAGACTCCTGCTGCGACTTTTATGTTAAAATAGCCGGGATTGTTTGCTCACGGAGTCGATGGTTGACTCATGCGTATACAGATGGAGAGGAAATCATTTCAACAACACGACCGGAAAAGAGAGATATAACAGTGTATATAACCGATGCGACCACTGCTCAGGTCGTTAGGAACTCTCTGTCAACAAACACTACCTGCACGCAGACGACCTAGCTTGAAGATTCCCCCCCTTCTCACGCCTTCCAGACGACTTAATCACACCCAGCGGACCGCTGTTTTGCCTATGAGCAACCTCCCGAGTGAAGCTGAGAGACCAAGCAAGCGAAGACGCACCATGGGATCGGTCTTTGCAGCGTGCGCATCAGCGCGCAAGGCTGAAGTGCAACTCAGTCCAGAAGAAGCTCTCCTACGAACACTCCTGCTTGATACCGTAGAGCATATACGGCTTAGGTCCAGCGATGATTCGGAGCGCCCTGATTTGATCCTGCGTTTTACCGGAGGCTGGGTTCGCGACAAACTCCTCGGCGTAGGGAGTCAGGATATTGATGTCGGAATCAGCACGATGACTGGCTACGACTTTGGACTGGCATTGAAGGAATATCTTGATATCCCGGAAAACCTCGAGAAGTACAAGGCGGATTACCCAGAGCATGCCCTCAAAGGGATTATTGGCGGACTACATAAAATCGCGGCAAATCCGGAGAAATCTAAACACCTCGAGACAACTACTATTCGCGTGTTCGGGTTTGACGTGGACCTGGTGAACTTGAGGAAAGAAACATATACAGACAGCAGCCGGAACCCCCAAGTTGAGTTTGGGACTGCTGAAGAGGATGCGCTTCGCCGTGACGCTACCGTAAACGCACTATTCTATAACCTACATACGGACGAGGTTGAAGATTTTACTGGCAGTGGTTTGTCTGATATGGAATCAAAGCTCATACGCACACCATTAGCGCCATATCAGACTTTCAAGGATGACCCATTACGAGTTCTACGATTAATCCGGTTTGCCAGCAGGCTCACATATACCATTGACCCAGATACAGAGGAGGCAATGCATAATGATGACATCAAGCATGCACTAAAAATGAAAATCAGCCAAGAAAGAATTGGCATTGAGATTGAGAAGATGCTGCGTGGTAAGCCATTCGTTGAACGCCCTGGCAAATCCTAGTGCTTATATCGTGTGCTATCTAGGCCCCGACCCGCTAGGTTCACTGGCAATTATAAACCGGATAGGGCTATACGATACGATCTTCGCAGATCATCGAGATAATATGGCCGTGAACGCACCTTCGTGGCCAACTGTTTATACCTTGCTTAACAGCATCATAAACGACAAAATCGAGTCGGAAATACCAAGTGGACTGCGAAAATCAATGCATAACTTCCTCATCCGGAATAAAGATGAGGAATACCGCTCTTGGATGATTGCTGCACTTTCACCGTGGGCGATGGTTGATGTTAAGAACCCCCTAACTAAAGACGAGATCAGGAAGATGGCACCGCGCCCTGTAAGAATCGCCAGGGATAGCCTTAGATGCGAAAAGAAGTTGACGGCCATGCTCAACATCGCGACTACTCGTTACCAACTCATCTCCGATACTAAGACTGCCTTCGTCAATGGAGAACTTAACACCTCCCTACCTGATACTCGCTGGAAAATTGCAAGTCTTGTCCGAACCCTTGGAGCTGACTGGAGGCTTTGTTTTATCCAGGCAGTTCTTTTGGATATTATGCAAGGGAAAGAGGCCGAACTTGGTGAGTACTCTAGACCGCAGGCTAGTCAATTTACAACAATACTAACATCACATTCATAGTATTAAATGACTACTTGAAGGTACTGCAGTTCCTAGAGGAACAAACCCTTCTTGACGTGACTGAGCTTAAGCCTCTTGTAAATGGGCGCGATATGATCGCGGCTCTGGATTCAAAGGCGGGAGCGTGGCTAACGTCTGCACTGGAGATTGCTATGGAATGGCAAATTCGGAACCCGGACCGATCCGACGCAGCGGGCGCAATAGAGGAGGTCATCCGCAGGAAGGATGAGCTCAAAAAATGAAGCCCGTACTTGAGGCTTTGGCTGAATATAGATTTACAACATTATAGATTAGCCTTGCTGTAGACATTTTAGCAACATTGATCCATCACTCCCATCACAGCGTTGCCACGATAAAGTGTAATCGTCTAGCTCTATTATGTAGTCGACGGATTTCCCTGATTAAAAGTAGGGATGAAACATGTCTATACATACTCCTCTGTATTTGTGGTTAAATAAATATTTAGGTTGAATGTTCACAGTGCAACTAGTGCCGCTTTGTTCCGCTCGCTAGCTATAAATATTTAATTGCTTTCTCCAACCACCAAGTAGCTACATACTCACTTGAGATTCATTACTGGTTTATCCAAGGTGGGTATGGATTTATATCGTGAATCAGCTCGGAAAAGCCTCCAGCATGCCAGAGGCAAAGATGATCCAAATATTTATAGCCAGCTTGATGCACGATCTTGCAGCATAGGACTTCACGATCTATGGTCAAATATTTCTGAATGCAAAGACGATGATTCTGTCAGTGCCACGAGTCTACTTCATACCATGATTTATAAGAATATACAGTTTAACAAAAAATAATAGGTACTGGAGAACCTCCTGGTGGCAGAGGTTTGTCTTCGGGGCTGGAAAGCAGGAAAGGCAGGCGATGATAGAAATGCGGCAAATTCGATTTTACTATGGACTTTAGCTGTCCTATACCCTAAAGAAAATATTACTGGAACGTGGGATGAGTATAAGCTTGCAGATGGTCCGTATTGCCCTTGCTCTTGATGTTTATCATGATGCTAAACTCAGGTAGAGACAGAACGAGCCTCGATAATCTTGAAATATAGAGAGGAGCGTTTTAAATCAACCGTTGGCATACATGTTATCAACCATCTCGATTCAATCATCTTGTTTGAAGAAATAGAAAATTTGAAAGACGTCTTGTCAACTCTTGCAGTATTCAGTTCACCTGAAGACCCCTGGACCACGGTCGAAGGTGCCCAAGCGGCTAACGCACTTCTTGAGAAATACGAATCAAAACTACGCCACGAACAGGATTCTTTCTCAATTGCCATTGAAAATATTCTTCGGAGGACGGTGAAACCAGCTTTCTCCAGTACCACAAACCCCGCGATTACTTCGGCGGGACGCAAGAACATGCATCCAGTCCCACAACCTAGGTTTGATCCGACGTTATTTGACCCTGGATCTAAACCGTGGAAATTCAAAGAGGGCTACATCGTATCGATTCTAGGATGGATTATCCATCGATATAGGGTGCGTAACGTGTGTTCCGCTATTATTTGCCCAATATCTAACAGCTAACGGGAAGAAAATAGGCAACTGACCAAAACATGATCGAACGGCATTTCCCTTTACTTGTGCCTCCGATATTATCATTTATTGATGACGAGAGCCTTGCATTCAAAGCTGAAGGCTGCAGATTACTTCGGCGCCTCCTTGAACCTCTGGAAGAGGCTAAATCCGACATCCTACGTCGGACGAATCTTGACTCTGTCTTTCAAGATGCGTTGTCACATTGCCTCCTATCAATTCCCACTGTTACCCCAGAGAAGGAATCAGTTCATTTACTGAATTTTGCATACCCTGCTATATTTTCTGTGATCCGGACGCGGTTTTCGTCTTTCACTAGCTCTCGAGGGGGAGTCAAAGGGCAGCTCCCCACGAAGGTGAAGCCGGAGCTCGAAAAGGATAATCAGTTGCGAGTCTTATGCCTTACGCGTATCCTGCGCCACAACATCATTTCCTCATACCTTCACACTAGCAGTCCACGACCAGCAGAAGACACATCCATATCTTCATACCCGCACCCACGCCTTTCAACATTATTACTTAAACAGCTAACCGAAGCAATAAGTGAGCTCAAACTTGAAGCGACGAAGTACCTACAAGACATCGTTCCTTTACTTACTTCGACTCTTACGAATCCGTTCGGAGTAGCGTATATACCTCTACTCGTTGCAGCTGCCCAATGCTACCAGTCAGTCATTTTAAATTGCTGGCCACGCCTGTCAAGATGGAGGGGGGATATATTAGCTGGAGTATGTGCATGCTGGCTTCATTTATGCGACGACGAGGAGGATGGTCCTTCCCCCGACAGTAGGGACTTAGCGGAGAGAGGGTATCTTCGCTCAACTTTACAGCGGTTGGTAAAGCTTTTAAAAGTTGTCGAGATGGAAGAGGTTGTTGATTTTGATTCCGAACTCCAAAATCTCGTGGATGCAGATAATAGACTGAAGAATCTTCTGTTTCTATAGACACGTTCATGTAGTATGAGCTGTAGGGGCGCACACCTTACTGGGTTATCGACCTCTAGACAGCATGCATTGTGTCATAATTTTACATGAGAAGTATTTTCTGAATGGTTCGTAAATCAACACTGTGAGGTGAAATGGCAAATATGTAAGTTCTATGCATAAATGTTCCAAAATCGATAATTAGGGGTATCAAAAATCAAGGTTGAAAGCAAAACACGATAGTGTGACCAGAGCCACCAGAACTTGATAATTACTTCCATGCAGGAAATTTATTATCCACTTCATACCTCAACGCCTTGCTTAAATAAACTCTTCCCTCTCAGCCATTGCCTGTATCGCTTGTATCGCTTCTTATCGTAATCGTCCCCGTTAACTGTCAACCCCTCGTCTCCAACAGTTAAAAAGTCCGTATAATCCGCCAGGCTACTCTCAGCGATTGTGTTCAAACTCGTGTTTTCAAGATTGTGTTTGTTGGCATACTCAAAAAGGTCAAGATTGGACCCCCTCTCCGCCAACGAGGCTGCTGTTGGGGAGGCCTCTGATGTCACAACCAATGGCACCTTAAGTGGGTGGTTGACATAACGCTCATATTCTTCCGATTCAGCGGCAGAGATGGACGGATTGAGGGAGTCAGCAACCAGCTGACCAAAACTCCATTGAGCAACTTGAGCCTTGGTAGCATTATATGGCGGTTGGTTATAGGTGTTCGTAAGAGAGGGCATACCGTTTGGTTGGAGGGAATCTGTGGTTTGTGGCTTTTGTGTTCCTTTTAGGATGCCAGTTTGGGGAGTAAGCCTCCCTGATGAGGGCTGAAGCCAATGTTGTAGTGGCATAGCGCCTGAGTAGGCGTTATTCGGCCCATTCTTGATATCCTTTAACTCATCTGATGGCTCTTGAATTGTGAGACGTTTATTTGGTGGAGTTTTCCTATCGCGTTGGTGATCTGGTTCGTGGTCTGTTCTGACGACAAAGGGGCTGAGATCATGCTCCCCTGGGTGCATAGATTGAAGTCGGTAATCCGAGAGTTTTGACCTCATTTTAAACGAGAACATCTTGGAAAAGGAAGATATGGCTCGAGGTCTGTAGTATTCAAGCCAGTAATCATCAAAGTCTCGAATACGCTTGCTTGCCAAAGCCGAGGAAGCCGAGGGAGCCGGTGGCATTTCTCGCTTTTTTAAGAACTCCTTGTTAAACCAAAGTATGTAGTTTTGCTTGTGTGTCGCGGACCAAGCTCGTGGGTCTGAATGGTGCAGATAATAGTCCGTTGTAAGGTTCCAGAGCATGGGCATACCCTGAGAAAACACATAGTTTCCTAGGAATAAATTATACGCCTCCTGTCTCTGAGCATCAAGAAAAGAGTTGTTATAGTATCGCTTAAAGCTCTCCACCATATCCCTCGAATGGCCTGTCCACTGGTTTAATTTTCGATACGTAGCCATTGTATTCACAAGGTGCGATCCGCCGTATTGAACGGCGATTGTATCTCCATGGCCATGCCACATGTTTGTAAACATATTGACAGCGTCAGTGTCATACTCTATGTATGTGTGGTTGATAATCCCTAGGGCGCGTAGCTGGTATCCTAAAGCACGTTTTGCAATGACAAATTGAGCTGCGTTTGTCCGGTCGAGGCAATCAATACAGTTTGTCCTGGCAATTCCATTTTGCATGCGCAGGCCAGATGCCTCATCTTCACCGTTTCTGAAAAATCCAGTCTTCGGAATGATATCATCTGCTATAGACTCTAGTATCCCGATGACATCTTGATCCCGGCTCTTCGATGCCCTGCTCATATCCCAAGCACGGTAGATAATTTTCTTATCCTCAGGAAGAAATTGGTTCAGGTAATTTACCGCATTGGTGTACTCAGTCAACAACTTAGACTCACGTGGAATCTTTTCTCTTCCCTTAATGAGATTCAAGACATAGACAGGCGCTCCGTATCTTTCGAAGAGGTTGTTGAAATGAAGAGCGGCAGCTGAATAAAACGGGTCAACAAGACTTAGAGATATGTCTGGCTTAGGAGTAACCCCAGTACTATCCTGCGTCCAGGATAGTGGGATACTCCCACGGTGCTGGACGTAGGAGGTGTATTGAGGATTTGCATAAAGTTCCGGCCCCGGTGCATGAAAAGATGTAGTCAACATGTCAGATACTATCTGCTCGGTTTCAACATCATTCGCAACATATCCAAGGTCGTTCACCCCGCGTTTGAGATAGCGTGCACCAGCAAAGAATCTGGATCGGCGAGCAATGAGGGTGAGGTATACAAGTCTCCCATAAATCGATATAGCTGACTGATCAACGTATCCATGAGTGATTGGTAGAAACCAATCATACACGTTTTTGAGCGACTTGGTGACGGGATTAAGCAAATACTGATTCCAGACGAACATAGAATTGTAGTCATGATTTCCATACCCACGTTGGCCCTTGCTAATTGCCTGACGCTCCGAAACAATATTATGCTGTAGCGTGCGGGAGATGTTATATGAATAACTGAAATAAAATGACCGTGTCAAATCGATGTTATTCATGACTGCGACGAACCTGGCCTCGTCGGCATGTTTCTCAGGTCTCTGTTTGGCTGTCGCTAAAGAATCCAGGGGTACGAGTTCTGTTCCGTCTATTTGATAGATATAATGACCTCCAAGCATAGCAACCTGGCTTCGTTTGGTTATCAGGAGCATGTAGTAGGAACCCGTGAAACGTATAAATCCTATAAGACCCCAAGTGCTGCATCGTAGCTTCAGCCCACCAGAGCTTTTATTGCCATCGTCCACAGCATCAAGAAGCTGATTCATCTCCTTTTTGGAATAAATAATTTCGTCTTCAGCAATGACAAGGTCCTCTTCTGGCCCGGCTGTACGGTCGATCTTTAACATTCGGAACCGTCGGTCTAGGAGATCCATTCCCACTAGATAGTATCTTGTCGCAGTTTCGTATAGTGAGAATTTATGCATCTTAGCAAAAGGAACCTGTCCATCCTTCGCGGCATCTCTCCCGCCATCGCCATCGCTAGTATTATCAACATCATCTCGACCTCTCTGTCCAGCACTAGTTGGCAAGGTACTTCTCTCGAACGATTTGGCAATGTAAGGCTCTTCATCACCCCCTTCTCCGTCATCGTCAAATATCAACATGCCAGTTGAATCACGGCGTTCGTCAGATACGTTGTGAGGTGCTATAGAACTGCCTGTCTGCTGCGTATTTCGTGTATGTGTCTCTTCATTGTGGACAACGTTCTTTTCTGATTCAGACGGATGTTGGACCGTGGCCGACGCATCGATCAGGGGTGGGTTGGCGCCATCGCGATCTGCTATAATATTAGTAATGCCACTGCTATCAGCGTGTTGAATGACGCCGTCAGACGATGTCCGCCTGATTTCTGTAGGCTCGTGCGGTTGTGGCTGACTGGCAGCTGATTGTTCTGCAAGAGAGCTTATCTCCGCTACGACATTCAGGGGCGGAGTAACATCGTCGAAGCTCTCCATTATCCTCAGTTGCTAACCATGGACTAGCTAGGCGTTTATCGAACAGTCCAGAGAAGGTGGAAATCACATCGTCATTCGATTATCTCAAGCTTGCTCCGTCATCGAGGAGAAGGTGAGGTCAGATGCTTAGTCATTAAGATAAGATGAGGATAAAAGTGACTTTTTACATAAGCAAAACACAAGCCAATAGAAGTTACATAAACACCTTTTTTCGAATAATCGGGCAATATTACTGGATGAGAGTCTATTACGTAAGATATGCAATTTATGAACTCTTTTATTAGCTGTGATATTTCACGTGTCTGATTAGCTAATGTCGTTCATGTTACCAGATGCAGTAAGAAGAAGTTCCGACATCCTTTCAGCAAGTCAACGAAGGACAAGTCGTGTACACTACCAAAGAAGCGGTTTGAAAATTGATTGATATTCATTAATTCTTGTCCAAATATGCAGACTCCATGCCCAAAAATATTTCGTGAATATATACATAAATGCATCCGGTCCCATTCATTATTTCGTTAATGGGCAAAGTTGAGGCCTGAGATGGGTTTGCCCAACAACACCAGGAACTCCTTGATAAGAGTAAAGCTGAGAACTCTCAGGGCGCGAGGGTCTAAGAAACTGATGAATTCCTTGGTCTGTTTGCATTTGGTACCAACAGACTTCCCCGCGTATCTATCGGCAAGCCAGTTCAAGGCATCAGGCGCACCGGTGACAGCCAGAAGTAGGTGCTTTGCAGTCAAATCGCGGTTGTGGTGGACGATGACTCCGTTGTCACAATAGTACTTCACAAGGGCATTGGTTTCGGAGGCAGGACTGACTTCATCGTTGTCGGCCTTGTAAATGAAGAGTGGGATCTTGGGAATGTGCTTGCCCATTGAGTTTTCATCCATGATAGCCACTAGGTCTGGTCGTGTCAAGACTTTTGGGTCTTTGAGGTAAGTCAACATGTCCTGGTATGCAAAGTCGGCAATGTTGGCCGTAAAGCACTGATCTGCTACCTTCATGAAGGCATCTCGTTTTTCAGGGACGAGCTCCTCATCGATAACCTTCCTGATGACAGGGTAGTCTTTGCTTAGTCCAAAGATACCGCCGGGTATCAGGCCAGTGAAAAAGCCTTTATTGACAGATTGAACAACGGTGCTGACTTTGGGAACTGTTCCTCCAAGTGCTGCACCGGCAATCTTCAGCTCAGGTGCGTAGCTGGGTTGAAGTTCGGCAGCAAAGCCACTCGCTAGACTACCGCCAGAATACCCCCACATAGTGATAGTGGCATCTTTTGCAATGCCGGTGAAACTGGTTGAGGCCAAATTTGCACGGATACCATCGAGGACAGCGTAGCCCGCGCGGGAGTTGGCGAGCCATGAGCCTTCCAACCCTTCGAAATCAGGGGCGGTCACGACCCACCCGTTGTTCAGGGCCGCGATCATGAGAAGAAATTCAGCTTCGGTGACGATGGTTCCAAGCTTTGGGCCGGTTTGGTGATCCTTCTGCACGGCATAAGAGACGCCGCAGTTCGGAGAGGAGGCATCCTCCGCGACCTGGAAGGAGAGGAGCTTCTTGTAATTGGGCTTCTCGGGGATTAGGATTGTGGTCACGGCGACGGTTGCGTTGCGAAAGTTGTCGCTTGTGCGGTACATGACATGGTAGGCGTCCTTTAGTTTCACAGGTATTTTGCCCAAGATGGCAATGGGGTTGGGGACTTTGCGCTGCTTCAGGATAGCACCAGGCGCAGCATTCTCATAGCCTTCAGGGGGTCGGTAGAAGGGGTCTTCGGAAGGAAGGGGAGCTGCTCCACGGAGTTGAAGGCGCCATGGTGGCAGAGCTTGAGCCGTGATTGCGAAAAACAACAGGCCAAGCCAAAGCTTGAGGAGGACGACCATGATGACGGGCCGCTTCTTCTTTATTTGATAGTTGAGGGAAGAGAAGAAGTGCCAGGGAGGATGCTACCAGAGAAAGAGCACAGCCGGTTGGGGGTGAGAGATCGCCTACAGAAACAAATGCAGCGAGGTGACGAACACGGGGGTTTTATACCCAGCTAAAGACATTCTCGAGACATCTATTTTTTTCCCCAGGTTTTTTTTCTCCTATGCCGACCCCGTCTTCAACCCCGCGTGGGGCTTACATTTACTTTTTACAAGGGCGTGACTCCAGCGTGGGAGCCGCTTTGTTAGCACCACCAGGCCCCATAGCGAGAAGACGGACTGTTAGAGAACGAAACGGCGCTGGTATGTAACTGCTGTGGTGTTTTTCGGCGTCGACCTCGGTTTTGAGCATCAAAAATGCAGCTGATAGAGCCAAGAACTCCCAGTACGAGCTTTAAAGCTTCGACCCTGGTGGCGGCCCCATGAGCTGTAAGGCTAGTGGCGCTGAACACTCCGGGATAATTTCAGAAATGCACATCTCAAATTTGGCGATCTCGACGCTAACTCAAAGCCACAGCACGCGCAACAGCGGCATCACGGCTGAGGCGCGTGAAACGCGACACCTAACGGATCTATATTTACAAGGTGATCAGCTCTGCTCTGTAGCTCAAGACCAGTTGTGTAACATGATGTATATATTTCGATATGTTGCTGGTGACCACTCTCTCCAATTAATCCTCAGTGCTTTGTACGCCCAGATAAACTCAGGTCACGAGGGTCAATGAAGTACAGAAAATTGTTCCCCGTCGAGCTCCGTTTGGCTGAGTTTATTCTGGGTTCACTGCCCCTGACCCCTGACCCTTCTCTGGTGTCTGGTGCCTTGTCCAACCACAGCTGGTTCATCGAGATCTCAATTGATGCACCAGATCAATTGACAACAATAATGCTAGGACCAGCTCTCGCCAACCCCTCCCAACATGTACTCCGTACACGTACGGAGCTACGGAGCACATAGGTTCGAAATACTACTGCTGAAAAAGTATAATTGTATGCGGAGTGCATACTGCAAGTGTAGGCGCCAGGGTGTACGAAGAACTCAACTGCCTCGGCGGACTAACCTCTATGGTCGAGATGGAGCATGTGTGGGTACACTTGTACGGTGTGCTTACCAGAGAAAAGAATATTCTGACATAACGATTCATGTCTGCCTATGCTAGCTAACGCAATCGGACAATCCCCGGATTAAGCCATCGGTTAATAGAGTTGAGCTCGGTAGAGCAATGTGGGTTAGCCCTGTCCTTGCGGAGAAATCAAAATATTTTCACAAAAAGAATTATGACGGATGAGATGTCAAAAGGCGGCCCAGCAGGAGGAGAGCAGTGCGAGAAGGCAGCCCGAGATTTCACATGGGCACGGTCTTCGGATGGTTAGTCTATTCCGTAGTGGAATACTCCGTAAAGAGCATCGTATAATTGGTAAGAGTTCACAAAAGGATCGAACTAGATTCGGCCTATATATATAACAGAATTTTGAAGAGGAAGCTAGGAATACTGCATAAGGTAGAAAACGGGAAGGAGTGTAAGGGAAGCCTAGGTTGGCCGTAGCAACGGATGTGCTTCGGTGTTGAAAACATATTTATCCAAACTGATGAGATCCGGCTCACTAAATAGGAGATAAAAGTATTTCAGCGTTTCGCCCGTCCAAAAGGACTCCATCTCGTCCATGATCTCAGAGTTCGCTAAAGTCACGTCCTCAATGGCACCGTAGCCGATCTTGGTTTTGGAGGCTTTCTCGATTGCCTTGAACATCTCCCATCCTTTATCCTGGAGCGTCGTGTCCCCGGTGATTCGATAAAGAATGAATACCGACTCAATGGCTTCTGGTCTTCATGGCACATCTACGTCAGAATCGCCAAACTAAGCAAAAAAACGTTGATACATAAGCTACTCACCGAAGATGATATTTTGGATCCGAGATCAACTTGAATCCCGGAAACATCCCTTTCTCTCTCGCCTGCCGCTTAAGTTCTTCTAGCGGCTGCTGGTTATCCTCGTCGCTATTGAGCCATTCCCGTAGATCCCAGGAACAGCCCGAACTTTCGTCCGTGCATTGAACGGCACGAAAGCTCTCTGGCATAACCCCTGCTGGCATGCTGTTGTAGGCCCAGATGCAGCCGTCAACTAGTTTCCTACCAATGTTGAGATCATCCGGGCGATCGAAGATTTTGGAACCAATGGCTAGCATCCCTCCGGCGAAGCATGTTAAATGTTGACTATCGGGATCCAGGTTTATGGCCGTGGCCGACCTGGCCGAGGCGCGCACGGTGCCGGAGATGAGGATATCATCGCCCTGCTCCGTCATAGGGCGGAAGAACATGTGCTTCTTGGCCACATCTATAGCCTTCTCGTACATATGGCGATACTGCGATGACCGGCCGCCGAGCATGAGATATTCCTGATCGAGTCAGTGTCAAGATCGTGGCTTAAAGTTGGTAGTTGAGGACGATAGTGTGGATGATACCTTGGGTAAATACTCGTATAGAGAATCAGCCAACCCACCAAAGGAGAATCTATTGTCGACGTTGAAGTTGGGCGTCAGGGCATCGATAGATATCGGCCACAGCCCTGGAAGCGCTGTGTGGTCCTGGTGCTTATCCAGCATATTGGTGATACGTTGGATAGCATCATAGTATTTTGGGTCCCCCGTCAACTGTGTTAGGCGAGTGAACTCCACTGAAAGCGACCCTAGCTCTGCTAAAACATTGTTGTTGCTAGCTTCTAGATCCCGTTTTTCCTTTGATGCCAACCAGAACCAGCGAAGGACAGGCATGCGATTAGGCGTATCAAATGCAATGTATAGAAAATCGCCCAACTCTACCGCCTTTTCGAGGAGGATGGGATAGGAGCCATCGGACAAGTCGTGAGCCGCCAACAAGCCGCCCAGATAACGAATGGTGACCTCGAAGATGTTCAGGGTTAGGGTGTCCGAGGTGGAAAAGTCGATACGGGAGACTGCAGCCACAGCTTCCTCGAATTCCTTCTTCAATCCCATTATCCAGAGCGTATCCAAGCTATCGACCAATGTAGCTCCCCACCCGCCAAACGTATCTTTGGTTTGGCCAGTGACCGGACCGACCTCGTCCATCCCCCAGGCATATTTTTTATACCCTTTCCACGAATGACGGAACGCCGACTTTATCGCGTCTCTCCTCTCCTCTCGCTGTGCCTTTGCGGCGACATCCTCTTCCTCGAAGCCATATTGAATATGAGGGATGTTGGCGGGTGTCTGAGTCGGCAGCGGAATCATCGACGTGACTGGGTGATCTGGGACATATTCCTTCCACCAGTGATGGAAGTGCCGTTGCGTTTGAGCGGACGTGGAGCCATGTAAGGCTAATGAATTCGTACGAAACAGACTATAGAGGAAAAAGACCGATAATAATATAGGTACGATCAATCTTCGTCGGATGAAGCCCATATCAATTAGAATCAAGAAAAAGCCCGGAATTGCAAAGACGAAACGAGGGAAATCGACATATGAGGTAAAAAGATAACGACAGTATATAACAAAAAACGAACACCTACAGGAAGAAAAGGGACAGGAGAGAAAGGAGACGAGTGAAACAATTACACAGACGCCATAGTCGTCATCAAGCAAGTTCCAGCGTCAGGAGAGCCAAGAGTTGCCCCCATTGATGATGCAGCTGGTGGAGAGCTTGACGCCGCCGGCCCATCGCACACTGACAATCTCCATTCTCGCGATCTCGACCTCAGGACGATCCCAAGACGATCTCAAGGCGACGGAGCGAAGGCGGGAAGATGAATGCGATCGTTTTGCGGCGAGGGGGAGACCTGGACGTTTAAGTATATTCTCCGTCGCCCTGTGAGTTCCGGGTAGCCCCTGGCACTACTTTAAAGGACCCCTACAGCTAATCTGTGCCGAGGTTCAGGCTGAGGTTAAATATAGAGAGCCTTGTCCCAGAGACTCGAGGAACCGTTGGCCATAGCCATGTGGATGGGCGGCTTCATGCATTCTGTCCCTGCAGAGTGCCGCTATTTGAGAGTCTCCTTGGGCCTCCATCCGCAGCAGTTCCCGGTTGGCTATTACTTAGCTCTTATGCATCAAGATGTGGAACAGCAACGAAAATGCTGGAAACCCGGGAACACTCCAGGAAAGGTCACATAATGGATGTAAAAGAGATGAATGATGATATTCAGGCTCTCAGCTCATCTGGGACCTCTCTATTATATATATAAGAAAGAATTCACCCTACATTGCCCGTAATATAAGTGAACATGTCGGTTAAATTGAGCTCACGTGATGCTTCCGGACATTTTTCTGTTTTTATTTCCAACACTAGGTTGTAACATTCGCTTTGCTCACTCACTGAAGGCTTCATCCTACGGATATAACGCAACAACCAATAACAACACTGGCCCCTTATGCTTCACAACGGAGGCCGTGTTGTTGATTGGTTGATGGGTCCTAGGGCAGGTGGGCATTATGTAATACCTAGGTAATAGTTAATTTTGATGGAGTGGCACGTGATATATACGGAGTGGAACAATATTAGTCCTTGTACACACGTGATTGCCACATGAGAAAAGATAGGATGGCTCTTTTCTGGTCTTGGCATCAAAACCCCCATAGAGGAAGTATCTCAGATCGGTTCAAGTTCGAGATTTTGAGTGTCTTATACGAAATTTGAGATAGTTACAGCAGCAGCGGCAGCAGCTTAGCAATTGATATGTATAACTCATCTACGAATCAACCGTCAACACCGTGCGATAGCACTTCCGGCTACAAACAGAACGCTTTGCAAAGATCACGGCATGTCTGGCAAATGCCTTTCTACTCCTGTCACAAAAACGTTTGACATACCCAAGTTTTTTCGCAGATTTCTGTGAGAGCGACCTTCGTCAGGATGATGTCGTGCTCGGTTGTATGGGCTGCATTGCGTGGTGCGCGAGCAGTTACTCTGGAGAATGGGAGAGTTATGTCACCAGTAACTTCGGTGACATTTCTTTGCCGTGTGGCCACGACCTCCTCTACCACAACTCCTAAATGGCAGTGGGAGCGGGTTATTCTCCGCATCTCGACGCTGTCTAATTGCCAGCGGTGGAAGGTGATGGTTGGCGAGGTTCGGTCGATATTAATAGTGAGAACGATCTGGGTCTCGGAACCTGGCGCCTCGAGCCAGCCTCTTGCGTCGTTCGCAAGCTTGGTCTCGCTTTCCGATAAACCGGACTCGATGACCACGGTTGGCCAGTGTTTATGGACAGGCCCAAAGCTGCCATCGGGTTCCTTGACGAAGCCGTTGCTTGTGCTCTCGACTCGGGAACTCCCGTAGTTGATAACCTCGCTTCGAAGGCCCATATTATGTAGCTCGGTCTCTATTTCGTGCTCAATCCCCGTAACGGCTACCTCGTGTGGTTGATATACCGTTATTTCAAGAACCAGCAGCCTTTCTTGCAAGCTTGCAGTAATTTTTGGTCCTCTGTCCAGGTATATTTTATCAAAGTCTTGAAGGATAGTATGAGGCACGTCCAGGACCACGAGAAATGGGCTTTGAAGCTCATCTATACAACAACGCCGGATTCTGATGTCGACTGAACTCTTTAATCCCGCCATGTTGGTATACTTGATGTGAGGTGTTCCTTCCGGAAGTCCAAGCAATAGTCTCGAGGAACCGGCAGGACCTTGTAGCGTTGTCCCATTGAAAGGAGTCATAATGGACGCCCGTATAACAACACATTGTACGCATTGTAGTGAATAAGAATAAGGACACAGGTTGAACTGACATACAACTAGCCAACTAATATAATGGTAGTTATGACGTCAAGTCAGATACCATTTAACTGTTTATAAGTCAACTTCGATCATCGAGCTGAAAGGGTTCCTCCTCCATCGCTCGATACTTCGATTCTTCCTATCATACCGATGTGCCAGAGAACTGACGTCCGCCTGGAAGGATAAGGAACGTGATGGTGAGACGAAATTGGATATACGAGGCCTTGGTTGCGAGATACGATATTTATCACGATACGCCTCGCGATGCTTCAATCACAGGCAGAGCTCACTGCAGGTCGGTACAAAAGAATACGAACCGCTTTGCGATAGGTGGTAAATTATAGGTGAGTTGTGATTTGTCCTTGCTGCCGTCAGGTGTACTGTATCTCATGAAAGCCATATCTGCTGTGGTGAAATCATTGTTCTACACCGAAGCTTGTAATTTATTGCTTATTATTAAAGACGTTGTAGAATGAAAGCCGCTGTAAAATGCTCGCTTGTATATTATAATAGTGTATCGTAGGGTCCTACTGCCGAGTTCAGTTCAGTGTTGGCGGCTGAGATAGGCGTACGACTCACCGACCTAATGACATCTGTAAAGCGCGAAGAAGGGCTGAAATCATGCTGTATGGAAGATCACAGTGACTAGTCATTCGCTGGGCTTGTTGCGTGGAAGATAGTCGAAACTCAGCGATCGCGTGGTGGGAAAGCTGAGATGTGTTCTTTTCTCGAAGCCACAGGAGTTTTGAAAAGTATACACCCAAAGTGAAGTTCCTGACTCACCCTCTTAAAATAAAAAAGTGAATACTGAATAGCAAGCGCTCCATTCTCCTACTATACTAATCAGAATCCCTTCCTCTTCATGCTTCTCCTGTGTTTTTCTAGCACCTTTCTTTCTTCGTCCGATCGAGATGCAGTGAGTCTACCTGCAGGAAAGATGAACCTACGTTACTCGCCTCCAAAAGGTGCCCCTCGTCCTGCTTGATTGATCATGTCTCTGTCTATGTTTCGTTCGCCTCAAGATGACTCGTCTTCCGAGTCGAGTTATATATCTTCAGAAGGAGATCAGGAGACCGCCCACAGACCCGAGCAGAGTGGCGACTCCAGCTCTACCAGGAACGTTGAACCCGTCAGCAGCGTTGAGGCTGAGCCTTCAGCCAGAGAGATATTAGGAGGAGACTCTCTGTACGGGGACCTCGGGTTCCGCGATATCCCAGATGTGGATGCCGAAGGCCATGCTGCTCTTATGACTGCTGCTCTCCTTGAACACTACTGTCTCACCAAAGCCTGTGGGATCCTGAATGAGCAGTCAGGGAGTCGTGGACAGTTCACACATGATTCCCCAGAGGTCAAACTGCTGGGACGACGCCTCTATACGTACAAATCCAAGTTTCTATCATCTCATGGCATCGTTGCTCCCGGGGTCGACAATGATACCTGGGAGAGCACGAGGCAGTATTATAGGGAAGGACTTGATACGATTGGCATGGCCGCATTGGATGGGATAAATCTGAGTCCCAGGAAGACTGTACGAGCTTCCCGAGAAGATCCATTCAAGGCTCTTGATGCACAAGATCACCCAGCGGTGGAAGATACGACCAGCAATAGGGTTATTAGAATGAAACAATCGACCAACATCGATCTCCAACGGCTGATAACCGGAGGAGCAGATGTTCCATCAAATCAAAACCAGTTCGCTCCAGGGATTCTGGACCGTCTACAGCGTCAAAGCACCCCGCTTGCACGACCTATCAGCATACCATTTCTATACTCTCACCCATCCGGGATAGGAGGCTCCCGATATGCAACTGAGTTTGAAGAAGAGGCATTGATAGGGAGAGGCTCATATGGCGTGGTATATAGGGTCAGGCACCATGTTGATGGACAGGGATATGCTGTCAAGAAAATACCACTAAGCTCTAGGAAACTGCAGCAGTTGCAAGAGAGGGGGTTGAAGGAAGTTGACAACATATTAAAGGAGATTAGAACGTTGGCAAAGTTAGAACATATTAACGTCGTTCGTTACTATGGCGCGTGGGCAGAATACTCACCTACACCCGTCGCCTCGCGTTCATCTTCTCCGCCGAAGCGACAGCAAACGTTACTTAATCAGCCTTATAGTGAGTACGACGGAGGTACGTCCAGCTGCGGGATTGTATTCGAAGAGTCGGACAATGGTATTATTTTCGGTGAACCCACTGCTTCATCACAAGCAGAGCCGCACGAGGAAGAGTCTGAACCTTCGATGGATAGGTTATCTGTTGGCGACCATGACCGACGGAGAAGTAGCTTCGCAACAGTATCCTCAGATCGATCTAGAAAGTCATTTGCGGCTAGTGTTGAAGAAGATGAAACCGATACGAATGACGACGACCACGTCGAATCTATACCCCGCCAGCTCAGCTTTACATATTCGGGCCAGAGTTCTGTCAGTGAATCTGGTGCTGATATATTTAGTGACGGGCTGGGAGGGGGCGGGTCAAACATGCAACTTGATAGGAAAACTAGAGCCGACACTTCCGCCCCGGTTATTCTACACATTCAAATGTCACTCCATCCACTAAGCCTTGCGAAGTACCTGTCTCCGCAAGCAGATAGTGGCTCGACGAACGTCAATCGCCATTGCTACCACATTGTCCCATCCATCAAGTTACTTCTCGGAATACTGTCAGGGGTAGACTACCTTCATGCAAAGGGAATAGTGCATAGGGATTTAAAACCTGCAAACGTGTTTTTATCTCCCTCCGATACGGAAAAGGATACATGCATGTGTCCAATCTGTGACCACCATGGACAAGATGACAAAGCCTATTATACCATTCCTCGGATTGGCGATTTTGGCCTGGTAGCTGAATCACCAACGTACGGGAAGAATGAAGTGCCAGAGACTACTCCCAAAGCTATACGCCCGGTTGGAACTGAGTTCTACCGCCCACCACCTCATTCCTTCCATACACAAGCCACCGGTCCGCATCCGCATACAGACAATTCACTTGACATATACGCTCTCGGTGTCATTCTTTTCGAGCTATTATATAAGATTGATACTCGAATGGAACGACAGATGGTACTATCAAACTTGACCTGCTCTCCCAATAGCTTACCCCAATTTGGAGCATCGATGTCTCCTGAGAAAGATACCACTTTATTCCCGGCGCTGCCATCTGACTTTACAGAGAAAATCCTTCGTAACTGCATCCATCAGAGACGCTTTAAGGACGTTAGTGACGATAACGACGGTGATCATGCAATTCTTACTGCGAAAAACATTGCGAAACGTTTGGCATTATGCATCACAGGAATGGTGGAACTGGATATTCAACGTCGATCGACGTGCAAGATAGTTCGAGAAGAGTTGGAAGAAATATGTGACTTGGCTGAGCGGATATTGAAGGGAGAATGATTGTCTGGTTATTATGGTATTGCGAATACTTCGAGCGACTGGTTAATCTTTGACGAAGTTATACCCTCCTTAACATTTCAATTAATTCAACGAGCCCTAATATTTAGAAATACTCGAAAATGGAAATCAACCCATTAGAGAATGAACATAAAACCCACGTCTATTCGTTAGGTGTTCGTTAATATACAGCTTTCTGCGTAATCGTAACAAGGTGATAGCTATAGAAGATTATTGGAGTAGGAAAAGCGCCAACAAGACCAGTACAATTAAGGGACATTTGCAAGTATCTCCGTTAACCCGATCATTTGCATAGGCCACTCTACCAACTGGCGCCACGAAGGATGCAACGATTTATAGATTGCTTCAAATAAGTGATGGCTCCATCCCTCAGACCACCAGCACATATCAAGACGGCTCAATATTACGCAATAATGACCAAGTATAACCAGTGCCATGGGTTTTCGAATATGAAGAAATCCCAAATATGATTCGGGAACAACCATGGGCCAACGAAAAACGCCCTCCCAGCTTGTTGGGGACCGTTCAAACGACATTCGTAATTCCCGGATGGCATGGTTATATATGGCCTTTTCGTCAGGAGGAATATGGGCTGCACCATCGCCGTTGCAACCGTGGAGATAGTCGAGGTTATCTATGACATCTTTGGATAGTGGTTGGATACTACCTGGATCTGAAGGACGACGAACTAAGACGCCCAGTTTACCCTTGAGGATGCGTGTCCGTTGGGTATGGAGGACCTTATCGACACCGCGGAAAAGGAAAAAGTCTTGGATCGCCTGCTCGATTGGGTCTCCGGAATGATTGTTTCGATCAGACCTCGAGAAGGCAAATGCAAGGGCCGCGATTAGGCTTGAGAAAGCGAAGACGGCGTTACAGTTGGAAGGGGTTATGTTGTTCAACTGTGGCCGAAATGCAGCCAAGGCCAAATTCTGGTGCTTGCTCGCAAGTGCGGAGTACTTTCGGTGATTTCCTTCATCGTCAGGATCGCTGCATTCGATAAGGTGAAGGGCGGCCAGAGCTAACAGCCCATGCATCAGGAAGGGATGTTTTATAGCTTCTGCAGGAATGACGTTCTTCCATATGTCTTCATGCTCGTTATTATTAGATAAAGTTTGATACGTTTTTGTTGTGTAGTGGTGGAGTAATTCTAGATCGTCTAGATTTAGGCTTTTATCTTGGTCCTGCGCGCGATCTGGAATCGAGTTAAAAATCCCATGCCTCTCGACCCCGGGGACCCAGGGGGGACTAGGAGGACGTATAGGACCCTGGTTCAATGTTGAAATAGCTGGAAGCTGAGGTGGAGCTGCAGTCGCTGGAAGCTGCCTTGGAGCAGTGGCAGAGGGAGATTCCGCAGGAGAATTTTCAGGAGGGTGTGTCGTAGGATTTGCGGGGGGGTTGGCGGGAGGTTTGGCGGGAGAAGGAGCTGCTGCAGCTATAGGTGCAGGGGAATCACTTGTGTTCCCAGGACGAGTAGTGGGCAAAGGAACGAACGCGGCGTAATATGGGTTTGGAGGCTGGTTCGGAAACTGGCAGTCTAAAACATTGTGCTTCCTACAATTCCCACAAGGAGCCGGGGCTTCATCACACTATGGGCTGGAAGTCAGTTAACAGTGTACGGTGGGATAAATAGACATGGGTGGCGTCATAGAGCATTTGCTATGCTATCAATTGACTCAGTCGGGGCTCAAATACCTTTATTCTCCGTCGCTTGCATTGGTAGCAGCCCATACGCGACTTGCGATGGCTGCGTCTGGAAGACATATCGTAAACGAAGGTCGCGGTCTGAGAGTTGCTGTGTAATGATGGATAGAACCGACCATAATGGCAGTCTCCTGCTGTCCTGCAAACTGGCAAAGCCTATCCTGGCTGACACTCTAATGCTTAGATGCAGCGAGTTCTCGTACCCTCATCAGGCCAGGCCGCGGCTGTCTCCTGTGCCGGCGACGCGAGTGATGTTGCTATCTATCAGGATCGTTGCTTGGTCTGTGGCAAGCCCAAAGCTCGTATCTAAATTAGGACGCTGACTAAGCATTTAAAGTAGCCGGATATAACTTATTCCCCGTTCCGCGATCCGCTATGTCGGTGTCGGAAGAATATATATCCGGCTATGGTGACGTAATCCGCGACTTTTCTTCTGCGGCGAAGTATACGCAATACATGAAAGGAGTATCCACACAACTGCACAAAGGAACAAATAAAGCTGCAGCTAAGGTACGGGGTACGTCCTATAATGTATATCGGTAGATGTAAGGTTTCGCCATACAAAGCGAGCATTATGATCCGGCATTTAAGTTCGATTTAACTAAAAGCAACCCCTCATCCCCTTGAAATGTCCATCTTCAAGAAACACATTATCCCAAAGTTCAAAGCAAAATGGACCACGCAGCTAATAATGGTGCAAAAGGAAGCGGAGAAAGGGGCTCCCTTGATCTTGATGCGCTTGCAGCGGTTATATCCAAAGCTAGCAGCGAGATCAGTGCCTATTGTGGCCAATCCGGTCACCCGGTTCCTGCCAACACGTCCGAGGGAGGGTCCGCGAAGCATGCCCATATAATCCCGCCTGACGCTGCGGAGTCTGTCCATCAGGCCAGACAAACCATACGGAATGCTGCATATGAGATCCTGTTGCTTTGTAGCGAGCCAAGCGAATTTCTCGAGGATCACGAAGTCAACGTATGTTGCGCATTCCCAGCGTTTTCCTTGGCCCCCTGTGTTGTTTGAATATCCTAGTAGACAGGATGCCCCCTGTGTAGCTGGGTTGAAAAGCTAATTCTGACACGGCTCGTTAATACGCCATTTGTATATATATCCAGTACCAGCAATTAGCCTGTCTTAAGTGGCTTCATCATTTCAACATTGTGAGCCACGTTCCTCTTATGGGAACCATCCCGCTTGTTGCGCTGGCCCAACAAGCGAATGTGCCCGTTGATCGATTGAAGAGCGTACTTAGAATGAGTATCACTGGCGGCTTTTTCTGTGAACCTGAGCCGTATCAGATCGCACACAGTCGTATATCTGCGCGTTTTGTGACTGAACCTGAATTTCAGGACTGGGTGGGCTTTATGACCAAATTCCTAGTCCCCACGGCCTGTCAGCTACCAGAAGCAACTGAGCGTTGGGGAGACACCAAGGAGACGAACCAAACGGCATTGAATTGTGCATTCAACACTGATTTAACAACATTCGAATACATGGAAAGTAATCAAGCCTCCTCTGATTATTTTGCCAGGTATATGCGAAGTCTCGGGAAGAGTGCCGGGTTTTTGCCGGACCATATCCTTAAGGGGTTCAACTGGGAGTCACTAGGGGAGGCACAAGTCGTGGATGTTCGTTCCCAGTCATTAAATCTTATGTCGATGTATGTGCGCTAATGGCAACACACAGGTCGGGGGATCTTCGGGCCAAGTAGCCATTCTCTTAGCAACCAACTACCCTCGACTCACGATTAAAATCATGGACCTCCCTGTGACTACTGCCAACACCCAGCCCATACTTGATCGTCTCGAGCCATCGGTGGCATCTCGGGTATCATGTGTTGCCCACGACTTTTTCAAACCATTCCCCGAGGTCCTCGCTGAGAGCACTGACGTATACTTCCTTCGAAAAATCCTCCATGACTGGCCGTTCCCCAGTGCCCAAATTATCCTGCAGAATCTAACCACTGCGTTGAAACCAGGAGCAGTAATTGTCATCATGGAGACGATCCTTCCACCATCCGGATCGATTCCCGCACGAGCAGAAGCAAGGCTATGCGTGAGGGATCTGATAATGGCCGAAACTCAGAATAGCAAGGAGCGAGAAATGAGCGACTGGATAGAGTTGTTTGAGAGTGTGACGCCCAAGTTGCGACTGAAGGGGTACGAACAGCCATCTGGAAGTGTGTTGACCTTGCTCGTTGTGGAGGTAGACAAGTAACTAGCTCTATCAGCTATAGAGCTGCTTTCCTTCCTGGCCTAGCCTTAGCCTCTTAGTCAAGCCCATATGTGATTCCATCGCGTCGTTTCGCAATACCCTAGAGTTCGGTAGAAAATAAGAATGAGGCATCGTAGATTTAATTTGGGAGCAATGTCTCGGAGACTTGCCAAACTGCGCCGCTCACTGAAACCGAGCTCCGAGATAAACAATAGGAATGATTGGTGGAGTGCCAGGAGTAGTGAATATTATTTGATTGGCTCAAACAAACCAGATTCTGTCCTTTTGTCCTTTCCAGCAGGGTAGCAAATGTTTAATATTACGTTCCGACTTTGCTCTGGCAAGCCTTTAGGTAGTCATCACCAACGTAATCCACCACCATGTTGATTAGTTGCTCTCGAATCATTGAGTATCAAGCTGCAATTCATAATAGAAAGTAATGTGGAATTGCTATTAGAGCTAGAGTGCTCAGTTCTTGATTCTGCACCCACTGTTTAACCGTATATTCTTCACTTGTTGAGACTAGAACGTATGCACATATTCATACTCACATAAGTATGCAATGGAAGAGAAAAGGAAGAAAGTGCGCGTTGGGTATAATTGGACGAAACCGAGCTGTGTTCCCGATACGGCCTAGCGCCACGACGCGTCTGGGATGCGGTTTAACGACGCCAATTTAATATGTAGAATCGCGTTCTGCAGAGTCGCAACATCTACAGAGCACACTCGTTTTCCTTCCACTCCGCAGCTAGAATCGGCCTGTGTTGCTTCCAAGTTGGGCGAACTGACACCATGCCGGAGACTCTCAAACCTCAGAAGAGGATACTGGGCGATGCAAGCGTGAGCCGTCGAAACGTACAGCTGCCATCGTCGTCTCCTACCTCCGCCAAAAAGCGAAAGCTCGAAACCGGCCTACCACATTCTAATCCCCGAGCACCACTGCTACTGTCTTCGCAAAATGGACTTAAGAAATCTTTTGGATCGGGTCCCTCGCGGTCACAACCTAAAAGCCAATTTGAGGATGTGTTGGAGAAATTAACCCAGGATATGGGCGAGCTCAAGGAAAACAATGCGGAGAAGGACCAGCAGTGGGAAAGACCACCACTGGGGGACTTCAACCCGATGCGAGACAGCCTGTGCTTCCAGCAGATTGATGTGGAGGAAGGCTACGTGGCTGGCAAGACCGCTGTGAAATTATTTGGCGTAACGGAGGTATGTATATCTACCTGCACACTTCTGCTCTTAGCACTGTGGCTATATCGGTTTCTTATATTTATTGGTTTTCTTAGAACGGGCATTCGGTGCTTCTCCATGTTACCGATTTTATGCACTATCTCTACGTTGCCGCGCCTGTGGCATTTACCCAAGCAGATTGTGGCCCCTTCAAAGCCTACCTCGAGGCTCAATTAGCTGTTACCGAGCCCGTGATTCATTCGGTTCAAATGACCATGAGGGAGAACTTGTACGAATTCCAAGGAAACCAGCAAAGTCCATACCTCAAAATCACTGTGATAAACCACAAATCCATCAACAGTGTCCGGTCTACAATTATGGACGGGTCAGCCAACTACAAAGGCATGTGGAAAGGAGTAGAAGGCGAAATCTTAACATTCGACAATATTCAATACCTCTTACGATTTATGATAGATACAGGGGTAAGAGAGTATCTACACACTGCTGCTCTATATAATGAAGCTAATCATGATGTGGGTACAGATCTCGGGTATGTCATGGGTTGAAGTGCCCGCTTCAAAGTATGAAGTTCTACCTTCAAACAAATGCCAGTCCAACTGCCAAATAGAAGCGTCGGTACATTACCGTGACTTGATTGCACATTCGAACAATGGTGAATGGTCGAAGATGGCACCTCTCCGCGTATTATCATTTGATATCGAGTGCGCTGGCAGAAAGGGGATCTTCCCTGAGCCACAAATAGACCCCGTTATCCAGATCGCCAACATAGTCACACGATATGGAGAGTCGAAACCGTTTGTTCGCAATGTATTCGTTATGGATACATGCAGTTCAATTGTGAACACGCAGGTATTAGAGTTCGATAAAGAAGATGAGATGCTGCTGGCATGGCAGGGTTTTCTGGAAAAGGTCGACCCTGACGTGATTATTGGATATAACATTTCCAACTTCGACTTTCCATACTTGCTGGACAGGGCCAAACACCTGAACTGCACGAAATTCCCTTACTGGACTCGATTGAGAGGGATTTCGTCTCACGCAGCTAAGGCATCATTTGCCAGCAAACAAATGGGGAAGCGAGAATCGAAAGCAACCAACACTAACGGAAGAATTCAACTAGATCTTTTGCAACTAGTTCAACGGGATCACCAACTCCGAAGCTATACTTTAAACTCCGTTTGCGCTGAATTTTTGGGAGAGCAAAAGGAAGACGTTCACCATACCATGATCACAGAGCTCTACAACGGGACCGCAGACTCGAGACGACGACTTGCTGTATACTGTTTAAAGGACGCCTATTTACCCCAGAGGCTCATGGATAAGTTGATGTGCTTGGTGAATTATACCGAAATGGCGAGGGTGACAGGCGTCCCCTTCAACTTCCTTCTTGCAAGAGGTCAGCAGATTAAGTTCATCTCGCAGCTCTTCCGGAAAGCTCTCCAACAAAAGCTTGTCATTCCAGATTTGAAGAACGACGACAACAGCAACCAGCAGTACGAAGGAGCAACTGTTATTGAGCCTGTTAGAGATTACTATGATGTCCCTATTGCCACCCTGGATTTTGCGTCTCTATACCCAAGTATCATCCAAGCGCACAATCTGTGCTATACAACTCTCCTGAATAAACGCACAGTTGAGAAGCTAGGATTGAAAAAGGACGAGGATTATATCGTTACACCAAATGATGACATGTTCTGTACAACAAAAATCCGAAAGGGGCTTCTTTCCCAGATTTTAGAGGAGCTCCTCACTGCAAGAAAACAGGCAAAACGGGAACTGGCTGTTGAAAAGGACCCGTTCAAAAAAGCTGTGCTGAACGGACGACAGCTGGCTTTGAAAATCAGCGCCAACAGTGTTTATGGAATTACGGGTGCCACGAACGGGAAGCTACCTTGTCTTCCTATTGCAAGTAGCACCACTAGTTACGGCCGTCAAATGATTGAGAAAACCAAGGCCGAGGTTGAGGCCAAATATACGATTTCCAACGGATATACTCACGATGCCAAGGTTATCTATGGAGATACTGATTCTGTCATGGTCAAATTCGGAACTCAGGAGCTTGCCGAGGCTATGAAACTCGGCGAAGAAGCGGCTGGTTATGTGTCCTCCAAATTCATGAAGCCAATCAAGCTTGAGTTCGAAAAGGTTTATTTCCCATATCTACTTATCAACAAGAAGCGTTACGCTGGGCTATATTGGACAAACCCCGTCAAACATGACAAAATGGATACGAAAGGTATAGAGACGGTCCGAAGAGACAATTGTCTCCTAGTGCAGACTGTGATTGAAACCGTTTTAAATAAAATCCTTATTGGCCGGAATGTTAGCGGGGCAGAAACGTAATGCTTACCAACCCCCTCCACTGACTGATAATATTAGAGAACATGTGCTAACGCTGTGGCCTGGTGATTTAGTTATGTCAAAAATACAATCTCAGATTTGCTTCAGAACAAGGTCGACATGTCAAAACTTGTGATCACGAAAGCCTTGACCAAGGAGGCGTATGCGGGCAAGCAAGCTCACGTTGAGCTGGTTGAACGCATGAGAAAACGTGATGCTGGATCTGCACCCACACTCGGCGACCGTGTTGCATATGTTATTGTCAGCGGTGCAACTGGAGCTAAGAACTACGAAAAATCGGAGGATCCAATTTATGTTCTCGAGAATAATATCCCGATTGATACGAGGTATTATCTTGACAACCAACTCGCTAAGCCGTTAACCCGTATCTTCGAGCCGATACTGGGTGAAAAGAAAGCCGCTCAACTTCTCAAGGGCGATCACACTCGTTCCATCACCGTCGCGGCGCCAACACTAGGCGGGCTGATGAAATTCGCCAAGAAGACGCAAACTTGTATGGGCTGCAAGAAGCCGTTAATAGGCAAGGAGGAGATGTCAGGTGCTGTGTGCGCTAACTGTCGACCCCGACTCGGAGAGCTATACACGCGAACTTTGAACAAGGTATCGGAACTCGAGGTTAGATTTGGCCGTCTGTGGACACAGTGTCAGCGTTGCCAGGGCAGTTTGCATGGTGAAGTTATTTGTTCGAGTCGAGACTGTCCTATTTTCTACATGCGGATGAAGGCCAAAAAGGATGTGGAAGACTCGGAGAAGGAGCTCGCGAGGTTTGACCATGACCCTAGCGCGTGGTGATCCCTAGCAGGATTTCCTGTCTCCTTTCTCCCCTGATGATTGGCATACATACAATTGGAGTCCACTGCATAGTTAAGGTAATGGCTGGGGAATTTAACTCGTGTCTATGAAATACGCAGTAATGAAACAACTTATTTTCTATTCTTTGTATTCTCGCCACGAAGTAAACACTGCTATCAATATATCTAACCCAAGAAATAAACATCCGCCAAAGCTTGGCACTGCCCCCACTAAGAAAACTAGTAACTGGCCCATAAATTAAGGACAAGCCTTAGTTCACGTCTTCACCTCTTGTACTTTCATGTCCTTTCACGATTTCCATCATGGTACGGCTACCCGCAAAAATCATGTTAAGTGGGAGAAGACCGAAGTCGAATGAGTGCTGGTGAGCACTGGAAGCAAGGATGTGACTGCGGGCTGCAAAGCTATAATCCCTGCAGCAACGGCACTCGCAGCTATCATTGCACCGCTAGCAATTATCACACCAAAGATCTTCCTCTGTCTCTCTTCTTTCTTTCTCACGACACTAAACCGGTCGTGCTCGAATTGGATTCTCGCATACAACGTCGTCCAGCCTAGAGATGGTAGCCATGTGCCTAGGAATCTATCAACTGCATCCATAGCTCTTGTAGCGCGGGATCTGACGCCGATTCGAAGCTCATGGTAATGTTCGCTGGCAAAGTCGACCATGGTATGAATGTCAGGGAGTCTGAATTCTGTGTAAGCTTGCACGGTACCGGGGGCGCAGAATGGCTTCTCGTTCCTAGCGCCATTGCTATCGGTTTCGTCTGGCAAAGCAGCCACCGCTGGGTCGCGGAATTCCTCAAAAAATATGCGGACGTCTTCAAGGCCAGTGATCATACCCATAGCATGGAATGGAGTCATAGTATGACAGCTATCTCCCAACAGAACTGCGTTATCCTTGTATCCGAGCTTCCCACATTTGATGGACTTCAAGGGGATTTTTTGATGTGCGAGAAATTGTCTTGTGAGTTCTTCGGCAGAGAGAAGTTCGGGTACAATCCCAGCAAACTCTCTGACGAAATAGTCCACGAACTGTTCTGGGTGTGCTTCAAAGTGCCGAAGCTTTTGTGTGTCGCAGACCATACCAGCCCTAAATGATCCATCCTGTACGTCGTTAGTGACTAACATCTCAGGGCCCCCTCACAAAAAAAGAATGAAAAGGGAGAGGAGAGAAGATACTAGGGCCACGTACGATATCAGTTTGGGCAATGACAATGCTTTGGTTGGCCGGCCAGATATGGAGGCATTTAGGGTCCATTGGATAGTCCCCATTTATGTCTGGTGGGAAGATCAAGTCGCACCACAACGCGTTGGCGTATGTTTGCGAGAAATCCATTTCAAGCATTCGCATCATACTTTGTCGAACACTCGAATAAGTGCCATCCGCTCCAATTAGGAAGTCAAATTCCACCCGTTTTTTAAGAGTACTTCCTGGAACTGGAGATTCACTACCAAGCTCTTCCTTGGCACTGTTGGGAGTCGACTTTGCTAACCTATCAACGGTATCAGCCAGTTGCTGCTCGGAAGTGCGGGATTTCCCATTCCACGCCACTGTCTCGAAGATAGCAACCTTGCTCTCGAAGTCACAGGCAGACAGCCTCTGGTTGAAGAAAAGCTTCGCTGAGGGCTCTTTGAGAAGCGCCAACATAACGTGTCTGGTGATTTTTTCTCGCTGCAAGGTATGAAGACACTATGCCAAATCAAGTCAATAACATGAAAAGATGGGCTGCTAATAATTGACATACCTGCCCCTGAGGTCCATAAGTCATTGGAATTTCTGTATGCTTGCCTTGAGGCCCCCAAGTATGCACCATTCGTGTGTATACAGGCCTTGAGTTGTCTAAAATATCGTCAAGAAGCCCCGGGACTCCCGCGCTGGCGATGGCTCTGATACCACGTTCGGAAAGTGCGAGAGGGATGACAGCGATATCTGGTCTGGCATTTGGATCACCATAATTTGGATCTAGAAAGGCCACTGAGCTTATGATTCCCTAACACATTTGCCAACTAGACTTACCATCTCTGAGTTCATAGAGCTCGACCTGGTAGCCCCTTCTTGCCGCATAGAGGGCTGACAGTGCCCCGACAGGGCCCCCTCCGACGACGACGATTTTCTGATTACTAGCCATTATTGCTAAGAATGAGACGGCAGTCCTGCTGAAACAAAGTCAATCGATAACCAAAATATATACACCTATATATTTGGAATCAAGTATTTCCCCATACCGGATGAGTTGCACGATGGTTTATATACCCCCTTCTGCCTCACAATATTGATGAACTAGTGCACGGGGGAAGGCCGTGTGTATTTCCTAAACACCAGAGCTGACAGATCTCGAGTCGCTCGTTTTGAATTGTTTTACCCACTTTCCCTGTTGTCGGCTGGTTTCCTATTGCGTACGACGATTTGATGTCAGCCGCATTGCTAGCACCAATCACGGACTGGACGCCGATCCAAACATATACAACGGTAAGTGGAACCCGGATATACTCCTTACACTTTAATTGCTAATTATACCTACGACCCTGACGCATAACTTTAGTCACAGCCCACCCTGTGTACGTTATTTGGAATCTATTAATATTGATGCTTTGTCTAGCTCTAGAACGACCAGTCTTGGTCAATTCTACTTCTTTCGCTCGCTTAGTCTCACGCTCTCGGCATGCTGGATTAACTCTAGCCGCAGCCGTCTAATCGTCACCTGTCAGCATTATCCGGTATAAGACTAGGCTGTATTAACAAACACATCCTCAATGACAGCATGGTTCCTATGCCTGCTAGTCAATATTTGCCTACGTACGATCCTCCTGTGTGACAGAACTAGCCAAGTCCCTGTTCTGGAATCACACATATTTTCCATATGATATGAAAAGAGCCGGTGGATGGTTACAGACCCTGAGTAGAGGGTCCTGGGTAAACCTTATGCCTTGTCAGCCCAGGCGTATAAGTAACCCTGTCTGATATTAACACCCCGTACTATAGGGTCGGTGTCTCCCCAGACCGCGCATCTGTGTAACGGTCAACCCGTATAGAAGAGGCGCAATACTTCTCGTCTGGCTGTTATAGCTTTGCCGCATTCTTTGATGACGCCGCCTTCGCTTCCTCAGATCCTCGTGGCTGCTCCATCTTTCACATCAAGTCAATCAAAGTTGGAAGGATGGACACCTTTCCCTCAGCAGCTCGTACTTGCCCAGTCACCCTGACTGTGTGATGTCTTGGAGTTTATTCTCTTCTCGCTGAAACCATGTACGCACCGTTTACAGCAAAAATGATGATATTGGTTAACGGGATCATCAACCTTGTAAAGTCAACGCCGTAGGAACGGCATTTGCATAGGTTTACGGGTACTTAGGACCAGCCTGGCGCCACGTGAATCCGGGCTGTTTAAATTAAAACTCAGCGTTCAAGGCGTAGTTAATCATTCCCGGTTGTCACAAAAAGCAATATAGCATAGATCCTAAAGCGGATATTCGTTGCATGAGAGCACTGCAACCTCAAACCACACCAGAGTGTATTATTACTCCATAGTATCTAGCATGCTGTACCCTGCATCTTAGCCTCATTCGCTAAACACTACGCACGTAGGCTCAGATATTATTATTTTTGCAATGGCGAGGGGTGACGGTGCGGCCGAGCAAGGTTTCACTCGACCAGGCACCAAACTGTTGGACCATCCTTCCGAGCCTCGTTTATCGGGGGCAAATCCAATGGTGATAGCCTCGACAACGCGAGATGAAGGCCACGTACTTCTAGATCACTATATGCTCTGGACGAAAGCCGCATCGTTGGACTCACACATCCTCTGCTTTACAACTGACACGGCCCGAGGACAATATGGCAGATTCAACTGCGAGTCGCAGGCCGGAAGGGCCAGCCGTGACCACCATGGAGTTATTCCCCATTCCACCTCATCAACTACCGCCTATCGGATCAGAATTACCTAAAGGATATCGCACCGGGGGAGACGAGAATGCAAAAAGGATCCCGAGTTTGCCAAACGAGCCACTGCCGGAGGATCCTCAAGCATCGTCAGATGATGGAGATACGCCAGTATTCGAACCTCTCAGAGTATCAAAAGCGAAAGGGGCTACGGTTATTATTACTCTGGCTGGGATCAGTTTTCTAAACACGATGGGTTCTGGAATCCTCATTGCTGCCCTACCGAGGATAGCCATTGATATAGGCCTGTCTGAAAGCCTAATCCTCTGGCCAGCAGCTGTTTATGCCCTGGCCGCAGGCTGTCTGCTTCTCATCTTCGGGGCTGTCGCTGACGTTATCGGGGCCAAGTTGATGTGGGTTGTCGGAAGCTACCTGTTCGTTATATTCACCCTAGCTATTGGGTTCTCTCAAACGAGCATTCAGATTATTCTTTTTCGAACCTTTCAAGGTGCAGCCATATCCATGTGTCTGCCTACAGCAGTCAGCCTCATCACCAATACGTTTCCGAAGGGCCCGTGGCGCAATGTTGCGTTTGCAATGAACGGAATGGGGCAACCCCTGGGCTACGCTGCTGGCCTAGTTCTAGGTGGTATTTTCACAGATACCATCGGTTGGAGATGGGCGTATTACATGATGGCAATTATCAACTTTTGTCTCTCTACAGCATCCATATGGTCATTGCCATCGGTCCATCGACACTCGGATAAGCCATGGAACCGCCGTCTTATGGAAGATATCGACTGGCTCGGTGCTATTATCATGAGCGTTGCCCTGGGACTGTTGATGTATGTGTTAGCCATGACTACATCTGCCTATCAGAGAATCGGGAATGCTCAGAATATTGCCCTGCTTGTCGTGTCCATCGTTTTACTGGCCGCGTTCCCCTTCTGGATGAACTACCAGGTAAAGAGGGAAAAGCCCGCGCTTATCCCCAACAACCTTTGGAGAAATAGTTCGTTCACTTCTATATGTATTTCTGTCTTTTTCTGCTGGGCATCTCTCAATGGGATTGAGTATTTTACAACTCTTTAGTAAGTATATAACCCCATTAGTCCCCCTTGCGCTGCTAACAGGGTAATAGCTTTCAAAAAGTCGAGGGCTTAACCGCACTTCAGAGCTCGATACGATTCCTCGCTCATATTATCATGGGTGCAAGTGTTAACGTTGCAACAGCATATCTCATTTCCAGGGTAAAAGTCCAACCCCTGGTTGTGGTTTCGGCTTTGATAACCATGATCGCACCTATACTTATGGCAACCCTCAAGGTTGGAGAGAACTATTGGTTCTCGCCATTTTGGGCCCTGTTTCTCTCGCCTGTAAACCCGGATGGTACGACCCCTTCTTTTCTTGCCTTTAGCCGTTGACACATGCTGATATGCAAAATATGTAGTCCTTTTCACTGTATCCAACCTGGTCATCTCAGATGCATTCCCGCCAGATATTCAGTCTTTGGCTGGAGGTGTGTTCAATGAAGTCGCACAGTTCGGTAACTCAGTTGGCCTAGCAGTGACCGCTTCTATTGCAGCATCCATTACAGACCACACAAGGCTCCAGGATCATAAGGAGAAGCTTATGCTGGGGTATAGAGGTGCGTTTTGGACCATATTTTCGAGTTGTGCTCTTGTCGTTATTGTTTCAACTTTTGGCCTTCGAAAGGGTGGGACTGTAGGGAAAAAGGACGAATAGAGGATGAATTGGGGACTTCCGATAGAGGTAGCCGCTGCACAGGGGAGTCGGTCATGGTGTTCCTGGCATACTTATCGTTGCTTTAGATTAGATGGAGGGAGTAAAAGACTGCCTATCTGCCTTGAAGAGTTATTTTAACGATAATAGCCGACTTTATTACATATTTCGGAAAATGCGAACCTCTTCAACTTCTTCTGTTACAAAGTAAATAGATCGTCCGGCGCCTCCACCTTCTGTGACTAAGCGGCCGAGCGCAAGCGCCGCGCCAATCAGAATCTCGCTACACAGCCGCTGTACCGCCATCTGAAGTTTAATCAAACAAGCGCCGAGAATTTTTTTTAACCTCACCACAGCGCGTTTTTATACACGGCCGAATGATACTCACAGGGTAGTGCAGATACTAGCTCACTCTGTTTATAACCAAGGGAAATGGCTACACATTCGTCTAAAATGTCCAATGGATCACCACAAAACCAAAACCAACCAGCAGCGCCACAGAAATCCGTTGCATGGTCGGAGGTAAGCTCCTATTAAGAATTTGTACGCATCAGAAGCGTATTTGTTCTCAGATTACTGATTTTTTGGGCTATTGCATGACTTTTTGACCAATTAGCTATTTCATCAACATGAAATAAACTTGAATAGACACATCGAACTTTGTTCCAAGGTCCGCCGGCATGTCTCGCCATCGGGGGTTTCTTTCCAGGCTATCGCGGCAATGATAGATCAAAGTCAGCGATTTATGGAGGACATGAAGAAACTTAGGCAAGAATTTGTACTGCGCTCTTTTCCCTCAAGACTTTTCTTTTCTCATTCCCGCCATTCCGCCACTGACATGGTTTTAGATGCCACGGAGCACAGCAACAAGAATATTAGCTGGATCTAATAACTTAGGATACCCAGGGGTAGCAGCTAAAGTCAGACTTGATGGTGCAACGGAACTAGATAAATCTGGTCATGTTTTATTTGGGAGAGGAGAATCTCCAGCATTCGTATTAGATGCTGATCCAATGCCGTCTACCGCCACTCAAAAGTCCCAGAATCGTAAAAAACGCTCTCGAAATTCAAATGACTCCATGGTTCCGGCAAATAATCATATTGAGGAAAGTCCTGTTGTCAAAAAGACAAAAGTACTCCATGATTCCCCGACCGCCGTCCGGAGTACGTCTGATATGCCTAACTTTATTCCCCAAATCGAGCTGGAGGATATATCGCAGGAGGTAGAAGCGCGACTGAAGCTTAGGGAAGAAACTCGGCGGAAGAGAGGAGAAAAACGGCGAAAGCGAAAGCGGGATAGTACCGATTCATTGGGCGCCGGAAGGAGGGAACCTGAGCCGAAATCAAAGAAAGCGAAGAATAGTTGAGATAGCTCGGAAATGGCATTAATACTTTACAAACACGCATACTCTACGTCTCGGAAGAATAAACAAGGTCGTACTTGATAGTATTACCTTGTAGATCATGCAAACTCCATACTCCACCAAATACGCCCTGAAACAAGGCCTGGGATGGGTGATGGTCCTCGAAAAAAGATTATGGTGCATGGCGCTTACTGCTTGGCACCTGTGTAAAGCACAGGTGCCAAGCTTGATCTGCTTTAACTAGGGAATGCGTTCACCAACGGAATCTCAAATGGGGCTTGCAAACAGAAGACCGAGAGGTCCTTTCAGCCCTTAGTACTTTATCGTCAGCTGTTCGTCTTGAAGGCACATATAGGTGCTAGAAGGAGTTAACTACAGCTGATGTTTATCTGAGGTTGTGTTTGTGAGGCGCTTGTTGTATATTGAGAGAGCCCTCAACACCCCTGATAAAGTATAATGGTCTTACGATAGACAGTGAGCTCATAGCAGATAAGGCCCGAGGCTCGAATAACATCACTGACTTATGCATTTCACTTCTAACTCCTTGCGGAAAGGCTGACTCTGGTTTGCGTTCTCATGGCGGAACCACCGTACTAGGAACCAGGTTTACTTACCTTATATTTTGTCACTTTGCGCCAGGGTTGAGTCAAGGTACTCGTGGTGTCCCAGGGCTATATAATAAAGAGAACAAGTCCTTCCCCCTTTCTATCACTCCCCTTTTCCTGTTTATAATCTATCTACATCATACCTACGTCCTCCAGTACAAAGTCTACGGAAAATACAAACCTCTACACATCAACATACATACCCCTTTAAGCGTCCAATCTTCGAGAATCAAAATGTTACCAAGCCTAGACTGTCCCCTCCTCGTCCCAAGATCCACGTTCGTGGACGAGGATGGCAACATCCAACCCAAACCCAGGGTTAGGGATTTCGCATACCTGGTATCCTGGGCTGTGGAGATATGGGGAGAGGATCTGATGACTGTGACAGCTCAGGAAGGGCCACAGAGCTCGGTAGGTCTTCATCCCATGGACTGTAATGAACAGAACTGGGCTAAGCAGCGTATAGCAGAAGGCTCAGGCGAGCACGGCTCAGGGGCCAATGGAGCCCAAGGGAAACGGATCAACATTCTAGTCGACCGCTACCCAGCGTGTAAGTATGTGCTCGACCAGCTCCATTTTTCGTGTAGAAGTTTTCAACTAACCTCTATTGATATTACAGGCCGTTGGGCTTCCACTTCTCTCTTTCCTTGGCCATTGTTGCCGCTGGGCCTTGGTGTATAAGCTGGCTTGGTCGTTTGCCATTGTTTGCCTTGATTAATTTTAGTGCAGGCTCAACACTCACCGTTTGTTAGTTATAGAGTAGCATTTTGATATTAATATCGCTATCCCCATTTATGGGTGCTGTTGTTTTCATTTTGAGATTGTTTGGGTATAGCTGTGTACACACTGCCTTTTCGTTGATATACTGTTTGCAATATAATATTATTCTCGCATCAAGAGCTCCATCCTGTGGTGCCTCTCTGGTGTAGTGAGTGGATTAGTTGTATTTATCTCTGTCAAAGAGCTTCAAGTAGTGATCGCTGCTAGCAGCGGGGTTGTATTGTACATTCATGACTTCTTCAGCCGTGTTTCCCGGGTATATTCTCTTCGCCGGCTGCTAGTAGGTAAGCAGTATACCGTGCTCACACGAAATATTTGGCAGCGTTATGTGTTTCCTTAGAGTAATCGTTCGTGGGGTCGAATCATCTTTTATTCTCGGGTGGTTTAGATGGTGATTGCGTTGCTTTCCCTTCCATCAAGGGGTGAAGTTTGCTTGACCAAAGGGTATATTCCGCGCAAGGCAACTCCAGCTAGCAATCCCCGATAATATCATTATGGCATGCGTGTTTGAGAGATGGAAAAGTCGATAATCAACGGTCGTTACCTCGTCTTATCCTTCTCTTCTTCCTTGTTTTTCACTCCTTCCTTGTCACCCTCGTCCATCCTCCAGGCTTCTTTCACGTAGTCCAATATTAAATCAGCGTATCCTTTCCCCTCTGCCAGGGCTTTTCTCTCTTCTTCTAACCTCCTCTCTTCCCACCCTTCTGTCTCATTGCCCATCCATATCTTTTTGGCCACGCCCTTCAAACCAATCTCATTTTCATCAACAACCGCGTCCCCTCTCAGCTTTTCTAGTTCCCTCTCTTGTACCTTCGCAAGCTGCATCCGTACACTCAGCTCTTCGGCTTTATCAGTGGGTAGGTCTCTGAATATGCCTGGTTTTTTTGTTGGTAAGTAGCTAGCCATATGTGATACGATCCCTTTGCCTGTTCGTTCAGTGGCGATGTGGTTTGCGGAGACGATGAATGCTGCACCTAGCGAGGCAGTGTAGAGATCGAATTTTCGAGGAGGTAAAGCAATGATCACTGGCGCGGCGACGAGAAATGCGAGAGCAGCATAGTGCTTGAACTGCTTGAAATCTTCTGCTCGCTTTTGGGCGGTTTGCGACATGGTCGTTTATGTGTTGGTGATGTATCTCTCGTAACGCAGAAACAGGTAGAATTCGAGTATAGGGAGTAGCTGATGGATAAGACAATGCAATTGATAGCCTTGTTTTCTTGTAGAGACTGGTGCTGAGAGTTGGCTTGATACTACTACAACGCGAGAGAAGAAAAAGTTGTCTTGAATCCTGGTGGAGATCACCAAAGTCCAAAGCTCGTGTTTCTAGCTGCTTGGCTCGATTGAACACATTTCGCCCATAGACACACAGAACGGAACATATTTCTTAAATTTCTGGATGTTAACTACTATGCTACTGTCTGTTCTTCATAACCCGAATCAACTCCCTAGTATTGTCCTTCCTTTCCCATAGTCGTCCAATCCACGATGCAATGAAAAGCCATTACCACTGAATCTCCTTGACTCCGGGCGAAGCCTCAAAACGGATCGTCCCATCATTATTGAGCCCAGCTGCCCCAATAACTCCTCCGGATATTTCGTCGATCACCTGGCCGAAGTTCTTCGTCTGGCTGATTTTGCAGCGTCTGGTGGCAGATTCACAATGCGCAACTAAGGCAGCGGAAGACTTGAACATGCGCAAACACACTGGACAACTATATACCATCGAATAGAGCGCCGTTAGATAGATTCCTTACTTTGTAATGGGAGACAATGAACGGGAGGGAATGATGATATGAACTTACCGAGTGACGCCGGCTGCGTGAACTCCAGAGGCGATGTGCTGCTCGAGTGCTTCTTGTGTTTTGAATGAGGTGTCGCAGGGGCAAATGTATGTTCCATGCACTTCGCTGAAGAATTTGGTCAATTCAGCGTCGGAGAGTCTGATTTTTCTGGCTATTTCCAAGTCCGTTGGTCCAGCTGGTATAACGCGTGAAGTATCCCAACCAGACCCGGAGTCTGATGCGCTTGGAACATCGGGACCAGGTAGGAATGCATTTATAGCAGGCCTATCTTGACTTCTTCTAACGTCGGGTGCATCTGAGAACGCCATCAGGTCCTCCAACTGCTGTACAAAGTTGGTCGTGGGGGGATACTCTTCAACTTCGTCTTCATCATCATCACTATCACCGCCCAATGTAGGCCATTGTTTGATGTCGAAGGCGGATGCAGTCTCCCTAGGCGCCTCCAAGGCAGTAATGTTTCCGGAGCGGCCTGGTCCAAGCCCGAGTGCGTTCATCTTCTCGATGACAGATGCTTTCTTTTCTTCAATCGCGGCTGTCTGGTCGTCATAGTTATCCAGGAGATCGTCGACGCCAACTCCCCCGTCGACACTGGATGCAGCGGAAGATTTGACCAGGAAAGGATGGTGGGAGAATAGTTGATCATCCATGGCCTCCTTGACGGCCTTCTTTTCGACTCGACGCATTCGATATTTGTCAAGACTGATTCTCTCGCAGCGGCCCCGTTCAACGTGTGCCATTAGGGGAGCAGCACGAAGGAATTTGGCCTTGCATCCAAAACACTCGATGTTTTGCGCTTCACGATGGAACTATACTCTGCTTTTAATGTCGCCTTCTTTCTATATGTCGACCGTCAGGTCTGCGTATTGGTTTCTATGGACTCACCTGGGTAATGTGAATATCTCGACCGCCTTCACTCTTAAAGTCATCGAAACAGATAGGGCAGATGATGTGCCTGGAGCTCTTCATCTTATGGAGGAGCAGCTCGTCCTCGTCCTGGAAGTCCTCGTTGCATCGTTCACAGTACTCATGGTCCGCCGTGAATTTCTTGTGCTTGATCAGTTGTCCTTCAGATGGAAACGCCTGCAGACAGCCCTCATACGGACAGGGAAAGGCCCGAGGGTCTTTTGGAGGTCTCTGGTTCTCCATCTTGCTTGTTGCTGGCTGTTGGGTGGTGATGAAAGAGAGAAGAAGGTAAGAATGCGAGTGAGATATCTTTTGTGTGTTCAGGCTGGCGTGACGGAAGCTGCAAGATGAGTGCGGAATATAAGATAGACACAGAGAAGAAACTAGAGGCCGTTGAGCTTCCTCGGTCTCCTTTTTATATTCACTGATTAAGTGAATGGCTCAGTCTATGCTTTCTCCTATACTTATATGGAACTGGAAACTTTATACCGTCATTATTTGCTATTCATGACATCACTATATGAACATGGTTCAAAATATTCACAGCCTAGTTAACTAGTTATTTGTTTAAATATTTAGTTAACATCCTTGATACTTTTATCTTATTATCAACTAGATTCCCCTATACCAACTTTGCATCGCTGGTCCCTTGTTACTATCTCAAGTCCCTACTACCTTGTCATGGCCACCAGGAGAGATTAGTAGATTGGAAGAAGTATCACCACACTCCCGAATCTCTTTCTTTTTTAGATTATATGTAGTAGATATAAATTGCTGGGTAAACCAAGCAAATATAAAAATTCCGAAAAGTATCGAGAGGCTTAGCAAGAAACTGCTAATTATTCGTAACATCCTCTTCAACGTAGGTCTCCCAAAAACCAGCAAGCCTAGAAGAGAGAAAGTCGCCCAAGTAAGTGTATGAGCATATGAGAACATCACATATATTAAAAGAATAGATATCACCAGTCGAGCAATCGTACCTATTAGAATCGAGAGAACGGAAGCCTAAAATACATTGGTTAGTTACCAGGAGGACATATCTCTACCTTCAAAATACTCACCATTTCCCCTTCATAGTGATCACTGCCCAGGCGTTCCCTTGGTCGTCGACCTCCTTATCGACCTTGGTTGAGAATGCAATGGCACTCATGATTCCGTCCCCAAACTTCTCGTTCATAACGGCCTTGTATGACTGTCCGTAGTTCTGAACGATCTCATACAGTCTGTAGATGAGAGGGTCCCGAGGCGGCATGTCAACACCCTTTCCTCGGTCAGGGAACCCGCGTAGCTGTTCGCTCAGTGTGGTATGCGGGATCTCTAGGTATGCAGAGAGCTTCTCGATGTCCTCTGGAGATGCCCTCGCCTGGCCGTAAAAGAGGGCTGCTACTGCCACTTCACTGCGGCCAAGATGCTTTGCGATATCTTCAAAGGAGAGCCCCTTCTTTGCCTTGCCCTGGAACAGAAGAGAGCAGTATTCGGGGTACTCGTGTTTTTGCGACGCCTGTTCATCTGGTTATTCCCGAGCATTCCGCAGGATGCTATGGAGGAGTACGCACGTCCAAAGTGACCAAATCCATCTTTGCGTGATATCTGGCAGTTATTAGCTGGTGGCCTCTCCCTCTCCCTTTCTCTCTTCTTATATATCTTTATTTCTCCTTCTCGTGCTGTGGAAGAAGCAAGATATACGCAGACTGCGGGGATGCCATCCAGGATATAACCACAATGTTACTAAGCTCCGTTCAAGAGTTAGAAAGCAAGGTCTATGTACTGTTCGGGCTATTTAGATAAGAAAAGTACATAGACCGCAAAAACGATGTCCGAGGGGTGAATTTCACGTTTTATCGTCGCGGTAGCCTTGAATACGAGGGTCGTGAGCAGCAATTAAGAGTTAAGGGCGTGAAGCGATTAGTTGCTTTTTTTCATGTCTAGAGCTATAAAGACATGTAGTACTCCCGATAGATATCTGATCGAAGCACCTACATTTTATCCTACGATCCGCGTTGTTTTATACAGAGCTACATATGTCGACCGAAGTCAAGTTTCCGGTGGAGGGAGGATGTGACTGCAAGGAGGTACGCTACCAGGTGAAGACGGCGCCCCTGGTGGTCCACTGCTGCCATTGTACATGTAGGATACCTCTCCCACTCGATCGATAGGCTGTCCTGACCATTCCCTCTCTTATAAACGCAGGGTGTCAACGTGAAACCGGCTCTGCGTTCGCCATCAACGCCGTGATCGAATCCGACCGCTTCGAGCTCTCGAAGGGAAAGACAGAGACAATCCACACGCCGTCTGAGAGCGGGATAGGCCAGGATATAGTCCGCTGCAGTAGCTGTCGAGTTGCTCTCTGGAGTCACTACCCAAACACGGGGAAGTTGACCTCCTTCGTTCGAGTTGGGACGCTGGACGACCCGAACAATCTACCGCCAGACGTCCATATATTCACATCCACGAAGCAGAAATGGGTTGTTATTCCACCAGGAGTCCCTGCCGCAGAGATATTCTATGAGCTGGATAAAACCTGGAGCAAGGAGAGCTTGGAGAGGATGGAGGTGCTGAAGCCGGCGATCGAGAAGCACAAAGAGGATCTAGCAAAGCGCGGTCTCAAAACATGGTAGTCGTAGTATAATCTTTATCGGTGTTCACATAGCTATCATCCTGCTGAGCTCGCGATGTGGTGGAAGAGAAGTTGAGTGAAGTTGCAGTGAAGTTGGTGGAAGTGGCTGAGGCGGAGATAGGAACCCCGCCTCAGCCACGATCCAACCCCCGCGACGACGAAGCTGAGATCCCGCAGCTTGCGATCATATATACCAGCTTCTCTTCCCTCTCCTTAACGTCCATCCTGATGAATTTATGGCTCTAGACCATCTTGTACACTATCTCAGACTCGCCTCTGGCATACGGCCTTCTTTTCTCCTATCGTCGTACCGTTCTGAGCGGACTTCCCCCCGCCCTTTGCACTGCTATAGCTAGGAAGCCATGGCTGGGAACGAAGACCATCTGGCATACGGAAATGCCCCGGGACAGCCGTCTGACCGTGCTACAGGGAGCGGCGGCGCCCGGGGCTTTCTAGGAGATACGCTGCGCACTTTCCGTGATAAATACGCCCACCACGGTGGCCAGCAGCAGGGGCAGCACGGCCAGCAGGGACAGCAGGGGCATCAGGGGCAGCAATACCCAGTAAGTAACTGTCTATGCCTGATGTCGACCCTTTACAGAAGCCTACTATAGCTGTCTGCCTTTGTATGACCTTGTTAGCTAACATAGTTCAGGGTCAACCTTCGAACCAAGGTTACAACCCTCAGGCACAGTATCAGCAAACGCCACAGGGTCAACAAGGAACATCTCAATATGGACCCGATCCTACTCATGGACAGAATCCTCAATACTACCAGGGCACAGATGGAGGCAGCCACAGTGGAGGAAAACCTCCAAAGACTGACCTGGTCTCCGGCATATTCGGCAAGATACAGGGCATTGGTTCAGAGATGGCACAGCGAATTGGCTCCAATCTCGATCCACAGGCCTATGCGACATATGGCGTCGGAGCGACCTCGTCAAATTCGAAGAACCGATACGGGAGCTTTGCGCCCACTCGAGACCACTGTGACGCCAAATGGTATGTCGATGGATGCAGCTATATGTGGGCAGTATCTAGAGCACTTGAGACTGCCAAAGAATCTATTTGGATTCTCGACTGTACGGCTTCCTATGCCCCCTGGTTCTATTAGAAGTCTAAGCTGAATAACCGGGCATATAGGGTGGCTGTCTCCAGAGCTATACTTGAGAAGACCTCCAGCTCAGAACGAACAATATCGCATTGACCGAATGCTCCAAGCAGCTGCTCAGAGAGGGGTTCGTGTAAACATCATTGTTTACAAGGAGGTCACTCAGGCGTTGTCATGTAAGTCGGTTTTCTATTAACCGTAATGCGTGTCTTTAAGACCCCAATGGCTGACATACACCCGCTTCTAGTGTCGTCATCCCATACTAAACACCATCTGGAAGACCTACACGAAAACATCACTGTACTCCGCCATCCAGATCACTTGCCAGACAAGCAAACTGTGCATTCAGATGTGATGTCATCCTTCCAGAACTTGACATTAAATGCTGCTGGTGTTTCAAAGCTATCTGGTGATGCTCTCAAAGCTGTGTATGGACTGAGCGGTGGCGTTGTCCTTTTCTGGGCGCATCACGAGAAGTTATGCCTCGTTGACGGCAAGACTGCATTCATGGGCGGTCTTGATCTCTGCTTCGGACGTTGGGATACATACCAGCATTCTATTGCTGATGTTCACCCGGCCGACGTAAAACAGGCCGTTTTCCCCGGCCAAGACTACAACAACGCTCGAGTTTTGGACTTCCAGGACGTTGTTCACTGGGAGAACAACCAGTTAGACCGAAAATCGAACTCTCGTATGGGTTGGAGTGATGTCGCGGTTAGTCTGCACGGTCCTGTCGTGGAAGACTTGAGGAAGCATTTTGTGGATCGTTGGAACTTCATCTATGATGAAAAATATGCGGTTCGCAAGAACCCACGAGTCTCTAGACTTGAGCTCTATCGCCAGCCTATGGGTATGGGAATGGGCTCCCACCACTCGTCGTCGCAGTACAACGCTCCACCCTCAGGAGCTCCGCCTGCCACAGGTTCCCAGGGATACCAGCAGCCAAGCGGAGGGTATGGCAGTGCACAGCAATACCCGTCCTCTAATCAACCACAGACGCAGACGCAGCCACAGACGCAGCCACAGGGATCGCAATCACAGTACTATCCCCCTCCCCCACCTGGACCTCCTCCAGTCACGTCTCCAGCTGCTGGTGGATATCAGCCACCGACCCAAGCGTCACAGGTGCCGTATTTCCCTCCTCCGCCTGGTCAGGGCAACCCACCGACTCAAAGCCGTGGTATCGATGAATACAATGAAGGAGAAGGAAGCAGCCGTGGCGTCGGGGGCCTAAAGGGCGAATTTACCAGCTTTGGAAGCACCTTACGTAGCCAATTGGCCGGCCAAGTCCACCGTTATCAGGATCGATATCTTACCGGTGGAATTTCGGGACAGAGTCAAGGACAACAGATGGCAAACGTGTCTTGCCAGATAGTCCGCAGCAGCGCCAAATGGAGTAACGGAACGGAGACTGAGCATTCCATCGCAGATGCTTACGCTGCTATAATCCGTGAGAGTGACCATTTTATCTATATCGAGAACCAGTTCTTCATCACGGCCACATCCGATGCCCAGAAGCCAGTTAAGAACAAGATCGGTGCCGCCATTGTCGAACGTATCCTCCGTGCTGCAAAAGCAGGAGAGAAATACAAGGTCATCGTCATCATTCCTGCCGTTCCAGGATTCCCTGGAGATCTCCGCGAGGATGGTAGTTTAGGCACACGTGCTATCATGGAGTTCCAATACTTCTCTATCAACCGCGGAGGAAACAGTATCATGGAGGTCATTGCCCGAGAAGGGTATAACCCCATGGATTACATCCGCTTCTATAACTTGCGCAACTACGACCGTATAAACGCGAGTGCCATCATGCGCCAAGCTGAAATGGCGAGCGGAGTAAATTATGAAGATGCAAGAAAGCAGCACGATGCTGCCATGTCTGCATCGAGACCCACTGCTTTCGATACAACGGCAGCATATCCACAGTATCAACAGGCGGCCCAAAATGTCGCTGCTACACATCCGCAGTCATCCGCCATGGGTCGATGGGATACTGTCAGTGGATGCTACATGCTTGGAGGAGAGGACATCCGCAATATCCCTTGGGAGCATGAGGGTGATGTTTCCGAAATTGACGCCTTTGTCACGGAGGAGCTGTATGTTCATTCAAAGGTATGTTGCCCATATTATTTTCCTTCTTGAAAAGACGACGGCTTGTCTAACTGTTGAAAATAGGTCATGATCGCGGATGATCGTACTGTGATCTGTGGAAGTGCGAACCTGAACGACCGCTCTCAGCTAGGCGATCATGACTCTGAAATTGCAGTCATCATCCAAGATCCGTCTGCCATGGAGTCGAAGATGAACGGCCAGACATATGTCGTGAGCCAGTTTGCTACAACGCTTCGAAGGCAGCTCTGCCGAAAGCATCTCGGACTGATCCGACCTCAAGATTTCCAGCGAGGAGATGCGAACTGCGAGCCTGTTGGAGTTCCCAATCAGTATGACTTTGGTACACCAGAGGACAACATTGTGGCGGATCCGATTGCAGATACCTTTCATAGTCTTTGGAACTCGCGTGCTAAACAGAACACGGAGGTGTATAGAAAGGTTTTCCATGTGGTACCAGACGATACTGTCCGTAACTGGAACGACTATAAGGAATTCTATGAGTACAATTTCCGCAAGCCTGACGGAAAGGAGAATCAACAGCAGGGCGGTCAACAAATGGAACAAGGAGGCCAGCCACGCTACCTCCCTGGCCATGTGATCCGTGACGAGTTCCCCGAAGGAGTGAAAGCAGTTAAGGAAGAACTGGCCAAGGTCAAAGGAACCATTGTTGAGATGCCGTTGATGTTCCTAGCAGAGGAGGATATTGCCAAAGAGGGACTGAACTTGAACTCGTTCACAGAAACGCTATACACTTGATGATCCACCCCCCTTTTTCATGATGTATATGGCGGCGCCCTGCGGGGATTGCATAGTCTTTGTTTCTTTATCCGTTGACCTTTGAGGTATTATAATTTTTATTTTTATTTATGAAGCTTGTATCTTTTGATTTGGCTATCGTTGTTGTCTCGGATATATTGTTTGGTAATTAACACTTGGAATATGACCACTCGCTCCAGACAGCTAATTGGATTAACTTATCTAGTGAAGTGTCGCTATAAGACTCTCCTTTCGAAGTATCTGGAACGCTGTCCGTGTTGTTGGTGTATATAGAATATGGATGGTCATCAAAGAACTAAGAAGTGGATGATGTTCGATGTTGCTCTTATATTGTTCTCTGCAGAACAATATGAAGGACGTTGTTTTTCCAGCCCTCTCATTGGCTGCTTACTCAGACCAACCACGTGATGTGGCCGAACATGGACTAGCGTCATATCAACCCTACATTGTTCTTTCCTAGCTTCAGGGACAAAAAAAAACTGCAGGCCACCGAGATGTCTCTTACCCGGTGTTTCTCACCCTGGAACCCGTCAATGGCTGGTTCTTTTGTTGTTCGTGCGGCTGCAGCATCCGAATGCGGCCCCCATTTCGCTTTCGCCTGAACAAGAATCCCCGCGGCCTCCTATTACGCCTCGTTAACAATACACACAACACGGCTTGCTAGATTGAAGCTCGTATCGGATACCTTCTAGATGGCCAAAGTTTCCCGCGAGATGACTAGATGCATCTATGACCCCGCGATTTGCACGTTTAAGCCATCTCCAGCAAACGCCTACCTGGGCCCTGGAGAACCACGGGCTGGTCGAGATGGATTATGTTCCTGCAGGCCATGCGTCTCGACCGTGGAGATGTTTCTGCTAGGAACAAAGATATCAGCCGTGGATGTCGACTTGCTGCTGTTTCCGGCATTACTGCCTACGGGCGTTGCGCATCTAGCCTGTAATGAACCGTGGAAGCTAGGTTCAGAATAAGAAATGGAGACATTTCAAATTTACCCAAGGGCTCCTGTTTCAATTCCAAATACCTTATATCTGAGTCCCCAAACTATTGTTAGATCCTAGATTTCCAGCCAGCATTTCGTCATCGAAGGGTACTAGGTATCCCCGTAGCTAGGATGATGCCCTATGGGAATTTCTAGCTTGTTACTATCCACTGCATTCAGGGCAGCCGTTATGGAAGCCGTTCGGGTTGCACGACAGCTTTGAGTGACCTGAATCATTAAATAGGCTCATCACTAGGCGCAAGAAGCGATCGCTTGCATAAGATCTTGAGTATCGTATTTTCTTTTTATCTTCTGGCTGGGCTGGCACTGCGTCTAAATGTGCCTCAGGCCAAGCAATATCCTTGAAGTAGGTAGCCAGTCACTGGATATGTCTCATTTTCCCAGTGAACCCACAACTCTATGAATTAGTATACGCCTTATCCATTTCACTAACTCCAGGGCGTCCTTAAAATCACACAATACGAAGTAAAAACAATGTTAAACCAAGGTCCACCATTAAGATGGCAAGTATCAATATGAAATTCCTATCTATTGTTTTCTCTCCAACAACACGGAGTCCCTATCTCATTAACTATCTTTAGTTTCTTGCTTCGTTCCGCTTTCAGTATGGTAGATCGATATCTGGAGCCTATCCTCTACCAGCATACCTGTTCTGCCGCTCTCAAGCCTTGTTCAATCATTTGAGCCACTCATACTCAGCTTCTTTACGTTTCAGCAAGCCACATAACATCCTTGCATTGCATCCAGAATGATGAGGAATAAAGAAATTCTGCAAAATACCACATTTCTCCGCATAGATCCGCTTTTTGATGAGAGATTAATGATGAAGGTCCAAGCACTACGCTCTTTATCGAAAGGGGCTAAACAAGAAATATCCAGTGCCAGGAATCCGGAAGTGGAACCTGGACCTTTCAGTGAACCCCAAGGCCGATTGTCAATTAATGGAAATAACTCGATATGCAAAGCCGAAAACGTCAAGTCAAGTCTATATATATCTGCACGTTATGCCCGTCCTTTAATCGACCTGTTTCATTATTACCATCAAGACAAGCCAGCATTTTACAGACAAATCCAAACTATTTATTTCAACTTTTCGAGCTTCGTGCAAGAAAACACCAACACTTTCAAAATGGAGAACTTCGTTGCCCCAACTCAGACCACCGGTGAGGAACCCTTCCTAATTAGTTTCATATACGCGGAATATTCTCAGGCTAATGCTTTATTTCCAGATCCCGTCAACGCCCGCGGCAGCACTGGCCAGTGCATCGTTATGTAGGCGCCCGTCTACTTAACTAATTTAACAATGCTGGAGGAGCGGCGGTAATTAAGGGGGAGGAGAGTGATCTGGTGGTGGAACTGCAGCCACTCCTGGAATGTGCTCCGACCGATTATATGAAATCACCCATTCTCGATATTCTACGAGGTCGATCCATCCTTTTTTCCCATTCGACTTTGATACGAGACCGATATTGGGCATGCCAATACCAACCAATCCGAAAAGCTTTACACAAGTACCCGGAGATGCTCCCTACATCGCTTCAATCACTCTTCATCTTCTTTTGAGCCGACATTTCTTCGCCTAGTTCAACATCACTTCGTTGCTTCCATCGTTCACTTCTCTGATACGCTACTCTGTTTATCACGCTTATCCAGCCAAACTTTTACACCAATCCGTGCACTCTGTCAACATGCTCCCTCCCTGGCAGTGTGGCCAATTTATAATCACCTTAAGAGGTGTTTGGATAAGTATGACACCAGAAAGGCTACGAAAATAATAAAAAAAAAGGGGGGAGATTTGTATCAATCACTCATTTCTTTTAAACCTCCAGGGTGGTGTATGGTTGATTTCATGTTTATTATTGCTCGGTCCGTTTCTTTAGGTCCAGCTCTATTTGGATATATATGATCCAATTTATGTACACAAATTTTTTTCATTCTCCTATCTTCTCTTTGCTCCCTCCATGGGTCTTCAGGCGATTTGAGAGGGTCTTTACGTGTCAAGGAAGAAAGGAAGAGGGGCCTTGTGCATAGTTATATATTCATACATACTATATTAGCTTCAGACGGAGCTTTTGTCTATACAAATATGCATCCTTGGAATATGTATTCCTACAGTAAACAAGGCACCCACTACTCTTGCCATTTAGTTGTACAAGTAATGGCCTAAACCTCTATGTGCGGAAGGCCAAACCATCCAACTTTGGTTGTAATGAACAAGTTGTTATGATCTATAATCGAGAGTAGGCACAGGATACGGAGCAGGGAGACGCCTTCCATGCCAGCTTTTTATATCTGCCAAAACTGCAAACTTCTTTGATGACACTCCAACATCTTGCGCCAACCTGCACATTCTCTCAAGTACACACAAAGACGCTCGTTTCTTTATATCCATACTCTTCATCAATACTGTCATCGCCACTGCAGTCAGTCATTCCCAACATGGGGCGCAGATGCAAGGAAAAACGCAGGGCGAAGGAGGCCAAAACAAAACTGGAAGAACAATCATCCACCTTACCTCCTGTGATGTTTTATTTGTCTAAACTCCCTCCACGACCTATCACGCATCGCTCTACCACTAAGGTCGATACTTCAGCTACTCCCGCCCCCAAGCCCGGGTTTATAAAGCGAACGACAGACCGGCTTAGCCTGATGTACTACCACTATGGAATCGCGATTCCTGTGCACGGAATGCATCCACTTGAGATCATGGCCATCAACGGCGCTGTCCTCACATTGTTCGCCTGCGTTTTCTGGGTTGTCGCTATTTTCATCCCGACTCTCTTATGTCGTCTGCTCAAGTGGTTTATTCAGCCTGCTGCATAAATGAAGAGGGCTCGTTGAATTCGCCATGCATCTGAGCATCGGGGTCCAGTATATTCTGTTACCGCGTCTTTCTATACTGTATTATTATCACGGGGAAGCGTTGGATGGGTATAAAGAGGAAGTAATAGGCGGCGGGGCTTGGTTCTTGGAGAGTTGAAAATGTGATTCAAGGCTTGTGGTCTCTTTGGCAACGCTGTAAATAGGATGATAATTCTCATAAACAGACACTCTTTTGGAATCTTGAAAACTCGCAATGCGTTGTATGTGAAATACTAGCATTACTCAGACATCTAATTGCCACATGCAACGTACTATGATGCCCTCGCAGTAAGATAGACGACCATTCATAGAACTGGTAAAAATAGGCTTCTACCCGTAAACTGCATCCTCCAGTCAGGCAAGAAGGCATTGTTTTCATAAAAAGAATAGAAACCATATCATAATTGACATTCATGCAAGCGCCGTAACATCTGAAATGATCTGTAATACCACACTCGCCGCGTTTCTGCCCATCTGCACTGCAGCATCACCAAGTTCCGCCTCAATATGTGAAGAGACGGCAGGGTTTTCGGACAAGCAGCTCACGAACGATTTGAGGGGGGTTAGAAATTTGGAGTCGAATATTGACAGCAGGGTGTCAATATGGAGCTGCTCAGCAAGTTTAGGTGACTTGCATAGAAAATAATAGAAGTTCAGCTTTGCAAGGTATAACGGTGCGAACTCCTGTACAAACTCCATCCATATCCTAGGTGTAATGCCCTCCGGAACGTTAGATGGAGGCGAAGACTGTACAGGGTGCGAAAACTTGTAAATGGATTGAAACAGAAACGTAAAACTTTCGGGGTCGGAGAATGGGTTGCCGCTGTCAGTATCTTCTAGAGTCGTGGAGTAGGATATGAGCTCCTCTTTGAGCCACTGTAATGCCGATAATCTAGCATACTCTGATTCTTCTTCGTTAAGAATCTCGAGAATTAGATTATATCTCACTTGTATGTCTGGATATGCATGAAACGCGCGGGCAGGAATAGATCCAAGTCGGGTGAAGGCTCTAAACTGGGTAGGACCCCGAGCACAGGCTGTTAACCCATAGACCAGAGTCTTAAACCCTTCTTCATCGGTGTCTTGTTCGGATGTGCTAGTTTTTGCAACCGCAGCAAGCGACAAAATCGAGTCGATTAATGCGGTTGGCTCCTGTGCAGCTGCAGTATAAGGAGATTCGTAGTCACCAAGGAAGTTTAGTAGAATATTGACGATGTCTGGGTACAATAGTAGGTCATAGTCGCGCGCACCGGACCCAAAGAGGGTAACCGTTACGCATCGCGCAGCTAGAAGAAGTATACAGCCATGTCTCTCCAGGGGAATGTCGTCGGGAGATTTGGGTACGTTTTCAAAATCTAGCGGCGGTGGATGATCATTCTCTCCTTTAAATATTATTTGTTGCAGATCCCGTGTCTCCAGCCCAAAGTCCCTTGATAGCGCCTGGTACGACATTAGGCCAGACCATTGATGGGTCATCTCAGAAGAAAGGGGTACAAGCACTACTTACAACTATCTTTCCCAGCGTCGTATCTCTCTCTTTGAGATGTTCGGTGTTCTGAAACTGTTCAATGCATGTTGCAACTCTGCTCTGTATGCGAGGAGGATCTAGCTTCTCCTGCATACGAAGAGCCCATTGCATACCCGATGGGGCAGGTTCGTCGACGCATTGTAGGAGATACGTCTTTAGGGTCTCAATAAGCCCAAATTGCAACAATCTTTGAGTCAATCTCTTCTCGTTTGTGGCATCGGTCGACTCCCCTTCCACATGTTCATCGGCCTCTGGATCCGGCGCCGCCGTATCCCCAGTCGGGCGAGTAAGTGCTTGCTCTGAGGCGCTTCTCGGGGGCAAACGTGGCCTCTTCTTTCCTGATATATCTCTTAGAAGTTCTAATATGGCCGCTGTTGTCTCTGTAGACGGGAATTCAGTGTAGGCTTCTAGCACTGCCTGAAGGGAAGTTGCAACGAAACGACTTGCATATTTCGTCTTGATTCTTGAATGCAAGGTAGAGAGCATGGATAAAAGGCAGTTAAATTGTTGTATATGAAGGGGTAGGCGTCGTCGTGTGTTGGTGTCGTTGGCTCCATCAGTCACATCATCGTCATCCGCATCATCTTCCTCGTCAACGGCATGGAGCTTCATCAAAGCCTCCGAAACTCGTAGAATAACCTCCCGGGGATTCCCCAGCCTTGCAACATCATCTAGACACTCCCGCGACTCTGGGAGGAGGGGAAGGAGTATGTTTACCAGGTCCCAGCCGATATTGATAGTCAGGGTCTCATCCTGAAGCACTTGATGGAGTATGGGGAGTCGGGCGGGAGTTAGCTGGTATTCAACAAGAGTAAGGTAGGTCAGATAGTCTGTAGCTGGAGGGAGAGCTTCGATTAAAGGATCAAGTCCTTCCTTTGGTTCCGCCATGCTGTATAATTGCTATGACGCGGTCCTAGAGAGACTTCCACAGCTCGTTGTCCGTCAACTCGTACAAATAAAATAGCTTGCGGACTGGGCAAGGGAACTCTGCCTCAAGTCACACCAGTCCAACAGCTGTCTAGATGGAGCTCGAGTATCTCCAGCCGATGCGATGTGCAGTGATCCATCGCAGACGTTGTCAACTGTTTTCTCCTCGTCGAAAAGATGCGCCGAAAGCATCGAGGGGTCTGGTGATGACGTAATCGCTAACTACTCCAGCTTTCGTTCTCAAACATGATATAAAAATGCATCAAGGGCATGGAGATTGGCTTCGTGGGACTCTGGTTTCCCGTCTATCTTAGATACCTTCACACTACCTGTGCGGCAGTGCGCCCGCGGTTCTCTTCGCTAGATCTAAATGCGTTAGGACAACACTCTGAAGTCTTCATCAACTCGTCTACAATGGAAAACTTGAAGCAAACGTTGACTTCTTAGGGAGTATGTCTTGAAGTCGAGGAAATGCTTCTTCCTGAAGTATCCGTTCGACCTTAATTACGATCGGGCCTGCTAATGTACTCGGGATGTACTGGCCTAGCGGATATTATCAATGTGTTGTGACCTTCGATGGATTTCAGCACTGCCAGCTTTTATTTCAATAAGGTCGGCGTCCTGAGGCATAAACATGGCTCATGTCTACAAAAATGGGTAACGAGGGACGATAGGGTAACTATCGGTGGCATTGGAGGCTGCAGCGTTGGAGATCGATTCCCCTCTTCCTCCTTGTGCATAGGTATGTCTCAGAGAGGGTCAGGCCAATTGGAGATTTTGTATGTGATGGTGACGTTGCTGATCTATGTCATTATAGAATAGGGACAGGGCGCTTAATCATTTAGTTAGCTGCATCTAGCTACAATATTTATGTTATGAGGCTACACTAATTAAGAAAAAGAAGCTTGGGTTAGCTTGTCTACCCCTGATATTATTGTTTCTAAGGTATGATGGAGATTGATGCCGATTTGATTCTTCTATATAGGAAAATACTAGATTAGCTAACTTTGCCTCTAGCAGTCGCAGTCGCATGCAGGAAACGCCCAAGCTTGCGCAGCTTTGGTGTACATGAAGGCACCCGACTGATCTACGGCCAGCGACATGCCAGATCAGATTTAAATGTTTACACTGCCCTGTACTCTTGTACCACGGCGATTGCCTTCCTCACGCCAGATAGCTGCCGGGCCGTCCTGCATCTCAGGATGAGAGGAGTTATTCAATCCCATACCCTCCGTACGGCTACAGCCCATCTATACCCACACACATACTGCATGGGATAGAGGGTTCCATGTCGATGAAGATGATCCACGGTGAGACACAATTCAATTCCAGCAGGCCCATGCAGAAAAGTCTACCGTGTACATTTATATACGGGGTTTCTCTACGATTGCCTAGTATATAAAGAGGCATCATTATGCCCTCGGTCCTAACATCAATCCTCTCAATTCAAACCTTTTCGAGCTATTCTAGCTTATCCAACTCCCGCCTCGCACGCAATGTTTTTGAAAACGCTCCTCGTACTTTCCCTGACTGTCCTCACTGGCTCATGGGCTCTGGAACGGCGAGAGGGTAGCGGTAAGTTACCCTGCGATGACATATGCTACTGTTATCGAGCGATATCCGCAGAGTGTCCTACCCGTGCCCTAGATCAAGACATCAACTGTAACAATACGGCGCCGTTTGCCCGCGAATGGGTTGGGTGTGATATTGTCAGGTCCGATTCATGGAATGCAGATGTTGCTGCCGGACTTGACTGTGTTCGTGATCAATTTTGCGATAGGCTACCCCCTTTCCATGCCGTTATGGCTCTTTGCGAAGCCTGTCTGACGGAATGTGCACCTTTGTCTGCCGCTGAAAAGAATAGTAAGTGCCTTCATTCTATCTGAGGACTAAAATCTCTCTATCCTTATTTCCATGTTGCTAATATGTAAACAAGGCATACGCAACACGATGTCCATATGCACGTTGAGTTATACCAGCTGGGATGCCATGGAGGCAAGCTCAGCACTCGAATATGCCAGGACTTTTATCCCATCGACCTGGCAAAAGGCGCCAGTAACGGTGACACTAGGTGGCGAAACGCATATTATACACCCGGATAGTGACTCTACATCAGAAACGGCCCCCATCGCCACAAGTGTTACAGCATCAGCATCAGCATCGTCAACAGGCTCAAATGGGTCCCTTACAAGCGTTGTCACCTCTCGCACAAACATCGGTTTTATCCCGCTGCCCACAAAGAATGCGGCCATGCACCTTCCCGTGTCTTACCATGGAGCTATCTTCGCCTTCGCGGCAATGCTTTCATTTTTCTAGCCTCGACGACCGCTTTCTACCCCAATAATGAGGAAAGCTTAATACTCCGTACATGGTCTCTCATTTGACTCTAGTTAGTTAGTTGAAGTTCAAGAAGATATGAAGATATAATTAATTTATGTTGCATCCGCGTCCATCTTATCCGCATCATGCGGCGTGACGTAGAGCGAAGTGAGATCATGTATTCTCTTCTGATAATAATGTCTCCTGCAGGGCGTAAGGATGTCGATACGCCGTAAAATCCGTGAAACATCACGTAGCACCGACGCTTATAAATCAACGCGGGGAGGTATACGAAGGAACATATATAAAGGAAGTCGACGGTCTGAGGTTTACAGAAATATCAAAAAAACCATAGACAAAATTCCATAAACCAAGGGATATACAACATGGCAGGAAACAATTTAGCCCCAGGAGAAACGTTGGTGCACTTCTTCGACATCGACAGCGCACTCGAGGGCCAAAGCCGATCATGGTCACCCAATACCCTCCCCATCCGCGCAGTGCTAAACTACAAGAATGCACCTTATACGCAAACATACGTCTCGTTCCCGGATATCGAGCCTCTGCTTAAATCGTTATCGGTGCCGCCACTGGTTGGTGGCCGGATTCCATACACTCTACCGGCAATTCTACACAAACCGTCTATCCAAACGGAGGGTGCGGCGATGAACGATAGTTTCGCGCTTGCAGTCCATCTTGAGACCATCTTCCCGCCAGAGGCAGGGTACAAGTCTATCTTCCCTAACGGACAGGCCAGTTATGCCTTGGCCGTTGCCGTTCTAAGGGTATTCGGCAACGTTTTTGCGCCGGTGAGGCCGTTTGCTATCCCCTGTGTGCCCAAGTACCTCGATGAACGGGGTCGCGAGTACTTCTATCGCACGCGGAAGGAGATGTTTGGCATGCCACTTCAGGAGTTTGAGGCCAAGGGAGAAGCGCTGGAGGAGGCGTGGAAAACTTTCGAGACGGAAATGGGGGTGTTGGTAAAGATGCTGAAAGGTCGTCCGAGCCCGAAGAAGAATCGGGGACCGTTCTTCGAAGGTGAAAACCCTGGATATGCCGATTTGGCGTTGTTGGGATTCATGGGTTGGTTTGAGAAGAACTCGAAGGAACACTGGGAGAGACTTGTGCAGATTGGAGACGGGGAGCTGAGAAAGTTGTGGGAGGCCGGCCACAAGTGGCTTGAGGCTGAGGGACAGAACGTGGAGTATGAGATTCCGAAGTAGCCTCATTCATCTGATATTCCGTACATCTCTATGTACTCGGATAAATAAACATAACAAATATATGACATGAAAACAATGAAAAAAAAGAGACAACGAAAGAAAAAACGACGGTGATATTAACATCCGCATCTCGGGATAACAGTTTAGACAATCATTCAGTAAGGAATATTCCCCAAACGCCGAATCGTTTATGCTCGTGCCAGCCTCCAGTACATAGCCCAAGAGAAAATCAGTGCAATTTAGCAAAGGGGGAGGGATTATACAGAGTAATATATTAATGTCCTTGAAAGTTGTAACCTAGGAGAGGGTATAGAGCCGTCAAGGCGAAAGATTCGGGCATTTCATCATGGCAAACCAAACGAATGAGCGTAGTATTTAAAAAAGACCAGCCATGAAGGTATCTAGAATGGGAAAGTGCGAGTGTTCTTCGTGATAGGCGCCGTCTTGAAGTTGCCGATTTCGCACCAGTTATTGATCGGCTAGATAGTAGAATATGATTAGACAAGGGATGCTATAAAAGGGCGATGTAGGAAGTATGAAAGTGTACGTACCAAGCATGACAAGTACTTGCACCACGAACACGTAGTGCGGTACTTGTAGAAGTTATTGAGAAGGACAATAAATGAAGCTAGGATGCCGATCAAAGCACCGGCTCTAAGCAGCCACCATGCCCACCAGAGCGCCTTACGGCCCTGGAAGAAGCTGACTGGCTGCTTGCGGAACTTCTTCGGGTCGTTATCAACGCCGATGTTACCACTCATGGATACGTAGGGAGTTTTAACCCCGATACGTTCTCGCAGGGCATCGGGCGAGCGCAAAATACATATTCCAAGCACCAAACCAGTGAGGAAGCCACCAATGTGAGAGAAGTTGTCCAAGCCAGGAAGCAGGCCTAGGACGAATGAGATGGCCACAGTGAGTATCATAAACATGAGGTCAACCCAAGGCCTCTGCTTCTTCCCCCAGGTATAGAAGAGGTCAAGGACGCAGAGAGCGAAGATGCCAAAGAGGCAACCAGATGCACCCGTCGATGAAATGGCAGGAGCTGCAAAGTTACCGCCGAGAACGAACCCGAATATACCGCTGGAAAAATAGACGATGGCATATCTCCACCAGCCAATAGTCCTTTCCATGTCGGCGCCAATAGTCAGCTGAGCGAAGAGGTTGAAGCCGATATGCACCAGGCCGGCGTGGAGGAACATGGGCAGGATAAATCGGAACCACTGGTTTGGCTCTGGCTTGTCGTCAAGACTTCCGTTTGGTTTCGGGTTGGGGACTCCGTTGAATCCGCATAGCTGGGAGAGTGTGCATTTGGGGTCCTCTGTGGTCGAGTCTGGGCAAGGGAAGAGGACATTTTGCGGGTTGTTTTGAAGTTGGTCTACGTTACGCATGCAGGGAACAAATCTGGCTCCTAGGTATATCTGGACGTAGGGCGAGGGACCGATCATAGGGTTGAAGGAAGGTTTGGTCATGATGGGGGACCCGGTTAACTGGGCTGGAAGTTTGTTAGCCACGTATAATGTTGTGATGAAAGAACGGAGGCATACCATTTCTAACAATCTCGATGATAAACACGACAACCTGCACCAGCGAGGTTATATACGTGACCCAGGGAATCTTCTTTGCAAAATAGCCCTTCCTCCTCCTCCGAGACGGGCGCCTAATAGGATCGTTGAGGTTCAAAGGTTCAGTCTGCGGATCGTGGTGGGAAGTAGGTGAATAACGCGTGTCATCTGCCCAGTCTGGTTTGCTCTGCGGTGCTGCATTCGCCTTCAGTGGGATGTCTTCGGAGTAATAATCGTTGTGGTGGCCCATTCGGCTGTCCGCCAGGTCGTTATCCGTGCCTGGTGCATAATGGCCGTACTTGTTGCTGTTGTCGTAAGTGCGAGAGTACTCTCCAGTCAGAGGGGAAGAAGGTGGCTGCTGGCCCCATGAGCCGCCGTGAGGATCGTTATCGTGAGGTATCGCCGGATGAGGCTTCTGCGAGTAGCTGTTGTTGTAGTACTCGGTGGCAGCCATCTTGCTGCCGTTCTCAGCCAACGGAAAAAACAGAGCTCGTTTGGGGGAGGTGACCGTGCTATAAAACGAGAGACAGGCGGGTGTGAGTGTAAAGAATGAATATGGAGAGAGATGGGCGAGGTTGCGAAATCATGCGATGTGTTGCGTAAACACTTTCAGCACTAGCAATTTATTCGACCTGACGATGTTTCCCCTTTGGGCCTAGCGCCGCCTGAAGTTCCGTCAGATCGCGGCTGTGCTGAAGTTGGAGTTGGAGGTCCAGCTATTTATATACGAGACACTGTGGCTTATCTCGGCTGTTACTCTGCCGACCTGCCAGAGACGATAGAAGATGGGAAGATGGAAAGATAGAAGATAGAAAGATCGAGGAGGAGGAGGAGGAGGAGGAGGAGGGAGAGGGAGAAAAGAGCCTCGGATAAGGCTGTTTCACGATGCGCAGGACGAACGGTTCTTTTGTCTCTCGCCTATCGCAGCGCCACAGGAGATGGAATCCTGGTGCAATAGTTTAGCGGCCAGGTTACACTATCCTCGGGAAGAAGCTTGTTCCAACGAGCATAGTTCTCGCTACGGATACGGAGTATGCATCGGGGGATTAACGGGGTTCAACCTAATAGTCCTGTTTAAGGGGCAACATCACAGAGCAAAGATCCGCCAGAGAGTCTGTCTTTTAACTCATATACGAAGTAGACCCCCCCGTCCTGCGAGCTGCGATGGAGGAGTAGCTCGATGGCCAGGGATTGTAGATGCTAGTCTTATGCACCTAGCCCGGCCGCGTTTGTTAGCGGTTCCGCATCCTGGGAGACGGAGTACCTCATATTCTTCGTCCAGCCTCAAAGTGAAGATACCTATAATGTTATCGTGTTTATCATATAAGGCTGTCGTTGGCCTCATTCATACGACAGCTACTGCGTTCACCAGAATTGATGTTGTCAGCTCGTCATGCTACCGTGGCTTGAGGAGATGTACCGTGGGTGAGCAAACCCATGTTTACATCCATGATGTATGCAAGAACTGTCTCAGGAAGAAAACTGCTAGACATTTCTGCAGGTTCAGCATCCTGCTATCTCACTGTTTCCAGTGGCAAGGCCTCGCAGCTGTATCTCCTGTGGTGCTACATGTCAACATTCTTCGTCGAGATAGAGTGATTATCTAATACCCGTCACTCTATTTAAGCATATATCTTGATGTTGACCTCCCTCTCTGCATCTATACATATATCTATGAATCTATCTACGTGTATATCTATGTTATATCATACTCACAAGCTATTCTGGCTGTTAGCTCTGCATGACGTAGCCTGCTTGGGATAACGGTTACGGTTCATGCTGGCTGAGAGTGACTCCTTCCTCTATATCAGATGGCAACGTCACTTTGGAGGTAAACAAGCAGAGACTTCATCGTCCTGGCAACGACGCCCAACAGTATCACGCTGAGACCCTCGTCATTTCTGCAGTGATGCCACGGAATTCGTGCTGGGCAGGCAGGATATAAGAGCCCTCGACCTCTGGGTCTGCCATTTCCCCTCCTGCCAGCCTCATATTTTCCCATTCGATCCATGGTTGTCCCCCAGCGTCGCCCCAGCAGCGCATCAGCGTCGGCCAGATCACGCCGGGTTGATCTAGGTGATCTAAGCCTGCGTGATCTTTGTTTGATGCTGCCAGATCACGCAGAAGTTGATCTGAGTGCAGCGTGTCCCCCAGATCACGCTCGACCTCGCCACCGCCCCAGAGGCCTATTTAAACCTGTCCTCCCCCCCGATCTTCTGATATTTTTTCTTCTTCCTTTCTCTTCTCCATGGACGCTCTAAGTTCTGGTACGTACCCAGAGCGGGTATGTACCCTGGACATTCTGGGAGGAAGATCGTTGGGCTGTCAAGAGGCGGACAGCAGCACGAGTCAAATTCCAGTGTGTTTAGTCTTAAGACTCAAGCTGAGACTGGGGGACGCCCCATGTTCAGGACGCTATGGAGTCTGAGAGGGTAGCTTAGCGTCCAGTCCGCTCCTGAGCCGCTGAGGATGTGCCTCACTCAGCTGGCGACGATGTTGAGCGGACCATCAGCGACGACCTCGCACTTCTTCGCAGTGCTGATGACTAGTAGTCCTTCGGGACGAAGCTAAGACGAGGTCATAGATAGGTAGCTAGGTAGTTAGTTCGACAGGCATCGGTGCATGTAAATAGTCCTCCTAAAAATACTTCTTTAATCCTCACTGTCCTTGTAGACTCGTATTGTTGTAATCTTGTTGGCTGTTGGCTGCCGTTGCTGTTGTCGTTGCTGTTGCCATTGCTGTCGCTGTCGCAGTAGTTATGAGTGTAGTTGTAGCTTGTAGGATGGCTGTATACGGAAGCCACAGCTTCACCTTTCTGTTGTTATTCTTTATAGAAAGACATAGTAGGTCACAGTGATCGCTGTATAAACGGCGTATCTTGTCTCCTGCTGCAATATAGGCCATTTTGAGTCCCTGATATAACTTGCGATAGTCGCCACCACAGCCAACTCGAATCGCTGAGCGGCACGCTATCTTCTCCGTCTGGCTATAACAATCTTCTCTCCTTGCTAAAAAGCCATAGCTAAAGCCATAAACCAGAATATGCCCCAGAACGAGGTCCAGCACGTCTACTCGATGGGTCAGGAGAGAGGATGCAGGGCTGTTTGCGAGCTACAAACTCGCTCCCGGCACCGCCAGCGCAATAATGATGAGCAGTAGGCCTAATACCTTATACTAGAGCTGTCAAGCTAACTCCATTCTCTCTTAGAAGCCTGCCTCCCCTCAAACGATATCAGCGTCAGCGCAGACATCACTCTCCTGCGATATCTCTCTCGTATTGACCCTGCAAAGACCCTCGAGAAGCTGATATGGCCCTGCTATGGATACGTGATATGGGTATAACGTGCATCCTCGCGCTCCAGATAGGGTATCATTACGGTATCTTCTATATCATATCCTGCCTGGCTGGACAAGCAGTGAGGATTCACGCCTGAAGCTGCGCTTCCGTGCTGGCCGAGTATGAAGGGATTCTAGGGACTAGCTCAGTGATCAGTCCATTTATGAGGAAGACAGCCCGAAGCTCTGCCACTGGTACCATCCTCGTCTACTTCCTATCACTAGGACGACGTGACAGGATGTTTATGGTATGAGGATGTCATGTCAGAGGGGATTATAGCTGACAGGAGGACCTAGCTGCGCTAGATAGAGATGAATAACAGGAGGATATAGCCATGATAGAGATATGAAGCAGAGGAACGCGCTAGCAGAGCTGATACCTTGATAAAAGTCCAGCTCTGTCAGTGCAACACCAGCAATACAAACACTTCCCAGGCCTTCCCTGTCTCAACCCGGCTGGTCTAGCAGGCCGATCGCAGATAGTTCTCTCTATATCGTATTCCCAAGTCGTAGGATTAAGTACTAGTCGACCTGCCAAGCCGCGTCAAATCGACCCTCGAGGCGCAGCAGCATTCGCAAGCACCAGCTTCATAAGCAGAGAGAGAATCCTGCGGGCGGATGAAGTGCGCGACGAGGGACGAGCAGGATCGCAGGTGTCAAATATTCTCTCCACAGACTATTAACTACGGAGCATCCACCTTCGATATTTTCCGGCCGGCCGACCGACCTACGGAGTACGCGAAACGGGGCCGCTTCCCAAGTCCCCATCCTAGCTTTCCCCAGGGACACGAGTCGTTGCAGTCCTTTTTACTGATATACAACTGCATCCTGCTTCACTACCTCCCGCGATGAGCCCGGCATCTTGACGTGCAGCTCCGGAATACTCTCAGCCTGTGTTTGCCGCCTGACGCCATGGAAGCATTTGCCTCTGCTGTGCCGGAACCCTCCCCGTCTCCTACAAAGCGCCGAAGAAATAATCTAGCCCGGAACTGCGAAGATGTTCTATGCAATGTAGTGAAATATTTCCCTCTTGCGTTTGTATACGGGCTTACGACGTGGGCGATATGGGTGGAGGCGGGCGTCAGTATATACCATACCAGGAGTTGGTGGAAAGGTACGCGTTTACGTCTATGCCAGAGATCTATAACACGTTCTAATGATGTGTAGGAACCCTCGGCGCTGTTTTAGGGATATCTATCTACCTACTCATGAACATCTCATATACCGTTGCGGTCTTCACTGACCCGGGCACGCCTCTCAAAACCTCCTCTCACGGTCGATCACGGCACCAATACAGCCATCTCCCAACGACAGAGGACCCAGAATACACCTCCGTCACAGTCAACTCGTCGGGTGACATGCGTTATTGCAAGAAATGCCAATCTCGGAAACCAGACCGGACACATCACTGTTCAACCTGCGGGCGATGCGTGCTGAAAATGGACCATCACTGCCCATGGTTGGCGACTTGCGTTGGAATGTACAACTATAAAGCTTTCTTACTGTTTTTGATATACACGTGTCTCTTTTGTTACGTCTGCTTTGCAATTTCGGTGCTTTGGGTCTGGGATGAAATGATGAAAAATGCCCAATACATGGAGCGGTTCCTTCCGGTTAATGTCATAGTCCTGGCTGTGGTATCGGGGATGATGGCGTTGGTGCTAACGGGATTTGCGGGGTGGCATGTTAGCCTTGCTGCCCGTGGGTTGACCACTATTGAATGTCTAGAAAAGACGAGATATTTGGCACCCGTGAGAAAGACGCTAGATCGACAAAGGAGAACATATCAGCAACATCAGCAACCACGCACCCAACATGCTGGAGACTCCGCCGATGGCCTCGGCAGAACCCTTCAAGGCTATGGTCAACAGTTTCTTGATATGCATGCAAATGCGATTCCGGGAGTTACGCGCGCTGAAGAAGGTGAAGAGCGTGCTTCACCAACGATAGGAACCAGGATTCCAGGACCCATGCACCAACCTCACGACTATAACCCTGATGAACACTATAACCATTACCAGTCCCCAGCTCAACAATCCCTCTTCAGATCTTATGGGGAGCTCGACCGAGCGCGAGAACACGACCGATATGAAGAATACCTAGCCGAGTGCGATAGCGAAAAGCTACCACATGCATTTGATCTTGGCTGGCAACGAAATTTGCTACACCTCTTTGGACACAATCCTCTTCTATGGCCTTTCCCCATATGTACTACCACTGGCGACGGCTGGCGTTGGGAAGCCAGCAGCAAATGGCAGGAAGCCAAACATAGGATTGATCAACAAAGAATTCGAAGATGGGAAGAGTCGCAACAGCAGCAACAGCAGTTTCTGCAGCAGACATCATTTCAACGCCAGCCTCAGCCAACCCCAACGCAGCATCACTCTTGGCATACGTCTGAGCCGCACCCCGGAACCTCCTGGACTGGCCGTTTCAATAGCACGGGAAACCTAAAGCCAGGGGGACCGTATATTGGGAACAGTGCGGATGACCGGCCATCAACTGGCGTTTCTATGAAAACATTACGGCCCATGTCCCCTCGCCCTCGACCGGGCGAAGGGGAAACTGACATTGACGAGGTTTCTGATCAATATAGCACGAGTTCCGACGATGATACAGAACGACACGCATTAGTACCAAATGATGACACTAAACGAACGCTTTCTAATGGTGGTAATGGAAAGGGAAGAAGGGAAGAATGGGCGGACTGGGATTGAATATTTACAGATCCTTCTCCCCTCTTTTTTGTATTATGATTTCTTTTTGGCATGTCTATATATCGTACGGGGAATTTTCATCATACCCGTACTGGCATACTAGACCAGGAGTCAGGTTTCGTCTTTGGGAGTATCGTTGGCTCTTTTTTTTTTGGATTAATCCTATTCAATTGGTTTAAAATGTTATGAGATGTGTCATGACTTTAACAGGCGCGCCATGTTTTTGTATTATAAGTAGTCCTTTCATCCGAACCCTGATGAGATACAAGGACCCTTAAGAGCATGCCAATGGCCTGTCTGCCGTGCCTCCGTCGCTACCTCCAGCATATATATAGAGGCTATATAGAGGCTGATCGGGAAATTGCGAAAACGTCACCTACTAGGCAGTCACATGACCATGTCACTTCAGGCCACCATGTCTGCGCTCAACTCCACGAAAGCAATACAACTCATGGTAGTATTGATACAAGAACAGGAGAAGCGACGAGGCGAGCTAGACGATGCAGATAAGAAGTCGCGTCTGCTGCTCAGATAGCATAGATTGAAATTTGTCTTTACAACATGTCCAACACCACCACCCTCCGGCGGCTCATGAAGGAGGCACAAGAGCTCTCGCCCTCTTCATCCTCGCCGTCTCCTTACTTCCATGCCCATCCAGTCTCGGACTCGAACCTCTTCGATTGGCATTTCACTCTCGCGGGGCCGCCTGCTCCTTCGCCCTACGCTAATGGTATATACCACGGCCGCATTGTTCTCCCTCCACAATACCCTCTTCGGCCGCCATCCTTCCGTTTCTTAACCCCATCGGGGCGGTTCGAGGTCAATCGTGAGATATGCCTGAGTATTAGCGGACACCATGAACAAACTTGGCAGCCAGCGTGGGGGATTCGGACTGCCTTGACCGGCATAAGAAGCTTTATGGATGGTGAGGCTAAAGGCCAGGTTGGTGGGCTAGATGCAACTAACGAAGCTAGAAAAGATTGGGCCAAAAGGAGTAGAGAGTGGGTGTGTCCAGGCTGCGCTGAAGGGAAAACAAACGAAGAAGTTTTGACACAGTGGCAGAATATATGCCGCGAGAGGGGTGTCAATGTCGATAACGAGGGAAGGCCAGGAGGGCGACGACTTGGCGGTGATGCGGTGCCGGAAGGCCTGAATTTTGGATACCGTGATGAAATGGAAAAGGGCGCATCAAAATCAAGCCCAGGACCGGCACAATCTCCAGCCACTACCCTCTTACCTGCCGCTGATGGGAAGAACAAGGATGCGGATCAACAAGTCCCACCGCCCTCTGATAATGGCGCGCAAACATCAACCACAGCAACAGCAACGATTAACCCAGGTCAAACTGGGATTCTCTCGAACAGGAGTCGAGTCACTTCTAATACTCGAAGCCAGACATTGTCAACACCTCAGCGCGAACAAACACAAACATTAGCCAGGGGCGCTCCTGAGACTGCCGAAGGGCCTTGGCTAGACAGGGCCATAATCGGTGTGATATGTGCTTTGGCCTTCGTGATTCTTCGGAAGGTTCTGTTTGCTCCTGCGGAGCTTTAATGATCTCCAACCCTCCGATTTATCTTTGCTGCCGGTCTATGGCCTTGCATAACGATGAGTATGTTGTATTACAACAAAGGAGTTATTCTCCCATGTTTATATTTGAGCGGTTACTAGGACTAGGGCGTTAACGGGTAAATGTGGTTTTCTTATTACGGAGTTTAGGGTTGTATCTTTATATATAGCACTTACTCTCCCCTTGATTGGGGTAATAGCAAGCGCCTACCTCAATGTTTAAATTCAAATCGGTTGATTATATATTGTCTAGATCCAGCCTCCTTCCTAGAAATTGTGGTAGTCAAGTGAAATAGAACATTTAGTACAAGTAAAGCAAACAAAGGTAATGTACATGGCGCTAATTATGCCTGGCTGCTATCAGGCTGGCCAAGAACCATCCACCACCACTCACTCACTACCCATCCAGCACCTTCAGCATCTTTTCCTTCTAGGCCTCGGACGCTTTCGATGACCCTGGCTTCAACAAGCCAGTTCAGAATCAATCTGACCTCCCATTCTGCTAGGCATGGCTCAAGCATACGGGTAATTCCTTTGATTTCAATTGCTGGGCGAGCAACCAGTATCCCAACAACTGCAGATATAACCAAGTCCCAGACTATCTTGACGAACTGAGAGTGCACGTCAAACCAAAGAGGGATTTTGGGTAGCTGCGACAATTCAGTTGGCATCATCGAGCCACCCAGATCGCCCTTTGGTATTGGTGCCTTCACTAATGATTCTCCAATTGGATTGCCGTAGATATACCGACCTTGAACTGGGTGAATCTCAACATTAAACCGAAGCTTTCCCTTGTCCATGAGCCGCGTCAGGTACCCTCCATCCGTTAACCCGTGCTTGTTCCGGGGAGGGTCCCTTGGTACTAATACGATGCGCCGCTTCGACGCCAGGTTGATCAAGACAAGTATGTCGCCATCTTCTGCTTCATACTTCACATTATAGCTCCCCTCTGACCGAAGTGCTGGATCAAGGACATCTGTTTTGAAACAAGCAGCTTGTTTCAGTTGGGTTGATTCAACGGGGCGCCTACGAGTGATAGTACCTAGGAACTGCTCTGTGAGGTCGAAATTGCGTCCAGGGGTTATTCGACCCTTATTGCCCATAGAGATAACTCGCTCCGTGATAAGAGATTGGATCGCTCTGCTTAAGAGATCCTCACCAAACTGCCTCATTGTTTGTCCAGCTTCGGCTGGCCGATACGACTCTTCGGGGGTTACCACATTGGCACGAACCCATGTCTTTGCCACGTCAAGCAGCTCGAGATCCGGAGGCCTTGGTCTTCCTAGGCCCTTGTCCTCTAAAAAGGTATCCGAGGATAAAATATTGGCTAATAATGTTCGTTTTCTTGGTATAGTGATAGGGGCGTTATATTGATAGATTTCATCAAGTTGTTGACATGGCTCCTCTCTGATTTCGAATAGGGTATCAAACTGTGACCGGGATGCTGGGAGATTCGGAAGTCTTCCCATAGAGGGCTCTTCCAAGTTCATACTAGCCCATTCCACAATCCACTCCCAGTCATAAGATTCTAAATTATCAAAGTTGATGGGTGGTACTTCCCCCTTCTCGTATGCATCAGCAAACTTTTCTTGGAAGTCGCTCTGCATTTTTATCAGTTGAAGCCTATGCTTCCCTGTCAAGGTTCGACCTCGATCATGTACGAATTTGGGGGTATACTCGGGAAACAGGGGCGCAATTAACGCCCATTCAACCATTCTCCCTTCAAGACCTCCAGCGAGCGTACGCACGACAACCATTGCTACCATCAATCTCTGAGCTACCTTTTCGGGGAAAGAACCAAGGCGTCTCATCTTCCGGTTCCTAGCTGTCTTATCCGAATCTCTAGTCGACTTGGACTCTTGAATTTGGGTGAGTTTGCGTGTGGTCTCGGGATATACATCTCTTTCAGGCCAGCGCTGACTCTGATCGGCACCAAAATTTCGCGCAAGGATAACTTCAGGAGGCTGATATCTCTTTGCAATTTGTCTTGTTAATCTCCGTGCCGGCTCCACGTTAAAAATCGCCGAGGTATCGCACTCAAATCGTATCGGCCCCTCGACTGGAGGAGTTTCGGGTAGTTTTTCGATAGTATGGTTTATGTAGACGTAGTCATGGTTAGGCATGTCAAATATCTCCGGATATCTCGTCTCACATTGCCTAACTTTCTCGACGTTGTAGAAAAATTGATGTGTAACGGGGTCGGATAACCTGGAGGTATCGAACCTACGACCCCCCATCTGTGTCAAGATACTCTCCAAACTATCAGGCTGGGTTATAATTTGTTGATGATCGTGTGGGTGTTTAAAGAACACCCTATATATCGCTCTCGGTATATAGGCTCCGGTTCCAAAGGTTCCGGTAGATGGGTGGTATGTTTGAATTGGGGACATGAGCATTGATCGTGCCGTTATCATATATCTTCTTGATGACAGAGGTAGTGCAGATACAGGATACCTGCGCCGTAAAGCCCCGGACGCCGGGTGCGAGTTAAAAGAATCAAGATACGAACGGCCTTGTGTCAGTCGCCTGATACTCTCAAGTCGGTTAACTGGGGCGTCATAAAGAGATAGCCCATCTGTACCAAAATCCATAAGCCAGCCTTCAAAGCCTTCCAGATTCCATCGCTGTTCTGCCCTGGTTAGCTGTTTGCGGGTTCTAGCAGGCGGCTGATGAAGCGTTACATTGACCTCTCCATCAATATCGGGAAGTTTTACGCCATATCCCAGGAAGCCACGGTTAGATTTCCTCAGGTCAGGATCAATCTCTACTTCCAAGGGTAGATATAGTTGCGGGTCCATATCGAGCATTTCCCTTTGCATAGCTCTTAGTTTCGGGTGTGTTGCCGTAATCTCTGGAAGTGATAGAATACTCTTTCTGACCATGAGGCCTTTCGAATTTCTTCCGGTAAATGTATGTTGCTTGGCTTTACCGCTCTCGATAAGTGACCTCATTGCATTCTTGACTGTTCGTGCATCAGGTTTCGTTGCTTGTTTCATTTTTAGCCACAGAGTCGTAAAGGGGTACCACATTTCACTCCCCATAGGATATAAACCCCCGGCCTTGTGTAGAATGTCTAGGAGTAGCTTTTTTCTAAGAACGCCGATTGAACCAGATCGGATATCTCTCTTAGGTATCCCCTTAATATCGCCGACTTCAGTGCTGGGTGCATCTGTTGCGTCAGGGGTATCAGTGATGGCTATTTCAGCAGCTTCTCGCAAATCAGGGCCCATCTCATCCACAGACTGGGTACTGTTGACAGCGACGGGATTCTCAAAGTAATCAGCCATAGGCTCTATCTTCATCTGGGTATCAGAAATTTCTTCAACAGCCTCGCTGCCCTGAGTTAGTGAAGGCGGCGCCGCAGCGGTTATAGGCGTTGTGGGTTGGGCAACTGCCCCCTGGCTGTTAATAGCCTGATGATTTTGGGATGGCATTACATCCAGTTCCTGCTCTGGTAACTGGCCGCCCGGACGTTCAGCGGTCTCTAGCTCAGTTTGACGCACAGAAATTTGCATTTCTACTTCATCTGAAACCCTTGAGTCCGTACCGTTAGTCGGTATACTCGGCTCCAGAGCCGCTGCCAATGGTGTTACTTCCTGACCGTCAAGTTTTCGTTTTTTCGGTGGTCTCCCTCTTCTTCGAACAGGGGTTGCCTCTGCATTTGCAGGTAGCGGTACGCTAATATCTGAGTGTCGTCTTTTCACTGCCATTTTGGGCGTTTCTATATCCCATTCTGCATCCGAGTCGTCAATACCCGTTTCTAACTGTATTGTATCCCCCTGATCGCCGTTTTCGTTGCTTATCTCATATGTCTGCCGTTGAGCAGCAGCTCTAACTGGGCGGCAAGGACGTCGTTCCATGGATAGGTTCGCAGACACTGCCTGTGTACTCGCTTCAACTGCTGGAGTGGTTTCTGTCTCTCCCATTGCAGAGGGTTCGGGACTTGTTTGCGGAACAAACCATTCGAATTCCTTAAGTCGTGATGATTTGAATACAGCAATACGACTTTTCCCTGGACGCCCTCGCCTTTTGCCAACGGGTCGCCGCTTGCCAAATGGTGTCACGTACACTCCAGTTGTTGGGCGATCCATGAGTAGAAGGTTATATTCTGTCCAACCTTCGTCAAGGCCCTGTGCTTCTAAGAGTTCCTTTCCAGTTAGTCCCTCATATGGATCTGACACAACTTTCCGCCTCTTCATCGGCCGCGAGGACATGTCTTCAACCCCATTTTGGCCACCTGGGGGTAATAATTGCAGAACAGAGTCGGAGCGGCCCTGTTTTGGTGACCTGGTGCCGAGTAATTGACGGTCATCCGTCTCAAATACCCCCGCATCTCGAGCACGCTCAAGCGCTGATCTTGAATTGCTCTTTCGGAAGAAATCCACGGCTGTAGATTTATGTTAGTAACTGGGGAATTAAGCAGACTTAGATATGACTTACTATATGTACCGTCCAGAAGTTCTACAGCAACCGGGTCATTATACGTAAGATTCCACTTTGCCGGTTTGGCAACTTCTAAACATTCGCGGAGGTTTGCATCACCTTTCCTCAAAAGATTTTGCGGCATTTCATCTAGAAAACCATACTGGTCTAAGATAGGCTTTGCATCGATTGGTGGAGGTTTGGCGGTTCGCTTTCCCCCCCTGGGACCTGCGGCAACGGCATCCCACGAAGCATGGCCGCCATTGACGAGAGAAGCAAAATTTCCAAATGAATAATGAATGTAATAATATACAGTCTTGTGGAGCGCTGTGTCGCGAACAAGGGCTAAGTGTCGAAGGTGAAGAGGTTGAGAGTGCTGCCATGAACTTGTCAGTCGGGAAAGAATGGTCTCCAAAGGCCGCCTAAAAAAAGCACCCATAGTCGCTTGGTTAACATTCTAAATAACAAGAATGTTAGTATTCATTAGCGCAGATTTCGATATATCTAGTAGGGAAACGAACAATATTGGAGATTCCCCGTGTCCCAGCCTGATTGATAGCATCAAACACCAAATTAGGCAGAGTTCTATCTGGCGTCCATTGAGGAACAACTCGACCAACATCAACGACATAGTTTTCTTTGTTCGAATCAGCTTCCAAGCTTGGGTCTACTACGATGTCTTGGTCTTGTTCTTGGTCTTCGTCGATGCCCATATCGCCGTCTAATCGCTCCAGTGATGACATCAACCCCTTGCTGTCTTCGTGGAAGAGTTTGATGTCTTTCTCCGTTGGTTCACGGATCAGCATTACCGAAGGGTGTAAAGACTTCATTGTTTTTGAATACTGAGATACGGCCCGTACTCGCCGGACGCAACCAATAGCCTCAAACTTCCGAATCGCCCTCCGTAATATCTTTCCGTGCCAACGATCTTGCATTCCCATTTTCTCCTTGAGGTCATTCCGAGTAATAACATTGTACTCCCTTAACAGTTCAAAGAGTCTCTCCCGCAAAACTGTGAAGTCTATTATCTTATTCCTGAAAGACTGAGTGCCTGTTTCCACAGTTGATGACGGATCATACGATAACTCTCCGGGCCCTAGCCCGGCGAATTTATTCAAAGTACACAAACTAGTTCTCGCAGCTTGGTACTGGATGGCTCGTTTTTCAATGTATCCCTTCTCCTGTAATAGATCGGTTCTCTTCGGGACTGACCGCTTGTCTTGCCCACTTAGACGCACAAGCTCTGACTGCACAATCCCTTTTTCCTTCCGGGACGCAATTACCGACAAAAGGGCAAATTCCAAAGGTAAAACCCTTGTGAAATCTGGTTCATGGCCAGTGATTGAGAGCCAGGTACGCTCTGGTGACACAAATACTGACAATTCATGGTGAGAGCTCGATGCCAGCCTTAATGCCGGGTCAATGGCCGGCTCCCGACCAGCATCGCTGGGCTGAGGGGGCACAAGATCATGCAGAGCAAGGGAGTTGCCCTCCCTATCTTTCCCGACCGAGACTTCGGGGTGGTCAGTTAGCCATTTCCAGACCTTAGCCTTGAAGGGTCTGTCAAGCTTGGGTATACGACGCGCTGCTGGAGCCCCATCACGTTCAACCCGATCATTTTTTTGGCGCTGCAGAGAGTAAAATTCATCGATAAACCCAAGAACTTCTCTCGGAGAGACCCCTATCCATCCTGTTAGCTCCTGTTCACTTACTAACTGTATAAGACTTATTTAAGCAACATCATCAATAGCTTTTCACACGCAATGACTCACCTTGATCACCGCGTAAGGATATCTCCTCCAGCAGATGTTCTATAAGATCCTTTAAACTTGCTGCCATAACCCCTTTTATTCCTTCGCATGGCTGCGTGTTGGCGTAGATCTCGGGAATACGCGATGTCGAAAATAAAATAAATCTCTCGTCTTTGTGGCAAGCGCGAGGTTCGAACCCGGGTTCACAGGTCACCTGATATGCTGACTTATCCGCCGACTTATCAAGATGACTCAGCTGACTAATATGATTGACTCAGCAAGCCTCGGCACTGGGTTCAGCCTTATGACATCATCACATACAACGTTTTTCTTCCTCACGTCACAAATCACCGTTCGTGCCGGGAAGATCTTGCCAGGAAGATCTAGTAGCCAGGCGCAGCTTGTTTGTATATAAGATGTTCGCCACTCGCTCGTCTCTCTCTAATGAAAACATGGGATTCGCTCATATCTCCTCCCCCAGCTTCAAATACTTGCATACTCGTTAGATTCGATCGTCGAAGCATCCGCTATACCGGAAAGCCACTTTCACGTCACTCATCGATGAACGCAAAAGGATATTTAACCTCCCAAAGTTGAAGAATGGATAAATTCGTGGTTCCAGGAGTCCCGGCGGTTCCTGGGCCGCCAGAGCTTCCCTACTCACTCAGGTCGCGGAAACGATCCATTGCTATATTCTGGACGCTCTTTGTCATCGATACTCTAGTCCAGCCGTTGGTCCTTTACTTTACCTTATGGTACTGCACCAGTCTATCACACAACTTGGGTACGTGTATGTATCCTGTGAGGATTGAAAACTCAATGCTAACCAATACTCGCTGCCAAATAGTGTTCACCATAAGCACCGCCGCGCTGGGAGGAGTCGCAGTTGTAGAATACTTCTATCGATTCTATAACTTGTATAGAAAGGGCTCAAAAGTGAGACCTTTGAATGCAAGGCGGTCATGGGTATGTCTAACCCCATCGCAAACACAATTGTATAGCGATTTCTAACGATCCGGCAAGCTTGATTTCTTCCAAGTGAACTTTACCATAGTATGGCTCATCCTCGCAGTAGAGCTAATCATGTACGTGTATGCTCCTTCGATCGATACGAACAGTTGCTAATTCGCATTTTTGGTTTAGAGGAACCGTTCAAGAAGAACCTTATAGTAAGAAACACTTCGTGGATCACTGTATATTCCACCAATGCTAACATATGTTTGTACTAGTCCGCCTTCTCGCCATGCCGCTACCGACAGTGATGTTCTATTTCGGTTTTGTTCATTTAACACTCGATTTCCTTCGTGCACAAGGCTACCGAGCCCCCTTCCGCATATCGTCGACGCCCAAAGGTTATGTTATGCCTACTGCCTTATACGTCCTGATTGAGGACGTTGTTGCCGTGGATGGCGGAGGTGGCCAGATATACCGGAGGGCCCTTCGTGACAGATACCTCTCCAGCCCGTACTTCAGGCAAATGCTTTTCGAAATGAACTGCTTCTGGGGTGGTGGATCAGTTGTCTGCGCAGCTATAATAACCGCATTGGTTTTCACTACACCGAGAGATGTAGCCTACACCGTAAGTACCCTTAACTAATGGCTATCTTTCGATGTGCTAATGTCCTCGCTAGCTTGGATGGTCCCTACCTTTTGTGTGGGCGGGTGCCTGGGTATTAATAACCATCCCATGGGTTCAGGCAGATCTCCGCAAAGAGAAAGAGGCATGGGGTAAATATTCCGTTCATGGGGAGCCATACACGGATGATATAACCTGTTCCACTCCTCAAACCCGATTTATATCCGCTTCAGGTCAATTGATGTCTTCGTTGCCAATCCAAAGGCCGGGGAAACCAGCCAGAGCAGAGGTAGGTAATACTGGAGCTGTATACGGCTCTGAGACCGTATGATGCACAAAATAATTTATAACGAGCATATGGGCGTATAAGGATAGATTGATACAGGATTTTTCATTCTAATTTAGTTGTATATTACCTATTTCTTTCCTTTGCGTTCCTCAGGCTGGAGTTGGGGATGCATCTTCAAAATAAGATTTATTATATTCTACCAGGAACCATATATATGCTTTACTTTCCTATTAGGAACCCTGGACGCTAATTTACATAATAATTAACAGTTATCTTTTCGGATAATTCATCTTTAGTGTTGCCCTCAGAGGCATTGTATTGTATACTTACAAGTATACCCATGTTCAATAACATAGCGGGTGTAAGAGTAAAAATAGCTATTAACAATAACCACACCAACTAACCCAATGATCTAACCATAAACCGAATGCTAAGTACAGTACCCCAAATGTCCATCCATCTATCTTCCATTTCCCAAATGGGAGACAAACGTCCACATGCCAGGTGGCCACCCATACAAAAGAACAATGCTAAACAACAATGATAAACAGTATCTAACGAAAGGAGTATTTGAATAGGAAAAGGAACTCCAGCGCCAATCTCCAGTTGCAGGGTATATCGTGTCCTTGGGCTAGAAATTGAGGCAAACGTGTGCCCCGCCTCCACCGTTAACTGTACGGTGCATAAAATGCAGTGGTGAAAAATATATAAAAAGAAGAAACAAAAACATAAGGTATAAGTTCTAGCGCCAAGGCTATAAAATATGCTCTGAAGGGGTTGAAACGAAGTATCTAGCATTGATTAAAAAAAAGAAAAGAAAAAGGCAGCGAGCGGAGAGATAGGGGGGATTATATGCATAGAATAGAAAACAAAGGCTCAACTAAGTGGTATTACTACCTAATAACGTCCTTTTCATAGCCCATTGTGGGTTATGCGCCAAGGTATAGAATGCGGCTATAGGAACGGACTGGCTGAGAATTGTTTGTTGGGTTCAGTCTAACGAACCGAGAATTTTGCGCCCAAGGAATGACAAGGGTTTTCGCCGCTGCCTACAGGTATTCAGTTAGCAGGATTTACCAAAAACAAGTGGGCAGTTATTTTCACCTTTCAGAGCCATCGTCTTCCATATTTTCGCTGTTAACAGAGGCACGACTAGTCGTAAAACGCCGGCGTGAAGCGCCTGATTTGATACTTTGTTCCTGTTAACTAGTCAGCATCTATATTTAGAGCCGTAGAAGTATCTAGAAAGGTTAACTGACATCTTCTTGTTCCTCCATTGTGGGGTTTCTGACAGGGCCAGTATCGGAATGGGCTGTTTGGGACCTTGCAGGAATAGTAATAGACTCAGAAGACGCTGGGCCACTTGTCTGAAAATTGCGCGAATTTAAAGACAATGCGGGAGAAGCAGACCGTTCAGTCGAAGTACGACTAACGATACTGTTTGAGCCGTCGGAGTGAGGAACGCTCAAAATGGATTGTCCATCTAGCAATTGAGACGAGCTAGCTAACTCTCGAAGGCGTTTCTGTTGTTGTTTTGTCGGCCGATGATGGGAGAACTTGTTACCCAATATTGCAGGCGTATGCGAAATCAGGGCCTTGATAGCATCTTTCTTAAGTCGCAAAGCAAGGTCTAAGTTCGACCACGATTTATTTCGATACTCAAGAACTGGCAACCTGAAAACAAAGTCATGGATGTCTTCGATATTCCGCTCTCCCTTGCCCTTGTAGCTTAAACAAAGCACGACATCATTTATCTTCACATGGGTGAGAATCATGAAATTCGAAGCGCGAGACATCATTCGGGAGAGATCATCTGCTCCGCTGGTTTTATCCAACTGCACTTTAGTAGGCTGTCGTTTAAGAGTGGGCCGTTTTGGCTTCTCCTCCGTCTTATTCCCAGCTTGACTTCCCAGAGACCAGTCCGAAGCCTGTCGTTTAAGCACCGTAAGGCTGTCCGCAGAGGCCTTTTTCGCCAAAGTACGCCGTGTAGGTACCTGAGACGTAGAACGGCTCCTGTCATCTTCGGCTTCATGCCTTCGAGGAACTGGATCCTTGACTAGTGGAGTCATAAACATCGACTTTTTGATTCTGCCGGGAGAATATGAACGCCTTTTATCGGGTAAAGCTAAAGTTGGCGTCAATCGCTGTTCAACTGCACCAAGACGAGAAGTTTGCCTTTCATCTGCCGATGTGCTGGCAGTGCTCATAGCTGGAGTATTGACGCCGCTAGTTCCATCGGTATCTGAATCATCGTCTGGGGGATCTATCTGTTTTATCATGAATGGTGAAAAGCCCCCATTCTCGAAAGCGTTCGGTCCAACAGCAGGAAACGCATATTCGAAAAGTTTCTGGCCTAGTTCTCGTTCCAGTTGTATTTTAAGCGGGAAAAGCGTTACCTCGAAGTCGTTAAGGACCGGGATTCCGGCAATGGCCTCAAGCATGTACCATTTGACGTGAAGCATTTTGCCGTCGTCCTTTGGTTGGGGGCCTCCTCGGTGGTCATCCCTGTAGGGAAGTATCACTTGTGGGTATAGTGCTTCTGGTAGCAAATTAAGCCCATATATGTTTCCAACTTCTATAGTATTGTGATTTGATCCATCAATGTTATCTGTCCTACCATACGCGGCATCTCTCAGCTGAAACTCCGCAACGGGCTCTTTACTGTCAGTCATCAGATGCCATACGATCTCGGATGCAGCAAGAGTCCACCGTAGAAGCCCACTTGATGAAGATTTTGCACGATCGTCACTCTTTCTCTGTGATGTTGTAATAGCTTTCATCATAAAGAATAGCTCGTCTTCGCAAGTTATGAGGTCTTTCTCTAGTGATACCCTATCCGCCAGCCCTTGTGTGTTAAGGTCTTTGGCCCGAATTTGGAACAGGCTCTTAATCTCCTCAAGATAGCGGATTCGCTGCTGGAGACGATTGACAATCTCTGGTGCACCCCTAAGATCACTAAAGTCTGATGCCAGCATGATTTTCTCTAGTTTCTCAGCACGAACTTGTTCTCGAGGCTCACTGTACATGAGGAGGTCGAGGGCAATTATGTACAGGGAGTAGTACTGTGACGAATCACAGATTGCCCGGACTTGTGGGAATTCGACGGATATTTGGTCCATCCTGTGCTCGTCAGGAGCAGGATAGCTGGCGTGTCCGTCCTCTTGCTCTGTCTCGCCAGCAACCCTCTCATTAAACTTCAGCCGCAGGGTGTTAAACTTATCATACCGTAGACTGGCAGAAGTTTTTTGTATAATCCTCGAGAATCCAGAAAGATCAATATCGAAATCGAACATAGCTTCCACTGAGACCCAAGGTGGCCATGAAGACCCAGGGGTATTGCCGTATCCATTACCACAATAGATATGTATATGGTTAGAGAAGCTCTTTTGGTTCGCAACGAAGAACTGCGCGCTATCCATACTAAGTGTAAACTGTCGCTGTACCAGTCCGCTGACATCATCGGATACGCGGTGCTTGTCCATAATGGATACGACCTTTAGTTGCATCCCTTTAGCGGTAACAACTGCGACGGATTTCTTATTCTTCTCACTTTGTAACTGAATCTGGGGCGCAATTAGCCTCAAGTGATAACTGTTCTGCGGCGTAAATTCAGGAGCAATAGTTTCGCTCGCGTTCGAACTTAATGGAGGGCGTTCGCTATCGTTAGGAGCGGGCGGCTCAGCAGTTACAAATCGGGTGGCATCGTTAAGTAGCTGCTCAATTCGTTCCTCGGTGGAGAGGTCTTCTTCTCTTTCAACTTCAACAGCCGGACGAGTATCGGCAGTCCAGGATTCCCGTTGCTTCTTGTCCATGGGCCGACGTTTAGTCTTTGCTTGCTCTTCGACAATGTCCAAAATGAATTTCACAGCACGCCGCGACATGTAATACACAAATCCACGCCTCTGGTTGACTTGGTGTATATATCGCAAGATTATGTTTCTCAAGGAATTGTTCCACTTTAGTTGAATATTATGGATGACGAATCGATTGTCAAAATCACTTGCAAATTCATCCTCCGCGGAAGATATCAAAAGATCACTATCTCCACTCTCACCAGGGGTGGTAAGGCTATCGGTCATGCCGTTCAGGACGAAATGCTTTTCAAGGCGCTGCAGTTCATCCTGGAGGAATTTTTGTCGCTGTTCAAGCGATAGGCCATGTCTAACAAGCCTCTCATATTGTCTTCGTGACTCATCGTCTGCTATACCATCACGTATAGAACGCAGTTCGAATTCACCAACAATGCGTTGGTGGGATGATGATTGCTCCTCCAGAACGTTAAGACGCTCCTTAAGCAGTTCAATCTGCACTCGCCGGGGATCATGATCCTGTGACATGACGCAGAAATGCGTTGGCTCATCACCGAAGGGGCTATAACCTGGTTCGTCTGGCCCAACTTTAATATGGTCCGTTTGGCGGAAAAACGAAAACCGAGGAGAGTATGCAAGTGGAAGAATCTGTGTCCTAGGATTCGATTCTGAAGGCAGGACCCAATCCAACTCAACGAAGTCATCCATATCAATCCAATTAAGATCTTCATCGGGAATCGTGAAATTAGAAACATCTGCGGGCTGAGCCAAATCTTGGTAGATTGGGCTGTTATCATCCTCGGTAGCGCCATTCGAATCTGGACTAGCAATGGATGATACAGCACGACAATCAGCAGCAATGAAATCTAACTGTGCTCGATTGATTTGCATAGAACTCGCTTTTGTTGGTTTCAGTCGGCCCTTGATGACAGTCGTATACTCACGTCGTTGATGGAGATCAAGCATGAAACTATCCAGCCTAACTTTCAACCCAGTTGCAAAAACGACGTCTTCCTTATAGTCTTCTGGATCCTTATGCTTGTAGATATGGGATACAAACAATGGCGAAAGAAATAGTTTGTACTTAATGGTACCGAGATGACGACTGAATTTCTTGCTAGTTTTCGTCAGGCCAGGGAACAGGGGCCCCTGGCGAACTGGGAGGGACATAACTCCAGAAAATAGAGACCACCAGCTGAAGAAGTGGGTAAAGAACTTGGGAGTCAGATGGACCGTATTGTAGGAAGCCGACGGCTCTCGGTTTGTCAAAGTCCAAACACGGGAAACGGGTGCAACAACGGCCAACGAAAGATGGATGTGGTTGCTTCGGAATCCACGAAAGGCGTCATAATCCTAATCCAATATTAGTATTATGATAACGTTTTCCTATTAGAGAACAAAGCAAAGTTGTACCTTTAAAGTTTCAGGACTTAAATGCATCGGATTGCGTAGCACAACCTCATAATGTGGCTTAAAGTCGAAGCACCTGTCTGTACCATTCGTATTCCGCTCAAAAACGAGACCTGCAAGCCAACGGACATTTCCTGATAATTTCATTATGACTTTCTTGAACAATGCATCATTCTTCGCAGATCCCCTGGAGGTGCCAGTATTGAACGATGGGGACTCATATGAATACCGGGCTTGGCGGTTATAGTCAGGAATAGCAAGGACATATTCACCACTTGTAACGGCGAAGAATTCCTGGGGGTCATCATTGGTACGTATACCCCATTGGACATCTTTACGCCAGCACATGACGAAACCCGCGCCAAAGCCAGTAACGATATAGGGGTCACGAGAGCCTGTATTTTAGGATCATCATTAACAACCACCGCAGTAAAGGAGTCGTTGCATGATCAAATATCCACATACCTTTGAGTCTGAAATGGACATCACCATCCCCTTTCCAAATCCAAAGTAACCTTGAATGGAAGCTTAATCTTATCTTATCCCAAAACCCAACACGCTCCGAGGGATCTATCTCGGGCTTGGTGAAATTCTCAATAATTTTCATAACATCTTGTATAACTGGTTGGTAGGACATTCCCCATGATATCGTGGTAGGTTGATTTGTGTTGATTTCAATTGTCGGGTTAGAATAAGTCTTCACTGGAGCAACCGTCCGACGGACATCAACTGAAAATCCGTCCTGCATGGTACCATCGGACGCAGGTGATGGAGGGACAATATTAACCATGACCTGGCGAGAAGAGTCAGAATCGCGGAATTCTTCAGCGATAACGAAATCGGTCTTGAGAGACCAAGCCGGAACGCGTGCTGATTGCCCCGGGCCTAATGGGGGGATATGAATTAGGTCGAGTGGGTAATCTCGTAGATTAAATCTCGCCTCTCCCATTTCCAGCCGAATGCTCATCGGTATCAACAAGGCATATTTCATATCTAATGGCATTCCTTTGCCAATCCTGTGGAGATACTGGGGGTATTCATTCAGTGGGAACGATGGTGCGTCCAGAGAGAAACCAAAATCGGTTATCCGAATCGCAAGTAAGCCCGGTCTGCTTGGAATCGGTATTATCCCGGGAATTTCTTGGATACCATCAGGGGGTTTATCAGCTCCGACAAAAAGAGCTCGCAGATCTTTAATCGCAGCGTTTTGAAAGTGAATTGAGATATCAATCTTTTTCTTCCAAGAGCGCGCGTTGTGCTCCTGGAGCCTATTCCATGCCTCATCAGCCGAAAGAGTGCAACGATCAGAGAAATTCGGCAACTGCCCCATATCATATCGACCTTTTGGGTAGGCCGTCCTACCCCTCGACCTAGATCGCTTTCTAGGCCGGCTGTCCGCACTTGCACTTCTCTGAAAGTCACCGCTTTTGCGAGAACTTGTGTAGGGCCTATCGGTTGCAGAACGAGGAATTTGGCTCCTGAGACGGATGGTGGCATAACGATCATCCTGGATTTCTCTAAGTTTCTTCATTTTCATATGATAAGCTTCCTCGCGGGCAAGGCGCTGTTTTTGCTCCTGGAGTCCCAGACGATAGATACATCCGAGTTTCCACTCGAACGAGTCATCCTCTATCTCGAAAACCATTGATTTGCTTCGTAATGAAATCTTCGGCACACGCTTTGGTCCACACGGTGGCTTGACCATGTTATGAGAGCTAGACTTTGTCTTCATGCGGTGACCGAGCAGCTCAAGCGCCTTGAACGTGTTGACAAAATTATCAAATACACGATACATAATCATGTGTGGAGGAACAGCCAGACGAATAAAATCGGCAGAGATATCATACGACTTTGTGGCTCCTAGGGTCTCTGCTTGCTTTGTCCGGCTCTCTCTAAGCCCAACACGAACGCCTCCAACACTAATTATCCTGGTCCAGGTACCCTTGACCTTGGGAGGCTCCACATGAAGACGAATTAGATGTGATCGAATGAAAGGCGGCGACCAGCGATGTCGACCCGCAACTAGTCCATACACCTGTAGCAGCATCCTTGGATCTAGCGGCATTACACCTTGGACTTGAATCGATGGCACCTTTATATCGAATGTGGTAAGTTCAGCCTTGGAAGAAGCAATCCCAGGTACTTTCAGCGAGGAGGATCTGCGTTTCGGTCCATAAGTTTCCATCGTGGTAGATGAGTTGAAAAATGCATCCTTAATCGCAGTAGCTGCGATTCCAATTGCATAGCATCGATAGAGCGAGTGTTTTATTACTATTTCGTGAATGATAGAGTTGATATGGAAAATAGGCCCCTGGAGGTCGCTTGATGTAGTAAGGGCAATTTCAAACCGGGGCACTGAGAGAAAAGCGTCTGGTTCCATGTAGTCGACAGACTCCATAATGAAGCTCTCCAGCTGCCGTACGTGGAAGGTTAATCGTCTACCATCTGATGGTCGGGCATATGACTTTCCAGAGGGCGATGTGGGAGGGAATCTGAATTGGTCGTCTGAGATAGCTGAGTGGCTAGGGGTTCGGCGTCGCATAGATCGTGGGTTAGGTTTTGGCTTTTGCAACTGATAATCCACCGACCATCCACCCAGATGAAGGACGATTCCCCTTGTAGCAGGGCCAACGGTAGGGTCTGATCCTGCAATCTCAATACTAAAAGCAGATGATTCAAACTGGAATCGAATTAGCCATGGAGGTAGACGCCTCAGAAGGCTGGGCGATGGCGCATCAAGTGAGGAATTCTGCTTTGATGGCATAAGTCTCTTCAGCTGCTCTACGGCTTGGTGAAGGCCTCGCGTGACCTCTCCACTAAGGATATGAATAGAAAATGAATTCATAGAGCCAGAAACTGCAACAGCAATCTCAGTTGTTGCGTTTATATAACACTTGAGGTCCATGGCATCTGTGGCAAGGAGGCGATGTCTAATCCCAGAAGCAGTTTGGTAGTAGATCAAATGAGAGGAGATCCGGTAGGTGGCAATCAATGAATACTGGGCCCCTTCTCCGACAGAATGTGACGACTCAATGTCCAAGGAAATGGAGGATATAGAGGAGACAAGAAGATTATAATCGGGCGAGTTGGATGAGTCTGAGGTCGGGAGTACGAATCGAAGTACCGGTTCATGGACGGAGAGTTTAATTACTGCCTTTGGTAAAAGGCGTGACATAAGAAAGTGTTTATTTTGGGAACCGGCGCTCGAGGAAGGGCCCTTTGCCCGTAGTAGAGCTAGAATGTTGGATAAATGTCGCGATTCCAGGTCCATAGAAGGAGACGTGACCACGAAGTTTGCAAAAATAACATTTGAGTTCCGCTCAGCGGCATCCCGATGGCTGTCTGCCAATGCCATCGTTTTAGAAGGGAGGGTGGTTTTAATCGTTGTGGTGGCCATTGGAATGTATATTAACTTGTCATGTTCGTCCATGTTCTCGCCTAGCGAGATAGATGAAGATATAGCAGCTATCAAGGCTTGGTGGGCAATATCGTCACGCTGAAAATACATCCTGTGGGAAGGGTGTGCGGGATCCATTCGGTGGAAGTCGATACCGACTTCATGGGTGTAAAAGTTTAGGTATAATGGCTTGTTCATAGGCTCAGGTTGTTTCACCGTGCTCGATATTCGGAAGAAGCTCAAAGCAAGCTGGAAGTCCTGGATGCCGCGGAGTAGGGAGGCAATGAATTCTTTAGATTCAGTAAGGGGATGGGTCATCACCTCCTGTTGGGAGTCCTGCAGTTCAGACTCTAATTCCTCTATGATATTTCCCAGCGCTGTTTCGTCATCGGTATCTTCGCAAGAGGTTCCGGCATCAGGGGTTGTGTCATCCGGCAACGATAGCCCCTTTACCCGCAGTAGAATGGCGCGAACATCATCATACGGAATGTGAAGTCTTCCAACTTTAACGGAGATCGAGACTTCCCGTAGACCCTCCACGTCTTTCTGGAGAAGGCCGTGAATGTTGATTCCAATATTATCGAAGATTTCCTTGTGTTCACAGCCATCCAAGGCCAGTAAAATATTGCGCGCATTAAATATCCATTCGGGAGACCGTTTGCCGTCCGAGGAGTCTTCACTCTGTCGAAACTGCTTCCCACCCTGCATAGCCTTACGCCGCGCATCCAAGGACATGGTCAGGGCACCGATATGAAGCTCCCCGGCATCTTGAATGCGCAGGGTTGTTTCGGTGGCGGATATATCGATGAGCGCCAACCATTTAATCTGCCTAAGCAACCGCTTGAGCTTCTCTTTCATGCCCTTGAGCATCTTCCATGTCTTATCCCATGACGCCGACTTGTGTGGTATGCGATCCCCCTCCTCCGGACACTCGCTCTCTGCCGCAACTCCATCCTTCCCCAACCCCTCTGCTGTTTGCCCGGCGGCAGCTCGACGGCGAGAGCTCGCAAGAGCCTGCAAATCAAGGGCAACTGTAGCCCGCCTAATCCTCAAACTGATATATGTAGGCTGGACGAGCGAGGGCCTATGCACCGAGATCCCAATCCCTCCGAACTTGATGTGAACCCCCTCCCGCGGAGAATATGCGATATGTCGTAGCGAGAAGTAGCCGATCCGCTGTATGGAAACTCCGGTAGCGATGCGGATAATCGCAAAGAGGACGAAGGAGGAGATATAGACGAGGACGAGGGCGACAAACACTGTCGTTGGGCTCAAAAGGGCCATGCCAAATGGCAGAGGTCCCAGGGCTCGAAACATTGATCAATCCATGCGGCAGGAAGGGCGACGCTACATGGCATCGAGGTATCGCAACAAGCTCCAGCCACCGAGTATCTCTCTAATGGCAGACTCGATATGCTCATGCTCAGCGTGCCCCTGCAGCATGCGAAGGAAGCGGAGGAAACGGTGCGCTCTTTGAACAGGTGTAACTAGGTCGCCGCTAGGAGGATTCGCGTTTCGAGGCACAAATAAATAGGGCCAAGTGGCAAGGATGCGCAATATATTGATTCTGCAGGCCGTAGCGTACGCCGTTCGCCTCCTATCCGGAACCCAAAGCTATAGACAAGAGCAAGGAGCAGTCTGCGGATGATGCCTGAGGTTCAGAAGTGCGTTCATCTCTCTCTCTCTCTCTCTCTTTTTTTTTGGTGGTGCAGATCTGGGCTGATGGTCACCTGCCAAGTCGTGGATAGCGTGGACTTAGGGGATCTCGGAGATATAAAGATATCTCAGGGGGGCTTAAAGAGATCCTTTTATAGCTACGGAGTAACAGGGTGCAGGGCACTAGGCTGTGGATGTTGGAAATACTTCATTCATCGGGTTTAAATAGTTAGTTGACAGGTTGCGGAAGGTCTAACAGGCCAGCCTTCAAACGGGAGCAGCATCAAAACTACAAACCAAGGAAAATGGTACAGGGAAATGTTGAGAAAATGTTGAGAGAGCTGATAAAAGAAAGACAGGAATATATGTACAAGTCTAAACAGCACGGTAACTGTCCCAGAACTCCATGTATATATGCTTGCCAGCATGGCATAAATTTGAATCCATAGAAAAATCACCAATCCACGAGAACCCCAGGTCAAGGTCACGTAACTCCACGAGATAACATTAAGAGATCTGCTCTCAGATCAGGCGTCGTTGTCTCCGTCGTCTCCATCCTCCTTCGGTGCGGTCTTCTTCCGGCATTCGAGTGTTCGACACCGCCGCGAATATGTAAAGTCGGGTGCGTCGGTTGGCTCGCTGCGGGCCTTGATCGTGGTTGTCTTCCCGATTTCACCTTGCAGATCACCCAGGCCGATTTGTCCGGCAGATGGACTTGGCCATGGGTCGGGAGTAGGGGGGAATGTCTGCGTGTAGAGCACCTGTTTGTCGTTGACCCAGACCGTCATGACGGGAGAAACTTGGGTAGGCACTGTTGAGACTGCACCAGGCGGCGCATCGACAACGGCGCGGACTTTGAGGGCTGGCTCCGGTGTCTGAGCTGGTCCATCGTATATTTCACGAGATGGCTTCGTTGGTGAAGATTGTGACGGGGTTGTGGCTGCTGGGCCTTCCACAGCAAGTGCACCGGTGAGGAGTAACGACGAGGCAGTGAGTAGGTACACAGCAGAAGACTTTGCGAGCCGCATTTTTGTGACAGGCTTATTTTTCGTGACAGAGAGCCAGGAGTTGAAGAACGGAGAGATCCAGGAGGCAATAGATGGCAAAAGGAGTCGTAGAAGAAGTTGTAAAAGAAGTTGTAAAAGATATCGAGGAGTCAACCGACAGTGCTGGCGGAAGACGAGGGGCGGCCACCGACGGGATATGGATAATTGGCTACCAAAGAGCGACTTGGTTAAATATCATGCCTGGTTGAGCGAAAGCTGTTCGATCTGTTGATAAACTTGATGTTTTCCGTGGTTTCACCCAGCGACACGTAATTATGTCACGTGATATACATCGTCATAGCAGGAGTATATGGGCAAAGGGGCTGGAAGAGACAGGAGGAGAAGATAAATGGTGGCTGGTTGCTGTTCATGTGTGACCAGACACTGGTGGCTAGAGGATAGGTCGTAATAATGTACAGTTGTAGGGGTTGAACGAGCTGTAGCACTTGGGCAGAGGTAGATATATATACCCGAAGCCGACTAAAGATGAGAATTGAACCATTAAATATTGTAAATAGAGAAAAGCCGGATCATCAATCATTCGTCAAGTATCTTGTCCCAGTCCGGAGTTACCACAAACTTGCCACTGACCTGCGACATGGCCCAGAGCCTCTTGTCACGATCTGAAGAGCCGCCGTCAGTGATGTTGTCTGACAACAGCACGGCATCCTGTATAAAGCCAACAGTACTGCCTTTGGTGAGCTCGAAGCTGACTCCACCCCAGTCTATGGTTGCTCGGCCGGATTTGTGTATGTTCAGCTTTCCCACACGCCCACGCGGTAGAGCACTGTTTGTCGCCGTGACTAGAGGAGTTGGTGCGTTGGCGTTGGCAGCTGGATTGACGGCACCGTCCTCTCGTTTTATTGTTACCGACCCTTGAGCTTGGGGGGTCGTCCCCGCGGGCAGAGTCGTAGCAGCTTCAGTGACGGCTTCACCTTGCTCAACAGTATTGGTCTTCTCAGTCATCGGTGGCACAAGGTTAGGTGTCATCGGTGGGAACTGGAGTAGAAATAGCTGGCCCTGGCGTTCGTCTTGAGGTTTTATAACACCCTCGGTTTCGTCTTCGTCCTTTTTCCCGACTTCCGTTGTTGAACTATCTGGTGCTTTTCCAGCCGTTGCCAGGCTCCCAAGAGTAGATTTTAGGTAGTCAATATCCTCTTCGTGGCGATCGTACTCTTGTCGTTCTTCCTCTGTCTGTAGTTTCGTCCTTGGATCCTTTTTCTTCCTTGTCTTTATCGGCACTTTTGGCGCAACTTCTTCGGATATGGGTGGAATAGTATCGTCGATAATCGCATTCTCATCTGTAGGCTCCGTTTTGATACGAGGGCCGTCCGTCGTCGAAAAGGATTCCTTTATCTCTCCCATGACAACATCATCGTCGTCATCTTCCTCTAGATCAGAATCATCGGAGCGGTCATCCTCCACAAATAAGCTGTCTTCTGCGGCTCCAGCTTTCTCCTTTGCCAGCCTCCTAAGCTCCGCCGACTTGCTCGCACTTGCGCTCGCTTCACTGGTGATACCGGTTGATCTTTCAACGTGCTCATGCCTCTCAACACGCACAGGTCGGAGCCCACGACTTCCTCCCGTAGGCGTAGACTTTGGCAATGGGGTTTTACCCTTGACCGTCGTACTAGCAGCAGCACTCTCACCCTCCGAATCGCTCTCGAGATTGATATGGTCAATGCTAAACCGTAGCCCGTAATCGCTGCCTTCATCAGACGAAACGTCCCGGCTGTCGTGGTCCGCACCACCCTCACTCTTGACTCCATACACACCAGACAATTTCGTCGAGCGGCCACCTTTACCCTTCCATTTTCCTCCTCCTTGTCTTCCAGGACCAGAACCTCCTCCCAGAGGCCCAGATGCACCGCTGGATCCTCCCCTTCCACGTCCTCTGCCTCCTCTGCCCCTATCCCCACCCCGAGATGATCTCCGCGCCGCATTCGCAGCAGATATTCGTTCCCGTAATCTCTCAGCCTCAAAATTCTCTAGAGCTTCTCGTTCCTCTTTGCTCTTCCGTGTGACCACCTTCGGCTGGAATTTCAAGGTTGGCTTGGGCGTTGAACCGTCTGGATTCAGTGGCACGAGACTCCCGCCTGGCGTTCGTTTTTTGAGAGACTGTAGGCGCTGGACCGGCCGTCCGCGCCCACTCGCTGAGCCTCCACGAGCTGTACCACCGGTGCCTGAAGGCCCTGGGGTAGCCGAAGAGCCATCTGGATTGCTTGGTTGCTGTCTTCCAGGTGGAGGTCTGTTTGGCGGGGGATTGGGTGGCATGTTTATCGAGGGAAGGATATATTGAAAACCGGTGGAAAAATAATAGTCGTATGCTTTCGTATTAATTGAATATGTCTATTAAATCTTTCATTGAAAAATACCAGCAGGCGCAGCATGTAAAAGCGCTCTGGCAATCATCCAGCATGTTTGCGACAAAGTCATAAAAATAATCTGAGGTTTAACGCAGTCATTTATGCGGTGTAATTTTCAGCTGTATTCCGAATACTGTACCCACCAAAAATGATGTCTTGGCACAATATTCCTATTGTATCATTACGCAAAATTACCGGCTATTGAAGTCGCAACTTTTGCTCTATAGAGAGAAATCGACAATAGAGAAAAAAGAGCATTTATATTCAGACGTCCATTGATTCTATTAAATAAACTAACTAAAAAGGCTAAGTTAGTCAATTGGGCAGTGGCAGAGTGTCACAACATAGCGGCAGAGGACAAGACAGGCCAGAAGCAATTTTTTGTTTTCAAATACATCAGTAGAAGCAGAATGCAGCTGGCAAACATACTACACAGAAGCAGGGCACGAGAGAAAGAGGGACTCAGCTCAAGGCAACTTGGAGAGGCTCCATGGACAGGGTCAAAGCAAACAGAAGCGGAAGGAAAAGGGAAAATATAAGATCAATATAGAGATTAAACAAGACAATAGACAGCCGAATAGGTACATGTTGAAAAGGAGCGAAATAAGGAAAATGTAAATGCAGCACAAAAAACAAAAACTCACAGCGCCTTTGATGTTAATGAAAGTCACAAGAGGCATAAGGAAAATAATGGCCAGATGATACTTGAAGCTGGTAAGCATGGTAAACGACTAGGTAAACCAGGAGCTAGGGACAGTAAAAGCAGAACATCGAGGCGAACATACAAGAAAGCCACCCATAAAAGAAAAAAAAAGGAAGTCTAATAGTGATGATAATTTGATGTTAAAAACTCCTTGGTTGTTGATTTGGTTGTTGCAGATATAAACACAAGTCGTAAGTATAACCGAAACTCGAAAGCAAAATGCGTTAGCGACGAAGGATATGTGCCTGCACAAAGGACGATACCCGATCCCATTGCCTGTGGCAGTGGTTGCTCTAGGAAAGAAACAGCTGAAACAATGATACTTCATTCGCCGGGGGTGGAAGACGGTCGATGTCGATGGCACGAGGAAGAGGGCATGCACTCTCATAAAGATATCGTAGCGATCAACGCTTCCGTTTCTTACTCTTATCAGGCGCAGCTGACGTAGTAGACGAGACCGTAGACTGTGCGACAGTAACTGGCGGCTCTTGGGAATTGGTTATCCCAACAGAAAGGTCCTTCTTCACGGAAACGCCCATGTGGCGCCCATATCGGCCCTTGCGACCATTATTCTCGTCCTCGCTGATACATCCCTCGATGCCGATGCCAGCATCCTTGCATCTCTGGCAGGGGCGCTGGCGATCGCAGCCCTTCTTGCTCTTACGGCATCTCTGGCAGCGAGGCTTGGTAGACAGATCCTCTTCGTCGACGGCCAATTGGTTGTGGAAGTTCACTCCTCCTTGTTGCGCGGTAGCTGGAAGTAATGGTGGCGGCACTGGTTTAGCGGCACTGGTGGGGGCCTGTTTACCCTTGCGAGATGCAGAGGTAGGGCGATTCTTCGCATTGCGGTTTGCCTTGGCCGTAGAGCCGTGTTTAGAGCCAGGCGCTTTGGTCGAGGCTACGGTTGCTGTTGCGCTGGCCGATTTCCTCGAACGCTTAGTTCGGGAGGCTTGTGCCTCATAAAGGGGGTCGTCGTCATATTCACTCTTGATGTTGTCATGAGACGCCATGTGTTGATACTCCCCGTCAATATCATCGCTGGTTGGGTCACTGCTTTCACAGCTGGGAAGAATCTCGTCTAATGACTTGTGCTTCCTCATCAAACCTGGCAGCGAGGCGCTGGATTCGCGACGTTCCCTGATTTTAGTTGGGAGGTCACCTTCGTCTCCGCTGGCATCTGAGATATCGGTGGTTGCGCCGGTGGATGAGGGAGCGTCTGCGATTCCACTGAAGGCATCATCGACGGTGGATGTAGAGTTACGACCGTGCGAGAAGTTAGATGTGTCTCCGAGTCTGATCAATTGCATTGCGACATCTTCATCTGAGATGCAGCTAGCAATGGTTGGATCAGGGGTGGGCAAGATGCCATGGCCGTTGACTGGGGTTGCGTAATGCACCGCAGAGTTAGAATTGGTGCGGTTACGTAGCCTATGACCATGCTGTGGTACGGTAGGGGTTGCGTATGGGTTATTCCCGCTGCCATTTTGGAGGGAATGCAACTTCTCGTGATGTCCAAAGCTCTGAGGAGAGGCGAGCGCTTGGTAGCCGCTGAATGCGTTCTGGTTTGGCCTTGCGAATGGCGAAGCATCGAGGGCAAGAGAGCGTCGCTGTGGAGAGATGGAGGATGCCGAAGTCGTCCGGGGCACTTGAGGAGGAGCAAACAAAGGAAGCTCCTAGAGTAGGGAATAGAAAAGCGTTAATATCAATTCCCAAGCAATGATGGCAACCCTAAGACATGCGAGGTGTCTTGGGGCGATACTTACCGAGCTCTCGAACTTTGGGCGCTTCCTTCTCCCATCCTGTAGAATATTCTCCATACTAATATCGGCGCTCCCAAAATGGTCACTCTTGGTCCTTCTTGTGCCATTCACTGAGCTCTGGCCGCCATCGCTGTCGCTGCAGGGCATATGTGCGTCATCATGGAAGCTTCCGTGTGTGCTTGAGCCACGGCTCTTGACACCGGCGCGGGAGGATTTCTGCCTGGAGGCGCTTCGGCGACCTCGAGCAGGAGGGGAGACGCTTCGCTTTCCGGCAGCAGCGCGAGAGGTAGGGCGGGATAGGGATTGACCGTAACCTAATGTTTGGTTGGGCTGAGGAGGTGGCATCGAGAATGGTTCTCCCAATGTAGGGCGTGGATAGCCATCCATTGGGGAGACGGCGTAGTACGACGGCGGCGAGTGTTGATCGGGGTAGTGATGGTTCGGTATCACACGGACATAGACTGTCATACTGTTCTTGAGGTTTTCATACCGTGCAATGAGGGTGTTGCCGTCCTGATCCTCGAAGCTGACGCCGCTGGCCGTTCCTTCGTAGATGCCGTAGAAGTTTTTGACGGTGGTGACGATTGAGTCTGTGGTGTCATGCGGGAAGATCTGGACCCTCATGGGGATGCGGGCTCGCATTTTCGAGGTTTCGTCAAGCAGGAGTTCAAAGGCAACATGCTTTGGGGATGGGTTTGAGGGAGAGCCATGCTTGACCTGGCGGTCAACCTGATGGTCGTCATGGTATGTCTGAGCCTCGGCGACCGGGTTGCCAGTTCCTGACCCCTCGCAGTCATGAGCCGAAGGCTGCATTCTCACCCGTTGTTCCTGAGGCATTTCCGATGGATTCTGACCTCGAACAGCTGGGTTATAGCTCCGTCGTTGGCGCAGTGAGTGTGCGACGATGGACCTTGATAGGGGCACCAAATTTCACTTTGTCTCATCCACGAGTATGGGAGATGGCAAAGAATATGGTCTCAGGGGGTGGAATATCGAGTGTACAATCTGACCAGGCGGTCAGGTTTGTCTGTATTGTGATGATGTTGGAGGTATCCGTGTTGATTTATGGGTGTGGAAATTTCTTAGTATAAGCGGTGGAAGACGATTGACCCTGCAAACTCGCCAAAGGGAGGTCAGCACCTTGAAAAGAGTCAAAAGCAGTAGAGAAGGGATGATTGTATCCCGACATGTATGTATCGTGCAGAAGCAGCCCTCAGGACAGGCAGACAAAGGCTGGTTGTGTTGTTCTGATAGAGAGGAAACATGGCCAGACCGCAAGCAGAACGGCAGGGCAGTCGGAAGTATGAAATCGCACCCAGGGACATACCTCTACTTGAAGAAGACGATGAGGGCTGAATCGCAAGAGCCGAACGAGTCTCCTCGGGGTGTCAGGCTCGCCACGATGAGTGCTGATGGTGGTGGTCGATGGCCTGGGGGCGCTGTGTGATGTCTGGGTCCTGTCACAGAATGGGGATCAGCGGCAGGTTCTAGATAGACGGTCTGCCAGGCAGGCAGGAGGGCAAGGCGAGAGGGAGCACCTACTAGGCCATTATCCGGGGGCAGACGGGCAACGATAGAAGTGTTGGTGTTGAGTCGAGGACGAGGACGATGGGGCGAGGGAGAAGGTGAGCGAAGGAGAGCGATGTGGATGTTGCGAACGAACGGTGGAGGAGGTTTCACCACCACAGCCCAGGTCTAGCTTTGCTACTTGTATGAATATGAAGAACACTTTTAAACCGCTGAACCGGCGCTGAAACTGTCGGCTCTGAAGATATTTACAGAGAACTACGCTCCCTCGACTCACTCTACTCATGCGATCCGGATGGCAGCCCAAAGTCAGAATACTCGGTCAGGATATATATGCGCAAACTAAGGCACGAGGCCCAATTACACCTCATGATACTAATGCGCTCTGCGCTGTTATTCTGATACTCTATATATCTGGAACTGTTCCTCCCCCCAAGGTCCGCTGGTCCTATGTTTCCATCTCGAGTCGGTGGGAATTGTTCCTTCGAACCGCTCCGTATCAAATGGACCAGCCCGAAAGTATATGAACTGGCGCCGGGGAAAGTTATGGTCTGTTTCTTCCTCCCGGCGAGCAAGAGGCAGCACCCTTCGTTAATCCTGCATGGAAGAGACCTGTAACTTAAATGCGCCTAGGATTGGGTCCATTTGCCATGTCTTTGCGACGATCCACCCGATTCTGCAGCTTGGGTTGGCCACGCTCATCACAGCGGCACACTGCGCACACCGGGGGGGGGTGTATGTACAGGTAGTTTTTGATCCGCAAGGGCAGGACGGATTTCAATGCGTTGTTAAAACACATGTACAGGATCCGGCGTGTCGATGGGCCCTTTCTCCCCCCCCCTTTCGGAGAAACCAAACCAAGCAGGCAAGCAACCAAAGCTGTCTCTTCTGGAGGGCAGGGATGGAGCAGGAAAAGAGGAGTCGGGAAGGTTTCTGAAGAGTAACCCGAGCGATCGAGGAACAGGCAGGGCGGCCCTTCGTTCCCTGACGTGGCCGCAGCAGGAGGAGGGAGCTGAAATAATAAGCAACAACCCAATAATAAATAACAGCCAACCAACGGCGGTCAATAGTTTCATGTTTGCCGGTTCGCCTGCTCTCCGCTGGCCGTGCTCGACGATAGTCAAGATAGATTCCATGGCATCGTGGTGGCGCCGGCGATCTGGCGAGGCCTGTTATAAAAGTGACTGTCTCATGCGCCGCGACTCGACCTCCTGCGTTCGACCTTCAGCGCAAAAGTATACGACAGACAGACGCTGGGTCTGATTCATGACGGCAGAGAGCGGCCCAACAGGACTCCAACGTGGTCGTTTAATATGAGATATCGCATGCTCCTCGCCTTGCGCCTTGCGCCTTGCGATCGCAGGAACGGACCCCGTATAATGCACCATCGCTAACTCCCGCGCAATGCATCAATCGCTAATCGCATCTATCCCTTCTATTATTATTACTGCTGCTGTTGACACTGGCGATGATATTGATACTGATGATGTGATACTGGATGCGACATACAACCGCGGACGTGAGGCCTGAGCGACTGCAGAGCCGGTGGCACCATGGCTCAAGCGATGAATGCGACAACAATAGGCTAGAGCAGGCGATTAGATGCATGTTTGTTGAAAAAAAGTGAAACCCGCTTGGCCCTCGCAAGTCCTGCGATCGCGGGCTCGGAACATTGTGCGCTGCGATGGATCCTGTGACCGAAGAAGAAACCTGAACCTGTGGCTCGTTTCTTCCGTCCTGCCTGCGCCGCGGAGACCTGGGCCTCAGGACAACGCACAAGACGGCCGCCGATGTCAGGGCGACGGCTATGGCGATGCGATGCCGACGTCGACGTCAACTGTTGCGACAGCCTTCTCGTCGCATCGTCCCGGTCAGTTGTTACCAGTCAAGTCGCTGCCGGGGACAGGCCGCCCGTAGCTCGCCTCTCTCTTCTCCTCTTCTCCTCTTCTCCTTCTACCTCCTTCTGTTCTTATATCTTCTTCTTCTCCTCTGTATCGCTTCCTCGTTGTCGCAAAGTGAAATGGACAAGTCCTCGTCACGTGCTTTGGCGTCTCAGCGTGTTTCCCGACACGTAAATCCGGCCGCCATCTCGAACTTCCACCGCCGGCCACCACCCAATTTTTCTGGGGGTAAAAAGGGCGCCAACCCTGTCGCGTAACCTGTAGCAACTGCCAGATAAAATGTGATATCTGTAACCCTCGCCATTGTGCTGTAAAGTCGCAAAATGCCTTCTGGACGCTCGCTGGGAAGACGCGAAGTCGCGCCGGAGTCCATGACGTAATCGTGCCAAGACTCTCGTTGCTAAGCAAGGCTCGTCTCGGGCGCTAACCGCATGCGGACTAGCTTTGTTTATTTCTTCCTTCCATCAACAAGAAAAGAAAGATAGAAAGCAACAACAAGCAGAGAGATAAATAAACAAGCCGCAGAGAGACACTCCCTCCCTCCTCGGCCTCAGGAGCACACATCGGACGTGGTGGCAGACCGGACGAGGACACATCCCCAGGACTCCCCCCTTATTCTTCTCCTTCATGGCTCTGCGCGAGTGATACTCTCTCACCGACGTCTCAAAGTGAGAAGCTGCTGGAACGGTCATCTAGATCTGACATTATCAACCCATTTATCCAGTATCGATATAGACCCGGTTAGGATAGCTGGACAGTAAGGGATTAAAACTCTCTTGCTCGTCTTGTCTACATCTCGTCACCATGGACGCAAAGGTACCTCCCTGCCAGCCCCTTAAGTGACCGTCGAGATACCGATGCCCCTCAGCATGCCCGTTGATACATCCATTGTATGTTCTCTCACTGACAATGACCCCGTAATAGCCACAGAGACCGGCTCGCACAATTCGTGGCCGAGTTGACGAGAACATGATAGCATTCAACCGTGCTGGCAAGACCATCCATCATCGCAACAAATCTACACCTGCGTTATCAACTCTCGCCAACAATGCAGTGAACAAGGAGCCCACCAGACGAGCAGCGTTTGGAGATGTCAGCAACACCGTGAATTCCCTTCGTTCTGCCAAGGATGACTCTTCCCTGCCGTCCAAGGATACCATCAAGATCGCAGAGAAGCCTCTCTGTCTCGCGCGTCCGGCCCAGCGCCCTATTCACTCTCTAGGCGCGAAATCGACCGTGAATAGCATTGCCAACGCGGATTCCGGTATAAAGGCGCCCGTCGAGAAGCCACAGGCCAAAAAGAATCACACCAAACGCAGCAATGCCGTATTCAAAGATCCAGTCCTGCAGTCGGTCGTCGAGGAGCCATTAGCAGTCCCAGTCAAGCAGCAGCAGCAGAAGGCTTCGAATATACACGCTTCGGTAAATGAAAAGACAACGGATTCATCTAAAGAACCGGAGAAGCCATTGAAAGACGCGACTGATGCGCCAAAAGCTGTCGTCAAGGAGTCTATCCCCGCTCCAGCCGCGACTACGACTACGACTACAACTACCACGGTCAGTACAATCGTTGAAGAGCCCGCGACCAAGGAAGCCGTGGCCAAGCCGGCCGTCGAAACTGGATCCCGTGTGTCTGGCAACGCCAATGAGATGGCAAAGCCTAAGCAGGTTGCTCGTGTCTCCAGCGAGAGCGTCATCAGGGCTCCAAGACCATTGACTAAACGTCCAAGCGATGCCACCGTCTCGTCGCGCAAATACGATTATTCACTGGCCCAATCTGAACCAGAGGAGTACTGGGAAGAGGATGAAGAGGACAACTACGATGAGGATGGCTATGCTACAGCCCGATCATGTCGCTCCCGTGATAATACCACTGGAGGCGCGACCATGGTGCTATATCCCAAGGTGAGCCAGCAGGCCCGTCAGGAGCTAGCCCTCGCAAAGCAGATTGTGGACAGTTCCACTTCCATCGACGAGTACGAAGAGGAGTTCCGGGATACCACTATGGTAGCTGAGTATGGAGATGAAATATTTCAGTACCTACGGGAGCTTGAGGTATGTTGTCTTTGTGTGAATTGACCAATGAACCGTATGCTAATGCGACTTCCAGTTAAAACTACTGCCCAATGCCCATTACATGGACAACCAGGCAGAGATCCAGTGGTCAATGCGCTCCGTCTTGATGGACTGGCTGGTCCAGGTTCACCATCGATTCTCCCTTCTTCCCGAGACCCTCTTCCTCTGTGTCAACTACATCGATCGCTTCCTCTCTTGCAAGATTGTCTCTTTGGGCAAGCTGCAGCTCGTTGGCGCCACTGCTATCTTTATCGCTGCCAAGTATGAAGAGATCAACTGCCCTTCCGTCCAAGAGATCGTGTACATGGTGGACAATGGATACACGGTCGATGAGATCCTCAAGGCCGAAAGATTCATGCTTAGCATGCTCCAGTTCGAGCTTGGATGGCCTGGCCCAATGAGTTTCCTTCGTCGAATCAGCAAGGCTGACGACTATGACCTGGAGACACGTACGCTCGCCAAGTACTTCCTCGAACTCACGATTATGGACGAACGATTCGTCGGTACACCTCCTAGTTTCACTGCCGCAGGAGCTCATTGCTTGGCGAGAATGATGCTGAGAAAGGGAGATTGGGTATGTTTTTTCCTACCACACTCTTCTTGTTTACACCTACTAATCATTTATGTCCAGACTCCCGCTCACGTCTACCATTCGAACTATACCTATGGCCAGCTTCATCAATTGATAACGCTCATTCTTGAATGCTGCGAGTCGCCACAGCAACACCACCTCGCCATCTACGAGAAATACGCCGACCGAAGATTCAAGCGTGCATCAGTCTTTGTCGAGAACGAAATGCTTAGCGGCTACCGCCTCTCTGAGGTTCACGAAGGTTCCAGCCTTTGGTCCATGCTAGATCGCCGGGCCAGCTCTAAGCGGTTGTGAAGGAGGGGGGTATATCTTTTCTCATTCACCCACCCCTGCCTTTCACCAACCTCAACTTCAACCCCCTTTAGACGGTCAAGAAATCTCACGATCTTAACGACCACGCAATCAAACTGTGGGCTGTTTTCCGGCGTTTCTGATATTAAGCCGGGGCGTCTCCCACATTTTGTTTCGCACTTTTTACTTCTATTCTTGTTTCATGTTGCCTAACTACACTCCTTATACCCATTTCACTTACTTTTTTTTCTTCACTATGCTTTAAGCAATGGCCGTCCAGTCCACCGATTTGTCTCATTCTTCCGTCCAGGAGCTTTCGCTGGCCGTTCTTACAAAATCCTTTTTCTTTTTTGGTATGGAGCTCCGGAGTCAAAAGGCGCAGGCGGTTTATTATCTTTTCTTCCTCTTCTCGTCCTTATTTGTCAAGTTGTTTGGCGCAGATAGGGCTTTAATCTTTTAACTATGGGGGTAATAAGGTGCATTAATCAATTTCTCTTTATTTTAAATATTCTTCTTCTCCTGCATACCGTGCTATATGGTAAGAAGTAAAAAAGAGTGAGTTAACTAGATACGCTTCCAGTCCTCAAATTCTTCCTCCAAATGCGCCTTCAGCTGGGTGAACTTGTTCCCAAAATTGCGCTCACACCTCCAACATTTTAAATCTGACTTCAAATACCCTTCTCTATCAGGATGCCTGCGCTCATCGTCCTCCGCCAGCGGGAAATCATCAATACTAACAAAAAACGGCGTAGAGAAGCTATTGTAATGTTTCCTATGCCGTATACAAGCGCCACATCTATCGACAGAAATAATATGAACATGCAAATGGTTCATCGACGGATGCGCATGGATCCCACACATTATCTCCTTCTCCCAGTCTCTTCCCCCCGGAAGCTCGTCCGGCGCCGGATCCGCATCAAGCGCCTCACTCCTCGCCTGGTCTAGAGCCGAGAATCTACCGAATTTCCGCCGCAGTTCAGACGCAGCTTGTTTCCGTACCTTGCTAGCTTCGGCCCGTACGCTTTTGAGAAACTCCGCGTCCTCGAAGGCGTCGAAGGGGTGTTGGAAGAATTTGGTAGGGTCTCGGGGTAGAAGGAGTAGGTGAATGGCGGATTTGGGGTAGAGGTCGTTTATTATCACGAAATCGTCCGAGTGGGAGATTACTGTTGATTGGGAGAAGGATTCGGGAGCTTCGATGTATGCGTCTAGGCCGTTGCGGTTTTTGAACGGTTTAAGGCGAGATGGCTTGGGCTCGATGGGCGAGGATGCAGCTCGCTTCGGCCTGGGGGTCATTAATTCGGTGACTATGGGTGTTATCAGCTTGGTAGCCTTGGTGGCGGTTCTAGAGAGTAATACAGGCATTCTTCCCCTGTTTATTATCTTTTGACCCTTCGGTGTTTGTGATTTCTTCTGCCATGTTCAAAGTATAGAGATCGTAGTTTGCTGTACTGATTATCTAGGTGGTGGCTGTAAGACGGAGAGACATTATAGACGTTAAGATGAGTTTTATCATTTCGGGCTTGGCACCTACGATATATATCAGAGACCGACGTCCCGCGTACTAACTTGACGATGTCTTCGCTCTTTCGAATCGGACAGGGCCTTCAGGGCAGGTTAGGAAAATACACAATCGCCAGACATATCCGAGATACCGTTTGGCTGGCATGGTAAGCATCCAAAATTAGGTCGTCGCATATATCCTGGCTTGTGTCTCTGCTAGCAATCAAGCCAAAGAGACTGTCATTATTAAGAGCGTTCAGGGTCATCCACGCGTGGAGAATGAGTTAGATATCCTCAAACGCTTTCAGGGGAGGACTTCGTTAGAATCGCTGACAGGAATATAGATGTTAAACCGGATAATATCTTTGTGAATTACAAAGAGGGATCCTTGGACGACAGAGTACGGTTCTCAAAAATACGGCTTGGGGATCTTGGTGGCTCTTGTCATGTTGATTCGAAATGGGCAAAGTCAGGCACTCCGCTGGGAGCACCAATGTGGCGCAGCCCTGAAATGATCATGGAAACCCCCTGGGGCACCCCGGCTGATATCTGGTCATTTGGAGCTGTGGTAAGCTTTCCTCATAATTCCACCACAGACATATGGTATTAATTTTTCGTTTAGCTAGTAAGTCTTATCTATGGCAGTAATTTCAACTTGTTCGACCATACCGTCGTACCATACAACCATGAGAATATAGCCTAGAGGTTCTGAAACAATAATTCCGCTACTTTGGTCCGTGGCCAGGTAAGTATGAGGAAATTGCAAGTCCTGAGACTGTGCACGCCATTATGTGGATAATGCAGGAGATCCCCAATCCAGGCACTACGCCGTTGTCAATGATAACACAGAAGGAGGTTTGTGACGAAGATAAAGAGTTTATCCTAGGGATCATCAAGGTGGACTGGAGGGATAGGCCAACAGCCAGGGAGTTGTTAGAAAACAAGTGGTTTAAGGAGGCCGAGGAATAATTGTATAATTCTACCAAGCAAACCGGCAATCGTCTAGTTCCGCCCAGCACTGTTGCGCTCAATATCAACCACCGGCGAAACTGGCTTCCCTGTCCTGAACAGAGAACGAATGTTCTCAAAGCATTCCTTTCCAGCTCGTCGAATTGCCAAGTCCGTCAAACCTGCTAGATGAGGCTGAATAATGACTTTGTCGCTAGTCTTGAAGTAAGGGTTTATGTTCGGTTCTCCATCAAAGACGTCGAGGCCTGCTCGAGTTATTTTCCCACTTTCAAGGGCTTCAATCAAACTTTTCTCATCCACAATTGCCCCCCTAGCCGTATTAATGAGATAAGCGCCATTTTTCATTGCTGCGAACTCCTTTGGGCCGATCAACCCTCTGGTCTTCTCGGTTAATGGACAGCAAATGGAGATTGCGTCGGACACCGCGAGCATATCGTGTAAGGAGGCGTAGTAGGTTACCCCATACTCGGACTCAACATCTGCTGGCAGCTGAGTTCGACTATAATATACGACCTTGATATTAAACACTGCAGCCTTCTTAGCTAGGTACTGTAAGAAGAAACTCTTTATTAGCACCCATACTATCTCCCTAGATTTGATGTGAGCCCACCAACCTTTCCAATTGCCCCTAATCCCACGATACCTAATGTAGACCCGGAGGGATCATGGGTCGGGTTAAGATTATTTCTCCAAGTCCCTGCTCTCGCACTCTGTTCTGCATTTGTGGTGTTCCTAAACACAGCCAGGAGTAAGAATAGGGCCATGTCAGCGGTAGGTTCCGCAAAGCCATCGAGGGTATTTGCCAGCCACATGCCCTGCTTCGTAATCCAATCTACATCGAACATATTATAGCCTGAAGTAATGGTCGAAATAATTTTGCAGCTCGGTAGCAACGGGGAGAAAATATCTTCGTCGAATGGATAATATGGTAGGCCACCCGGCCCTGCGATGAAGGCATCTATCGGGCCATATTTTTTGATGTTTTCTTGTAGCAACCCCTTGACGTCTTCTCGAGTACATTTATCGACCGTGTATAAGTCAAACTCCTGCTGGAATTCTGCAAGATACTCGGCTCCCACATGCTCGACTGAACCTAGACTGAACACGCGAGGCTTCTTCCTCGATTCTATTGGCATGGAAGTCATCGTAAAATCTTGTGTTGGGGTATTGGATATTGGATTAGGACTTTTGCTCAGAACGACCATTGCGGAGTTCAAACATGTTAAAATAAAATATCAAGCCTAGGTTGTCGACATGATACCCACGCCACAACCACGCCCTTTAGGAATCCGTGATGTAGCCCCTCGTATAATCTGGGATAAAACACGTAATGTAACTCTTAACAGTAGTTGCCGCCCATCCGATTAACCTTTCGGGCGAGTCCCGTTGACGTTATCTCCGCAAGCCTCCGAAACGGCTGGTCTGAACATAGGGGGAGATGAGCGAGAAGGCATATTTATGAAGGCTTAAAATCATGTCCTTGTTAACTAAACATCTAGAAACGCGCTGAAATATACCATCTTACAAAATATTATACAAATCCGAAAAAAAAGATATACGCGAAAGAAGGAAAAGAAAGCCAAACTATTATACTCTATCCATTAATCCTTCTTTTCGCTACCAGACTCCCGGAGTGCTTTTAACTTGTCGTCAATTAATGCAATTTCCACATCAACGCTAAGAATCTTCTCATCCAGCATACTTTTATACTGTTCGTCGGACAAGTTTCTGATCGGAATCCATCGAGAGTCTGCCATCCGTTCAGCCCACGTCCTTGTAGACGAAGGTTCTGACTGTAGCCGTATGTGGCGCTCTTCAAGTTTATTGTAGGAATATTGCCCAACGAGTCCAAGTACAGAACATACGACGAGCCCAGGGATGAAGCGACGATCTATATGTCATGTTAATATCAGGGCTGGCTTATGGCAGATCTGCTGTGATCTTGCTAGTAGAATGCCATGGTTTTATATATGGAATACGTACTAACTGCCCAGTTAACCGCTCCTCCGGCTAAACCGCTGGACGCCACGCTTGCATAGATGCGCTCTCTCGGGGTTGCATTGTCTTCATATTTAACTCGGAGAATATTGCTCCTCAACCCTGTTGAAGTTTTGGTTAATATAAATGGTTATCATCATAAGGGTTAAGCATGCTGAGTCGCAGGGGGAGGGATCTTACACCAAAACGAGCTGCCAAACGCAAACCAGTAAACGCCGGTGGATATAGATTTAATCACAGGGTGATGCGCTCTAAGCACTCCAGATACACCTCCATAGAGAAGACCGCAGGTACCTGGATCACACCGAGTATGTTAGATCCATTGGGACCATCCCCATTATAGACGTCGTAAGTCAGGGATAAGAGAGTACATACCACTCAAAGCACCAGCTTGCAGAATTGGAGGCACTGCCACAGGAGTGTGAGATGTACTCGATCCATCCTTTCTACTCATCCTGCATGCATTGTATGGATGGCCTGCTCCTATCAAGTCCAATGTTTGTTCTCTGCCAAATCAGATTGCTGAGGCGGTTGATATTTCGCTTAGTCATGATTTTCTACTAGATCGTGATTGGATAGTGGACTTGTTCAGTTTCATTGATCGTTTTGCATCTCAAAGGCTGCAAGCTGCTTCGAATCCATACTATTTCTAAGTGAACACCCTCTTGATCTTTCTTTATAAGAGAGGCAGGGCTAAGTAAGAAAATTGTTTAAGCCCTTAGTTCTGCTTTGTTCTTATCCTCGATCTAGTCTCACTTCCTGCAACAATCCGATAGTAGTTCCCATCTATAAATCCTTCCTTCTCATCAACTTCTCGGCCCAAACTGAGCTCTTTGCTATACTGTTATACATTGGGTGTTGGGCAATATTCAATCTGATGCCCTCCAAGGATGTGGTGAAAATAAGGTTTCCTGATTTCGGAGCCAAGCCCTGATCTGATAAGATAAGATCGCCCTTCTCCATACCTAGGTAGGTAGGTACGGAGTAGACGTGAACGGATGGGGTTAAAGAGAGCCATCTCGTTTATATCTATATACCTCTCTATCATGTGGACGTAATCAGTGATGATAATATGAGACTGAGTTCTAAGTTAACAGTTTCCTTTATTTTGTGAAAACTCTCACCAGCAGTACACTAGTGGTGGTTACTAAAATGGAGCACTCAGTGAACAACCTTGGAAGCCAGAAGATAATGAACAAGTTGAGAGAAACTGTAGAACCAGCTGGCTTCTCCTTTCACTATCAACAAGACTTAATTACTTTGAAAGGAGGTTAACTCGTTACAAAGCGTAGGCGGGGTCAACCGAGGGCCTGCACACGACTTGGGTTATATAAAGATGGCTGACCAACTAGCATCTTAGCTAGGGAATCTGCGCACCTATCAGACAGGTCAGCCTGATACGACTTGCTTTTTCCAAGTAAGGGGTTCCAGCGGTGGCGATTAAGCACTTCACATGAACAGAGTAGCACCTGCTCAGAGTTTACCTTCAGCGGTGTATCGTCACAGACTCGGGGATCCTCGACCGTACTCAGTTGTCAATATGCATAGATACTGTAGTAGTACTTGATATATGTATACTTACTCTATCCCTTCTATCCTTCTATCCTTCTATCCCTCTATCCTTCTATCCTTCTATCCCTCTATCCTTCTATCCTTCTATCGTATTTATTCGTGTTTATCAACCCTAGAAGTAGAGCTTACATAAGCATCCTCAAAATGCAGCACTCTGATTGGCTGGCTCCTCTGCACGCACTCAGGCTGACTTTTCTCCCCTAGCGTCATCGTCAAAATTTATCGTTTGACTAAAAGACACTGTTCACTCTCTGATCTTCACGTCCAGTTCTTGACCGACAGGATCACACCACAGTCTCCAGAAACCGCCTACACTGCTGCTGCTTAGGGATTTACTTATCCATAGGCTTCTTTCAGGCTACGAGAGTAACGCGCACCGCCTTCGCGCGTTCTATCAATCGCAATCATGGGTTGGTCAACTTCCCCATCCACTCCACCTTGCACACTGCGAGCCCCCCGCCAGCAGGCAAGGATAAAGGGGATTTATGTCGCTGACCATGATGATTTTAGCTCCTGCAAAGTCGAAAGCCCAGAAGATGTCCATTGGGACTTTTCTGGCAGATGAGAGTGAGTTCTCGAGACTCGGGGGGAGAGAGTGGGAGGGTCGAAGGTAGCGACTTTGCTAACATTACAAAAAAGGCTACGGCTCTTGGGCTGATGAGATGGAGGATAATCCTATCCCATGTAAGTGATACGCCTTTCATCCCTTGTCTATCAACCTGTGCTGTCAAGATCGGTTCTTACCTTTTTTTTCGATGCAGCTGGTAAGCATGCCACCTTAATATCAAACTCAAGTCGGTCCTAATATAAATGTGAAAAATAGTGCCCTCTTACGCATCCCGCTCTGGCTATGGCGGAGATCGCAACACGTTCGGAACGTCCGGCGGTTACACTCAGGAGCATGCTGGTATGGATAACTCAGAGTTCCTAGTTCCTGCCTGGATAACTAACAGAAGTTAAAGACCGCGGCTACTCCGTGAGAGAAGAACTCCCCATGCCAACCCAGCCACCGTACACCGCCCACATCGGTAACCTTTCCTTTGAGGCCACCCAGGCCGATATCCAGGAGCTCTTTGCTGAGTGCGAGGTAACCAGCGTTCGCGTTGTGGAGGATAAGCTTACCGGAGCCCCCAAAGGGTTCGGTTACGTTGAATTTGCCTCAGTTGATGGTCTCAAGAAGGCACTCACATTCCAGGGTACCTCTCTTCAAGGAAGAAATATTCGAGTCAGCATCGCGGAACCTCGTACGTCTTTTCTCGTCTTTAACCTACAGCTGATTTCACCCAAACAGTCGTGACTAACGCCCGCATAGCCAAGGACCGACATGACACCAGAGACTTCAGTGATTGGACCCGAAAGGGACCCCTGCCTGACCTCCCAGGCCAACGACGTGTATCAGACCGACCCAGCTTCGGTGGTGGCCGCAACTTCGATGCCGGCTCTGACGCCGGAAGCGAGCGTGGTGGCCGACGTGGCTACGAACAGGCCAACGACGGTAGATCGCGCGACTTCTCTAACTGGGAGAGAAAAGGCCCTCTTTCTCCTAGCTTGCAAAACGCTTCCGTCGCGAGGGAAGGTCGCCCACAGAGCAAGGATGGTTCTCAGTTCCGCAGAGCCTCTCCCGCGTGGGGTGAAGGCCGTTCACAGGATGGCTCTCGACCACCCCGCCGCGAGTTTACCGAACGTCCCGTCCCCGAAAGAGCCCCAACTGCACCAGAGCTCGATAACCAATGGAGAGCAAGAATGCGACCAGATGCTCCCGCTCAACCTGCTGCTCCTGCGCAGCCAGAAACTCCCGTTGAACCAACAACTCCAACTGCAGCTGCCGGTGCTGCCCCTGGATCGAGGCCAAGACTCAACCTGCAGAAGAGGACGATCCCAGAAACAGAGGCAACTGCAGCTCCCCCAGTCGCCGCTGAGACCAAAGCTAGTATCTTCGGAGGTGCCAAACCTATCGACACTGCTGCTAGAGAAAAGGAAGTCGCAGAGAAGAGGGAATTGGCTATACAACAGAAGAGAGAAGCCGATGAGAAGGCCAAGGCTGAGCGCATAGAGAAGCAAAAGGCCGAGAAGGCTGCTAGGGAGGAGGCTGAAAAAGCAGAGGCCAATGGAGCCAAGGAAGAGGCCACAGAAGCCGGAAAGCCTGTTGAGATTCTTAGGCGCGAGGAAGCCGGTGAAGAGAGGACTCCCGCTGAAGGAGGAGAAGCTAGCCAGACCGAAGGCCAAAAGACGGAAGCTGGTCAAGAGAAGAGCCGCCCGCAACTGGCAAGCCGTACGAGCAGTGGCTGGCGCAATGGCAGCGGAAGAGGCCGTGGGGGTCCACCTCACAGCCGAGGAGGATCTCGCAGTACCTCTCACCGTGGCCCTCCTGGACAAGGCCCATCAGCAGATGCTTCACCAGCATCTCCCGCAACCCCCGACGAAGATGGATGGAGCACTGTCAGCGCGAAGCAGAAGAATGCCCGCCGCGGCAACCCATACAACCGTGGCCAGGCCTCTTAAATGCTCTCCCTTTAAAAATCCTATTTTGACAGAAGCCTACCTTAGAGGTTACAATCCTGGCCGGAATACGGGATGTGGTGTCAACTTGGCCTAGATTTCTTTTTCCGCCTGCTGAACATCACACCGGCTCATGTATCCTGCAACTCTTTCCTCCATCGCCTTCCCCGACCTCTCTCTCTATCTCTGCCTTAACGAGCGAATACATACACGTCTCTCAATGTTCCTGGAATGATGACGCAACGTCTTCCTTACATAACGGATTTTATTTGGCATCCATTACTTTCCCTTTTTCCCCCTTTCTCCAAACTCCGTTTCCGTCCTTGTTTCCTTTTCTTGGCTAATGTGATATGAAAGAAGAGTGGGATTTGCCCTTCATCGCACCCGGTCGTCTTGCAACATATTCTCTCGGCCCTTTTTACATCCTGTTTTCCATGGGGGAAAAAACGATTTTTCTTCACGTTGTTACGCCATGCCATTCCAAAAACGTCAAACGGTTCCTTGTCTTGTCCTTTCTTGTCCGCATTTCTATTTTATTGCTATGTGAATTCCAGCGTTTTGACTGAGACGGAGACCAAGGCAGCAGGTTTTGTTCATCGGTTCCCATGCACCCGTACCCTTCGCATGAAGCTTTTTTTCTCTCGAGGACCTGGGCATCCTATCTTTGCTGGTGTCACTACGCTGGTGTTTAGGATCAAACCACGACCTGGATCTTAACTAGGGGTACTCCATCTCAACTCCTCGCTCTTACGATGCCTGTCATCTCGATAGAAACATTTCAACCGCAACATTGCTGGCGTTGAGGGTTCGTTTTCGTCCCCTGAAAGAAGCTTGGTCCCATACTCAGCTCTGCAGCTTTCCGTTGTTCGTCTTCATTTAGCATTTGAGCTTGCATTTGAGATGACTCTATCAGAACAGCTGTTTCCCCTTTTCACGAGTCTTTCGTTTCTACCTGGAAGCTGCCTCTGCAAATATCTGTTTTGAGACCAGAGGCTTCTCCTTGGTCCAAGATTGCGCAAGCTTGTAACTAACGCCTTTCTCACGAGTCTGATCAGCTTTTTCCTTCACACGCTTTGTCTTTTCCTCTAAAATTAGCTGTACTTTCCTATCAGAATCTACTTTTTTCTTTTTTCTCTTCTAGTGCACCATCTCTCTCTCTTCGCCTTGGGAAAATGGTTTCCGGCCGCTTTTTAATACTTGAAAGTAGGATAGAGGAGTTCGTTAATGCTTTTTTCATACTATATCTTTCAGCTCAGTAAATTCTGCATATCTACCACCACCTCATAACATATAAAAATAGCACAAAGTCACCTTCTCTGCACCGTTACCTGTCAACGAAACATCCTCCCTGGCGTGTTTGGTACTATTGAAGCTAGTTTTCTTTGTATTTCCCCTGATTCGCCGGGGTTCGATGGCGAGAGCGCGGCGACTGTTATCATCGCAACGTCAAGCCGCCGTCGCAGTCGACCGTCGTTTCAGCAGACAGATAAAACACCCTCTAGTGCTCGACATATCTCTTCCTGTGTCCACGAACTCCGTTTCGAGGGATAAAAAGTGGCGCCAGGATAAACGTTTGGTGTTTGTCCAGACCACACGACCATGCATAGTGTGGCTTTTTTAGCCTCTGTCACCACACGTTTCGGAAAGTAAAGCGCTTGTCCCAGCTGCATTGTGCCTGCTGATGATCTGTCTTGCAGTCGAGTTGACAATATCCCCAGACGCAAATCGAATATCGACTCCAGCTCCATCAGTATACGGCGACGGATTGCTGATTACCTGGATCCCCCTGTTGTGTCTTGTTCGCATGCCCTAGCTGGCGGCTATGCGACTTCTAGACGGACTTCAACGATATATGACTCTGGAGAAACGATCTTTTAGAACATAAGCATATGTCTGCTGCAGCAGTTTCGACTACGATTATTGAGTCGCGTACTTCAACCGCTTCCGTCGTGGGAGCCAGTGACTATCACAATACCCAGAGCCTGTCCAACGGAGGCTGCCCAAGATGTGGGTTCGAAGGCGCGTATCAAGAGCAACAACAGAAGGTGATAGCTCAGCAGAGACGGATAGAAGAGTTGGAGGCGCAGACTAGGCTTTTGACCGAAAAGGCTGCTCTATCTGGTACGTTTATTACTATCTATATTCCCATAATAGAACGAAGCTGATTCTCTACTTCTAGCTGAGAAACTAGCCGACTACGAAGATGGGCTACAGTCCGGACGCACCAAATCGCAAGGAACCATCTCTACCTCGCCGTCAAAGCCGGTGGCCGTTCCAGCGTCGCATTCATCTTCAGACCAGCAGGCGCAGTCTCGGCCGCCCTCTTCCCCTCCACAGCAACAGACTAGACTGGCAACCCTCGCCTCTTATCTCCCCTACGGCCGACGAACCAGCAGCAATGCCGGCGCTTCTCAGTCTCGTCAATCCGTATCCTCAAACTCACTCCCACAGTCATCATCATCATCCTCTTCTCCTCCACCACCGAACAAAAAGGCCATATATTCCACCATAAACCCGTTCTCTGACTCCGCGCAGCACCCGTCAAGTTTCCTCCAAGGCGCGCTGGATCGCGAGCAGGCCCTTCGGAAAGAGGCAGAATCACGACTCACCCAAGCAAACTCCGAACTTGAAGAGTTGAGTGCTGAGCTATTCATGCGGGCGAACGAGATGGTGGCAACCGAACGAAGGGAGAGAGCGAAACTCGAGGAGCGTGTTCAGGTGCTGGAGCGACGCGACAAGGAGAAGCGAAAGAGGCTGGAACGGTTGGAGAAGGCGGTCGAGCGAGTTGAGCGGGTGAAGGGTCTCATTGGCAGCCCGTAATTCCCAGCCCTGTTCAACCACTGTCCGCGACTTTGAACTGCTTCTTATATGACCGTTATGCGACATGCTTCTTTGTCAATCCCCCGCTGTATCCTCTCAGCTGCATACTTTCCTACTAATTTTTGTCTCCATGCTGGCGTGATAGATGCGCTATTCAGGATAGTATCACTGCATTTTCTTTTGATGGGCCAACGGAAGACTGGCGTCTGGGTATTCTGGCGTTTGATTATTGATATCTCATACTGGTGCTTTGTCCGTTCCTCCTTTCCTAATCAAGACTTTATTATGTCATCTAGTTCTGAACATGTGACCTGTTCTTACTAAGCGTATAAAGTAGGGCTTTTAGTCAGCAACCCTAACCATTTTCCTCCACTCGCTTAGAAGCAAGCGCGCTAATCCACAACGGGAAGTGCGACCTGGAAAAGCATCTGGAACTGCGGGCATCGTCAAATTCTCTCCTCGACGACGACATTATCGAAGAATCACCACCCAACAAGTAGCTTCGGGACCCCGTAACATCCGTCAAGGTGCGTTCCTCCTCGAGCCTGGCATCACAGATGGCCGTGTTGCGTCCTCTCAGTCGGGTTGTTTGAGCTAACATATCCTTTGCCTATCAGATGGTCGCCGCAAAGAAGCATGTCGCGATTGTGAAGAAGCGTATGTCTACCTCAATCCTCCTCTAGTTGGCCCCAGCCTTCGAATCGACTCGTCGTTACTCGAAATCCCGCCGGTTCTGCGCTGAACATAAGTGCATGGGTTGCTTTATTGCGTGGGACACGGCTATTTTTGCCGCTGGATGGAAAAAACTCGAAGAATACGGAACGAGATGAGCTGATTGAATTTTGTTATGGGAATACAGACAAGAACCGCTTCAACCGACACCAGTCGGATATGTTTATGCGTGTTGGTGCTTCATGGCGCAAACCAAAGGGTATTGACAACCGTGTCCGCCGACGATTCTCCGGCCAGGCTGCTATGCCAAAAGTACGTTATATCTACCGTCAGCCCTGTGATGTCGAAATACACGGAGATAAGGAACCAGTCGAGCAACAGTGCTACGAATTGGCGACTCAAATCTTAGTGTTGGACTGAGTGGAATGTCATACTGATGCATGGTCGACTTTGAACAGATTGGTTACGGTAGCAACAAGAAGACCCGCCACATGATCCCATCCGGACACAAAGTGTTCCTCGTCCAGAACCCCAAGGACGTTGAGCTATTGCTCATGCACAACCGCACATACGCTGCTGAGTACGTTGCCCAAAGTCCAGTCTCCTAGACGTCTTGTTCCTAGCTGGAAACAACCCAACGCATCTATCCTCGATCATATCTAATTACTCTTTAACTATTAGGATCGGCCACGCCGTCTCTTCCGCGAAACGAGTTGACATCATCGCCAAGGCTAAGGCTCTCGGTGTCAAGGTCACGAACGCTAAGGGCAGACTAACGACTGAATCGTAAACGGTTTCTTGATTATTCGTTTGTTTGCTGGGCGGTTGGGGAGAACTGGGTGTTGTCATGAACCTCTTAATCTTCGTCCTTGTTCTACATTAGGGAACGTGGTTTTCCTATCAGGGTTGGGTTAGACGAATAAAAAAAATGAATAAATTACCCGATTCTCAAACAAATAGGTTCCACTGCAGAGGAAGATACGTCAGCCCACCCTCAACGGAGATGCATGGAGGGAGTTGACCTAGATTTCCATATGATGTTGACGGAACATGCTACGTAATGTACTAGTTTCGTCCCCTGATGTCAAGGCGCGGTTGTTCATCGCCATAGTTTTTCAACCAACATATATAAAACGAATGTTCTATGTTTACGCTTTCCATGAATAGTTCTAAATATTTTGCTAATAATTGTCTATATGCATGGAAATCTTCAATTGGACTTATATATGAAGGCCTAAAACAATGTCTAGGCAGTAGCAGCAGCCAGGTCGGCATTCGAGCTTTCCTGCGCTAGCTTTGTCAGGTTGAGGGTTCCCAGCCCTTGTACCAAAGCTGTTTCATCATCTTCCATCATGCCCTTCCCAATAACCACGGCGCCATCTTTATCTTCAACCCATTCCGGCGCAACCTTTGGCCCATCAACGCCATCAGGAGGCATCGCCCAGCTGGGCATTTGGCTCTTATATTTCCATCTGCCAGTAAGGTCTGAATACGCAACAGCATGGAGGAATATACCCAATTCATGCACGCCGGGATCAGAGTATAATTCAGTCCCACATATGTCGCAGTGTTCCCCATTCATTTTCTCGCCTTTCCGCCTTAGATAGTCGTTTATCATAACGTCATGCTCGCGTGCTAGTAGTTCGTTGACCACGTTAGGGTCACCGCCATTGGTAACACGCTCAGGTGGAGGAGTTTGGAATGTTTGGTAGCTAAGGGAATCGGCTGGTTCAGTTTTGCCCATACGTGACAGTCGAGCAATTATCTCTTCGTCATTCTCGCCTGTGCTCTCGGATTTGCCCAAGTTAGTACCGAAGACACGACGGTTCGAGTATATAGGATCATTTGTGATTGGATGACCAAGGAATTGAAGATGAACACGGATTTGGTGAGTTCGTCCAGTGAGTGGGAGACAGTGGACAATACTGTAGCCCTCGTCAATATCAGCAGGCGGCGGCGGAGGCGTGGCAGCTCTGACTTCAGGATTTGGTGAGGTAGCACTCTCCACATCTGCACCAGTGGATGGGGTTGCGTCAGGCTTATCGGCCTTCTTCACGGGTGGGTAGTATGCCACTCGGCGGAATTTCGTTGTAGCTTCTTTTCCTGAAGCTCTAACGCGATTCAAACCAAGCACTGGACTAACTTTGAGCATGGGTTGATCGCATAGCACGACTCCATCTGGGAAATAGCCCTTTACTCGCGCAATGTATTCTTTCTGCACAGTTCGTGCCCGTAGTGATTCAGCCATCTCTTCCGCAGCCTTGGGATGCTTCCCAATAAACATGATACCAGAAGTCAGCCTATCCAGCCTGTTGCATGGAAGTGGGTTCCAGCCATGACCGCGTTCCGCCCGCATCATCTCAACAACAGAATTGTAATTATATCTTCCTGCCGGATGGACTGGTATGCCAGCGGGCTTGTCGATAACGATAATATCATCGTCTTCGTGGACTATCTTTATCGGAAGGCTAGTCACTGGAGGTTCATGTCTGTGTAATGTATGCGAAACAATCTGGCCATTTTTTATTATGCTGTCGACTGTAGCCGGTTCGCCGTCAATAGTAATGCTACCACTCTCAATGGCCTCCCGCTATAAGAAATCAGTTAGTTCGGATTTGATTTAACTAATGGGGAAGATAGGTTTTATAAAAAGGCAGCGGGCAACACGAACGTAATATTCCTTTGGTCGGTCTCGAAACTCCGTAGTAAAAATTTTTAACAGGTTCTTTCCCCGCCATCTCTCCTTACAATAAGTATTATAAGTGAAGTGGTATGGAGCTACGCGTAGCAACCCTCTTTCAAGATAGTATGGTCGAGGCCAAGGATCGCACGGCGTAATAGCAACCTCAGGGGGCTCTTTAAAGGCCTCAGGCTTCGGTTTGGCTTCCTCGACAACTGTTAGAGCCATAACGGGGGGTTCAGGGCCACGCCGCAGTAGGTTGGCGAGGATACGTAGCGAGAACGCCAGGGGTAGCTATTAAACAAACAACAGGCTAAAAAAACTAATAAGATCTAGCGCAGATAGGGAATGTCTTAAAAAAACAAGCAAACACGGGTAAATATATCGTGAACTTCTCTTCCAATATCTTTTTTATCTTTTTCAGTTTTGAAGCTTTTCGCGTTATCTTTATCTATCATGTGACTTTTCTATGCTTATTAAGCTGATCTATATTATATAATCGATCTTATCTGATAAGAACGAGCCTCGGCCCAATTTGTCGCGGTCGAACTTGACATTATTCGGTCTCAAGACGCTCTTTTTATTTACAAACAGTCCGTTGGAGGCAGATACAACGGATACAAGCTGCCGACATGGACAACGGGATACCCAGCAAGAAAGCAAGGACGAGGAAAGACTATCCATATCACCTGGAATACCGTACAAGATGGTATGCCTCCTGCTGATCCTCCACTACAGATGTTGACCTGGCTAATGCTATACAACTACCGGGGATGCAGGTCCGATAACGATATGTATTCGCATCTGAATAACAGCATATACGCATTCCTTTTTGACTCAATTATAAATTCATACTTGATATCTCACTGTGGGCTTGACCCGTTCACCACATCCACTCCCTCTAATGCCGAACAACAGATCGGGCTTGTGGTTTCATCATATTGTGATTACTTCGCCTCCTTTGCGTTCCCAGACTTGCTCGATCTGGGTCTATGTGTGGTTAAGTTAGGAAAATCTAGCGTGACATATGAAGTTGGGGTGTTCAGGAGAGGTGAAGAAGCTGTCAAGGTCGTTGGCGGATTTACCCATGTGTTCGTGCGGAAAAAGGATATGAAGCCTACCTCGAATGGTATGGAGGCAACTATTCGAAAGGGGCTAGAGAGATTAATGGTGGATGAAAGACGGGGAAGCTCAAAGTTATAATGCCAAGTGGAAATATAATTGATTCTGGTCATCACAGATAAACCTAGTTCCATTCTCTATCTTCATGTCATGCAAATGAGATGCCGACCAAAATAAATTAAATACAATTCCACCAAGCTCTAAGTAGTAAAGGAGAGGGGAAGTATGAAACCTATTTTCTTTTTTAACCCCAAACGCCCAAAGCCTGATCTCCGATAACAAGTCATGTCTTTGTCTAGCAAGTCATCAAGGTGAAGTCATAAGAGCCAAAACAGCAAAGTAGTGGCTAAAAAGTAATAACAAGGAACAAAATGCAATCATGCCCGCCCAGTGTGTGATGTTGATGAAGTGTGTGCCTTGGACTATTGGGTAGAACATTGCGCACCTCCTTCACCGTCCTCCTCATCTTCGTCGACCCAAGCGCCGCCTCCCTGGGGATCATTTGCACCCATGCTATCCAGGCTGGCCTTGGGGTCAAATTCTACCTCGTCAACGGTGTCGGCTTCAACTGCAGGTGCGTCGTTGGTAGGGAGCAGTTCTTGCAGCTGTTTGAAGGCCGCAGGGTTTGAAACCCATCCGTCTTCGGGGAATTTGATCTCAACGATTAAGTAGAGGTCACCACGAGAGTCACTGCGCTTGAATGGCATACCCTCACCGTGGACCTTCAAAACTTGGCCAGGGCGGAGGATGTCGCCCGGTTTCTGAGGATGCTTGATTTCAATGCCTCTTCCGTCGAGATGTTTCAAAACAACGCGGGAGAATCCGCAAAGCGCCTCAGCAAGAGTGACTTCGAGCGTGGCAGCTAGGTCGGCGCCGTCACGTTTGAAAGTCTTGTGCTCGGCCTGATCCAGGTGAAAGATGATATCTCCGGGCTCAATATCGGGTTGCTGATCACCCTCGCCCTCAAGAACGATTCTCTCTCCTTCTCTATATGGCATATGTTAGTGATATGTACTCGGTCAAAATGGGCGGGTCATACGCACTTTGCGCCTCGAGGAATATAGATTTCGAGTATCTTCTTTTCCTCTGTGACCTTCTTTCCCTTGCATTTCTTGCACTTGTCCTTGGGCTGGTAGAAAGTACCGGCTCCGTCGCAGGTTGTACATCTCACCATCGACTGGGTGACGAGGCCTGGGCCGATTTGTACCAAGGTCTCCTTTTGTCCTAAATCGCTTTATATCAGCCACGGCAAACTCATGAAGTAGATCGGAAGCTTCCAGAGAAAAATCTTACCTTGGCCTCCACAAGACGAGCATTTCTTAGGAACCGCCTTCTCCTTGCCTCCTTTCCCTTTACACGAGCTGCAAATGATATTCTTGGTGCTGGCGAACTTCACGGTTCTGCCCTTGTAAAGGTCCTCCAAACTGACGGTATACTGTTGCTCTTCGTTAGGTCCCTTCCGGCGTCTTCCTGGCATGCCACCTCTGGGATCGAAGCCAGGCATGCCACCTCCGCCTCCCATATTCATTCCAAACATCGAGGCTAATATATCGTCCAGGTCAGGTCCGCCACCCATCCCACCAGGGCGGCCGGAGCCGTCGAATGCAGACATGCCATGGGTGTCGTAGATGTGCTTCTTTTCTTCGTCATAGAGGATCTCGTACGCTTGGCTGACGGCCTTGAATTTTATCTCTGCCTCCTTTCGACCATCTTCCTGGACTTTGTCAGGGTGATGCTGGAGAGCTAACTGTTGAAGAGTTTTGTCCTGGTCAGCAACATCGTCTACGGAAAACGACTGTGGACTATTATCTTTTGGCTCTCATACCTTTCGATAAGCCTTTCGAATATCATCCCTGGATGCAGATCTATCGAGGTTCAAAACCTCTGCAGACAACTATCAGCATATGCCTTCACATTGTACTCGACGGCGGGTCTCGGGAAAGGTATATCTACCATAGAGATCGATCTCTACTGCTGCGGAATTCACTGCATCACCCCGTTAGCACCGCATATCGCTCTGAAACACTTCCCGGCAGCGGACTTGGGCCATCTCGGGGTTGGTTTGGGTTGAGTTGCAACTGATACTTACTCTCTCCACGGCGTCTCGGATCCCGCGACTCTAAGCAAGACCGTACGAACTGTCTCCTCCGGCTTGATGAAACGAAGAGGAATGATCGTAAATGGCCGTCCCGACAGCCACGGTCTTCTAACTGCGATTTGAAAGCCTTCTTCAAGGTGAAAGATGAATGAAAATTTGTAATTCAGTTTGTCTGATTTGGTTAAAAAACTTTTTAGCGGCGGGAAGGGAAAAGCTATTTTTTTCCCTCTGCTTGTCAACATCAGTGAAGAAAAAGAAAGCCTGCGCAACACTCTGCCATAGCACTGTATCGGTGCAAGTGAAGGCAGTGAAACAGGACTGTTGGACTCCCAGGATGAATAGCTGTCCATCATGAACGCTCTGTTATATCGCCCTGTCCTCGCCAGAGCTCCCTGGGTGTGCAGGACCTGCCAGTCGCATTTCTCGACAACAGCAATTCTATCGCATAAACGGACGAGGAATTCTCTCCCTGATGCGCCAGCACGAACTCGTTTTGCGCCCTCGCCGACGGGATACCTCCATCTCGGATCGTTGAGGACGGCGTTGTTCAACTACCTGCTCGCAAAACGTACCGGAGGCCAGTTCCTTCTCCGCATTGAGGATACAGACCAGGTAGGTCGATGGCGGATTCGATAGCTGAGACTATAATGCTACGGTTGGAGTGCGGGAGAATTCTCGCTGACTGCCGAAGAAAAGGACGGTTCCCGGAGCAGAGCAGAGGCTATACGATGACCTAGAATGGGCTGGGATTCAATGGGACGAAGGTACGGTTTCGGTATGATTTACGGCGAGAAGAAGCTTCATATTCTGATATATGCTGGTTATAGGTCCGGTAGTTGGTGGTCCTTACGGCCCATATAGACAGGTAACCCGACCTTACGGAGACTCTACAAATATTACACCAGAAGCTCATAAAGTCGCTCTTAGTCCGAAAGAACCGAGCTATATAAAACCCAGACCGAGCGTCTCATTTCGAGCGGCCATGCATACAGATGCTTTTGCACTCCGGAACACCTCGATAGCGTTGCCCGGCACCGTAACGACCTAGGCTTAACCCCGGGATACGATCGAACTTGCGCCGGAGTATCACAGGGGGAGTCGGATGAGCGAGCGGCGAAAGGAGAGCTTCACGTCACTCGTCTCCGAGTGACTGATCAGTATCCCATGTTCAATGACCTTGTGTACGGGAAGACTGGTCAGAACCGCCCGGCCGGACAGCGAGGAGGACACGAGGGTGTATTCCCAGACCCAATTCTCATAAAATCCGATGGCCACCCAACATATCATCTTGCCAATGTTGTGGATGATCACTTTATGAAAATCACCCACGTTATCCGCGGCACTGAATGGATGGCTTCAACCCCGATGCATATGGCGCTGTATAATGCCTTTGGATGGACACCACCGCAATTCGGCCACGTCCCTCTACTGGTCGACATGAACGGTCAGAAGCTCAGCAAGCGTAATGCCGACATAGATATCTCGTTTTTCAAAGACCAACAAGGAATTTTCCCGGAGACGTTAGCTAACTTTGCTGCACTCCTTGGGTGGTCTCATACTCGCAAATCGGATGTCTTCAGTTTAGATGAATTGAAGGAAACCGTATGTCCCGTCTCCCACCTAACTTTACCCTTATGCGCAATGCTAATGGCCTCATTTAGTTCGATTTAAAACTCACCAAGGGGAACACTGTCGTTGCCTTTGAGAAATTGTGGTTCCTGCAGAAAGCGCATGCGAAGCGTTATGCTACCGAAGGTGGCCCTCAGTTTGATATTATGACACAGCAGGTTGTCAACGCTGCAAATGACCTATTCGCACCGGAACAACTGTATGTTGACACCTAAAATTGTAAACAGCATAGCTGGATTATACTTACATCTCCTTAGGTCACCTATCCTTAAGGGCCGCCCGTTGGATAAATATGTGGCATCTCTCCTTCGAGAGGGAGCTCGATCATATACAACCGCCAAAGACTTTATTAGCCAAAATATATCGTTCTTTACACAGACGATGGATCGACCGCCATATACCTCTGCGGCGGCAGCTAAAAACCCATCAACTTACATACAGCCGGCTGTCCCCATTTCTACTCTCCATACAGCTGCTGCTGCACTATCCATGGTCCCCGAGGAGCATTGGACAGTCGAAACCCATCGTGCAAATATTTCATCCTACATATTCTCTGACTCCCCAGCGTCCACCTCCGATGGGGATGCTACCTCAGCAAAGATGGAACAGGATGCCAGGAAAGAGCTTTTCCATTATCTGCGCTGGGCACTTTCTGGGGGAGCTCCTGGTATTGGAATTCCCGCCAGTATGGAAATATTAGGACGGGACGAAACAATCCGTCGATTACAGAGTGCGAGAGAAGCTACTAAGAGCCTGCTACCTAGTAATTCAACATCTGGAAAAACCGCTCCTGAGATGAGCGAGGGAACTGCGGACTCTAAAGCCTGGATGGGATCACTGGCTGGGTTGGCCAAGTAAAGCAGGCTTTTGATCTCGCTGCTAGGGGCGTTGGGAATACCCCGTTGTATTTTTAGCATGTTTATCTATATTCCATTTGAGATACTGTACTTATAGAAATGCTACATCTATAATTAAACACGAATATTAGGCTATTCTGCCATACTCACAACCATTTGATGATCAATTAACATAGCATTCTTACAAGAACAGTGGGCAGGCCAGGAGAATACCCAAAATGCTACACGTACACAACAAACCTTGAAGTTATAATTGATAAATGAAAGCTGGGAGCTTGAAGGATAATCGATAGACGAAAAGTAATGCATTCGAAGGACTAATAGATACAGAGAATAAATGCAGACTGAGACAGCAGAGTAGAACCAGACATACAAAAATGAGAAGAAGGGAGTACCCTTGACTGAGTGACCCTGTTTCTCTGCTGGCTAAGGCAAGGGAATCGTCCCATTGCACTAAAGATCGATGAAAAAAATAGAACATCTTGCCTGCCAGCAGGTGGTCGAGTTGTGGTTGAAATGGAGACGACAATGAAATGATGACAGCTGTGAAAGTCAAGACACGAACAGGGCGGGAGAGAAGAAACCTCCCAAAGTCTACCCGTAAGGCCACCCGATAAAACAAAAAGAAAAATTACAATAAATTCATTCAAACAATTAGCAACTCCAAGCAGAAGAGAAAGGACAAAAAGGAAAAAGGCGGAGAATGAGGTCGTCCATATGGTTTAAAACGCACATATTGATCCCTCGTAACACCTGTGGCTGGCTGGCTCATCTAGGAAGAGAGAAAATCCAGAAATCTCTTTCCAGAGCAGCAAGAATAGCAACATTCGGCCGTAAAATCCAAGGCTTCACTCGGCGGCATTCGTCGTTTCATAGCTTCATCCAAATAACGCCGGACACCTGCTGCATAACCGTCCTAAGCGAACTCCAAAAAACGCAATCCAATGCATTAGTATTGTTCTAAATCGTCGGTCCATGCATCGCTGCCATCGACTCGGTGTGGGTAGTTGTTTTCTGTATCATAATCGTCATCGGCGCCCACACCTCGAATGCCTCTTATTTTCTTGGAGCCACCTAGTTCGCCTGGTGTTCCCATACGCTTGCCATGGGTGGCTCTCAGTTTGGCATAGTAGACTTCTGTTGCGTCGGCCTCCGGCTCGGATGCATCGTCATAGGTTTCCCAGTTTTCAGAACCAGATGTTACTGTCTGTATTGTGGAGTTTGAAATCTGTCTGTTGGCAGGGTTTGTAGGTCGGTACTGGTGGTCACTTGAATGGCTCACGAACGATGATTGTTGTTGCTGGTAAATTCCGCTATCCTGGATGTTCGAGGAGTGTAGTGATTGAACTGAGCAGTTTATGCTTGGATTCTGCTTGGGTATTGAAGGCTGTGTGTACGACCGCTGATGCTGCCTCTCATAGATGTCATCATCAGCGCTGACAGACGCTACATTCGCACTAGAACCAGCGGAAATCAAGCTTGGACATCGTTCCGGCTCATTCCTGTAGAGCGATTGAGATGTCTGGGGCCTAGTGAACAAGTCTCTCATCTTTGGTGGTGGTGCTCTGGGTGGTGGCATATGCCCACGAACGGTATTAGCTGAATAATTTTGTGCTGGAGAGCCTCGTCGTTCTGGGGAGTTATTCCCGTGTGGTAGATTTCCGAGCGGAACACGAGAGGGTATTTTTGTAGGAGACCTCGCAATAAGCCCTGCGGCGGCAGAGTAGGGCCTTGGGATTTGTTTAGGATTGCTGTGGCTCGTTGGGGTCTTTGATCGGGACGCAGGAGGGTTCGCTCTAGGTTGGTTTCCTCCAATCTGGTTTCCTCCAGTTTGATTTCCTCCTCGTATGGATGGGGGACCCCGAACAGAATTCGCTCTAGAGACTGTAGAGAATGATGAAGGCGTTTTAGCCCTTGGTGGGACCTTTGATGGTGCAGGGACGGGCGTTATTTCATCTAGGTATCGTTCGCCATGGACAAGGAATGGCCTGCCGTACTCATCCTCCCATTGTTGAAGAGTTCTTCTGAGGTCTGCTTCTACCTTTGGCAACTCTTTGGCAATGCGCTTTCGCATCTTCTCTTCTCGGAGAAGTCGGGTAGGGTCTCGTCTTTCTCCCTTGTTACCACGGGCCATCAATCGAGAAGCGTCCTGACTAGAAGCGTTAAGTGAGTCGCGGTCCTCGATGAGTGATTTATGTTTATCAATAAGCTGGAGAGCAGGTGCCCTTTGCTCCAAGAGGGCCTCGAGTCGTGTAATTTCTCCCTCGTGTGCAGAAAGCAAGGCGTCACTGTAAACATCTGAAAAGGCCGGGGTGAAGTCCAACATCTCTTCCTCGGAATAGTATAGGCTATCCCATAGCTCTTGCAGGCGACAACGGGCATCTTCCACAAATAGATGTAGGTTCTGTCTCTTAAGCTCATTGAGCCTTGAAAGCTCCTCCTCGAATTCGTTTATAGCTCTCAATCCACAGCCGCGGTTTGAAGCCAAGAAGCTCCTTCTCTCGGGTTCCTCGACCCCTAGTTTGTCCCAGAGAGCCTCAACCGCCGCCTTTAACTCCTTCAACTTTCGTTCTCTTGCGTTCTTCTCGTCTATCAGCTTCTCTCGCCTGGATCGGAGATTGTCCAGGTCTGATTCGTGAAGCCCTAGCTGCTCTGGTGAGTCCCGGTAATGCTGTACAATCAGCGGCTCTGTTTGCACTTGCGGTGTCCCTAGCTCAGCCCAGAGATTTACTATATCCTGCCCAAGGCTGCTCATAGTAGCAACACGGCGGTTGTACTCCTCGTATACCTTCGTAAATTCAGCATCAAGGGCTGCAACGTATGTTGGAGAGAGATCAAATGACGGTGGTGCGATGGCGCCAGGCGCTGTTGGTGGAAGTTCTATCGAGACAAAAGATGGCTCGAGATGGGAGGAGTAGGATTCAAGAGCTTCGACGAGTTCTATAGGCGCATTAGCAACATTTAATTAACTGCGCATAAATATGTTTGAAACCTACTCTTAACTTGCTCGAAGCGCTCACGATGCAGTTTACTGACTGCTTGATGCTTTTCCTTCAGTGCCTCAAGACACCTGTTTAGGGGATATGAGATTTGAATTTCGCGGTTATCAAATTCTCTGCTGTTCCTGGTTGCGCCGTCGAGTGACGATTCCATTTGTTTTATGGTAGTTTTGAGCTGATGGGCCTCTTCCATCATCTGGTTCTTTTCTCTATTACATTCAATTCAGGTCAGACGATGATCGACATAACTGCTAGCCTGCGGTATCTCTTACTCATCAACGCGCCGTAAATGGCCGTGTAGTGTTTCTGAAAGAGCCGAGAATAGCTGTGCAAGCGTGCTCAAGTTAGCGATGACAAGACGCGCATACCATCAGATAAGACAGGGAGACGTACCTCGGATTCCCGCGACTCTCGCTCATGGTGAGGAATGCCGATTTCATCAAATAGGCCATGGAGCTGCTCGACGATCGTGTTGACCTGGGTGGTCAGGTAGCTGGTATCCACGGCCATGGCTGGCAGCCCGGTGCAGAAGTCTCCAGTTACAAAGACAACGTATTTATTCTCGTCAGTCGCAGCGATGTAGACGGGTCCTGGAAGTCGAGGTTATGGTCTTGTGTGTCGCGGACAAAACGAATGCGGGATGTCGCGAACAGAAAGCGAGTGAGGGTTGGGTAAACAAGGCTGAGCAGTCAATTGAAGGGGTCACAGTCCATATCATCAAAGGCGCAATGTCATGTTCTAGCGAGAGGCAGCTATTGCGGTCAAATCGAGTTCACAGCAGTCTCCTCGAGCGGTATGTTGTTCCATCCAAGCGAAGAATGTTGGCTTGCTTGACGCTGATCAGGTTGCTTAAGAGCACTTGGCCGCCGATTTGTTGACTCGCGGTTCGTTTCCACAGCAACGGATGACTAAGCATGTCATCGTCACGTGGTTACACACTTTACTTCAACTTCCAACATCAGAAAGGAGACAGACAGAATAATAATGAGAGGAGAAGAAGACAGAATAATAAGAAGGAGAAGAGAAGAAGATTCTGCTGCTTGCTGAGAAACAAGTGGTGATAGACAACCTTATGTCTATAGATTACTCCAGCTATGAGGAATAGCTCATACTATGGAGTATACTGCTGTTCATATTATCAACTGCACATACCTGTATACCCATTTGACCAAGTCCTCGAAGGAGATGTGGCCAAATAGAGATACAAGGAAGAATAGAGATACAAGGAAGCTCACTTGCCTTTTGTACTCCATCAAGATATATAAACTGGGGATATCTGGGCTGCATGTATTTGCACGCCGGAATCATTGCCAGGCATAATATTATATTGAATCGTATATCTGTTCATGATGACGCAAAGGACCTCTATACTTATAAGGAACAGCCTTGAAAGACCTAGAGTAATAGATATCATGGTATCCTATCTGACTACTGTCTGTTGGATAACCAATGCTCAAAGGATCTATGCACCAGGACCAATATCAAATTCCTCATGCTGTCCTCTTTAGTCCCAAGTGAGGTACACGTGATGAACACACTCCTGAACGCACAACAAAATATAAACAAGTCTCGCTTCAGGGGAAAACTCTTCTCTTGTTCATCATCTTCTTCTCCTCCGGTTATCAGACTTCAGCCGTTTCCTACAATATCTACTGCAAACGACAAGACAAGAACGCGTTCAAGATGTGCTTCTTTGGCTCAGACGACGACAATATGCCTCCGCCGCGTTATATCGACCCCCCTGAAGGAGCCAAATTCGTTACCTCTGGAGGCTCAGGCTTGCTGTATGCCTACCCCAACAATACCACTGAGATCATAAAGATCTGCTCTCATGACCCCGACTCTATTCGCAATATTGAGATCGAGAAGATTATCCATCAAAACATCATGAGCGCTGGGTCCCACCCTCATGTTGTCAAGTGTATCAAAGTCCTCGCCAATGGAGTTGTCCTCGAACGTGCTAAGCATGGGGATCTACGTGACTACTTCAGGCAAGGAGGTACTGCAACCATGGCTGAGCGTATCAAATGGTGCAGAGATCTAGCCAGCGCTGTCGACTTCATCCATGGGCTTCACATTCGTCATGCTGATATCTGTGGTAAAAACATCTTACTCGACGCCAACCGCAATATCAAGCTGTGTGATTTTGCCGGTTCTTCCTTCTGTGGCACCTCTCCATCTGTCTCAGCTGAACTTGGCTTTGCCCATCCAAACCAGGACCAAGCCCGTCGCGCCACCATCATCGTTGAACTCCACTCTTTGGGATCGACCATGTATGAGATTCTCACTTCAACTCGTCCCTTCGATTTTGAAGAACGTCCTGCTGTCGTCTCCCAGTTGCTCTACCATGGAGTCTACCCTTCTGTCGACCAAATCCCCCTTGGAGATATTATCATGTCGTGCTGGAAAGGAAAATACCCTTGCGTCTTGCAAGTCGAGCATGCGATTCAGGATGCTATCGAGCACGGTTCGCTTACCCCTATCTATAACTCCTGATCTTACATGATACTAACATTTGAATGAATAGCTGGCTTGTATCACATCTTGCAGTAATCCAGATTTCTAGCATAACAACACGGTTTAAATAGGGGTTTGGCTGGGTGTTTAATTCTAATGGATGGTGCAAGCAAAAAGGACGGACGGTTGGGCGGATCAATTCATGTTAAATAATGCCGAAACGGCAGTCATCTAACCAGGTGACCCTCCTCTGGCGGTTCTAAGCCGGGGGTATCCCTGGCATTTACAAGAATAAGAAAATTTCATTTTGAAAAACTCCTGGCTCATAAATATGTCACTATTCCCAGATTAAAGCCAGGTTAAACCTTAGACTTAAGAGGAGTAACTAAGGATACTGGTAGAGCATAAGGACTATCTATCCTCAGCTTATGGCCAATTCATATCCTTTAACATAGGGAGTAACTCAAGGCTATTTTAAATCCTTACGCTGAAATGAATTGGCAGTATTGGTAAGAATAAGTAGGAGATGTCTTATCGTTCTTCGGATATGGGCGTCGTTGCCAAGAGACCAGCAGACGTTGGAGGAACAAAAGGCATACTAGCCAATCGGAATTCAGAGCGAACGCCCACAAATATTATGAGGTCGTGGTGAATCTACATCCTGCGCCGTTTGAGCATCTTGGTTTAGCAGAGGAATGAGTTATGCAGTGATGTTGTCGGCTTAGGTAATCTATCTTATGTAAAGGGCTTATATAAGAATATCTTATATAATAATGATTACTTAAGCCGATGTTTGGCCGATGTATCTCGCTGCTTATCGTCCATCTGCCTGGCTTCAAGATACTCCCTCCATCGCCCACCCTTTGCCATTTCAGCACGGCGGCCATTATAGATGGTAACTAGTCCGCTACCTGCAGCTCAGGCAGTTGTGCTCCACAGGTGCAGGAGCTGAACCACAATCCCCAGCTATGAGTACTCAGGCGCTTCAATCATGGGGTACTTTGCCTTCCCACAACCCGGCATCCAGTTCTAGTTCAGCTAGCTAATAGAAAACAATAAACAATAGAAGCCGAGAACCTCGTCAAGCTCGTCGACCCTCAACGCGATGCTCTCTATAACTACGATCAAGCAGCCGTCAATGCCTTGGAGGCCGCTAAACCATGGGCTCAAGACCCCCACTACTTCAAGTCGATCCGCATATCTGCCACCGCGTTACTGAAAATGGTCATGCATGCTCGATCGGGAGGCAACTTGGAGGTAATGGGTCTCATGCAAGGGTATGTGGCAGCAAACACGTTCGTGGTCACCGATGCGTTCCGATTGCCTGTTGAGGGAACGGAGACTAGAGTCAATGCACAAGACGAAGCGAACGAGTACATGGTTTCCTACTTACAATCTTGCCGTCAATCCGGGAGGATGGAAAATGCAGTTGGCTGGTATCACAGTCACCCTGGGTATGGATGTTGGCTATCTGGAATTGATGTCTCGACACAAGATACACAGCAGTCCTTCTCAGATCCCTTCGTCGCCGTCGTGATCGACCCCGATAGGACCATTTCGGCGGGCAAAGTTGAAATTGGCGCATTCAGAACTTTCCCCAAGGGCTATTCGCCATCCGGTGGTGGACAGGACGAGGATGATGAATACCAGAGCATCCCACTGAACAAGGTCGAGGATTTCGGTGCACACGCATCACAATACTATTCCCTTGAGGTGTCAAATTTCAAGAGCACACTAGATACGAAGATTCTATCTTTACTTTGGAATAAATACTGGGTTGCAACCATCAGCCAGAGCCCGCTGTTTACCAACAGTGACTACGGAAGTAAACAGATGAACGACCTCAGCCAGAAGATTAAGAGAGCGACAAGAGCTTTGGAAAGCGGCGGGGGTGCCGGAGCGAGAGGCTCTGCAATGACCGACCCTGGTCCTGACGGGAAAGACCCTGCAACGAAGGATCAGCAGTTGGTAAAGGTCGTCAAGGATGGAGATCGGATTGTAGGAGAGGAATTGACTGGGCTCATGGCCGCAGAGATCAAAGAGGCCCTTTTCAAAGGCGTTGGACAGGCGACACCCTCTCAAGCATCAACCTAAAACTTCTCGTTTCTCTTACTATCTTATGGTGTAATGGCGTTTGCCCACGATCCTTACTCTGGCACTAGGTTAATGACCCGTCTTATGAAATAGATAATGATCATGGAAGCTGAATATGATAACATGTCCTCTCCATAGCTTACATATATCCCTCCGTTTAATAGTGGAACTACTAACAAACCAGTGGCCAGCCTTGTCTTGTTGGGCAGATCAACGTTTACATTTTGTCAACCCCTTAACCTCACAAATCTAACCTGTCTCCCAACCTATAGGTCTTCAGTACCTAACCTCTCAACGTACTATTCTACATAGCTAGAATAGCACCATCTTGGCATATGGCTAGAGAATGTGTTTGTTCAGTTACCCCAGCCTGAGGCATTTTTGACTTTCTTTGTTTCTACGACTTGACTTCGACAAATGAACAATAAAAACGAACAATAAACTAGGGTGACGACTATTTAAACATCCAATAACTCCTCCTCCACTTGTCATGCGTGGAATTTGGCTTTATTTCGTCCAGCTCGACCTCCGTTGACCAGATATCAGGGACACATTACCTGCAAATATCCGCACGAGGCTCTTATTGTAATACGGGGGGAATAATTGAACATACGCCCAATAAAACATCGACAACCCGCAGCCTTCTCATACGGAGAAATCCCATTCTCGAAAATGCAGCACCGAAAGACGAATCACCATGGTGGCTTTCATCCCGATAAACCGATGATGCCGTTCACCCCTATCACCTCCCTTAAACGGGAATTAGCCATCATGTTTGGTTTTATGGGCCTATCTATCCTTACAATGGCAGCGTATTGGATCTTCTGGCAATGTGCGTCTACCTCCGCCTATCTTCAGCTGCTGTAGCTGTTGTGTGAAACGGTTACAACGGATGGTATTAACGAGATATTCACAATCTAGTTGCCCAGAAACGCAACGCTGCAAAGGAGCTTGCTCGCCGTGAAGCCTTTGCTGCCCGGGAGAGAGCAGCGGTTAATATGGCGGAGAAAAAGAGGTCTCACCATAATAGTAGCTCGAGCGGTAGTAATGAGAATACCTTGAATAGTGAAAACCCTAGAAGGATGAACCGAAACGGCAATAGTGAGGGTGGCTTGGGGTTCGGGGACGTCCAGGAAGATTTGGTCGTTTGAGAGTGAACCTATCGACGGTCCGGAAGGGAGGACAGGCAGAGGATACTGGATGTTAAGCTCATCCTGATACTATTTTATGGTATATATCAAGGCAAATATGTATATGTTTGATATGAATCTAACAAGTCGGTTGCGCCAGCCCAATTGTCCAATGCATCGTGCCAACGACAACCACCAAGAAAGCAAGTCCTAGACCGATGCTCAACAGCCCATACCGATAGGCATGCTTCAAATCCAGACTATGTAGCTCAGCAATCCAGGTGCTCACTGTAGTCGTACACCCACAGAATCCATCAATAACACCCTTTAGAATCTGGCACCCAAGCAGATGATGAAAATTAGGTAAACCATCCTTGTCGATCCTAGCAAAAAGATTGCCCGCATGTTGTAGATCAAAGCACATGCCTAGGATCAGAGTCCCGATCATATTGACAAGAAACGTCCCAAGCGGGAACGATGGGATAAGCGGATTAAAATATATAGAAGCGTAAAATCGAAACAGACATCCTAGAGGAGCGAATATAATGGGGAATACTGCTGAACCGCGCCAATGTTGCTCTCGTAAAGGATTATGCCGGTCTGGCGGCCAGATGGCAAGGAATATAGCTCCGATCCAGCAGCCGAATGCTAAAACAACGACGAGACGATCGAGAACCTTGCGGATAAACTTGAATGGAACCGTTGGCGTGAATGAAGAAAGCCCATCGGCGAGATGAGCTCCAACCACTATCGAGGATAGACAGAGTAACAGCGTGTATAGTATCACTGCCAAAACTGCCATGAAGCTGTATCCACCATTGCGAGGCGCAATAGACCCCGTATTGGGATTCGGTAGGGTATTTGACAATGCACGAAATGCATCGAGGATGAACGATGAAAAGGAGGTGAACGAGCCACAGAATCCAGTCGTTAGACCAATGTATAACGGTATCGTCTTTTTAACTGCCTTGTGTCTCGCCAACCATCCATCTACATCCTCATCCTCATCCTCGTCGCCATTGCCATTGCCATTGCCATCGTAACCTGCGCCTTGACGTAGCTGATCGCCATTTCCATTATTTTTCTCCCTTCTGCCACGGCCGTTCCCCCATTCTTCGTGAAAAATGTTCCTATCTTCCGCGAAGAAGCCTATGAGCAGACAACCTCCGACATTCGCCCAGGTCACACCGGTGGTGATTGGCGCGCCGGGATACTCCGTTAAGACCTGCAGTCCAATACGAGCCAAGGTACCGAGAATCGAAAAGAAGATCAGGTAGGAGATGGTATACAGCCTCGTCGCATGGTGAGATAGCTTCAGTTCGGACGGGAGGTGTTCTGGGGGAGTAGCAACGCATGACTCTGCGCTCTCGAGAATCGCCGACGGTTCGCGACGAGACGATGCAGTTCTTCGTAAGGTAATTGGGGATGTAGCGCCGACGAAACCATCCGCACCGTCATCCACTGCCGTAGGGATACGCTGGAGGTTCCCTCTTGTGTCTATCGTCTCGAAATCGCCCTGTGCATCTCCATCTCGCTGGACTGCGGGATCTGGCGGGCTCTCTGTGCGGCTTCTCTGCTTCATCGGCAGTTCACACGTAGAATAGCACTAGCTATCAGCCAATGGAGGGTAAAAATCGCGTTCATTGCAGCTTGAAGCTTCCAGCAAGCGAATCTTGCACTTTCTCCTGGCTTCATGGACTTTTTTTCTTTTCCAAAAGGGCAGGAAAACGGCGTATCTCCAATACGGTAATATTACATCATCGTTACCCCATATTTCCGATAAGATAAGAAGAGCCCAAGTTCCCCCTCCGCCAAAGCATCCGTCCACTACTACTTGATCTTTAGCAGTTGATATTCGGTGTTCGGTATAGATATTTGCACTTACCTTGGAATAGAACGTTCTTACTTTTTTGCTTCGCCTTATACTCGCTCGCCATGTCGAAGTCGCTGCCCGCCAACGTCCATGTGTCCCGCCATCCCTGTCTACAAGTGAAGCTCTCTCAGCTCAGATCCAGCAAGGCCGCAAGCCGTGAAACCAACGACCTAGTCCACGAGATTGCCACGATAATAGGCTGTGAAGCCTTTGCAGATAACATATCCGTGGCTCCAGGCGAGAAGGTGAGCTGCATTGCATCCATTCCCCCGCTGTTTGTTTGCGTGGCACGTCAACAAGTCTATTTACCTTACCTACCGCCCCAACGCAACCCGTATTGACAACAGGGCTACTAATAGAACACCACGCCTCTTGGATATGAATATACCACTGGCTCCATTATCCCCGAGAAGATCGCCTTGGTTCCGATCTTAAGATCTGGTTTGGGCATGGTACAAGGTGCGTGTCCCTTCGTTAGCTTAACGATACATTACGTCGTTAACGTCGGCTATAGCCATTCAAACTCTCCTACCATGCACTCCAGCCGTACACCATCTCGGCCTATTCCGTGAACCCACCACTCTCCAACCAGTAGAATATTACAATAACCTTCCCTTCCAACCATCTGCGACAGGCGAGAACAGCGCAGCTGCGAAGCTAGCAATCATAATCGACCCCGTGGTCGCGACGGGCAGCACTGCTGCGGGTGCCATACAGACGTTGAAGGAGTGGGGGGTCGAGCGGATCCTGTTTCTGTGTGTTCTGGGTAGTCATGCTGGATTGGAGCGTGCGGCGGGGGAGTGGAAGGAGGGAGTGCAGATTTGGGCTGGCGCGGTGGATGAGCACGTTGATACGAAGGGGATGATTCAGCCTGGTCTCGGGGATATTGGGGATCGGTTGTTTTCGGCCGGTGGGAAGACGTCGATGGGTCCCTGATAGGTGACGATGGTGATGATGTGTTATGCCTTGAGTTCGGGGCTGGTTTTTATTTTACGGCGAGAGAGAGGTCGTTTTCTATTTGGTTTGTCTATCTTACTTTATTTTACATACCGGAGATATAACGAATTCACCACAAATATGATGAGATTATTTGGTTTATGTATGGTTATGGTACATGCAATTTGTAAACCAGAGACAGACAAGACATCGAACAGCTAGACAAATGAAAATTGGTACCAAAAAGGTATGCACTGAAATGTAAGAAGCAGTAATCTCACCAAAGGAATAAAAAGATATATAGAAATAGATAAATAGATAGATAAAATAAATAAGCTATATCAAATATTAACAGAAAGATTAAATAGGGGGGTGCAAACTAGGAAAGAGATGGGTAGTTTGGCTGACCGAACTGAAATCTAAGGTAGATGAGATGAGATTGAGATAGATGAGAGACATAAACGCAAGACGCAGAACGCAAGACATAAAACCAGAAAACAAACATATAAGCCAACAAACAGACAAGCAAGCAAGCGAACAAACAAGCTGATGAACAAGTTAGAGAGTAAAGGATTAAGGGAGTGGTGAAGAAGATTATCGATATTTCAAAGGATAAAGAGAGGAAAAAGAGGTAGCGAAACAACGTACTCGAACGCGTCAAAGTAAGAGGCAGAGGCAGATTAAAAGTCCTGGCAGGTCAAGGACAGAGCAGAGCATGCACGCAGAACCGAGTAGAGCAACACAATGAAAGAAAACAAACATAAGTCAATCAAACTAAATGGAGTATATAACCACGAAAGGAAAAGAAAAAGGATAGAAGAAAGCACACTAAAGATTAAAATAGGCGATAGCGAAAAAGGAGGATTGAAAGAAAGTAAAGAAATCCAGAGGAAGGGAATAAGTGACGCGAACACGAACAGACACGAACACGCAGGACCAGCTGGTGTAGAGGATGAATTGCCCCTTGCTCACGGCTCACGGCCTTGATAGGCGGAAGAGTGAGGAAAAGCAACCTGACCGGACTCCTATGCGTTAGGTAAAGTAGATGGTGGAAGACCACCGATGGGTATGGAGTGTGAGCAGCGGTCCGCACGAAGAAGGGGAAAAAAGCGAGATGCGAGTAAGGTATAAAAAGAACGAACACAGCTCACCACACCACACCACACCGCATCTCCAAGTAAAGGAAAGAGAGAAATGAAATAGAACGAGAAAAAAAAAACGAGGAAAAACGACAAGGAAATCCGTTTCTGACAACGCAAACGCAAAGATGAAAGGGGATCTGAGGTAGAAAAATCCTTTCCCTTGCCCGCCTTGCCAAACCCATGCTTTCCCCGTTTTGCCAATCTATCCCTAGACCCTTCAGCAAACCGAAATAAAAGACGAACCACGACAAGCAATCAGAAAACAACGCTGGAAACGTAGGAAATGGCGAACAATAGAGTTTGAGAGAGAGAGAGAGGAAATGGTAGGAAAAAGGAAAAAGAGAAAAGGAATCCGAAAACCGAAAACGCCATACGGAACGGAATGATGAAATGAGACGCAAATTGGAGAGGTTCAATGAGGTTAAATGGAGGAGGTAAAAATAGGTTATGAGCGTGCGGATACGTTTAATATGCTGTTCCGACGCTGGCGAGGCCCTTGATTGGCATTGGTTCAAGGGCTTGTTCGGGGCTGGCGGCTGAGTCTTGGTAGCCTACTAGAGCCTGGGAATGGAGTTTGAATGCCTCGCCCATGAGTTTGGTGATTCTACGGTTTAAGTTAGCATTATATCAAGAAAGGAATAGAGATAGAAAGTAGAGCTTACCCCCATACAACGACGCCGTCGAGGATGTTTCCCCATACGCGCGCAACGGTAGAGCATAGTTTGCCCTGCTGGTCGACCAGCTCGTTAGTGAAGAGGCCGCGGATCTTGTAATATAGCTCCAGCTCTTCCTCGGTGGCTTGTTCCTCGTCATGCTCAAGACGGTAGAGCCATAGACTAAGGATAACCATCATATCCATGCCGCAGAGAGGGTGTTCGATACTCCAGTTTGTAGCGGACGCGGTGGCAACCCAGTTCAAGCCCTGGACGGCAGCGATCTCGATGCACTCGAAGCACTGAGTGACGACCTTGTTCATTTCGTGGGATCGCTTGATCTTTTCGCGAGCCACGGTCATGGCTGCTGCTACTTCGTAAGGGGAGTGGTAGCGTAGTGCTTCCTGGATAGACTTGAGATCGACTTCAAGACGAGCGCGGGTGTTGCGGTAGACGGCCATCGAGTTGAAGATGAGTGGGTGGCCCTTTTGAGGGGTGCTGATGGGGACGACGATGGTCTCCGGTTCGCAGATGTCGAGGGACTTTTCCCAAGTTTCGATCGCAAGACGGAGCTTGTATTGGGTTACTACATCCTGGAGGGCGTCGATAGTGCGGGATTGATACCAGACTTCGAGGAAGAGGGCATTGATCATGACGCGAGTAGCGTAAGCCGAGTACCGGACTGGTTCGCCGCGAAGAAGGCTGTCGTGGGCCTGTCGGACGGTGAGAACTTTGGAGACACCTCCCAGGGCTCGGCGCCAGGTGTATTCGTCGGAGATTTCGAGATTCCAGAGGGACTCCGAGGACGGGAGCTCGAGGGTGTCGAACTCGTTGAATGTGAGGGCCGGGTTGTGGTTGAAGGTTAAGCTGAGCATGCCGAAGAAGACAAAGACAGCATAGTAGGTTCGTCGACAGCTCTCATCCTCGATCCATTCCTCGTGGCGTGGGGTGGCACCTTCGCGGGCATCCATTCGGAGTTTGAGCTGGTACCTGTTACCGGCGACCATGTTAGCGAGCAGACTCTTGATGGAGCAGGTCCACTCTAGTCCCTTGGAGTCACCACTCCAGCTCTCGAAGATCATGTTGAGCAGGGTACTCTGCATGGCCCAGAGCGGGCACTTTCTCGAATCAAAGTTATCCTTTTGCTGTAGGAACTGGTTGACCAGCATCTTGGAGCCAATGTGTAGCATGAACGCATCTTCCCTTTCGAACGTGTACAAAGCACCGATTGAGAGCACGGCCAGAAGGAGGGGCGAGGAGACGTCCTTGGGAGCAAAAGTTCCCGGGTGCAAGAATGGTAGATGGTGATGATACATGTTGAAGTAAGTGGATAGATATCGGTTCATGATGGTGGTCGACGGCACCTTGAAGGTCTCTGGCAGGCTGTTCATGCTATCACTAGACTCTAGACGGTCGACGATCATCTGTCGCTCCGCATCACCCGAGATTTGTGGGGCCTTGGGCTGGGTGAGGATCTGGCTGGGTCCGGGCGAGCGTCTGTAGTTCACTGGCGAGACGGGACCGGTCATGGATGGATAAGGCGACAGGGCGTTGGGTGTCGAGTTACCGGATACCGGAAGCGAGTGAACGAGGGAGTGCATGGTGGGGGTCAGATTGTCACTGGAGGCACTTCGTTCGATCGTTGGCGCAACCATGGTCTGGTGCTGGAGCGAGCTCGAGTAAGAAGAGACAGGCTGGGATGGCCGCGATTCCTTGCTGGGCTTGACATCGGACATGAAGGTATCCCACGGCATCTGGGGCAAGGTGGCGTTACCGGACATGTATGAGACCGATGGTTCCATGAGATTAGAGCGATCCGAGAACTGCTGGTCCTGGCCATGTCCGTGACCGTGACCGTGGCTGCGATGCTGACTCGAGGTGACAGCCGCTGCGGCCTTGTGCTGGAAGTCTGTCATGAGCATGGCTGCGGTTTCGAGGTCTACCATGCCATCACTGCTGGCCTCGATCTGTTCCAAGGCAGCCGGGTCGATGGTGACGGACGACTTTGAGGTAGCAGCCTTTGCCGACGCTGTGGTGTTGTTTGTCGCCGTAGCAGCGGCATTGGCATTTGCAGTGGTGGTAGCAGCAGCAGCAGCCGCAGCTGCAGCGGCCGCGGCGGCCTTTCCACCCCGTCTGCGTCCCTCGGCGACCAGAGGGATCCCTCCGTCTTTGGCGTGGACGGTACGGTCGTGTCGGAGCAGCAGATCTCGTCGCACAAAGGTACTTCTGCACTTGAGACACTTGAACGGACGTTCCTTGGTGTCTACCCGTTGTCAGCACTATATATATATATAAGATATACGAAAGGTATAAGGATACGTACGGGAACGCTCGTGTCTGCTCCGATGCTCGCTACGACTGAACGCACGATGGCAGAACTGGCACTTGTACTTTCTCTCCGGCGGCATAGACGCCTTCTTCGCGCCCGAACTGGAGGCAGCTGCTGGGGCCATTGTGTGCTAGTCGTGGAGAGGCGGTCGAGGAAGAGGGCGAGGGCGAAAAACGAGGTAGAGACACGCGAGCGTCTCTGGCCGTGCGGTTATCTTGCTCCTCGTATCGAAGTGAAGGCGGCGGTGGCGGTGACGGTGGTGAGAAGCTGTTGAGGACTGAGCATGCCTTGGTAGAGGAAGCTGGATGTCTAATGATGTCTAAATGAGCGTGGATAGGAGATCTCCTGAGACGACGAGTTAGGACCAGCCAAGAGACCAACGTCGTACTCTGACTTGATGATGTTGAGTCGATGGAGATGTTGATGTCGATAGAGATGTAAGGTAACGATGTTGAGATGGTGTTGAAGTGGTGATGTTGAGGGTGAAGATGAGGGAGTTGAGGGGAGGTTGAAGGGGGAAGAGAAAAAACGAGCCCACGATAAATAAAATAAAAAAAAAAGAGGGAGAAAAAGGTGAGGGAGGGAAGGAAGGTGGGAGGGAGGCAGGAGAGGCTGGCGTGGTGGTAGTGGCAGTAGGCGGCGTGCGGGTGGGGGCTCGGCGAGGGGCAGCCTTCCTCAGCGCTGGACGTTTTACTTGTAGACCTATGTATACGCACTTCTTCTCTCTATGGCCACGCGCCCCCGCGAGCCACCAAACGCGGCGTAACGACGATACACGTATACTTTACACATACACCGTATATATACACCGTATACACGTATATACACTAGTACAGCCACCATACACATGATACACGTATACCGTACATACACCAGCCACGTCTTGTATCGTCTCCCCCTCCCCATCCTGAGTAAGGGAGTAAGCAGGCTCTACGTGGTCCTTGGGGCGCCCACTTTGGTCTTGGGCTTCTTAGGCGCAGTCTTCAGTTGGTCTTAGGCTTAGACCGCCTGAGATATGCCCTAACCCGAACCTTAGGGCTCCAGCAATAGCGTGGCCGATCGATCCCGCCTCACTCTCTCTCTCTCTTCCACTTGTCTTCGTCCTTTTCTTCTCTTCCTCTATTCTCTTCTTATCCTCTTGTCTTCCCCTCATCTCTTGTCTTTTCTCATCTTCTCTCTTCTATCATCTTCTCTTCTTCTCTCCTACTCTTACTCTGTATCCTATACTCTGTTGTGGTCTGTATGTGGTACGTATCGGTGGGTCACTTCCCGCCTCGGGCCTCCCCTACCCCCCTGAGCCCTCTTGGCCCCCTACCCTCCCTTCCCTTCCCCTTGGACCCCCTGATCCACTCCGTCGCCGCCCGTTCACCGCCAGACTCTCTGCTATCAAGAGGGGTCGTTAGTATATATATATTTACATACAGAGTATATTTACTATATATATATAAATGTATATATGACTGTTGTACGGAGTATATATGTTGTATATATATATCTGTTGTATATATATATGGTAATGGATACGGATATGGTATGTGTAGAGCTGACACGGACTCATCACCGGTACAAGGAAGACATCGTAGAGGGGCGAGTGTGCCCCTCTCAAAATAATCACCTTTTCGACAAAAGAAACACGTCTGCGCATCATCTGTGACAAGTCAGATCTCCCTTTGCCCTCTTCATCTTGTAATTACCTGGATGTCTTATGTACGATCGAAACCCACTGCGCCGTTTCATCCATCCACCCTCATATAACTAGTGCCGAACCCTTCGAGAACGACGCCGACGCTATCTTGCGCATTCACAACCGGACTGGACCGTACCGACGATACGGGCCGTACTTTACCACCTTTTTACCAACCTTTATTTTTCCTCTACCCTGCTGGTGTGTCGACTTGGTCGTAGATTACACTGGCGGGCTGGCTGGGACCGAGTCTAGATGGCGACTCTCTCACCGTCAATATCGCGGTGGGGACTGCCGGGTTCACCTCTTATGTCAGGCGGTGTGCCCTCTGTATAAGTAGTAGTATAAGTAAAGTAGAGACTCCGTAGGAGTGAGTGATGCTTGGTAGAGTAACAGTGTGATGCTTAGGATAGAGTATCGGGAGTAATGCTGGTAGAGTATTGAGAGTGATGCTGGTAGCGTATTGAGGGTGATGCTGGTAGAGATGAGAGCGAGGACTGGTCAATTGAGTTTGCACACGACTAGGAACGCGTTCGGATATAGACTTCATCAGCGTCGGTCGGAGTTCATCCTCTCCCGTTCCTCTCCCGGTCCCGTCGGCTGGTTACTCCCAATCTCTCCCACCTCCGTCCCTCCCTGTCTAATCTTCAGCCTGGAATCCAGGCTCGTGGCTTGCCCTTCCTCTCCCAGCTCCTACCCTCTCATCTCTCCATCACTCTGCTTTGCTTTTTCCTCTTTCTCGCTTTCTGTGGCGTGTGGCTGCTCGATCGCCCACACCCACCATGCCCATAACCATTCACCGATTGATGCGCATGCATGCATACAGATGCGATGGGCTTTGTTTTTCTCCTCTCGCCTCCGACCTGTGTGCGATACAAGGCTGAGTGGCGAGTCAGTGGTCTGATATGTGAGATGTGAGACGATATCTCCCGTTCTCGTTCCTGCTGGTCCTTTCCTGTCTGTTCCTGAATATGCATGATCGTCCATGAGATTATATGTCTTTATCCAGCGTCGAGTCGATCGCCGTCAGGCCCGAAACGAGCCAGGGGCATAGAGAAAGACGACATGACAAGTGGCATATCCAAAATACGCGTCATATTCATGCTGGGATAGCCGTTTCATCACCGCACAACTTTATACTCTGCACACCTGCATATATACTCTGCATATCAGCATATCCTCTGCATAGCATCAGCATAGCACCAGCACCGCGTCCATAGCAGCCGAGAAAGAGTAGGGCGCGGCAAAGTGCGGCAGAGGATCGAGCACACAGCTAACCAGCATAGGCCTTAGCATGGGATTAGCAGCATCGAACATCCCTGACGACTCCATCGAATGCTTGTAAGCAGCATCCCTCAGCGTGGTCTGGCCATTAAGCGAGAGACGCAGCGAGCTACTCTAGTGTTCTCTCCGTTAGCCCAGTCAAAGCCAGTCCCAAAGAGGGTGGGAGGGAGATGATTGTCGCTGTAGGGGTGGGGGTCAGTATATATCCTCCCATATTCCTGGTGGCGAGCCCCTATAAGATCCAGCATCTGCAGGTCATACCGTAGAAAGATATTTGATAGATATTACATTAGAATGCCGTAGATATCAGCTGTAGTCCGTATATATCGGCTGTATATATCAGCTGTATATATATCAGGTAGTGGAAAGGGGCAAGGCAGAGTCGAGGGGTGCTTACATAACCCACACTCCAAGCCCCCTCCAAACGCCCGAAGAGGAAAAACCCTTCGTTCGCTCTATCGATCGCGTCCCCACCTTCTCCAGCCCTTTCGGTAGTCCAGAGCTCGCTCTTCTTCTCTTCGGCTCATCCTCGACTTCACCTTCGACTTCGACTTCACCTACGTCTATACACTCGCTCGACCAGCGAGACAGCTTCACGTTGAACGACCCGCGCACGATCCGCTGTGATTCCTGAACTCCGGACCGGGCCTGAAACATCTCCGACGAACCACCCACAGACAGCCTTGGACCGGATATCACCCCTTTCTTTGCCTTGTCGACGTCCAGCAATTCACGGCCTCAAAGCGATCACTCGATCCTCGATCCTGATCCCTCGATAGTTATACAGTCGACACGTACGCGCCGCGAGAGATATGGAGTAGACACCTGATCACATCTTGCTTGAGCCGCTTGGACGAATCATGAGCACTTCCTCCATCACATACACCAACACCAACATTAGCCGTTCTCCAAACACTGCCTTTCCCCTTTACTCCTGACCTTGACTTCTTCTCTTCTTCTTCTGTTTCACCGAAGGGCTGAACGGGCGTGTTCGTGTTCCGACTCTTGAACCGCCGAGGTATCTCTCCGAATCATGGCTGCCACCCGTGATGGTTACGCCGGCCAGGCTGGTACGGCGGCGGCTGACGATGGTCTGTATCTTCTCTCTTTCTCTTTCTCTGTTTCTTTCTCTCTCTCTCTCTTCTGTTACTTTCTCTCTCGTTTAGCCTGTTCTCACTAGTCCGCCGTTCATCGATGTACATGATATCAGAATGAAGGCGACAGCTAACTCTTCTTCAGGCTACGTTTCACCGACAGAGGCTCCTCCAGCGTTATACGTTCGAGCTCTGTACAAGTACACCTCTGACGACCATACCAGTCTCAGCTTCGAGCAAGGCGATATCATTCAGGTCTTGAACCAGCTGGAGACAGGCTGGTGGGACGGCGTTATTGGAGACATTCGTGGCTGGTTCCCAAGCAACTATTGCGCCGTCGTTCCAGGGCCTGATGTGCACAACGATCATGCCGGCGACGCCAGTGCTGAATCCGGCGCTGATGACGACTACGAAGATGACCTAGATGGCATTGATAACAACCTACGAGACGAAGATGGCTCTATGCTACCCATAGAAGGCGCGGGAGAAGGCGAACCCGAGGAGGCGGCCTTCTGGATCCCACAAGCTACCGCTGACGGGCGTCTGTTCTACTACAACACCTTGACCGGCTACAGCACGATGGAGCTGCCGCTAGAAACACCTACTTCGGTGAACGAGTCTGGTCCTCGCGACCGCACAAACATTTACGTACCTGAGCACACGCGGCCTCCACCGGAGATGATGGCCCGTGGTATCGATCGCTATGAAGATGACTATGATGGCTCTGCGTCAGAGGCTGAAGGTGACTCCCTCTTAATGGCATCGCGGCGACGACTATCGTTCATTTCTGATGGCGTCTCTCCTGCAACATCCTTAGGTTCCGTCAATCCCTCGCCCATCACCAAGCAGTATGACCTCAAGTCCACATATCCATCACACTTTGGAGGGCCTGGAGTCGCAAATGGAGGTATGGACCCCATACCAATCATGGGTACTCCCATGTCTGCACACTCGGCTATCGACCAGTCTCTTCCCTTCGCCATGTCTTCCTCCATACCGCGCTATTTCCTTGACGATTCGATGGCTCCTCATCCATCCTGGAACACGCTCGTCGGTAACATGCGAAATGCCATTGAAGCATATCGACAGGCCATTATTGACGGCCAGCGCTCCGAGTACGTGCGAAGGGCAGAGGATGTGTCCGATCATCTACGAATGCTCCTGGCAGCTGGCTCTGATACTACCGATAACCACTCGGGAAACCCCTCGATCATCTCAACCAATAAAGCACTCTACCCTCACTTCCGCGACATGATGTCCAAATTCTCCAAACTCGTGCTCTCCTCACATATCGCGGCAGCCGACTGGCCTGGCCCAGACTCTGCGACCAAGTGTCTCCACGAAGCAGAGGGCGTTTTACAAGGTGTCTACGGCTACGTTGAGGTTGCCAAGCAGCAACGAGGAGACGACATTCGTCGTTTGACTCCCGGATTTGTCGCCGGTAGCACATCCGGCGGCCACTGGCAGAACAACAACCTCACACGACGAGACCCGACTTCATTCTTGGAACACGAATCCGAATCACACCGCAGCCCGTCCATCTCGCTTGACTCAAAGCTTCTAGAGCGAATCGAAGACCTTCGCAAGATGCTAGCTGTCAGCTCTCGGCGACTAGAAGAGCAGCTTTCCTCCTTCAAGGGCAAAATCGTCACGCCAAAAAGCCATGCCGAGATCGGCGACGCAATATGTGATGCTGGCGTGCCGATAGTTGAAAACTTTCGACCATGGGTGGCGTTAATCGAGTCCATAGATCTATCACACTTTGGTTCTGATCTACAGAACCCGCAACTGGCCGATTTCAGCGTCCAGAAGCAGCGTGTGTACGACGGCATCTCGGACCTAGTGATGAGCTGCCAGAACATTTCGGCGCCTCTGGGCGACGAGTGGGCTGAGATCCGAGGTGATTCGCTCGAGTCTCGCCTGAATAACACCCGCATGGTGTCGAGGCAGCTTTCCAATTATATGTCGCAGATTGGGTTCTCCTTGGCCCTACTACTGGAACAGTCTCCGCAGGAAGTCCAGCTCGGCCCGATTTCCAATGGAGATGGATACAAGGGCCCCAAAGTGCGCAAGAGCCCGCCATCATCGATTGGAATACCATCGAGCTATGGCGTGGGTGATGATTTGGATAAGCCACCCCGCTCCTTGGATAAGGCACAACGATTCTTCGGCCAGCCAGTGCCGAGAGAGCCTACGTCCGCTCGAGAACCAGAGGAAACTCCATGGTTCTTGAAACTAGATCATGAGGCGGAGGTGTTTTACGATATGAAGGGAGACACTCAGCATCTCAAGTGTGGCACGCTGGCCGGCCTCGTTGAGCAGCTTACGCGACATGATAAGCTCGACCCGTCTTTCAAGGATACCTTCCTCCTCACTTATAGATCGTTCACGACTGCCTCGGAGTTGTTTGAGATGGTGGTTCATCGATTTACACTACAGCCTCCGTATGGCTTGACAAAGGCGGAACTACAGATCTGGACTGAACAGAAACAGATCCCTATCCGGATCCGTGTCGTGAACATCCTTAAGAGTTGGTTTGAGAATTTCTGGATGGAACCCAACGACGAGGCAAACACACGTTTACTTGGCCGTATTCATTCTTTCGTCACTGAGGCAGTTGCTTCGACCAAGACGCCCGGCGCGCAACAGCTAGTCAGCCTGATCGAGCAACGCCTGCGCGGACAAGACACTACAGCAAAACGCTTGGTGCCTACCGTGAGCACCAATGCGCCAACACCCATCACGCCCAAGAACATGAAGAAGATCAAGTTCCTGGACATCGACCCTACGGAATTTGCGCGACAGCTAACGATCATCGAGTCTCGTCTTTATGCCAAGATCAAGCCTACAGAGTGTCTGAATAAGACATGGCAGCGGAAGACCATACCCGGCGAGCCTGAACCGGCAATCAACGTGAAGACGCTAATTCTACATTCTAACCAGCTCACTAACTGGGTTGCGGAGATGATCTTGACACAGTCAGATGTCAGGAGACGAGTTGTCGTTATTAAACACTTTGTCTCTGTCGCTGAAGTAAGTGAATTCTGACTACGCTCCTATTGTTAACCATACTAACTTGTCCGATGTAGAAATGTCGACAGTTGAACAACTACTCGACTTTGACATCCATCATCTCTGCGCTCGGAACTGCGCCGATCCATCGACTAGCTCGTACATGGGCGCAAGTTAGCCAGAAGACGGTAGCAACGCTCGAGCAGATCCGCAAACTCATGGCCAGCACGAAGAATTTCGGTGAATACCGCGAGACCCTGCACCTGGCCAACCCCCCCTGCATTCCCTTCTTCGGTACGTACTCTTTACTTCTAACTTGTCCTAGCATACTAACCTTGCTAGGCGTCTACCTGACGGATCTCACCTTCATCGAGGACGGAATCCCATCCCTCACGCAATCTGACCTGATCAACTTCAACAAGCGAACCAAGACGGCGGAGGTCATCCGCGACATCCAGCAGTATCAGAATGCGCCTTACCAGTTGATTCCTGTGCCCGAGCTGCAGGATTACGTACTCAACAACATGCAAGCGGCTGGCGACGTGCACGAGATGTACGATCGCAGCCTAGAAATCGAGCCCCGAGAAAGGGAGGACGAGAAAATCGCAAGGTATGGTAAACACTACTACGACCCGTCGGTCGTTGCACTCTCCCTAACGGTTGGCATACATTGATCCTTGCCATGCCTGCCCAAGCCCTTCACCAAGCCCGTCCACCCAAGCCCGCTGACCACCACCCTGATGGTCACTCCCCTTTTTCTTTTTCCCCCTTCCTATCGCCCTTGTCTATCCAGTTTCCTATCTTGGTACCCCTCCATTTTCCTTTTGTCTTGGGAGTCCTTGGTGTGCGCAGTGGTATATTTGGGAGTTATCGCGATGCGGCTTCTGGGATCCTGCACGTGCAACCATCCTGGCCTTTCGGAGTCGCTCCCCAAGACTTTTTATAAGCATTGTGGCACAGAGAGCAAAAGCAAAAGCAAAAGCCAAAAAACAACATTTCCATCGACGGGGGAAAGTAATAGAAAAAAACCGCAAAAAAACGCAAAAATTCGCAAAAACCAGCCTAGTCGATCAGCTCCTACGACATGGCCAGGGTCTATCTCGCCCTTTCAACGACGTGCCCATGTGCTTTCTGATACTCATTGCTCCCTCATTTGATACCTTCTATTCGCTCCGTGATTGTGGATTAGGATTGTGGCTATATTTCGAGCGTTTATGATTGACTTGAAAGTTGAATTAACCAATCAGCTAATGATTCCCGCGTTTCAATGTAGACTGCTCACAGAGTCAGGGTTCTTGTAGCCTGAATGACCAGAAGCCAACCAAAACTTTCGGGTATCGGGGAGATGAGACGACGAGCCGCTGGCCCAACCAGCCTGCTCATCGCAGCTCAGCTCCCCCTTCCCATCCCACCATCCTGGCCAGCGCTTGCGCGCCCCGCAGCCTCGGGAGGGAGCCCACACCACCCATCCCATCATCTACATCCATCGTCGCCGCCCGACGCGATGCCCATGCGCTACGCTGCAAAGCACTGCACGAATGCGGGTAATGGAACCAGAGTATGGCGCGCATGAACCTACACCCCATCCAAACGCAGCTAAAAGGGCCCCAGAGGCGAGTCACTCTCGCTAACATCCTCGCCGCATCAACCGCATCGTCGTCGCCGTACCTACCAATATGGCATGTGTCTCAAGGGCAGCGGAAGCAAAACTCCACCATGCCATTCTAAACCCAAGTCCCACCTCCGCCATCTTAGCGTCGATGGTGAGCGATGGGCCCTAAGGCCGTCCGCTACCGCTAGCTCGTAAGTATATCCTCACTATCTTTTTTTTTATCAAATGCGAGCCTCAACGGCCTGGCATATGGATCCCAGGCCCACGTCAGCGATGGCCGCGACCTGGCCGTTTATTTTTTTATTTTCTTCTTGTGGTTTTCCACGTGGCGGGGACCAGACTGTCCTATCCTATCGGGAGGTGGGATAGCGTCCCTTAAAAAAAAAATAAGTTATATGTCCGATTACGACAGCCCTTCGTCAAGCGAATATGCACCCTTATAGCCGGCACCAATAGGACGGTATCCTCTACCTGTACCATTCCATCTTTATCGAAATGACTGATGAAATGCAAGTCATGAATGTTTAAATGAAGTCCCTCCCTTGTTCTTGCTCTCTCTTTCTGGGCCCACCACTGTTATCTTAAAGTGCTTTATACTTCTGCCAGTTCTCGACGGATGTACCTGCTTCTTTGTCCCTCTTATCATCTTTTTTTCGGTACACTCGAAAGCTTTCCCCCCACTTGCCGGGGTGTCTTTGCGTCTTGGTTTTTTCTTTTCCTCTTTCTCTTTTGCGCCAAATATAGAATCTGACTGCATGTTACCACTTGGGATTTCACTTCATCTTGTTCGATATTTTTGGATATTACGGAATGCTATCTATGTATTCATACTCATACTCATACTCATATACATATACATATGTGCCTGCAGTGCATATTCAGAACCTTGACTACTCCACCGGAGAAAATATCGATAGCTCACTTCCGTTAATAGCCCGTCCTAGAAACGAGTTATCAAACCAAACAGTAACCGATTCAACCAGGGTGCAAGTGTGAATTCCTCCCTCTCCGCCCCCACCTATCGGAGCCCGCCCTTAAACCGGTATAGCTGCACGTAAAAACCGCCTCCCAGCGTATACATGTAGGCATCCCCGAGCCGCCGCCAACAACTAAACACTCTTAACAAATTTTTCAAATCTCCAGCCCGCCAGCGCAGAAGCCGCACCTCGCTCTTTGCACCGGAACCGCACGCACGTGGAATTAGAACTGGTCGTTATCCAGCAGGGATGCTGTCTCGGATCGCGCGGTCAGGGGTGCTGCCATGGCCCGCAAGTCAAGAGCAAGAGATGGAGGGTCGAGGGTTGGTATGCAGGCAGATTTAAGGGGCTGGGAGTTGGACGCATTAGCGAAGATAACCTTGTGAGAAGGAGGCCTGGTTCAGCCGCTCTCTTCTTTTCTGGCGGAGAGCGCGGTGGGAAGGTTTTGGTGATTGCGTATGCCAATTTATAGTCTACCGCGATAGTCTCGAGATAGGATGAGAACCAACTGTTAGCTAGATTACATGGGCGGGAGAGATCGGACGAAAGGAAGGAGATATACGGAATACGGGGTCTGGAGTACGGATGGAGATATGGAGACGTTGATATAAATATATCAGAGTCGCATCGCTGTAGCCTCATGGTGGAGATACTCAGTCTATCTCTATCGCTTTTCTTTTCTTCTCTTTTCTTCTTCTTGGTATAGCCGAGGCAAGTCAAACGGCGTCTCACAGTACACTTCGTAGATGGACGTAGATAATTGAATATTTATAACAATAACTGAAGGCACAGAAACATGATATTAAGTCTAACTAGATAGCTAGCAATTCTCAGCCATGACGACGTCAGACTTCACGCCGTCGTTTGGCCCTCCGACCGACTGGACAACGATCTTGCTACCGGCCCTCTCCAATTCTATCCTCGTCTCGAACCCGTTCTTCGCCACGGTCGCTATCTCGCTGAGCTCTCCCGAGTCAGAGCTAGCATAGATCTTCCAGAACTGTACGTCCGTCGCTCCGTTCCAGCTCACATGAACCACAACCTTGCCGTCGGGATCAGCACCGCAGGCCTTCACGTTCGGCTTCGTCTTTGGCGTCCCAACCCAGGCACTGCGGTATGCCCGGTAAGAGGTCACCTTGTTGTCGATGCCGAAGCGTGCATTCATGACAATTGCGCCGTTGGCATCGTATTCCTCGATCACGGGAATCGCACCCTGGCCCATCAAGACATGTCCGTTCCCGAGCACCTGGTAGCTTCCCTGGGCTCGAGAGATGACGGGGGTTTGGGCATTCCATACAGAGCGACTCAACGTAGCTTTCTTGGCGGTTAGATCGAGATCCAAGATGATTCCGGTGGTTGGTTTTGTCTCGTTGGCGGGCGTGAAGTCTGCGTTCTCGTTGTTGTGGGTGCTGAGAGTGATCTTGTCGACGGTGTGGCTTTCTACGCGGACTTCGTGCTGGTAGCAGAAGTTTGCGCCAGGTCCGAGTTCAAAGTCGCCGCCGTCTACGCCCTGTTGAAGTCATTAGTGGTAATCCAGAGTCAAGGATCGATGATGGTTTGAATATAGAGTGCTACTTACATTGAGTCGCCAGACAATTTCGCCTTCCTTGGAGATGAGGAAGATTGTGCATGAATATCGAGACGAGACGATATAAGAGTCCCCGGACTTGAAGACGGAGTTGATGTGGATGTAGTTCCAGGGATCCTTGGAGGATGTTCCAGCACCTCCAAGCGGCTTGTGAGATACGGTGACAGGGATTTCATCAATGTGTTCTCGGGCACTCCAGCGGAACAGGACCTCGTTCGTCTTGATATCGATCTCGTAGAACCCTCCGTCTACGACCCAGCCCTGCTCGGGTCCGCCAACAGGTCGAAGGTCCGCCTCGGTGACGTTGACGACCGTCACGACGATGGTTCCTTGCTCGGTGATCTGGCCTTCGTGGTTGTCCATGTAGGACGGGAACGTCTTGGGCTCATAGATGGTCTTGAAGTATTCATCGTCCCCGGGTAGGGTGACCTCGTGGATCCTCTCATAGGAGCTATCGAATATGCTCATGGATCCCAGTCCGAAGCCAGTGTCGTTGACATAGCCGAACCAGCTGACAATCACCGGCTTGCCGTCTAGAAGTTGCGGCTTGAAGCCATAGGTACTTGCGTCGTCGGGGCCCTTCCACACAACCTGGCCATTATCCTCAAAGATAGCAGGATGGCCAATCTTCCGCTGTGTGTCTCTGGGGCTGAAGAATATATATCCAGGCTCCGTCTGGCCCTTCTTCGTGACGTTGAAGTAAGGGGTCTGGATATTTGTGCTCTGGAAGGTCTGCAGCGGCCATAGGGGACTTGGTTCAGGAGCCGACTGTGCAGATGCGAGACAGAAAGTGAGGAGAGTAGCTAGGCAAGAGATGCCAAAGGGGTTGAATCGCTGCATCTTGGGCAGTTTTGAGATCTCCAGCAGCCTCGACAGGTTTCAATTCCGCTTCACGCTTCTCACGGATAGCCGTGGCGGATATATATACATGCATGGCCATCCTGTCCCTCATGGGGGTATACTATTCAAGCTTCTCCCCCATGCTCGCCGAAGCCGAGTTAGAGCGTAGATCAGTTTGAGGTTCATCACTGCCGATGCCTTACCCCGGCCGATGGCCCTGAACCGGTCGATCAGCAGCAGATTCTACTCCATAGCAAATCCCGCATCGGCAGGGGACTGTGGCAGAAGACGGCGATCCTAATTATGGAGAGCTGATGGCGCAGTTCGCCAACCAGCGTCCATCTATATACTTCAGTGGTAGAGCCGGCGGTTCCTCGAGTATAAATATTTCCTCCATACCAAGCAGCAGTTGTTGTATAATCATACTTGGCGGTAAAGTTTTATCCACTCCGTACAAATATCTCAAACCCTTAGGAAGTGTTCCTCTCCTGCCTCTAATTAACGGAGAACAGGCTCCAGAACGCTCAAACGAGGATTGGCCGGCCTGCCGTGCTCATCAGCTCATACTTAAGTAGGTATTGTTGATTCCAGGTATAGTTAACTATCCTTTATATATTGATAGCAAGCTCCCCTGCATAGCCAAGCACCTCAACGTCATGTTCCTGCAATAAATAAACGATAACTGATCCGAGCCACCTCTCGAAATCGCACCGATACGCAATAAATATGACGATGGCCAAAAAAAGAAGCAAAAACGAAGCAAAAAAAGAAGCAAAAAGAAGAACAATACGACCACGATGCGATTCGAACGCATAATCGCTGGCGATAGAGAGCCATCCTTTCAGAAGTTCGAAACCGAAAACCAGCGCCTTAACCATTAGGCCACGCGGCCTCGTATTGGTGGAAGTTGGACCATCCACAACTCTATCTATATCAAAGTTAGTTGCTACTTTTGGTACCTAGTAACGTGCGCATACCTCGCCGATGAATTACAATCATAAGGGGATGGAGGCATACCTGATGGACGTAGAAGATGAGTAAACCCTAGGATAAGTGGTACGATGATCCCGGGAAGACTAAGTATAGAGCGTACCTGCCTAGGTTAAGGATAAGGGGATAACACCTGCACAGGAATCATTTCCATTAAACCACCCGGTATAGTTGTTTAAAAAGGCTCTGGATAGGTCACCATGGAATAATCATATAACTTCACCCGCACCCTAGCTACCTGCTACCAATGGCAAATCAGACTGAAACGATTAGGAGCCTCTCCGGCCAAAGATATTGGCAGGTTGACCGAGGGGTTGTGTGACAGTGGATATGCATTCGTAATCAAATATATAGCGGACCGGTGATTAAAGCTTTAGATATGGCGAGGGCCATGGAAATGACTGAGGCATCAATGTTGTCGTGCATAGAGCGGGGAGTATGGCCCAAAATCGCCAGGGCTTTTCTCCGGCGGGAACGGGGCGGGTGATATCAGCTTGAGGTCGAGGCGCGGCCGTTTCTCTAAGATAGTTAGCGTCCGTCCTGGCTGTGATGTCGCAGAAAGAAGCTTTTAAGAGCCGGGTAACTCCAAAGCTAGGCTACGGGGAAAAGGATAACCATTAACGAGTCCGTGGATGGAGTTGAATATATCTAGTTCGATTACTAGATATATAGTCGCCCGCATCACGGATTGACGGCCATGATCTGGTAGCCACCGCATTGCAACCGGCAAGACAGGACTGCAGCCGGAGGTAAAGCAACAGTTCACTGCTTTCTTGTACGTATAGTGAGGACGAGGGTGTTCAAGTATTGGCAGGGTGTCAGCCCACTAGCCCCCCTCATCTCTTGACTGCATCCGCGTTATTCCGATCACCATAATGACAATGGCCAACATGCCTTGGAGCCATAGCCGGCTCGAATATCCCTGTGCGAGCAGAGTTGGATCCGTGTTTGTGCCCAAGAACATTGGCTTGGGTTGTCATTCATATAAAGTCCGCGGAAAGGGTGAGCATAATTTCCAGCACAAGAACAAAACAGAGTCCTAAGAAGAGATTGTTTATCATTGAGTGTACTGAGAGTGAGTCTCGAGATGAATATAGGATGTTAAGGGAGTGTCTCTCCAAAACGCCAAACTACGCGATATGATTGGCCAAAACGCGTATCTGCTGTATTGTAATAAATACGTTCTTGTTTCGCCAGGAGAAATATCAAAACACATTCATAGATATAGAGCTGAACATCAGAAACGCCGGCTGGAATAATATGAGTTAAGGAATGGCTACTGGCTGTGTCTAGTCTTCAGGGAAATCCTCGTGCAGCCATGGATCACTCAACAGCTCTTTGGCAGTACTCCGCTCTTCAGGCTTCCACTTGATCATCCGCTGCACGAAGCTGATAAACCTCCGCTTCCGCTCTCCGCTCATGTTGTAGACTGTGCTTCCAAAGCTGAAGTCTTCTGGGATGAGGGATGGTTTTTGCAACGTTCCTAGATGGAGTCTAGAGTCAGCAAGCTGCTAGTTGGAAGAGATGAGATGAAAAACTTACCATCTGGCTTATAAAACATTGATGTCCGCTTGCCTTTCTCAAGTAGTTCTTTCGGCGCTGGCCCTAGGAGAGCAGAAATGTATGCGAGATGCTTTTCATCGTCATACTCGTCGGCCACAAGCGGGTCAACGGCTTCAAAAAGCGTTCTGCCTTCCAGAAAATCCCACAGCTTGTACAATCAGCTGGAGAACGCGACAAGGACGCGACAAGATAACATACCATAACCCCCAGGCTCTAAATATCAGCACTGTAGCTGTATTCCTTGTCTAGTATAACTTCTGGTGCACGGTAAACCTCTGCTTGGATACACCCATCATGTCCAGTTGGTTCGTCCCCGCGAACTGCAAGGTCAAAGTCTACAATTTCAATAAGGCCGGTAATCCTTTTTAACGGGCCGTATTCCCTGCGAGACCGGTATATTATACGTCCATCTTCGCAGTGTTTTTGGGGTAGTGGGTTGGTGTGCTCCTCTTGAGCTAATAGGGACAAGAGGGCTGGGTCTTCTAGCTTCACCATGATATTATCAGGTTTAAGATCTGTGTCTGGCGATCAGAAGAAGGTCCATAATTTATGAGAAGTAGGAAGCATATATGTACCAGTGTGAATGATGTGACATTCGGAATGTAAATAGTCGAGCCCCTGGAGAATCATCTGAAGTATTATTCTGAACAGCTCTGGAGGCATAACGCCGCCACCCCATCTTCTGCAATACTGCCCGAGAGGCTCGCGTAGTGGTTCAAAGACAAGGCAGGCGTGAGGTTTTCCTGCCCTAGCACCTTCTTGTGAGAATGAGTCAAGTAGCTGGCGGACGAAATTCCAGCCTGTATGTCGAGGGTTCGCCTCTGAGATATGACGAAGAATGCCCACCTCAGCGTCGCCAGCAGTTTTACGAGTATCATTGTTGGAATTTATCTTCACTGTCACATATCTTTCATTGAACCAGCGCCATCTGAGATATAAAATCAGCACATCTTCGATTATTCGTTGATGGAGGAATAACAGACCGATGAAGGTCCTTAGCAAGCCAAACAGTCGCTCGACTACCATGACCCAATTTGTTCACAATATGGTAGCGGTCACGAAGGATCTCACCGAGCCGCGCCGGATAAAAGCAAGATGGATCATAATATGGAGAGTTTTCTTCTTCAACCAACTGGCCTAGCTCGAGATGAGGAGCAATAGCCGTTGAAGCTGGCCAGGGTTGATGGCGAAGGATTTTAAGGGGCCGTATAATCGAACTCTTAGGGCGTAGCATGGCTACCTAGCTGGCATTCCAGCCAGCTATGTAGGGTCGATGAAAGTTGTTTTTATGCACTGTGATGCAGAGCTTGGAAAGCTTTGAACTAAGGCGATGCAATCCTAACCTAGCGCTTAATATACGATTAAATCGCCTTGTTTGTATTCCATAGTCATACCATCCGTAATATCAATTTTACATCCTTCAATTGAAGTAATTTTCTTCAGAACACCCCCTCTGGGTCAGGAATTTTCCTGTACATGATTTTGAAACAAGTTTCGGCATCAACCACGCCATCAGGGCCAGTATACTCTGGCCTGCTGAACAGTTCTACCTCGTCCAGCCCACCATTCCAAACCGTGATGTGAAAAGCTAGAGAGTGCTTGAATGGTATCCGCCATTTCCACCAGATATCTCCATCACGCACCTTGTATGTTCCAGGGATTTGGTACCCCGGATTTGGTTCGTGTATTTCGTCCCAGAGAGCTTTGTCCATACTATAATACATCACCACTGTAGATTGGGCTGCTGAATTTTCGTCTAATATTGCCATCCAGTCCCCTTGAATTCCTCCTCCGATCGTCTTGCCTTTCTCTGCAAGAAACTTTTTCTGAAAGTGATAGATATCGTCCTCGTTCATACCCAGAAACCCAGTCTCAAAGTCTTCAACTGGTGGTGAGGTGCCCCATGGGTCTACCTTTTCCTGGTCGGGGGTGCGGAGGAGGCTTAAGAACTTAGATCCATTCTCTATCTTTTGACTGTCCTCGAGCAATGTATTGATTACCTGGAATATGGAGGTTAGCCTAGTATGACGTCAACTAAACTCCTAGATTTCATACGCTGGCAGATATATTGGCCGTGCAATATGTTAGGACGGCTGTCATCGTGGATTAAAAGGTAGGGAACGCGGAGTAAATAACAGACAAGAAGAGTAATGAAGATGAAAATATACGATATCGAGAGATGTGGGAAAGAATGATGGTTGAAAGGAGAGTGAGGCTGGTGCTCTTCTATATACCCTGCACCAGCCTCAACTTCTCCCATAGTTACGTGAATTAGTCATGGCCGAGAAGATATCTCCGTTAACAAACGCGACCTTGTACCTCTGGAATAACTACCTTGTAGTTTGAACTAAAGCCAGCCCCCAACAAGGCTATGCGTTATTATACATATATACGCGTGTGTTGGAAGGGATCATTCGTGACTTGCATACTGGCTGAAGGATCATCCTAGGCATAGTACGGAGAATGGAGGTTTATATTGAACTTCTTGACATCAAACAACCAAAGGCAGTTGACGAAGCACTGCTTATTAAACCAGTTTACGTGTATGTTCATCCATCTGTGACTACTAGGGGGAGATCTTCTGCAACATATACCCCAGATCCTTTTTGCATTACCTAGCATGTGGTTATTATTCCGCTACATGGCGACATGAATTATGACAATGTCCATCATTCTCACGTTTCAGTATTCTATGACGGCCGACAACTATCCCGTTAGTTTGTTACTTTCAAGGGTACGGCGGTCACTACTATACGCCTCCCAAGAACCATATATTTTATCAGAGATCAGGCAAAGGTTGCGGTTTTGGCGATACCTAAGACCATCATACTACTTTCGCTTGTGCGTTCCATTACTGTACCCCAGGATAAGGTAGTACCTTTATCCTATAACAAAATATATAGGCGCTTAGGGACATACGGTAGAGACCTCTATACTGCCGTAAAAGTAGTCCTCTCCTTATTCATAATCCTTCAAGTCCAGCCCCTTCATAAAACATGCAGGAGCTGCTTCCTTTCGCCTATGGGCGCCCCAATGTTCAGGCGATCACGGAGGATATTATTCTGGGTCATAGTTGGTTTCAACTATGGTATTTCTACCATCCTTACATCTGAAGCATAGCATATAAGAAGGCGCAACTATCCAGAGCTCTGATAGTTATTCAAGCTCAAGAAACTATCAATTTACCTACTCTGCTTTACATCCTATTGCTTTACAGGCCGTCAAGAACTAGACAGAATCAATATCTCAATATGCATATTTCCAACTCCCTCCTTACCTTTGCCCTCTATGTGGCCAGCATCCATCAGTCTCTGGCAGCGCCAGTGAATCTAGACGAAAATGCAACCTCCAATCTCGCAATCCGCGCCGATCCCGGCGAGAACAAGAAACATGCCATTCAGGCTACAATGAAAGTTAGCGGTGAAGGCTCGTTGGCATTTGATGCCGATTGCTACGCTATTTTGTGCCTGGACGTTGATCCTGTCTTGTGAGTTTTGAATGGATTTCAACACATCTAGACAGGTTAACCTCGATCTAACCTGCCTATGACTCTCTAGCGAGCGAACGAACAGCAAGCATATTAAGAATAACCGAAAGGATTCCGGTGTCACCAAAACGTATCCAAAGGTCAAAGGCACTGGTCCGTTTAGAAACCCTACCCTGTCTGATACTAGTATTCCTGGAGCGGAGTTTGTATCTCCCGAGGAATTTCCATTTGCCTCCACTAAGCAAGGAGGAAAAGAGTAAGTCTAGTGTCCACAACTCTTGCACTATAAATATTGGCTTGCTTACTTGGTGGTTCTTAAAGTGCATATTTGTTCCCTGTGTCCAAGGCAGCCCAAGATTCTCAGGGTGCTTCCATCAAAAACTTCTATACGGAGAACAACATTGAGGACCCTGACGTGGGAAAACAAAACTGGTACGAGATCGTTGACTGGACAGGTACACTTGGGTAAGCGACCTTGATGTTTTTTATAAAATGTCCCATCGCTAACGTTAAAGTAGCCCTTACTGCCAGGCCCTTCATGACAACGGAGGGAAATCTGACAAGCACAACGCGATCTGCAAGAGTGGTGGCGGAGGATCAGGGTCTTGGGGCTTTGACGTTGCTGACTATGCCTACCAGTACAATGGCGATAAGTTCAAGAAGGTTGACAAGGCCTAAACGTTGGGTCATGAGATACAAGAAATTTTGGATGTGATTTTGCTGGATATTAGAATGTATTTTAGATTTTGTGGCTGCCGAGATGTAATGTAAGTGAATATAGAATAGAATTATGGGGCTATATAAATCCTAGTACTCCGTATTTCATGAGGGATCGAGTAAATATGCACTCTCGTGAGTAGAGAAAGGGTTAGCTTTTATATACTTTGATTAAGGTCAAAGCCGCTCGGTAACTTTGCTTGGCACCGAAGACCCATAAAATATGAGTTTCAAGGTATATTATCTAAGCATATCACGTGTATAAAATTTCCACGTGACCTTTCCGTCTGACCCAGCGTTCTTTCTACGTTTTCTTTCTCTCTTGTAAACAAAATATCATCAAGGTCACTTTGTTTTGGCCCTTTGCAGTGAACCAACGATTCGAGGCGCGTCGAAGTGTTATTCTCGGAATACTAGTCTTAGGAGACTAGGAGACTAAGAGGGCTACTTATTACTCCAAGGTGGGCTTATTATAAACATGGTTTGATCTATTTATGGTTCTTCGTTCGTCTCGAACGTCTGACAAGATGATCACCGTCATGCAGGTGCTGGCCTTAAGGCTGAGCAAAGCTTTATCCTGCATATGAAGCAACTTTTCTTTATTCTCTCTTCTAGTTCTGGCCGTCTTTACTGGCTACTATGCTGCAATTTATACCCAATTTACTTTACTCGATGAATCCGGGTAACTGTTGGTTTAAATCGCATTATACTATTTGTTGCCAACGCCTTGGATGACCGCGATCGTGTTGAGTTTTCCACGGTGTGACACAAGTCGGCTTATACCCCCATCATCTACGAGATTCTTTACCTTCAGCCCTTTCTTGGTAAGGCTCGCTGTTCGGCCCTTCTTGTGTCTATTTTTATTGGTTGGTGGGGTCGCCCGGAGCCTTGGTATATCCCGAGGGGTTCATCCTTTGGATGAAGATACTGCTGTCCCAAGGCTATTAACTTGCATAAGGACGCATATTTGGCGCGACAGACGTTGTTATTGACCCCCAACAAGGATTGTCGGCTCCCTTAGCCTGGTAATGTGTGACACAGCTGCGGATCAGTTACAGCCCATAGCATGCGTGCATGTTTCAAGTTTATGCCATATCTATCTCTTATTTCCTACGGGCGACGAAACCATTTTATCTATCCCTCTTTTTCGGATGATCGAAGTGCATGTTTCAGGTACCTTTTTATGCGTATAGCGCCTCTTTTCTCAAGCCTACATTTCCTTGTTGACAGGAAAGAAAATCTGCACTTCACTGCCTCAAGTCCTTTTGGATATATTGGAAGTACATCTACTCCTCAAACATAGAAATACATCACCTGCCACTCAATGAAGAAGATGGCTGGAGAGTTGATAAATATGTAACCCTTTACATCCAGGCTCCTAGGGCAGTCTTTATTTTCATTTTGGTCAACACTCCATGGGCTTGATGCTCTTTTTATTTCTCTGGCTTTTTTTAACCATAGCCTATTTCATTTTGCTTCTTACCATTGCTGGAGTGTGCCTGGTTCACGCGTCCATATACCCCATATCCCCACGCTCTTGTTTAGATAACAAACTGTACACACAACGACGGACTTATTTCCTTTTTACGCGTTAAGATACCCTTCACCTTTCCTCTTTTGTTCTTATCCTCCTACTAAACTACTGTTCACGTTGCTTTGCGTATTTTGTTTAGCCCTCTACCAATTCCCTTGTTTTGCTCGTTGGCTTTCTTCCTGTTCAGCACGGCCTGTTTTGATCTCTTTGTGCATTGTTTCCTCTACCTTCGAGGCTATGGCACCAGTGCTCGATCAACTGGCAATTCGCGCCACCCTTTCGACGCGGTCGTTTGGACTCGGTGGACCTGCCTCTTGCATGGCTATCATAAATATCGTGATGACCAGCGTTGCGATTGCCCTCGTCTTGAATCGCGTGGTTGTTCGTATGACAACAAGCAAGAAGCTAGCATCAGATGACTACGTTATTATCGGATCACTGGTAGGTGTGCCATTGCCTTTACTTCACTATGATGGCCTGTTAATTGACCATGATTATTTTAGATCGTCTGCATTGCGATGAATGTTGCGAATATTGTAGGTACGTTATGCATCCCATGGATTTGTTGTCTCTCTACCCCTCGTTTCGCGTATCTAATTTCTATATAGCTGTCCATCATGGTTATGGGCGGCCTTCATCTGAAGTTTCGGATGGTGACCTGAAAATTGCTCTCGAGGTTTGTTATTCTAACAACATGTGTTTTCATTATTGTGCTTTTAAACTGATCCCTTCTCTAATATAGTTATATTTTGCGCTTCAGATGCTTTACAGGGTGACCATAAATATGACAAAGCTATCGATTCTCCTTCTATACCGCAAAATATTCGACACTAAGAGATTTCGATTCAAACTCATTTGTGACATGCTTTTCGTCTACATCATCCTCTACACAGTCGCAACCTTTTTGGTCACGATCTTTCAGTGCGACCCTATTCCAAAGTCTTGGGTTAGAGATATTCCTGGGTCATGCATCAACGTTCCCGCATTCTGGTACGCAAACGCGGCTCTGCATACCTTGACCGATATTATAATCCTCATCCTTCCTATGCCGGTCATTAAGGGGCTGAAGTTGCCCACAAGGCAAAAACTCGCTATGAATGTCGTGTTTGCCCTTGGAATATTGTATGTGTCATCCTCACTTTCTACTCCTTGCGGTAATCTGAAAGCGCACCGACTAACCCCCACTGTTAATTAGCGTTTGCGGAACGTCAATTGCACGCATGGTTACTCTCAACGCCTCATCTAAAGCTAGTGATGTGAACGAAGGAACAGCGCTATCGACGCTGTGGACAACCATCGAAGCCAACACAGCTATCATATGTGCTTGCCTTCCAATGGTCAGAATTCCGTTATCGAAGTTTGTCCCATCGCTATTTCCAGCCTTTCAATACAGCGACAGTAACTCGGTCGCCTTGAGTGAAGAAAATAACAATATTATTACTGCTAAACCGGATAGCCCTCGTGTTACCACTTGGTGCTCACAGCGAAGCTCGGGCACCCTTGCCGCCTCCGAGATGCAAACCCCGATGTCAAATTCTTGCAGCCTCGCCAATGTTATCTTTCCCACCTGGGGATAAGAGATATCTAGAGACCATGACGGAAGCAAGTGCTTTGCTCGTTCCCCTTCTCTACCCCCTTTTTTCCACCTTTTTGTCTTTTTTTTTTTACATTTTTTATCCAGGTTGGTTGCATTTGGTTTATGATTTTCTTATACCTTTTCATGCTACTGACGTTTCCTAGGCTGGGTTTGTTTTGGCGTTTAGGGCAAATACGCGGTATGGAGGAAATGGCGTGCAGGATATGTATTGATGAATGATGATTCTGACGGGCGGAGTTACTGGCAGGTACCTTGTTTCAAAGCGCACTTTCAGAGTATGTGATATGATTGAACTATAGTTAGGATTTACGGTCTCGAATGCATGTTTCTCGAGTTCTATCCTTCTTTTCTCCCTTTGTCTCCTTTTTTTTGAGGCTCTTATCGCCGTTATCTCTTATCAGATCGAGGCGCTTATCGGCTGCTGACTAAGACGCCAAAAATCGCGACACAACTTGCCCACGAAGCAGCTACAACAATTGGCACTCTGGCAACGGCAGCTGAGTTTTTGCTGTGCTCTCAGGATTATGGGCCCAAAAAAGGGCGGCGGAAACCGTGCTGGGCCCAAGAAGACCCCCAGCTCACAGCCGGCAGAGATTTCTATCTCTGACTTTGTTGCTGCCGGCGACAAAAATGAGGCTAAAAAGTCGAAAGCTGGAGCCAAGTCCAAAGGGAAAGATGCCGGGGGGGAGACATCAACTACCAATCCGGAGGAACCGAAGAAGCCTTCTGTGAGGGCTGTCATAGGAGGCGCATCATGGACGGGGAAATTACCGGTAAACATGCTCTCTGAGCATTGTCAAAAGCAAAAGTGGGGGAAGCCTGAGTATACAATGGTAAGTTACCGTCTTCGGATCATTGATGCTATATGAAGTCGGGTAGTCCTATCCCTGGCCTTTGGGAAGCTTCTTACTGACGGAATAGACCAAAACGCCTGATGGATTTTTGGCAGGCGTCGTCTTAAAAAAGGTCAATCCGAAAACAAATGAGACCGTGACCTTGCCTCCATTTCGGCTGCCGCCATCCCATAAGAAATTGGGCACGCAGCCAACGGCTGTGGAAGCCCGTCACTTTGCTGCCGCTTACGCCCTGTTCCGAGTATGCAATATGCGAAATTTGCACATGATGATGCCCCCGACTTTCCGTGATCTTTGGAAGGATGAATTTACAACGCTTAAAGCGGACGACGTCAAACAGGGGAATGGGTGGATGTATGAAGCTGATCCCTTCACTACATTCCAAGAAAGAAATAACGCCGCAGCGGAACTTGCACGGCGGAAGGAGCTGAAGGCAAAGGAGCCGCCAAAACAAACCGAAGACCGTGTTCAGCTCGGACTAACGTCTGGTGGAAGTAAGGGTAGCAGTAATACAGCAGGCCGTTGGTTGAAAGCTCCAAAGGTTGACATGGGAGACAAAGTTCGGAGGAGGGTTGAGGACCTTATTCGGCAGAGAGCTATCTGGAACCCCTACCGGGTCGAGATACCCGAAGCTGGCAAAAGAAACATTATAAATGAATTCACTCAGCTTGGCTTTCGAAAGAGCCATGTTGAAGAAGCTCTTTCAGAATGTAAAGATAGAGAGGAGACTCTTGAATGGCTACTCATTCATATCCCAGAGGACGACCTTCCCCCATGGGGCCTCCCAGAGGGATATACAGCTGGCATTACATTGGCAAGTAGTGACCTCGCGAGAGAATCTAAAATAAAACGGTTGGCTGCTGCGGGATATTCAGCAGACTTATGCAGCTCAGTTCTTGATAAATATGGAAACGATGAACGACTGGCTGCTGAAGCTTTGCAGCACATGTTAATCTATAGTGAAGACCTCTCTGTCAAAACCGATACCCCGAACAACGATAATACGGCTTGGGAGGAAGAACATCAAACTTTAGAGGCTATTTTTGATACCAAGTATAAGAGGCTATCTCAAGATGCATGTCAAGTCATGGCAGAACCTACGTCTTTGCCCCCTATCACATATTCGTTTTGGAACCCAACGTCAGCCGCTTACCCAGACATTCCTCCGGTTGTGGCGATACTGACGAAAGAAATACCGGCATATATACGGTTGAGCGCAACGAGACAGGCAATACGTTATGCACTCAGTGACCTCCGGGGAGAGCCAATGGTCTTCAATATAATTGACTGGCTGAATGAAAATCTTCCTCGTATTCTCGAGAACCCTGGAAAATTACGAAACATATCTGTTGAGGCCGGTGACAATGCTGGTGGCGACGAACAAGCGCCTTCAATCACAAACCCCAGGTCGAAGTCGGCCAGAGGAATGGTCTCCCGGCCTAAGATGTCTGGAAGTGCTGACATACGCCGTAATTGGGAAGCTAAGCAATCAACCCCGGAGCAACAGAAGATGCTCAAGGCAAGACAATCTCTACCAGCTTGGGATATTCAAGATGAAATCCTAGACCAGGTGTACTCGCACCAGGTGACAATCGTCTCTGGGGAGACAGGTAGTGGCAAGAGTACTCAATGCGTCCAGTTCATCCTAGACGATTTGATCAGACGAGACCTTGGCTCATCAGCAAACATTGTCTGCACGCAGCCGCGAAGGATCTCAGCCCTGGGCCTTGCTGACCGAGTCAGCGCAGAACGATGCTCAAACGTTGGCGATGATGTTGGGTATACCATTCGAGGAGATTCAAAGTCGAAGCCAGGTGTAACCAAGATTACATTTATGACGACTGGTGTCCTTTTGAGACGCCTTCAAACAGCGGGTGAAAGCGTTGTCGAGTCCTTAGCCAATGTTAGCCATGTGGTCCTTGATGAGGTTCATGAGCGAGGCCTCGACACTGATTTTCTTCTCGCTGTTTTAAGGGAGGCGTTAAAAACCCGAAAGGACCTCAAGCTCATTCTTATGAGCGCCACCCTTGACGCTAATATGTTCATCAATTACTTCGGCGGAGATAAGCAGGTAGGGAGGGTCAATATTCCTGGGAGGACATTCCCTGTTGATGATATATATCTCGACGATGTCCTTCGAAGCACTGGATTTGCGGCCAGCATGGGCTATGGAGCCTCAGAGGAAAGCGAGATATCACTTGGTAAAACGATTCAAACGCTTGGAGGCGGAATTAATTACGACCTCATTGCGAGGACGGTGCAGCATATCGATGCTCAACTAGGCGACGAACCTGGTGGCATCTTGATTTTCTTACCAGGAACGATGGAAATAGACCGATGTTTATCTTCGATGAGGCACCTTCCTTTTGCCCATTTACTGCCTCTACATGCGTCTCTTCTACCAAGCGACCAGAAACGAGTCTTCAACGCACCGCCGCAAGGAAAACGAAAAGTGATTGCAGCGACGAATGTTGCAGAAACGTCCATTACGATAGAAGACGTCGTTGCAGTCATTGATACCGGTCGCGTGAAAGAAACCCGATATAACCCCGTCGATAACATAGTGCGATTGGAAGAAACATGGGCATCTCAGGCAGCTTGTAAACAGCGCCGGGGCCGAGCTGGACGTGTTCGAAATGGTACCTGTTATAAATTATATACTCGAAACGCGGAGATGAATATGGCCCCCCGGCCCGAGCCAGAAATTCGCCGTGTCCCGCTTGAACAACTCTGTCTCTCAGTAAAAGCGATGAGAGGGATTCAAAATGTACCTGAGTTCCTGGCAAATACGCTCACACCTCCAGACAATGTTGCCGTCGGCGGAGCACTGCATATGCTTCACCGTATTGGTGCTCTTGACAATGACCAATTAACTGCTCTTGGTCGATATCTATCGATCATCCCGGCTGACCTGCGTTGTGCTAAATTGATGGTCTACGGTGTAATTTTTGGGTGCATTGAAGCATGTCTAACCATCGCGGCTATCTTGACTGTCAAGAGCCCCTTTGCAAGTCCAAGGGAGGCCCGTGAGGAGGCAAAGGAGGCTAGAAGTTCATTCTCCAATGGAGACGGAGATCTTCTAACTGATCTGGCCGCGTATCAGCAATGGACAGAAAAGATTCGTGAACAAGGATACCGAAAAGCCCAATTATGGTGCCGAGATAACTTCCTCCTTCCACAGACTTTGCAAGATATCTCGTCAAATAGAGCTCAGCTCCTTGGATCATTGAAAGATGCTGCACTTCTTCCGGTCGAATACAAGGACCCCGAAAGCCAAGGTCGATGGAATCGACATGACAAAAACTCCCAGCTACTCCGCGCATTGATTTCGGGTGCATTCAATCCCCAGATTGCCTCTATCTCGTTCCCAGAGAAGAAGTTCGCAGCTTCAATGACGGGAACCATCGAACTTGACCCTGAAGCGCGCACGATCAAATACTTTAATCAGGAGAATGGCAGGGTATTCGTGCACCCGAGCTCGACCTTGTTTGATGCACAAGCGTTTTCAGGATCTGCGCAGTACGTGAGCTATTTTACAAAAATGGCGACAAGTAAAGTCTTCATTCGGGATGTGACGCGTAAGTATTTGTTCCTATCTCCTGTAACTGAACATACCTGACTAATTTTATGCTAAACAGCATTTAACTCTTATGCCTTGCTGTTATTCACTGGGCAGGTGACGCTGGATACTCTAGGCAGAGGTGTGCTGGTTGATGAATGGCTTAGACTTAGAGGATGGGCTCGGATTGGAGTTCTGATTTCTCGGCTGAGGATGATGCTTGATGAAGTATTGAGGCAAAAAGTTGATAATCCGAGTCTCGACGTGGGCGAGGACGAAGTGATCGAAATCGTTCGTCACCTTGTCTTGCTTAACGGCCAAGATTTCTGATGACCATTATTCATGAACATGCCATTACGATTTATTCTTCTCATTTTATCACCTGATTGGATAGGTTTTTTGGGTTTCTGGACGAATTGCGACTTTCGCTTTATAGATAGGATTAAAGGGTTGGGTAGAGTTGAATAAAATGTCGTTCCCGGTTTGTTTCATGCTGGTCCTAAGTTATCGTGTGGCCCGAAAGAGGTTACAGTATACACTCCGCTAAATCACTCCAAAATAATTCAAAAATAATATACATTATAATATTGATTCGGCACGAAATGATGACCAAATTTCGTGAAATAGCTGAAAGTACATTATGGGGAGTCGTATTCCTCGAATCGCCATATGATGGAAAGGACGCTTTTAATTGATGTTAGAGGAGCGTTATCGTCGACGTAAAAGACAAGCTGGTATGTTGTTAACACGCATCTCCTGCCTATTGTCAGCCAAGCCAATCATATGCGAGGCTACTTCAAAAAAAAGGCTTGGGATCAAGTGGACATGCACGAAATAAGACGGGATGTTTATGCTCGAGTTTTTACTCGACCACCACTGGACTTAACCTTTCGGGCTTCTGGTCGGTTGATATGATGGGCTGGGATCCATTCAGTATCATAGGTCTTAGTGGAAGGAGTTCCATCAGTGGCAGGTGCCTGGTCTGCAGCATCTACAGAGGACGAAACACCTGCAGATTTTCGGGGACGATCGGATCCCTTGCTAGCCTTGCGTTTCTGAGGGAAGTAAGGTGCGATCCAGAGGGTGTAGAAGAAGTAGACGGAGCCCGCGGAGCAAGCCAGAAGGAAGACGTAAAGGAAGAGACTATAGTGCAAGCCGATATGTTAGCGAGTGAAACAGAAAGGAAACAGAGTAGATGGCTGAAGCTTACACTTGTGGGTCGAAGATGCTGGTGTCTTGCTCCACGATGCTGACGGTGCCATTGTAAGCGGTGATCGGGTGCATGATTCCCTTGCTATCGCTAATGACAGCAGCGAGATTCAATGTCAAATCTTGAGGGTGCATTTCGGTGGCGAAGCTGTAGGGTAGCGTGATGTGGTCTCCGGCTGGGACGTCCATGCCATATGGAGTTGCGGTGAGGTTTCGAACATTGACGGGCGGCTTTCCTGGAGCGGCAATGCTCCAAAGAGAACCTCCAATGACGGTTACAGTCACAGGCTCTGGGTCTGCGTTGGAGAATTGGAGGAGTGCTTCGGTAGGTTGGCCATTGACAAGTTTGACGCCGAACACCTCAGCCTTGGGGAACGAGGCTGATACCGTCACGCCTAGCTTGGGAAGCTCAACCGGAGATTCCGTCTTTTCCTCAGTGTCGGCCTAGTACCGTTAGCTAACCATAATCCCAATTGCGAGCTGTTATCCATGTCTAGATATAGATAACTTACAGATCCCTGGCCATTGACAAAGACGGTCTGGGCTGCGAGGAGCGCAAGGGAGAAAAACGAGAATTTGCCCATGCTGGCGATGGATTGACCAGGAACACGGCGACGACGGAGAAGACGAGAACAAGGGGAGAGAACGGGGTGCTTTGCAGGGAGTTTTGGTGCGATGTTGGTGGTGTTCGTGTGGCTTTCCTTAATATTCTCCACGTATACAGCATCGCCGCTGAGTCAGCAGGCGCTTACCCGCGCGGCTTCGTTAGCGCGCTAATCTCATTTTTGGCCGGGTGGATGAAACGGGAGAGCAGCGCGTAGAGAGCATCATTCTTTATACCACCACCCGCAGTCCTTTTTTTCTTTATTGAGCTGACTCTGGCGGCCTGGATATATCTTCCTTGCACACTCCTTGGCCCCTGTTTCCTTTCCGTTGTTATTTTTTTTTGTACAGCTCTCAAGATGTCTCCGATATCTGCCCAAGCTCAGGAGTTCTTCGGCCGGTACGAGCAATTGAAAGCAATCGAGCAGACCAAGAATCTTCTGATAGAAGTGTGTATCCCCTGCCCAAATCTTTGCGATGGCCCCTCGTCTGTGGCAGTTCTAAAGCTAGTACATTGAGTTCTAATTTGACCGTTTCTGTAGGATTTACTAAATAGAGTTACGGAGCTTGAAGACGCCTACCAGCAAGAGCGATTAGACCATGACAGGGAAACCAGATTTAACCGTGAGGTGCAGATGCACGAAATGGAGCTTATGGAACAGCTGACGAGGTTTAAATCGGCCATGGTACGCGGGCACCCTTGGGGACTGATGGATTCCCATGGCAGTATTCGGGTTGATCCTAAGCTAAAGACCAATTCCCAATAGGACCAAGAACCCTTTGTGGTTGCGCTTCTAGACGGTGACGGCATGATATTTCGAGATTCATTAGTCCAACAAGGCGAGCAAGGCGGGAAAGACGCTGCGAATCAGCTCTGGTTAGCTATCCGTGATTACACTTCCGAAACCTTCACCAACATACACTCGCCGAAGATCGTGACGAGAATATATGCCAATGTTCGAGGATTAGGGGAGACTCTCTTTAAAGCTGGAATTATTGATAGATCTTCCGTCTTTGAGGATTTCGTCCGTGGGTTTAATGGGAGCAGATTACTCTTTGATTTCGTGGACGTTGGGAGTGGTAAGGATAGGGCAGACGATAAAATTACTGGTATGTTTCCCGCTCAAGTTGTAATTTTTATTCTATCTTGTCCGCATGTTAACACGTTATCTCTACGTCTCTAGAGGTTCTGAAATTGAATTTGTTCAATTGCCATTGTCAGCAAATATTTCTGGGCTGCTCGCACAACAACGGCTACGCACGCCTCCTTGAAGATAATATAGCCGATATTGAGCTCACGAGAAGAATAACTCTGTTAGAGGGGATTCCATTTGAAAAAGAATTAGCCTCCCTTACAGGCTCGTATAGAGTGACTAAGTTTAACGGCCTATTCCGAGAATCAAAACTGGTGGCCTTGCCAAATCATATTTGGGAGAGCACTGCCACCGCAGCAAGCTCGTTCTCGTCATCACATACGGGGTTACCAAATCCTCGAACCGTGAGCAGAACTCCGTCTAATTCCAACGGAACAACAACTACTACTTCTGCTGCCTCCGCTACCTCTGGTAGCAGCAGTACGGCGCCGACCACATGGGCTTCAGCAATTGCCGCCAATGCAAATACAACTTTCAAAGATTTAACGCCATCCAAGCCAAGTACCCCATCCCCACCCACGATTGAGCGCAACAAGTATGGCCAAAGAGTCGATCGAATTGATTTTAAATCTGCGCCCAAGGACGAATTAAATCGCGTGAAGAAGCTGAAACTATGCAATTTATATTTTCTTTTGGGCGATTGCCCCAACCCCAACTGTTATCATACACATGATTACAAGCTTGGGAAACAAGAGCGTGTTGTCCTCCAAGTTGTGGCAAGGATGACGCCTTGCCATTTTGGTACCGAATGTGACGATGCGGCGTGTATTTATGGCCACCGATGCCCGCTCAGTGAGACCGGGAAGAAGGATTGCTACTGGGGATCAAATTGTCGATTTGATACTGATGCCCACGGCATTGATACTAATATTGTTAAACTTACCAAGGTGTAAATCAGGCGCTATATTTCCTGCCAGTTAATCCCCCATCGATTGTCATTCTTTAGCATGTTTACTTTGTTTTATTAGTTTGATAGCTCGGGGATCTATTCATTTTTTGTGTATCGTATGGATGGGATGTTTGTACTTGATTTCTTTTAATATACAGCTTTACTCTTACACACAATCAAATATAACCATTTAATTGTCTTGTGCAAGTTTAGCTTCATTAGCTAGTTATTACAGTATCAACTCATTGAACTTTTGAGCAAAGGCAAATTATGAATGTCAACGTCACTGCGTCATAAGCTACTGACAAATGCCAGTTCAAACAAGCGCAAAAGGGGTATATATAAAAGAATAATGAACGCCAGGATCGCCACAAACGGACAAATTACAAAACTGCTAAATAAAGATGAGAGAAAAGAATTATAGTATAGTTGTCTCAAACATACGGAAACGTCTTTCCCACCCGAGGAAATCGGGATCTTCGTCCTTGTTGCTTTCAACAGATCCTCCTCTATTTCTAGCCTTAACGCCATATTCTTTGATACAACAGGTGAATGGTTTTGCAGAGACAGCATCAGCTTGTCCTGCATAAAAAGCTTCTATGCTTTCGGTCTTTCGTTCTTCCAGGTCACCCCAGAGAAGGAATAATTTTTCTCGAAGTTGAGCCAGCATTTTCGGGTTTTCACGTAGACTATATATGTCAGTTAGTTATATCCGCTTGCAATGAATTATACGTTCGCAGTTATAGCAACTTACTTCACAGCATTAATCTGAAGGAGGAATTCCGCATCAGAACCGGACACAAATAGGGGCATTCGTTCTCGTGTTTGCCCTCGCGGGAGGTGGGGGATGTTCGGACCGCCGTCTTCAACAAGTAGACAAAACCGCCATTCCCACCTAAGGCGGGCCCCAGGCGGAGAATTTTCGTCACTGTCGTCAGATAGCGCATCGCCGTCTTTGGAGAGGATTGCATGGTCCGGGTTATACAAAACGGAGAAATCTCCTAAGTCATGTGGGAAGAAGTCGACGATTCGTATGGATGAGCGGTATCGCACATTTTGGAAAGGCAGCTGAAATTCGATACCGTCAGGACCCTTGATTTTATGGGTATCCGGGTCTAGGATGTCTCTGATCAGTCGACAGGGTATGGCTGGGTTGGATGCTCGTACTATTGGAAGACCGTTAGACGCAATCAAAGGATACGTAAGGCTGAATACCTGCATACTATGAGTATTCAATTCGTCTCTTTTGACAGGAACTAGACGGGGCAGCTCCGGCTGATCTGGATCTTTCTTTTTCGTTCTCTTTTCCTCCGCTTGCTTTTGTCTCTTCTCCTTGTCTTTCTGTTTTCTTCTCTCGTCGGCAGCGTCAGAACTAGACCGTTGTCGTTTATTGCTCGTGTCTCCTAACCGTTGAGGCAGCATGGTCCGTAATCCCCGCCAATATTCCTGCTTCCGCTGCACTAGTTGCTTAATATGAGGATCTGTTTCGTTATCGTTGATGATGTATACTTGTATCTTGTTAGGGTATACCCTATCTATATGGAGTGACCCTTCCATCTTGCCGGACTGTTTGTTCATTTTGATATTGACATTATATAGCGTAACATAGTCATCCACCTTGACTCTTTCCCGTGCAAAGCTAGCATGCGGGTCCCAGAGCGTGACATGGATGGTCATCGTCCCAAACGGGCCAGGCCATTCTCTGGTTTTCTGGGTATTGATGTATTTATACTCGGTATCACTACGTCCACCAGATTCTCTTGACGGAAGAGCATACTGGAGCAAGTGTTCATTGGATGTATAATCGGTAACATAGAGTATGAATTTTTCACCTTCATTATACGTTTTGACAACCTGGCCAGTTATATCGGCATAGGTGGCAAACGTAGCGTCCTTAAGTAGGCAAAACTTGCGACTCGGCTTTGGAGCTCCTGTCACGCCGCCACGGCTCGGCGTTGGTGCATTGGATGTTGATATGTTAGGCTCGTAGTGTCCCTGGCGCCTTGGGGTCTCATTCTGCTGGTAACCAGAAAAGCCTGGGACGGAGCTGCCATTGAGCAGGTAGAGTGCATATTCTCTCTCCTCTGCTGTTGGGCCCAGTGTGCTAGGCTTGTTCCTCACTACAGGTGCAGACGATGGACCCCGGCTCTTCCACAGGGTCCAGGAAATGTTTTCTGCCTGCGAAGACTCGTACATACGGACTCCTTTGACCATGGTGGACTATTACAGACCGTAAGTATTCGCGTACGTCCCGGAGAATGTGTATGGATAGCCCACCTTGAGATTCCGCAGGAGGACCACATCGCCCACCTCAGGGGCCGGAAGATGTTCCTGCTGGCTATGAAAGTATTTCACCTTGAGGCCGAGCCATGATGCCGATTCAAAGTCGCAGTCCTTCAGCGTGAATGTGCACATATAGGAGCGCCTAGCGGTCAAGGTTGGAGGGAGCGCATCCACCACGGCGCCGATGATATTGACTGAGCCATAATGCCTGGACTTTGCCGCAGAGACAGTCTCGAAGCCAGGAGGCAGTCGGCGCATCCTGACGCTGTCTATCAACCGTTCAAGCTCGTACAATCACTCTGGTGAATGAAACCCGGCCAACCAGGTAGAACGAAGCGTAGACATCCGGTCACTCAAATATTCCACCTCAATTCTGGTTCTGTGTCTTCTCGTCTTCTCGCCTTCTCGTCTTTCTCGTCGTTATTCTTCTGGTTGTCAGTGTGTCTCGTCTATCTCGTCTTTCGTCCAGGTCGGCGCTAGCCAAGCCAAGCCGAAGAAGAAAACACCACCATCTCAAACCATCAACAAACCTCCCACCACCGCCATCACCACATTCTTCGCTCGACCTCGCTGCACCTGGTAACTCTCCCTTCTCTGCGCTCGCTGGCTCTGGCTCGCTTTCAGGCTGCTCTCCCTCTCGTCGTCGCCGTTACTGACTCGTGCCGCATAGGCTTCTCGCAGCAAGAAAATATCTGTGACAGGGACAGCCCCTCATCGTCTGCAATCAGCTGTGTAATCTACCGACCACGACCACCACCATGGCTGAACGCTACATCCCCGAGCATCGTCGCACCCAGTTCAAGGCCAAGGGCACCTTCAAGCAGGATGAGCTCCGTCGTCGCCGTGAGGAGCAGCAGGTGGAGATTCGCAAGCAGAAGAGAGAAGAGAATCTCGCCAAGCGAAGAGGTATCGGCACTCGCGAGGGCGGCATAGGAGGTGATGGCGGCATGCTTGCAGACAGCGACGATGAAGCTGGCCCTATCGAAACTGAGGTGTGTATACCTGCCTCTTCGTCTTTTCCTGTCTTTACGCTGTAGACGCTCCTGTGGCGACTGCGGAGGGGGTTTACACCACCCTTCCCCTGACACATCCTATACGACCGAGATTTTACACTTCTATATTTTAGCGCCATGAGACGATGTGGCTGACGTTTATAACCCGTATAGTTGGATGCCGAGCTTCCAGAGATGGTCAAGGGTGTGTTCTCAGACCAGATCGAACTGCAGATTCAGTCCACCACAAAATTCAGAAAACTGCTCTCCAAGGAGAGAAACCCTCCAATTGAACGTGTTATCGAGACCGGTGTCGTCAGCCGCTTCGTCGAGTTCCTACGATCGCCCCATACTCTTGTCCAGTTTGAAGCTGCTTGGGCGTTGACCAACATCGCCTCTGGATCTGCGCAGCAGACCCAGGTCGTCATCGAAGCCGGAGCTGTCCCCATATTCGTCGAGCTCCTAAGCAGCCACGAGCCTGATGTGCGGGAGCAGGCTGTCTGGGCTCTCGGAAACATTGCTGGTGACAGCCCACAATGTCGTGACTTCGTCCTTGGTGCCGGTGCTCTTCGCCCGCTCCTCACTTTGCTTGGTGATGGCCGAAAGCTGACCATGCTCCGCAATGCCACCTGGACCTTGAGCAATTTCTGCCGAGGAAAGACTCCTCAGCCAGACTGGCCTACTGTTCGTGAACCCTTATACTCGTTTAGTATCCTTTTTTTTTTTTTTTTTTTTTTTTTGTACTAACTCTCTGCTGCTGTAGATTGCCCCAGCGCTCCCTCTTTTGTCAAAACTTATCTATATGCTTGACGACGAGGTGCTTATTGATGCATGCTGGGCTATCTCTTATCTCTCAGATGGCCCCAATGACAAGATCCAGGCTGTCATCGAGGCTGGTATCCCCCGCCGCTTAGTTGAGCTCTTGATGCATGCTTCCACATCTGTCCAAACTCCCGCCCTACGATCGGTAGGTAACATTGTCACTGGAGACGACATCCAGACCCAAGTCATCATCAACTGCGGCGCTCTCACTGCTTTGCTCTCGCTCCTGAGCTCGAATAAGGATGGTATCCGCAAGGAAGCCTGCTGGACCATTTCCAACATCACAGCCGGTAACCCAACACAGATCCAAGCTGTTATCGATGCCAACATCATCCCACCGCTGATCCACTTGCTCTCTCACGGAGACTTCAAGACCCGCAAAGAGGCCTGCTGGGCCATCTCGAACGCTACCTCCGGTGGTCTCCAAAAGCCAGACCAGATCCGCTACCTTGTTACCCAAGGTTGCATCAAGCCCCTTTGCGACCTCCTCTCCTGCCCTGACAACAAGATCATCCAGGTCGCTCTCGATGGTCTAGAAAATATCTTGAAGGTTGGCGAGATGGACAAGGAATCTGGCCAGGGTCCTGAAGCAAACATCAACAGATATGCTCTCTTCATCGAAGAGGCTGGTGGCATGGAGAAGATCCACGATTGCCAGAACAATGCCAACGAAGAGATCTACATGAAGGCATACAACATCATTGAGAAATACTTCTCCGATGATGATGAGGCTGGTGCCGATATTGATGAGCTTGCACCCCAGCAAACCCAGACTGGATTCGCCCTTGGCACCAACCAGCAGCCTACCGGCACCTTCAACTTTGCTAACGGTGGCGACTCTATGGATATGTAAATGCCATATTTGGCATGCCTGTTGGCTCAGATTTCATTCCCATTAGCTTTCTACGAAGTCCTGCCATCAGCAGAATGATATCTACTTTTCCTGCTACCATTCTAACATCCATCCCTTTTGCATATTTTCTCCATGTTCTCCTCCTCTTTACCTTATCGCCACTTCCCCCACGCCATTGATTCTTTTACATTTGTAATGAACGTTATATCATGATACACAAGATTCACAGTCATGTAACCCCCTGAATGTCTCTTTTTTTTGGTATTTCCTTGCATCAACATTTCCCCTAGCAGGTTTCATTCATACAGGCGTCGCTTTTTTTCTTTTCTTTTTATTCAATTTCATTGTTTGACTTTCCCCCCTTTTCCCCACACCATTCCAATCCTCCCCATCCTGCGCCTCCCCATTCACCATACTTGCTACAAAATCCCAGTTCTTCAAGTCGAGTTTGCCTTGCTAGTGTATTTACCAAAATTCTTTAAGGCAAAAAGTGGAAGTTCCCCCACCTACTCGTTCTTTGTCCGCTTGTTCATCCTCCCTTGCAATGTTTCTCGTTCCTCGTATCATCCCCGAATCCCCAGAACCCAGATCTAGCCTAACACAGTTGTCCATCTGTGTTAGTATCATCTTGCCAGCCCAGAGCACCAATCGCATACAGCACAAGTTGGTATGGACGTCTGTATCCCCCGTGTTCTATTTATAATTATTTCGACCTCGAATGGCGAAGCTAATTCCCATGCCAATTCACCTTACCCCCAACCCAACCCCGCCATATTCGCCTTTATATTATCTGATACGTGATATCAGCGTCATCACCCAACTTCACTCCCCCCAAAATTGGTTTACCCGGCTTTTTTCGCAGCGTGTAGTAGAAATTCTAGTTCGTTCAATAAACGCTGAAAAGTTCATACCTAAATTATGTTAATAAGTAAGAGTATCCTTGGATAGGACATGATGCTATGTAACTCGGCCACATCGTCTTGCCTCCAGAATTTTAAAAGGAGACTTGGGCCCTTTTAGAAGTAAATAATCTCTGTAAATTCTCATACTTATAGTGCTTGTAACACTACGTCACACATCTTCACGACCTTCTCTTCTTCAAGGCGACGTCCGACAAGCTGAAGGCTTACAGGCATTCCGTGGATGACATTCGGGTTGTCTGTATAATTGATCAGCTAGATGTAAGGCGTGGAAACGGATAGCTAGGAATCACATACATTCACTTTGTACCAGGGAGTCTTCCTTGGTAAGTGGCGTCTCGCCGGTCGCGGGAATGTCGATCTCCTGGTCAACGAGAACATTGCAGGGGAAGGATATGCAGGAGTAGTCGAGGATATTATATACACCCGTGTAAGCGACATGCCTAAATTTGGAGTGTTCCACAGCAGCAAAGGGGGCGGTCGGTGCTAAGTTTGTATAGGTCAGTGTGGTTACTCATAACGACGCGAGGTACAGGTTACGTTAGTCCGTCACATACCTATTATGGCATCGAGTTCCAACGCATTCCAACGATCCAAGTAGTCTTTTTGTAGTGTATTTCGTTCCTTGTGAAGCTGCCAGAGATTATATACACCATGATCGACAGCACGGCCATATACGTCCATTTCTGGGCGAATAGGTTCATCAGACATGGCAAGGAGTCTCTTAACCGATTCTCCCCCATCAGAAAGGAAAAAGTGTGCCTAAATGTGGATTATCGTTAGTTATACTCCGGTGGAAGTAAGGGAAATATAAATAATGCAAACTATACCAAGATCTTAGCAGCTTGTTCGTGGCCGATTGGCTCCCAGTCAACAACCTCATGCCCTGCTGCCCTCAGCTTCTCTGCTGTTTCTTTCAAAGCTCGTCTGACCGGAGGAGTTGGTCGAACCATCCCATCATTCCACATAATGCCAATCTTCAAGCTTTTCCTGACTTCGACTTGTCTCCATGGAATAGGGATACACTTTGGGTCATTGATCCAAGGTTGTGAATTGACAACTACTTCGGCCCAAAGAGCAATAGAGGCTAACTCTCGTGCCATAGGTCCATTTACACTGGTGACGGACTCCTGCCCAGCAAGGCCAGATTTGGTTTGAAAGTTAGGGAAACGACCAAAAGATGGTTTGAGAGTAAAAATGCCAGTAAGAGCAGCGGGTATACGGAGAGAACCGCCTTGGAACACCGGTGATAATTAGCTGATAGACCCTAGGTTAACATAACTGGACATATACTTACCAATATCAGTCCCAACCCCTAATGGACTCCCGCCAAAGGCAATCAACGCAGACTCACCACCTGAAGAACCCCCGGACGAGGTAAGGCGGTTAAAGGGGTTAGTAGTCCTGCCAAAGACATTGTTCACCGTCTCGGCAATCATCATGGCCGTGGGGACATTAGTTTTAACATAGAGCACGGCACCAGCATTGGTCAGTACATCGATCAGGGTACTGTTATGCGTTGCTGGCTGGCCAACCCAAGCGGTGAAGCCGAGCGTAGAATCTTTACCGGCGATATTGAAGTTATCCTTCAAGGAGATAGGAAGGCCATGCAGCGGGCCCAGCGGTTTGCCTGTCGTGGCGAAATGGATATCAAGAGCCTGTGCAGCTTTGATGGCTTCAGGGAACAGAGTCTCTGATAGACAGTTGGTCTGGTATCGTATGAGTTAGTATATAGAGCAAGAAAGGAGAGACAGCCTCGTACTAGCTGGTGAGCAGCAGCAGCTCTTTTACAGAATGCTCGCGTCACCGACTCGGCCGTCCAGGCCCCTGAGGTCGTTTTCTCGAGGATGAGGGCCGCGGGAGTAGATGTGATCTCGAGTTCTTCTTTGGTGAACCATCCGGACCGTTCAGGCCAGCTGGTGACATCCAGCTGAGAGATCGGAGGAAGGATATTAGCATCAATCATCCATTCCCGAGGAATCGACGCAAGGAGAGCCTGTTGCTTCGCAGCACTGATGGTTTGCCACTCTGTCTTTGTCATTGTTGCTTGTATAGTATTCTCCTATGTTCATAAAAACGCCGTCGCTCTCTCAAAATGAAAACCGCGAGTACTGAATATATCCAAACATAGGCCAACGACTTATAAAGCACCACAGCTGAACCATTCGGTCCCTTGAACTCGGTTCGTCGGTAAACTCCTGAGGGGCTGAAGGAGCTAGCTTACTCGGCCTATCGTCCGTTCGTTCGTTCCATGGACGACGAGGCTGGGCTTAAGCCATACAACATACAGCAGTTAAAGGGGCTCAGCGGCGCTTCGGCGAACCGCCCGACTTCTGCTTCTACCCATATCTGCGACTCTGCAGTCTACGAGACAGGGAGACCTTGGCTATGAAGAAATCCCCGGTACTCCGGACGACAACGCGAACTGCTACGGACTCCAGCCGTTACAAATCCGGGGCCGAGCCAACCATGTCTCGAGGAACCGATGAACCAACACTGAAACGTCGATCGGTCGGTCGTTTGGAATCACGGAGAACTACAACGGAGATGCTACATCGGGCTGACAAACGACCAGTCAGGTTAAGAATGAGTGCATTGGTCGCGATTCTCCGTGGACGGCGTCAAGACTGAAATATTGTCCCCCCACGACGCACAATGATGTATCTTCAACTTTGCATCTCTTACCCTCGGGCCTCTATGACCGAGGCTAGTTTAATGTGCGGAATCCGGCCGCTAGCACTGAGTTTACAGCTCGAGCATGGTTTATGATGGAGAATCTCCGTTTGCCGTCTGCGATGCCCGGTTGATATTGGGGGTGAATTGTGGCTGCTCTGCCGTGCACTATCGCACAGGTACATATATATTCTTCACCTCCTGTGGAGATGGAACAGATTCCGCACTGTCCATGCAAGTACGTTGAACCTGCAGCTCCCGAGGGGGTACGTAGGGTTATACGGGCCCAATCATCGCACCCGGGCACTTGTTGATGCGGAATCGGGACCAGGAGGGATGACGGATGACGGATACGTGCCTGCTTGCTCGATGCAGCTGGAGCTGGCGGGCACCAATAACTGTGACCGTCTGTACCCTTGATCAACATATTTATATCGAAGGGCCCCTTCGACATCATCCTGGAAGAAAGCTTTTACTGTCTTGATATCAATTCTGCGCCGAGAAGACTCGCAATGGTTGCTTATTGAGCTGTTTATATATTTTATCCCGAGAACCAAAGCTAATATTGTCGATATGGCTATCCAGACGATAGTGATTGCTATCGTGGCTCTCGGGTATCTGCTACTCAAATACTTCAACAAGACCGATGTTGCAAAGGTCAAGAACCTCCCGGAAATCCCCGGGGTGCCTATGTTTGGCAACCTCCTCCAGCTCGGGAACTCACATGCGAGGAGAGCAGCAGCATGGGTGAAACAATACGGTCCGGTCTTTCAGGTTCGATTAGGGAACAGGGTAAGTCTTCCATATGGTACTTTTGAGCTACTAGGAAGCTAATCTATTTATAAATGAAGAGAGTGATTTTCGCCAACAGTTTCGACTCGGTGAAATATTTATGGATAACCCATCAGTCGTCGATGATTTCGCGCCCAAAACTACACACATTCCACTCTGTAGTGTCCAGCTCGCAAGGGTTCACAATTGGAACATCGCCATGGGACGAGTCCTGCAAGAGGCGCCGCAAAGCCGCGGCTACTGCATTGAACCGACCTGCGGTGCAGTCTTACATGCCGATTATTGACCTAGAAGCAACCACGAGCATCAAGGAATTGCTAGCTGATAGCAAAGATGGGACAGTGGACATCGACCCGAACCCATATTTCCAACGATTCGCCCTCAACACCAGTCTAACGCTAAACTACGGAATCCGTATCGACGGCAGCATTGACGATGAACTCTTGAAGGAGATTGTTACGGTAGAGCGGGCGGTCAGCAACTTCAGAAGCACGAGCAACAACTGGCAGGATTATATCCCACTCCTACGATGGTGGCCTACCAGCAACACACAATCGATCGAGTTCAGGGAGCGTCGAGACAAATACATGAGTAAACTTCTAGAGATGTTGACGGAACGCATAGCGAATGGGACTGACAAGCCGTGCATCACGGGGAATATCATCAAAGACCCAGAAGCAAAACTCAGCGAAGGTAAGTCGAAACCGTACCCGTAATTCCTCAAAAAAGGTGGATGGGAACGTCATGGCTGACACTGGTGTGGCAGCGGAGCGAAAATCCATCTGTTTGACGATGGTTTCTGCTGGTCTCGACACTGTTCCCGGGAATCTGATCATGGGTATCGCTTATCTGGCCTCCGAGCATGGGCAAGAGATCCAGGCCCGCGCTTACGAAGAAATCATGAAGGTCTATCCGGATGGAGATGGCTGGGAGAAGTGTCTTGTCGAGGAGAAGGTCCCGTATATCACAGCCCTCGTCAAGGAGATTCTGCGCTTCTTTATTGTAATTCCGATTTGCCTACCCCGAGTTAGCATCAAAGACATCACCTGGAATGACGCCGTCATACCTGCTGGCACAACCTTCTTCATGGTAAATACTACGCCCACTCGGCAGCTGAAACCCCCACTCCAATGCTCCATAGACGCCTCGATGAATGCTAACCAACGAACTAGAATGCGTACGCTGCCAACTACGACTCCACCCACTTTAAGGAGCCATTCGAATTCCGACCAGAGCGCTACCTCGACGTTTCTGAGGGGACGGGAACACCACACTACGCATACGGTGCTGGTAGTCGCATGTGTGCCGGCTCGCATCTCGCTAACCGGGAGCTATTCACTGCATTCCTCCGTATTATCTCCGCTTTTACGATTGTTCCGGCAAAGAATCGAGCAGACGATCCCGTCCTCGACCCCATCGACTGTACGGACAACAAAACATCGCTGACCCTCGATCCTCGACCGTTCAAAGTGGGATTCAGAGTGCGAGACCGCGCCCAGCTCGATAGATGGATCAGAGAATCAGACGAAAGAACGAAAGATCTGTAGATAAAGAATTTTCCTCTTCCGTGTTTGTTCCCATTAGGTTATGGGTTAGCAGGGGTCATAAATATACTTAAGGCCTTTTCCGTGTCTTGTTATGCTTAACTGGTCGCCAAGGCGTCCTTAGACGATATTCCAACTTCTTCCCCAACATCCAAAACATCAACAACTTCCATTGTCAACATTGCGCAGTCTTCGGCCGATTGCCAGCAGAGGTACTTGTTCTTCCCGGAGTTGTCAGCCTACCCCGGCTTAGTATGCATATACGTCTGTTCCCATGATATGCACTCTTCCTGCTTGGCTAGCGCACGTCAGGAGCAGCTAACCAACTTCGCTTTTAGTTCCCTATCAAGGGTTCCCTTGACCCTGCTCACGATGGACGCTTCTCTCGCGGGACGTTTTTCTGGAACAAATATATAAAATGGTTCTCAAGGATGCCGCGCTTGGCAAGCAAGGGAGAAACGGGACTCGTTCATGCCATCGTGGCTTTTTTTTTAAGACATGACGAGCAACTGAAATCTCCAACGTGGCAAGGCTGTGACTGCGTTCTCCCGTCCGTCCGTCCCTCCGTCTCTGGCACGCTTGGTATAGGCTACGACGAACCCTTCGCTGCAGCTAAACCTTGGGCAGCCAGTCCAGGCCGCAGAGACGCTGGATTCATGCATCCATTTGATTGGCAAAGATTGTTATTACCCGTGTTACATACATGACGCTATCTGCTAGGATGGTGATATCCTGGTATCTGAACCGACTTGTGGACAATATTTCCGCCAGTCGCATGTGCAGACAACCGGCGGACACCGCGTAACTGTTCAGCCAGCTTCTTACAAGATATGGGCTCCACAGGTGGTAGCAGTAGCTTGCCAGGCCCGTCTATTATGAATCTCCATCGTCTCGCTGGTCATCCATCAGGAACAAGTTCTCATGTTGTTTTGATACCTCAGGACCAAATCTTTATACAGTTTGATATAATATACCTCCCACAATGATCGAGAAGACCGCCACCGAGGTTGTCACAAAGACTCCAACGGATAGGAGCGAGTCTCTAGATAATCATCATGATGCGGAAGCAGAGAAGCGGCTTCTTCGGAAATGCGACCTCCACGTTGTACCAATTCTGACATTCCTATTCTTACTTGCCTTTCTCGATCGAATCAACATTGGAAATGCTCGGCTGCAAGGGCTGGAGAAGGACCTCAACATGAGCGGCCGGGACTATAACATTGCGCTCTTGATATTCTTCATTCCGTATATTCTCTGCGAGCTCCCCAGCAATTTGATCCTGAAGAAGGTTGCACCATCAACTTGGTTAAGTGGGATAATTGCGGCATGGGGTTAGTTCTCGCCACCGATGACAACCGTTCAATATGTCATTTTCAGCTTGCTGACAATATGAACAGGCGTAGTAACCATTTGCCAGGGGGTCACAAAGAGTTTCGCAGGCTTGGTGGTGTGCCGGTTCCTTTTGGGAATCTTTGAAGCTGGATTCTTTCCTGGTATTTTATTAATCCCATGCCTAAAAGTGAAACCCGGTATTATTGGCATTAACTAAAATCCTACAGGATGTGTCTACCTTATTTCCATGTATTACAGACGACACGAACTCCAGAAACGAGTCAACTTCTTCTTCTCGGCGAGCATCATCGCTGGTGCTTTCAGTGGAGTAAGCTCTCCTTTTCGTCTTATCAATCTATATAGACCTATACTGACACCCGTTAGTTACTCGCCTATGGAATTGCTCGCCTAGATGGCACAGCAGGGTACAGTGGATGGCGCTGGATTTTCATACTCGAAGGGCTTGCTACCGTCGTCTTTGCCCTTGCGTCAAAATTCTTCATCGTGGATTGGCCCGAGACGGCCAAGTTTTTGAACGATGACGAGCGGAAAATGCTCCTTGCCCGTCTAACTCTTGATAACAATGGAGCTCAAATGGACCGTCTTGATAGACCTGCTTTGAAGCGTTGTCTATTTGATGTCAAGATCTATCTTGGGTAAGTCGTTCAATAATGTCATGACTACGTATTGCATAGGCCTGGACACTCACACTTGACTAGAATGGCTATGTACTTTGGGGCTGTGACATCCGGATATGCCACGGCTTTCTTCACGCCTACCATCCTACATCAATTCGGCTGGGCTCCCCTCAAAGCCCAGGTGATGAGCATCCCCATCTTCGTTCTAGCAACTATCATCACACTGACAGTAGCCTGGATTTCTGATGCTATTCGTCACCGCTTTGCTTTTACAATTATAGGCTGTGCCATTGCAACCGTCGGCTACGTTTTACTTATCTGTCAGCAACATGTCCCCATAGGAGCCCGGTACTTTGCAGTCTTCGCAATCACAATCGGCACATTTATCACGCAACCAATTTGTGTAACGTGGCTCAGCAATTGTATGGCTGGACATTATAAGCGATCATTTTCCACATCCTTTCAAGTTGCGTTTGGTAACTTTGGTGGTCTGGTTGCAAGTAACGTCTTTTTTGACTCGGAGAAACCCCTATACCCGACCGGTTTTGGTACGACTCTGGGATGTCTTTGGGTTTGCGGGATAGCTTGCGTTTTGCTCCTTTTATTTCTTATTCGAGAGAATAAAATTCGTAACGCGGGAGGACGGGATTATCGACTTCAGCTACCGGAGGATGAAGTTAACAACCTGGGTGATGACCACCCCTCATTCAGATTTTCTTATTAAAATACTCAAGACATATAATAGAGCATACAAAAGCCATAATAGAGGAATATATCCGTTGTGAAATCATGCAGTACCAGGCTTGGCGTATAACTTATTACTAGCACATCAGTCGTGATTCGGCTTCCAAGGTGATAAACTCCAATTGATATTAGAATGGTCCACAGACCTGGGCTATCTATACAATTAACGCAAATATGTGACCATACATTGACCGAAAACGAAAATGAGTATTAGAAGACGCTTTGTCACCCGTGTTTCCACAGCCTATTTCCATGCAGAACAATAACCTCCAACTCCGCCCAAGAGTGTAGTAAAAATAAAGATGAAGTCATAGCATTCTTACTCTTCTTCAGAAGAGTTGGTGAGTGACAAATAAGCTGTCCAAGCAATTCCTATTGACGAAACAAATGGCTATATTTGAGTTAGCAGATGTTAAAATTGGTCCGAATAGACCAAGCGGGTGATAGGCAACGTACAATCTGGAACTGAATAGGAACTAGGCGGAAGTTCATAATTTGAACAGTCGGCCAGAGGACGAAATTGGCCTTCAAGGTTGGCAAGTAGACATCTTCGAATTTCCGAGACAGAGCACGGCGGCCACCGCCTTCTGCCACTGTCATGAATGTGAAGAAACATGCCAGACCTAACCACGTTAGAGACCCTTCTAGTATCACAAGCTTGGTCCGCAAGGGAACAAGGTGGTGGAGAGTGGAAAGTACGTACCGATCGGAGCAAATATAAGTTGGTCCATTGCAACACGCTTCAGCGCTGGAAGGGTGGCATGGGTCTGTGTCACTGGGAATATGTGAGATAAGAATTTGAACCACCGGTGCTGGACAGGAGCCATAAAGAAGCCATATGCCATGAACCGGGTGAGTCTCTCGAAATCGAAGGGTGCAGGGCGCTTTCTGTAAAAGTTTAGCTCCCCAACTGCCGGCGGCTTCTCCTTCTCAAGATCTTGCAAATCGATCGAGATAAAGCTAGTTTTATCATTGTTCTTCGGGAGCTCCTTGCATCGTGCACTGATAGCGGATATCGACTGTGCAACTGTATCCGCTATTCCACCCAGAACCTATATGTTTTCCCGTCAGTGTGGTCCGTCCCCTCACGCTCCGATATATACGATCGATGCTAGAATGGCAGGGGATATCCTTACAGCGTTTGTGACCATCGTCGTCAGGACTATCATGCAAACCGTTAGTTTCTTATCTCGGTCCCAGCCCTATAGCAGGAATAACGGTCCGGGGCCGGGGCTTACCGGGGTTCTGAGCATAGTATGTGTTGAATTTAGCAATCAGCCTCATGGTTACGGCGATCTCGATGAGGAAAATAATGGCATGTAGCAAGGGCTAGATGTGAAGAAATTGTCAGTTCTAGAGCAACACAGATATGATACAGCCTCCATGATGACTTCTGGAGCAACGGGGGCGCAAGAAGTTTGATCCAAGAAAGAGTAGTAAGGTTTCAACTGACCACACGACCGTAGATATATCGACTGTCGAGGGCCTTGAGCAGACCCCATTTCGATGGGTTGATCATAGTGCCGGGGTGCCTTGGACTTCCTCTTGATAGCCCCGTGTGATTTATGGATGGAGGCGCCTGGCAGATGTGGGTGCGGCGGATAGATTGTTCGCAGAGTGCCTGGAGTCCTGTTATAATATGACGCAAGGGCGATTTGGCTTCATTTGTTCAGGATTTGAGATGGAGGTGGCCGCAGCACAACTGACGAGCCAATGAGCGTGCATGGTTTGCTTATTAAGACGATGACTAAGCTAACATGGGGGAGGACGGCTTTTCCCCCTGGATAGAAGAGAGAAAAGACGACAATCATAAGAGCCGATCGCGCAGGGGAGTATGTTATTTATTCTATTCACGATGAAACTCTTCACATGGGGGATACCGGGGCCCGGCTCGTTTAGGGGCAGCGAAGATCGGCGGCGGAATATGCTACTATATCAGGCAAATCTCTGATCTCCATGGTTTCGTTCGAGCCCAGGTCGACCAGTTTCACGACCTCCAGATGTAAAAGGCCCGGGGACAGCGGCAGCAGCCTTAGTCTTGTAGAGTGGCATGTACCGGGAAGAAGAGGCCTGTTGTAAAGATCAGTGGTCTACCCTTAAGCAGCAGGGAAGGGAATATTTTTTGGGACTTTCTTACCCTACTTTCGTGTCGGTGCTGAGGCATATAAGATCGGTTTCATGGGGAGCTGCGTTTTGCTGCATTGCATAGACAATATTTTCGTCAACAACAGCCTCTGCCACCTCATCGGGCCTCCTTATGGAAGAAGTGGACGACGGTCTTGGAACGTGTGCTCGCGTGTCTGAACGCCTTCGAAACGGAACGGCAGCAATTCCAAATTTCCTTGATTTTGTCGATGTGTTCACGATGAAAACATCCCAGTCAAATGGCTTGCCAACCTCGACGCTGGAGGGGCCGTAGAATGATATTTTCACCCCCTGGTTTTCAGGAGAGTACGATGAGACTTGTGCTGTGGAGGGTTCCTGTGTCGTTGACTGGTCGCTGCCACGAGACACGATGCTTCGACGCAACATGTTACTAACGCCCCCCAATGATTGGTGTGTAGGCTTGGAAAAGTCCACATTGGTCCTCCAGCGCATGGATATCTTGGGCCGACAATCGTCGGAAACGAGTACTGTGACCTTGAGTGAAATGTCGAGAATAGAGGTCATCGGTGTATCTGTATCTGCCACTTCCGCGGACAGCAGCTTGTAGACTAATGATACATCATGGCGTGCGGGACAGCTAATAGGAGGCGAAAACCCAATGGCTTCTGTCAGGGGTTCGACTGTGCCACTGCTCAAAAGTAACTCTGCTTCTTCTAGAACAACCTCGTAGCTGGTAAAAGGGGTCGTTTCAAGATCGAGGCTGGCAGTTGTTGATAACTTTTTCGATACTGCAGCAGAACGGGAATACCTAATCTTGGCACTAGCGGCCGGTATGATGCGAATGGGGTTATATGACGCTTGTTGCACATTGTAGATGGACCCTTCGGGCTGAGTAGAAGGGACAAGCCGTAATATCCTGGACGCGGGTAGGTATGGATCCAGGTCCTCTCCGGCAGCAGTTAGGGACTGGAAGATATTTGTGGAAGCAGGAGTGAGACATGGTAAATACTGATCGTTGCTGGCCGATTTCTCTGATCCTCGAGGACTAAAGTCGGCAGATGCAGTAAACACAACAGACGGATGTCTTAGGCGCACTCGAGGGCGGTCTGACCATAAGTTAGTTACGCCGTGCTCTGGTAGAGGATGTAGATTTATACTAACAGAGGAAAGCTTCCGATTTCCATATCACATAGGCAGTATTTCCACTTCCTCCATCACCAACGGATTCATTAACAATAACCAGTGGGTCATCCTTATTATCCACTGTATGAGAGTATATCAGGTCCTTTGAATTGGATTCCTCTTCACTCTGCTCGTTTGGGTTGCCCTCATCAATAGCGAAGGCCTCCAGATGTACACTGAGATTTGAGATGCAAGCCTCTAGACTATCCTTTGGGAAATCTGGCAGGCTAAGCACTAAATAAAGGTTGATTTGCTCATCTGTTCATTTGATATAAGTACTAGAGCAGCCAAGGTTATGAGAAAGTGGTACATACCAAAAAATAGAAGCTGACGCTGTTGGATCCTTGATAAACACGCACCAGGATCTCCAGAGCTCTCTTCGACGGTTCCCAGCAACTCCTCTATGTTTAGATCTGAAGTCTGGGGAACAATGGTATCGAGGGTCGCATTTTGTAGAAACTGGTATTCAGACATCGCAACATTAGGGTATCATGCGTTGGCCGGCAAAGAGATATTAAGTATAAGATAAATATAGCTCAAGAGCTCAAGATCAAGAGAATAAGCACTGTAAGTAGCAGACAGTCAACATAAACTGGCGCTTCTAGATGTAAAAACTGATAGTGAAGTCAACTTCATCATGGCCCAATTAGGCAAACACCCAATCAAGGGGTTCTGGTCATGTGACTTGGCTTTGTTCCAGTAAATTTCTCGCGATGCGCGCTAGCTTGAGCTTCACTTTTGACATATCAAGGACACCTTTTGGCACACTTTGTGACCGTTGGCGGAGAGTGGTGGTGACAAGATTGATTTACATTGTGCCAGCCCATTGAAACTACGGTGCTGGATGTCATCTGTTTGCTAGAAGCCAGCCATTCAAAATACAGGCGCACGTATTCCTTCTCATCGCTGCCATGAATGCCCCCGAGGGCCTACCAATGCCGCCAGCAATCTGGCAGGAAGCGCGCAATGCAGAAGGCAGGGTTTACTATTACAATGTTCAAACCAAAGCCACCCAATGGACCAAACCGTTGGAGCTAATGACACCAGTGGAGGTGTGTATTGTTTTCCATTCTATTGTTTGACTCTCTTACTGACATCCTATCTTCAGCGCGCTTTGTCAAATCAACCATGGAAGGAATATACAGCTGCGGGTGGACGGAAGTACTGGTATAACACCGAAACCAAACAAAGCTCTTGGGAAATGCCTGAAGTTTACAAAAATGCTCAAGCTCAAGCCCAGCCTCCGCCGAGGCCTACTCCTGCGTATGTTCCCTGCGCTTTGATACTTACATAAAACTCAAGATCTAACCTAACTATCTTCAGTGCTCCAACCTTTGTTGCCGGCGGTGCGAACGCATTCCCAACTTACCAAACGCCCGTACATGATCGCGAAGAACATGATCGGAATGCGAACGACCGACGACATGGATATGGAGGAGGAGGTATGGATGTCAATGGCGCAAATGCAGCCCCCATTGCTACCCAACAATCCGACTCTGGTTTTGCTACATTTGAGGAGGCAGAAGCTGCATTCATGAGACTCCTACGACGCAGCAACGTTCAACCTGATTGGTCTTGGGAACAGGTAATGCGCGCTGTTATCAAGGACCCTCAATATCGTTCGTTAAAGGATCCCAGGGACAGGAAATCCGCATTTGACAAATATGTGCTTGAAGTTCGCGCCCAAGAAAAGGACAAGGCAAAGGAAAGATTTGCCAAGCTTAGGGCGGATTTTGGTACGATGTTGAAGAGTCACCCCGAGATCAAACATTATACGCGCTGGAAAACAATCCGACCTATCATCGAAGGTGAAACTATATTTCGATCCACAGACGATGAGAGTGAACGGAGACAGCTTTTTGAGGAGTATATCATGGAGCTGAAGAAGGAGCATGCAGAGAAGCAGGCTAATGCACGCAAGTCTGCAAGGGATGATTTGGTCGACATCCTAAAGACACTCAATTTGGAACCTTACACTCGCTGGTCGGAAGCACAAGAGATAATCCAGTCAAACGAAAAAATCCAAGCGGATGAAAAGTTCAAAGCTTTGACTAAGTCAGATATTTTAACTGCCTTCGAGAACCACATAAAATCTCTTGAGAGGGTGTTCAATGACCTCAGGCAACAGCAGAAAGCCAGTAAGGCTAGAAGGGAACGTCAAGCAAGAGACGCATTTATATCTTTGCTACAGGAGCTTAGGTCACAAGGGAAAATTAAAGCTGGAAGCAAATGGGTCAATATTCACCCATTGATCGAGGAGGACCCACGATATACAGCGATGCTTGGTCAGCCTGGATCTACTCCTCTGGATTTATTCTGGGATATAGTTGAAGAAGAGGAGCGTGCTATACGTGGATCGAGAAATGATGTTCTGGATGTCCTAGATGTAAGTGCCCGCGGATTGTCTATTCGTGTAGTTAGGTGTTTAACTAACATTATGATTCTAGGACAAACGTTTCGAGACCACCCTAAAGACAACGTTCGACGAGTTCAAAGCAGTGATGAAAACTGATCGTCGCACTGCAGTGATTGACCCAGATACTCTTCAGCTTATCTTTGATCGTCTGCAAGAGAAGGTCCTTCGACGGACAGAGGACGAAAAACATGCAGCCAATCGACAGCAGCGACGAGCAATTGACCTTTTGCGATCACGTATTAAACATCTCGAGCCACCGGTCCAGGCAGCCGATACATGGGAGAATGTCAAACCCAGGATTGAAAAAATGGAGGAGTACCGAGCGGTTGATTCAGATGAAGCGCGCCGCTCGGCGTTTGACAAAGTCGTCCGTCGCCTCAAGGAAAAAGAAGAGGATGCAGAACGTGATCGCGAGGCACGCGGAAGGGACCGACCTTCTCGACGTGATCATTATGAAAGGGGTGATCGAGGCGATGACTCTCGCAGTGGCCAAAGATGGCCAGTGTCTGGACGACACAGCCGTACCCCAGAACCCGACGCCTACGAAGCCGATCGCCGCAAGGCCCAGGCAGACCGGGAACGATCATATCGGAAAGCCAGTGGATTCTCATCACCTCCTAGCCATCGTGATCGTGATCGTGATCGTGATCGCGATCGAGGAAAGGACAGAGACAGAGAGCGTGAGCGTGAGCGAGAAAAGGATAGGGATAGGGGTCGGGACCGTGACAGAAGTTCATCTCGACACCGCCGCGATCGTCGCCCCCGAGAAGACGACCGTGAGAGACTATACCATAGTCGTGCTGACCCCCGATCTAGCCGCGATGAGCTCGATTACGGAGGCGGTGATACCGATACTGCCCCTCGGAGTGTGACTAGCGAACGCCGCAGACGTCGAGACAGCGATACCGAGAGTGTTGGCAGTCGGTCTGCAAAGCGGTACAGGCGGGAGCCCGATCGAGCAGCAGCTATCAAAGGCGCGAGGCGAGACAAGGGAAAAGAGGAGAAAGCAGCGCCTGTTGTAGAAGAGAAGGCAGTCCATTCGGGTAGCGAGGAAGGGGAGATCGAAGAAGATTAAGCAACCTTTAACTCCCACGCTATCAAAAGGGCATTGTAGCATCCACAAATCGCAGCTTAGAATTCTAGACCAAAATTACCGATGTCATAAGATTACAATAATCAAGAATTGGATGATAAGCGATCAATTTAAAAATAAATCCATATCCATTTTTAATGAGTGTGAGTGGGTGTGAGATGTTGAATCACTTCACCAATAACTGCCAGATACACTCAATGAATATCCGCAGCCATGACAGAGAGATAACAAATGCAACAAAACAGAGCTAAGAACTTGCAGCTAGACTTAAAAGCAATTTTGTTTGTTTTCATCTTCCTCGCCCCTCGACTCATAGATCACTAGTTAGCGGTAGGTACCACCGCAAGTAGAGAGGGGTTTGCGCACCATGAGCCTCATATTCATCACCGGGAGCCCCTTTTCCACGTTGCGTTTAAGAATTGTGGAAGGTGATGATACAGAGACCGATCATGGACTGGCACTCCTGTCACAAATAGAGTGCACTGGGCTGGGCGATCCTGTGCAGGGGAATACGTCGTGTCATCGTCCTCATCATCATACGATGCGTTCTCACCGAAGAATTGCACAATACGCCATCTTCGGCCTGTCACTGGCCTGAAAACACTGACACGACTCAAACGGCGATCCCTGATAATCCTCCAGTAGTTCTCCTGCCAATGTGGCCATCGACGGTTACGGCGACCATCATGGCGATTATCCCATTGGACAACCTTTTCAACTCTCTTCCTCCAAGAAGAACTGCAAAAATATGTTAGACATGGAATGAAACCCGGCAAAGGAAGATTATAACTTACGAAGTTTCCGCTCAACTTCTGCTCTTGATCAAGCTGGGAGTTATGCTTGTTGATACGTGGTCTGAAAGTGCTAGGATCACGTCTGAAGGTGACATCCAAGTTCTTGAGGAATCGGTTGCATCCTGTGAGGAGAGATTCGGGCTTATTTGCTCTAGCCTTGACGGAGGGGTTTCCTTCAAACAAGATGACGCGATCGGCAAGATAAGTGGCCATGATGAAATCGTGCTCGACGACGAATGCAGTCTTCTTGGTGTGCATGATGAATCGTTTGATGACACGGGCAGCAACAATACGCTGTTCTGAATCGAGATAGGCACTCGGTTCGTCGATCAGGTAAATATCAGCTGGCATACCCAAAGCCAAGACAATAGCAACTCGTTGCAATTCACCACCAGACAGGTTTTGAACTTCCTGGTCGATAAAATCGTCCAGCTTGAGTGGTTTGTAGACATCAGTCTGGAACTGTGGAGACAAGAATGCAGCCTTGATCTTCTTGAAGAAGAGCTGTCGAACCGTACCCTGGAACTTGGGGGTGATAGTTTGCGGTTTCATACTGATGTTCATTGGAGGAACGTTCTGGCCACCGTCTGGCTTGACAATACCAGCCAGCATCTTACAGAACGTGGTCTTACCAGTTCCGTTTTCTCCCATCATAACAATGATTTCGGAGTCGGTGAATTGACCAGTCTGGATAGTAAGATGGAAGTTTCCAAGAGTTTTCTCCATAGTTGGATAGCTGAAGGCTCTATCCTTGTCGATCATGAAATCGTCACCAGCCTCGGCAATTCGGAAAGTCAGGGATTCTTCTCTGAAACGAAGATTCTCGGTGGGGATATGACCATCAAGGAAGATGTTGATACCTTCACGAACGGAAGCTGGGAGAGTAACGACACCATACACGGCAGGACGACCGTAGAGAACACAGATAAAGTCAGAAAGGTAATCGAGGACAGACAAATCGTGCTCAACAACGATAACATAGTCGTCAGGTCGGAGGAGCTCTCGGATCATGCGTGCAGCGCTAAGACGCTGTTTGACATCCAAGTAAGAAGAAGGTTCATCAAACATATAACTAGTCGTATATTAGCTTATTTTGTTCCTATATAGGTATGAAGGGGTGGCGTTATACTCACACATCCGCCTGCTGGACGCAAACAAGACCAATGGCAAAACGTTGGAGTTCTCCACCAGAAAGGAGGCCGATCTCACGGTCCTTGACTTGCTGAAGCTCTAAGGAACGGTCAGCGGCTGTCATTAGTATAAGAAACGTGGCACAGATCTATACCTAGAACGTCCATGACGTGCTCCATGTTGTCCATTTGAGCTCGGGCCTCGAGAAGGGCACCGACCTCCTTTACGGGGCCTCTAACGGCTCGAGGGATCTGGTCGACATACTGTGGCTTGACAACAGCCTTAAGATCGTCTTCAAGAACCTTGGTGAAGTAGTCTTGGATGGCAGTTAGCATCTGTATCGTTGTCTGATGGGGATAGGAACGATGGAGCCTACTCTGTAGCTCAGAGCCACGGAAGTACTTCAAGATCTCCTCCCAATCAGGGGGGTTATCGTATCGACCCAGGTTAGGCTTCAGCTTTCCGCTAAGAATCTTGAGCGCGGTACTCTTTCCAATACCGTTTGTTCCAACCAATCCGAGCACCTGGCCCAAACGGGGCATGGGCAGTCGATGAAGCTTGAAGCTGTTGGCCGAGTAACGATGGGTGACCTGTGATTCGAGGTTGGTGGGCAGGTTGATGATATGGATTGCGCCAAAGGGACATTTCTTTGGGCAGATACCACAACCGATACAGAGCCGTTCCGAGATGAAGGCAATCTTGGAGTCTGGCGCGACTTCGATGCAGAGCTTGCCGGTACGGACGACCGGGCAAGACTTTTTACATTCCTGACGGCATTTCTATCCAACCGTTAGAATGGTCTTGACAGTAGTATCTAGGGGTCACTCACTTTCGGCTTGCACTGTTACGTGGGAGAATTGGCGTCAGAATCTGTATCTAATAGGATGGCGGGGTATATACCTTATCGCTGTTAACGATAGCGATCCTAGGAAGGTCAGTTATTATCTAGCAGTAATATAACGACTATGACATACCTAGTGAGTTTATCAGACATGACGGCGTTGGAAGACTGCGGGGTGTATAAATTTCTTGATAGATATCGTGGAGGGGCAGAAAAGCTATCAGAGGCTGATAGGCGATGTGGACGGTCAATGTGGCTTGACGGCACACGCTCGATGGCAACACGATCAGACAACCAGCTCGCACTCCTCGACAGATCGATCAACCAGGACGTACACCGTGAAGGAGAAGAGATACTGCATTTGTGTGCATCTTCTGCTTACAATTTACTGTCCCGCCTGTGGTGCTGAGTCAGATATTATAAATATTCCTTACTAAGTTCTTACCTAAGCCTTACCTAAGTCCTTAGTCATGCTTAGTAACATCTTAGTCACGCGCTAACTGGATACGGCAAAAAGAGCGTGCTTCTTCCTTACCTCAACTCCATCCGCCTCTCGCTCTTCTGCCGCTGGACACTCAAAACGCATATAAAAGTCTTCGCTGGCCCGACAGCTTCAGCCCCGTCCACCCGCCCGTTTTGCGCTGCGCTGCTCAGCAGGTCCCTCGTCGCGCGGGGGGCTACCACGCTATGGATCGTAAGTTGTTTTTCCACGCAGCCCGTCCGTATCTGCTGCCTTTTACTGCGAGGATACGCCCCGGTTTCTCTCATAGTGCCCCAACGGGACACCCCTCCATTCCTTTGATAGGGACGCTGTCGAGCTCTCAGGCTCGCTGCTGGTGATCGGTCTGCCTGTATAGCTGGTCCTGCCACTCTGTCCCTTCTTCGTGGTCTCATATTGCACGCGCTCCTGTTCATAATCAGCGTCGCTCCATCCATCCCCATTTCATCAAATCCCTCTATAGATACATCAGACCCCATCGATCCCCGCGTTCCTACGCCTTCCTGAGGAGTTATAGCTACCTTAAATACAATAATACTGGCTGCATGCTCCTCGCCTGTCTTGCCCGGCGCTTTGATGCCGCGTTTTACTGCAATTGCCTTCTCAATGCTAATTGCGACAATGTAGCCTCGACCGTGGTGATCTCAAACACCCTCCCCCTCGATATACGTAACGGACACAGTCCTATACGCTCTCCGTCTGCGTACGGGCTGCACGATAATGTTTCCATGCCAGATGCGCCTAGTGATGGCGAGATGTTCCCTACCAATGTCGAAACTATGGACGACTCCGATGCCTCTCACGAATCCATGGATGCCGAAGAGCTAGCTTCGGCAAACGACGACGATGACGATGATGAGAGCGTCAACGGCGTCGATGCTGGGATGAACTCACACCATTCTTCCGATGACGAAAGCATTGGAGCTTCGGAAGACGCGGCTGGCGAGGATGTTGCAGATTTCACGCTGGATAACGGCGTGGACGCCCCTCCGTCAGAGATGTTTTCGTCCTCGCCGGGCTCCAAACGGGGATTGAAACGTAAATCATCCGTCGATGAAGAGGAATATATCAGAAACAACCCTGCTCTCTATGGCCTACGACGGAGTGGACGCGCTCGCCCAACTCGACGTTTAGGTCAAGATTCCTCTGGCTCAGACTCGGATGTCGCCCCACCCCCAAAACGACGGCGGCCTGGCCGTACCTCTGACCGTCCTTCACCAGTCCAGATGCCTGATTCATCGTCAGACTCTGATAGCGACGCCTATGAAGGCCCTCGTCGCAGCCGTCAGGGGAAAAAACACCGCCGGAATACCCAAAATACTAAAGACACCTTTCTTCCGTCGCACGGCGAAGTTCGCTTCTCAACACGGCGGGCAAATAAAGTCTGCAACTACAACGAAGAGAGTGACGACCACATGTTTGAAGACGAATATGAGGAAGGGACTCCCGGAGACTGGACCTATACCGTGGATGACACCACCCCAGCCATCGACAAGATCCTTTATCATCGCTTCAAGGAAGACGTTGATCTCTCGAAGCCTGACCTAGGCCGCCGCGACTGCGAATACTACACCAAATGGCAGGGGTTGGCGCATTACCATGCCACATGGGAGACCGTCGACACTCTCGCTCACTGTCGTGGCGTCCGGCGTCTAGATAACTATATCCGGAGGGAGATAGAACAAGAGATCCTTTTCATGAGAGACCCGGATGTCATCCCGGAGGAGCGAGAGAAATGGAACCTTGACCGCGAACGATATATAGAGAAAATTGATCATTTCAAACAGGTGGAGCGTGTCATTGGCTCCCGTGAAGTCGATGGCGGCACCGAATATTACATTAAATGGAAACGGTTACCCTATGATGGCTGTACCTGGGAAGATGGCAGCCTCATCAGCACCATAGCCCAAAGCCAGATCGATGGCTACCTAGACCGCTGCTCCCACCCTCCTCTCTCCTCCCGAACTGAGACAAACCCTGCAACTCGCTCCAAATTCGAACCAATACATGGCAACCCGGACTTTATACAAAATGGCCAACTCAAGGAATTCCAAGTCAAGGGTGTCAACTTTCTCGCCTATAACTGGGTCCGTGGCCGTAATGTTGTCCTTGCTGATGAAATGGGACTGGGCAAAACGGTTCAGACCGTGGCGTTCATAAACTGGCTGCGACATGTCAGGCAGCAACAAGGCCCATTCATTGTCATTGTTCCATTAAGTACCATGCCGGCTTGGAGTGAGACGTTCGATCACTGGACTCCCGATGTGAACTACATTGTCTACAGTGGTCCAGAGCCTGCTCGACGAATCATCAAAGACTATGAACTCTTGATAGATGGCAATCTGAAGCGTCCTAAATTTCATGTTCTTCTTACGACTTACGAATACGTTCTCCAAGATGCAAGCTTCCTAAGCCAAATCAAGTGGCAGTTCATGGCTATTGATGAGGCACATAGACTGAAAAACCGTGATTCACAATTATATGCCAAACTACTCGATTTCAAGTCGTCCTGTAGGTTGCTCATAACAGGGACACCTGTTCAGAATAATCTCGGGGAACTTTCTGCATTGATGGACTTCCTTAATCCCGGTGTTATTGAGATTGACGAGAACATGGACCTGAACTCCGAAGCTGCTAGTGCGAAGCTGGCCGACTTGACACAAGCCATTCAACCCTATATGCTCCGGCGAACCAAATCAAAGGTCGAGAGCGAGCTCCCACCAAAGTCTGAAAAGATCATTCGTGTCGAACTCTCTGACGTCCAGCTCGAATTATACAAAAATATCTTGACCAAAAACTATGATGCACTTAATCATGGTGGTAGAGGACCAAAACCCTCGCTGCTCAATATCATGATGGAGTTGAAAAAGGCCAGCAACCACCCGTTTATGTTTTGGGGCGCTGAAGACCAGGCGGGAGGTAGCACAAGGCGAGAAGACCAGCTGAAAGCTCTCGTCACTAGCAGTGGGAAAATGATGGTACTCGACCAACTCCTTACCAAACTGAAGAATGATGGCCATCGTGTTTTAATTTTCAGTCAAATGGTAAGGATGTTAAATATATTGGCAAGTTATATGGACGCCCGTGGCTTCAATTACCAGCGTCTGGACGGCACAATCGCCGCCGGCCCACGTCGTCTTGCTATCGAGCACTATAACGCTCCTGGTAGTACTGACTTTACCTTCTTGCTCTCTACACGTGCTGGTGGCCTTGGTATCAACCTGATGACAGCCGACACAGTGATTCTATTCGATTCAGACTGGAATCCCCAAGCTGATCTGCAGGCAATGGCAAGAGCTCATCGTATAGGGCAAACTAAGCCTGTCAGCGTGTATCGTCTAGTCTCCAAGGACACCGTCGAGGAAGAGGTATTGGAACGAGCTAGGAATAAGCTCCTACTAGAGTTTATCACCATCCAAAGAGGTGTGACGGACAACGAAGCCACTAACCTCAAGGACAAACTCGTTCGTGCCGGCCACCAAGTAGCCGAACCAACCTCTTTCGAAGACATATCTCGGATTCTCAAGCAACGCGGACAACGAATGTTCGAGCAATCCGACAACCAGAAGAAACTTGAGGAGCTTGATATTGATGCCGTTCTTGCCAATGCCGAAGAACATAAGACTGTCGAGGAAGACGCGATCGAGGTTAGCGGAGGAATTGACTTTATCAACGAATGTCAATATGTTGATGTCAAGTTTGACGATCTTTCATGGGATGACATCATTCCAAAGGAATATCTAGAGAAGGTCAAGGCAGAGGAAGAATTAGAAGCTCGAAGGAAGCCTCCAAAAGAGGAACCTGACGAAAACGCTACGCCAAATGTCGGCATCAATGATGAACGTGAGGAGCGCAAAGCTAAACGACGAGCTCGCCAACAAGTGAACATAGATGCCGATGCCCTATCTGATGCCGAAGGCCCAGATCCAAGCGAGCCCCTGAACGAAAAAGAGTACCGACATCTCATTCGCGCGTATCTCAGATATGGGGATATGAAAGAGCGTGAGGAAGACATTATCAAGGAAGCACGTCTCACAAATCGGGATCTCAATGTCGTAAAAGATGCTCTCAATGAAGTCATTGACAAGGCCACCGCCCTCGAGCAAGAAGAAAGCAATAGAATCCGTGCTCTCGAACGTGAGGGTAAGAGCTTCACTAAAAAGGAGCGAAAGGCAATTCTTTTTGACCACAAGGGCGTAAAACGCATAAACGCGGAGACCATCGTCGGGAGACCGGCGGAAATGCGTCTTCTTCGAGAAGCTACCTCCAATCTTCAAGATATAACCAGCTTCCGCATTCCGGAGGCCACCAAGGGCGCAGACTACTCTTGCTCTTGGGGTGCTCGAGAAGATGGGATGCTTTGCCTGGGTATTGCACGCCATGGCTACGGAGCATGGACGCAAATTCGTGATGACCCTGAGCTAGGTCTGGAGGATAAATTTTTCCTTGATGAACACAGAGTTGACCGCAAACAAGAAAGGCTGAACGGTAAGGGTGAAGGGTCGAAGTCTCCTGGAGCCGTACACCTGGTTCGAAGGGCGGACTACCTCATATCTGTGCTGAAGGCTAAAGCTAGCAATGGAACAAGCTCTGCGGCAAGGAAGGCTCTAGAGAACCACCACCGCAACAACAAAAAGAACAACGCACGAAATACACATAGAACTGTTTCCGCATCCCCTGCCCCATCTATTCCGCGAAAGGGTAGAGAAGCTGAAAAACCAAGACGCCGCATGCAAAATCGCGGCAGCCGTGATAGTGCCGATGGATCTCATACTCCCTTACGAGAACGCGATCACCGAAAACCTGCAGATGCTGATAAAGCACGCAGACATTCTAAGGAGGAAGCACCACAGCGTCGTCGTAGTGATGATCGCAATGTGGCCACGCCAACTGGCGGTGACAACATGCTTAGGAGCATCTTCAAACCGATCCGTGAGCATTTGAGGCGAGTGTCCCAGGTCACCAAGGAAAGCATCCCAAGCAAGCCAGAGCGAGCTGCCGAACTTCGCCGATTACTTCGAATGATTGGTGATTTTATTCGCGGTATCCTTGACGGTGAAGAGGCACGAGCCTCGCTTGAAGGGAGACTATGGTTTGTTTTACCCTTCTTACTTACCGTTTATAAATCCCCTTATACTAATCTATCCTTAGGGACTATTGTGCGGCTTACTGGCCGAATAAAGGGACTCCAGGAAGTGCACTTCTCAACATGTATAGCCGCCTAGTGGCCGCCGAGAAGGGCACCGAAGCCTCAAATTAGTTTCCTGTCCAATCGCATTTGCCGTGTTTACTTTCTGCATTCTAACGTTTAACTCCCACCCGCTAGTTGGAGATGCCTGCTAGGGATTCCTGGTTGAGGTTCTGTCCCCCATATCATGCCATTATCTCATTATATCATATTTCTCCATCTATAAGCACTTTTATTTCTATCTGTTCATTTCTACTTTGGATCTCTGGCTTGGAGCAGCCGGAGTTTGATATTCCCGTCAGTTGCATTTGTGAACGGCGTTTATACTATTTCTTCCTCGCGTGTTTTAACTCACGTCGAAGTCATGGAAGAAGTAGGTTTGATTCAATATAATTCCCCAGCTCTCCTTTTACATTCCGCCCACCTCCCTAGCCACTTGATGTTTGCCATAGCCTTGCCTCTTATTACATGTACTTCTAGACGTGCCACGCTTTCTATTATCGCTTCATTATTCTTCTACACTTTTTATCCCTCAAAAAGCCGTAACCATTCTTACTTTTATTTCTTGATTGATTCTTGAGGAGCGTTGACTTATGAGCGATGAGGAAAGGGTTTACTTACCACAGTAGAGTTACTTTGAAAGAGCACTGTTGAGCAATATAAGCTAGTAGTCTTCTTTACCTTTCTTCATTCGAAATGGGCATTAACGCGTATTCCCCAATCATTCTATCATCGTCCGTGCCTTCAACAAAACCTCATAGAATCCTTATTGACCATCCTATACTCCAAGTCGGCCAGAGACAAAGGCTAAAGTAGAGTGGTTTCAGGCGCAATAGCTCAAATGATATATATTTGTAGCATTCAAGGCCTTTCCAGAAGAGGGGTATAATTAATAAAAACAAAATACTCGTGGCATTAGACACCCACACAATCGTACAGTTCTGCTATGTGACTTACAACCGATCATCGTCAGTATGTGACTTGATTTCAGATGGCTGTGCCTGCTGCTCATGCAGCTCTTCCCCGCCACCAACCTCCTCCGGGTTCGCCTTCTCCAAAGATGGTGTTTTCATCTGCTCCGTTGTGGCAGGCATCGGTGACAGGTTATGCACACCACCGCGGCTAGTGGGCCTTCTATCTGGAATGGGCCCCGTGCCATACACCCGTAGCTCACCATGGATAAGGTCATCTAGAATAAGCTCCTTCTCCTTCCATGTCTGCTTCCTTTGTGGCTTGATTATCTCCCAGTTTCGCTCCAAAGTTTTAGATTCTTGCTCTGCCCAGTGAATCTGCCGGCGTATTAGGCGTGCAAGTCGATCTAGTGGCATCGAAAGTTCGTGCTCGTCAAAACCAATATCCGAATCGAAGATCGGTACGTCACTAGGCTCTCTTGCTTTGCCTTGGTCGCTTTTTGGTTCTTGCCAATCTTGTTTTTCGCCATTGTCATTTTCTCTGCGTGGCGGGAGCTTGAGTTTAATTCGGGGAGGCTTGGGGAGTGTAGACGTTGTTGGGTGTTGTTGCTTCGCCAGGGCGTCGAGTGATTTTAGAGCATCGGTATCATGAACGGTCCTCATATGTTTCGAAAGAGCGTCCGAACGCGTGAAACTACGATCGCACTCTAATAAAAACACGTTTGTTAGAGTGGGATCCTGTACCGAATAAGTTTCATGACTGCTTACCTGGTAATGCGCAGTAAAATGGCTTTTCTTTGGTATGGCTTCTCATATGGGCGCGCAAAGCGTATCCGCTGGCATGAGCCTGCCCTTTCCGAGCACAATCACCCCATTCGCATAAATACTTCTTCTGTCGAGACCCAATGTGTTCGTTGTGAATATGTTTGACCAATGCATCCATATTTCCAAAATCTTTCGCGCCACAGCCTTCCCAAAGACAAACGGTGATATGATCTCTCCCTGCGCCGCTGTAATCCTCCTCGGGGCCCAGTAATGCCATCGTACCCGGGGAGTTTGGTATCGCGCCGGAGCTGTCCGATGATATGGAGGCTACTGGAGACGGCGGCGGAAGGTCATCATTGACGGACGATATTGGAGTATGATGGTCCCATGCAGATATTCCGGTCTTGCGGCGCTTCGAAGGATGTACCTGGGGAGGGGAGTTTGAACGGGACCGTCCCGGGTCGTCGAACTTGACATCCTCAGGGAACTCCTCTGACGCGAGGGAGGAGAGTGGCGACGCGGGTGATTCTGCCATATTGACGATAAATGATGAATAACAAAGAGTCAGTAGAGGTGTATTATAGTATAGCAAGCGAGTGAGGCTGTTGGTTAGCTCTTCCTGCTCTGCGTTGTTGCAAACTAGATATCGCGATCAAGCTTGAAGTTGAAGGAGCTGGGAGAGTCATGTGATTGTATTAGTCAGCCATACATACAAAAGTCTTTTTCCAGTTATTTTCTTCTTCTTGACATCAACATCTCAAATTCAGCTGAACAACTAACGATTGAGGACTCAATGAGCTATATATTTACATGGTTAGTACTAACGAGTTCCCTCACTCCCGCCAATGATGAATAACAAGAGAGTTCTGCAATACCGACAATTTCCAGAGTAACATCTGTGAAATTGAATGTTGACATCTCACATACACTTGATCTGAGGCTCCCAGATATACAATCTTCGTGTTGTTTTCTTTTTCAAGTTGAGAACGTAAGCTAACAGCTGTCTCAAGACCAGTATAGGTTATTTCTCTCCATTTGACCTAACGACAACCGTATCCGAGGTGGCTTGCAAATGCTGTGCCAGCATGATACTTGAGCTATATCTTGACTATAAGGCCAACAAGTGATGACAACGCTATCATTGCCTACCTAAACAGTAATGTTAAGCTGGTTATAATATTGACTCTAGCACGTCTCTATTTCGATCCGCCGTCCGGGTGGCTACCATGGCCAGCTCTATGTGATGTTACAGTGAACCACAGAGCCATTGAAAGTGCCTACTAATATATAGCAATTAAAAGGTTAGAATGGGTTAACACTCACTTCGTGGAAGGCCTGTTTCGACTTTTACTATACAGCGTTCTCGATACATAACTCTGCCCAAAGACTGGTGTGGGAGGCGACTTGTCTGTACTCGAACGACACAGTACATGCCGAAGAGATAGCACTAGCTATTATACTAGGAATTGAATGGAGTCTATTAATCTTGATCAAATTATGTTTGCAGTACTACTGCTCAATGCAGTATAGATATAACTGTATGTAGGCTGCGGGCTTATGCATGGTATATTATCTCGGAGATCAGTCAAGCCGCTCAGCTAAATCTATCTATGCCTTATGCCTTCGTCAAACACGCCATCTACTGCTTTATGTTTTATCAAACCGGAAAATGCCTTGGTTGTGATTACATCACTCCCGCATCTCTCCGATTTCACCCCGCCGTAAATAAACAAGGGAGGCTTTATATCAACCCCACCAAAGCCCGCCCTCCCTTTGTTGCTTTCGATCTCAACTTTTCACCTCAACCTGCTACCATTCTGTTCATTAAGAAGTAACGGGTTCCCATCAATTGTAGCTAAAATGTCGCTCTCGAACAAGCTAGCTATTACCGACATCGATGTCAAGGGCAAGAGAGCCCTGATCCGAGTATGCTATAGCCCCGCCACTAAGACAACCATCACTGAGACCTAACATATATCTTCTAGGTCGATTTCAATGTCCCTCTCGATGCGGACAAGAAGGTCACCAATACCCAGAGAATCGCCGGAGCTCTGCCAACGATCAAATATGCTGTCGACCACGGTGCCAAAGCTGTGATTCTCATGTCCCATCTTGGACGACCAGATGGCAAACCCAACCCAAAATTCAGCCTCAAGCCTGTCGTCCCAGAACTCGAAAAGCTGCTTGGAAAGTCGGTTACCTTCCTCGACGACTGTGTCGGCAAGGAGGTTGAGGAGGCCATTTCCCGTGCCAGCGATGGCCAAGTTTTCCTTTTGGAGAACCTGCGTTTCCACGCCGAGGAGGAGGGAAGCTCCAAGGATGAGTCTGGCAAGAAGGTCAAGGCTGATCCAGCTGCCGTTGAGGCTTTCAGAAAGGGACTGACTGCCTTGGGAGATGTCTATATCAGTATGTTAATTGCAAGTCTAAGTGGCGGGACCATTTGCCCTAACGATTATCTTCTATTTAGATGACGCATTCGGCACCGCCCACAGAGCCCACAGCTCCATGGTTGGTGTTGACCTACCACAAAAGGTTTCTGGATTCTTGGTCAAGAAGGAGTTGGAATACTTCGCAAAGGCCCTTGAAAACCCCCAACGACCATTCCTGGCCATCCTCGGAGGCGCCAAGGTCTCCGACAAGATCCAATTGATCGACAACCTTCTCACAAAAGTCAACAGCCTTATCATTTGCGGTGCTATGGCTTTCACCTTCAAGAAGGTAATTGACAACCTGAAGATTGGCAACAGCTTGTATGACGAAGAAGGCAGCAAGCTAGTCAAGGGAATCATGGAAAAGGCCAAGGAGAAGAACGTCAAGGTTGTCCTACCAGTCGACTATGTCACCGGTGATAAGTTTGCTCCTGACGCCAAAGTCGGTTATGCCACTGATGCCGAAGGTATCCCTGATGGCTGCATGGGTCTCGACTGTGGTAAGGAGAGTGTCAAGCTCTTCCAGGAAGCTATCGGCGAAGCTAAGACCATTCTCTGGAACGGACCCCCTGGCGTCTTCGAATTCGATGCCTTTGCTCAAGCCACCAAGGACACCCTTAACGCAGCTGTGGATGCCGCTCAGAAGGGAAGCATCGTCATTATTGGCGGCGGAGACACCGCAACTGTTGCGGCCAAGTTCAAGGCTGAGGATAAATTGAGCCACGTCTCAACTGGAGGTGGTGCTTCCCTCGAGCTGCTCGAAGGCAAGGACCTGCCCGGTGTGTCTGCGCTGTCGAGCAAGTAAATATTTCTCATATAACGCTATATTGCAACCCCAGTTTGCCTGATTCGGCCCGCCATGGTGCTGATGTTGATATGTTTAGAGAGCTAGTGTAACAAAATTTGCCGAGGCAAAAGTAAATAAAATATATTTCAAAATGGAGACCTTAGATCTTGTATCGTTAAGGCGTATTCGTACAGGACATTTTGTGGGTTCCCCAGGGTATAACGGTCAGCAAGTGTGAACCTATTTATCAGTATGGAGCTTGTATGCATGTAGAGTACGGTCGTATCGATGGATAAAAAGTGCCAGATGCAGTGTCAATTTCTTTGATTGCCACTATACGATCTTTACTTACACCCTCCTAGTTCCTGAACTCCGCTGAAGAAAACCATGAGGCAGACGAGAGAAAGCAAGATAAACTCGTAGCAGAACAGATAAGAGCCCCAAAAAAACACCCTAGAATTGATCATATTTCATCCTCTAGAACGACCTGGTCATCGTTTCGCAGCTTCGACCTTCTTCAGTTCCTCACTACAAGCCAGGAGCACTCGTTAGCATTTGAGATACGTATAGATAAAGGGATCCGGGGGGGTAGGTCAAAAATATCAGATTTGACAGAGGTACGCACGCTAGCTGTTTGGAGAAATCCTCGCTCGCATCGTCATCGTCCCAGCTCTCTTCCCACAAATGGTCATTGCCAGCTCCTCCGTTTGGAGCTTCAGCCTCTTCCTGGGGCCAATCTAGAATCACACGACAGTTACATATTAGCACGGCTGTCCGCAAAACGAGTAATCTCCGCACCGGCGAATAATCATATCCGACGCATACCTTCTACTGGGAAGTCCTCGAACTCGTCATCTTCCTCCAAAGGCGCAGAGGGGTTCTGGGCTTTCTCTGGTTGCGCCGACTCGGGTTGCTGGTTGGCGGCGCCCTGGGAGGCGGGTTGGCTCGACATGGCTGTTGTGTCTTGCAAAAAGGGCTGGAGGGTCTCCTTTGGCAGGTCAGGAAGTTTGCCGCGCAGCAAATGGCCTGGTGGGAGCGAGCGGAAGCAGTTTGATATCGGCGTGTAAATCGCTTGTGTCGAAGGTACGGGAATGAGAAAGAGGAAGAGCTATTGATTATGTAATCAGATCATCGGATATTTAAGCAGCGTCTTCACTACACCTTCTCGCTCTCTTCGTTATAATAGATATATTCTATAGAAGGATAGATTATTCTCTTGGTCCAGCTATTCTCCCGCTTGAACCTCTGATATATCATATCACGGCGTCTAGCTGAAAATCAGCCGCTAATCTTAGCTATGGCACACGTAGCCAAAGCCCAGCCTTAGCTATCAATACTGATCAGGCTGCCATATCTACTCTGCAGATAATTCTACAACTCACCGTTATACGGAGCTCGCACACGATATCATGTACGGCATGCAGATCTGTCTTAGACGTAACCTGGGTAATCTCAAGGCTGCCATCAAAGGCCGCTTGCGCGTTGAATACATAAGTCCAAGCCCCGGATATACTGTATTCTCGGATTTTAACTACCCTGTCTGATGACGAAGAATGCCAACAACCACTACACTGCCTTCGACGGTGACGCGGTTATCGATCTTGTCTCTTGTCTTTACAGTTCCTAGCCGATATAGCGGTCGGTATAGCGGTGAGTAGGCGATAGATGAGATATACGGGGTACTCGTAGATATAAATACACACATCCTTAAACGCCAATCGGGTTTCAATGGACAATATGCGGTCCAAGTAGACGAGATCTTTAGCCAAAGAATAGAGGCTATATCGAGCTTCCAGGAGAAAGCCATATCACGTGGCATCTATATCTGTGGCGGCTTCAGAAACAAAGCAAAGTGCAGGCTTCGGTGACACGGCGGATCTTATCTCTCGTCGCTTAATAGTAGCGAGGTCAAGATTCAACGCCCAAAGTCCCAACAGCTAGGGAAGGGGACCGTGGACAGGAGAGCCGGAGAACCCGGGCTTCCCATGTCTGAATCCTCCGTATATCCTAGCCTTATCCCCTTATCCCCGGAATCAGCCTCAGTAAGACGGGCCTGCGCTGGTCGATATAGGACGTGATGGGCGAGCGAGTTAGGCCGTGTCCAGGGGAAAAGAACACATCGTTCATCCTTCTGCCGGAAGCGAAACTACTGCGCCTCCGAGCCTTGGCGCCCGAAGTTCCGGCTTTATATCTCGCCATCCGTTTCTTTCGACGGCGTCGTTGGGAGATATATAACACGGACGGAGACACACCCTCGCTTTGCCTTGCATAGTTCCAGGGAAGACCCTTGGTCATGGTACAGGATAGCATTATAAAGAATAAGACCTGCTCTTAGGCCCTTTTTCCGTGCTTTCCATGAGCCCGTCTACTTCATCAGGCTGCTGTTTATCTCCAAACTTCACCTCACAGCAAACACTCTGTCCACCCAGATATTGAATTTGTATTGTAACAAGTTATCAGTCTGGGATGAAGTGACGTGACGTGACACCCTTATTCTCTTACTTGAACAGTTCCCCATACTTTTTTTAATTTCCTTTCTCTTACAGTATTCTGTCAGCATCCAGCATAATACCAAGGAGAGGCGCCTAAAAGTGATTTTTAGCATCTGCACATACTGATTTTTACTTCTTTAATACCATCTTCATTTCTACTCTCTGGACGCGTTTAACTGGTGATATAACACCATGTTTCGCGTGGGATCATGGCTGTATTCCAAGGCAGCTCCTTCAAACGCGTCGACCCAGTCTCTTGATGCTGTTGTTGAGTCCCAGGATCGTGAGTTCTTACCTATAAATGACATCTACGCCTTATCAAATGGCTGCTAATGTATTATTCCTCTTGTAATAGTTGAACATGCGTTAAAAGGTATATCTACTACTGCAAAGGACCGTGTTTCCACATACTGATAGATTGTTATAAAGCTGCTGCGTATATTATGGATGATGATGTCGATTCAGCTGAGAGGGACCTAGAAAAGGGCGATTCATCATTTCACAAGGTAGGACTGGCTACCTGAGCCTACAATTAAACCATATACTAACGCACCTTGTCTTATAGCTAGGAAAAGGCATTGTTACGTTTGTCCGAGCTACCTTGGGTTTAGAGCAGGATATTATGCGCCAAGGTAAGGTCCATTATGTATAATTGCCCATGTTCCTGCTATTAACTAGTGTATAGCTGCCACCAGGCTTGCAGAGGCAGAAACCAGTGCCTACAATGACCAGTACAAGGCCCACCATAATGCAAATGCTGTAAATGCATATCATTCTTCCATTTACGCACCTGGAACGGAGTACTTGCTATGTCAGTGTATGGCTCAACTCATGGCTGCCCTCGTGGGAGTTCTTAGCGAGAGCTTGTCAGAGAGCATAAAGGCATTCTATAAACTGAGAAAGGCCTATATTGCGCTCGACAGCATTGCCCAAATGGAAGAAAAATATCTAAAGGAGAATAACCTGAGCCTTGGAGTGGACTCACGCTTCGATTCTGCGGATATAATGCTCAATACCAACTCCACAGAGGGCAGTGCCGTACCAAGCCAACCTACAAGAACTGCAGCCGAAGCTGTAAACCCATCATTACAAGGTACGGTTAAACCCAAGACATATGTAATCTTGTTCCTTTACTAATATCCTCTGCAGGAGCCGATTCTGCCAGCAAGGTCTCGCTTTCAAAGTCAATGTCAACAACAAACCTGGAGGATGTTACCAACGAAAGTACCCAAAGACGGCTCTCTCGACTTACCCTAGGAAGTGAAACCGATGTGACCAAGGAAGGCGAAGGACCGCAATCCAATCTAAACACAAACGAGGACCCTGACCTCTTTTCCCACCCCGTCGACCACTTCATTCACTCTGGAACCAGTCTTTGCTTCGGACTACTCCTACTGTTCATTTCAATGGTGCCTCCGGCTCTTAATAGGATACTCTACATCATCGGTTTCCGTGGTGACAGATCTCGAGGGCTACGGCTGCTCTGGCAGGCAAGCCGGTCTCACACGCTAACCGGAGCAATTGCTGCATTGACCTTATTAGCCTTCTACAACAGCTTTGTGCGTGCAGCGGATATTTTACCTGACCCAGTTGAGGGTAACGAGGAAGATATTGAAGGCTACCCAATGCGTCGACTGGAGAACTTGCTGATTGATATGAGAGCTCGATTTCCTCACAGCCAACTCTGGGTCCTGGAAGAGTCAAGGATGCGAGGAGCGAACAGGGAAGTGGAGGAGGCCATGCGGCTGATCCATGGGGGTAAAAAGAGCCCCTTGAAGCAAGTACAAGCTCTGCATGTGTTCGAGAGAAGTATCGATGCCATGCATTTGCATGAATACGAGCTCTGTTCACAGTCATTTATCGAGGTAACATGTTTTCTTGTTCATTTGTTTCTTGCAGTTAAAATATGTCCATCAGCTGACTCCGTCTACCAGTGCTCTGAGCTTAACTCTTGGTCCCGTGCGTTGTATTTCTACATTGCAGCCGCTGCCCAGGTAGAGCTGTACCGCAGACACCTTAAAGATTCACCGGAAACCGCTAAAAAGCATGCTAAAAAGGCAGAGGAACTGTTCCGCATGGCACCCTCTCAAGCAGGCAAGAAGAAGTTCCTTGCACGTCAGCTCCCATTCGATGTGTTCGTGACTCGCAAGATTACCAAGTGGGACGCTCGCGCGAAAGAACGAAATATTCCTTTCATCGACGCAATCGGTGTATCACCAATTGAAGAAATGAACTTCTTCTGGAATGGACACAGCCGAATGCCCGATGACCAGCTGGAAGTTGCACTCCAGAATCTCGCGTGGTCAGAGAGTAATGAGACATGGGCATCTGAACCGCTCGACGAACAGGCCGTACTGGCTCTTCTTCGAGCCTCCCTATTGCGCGCTCAACGAAAGCATAGCGAAGCACGGGATATCCTAAAGTCCCAGATCTTGTGCCATGATAGGACTCTCTTCAAGGGATCGAATCGGGATGACTGGACGTGTCCATCGGCGCATTACGAGATGGCTGCTAATCTGTGGATGGAGCGCCATTGTTACCGACCTATCGGCCGCGCCACTGCCGTCCCTGCATCTGAGAAGAACCACCAGGTAAAGGATGAGGCAACCCGCATGGCAGAGGATGAACAGAAAGTGCAGGAATGCAAGGAATGGCTGGAAAAGGTGTACAAGTGGGAGGCGTATGAGCTGGATGCTAGGATTGGACTAAAGGTGACCACTGCGCAGGAAACAATCACCAAATGGGAAGAGGCACATGCCAAATAGGCGATCTACTGTTAGTCCATGTCACATATCGCTGCTTTCAGCCAATATATCAAACTTCGTTTGTACTCACCTCCTTGTGCTTCGGCGTTTTGACGTCATGTTTCCTTTTCTGTGATTGGCCAGGTGCGGTAGTTGACTAAGCGCCCGGCTTTCGGAGGAGAGCCGAAAAATCATCGGCAAAAACGGCAACTTTCAAGGATTCTTATAGACGCGCATACCACTTCGTATAGGAATCTGACATGCATGACGAGCATTATCCACCACGCTGTTCTCGTGGGGTTCCTAATGGCTTCATCTTCTTTTAATCCGCTGCTGCTATCTGGCTAAATTCGCATTTTCAATAGATTTCCCAGATGGATGTGTCGCCACGTCATACAAGTCCGCTCTACGAAGCTGGGGAGAAGAGCGATAGTTCTATAGAACAAGATGTCGAACGGGGCGGACTAAGCAGGCTCGACTCAGTCCTATCGACTGCAAGCCAGCAATATGGAACGGCAATAAGTCGACTGAGGAGTCGAAATTCTGGTCAAACAGCGCCATTCACTCATCCGTTGAGCCATGTCAAGACCACGCCAGATGTCATTGTCGATTTTAATGGACCGGATGATCCCTACAGGCCTATGAATTGGTCGTTTCAAAAGAAGTGCATAACCACATTGCTATATGGCCTGACTACAATGGGTACGTCAATGCCTACAGTGTGTGAATTCTTAACCTGACTAACGTATTAAACAGGTTCTACGTGGGCTAGCGCAATGTAAGGCTCCTCGTGAACCCCCTATGGGCTTTATAATTTTCCACCTCTGACTATAAATCTTCATTTTCTTCCAGTTACGCACCGGGAATCAAGCAAATCAACGAAGAATTCGGTGTAAGCGAGGATGTGGGCACACTTGGGATAAGTCTGCTACTATTTGGTTTTGGTCTGGGTCCATTGGTATGGGCACCTCTATCTGAGATGTATGGAAGGAAGCCTGCCGTCATATTCCCATATTTCATTGCTGTGGTATTTTCATTCGCCACAGCTACTGCCAAAGATATCCAAACCGTTTTACTTTCACGATTCTTCTGTGGATTTTTTGGTGCTGCTCCTGTTACCAACACTGGTGGTGTGCTAGGTGATATATGGTCAGCCGAAGACCGTGGAGCAGCCATTGTTGGCTATGCACTGTCTGTAGTGGGCGGTCCAACTATAGGGCCGATTGCTGGAGGCGCAATTGTTCAGAGTTATCTCGGATGGAGGTGGACTGAATATGTAATGTCTCGCATTCATCCCATTTACCCAATCCGTTTCTCACACTGGCTAATATTGACGTATACATAGCTCACCGGAATAATGATGCTGTTCTTCCTCGTACTCGACGTTATCTTTCTCGACGAGTCATATGCTCCAGTTTTGCTCGTAAAAAAAGCACGTCGTCTTCGTTATTCGACAGGAAACTGGGCTTTGCATGCACGCCATGAAGAATGGGACGTTGGATTTGGAGAAATGGCGAACAAATACTTCGTCGTCCCATTCCAGCTTCTTGCTACTCCAATATGTTTCTCCGTCGCCCTCTATGCTTCATTCGTCTACGGAATCCTTTATCTTAATCTTGCCTCTTTCCCACTTCAATTCCAGGAAGTGAGAGGCTGGAATCAAGTCGTTGGCCAGCTTCCATTCCTGGCTCTCCTCGTTGGAGTTCTACTAGGAGCGGTTGCAAACGTCATGAACCAGAAGTTTTATATTAAAAAATACAGAGCGAACAATTGTCGACCTGTACCCGAGGCTCGTCTTCCTCCGATGATGGTTGGATCAGTCATGTTTGCCGGTGGCCTCTTCATCCTGGGCTGGACGTCAGATCCGCGTATCCCCTGGATAGCAACAGCGATAGGAGCGTCTACTTTGGGCTTCGGCTTTTTTACCGTCTTCCAGGCTGCGCTGAACTACCTTATCGATACATTCCCAACTGTGTCTGCCAGCGCCGTGGCGGCAAACACATTTCTTCGAAGCATGTTTGCTGGTGCATTTCCCCTTTTCGTGAGGGCGATGTATGGCAAACTTGGAATTCCTTGGGCGTCCAGTCTACTGGGATTTGTAGCTGTTGCTCTACTCCCTATTCCATATCTCTTTTACATTTTTGGGCCGAAGATCAGAGCAAAAGGCCGATGGTCTCGTCCATCACTCTGATGAACAGGACCTTCATTGTCCCCCTCTGATTGACCTTTCTACACAAGTTTTTCGGGTTGGGCTACCTCTACCCCTAGGTATTGATTTCGGCTTTCTTCCATGTCTGGTGGTGATTAAGTTTAGAATGGCTGGTTTATGAACAGAATTATTTGGATATATACATAGACAGGACATGGTGGTGACGACGACGATGATGATCTTTGCTCTAGAAGCAGCATCGTCGAGGCTTATATAAAATCTTTAATGAATAATTTGATATCGTTAAATTGATCGAGGCAGACGCTTAACATCTAAGGAGTATGCTAAAACCCAAATTGCTTAAACCGCCTATCCCGCATTGATAAAAACACTATTTAACACCAGTATTATCATACACCAGCCATTTCCAAATCCTCCACCGCGCCAAATTCCCAATCCCCGCTTCGAATTCTGCTTACCCGATCCAGTTCGCTCTGATATTCCTTTCGCAGATCCTCTAGCGTTACAACGATGCGCTTTGCATGGCTGATCTTGATGTCTGAAGATGACCGTGATAAACTTGACTTATGACGATGGTTTGTAGGGGAATCGGGCGAAACCAAGCTGCGGTTGTCGGAGTTTTGTGAGAAGGGATTCCTTATTGAGGAATTCGATGTGGTAAATGGATCTTCGATGCTATTACTTGGCTTATGTAGGACCGGACTGATGCTCTCACGTCGGTTTCCTTTGGGATCATATTGCTCGACCACAATATATGCCTCGTTCTTCTCCATACACGCAAGCAAGTTGATGAGAGACAAGAGTTCATTTCGCAGTTCCCTACTCTCAATGTCATCCTCGATTAGATCATTGGAAGCATCCTCGGGTGTAAAGAACTTCACTTTCGATGTCGCCGGACGGTCACGTAGATCTCTTAGCCGGCTGACTGTTTGGTACGAAATCTCTGCAGCTCCACGGATATCGTTGCGTGCAATTCGGTAGGCTTTCAAGACGCGATGATACTCTGGCGTGTTTTCAGATCCTTGCCAGCCAATCAGGGGTACCGCTTGGTTGAAAGAAGGTCCCAAGGGTGACTGTTTGCTTGCCAGAGACGCCAGAATATCATCCACATGTGAGCACAGATGTGGAGTTAGGGACAATGGGAGGCGGAGGACCTTCTGCAGACCTGCTGTTCCAGATCCGTATGCTGTTAGGATTGTGGTAGTGAGGGATGTTAGTGCGGATTTCTGCAACGCCAGATCTGTGTACCTAGCAAGTGCCGAGTAGGCATCGTCGAAACGGCATGTTTTCAGAGATGCGTGAAATAATCGGGAGAGTAAATCACTTCGAAGATTCTTATGCTCGAGATCGGTTTCATTTTTCTTTGGGCTGGATCCCAGCGCTTGCAGTGATAGATTGGCGAAGTCTGCGACATGAACAAATGCTCGGGAAAGCTCGAAAAGACTGACAACGTGCTGGAAGTATCTTGGAAGGCCATTGTAGAAGCTATCAACAGACACGATATCGAGAAGATTTGAGGACATTTCGTGGAGGTTTCCAACGGGTTTCCCATAAGCTAAGATTAATATAAGAGTTAGTGAATGCCTGTTGTGGTCACGATTAGCAAAGACTTACAAAGAAGATAGGCAGCTTTTCGGAAGTAAATCGCTGCTGTATCAAAATCGGATTTTGCCAAGTATAGCCGTCCCTTGACGTAGGTTGCCCAGGCGGTATTTGGTTGGAAACGGAGGAAATCAGAGGCAAGGTCAAGGTTATCGGAGGCAAGCAGATCGCATTGGATGTACACCAAAACGTTAGGGAAGGATACTTCTCCTTGTCTTGTAACCCAGGATATGACATCCCGAATCTGTTGCGTCATTGCATACATTTGCGGTACGCCGGAGGCTGGTTGAGGCTTGATATGAATTGCGAATAGATCTTCTAGAATGGTGCAGCATTGGTTCCCTGCAATAGCTCTTTGGCCTGGCCGGATAGAACTAGACTCGGCCTGGCCCTTCTTCTGACGATATCGCACATTTGTCCCTAGCCATATCATCAACTCATACTCTTTCAGTAATTCGATCAATGTACTGAAGACCATGGCTCCGTCGAATCGAATATTCTCAGCCTCGAGGTTCACCTCAGTCTCGACGAAAACAGCAAATAGTAGTAGATCATGGATGATTTGCCTGCTCTGGATGAGGACCTCGAGGGTACCTTGAGTTGTTGCGTGGCGCCCAAAGGCAGTGGACTGGAGCTCTGAATCCTTCCCCGGGAAGCCCAAAGGTAACGTGTCAACCACGGCAAAAAATATTTCGTTGGTGAGACCTTTATATCCAATTGATTCCTCAATATTTGCACAGCCGGCTTCAAATAATTCTTCGGTGATGAGATCCGCAAAACCACAGTTGCTATGGAATGCTTCAACTCTCTCCGCGGCGGAAAGGGAAGGCTCCGCAAAGATCTCGTTATCCAAAGCAGTGCGGCATGTCTCGGTAAGATCTGCTGGGAATAGTTTTCGAAATGCCATAGCGACATTAGCGAGACTTGCAGACTTGCCAGGTTGATCTCCTAATTCACGGGGTAGATTCCTATGCGGCCAACAAGATTCAAGGACATCAATATTTTGGCCTAAAGCGCTTCCGTCGTTGTGTAAAATGAGCTCAGTGCTATTGCACTCGCGAATTAGAGCTGATCCGCCGCTGAATATCAACCATGGAAGATCACAGGATGCATCATAGGCCAGACTAATTGCTTCTTGCGTTTTCTTGTTGATGTCCTCGACAATCTGCCAGAATTGCTGCCATCTTGCTTCCAAGTCTTTATAATATTTCGTGAAGTCCATTTCAGCATCAGGGAGTTGTCGTAGGGTTACAGATTGCATTATTGTTGTGGAGACATCCTGTTGTAGTGATGGTGAGGATAAATTGCTGTTCGTCGACCGGGTGTGTTTTAGTTTCATTGCATCTTGATAAATAGCCAAGGCAGTCCTAATGATCTCAGTCGAGTACCTTTCAGGCGCGAAAAGATACTCAATCCACTTCTCTTGCGTATCTGTGACATCGGATCGTATAGGGTTAGGAGGTGCATTGTTTCCGGGGAATGTGAAGGCAGTCATGGTCCAGTTGTTATTCCACACCTTGGCTATATCAACCAAATCGAAGTGGATGCTGTAAAGTCGGTAAGAGTTGTGACTTTTCCAGAGGACCCATAACGCCATATTTCTACCCTCGTCCATGGATTTGATTTGGAAATCAACCACGTTCCAGAAAACGCTTCCAGAGGGGTCAGGATCAGCTGGTTGGAGTTTCGTATCCGGGAAAAGGTCTTCGATCACCAATTGGCTTGTAATTCCACCTCCCACAGCCCAAAACTTGAACTGACCGTCGTCCTGGGGAGAGTATGTTACAACATAGTACATATTACCCTCCGTTGCCCTTTCAGCGTTAAAAACTCGAATAAATGCCGACTCGTCCGGGTTTAAGGTCAGGGGCGCCGCATCTTGTGACTGGCCAGTTCGGTTCAACAAGTCTTTCGATGCAACGAGCTTTTGGCTTGCTAAGTTCCAGACTTTCAATGAATGGTTCAACCCAACCACAAACACAAACGCCTGGTCAGAGGTTGTCGCAACAGCGTTAGGCGTATTAGGATCGAGTGACCGGCCGTCATATTGCACTGCTTGATCGCCGTTCCATTTAACAAGCCCGCGCAAAGAAAAGCTCCACGTCTTTTCATCGAATGTAACTGGGAACCAGTGAGAACCTACAGGATAATCATTAGCTATACCCCCAATGTACAAGTTATCGCATATATGGGTGCATACCATCGTCACCAACTTTCCTCGTCAAACGTAAAAGCGCTCCACTGTCAAGAGAAATAAACAGCTCGTGAGGAGAGGCAGCATATAGCCGGTGCGGAAACGAGAATCCCAGCGGCGCCGGACTGCACGTCTTACACCAATCGCTTATGTTCTCATCTATAAATTCTGGTTTCCGGAAGAATTCTGGCCTCAAAGTGAAGGTGTATAGCTGCTTCGATCTGAGCATAACAAAAACGCTCAGCGCTTCATGTCCCTCCAAGTCCGCCAGAGCTACGCCATGAGGCACGATGGCATCGTCGAATTCCAGCCGAATAGCAACATTCGCTTCATGATGGTCTTGCGAGCTCTTTGTCAAATCCACAACTCTCAGCTCGAGGCAGGTGTTGTCTTCGATGACACGCCAGAAGAAGCATCGAGGATAGGTTTTTCGCTTGCGGAAGTAGATAGAGCTCTGACAGGTCAGGTATCGCTTTGCGAACGCGTCTTCGTCTCGGATGGCATCGTCGTGGGCGTTCAGGGAGGTCGCTGTCGAGATTCGGGTCCGTTGTTGAGCTCCATGCGACTTGACTGTGACCGTCACGGCGGGGTGCGGTGTGTTTGGCCCGATATCGACCTTCGTTCCCCTGTGTGAGATCAACATCTTCTTTACAATGAGCGATAGATCTGACCCATCCGTAGGAAGGCTAGGAGTGGGAGAGATGGTGGTGTGGGCATGCTCAGTATGTAGATGATGTCCCAAGGTCAATTATTTTCAAAGCTTCAGTTTTAGCGCGTTAACTAATACAAACCCCGTATTTACATACATGGTATTGCTTACACCGCAAGGGGTCTATCTACAACACAGCCAAACATATATCCTCGTTAATCATATTTGTATTCTATCATTGCATAATATATAATGTAGGGAAGGGAGTCATGGTTAAATGCATATTAAGAGAGACGTCAATTCCCTAAACGCCGAGCTAAATGAGTAAAATCGTCGGAAAGATCGAGAGCGGAGGAGGAGGGTATCTATGAATCCTTCTCTAGATCTTTCGGGCTAGGGTCGCCAATCCCATCTTCGTTAATGGCGAACAAACAGTCGCTCTCCGGCAGACACGGGCTATCGTAAATCTTGCAAATCCTAGTCTCTCCTCGTCCTTTCTTTAAACTCAATCTCGTCGTGCTTGCATGTGCAATAATGTTACCCCCAATGGGCTTTTTAGGGTCAGGATTGTACATGGAACTTGGCCCGCCATCGACTTGCGCAACGACCTGGTTAGTGATGACAACTGCGACGCCGAATTCATCGGCAAGACGCTGCAGGGTACGCATGAAACGGGCAAGGTGGTTTTGCCTTGATGATAGCTCTCCACGGCCACTGAAGTCAGTCCTATAGAGTGATGTGGCGGAGTCGACGATCAGCAGAGAGAATCGCGTTTCACACATCATCTGGGATGCCTGGTTGAGTAGTTGAAGCTGGTGGTCGGAGTTGTATGCACGGGCATATGCAACATTATCTAGCACCTCCTCGCCCACAAGCCCGTACCGCTGGGCCACGGCTAACAGGCGCACTGGTCGGAAAGTACCCTCCGTATCAATATAGAGACATTTGCCTTCCCCGCCGCCCATGTCGAAGGGCAGTTGGCATGTAACAGCAAGGGTATGACAGATCTGACTTTTCCCTGTCCTGAATTCGCCAAAGAGTTCTGTAATCGATCCCGTCTCGATACCACCGGCAAGAAGTGTGTCAAGTTGTTTAGAGCCAGTAGTAATACATATTAGGTCCGCTCGACGTGAGTGCATTTCTGTAGCAGTCGTGAATCCCATGGGTACGATTTTGGCCGCTATTAAGAAATATCAGCGTTAATATCCTGCGCAAAAGGTGGTATAGCAGATGTATACCTTCAGTCAGTATTTTTGTCGCCTTTTGCTCTGAAATTCCCTTGATCTGTTCCAGCATTCGCTTTGGTCTAGGGTAGAGTTAGCCGGGAACGATATAAACGCCCGGTGAGTGGTTTCGGCTTCAACAAGAGCGGAAAGGCGGGATGAATACGTATATGCTACCGCCTCTACGGTATGAAATCCTCCATCGGTGATTAATTTGATATCTCGAGCGGTGAGGCCGCCAACTCCCTAATTTGCACAACCAATATTAGTACCACTAAAGCAGGGAGAGAACGACACAGGGAGACCAACCTCGAGGGCAGAGAGAGGCGTGGGTGCACCGGGTCCAGGAAGCCCATTCTCCTCCATGTCGGCCTGCGAAACCTCTTCTGCGGTCATCTTAGTGGTTAAGTCGTTCGCTTGATGTCGCGTCTGAGACACGTGTCGAGTGCTCTAGCAAGATAGATTCTGTATAGCTAGAAAGGCAAGTAATAAATGAGAAGAACTGGTAAAACAAGACAACTAGAATCATACAACAGGATACGAAGGAGAAAGCTGTTTAGGCGTGTGTGTTCTGCTGTTGAAGTCGAAGTCGAAGTCGAAGTGGGAGGCACGACGCGTGTTCACGTGATGTAAATAGGAAAAGGCCTCCATCTACAACAAACACACTATACACTCTACATCATAAGTCTATAACAAGTCTATAACAAGTCTACAACAAGTCTACGGAGTATTCTCAGTCCTTGGACGGCCTGTTCGTGTTGATATCCTCTAGGATGGCACTAATAGCAGCATTTACCAGCCTGGCAACCAATTCCTGTCCTAGAGCTGCTGCCTTGTCAAGACTATCTTCAACGCTCTGAGAACCATCAAGGCTGACAACTATTGCTCTCATCCTCAGACAATCCTTTAGCTCACCAGGCCACTCTGTCTCGACTCCGATCGGGACACTACAGCCTCCTTCAAGTGTACACATCAGAACCCGCTCGGCGAGACAAGCCAGGCTAGATTTGTGGTCTGCCAACTGATTCAGCAAGTCCAGGGTTTTGGTATCACCTTTACGGACCTCGAGACCAAGTGCTCTCTGGCCGACCGCGTGCAAAATATCACCGTCCCTGGAACCCTTGCGCTGGGTGATACGGTTGCCGAGTCTAACACGCTCGAGACCACATACAGACAGTATGATGCAGGTATACTCACTTTCCGGATTATCAAGCTTGGCCAGGCGAGTTTCCACATTCCCTCGCACGTTGGCAAAGCGTAGATGGGGGAATAGAAGGCGAAGTTGCGCGGCAATTCGCAGCATAGTGGATGACGACTTTTTATAAACAATAAAAACTCACGGACGGCTCACGTCACAATCGTATGTTCAACAGACTGCAGCCTTGCCTAGTAGATATCCGTTCGATATTGTGTCCGTCGTACGCAAGGCTATAAATATTCTATTCAAGAGGAAGAACTTTCGTGGACAATATTATATTTTCATCTCTTTATGCAAACGCGCCAAAAAATCAAATTTTTCTTAGGTATCATCACGGTCGTAAAATGAGAACTGGCTCTGGTAACATGCATGTATCAATCGTTGCGTCGTGCTCATAAAGTCCTGCCGTTCTTATTCTAGGCCTGTCCGTGGGACTGCTTGGTGCCTCCAGGATCCTCCCAGCTGGCCAGTCTCGGCTACATGGGACTGCCTGTGGCTGTGCAGTGCTCGTAGGTGGTCTTCATCGCCGTCTACTGGGATATGGCTAGTAGACTGGTTTCTCGAGTGAGGGAGGATGGCGCGGCTGCTAGTAGATACAGCCCTTGACTCGGTTCGTCGTGTCTGTTCAATATTCTCGTTCTCTGCATGATTCGGTCAGTACTTCATCATCTGCTAGTTCTCCGCCTTGGTGTACATACCAAGGTATTCTAGCGGTGATGACCGATGACTGATCCCATCTGAAACTGCCGTGCTAGACGAGCCCGAACTATCCTTTTTCCCTACGTTTTCCGGCTCTCCAGCTGCCACACTATGTTCATTTGCTTCAACAAATATCTCTTCTTCTCCGTTGTCTGGATATATCGATCCCGCTGCTCCCGGACTTTCTTCCCGAGAAACAGCTACGGGCCCAAGACTCAAGTTGCTGCACGCAGGACTAGCTGGCCTAGTACCCTCAGGAGTAGCAGCGGGTATCGGACTCGCGTGGGGGGTATTGGTCCTGGAAACCCAGATTCCCTCGATTTCGATTCCACTCTCGAGGGCCCGAGATCCAAAGGGGATGAGATCAAGATCCTTCGTGCCAACGGTCTCTTCCTCCCGGCTTCTCTTCAGTGCTTCTGCCGCTCCGATCTTTTTTATCCTCCAGCTGTTGTAGATATGTACACCTGTGCCGTATAGCAAGACCAGGGTCTGATATGAAATGTTAGAAAGACCTGAAAACGAGACAAACCGTTTGGAGTCAAGCTTACAATGAGGCAGCCAAGGACCTATGTTCCGTATGTCAATATCTCGATATATGTACCAGTCGTGGCTGTGCCCGGGTCAACTTACGAAGCACATCTGCTCCCATAGCTCCCAGTCTGTCCAGAACCCCATCGTGTGCGAGTGATAGATATAGAGCCGTCCGTTTATTTACTTGAACATGAAAGACAAATCCACCCAGAGAGCTCGAGTAAGGAAAAAGGCCCAACTTGTAGAGTGAGAGCACACTCTGAGAATCGATGTCTCTGTGTTTGCGCCACCGAGAGGCGTTGTTAGTGAGTAGCGAGAAGTAGGTCGTCACTGCCTCTGGTATATAGCGGGCTGGCACTTGGGGGGTCGCAGTAAATCCGAGCTGAGAGCAGCAAAGTAGCGACTGATGAGATCTACTCCGTAAGTATATCCTCTAGAGAGCCAGGGCTCGACGTTTAAGCACTCCCACGCAGACGTGGTGGAACAAAGCGATCCGGTCGCAGGGAAAAAAACTAATTGTGTACAAAGTACACGCGCAGCACGTTATAAACGGGGAGAAAAGATATATATTTAGTTTTTTCCTCGACGGGAGAGAAAAGGGGCATAAGTGTGTTTAACATGCGTGTTTAACAGCGTAGTATCCGCCGCTGGCGACTGTTTCATTCCGAGAATGCAACGAGCCACCACCGACGAGCCAGCGGCGGCCGTGGCAGCTAATGTGAGACATGCGATAGACATGGCTCTTTGCTTTTGATGGCCTGCAGAAGCGGCGTGTAGATCAGGGATCTCGTATCGGTCGATTCGATCTGATGCTGACACCTGGCATGCATGTACTAGCAGCCAGTTATAGAACCGCGTTCTATACATAGTGATATAATTGATTAACTGATTCTAGTTCAGCACAGCGGCGTACATCATGAACAAAAGAATACAGCTCTCCCTCAGATAGTCGACATGTTGCAAAATTCAAAGACAACCTCCCGAGCTCCCTTGTTGACTCCATATCAAGTCTTCCACCAACTTGGCTATCTTTATGTCTGTTTACCGACCATCCTTTGCTGGGTTAAGGCGAGCCCCCTTACCTAGCTCTAGTAAGGGACCTTTACGGTCGGTCTCGTTCCTCTCTAGACAAGAAGAAGATCAGAATCCAGATTATGACCCTAAAAAATACTATCCAGCTCGTGTTGGAGAGACCATAGCTAAGTGTTGAACGGAGATTCGGTGTAATACTGCCTGATCGTACGAAACACGTTAGTCAACTACGCCGTTTCATTAAATATCAGTGTCAGCTCTCCATCATCGAACAAATGCTACGCCCGGCGTTTTAACGCCTGTTTCAGCTGTAGCTGGCATCTCCGCGATGGCAAGATACATGGCCGTATGAGGAACATAAATAGGAGCTCAATATCGTGTATTTAGATGATCAGTGCTTGATAGATTGAAATCTCATAGATTGCTCCAGACCCACCTGACCAATCAAATCAATCAAATATCTCGTATCTCAGACTAAGCGATACTCCATCATCTCAAAACTCGGCTGGGGCTCCAATTCTACAGTCTGGTTGGCAAGGGACACAAACCGGTCAGTTCAGCCATTCATTTAATGGACTGTTGAATAACATTGTCAAAGCTGGATCTGGCAGCCAAATAGATATGTGACCTTAAAGATCACGAACTGTGGTGAAGGAGAACGAAAATCTGCTCATGAAGAAGCAGAAATATCACAACATATCTCTCAAGTGCGGTCGAGTCATGAAGGTCGGGCATATGTTCGATTAGTCGAAGAGTCCTTTGAGATCCAAAGCTCGCTAGGAGACCATGTCTGCTTGGTATTCGAACCGCTACGGGAGCCACTCTGGGTTTTGGGCAGACATCTGGGAAGTGTCGGTGTACCACTTGCAGTATTGAAGCCGTTTCTGAAAGTGTTTTTCGAAGGCCTGGATTTCCTCCATTCAGAGTGCCATGTTATACATACAGGTGGGATATGCCTCACTGCTCTATTCCTGATATCTCCTTTCCTCTAATTAGAGACGAAAAGACCTCAAAGCGGATAACTTCCTCGTGGGATTCGAAGACTCTACAGTTCTTGAGAGCTACGTCCGTCAGCAGGAAGGCAATCCCGCCCCATTTAAAGTCAACGATGGCCGTCCTATATTTCAATCTCGACCTGATTTTGGGCCCTTAATTAAGGGGTAGGGCTCGCTAGGATCAGCGACTTCAGCACCGCTGTGTTTGGAAACGTTCCTGTCCCTCACAACCATGATATTCAACCTCTGCCATTCTGCGCGCCGGAAATCCTTCTGAAGGCAACATGGACGTATAGTACGGATATATGGAATGCGGGAACAATGGTAGGATCTTGACGAAACCACCCACGCATGGTGCTAATAATTTTTCAAAGCTATGGGAACTTCTTGCAGAAGATGCTCTTTTTGATGGCTGAGACCCCAGGGACAACTCATATTCCCGAGAAGCACACATAGGCCAGATGATACGACTGCTCGGCCCACCTCCTCCCCGGCTATTGGAAAGAGCTGATGAGCGTGTATGCTCACAGCTATTTTCTAGTCAAGGTGAGATTATAACAAACCATTAATCAAATTCAATCTGCTGAATATATTATATCACCCAGGCCAATTCAGATTCCCGCATTTGATACCGTCAGAGGATTTTCATTTGTCGAATCGTACACCATCTCTACATGGAGAAGACAAACGACTCTTTCTTGAATTTGCGCGGAAGATGCTTCAATGGGAGCCCAAACAACGCTCAACCGCGAAAGAACTTAAGAATGACCCCTGGTTGGATTTTAAAGCTTGAACTGATCGCCTGTATGGTTAAACGAAGGAATACTTGTGAAGGATGTCGTTGTTCCTCTGAGAGGCCGACAGGATATATTTAAGTTCATTTTGAATCTTCGTTATTTTCATGCTAAGGTTCGACTTTTCTATCGAACAATATAGCTAATTGAATAGAATTGGTAGAGAGATCAAGATAGAAAGTAGTAATTCGTGCTAGATCCTTTTTTCTAGTACTTGTATACGGTAGGCTGGGCGAGTAAGCCTAGGACCGAGATATGAACCGTGGATCAGAGGCCATGGCGGACCCCAGCTTGCCCCCGATCATGTGTGGCTGGCTTCGTATATCAGATCTCGATCTTGCTTCCGATGTCATAGCCGGATTCTCGACCCAGACGCTGCCGGAATAAGCACTCACTCTCGCCTTCGTTCTGCAGTACTTAAGCGGTATACTTCATACCATTCGTTGACCATGCCGCCATTCCGTAACCTGTTCCCTAAACGCCCAGCCGTTAACGTGGAAGAAGCACACGATGAGCCGCCTCAACGACTGTCCACAGACAGCCCGTCACGGAGCTCGCGGCCTTCGTTAACTCTCGGGAGGAGTAACATTGAGGAACCCAATGAATATAAAATGAGCGGTAAAGCTACTACCATACGCTATCCTGAATTCCGGTTCATCCGGAGAGATACACTCACCCATGGGCTGGACACCTCCCCTGATACAAGCCTGTTGAAAGCAGGACATGAACCTTGGTTACCCCATAAGTATGACTGACAGTTGGTTTGGTTTGCAGTCGTGAGCGACAATGGAGTCTATCTCCCGGTATGAGCACCAATGGCATTTTCTCTCCCACTCTATTCTCGTCAATGAACGATATATAGTATATACTGACTGATACCGCGCATTAGCCCTCGCCCACGGAGAAGAAGAGCTATTGGCAGAGACCATCGTCTCGGAAAGCCAGCCGAAACCTCCTTGACGAGAATGAACCCTTTTCTATCTCTCGGGAGTCGTTTGATTCCTATCGCCGCTCATTTGTATGGCCACACGACCACCGTCTTGACCTGAACCCGGATAGCTGACTATATATCAATTGCGTACGCAGGATATATCCGCTCGATCACCCGTGAGCCAACACTCCGATACCGCTGCGTCACGCACTTCCCTCGACTCTCGTTTGTCCCGGACCTGCCCACGTTCAATTGCGAGTGGCACCTCTCTTGAGCCTCCCAACTCCAGCGACAGGGATGAGGTAGAAGACCCCTTTGAGGACGTCTCTTTGACTGATGACTCGAGGCCGAAAAAGCGTGGGTTCTTCTCTCGTTTTGGTGATTCGCCGGCCGGCTCGCAGACAACGCAGGGCAAATCATCCTCTTCGCACAACTTCCATTTCCCGGGGAGACGGCGAGACCAGGTCGGCCAAGGCGCGGAACTCGCAAGCATGGATCAGGATAAATGAAGTCCCAAATGATAATGATATATGTCGGGTTACCTATCTGTTAGCAGGCTTCATGTTACGTGTGTTAACGATCCACACCAGGAGCAGGCGCGATTGTGCATTCCCCAGGGTTACCTGTGGTTGGTATATCCCCTCGATCGGCCGACCTACTCTTTGCCCTTCGCCTAGGCAGCCAGCTGTACAATGTCGCTTCTTGGAGTTTCGGTGCTTCTTTTTCTGTATGAATTTTGTGACTGAAATATACATGTCACGTGGAAGTAACAGATAGCTTAGTCATCCACCACTTAGTGCAAACAATGCAAATACAGAAAACTTCGGCGCAAGAAACATTTGATAAAAAAAAAAACTAAAGAAGCGAGCGATATCAAGATTCTCGATGCAGCTCGGTTTTTAACGAACAAGGCTGAATTATACAAGATGGCTGGGGTTAAGCGCAGAGCCGATGCCACGGAAGCGTCCAACAGCAAAAGGACCAAGTCAAAATCCTCGTCAAAGTCGGTTGAAGCTAAGGGAAAGGCGAAAGCTGGCTATGCCAAAGCTTCTAAGGTAACTGAGGTGGAGAGCGACGAGGATATGTTTGATGAAGAGGATGAAGAGGATGAGGAGGAACCCAGCAATGAATCCGATCTCAGCCACTCGGAGAAGGAAGATACCCATTCTGGAAAGGATAATACTACAAACGGCGATTCCGAAAATAGTATGAAGCCATTCCCTACGTTGCTGTTATATGGAGCTCTAACAATTGCGTTGTACAGAATTAAGCACATCCAGAGAATCACACGCAAAGCAAAAAGCGCTTGCACAAGAGCGCAAAGCAGCCAGACCCAACGCCGACGCCATTGCCCGCACAAAGAAGATTTGGGAAAGACTACGACGAAAATCCCATGTCCCCCGGGAAGAGCGCAAGAAGCTCGTTACCGAATTATATGCTATTATCACGGGCCGTGTGAAGGAATTCGTTTTTAAGCATGACTCTGTCCGAGTTATCCAGACGGCGCTTAAATACGCTAACCTGGAACAGCGGAAGAATATCGCCGTGGAATTGAAGGGCGATTACCGGAGTTTGGCAGAGAGCAAGTACGCGAAGTTCTTGCTTGGCAAGTTGCTTGTACATGGCGATGCAGAAATTCGGGACTTGATCATTCCAGAGTTCTACGGCCATGTGAAGAGACTTGTTAGGCATCCAGAGGCCTCGTGGATTCTGGACGATATTTACCGAACCGTGGCTACTCCCTTGCAGAAATACAAGCTACTCCGAGAATGGTATGGGATGGAGTTTGTCCTTATGAAGGATGACATTAGTGATGAAATTTTGTCGCTGCCACAGATCTTGGAGAAAAGCCCGGAGAAGCGTGCGCCGGTGCTACAGCACCTTCACGGGATGATTAACCAACTTATCCAAAAGAAGACTACCGGATTCACTATGCTTCATGATGCCATGTTGCAATATTTCTTGAGCACCAAGCCAGGAAGCACCGAGGCGAACGAGTTCATAGAACTTCTCAAGGGAGATGAAGAGGGAGACCTGGCTAAGAATCTGGCTTTCACCAAGTCTGGTGCACGGCTGATGTGTCTCGCGTTGGCGTACTCGAATGCCAAAGACCGAAAGCTATTGCTTCGAATGTACCGTGACACCGTGAAGCTGATGTCCGGTGATGTACATGGCCATACCATTCTCCTGGTCGCATACGAAGTCGTCGATGATACAAAGTTGACGCACAAGCTACTCTTGACTGAGCTGCTTACCCAGGACGATCTCGTCCCACGAACTAATGACCAGCTAGCCCGCATCCCCTTGCTCTATTCGTTTGCCGGAAACAAAAACGGATGGCTGATCACCGACACAGACCGTCAAATCCTCGATGAAGTAATTGAGATTAGGTCGCAAACATCCAAGAAGGATCCTGAAGTCCGGCGAGGTGAACTCATCGCCGCCGCATCCCCAGCTCTCCTCGAATGCATCGCTGCAAACGCAGCTGCCCTTGCAGAAACCAGCTTTGGAGCTCGGTTCATTACAGAGGTCCTTTTCGACAGCACCGGCGACAAGGCCGCCGCGCTTGAGGCTGTTGCTGCACTTGGGGAATCCGAGGGCGACGTCCTAAAGTCTCCAAACGCAGGCCGAATGTTGAAAGCTCTCGTTCAAGGCGGTCGATTCAATAACTTTACAAAGAAAGTAGAGCCAGTGCAGCCTCCGCTGAACTTCAACTCGCTTCTATACAACCACATCAAAGACAACGTGAAGTCGTGGGCAACGGAATGGAATCCCTTCGTGGTAGTTGCGCTGCTAGAGTCCGAGGGCTTCGAGAAGAGAGACGAGCTCATTGCAACGTTGAAGAAGAGCAAAAAACAACTGACGGAGCTTGCATCTGCAGGTTCGAAGAAGCCGAAGGGTGAAGGCGAGGAGAAGCGCGACCCTGCGAGCAGCGCTGCAAAGCTGCTCCTGGAGAAAATTGCATGATTAGATGCTGCACAATGTCAATATATGTTTGATCTGTCATACTTTTGAGCGATGGTGCTCCGTATACTATTTGAATCCCCCATGTTCGCCCGGGGCTGACCCAGGGCATAAACATACCATGTTCCGCCTCCACAAAAAGCAAATATACGGGAGGGAAAAAATTAATAAAACTGGATTTAAAAAAAACCAAGGCAAACAGACGTCATATTCGCCTGAGAAGACGCATAATCATCTCATGGCAAAAGCTGGCCTGAAACGAATAAACATATATAGAGTACGCCACTGCATGGAGTAAGAATGCGATAGTTAGTGCTCGAAAGCAAGCTAAGCCCTACTACTTGCTTTAAGCTTGTTTTTTTTTTTCTCTCTCATGTAGCTACACCGGATGTGCTGGGCAGTCTTCCGCTGCCTGACTTGCCATCCCAGCCGGGCGTCCCGTCTGCGTCCCTTCAATGATATAATATCCCTTTCTTCTATACGAGCGTCCTTCGAGTTTTTCTTCCCCTGAGCAACCTAACCGCAAACTCAATTTCCCAGTGGCAAACAAGACAAACATGCAACTTGCTCCCTGTCAATATATCTAATATAACCAACTCGCCCCCTTGTTCAACGGAGGAATAAATCACAGTGCGACCAACACCTCCCAGGACCCTTTTGATTCTCTGGCGCTGAAGGCCGGTTTGGCTGCCTCTGGCGTAGGGACTTGTCGGTTGTCTGCCGGGTTGCTCCTGGATGAGCCGCGCCGCGCGCGAGGGCTCGCAATATCGCTCGAAACCGCTAGGTTAGATCTAGATACAGTGGTGGATGCGCCTGAGAATGCGCCGTTGACGAAGACCAGCTAGCCATGCCGACTCCAGCGTTCTCCAGCATGGCACCGACCAGCTATAATGATAAATCGGCCCTGAACCGCTCTATGATTGCTCCCTCGCCCACACTGACGAACCCGGACATGATACTCCCTTACGGCAGAGAACGAGAGACATCTACGCCCTCGCCCCCTTTTGAAGCTCTCCAGCGAGCGGCGGAGCACTCCAGAATGCTTGCTAGCAGTTATTCGCCCATGCGTCAGCGCAGTACATCCGTCTCGACCACCACATCCTTCGATCAAAGTTCCTCGGGACATGACGAATCGAGATACCACTATGCTGAGAGCTCAAAGGAGGGATCGCCGCAGGTGGTGAATTCTAGTATGGGGAACGGATTTACGCGAACCCAGTTTTCAGAGATAGAGAATACGTTAAGGTCCCATTCTAGACGGCCAAGTAGGAACAACAACAGTGTGGACAGTCTTGTAGATTCCGGCTCGGGACTCATTGCGAGTGACGGGATATCCAAGCGGCATTCGAAGCTCAAAGAACTACAAGACCTGCCGGAGGACTTCTTTGAACATGAAAAGGCGCAATTAGAGGAAGAACAGGCTGCGCATGCAGGCGCAGACGACCTGAGTGCGGTGATTTTTGAGCCAGAACATCGAATACTTCCAATGGGCGCAATTGCGGAGGAGGATGAAGAAGACGACGAAAAGGCTGATAAGACTGGAAACGACGACGGAAACGACAGTGATGATATTGACGAGCTTACATCTATGCTAGAGAACGCAAAGCTAAGGCTTACGGTATGTTGCAACACTGCATTTTAATCCAGTAGAGACACAATCTTCTAACGTGAAAACTATTCATCTAGCATATGGAAGGCAACCTCAACCGTGCGCGCACTTCATTCCGCATGACTCCGTCACCCTCGCCGTCTTTAAATCGCGCTTTTGCCAACCCCGGCGGATCCTATAAACCGCTTGCTAAGGGGGAGAGACGCGCTCAGACATCCCTTGCAGGCGCATTACTACGTCAAAGGGCTCACCAAGGCATATCTGGCAACACATCATCGCATATAAGAGGACAGAGTGATCTATACTCGCCGTCGTCGCAAGCCCAGCACCGACTATCCGGAACGAAGGGGCAATTCCGATCATATAGTGCCCTGGGTTCCACAAGTGCTTCCGGATATAGGAATGAATTTTTCTCTTCTATGGAAGAGCAATATGACGATAAGGAGTCGAATGTGGAAACTGGATCTCCGATCCATGAAATTTCTGTCGACAGGCCAAGGTCGCAAACTCCTTCTTCTTCCTCGCGGACCCCGTCTATAGTTAATGGACAGTCACGATCCTCGCCCTTACACGACGGTGATATCAAGAGCTCGCCCGCTTTATCAAAGTCTCCGCCATTGATTAATAAACCTACCTCTGATAGCCGATCTATCACCCCACCATCGCCTGCTAACTCACAGCTGCAAATGCTCGGCTTGCAGGGCCAAGTGGACGGCTTAAGATCAAAACTTTCTACCCTCAAAGAAAGGACTCAGGAAGAATCAATACGAAGGCGTAGCCAGCAGAGCTTGCGTACGCCTAGTCCATTTACCGTGGCTGACCAGAGCTATGCGAATCCCCTAGAATACCAAAGGCAATCATCATATCCGGAAACGCTTTCTACTCCGAAGTATGACAAACCCCAATCTCCACCTACACGCAATGAAGAAATACATGACATTCCTTGCAAACCATCTCCACCCCAGTCAGTTGAGGAGAAAAAGATTGTGGAGGCCCAGGAATCGGGAAAGCGGGAGTCTATCCGAGAGCCTATCCAGGAGTCCGTCGAGAAGATAGATGACAGTGAATCCGAATATTTTGAGTATTCGGATGATGGATCTGAACATTCTGATAATGCGGATATCGATAGACAAGCGCTTGCCGAGATACTACGGGAACCATTAGATAGCCCCGGTGGGACTCTCGACCAGGAGCTTTTGGAAGAGTTTCCTGCTGTCCCAGCGGCTCAAGAAACAATTCGCCATGAGGATCGAATCGATGCCTTTGACTATGAACACTTTATTCTCCACAGTGCATTAGGGACTTACTCGGGTGGTATGACTCGCCCGGAGAGCTTTTGCTCGGTTGAATCAGTCGAAACCACACGCCCATCTAGCCAAGCAGATGGCCGCCAAACACCAAAAAGTAGACCCTCACTTGCAAGGGTAACTAGCAACGATTCAATCTCAACAGAGGCCACTTTCGCCACAGCAACCGAAGGGGAAGATGACTATCGTGATGTGACTTCGCCAAATGGCCATGAAACTTTCTGGGATGGAGAACAACCTACCACTCGCAGTAAGAAACCCCACAAGCTGTTTGTTACTGTCCACCAAATATTAACAGTCGCGTCATAGATAAATCTCGCCATTATACTGAAGATTCTCTAACAATTCCTCCCTATCAATATAACAACAACTCTCCCGCCTACTCAAGTACGCAATCTGTCTCATCCACGCCCCGTGCCTCCGTGGTGCAAGGGAACGTAACAAATGAACAAAACGCTGCTTTATTAGCCTCGATTTCCGAACTTCAAAAAGCTGCAGCTACTCCACCAACTCCTAGCCTACTTGTCAGGTCTCTCATATCCTCAGCAGCTAATGAAAATGCCAGCAACGAGTCTGGAATGTACTCTCCGCACAGTGGAACCCTAAACGATGCTGATGCCGAACTTGTGGAAGCCGTCATCCAAAGCCTAGGCAACGTGAGCCTTGAGCTCCTTCGAGCTTCAACTACTGACCTCAAGTCCGCTATCGATAATCGAATTGTGACCATCCTACGGCGCAGATTAGAGGCTGCCCGAAGAGTCTTAGACGGCCTAGCGCCGTTGGAGGCCAATTCCTAACCCTTTCTTTCTGGATACCATATTTTTTATACATTGCGGCGTGGCTGAATGATTTTCTTTTGTTAAAATACCAAAGAGTTACTGCATTCATTTCCTTGACATTTACTATATCCCCCGTTTTCTGGCCTTTTTCTTTCTGGTTGGAAATATTAGTTGAAATTTCCCTGTTTTATACCTCCACAATCCTCCCGTTTATTCCCCTTTCTAGCCTCCAGTTAAGAATATATTATATATGAACACAAGACTGGTTAAAGCGCTATATATCTTATAGTATTGTAAGCAATAAAGTAGATCATCGTAGTACATAGGAAATTCAACTTTTCGCATGAGCAAATCTATATTCTTATATAGCATACAAGTTAGTCCGGTTTTCTAAGTATTGATATTGTTTGATTGGGTGTTTATTAAGAGTCGTGGCATAGAAAAATAATTAATTGGAGTTAGTTACAGCTACGTACGAGTTTCTTATTAAACTAGGGGTTAGAAAGGCTCCTCGGAGCAACAGGGCCTATTCAAACTTAATGAAGATAAAAGCATAAGTGTGATAGCAAGTCATGGATATGTAAAGATATCAGATATATATAACAAACATAGAAAATCTGTGGTTAAATGAGTGTGGGGAGAGAGAAAACGCGGACATCATATATATGAAGCAAACATAGAAAATCTATGGTTAAATGAGTGTGGGGGGAGAAGAAACATGCAAGTACAACATGGACTCAGATCATAGGAAAAGGGGCAAGTGAGAGACAAGTGTAAGAACAAACATAGACTCAGATCATAGAAAACGAGTGTGGGGAGTAGTGTGATAAGCTCCCCAAGAGTAGCATACCAAAGGCATCCAATGGGTGATAGACTGGCCAGATATCATTAGATTGTTATTTCTTATAATACCCTGGCACCCAGAGTGCTAATGACACGATATATTGTCATCATGGTGATGGAGGTGGGGTTAGGTAGCTCTTGCATCCAGGGCAGAGTCCCCGGGGATTTTTAGGAACTCGACGGAGCCCAAATGGGCAAGGGTCGTGCTCGCAGATTATATATCCACTGCGGACCGTGTGGCCACACCCACGGTATGTACTGATTGTAACGGCACACATGGTAGATCTATATCTAGGTTAGTAAAATATTTCATTGTTGCTTAGAGGTTCTTCTAAACAACAAGACTAGAAATCAGCCAACCTTTATTCTTGAGTTAGAGGGTAGCGGTATATATTTTGATATTGTTCGTTGAGATGTTGATTTTTGCCAAATTGGGATGAATGACTTCGATAGAGTGTATAATGGAAGGCTTGAATATCACAAGTGTTCGGGAGAATAAAAACTATCCTTTAAATGTTTGTGTAGTTGCTATGGAGGCTTGGGGCTGTAGGAGCTGATGGTAATGCTTTGAGGGAGTTGGATATTCATTCATTACAGGTGAGTTGAGCCAGTTTATATAGCACGATATATCATAGAACCCAAAGGAAACCACTCACTTTCTACTGTATCTATCTTTGGTGTGATGGCTGTCCATGTGCCAAATAACAGGCAGCACCGGGCTTATCCAGTACTCGAGATGATCATATGAGACTATACAGCCACACAAGGTATATGAATGAGGTTGACAAGATGATACGCCGCATCGGATAATGAGTACAATATCATTCAATCGGCAGGCAGCACTCTTGATCGTCTGCCCTTGATAATCATAAGACTATACAGCCACACCGATATAAACAGGGCGAACAGGGCGAACAGGGTGTATAGCATGGCGATAGCATGTAGTCATTCTGTCAAACAGACAGAGCAGGCAGCACTCTTGATCGACTGCCATCGATCATATGTGGCATAGTACAGTCGTGCTATGTGTATGTATGACGCAAAAGAGAGGCGGTGCGGAGAACGTGGAATAGTGGGATATTGTCGTTCTACCAGAGTAACAGGGTATCTGACAGCGCTCTTGCTGCCTAAAACTAGCATGAAAATCTTCCGTGACCGCCGGCCGGAGTTGCATTGAATAATTCCCAGTAATGGGGCTTTGCTGGTAGAGTGGAATCAATGGGGTATCATTGATCTGCCCAACTTGGAAGACCGCCTTGGGTGAGCATCAAAGTAATATGAGGCAGATAAACAGGCACATCAAGCTCTTTAATGAGTCGATGGCTCGCTGCTGGTGTATGTATCGAGGGTGATATGGGTATAAAGACGCGCTTGGTGAGAAGTTTCAAGATGTTTTGGGGGCGACTTGGTCCGTGTGCTGACTAAGCATAAACACGGGTACTCCCGCAACTGTAACGGAGATAAACATTTGCATATATAGATAGAGAGAAATGACCACATTGTGTTCTGTTTGCCTCGGAGCATATATTCTTCTTTCTATTCCCCCCCTATAACATTGTCTTGATCAGAGAAACTAGCTAGGTGTGAATTCTTGTATATATAGAAAATTTTGGAAAACGATCATCTTTAGGGAACTCAGATTCCTGATAGTGGGTGGTTAAGAACTTCGTGACGCGTGAAGTACAAGGATCCGCACTATAGACTGTCAGTATATCAAGGAAAATAAATAGAGTATAACTAGAGGACTTACCAGACTTGTCCCTTATGTTTCCATTCCCGGGAATAATCCCAAAGAATCATAGCGGGCTGCGCGATGTCTGCGATTATCTCCTTTACTGGCGCATCGGCAGCGCATGAAATTATCAAAGTAGTATCGTCAACCTCAAGGAAACCTTCTGGGTCATTAAGGGTATTGATTCCGTACTCTGCAAGTACCTCAGAGTCAACGGGTGTGTACTCAGGATCCTGCGCAAAGCACTGGATGGCTCTGTCACTTCCAGTTAAGTGGCTTAGGCTCTTCTGCAAAGTAAGTATCAGAGCATGCTGCGCCGTTGAAGCGTCCCAGCAGTCCTTTTCCATCTCACCATCTGGGTTCCTTATAAATCGGAAGGTGATATTTGCACATGCAAATGCAATAATCTTGGTGATCTTTAAGTCAGGATGAAATGTCATCTTGCTTAATGTTGACTGCAAATTCAGGCAGGTTTCGCTCGACTCCCACTGCTCTAGGGCTTCCTTAAAGGCACCTTTAACAAGCTCACTAGACGGGATACGGGCTACCGGTTCCTTTGTAATTCTGTCTCGTAGGGTGTCTGTATGGTAAATACGCAGGCTGCAGTACGCATGATCCTCTTCCTGTATAAACTTTTGAAGATAGTCCGACGATGCATAAAAGATTATAGGCTTGACTCTACAAATCACCGTAATTGTATATAAGCTGCTAAACATTGTATTATTGGGGGTGGTAGAGCTGTAGACATACATAACTCGTTCGAGGTGCTCGGGCAGCTCGTCATCTCGCGCCTCGACCTCGTCGACCCAGACGTCAAATTCGGCAATAACGCCATCAAGGCCCCTTACTGATATCGTCTGCCCCTGTCCCAAATCCCCTTTCAGCTGTTGATAGACCTCCCGGATGGCGGCTTTCGTAAAGAACGGGACCCCTTCATCGTACATTGCCCGGATGTTTGACCTTATCTTGTCAGCATTCGGGCTCACTGTGAAATGGCGAGCATCCTCCAGGCCTAAGTCCATTCTCCTTAATTTAGCTAATGTTGAATGGGCAAGGAATGACTATAGGTGATAGGCCGTGGAAGATACGCTGTGAGAGAGACGATCGGGCTGCTTGGTTGTGTTGTGTTTCCTGTTCCTTCACGGGGCGGGACAAACCTCGGCCCCGCCTTATCTAACTAACAAAATAACTATCTAACGGATGTCTTTTCTTTTGCTACCGCCCATTAATAACAAAATAGTCAATAAGGTAGTAATTACTTTAATAAATCAACGATTTAAAAATTATAGGATACCTGTATAAATTATGAAAAGGTAGAATATCATAAAAAATACATTATTATTTCAGGTAGCCTAACACGGGTATAAGGATATACTTAACCTTAAAAGGTGTAAACTTCACGCAGTATGAAACAGCAGGTGAATCGCGAAAGCGATTAGAATTAAGTAAAATAGCAAAGTAGATATCAGACAGACAAGGCGAGGCCGAAACGAAAAGAGAACATGCATCGTTAGTACATTAACATCGTGCGACTTGAAGTATCTTTCAAGAAGTCCACATCATTAGTCGTAAAGCGAGGATCAAGGTAAGTATTCGGGATGATATTCACAATCACTCATTAGAAAAATCAGCAGAGAGGACCACCATCGATGAATATTTAAGGTCGAGTGAGCGGGAGTCATTGGCATCGAATTCCGCTGCCTGGCGGGCATGGAGGTATTGGTCTGAGATATCATTATTTATTAGCGACATATTTGGCAAACCATGTTCTAGAGCTAGACTTACAATCGGTGCTAACAGCATCGAACCAACGACCGATATCTTTATCACTGCCGTCCCTAGCTTTGATAGCGCCCGTTGGCATAATAACGAACGCAGGGGCTAATGATCGCATTTTCAAATGCTGCGAGACCACGCCAGCGAAGGTTTCGATTTGAGAGGCAAAGTAGGATGGCTGTCGCTCCAAGGGCCACTATTTCTTCATTAATACAGGTCAAGTCATAATAGCAACGATGGTACCAAGCTCACCCGCTGGATGTAGTGCTCGCATTCCCACGACCGGAATAACCATTCCATTCTTTCACCACAGTTGAGTAAAATTATGGTCGCCAGAAAGGTCCGAAAACTGCCAACACGTTGTTTCTGGAGCAGCCGTTGTTCGAATTTACCGAGCAATATCCTGCATACTCTCGCCGCTCTCTTTTCGACAGCAGAGCGCAACTGTGTACATAGCAAAGAGTACGACTCTAATTGATTCATCCCATTTATTGGGATTCGGGACTCATTTGAGGTCGAGGTAAGCGGCCGTTTCGTCATTGTAGGTAAGGTTGGATTCATATAAACTGTCCATTTGAGGAATGGGTCTACTAGTATGGCGGTAGCTACCCATAATTCCACTGCGGCGTTTAACATTTCATCCTAGTCTATGAGTTAGTAACTTCGGCTCTAGGGGTGAGAAAAAACGAAGGAAAGGACAAAATGTACCTCATGCTCTTTAGCAAGTTCTGACGCTAGAAGAAGCGTCTGCCGGATAAAATCGGATTGTTCGCTCTCGATGAACAGGTGCGATGTTTTGTTAATATACAGCTCGAGTTTAGAACTCAGTTCTTCAATCTCGCCGTCGAGTAAATGTACGTATTGCAATGACCCATCGTGCATAGGGTCAGTAGAAGAGGTAGACATCTGGGGGTCGATGGTTTGACCGGCCTGTCTTTGTCCGTATAAAACAGAAAATGTAAGAAAGCTTAGAGAGTCTAGTTCGAAATGCATAACTTCGATACGGCCCGCAGAGGGCTCAAACTGTATCTCATTTTTAATACTTCGAATGTCGTGGTAAGCCATTGTTGAATGCAACCCTAATCTCAGGTTAGCGTGGGCTTTTGAAAATAAAGGACACCAACATACCGATGGAATAGGATTCAAGCTGATTCATAAGGCGAGCCCTGATGCAGCATTCCATCCAGACGCGCGGGTTCTGAAGATTCCTGCATTGCCCGCAAGGTGTCCCAGCCGAGCACTAATATTATAAATAACGTTAATATACCATACCCATATTATAGGAGAATCTTGCCTAACCGTTTTCTTAAGCATCCGGCACCGAAGACAGGCACCCATCTTCCTCACCACTCGAACTTCCTTCCGCCTTTCTTCAGAGAAGGTTGATCTCTTTTTATTCGATTTCTTAGAATCGACTACCTCACAGTAAAATTCACTGCCAGGCTGGGTCTCCGGGTTCGTAGCAAGAGGCCGAAGGTAGGCACCCGGCCGTTCATGAGAGCTGGAAGGTAGATTCAACTCAGAATTGATATGGTTCTGCAGTATCATCTCGTCTGCAGTTGTCATTTCGATTTGAGGTGAGATATCTAGAGTCGATGATTGCGCTTCTGTGTGGGAGGGCATGGGCCACGCATCAGGCTTTGGGTTGCACATAGTTGCTGATTCCAAGGAGGCACCCGCATCTTCCGTCACCATCTCATTCGCAGAGGCAGCAATCAAGGAGAGGTGTGATGACTGGGGATCTGGCTGCGAATCAACCGGGAGCAGAGAGTGTACAGCAGGCATTGGAAGAGGCGAGCTGGCGTCTACAGACGACGCTGAGAAGAATGGAGCAGTGGGTGAAGAGGCGTGGACAAACTCGGCGTGATTTAATTCAGCTTCTACAAGGGAGATAGAATAATACATTAGTATAGCCAAGTTGCTCTAGGGTTCCCATGTTGAGTCATGGCACAGACAAAAGCTGCCTTACCAAGGTTGAATTTTGTCGAATTCTCGAGGGCTGGATCAACAACCATATCCCGATCTGCAGCATTAAGCTCAAATATACGGTCGTATAGCTGCCCTTCACTCGAAGCCCCGACTCTCCTTGACGCCTCGGCAAGCACATTGAGGCCATTCAGACTAGGACCATTTTGGAAGTTTGTGGCGCGTTTCCCACGAGTCGAATTGGTCATTTTTGCGCTACTAGAGTCGGCATTGGGTTGGCCCTGGCGTACAGCGCCCTTGTCTCGCTGTCCATTTGCGGTTATGCCGGACATGTAGACCACCCGGTCCCTGTCCGCCGTGGAAATAGCCGGACATATTTTCGAGATATGGTTGATCAGAGTATCTGGGCGGCCTTTCGAGAACTTCTCTCCACAGAGCCTGCACGTATGCTCGTATCGATTGCTAGAATCAGGGAGCTTTTCACCACGGTGAAAGAACTCGGTGATAAGCGTATTCGGCTTGCGGCCCATGGTGGCAGAGGGCAGCCGGTCATTAAAATAAAAGGCAAGTCTCCAGTAAGAGCTTGCTACAGCATCACTTAAGTAGAAAGAAAGGTCTGGTCGCGCTTTTGAGAGGAGCTCATAGTATCACACCAGATATCAATTGAGAAGTGAGGAAAGGACTACCAGGGTAGCTGAGTGAATAACAGGAGCAATTATGCCTGGAATTAAACGACAAGCTAGACAGCGTGCAACCCTACTCCATGGCACTCCACGGCCAGGACAGCAGCTCCTGGTCGAGCCTGGTCGAGCCTGAAATGTATTCTTGAAGCCGCAGCCTGCAGCTTGAAGCGCGTCTTTCTTCCTCTTTTTTTTTGTATATCAAAAGTCCAGATGGCAAAATCAAGCTCCTGGAGGCGGTGTGTTTTCTGACATCCTCTGCCGCCTTTGCTAACCGCTTTGGGAACGGAGAAATATTTATCCAGAAGCTCACCCCAACGTCGTTTCTTTTTTAATTTATATTTTATCTAGATACTACATACTCTGTACATAAAACGAGAAAGGGTGATGAGAAGGACAAGAGGTAGTAGAGGGTAGCATTAACAGACACGATGCTCGGGTGGCCTCCACGGCACAGCAAGAAGCTCGAAGATCCGTTTCTCGTCGCGGCTCTCCAAGAGGTGGCCAGCCCCGGATGACATCTTGGAAAAGGCCCCTCTGGTTCAAACACATGCCCTTTTTACCTGCCAGCAGTCGTAGGCTTCGGTTGAATATATCGTTGCCCGTGAAGTATATCAGTGCAGCGCCGAGCTCGTCACCGGGGACAAACAAGAGGTCTATCCGTCGCCATACTGGATTTCCAGGAAGCGCCGATGCCCCATGCCACTTCGAACCATCTGCACGCGAGGACACGGCAAGCCCCGTCTTTAGAAACCCTCGTTCAAAGAGCCGTGGAACAACCATGGTCATGATCTGGTCATTTATCTCCTGTAGGGACGCGCCTTCTTTACTCAGAATCAGATCGATGTCTCCGCTGTCCGCTGCCCCACGCCTATAGGAACCCCCGATGATGACAGTATAGGAGTCATCGACGTCCAGGATTACCTCTCGCACAATAGCACCGTGTGTCTCTACTTCTTCTCGGGGTATTCGTTTCTGGAAGTCGTCATACCGCTCAATTCCAATCTTCTGGTTAGTAGTTAAATGTGCTCGATCTTTCAAATCATCCAATGATTTATACCCCTGCGCAATCCATTTTGAAGCTTGCTGGAACCCAACTCCATATATTTTAAGGAACTGGGATAGCAAGACGTCATTCGGCTCTAGATTCGCCTGCTCTAATCTTCGGAGCCGGTTAGTCCATACGATTTCCTCAATTTTAGCCGCCAGACGATCCCCTATTCCGCGGATTTTTAATGCCTGGGATTTTGTGGCTATCTTCTCGTTCTCCCTACGTAGCGCTGCGATTGCACGCCTGTATGCAAGGCAACGCCACTGGTCGGCCGTGCGCTCGTAGTAGTCCAACATCTGCTGCAAAACCTCGATGGTCCGAGAATTGGAATTATTCGCACGATCCTTTCCGTCCATTTTACTCATGCAAGTAAATGACTTTTGCCATGCCGGGTTCCTTGTGGTGCTAGAGTCGAGCCCTTCGGGAACTACGGCATTGTCCTCCTCGCCAGAAGAATCCAGGGGCTAGCAAATATTTAGTGGATACAACGATAAACCATTTTAGCAGATCTGGATAACGGCTCACGAGAGCGGCAATCTCTTTTATGTGCTTAATTGCGGCATCCAGGTGATCTGGTTCCTGTCTATGAGAATCGTCCCTGCTGCTTGTTTCGCAGACAACGTTGTTTGCAGGAATAGGTAGTCCTAAACCCGCCGACGGCTCTCCTTCGGCCTTTTCGTCATCACCATCCTTATGCATACTTAACGAGGTAGAAAACTCCCGACGTTCCTGGTCAGGTGAGGTTTTCAGTGTCGGCTTCGATGCACCGTTAATTCGAAAACGAGGGCTAGATGCATCTAGTATCCTCCTATTCATTATACATTCCGACGGATAGTTCTCGTTAACCAGGATAGTCTCGGCCTAGGTAAACAGTTAGGTGCTTCAAGTTGTCGTGATTCTACTACTGAGGCTTACCGGAACTGACGAGACCTGTAGATACTTAACCACGTCGTCGTAGGTAAGCCGCTTTTCCACGACTATGTGTGTGACTGAGTTGTCGAATTTCGTAGCCCGAGTCGCACCGAATTCGATTGCCCTAGAAATACGGATCCGTCTGGCCTGTGAGATAATATTATTGGGAATAAAGTCTGCAGGCGAGTCAGTGGTTACTTTCAGCTTTCATATAAAGACGGACAGCATCGCAGCAATGTTCCGTAACTTACAAAGAACGAGGCCGTCGAGGACCGAAGGATGGTCCTTAACAGTATGGCAACGCCCTTCTCTCTTTCCCTCCTTTTCTCCCATGAGTGAGTCCTCCTTAGATAACTTCTGTTTCTTATTTGGCTCACTCTTGGTCATAGAGGAGCTGGTATGCAGCATTTTGGGAACTTCACCTCTAGTCGATCTAGGGTGCACTGCTCTTTTTGACACCGCATCTCGAGATGAGGTACTGCTACTGCCAGCTCTTTGACGACAGTCTCTCAAAGTGGATATTATCTCATTATCGTCCGGTTCATCTTCACTTGACGCATAAAGCTCTCGACAAAAGATTTCCTTGTCCATGGGTGTATATATATAGTGAAAATGTCATTTTCAGCCGAATGTCATATGCCTACTGACCGAGTCTGAAATTATCTGAAATTGTTAGAAATTGCCCCTTTATACAATGAGCCATGGGTCCAGGCAACAGTGCCCATAGTTATGTAGTCACGTGAACAAGATAAGATGGAGGTGAGTCTGGACATCTTCAAGGATTACAAAAGGTGCATGAAGCCAATCGCCAGCAAACCAGCAAAGAGACTGCACAGGGAGTGATGGGGAGTCTCTTGGAACCGCAAGTTGTTGTTTGACCTTCGAGTAAGCCAATCCCAGTTCGTTTTCAAATCAGTTTCTGACCATCGCTCAGCAAATTTATAGATTTTGGTTCTCGTCAATTATCAAAATGAGCAGACCTCAGGCTGTCTCCTCACTCTTTGAGGCGAGCTACCTCCGCCGGAGCTACTGCCTTTCCTATGGATTATCCCATTATCGTCAATTCAGCTTGTCAAATAAATGGCAACAACTACAGCAACAACCGCCGAAGCAAAAGCAGCAGACGCAACCACAACCGCAAGCTCGGAAATTGAGCATTCCACCGGCGATTGAGCAGAACCCCGTGGCGTTAAGCAAGTCGGAGGTTAAAGAATTCACCCCGAAGCCATTGAAGCGTCCATTAGGGCTGCCATACTCCCCAGAAGAGGGCCAGAATACTGGTATCGATAAGAGAACATTGCGACAACGCGGAGGTGATTTCGTGGACAAAGATAAATACCAACAGCGGCAGTCGGAGCTGTAAGGATCATGGGAACCCCAGTATAGCATTAATATTATTCGGAACTCATCCGCTAACGACCTTTAATTTTCGATGTATAGGATAAAGGAATACAGCAAGCCGTACTACCGAGAATGGCACCGAATGAATTATCACAGCGGAAAGGTATTCCTCTGTAACCCTCGACTATTCAAGGAAGATTTCTCTCTTTACTTTCCCAACCTCTTCGGCCGAACACTTTCACGGTCAAAACCAATGCAAAGTACCACTTCAATTCTTCGCGGCAAAATATCTCTGGTCCGCGTCTTTGCTAGTCTTTGGGCCGAGAGCCAAACGGTCACCTTCGTCGGCGAGAAGGAGAATCCAGAATTACAGCAAATTATCGCCGAAGCTGGCCCCGTGATGCAGAAGGTCGATATCAATAATGAGGACAACTGGCTCAAGGCCCTTCTCGTACGTCTCTTCATGGGGAGTATGCGACGGAAGATGCCAAAGGAGCAACATGAGAGATACTTTCTGGTTCGAAAAGGGTTTACGAATTATCTGAAAGACCAAATTGGGATGCTGAACGGGAAAGTTGGTTATGTTTATCTTCTGGATGAGAACTGTAAGATTAGGTGGGCTGGAAGTAGCATCGCCGGACCGGACGAGCTGAGTTCCCTAAACAGGGGCTTGCAAAAGCTGATAAGCGAAAAGAGAGCAAGCCAGGCAACAGCCATGCCGAAGGTTGTCTCGGAATCAGAAATACAAAAGGCTGCTCAGGCATGAAGCGAAGGTGAAGATGTAAGATATTGTATAGATATGCATGAGATACCATATAGAAAACAGCGGGAGTAAGGAATAAGAAAGTCAATCAAATATACGCAACGCCGGCTAAATTCTCCTCCAGTAACGCCGCCCGTCATATCAAATTGTACAGTGGTATAGGTATGAGAATTATAGGCGTAAGAGTAATTTACCTGAAGAAAAACAACATTAAACAGCATATTCCAATAAAGCTGCCTAGAATAATACCGTCTCGTCTTCTCTTGGCACCGATCTTGTTGATCAGGTTATTGACGCCCGGTATCTGGGACGCAGCACCGACGATTCGCCGGTTGATGCTTGCTAGAGTCTCTCGCTGTAAACCAAAACTTTCGTTGACGGCATACGCCTGGCTCAGGACGTTGTCCATCATGTTATGACTGCTGTCTAGCCGTCCTCTTTCCTCGAGCATGTAGTCTGCCTCCGCTGCGGAAGGGTTCGATGCGCGGTACGCATTTATATCTGACCTGACATTCGAAAGCAGATTCACACGGTCTCGAGTGTCGGATATAGTAGCTTTCAGGCGCTTGATTTCTTGACGATGGTCGAGGAGAACCTCTCGGTGACGAGAGAGGTTGTTCTGCTTTAATGCGGAGGCGGTCAGGGCGGACTCGGAGTCTAGAAGACGGGCTAGTTGTGATATAAGGGTTTCTCGCTGGAGAGAGAAGATAGATTAGCCCCGTGGCCTCACGCAGACAAACGGAGAATATGTGACGTACTCTGGCTAGGATGTCCCGAATCTGGCCCTCCAGCCTAGTTTCGTCCTCCGACGGCTTCGCTGGAAGATGGCTCATGGAAGCATACTGGGCATATGAATGAAACAGCGACTCGGTCTAACCAACCCATTAGCTTCCGTATCTCAAGCGCTGTATCCAAGAAGCGTGTCCCCCTGATCTATACATACCTGAGTCTCTAGAGACCGGGCCTGCTGTCGGAGCTGTGCCCACCCGGTCCCAGTCGAGGTCGTCATCGTTCTTCAAGACGATGGGGGTGTATCAGCCGGTCAGAATCCTTCACATATCACCCTCTTGCTGTAGTTCTTCTCTTCTCTTCTCGTCTGTTGTCTTGATGATGTTATATCTCTGCCTCTGGACAGCCTTGGCGTCATCGTATCACGTGATATTCGCCTACGCCGCTAAAGGAACCGAGAAGCCCTAGTCCCACACTTCAACATCCACGAGAAACTTCGCCATCAGCTTCAAGGTCGGCATCAACATCGACAACACCGCAACCAGTCACCATGGTACGTTCGGAGACAGCGAGGAGAGAGGGATGCGAGGTGCCCGGGTGTGCAGCATGCTAATATCTGTGTTTTTTTCCAGTCGTCCGCCAAAGTCAAGACCGGCCAGCTCTGGGGCAAGAGCAAAGACGACCTCGCGAAGCAGCTCGATGAATTGAAGACCGAGTTGGGCCAACTGCGCGTCCAGAAGATCGCCGGAGGTTCCGCGTCGAAACTCACCAGAATGTATGATACTACGCCCAGTTTCTCAGATTCTTCTTTTCGTGGACAAAATTTCATCAACCAGAAAACCCACAGGGCTGGGGGAGGAATTTTTCATACAGAAACCCCCTCGAGGGATTGCGGTATAGGACGATAAGCTGACATGGAGGAATTTGATTCTTAATAGCCACGATCTCCGCAAGTCCATTGCAAAGGTCCTCACAGTCATCAACGCCAACCAACGCTCGCAACTCCGCCTTTTCTACAAGAACAAGAAATACCTCCCACTCGACCTCCGAGCAAAGAAGACCCGCGCCATCCGACGACGACTCACCCCACACCAGGCCGCCCTTAAGACCGAGAAGCAGAAGAAGAAGCTGATGCATTTCCCTCAGAGGAAATATGCCGTCAAGGTACGTATCTCGCAAGGCGACGGACACGCCTCGGCAGTCAATAGCTACAACATGGATGCTAATCGCGACTCCGCATATAGGCATAAACGTTTCGTTTTTCCTCCTGGTTCAAGTTTCTAAAAGCGGCGCATTCCCCTGGTTGAACTTGCTGCGTCTTTATGAATCGCTGCAGATGTATCAATAGAAGATGCAATGACGCAGCAATTATGAAAAATGGAAAATAATTTCTTCTACTTCAGCTCTTCTTCCATGATTCCCGACGTACTACTCGTTTTAATATGCTGGGGAGGTGCACGCTTTTCATATGGAGCCGAACCGGCTGCTCGGATTCAATTCGATGGGGTTACGCCTGCTATAGATACCATTGGATTTCGGTAGCATTCTCTACTATCAAACAATAACAAAGGCCGAGGCGTTAAGCGCCGCTACCAGTTCCTATTCCATGTGGTCTTTCCTTTACCCCTCTATCATCAACCAGGTCAACCGCCGCGGAGTGAAACGATGTTAATTAAATTGGCATCAAGAGCCGGTGACAAACTTTAAACGTAGATGGTGCTCTCGGAGATATATAAAACTTGTGAACCCCCTCTAGTAGACTACCCTGATTGTCTCCATCCCGGCAGCGTGGCGCCCCTTAGATTATTCGCATTGCTCATAGACCACATTCCTCCACACGTACAGGCCCGGAGTACGACTGTCCTCATTAACATCCGCACCGCCGCAACTGATTTCGGCGGGACTTCCTCAGACACACCACAGCATCGAACACACCTTCTGCTCGGCCGCTGCTCAGTGCCCCTTGGCTCATCCAAAGGTATCAAAACCTTTCGAAGAATGTCCAGTTCATATCTTCGTCTATATATATCCGTTCGCTTGTCGTCACCAACACCTAGCCAGCTGTAATCTTGTAGAAACAGGTACATTGGATTAGCTTCATTCCGGACCATGGGCATGGTTTTGGTAAGAATTGACGTCACTGCCGGCTGTAAGACTGGTGGTATACTGCCAGTGATGAGGAGGTCACGCTCAGGGGCGGCCCGGTCGCTGTTGGTGAAACCTGCATTTTGATATGCATGTTTAACATCGTTATCGACACTGGCGAGGAGTTTCTCATAGACATCCACTTTCAGGGCTGAGTCTGCTATAAGTGTCACGATCTGAGAATAGACCTGGTATGATTCATTGCTGAGATTTGTAGCATTTCTGAATCCGCTAGAAAGGCCACGGAGGCCACGGCATAGGTATTTAAGAAATGCTCGTGGGATGCTTGAGATGAGGAGGAGAATAGATAATGATTCGCATGGTTTGCCTTTAGTAGAATGCCGCGTTAGTTCATCCCACCATGCTAAGCTACCTGGAAAAATCTCTCACCTGGTGAGGTTCCAGACTCCTGGCTATTCACCTGGTTACCGAAATTGTCGGAAATCTCGAATAGGTCATCAACAAGATATTTTGCAAGATCAAGGGCCCATTTCACGTTCCCCAGGGTTATTCGTAGTACCTCTGTTACTAGATATTAGCTCAGGCTTCCCTACCACAGGGAGAATTTCTGGTTGACCTACCAGGGTCATGACATTCGGACTCAGCACCGGCCTTGTTAAAGTGCATGTATGCCAGTAGAATGGATATCTGCCGAAGCTGCAGTGTAACCCAGGGAACTGCTGCTGCAAGGTTACGGCGTTCAAGCCGTGTTTTGAATCCAAGGGCGGCCTGCATACTAAAGCATTTTAGGATGTATGGATTATTCATCAGCTTGTCCTGCTCGATTGTGAAATCAACATTCATCGAAAGAGCTCGATATACTTCATTTATGAAATTCTTGTGGGAATCTGCAGTTCATGTTTTTTATTAAATCTTGCCTGTTATTAATGTTATATTCCAAGAGATATGAACTCACCTGCATTCAGCTGCTGCATAACGATCATCAGTACATCATCATTATTACTGTCACTACTGCATGCTCTGCAATATGCCATAGTAAGAGCAGCCAGAGCGCTCATGAATTTTCCTTTGGATACGAGTCAGCTTCGAGGAGTTCTAGTTATATGAGCTATCATCCTCACCGTCATTGAATAAACCATCTTCTGCACCGAACGAATGCTCCATTATGCGAATCTGGACCTGGGATTTCTCATCTAGAGTGGCAGCAATGCAGCCACTTGGTGAAAAAGAAATATGAACACCTTAGACTAGCAGTCAGCATACGCCTTTCAAGTGCACATTTTAGTGCTCAAGGGGGGCCTACCAGGTGATATTGCGGGAGGAAATGCGAAGCCAGACTGGGGCAGGCTTGTAACCGTTTCAACATCGTCGAGACCAGAGAGCGGAGTAAAGTTTTTTGCATCGTAGAAGTTTATGCTGCTGTCCTCTAGAGTTATAACAAGGACATTCCCTGCTTCCATGTAGTCAACTGAGACTATATGCCTTTCGAAATATAAATCCGCCTGTCTCCTTAACTCGGTGTTAGGCTGAGGAGCTATGGTTAGCTATCTGGTGAGTGTATTTCCGGGGAATATATATAGTAGACATACCAACAACGGATGGCGCGCTTGCTTCGACACAATGTTATCAAAACTCCTGTGGAGGTTCTGGGTGACCGAGCGGAATTCCCATCGAGCAAGCACACTGGGGTGCTCGATGTGAGACCGTCCGTGTGAGTTGTGGATAGGGTACGAGAACACTGCTAATATCGCCGGGGCCGTTTGGCCTCCAGGAGAATCCAAGGGGCATGCAATTACTTGCAGGTGCGTGAGAGCAAATAATCCGTTTGCATTGTTGGCTATGTTTTCCGGGTTTCCCAACGCATATGTTGATGGGGACGGGACCACATGTGGAACTTCAACTTCAATGTGAACCAGTTGGATGCTCGGTACTGCAATGGAGTTATTCGGTCGTTGATGAGCTGTATCTACTGGTGCGCCTTCCCACTTGAGCTGTGCACGGTAGAGTCGTAAGTCGTTACTCGCCGAGTAAGTCACCACCATAATCCCACCACCTAAGAAGAGTATCAGTAGGACGCTTCCTCAGGTGAAAAGAAGACTATAGAACCGAAGATATCATACCGTCAACGGGAGCCATGGCGGCATGGGTCAGAATATCATTGGTATAGCCCGTGCTATGCAGTTCTACCACCATATCTCCCCATTTGGACTCCTGGTTTTGATAGAGCAGCCTAAGCTTGCCAGATCTCGTAATAACAATCAAGGCCGACTTGTGCAGAGGATGGAATGGCCCCATCGGTCTGCGCGGGTATCTAACGTATGCCCATCGACCACTTGCCCTGCCAGCATGGCTAAACGTATGCACCTTTTAGGAAGCCAGTCAACAAGAGAAACACAGATGCGATAAAGGCGAAGTACTCACCGATCGATTGATGGACAGCCACATGAGCCCAACCGGCTGATTGCCATCATCATCGGAATCCAAAATTGCCGGACGCGATGGAATCAGAACATTCAAGGCCACCGACATTGCAATGATCGATATACGGCCGCACGAGTCAACAATGGCGATGTCCGTCCCCGACTCGTTCCACGAAAGGTGAACCAGAGTATGGCCGCCCTGTGCGTCTGCAATGGGATGGTCTGGGTCTCCATCGCTGAGACCCCATTTCCCGTTCTCGGGGCCGCAGCTGAGATGTCGTAGAAATGCCTTCGTCCCGTCTGGAGCGATATAGGCGATTGCGCCCATCTTGGACCACGCGATTTTTCTTTGATTAACGCATCAGCAGGTGATCCAGACATAATAGAAGATAGGGAGCCTCGTTTCAAGGCCAATTATACATACTGGCAACATCCTAGCAGCCGCAGTTCGTCGATTCGAGCTGGTAGTGCTTTCGAAGGCACAGCTGCTGTCAGGCTCAACTCCAGACCGCCTGAGTCGCCGAAGAGGTCGTCCACATCTAATGTCTCTTCCATCTCTTGTGCTGTCTGGTAGTCGCTCAATTCATGTAGCTGTGGTATAGGTATCGCATTCTAACGTGTAGGCTTCCTTGACAGATATATAGAGTATTTAACAAATATATGAACTATTTGTGTTGACTATCTGTAACAGTTTGTTTATCTACACAAACAAGCGCAAAACAGACCTTCAAGACACAAACATATACCATTACAGATATCATATACACTACATTATCCGTACATTCTAAACAGCTACATCTATAATAGCTACATCTCTATAATAGCTACATATCTTACTGAGGTCAACGATGTATCCAGACATTTGTAGACGGTTGTGGACGAACTTACATCAACAAGGTGGTATGGTCTAGTGGTATGACGTGGCATTGTGGCTGCCCCAGCCTGGGTTCGATTCCCAGTACCGCCAAAAACAGCAACTTCGAGTTGTTTCTTTTTTTGCGCTTTCTTTTTTTTCTTTGCTTGCTGCTAGCTTCATTCATTATTCTCGTTTCAACTAGATCTGATAATAAATACGGTTCTATATTGGCTCTAGCTGTACCTGCATCGTACATAAATCCACGCGACTCGCTACTGCCTTCACACATTAAGTACTACGGTACAGCTCTAGGTATGGACGACGCTCTCCTTGGTTTCCGGGGCCGCTGGGCCGTTGCTTCGAGCAGACTCAGGGTGTATCGGGTTGAGGACTTCGTCGAGTTTGCCGTGTAGGCCCTTTCCCGCTCTAGACTCGTTGGAAGTGGCCTTTCTACTTGGGAACGCCTTATTAATCGGGATAGTGTTGGCAGCGACGTCTCCTGCCTTGGTCTTCTTCGCCTTAGGCTTGTTGTTAGCTGGCTTCCTGGCCGCTTTGACAATCTTGGTCCTGGGGCGTTTCTGTTTGGTGACGGCGGGGGCGCACGGCGTTGGGCTCTGCGATCTCTTGTTCGCGTTGACCGAGTCTTCAGAGCTGGACGACGGCGTGGGCATGCAGTCAGGGAACTGGAGAGGCTGTTGGGTCGGCTTCTTCGGCGTGATGACGACGGATACGTCGACCTCTGACTTGATACGCTCAACTTCCTCGGAAGTGCATTCATCGAAGATCTCGTCGCTGTTGTCGTCCCACCTCTTCAGGCCGGCGTGGTGTGCAACGTTGTCGCAGTCGCCCTTGATGGCCAGGTCCCAGCAGTCTTCAAACTCCTTGCCAGAAGGGAGAGAGTCGTGGTTGATCCAGATCGTGGTTCCATTCCTCCTGCCTCTGACGACACGGCACATCTCCTTGACGATGCGTCGTACGCCAGGGATCTTTAAACTGGTGCCAACCACCACGAGTGCATCAGGCCTGGCGCGTAGATCAGAACTAACCACGGAGCCTATCGCCTCTTCATCTGGGTTGTGCTCATTGTAGAGCACCATTCGCGGTCGTAATTTCCCAATACCACGGCTTCTCTGGCCTCCAACAGTCCTTGCTTCTTCAATCTCCTCACAGGCTCCACAGAGCGGTGGGTCAGGGCCGCGAAACAGCTCTGACTGAAAATCCGAAGTCTTGTTGCACTTTTGACACACCATCTTGTTTAAACCGCCGTGTAGCTGGATGGTCTTGGGCCAGGGCCCCTTCACCTCTAGTGGCACGCTCGTCTCCAACGGAGGAAGAGAAGACTCGATGCCATCTACATTCTGGGTATACAAACGTAATAAACGCTTCTCCGCTGCCAGACGAGCCAGTAGGTGATGAAACGCAGTTGGCTTCGCGCTGGCAGACATATCGGAGAGGTTGCGGACCATATCGTGGAAAGAAGAAATCATCGATTCATCCTGGTAAACCACCGAGGCGTCGAACAACTGTTTCCCAGAAGCCCTAAGCTTGTGGTCCTTTTTGAGCGTAGAAAACAGGCCATGAGAGGATCGAAAATCAGGTACTGTAGTGTATATTGTTAGTGAAACGTGCAATTGATATCGAGCTGGCTGTCGTGTGAGAGAGAAACTTACTTCCAGCAGAGACTGATATTCCAGCACCCGCCACCACCACGATCTTGCGGTGCCCACGAAGCGTCCTCAGCAGCGACTGCAGCTGCTCTTCCTGCTCCGGGCGCACCTGTCTGTCAGGCTCCGTCAGGTCGAGGTATCTGGTAATCCTGGGCTTCGGCTCTATCTTTCGCCTTTTGCGTACGGGCGCGGACTCTGTCATATCTGCAGTGCGCGCCGGCACCGCCACGGAGTGGAAGCCCTGAGACGCCAGAGAAGGGGGGCAGAGGCAGTCATCTGAGAGAGGCGTCGACGGGATCGAGCTCAGCTCTGACGACGTGTCGGAGAGGTCGTACTGCTCCATCGTGAGCGCGATAGAAGACCCAGACGCGAGCGAGAACGACGGGAGAGTATAGCTGAAGAGAGACTCGCCGCCCCGGGCGATGTCAAGCGCGTCGAACCTCGTCCTCTTACGGCGGAATCGACGCCATTGGAGAGCGCGAGTTCGGACGTGGTGAGTGCGGTTGGTGGAAGTCGAGCAGTCGAAGTTCTGGTGGTTGATGATGATATAGTGATGATGTTGATGGTTGATGGACGAGCGGGAAGAAGGGGGCTCGCTAGCGGGAAGTCCGCCCGGCTGTTTTTTTCTCTCCTGCAACATCAAAACAAACAACATCGACCAAGTGACCGGGATCAGCGAGAGAGCACACGAGACAGTCTACTGTTGAGCCGGCGAATATCACAACCACGACCGTGGCCTTGTTATTGTATACAGTCTATACGGGATAGCGCAGATGGGAGCTGGGACGGGGGAGTTCTATATATAATATTTCAATCGCTGTCGCTGCCGGAGCCAGAGTCTGCTGCTGCTGCTGCTCTTCTTCGGTGGCCCGTATCGCTGTCTTCTATCTTATCCATATCATCTTGCTCTCCGTGGGACTCTGCGTCGTCTTCGGCCGGCTCCTCCTCCTCGTCCTCCTCCTCGTTGCTTAAGTTGGCATCCTCCATGGCCTCTGTATCGTCGTCGTCGTCTTCACCAAGTTCGCCCCTGTCGGCACCTTGTAGAGACTCCCGCTGGCCCTTGCTGCTTGGTTCTTGGGTTTCATTACCGGTCGTAGCCCCGGATACATCCTTCTCTTGGTCGTAGTTATCTCGCTTTAACCGTTTGGATCCCGGCGCGTCATCAATTCCACCGTTGCCCTCTTTGCCCGATTTTCCTTTCTTCTTAGACTCACGTTTGTTTTCCATAATGGCCGTGTATGCTTTTAGCTGTTTCTCCAGGTGTGGTCGGAAATCACCAAGTTCTACTTCTGTAAGGGCTGCAAGCACGTCTTGCGGTGTTAATGTTTTCTTATCTGTCATGTCGTTTGCACTATACACGGGGTACCACACGTTAGCTGATAGATCTTATAACTGTAGAAAGGTTGCGGGCAATATCGTCAACTTACTGTGAAGATATGTACGAAACAAATACTGTGGCAGCCTTTAATATGGCTGTGACCGCGTCGCGCTGAACACCGGTCCCGGGAGGCAGCATGTCCTTTGCTAGCCGCATAATAACACTTCGCGGTAGTAAAATATCCTAAATGGGCCAAACACGAAGTCGTGTCATCTTGTCAGCTCTCGTTATTCAACCTTGGGGCGCTATAAGGCCTGGAAAGAAGCAAGTCGTCGATAGAGGCAAAAGAAAATACGGAGGGAATTCGTAGCATGCTGATAGAAAAGGGACCGGGAAGCCCTACATCGACGCTCAATCCTGTCTCAGCAGCCTCTGAACCTGGCGCATTTTCACCGGTCTCTATCTCGCCGGCTGTGGCATGGATAGGTTCACTGCCGTTCGGCTCTGCGCCTCCCGTCTCAGCGGTAGACATTGTGAGAAATCACCACCGTAACGCTAATGGAAATTGATCGGGTTCGAGGTATAGCTGGAAAGGACACTCGCAATACGGCCGTCGAGTTTGGGAGTCGTGGAAGATTGTGTTTTGAGTCGCGGGTATCAGGAGCGATGTACGCTAGAAACAAGTTAGAGATGATCTGCCATTTACACGGGGATGGAGGTCTGAGGTACCTTGAGCTAGGCAGGAAACTCGTAAGAAGATATAAATGCTGCACTGAGTTTTTTATATACGTGTTAATATATGCGGTGGTGGGATGTATAATTAAGATATTTTTGTCTCCGCGCCAATGCCACGATACTGATTCCGGTGTGGAGCAGAAACGCGCCAACCAGTCGCGGCTGTTTAATATATATCTTATTCATATATAGCTACAAATAGAACTATATCAGGATTTAAATAATTCTCAAGGTTCAGCAGGGCTTGTAATTTTAAACTCATTGAACATTTTGAATGTGGTGATAAATACGACGTTTAGACGGGGGAATAAACAATATAAAAATGACCGTGATCACAGCATTTATTTTGTACGCCATGTGTAGGAATATCATTTCTTCCGTAAGCTACATAAAAAAGCAGGTTGATTCCCAATAACTCTTGCGCCTTATATAGACCCAGACAAAAATAGTAGACATTAGAAACGAGAAGGAAAGAGTACGCAGGACCATTTATTCTTTCATCTGCTCATCATCCTCCTCCTGAGCAGCATCGTCTCCCCATAGGCCTTCGAGCTTGAACTCCTTTGCCCACTCCGTCACTATCTGCTTCGTGTCTGCAGCTTGTCCGCTAGCCTCTCCCTCAGTAGCAGTATTGCTTTCCACAGCAGTAGACACAGGCAAAGTAGGGGCCTCAAGCCAGCCCTGGATACGTCCGTCTCTCCAATCAGTTATAACAGTCGTGGCTGCACTGCTGATGTTAGGTGCACCGCCTCTCCCCAGTCTACCTCTCCTCCGAGCAACCTGGACGAGGAAGTCGGTCGTCTTGTCGCCATTAGTAGGGAAGAGAGGAGGGATGCCGTAGAATGCAAGCATTTTTGAGAGTAGGGCTTCAGACGAGGATAATCTTTTCAGTAAAAGGGTCACTGCAGGAACAGGGTCGGAAATCTGTTTTGGGGGTATTGCATTAAGTAGAATGAGTCGGGCCTGTTCGTTTATTTTGCGGGATTCTGAGGATTTGGACTTTTCGGCATTGGGAAAAACGATTCCTGGAGAATCAATGATTTTTAGTTTGCTGTCCAGTTTGACCTCTCGAAGACTGGTGGTGACACCGGCCTCTGCGCCGACGGGGCACACGTTGGCATTGCCTCTGGTGATACGACTTGTTAACGAGTTGATCACGGAAGATTTGCCCACGTTGGGATATCCAATGACGCCAACTGATACGGCTCGTTTAAGCTGTTTGTTATGTGCGTATGTTTTCAAAGCCTTGAACAGGGTTTCTGAAGTGCCCTTGACGGTCAACTGTTTGTGATCGAAGCAATGCGCGTTAGGAGCTCCGGTGGAAGCTCGCAGCGGTAGAGTAGGGAAGTAGCGCCGTAGGTACACCAGCCAGCCTTTCAGGACCGGCGGAGGTACGAGATCGATCTTATTCAGGATCAAAATAAGTCTCTTCGACCCATGGGCGGCAGCCATAATCTCTCGTTCTACTTCCTTAGATCGGGTTCCTTCGGGGTCTCGCGCATCAAGAACGTATAGAACGACATCTGCCCTATCAATCACCTCTTTAAAGGCCTTGTCAAATGCTCGGCGCGAGCTTTCTTTTGTTGTCGGCACAGCAGAATCCACGAATGTAACCCCACCATCTTCCTCGTCATCCACCATAGCATCATCGTCGTTCTGATCCGCGAATTCAGCAGCGCGAGCCTTTGCAGAGGCTAAAAGCGCAGCCATTGGGTTGGACTCTTCTCCTTCAATCTCCATATCCTCATCGTCATCGACCAACTCATCATCTTCATCGTCGATAAGATCAGCATTTTCCGAGATCTCAACATCTGCAGCTTCTTCCGTGCTCTGTGCCTGACGTCGTAGTTTTGCTTCCTCGCGTATCTTCTGTGCTTCCTCTGCCTTTAATCGCCTCTTCTCTTCGATCTCTTGCAGGAGTCGATCTTTATATGGAAACAAATTTGGGATACCGGGATCTTTCTTGAGCTTTGAGCGCCATTGAGGGTTCTAATCCAACGGTTAAGTGGTTAGCATCATCGGCTTGAAAAACCGAACGAAACCAATTCAGTGGGAGTCGCGAACATTTTTGGCGAGCTTTCGCTCTTTTCTCTGCTTTGCGGCACTGGCCTTTTCGATCTTATTCCGTAGCCGAACTGGCGTCCGCTTTGACGATTTCCCTGAACGCACAAGTTAGAACCGGGGAAGTGACAATAATTAGCAGGCGCATGCTCACCGAGTTTCACCATCTTATCTGTTTCTACTGATATCTACGCTCGGGATATCTCCTTCGCTTTCTAGATCTCTCTCTCTTTCTTCTCTTTCTCTTTCTTTTTTCACCGCAAAAATAATTTTATGTGGGTCGAGAATGCCAAGATTTTACTGATTACAAAAGCTTGGCAAAGGCGATAAGATAAGGGATGACATGACTAAGCCAATGTGCTGAGTAATAGAGACTGACCAATAAAACACCAGGAAACGGAGTGGTGGGATTCGGCATCCTATATAAAAAGTCTTCTACGCTCGGTGGGATGAGAACGACGTTGAAGAAACTGTTCACCGGTTGCATTTCCATAGAGAAGCTTCTACCATAAACACACCAAGTCAATTCGAGAGAGGTCTGCCTCGCTGCAGGTCGTGAGAGGTCAATATGGGTTCCGTCGGGCCATTCACAGGCCCCCGCATATCACTTACTTTCGACGGCTTGCTCTTCGACTTCGATGGAACAATTGTAGATTCCACGGCTGGTGAGCCGCCTTTGCATCATGCAGTCTTTCTCTTCCCGTTAATGCATCGTTGCTAAGCTAATTTGCGGTCTAGCGGTTGTGAAACATTGGCATATGTGAGTCTGGCACATCTCGTACATGATAGCGCCCCAATGCGCGAAGGGCTGTTCCGTTCCCGTTTCCTCGTCTAAAGACTGTGGCCTGGAAGAATAGGACAGGAGATCGGAGTTGATCCGAAAGTCATCTTGGAGACTTCTCACGGCAGGAGAAGCATAGATATGCTCAAGATCCTTGCGCCTGAAAGGGCAAATTGGGAGTGTAAGTCTGTTGCTGCTCCAGCTGCCGCTGCTATCATCTCACTACCATTCCGCTCCGTGGGGATCGGTATGCATCGGAAAGTCAGTCTCTGATTATGGCGCGATCAAGTCTCTGATTATGGCGCGATCACAGATGTTAGCATGATGGAAGGGCGAGTCCCGCGGGAACTAGGTGCTGATGCTACTGAGATACCCGGAGCACGACGGCTCCTTACCTCGTTAGAAGAGGCTGGAGCACCCTGGGCGGTCGTAACGTCTGGCAGCAATGCGTTGATTACTGGCTGGCTGGGCGTCCTGCAGCTTGCACACCCTAAATATCTCGTTGTTGCAGAGGATGTGCAGGTCGGCAAGCCAGATCCCTCATGCTACCTGCTAGGCCGTTCTCGGCTTGGCTTGGAACATAGCACGTTGATGCTCGTGATTGAAGATGCGCCGTCGGGTGTCCGCGCAGGGAAAGCTGCTGGGTTTAAAGTTCTCGCGCTCGCCACAACGCATGCTGTAGCTGAACTGAAGGACGCCGGAGCAGATTGGATCATCAGAGATCTTGACAGTGCTTCCCTTAAGAAATACGCCGACGGCCAGGTCGAAGTCGAGATATGGGATACACTTCAATAGCGCTTGATCACTACGACAGGGATGATGGAGATAGGGCTATGATCGTTGACCAGGTACATACCCTTAGCTTGGTTGGTTTGAACATCTGTCGTGCGTTGGGTTATCAGCGTTCGTTGCTTGTCAGATAACCTTTTCACACCGTTTGATAGACTAGTCGCACACACTAGAGATATGCTCTTCTTGGAACATCATGCACGCCTTAAGGGAGTATGAACTAGAGACTGGTTAGAACGGAGTGCCTGAATCCTGTACTCCGCGTACAAGCCTATGTACAAGCTTATACAGAGTACCTCAGCTTTGACGTTCTCGCCCTCCTTTCTACGGTAGTTTTCTCCTAGGGCTTGGAGCCGGTCGACGATGCGGAGCAAGCTTGTACCGGACTCGAAACAAAAGCAAAGGCCGAGGGTCGGGCTAGTTGGTGTCCGTTCCTCTGTCGCGCAGACCGATGTGATGGAATTTTACGTACGCCTTATAGCCGTGGCAAAGGTGTAGAACTGAGACGTCCGACCCCTTGCCCTGTGTCTCAACGATGTGCGAGTCATCCATCCCACATATAGGTCAGAGAGGCAAGGGCAAAGAGGAAAAGAAAAACAGGTACTGTCTAACTTTGCACCTACATTGCAGACACATCGTCGCGTGACCTTGAGCCAGCCACCACTTCGCATGCATTCCGAGGCAGTGTTGTGCTATGATCCCTTCGTCGTCTCGACTGCGGAATCGCTCCACACACATATCAGTTGTTAGTACAGAGTCAAGTACTCCGTACGGAGTACACTAGATGGCGAAAAAAAAGGGATCGACAGCCACAGTAGCGAGGAAAAGTGACACCTGCATGAGACGACTCCCAAGCGGCAGGATCTTGCGAAGTCCATCTCGTCACATCCCATCGATCTCTGCAGTGGATGGTTTTCTAGTGCTTTCCCGACCTATTCTCTCGGCGGAGCATAAGCCTATAGTATGCAAACTAGGTTTTGTGCCGTGAAGCTGATCACTCACATGGCTTGGCGTCAAGAGTGTGGGAGTGTGGGAGTGTGGGAGAAAAGTGTGGGAGGGGGAGAGGTTGAATTGCGTGGTAGTCGGATCATCGCCGGAGAATTTCTGGCCAGACGATCTAGTGGTGTATCTCGACGTTCTCAGGAATTTGGATAGGCACACATGGATATCCTGTTTCGGCGATCTAGCATGCCTGGGCATCTCCTCACTTGCGAAAGAGGCTTGAAGAACTGGAGCCCATTCGCTACACTCTTCCTTCGCCCGCCATCTCCGATCGTCGTCTTTGCGCCTGAATATCAACCACCTGCTTGCATGACAGAGACAGAGTGGAGGTAAGGTACTCCGTATGTGTGTATAGGTCTATCCTGCGGACGTGGACGTGGACGAGAAGATCGACGGCTTGCGCATGTCCTCCATGCTTTCCAATCCCACGGAGAGAGGGAAAGCCCCTGAGCGGGATTGTTCCTTGATTGTGGGCATCCTGAAGATGTATGCCGTTTATTTCTTTTTCTCTTCTTCCTTTTTGTGCAGTTATACCGGGAGATAGACTGTTGAGTTCGCCATATTGCGTCGTTGTGCAAGGTGTAACTTTGGGGCAAAAGTTGGGACACCCACTCCCAGGGACGCTTCACCCAATTGAATAAGGCCCGAGTCAAGATCTTTCGTCTAAGATGCAGGTCCTGTCATCGCCCGCAGCTCGTCTCGCTACGGGGTCAGGCAGGGAGCAGAGAAATGCGAGATATCACCTTCGCTGTCTCGAGGATCGCGAGGTGCGAAGTAACTTCTGATCTGTCCCAAAAAACCCAAAAAAGACCCGGTAAAGGAGAAAACAAGGTAATTTATACCTGTATCGTCAATGACAATACGGATTATATAAGATAGATTAGTCATGGTCACGTGGTGATCCCCTTTTTGAAAAAGAGCAGAAAAAGGAAACTGACGACGTCGAAGCTCGAAGATCAAAAGCAAAGAGCAGAGAGAGAGACCAACGAAAGAGACCAAGAGAAAGAGAAAGACTAGAGACGCACACTAGACAACTCGTCCGACATCCAACCCATGGCAGGACATAGCTCTACACGGCACGGCATCAAGCAGCCTGCAGCAACAAGACTTTCGAAGTCCCAAGTTCATGGGTACCAACCCTGCAACGATCGTCCACAAGCGCAAATCTCCTCGCCCAATAACGCACGGGAACAATCCGCCCCTGGCTCGAGATGGAGCCTACGGGTCGTAAGGGGCCTCCCGTAGCCCAATAGCAGCAGGGTTGGCTTCAGTTTGCTGCCCTAGACAGCTCGAAAGCCCACCAGGGAAGCACACCAATTGCTGTTGTCCGGGACCTGAAGGAGGCGGCGGCGGGCGGCCAGGAAGGCCTCCAAGCAACACCCCAGAACAATAGAGCGGTTTAGATCAGTCACCTTTTTTTTCTCGTTTTGTTACTAAGAGAAAAAGGTCAACTGGACCCGTTGTGAGACTAAAGGGACGGCCAGCCAGATCCAGGTTCAGGGAAGTTGCGGAGCAACTGGTATACACATACGGAGTACACACGCCATCCAAGTGTGCGAGCTATACTATGCAGGAACAGCCCGGAATTTGAAGTGTGACCAAACCTGCAGGCTGCAGCTTGCTGAATGTTGCAGCACTGTGCTTAGATTCGCGATAGCATCATCAAAATATGCATAATGCAGTTCGACACGGCGTGTCTCGACCATTTCGCCCTGAAGAATCTGCTCTCCAGCACCGCCTTTCACCGGGCTCCAGGTTTGTTTTTCGGCCTTCTCGTCACTTGGCGATCGGATCCCCCCGATATTAGCGTGGAGAAACAAAAGCTACCCATAACCTAGATGCTCTGCGTATCACAACGAGAGACTTTCTGTTGCCTGCCCTAACAGGGATCCAAACCACTGTCTAATCCATAATTTGTCACTGCTCCATCCCTATACGAAGTGCTACCGCCGTCATCGGCAGGGTTCGCTCTGACTCTCATTTTCCTGGGATTAAACGCTCAACAACGCCGTTAGTGTACGTTTTAGTCGGCAAGAGGCAACTTAAAAATGGGCAACAGGGATATCTGCTTGCCACTTCGGGCTGACATTACCTTTCGCCTAAGTATCCGGTGCAGCTCTACTCCGTACTCACGGAGTTCTTGGGGCTTGCTTTTGCCGGGTGTCTGGGGTTATGTCAAAAACCCTGCCTCCAAGCCCACTTGGCAGAGGAGGCTTGCTGTGATGATGCAGAAGCCCCCAGCGCAGCGCAGCCGTGATATAGTGGAGCTCCAGCGGGGTGCGGACAGGTGGATTGGTGGATTGATGGAGGGTTCTCAAGCCATCGCGGAAAAAGGGGCACCCTTAGCCGTACTGTTGTTACACGCCCGGCCAGGCACCGTTATTACAATACACCAGGCTTTGGTACGCGGCTTGTGTGATGGAGCCGCCCCTGCTGTCCGCGGGCGCCCCCTTGCGCCAACGACGAGGTCTGGCTTACTTCTTCCCTCTCGTCGCCCCATCTTCTTGTCGTCCTGTTGCTCTTTCGACCGCCAGCCGTCTGCGTGGGAGCCCGTCGTTCATTATCCGGTCTTTCTTTTGGTATTAAGATCACCGTCAATCCTTTTATTTTTGTTTTTATCTTTTGGTTCTATCTCGAACCTGTCGTTCCTTTACCATCCATATACTACTCCTATACCGACCACTGCATCACCACAGCCTTGCAGGATTAGCTACAGCACAGCTATTCATTACTCTCATTCAACAACAGCAACAATAATAATCAACAGTCGACGCTCCTCTTTGCGTGTTTTTCCTTATTTCCATCTTTACTAAACAAGTGGTTTGGTGGCACGCCCTTGACACAGCGTGCTATCGTCGCCTCAACCATCAGCTCCTTAACCATTGACATCGGCAACCATGAACTACCTTCAGGCGCCGTACCCATACACAGTTCCGATGGAGCAGCCTATGGGCTATGGGGTACCCATCCAACATCATCCTTATGAGCAACCAATGGATCAATGCTACGTTCCTTACCATCAGAACGATATGCATGGCTTTTACACCACCGGTGCCATTGAGGAGTACGAGGAGTATGTCGAGAATTTGTCGCGGCCTCGTTTGACCAAAGAGCAGGTTGAGATCCTCGAATCTCAATTCCAGGCTCATCCCAAGCCCAACAGCAACACCAAACGTCAATTGGCCATGCAGACGAGCTTGACTCTCCCCAGAGTTGCGGTATGAGGCTGTCCATCGTTTTTCAAAAGTGAAGTCACGTACTAATTGATATATAGAACTGGTTCCAGAACCGACGGGCGAAAGCCAAGCAACAGAAACGACAAGAGGAATTCGAGAAGATGCAGGCAAAGGAGAAGGCCATGGCAGCTGAGGGGGCCGAGAATCAGCAGCAGGCAGAGGAAAGCTCAGAGCAACAGAAGTCAGAGCAGGACCAGACCGATTCGATGCCAACTCCCACGGACACCCGCGGTGCTTCTTCAAGTTGCAGCGAACAAGAAGATCATGGACTTCAGACACCGGCAGAGGAGAAACCAGAACCCAAGTTTGATACCGTTGGACACCAGTCTGAAGTTCAAGCTGAAATCCCCAACCCAGAGCCCACCAAGCTGATCCCCAGTCCGCCAATAAAGGAAGACCAGGAGATGTCAAGTGAGGTAGCTGACTTGCACAACACCATGCAACCCTCATTTTCTCAGCCAGAAGTCGACGGACATTACCAACAATGGGCCCATAACTCTGTTCCTCAAATAGAAGTCAGAGACGGTTCTGCAGACTCACACGTGGTTTCAACTTCAGCTCCAATTATGGAGCTTGACTCTAACGGCTACTGGTCCCCGGATTCTAACATCGTCAGCCAGCCGTTCACCGACCTCTTGTGTAACAACAGTTCCCCGGAGGAACTTCCCTGCCAGGCTCAGCCATCCGCTACATCATTCTCTCAGTCCTTTATGCCTTCAGAGATGCCCTTGTACTCTTCCCAGACCCTCATCAACCAAAGCGATATGTCCCCTCGAAGTGGCCCCAGCTCTGACTCGGAGCTGATGCACTCCGAAGGACGTCAATTGCCTCGCCTCCACATTTCGACCTCTGATAAAGCAATTGGCCTTGCAGCGCGCCGAAAACGCCCACGACCGGCTGCCATTGGAACATCAGGATTGAGCCGTGCCCTAGGTGGTCCCCCATCCATGTCACCTACTCGACGAGTGGCCAGCGCCGCCTGGGGTGGTGTACGAAAGGCATCACAGCTTGCAGAACTGAGTCCAAGATATGCTGGTGTAAGGAAGATATCTGGCTCTCCCAGGTCGCCGTTCCCATACTCATTGGAAGGAAGACAACATGGCCTATCCAGTGCGGAATTGGCCGTGCCTCCATCAACTACTTCTTCTATTCCTCCAGCCACTCCTTTGACGCCAGATGATATGCAGTATCTCCTTCCTCCAACCCCAATTGACAGCCAGTACTGCCTATCGCCTCAGGACGAGATAGGATACTCTCATTCCTTCCCAACTTCCCAATCAATTCATTTCGACGAACATCAAGAGTCAAAACGACAGCCACCACCCTTTGTTATGGTTGGAATGTCCCATGCACCATCATACGAGTCGTTCACAGAGCCCATGTCTGCTCCTCCAAACTTCACCACCTTCAACGACCTCATTCCAGACTGCGGACAACAACAACAGCAAGAACAGCAACTTAGCTCCTCTGAGGCTGACGCATCACTCCATGTGATCCACATGCCCAGGCCAACACATATCTCACCCATTGCCTACGATGATCAGATCCAGGGTGAACAGCAAATGGAAGGCTCCACTGGCGCCGACTGGCGAGGCCAGCAGTCCACGAACGGCTCGGTCTCCCCCATCTCGGAGTGTAGCCAGGGTTACCACGCTACCGGCAAGGGAACTACTGAATTCTACATTCAAGAGTTTCCTCAACAAGATGAGGCATTGAAGATGGCTGCACAGCAACTCCCACCGCAACGAACACGGACGTACACATTTACCAACCAGACACCGAATGACTTTTACCGCACCGCCATTTTCCCACCCGTATAACCCGCGGCACCTACTTGTGTTAGCTGTTACGCTCTTGGATATCGACACAGTACAGGGACTCAACTACCACTGATGCAGTTTCAGTTTCAATATCCTTATCTGCTTTTACCGTCATTATGTTTACTATTTTTCTTTTCTCTCTTCTAAATCATCAATGATATATGTGGGATAGGTATGGATGGACTTTTGGTTTTTGTTTAACATTTTCATATATCGTCAGGATGGACGACTGGGCTTCTACTACTTTGCAACTTCTCTCTGCTATTTCCTTTTTCAACCTGCTTTCAACATTCTTTTTTCCATTTTATTTTGCTAGGTATTATAACACCTTCAATACCTCGACCTACTGCTTTTATGACTGCTGCTGCATATTGCATAATTACTTATAACCTAATTTCTAATCTTAATTCTCAAATCCCCCCTTTCATCTTTCATTGTTGTTGGCTGTTTTGTTTCTATTTTGACTTTTCTCTTCACTCTCCACAATACAGGCTATGGAGATATGTTTCCCACTACTGCTGAAACCTCGCACATACCAAGAGGCCAAATCTTACTTCACCTGGTGAAGCTAGCTATACTCGTCTTGATAGCAAAAAAAAAGAAATAAATTCAGTGATCAGACCCCCTGCTAACCAAAGCGGCAATCATCTGATATGCCCTCGATACTTCGGGCGAGAGCTCGGACAAGGAGAAAAGTTTCAATTTTTATTAGTAAGTATGATAGGAAAGAAAAGAAGAAGCGGGAACAATGAAATATACCACATTAACCTTACTACATAACAGATAAAAAGCAGGCAAAGTTGAGCGGCAGGGAAAAAACGAGAAATTAAAAGCTAAACCCCGCTGACCAGAATCCATAACTAGACATATACCTAATGGCAAGAACAGGAATACTGACTCCAAAGAAACTAAATAGTGTACTCTGCGGACTCCATATACTAGCGTATCAATAACAAATGTCGGTAGCGAGAAACATGAACATGAAATGACACAAATATATGAATGAATGAATGTGTGCGGCATATCAAAGGGAGAAGAGAATAAGGGTAGAGTGAGGGAAGGGGTATCTCAATATGCAGGCATGACGAACAATAAATGAATGAAATAAGACAGGGAAGTGGAATTCAGTCAGATCAATTCGTAGGATAGGTAGGCGGGCGACGAACGACGAGAGTAAAAAAGGTAAACCACGACGACGGGAAGGAAAAGGGCAAAAAAGGAGTAATACAAGATATACGAAGGGTAGAAAGGAAAGGGGGGAAACACAACACGTAAGGAAAGGATATAAATAAATTTCCAAAACCATATAGAACCAATTTACCAATTTGCACCTAACCGATCTCCGTCTTCTCCTCCCCTGTTTCTTCTAGTAGGTACCAGGCCATGACCCGTGTCCTCCCTGCTGCCCTCCCTGCCCCTGTCCCTGCTGTTGCCCCGTAGGCGACCACGGTAAACTAGCACCGGCACCCGCTGACACGGCCGGCATCATGCCTGCACCACCACCGCTAACTCCTCCGACTCCCATACCGAAAGGCTGTTGCACCATACCCGGGGAAGAGTACATTCTTGCACCCACGGCCGCGCCTGGGCCCGCCATGGAATATGCGGTGTTGACAACGCCCGGATAACCCATCGAATTCATGCCCGGTTGCTGTGGATGAGGCTGTGGCTGTGGCTGGAGTTGAGGAGAGGCAAGCTGTCGTTGACCGGGCGATTGTGAAGGATGATGTTGCCGGTGTTGGTTGTGAAGTGGAGAGGCGTATTGTGGGTGCTGCATTCCTAGCGGTTGATGGTGCTGGGGTTGATGTTGTGCGTGTGATGGAGATGGTTGAGAGGGATGGTGTTGCTGCGGTTGCTGGTGGGAGAGTGGCTGTTGGGGTGGCGCTCCCCAGAATTGCTGCTGCGGATATGTATATAGCGATGACTGGGAGGAAACTGGAAGGGAGACGGGCGTGGAGGAGAGCGGTAATGGTATGGGGTTGTTTGGAGAGCGGTGGTGGCCCTGCTGTTGCTGCATCGTGCGGAGAGGAGGCGACATGGACGGCTGTTGTTGGTGGTGCTGGGGTTGTTGCTGATGATGCTGGGGTTGCTGTTGCTGGTGGTGGAGCGCAGGCGAGTAGGATGTATGCGGTGTCATGAGAGTCTGCGGTTGTTGCAGCATGGGCTGTGGTTGTAGTGACGAGAGCATGCCTGAAGAGTTGAGTTGAGGGGATTGCAGGTGGCTGTTGTCAAGCTGGTTACCGCCGGATGACGATGGCAGAGGTTGAGCATTGGTATCTGATATCGGGACCTCGCGCGGCTTGTTCCAGTGGTCTTCTAGGCCCTTTGCACGAAAATTGCGCTGCTGGTTCAGAATTTTGCTAAACTCTGCCGTATGTGAGGCCTGGTTGACGATATCGGCGGCAGCACTGGGGACGGTGCGGTCCTGGTATGGTTGCCCGCCTAGGTCCTGCCTAGGCCGTGGGAGGCTGCTGTATTCGCGGAGACGCGGGTCGTCGGAGGGCGCAGGGTTGATCATGGGCAAGGGAGCGAGAGAAGCAGGGTGGGACAGATTCGAAGGCATGCCGTGTCCATCGGTGGAAGCGGTCGTGTAGATGACATCGTTATGGCCCAGAGATGGCATGGCATTCAACGAAGCAGCAGCTTCGGCGGCAGCAGCCTCACGTGCCTTGCCTGCACCTGGACGTTTCTCGCCAGCCATATCCTCCTCTGTAAAGCCCTGTTTGATAGCCTTGCTCTCCCAGTAATCGTCGCGCACGCGTCTGCCGTTGACTATGACTCTGCTGCCGAACTGGCGGAACATGGAACGCGCGGTGACGATGGCAATCTGTCGCGACCGGTAAGAGTACGGCAGGATATCCTGCGCGATCAGGTCGTCCTTCTCGGCCTGGTTGGCGATGATTTTGAACAAGGACCTGTTCTTGTTGAAGAGGAGGTATGAGTCGCGGTAGCCTAGCACACGCGCGCACTCTGTGGCCAGCATGAAGAGCTTGTTGCCGCGGTTTGCGAGACGGAACGTACGACATTTGTAGGTGCGAGTGTCCTGCAGGTAGCCCAGGCCGTCGACCTTCTTCTCGCCGCTGGCATCGAACTCCTTGGGGATGTATTCATCGCCGTCCTCGCCGAGCTGGTCGGTGGTGTGGTCTCTGACCGTGGGCAGAGCTTTGAGAACAGACTTCGTCGGCGTAGCCTTGGGTGGAGAAGACTGCAGGGCGATGTCTGGGGCGATCCTAGGCGTCTGTAACGGCGACTGCGAGGACGCCATGGCCGCTGAAGCTGATGTTATCGTCGTGGCAGCGACGGGCGTGTTGATGATATTGTTGTTGTTGTTGTTATGGCTGGTGTTAGTGGTGGAGGTGCTAGGCGGGCGGGTGGCTTTTGGGGGTCGCCCTCTTTTGCGCCTACTGTCTGCGATAGATTGTTAGTAGGGGTTTTTTCTTTGGGTGGAGTTTGTACGCTAAGGTTTTGGGTAGGCGACGAGGCGACTTTCAGCATCAATTTTTCGACATCGAGCAACTTACCATCTTCGACGTCCGGGTCGACGAGCTGCTCGCCATACTGGTCTTCAGAGCGACTACGCTTGGTGCCGCGGGAGCCGGTCGCGTCTGCGGTGAGATCTGTAGCGAGCGCGGCCGACGGGAGAGATACTGCAGGATTAGCAACCGCCCGTCCCAGGATAGAAAAGAATATAAAAGACGAAGATAACATACTGGGGGAGTTGAGGTCTGCGGGGTTGATAGTCCCGGAGTCGACGCGGTTATTGCCCATGCCGCTGCCGCCGTTGATCTGGGCGGGCGCGGAGGTGGTATACATGGCAGAGGAACTGGGTGTTCACGATGGCGGAGGAGGGAGGAAGAGGGTGGGGAGGACGAGGGCGAATGGGACGATGGAGGAGATGAGAGAGGATAGAGGTAGAGGATGACGAGGAAGTGGTGGAGGGCGCGTTTCTTTTTTTTTTTTTTTCCCTTTCCTTCCTTTCTTTTTTGCTCTTTCTCCCTTGTGTCTGGGCGCCACAAAACCGATATCACAGCGAGGATATAGACATGGCCTGGAGGGTGTAGACTGTAGATGCTGGGAGGGGGGTGATGCGGACGCGGATGTGGATGTGGATGGGATGGGTTGGTGGCGCAGAGGAGAATGTGTATATTTAGCTGGAGCGTCAAGGGGACGAGCGAGAGAGGAGCGCAGCAGGAAGACCGGGCGATGCAGGCAGCCGACGCTAGAGCAGGGATGGGCGAAGATGAAGATGAAGATGAAAGGCGAAGACGCAGCGCGATGGACGAGGATGAGGATCTTCCGTTGGAAAAAAGCAACGGGACAGGCTGCTCATGATCGTGACGCTGCAGAAAGGACGCAGGATAAGGCTTCGGGGATGCTTCAGAGTGCTTCAGGACCGTTCAGGATAGGCTTTCGGATGCTGCCCGTATTTGAGGATAGGCTTCATTGCAGTCTATCGTCAAGGCTACAGATGTCTACTCTTAGTGCGGCTCTGCTTAGCCACCGCGTCGTCAGCGCGACTACAAGATGGGTTGAGGTTGATACTGAAGAATGATGGGCGGTCTGAGAGTATCCATGACGGAGATCCGCATGAGGATAAGAGCTCTGCTGAGGCCCCGGCTGCAAGGATACGCCGGATAATAACCACCCACGCCGGTCATGGGATGCTGTTAAACTGGAGATCTGTACAAGGAAGCGCAGTTGTATAGATGTATCCCTCGTCGACGATCGCGGGATCTGATCCGAGTCAGCTGAGATGCAAGACATGCATAACTTCGTAGATATAGATGTCTGTCTGTCTGTCTGTCTGTATGTCTGTCTGGCTGGCTGCCTGCTGCTCCTTTTGTTCTTCTGAAGATGCAAGCTATGTGAAACATCCGCCCGTCCGTCAGCGTTGCTTCGACGAGTATAATGCGAGAACGCCAACCAGTCGAGAAGTCGCTTATTCTACTTGCATGCTTGCTTTTTGTGCGTGTCCGCCTGATGGTGAAAAAAAACGACGATGGCGACGGCGACGGCGACGGCGAACGTCGAAAACGCGGTATGCAATCTAGACGTGATGCTACCGTATCATGGCAGCCGAGAGATACTGGACGGGCGCCTTCAGGTATCCGACTCATCACATCACATCCCCTAGAACCGTCCGACCGTCCAGCGACCGCCACGGCCGTCGAGTCGGGGATTTTTGTCCCTCCCCGGAGCATTTTTTTTCTTCAGGCTCGTCCCATCCTGTCATATCTGATTTTCCTCCTTGCCAGACTAGACAAGAACTAAGATGAGTAGGGTTATCAGCCACAGTGATTCCAGAAACTCACCAGGCTCGCTTCGCTTAGCCGACGGGCTGCTCATCAGGTTTGGCTGTACAACCTCTTGCATCCTGTGCTGCTCTCGACCCAGGAGAACGCTGTTAATATGTTTGCTCTGCGCCTCGTCCGGTTACCTTATGCTGACAGGGCATGTTTTCCTGGTCGTACATCAGCCTCTCTTCCCTTGCACCGGCCGTCCTGGTCAGCGAGCAGGTCGGACAGCCAGCACAGTGCGTCCTGGAGAGCGTTTTTCTGCTTCAGCAGGGATCTTCCTTGCCCTACTACGTAACCTGCAAAGTGTGAAAGTGAATTGAGATGAAGAAGAAGAAAAAGAAGAAGAAAAAGAAGAAGAAAAAGAAGAAGAAAAAGAAGAAGAAAAAGTTGAAGTTGAAGTTGAAGTATAGATAGTCACGTGGTTTCCCTTTTTGGGGGTTTGTTTACTTCTTGATATAAAAGCTCAATGGGTGCTAGATACAGTCTATATCTTGTCTTAAGTCGATATCTCCCTAAATCGAGTATCAGGCTAAGTCGATGTCAGGGAGTCCTGCTGGGTACGGGTCGAGGGCGAGCATGCAGCCGGTTGAATCCATAGAAATCCTCGTCGCTGTCCGACTGATACGCATCCCTTAGGCCAAACACCACCTTGCGAAGCGCCCTACGTTCCAGGGTACAGACTTCTCTCAGCATCTCTCGCTTCACGATCGCCGCCTCTAGCGCAAGCTGACAGCGCTCAGGGTTGTCCCTGTTCGCACGGTAGATCCGATTTGTGTTGGGCACGCCGGTGAACAGTCCTGCGGCCTGCTTCTGAGAGTGCACCAGGAGGCGGCAAAACTCATCACACTTGATCGTTCGCGTGCCGTCCAGCTCCTGGAAGGTAAATCCGTTCTCGCGGGCGTGGGTGAAGAGCTTCTCGTTATAAACTCCCCGTGGTATCGTTAAGGTTGGGTTTTGACATCCACCAGCGACCCCGGGCAGGGCACGGCGGGAGGCGCCCGGAGCAGGTCGATTTCCACGTTTGCCTACACGACGGTGTGTCTTGGGCAGACACAGTATCTCGGCGATCGTGTCAGAGTCGATATCGCTGTCGGAGAGAGGTGACTCGCCTTCCTGGGAGGCGATATTGGCTTCGATGATGGCCCCTTGCATCGCCAGAGGGGTTGGTTGAGAATCCATCTAGGGTGATGGCGGATAAGCTGCGCAGAAGCTGGGTAATATGTGCTTGTGCAGGGTCCTTGGGATATGTGTTTTGAGAGAAAGAAGTGCAGATACTCGAGGATCCTGCCTGCTTTTATGCCTCCTTCGTTCAAGTTATCAGCTTCACAGACTATGCCTGTAGGTGTATGCCTGTAGGTGACCTGCATCGTTGAATCCTCGCCTTCTTGACGTGATGACCATATTCACCCCTTTCCATGCCATCCATCACGCTGAGCGTGGGATATTCCGAGTGATACCCAAGAATACTTCCACCAGCGCGGGGATGAATCAGGGCAGGTTAAACACTTTTCTATTTCTCACCTAACAATACTTGCGACAGGCATGACCTAATAATCCCGAAAGCGATAAATATGCAAGAATGCAAGAGGTAATAGCACAAGGATAGGATAAGGGTATAAAACATGGTTAGAAAAACGCCAATTCATCATCATCGTCATCATCATTATTAGTCCATCCCAAGCGTTCGTAAATCGATTTCTCGGGCGTTTCGTCAATCGTTCTATTCGCATCATCACCAGCCAGCCTCTGGAGAGGTGTCGTGACAGCCATGCTCTGCTGGCCACTGCGCTTAGCAGGAGTGCTCGGCTGCACAAAATTGATCTGTGGAGGCGCCGTTGGGCCACTGGTGAACACCGTCTGTTTGGGCCTAGGAGGCGTCTCGCCAATTTCGGTAGTACCATTGGCCATGGTGTTGAGGCCAAATTTTATCGAGCTGATGTTAAAGTGGTGTGGGTTCGACTTGCGGAAAAGAGTAGGGCTGATATCTGCTTGTGGAAATGAATGCTCGGTAGCACTGTCAATTGGGTTGGAAGTGAAGTCTCGTTTTACCCCGTTTGAGGGTGGTTTCGATGGCGTTTCATGGACGAGTTCACTCCGTCTGGAGATACCGAGTACTGGCTGACTCCTTGATAGCAAGTTCGAGTTTGTAGGACGGATGGTCGAGGACGGTACCACCAGGGTATCTGCATCAGGAACTGGTTCTGCAGCCATGGCTGGCTTTGACCGTTTCCATGTACTCGGCAACGAAGGTAGATCTGCAAACCCGCAATCCTTTGTTCTTGGACCCTTGGGCGTCGCCATAACTTGCACGCCCTGACCAAACGGATTTCGCGTGGGATGCTTCTGCTTTCTAGGATGAGCACCGGTGGTAGATGACGATCTCTTCTCAGCCGAGTCAACAAAATCTCGGGAGACTAGTTCTCGATTCGGCTTTCTAAGCGCATGGATAGCAGCATCCAACTCTCGCTTTTGGTCCACAAGAAGATTCATCCTTTTCATTTTCGACTCGTGTTGTTTGGCCACAGCTTCAAGATCCACCTCACGGTTGTTGACCCGCTTTGGCTTTTGAATTCCGCCTCTCCCGCCCGTTGAAGTGGAGAACGAAGCCTGTTCGCTGGTTTCACGTTTTATATCCGTCACGGCGGGAGCAGTATTGTTTCGCAGTAGACTGGGGACTTTCGGCCGGGTAGGGATCTTCTCGTCAGTCCTCACGCGTTGTAGAGTTCTTTTTGATTGCGATCCTTTGACAGATTTAGACGCATGATTCGATGTCCGCTTCGCGTTGGACCGACTTGGTCGAGCAGGCGATGACACAGTCGGGCCTCCTAGCTTGCGATTGATGACCTGGCATTGCTCTGGGAGACGTGCAGAGTAGAACGGTATGATAACTTCTGTGCAGAAATCACGGAGCTTATCATTATTCGATGGCTTCCCCGATCCAGTTGACGTTTTATTTGAATCACTCAACGTGTCAACTGGAAGACCATTGAAGCTGACTGCATGCCAAATGCATAACCTGTCCAGAAGCAATTCTAGAGCAGTAGCCATGTTTTGCGGCTTTTTCGTCCTCTTTTTAGGTTTCTCGGTATCACCATCGCCTGGCTCATTCGGATCCCCGATGCTGCCTTCAAGAAGCATGATCTCCAGAATCAATAAGATCTGTAATTGCGTCTCACGCATGCGAATATCCTCGATCAAGCGTTTTACCTGTCCCTCTAATGCAGACCTTCTCATAGAAGAGTCGGTTTCGTATGTCGACTTCCACCACTTGGAAATAAACTCTTCTTCATCAGCGTATAAACCATCCTTGCCCAGGGTTTTCTTCTTGCTCTTGCGTCTCTTCTTTTGTATAGGAGCGGTTTCATCCCCCTCCGATGGGTACTGGTTGATATTCGCCACTATCTTTGGGAGAGAGTCCCTGTATTTCGCGTCCATTTTCTTCATAGGAATGATACAAGAGTAATAATAGTGATACAAGACCATTGGCCTCATGGAGGAGGTATCGTCCATATTCTGGAAAGCAGCGCGTGCACGGGAGAGCGGGCCCTTTGCAAAATACGCGACAGACGTCTAATACTGTTTTAGTATGTACTCAGCGAACTGGACATGGGGAGCTTACCTTTGAGATATACAGGGCTTCAAGGTACTGTGCTTTAAGAGCAGAAAGCATTTCATCAGCACCATTCACAACACGAGTCTGTGATAGGGTTTGACCCTCAGTAAAGTATTCTGCCGGCAGATTGATCCCAAGCTCATTTTCTCCAGCTGGAGAATTCCCTTCAGCCACATCTACCGACGGTGATAGGATATCGTGGGGTATCTGGGATTCATCAAGCCGGTCAGGCATAGGTGATTTCCGAAGACAGTTGCTCCCAAATGCAAACGACACCACATGCCCACTATCCGTCGGCATTTCTTCAAACAGGTCAAGGTCAGGAATAGCCGCCTGCTCTAAGCAATCCATCAACCCGTCAGACGACGCCTGGGAGGTATGGCTATCATCTGCCGTACCCCTTCCCTTCGACGCAACAACCAAATCTGCCTCCCGTACCCCGTTCTTCAAAGCACATATCGCATATACATAGCGCTTCACCCGTTCCACAATAAAGTATTCCATAGAGTCAACGTCATGATCAAGGCCTGTTATGCTTACAAGTCGCGCAGCTAACACAGTTGATCCATTATCGCTGCATAAGCTGCTCTCGAGAGCGGGGATGTTTGCTGTAAAAAGGCTTCCTGACCGTATGCTGCGTGGAGGAACCGGGCAGGTATCTAGCCATGACAGGGGGACTCGAGAGCGTGAAATGAAAGCTATTGGGGAGAGAGTCTGAGATTTATCTAATCGAGAGGTACCGCATGGCTACGAATTGTTTTATATTAGCGTGGAACATTGGCATGATATAGCTGGAAGTAGAACTATCATCGCGCGGGAGACGAACATGAATGGTGAACTTAGCCAGAACAGCTTCGCCAACACTCCCATCGTCACCATGTCCCACCTTCCGTCTCTTTAATGGAGGAAAGAAAACATGTCCAGAGTCAAAGGAGCTCGCAGATGTCACCGTTGTCGAGGCTGTTAGGAGGGGGAGACAGGTAGCCATTCAATCATAACTCTCACAGCATTAACGCATGAAATATGAGTGCCAAAAGAGAAAACCAAACAAGCCAGCTTAAGCAGGACAACAAAAATAGCTCGACCAGGACTGTACAATGATCTCTGCCTCTCTCAAGTGGTTTTGCAGTGCCTGAATCGCTCTTCTTCCATATTGCAATTAACGATCGAAGATCCAACAAACCAAACGCGAACGCGTTTTCACGTGACCTGTCATTTCTTAGTCATCGTATAAAGTTTTATGGCGCGAGTTGTATATTACTAATATATTACATAATAATATCTATTTTTACTGCTTCGGGAACCGAGGGAGAAGGAAGAGGCCAGAGTAAGCCGGAGTAGTGTTTACAGGGCAATAAGCGAGGATGAGATGGAAGCCGAATTATGGATTGATTTTTCTATCTACCAGGCCTGAACCGCTAATGACTGGTTCAACTTTTTTCACCGAGAACGCCCTCCGCCTGATAATTTGTAGTCTCATGTACTAAAAAAAAAAAAAAAAAGGAAATTGGTATCATGTTGAATTATTCCGGAGATGCTGCAACAAAACCAGCTTAAATGCAAGAAAAAAAACACGTTTAGATCCCGTAAAACAGACAAAAGGGAGTAAGTCTATTTTGTATATGCTTTGAGTTGTTGAAAACAAAGCAAACAGTCATCACTCATGACGAACTTGTTTTGTTACAACCGGAAAGGGAGCGCAAGAGAGTAAGTGTGAGTGTGAGAGCGTGAGAGGGGAAGAGGAAGGCAGGGATGGAGGAATTTAGAACTTGAGGGTCTTTGGCTTCTCCCAGGAGAATTCCTGGTTGGTGAAGTGGCCGTTCTTGGCGGTCTGGAAGTAGATGGGCTTGGCGAGGTCGAGGTCCTTGACGATGACACCAGGGCGGAGGTCGAAGTTGTTCCTGATGATCTTGACAAGCTCGTCGGAGGTCTTGGAGGAGGTACCGTAGGTCTCGACGAAGATGGAGAGTGGCTCGGCGACACCGATGGCGTAGGAGAGCTGGACGAGGGCACGGCGGGCGAGTTTGGCGTTGACGATGGACTTGGCGATCCAGCGAGCAACGTAGGCGGCGGAACGGTCGACCTTGGAGTAATCCTTTCCGGAGAAAGCACCACCACCGTGGGCACCCCAACCACCGTAGGTGTCGACGATGATCTTACGGCCAGTGAGACCGGCATCACCCTGGGGACCACCGATGATGAAGAGGCCAGATGGCTGGATGTGGTAGACGGTGCGGTCGTCGAGGAGGTTGGATGGGATAACCTTCTTGATGATCTTCTCCAAAATTTCCTTTCGGAGATTTTCGGTGGTGATGTCTTCGCTGTGCTGGGCGCTGACAACGACGGTGTCGACGCGGACTGGCTTGACGGCACCGTTGTCGTGGGCGTACTCAATGGTGACCTGGGTCTTGGTGTCGGGACGGAGCCATGGCAGGGATCCGTCGTTGCGGGCATCCTTCATGGCACGGTTAAGCTTGTGGGAGAGCTGGAGGGTCAAGGGGAAGAGCTCAGGGGTCTCGTCGGTGGCGTATCCGAACATGATACCCTGGTCACCAGCGCCCAACTTCTCCAGAGCTTCATCGTAGTGAAGACCCTGGGCGATATCGGGGGACTGCTGCTCAATGGCAACGAGGACGTTGCAGGTCTTGTAGTCGAAGCCCTTGGCAGAGTCATCGTAACCGATATCCTTGATGGCTTCTCGGATGATCTTCTGGTAGTCGAGGCGGGCCTTGGTGGTGATCTCGCCGAAGACCATGATCATACCTAGGGATGCCAATTAGAACCGTGCACACACATTGGAACTAGTAGTACGGGCGTCAATAGCTTACCGGTCTTGGTGGCAGTCTCACAAGCAACCTTATCCCGTTGAGTTAGTTGACCGCAAAAAAAAAAATCTTCTGCGACAGGGGTAAGGAGGGGTTCCTACCTTGGAGAGGGGATCCTCAGCGAGACAGGCATCGAGAATAGCGTCCGAAACCTGATCACTGCATTCAATTGTTAGTTATGCTATGTATACAACCGTTGTAACTGCTTTCACCTACGCGATCTTGTCTGGGTGACCCTCGCCGACGGACTCGGAGGTGAAGAGGAAGTTGCCTTGGGCGGTGCCGTTTGCTAAGCTGCCCATTGTGACGGTGTATGAAGTTATGGGTGACCTGGAGGGACAAGAACAGGCTGCTCTGGATGGGTATAGGTGTATATAGAGGATGCGGTGGTGGGAAGGAAAAGGAGAGAAAGTGCTCGGGGGCTGAGTTTAAGGAGGGGGACTCAAGTTTAAGTAAAAAGCACGTTTCGGCGGTCTGGCGGGGCAGAAAACCCGGAAGAAAAATAGGGACATGGCCGAAAAGGGAAGGCGGTGGCGGATGGCAGAAACGACAAAGGCTCCGAGGCGGCAGAACCCAAAAAGGGAAGGCGGTGTACTTCTTGTTACTTCTACTTCTTGCTTTAATACTACATTGTATAGGTACATGAACTGGTATACAGCAGAGAGCCGAGAGTCGATGACATGAGCTGTGGAGGAACAGCTGCAAGGCTCCAGGCTACCACCGAAGGCTGACACCGACCGCGAATCCCCCCGCACCGCACGCCGTACGCCGTACGCCGTATCGCACCACACAGAAACTGTCCGAACCATCCCAGCAGGAAGAATACGCGGACCAGCATGTCGAAGTTCGGGGTCCTGGTGATGGGCCCGGCGGGCGCTGGCAAGACCACCTTCTGCACAGCCCTCATCCAGCATCTACAGAACACCCGGCGCAGCTGTTTTTACGTCAACCTCGACCCGGCGGCCGAGACCTTCTCTTACGAGCCGGACCTGGACATCCGCGACCTGATAACGCTTGAAGATGTGATGGAGGAGATGGGCCTGGGCCCCAATGGCGGGCTGATGTACTGTTTCGAGTTCCTGCTGCAGAATCTCGACTTCCTCAACGATGCTCTGGACCCGCTGAGCGAAGAGTACCTGATCATCATCGACATGCCGGGCCAGATAGAATTGTATACCCATGTTCCCTTACTGCCGTCACTGGTCCAGTATCTTTCGCGGTCCGGTGCTCTCAACATCTCCCTGTGCGCTGCTTATCTGCTGGAAAGCTCCTTTGTCGTCGACCGGCCCAAGTTCTTCGCCGGTACGCTGAGCGCAATGTCTGCCATGATCATGCTGGAGATACCACACGTGAATATTCTCAGTAAGATGGACCAGATAAAGGGTGTCATTGGTAAAAAGGAGCTCAAGCAGTTTACCTCCGTGGACGTCAACTTGATGGAGCACGGGAGTGGAGAGCCTGAGAGTCAGTCTGGTGGCGGCGACCCTTCGTCGACCAGCGAGGTCCTGACGGGCAGCTCGTTCAATCGCTTGAATAAAGCTGTTGCTCAACTGATTGATGATTTTAGCATGGTATCATTCCTGAAGCTCGACGTGCAGAACGAAGATAGCATCTCTGCCGTGCTAAGCTATATTGATGACGCCATACAATACCATGAGGCACAGGAACCTAGAGAACCGGCGGCCGATCCGGAAGAAGAGGCAGATATGGAGTGAACGTCGTCTAGCTTGACATCGTTTTTCCAAACAAACCACCTTGGGCAGTTATAGCCGCAAGAAGACTGGCCTCGTCATGCCGCCGAAGGCTAGCGCCGCGTTATATTGCGGGCCCATGAGAGGATGGTACAAGGGCCTACAACTATGGCACAACAGGTTGCCAAAAAATAAGACGCAAATACCTATGCGGTTGATGCCCGTGGTTGTTAGCGAATGAAGTGGATAGTCAATCATCACTTGACTTTTAACGCCATCCTAAGATGTACCGGCCCAACCAATTTAAAACTAGTTATACAACCCAAATAACGATGAATAAAGAGGATCGATCCAAATCCGTCAACACAGCCATCAGTACAGACGTGCCAGCATCTATCCGTAAATGATAATTCACCTCCATAGCCTACCCTGCGAACCCCCCCATTGATCCTTCGGCTTCCATCCAGCTGCTGGTCGAGAGCTTCTACCGCCACCACGACCACCACCAGACGAAGACGGGTTATTCGCTATCAGCTGCTGGATAAACCCCTCCAGCAACCCCAGCACCCACGCGGCGTCACGCCATGTCTTCTCCCATCCAACCGTATACACATACCAGGCGCCTCCCAAAACCACACCCCAAAACGCCAGCCGGAACACCAACATGACCCAAAACATAATCACTCGCCTTGCATAGTCCAGGACTTTGAGCGAAATAAAGAAGATGAGAAGTAGAGCAAGTATCGAGAAGAGGTCAGGCGGCGAGTTGAGAAGCGCATTTATCGGCGTGAGAATATATGGTTGGAGGTATGTGAGTTGGGCTGCTTGCCAGTGATCCCGGGCTAGCTGTGTGTATGTGAAGATGTTTTGTAGGATGGGTGGCGGAATGAAGCGGTATAGCTGGTTGAGGACTGGGAGGATATATTCTAAAGAGATTCCTGTTAGTGATGAGTAGCTCTATGATTAAGGGAACTTGAGATGACGCCAATCAGTTAGGAGAAACAGTTACCTTCCAAAGCAGCCATGGTAAATCTCACACCAGTAGGTGGCGTCGCTGTGTAGCTATCAAGTGTATATTAAAACTCCTCCTAGCTTAATCTCCAATAATGCGATGCCAACTCTCAACTTGTACGGAGTATGAAGCTGTTACTTTGTTCTTTCTTGATCCCAAGGCGAGTGGAGCAAGCGGTTTACTTTTGTCATGTGACATAGAAGCTTGTTCTGCTTAGTAATATTCTCCCTGCTTCGTCGCTGCTCATTCTTACATCAATTTGACACTAAATATTGCGAGTTTGGATGTATACTTGCATATAGCTTTACATTTCCAAGTTCATAATCATGGAGTGGCGTGGTATAGCCGAGAGTGTGACGCAAAATGATGGTATTCTTTATAAACGATATATAAATACATGTATGGAAGAAATCAGTGGGAAAGGCAAGGTAGAAGGGGGAAGGGGAAGAAGGTGGAAGGGGAAGAAGGGGGAAAGGAAGAAAGGGAAACAAATCAATATAGACAAGTTACAGGGGAAGATAAATCAGTAGGAAAGGTGGGTTAGAAAGGAAGTTGAATCAATCAATAGTGAAGACGAGATAGAAGGGAAGGCAAATCAGGAGGAAAGACAAATTAAAAGGGAAGATAAATTGAAGGGACAAGCGGCTTCCGGCGCGCGAGCTTGCAGTGAGCGGGCTTGAGATGAAGATTTCTTCCTTTAGAACATATCATCATCTGCCTCCGTCCAAGGGGGGATTCTTCCATCGATCTTCATATCAACAATGACCGACGCAACAGAAACCTTTTTGTCCTTTTCATCGAAGATGTTCATAACCCCGTTTAGCACTCCGGTAGTTTGGGAGTTGCCTCTACCCTCCGCCTTTGACTTGCTGATCGCAATCTCCCTCGTGCATCCTTGACCTCTGGTCCCAAGGCGCTCAATGGCTGCATTGCACAGCTCGTCGAAGGCAACATTAGGATCCTTAGCGCCCTTGATCAGATCGCGACCACGCGCGGTCAAGGTGAACCTGGTATAGAAGCCCAGCTTCTGGTCTCTCTTAAGCTTGAACCTGGTCCAGCCACCCTCAGACCTCTTCTGAGTGCCATCAGTCACCTCCTCTTCGTGAGCACTGTCGCCTTTATCCAAGACTTCTTTCCTCATCTTGTCACAGAACCCGCGAGCCTTGCTGCGGAACTGGGCTGCCTCCATGAAGAGATCCGGGATATTCCCTTTGGCGCAGTCGGCGTCAAACAGAGCGGGGATCATATCGCGAGCCACCAGGTTGTTACTGGTCTGGCGTTTTTCGCGAGACTCGTTGAAGCAATTCATGACCTCGGCGGGGTCGGTAAGGGATTTACCCTTCATACACTCGATGAACTTGGGCTCGATCGATTCATGTGGGGTTTCGCCGGGGATTTCGTTGAGGCCCATAGACGGGGGAGGCATACCCCCTACATCTCGGCGTTCAGGCTGGAATTGCGCGATGCATTTAAAAAGGTCGTCAGGAGTTGCGCCGCCTTCGATAAGCGCGACGCCCGCTTTCTCGATACAGCTGTCTAATGACGAGGAGATTGGGCTGGCGTAAACCGAAGGAGCAAGGCAGGAAATAAGGAGGGCTGCGGTGGCAGGGGCCATGATTGAAGCAGTAAATTGAACCATTTTTGCGATTGGAGCTGTTTTGAGCGTCTAGTTCTAGATGCGGTAAAGTAGTCGAGTTGATTGGATTGGAAGAGTGATCTGTGTGTCTGATGTCTGGTGTCTGAGTGTTTGAATACTATCAGGACTTCGGGTCACCGAGGGTGGTTTATATAGACGGCTTTGCCAGTCTCCCCTCATACCAAATACAAACGATGTCTTAAAGTCCAATTTCATAGTTGTATGGTTATCCGTCACTGTCATGCATTGCTTCAAGTGAGCTGACCATGACTCCAGTAGTCAGATAACCCGTCTCACGGTACGCCGTGCATGTCTCCGTTCCACCAGTGGGGACCCAACGATGTTGGCCAGCCGATTGCATCGCATATCGGAGATATCACGGTAATTGCTTGCATCCTATAGAATGCAATGATGATAACAATCATTGGTATTCCAGAGAAATTCATATACCATATGCACTTAGGTATCAATGATCTGAGCCTTAGGTGGCTTAATCAAGTGTAATCTCAAAATAGCCCCATGCGCTAGGGAAAAGGTACTAAGATGTTGAGAACAGAGTATAGTAAGTGTACACGAAGTAACCACGGGCCTTTGCTGCTGGCCAAGTGGTGTCTTTAGAATGTTGCTGTGATGCTGACCGAACATCGAACGTCTGAGGTTGAGCTGTTTAGTCATCTTATCCCTGCTGGTCAAATGTCTTGGGACAGAGTATAGTACGTTACATAAAGGACTTGCAGTTCGCCGCCATTGAGTTCGCAGCCTTGGTAGGGTTGTTGAGTCTATCCTCTCGGTTTCATGGTACCTTTATGCATGGTCTGTAAGAAGTGGCTATGCTCATATACCAACACGTCTGGGCATACCTCCATCTCACCTACGTAGTGACCTTTTCCATAACATGCCGTGCATATTTTGGAGGTGTTATTTGGTTGAATAGCTCCATAGTATCCTGCCTACTGCCAGGGCGCTGTATACTGGAGTATCAGTTCTAAGCTAGAGCCGTGTCATGACAGCTCACCCACATCCAACACAGACAACACTGGTGGTTTATCAGCAATATACACAAGCAGTGGCTGAATGAAACTGTACTTTCCGCCGCGGAGATCGAGTGCTCATGAACCATGCACTGATAGATCGGCGTATTGGCATCAGCACCGTTGTCCAGGGTGTGTGAGTGCCCTCCAGCTGGTAAAGATCGCGGGTAGGTATGCGAAAGACAATCAGATAATCTTATCTACAGATCTGATAAGGAGGCCCCTGACCTTCGCCAAGACTGATCCATGGATACAGAACAAGTCGATCAGAATACAGCACAGTCGTCTTTGGATATAGGAAGCAAATTGGTATCAATTCCCAGCATGATCACACACGGGAAGAAAGGAGCTAGAGTACACGTTGAACAAGACCGGTGAGAAATGTAAGATAGCAATTGTCAGATGACGCCTCCAGAAAGAAATCCAGCCTGCTGCCTCTCTAATGAGCAAGCGAAATCTTCCAAGAGAGAGAATAGAAAAAAAAATAATAATAAAGGATAAAAACAGTAAATAATACAAGAGGTGAATCCTCGAGGTATAAAACAGGACAAGCAAATGAAAATAAACAACAACTCAAAAATAATAATGTATCAGGGAAATAGGGCAAGAAATGGTATGAATATCAATTCCAAAAGAAGATAGAAAGAAAAGAAAGAGAGAAAGAATCAATCCGTCAAATCGATCAAAAAGTAAAAACCAACATCTGCGCCTGTTTAATGCTGTAGAAGAAGAAGAGGAAAAGGAGAAGAAGAAAAGAGGAAGAAAGTTCCTTGGTCAAGGAGATATGCAAAAGAACATTTTAACAAGAGGTTAGGAATAGTTGAGACTCGTACCATCCCCAAGCACGTTTTAAATATTAGGGCTAGATGGGATGGTTGCTTGATATTCGGGATCTATCGTTTCGTGGTTGACTTCATGACTCGTTGATGACATTGTATCTTGAGTTGTATTATTGTAGTGGTGGTGGATAGCGGAAGAGTGAGTAGCTATGAGCTTGTTGGCTTGAAGGTGAGAGAGGTGAGAAAAGAGACGATTTATTGTTGGCGTTGACCTTGGATTTCGGCCTGTAGTCTTCTTGTCTGGCGAAGTGCTTCGTCTCTGTTATTATGAAAAGGCTGGTTAGCTCGGCTCAAGTGTGAAAAAAATAATAGAAATAGCTGTAATGGAACTTACCTGTCCGACTGCAATTCCGCCACCTGCATCTGTGCCGTGTTCATGCGACTCACGACCTCTCCCATCTCGGCATCCGCGTCCCTCAACGCCTGTTCCAAAGCCCTGACTTTCTGCTCCAGATTCTCGGTCTGCGCCACTTGGTTCAGCGCCAGGGCCTCTCCGCTGGTTGTCCTGCTAAGACGAGGCGATCTAGCTGAAGGGAATGGCGAGTTTGGCAGGACGGGAGAAAGCATCATGGGGCTTCGAATGCCATCCTTGGCTCTAAGGAGGAGCGCATTATGGTTCTCTGTGAGAGCGGAGATTTCCTGCTCATGCATACCGACCTCTTCCTCTGAGCGTTGCTGAGCTACCATTAGCGTTTCCTCGAGGGATTTTAGCCTGGATTGCATCTCATTGATCTTTAGTGCGGAGCGCTTCTGTTCTTGTTCGCCTTGGTTGATGGCATCGGCAAGTCGGGCACGGAGTGAGGCATTAAACGCGACTTGTTTCTTGATCTCGGCTTCTAGTGCTTCATTTGGAATTGGGGAGCCCGGTACGGCGTTCTCCTTTTCGATACGGAGTTGTTCGTATGTTTCTTCTAGCGAGCTGGCGGTAGCGTGGAAATCGGTCATTCCATCCGCATTTGTACCATCCATCTGAGGGACGGGGATGTCGTAATCCTGCAACAATGCTCGAAGAGAGCCGGTCTCTTGTTCAGCACGGTCGAGATCCATCTTCAGTCCAGCAAGACCCTTCTCACACTGCCATTTTTGATCTAGAGCGTCATCAGCGCGGCGACGGAGGAGGTTGATTTCTTCACGTAAGTGTTTGACATCACGCTCGTAGCCCTTTTTGCGAGGGGAGCTGGATTGTCGAGCGCGATGGAGCTCGAGTTCAACGAGCCGGAGACGTTTCTCGTGTTGTCGAGCCTGGTAGGCTTGCCGATCAAGCAGGCTCTTTACCGTCTGGTGGAGGGCGTCACGCTGAGTCTCGACGTCCTTCATCTGGTTTACTAATGACTCGTGGAATTCTGGTCCCTTTACTATCATTGAAGCTGGGCGGGAAAGCGAGCCGGATCGAGAGATGCCGTTTCGTACTGGAGGCATCCTGGCAAGGGAGTTTGACCTGGACAGGCCACCGGATGTTCTATTGCCTAGGCCGATGCCTATACCGATCGCTTCTTCTGCAATTGAGTCTATACGGGGAGACTGCGGTAGGTCAGGTTGCAGTTTTCGAGTCTGTGATAGGAGCGTGTTTTCATTGCGGAGGTTCTGCATATCTTGCTGCATCTGGGCTTGTAGCTGGTCGCGTTCGTACTTTTGCTGTTCAAGCTCAACTCTCATGCCTGTGAGAAGGTCCTCCATATTATCTTTCAAATGTCGTTCTTCCGTTAATCGACGACGAGTGTCTTCTAGTGCTGCTTCGAGTTCTTTTGACTTTCCGGCGACGTTTGACGCATCTACCTTTTCACGTCGAAACTAGACGATACGGTTAGCAATGGAAAAATTTTCAATGATATGAAATCAGTGCATACCTGACTTATCTGAGATTCTAGGAGCTGAACGTGCGACTCTGCAGTCTGCCGCCGTGACCTTTCTTCCTGCCATTTCTGCGACAGGTCGATTCTAAGCTGAGCGCGTTCCTGCTCAAAACTTCTCTTCAGCTTCTCGACGTCCTCGGCCTTGGTGCTTCCACTGTCACTCGACGAAGCCTTGACGGAGCCATTGCCTGAATCAGAGTAGTAATAATCACTCATCCGTCTATCGGATTCACTGTTTTCAGTCTGTATCCGCTCGACCATATCCTCCAGCTCCATCTCGCGACGAATTGAGTTTGCCAGCTCCGAGGTGATGACCTGCAGCTCGTGTTCCATGTCGGCTAACCGGGTGGTGACGCTGGCATCCATGGGCATGGTCTGGGATCGGCCCGTCATCTTGGGCGCGGAGGAGAAGGAGTCTTGAGTTGAATGGGCAGTGTATGTTGAGGCTTGTGTGGATGTGTTCATGGGAGAGGGCATGGGTGAGAGGACAGACTCCGATATCTCGGTGCTACTGGATTCGTTGCCGGGCGAAGTAGCGCCCGTGCTGACGCTGGAGCTCTTCCAGCCAAAGAAGGAAGTGATTTTGCTTCCTGGGGTCTTTGGCGTGGGCCGGTAGTCGACAGAGCCGTTCGACATGGATCTGACACTAGCAGAGTCGACGCGCAGAGGCGGTGGTCTGGCGGATGGTGTGTGTTGGGGAGGGTTCAGAGCCATGGTGAAAGACCGTTTGTGATCTTTGAGGTTCTGGATTACCGCATTCAGGTTGCGGCCGGACAGGAGTGGTTCGCTTGTGAGACGGGCCCGCGTCGACTGCCGGAATTGGGGTGTTTCGAGCACGGAGATGGTGGAGTGCTTGAGGTGATGGTATCCTGGCTTCTGACGGGTCGGAGAATACCCATGTGGGAATCTGCAGCGAGTTAGTCGTTGATATGGAGATGGATATATAGAGATGGAGATATAGAGATGGATGTAGATATGGAGATATAGGGTGTACTATAGATATCAGCACATACTTGTCCAGGTCTCTCACGGAGAAATTGATCGACGTAGCGGACGGGGGCAGCGACTCATGGCCCACGGAGCAGGCTGACGGCCTCCTCGACTGCACCGGCTCGAAGTGCAAAGGGGTGACGTTCGGCGGCAACGGCTTCCTGCGTATAGGTGACGATGCGAGGAGTGACGGGTGTGGAAAGGGAGTCGAGGAGGTGGTTGAGATCGAGGAGGTACGCGAACTGAAGCTCTGAGAGACAGGAGTGGCGCTTGGTGGCGCCGTAGTGGCCCCTTCTGGTGAAGAAGCAGCCATACTGGCCGCCGACTGGTGCCTCTTTGGGGGTTCTTCTCAAAGGTTGGCTTCCTCCTGTGCAAGTGTGGATGTAGTTCGACAAGGGGCAGGGGAACGCAGGCACGGCGCGTGGGTCAGGGCCTGCTGATTGGCTCTGGGGGGGCTCGAGGCGCTAGCCCCAAGCCTAGCGTCAGGCTAACCCCTAGCCTAGCCCCTAACACCTGCCTAACACCTGCCTAACACCACCCCTAACACCTAAGGCCACCCCTAAGCCTGAGGCCTAGGACCACCCCTAGCAAGGACCAACCCCTAGCCTAAGGCCCCTAAGGCCTCCCTAAGGAGTAGCGTAATGAGCAGCGTATGGACTGAAGAACGGCGCCAAAGATGATCACGTGGAAGACTTTCTTTTTCTCCTCCTTCGTCTTCCCTTCTCGTCCTCCTGTTCGTCCTTCCTGTTCGTCCTCAGCGCCTATAGCGAGATCTCGTCGACGCACTCAGGCCGTAGATCGCGCTGCACGCGATGGCGCGGGACGGGCGCGCGGGCACACGGCACCTATCTGTTGCTAGCCTGTCAGTCGCTCCTGGTTCGCGCTTTGTTCCTGCATATAGCGCCATGCACGCATCCAACAGATAACATCCAGGATCAGTATGGAGGACGCAGTATGGAGGGCACAGTATAAGGACAGTGGGAAGAATGATATGTGAGAAACTGGGGAGAGTGCATATTTAATATTCTCCGGCTCGAAGGCGAAGGGAAGGGCCCGAAGGCGGATTTGCTTCTTCCTCCCTCCCCCAGGCCCTGGCAGGGCGGCCTGATCGTGCAGGCTCTTCGACTGCTGTTCGTTCGACAGGGAAGGATGCAGGCTAGTTTACCCACCGGCATGGACTGTCTGGAGTTGTCCGTCCAATGGCCTGGTCGTGCGGTTCTGCGTAGCGGACTCCAGGAATACGCGCTGCAGCTTTAGCCCAACCTTGAAATTGTGACTTGCCCCCCGATCTCTCGTCCGACTGGCCAATGGGCGGTATCCAGGGCTGCTGAGATCGTGCCGGCCGTGGCGAAAAACAGGGCCAGGACGATCAAGACTGTCAGGTACTTCGTCGTCAGGTTGAGCTTAAGTTGGTAGGGTTGAGGTACGGGGAAGTCGGTGTTAAATTGTTGGTACGGGGAAGTCGGTATATCGATTATGGACGGTGGAAGCTCTAACGACAACGTACAGTGTAAAAGACAAATACAGATTCAAAACAGATATATATAGACAGATCCCGAAATATCGACAGCCTAACCTTCAAATGTATATCGCAGCCACTCTCCCACCGCCCGGAGACTCTCCCATCTCACCGACTCTTCCCGATCGGTCATCAGCGCCATCACCCGCGCCTTCAGGCCGAGCTTGTCCAGCTGGTGTCGTCGTTCAGGCACCTCCCTCACAAGACAGCCAACGTCATTGCACGCAATGGCCAGAACCTGCTTGTCCGTCTCCCAGTCCTTCGACAGGATCTCGACCAGCTTCTTCGGCAGGCTCCCGCGGTCCTCGTCCAGGATCCGTCGTGCATTCTCCCGCCAGAAGGTCGGGTTGCGGTGCGGAGGGGACCAGCGGAGGTGGCCGGACTGTACCTCGGCAGCATACTCGTCGAATGTCGTCTGTGTCTTGGTGTATTCGTCCAGCATGTCAGACAGGCCGGAGAGGTCTTCGAGAAGGTCGGGGTCGCTGAGATGGCGGCTGTTCAGGTTGCTGAGCATGGCCGGTAGGCGGACGACCACCGCGTTGGGAAGAAGGTTCGTTTTGCTCAGGGATAATAAGTTCCTAAGCGTAGAGAGGAGGAGACGGGTGGTTTTCTCCTTTGGCGAGAGCTTCAGCAGGTTGGTGTACAGTGCGATTATCTCGTGTTCCCTGTAGGCCATGTTAGTCAATATACGTTATATGTAGTGTAGTAGGATCCATACGATTCGAGCTCGGCACCGATCAGGTCCCCTTCGAAGCTCAATTGCCATAGCACAAGTAGCACATGGTATAGAAGCTGGATCCCAACTCCACCGCTGATACCAGCCTCACCGGCTCGGCCACCGCCCAGAGACGAACCGTTATCCTTGGTCGCCCCAGCTGCCGCGCGCAGAATCCCAATCAAGGGCTCAACGGTATCCTTTCTCTCCTTCCAGAAGATCTCTCTTGACCTCTTTGTCCTGAGTAAGGCCGAGTATCCCTGAACTCCGATATCCTGCAATCCTGTATCCGCGCTCTTGGTCAAAGTAGATAGATAAGAGAACAGCTTGGGAAGCGCAACCTCGTCCTTCTGTGATATTTTAGGCGTTGCTCTTAGCGATGCAGACACGAGATTAGCCAACAGTGATGATGTGAGTAGTGGAATCGGATCCTCTGTGGTGGAGTTAGTGAGAAGAGGCAGGAAGTGTCGATAGCTCTCGTTACCCTCGACCAGGGCAGATGTAAGAGCTGGTACATCTATAACAACTAGTTAGCACCTGAACAACCCCGAGGTTAATCAGATCGATAAGCATCCCCCGCGTAAAACATACCATTGATCAGATCCCCAGCAAGAACCAGGATATACTGTATTATGTCCGTTCGTCGAGTGGCAGACTCCAGGATACTCTTCTCCGACCCGCTACCAGCCAGCAACGAAGTGTACGCGTTGACATCCTTCTCGATTGTCTTTTGCCTTGAATCCTTCCGCACCTTATCAACTGCCTTGACCCGTCTAAGCTGCTCTTCTGTGATGTTCCCCGCCCTCACGGCACCCTCCCATGGTATCGGTCGAGCTCGGATATTGTTCTGCAGCGAGGTGAGGTATGTTGGTGGTTCGAGCGACATGGTGGTCACGGCTGGACGGACAAGCCCGGACTTTGGGAGTGAGACGAATGGCTGGACTGTCCGATTCCGGTAGAGCTGCCGCCTACTGCTCCAGCGAGTATTAGAAGAGCAGCTGCTTTGCCTGGTTTGTTGTTGATGTTGATGTGGCATGGGTGAAGCTGTGGATGGGATGTTGGATCACGGGAAGCTAGAGTTGCCCACCGGCGCCAAGCCTGGCCTCATCCTTAACTTCACCAACTTCATCAACGTCACAATTAATGGAGAAACGTTTATTACTCGGTCCGGAGGAGTTATTTGGAGGCAGGATTAAGGGTTTAGTAGCGGCAGGCTAACTTCGCTCTGCTGCTCAAATGTGTTATCGAGTTCTCTGTGGAGGTTAACCCATTTTGAATATTATATTGACTTATATAAAGCAGGAAAGCAATTATTCATTAGCTCTGTAAAGAATATCAAATCAATCATCCACAAAGCGCTTCCACTCCCTCAAGCTTTACATTTGCCGGTAAAACAAAATCCGCAGTCTTCTCTTCCCATACCCCTACTTGCATCCAGCCCTCCACTACCATCCTTATTTTTAGCACAGCATTTTCCGTCTCGGTTTTTGCTAGTTGTTGAAATACATCGTCAGCCTGGTAAGAGGGTCGATTGGGATACAGTAAACGGGAGCATGCTTGCATGTTCACCCTTAACATTTCACCTACCAGTTGTGGAATGAATTTTGGGGACCCAGCCTCTTTCCTGTGCAATGGTCTGAGTGCACGCGGTTTCCACTGCAAACCAGCCGCTTGTCTAATCCCATAGCTGTGTCGCGAGCTGTGTTCCTAGACATACCTCCCATGTCATTGTTGACGGCAACAGGGCTAGCCAGAGAGAACGAGACAAGGCATGCGATTGCCGTGGTATAGAGTAGAGTTGGCTTCATGGTGTGTGATAATTGCAATTATTACTCCGTACTGTTGAAGGGTGTATGTCTTTTTGAGAAGTGGGTTGAAGTCCAACATAGGGAAGAACAGGGGCCTCTTTATAGACATGATTATGAGTCTGTAGGAATATCCCATTTTTGAGTCAGCCACTCGGCTCTAGCTAATCTATATATTGGGCTTGTCTATAAGACGAGATTGGGTAGCATGATAAAATAGCGTAGAGCTATTGAATTTAACCTCCTCTGGCTGTTGCTCGCTGCAGATCCTTGAAAGTGCCCAGAGCTCATTTGATATCTTAAGCGGTAGAGTTCACTGGGCTTAGCTTATACTATAGGCGGTGACCATGATCTACCAGTGGCCTGTAAAGCCGTCTCAAGGCCATTGGTAGAAGAAAGCCCAAACATTTGATATCCAAAGCCCAACGCTCGCAAGTGATCATCGACCACATTTGGCACGGAACATCGTTTATCCTATAAAGATCACGTGCAATATCATGGCACAAAGTTAATCCGTTCCGATAAATATGTGCTTAGTCATCATACGCGCCGCCGAAAAAGAGCGTTGATACTCTCGTTTGAAGAAGAACTAAAGGCGAAAGAGAAGAGACAGACAGGCGGATAGCAGGTAGCTGGATCATATATATAGGCGGTAGCTGTCGGAGGTTGCTAGATGTTCACTTGTTTATGCAGTTTAGCTATAGGTCGTACGGCTCGAAGTAGCTGCAACGCTCTGCACTCTAGACTCCTTAACCGGGATATATGCGAGCGGAGGGCCGGGGATTGCGAAACAGCCTCCTTTGCGACCTCTTTAACTGACCAGCTGGCCTCAATGTTGGCACCCAAAGCCATCCTCTCGTTATATAAACAACGTCGAGGCTCTGGAGTATGAGAACCATGTTAGCGTTTCCTAATTAACTTTCGATCGTTTTTATCAATTCAAGTGGCTGGCTATTAATAGCTTAAATCGCGCCCTTGTTCCTTTTTAACGCGGCAACCTTGCGATCGATAACCATCTTATCCACGCGATAACCTGTTGCCAGATGACAGCTGATATATACGAGGAATTAACCCGGAGGTGAAGCGCTGAGACATGTCGGCCTCGAAATGGAAGGTCGGCTCCTTTTTGCAGCAAGCCGTTGCGGGCGTTGAGTCCAGGCTGGACACCATCTTAGCAGACAACGACAGTGAAGCTGCGCAGAATGCAGACAAGGGAGAGAAGCTGGCAGAGAAGCAGCCTGGCCTCCGGGCGGGCATGTCACCCGCCGCATCCGGGTCTCCCAGTATGTTTGTTGGTCCTCTCGTTGTTCGTTGCTGTTTCGGTTAGCTAACGGTAAACAGGTCTCTCCAGAAGCTCGTCCTCCGCGAGAGTCAATGATAGACTCCAGGAACGACTTGCTCGCGCAATGGCGAAACAGGCCGGGGCGGGGAATGTCGCCAGCCCGACGTCGTCGACCGGTATACCTTCGCGAACCTCCAGTCCCCTCCCCGCAGACGGCAGCAGGACGAGTATCGATAGCTCCAGCGGAAACAAAGCTACAGAAGAGACAAAGTCTGATAGCCAATCCATTACCGGTTCAATTCCCCGTTCAAGTCTAGAAGCTTCTGCCGAAGACAAGCCATTAAAGGAGGTGCAAGTCAATGAACAGGAAGTGCCGGTTATATCGGAATCCAAGGGGATTGATGAGAATACGGAGACACCGGACGCTTCTAAAGATGAAGTAGACGAGAGCATGAGCCAGCAGGCACCAATACCTGAGATCGGTGTGACGAAACCTCCGCCAAACCACCTTGAAGACTATGAAACGGCCATGGCTAAACTCCAGGCTGATCACGAAGCCTCTGAATTACGATGGCAGGAGGAGCTGCACAGCTACATAGAAAAGATCGATGCGCTCCAAGCGAAATTAAAATATCTAGCAAGTGAAGCAGCCGAATCGGCTCGTAATTCCACCACTGCTGCAGCACCCGGTACGATAGAAAAGAAGCTCTCCGAAAAGGAGGAGAAGATCGCTGCACTTATGGAAGAGGGCCAGAAACTGTCAAAGACAGAGATGGAACACCGATCTACTATTAAGAAGCTTCGGCAATATATAGCGGAGAGCACCAAGTCTCAGGCAGATCTCAAGAAACGGATTGACAGTGTTGAAAAGGACCTGAGTCAAGCGAACGATCGCGCCAAACGGGCTGAGGCAGCAGAGAAACGCGCAATCGCCAATTTAAACAAACAATCAAACGCAGAAGAAGAGTTGGAGTCAACAATATCCGAACGGAACATATTGAAAGCTACTGTCTCTGATTTGAGCTACCAGCTATCAAGGGCGTCCGCCAGAGCCGAGGCTGCAGAGAAAAAAGCCGAAGAGGAGGCTGCGCATATCGAAGGACGCCAAGTTACAGAGCTCAAGGAGGAGCTCTCAAGTGCGAAAATCGAACATGAACTTAGCGAAGAGAAGCTTAGACGTGAGATCGAGGACCTAAAGGAGAACCTTAATCGAGAAAAGGATCGCTCGCGGACTCAAGAGGTTGAGCTTCGTGGGGAGCAATCTGTTTTAGAAAGTAAAATGGAAAGCCTCCGCGCTCGGGCTGAGGAAGTCTCGTCAAGCACCACGGGAGATGCACAGGCTAAGCTTCTGCGGCAGGTAGAGACTCTACAGACGCAGTATGCGGTGGCTAGCGACAATTGGCACGGCATCGAGACATCTTTGCTCTCCCGCCTAGCTAGCGTGGAGAAGGAGAGAGACGATATTGCGAAGCGAGAAGGGGACATGCGTAGGAAAGTCCGTGAATCTGTAAGGATGCATCCAAGACATGATATACCCCATATGGAACAGAAAGTGATACTAATAATGTGACAACAGGTTTTAAAGGTTAAACGAGCCGAAGGGGAGTGTGAGAATTCCCGAGAGCTTTCGCGTGAGCTAGAGCGGGATCTAGAGGAGAGCAGACACGAACTGAAAAGGCTACAGGCGAAGCTCGAAAAGGTGGAAGAAGAACTACTTGCCTCGCAGCAGGATTTGGCAAAACAAAAGGAGACAATTGATGCTAGTTGGGCACAACGGCTTGAGGATGAAAGGACGAGATGGCACGAGAATATGGCATCGTCTTCATCGATGCTTCAAACCCGAGCAGAGTCAATTACACCAAGCCGACGGTCAGACGTACTATCCTCATTGTCTGAACTTCCACCCAGCCGCAGGTCATCGACGCTCCCAAAGCTAGATACTCCTCCCTGGCAAAACTCGTATTCATCCCTGAATTCCAATTCCCTACTCCGCGGCCCCTTGACCGATGGCTCCCCGCTAGTCGATATATCTTCAGTCCAAACCATGGAGCCCGAAGAATATTTCAACGGTGCTCTTACGCCAGCAACGCCCTCTGCGCCTGGGACTCACACTCAACACTCTCGCGGGGCTCATGATGTCGTTTCCGTTTCCACCGTTGCTGCAGGCCCATCTGTACAGCTAGTGGAAAGAATGAGCGCTACAGTTCGTCGACTTGAGAGTGAACGTGCAGGTTTCAAAGATGAATTAGCACGTCTAACCTCCCAGCGAGACGAGGCAAGACGTGAAGTCGTTGAACTGATGAAGGAGGTCGAGGAGAAGAGAGCTGGTGACGAGCAAGTACAAGAGCTCGAAGCAAATGTCCAACAGCTCAATGAGAGGTATCAAACTACTCTCGAAATGCTTGGCGAGAAGAGCGAGGAGGTAGAGGAGTTGAAGGCGGATATTGCTGATTTGAAGGACATATATCGTGATACGCTTCAAAAATACATACAACGATAGACTAGGGGGGGTTATTCTGGACCTTTGCGTTTCTTTCTTCTTTATTTTTTACTATGTGATATGAAGCAATCTATTGCGAAGGAATGTTCTACAACATGCATTGAAATGTAGTTAAAGCGTGCTATCATATCTTATTTCTTAACTTTAATCAACAACAGGTGCCTTAATTATGCCAGCTCAATGCCCTCTCGTTCCGCCGTTTCAAGAATGTATTTTCGAACCTACAAGAAATAGTTAGATCTCCAGTAAGTCATCAACTCGCTCAAAGCAAACTCAACCGATGGGGGTTCCCTACTTTACTATCAGGAGAAAGTTCAATAGCGAGTTGGCCGTTTGCATCGCGTTTATCGGTTTCAGCTCCGGCTCTAAGGAGAGTCAAGGCCGCCTCGCCATGGCCCTCGGAAATTGCATGATGGAGAGCAGTCAAGCCATCGACATCCGAGGCATTCAGCGGGCTTTTCCCTTCCTCTATAAGAAGTTTGACCAGCGGGACAGACCCGATTGCCGCAGCGCGATGAAGTGGTAGTTGACTTCTTTTATCCTTCACTCTCGCGCTGCATTTATTTGCGAGCAAGAGGCGAACGGTGGATATATTGTTCTTCGAGGTAGCAAAATGGATGGCATTCTATGATCAAGTTAGATTAAGTTCAATATATGTTGGTAGAACATCTATAGCAAGACGTGACTGTTAGCATCGCATCGGAGACCATACCTGACCGCTCGCACTCTTTATGTTGACATCCGCCTCTTTACGAAGCAATAGTTCGATTATAGAGTCTCCTTCTCCATCCTTTAAACTGGCAGCAATCATAAGAGGTGTCCATCCCGATGCATCCTTATCTAGATGTTAGTTTCTTTCTCCTTGAACTCTTACTTCAATAGAAGAATTAAGCATTATGGTAATACAAACCGTAGCATCCGGATCAAAACCTTTCACCGATACGAGAAGTTCGATTATTGGTGGCCGGTTATATGCAACAGCCCAGTGGATAGGCAGCCTCTCATCACCATCTTTCAAGAACGCGAGTTTGGGGTTGGCCTATTTTCAGTCCCATGAGTTAGTATGGCTACCGAATACATGCAAGCCTCCACTGATTCCCGAACAGGCCATGGGCGTTTTGTAACTCACGTTGAGTAGGGACTCAACTACCAAGTCTAGGTGGATGTTAGTGATTTCAGCGTATCTAGATATTGAGGGGTTGGTGTATAAATACTTCTTCCCTCACGAGCAGCCTCATGAATAGCAAACTTTGCATTATAATCCGGATCCATCCTTGTAATATCGAGATGCTATCAGAGTAGTCTTTGAACTGAGTTGTAAATAATAATCTTGTTATGACGCTGCCCTTGCGGCTTTGATGGCGATGTTCGAGGTTGAGCGGCCAATCGGTCTTGGCAGAAGATGCACTTTTTTATCTTTAGCCGCAAGGTGAAGTCCAACATGCTACATACATTCCACCATAGCTACGACACTCGCACTCCAACGCCCTTACATATAGCTGACCTGGTGCATTGCGACGGCTACTTACCACGGAATAGATTCACCGGCATTTTCGCGAATTTTACCCTATTCCTACCTCGCATACCAGGCTAGGATCGCGTCCCAGGACACGCTCCATCAAGCGTGCTCCGTGATTTCAGCGCACTCCCGAAGCCATTCCCACCGGTCAAAGCTAGAATTGAAAGGATGGAGGTTATCCGGGACGATATCACAGCGAACGAAGCTGTGCGGAAATCTGCCAAACGAACACACGAACTCTTTGGCTCCGATTATCTCTTCCCTTCCTCTTCCATATCATCAGAATCCATCGGTGTCTCATATCGACGGAAAATAGAATACGGAGATGTGCAAACACTGCCTCCATCCCTGGCCGAGAAACAGGCAAAGGCTGCCACGACACGGGGGAAGCGCACCAAGATAAAGCCAGAGCCAGGTACTTCAACCGCGCTGGTGAAAAGCTCTGCGTCTACCGGCGCGCAGTCAAATGGAGATAGTGCGCCTACGAGCCTCATAAAGAGATTAGATATCTCTCAGCAACCGAAGCCGGATTGGCATGCGCCATGGAAGCTAATGCGAGTGATTTCGGGGCATCTGGGATGGGTTCGAAGTCTCGCGGTGGAACCAAACAACCAGTGGTTTGCAAGTGGTGCAGGCGATCGGACGATAAAGATCTGGGATCTGGCTACAGGCACTCTACGGCTTACTCTGACCGGTCATATATCTACTGTGAGAGGCCTGGCAGTCTCTCCAAGACATCCATACCTATTCTCATGCGGAGAAGATAAGATGGTCAAATGTTGGGATCTTGAAACGAACAAAGTCATTCGACATTACCATGGACATCTTAGCGGTGTATACACTCTTTCCTTACATCCCACACTGGACGTCCTAGTCACAGGAGGTAGAGATGGCGTGGCGCGAGTTTGGGATATGCGTACTCGAAGCAATATTCATGTACTCAGCGGCCACAAAGGCACCGTCACTGATGTGAAATGTCAAGAAGCGGATCCCCAGGTTATTTCCTCGTCTCTCGATGCGACAGTGCGATTGTGGGATTTGGCCGCTGGAAAAACCATGGGCGTTCTCACCCACCACAAGAAAGGCGTCAGAGCACTTACCACACACCCGAAGGAATTCACCTTTGCAAGTGCTAGTGTTGGGAGCATAAAGCAGTGGAAATGCCCTGAAGGTGCGTTCATGCAAAATTTCGAAGGCCAAAATTCTATTATCAACACCCTTGCTGTGAATGAAGATAACGTCCTTGTCTCTGGTGGGGATAACGGCTCTATGTCTTTCTGGGACTGGAAGTCGGGCCATCGTTTCCAGTCTTTGGATACAATCGCGCAGCCGGGTTCTTTGGATGCCGAAGCTGGCATTATGGCTTCGACATTTGATAAGACGGGGCTGAGATTGATATGTGGAGAGGCCGACAAGACGATAAAGATCTGGAAGCCAGATGATGAAGCTACACCCGACACACACCCGCTAGACTGGAAGCCTACACTTGGAAGGAAGAGATACTAGGAAGGGTCGCATATCAAATTTCCATAAAGCGGCGCTCGAGGGCGTTTTTGGTGGATTTGGGATTTCAATTTGCAGCGGTACGAATTGGTTTCGTGATATTTTACCCTTACCTTATATATGTAGTTTATATGTACCATTTGATATTCATTCTTGGCCGATAATAATTATTGAATGCCAATACCCTGACCGTCCTATCTAATAATCTTACACTATGTATCAAAGCCTAAACCCAACATATTTCCTTCTGGGTCATCCCTAAAGGCTGCTCTTGCATCTTCTGCTGCAATTCTTAGCCGAACTTTACTACTCCTATTCGCCTTGCCCAATGCATGGCTCATACCATCCGCTGACTTGGTCCCGTGGTCTCCTTCTAGCACAACAAACCCTGCATCTATCAAGTCAACTGTTGCAAACCCCATCCCTTGAATCTGTGAATTACAGATCAAATTCTCCTTTAGGTTAGCACTAGCAGAAGCAGATACACTGGTAGCGGCGTCTGATATACGTTTTGCTTCGTCAAGGATGTCACCGACGGTAGATTCGTTAATGCCAGTTCGCCGAATTCTTGCTAGTAGTCCTGCAAGGAGTACCTTGGACGAGAGCGGGAGACAGCGAAGTGCCTGCTGTAGTGGAGTGGAGGTGGCTTCTTGGATAGCCTGCTTAATAGTGGCAATCGTGACTCGAGGGAGAATATCTTTCTCTATATCATCAGGGCATTGGGAGTCCGCTTTTCGGGGAGACTTCAAAAGTGCTGCGGCTTTGCGCCGAGATGCGCTCTTGCTGGGTGTCGGTGGTAAAGACTCAAGGTCAGCATCACCATTCATGTTCACAGCAGAAACAATGAATGAATCGTGCTTTTCTCTTGCTTTAGTCTCGCTGATTTGCTCTGCTATCTCCACGGCTCGGCGGCAGATATCAAGTGCTCGACGGGCATCGCCACTAACGGCTGCAACCTTTCGACTAGCAAATTGCACTGCATCTGCGTCAACAATGTTTCCAGGAACATTCTCGAGACGTGAACCAATGATTTCCATGAGCTCTTGGTATTTGTAACCTGAAAACGTGATTCTGGTGAGACCTAGCCGACTAGAGATCTTATTGCTGAGAGTTCGTTCCGGGAGATCCATAGTATTGGCAACAGCAAGAACCACGAGACGAGAATGTCGGAGTGCAGGCCAATTAAAGAAATTGTACATGACGGACTGATTCTTGGTGACTAGTTGATCCAGTTCATCCATCAAAACGACGCATGGAACTCGGCGAGGGGATGGTCGAGAGAATTCCCGAGAGAGTAAATCCAGCGCATGCGATGGTGAGATACGGTCACCTTTTAGTGCCTCCCAGAGCATAGAATATGATTGATGTGGATCTGTGACCTTCATACCATTAATCTCCACAAAGATGAAGTCGTCCATCTCCTCTTCCAGTACCCGTGTGTTTAAATGAGCGATAACGTCTCGAACAGTTGCGGTCTTTCCCGTCCCAGGAGGTCCTGAGATGTAAATGCAGGTTCCAGTGCCTTCACTAATCGCGGTATGAAGACTATCGTAAACGGAATTGAACTCTGTATCACGGCATGGAAGAGATGTTGGGACACTGGAAACATGGAGGAGGTTGCGGGCTTGTCGATAGGGAGAAGCCGTGAAATGTGAAGGGGAAAGAGTGCGAGTTGATAGGGGTGTAAATTCGAGTGGCCTTTTTACTTTGATCCTATATTCAGTATTAGTCTAAGACCTTCGAGATTAGTTCGTCAGTCGAATTCTTACCTTTTGTGTGTCGGTGTTGTTAGGTATTTCTGCCGCTGCCGGGACTGTGGAGTGCCAGCAATTGATTCGGTTTTTTGGCGCTTTCTAGGCGTCGATGGAGCGGCGTCGTCACGCTTCTCTTTCGCAGACTACCACAAAATATATCAGTAGCTGTAGCCTTAAAAGTGTCTCGAATTCGGTACTCACACTAGATCCCTTCGGAGCTCGTTTTCTGGCTCTGGCAAGAGCATCCTTGATATATTCAACAAGGTTGAAAATCCCTTCTTCAGATTCTGTAAAGACATCTTCCCATATAAATTCATCTGTATACCTCCCCTGCAACTGTTTGACACCCCTTCGGCAAATGATGCATTTATTGAATTCTGCAGCGGCAGCCTTTCCCTTTGGGGCTTTGCCATCCGGGTATTTTTTGTAGAATGCATCTTTGGACATCACTGTTGCACGTCCATTTATAGACATAAGGGTATTGACATTGAAGTCGGTCGTTATATATTGCTCGTTGGGCAGAGCATCGGCCCTCTTCTTGTTCTTCGTGGACAAAAATTCATCGGGAGAGGTAAACCACATTAGATTCATAGACTTGACCATTTCATCGGTTTCCGGGTCACGGTCATCGAGGAATTCGTATATTATCCCAGCCCAGTCCTTTCCGGCTTCGGGAGATTTTAGAAGGACGATGTGTCCGACTCGGCATTCGAATGAGCCCATCCGCGCCCCTATAATTTTAGGGCCTGATTTCTTACCCCGAGAGGGCTTAACGGGGGAATCTTGCGGTTCTTCATAAATCCACTCCCACGGAATATCCTCAGACCCCAATTCATCATCAGAGTCCTCGTGGAATATACCTCCTTTGGTTAACCAACGTCGAGCTAAGTCTTGAGCTCGTTTGCTTTTGCTCTCCTTGGTATCTTGGGCCGCCATGCTGCTCATCTGAGGGGAGAAACGCGTGCAATCTCTAATCAACTCAATCAATATTCATCCTGCCAGCTCTAGCAGCCTCATGCAACTCCAAAATTCCTCATATTCCCTGTATATATCAACTTGATATCGCCTTTGACGCCTTCGATGTCTGATATTGAGATTATTCCTAACCCGGACTAGCGCGTTTGGCAGCTTGAGCTCTTTGTCACGTGATATTAGTTTTGAGGATGTCCCGTTTTGGCAATCTTTCAGGCACAAAAACTACCTGCGAACAAACCGCACTTTTGAATCCTGCGCAGGATCGGGTTCAACTTGTCACTGCTACGGGGCATTGCTGGACTGACGGAGACGTTATATTCCCCCCTTCAGCACCCCATTAGCTCCCACAGGAACCAGGCGCAGACGCTTCTCCGTTCCTACAGTGGTTATCATTCCATCGACGTGACATCCCTCCTTCCGCTCGCAAGGTCGACGCGCCGGCCAGGCTTTCAATAGCATTTACAATGGCGCTCTTTGGGACGCAGAACCAGCAGCCGCAGACTACATCCTTGTTTGGCCAGTCGACGAACCAGCCTCAACAAAGTGGAAGCATTTTCGGCGCTCCACAACAGCAACAGCAACAGCAGCAGCAGCAGGGAAACTCACTCTTCGGACAGCCATTCCAGCAGCAGCAGCAGAAACCACAGAGTCTCTTTGGTGGTGGCACGCAACAGCAGGCTAAGCCGAATTTATTCTCTGGATTCGGTTCTACAACACAGCAACAACCGCAACAACAGACCGGAGGCTTCACCCTGGGTTCTACCACTCAGCAGCAACCCCAGACCCAACAAAACACAACTCCGTTCGGCGGATTCGGTGCTACTCAGCAACAGCAGCAACAGCCCCAAACACAGACAAACAATGCGTTCTCTGGCTTTGGTGCCGCTTCGCAGCAACAGCAGCAGCAGCAGCAGCAGCAACAACAACAACAACAACCGCAGCTAGGTCAAACTTTGGGTTTCTCACAAGCGGGTGGCTCGACTATATGGACTCCAGGCCAGGGAATGACAGGCGGTAAGTGCCGACCTCAAGCCGGGTTTCTGGTAAAATGCCAACTAAACAATGAATAGTTCACCGAACAGTGCCTATGCAGATAATGATCGTAAAGGATAAATGGGACTCGTCGAGCCGAGCATCTCCATTCCGTGCTTACCTGTACAATAACGTCGGCGAAGAATCCGCACCATTTTTCCAGCCAGGTCCCAATGATGACGAAAACAAGTGGGAGGAGGCATTGAGGAAACGGCCGGGGCCTGGATACGTCCCTGTGCTCGTACAAGGCTTTTGGGAGTTGGGGAAGCGTACACAAAGACAAAAGGACTTCTTGTCGATGATGCAAACACGACTACACGAGATAAATAATGCTTTGACGGAGTTACTGTCACGACACGACCTGACCATTTCAGTTAAGATAGCAGCCTGTCGACGGAAACACAAAGTGCTGAGTCAAAGATGCCTCGCCCTGGCATCAAAGACGCAATTGTTGCGGAATCGCGGATATGCTATGGACCAGGCCGAGGAGGAATTAGCAAAGAAGCTTTTCCAGCTAGAGCGTGCAGTTTTTGACCCATCCCTTAATGGCAGGTCGGAAGAGATCTGGGCCAGGATGTTGGCGATCCGAGAGAACTCCAAGCGTCTCCAGCTTGAAATCGAACGCACAGCTAGCGACACATCTAGCCAGGTGGACGATACCCTAGACGACGCAGCTCTCAAAACAGCTAAGAAGGTATGTCATCGAAGTTATATTCTTTTTCTTGACAATTTAATACTGATAAAATACAATTCTAGATTCTTGAGGACTACGCTACCCAGATCCAACATCTCAACAAGGAACTTGCCAATGCCCAAAAGGACTTTGGAATCTTGGAACAGTCGATACCCTGATCATGGAGGCAGCATCATCTGAAATGACACCGAATTATGTTTCTTTAGCTCCACACTTGACGTTAATCATTTATCTTGTCCCAACGTGCGATTCCTGTTCTATTATACTTCTGTTTTAAAACCGGCGTTAAGGGCGATCTGGTGGAGGAATAGGTATCAACTTCAAGATCATTTGACATTCAAAACTCTTGTTTCCAATTCCCTATATTCATACATGTACGATTATGACATCGACAAGCCCTGGCTGCCATCCTGAATAAACAATACGTGTTCAACAGCCATATATGCGTGGGTCCATCGTGAAAAACACCTCTAATGCGCAACAAAAGTGACAAACTCCATCCATATTACAGAAACTCAGGGTATATTCGATATGTGGTGGTCTAGAAGAGTCTGCGGACGAAGTCGATGGCGAAGGGGGCTATTGTCACAGCATGAGTTAGCATTATTGTTGTCGTTTGGGGATTAACAGGACCGGCCTTACAAAGGTATAGCAACACGCTTCCTGTGGCGACCATCTTGAGAGTCTCAATGGCCTCAAGCTCTCCGGCCTAGATATAATATATGAAACGTAAGGAAGGGGACTTGTTAACTAGCCCATGATGGAAACGCTGCGCACCTTGATCTCCGCTGGGGAAACGGTTTCTTGACCTGTAGCTATGTGTTAATGAAACGTTCTCCCAGCTTTTCCGAACGGGACGCTGAATATTTACCTGGCATAAACATCTTGGCTGATCTGAGGTAGAAATGGGCCTGGACGACGAGATATATCTTCTCAATAGATAGTAGTATGGTAGTTTGTGTTGGTTGTTCTATTGTTGTTTCTTCAACGCCTCAAATTTTTTTTATTGTTGAAGGTTCGCAGCCACGCACAGGCCAAGCCATCCTGCTTCGGGCAAACTTCACCTCGACCTTCCACTTACACCACAAACCTGCACCTTTCCCTCTCTCCTCGCAATCCTCTACAGCGCCTCATCACTTGCTCTACTGCTTCATACGGAGTGCAGATCAGTACTACCAGCGCGACGCCCCCGACCAGCTCAATCTACGACGCGCAAGACGGACAGGATGTCGGAGTCTCCAGAGCCGCGCCTGGACTCTCCAGCCCTCGACAAAGACGAAAACGAGGACGACGTGGCGCTTGATAAGGATAGAGATATTACAGCGGATATATCTGACGACGAATCAGTGCTTTCTGATGTTGACGAGGCTCAGTTCGAAGGGTTCGACCCTGCAAATGTCGCGATTGATGATCGCCCAGCCCTCGCCATCGACGAGGAGAACCTGAAACTGGTTGGTCGCCATAAACGCAGGAGAACCGAGGAAGACGGCGATGGCCAGACGAAGAAGAAAAAGAAGGAGGGGCGCAGAGATAAGAAGAGCCATCGAAAGAAGCAGGGCAGCGAGGAATTCAGTGGCGGAGAGGAGATGAATGGCAAACGAAGGAGGAAACGCAGAGAGGAAGGGGGAGAACGCGCTCCGAGAACGAGCAAGAAGGCAGCTGAACCAGAGATTGACGAGGAGTCGCTGGACCCTGCTACCAGTGAGTACAAGCTTATTGAGCCGAGTACGCGAATATAATAACTAACAGGGGCTTTCAAGGGCGACGTCGTGCTTTGGACAGGATGATGGACGAAGCACTGAAGAAGCCTTTCAAACGGCGCATCAGGAAGGCAGATGGAATTGTGGGTATCTCTAGTGACATCTATACCTAATATCTACTAACAGAGTATGGGTTCTTAGGATTTGGCGGACTATGCAGATGCCGAGATCGAAGACGTTCGCAAACGCATGACTGATGCGGCTCGACTTGATAGTATTGCTCGCAAAGAGAACCGTCCTGCAATGCACAAACTCAAGATGCTTCCGGAAGTTGTCTCTCTCCTCAACCGCAACCAATACGTCAACAGTCTTATCGACCCGGAGATTAACCTGCTGGAAGCAGTCAAGTTCTTCCTTGAACCGCTGGACGACGGCTCGTTGCCAGCGTACAATATCCAGCGCGACCTACTCGGGGCACTACTAAAGCTGCCTATCAACAAAGAGACTTTAATCGCGAGTGGCATTGGCAAGGTTGTGGTGTTTTATACCAAGAGTAAGCGACCAGAGATCGGAATTAAGCGCCAGGCCGAACGACTCCTTGCAGAATGGACCCGTCCCATCCTCCAGAGAAGTGACGACTATTCCAAACGGAACTATAAGACTGTCGACTTTGATCCTAGGTATGTTCATAACACTCGCATTATCATGGCTTTGCTAACACTCCCATCTTCAGTCGACTCGCGGACCGGACAGTATCAGCCGAAGCCTCAGCTGCTGAAGCGCGCGCTAGAGAGCTACTCCCGCCTCGTCTTGCCAACCGTGCCCGTGTCGAGAGCAGTCACACTACATATACCGTCGTACCACGCTCTAACAACATTGCCGAGAGCAAGTTTTCGCGTCCACTTGGTGCCAGCGGAGAAGATCGCTTTAGACGCATGAAGGCCAGGCAGATCGCGGCCTCGAAGGGATCGAAGCGGTAGACTTTGCGCCTTCATTTACCCCAGTACGATGAATCGATCATTCCCCCTTATGCAACTTTGGCTGCCCATTTTCCCCATCCAGCGATTTCAGTTCCTTTCTTCTAGTCTCTGCGAGGCCTCCTTTTATCCATCTTCAGACTTTTGGCGATGCAATGTACTTTTAGGCGTATTTGGACCAAGCACGAAAATGCAATAGTAATTGAACTTATACCTCAATGGTAACAGTCCAGCTCCAGCAATACTCACCGAGAACACTACTTATCAAGAGCTATATCAGGCGAGTTCGGAGCCTAGCGGGTAATACTCTATTCCGTCAAGCGTCAACGTCGTCGTCGTCGTGATGTGTATGTCATCATCGTTAGTCTTAAGCCGTGGGTTGAGCAGTGTTGACCCAAGGATGGTGATGTAGTAGAAACAGCGTGCTATCGACGCGTTGAGACCTTTCTTCATGGCCCTTCTGTAGGCTGAAGAAAACCACCAACACCTTGGAAGTGATATATGAGGAAGCGCTCGCATTGCGTACATAGCTTGCGCAAAGGATTCGCCTGCATACATCAAGACGCGCTGCTACATACTATCGGCTATTCGAGTATATAAGTACTATCCTTTCTCTACCGTTTGACGCCAAAGAATAAACCATTTCGCAACAATGTCTCTACGGTAACTGAAGGTTCTATCGCCGCCACCGCTACCGATGATAGGTCTCTCTCATTATATATAACTTGGTTTGACGCTGACCTTTACCTCTTTCATGATAGATATTCTCTTCACTCCATGTAAACTTCTATTAATTTCAGTCAAGTGGTATTGATACTAACAACATTATATACAGGCAGTCATGGACTTTTCCCTCGTCGATAGATACGGCCGTCAGATGATGAGCTTCGCATATTATCTTGTGTCTTCCCGGCTCAATTTGGAGTTGGAATCAAAGGCCCCTTTCTGGTGATATACGTACGAGAGCTGCCCGTTAAACCGTGGCCACTTTCAGTGGCAGGTCTCCCGCTATATCTCGCAACAACACCGTTTGAATCGCCGCTAGCTATGGGCAGAGTAGGCATGGTTAGATGGAGTGTCCTTGACCATCTCGATGCGACACACACATCTTCTCGGGAATTGACCTACGCGGTCATCAACTTCTTTGAGAGCAGAGAAGTTGAAATCCAAGAAATCTCATGGATGGTTGGCCCTTGGCGGATTGTTATTCCCGAAGATACAGATGTATCATGCCGTCCAGGCCGTATCTGCCGCATAGCTGCTTTCTATCACGCCAAAGGTCATGATAATCCCCCATTCGAACATGCACTACGCCACAAGCCCCCAAGAAGGAAGAAGCTGACATTACCTCATATTTGCCAATTCGTCCTGGCGTAATGGTTGCTTCAAAAGAGCGTATAACAACATCAGGGATCTTCGTCGAAAACCGTGATAAGGCTGTCTTTATGTCTGTGGCCTCGCATGGTTTCCCGGTAGCCAATAGCCCAGTATTTCACCTGCAGCCTGGCCAGTTCCTCTCAGCAACGACGATGTCTTTCCCTGCGGAGGGCAAGGCTCGGAAATGGGTCGAACATGGATGGTTCTGGTTTGGTCAAGACACCGAAACTGTTCCTCCAAGGACATGCGGATCTGCGGTCTGGGACTGTGAAGGAAACGTTGTTTGCTTTTTTCGGTCCCTCGACGATAATAACATAGCATTGGAGCAGCCGCACAAGAGCTAATCTGGCATGGCTATTCGTTGTGCGAGGCTGATTAGATACAGAGTAGCTATCACTACTCTAAGCTCGTCAGCCTCGACCATTTCGCCCAGTGGTTGTATCTGCAGAACGTTGAAGCGACTAACTTATAGCCATTACCATCAACTGAACTGACAGGCATTTGATCGTACAAGTTAACACTTGACACAGATTTGAACGTACGGAGTAGATGATGCAGCGGTCAGCCTGCTTCCTCCACATACTCCATACTCCATATCCATACTGTGTAACTGAAGCTGGACAGGATGGAAGCCGGAGCTTTCTGATCCCAGATCTCGGATCCTCGGATCCCTGCAATCCCAGGTTTCTCGCCCCGGAAGAGCTAAACTAGCGCTCCCGAATGATTTTGTACGTGGCTGACGAGAATGTCGACTCGGGTTACTTGGCTGACGAGAGCTAGTTATACGAACTCCTCCAACAACCCCCTGGCCGACCGATGTTAGCCACTCGTTTGAATGGATCACCAAGCGTCGTGGCCATGCTCACGTTAGCCATATTCCTTCAGCTAGCCTTAGGACCGGACGCTTGGCTGTCGGCGATATCATATTTAACGATGGCCGCCCCGTATATTTCTCTTAGGCTGCCAAGTTGAGAAACTCATCTTTCTCTATCATACGACGTTCGATTGACGCTTGACGGGTGCCGTCGTACCAGGATACCCGCAAACATGGGTCTGGTTGAGGCCAACGGAGACCGCGAGGGTGAAGAAAAGGACATCGCCACCAGCGAGGAGACGAGAGAAGAAGAGGTTCATGAGCTGGCCAGAGAATTCACGAAACAGAGCACTTATTCCACAGCTGGACATAATCCCTTTGCTGCCGAGCCCGGATCGAGCCTGGATCCCAATGGCGAAAAGTTCAATGCCCGAGCCTGGTGCAAGGCCATGCTGCAGATGCACACTGAAGACAACAAGGCACATCCGCCGCGGTCTCTCGGTGTAGCTTTCAACGACCTGAATGTGCATGGCTTCGGCTCCGATACCGATTATCAGAAGAGCGTCGGCAACGTCTGGCTGGAGGCCGTCAGTCTGGCGAGACAGGCCCTAGGCGGGCGTCAGCGCAAGATCAACATCTTGCAGAACCTGGATGGACTGGTAGAGGCCGGAGAGATGCTCGTTGTTCTTGGTCCGCCTGGGTCAGGATGCTCGACTTTCTTGAAGACCATCGCCGGAGAGACATACGGCCTTTATGTGGACAAGAACTCTAACATTAATTACCAAGGTACGCCCCGATATCATTCTAACAAAGCTTTCCCTGCTTGCTAACAGCCACCAGGTGTAAGTGCAAAGCAAATGGCCAAGCAGTTCAGGGGAGAAGCCATATACACCGCCGAGGTCGATGTCCATTTCCCTAAGCTCACCGTTGGAGATACGCTCTTCTTTGCTGCCCGGGCCAGAGCACCACGCCACATCCCCGGGGGAGCAACTGTGAACGAGTATGCTACCCACATGAGAGACGTCATCATGGCCATTTTTGGCATCAGTCACACCAAGAATTCCATCGTAGGAAACGACTTCATTCGTGGTGTTTCCGGTGGAGAGCGCAAACGAGTCAGTATTGCGGAAGCCTGCCTTAGTATGGCGCCTCTACAGTGCTGGGATAATTCCACTCGTGGCCTGGACAGTGCCAACGCCGTGGAGTTCTGCAAGACCCTGCGCATGCAGACAGACATCAACAATGTCACGGCCTGTGTTTCCCTTTACCAGGCTCCCCAGGCCGCCTTCGACTACTTCGATAAGGTCCTGGTTCTATACGAGGGTCGCCAGATCTACTTTGGTCACACGGCCGCCGCTAAGAAATATTTCCTTGATATGGGGTTCATCTGCCCTGACCGACAGACTGATGCCGATTTCCTTACTTCCATGACTAGCCACCTCGAACGCGTTGTCAAGCCAGGCTATGAAGGCCGTGTGCCTCGGACGCCTGATGAATTCGCTGCACGGTGGAAAGCATCACCGGAGCGAGCACAACTTGTACAGGCCATCGAGGCTTATAACACGAAGTTTGCACCCGACGGCGAACACCTTGACAAGTTTAAGCAATCTCGAAGAGCTCAGCAAGCCAAAGTCCAGCGCGTATCGTCACCCTACACTCTCTCGTATACACAACAGATTAAGCTATGCTTATGGCGCAGTTTCCAACGATTGAAGGGCGATCCAAGTATCACCGTTTCTTCGTTAATCGGAAACTTAATTATGGCTCTCGTCATCTCTAGTATCTTTTACAACCTCAAGGGCGATACCAACAGCTTCTACCAACGCAGTGCTCTCCTCTTCTTTGGCGTTCTCATGAACGCCTTTAGTTGCGGCCTTGAAATGCTTACCCTTTACGCTCAACGAGGAATTGTAGAGAAACACTCTCGATATGCCCTCTACCACCCGTCTGCCGAAGCAGTCGCATCTATGCTGATGGATTTGCCATACAAGATCACTAATGCTATCGCCTACAATCTGCTACTCTACTTCATGACTAACCTAAGACGCGAACCTGGTGCATTCTTCTTCTTTTTATTCATTACGTTTATCGTAACTCTGACCATGTCCATGTTCTTCCGGTTCATTGCATCGGTAACGAGATCCCTTGTCCAAGCCCTGCCCTTCGCCGCGATACTGGTTCTCGGTCTTAGTATGTACGCTGGTTTCGCTATTCCGATACAGTACATGCATGGATGGGCCCGCTGGATTGGATACATCAACCCTATCAGTTATGGCTTTGAGTCTATAATGGTCAACGAGTTCAACAACCGCGATTTCCTTTGTGTCAGCTACGTCCCTTCGGGGCCTGATTACGCGGATGTCGGTTCTAACAACCATGTTTGCTCTGCAATTGGATCAATTCCTGGAAAGCCCTACGTCAATGGCGCCGACTATATTAGGTTAGCCTACAGCTATACAGCCTCAAACAAGTGGAGAAATGTTGGCGTTATATTTGCCTACATGTTCCTTTTCATGATTGTCTATCTAATTGCTGCCGAAAAAGTCACCGAAAAGAAGCCGAAGGGTGAGATCCTGGTGTTCCGCCGTGGACACAAGGCCCTGAAGAAAAGCAAGTCAGAGGAGGACCTCGAAGGCGGTAGTGGTCGCAGTGTCGTTTTGGAGAAGAATCGATCAGACGAGCTTGCCATAATCGAACGCCAGACTGCTATCGTCCAATGGAAAGATGTTTGCTACGATATCAAGATCGGAAAGGAGGATCGCAGGATTCTCGACCATGTCGACGGATGGGTCAAACCAGGAACATTGACTGCGCTTATGGGCGTTTCAGGTGCTGGAAAGACCACATTATTAGATGTTCTGGCTACTCGTACCACTATGGGTGTTATCGGTGGAGAGATTCTCGTTGACGGCAAACCTCGCGATGAATCCTTCCAGCGCAAGACCGGGTACGCTCAGCAACAAGACCTACATCTAAGTACATCTACAGTTCGCGAGGCCCTTACCTTCTCTGCTCTTCTACGCCAGCCTGCGCATGTTCCTCGTCAAGAGAAGATTAACTATGTCACGGAAGTTATTAAGCTCCTGGAAATGACCGAGTATGCTGATGCTGTTATTGGTGTACCTGGAGAAGGGCTCAACATTGAGCAGCGCAAACGCCTTACAATCGGTGTAGAGCTTGCTGCTAGGCCGGCTTTACTTCTCTTCCTGGACGAACCTACCTCTGGTCTTGACTCTCAGACATCATGGGCTATCCTTGATCTCCTGGATAAGCTGAAGAAGAATGGCCAGGCTATCCTTTGCACTATCCATCAGCCTTCTGCCGTTTTGTTCCAGCGATTCGATCGTTTACTCTTCCTTCAGTCTGGTGGTCGTACCGTTTATTACGGAGATATTGGCGAAAACTCACAGATACTTATTGATTACTTTGTGCGCAATGGCGGACCTCCATGCCCTCCCGCTGCCAACCCCGCGGAATGGATGTTGGACGTTATTGGCGCTGCACCTGGATCCCATACTGATATCGACTGGCACAAAGCATGGCGCAACTCCCCCGAATATGCACATGTTCAAGAACATCTCGCTGAACTGAAATCAGAACGTTCCCAACAGGTCGACCTTACCCGCACCGTTTCTGGCCAGATGCGAGAGGATAAGGCCAGCTACCGCGAATTTGCCGCTCCCTTTAGTGAACAGCTCCGCGAAGTTCAGCTCCGAGTATTCCAGCAACTCTGGCGTTCACCCACTTATATCTACTCCAAGACAGTGCTGTGCAGTACCTCAGCTCTCTTCGTCGGCTTCTCTCTGTATAACTCGCCCAACACTATTCAAGGTCTTCAAAACCAGATGTTCTCCATCTTTATGTTGTTGACTATTTTTGGTCAACTCATCCAACAGATCATGCCACATTTCGTTGCCCAGCGTGATTTGTACGAGGCCCGCGAACGCCCATCAAAGGCCTACTCATGGAAAGCTTTTATAATAGCAAATATTATGGTTGAACTCCCCTGGAACACGCTTATGTCCGTTTTTATGTACCTTTGCTGGTACTACCCCATTGGCCTGTACCGCAATGCCGAACCTACTGATGCCACCACTCTCCGTGGAGCGCAGATGTGGCTCTTTATCTGGGCCTTCCTTCTCTTCTCATCTACCTTCGCACACTTTATGATTGCAGCATTTGAGTCTGCAGAGAATGCTGGTAACATGGGCAACTTACTCTTCATGCTCTCTCTTCTGTTCTGTGGTGTCCTCGCTACCCCTACCCAGCTTCCCGGTTTCTGGATCTTTATGTACCGCGTGTCCCCATTCACATATCTCGTTAGTGGTATGTTGTCTGTCGGCATCTCCGGTACAGGAGTCACATGCGCGACAAACGAGTATCTACATTTCGATCCGCTCAACGGCACCTGTGGCGAGTATATGAAAAAGTACCAATCCACCATGGGTGGCTACGTCGAAAACGAGCTCGCAACCTCCAACTGCAACTTCTGCCCCATCCGTGAGACCGACGTCTTCCTCAAAGCTGTCTCATCCAACTACTCGGACGTGTGGCGCAACTTTGGCATCATGTGGGTGTTCATCGTGTTTAATATCATTGCAGCGTGTGGGTTGTACTGGTGGGTGCGAGTCCCCAAGGAAAAGAAACCAGTGGCTGCCAAAACCAGCGTCTAATATAGATATATATACTCCGCTCTACATTCTGTATCTAGATTACTATTTAGTTCTTCACATTTTAATATTTTATAGCTAGTTAGGTTAAGCTAAAATATAGATTTACCAATTGATTATTTAGCCATTATTCACCAAGTATATACCGAGGAAGTTCAAAGGCTTTTAACTATTTATAGCTCAGTTATTTCATCTCAGCCACAATAGAAATTTAGTCAGATCTCGCCGGCCCGAAGCCACCAGAGTTAAAGGAGTTTATTCCAACCACGCCTCTCCGGCTCTCAACTGCTACTAGACATCTATCTTATCTACTAGGCACCGTACCTTGTCTAACGAACCTTATTGATTAGACTATATACACGATGCCACCGCCGGCCCAAGATGCAGTGCAACAGAATAGTGACGCAGTAAAGGAAAAACGGAAGCCTGTTCGCCGTGACCCGGAGAAGAGAAGGCAGCAAAATGTCCGAGCACAAAGGAGGTACCGTGAGTGCAAGTCTCTTCTTGTATCATTATCTATAGATTGTGGACACAGAAATTCCTGGAAAGCCCAAAAAACTGATTATTTGTATGCTAGGTGAAAAGCTTCGTGAGCGTCTGGGCTATCTCGAAGCGCTTGAAGCATCTACTTTGCAGAGCAGTGCTATTGAAACACCTCCAGCCGTAGGCCAATCTGAAGTGATTACAACTACTGCTGCAACTCAAATCATCTCAAATACCTTTCCAGCTTATGATGCCTCGGCCATATCTACTTCCATCTCATCTACATGGACTTTGGGGGAATGTCAACCCCATATTCCTCAGCCAGATGGCACCCTAACACTGAACACATGGGACTCTGCAACGCATACTCCACAGCTTGATGATACCACATTGATACCAGGTGTATGGGATTCTACGGCATGTATTCCACAGTCGGATGATACTTCACTAGCACTAAGCTTGTGGGATTTTACAACACCCGTTCCACATATGAATGACAGCCCATCGATGTTGAATATCTGGAACCCCCCAACGCGCTTCGATGATTCCGCTGTCATTCAGGATAACAGTTTTCATCCTGACTGGATCGCTACCATCGATTGCGGCTGCTCCATTCCACACTTACAGATAGAGACACAAGGCATAGACCCCTCTCGGGCCGGAAAAATCAAGATATTCAGATTCAGACAAGATGTGGCAGACCCGTATGCTAACAACCTTCGCATCGAACAAGTGTGCACCATCTCCGCGGTGCACACTCTTGCAACACATGTTGGTATCACGGAAGCGGTCATATGTTCCGACGAGCCCTTATCGCCGTTCTTTCGGCCTATCGCGGAGACAGCGGACAATACGACCAAAGAAAACACGGTCAACGCGGTACAGCGGATATTTAAGAGACTAAAGCCTGACTTGCGGCCAAGCAGCGAACAAATTACCATCAAACACCATCCATACATAGATATCCTACCTTTCCCGACGCTACGAAAGAATCTTATCCTCGGGCAGGGAGAGGTTGACGAGGACGAGTTCTTCCACGACATACTTGCCGGTTTGGCGTGCTGGGGAAGTGCAGGCATTGGGAAGAGGGATCGACAAGTCTCTACCGGGTATGCTTCGACTGGCACGCCTTGGGACGTACGCAGCTGGGAGGCAACGCCTTCGTTCTTGAACAAGTACTGGATCCTGCTGGGTGGTGAAGAGGGAGAGCTTGTACGGCAAAGCGAGTGGTGGCGAGGTATCAGGGGGGAGTAACTGCTCATCTAATATCTTGTATAGCCCTTGACTAGATGTTATATCAGAGTGAGGGCGTCTCTCTTTCCCTTTTGAGACAGCTTCTGCTTAGTCAGTGACATTATCACATGACCTAACTTAGCATCTACCATTACATACGCAACCTTATCCCAACCTGGACTTTTTGACGATTCAAACATCGAATGAAGTGATATAAATGATAGTAAATATATTTACCTGGAGATGAATGTGTCAGGTGTTGATACTCTAAAAGATATATATATATATAGCGACTGTTGCTGTCTATGCGTGGATTTGGAATCATGACGCAACAGTGGCCTGATTATCGTATCCATGCCGAGCCAAACCCCGACCGCCGAGTTTTGGCCGTCGGAAAGTCCCTGCAGGTCACTGAGGGCGAAGGAAAAGCGCCTGGCAACGCCGCATCGCGACTTTCGGGGTACTTTTTATGCGCTGTATCAGGAGACGTCATAGCCTAGACTTCTCCGTGGAGCATCCTGACACAAACAAATTTTTATGGTCATCCTCCTCCTTCAACTTCATAAACCCGCGATATAAAAACAGCTGCAATAGTGTCTCCGTGCTTGCTATCTGATATATTTCTATATTTTTTCGCCATACATCAAGATGAAGCTCCTCACCAAGGAACTCGAAGAGGCTCACAACAAGTCCGTTGCTCCATTCTCCCTCACACAGCTGTTACTGACCATTTCTCTAGGGCCGTCCTTAAGGGAGTGACCATCGGCGGAATTGCAGGTCTCGTTGGCGGCTGGGCTGGTGTTCTGGTAGCATCGAAGCGATGGGCCGGTGTTCGAAACCTCACGCTCCCCATGAAAGCCTTCCTGATCACCTCAACAGGAACATTCACCGGAATCATCGCCGCCGACCATGGATCAAGAACATTCGACCTAGGCCAGAGACAGGAAGTCGGTTTCCTACAAGATCGCGAGACGAGGCTGCGCAAGGAGGAGCTTGCAGAGATGAGCGTCAGAGATCGTGTCTTTGAATTCGCCCGCAAGGAAAAATATAAGATCGTTGCTCTCACTTGGGTTGCCAGCATGGTTGGATCCTTTGCTCTCGTCAGCCGAAGCCCGTATCTGTCTGGCCCCCAGAAGATAGTACAGGCCCGTGTGTATGCTCAGGGTCTTACCTTGGCTGTCCTCTGCGCCACTGCTGCATTCGAGATTGCGGATCAGAGACAAGGCCGTGGAATCGCTGATGCCGTCAGGGCGAAGACGAAGAAGGATAAGAACTCGCCTGACGACCTGTGGAAGGATATGGTCGATGCCGAAGAGCATAGAATCCACGATAAGGAGATAAAGGCGAAGCATCAATAAGCCGTCCTCATTTCCACCTCGGATACAGATCGATGGCTGCAACCGCTTGCTAAATATCGATCTTTCACTACGGCATATTTCGACGACAATAGACCTACCGCCGATAAAAAAGATACCTGCTAGTGTACATTACTTCATCCTCTTCCGCCATTCAACGGAACTACTTTTACGAAACTCTCATCTCTCGCGCCTAGTCCCAAGGAGTTCTTTTTTGGAGGCCTTCTTTCTCCCAATGACCACCCTCTATCAGTTCAGTTGCACATGAAGCTCTGAATTGCACCGCGCACGTTCAACTTCTTTTCTTTTCTTCTCTTCGAGCATTTTCAAGGGACGGAGGGCTGCGTTTCTTTTCTTTCGAATCCACGCTCTGCTGGCTGAAAGGGGCGTTATCATGGCTGTACATATATGTTGATTCCCCCCATTCTTTAAAATTACTACTACTCTGTAATCGACAAGGGTTAATATTTTGATATAGACTGAAGCTTCTTAACTTAAAAAAACTATCATTGAAGTATGTTAATTATAACTAACCTGCCAAGCACGATGGCCTTTCTATATAACCGCCGAGTTCCATGTGTGAGAAATGGATGGTCGGCGAGTGCCAAAGTATATACTGATGAAAACGAAAAATGTTATACAATAGCTAACCAGAGGAAATGCCTATCACTTGGATAGGTCGACTTCCTCGTGAAGCTTCGCGTCAATATTAACAAACGACCGAACAACCTCCATACCCCGAGCTCGCTCTTCTTCAATCCTATACCAGTCCCAAGCACCCGCCTTCTCTGATGTCTCACGAGTTTTCTTCATGTTTTCCAACACGGCCTGGTCGATATCAGAGCTCTCCGTTAAAGTCAGTACTTTACGGAGGAGAGGCTCGTCCAGGGATTCACCAGAGTCAATCGCTTCGCCGCTTGCAGGAGTGTCAAGGGCGGTAGGAGGTGAAGGAAGCTCCTCCCCAGCCGGTCGTGGAGGCAGTAGTCCACTAGCCCGTAACACATTTTCGGGGCGAACGGTCTTCCTGCCCTTCTTCACAACATACTTGCTAATTCCCACAGCAAGTAGTACTTTCTGCTCTCCCTTTCGCTTCGGGAAGCGCAAGAAGAAGGTCAGCGTATATAGCCATTTCTCATCCCATCCCGCAATCTTGGTTCGCATCTCGTATTTCTCATACGATTTAATTTCTTTCTTGAACGTGCAGTATACGGATCCCAGCATGACTGCAATCCTGCCGGGGTACAACTGCTTGCCGTTGGCGTCGAGTTCCTTGTTCATCTCTCGTTTGACAAGCTCGAGGCCAGGGCTATATAGGCCCGTCACCAGGCCTGTACGAGCAATGTCGAGGTCGGAGAAGTAGGTACTGTTGGATTTGTGGATGTTGTAGTCTGTTTCCCATAATGTGGTCCTGCTCGTTGTGCTCGATGGTACGAAGATTGGGTGAACATGGTCTGGTCTAGTGTGCTCCTTCGATTGAGGATCCGGATAAATGTGCTTCTTCAGCCGAATGCCTCTGATTAAATGGTAGAATAAGCGAATCTATTCGAGTTGTTGAGATAGGTTAGCGAGCTGAATAGTAACCAGAATGCGGTTGGAAATAAGAGTTACTGGAATAGAGGAATAGCAGAGTAGAAATCGCATTAGATAGCCTTACATGCCACGAGAAGGGCGCTGATTTGAGATTAAAGAGAATATACAGCAAGACGAGGTTCTTCCAGGTCAGTTGCGAACGAACTCGTTTGATGGCCAGGCTGAGCGACGCCAGCGCAACCGGGACTGATAGCACCGTCATCGCGAATTCCGCTTTAGCCTTGTATATTCTATTCCAATTCCGACCGCGCAGCCTTCTTAAACGATAATCGGAGTATTAGGGTTCAAGTAGGTTAGGCAGGATGTATTTCTGCGATCTGGTCCTTCTCAGCCGCAATAAATTGGAAACCGCAAGGCTGCTCGTTGTATATGTCCGAGAGAGGGCGAAGAAGCTTTAATAGAGGCCGACGAGGTAGCCAAATGCTAGGGAGAAACGAGTGAAAGTCGCAGCCTCAAGGAACAGCGTCAACAAAACGAATTGCTTGGGGGATGATGGCGTTTTCCTAGTTAAAAGAGTTGAACTCGCGATCGCGCGTCATTCGCACAGGGGCCTTCTCATGTGATTTTGTGCCGAGGTTGAGAGTAAATACGCTTAGTCATCATATATATATACGAGATGGTTGAACTCACGAAGGAACAGCGGAACAATGAAAGACGATGGCAATTGGATAGCTGGCTCCCTCGGTTGGTATGTTATGCTGGAGTAGGTTAGGATGCTGCAGGCGATCTGCCTATTTGGTAGTTGCAAGTGGTCACATTACACCCCTCTATCAAAGAACAGACTCTGGCCTTCATTATCAGGGAGGACCATACGGAGTATAATGGACGCTACTATCACAGCTGGTGGGGTGCTATAGTTGCAATATATATCCTGTGTGCTAGGTCCTTATAGGCATACGTCATATTCGTTTGCACTTCAAAATATTGATTGATTCGGCTCTAGACTACCTAAGGACGACTAAGTGGAAATCTCAGAGTATTTCTTTATCGAACAGAGCTAGGGGGACGACTTCACAAAGAGTACTCCGTAGTAGTAACCTAACCCAGTGCCTTATCGTTTGCCGTAGATAACGTATTAGAAGAGATTTTGTTTGTCAACCCCCTGGAGGAAATGTCCGGCTCTCTAGGTACTAGCCGGAATAAAAAAGTGCTCCTTTGTGAGCTTCGGATTAATCGTTGGTAAGACATAGGTAAAAGGCAAACGAAGCGAGTTACAGCAAAACATACCATTATGCTAGGACATGAAAATATAACAATCTGGTCTCGTTGAAGCTGGGAGTTCCCCTCACGATTAAAGAGAGGTAGAGCGGCCATCCTCGTTTCCATATTCAATGAACTTTGGAGAGGTTGTCATGTATTATGACGGAAACGGGACCTACCCCGTAGAAATATTCTAGTGGTGCCCATGTTCTCTTGTGTATTCCCATAATCATTTCGTGGACAGGCGTACCAAGCAGCCTAATATCTGTATCTGGTCGAGTAATCTATTCATAGAAAGCGAGACATTAGTCAAAAACACTCTTTTAGGCACAGGGTCTCCGGAAAATCACCTACCTTTTGGACTGACAACCAAACCTCTCCCCTTCTTCGCACCTCGATAAATAGCCTCGAAGATATCGATCAACTCCTGCTTATCCTCCAACACCCAGTTGAGCTTATTATTGTTTCCGGTTCCAAAATCGCACATCATATGTTTATTGCGGAAGAAGAACATTATCGTCATGGGATCGTAAAGTTCGTACATCTGGATAAAATCAGGCACCTGGTCGATGTCGCAAAGGTAAATCACGGCGAAATTCTTGACCCGGTCAGCTATTCGGTAGAGAACTTCATCCTGTCTCATGCCTAGGATAATGTACAGACATGGTTAGCTACCTTGAACAGCTTCTAGGAACGCAAGGAGAGGGGTACATACAGTCTTTATCCCAGTCACGACCGAATCTTATGACGACTAGACGTTCCTCCTCGGAAAGAATGGCCTGGTCAACATGCCAGGCAGTGGTAAGATGGGGGAGAACGACGGAACCCATTTTCACTTTGCTCTCCCAAGACCTGCGTTGATAGATGGTGAAGTTGAGAGGAAGAACAGTTGGATATGACGATAACAGTCGGAGGGAAGATCTTTAACACGTGACCACTGGTCCACATACTTTAAGCTCAGCGCTTATCGCGTTTAAAGAGGCGCGAGTAATATCTCCACTATATCATAGCTAGATGGGATAAACGAAAGCAGGAGAAGCTCTGCTCCTTTGTCTTATTTTTGAACCACTCTATATCATGCTCTACAAAAAGGTTCCCCCTCCCAATTTTCCTACACACAACCACTCATGCAAAAAAAATATTAAATAGTGGAAGTGATAACTGCCAAGCGATGAAGGCGGAAGGGAAACAAAACAAAACTATGAACAGAAGAAGAAAAAGAAAAACGAAACCAATGGTAGAATTCCCGCTTGGCAAATATGGTGGAAGGGAAGAATATAGTACCTTACAAATCGTCGTCGTCGTCATCGTCGTCCGCAGCAGCGCGTCTTCCTTTGTTCTTAAGGTTGGATGACATTTCGTACTCTTCAACACGCGGGCCATTACGGCCAGACATCGCCATTGCCTGTCGTCCGGTATCAGACGACTCTAGGAAGTCCCGGAGTCGTCGTTTACCTTCTTCGACGGCCTGGCGTGAGGCTGCCTCGGCCATGTTTATCATTGGGCCCCAGAGGTTAAGTTGGAAGGTGATGTAGGCACCAACACCGATGACGAGGAGAAACACGAAGTATATCGGGTTTCGGAGAACTGTGGATACGGATGTTAGTCAACGACAGTAAATGTCATAAATAAAATGTCGAGGTGCTTACCAGCTACTATTTCGTTCCAACCCAGAGCCAGAAGAAGACCGTAGAAATACAGGGGAACCTGGGTGATTCCACCGATGGCACTTCGCTTGGCTTCAACGTAAACGCCATCAGCAGCCTTCTTGAAGCGAACTGTCAAATCCTGCCTCTTAGCCTCGCTGAGCATAGTCATCTCTTCCTCCAAGCTCTTGCCATCATCTTCGTCGACTCCACCAATAGGGGTGAGGTCTTCTTCGTCTGCCGAACTTGCAGAACCGGGCATATGGCCAACCCACTTATCCAAAGGTGGAGGTGCGGAGGTTTCATTCAGCTTGAAACGAGCTAGTAGTGGGATTAGGGTGAGTGTCGACTCTCTAGCAGCTGTATAGATGCCCTCAATATCATCGGTAGGCCGCCAGATCCGTGGAACGCCAGCCTCGTCGTAACGGAATTTATCCTCGAAGTTTTCGCGCAGTTTGAGAAGTATGTTACCCTCCATCATCTCCTCATCAATCTTAGACCGCAGAACACTCCAGGCCTTCCTTCGTAGCCTCCATAGTCCAACGTCAACTTCATCTAAGCTTGCATCGAAACTGCTAGCTCGTTCTGTGAACCTCCGCTCTGCGTCCAGGACAGTGTCCACGAAGAGAGACCAAATCCTATCCCAAATGGACTTTTCGTTTGGCTTGTCTCCGCTTTCCGGTGCTCTAGAGCCACCTCTTCCTGATCCAAGGGCGTTGAATTCAAGGTCGATGGAATCGCCCAAGCGAGATCTCACCCATCGTTCAACTCTGGTAGCAAGTCGCCTCATCTCGTCCTTTCGCAGCTGTGAGCTGATCTTTTCAAGGTCCTTTTGGTAAAGAGATAGCTCCTGTTTGTAGTTACTCCAGGGAGCCCCTTCTACCACTGTGATGCTGGCTTCTTTTTCAAACTTCTCTATTGCGAGTTTCCTTTCCCGAGTCACAATTTCGGCAAAATCGTAACTGGCCCCCTTCTTCTGACCTGCCTTAACTGCGGAACTAACAGCTTCACTAAACTGTGTCACGCCGGACTTATGAGCAGCGCTGAGTTGACCAGCAAATAAAGCCTTAAGGCGCGTGTCTATTTTCTCCTCTAGTTCGGATTTTTTTGTCATAAAAACGCGCTTATGGTATCGGCTCGCCTCAGTTTCGAAATTAGTTACTGTCGTTCCGCGAGCCGCACGCATGGCAGCACCAAGGCCACCAAGGATTTGGGGGATTCCAGAATTAACTCCTTCGGCTTGCTGTACTTCAAAGGGGCCGATGGTTTCGTCGAATAAGATAAGAACCTCTCGAGCAATTTCGTCGCAACGGAATTGCGCCAGAAGCTCCTGTTGAGTAGGCAAGTCCAAATCCTTATTATTCACAATTTGGTCCCAGATTCCCTCGGCGTAAACTGAGAAACCATCGGCAGGAATTCTTCGATGATACTCGGGAAGGAAAATGCCGCCTTCCACAGCGGCGGTGCCTTTAGCGGACATATTCGTGGGGTCACGGTGACCATCTCGGAATCGAGTGCTAAGTTTATCGACTTCTGAGGCGAATTTTTCCGGCTGGAAGCTCTTGTGAGGTAAACCAGCAAATGCAAAATCAAAGTAATCTTCAATAGTCGAGTTTTCTGTCCCCTCCGGTTTGGATAATGACGCCCAGATTCGCTGGAGATCCTGCATTAAGGTATTCTGTAGATTCTCAAGCGGGGTTGTCCCCACAAAATCACGAATAACGAAAAATAGCAGGGATCGAGGAGAGGATCTATACAAGCAAAAACACACCAAAATGTCAGCTTCACTCCGTAGGCAAGACCCAGATAGTTCGGAGAATGACATACTTTGTATCTTTTAAGAATAGTTGAAGATTCACTTCAAATACTGTCTTCAGAAGCCCCATGTTTGCTCCTTGATATAACCCAACCTGATGCTCCCAAATATTAACAATAAGCACCTCGCTTGTCGCGAGCGCAAAGAGTGCACTTTTGCGCTCGAAGTCCTGATCTTCTCCACGCTCCCTGCCATCAGTACCCTCGACGTCCATTACTAAAATATTGTCTGCCATCTTTTCGTTATCCTTTGAGGCAGCTCGTTTATTTTTTGAGAGCCATATTCCTTTGGTTGTCTGTCGTCTTTCGGTCTCGGACATGACACTAAATTCGGTTCCAAAAAGGGTATTTAAGAGGGTTGACTTTCCAGTGGACTGCGATCCGAAGACAGATATAAGATGGTAATTGAATCCTGCTGGAGTGACGTGCTCATGGATTAGGTACTTGGATAAGTTGGGGCTGTGCGTGTGCAATTAAAGTCAGCAATCAGGCCCGATTTGTTGTAAATAGTTACGTCTATTCTTTCTCAGGGAGATTCTCCGTGAGCCTCCGGATAAGAAGAAACGGTTGACAGTGGTCGTTTCGAAGAATAAACAAGGAGAGTGGCGTACTTGAACTCCTTATCCCCATCCACCACCTGGACTCCATGCTGGTAGTTATTCCCATTGCCGTCTTCCCCGACAGAGGAGAAATGCCCGTTTGAAGCCATTACGGGAACCGCATCCAACAAGACCTCCCGCGACGATCGCACTTCGACGAACGAGTCTGTCTCGCGGAGCTATTTGCCTAGGTCCTGGACTCTCCGGCGGCCGCCTGGCAACGTTTTACGAGAGAAATGGAAGGTGTAGTGTCTATGGAATATGGCACACAAGATCGTCCTTGAGAAATATGTTGTTAGTTTTGATCCTCGGTTTATGCGCCTGGAGTCGAGAAGGGAGGCGGACAGTCCGATTTCAGGGGAAGGTACAACGTACACTGAGCTTCAATGATATCGACAACGGAATTAGCGCAATAGCAGCATTGATTTATAGAATGTATCTCTCGTCAGAGGTCGAGGGCGGTTGTAGGCTTGAGGTTGACGTTGGTGTTTTGTTTGGTTAATCTGTCCTTGGATTTCAGCTTGGTTGGATCAGGAGACGGTGGCTTGGCGCATGCTGTTGACATCATCACGTAAAAACGACTTAAAAACACCCCGTGAAGCAATCAGATGACGGGAACAGAGTGACCTGGAGGATGCTAAAGCGTGTATACAGATTTTAGCTGGCTCAACGTTTTATAAACACCATCTCTTTTTTTTTTGGTTATTTCAAAGTTACTTGAGTGTGATTATCCCTAACCGTTGGCATCGAGATACCCATATCAGAGCCCCTTTACTCCCCATTCCTCGCATTCACCAATTTACGAGCCAATAACAACACAGAAGCCTCATATTTATGTTTTCACAAGTACTGTCATCCGAAATCGAGCATAGAAATGGCAAAGAGATGCTTGTGTTGGACTAGCGGCATGTATAGACCAGACAAACAAGGCGCCAAAGAATGGAGAATATCCAGAGATATATTCGTCGATGCAAGCCATGGTGCTCAGTATTTGTTCTAATTACAGGTACAAGAGCTTAAACCACTACAGGCACATACCCTTCTCTCGCTCGCGCAGTAACATACGAGTCCAGCACACTGCCCGGAGCACGCCTATTTGACTCGTTAGCAGGTATCAATAAGCTACAGGGGGGATCTTACTGCTCTGGCTGTAATGACAGACCCTGCATCAACAGGAGAAACGTCACGATTAACGAGTCCTCCAGGTATTCCACCTGGAATCATACCAGGGACGCTGGGAGGGAGGAGTTTTACGGCGTCGTCAACGATGCCATTAGTGAGGTCTGTTTTCTTGTTGACTCCAGGGATAGCAGTAGAGAGGACCTGATTTTCCAGGAAGGCTGTAATGAGGATGAGGTTGAACTTCATGGTAGGTTCGGAATCAAACGATGTTGCTGGTGCTCTCCTCTGTTGGGGCGATCAGACCTGGCTAAAGAATGGAAGTGTCCGTGGTAAGGGCCATCACTTTTATACCTTTATACCAGTAGTAAGAAGACCGTTATCCGTCTATTACTCTATCGTCATATATCTTACTACATTGCAGTGTAACTTCTCGCATTGTCAAAGTAACCTATAGTATAAAATATATGCTGTCCTCGGCCCAGATAGAAATTACCTGTGCTAGGTCAACGGTTAAACATCCTGAAAAACTTGGATATTTTTAATATATTTCTCACTCCATAGATCCGTAGCCTGGTTAGATCGCTTGTACCAGGCCAACCATCGTTGTATCGAAGAATTTGGCATCGGACGTATCCTATCCTCCACACGATTCCACCATGCTCTTAGCTTTGCCCTTTTCAACATCCCAACAACTAAACCAGTATGGACCCTGATTAGCCTCGCTATCAAGTAAAAATTGGCGCTCCGTCCAAATCGCCCGTTGTACTGGAAGAGACAATCTAAATAGCCTCGTGTAGTAGATCTGGCTCTATCCCTTTGCATCGACACGCCTATTAAAAGGCATTGGTCGACATGTCCAGGAACCCCTGTCCAGGTTCTCTGTCAAGCGCCTGATCTTATTCCTGTATCCCTACCACCAAAACCAGAAAGGGATAAAATGTCGCTCACGCGGCTGCCGGTTTCATGAATAGTTTCTCTTGTGGCAGGAAGAAGGAGCACACAACCTGGAGCCCACCAGCAGCGATCATAGACACATACACTTTCTTCATGGCTTCCACTATAGCCTTGATCGCTAGTGTCTTAACTTCCTCAGAGCCATTCTGAAGAATCACGGATTGAGTCCCGGCGATGGCGGCAACTAGTTCTGCAGAGGTATAACCTCGGCCAGCCAAATATAGAGAAAGGTTCTTGAAAGCCAGCTGTTGGAAGATTGTTCCAGCTATGGTGAGCGAAATAGTCTCCGCTCCGATTTGAGCCAGGTTGATGTAGTTGATAGCATGTTGAACCTCGTCTTCCTTGACCTTGGCTGCAGCAATTCCGTAGGAAGCTTGTACACCAAGTCCTGTGCCTATTCCAAGGATAACGCTGTACCCGTAGATATTGGCGACTGGGGTATCCACGCCAACAGTCGACATGAGAGCGGAACCCACCACTACTAGAACGCCACTTATCGTGTAGTACGGTGCGTAATATCCAACTAAAGGCATAGTTATTCCCTGAACCATGACTGAGACAATCGCAAGGATGATTAAAGGCAGGAGTCGGACAGCGGCATCCACAGGACTGTCTCCTCTAGTGAACTGGAAGAAAAGTGGGATGTAGTAGGCGGGGACGAGGAGAGCTGAGTTCGTGCAGGATGTGCTGATGTATAAAAGTACCATCACCGATCGTTTTAAGAATTGGGCAGGGAAAACGCGCCTCTCTACAGTCGTGAAGAGAGGAACGCCCTGTTGGATGGCAAAAGCAATAAATACCACGCCGAATACCACGAAAGAGGCGATTGTGCGATTATCAGACCACCCCCAGAGTGTTGAAGCGAACGTCATTGGGATTACCCATCCAACGTATATTCCGGCATTGAGTATCATTCCAATCACGTCGAGCTCCTTTAGCTTCTGGAAAGCTTTCTTCTGGGTATTTGGCAGATAATCTGGGACCAGCAGTAAAAGCACTGGGGCTTTCGCGGCGGCTAGAACTAAGTTGATATAAAATGCCTATACCCAGGATCAATACACGAAAGTAGATGATAGATCGGCTAGTGACATACCCATCTCCAAGTGGCTTCACTGTGCGCAAATAGGCCTCCAATAACTGGCCCAATAACAGTACCTAGCCCCCAGACGAACCCAGCTATACTCACATAAAGCGGCTGTCGTCTCTCAGAAACAAACACGGAGAAATATGTAAGAACCCTAGTATATGTTAACTCCTGCACCTTAAGATGGGAGAAGGGATTTGGACAACCTACCCAAGATACATTCCAGAACCCCCGATTCCGGCAATAACTCTTCCTACAATCAAGGCGTTCATGTCTGGTGCCGCACCACATAATGCACTTCCGGCCTCGAACAGAACAATAGAAACAATGTACACGATTTTGATGCTAAATATATTGTATAGTGCGCCACTGCGAGATGATTAGCAACGAATGAACAACCTAGGTTATGGGATAGTGCCGTACATTGGAAGTATTGTGGCAACCGAGCCTAGGGGGAAACCTGATCCTAGCCAGCTAAGTTTTTGAACGGCCCCAAACTGTTCTACAACTGGTGCTTGAACGTCTGCCACGATTGTAGTATCGAGGCCGTAGAGAAAGGCAGAGGCAAGCAACACGATAACTGCCAACGTCCACTATATTATCTCAGTATCAAGACAAGTTCTAAGTAAAAATGCATTCATAACTTACCCGCCATCCATCAGGCCGCTGTGGGAGTCTGCCTTTTTCTGTAGCGTAGCATTCCAGTGCTTCTATGCTATCTCTGTTCGCTCCAGGCCCCAGATTGTCTTTCGTTTCCTTGCCATATCCATGGTATTCATCGCCACGAGAGGTTGACGTTCCAAGAGCACTGTGACCTGGGCGGTCTGTGCTAGCCCTGACATCCATCTATAGGAATATATATATAATCTAATGATACCGGCTCCGGCACTGCCTCGAGACCTTGAAATCCAGCCTTCTTCCTTTAAAGTAATATGTCTAAGCGTGAAATGATGAAGATATAAAGTCATTCACTTCGCAATGTAGTAGGGCATCATAAAAATGAGAAAGTGATAAACAGAGAAATCACTTTCTCCTGCAGGTGCATCATATTATTGGCTCGGAGGGAGTGAGGATTTATAATCGGTGATTGATAACGAGGAACTGATCCAAGTTCACGAAGGCTCCGCAATAAAAGAATATTCCATCACTGGAACGTAGAGATACCTTGGCGAGTCCACTTGTGAACACCAGAGGGGCAAATATATCCAGAGTAGGCAGAACTTGGAGTTCTGCCTATTTTTCTGCATGAGATTTGTCACCCTTTCTGCAAAGAGATACCAATCCGTTGCTTGAGACGAGAGGACTTCGTATCCCAGTCGTTGAAGTAGCCTTGGTGAAGAACAGCGCCATCAAATTGTACTCGTATTCACGAAATCAGTACCGTTGACGGCTCCACCATAGCTGGGCGCTTATTAAATATAACAGCACACCAAAGCCGGAGGATGCTTAGAGTGCCAAAGAAGGCAAGTACAGCCTGGGCCGAGTTTCACCATTCTCGCTGCAATCTGGGCCACAGTTAGTTAGGTCATCGTTGAAGAAACTTCCAAGCTGGCCGACCTTGCGTACTAGTGGGTCAGGGCTAGGGCAAGAGTGTGGTAAGCAATTGGTGGGGGTCGATGGAGAGTGGCCCCAAATAGCGATTCACAGATCAGCTCAAACGGTTAGAGAAAAATCTTTATATTCAATCGGCTTTTGATATATTTGATTGTTGAAAAATGCCAGAACAAAAAATATCTTTGGTGCGAGATCGGAAATAGTTATATTCGGATCCTAGTTTATCCGTGCCGAGAACCGGCCATATCGGAGTTAAGGAGTTGAGTGCTAACTCCATATACGAAGAATATATATCTAGGGCAGCCCTTGGAGATACTGTTGAGCTTCCTCCTAGCCTATATTTACGCTCGTTCTTAAGCTGAGGAAGTAGTGGGTTGGTATAGTACATAGTATTTCTAATTTCTAGGTAGGTTGGTTGAACTGGTCAGGGGCCCGACAATCATCGGAGGATTTTCCCAGCAATTAGCGAGGAAGCTCCGGAGAGCAGTGGCTATAATATATACATCCTTCGCCGGGCGGATACTAGTTCTCTAGCACTAGATATATGGCCCTGATATAAATATTAAAAGGGAGCTTGGAGCCCCGTTGTTCGTTCAAGTCAAGTGAACCCCTTCCTCTTAATCAGCTTCCTCTACCCTCATTTGACCGGCATACACGAAATAAACATATCGCAAACATGGCATCTGGAATGCTATTCGACCCAATGAGGCTCCTCCGCCTAGCTCCCCTCATCAGCAGCACAGGAAGTGTAATGTACTCGACCTGCGAACTCATCATGAACTCCGCCTTCCTACACCCATCTATCCGCAAAGAAGCCGACGTTGTCCTTCCTCGCTGGTTCAAAACAGTATTTCAAAGCGGCGTCACGATAGTCATTGGACTAATCACCATAACCACCTCTACCTCCTTTGCCAACATATACCTCTCGTATAACAACGACGCTTCCATCGTAGAAGGCGCCATGGCTCTCCCTTTCAGTGCCAAAATGTACGCTTTGGGTGTGGCTTGTGCGTTGGGCCATTTGACCTTTATTCCCTGGGTTTCCCAACCGATCGATCATTTGAAGGAAAATACTTCGAAGAGGGGTGGCTCGGCTGAGATGAAAGATTGGCTGAGCGTTCATAGGATTCGATGGACCGTTGCGGATTTTCCTGCCTGGGTGGCTTTCTTCTTGGCTGTTTTGACATTTGAAGGGGCTCTTTAATCTGTTTGTCGTTATTCAACATGTGAAACATTGGGTATTTTGGAGTATAATGGGTATGAGCTTGGTGTATGTCATTTTCGTCAACCACGGGGAGTGACAGGGTTTATTACCACTGTTTCCAGTTAGAAAAGGTAAAATATTTACCCATTAATTGAAATTATATACAGAATATTCCAACTATCTCAAACGCGTAAAGGGATATCCAATCTTTTACAACGCTCAGAGTGCAGTATACCAAAAGAACAAAACATCCTAGCAAGTAACCCAATAGAGTTGGTGTTCTTAGACAGGTTGAAACCCTTGTCCATCCATCCAGTCGAAATTCCACCCCTGCCCAAGAAATAGATCTAAATTGAGGTTGGGGTTACCAAATCCTCCTGCATCGTCCATAAGGTTGAGGTTGAGGTTAACGTCAAGATTGGGTTCGGGTAAAGGAATGCCACCTTGCAGATACGATGATGAGTGACTAGGAGTTTGGAGCTGGGTGTTATATAATGGCAACGAAGGAGGATCTTGCGGTGTAGTATATCCACTTGAGTTTGTGGAGGTGTGTTTCTCAGGTATAGAGTTTGGAGGGCTCATTTGTTGCTGATATGTGGGCTGTAGAGGTGAATGTTGTTGTTGCTGTTGGAGCTGTTTTTGCTGCTGTTGTTGCTGCTGTTGCTGTTGCTGTTGTTGTTGTTGCTGCTGCTGTTGCTGCTGTAGCTGTTGCTCCTTGAGCTGCTTTCCGGCGACGATATTGACAGCTCCGAAATATGGTAATATGATTCTTCGCGCCTGGTTGCAGTTTTTGGTTCTGAAGCCCGGCACCACTGCTCCATCAGCATCTCGACACACGCACAATTTCTCTATGACACTCGCCGACTGATAGCTCACGGAATCCTCCCGTAAGTATGGGTCAAGACGAAGTATTCGTGCAACACTCATAGCTAGCCTCCAGTCCGCACGGGTCTGCGGGTCATCCACAAACGGAGAGCTCAGTAGATGGACTATAAGGAGAACTGTAGCCGTAAAAACTTGGAAATCAATCACCTTGCAGAATATACGGTCTGCACTGTGAATGTCGTATATGCCCTGATAACACTCGATAGTTTGCCTGGCCGATTCTAGAGCAGCATTATGACAGTATTGGCACCTTTTATCGGTATTCGCCTTAAGCATAAAAGGCAAATGCAGTATCATGCGCACGAAATGGTGGGCGAATTGTGACCAGAGTCGACTGCTTCTTTCTGTTTGATCCAGATGATTTATCTTAGCTGGGTCCCACCAATCGTCCCCCATCTGTTTACCCATGGCCTCTAGCTCTTGATCGATCTTCAGGGTAAGTGGTAAAGACATGTTGCCTCCATCCTGGTTCCTATCGATTATAGATCCTAGTGGAATGCAAACACGTAGCATGTGCGCTTCGCCTGGATCCATTTTTTTGACCTTCAACAGGTGTGTGATATGAGGCGCCAAGAGGTGAGTCGGGACTGAATAAGGCAATCCAAGGAGCGAACTCTGATAGAGGTCTGCGCATGCAAGCCCACACCAAATATGCAATTGGCGAACACCTAATGCATCGTCTGATGAGGGACGGTTGTTTGGGAGATGTAGACCGGATAGCTGAGCAAAATTTATCCCACGACGGGTCAGAAGCCACGCCTTGCGTGGGCGGCCGATGTTGCTATAATACTTGCCTGCCATATAAATACATTCTATGCCAGACAGAGACGAAGCAATGTCATCGTCGTCGAGAATATATTTTTCAATGGCAGCAAGACACTGTTCGACATACTTGTCCCGAGACATGGGGATCTTAAGGCTCTGGAGATCAAAATTCGTCGAGTCCTGGTCAATAGTCATGACAATGCTGAATAGAATCTTTCCGACATCAGCCGGGTTCTCGAGAGCTTCGGGCTTAAATATTTCTGGGAACCTGGCCCGCCATATGTTCCACACCATCGCCGTTGAGCCAAGTAGTTTTTTCAGCTGGACAGGGGAAGGGAGGAGCTCCCGTAGCGCGAGGGCCACGCGCTTTGATTTTATCGCTACCGGGTCGGCAGATTTCGAGGCCTCCGCATCGGGGTTCTTCTCATCTCGAGTGAATATGTGGTTATCAAATAAGGTCAAAAGAGGAGCTGCGTCTGGCCCGGTTCTCCCAAGATCGGTGGAATTGGATCGAGCCGGTATCGTTTCCGGAACTGTCTCCTGCGGACAGGCTCCTAACGCTTTGGTATCTAGAGTCGTTAAATGTTAGCAAAGTAAAAACGATCAAGAAATAGAATAAACAAAGCAAGGGAACCAACCCCGGTCAACGCTTTCGGTAGGCGAGCCCATGTAGGGCCAGCTTGCGCGCTCGTTCGATATACCGTTATCGCTCTCATCCATCCGCCTCACCATCTTACTCACGGTGTGCTCCAACGCCGCCACCCTTTCCCTCAAGCTGTAGCTCTGGTCTCCGACTCGAAGCTTCGCAGCCTCTGCCCTCATCGGCGCATGTTCTTGATCGATGCAGGAGGACCCTCGCGCATGGCACTCGTTGCATATCCCCGGCCGGGCGGCCGCATAAGTGCAGCGAATCTTTCGACGCCGGCCTACCACGGCATTAATATGACGGTTCTATGGACATTTCCCTTTTCTTTGGAATCCGGTGTAAAGGTCAGGTAGAAACGCACATTCATAGCAGCTCTTCGTCCCCTTGCGCATCTTCTTACGCTGCGGTTCCTGGTCGTGCTGCGACGTATCCGTGTCGCCGGACAGGGCTCGACGAAAGGACTCCATGACTCTGTTTGCAAGTAGTAAGAAGTGTCAGGCAGCTGTATTATCCGGTCGTGCAGGCACAGCAAATTTAAGGCGACGCTGGGCATCGCGATGTGGGTCTGGCGGCGGCTTTTATGTTGCTTCGATGGAAAGCTGAAGTCGTTAACCCCGAAGGTGTCTTACTAATGGAGGCTGCATTATTAATGCCGTGCCGACGATATAGATACGGGCACATGGACGAGGTTTAAATATTCAAGGGACTACTCCGTACATTTAAAGGAGAAGAGAGGGGTGGAAGTCGGCAGAATATAATCTCTAGTATTAATGCTGTGTCGCTATGCGTCTTTTACTATATATAAATCACATAATTCATAACCCACGTTAAGTCTTTAAGATGGGAAATATGCAAATGCCCAAAAATAAAGCAAAAAGAAAAGAAAAGAAAAGAAAATCAGACAGAATAAAAAGAAATTAGATAGGATAAAAAGAAATCATGCATCTCCAGCCTCGCTCTTCTTCTCCTGCAGTTTGTTCAGGTTCAATGGTTTGATGCAGACCGCCGCCAGAACAGAGATTCCGGCAAGTGCTATGCAGAGGATAAAGGTCACCTTCAAGCCGTCCCCATAGGCAGTAATGACGCCCTCAAGATCCTTCCCAGAGAATACCTTGTGCAGCTCCGAAGCTCCAGTTCTAATAACTAGAGCCGGGTTCACGTTGGGCGCCAACTGGGGCAATTTCAGAAGTAGTCTGTTCACGAATGCAGTTTGAGCGGCAGACACCCAGATGGCGGCTCCCATCGTCTGCAGGAAGAGAATCATGGCAGTGGCGCTGGAGAGATCTTCAGGCTTTGCTAGAGCTTGGCTGACAATGACTGGAATCTGGAGGGCGACACCTCCTCCAATGCCGGCAAGGAGCTGGTATCCGATCCAGGTACCCGCGGGCGTGGAAATGTCAAAGGTGTAGACTAGCCCGGAGCCAATGGTGAGGATGACAGAGCCGAGAACCATCAGGTAACTGAGATGGCCAAAGGTAGCAATCAGGCCACCGGAAACGGTGGAGAAGATACTGACCGCGAGTACAAATGGCAGGTTTCTAATTCCAGAGTCTGAAGCGGAAGTGTGCTTGATCGACTGGAAGTAGATGGGGAGGTAGTAGATCAGGACGAAGAACGGCCCAGCAAAGAAAAAGATGTAGATGGAACTGATCATGATGTTGTATGTCTTGAATAGTCGTGGCGGGAGGAGTGCTCTGTCGCCCATCCACCATTCATTGACAATGAAAACGATGACCAGCAGACCAAAAGCGACGAGTGTGCCGATGACATCTGAGTCGGACCATTTCTTGGTGGTTCCTCCCCATTGCATCGCCAGCAGGAAACTGATGACCGCCGCCATGATGGTAAAGGTTCCCACCAGATCCATCTGCAGGAGCTTCTCGCTCAGACGAGCCTTTACCGGCCTGGAAGCCGGGGGGGCCGTGAAGAAAAAGAAGATGATAGCCGCGCTGATAGCTCCAACTGGGAGGTTGATATAGAAGCACCATCGCCAGGACACCTTATCCGTAAACACACCACCAAGGAGGGGTCCGATTGCACTAGCAACGCCATAGGTCGCCCCGAGGATACCGGTGAACGCAGGTCGTTGTTGAGGTGGCACCGAAAATCCGATGATCGTGTAGACACCGCCAGTCAAGCCGGATGCACCAGCACCGGCAATTGCTCGACCAACGATCAGGGTGGTACTGTTGTTTGCAACAGCACAGATCAAAGAGCCGATTTCAAACACGAAGATGGCGAGCATGAACACAGTTTTGAGCGGGAAGTATTTAAAGGCTTTCCCCCATGTGGACTGGAATGAAGCCACAGTCAGGAAAAACGCCGATCCGTACCATCCCACTTGGTCTAACGACTTGAATTGGGCAGTAATCGTTGGGATTGCAGTTGCAACAATGGTCATATCCAAAGCAATGAGGAATATAGAAAGAATAAGAGCGACAATGATGAATGCGAGGGCAAATTTGCCGGGATATTCTGTTTGGTCTTCATCTCCGCTGGATGCAGTGTTGTTTGCTGTCACAAGCCCATCCGGCTTCTCAGTTTCTATCTGGAACGATGCTGAGGAAGGGTTGTGAGAGCCCTTGGGAAGGCTGTGGGCATCTCCCTGTGCTGTATGGCCGGACAATGTCGACAAAGGTCGCTGGGGAGTTGACCTCTCGGTCCCTAATGCTGTATCCATGTTGAGCGTATGTATGATGGGATTTTCTTTTGGAAAGGGAATTGAAAAAGAATCTATGTCAATGGAATGATGATATTGACGAGGCTATATAAAAGTAATTGGATGCTATATATTCCGTAGAGATCCGTCCTGGCGAAGGATCTCTAACAGATATTTATATACGGACATCGTGCTATCCGCAGATCTCAGCCTTGAATCATGCGATCCTTAGGCTGAACGATCGGCAACCAACCAGTGCCGGCTGCGGCGTAAAAGCTCATGCCTTCCGACTCCATAATGAGGTAATGAGCAGTAAGAATGATGTTGGCTCGTTATCGTGGACACGGTGAGCCGCGATAATGATTCTCGCCGGGCGCAACATCTCTCCGTTCTTGTCGCCGGGCCTCCGTACAGCCCTTGCAAAGGAGATACGACGTGTGCGTCAGTATGAGAAATTCGTCCGGAGTTAGCAACAGGTTCGTCCGGCCTGTCTAGATTATGGATATCCAATCTAACGATGGGCAGGATTAAGCTGGAGTGCCTGAGTCATATAACTCTTCTCGAACATCCATACGAAGTCGGGCATGTTAGAAACACCTCATCTGGCGGGTGTGGGTACACGAAAGGGGCCGACGCGCCAGTCAGGAGCCTGGATCCATCAGCACAGGGGCGCGCTTACCACGGTGACATGGAGATAACGTTAAGGCGAAGAAGCATCGAGATGGAAAAACGCGTTTGACGTTTGATATCAAGAAGAAGAAGAAATCGCGGACAAAAAGTCGGAGAAGCGGCGTGATTAGGTAATCCGGCTATTGCTTTTGTCCGTCCGTGATGACTAAGCGTAAAGTCCGCCAAAAGTCCGTCAAAAGACACGAAAAGACGAGATAGAAGAGAAGAGAAGAGAAGAGATAGAGATAGAGATAGAGGATAGAGGAGAAGGTGGAGTTTGCCATGGGCTTCCACTACACTGACGTTCTCGAGAAACACAACTGGGTCGGCGGTGGACTCGACGCTTATATCTATCACGTCAGTCCTGCCATTGTGGTGAAAACTGTTCGTCGTGACCGAACCCCTGAAGAAGAGGCAGCAGAGCATCCTTTCCTCAAGGAGATCGCGTTCTACAAATGCCTTAAAGAGCGCCAAGATCGATGCTCAGATATAGTCGAATGTTTTCTCGTGCTCCCAGACCATATTTTTCTATCATATTGCGCACATAAGGCCATCGCCCAGCGCTTCTATGAGCGTCAGGAGCGAGAGGCAACGTCAAATGGGATTTATGGGCGTCTTATCGGTGTGAAGGAATACGAGGATCCTGCTCTTATTGCTCGATGGATACAACAAATGACCTCAGCCCTTGAATATGTCGAAAAAATGGGCTTCTGTCACAATGATCTATATGCAGGCAACTGTCTTCTTGACACGAATTTTAACTTGAAGCTGACTGATTTTGGTCGTGCTACCACCATCGGACAGTTTCTCGAAGGTGCCTTGCCTCCGCGAGCTAAGCCAATACTTGCTGGGCCGTTGAAAGGCACATACGGCCTCTGTTCCGCTAGAACCGAATAATTTGCAGTTGGAACGCTGCTGTACTTTATGGTATATGGCCATGAACCCTATGACGATACCATTCTCAGCTCGGAGGAATGGGATCGCCGATTTGGGGGAACGGAGTTCCCGGAACTTCATCGCCATAAAATCTTTGATGATCTCATTCTTGCTTGTTGGTATAATGTCTATCCTACTATGGCTTTAGTAGCATATGATTTCAAGCGCAAGACAAAAGACATTGCATCAATTGCAAAATATGAGACAATTGATCACACAAGGGAGAGAAACACTTGTGAGGCGCTTATTCGGAAAGGGATACTTGGGCCTGACCTGGCACTTCGCTTTCAGCCATCCTGGCAAAACTATCTACATGCAGGGAAAAGTATGTTCATTTGGCGGATCCTGTTCGATCTCCCAAGAAAACTCCGGTCATGGTTCTGGTCTTGATCAATGATGCGCTTGAATCGAACTTTGCATACTTTGCAACTACACGAGGAAACCAACATCTGTATATTACCAGGGAAAGGAATGGCGTTATTGAACGGCTTCCAGTTGTCTAGCTTATTTTCGGTTATTTAGCCTACTCCGTGCTCATGCATGAGTTATAGTCCTTCTAGTGACATTTCATTATTAAATTATGATCATGGAATCAGATATCTGTAACCAATGAATATGAAGATATTCTCACAATGACTTGGGCACTTCTCATCCTAATGTAACGGTCAACACCGAGTCTAATGTTTCTTTTCAAAATAATCACTTATGACTAAATGAAAGTTCAAAGGAGATCATGAGCCACATACTCTCGGATCCTCCTCCCTTGTGCTGGGCCTGGGCAAAGGTTGCTGTAGTCCGCTGTACGGAGTACGAGCATCATGTTTCAGGCTCTCTCCTCCCCCTGTTCGTGGAAAAATGGCTGTTGCCCTGCCGATAAACGGCCAAACAGCGTCAACGTCACCGCCCTTGCAGCCTGGATAGCATGATGGGCGGGACCATGAAGACCTAAGGTAGATAACCTTGTGTGAAAATCAACTTACTGCGTAATGCATGTCTGCCTAAACATAACGAGAGGAAGAGAGAAGAGAGAAAAGGTGATGGATGATCCAACAGGATCCGATGGACAACATAGTGCAACCCCGAACATATTAACCACGATCCAGCTGAATCCATCTATCCCCCTTATAAAGCCTTATACGAAGTACAAGGTACGGTGATTACATCTGACCATCTTCTCTCGAACAGCCAGAACAATGGCTATCACCGAACTCGCCGTCCTTAAACTGAGACCAGCGGCGTTGACAGCCGACAACAAGCCCAATGAAACAACTACATCTTTCCTCCGCGGTGCCAAACAGGGAATGGAATCCTACACTGGTTTCCCATTCTACATCTTCACGCAGCTAGAGGATCCTGCATACGTCTACATCGTCGGAAACTGGGAATCCCTGTCCCAGCACTATGACGACTGGATTCCATCGGATGCAAACCAGGGCCTACTCGAGAGTGGCAAGGATCTGTTCGATATAGCCGGGCTAGCACATCTTGATATCGATCAGCAAGAGCTCGGGCTCCCGTGTGATTCACCAATGCTGGCCCTGGGATGGTTCCATATGCTCCCCGAACAGAAAGAGGCATTTATCAAGGCATGGGAAGCGAACGTTCCTTTTTTGAAGCAGTTCACGGCCCCACATACAGTTCGAAGTGGCTGGCGCATCGATGGGGAGAGGAAGGTCGACGGCAAGGAGGTGACTGTTAAAGACGAAGGGGAGCCCGAGGTCGAGGAATTTGTTGCATTCACGGGCTGGCGAGATGTTAGCCATAACGACTCGTTTGCACAGTCAGAGGGATTCAGTCAACACCAGCAGCTTGTTGACCACGTAACAAAGGTCGAAATGAAGCGTCTTGTAAAGCTAGATCTTTAATTAGGTTATATCCTGTTTTTCATATTGTTTCTTTCACAATTGCTAAGCATCAAGCCTTAGAAACGTGAAGATCACAGATTGAATATATAAACTAAATGGTCAACAAATAACCCTTTGCCTTTGCCCTCCGTAGCCTATACACTCAAATGCCTAACAATAGATTTTCTATCTTGACAGTCAATTTTCAATAGTCTTAACCCATAGTAGCCACTCTAAGCAAGATAGATTCCGTTGCAATAAGGTTCCCGAGCCGATGCTAGAGTGAAGCGTATACCTGCTCCACAATATTGATGGCCGTTTTTTCGTCCAGGATAGCTCCAAATCTAGAAGATGGTAAGTATGTAATTAAGATGACAGATAGTGTAGACCAGGAAGCTGATAGGGGTAATATGCATACCCAAAGCATTGAATGTTTTTGACCAAATCTTCGCTTATCCGCTGCAGACCCTGTGGATCCAGCTTGTAGAACTTGGGATGATCACTGATGAGCCGCCATGCCTGTACTGGTGTGATTTCTCCATCCAGATTAAGCGCTCCTGCAAGCTCGAACAGCCTTTCTAACTCGCTGGCAGGGATTTCCCATGTAGATTGGTGATACAGCACTGGCGGGCTACCAAGTAGAAGTGGCGCCTGGAGAGTGAGCGCATGGCCAGAAAAGCCCTGTCTTCCAAGAACACGGTGGCGCAAACAGCAACGCTCAAGACTAGAGTAGAAGTTAGCCAGAAGTATCTCCATGGTGGCCGCGACTAGAATAGCCGGAAGGGAGGATATTACAATAAAACGAAATCCACTGCAACCTGGGTCGCGTCAAAGTGATACGGGTGAGGCTGTGGTGGGACGTATTGCTGTGATTCTTGTCCGTTTGGATCGTTCTTTGGACGTATTTGAAGTTCGCTGTTGAATTCCTCTGGTCGAGGCTCATCATCTATACTGAACTCGTTGGCAGGAGCAGATGATGAGAAGAAACGCGCTGCTTTATTAAAGACCTTGCGTGTGAGTGTTACCCCAAATCCTTCCGGGTATACTGGGGGGATCTTCTCGGGCCCATCACCGATTGAAACTTGCAGTCTCTGGCCGAACCCGGGCTCACCAACGACGGTGACAGTGGCCAGGCGATCTCGCGGTCTGGTCTGTGGCATGAGAATACCATGTGCAAGCATAATCTCTCTGAGAATGCTGTTTTCCGATGTTAATCGATTGGTATCGTTGGAAACGGATTCTCTTTCGTCTCGAAGCCGGAGTAACTCTTGCTCTAGAGACTTGATGTATTTCTCCTTTCGCTCACGATGATTACTGTATCAAAGACCGGTCTCAGATGGCGTCATGCACTATGGGAGACTAGAGAAAGAGGGAGAAAGCCGAGATAGAAAACACCCACCGTTGGGCTCTCCTGACCTGATCCCGCCGCCTTGCGTGCGCTGTTTTGGCTTTATCACCACTGTCATCAACGTCGATTGAATCTGAGGTACAGCCTTAGTATAAATTGTCAAACTAAGGGAGTAGCATGGCGAGACGGGTTGAATGCACCGCTGTCAGGGACCATATTGACTCGATCCTGACACTTTGACAAGAAAAATATATATATAATAAGTTTTGAAACGAGTAGCTCTCACAACTCCCTTTGAACAAAAAAGCTAGGCGGTGTTTGCAGGCTTGGGGGTACGAGGGATCATCATGCTTGGGCCATGGAAAGGAGCACCGGAGGCAAACCATGGCGAATAAGGAACGCAAGCAGCCGTGACAGATAAGGCCCACGACGAAGAGCAAGTAGATTCCCCGTCACCAAGTCGAGTGGAAGCGGGAGTCAAAAGGGGGCACTATGCATCTGGATTCCAAATGGTGAGTGGACATGCCTGCGACTTACCATGTGGTTCTTTGGAATCATTGTTCAAAAACGGAAGTTTCTTTTTCGATCGCTCCCACAGCGTCTCTAGGGTATCGCCGTACGGGTCGGCCTGCGATTGGAGACCAGCGTCCGCCATCTTTGGGGGGACAATGCGGGTAATATGGAGTTCGTCTCTTGTCGCTCCCTGTCCGTGGGTGCAGCTGCTGGGCTGCGCGGCTTTCCTGCCTTCGGTCGATGGTGATTTGGTGGCCGGTTTATATGTAGCGAACCCCCTGCCCGGCTCCCGAGATCTAACTCACGCCAGACCTTTTCACCGTTGTGGTAGATCGTTCAAAGCAGGAGACGGCACTGAAATAGTAGTCTAGTGGCCCTGGATTCCAAATCATTCCTGTGTTTCCGTGCTTGTCGCTAGTTATCGCAAACTCTAACACAAATTGCTGTGTATCTATAGCAACGAGCTAATATATGGCGGTAAATGAGCCAGCCATCGAGGTGATTATTGAAACCGGGGATGCACCCCCTTGAAACAGACCGGTGAGTCGGGTCCGCGTATCGTTCGCTTGTCTAGTAATCATTCAAGCTCAAAGTCCCCTTTTTGTTGAAGCCGAGACGTGTTTTTTTGTTATTTTCTTGATCTCGATCGAAGCGTCTAAGGGCTATAAATAGATATCATGTGATTCTGCTTAATAAGCATAGACGCCTTCTACCTAACTTTAACGACGATATAAAAGACGATATAAAAGACGATATAAAAGACGATATAAAAAGAGTGAAGACTGAATTTACATATCTTCTTAGAGTCAGACTAAAGAAAGAGAGTTGAGGCGTTTCAACCAAGATTGACTAGTTAACGCTTTGCAAAATAGGCGGATAGCTTGCCGACCGGGTTATCGACCGGGAACGCCCAGCGGTAGTGCTCCATAAAGGACTCTATATCTCTGTCCATCTCTGCGCATTTGACACGCCGTTGAGCGAGGGCTTCCCTCTTGTTGTCATCCAGATAAACGGTCTGTTGCAATCCAACCTCGCCCACCCAGTGACCAAAATCAGTCCCATCCAGCACAACCTCGAATCTCTCGTCGATTTTCCAGACGTCCCTGGATGTCGTAAATCGCGCCAGCACTTCCAGGCCGGAGTCCCTCACATCGCAACCGCTCTCCTCTGTAGGAAGATATTCCACTCCACGGACAAATTGTTGAACTAGCTTCAGGATCTCACTGGGCTCGGAGAGCTCTTCGAATCGGGAGTTAGTGTAAGTTGAATTCAGATGATCTGTTCGCACTTTCGCCTGCCAGGCGCCGTTGCGTCGTCGTACCCAAATTCCATTCGTCGTCAGTAGTTGCTGGCGGTCGAAGTACTGGTCTTCAAATGTCCTCTGGCCAACGTTCTTTAGATGGAGGAATTGCGGTGAGCCTGTGCTAGAACGGAATATCTCGTTTGATTTTGGGCCGCATGAAAATTTTCGCTCGACTTCAAGCACTGAGCGGCGAAGACATAGAACAGTGGTTGGACGCATTGTTCGTAACTGAAACTGGGTTTCTCATATCAGTTATGTGGAAATTTTATCTTTTCCGATGAATAGTTCATCAAATGGAAAATAAATGAACAACAGAGGGGGATAAAGGGAACCCCCGTACCCCTTATAAACAAAGAAACTTGATCGCGGCTCTTTGGCGATTACCCCTTACACCCCGGCTTATTTTCCAAGCCACCGGGTACGAAATGAACTACCGCAGATTTCTGGAAGTTCTATGATAGGCCGCGCTTTGGATTCCGTCAATGAACATTGTTGATGTAAGCTCTTACACCAATGAACCATCGTGTTGACAATGCTGCATATCCGAACCGGGAGCTATTGCTTCATCTTCAGTTTCATTACATTGGAGGAAGTTGCATCATTGTTTTCATTTTCATCTAGGCCTAACCCACCTTTCCATTATATGAGCAGCGGGAGTGATATACCCAATTGTCTCTTGCCAACGTCATGAAGCAGATGTCTAGAACAGTTTGCTCCATTGATGGAGGCTCTTTTTGTAAAACAGGGAGGGAAATAGATTTTACTGGCTTCTTTCAAGCTGGCTCAATTTCCATGCCATGGTGGAATATACTAAAGCCATGTGCAACACGCCTATGGTGTGAAATGAATATTATATATTCCTTCGCTCTGCCATGTAAACTGTACCTATTCTAGAGACAGGCAATTTACTGGCTACACCTCTACATCACCCTTTACGGTTTGCCAGTTAGCCCCTGCGAGAAACCTCCCAGAATGCCGTTATTCAGAAGCTTTCCCGACTTATCAGTGCAATCGCCGCGCTACACGGCCTGGCTCGCCATCCTCCTTACCGTTACATTTTGCATCTTATGCGAGCGGCTTGCCCGGAGATTTAGACCTACTAGAAAGGCCCCGGTTTCTGTCAATTACCACTTTACCCGACAATGTAACAAATCCTGCGGGTTTTGCTTCCATACCGCCACCACGTCGTTCAAACTATCAGTAACGCAAGCGAAAAAAGGCCTTTATCTTCTAAAAGCCGCCGGAATGCGGAAAATCAACTTCGCGGGAGGGGAACCGTTCATGTACCCCAAATTCCTCGGTCCTATGGTTCAATTTTGCAAGGCAGATCTGGGCCTCGAATCAGTATCGATCGTCACCAATGGCAGCTTAGTGAAGCGGGAGTTTCTAGAGCAGTACGGCCGGTATATTGACATCATGGCCGTTTCATGCGACTCCTTCGACGAACAAACCAACATCGATATCGGCCGAGGGAAAGGGGATCAAGTGACACAGTTATTCCGAATAGCAGGATGGTGCCGGGAGTACGGGATCAAGTTCAAATTAAATACCGTTGTATGCAACCTCAACCATCTGGAGGACATGAACGCGATCATCGAGCAAATCCGGCCGTTCAGATGGAAATGTTTCCAAGTTCTTCTTGTGCGCGGAGAGAATGACTCTGAGAAGACGTTGAGAGATGTGCGGAAATTCCAGATCAGCGACGAACAGTACCAGGACTTTTGTCGTCGACATGAACACCAGGCATCATTTGTTGCTGAGCCAAATAACCTCATGGCCAAGTCATATTTGGTTTTGGATGAATATATGCGGTTCTTGGATAGAGATGGCCGAGAGCCTTCGTCGTCTATCCTTGATGTTGATGTTTTCACTGCGTTGGGCCAGGTTTTCTGGGACGAGGAGAGTTTCAAGCAGCGTGGTGGTATTTACGACTGGAGTAGAGACACTACGCAGTCGGGTTGCGGAGTAGGTAATAACAAGGATCTGGATTGGTGAGCATCTGTATGTAGATGGACGAGGATATGCTGTTGACGGATGTTCGTATGTGGTTTGGAAGGGAGGAAATAGGGGTCATATCACCAGACGGCTGTCCAGTCTGTTAGCTGAGAGTATGTTGCATGAATGATATTGTTCCTAGATTTCAAGCTACATCGTCTACTGTTGTATTTTATAGCGAGTAGAGGAATGATTAACTAGATAAGAGAGTTTGCTTGAAGAGTGAATAGGTTGATTGAGTATACAGTCCAAGAATAAAGAGTCGAGAGAGCCTATGTATATATCTTGTTGTTACATGAAAGGGTAGGGAAGTATAGGGGTGAGGTAATTCTGGCCGTCCCCAAATAAAAACAGAAACCCCCAAAATTTCATAGACACAGACTCCGTTTGTTCTTTCCCAGGATCCCCCGCTTACAGATGTGATGTGGACGATATTAACAAAAGGGATGATTATAGAAATACATGACAAAAATTCTTTCAGAAAGTATGGGTAACGTGTGGTGACAATTAATCCCAGTTAGGCCGTTTGTTCATTTAGAGGACACGGGTGATCAAACCAGTGGCAACGGTTCGGCCACCTTCACGGATGTTGAATCGTTGACCGGCTTCGGCGGCAATTGGGTGGAGGGTCTTGCAAATCATCTCAACGTTGTCGCCGGGCATGGCCTTCCTGTCTTGGTCCTCTCCAGGCCAGCTGAAAGATGCGGCTTCGTCTGCAGGGGGGTATAAGTCAGTGATGGACAAGGCTAATTATAAGGTGGATTACATACCAGCAGTACGGATGAACATTTGTGGGCGGTACTTGTGAGTGAAACCGTTGGAACGACCACCCTCGGCCTCAGTTAGAACGTAAAGGGAGACCATGAAGTCAGTGTGGGCCTTGGTTGATCCGGGAGCGGCGACGACCATTCCACGTCTCAAGTCTTCACGCTTGATACCTCGGAGAAGGAGACCGGAGTTGTCACCAGCTCGGGATTCGTCACAAGACTTCTTAAAGGTCTCGATATCGGTGACCTTGGTCTTGATGGGAGTTTCAGATCCACCGATGATTTCAACGTCGGAATCCTTCTTGAGAATACCACGCTCGACACGGCCAGAGACGACAGTTCCACGACCGGCGATGGAGAACACTTCCTCAATGGACATGAGGAAAGGCTTATCGGTGGCACGCTCTGGGGTGGGGATCCACTCATCCACAGATTTCAAAAGCTCATCGATCTTCTCAACACCCAATTCTGGTCGTCGATCTTCCAGGGCGCAGAGGGCGGAACCGAAGATAATGGGAGTCTCTTCACCCTCGAAACCGTAGTGGCTTAGAAGCTCACGCATTTCTAGCTCGACGAGCTCCAACATCTCTGGGTCCTCGACGGCATCGACCTTGTTGACGAAAACGACGAGCTTTTGGACACCGACCTGACGGGCAAGGAGCAAATGCTCTCTGGTTTGAGGCCTAGAGAAGTATTAGCATTCCAGACTGTTCTACACAGAACTAGGGTGCATATCATTACATTTGTCCATCAGAGGCAGCAACGACGACAACGGCTCCGTCCATACTGGCGGCACCAGTAATCATGTTCTTGATGTAATCGGCGTGACCGGGACAGTCAACGTGAGCGTAATGTCTGTTCTCGGTCTGATATTCGATGTGAGCAGAGGAGATGGTGATACCTCGCTTTCGCTCTTCGGGGGCCTTGTCGATGGAGCCATAGTCGAGGAAGTTGGCGAATCCCTTCTCGGACTGACGCTTGGTGATGGCAGCAGTCAAGGTAGTCTGTAGGGATGGTCAGTTTCACGAATTGGGACAATGGGTGCCTGTACGCAAGGAGTTCGAACCTTTCCGTGATCAACGTGTCCAATGGTACCTATACTAACGATCAGATTTCTGCTAATACGGCCAATGGAATCATTCTCAGGCGCGCACTACTTACCAATGTTGACGTGAGGCTTGGTACGCTCAAAAGCAACAGCCATTCCTCGAGCAGACATTCTGTTGTGAGAGAAGACATACTGGACTGGGTTCATGGCAGATGGCCGCTGGGCAGCGAACCTGCTGGTCCGCAGCAGGACATTGAGGGATCTCTGTAAGGTAGACATGCTGACAGGCCTCCGCAAGAAAGGAATTGGATACTGAAGGGCGATTCTTGTTCCTTTTCCGTCGAGTTTGACCTGGTTAAAGCAAAATCTGAAGCTGGCTTGGAAGAAGTTCAGAAAAGTTTTTGGCCGCCAGGAACATGCTTAGTCATGGCACGTGATCGCATATAAAACTGACCTCAGGACGAAAGAAAGAAGAAGACAAGAGCTATTATGGCGGGATAGATAGGAGATGTGAGTATTACTGAGAGAAGAAAGGATAGATATTGCCTGTGGCATAGATTTTGGCCATTCTAAGGCCCCGAATACTCCGTACATCGATATATTACATCAGTCCAATACCCCCGTTTAAATAACCAGGGGAGGACTTTATAGAAGATCGTAGGACCTTCGAAAGATAAACTAATGGCACATGGCGAGACTCTAAGCCTTCTTCTTGTCCAGGATATATTCCATATGCTGCAAGATCTTTCCCATCCTAGGCTTCACCTCGGTGACACCGATTTCAAACAGCTTCTCTTCAACGGAGGCCAGAAGCCGGTTTGCCTCCTCTAGAGTAGCTCTTCGCTTCCTAGCCTTTTTCGTCAAGACTAATGTCACCCTTTTGCCCTTGGCTAGAAAGGTCTCCAGTTGGTTGAGCCGGTGCTTGAGGTCATGAGGGTCAATCGCCCAGTTCAGCTCTATCTGCTTTATCTGAACGCTCGTCGATTTGGCCTTGCGAGCACCTTTATTCTTCTCGACGCCCTTGTTCTGGTCCGCTATAGCCATGACCTTGCATATCGGGGGCTGGTCTTCCGTAGCCGCGCGGACTTGAACCAGGCAGTTTATCGACCGATCAAACTGCGTCAGGGCCTCCTTGAGTGAGATTGGTGTCCCTAACTCTCCATTCTCTTGGACAACTATCACTGTTTGGCTGGGTATCTCCTCATCTCTAAATGTGCGAGGTCGAGCTGAAGATGCAGAAGAGGACTTTGGAGAAGGTGTAGAGGACCTGGGAGCAGGCGAATATGGCTTTGGATAGGGCGTGGGAGAAGACGGAGGAAAGGTACCATAGGTTATGCGTATCGGGCGAACAGTTCGGGGAGCAGACGAGGACTGGTGGAATCTCAGCTGTCGAGTAGGGAGGGCATACAGTTGTTTCGTAGTTTGAATCGCCTGTGGTTCAATGGAGGCGATGAAGGTGCTGCGCAGAGCCTGCGCGGCGGAGAAGAAAGGGCGGAAACAAGTCATCGGCGGTCGTAAAGAGCGATCAAGCACCAAATGCTGCGAGTCTGCTATCCCATACAGCTCTGTCTCGTCGTAGAGACCGTCTGCATCAACGTCCGTCAACTTCGAGGTTTTTCTCGTCTCTTGTTGACCGAAAAGACATCGCCTTCTCTTAGCCAAGAACAAAACCAGCGAATGCGCCTTGGCACGCCCAGGATCCCGCGAACGAGGCTCACGACTTGACTTTTTTTTATGTTATAGGGGTTTTTTCAGGAGGCAAATACTATCATTTCTTCCTTCTTCCTTCTTGCTGTCTCTCAACTTGTTTGTCTTGTTCTTTGCAAGCGGAGACTGGGCCTCACCTTCGTTTGACCTCCTCGCCGGTCCATATCTACGGTTTCTCAGATATCTCCCCCCTTTGCGCGGATCCGTGTCCCTTCAGCGAGCTTGCATGTCCACAGCTTCCGGAGGCAGATCTCACCGTGCTACTTCGTCGACGGTAGATTCAGACTTGATTCTACTTCGGAGAGCGTCTTCTACGTCCAAACCCGCCGTCTCCGGCTCCGATATCGAGAGTATCTCGCCAGAACCCATGAAGGGTTCACCCGCAATCGCCCCAATGACGCAAAGCCAGAGATCTCGATACCTGAAAACAGGTGGAATACTCGGGTTTCTAATATTCTTAATATATGTCCTCTCGCCCTCTTCACAGCCGCAGCGTCTCCCCACCACCGGGCCAGATTCGTCGATGAAATGTACGAAACCCCACGACGCCTCCAAGCCCCTCATCCAGTATGCGTTGATGATCGATGCTGGTAGCACTGGTTCAAGAATCCATGTATACCGTTTCAACAACTGTGGCCCGACTCCGGCTCTGGAGAACGAGGAGTTTAAGATGACTGAGAAGAAGGAGGGTGGCTCCGGGCTCAGTTCATACCGCGAAGACGCTGAAGGCGCCGCTAAGAGTCTTGATCCCCTGATGGAAGTTGCCTTGAAGGCCGTTCCGGAAGAATACCGATCCTGTTCTCCCGTTGCCGTCAAAGCAACCGCTGGACTACGAATGCTAGGCGCAGAAATGAGTGACAAGATCTTGAAAGCCGTTAGAACACGCTTGGAAACCGTCTATCCGTTCCCAGTGGTCTCAGAAAAACAAGGTGGAGTTGAGATCATGGAGGGTAAGGATGAAGGTGTCTATGCCTGGATTACGACAAACTACCTGCTTGGAAACATCGGATCACCAGAGGAGACCCCAACTGCCGCAATCTTCGACCTCGGAGGTGGTTCTACCCAGATCGTTTTCCAGCCTACCTTCAAGGGCAAGGGACCGGATGGTCTCCCCGAAAAGATGCCCGAGGGAGATCACATTTATTCTCTCAAGTTCGGCGGTAGAGATTTCACTCTTTACCAGCACTCTCATCTCGGATACGGTCTAATGGCCGCCAGAAAAGCGATCCATCGTCACCTCATCGAAGCCAAGCATGAACTGAGCCCCAACGACAAAGGCTGGCTTAGCCAGAAAGTGGTCAATCCATGTATCGTTCCTGGAATGTCCCGCAGTGTCAACGTTACTCTCAGCGACGGCCATGACCTAGGCAAGGAAGTCGAAGTACTCATGGTCGGCCCCAAAGATCCCTCAGCTGCGCAATGCCGAAATGTGGCCGAGAAGATCCTCAAGAAGGACGCAGAGTGCAACCTTGCCCCTTGCTCGTTCAACGGAATCCATCAACCCTCTCTACGCAAGACCTTCGCTCAAGAGGATATTTTCATCTTCTCTTACTTCTACGACCGCACTTTCCCCTTGGGAATGCCCGACTCGTTCACCCTCCATGACCTTCATGAGTTAACGTCAACTGTCTGTGGAGGTGAAGCCAGCTGGGGCGTTTTCCAGCCAAACAGCACGGCCATGAAAGAGCTCATCGACCGTCCCGAGTACTGCTTGGACCTTAACTTCATGCTCGCGCTTTTGCATACCGGCTATGAAATGCCTCTCCACAGAGAAGTCAAGACCGCCAAGAAGATTGACGGAAACGAACTTGGATGGTGCCTAGGTGCCAGGTAAGAAATTATCTCCCTTCTTTACCCCTTTCCTTTCTTTTTAGATAAGTCGCGCTAACCACTTTTTACAATAGTCTTCCTCTCCTCAGCAAGAACTCTGGATGGGAATGCCGCATCAAGCAGATTAATTAATGACAGAGCAAAATAGACTTTAGATCTTTGTCTCCAATTCCCTGATTTTATAAATATCTTTTCTAATGAAGAAAATTAATTGGATGAAAACAACGCAGTGCTTACGATGCAAAGGGTGATTTACTTAGGGAATCTTCATACCCCCTACAGCCTTATTCTTTCTCTCTTGGGGTTAGGCGGGTATTGGTTGTTTATCCAGGCTGGTTTCTTTCGGTTTTCCTTCTTTGCTTCATTACCTTTTTATATCAACACTTATATTTTACACTGGTTTGCGTTTTAATGTTCTTAGCAGCTAGTAATGCCATTTTTTCTCCTCAATTCTTATCTATACTTTCGTTTTTTTGGTGTATTGATTGAGAATGAGTGTAAACAAAAGTTTGGTGTACAAATATGGATGAGTTGTGCTTCATAAAGTCGTCAAGGCTGGGTATCAAGCTCTTTTGCGTCGAGTGTCCGCTAGTAAAAGACAGAAAGGAGATAGCGAGATGGAGAAGTGAAGTGACTGCAAGGCCAGGGTACGGGCGTAAACTCGTCCTGTGTACAGATATGGTAGATTAACACTGCACTTGCAGCAACCCGTCGGCGGTCCAAGTAGGTCATGAGCCCATCTCTTCGATTTTCGGTTTTTGTAGATCAGCTTTATTTCCCATGAGTTTTCTGATGATGTTTTTCTCTTTTTTTGTTGGCTTTCCAGACGACCGCGAGGAATCGCTACTTTCAGAGCTCTCACTCTCGTCACTGCTATGTTCTCCATCTCCATCTCCGTCGTCCCCTTCCTGAAGAACGCCCAAGCCAAGGTTCTAGAAATTGAATGTTAGCGAAGTCCACCCAAACTATGCAAAACAATACTATTTGAGGGATATAATTGCTTACCATTTCAATGTATTGGCCTTGTCCTTCTTCTTCGCTATCAACCTCAAGACCCATCGCCTTGCCAGCAGCGATATCTCGTTCAAGGTCCTCATTTGCGGCTTTCAGGGACGGGATGAAGCTTGCAAGTCTCGCACGCAAGGCAGAATTGATTGGAACGTTGGTAGAAGGCCTTGAGGGCACCCTAGCCGATTGATCATGCATTTGTTCATCATCGGATGATGCGTCGTCAACCTCGGCCTCCGACTCGGATCCAGAGTCCGCAGAAGAAGAGGACGATGACGATGACGAATCCGACTCTGATTCTGATTCTGATTCCACTGGCTCAGATACTTCGGGTGAAGAGCGTCTGGAAGCAATTCTTTGACGGACTGCTGGCTTTGGCTCCGTGATAGACGCAGTCGAAGTAGGGGACTTGGATTCCGGTTTGGCGTCCGAGTCGTTGGACTCGCTGTTTGTTTCATCCATTTGGTTCTTGACACGGAAAGCCCATGCGCCAGACTCTAGTTTTGACCGTTTGGGAGAAGAACTTAGACATTGTTCGGCGTCCACTGGCCTTTTCAAAGGTGAATGCTCTGTACCAGGCATTATCGACAAGATAACAAGTAGCGTGTGAGGGTATGAGTAACAATCAAACACCAATGCGAAAAGGGTAAATGTTTCCAAGATATATGAGGAATAATTGCTTCCTATCTTGCAATCCCAAAGGTGAGGGCTTAAGTTGCCTCTTCCAGCTACTATGGGAATTGTATGGCAGCAAAAAAGTTCCACCAGGACGTTTCAGGATTTCAACTCCTCGAGCTGAGCACTTTCAAGTGAGGGACGAGAGATATAAATATATTCCGACGCCCAGAGAAAGGGGCTGTCGTTAAGAGGTATCAATGCGGGTATCAATATATGTCGACCTTGAAGTAGTTTTTTCCCCGTGAAGAAATATTAAAATCAAAAGAATCGCCCCAAGTAGCGTTGCTTAGTCATCTGGTGCCCCTTCTAAAGCCCATACGTTGAGTTTTATAAATATCAGTTATCCAAGGAACATGGGAAAACAGGTAATAGTAAGAAACTTTGTCGGCGGTTACTTGCGAAGGGGCATATAGTTCCTAGAGATACCATATTTGACCAGGTTACTTTTGAGTCTATTAGTGAGAGAGTAGGGAAGCAAAGCGAGATAGGGGTTATTCAAATTACTGGCGAGTTGATCGTTCCATCCGCGGAATGTACCATTGACCTTGGCCATGTTGCGTTTGAGCATCTGATGTCTAAAGTGAAAAGGTGTTCAAGATTGTCAAGCCTAGATGAACTACGTCGAGACGTTTTAACAAGTCTTAGGGTTTGTCGTCTCAGGAGTTCTGGCTTCAGGTTCGCTCACGGCACCGCATATCAGCTTATAATACTTCTCGCAGGCTTTCTTCTTCTGCTCAAGATCCTTCTCGAAAGCGAGGTGGCGGATCCGGGCTGCAAGTGCCGCGATAGATTCAAACTTCCCCTTCCAGCAATCATTCATAATCTGATTGATTGGATCCTCGAGGTCCATCTCTGGGCATACGCGATCCGTAAGTCTATCAACTAGATCTGGTCCGTATACTCCTGTCCAAAGCCCTGTTCCTTGGACCATGTCCCAGAAAATAGAACCCAAAGCGAATTGTTCGGTGTCAGCACCAGCTATGCCAAACGAGCCGCCATGTTCTGCATTTCCTTTGTTAGCCCCTACTGGGCGGACATAGGGATAGTCGCCAACCTCTACATCGTCACCAACTCTAAGTGCATGATCAAAATCGACTAGTCTGAGGTGATCTCCTTCGATGAACATGATGTTCCGGGGGTTGATATCGCCATGTGCGTAGCCTAGATCCTCAAGGCAAGCTACAGCCTCTGACAGTTACTGCATCCATTGAAGTATAGGGCGCGGCTTCTTATTGGAGTTTATACGCTCGTGAAGTGTGCCATTCTTGTAAAGTTCCATAAAGATAAGGTCAGGGGCGCAGAGGAGCGAGTGGGCTATGAATGGGCACGGCACGGACTCCAGCTGCATAAAGATGGTCTGTTCATGGCGTATATGTTCGCCACCGGGTTTATAGGACACCTTGACGCAAATATCGTCGCCAATTGATAGCAGAGCAGAATGTCCTCCTGCCGCGTAGATAGTGGAACCGGGGTAGATTGTTAGAATCTGTTGAATCAAGGGATTGACATTGTCTGTATTTGTCGGCGACGAGGAACCGCCGGTTATTCTGGGGAGAAACGCGCAAAACGTCTCGTATGAAAAGTTGAGCCCGTTTGAATTCACTCCCATTATCAAGAAGGGTTTGTATATACTGGACTGGGCTAATGGTCAACTTCCATATCACGTGATGATGACCAAAAGGTACAACTTCTGAAGGGAACAACGTCGACAAAACGACAAAACGACGACGACGGCAGTGATGAAGACATACGCAGACAACAGGCTCAGTCAGGGTCTACGGGGGCCGTCGGCTCTGTTTCGAGCGTGTTTCGCCCTTGCGGATGCCCCAGCCGGACCCTGAGAAACCCGTTGGGTCAAGCTTCAGCCTCGTCGGGAAGTGATACACCAGCCATGGGCCAATAAGCCAGCGCGCTCGAGATACTTGTCATGCAAGGAGTGCACATCGAGCAACCTGTGGCTAGGAACCAACCCTGTCCAGGGCGCCAACGGCCCGCGATTCGTCTGGCGTTGCTTTGTCTGACATCCTCAAGATCGTAAGCTGGTTTCAGTTCTTTGACGACACTGCATATCCCCGGTCTTTAACTGGTACGGCAGGGGTTCTTATTGATGCCTCTTGAAGGAAGCACATATTAGGCGCTTGCCACTGCCTGTTCCCCGCTTCAATGGAGCCCTCGACCCTGGAATGAATGCTCAAATACTCCGTACTGAGCGTGGGGTTTTTTTTTCCTTTTACAATATATAGACGGTCCTCCTATCTACATTCTCTGTCTATTATCCACCGCTAAGCTCCTCCAAAGCAAAAATGACCATCCAACCCCCTAAATTTACCGCTCTTGAAGCTGTGTCAGAGGACGAGAGCCAGTCTCCTAACCCAACACGCAAGACTCTCCATCAAAACATCATAGGGAAGCTGAGGCCCTTGCCTTTCCAATACCGCTGGGCCGTATGGCACGAAAAGAACTCCGAGTCTGCCAACTACGGTGATAGATTATACCCGCTCCACGACGACGTTGCCGACATCGCTACGTTTTACCGGATATACAATAATTATCCATGGGACAAGATCAAAGTTCGTGACACAGTGCACATATTTCGGAAGGAAACGAAACCTGTGTGGGAAGACCCTCAGAATATTAAAGGTGGATGCTGGACATTTCGAGTTCCCAAATCGAAGAGTCAGGCGTTCTTCCACGAAGTAGCCATTCTTTGCATGGCGAATGAGTTCCAGGCCGCCGTGCAAGCCGGTATGAATCTATATATTCTTACCCTCTCCAAGTTTCCCTGGGTCTAGAATATTTCTCCTCTGACAACTACATTTAGAGCGCGATCATGTACTTGGTGTCTCAACATCTGCTAGGTTCAACTCCAACTTAATATCTATTTGGAATAAACAGGGGTCAAACCCAAGAGCCATTACAGCGCTAGAGGATGTTATAATCCAACGACTCTCACCTGAACTGCGCCCGACTGCCGAAAAGTCCTACTTTTATAAACGTCATGATGAACATGACGGATACCAAGCTGCTGTGGAGGCAGCATTAGGTACCTCTGCCGGGGTCTGAGACCACTAGAGAGCTTGTCGAGAGCTTGTCGAGAGCATCAGCCAGCGAGATAAACGGAGCAAGTGCTACTTTTTTCCCTTCTACCCATGATTGATAAGATATATACTACTAAGGCATCAGGTTCTTTACGTTATCATGCATCATATACGGAGTTGATTTTCACACATTTATTATAACAATACAAGATATGCAAATTGGTTGAAATATCCTAATCTGGTCCACTTGTTTCTTACCAAAGTGTAGACCCAAACATTTCCGTACCTTTATCATAACTCCGTATTAATACATGGCAATTAGTATAAGTTATAGTACAGATCCAAACATTTCCGTCCCTTTATCATAACTCCGTATTAATACATGGCAATTAGTATAAGTTATTGTACAGATGTCTTAGGGCAAGACAATGACGCTTAACGACTTGAATCTCGACGCCTGCTTCTCCGTTCGTCTTTATCGCCGCTTGCTGCGCTGGACTCCTTTCTAGCCGCGCCAGGAACGTACCGATCGATATCTGGTAGCCTTTCTCGATCTCGGTCGCGGTCACGGTCTCTGTCTCTGTCCCGATCCCGATCCCTATCCCGATCCCTATCACGGCCTCTGTCACGGTCCCTGTCACGGTCTCTGTCACGGTCTCTGTCACGATCTCTGTCACGATCTCTGTCACGGTCTCTATCGTGGTCTTTGTCACGATCTCTGTCGCGATCTCGATCCCTATCCCTGTCTCTGTCTCTATCACGGACACTGTTTCGATCCCTCTCTGGAGTCCTGGCCCTTCGTTTTGGGGACCGACTCCGCGTTGAAGTTGGAGGAACATATCGATCAATATCTCCACCTGCAGTTCTCGAAGTAGACCTCGCCCGACGAGTTCGGGAATTCGATCTTTCTCTCTCTCGATACCTCCGGCGAGCTGCTGAGCGTGAGCGAGAGCGAGACGGGGATTTGGACCTCCTAGTGGGTCGACGAGAGACGGCTCTAGAGCGGGATCGTGAGCGAGCGCTAGGGCGATAGCTGCGATATTCGCCTCTATTCTCACGTTCACGGTCACGTTCTCTTTCTCTTTCTCTCTCTCGACCCCTGTCCCTATCCCTATCTCTGTCCCTATCCCTTTCAACCTCCCTGTCGCGGTCTCTGTCCCTACCCCTATCTCTATCTCTATCCCTGTCTCGATCGTGAGGTCGATATTTGTCCCTGTCATCTAGACCTTTGCTTCGACTCCGACTACGGCTATGGCGCCTAGATCTTGCACGTATAGAACGGTCATCTCGGTCACGCCTATCACGGTCTCCAGGTCGGTATAAATCAAAGTCGCGGGGACGTCGTTCTGACTCTCTCCTATCGGTATCTGCATCGCGATATCTATCGTCGTGCCTTGAAGACCTCCTTGTCCTAGTTCTGCTTCTAGATCTGCTGCGTTCACGGCGTCGACTATGGCTGCGGCGGCTATGGCTCCGGCGGCTGTCGCGATCTTCAGTCTTCGATTTGGCTAGGTCAAGAGAAGGGGTTGTTGCCTCTGTTTTTGCTTTGGAGGGCAAACTTCGGGTCGTGGTAGTAGGTTGTGTAGCCTGGCCGTTTTCTAGAGCCTCTGCCTGCTCAAAATCGAACTCCGGCTTTTGTCGCGATTTCGCAGCAAGCTCCTTGCCTTCCTTCAGGAGCAATTCAAGAGCCGCATTTTCCAATGCCTTCTCATCCACAGGAGGAGCTGAAGGCTTTTGTACTTTAGATGTATCTCGAGGTGTCCCGCTACCATCCTTTCCGCGGTCAAGGTCAGAACGTCGTCCCTTGTCTCTGTCGTAGTCACGGTCCCGGTCCCGGTCCCGATCCCGTTCTCGGTATCGTTCTTTTTCTTCTTGCCTCCTCCGTTCATAGCGTTCGTCACGCTCTCGTTCTCGTCGTTCCTCTCGCAGCCTATCTTCCTCACGCTGCTTTTCTCTTTCTGCCCGTCGTTTTTCCTCCCGCTCTTCTCGTTTTTTCCTGTCTTCTTCTTCCCTTTGCTTCCGTAACTCGCGCTGCCTCTGTTTCTCTTCAGCTTCTGCCCTCTTTCTCTCCTCTTGCGCCTTTCTTTGCACCTCCAGTTCTTTCTGCCTAATCTCCTCGCGCTCTTCCCTTTTAGCCTGGACACGGTCCTCGTACTCCGCGTCCGTTGTAAGGCCCCTAGCTATTTCGACATTGGCCGCCTCCTCGCCGATATCTTGAACACGAATTTTGCGAACGGAGGCCAATATTTCGTCAAGGTGGTTGGATATTATACCGTCAACTGCTTCTTCTATTCCGGAGTGGAGGTCACTACGATCGACTGCTCCAGATATAAGTGTTGCTGCCTTTCCTCTTTCGCGAGATAACAAAGATGGGTCACGCTCAATTTCAGACTCGGCCATTTCAGTTAGCGACGCAGTAAACGAGTCTTTGGCCTCCTACACACGTATAAAAAGTAGGGAATTAGCAGGGGTGAGCTGAGCACTACTGGAAACCAAACTGAACGCACACTGTCATTAAATTTGGCCCAGACTTCTTTCCGGACCGCATCGAAGCCACCTTTCTTCTTGAAAAAATATAAAAGATTGTCAATTGTAGCTCGCTGGGTCGTAGAAACTGGCAGCTCTGATAATTTGAATTTCTTGCGACGCAGACTCTCCATGCTTGAACCGACGCGCTTTGCGCCAGACATGTCTATATCTGTTTCAGCCATCATGGCCCACGCGCGCTTGAAGCTCGGTCTTATCCTATAACACCGAAAGGCTCAGTCCATATCGTCCTAGAGAGTGTAGCATCGTCGTGTGCTTTCTTGTCGAACTGCGCCAGAGAGTTTCCCCCATAGTGAAATTGATATGCGGAGAAATATAAACCCGAGCCCGCGATGAACTTCAAATCAACAACCAACGACGACCTCAGAAGTCGAAAGCAGAGCGAATAAAACAACATATCGGCATTGCTCTCCCTGGGAATGCTTTATTGACAACTTCCAATCGAGAGCAGAGCACTCGCGTCAATTTCCGGTCTGATCACCGCGTGAACCAGTTTCACCGCCGCCACTCTCTCTTCCCGCAATTCATCGGATACACTCGTCATGCCTGTCCATAAAGTGCTCTTCTGGAGCGGCTTCGGTTTGTATTCCCTCTTCCCCGGTTTATTTGTGGTCAATTGCAACTATATATTTGAATCTGCCTGCATTTGCCTGCCAATTGTGCCGGTTAGGCATACTTGTTCCATACATATCTAACAAAGTTATCTACAGGCGTCGCCGTCCGACTATGGCAGCTCGGAATTGAAATGCGCCCATTTTTCAACAAAGAATCACTATGGGTTTATCCTCTATTTGCGACCGTTGGCGGAAGCTTCGGATACTGGCTAGAAGGTGTGGAGAGTCGACAATTGAAGATGCTTGCCGACAGGAAACAGATCCTCCTCGAGAAACGACGAAGAAGAGCCGAGAGGGATGGAGACGAGCCAGTCGGACTCGGCAAAGCTGAACAGGGAGGCATTCTGGCCAGTACTTCCTAAATGGAACCCAAATACCCGATGTGATCGCTGTGCGAGAGGACCCGGCCAGTATATAGAAGGGTGGAGGCACTGGGGGAAGAAATGAGGGGTTCTCAATTTCATTTTAGAAGAAAACTGTGGATGGGAAACCATTGCAACTGTACTTATAACAATATCTTATGTTGTCTATTTCCCTGGCCATCTGCAAAAATGCATTCCAAGTGATTCTATATCCACCTCGTCGTTTCGAATCTTAGAATCTTGTCGATTCTCTTCATGGGGTACATTTTGTTCAACCGTGTTTGCCAAAGCCTCATGGGATATCACACACTCCAAGAACAGTTGTGTAGTGAATCTCGGGAGGACATTTATCACACTCTTTTTACAAGGGAAGTGGTAATGTAGAATGAGACATAGAGCTGAATATAAATGCCTTCTGTTCATTATATAAAACCCCTATCTTCAATTTACTGATTAAACTCTAGACAAACATAGAGGTAAAGCTCGAAAGGATCTTAATCATTGAAGTGTCTTAGATGAATTGAGATCACTTTTTCCCCAAGTCTATGGCCCTTAATATTCCCCGAATGGAGCGATTTGTAAAGGACTTTCGCCGGTTTTGATGTGAGTTAAGTAATAGACCTACCACCTCAGGGCTTGGCCGTTGATGTGCAATTGTCTCCAGAATCTGTTTCCGTTCCTCTTCTGTGGCACCTGTCACTGATATACTCCGTGGAAGGTCAAAGGTCCACGTCTTCCGGGTACCCCAGTTCAAGATTTCACCTGCCAGACGACAACACCCTTCCGGACAATTACATTCCTTAAACTTCAGCTCAAGCTTCAAAATGAGGAGTCGTTGACGAAGGAATGTCAGGGTACGGCCGAAAAAGTAGTCTTGCATGCTCTTGATGTCCTGTGCATGGGGCAATATTGGCCCAGTATTTCGACCAAAACCGCCGTCTCCAGCAGTGTACGTCCTGGCTCCAAGAATGCAGGATCTATACTTCAGGAGATCCTTTGCCATTTTCTCAGTTTCTCTCCCTTTCTGCTTGCTGTGGCGGCTTAGGGTGATTGCACCTGCCAGCAAATCATCGCAAAACGGACCACAAAGATACTGGAAATCTCGGTGATGGAATACGACTTCAACGCTATGCATATGCTTCAGGTGGTCCCTCAGACGTGGGTGTTCATTCGAAGCCTTCAAAAGGGCGTCTGGATGCAAGATGGAAAAGGTATTCTCTTGGTAGAAGAGTGGGCAAACTTCTTCATAAGCCTTCCTGCAAACCAAAAACAACGCCATATTAGGGGTCCCATGGCTCTCAGGCTTTCGAAGGTCGTCTACATAGTGAAACGAGACGAATGGGCGGACAAAGATCTTCCCTGGAACAACGGCATATCTGTATATTTCCTGGCGAACATTCAGGGGTAGCTGGAAGAAATGTGTCCTTTGAGGTTCAAGGGGCTCTGGTAATGGGCTATAAGAATTTAGCAGATTGTCAATACCAAAGGACTGGTGCATATAACTCACATTGTATGATCAGCGGTATTTTCTTGCCCGGTATAAACACTGCCCTCATCTGTTATGGAGATGTCACTTTCAGTATTTATACTGGTAGCAACCAGAGGCTTGAGAGCTGGCATCATATTAGCACTCGGGACCTGTCAGTTTAAATGAAGGTGTAACTGGGGGGTAAATTGCAAGAATTAGTTGTTAAAATAATAAAGCCCCAGGAAGATAAAACCCTAGGAAGTTTGTTTATTGTGGTGGAAATTCCCGGTGTAATACTCAGGGGGTTGCTAGGAGACGGCACACTGAGTGTTATTCTGTTGTTATTCAGAATGTCTGGAGTATTTAATAATCACTAACAAAGAACAAGATCATGTTGAGTCAACATTGAATTGTAAAGAAACTTCCCATCTCTGTACCCCGGTGCCATACTCGCCCCCAAGCCGGTGTTTAACCATGTTGGATATTCGCTCCCTCAGTATTGTGATGGCTTCCTCTGACCCAACCACTCTAAGCTTGATATTAGCCATACACAAACCATAGTGTACCTGCCAGAATCGCGCTTCTTCAACATCTGTGACTGATGGATGTGCAGAAATGTCCCTCATCACCGCAGAGACACCAGGTCCTGCGTACGACATCAGCAGCATCGAGCCCAAATTGATTACTAGCCGAATCCCCAAAGCACACATAGAAAAGGCCAGAGAGAAAGAAAGAATGCTGTCCAACCAAGTATACAAGGAGACTGAAAGCAAAGGGAGTAATAGAAGAAGAGTTGAACATGATAGGGTGAGAAAGTGGGCGGGGTTGCTGAGTAGGGATGGTAGTGATTGTATATAGGTGACGCGCATGGCCTTGCCGATGCGTCCGTGGTTTTTGAGGCCAATGGCGGAAATTAACGTAGCAGCAATCGACAGGAGTGCTGTAATATCCACGCTGCCTGGAGACACTCGCTCGTGCTCATCATGCGGATGTGCATGATGGGAACCCCCAAGAGCATGCTGAACCGTATGAGAAATAAGGTCACCTCCCATGAAAAAGAGTAGAACGGATAGAGCAAATCCCGCAACGACTTCTGCCCGTTCTAACCCGAATGGATGTCGAATACTGGATCGCTTCCAGACTTCGAAATTCCCAAGTATATCAACCACAACACATAACATCGCCCCAAGAGAATCGAAAAGCATTAGATGTGAGAGGCCGGTCATGGACATGGAGCCATGCGCACTCCACAATGTATATCCTGCCACCGCCATGTGGCATAGACTCCACCAAAATCGGGCCTTTTGGTCTCTGGACATACTTTTGCGGTACTCCTTGAATGTGGGAATTGGCAGTGAATTTGGAAGAGCCAGGGGCGCTCTCGGCGGCGGTTCAAGGAATATCTGGTGAGATACACTGCTGTGCTTGTATTTGTGTCCACGACGCTGTCCGACGTTCTATTATAAGCACAATTATTAGCATGGGGCCATACGGAAGTTGTCATGGGGATGTATACCGATTTGATGACCGGTGTCTTTGCCAACGTCGTAGGCTTGAAGTTGAATGGGCTCGGGACATCTAGACTTGGCCGTCTATAGGAATTCCACGACGCATCTATACAGGCACAATTTTGATCAGCATCTATCATGGAGCATACGGAAGTCATTGGCGGCTATGCGGTACCTGAAGATCCCGAAGAAGGAAATGTGTCCGTCAATGGTGAAAGTGCTGCAGGGTCAAGCGACCCTTGCCTCTGATAGCCCATCGAGACACTCTCGACGGGCGAAGAAGAATTGTCTGGCGGCGGAGTGGGAGTCCGGGGAGGGAGTGGAATAGGGAGACCAGACGCCATGACGCCGGTACAGGCGAATTGCCGGACGATATTCCCCAAGAAAGTAGCCGAGGATCCTCCAATGCTACTCACGAAGCATCACATCAAGGTAGACCTGTGGGATAAAGGACGATAGACAACTATCGCAAGTTCAAGGTGGGTTGTATGAAGTCCGCGGTTTCTATGATGAACACGGTGATCTTATCTCTGAAGGCTTGGCGATCTTAGGCCTTATTTCGCGGCAACCTTGCTATATCGCAGCTCTCTCTCTCTCCACAAACAACAACTTCACCAGCCTCACCAGCCGCGAGAACACCAAGGAAGCTCTAAGCCTGGAGCTGGACATGGATTTTAGGCGCGAACGACAGGCTGGCTAAGCTTCCGGTCGCTATCCTCCATGGACGGACGTCGTGGTGCCTTCATTTTCATCCTCCTCTTCTTCCTCTTCACGGCTCCCAATCCTCACCCGCCGTCCTCAGTCTCGATACGCGATTATAAACGCCGGCTAGCAGACGAAGAGCGCGCCCTTGTTTCGTTAAATACCTCCAGTTATGGCGATTTAGATCCGCAGGCCGGCAGATGGCTTCCTCTTGCCGGCCTGAGAGACACGGATGGATACGCATGGAGCCTGCTCCCATCAGTCCAGGAGAAGGCAAGGAAACAATTACAGTTGGCACTCGACGCTTCAGGCACCCTTGCTTCAGATAAAATATCATCGAGTACGAATATCACGAGTCTCTCTCTCCCAGTTTATCGAAATGTATCGGGCAAAGTTCGCGGCGAATGGGTTCGGTCCGGCGAGACGGAGAAGCTGAGTCGGCCAAAGCTGAATCTCACTACCATCGTCACGGAGCATGAGTATTTTACTCGAGATTTTGGCCATAATGTTACCGCCCAAACCGGTCGTATTATCTTGAACTTACATGAGGGCCAAGGGCTTTCATTAGGCGCGGACGGCAGCGATGACAAGGGGGTCAAGGAGATCAAGGCAGATATGATTCTGCGGAGTGACAAGTCCCTTGGAGAGAGCTGGCTTATACCCCTATATGGAGTGCATTTTCCAGCATCTGGAGGAGTAATTCTCACAACGGCAAGCGAGAAGTTCGCTGGTCTTGCGTCAATACCACACTTTGCTCTGTCGAACGACACGTTTGAGCTCTCTCGTGAGTTGCTTAACAAGTCGCTCACGACTGCACTTTGGGATAGATACAACCAACCTGCCAGCTTTTTGCCATGGTCCTCTCTTTCCCAAGGACCAAATTCAGTTGCGTTTCCCGCGCCCAATTGCGAATATGTCATGTACCTACAGCAGCATGCTCTTACCGTTGGCGGGAAGCCCATCCCGGATTCGGTTTTAAAGAATGTTGAACAGGAACTTCGGTTCCCTATTGGAGCGCCCATTCCGAATCCGCCCTCACTGGTGATGTCTGGTGTCATATTTTCTCCAGACTGTGGTTTCGTCCTCGAAACCAAAGGATCGCCGGAATACCCTCCGACAGACGATCTATATCTAGTTGGATTGAAACAAGAAGAATATAGTAAATACACCGGGCGATTTATAACTATCATTGCTGGCATGCTCGCGTCCCAGATATTGCTGTTGATGAAGCAGATGAAAGAGTCTTCGACACCATCAACCAGAAGCAGAGTAAGCTTCTATACTATTGCTATGATGTCAATAGGAGATGCATTGTTTATATCGTTTATGCTTCTAGAGCTATACTCTGAGACGTCATTTCTGTTGCTTACAGCTGCGTCGTTCCTCGCATTCTTTGGAGTCAGCTTTCTAGGCATGAAATTTCAGATTGAGATATGGTTGGTACAAGCACCGGAACGAAGGGAACAGCAGCAGCAGCAGCAGCAGCAGGCTGCCGCAGCTCGACCAGCTCCTACAACTCTGCCGCTGCCAGTGACGGCACCACGGCCAGCTGACACCGGCGCAACGCCCATTATCCTCCCTCCAGACCAGGATACAAACCCTGGAACAGCGAATGACACGCCACCAGACCAAAATGACGATACAGCCAATGCGGGTGCAATGTATTCGCGCTTCTATTTTCTCCTGTTCAGTTTACTCTTCTTCTCATCATGGGCGCTCTTCTGGCCCAGTCGCCTCCGAACTATATACGCTAATACCCTCTCATTCATTTACCTCTCATTCTGGACGCCACAGATTTATCGAAATGTTATAAGGAATTGCCGCAAGGCGCTTAGGTGGGAGTTTGTTGTTGGACAAAGCCTTCTCCGCCTATTTCCTTTCTTGTATTTCTACTTCATACCCCAGAACGTCCTGCTGATCCGAGCTGATGGGATTACAACCCTTTTACTCACATCTTGGGTTTGGCTCCAAGTTTGGAGCCTCGTGAGCCAGGACATACTTGGCCCACGCTTTTTTATCCCTAAGAGCTGGGTACCACCCGCCTACGATTACCATCCAGTCTTACGGGACGCATCTGCCTCTGGTTCCGCTGATGATCTAGAGGCAGGAGACACTTTACCAATTTCGTCACTCCGTGCCGAGCAGGGAGACACCCCCTCAACTTCGAGAGAGGGAGATAAGGAGACGGACGTTCACCAGAATAGGAGGAATTTCAGTTGTGCCATATGCATGCAAGATATCAACGTCCCAGTTGTTACTTCCGGAGGCGATGCCCGCGCTGGATCTAGCGTGACATCCGGTGCAACGCATATATTCAGTCGCCGTGCCTATATGGTAACCCCTTGCCGGCATATCTTCCACTCCCAGTGTCTGGAAACATGGATGCGGCTGAGGCTGCAGTGTCCCATCTGCCGAGAATCAATACCACCAATTTGATGAGTGGCTGTACCTTTAAATTATCACTCTGCTTCCTTGTACCATATATATATTAGGTTAGGTCCTTGTGTGAGCCTATACTTGGATAAATAGAAGACAATCTTTTTCCAGTGTACTATTTTGTAGTGCCTATAAAAGGGCTACTACTAATAACTAGAATAAATAATGAAGCTAGAGTAACAATATGCTACATCTTGTTTTCCTCTTGACATACAATATCTGCGAATTAGTAATGGTTGAGCCTATCAAATCTGTTGAAGAGTATATACATCGTATCAGGTACAAGTTAAGGCAGGTAGGGGTGGTAATGGAAGCCCATGCCAACCCATCAAATGACGTGGTAATTCTTTTGTAGCAATTCCCAGTAGTTTCCCGCTATTCCGACAAGCATCGTGCACATAGCTAGGAGGTCAAAGGGAAGATGTAAAGTCTAGAAAGGTATAACAAATGAGATATGGATATCCATTGGTAGGACCCGTAGCTAATTGAATAAGGAAACATAACGCATCGTGGAGGATAATCCGAACAAACAAATCAAACCATTTCTGGTTTAATCAGTCTCCTCCAAGGAGGCCTTGTATGCCTCGGCATCCATCAAGCTGTCCAACTCGCTGGCATCGGTGATCTCGATCTTAGCGAACCATCCATTCTCCTCGGGTGACTCGTTCACGGTCTTTGGCTTCTCTTCTAGTAGGGTGTTGACCTCGACGACGGTTCCTGAAGCGGGAGACATGATATCCGAAGCGGACTTGACGGACTCAACAGCACCGATGCTGTCACCAGCAGAAACCTCATCCTCCACGGCGGGCAATTCGACGTAAACAACGTCTCCTAGAGCCTTAGCGGCGTAGCCGGTGATACCAATGGTAGCTATCGTGCAAGTGACGAACGGTGTTAGCCAGCCGGGCAACTTATAAGATTCGACTTTCGTCACACCGGTTGTATGGTTCGGCATTTTTCTTGATAGAAGCTCGAGTCCTCCTTCAGTGTGCTCTGGAAAAGAAAAAAATGGATATATATACCGGTCTTGCCATCAGCAGAAACGTCTATCCATTCGTGCTGTGGTGTGTATTTCTTCGCCTGGACTATTCAAAACAGCAACCAAATCACGTCAGTCACGTCCTGTAGCCCCGGATAACCGCAATTGGACTCAATGCAGCATATAAACAACTGATACAGCCTCCCAATGGTACGTACGCAATGCGCTCTGCGAGAATGCTCGTCTGATATTTGGCTGAGCGGCGGACCGGAGAGCGGAGGAAGCTCGGAACCGGGGAACGCTGAGGGCGCTTCGGAGGGGAGCAACAAATCGAACAGCGGAGGCGGCCATTGTGAATGATTCTAGCCTGGACGTAGCTTCTTTCAATGACCAGAATTATATGTCGGAACAGTGCAAGAAGAGAGGACGTTGCAGGTTTTGTGTGGCGGGGAGACGGAAAACAGTTCGGTGACTCGGGAAAAAGGAGGATTCAATAACAACGTATTAAGATTACACGGGTACAGGGCCGTAAACACGTGAGGTACATCCGGGGTCGGCAATTCCTGGCGTGTGATTGGGTCACTCACATGCTCCTGTATTATAATGACCGTACGAGTATCGAGAAAGTGAAAAATCGTTGGAGTTTCTTAGGAAACGCAGCAAAACGTTTTGATAGCAACGACGAAACAAGAACGAGAAGACAACAGACAGGACAGGGTCGCGATGCTGTACGAACTGATTGCAATTGTATGTATACCTTGTCTACCAGCTCTAGTGAAGCCGGAGATGCGAGTCACAGTGCTAACAGCTCTCTCACAGGTCCGTCAGGGCAGCGCCGAAGAAGTCAGAGAGTAGGTCACGGTGCCCTCCCAGGAGACGAAAGCGATCTATCAGGATGTCCATCGTGTTTCCGGTCATCTAACTTATGAGTCAACAGTGTTGCCCGAACCGTTGGCCTCCAAGTTATCCGCTCCGGTGGTGTCATTCGCGGATACACCAACTGGGGACCCTTCACCCTCCCAAAACCGACCACGAAGCATCAAGTCAAGAACCGCGTAGGTCAACACTTCATTATGCGTTTCGATGCTTCCCACCCTGTCCAAAAGGAAATGCAACGAGGTCTCGGTCTCGATCCTCGTATGATAAAATTCTCTGTCGTCAAGATGGGCTCTACGCTGCGAGAAATTAAGGACATTCCTGGAAAAGTTGAGTGGAACAACACGAAGGTGCAAGAGGAGACTTTCGGAGACGAATACAGGCCTGTACCACGGGATCGATGAGTGACAGATTAGGACAAGATGGAGAAATTATGGAGAGGCAACTACTGCCTTAATATCGCATTTTCTTTGCCAGGATACCGACGGCGTTCTGTATACTACTTTTTTTTCTCCTTTTTAAAAGGCCTTGTTTCGCCTGGGAGTAGAACGGGGATCTTTGCATGTATACTATATTTGGATTTACGGCATATGGCTGGGGTATATTTTTGTTTGAATGCCCGCCATATATACCTGAACTTATGAAATGGAGGTTCTATTTACGCTACGACACACAGTTTTGGAGTAACATAAAAAATTCCGGGGTTGTATATACATAAGGGAGGAGAATTGACGATTTTGGCTAGAATACACCACACTGTAAGCCGGATAAAAGTAGTTCACACCAGGTATATATGTAGACCTGGAAGCTAAGCCGACCAAAATAACGCCGCCGTAGTCTGGAGTATTGGTATATTAAAAAAAAGAAGAAGAAATGGTCATGAGGGGAATAGTACAAGTCAAGGCAAATCGGGAAGTTGGCCAGCTAGAATAGACGCCAGCTTCCTTTTACACGCTCCTTTGCGGCCCCGGCTTGCTGAGAATTAGATTTACTGCGGCCTTCCAATTGCTGTAAACTTTCGATCTTCTGCAGCACTAGCTCAAGCATCTCTTTCTTCTGGATTACGTCGAGGTGTCGTCGGATGCGTGGATCTTCCCGGGCGAATCGTTCCACCTCTGCTTCAGACAGGTGACGGCCTAACCTTAGGTCGAGTTCCCGGGGGAAATGGTAGTAGAATTCTGATAGCAGCTCAACGTTGAGGAACAGAACGGCGGTGGCGGTAAGTTTATCGGCAACCACATCTAGGAATACTTCCGGACAGTAATATCTGTTCTTCTTGGAGGCACATTGCTTAGAGCGAACAGCGAGGAGTCGCATCTTTAGTATCTCGGCCCTGTCTCGAAGGAAAGTGGCACCACGAGCTAAAAAAAAAAATAAAGAGTTAATGTTTGAACATCACAAAGGAGAACGGTATGTGGACTGACCTTGTTCAATCAGGGATGCACTGAAGCCTCCAGCACCACCGCTACCATCCCCTTCGACGTTGGCGTCACCCTTTCTTGATTTATCAACGAACGCCATGACATCTCGGAGTTTGCGTTTCCCAACCGTGTTTTCAACGTTTTTCAGTGAATTCTCGCATGCTTTGAGCTCTTCTTTAAGACCTTTGGTCACGCTTTCTCGGCCCTTGGACCACTCCATGTCATCAACTTCGATCTCGAATTTGTATGGCTTGATACAATTCTCTACTTGGTCGCTAGTGCTGAAGAATCGATCGTTAAGAATGGTGGTAGATGCCTCGATGATTTTCCGTGCATAAGGATGCGTGTTAAACGTAGATGATGCGACTAGAGAATCGATATGATTTTGTAATGAGTTTGCGACGATTGTAGTAGCCAGGCGGCCAATTCCTAATTTTGTAAGGGCGGAGGAAGAGGCGTCGAGTTTCCGTCTCCAGTATACGGAATCTGGACTCGAAGTTGGCAAACTGCTTAGAGGATCAGGATCTGGCAGAGCAGGAGAGATGTCGTCAACCGGTTTATTCCAATATCTCTGGGCAAGAATATCCATAACGCGCTGGTCGAGGTGGGCTTTCAATAGCTCTCGAACATGCGGGCGGCCAAAACTTTCGCTGAACTCTTTAAACGAACGTTTGAAGCTGTCTAAGCTCTCGGCTAGATACGATTCCGCGCTCAATGGTCTGTCGTTGTACTGGACTTTGAATTCGTAGGTTGCCTCTTCCAGTTCCTGGGAGACAGCATCCCGGGTTCCTGCAAGGTTAGAAGCCATGGTTTGTTCTAAGGTTTGCATGAGCTTTTTCCGTAGCACGCTGGTTCCCACGGCAAGTTCGCTGTCCGGACCAAAGGTCTGTGGATGTGCGTTGAAGTATGCATTTTCATTCCTTACAATGGCAGTAGAGATGTTTCCGTTGCCACGAGAGAACAGACCGGCAGTTTGCGGAATACGACTGATGATTCCAACATAGCCCAGACGTAGAGGGTATTTCCTATCTGAGAGGATGCTGGCACCCCTTTCGGGGTCAACCAGGTCCATCTTTGTGATTACTCCAATAGTTCTCTCTCCACGGGGATCCACTCTCCGACTGGCTCTGAGGGCCGTAGAATTGGCTAGGTCAACATCTGCGGCTGAAATTGCGAGGATAATATTAGGAGCTTGGATGTACTTGTCGCAAAGGTCGGAGATTTTTTGCTTCAGTTCCTGGGGTTGACCACGCCCGGCAACCTGTATATAACCAGGCAAATCAATAAGGGACAGGTCTGGAACATGTGGAGAGTATATGGAGAGTTGAATTGGCTCATCCATGACACAGTCCTTTTCCGGGACTGCAAGATTTAGATCGGTCAACGTGCGCTGGACTTGACTAAAATCTGTTATCTTTCCAAGGCCGAGGGCAGGGAATTCACCATATTCTGCCGAGGAGTCCGGGGTGTTGACCAACGTCAGCTCTATAGGACGACGGGTAACCATGTTGAATCCCTTTGGTAGGAATTCATGGCCAACAATAGCTTCCAGCACTGAGCTCTTGCCAGATGACTGTGAACCGATAACCACTATAGATGGCAAGGTGAGCGTATTAGACTGGCCAACTCGTTGTAGCATATTCCGTATTTCAATCATTTTCCGGGTCAAGGTCATCATCTGCTCGTCCAAGGCTAAGCTGGCTGCACTCCTATTATCTTGATCGGAATCGAATCCTAAGCTCGAACCTGCCACGGCTCCTGCCATCGCGGCCCCAGCGTTGCTCTTTTTCGGGGATCCCCCACTGCCACCACTGCCACCACTGGAAGATCCGCCCTGGTCTGAGGAAGCTTGTTCGTTTAAGCGGAGAATTTTCTGTATCCATTCCGGCAATTCTATATTATTTTTTGTATTTTGAAACCCTTCCTGTGCCTGTTCAGCAATATCACGAAGTCCCTGCAGCGTGTTCATGGCCACACCGCCTGCAGTTTCACCGGCCGATTTTATAACGTCGATAGCATAGTTGCCAGCCTCTATATTCGATAAACAGTTGAAGATTAGCATCCGTAAAAGAAAATAGAAAACACATAATATATATTAATCAATAACGTACGGGCCGCTTGGTACTGTATATATGCAAGTCCTGCTATCATCGCGCCACCAAACATGGCGGGTATGCGGGCAAGCTTCAAGGCGAGCTTGGGCAGGACGCGTGCAAAGGAGATGGTCCTGATGGCCGGGACATTGTGAATGGCATTTGTCCCCAGAGGCCATGATCTCACGCGTAAGTGGGCGCTGCCCTGCGGACTAAAGAGCCCGCCAGCTCTGGTTGCGCCGAAGTATTGAAATTGGCGCGCAAGAACGGCTCTCCGCGAAAACAGCGCTGCGCTGCGGGAGAGTAGTCTCCCACTCATGGCGTCCGTCTCATATGGCGATCCGCAGGGTATGTGTGGTCCTCCGTATGTTCAACACCTCTTTTCTGTGGGAGGAGGAGGATATATCCCGTCAAACATCCGTCTTCAGTGACGCCAAAATAACAAATTCCAGGGATGGCCCGGCAGAACCGCCCATGCCGCCTTAGAGATGACTAATGGATGACTAACAGCTGACTCAGGACTTAAAGGAGCGACATCCACGTGACTGAGCTGTTCCTCTTTCTCCTTCTGCGTTTTGTTCTTTCTCTCTCTACCCAAGTGTACACATTGAAGATGCATGGATGCCCTATCTACCATGCCATTCGGCGGGCGTGCAGTGGCCAGAGCATCATATATGATGTCTATTATCATAGCAGGTTATTAATATGACTTTTCTAATCCCAATGGCGGGGGTTTGTTGATGCATGCATGATAAGTACTCCTATATATATCATGATATATACCATGGTCCCGTTGAACCATGGATCGCGACTCGGGGGTTTCTGGTCGCTCATTCTCGAGTAACTTAGTGACCGGAGGTAGATTGCATAGATTGTACGGGGTGTCACTACCTTTCTACCTCCTTTATAGCAAATGCATGCCTCTATACTACAGCGTACTCCAGACTCGTTATGCCTGTGCTTGAAGTATGTGAAGACGTTTTCAACAAAGGATGTCAGGCCAATGGGAGACTACATGCCAGGAAAAACAAAGAGAGACAACATCTTCCTTCAACTCCTACACTAGTGAACTTTATCTGACGATAATTCGAGAATATTTTGTCCTTCTATGGGCTTGGGTGCCTTGAGTTGAATACATCCAAATCCTTTAAATACCGGCCTTGCCCATCGTTGCTAAGTTGCCAATCTTGCAACCTCCTTTTCACTATCCTCTTGAAAGAAGAACCTGCTTCGGTTTTATTAAGCTGAATATACCTGACATTAAGGCTATTTGAAAAATCAACTAAGATGAAGCTTCAATATTTATTATCTCTCATGGCAGTTAGCCTTGCTTTGGCTCATCCGGCTAATAAACCTAAGGACTGCGTAAGTATTCCAGCTGCATAACATACAAAGATGAAATTATACTAATCTATGCATCACAAATGTAGCCGGAGGTCTGTACCTTGGAGTATAAACCCGTGTGCGCCAAAAGCAACGATAGCGCGAAGCCTAAAGTGTTTGGCAACGCATGTCAATTAGCCGTGGCAAACTGCAAGCAGCCCGAGGTACAATTTACCAAGATTCACGACGGGGAATGCTAGATATGCCCGTACTGTGGGACTCAACCAACAAGGCATGGGAGGGAGGAGCTGAGCCATCTCTATTACTCGGGTATTCTGTATGTGGTCCTCATATTCATGATACTCTACAATGGCTAACATGATTTGCTACCCAGTTAAGATGCATCATTATCATACTACTTGACATGACAAGCCGGCATATTTACTATGATAGATAATAGAACATGCTACACCTTACACTATTCTATTACTCCCTTGAATTATATTGTAAAGGATGGTATCCTCGAAGTAGACGCTGTAGATGACTAAGCCACACGTGACTCACTCTATTACGACATCTGGCGGAGCTATGTTTCTATCTCGAGAGCTAAGAAAAGATCCATGGATGCGCGGACATGGATAGATGAGGATGTGAAACGGTTTTAACTACGCCTCAGATTACTTCTTATAACCCGGGAGACCTCGCTCGTTTTACGTCTTTTTTTCCAGAAGTTCATTGCAATAGAAAAGCGTTGAACACCGTGTACGACTTATATCTGCATACTTGAATACCCCTGCCAGATCGCGTTTGCTGCGGATACGATTCTCCACACGACTCTTTTACTCTTATACAGAGTATTCACTGCTACTTCTTCTAATTCGAACTCTACCGGCTCTGGTGGTTGGCAGATTTAAAAAATGTGTCGATTTCTAGTATGACTCCTAGACTTATTTCATATCCCAAAGAAGCGGTCAGATTAGAACCATTGCTAACCAAGAATGAATCGATCAGGTATACAAAGGCAGGAATGACATCCTTCTAAGCAAGCTCATAACTGAACCCAGTCACTCCATTCTAACTCAATCTTATGACTGCCGACTGAGACTGGTAAGCCCGTCCATCATTGGGATAAAGCATGCACGTCTGACACATCAATTCTCAGGATACTCGACGTCCGGTCAACGGCGATGGTTTCGGCGTAGGATTCTACACATCTCCCCAGCTCAGCCCGGATCCCTGTATCTTCACCTCCACCCTCCCTGCCTGGAATTGTGATAACCTCGAACGAATTGCGTCCAAAACATGCTCGTCACTCATATTCGCGCATGTACGGGCAACGACGGAAGGGTCCCTAGCAGAGAACAACTGCCACCCGTTTCAGCACAACACGCTCATGTGGATGCATAATGGGAACTTGGGAGGATGGCAGCACATAAAACGACCGCTCGGTGACTCGCTGGCCGACAAGTGGTATCTGGGCATCAAGGGAGGAACCGATAGCGAGTGGGCATTCGCTCTCTTCTTGGATCTGATGGCGAAAGAAGGAGTTGACCCCAGCGCGGCGCCGGAGGGAGGATTCGGCCCTGAGCTGTTGCGAGGAGTGATGACCAAGACGATCAGGAAAATCAACGATTTCATTGCTGCCATTCCAAAGGAATATGCCATGACCGACCTCGAGACCAGGAGTCTCCTCAACTTCGCGGTAACGGATGGACATTCTGTTATCTGCACACGCTATGTGAGCAGCAAAACAGACGAGGCTGCCAGCTTGTACTTTTCGTCTGGAACGAAGTGGAAAGAAGGCAAAACCAAGGGGCATTTCAAGATGGAAAGACACGACAAGGGAGCAGACATCGTCCTTGTTGCTAGTGAACCGCTCACATTCGAGAGAAGTAAGTATATTGTATATCCTTAGCATTGCTGTATCCATGCTAATCATGTCCAACCATAGATAACTGGGTGACCGTACCAACAAACTCCATTCTCACCATCCACAAGCAGAAGGTCCTCATACATCCTATTATCGATGAATTCTATGACGGGGATCCAAACCACGGCCGATCTTCTGGGTTTGCCGTCTCCAAAGGCCTCGTCAGCAAAGCCCCTGGAACCACCGTTGCCCCTGAAAGTGAGACCGTCCCGACATCGAACGTGTCGACTACCGCCAGCACTCCAGCATGCGGTGTCAAACGGGAGATCGACAGTCCAAGCCTAGAGATGCACAGGAATGTTACTGGAGTCGCCCTTCCTTCCTAAACCCCGCTCGCTCCATCAACCCTTCCCACCACCTAGCGATTGTTTCTTTTCCTGAGTGCATATTTTGTTCATCGGGACATGACATGGTTTTTACTTAGCTTAGATACCCACGCTGTTCTCGTTCTGGCCGTTGAAGATCTGGTATCATCGTATTGTTTTGTTTCTATCGCCATTCTTCATTTCATCTCGTCCGGCAACTCCTAGGGTATATATATATATAGATTGATATAAAGACAATTCGTGGACCATCGTATCCATTTTATAACAATGCAACCAAGCCAAACCATCCTTGTCCCCAAATACCATTAGAAAATGCTCATTTATGAAAAAACTTAACATGCACCAACAGGAATAAGTAGGATGCTCACCACGTCCAAACCATAAACCTCAAGTATCGTCACCTGAAATATTCGCATGTCTGAAATACTTCATACCCACCCAAGCAACTACCACCCACACCCAAGCCATCACAGCCGTCAAAACGATCAAGGCAGGGTAATACCCGACAATTGGAAGGGTGGCATCATCCTCCAGCTCCGGTGGTGCGTACGGTGTCTCTCCAACATCCCACGCCCAGCTCCAAACCCCAAGGCAGCTGCCCATTCCCACCACGAATACCAGCCAGGTCACTATTAATATTATCCAGCCCCACCACTCGGTTTCAGAGTAGTCCCATATTTCTGATGGGCTGGTTAATTCAGCTGTGTTTGAGGTAGCTAGCGGAGACCGAATGCGCTGAGAGGCTGAGCGTTCGCGTTGCTTCATGATATTTGTATGTTTGAAGAAGGAGTCTGAGCTGGACGAAGGGGTTTGGATGGACGGTAGTGGTATTCGTCGCGGAGGGACGACGGGCGAGGTAGATATGCTGCTATTGCTTGTTTTGCTGGATAAACGAGAGAAATTCGATGTGTTTAGTCGTGGTAGAGAGAGTCCGTCCTCGTCGTCTGTAGTTGCATCATCTTGAACGGAATTCGGTGCACTGGATGGCCCTACTGGTGCGGTGTTGGGGAAGGAATCAGCATTTATCATGGAGTGTCGCAATTGCTGCTGCTGCTGCTGGTCCTGCTGCTGTGAGCGAGTCCAAGAGGAATCGTCACGGTCTATGGCAAGTGTGTTCGAATGGCTATAGCTCCGTCGAGGAGTAGATTCGCCATCATCGAACGAGGACACGATTCCCTGCTGAAGCTGGTATAACTCTCGTCTGCCTTCTTTACCAATCGAAACGGTATCCTGTCCTGTTCCTCCATCTCCATAACTCCCACTCCCTCCCTCTCTACCATTATCCCCTTCCCTCTCTCCAGCACCATCGTACTGGTCAAGGAATATCTCCGTTGCTCGCTGCAATGCTGTACCGCCACCCGTGAACCTCTCCTTCCCTTCCATCCGCAACATCCCCGTCCCAAGCAGTGCAGTCTTCCTCAACGATCCTTTCCTCCTCCGTGTCTTTCTCCTCTGCTGGTTCAATGCACTGGCCATAGCCCTGTCCGGGACCTTTAACCGCTGAGACGGCTGTAGCACCGTCCGCAGTCTATCACCACCACCTTCATCCCCGTTCTCCTCCTCTTCCACCTCGGCCTTGTCATGAGTATTCTTCGTCTCGTCCGAGGGAATCATCCGCGTGAACGTAAATCTCGAGAGTAGCGAGCTGGGGATTCGAGTATTGCCTGTTCTATTGCTCTTGTGCTGTGACGGGTTGGCTGGCGCAAAGCTGTCCTCTAGTTGTGGCCCAGCGGCACCGTCGAGTCGCGTATCTGGATTCCCATCTCCCATGAACAGGAGTACACAGCACGTCCGAACGAGTGTAAGGGATAAACGGGTCGGAGAATAGAATCTTGAACGTTGCGTGTCATACGAGTAGCGATCGGGGGGTTTTCCGTTGACTTTCTCGAGATCTGTTTTTTGCACTAGATAATTGAGTTTGGTGGGGAGAATACCGCAGACTTGGCAAGTTGCTTGTTTATAGCATCTACATATCTACAGCTACGGTTGATATAGGAAGATGAAGGGTAGATGTTAGAAGAGTGGTGAAGAATAAGGGTACTACTGTTGGTACCTATCAATCTGTACTCTGATCCAAACAGGGGACAATAACCTGAAGAAAACAACGCTTCAAAGGACCCCTGCTCGCTGAGGAGAATGCATTTATCATACCATATGGAAATCATCACTCGTCACCATTGTTATCATGAGAGAAGACGAAGGAGAGGAGAGAGATAGATAGAGAGAGAGAAGAGGAGAGGGATATGGAAAGGGTATCAAAAGTCCATAAAATGATAACCGCTAATAGAAGCTCGTTCACACATCTCACCTGATGAAGCAGACATAGATAGATAAGAACGGATAGATAGATGGATAGGGTAGATGGTTCCCATCCATCTGCTCTGTATGTATGAATGAAGGAATAAATGAACGAGCAAACCCCAAGGAATCAAATCAATTCAAGTAGTGGTGAATAGATATAAGAAGACAAGTCGAAGTTATGAAGTAAAAAGCAGAAAAAAAGGGAGTCTGAGAATCATTATCAGACTATCCAAGAGAAACAAAAAAGAGAAGGATAAAAGGGGGGACAGGGCAAACACTTTTTTTAGTTCAACTTCAGGCATCAACCGCTGTTGGTTAGGTTAGGTTAGGTGTTAGGAGGGGAGAGTTAAGAAGAGGAAGTAGAAGTAGGAGAAAGGACGGCATTGTTAAACAGAGACGTTAAAAGTAGAAAAGGTCTCACAATCATCATAAAGGAGAGACAGATAAGGCTAAAGCTAGCAAAAGGAGAGCGCTAAGAAATAGAGCCAAAAAAAGAGAAACATAGAAGAGAAAAAAGAAGAGACGAAAGAATCCAAATTGGGGGGGTATTCGTTGATTAATAGCTTGAAATAGAGAGTTTCATTCAGGAGACACACAGAGAGGAATGGAGAGGAAAGCCAAACGCGGGCATAGACGGACAGAGACATGAATGTGGAATGAAAAACCCCCAGCAAGAAACAAAAACCTTAGTTTGAGCATGGGATACCAGTGGCAATTTGGGAAGAATAGAGGACAATGCAAAAGGGACAGACAGAGCTTCAAGAATAGGAAAGAAAGAGAAAAAAAAAAGGAGGGCTGAAAGGGCCAAAAGCCAAGTCGAGAAAAGGAATGGCCAGTCAAGAAAAAAAGTCAAGCAGAGAATGGATAGAAATTTTTGGCATAGAGATAGAAAAGAAGGTGGGGAAGTAAACAGAACTGCCCGATAACCAAAACCAAGAAGTTACGCTCAAGGATGATGATATCGTGATAAGATCAGAAATCGGATGCAGGGGGGGTAGTAATGCGCAGTGGCAGAGCAGAGCAGTGCAGGATGCAGGATGCAGAGGTAGGTGCGTGTGTGCAATTATCGAAACAACAACAGTAGCAGCAACAACTTAAGTCTGATAACCACCGAACCCGTTACCAAAGTTTCCACCGCCACCGCCAACACCGACGCCGTTGTTAGGTTGTTGTGCCCATCCGGCGGAGGGAGGGTTGGACTGGCCACGACCATAGCCGGCAGAGGCACCACCAGGTCCACCGGGTCCGCCGGGTCCGCCTGGGCCGCCCTGGACGGGAACTTGGACTTGGGGATAGCCCTGAGCTGGCGGCATCCCACCTGTAATTGAGTTAGCGACACGATTGGCTTTTTGGAGGTTTGATGGTAGGATGCGGGGATGGAGTTGGACAGGGATACACAGGACGGACGCATACCTTGAGGAGTCATTGGGCCGCCTGGGCCGCCGTATTGAGGGAAGTATGGCGAAGTGCCAGAGTTGAAGGCTGGGTTGCCACTCTGCTGAGGAGAATATGCGTCGAATTGGCCGGTTGGCGGGCGGTCCTTACCCCACTGGAGACACGGGAGACCCACAAATTAGCATGGCGGGACAAAGTTAAAGAGATATATCAGATAGGGATGGGAGAAGGAGAAAGAGAAAGACGTACGCTGCACTTGAGGGGGCGGCCGTTGACGTTGTAGCCGTTGAGCTGGCAGATGGCCATGGCGGCGTTCTCGTGGGTGTCCATCTTGACGAAAGCGAAGCCACGGTCAGCCTGGAAGCGGGTCTCGACGACGTAGCCGAAGTTCTGGAACAAGGGGATGAGGTCGTTCTGGGTGGTGTAGGGAGTGAGGTTGCCGACGTAGCAGGTAGTCTGCCACTGGGGCGTCTGCTGGACGACCATGTCGTAGCTCTGGACGCCGTGGGTAGGGAAGTGGTGGTGTCCAAAGGGAGTGGTGGGAGTCATGCCCATGGCGGCCATGGCCTGCTGCTGGGAGATGGAAGGCTGGCCCTTCTGGTTCGCCCAGTTGCAGCGGATGGCGCGAGACCCAAGCCACTCTCCGTCCATGGAGCTGAGGGCCTTTTCAGCGTCGGCTCTGTCGCGGAAGGCAACGAATCCGTAGCCGCGAGATCGGCCGGTCTTCATGTCCCACATGACGCGAGCTTCAGAGACCGAACCGCAGGCGGAGAAGGCCTGGAGGAGGACTTCATCGTTGACTTCGTTGCTCAGGTCGCCGACGAAGATGTGGAAATGGTTGGAGGTGTCTTCCTTGGAGGCAGTGTTGGACTGATACGCCCAGTTGACACGAATTTCCTACATTTGTTAGCACTGACACATAATATAAAGATAGAAAACAGATATAAAGATAGAAAGCATACTGATTGGTGAACACGGCGACCGTTAAGGGTCTGCATGGCGCGCTCTGCCGCACCAGGGTCGTCGTATTCTATGAAGCCGTAGTTTAGGCCTTTGCTCTGGAACTGTCCGGGCTATGGGTTAGTAAGAAGTGAATTAGAAAAGCGGTAAAGTTAGAAAGTTAGAAACGGTGGTGAAGAGACATGTAAATAAAGAAGGGAAAGGTGAAAGGGAGGTAAGTGACCAAAGTCCAGATATTGTGCATTCTCATTGATGGTACAGGCGTTCTCACTGATAGTGCGGTATCGTCGCTACTCACGTTCTTGTCGGGGATAATCTTGACGCTCTGGACGTGGCCAGTGGTCTCGAAGATCTGTTTCAAGATATCTTCCGTGACGCGAGGATCGAGGCCGCCGACATAGAGAGCTCGCTTGTTCGGCTCGGGGGCAGAGCGACGCACATAGCCTCCAGCCGCGGTGGGCGACATCATGTTGCCAGACATGGGCGAGGTGATGGCCGTGGGGATCGGGTTGGTGTTCTGCGGGATCACAACCGGCGGGAGCGGCGGCGGCGGCATGTGTGACGGGTTCGGCTGCCCATTTCCCTGCGAGTTGTCGAACTGCTGCTGTTGCTGCTGTTGCTGCTGCTGCTGCTGCTGGCCAGGGCCGCCGGCAGACGACTGATGGGGAGGGGGAGGGAGCGAAGACGAGGTCGCTGGTGGGGCGTTGTCAGCCATTGCGAGACGGGTGAAGATGGGGAAGAGACGATATAGCTGCCGGGAGTTGAAGTCGAAGTCGAGGTCGAAGTCGATGAGGCGTGAAAGTCGGGGGGATACTACGAGAGAGAGATGTCGACCGAGACGGTTTCGAGGGGAGGAAGATGGGAGAGAGGCTTGAGGCTGGAAGAGCTAGCTAGCTACTGCTGAGGACAAGAAGAAAACCCCTGTTACTCAAACGACTTCCCACGCATCGAAGGGCCACAGAATGTGTATTAGAGGGAGAGGAAGAGGCAGAGGATACGCACGAGAAGAAAGGACGCTTTGGTTTCTGTTTCTTTTTAACTGATCTGATCTAGCTGGAGGAGGCGGACGGCACACTGAAACAGCTGGCACTCTGAGAAAGACAGGGAGACGAGAAAGGACCGGTCAATGGCGACCTCGAGCAGCTCTGGACAGAAGAGAGAGAGAGAGATAGAGAGATAGAGAGAGAGAGAGAAAGATAGAGATAGAGAGGAGAGCTACAGAAGCACGCAAGCAGCTAGGAAACACGGAAACACGGGAACAAGGAGACAGACGAAGGGCGGGCAAAAGCAAGGAGAAGGGAAGAAGGAGAAGAAGATGCAGAAAGCGCTTCGTGGTGAGAGAGAAGAAGAAGAAGAAGAAGAAGAGGAAGAGAAGATGAAGTTGAGGATGGAAAAATAAAGACGCTGCGTTGTTGTCGCGGAGTGACTAAGCGAGCGCCAACACGTCCTCCTTCTTCCTCCCACCTCGTCTCTTCCTCTCTCTCTTTCTCTTGCATCTTCCTCTCGAGCATCTTCCTCTGTGGAAAAAGCAAAGAGAGGCCTGGAAAAGAAAAGACGAGGCAAGTAGAAGTACAAACAGTGACATCTACACCGTCATGTGACCGTCTCTGCATCTTCTTCCTTATAGCTTCATCTCTATATCTTCTTCTTCCTTATAGCTTCGTCTTTTATAGCTTCTCTTATAGCTTCGTCTCTTATAGCTTCTCTCTTCGTCTCTGTATTATTGTATTCGCTTCTGTTCGTCTCGTTGTTTACTGTGTCGTCACATCTCCACAGACGAGCCCATGGTTCAAAGCTTCTTCAGCCCCAACCGGACATGACCAGAACCACCTCGAGACACAGCTCATAACCGTTAAGGCCGATAAGAGACATGGTGGCCCGGAGACAGTCGTGCGAGGACGCCCTGGGCGAGCTGACGGCCATGGCAAACAAGACGGTCTGCCTCCCAGTTTCCTCTTTATTCTGGAGGCAACTAACACTGCTTAGATGATTGCCACAGGACGCTGGTTCCGCCGTCCGGATCGAGGACCACACGAGCTGAAGCGTCACATACCGCCGGCGCATGAACAGTTCCAGCGAGCTCTCGACCGGCTGCAGCAGGAAATTGTAACGAGCTACCCTCCACACCACGTTCGTGACACCGGCTAATGCGCTACTCGGTCTAGTTTCTCGCCAAAGCACTGCTCGAGAAGGACTACCATGCTATACTGGAGAAGAAGGCGGCGTTGAACAGGGTCCAGCAGGGGAACTCGGTCCCGGTCTCGGCGGATGCGGTGGTGGGGGGTGAGCAGTCGACAGCACCGGCAGCGTCCTCGCGCGAGACCGTCGACGGACCTCCGCAGTCGACGTCGACCATAGAGCCGGTTCCCGCGCCCACTACGCAGCCGACAGATACTCAGAATCAGCAATCGATACCACCAGTGTCGGTGCCAGCAGCAACAGCAGCGACAGCAACGATATCACCACCTCTTACTACATCAGCTCCAGTGCAGCCCATACCAAGCACGACAGAAACCACTCAATCCCTAGCCATGGCCACGGGAGATGCGCCGGACTCCCTGGCCAACGACATGATCCTCGACCTACAGCCCACAGACATGGCCGAGCCCATGGCGCACACCCAGAGCGGCATCAGCCATACATCTGGCATAAGCTCTCTCCTCCCTGGCCTCGAGAGCTATGCCAACGCCGGTGTTGAAGAGAACATCATGGACCTCCTCCCGGCAACCGGACAGCCCAATGGCCAGGTTAACGGGCAGACCAATGCCCAAAATAACAACCAGACTAACGGCCAGAACAACCAGAACAACAACCAGAATAATGACCAGAATATAACGACAGAGAACACCCGCCGGGACGTGGTGATGGAAGACGTCCCGGAGTCGAACTTTGACGACCTCTTCGTCGGCGCGGGAGACTTTGGAGGTGACGCGGATGACCTGATGCTTAATACTGCAGAGATGACGGAGCTGGACGATTCGTGGTTTCAATAGCATGCATGTACGGAGTATCGTTTATCATTCGGTAGCTGAGAATAGACTTCCTTCAGCTAATCACTTATTCATCGTCTGATATCATAGAGGCAATGTGGCGGTACATCCATATAAACCAGCTCAACACATTCTAAACAATTCTTCCAATTCTCAATTCAATTCAATTCCTCCAAGTCAATCAATCAATAAATCATTTCGATTTCAACTGACGTTAATATGCCTCAGTTCCGCCCCGGCCAAAGCATCGTCTACCGCCCCGTCGGAGGTACGTACAACCAGCCACGCAACCGCATAATGTACATCCTAACACCATCCCAGGCCCCGACTCCATGACCTCCGACACCATCGGGACCATCACAGGCGTCCTCACCCACGACGGCAAGCAGGCCGGCCGAAACGTCGCGGCAAGCGATGACGAGCCGCGCTACGAGGTGCGTAAGCGTCCAGCGCAGTCCCTAGACGAGAAGCCGATCAACCGTTTCTCCGCCTCCGTTGCCCGACCCCTTGTCCCTGCCACGACATGGAGCATGAGTGACAGCCGGGGACGACCGGGCAGGGGCAGGGATGGGGGGTTAGAGTTGATCTTTAAAAAGAACCATGTCTGCTAATGTGACGCGAACTCGCACAGGTCGAGAACCAGAATACGGGCAAGCTGACGAGCATCAAGGAGGCGAATATCCTGCAGCCGTTGTAGATATCTACGATGTAAAGATAAAAGTGTTTCTTGTAGTTATATATCAATACATTCTCTACTGCCCGATCGGGCCATCACGGGACTTGTGCATCTGCTTCGACTTTTCTATCTTGACACGACAACAAAGTGCATAGCAGCCTGCTGTATCGCAGGGTCGAGCGGAGAAAGGGAAGATGAAACCACGAACTCTAAGGACGATGGCCTGCAAGACGATCCCGTCGGCGTTCAACCTCCAACCACTCGCAGCGTCCAGATATCGAGCCAGGCCGTGAGTCGAGTCATCTGCGATATCCTCCTCGTTCTCAGCCAGAGCTAATATAAGATGCAGGACAAGGGGAACAGAAACCGCCGAGACAGAATATGTCCGCGGGGACCATGTCTCGCCTCTTCGGACTCGGCGACTACGTTGACATGGAAACCCAAGATGCTCCATACTTTCCCCCGACAGTGACAAGACGAGGACAAGACAGGACAAGACGAGGACGAGACAAGACAAGACGAGGACAAGGAAGGGGAACGGGCAGGAGACCACCGCGGGCCAGGCTGCATGATGACGCTGGAGCCTCTCCGCATGTGGCTTCTTGTAGCTGCATCATACTTGGCTGCGGCAAACGCGAACGGTCACATCCTTGTCCTAGATGCTTGCTCCCCTTCTATCTTTTTCTTACTTGAAGCAAGGCTAACTAACTAGTGGAGAAGGAACCTATATAAGACTCCACCTGGCCTTGCTCTAGGTCTGGAAATCGCCTCTCTTCTTCTCTTTGTCTTTTGTTTATATCGGAAGATCTAGATTTCTTCGTCGGCGTCCGGACTTTGCTCGCAGGCTCGGCTCTCCAGGTCTACGGTACCTCCAAAGATAACGGCTTTTCAGTTCCACCGGTTCGTCTCCTCTCTACCTCGTAGCGTTCAACAACATTCAAGCTTGTGTCTTGTGACGGGGTGCTTTGGTGGCGGTGGTGCTGATACGCTTTTCTTGTCCTCCTTTATAGTATTTAACGCCCCGCAGCTACTCGTCATCTATATATCTTCTTCTCCTGTCCAGCGTAGTCGCATATCTCTTCTCGTTGCTGTACATAGCTCTAGGAGTTTTCGGCGTGCTCGGCCCGTACTGTTACAGGAAGCTTGCTCTATCCCGTTATTTGGCCGTTGTTTGACGGAACGGGTTGTATATCAATTGCAAGACCGCGTCATTTCCAGTTTTTTCGCCTCCCTCCTACATAGCCATCTATAGCTTCTGCGTGAAGGTCGGGCAACCTCCAAACTGGCGTCCTACATACACCATGGAAAGCGATTCAGTCGCTGCTCCATGAAGGAAGGTCCGAGAGATATCAGTCCCAGTCGCTGCTCTTCGACAAGCAGTCGGTCACTAGCAGATCACTGTCCGTCTGCCCGTCACCGCGGCGCCGACAGCACGACCATGGGCGGCAACGAGGTCGAACACACGTTCGAGGAGCACACGAAGCAGCTCGCAGATACGTCGAGGAGGGGATCTCGCTCCTGCGCTTCTTCCCTGGGGTCGTCGGAGAGTAACTCGGTGCCAATACCAGATTCTACCCTTCCTTCGTTTCCCCATGAACGCATCGTAGCATCGGGGAACGGCATCGTCGTGTTGATCGGGCTTGCGGAGCCGGTGCTCTTCCTCGAACGGTTTGATAGAAGAGTCTCCTCGGGCAAGAAGTGTGTGATTTCGGGCTCTTTACACCTAAAGATCACCAAGTCTACGAAGATCAAGAAGATCAACCTTGGGTTTAAGGGTATTGCGAGGACATTCTGGCCTGAAGGTGAGAAACACCGTGTATACTGTTTAATGGGCAATTACAGCTAACTCGTCGCCCTCTATAGGTATTCCCGGAGATAGGAAAAAGACAAGGGACACCGAGACCGTCATCAACCTCAACTGGGACTTCTTCGATGCCCAAGCACGCACCGCAACTAGGAGCTACGGTGCCAATCATATAAAATTCACGGTGTCGAACAAGAAGGTGTCCGAGGGCAGTCCTTCAGCCGCCGATCTAGCTAGTTTATTTGAATCGTCTGTGTCGCTGCCGAAGGAGCTCAGAAGGCTTTCGCTGCACAACGCGCGATCAGATAGCTTTGGGAAGGGTGATTCACATTCGATATCAGAATTTCTGGCTCAGAGAAGTTACAAGACGTTCCCACCAGGCGAATACATGTACAACTTTGAAATACCAATGGAGCACCAATACCCCGAAACCGTCAAGTGGGACAACGCATCTGTCAAATATGAGCTCGAGGCCGTTATCGAGCGCGCAGGCGCTTTCCGTCCGAATCTTGTTGGCATCAAGGAGATACCCCTTATTCGCACACCAGGTGAAGACTGCTTGGAACACGTCGAGCCCATTGCAATCAGCCGAACCTGGGATAACAAGCTGCATTACGATGTCGTTATCACGGGGAAATCGTTCCCACTAGGATCCAAGATACCTGTGGCCATTAAGCTTACGCCAATATCCAAAGTCGGCTGCCATCGCGTCAGTGTTTTTCTAACGGAAAAGGTCCAGCTATGGGCTCACGATAGAAAAGTCCACTGTGTAGCGAGCGATAAAGTGCTGCTACTCTTTGAGAAAAGAGCTGGCATTCCATGCAGAAGCGTCTATCCGGGTGGTACTATGCGTCTGTCGTCCGGGGGAGGCCAGGCTATTACCCCCAACGGCGAGGACGTAGTGGGTGGTACAATGAATTTCCTAGGCGATACCAATCATGAGAGTTTCGGTATGGGCACTACGGAGTTGGAGTGCGAAGTGCAACTGCCCAGTTGTCCGGTTATGAAGAGGGTCACAGAAGCCTCGTTGAGGCTGCATTGTGATGTACAGTACAGCAGTATTGAAATCTCTCATTCAGTCAAGGTAACACGCCTTACATCCATAACCTTTAGTGCAGAGGCTAACAAATCATTATAGGTCGTTTTCCGTCTATCCAAACCCGACGGGTCACCATACCCTAAAAGACGACGTCAATTTGACATCTCCATTGATTCTCCGCTGGGTATCACATCCTGCAAGGCGAGCGCATCGAACATCTATCTACCAGCGTACAATTCACCATCATCCTACTACACAGACGAGTATGAGTGCGGCTGCCCTGATGCCGCCAATTTGGCACGCGACGTGAATGCGAACCCGACCCTCTCCTTACCACCTACCTTTGCCGAGATAGAGATGCCTCCTCCTCCTACCTTCAACGAATCCAGCAGCAACTCTTATCCCTCCGATACACATCAACATGAACGAGACCACAACGATCCACCAACCCGTCCAATCCACTTCATTCGCGCTCCATCATTCAACCCTCCACCATTTGAATCTGTTCCGCCGCCGCCACCACCCCTCATCAGTCCACCACCAGCCTACTCAACCATCTTTTCTGGCGGGCCGGGATTGAACAGTGAGATGGACGACTATTTTGCACGAGCACATGTGAGAGAAGGAGAGTATGATGATAACGTGAGAGGAACCGGACGAGTGGACATACCATTAACCCCCGGCGGGCGTGTCCATCGCAGTATGGATGTTCCCAGAGAATGTCTTGCCAATGGCAGTCTACCGGGGTAGCGAAGTACATAGTTTTTTTCCATTGATATATGACTTTATGACTGATGATTTTCCTTTTTCCGTGCCTGGTGCCAATGCTATATTTTTTATCAGGTCAACAGATAGCATAGCGATTATATTAATAATTAATACTTGATCTGATCAAATAGCTTCAGTCACAGAAAGGTTCTATACCATGCAAGTAAGAAATCAGGGGAAACTGGAAGGCAGTGTAAGGGAGCAAAAATAAGGTAAAAGGGGAGACAAAAGGCAATACCACTGATAAACATCATCTCAAGGATTAGGGGGCTGCTTCGGTTCGAATATCTGTGTCAGCTTCTTCGCCAAACAGCACCTCATTCTCATGCATGATATCCATCAGGGTATCTACGTCGTCCTCTTCCCCTTTTAACGCAACCGAGGGCCCAGGTCTTTTATAGAAGGCTCCTTCAAACTCTGGAGGGAAGAATCCTGCATACTCCCAATCTAAGATCGCCCGTATCTTCAGTGTTTCCGGATCAACAATGATATTGTGAGTAGACATATCGTTATGGCAAAACACCAAGTCCTCGGTCTCGCGCGGTTTCATAGTCCATTGGAGACGATGACTTTTGCGCATAACACGATACGGTGGTAGAACCTAGCATCAAAGTATCGATATCTAGTCAGCTAATAGACATAAAAAGTACCATAACATCTAGATCTTGACACATACCAGACCAGTTGGACCACCCCATGTCTTCGACTTTAGATCATGCAGCGTCTGGAGATGAATCTCTACTTCTTTCTCGACAATCTTCCGCTTACTCTCTTCTAGCTTGCTCAGCTCGATACCGTTGACTTTCTCGATAATGAGATAGATGGCTTCATCATCTTCAAAACAGCAGAGTAGTTTTGGGATCGGAATATTCGTGTTCTCTGCTATGAATTTCATTGCTGCTGCTTCGTTTAAAAGCCTCTCATTTCCTAATTTAGGGATCATGATTGTGCCGGTGTATGGATTTAATTGCCATTCAGATGGCCGCAGGCTCCGTTTGATGAATGTCTGGCCATCATCGAAGAATTTGCGTTCCGTGGTGTAAGCAATGCAGTCCTTCTCCTTGCGCGCATTCAGCATCTGGTTGGTGACAGGACCCATTTTGAGAGGCTTAATTGCAACCTGCTGGCTCAGATGACTTTCAATCAAATTGTCAAATATGTAGTTAACAATTGGAGACTGCCTGAGAGGGGGATGTATCTACTGATTTATGTGTTTAACCATTTCATTGATGCCGAGGGAGGCTCTTCTAGACATCTACTCTGGTCTAACCCCCTGTTGCATTGTTGGGCTACCAACACGAGGCATTGGCCCAATGAGCCATTTATCTATGGACTCCATGCATCCAAAAGCCTGCTGACCGCTCACTTTACCCGCGATAACAGGGGTGAGCTTCAGAACCGATGTCACGATAGATATTCTGGCCCAGGCTAGTGAGGCTCTGTCAAGGTTTACATATCAGCAGGCCATATTGATCCAGAGAGTGACATCATCCAACACCAATTTGTCCGTTTTAATAGGATGCGGCGTGGCCAAAATGCGGCGTAGCCAGAATCTATATCCCCGTGCATTCAATAACAGGTAGATAATCGCGGAGTGAGAACCAATGAACTCTAAGCTAGCGAGAATACCATAATCAAAAGCAAAACCGCATATTGGCAACATGCTAAGCATTACCCCGTATCGGAAAAATAATCACGTACAAAGGACCCTACCAAAACGTTACAAGCTCTGAACGTTTACCAAGAGGTGCTGTAATCAAATTTATTTCATAACTATCAAATGTATACTTAGACAAATGAAATAAAAACGAATGACCTGTTAGGCGTAGCAGAAACATAGGAAACAAAACAAAACTAGAAGGAATGGACAAGTGCAAAACAGGGTTGATCAAGTAATTGCCATAAGCTAAAGGCTCTAGCTTGCATGGTCACGCTGCGGTGCCCGGCAGCCCCATTATCCACTAGGTAGGCATCTAAGCGTTGATATATATGCGGTGATTTGACGGTTCAGGTAAGCGACGACGATTGAATGCGGCACCTTCCGAGGTATGGCAAGGAGCAGCCCCTGATATCTTTCGACCCGGTGTTCACCGATTAACTTGGCCATCCAGCATCATCCTTATCCGGAAGTAACCGTATCTATTGAAACCGGGCCTCGCTGCCAAAACACAGGCCTAGACTGATTTTTAGAATCAACATGATAGCAGATGGGTAGTATCCGAGCATACCATGTGGATAGATGCCAAATCAACGGCGGTCCTTTGAAGGGCGCGGGGCTTTTCGTGGAGAATAACGGTGGAGGCTCTCGAACGGGCAGCTTTGAGCATCTGAGATCCAGATATTGCAATAAGTACAGTATACCAACGCCATGTCTCCGGGTGTAAACTGTAGCTTGTGTAGAGTTGTATTTCTGATCAAATTCCAAAATAGAATCGTGTAAGGCGATTGAAAGGCTGTTGCTAGAATTTTTGCTTCAATGATGATTCTTTAAAGCTTGGTGATTGGGGAAAAGTTGAAAGCGAAATGGCAGTCCTTTATACATCTGGAAATCGCTGGATTCCTCATACCGTCATCATAGATGTAGATGCTGCCTAGCTGTTAATTGTTAGGCTATTGCCTCAAATACCTGCTCGCTGTCCACATGATAGCAGGGCAGTTCATCAACAGCTGCAATCTGGTATAATAAATGTATAGCCACTCTGTGTACCATTCACAACGTCTCTGCTGCCTGTGATATCTGCCTCGCCAGAACTATCATGTTGTCGCTGTGCCGCTTCTCTTACCTAAATATCCCATGTCGATAGACTTGTCCAGTAACCTCACGATGCTCGCTGAGTCCATATCCCATCTCTGTCTTGATATAAAGCCATGTAGGGCTTGTGGCTCAGTATCCACTTGCATATATTCTCAGCTTCCGATTGGTGAAAAGTGTCGGAAAGGGTGGGCCGGCGTATTGCTTATCCGCGCCAAGAGAAATTCGTTGGATGAGACGATATAAAAGCATCAAACAACGGGGGGACTCGAACTGGCGGAGTAATCACCCTGCTGGCCCTGGCGTGGAATTTCATGCGCCATGTGTACAAGGTGAACAATCATCAGACCACCCAAGCCTCCTTGGGCTAGGCCCCAGGCAGCCGATCCATACACTGTGCCGTACCAGGGAGATGAGGCTCAACGACTAGATCTGTGGCATAAGTTTTCTCTAGCCCTTATTCTGTCCTTATCCTGCCCTTATTCTGGCCCTTATTCTAGGCCTTATTCTAGACTTCGCGCCACTCGGCGTATCTATGACATTTGACGCGAGTGTTGCCTGTTAGTGCCTAGCCCAGATCGAGAGATCATGTACATGAACAGGGAGTATTGATGCCCCAGTATGAAGCTGAATGGCCTAATAGCCGCGTCGATAGCAGCTACTGCACTGCCAGCCGACGGTGATGGGTAGAACAACATACCTGACTATCACTCCCATTCAGGCAAAGAAAGACAGTACATGTGACATGTACACAGATAAAATATGGAAGATGTAAGAATATAATGTCCAGGCAGCAGACGGCCACGCTGCCTAAGAGGGTATTAAAAGAAGAGACAGACTGTGCATAGACCTGACGAACGATGACGTCTATCGAGACTGGGTATCCTCGGCCCCATGGTACATCACTGAGAGAGCCAACGAGGGAGCTAGCCAAGTGGAGCCTTGAACTGTCTAACATATCCCATTATCGCGTGTCGTACGGATCGCTGTGATAGTGATGGTTGTGATGGTTGTGATATTGACGGCGTTGAAGCAAGTTGAGCCATAAGCATGACTAAGCCGTTTCTCCTCGTTCCTGGCCGAGTGCCTGAATATCAACCAAAGCCAAAGCGAGAACAGTCTACATTGTTGGTTCGGACAAGCGTACGGGACACATGATACGGGCTTCTGTGACCCGTAGACACGATCTGATGCATCAACAGTGCGGAGCAAGTCCCTATCACTTGTCGACTGCCAACAATCGTAACCACGCTAAGCTTCACTTCGCCGAAAAGCAAAGCTGTAGCTATGTGGCACCAGGAAGCCGAAGTGAAAAGGAGCGCCTTTAGGCCTTGGCGTTAATCGATGTTGAAGGCCTTCACCTGGCGCGGGGACATGCAGTCGGGATTGATATAAGTCGAATATCGGATCGTGGTAGAAGGGAGAAAGTACCAGTAAGGACAAGGAAGGCCAACCTTCCCGCATGACAAGCAGGTGGAGTTCGGCTAGTTTGTTCTTGTATAAATAAATTAAGAAAACCGAAACCCGGACCAGAAGGCGAATGTTTGCTTTTGCAGGGTTGGCAGCAGTGATTCGTCTGAATATATGTCCAGAGCCGTGCTAAGCGTTCAGTTAAATATCAGCACGATCGTGACGAGCAAGTTCTTCTTCCTTTCTTACCACTGTCAACTCAGAACTCACGCCGGCCTTCGCTGATCCCCTACGCATACCTATCACTCGCTATCGCAGCTACATAAGAGACCATCCAAGACCTCGTAGGCAATCGTATCTCCAACATGGCGATGGCGGTGGAAATCAGGCGTATGACCGAAGAAGACATCCCCGGCGCCATCGAGTGTGTCCAGACGGGTTTCGCCGACGACCCGTATTTCCGCTGGGTGTTTGATTCATCAAAGGTACGTGCCGTATACGTACTTGCGAGAGATGTGGCCGTGGATGTGGGAATATCCATGTAGAGTATACAGACATATAAACACCCATACCATACTCTCTCCTCGTCCATAACTCCAACCTTTTAGAAGACGCAGGCCGAATATATGCAAAGAAGACGAAACCTCCAGGCTGACCATGTCCGATCCCATCGCGGATCGAAGAGGGGAGTGAACGAGAGAGCGAGAAGGAAAGCTCTCTCTCCTCTTCATCCGCGAGAGCTACTGAGTGGCTCTTTGACCAAATTATCTTTTATAGTTTTCGAAAGAAAGAAATGCTTCGTCTCTAACGAATCGATGTCTATGGGGGATTCAAAATGCTCTTTTCTACGTAGCGAGAGAAGTCCCCTCGTCGTCCTGCGGCATGCCTGACCAGAAGGAGCCTGAACCCGATGAACGAACAGGCCTGCTACGGAATGCCTCGTCCTCTTCCCCTGCTCGTGTCGTCGGCATTGCCATGTGGCTGCTCCCTCATCCTCGGTCAAAGCCGGACAGCTGGTTCACGTACTTTCAAGAATGGCTGCTGAGTTTCCGTCAGCTCCTGACCAACATCCGCTACATGGGCCACGGCGGTCTCCTCGTGAATCGCTACAAGATCTGGAAGGCCGCGCAGGCACAGGTCCAGGACGAGCTCTGGACGGACAGGCGAGGTTATTATTTCTGTAACGTGGTTGCGGTCAGGCCAGAGATGCACGGTAAGGGTATCGGAAGACAGTTAGTTGACGTTGTGGCCCGTCGAGCAGACGAAGAGGGCATGAAATGCTACCTGGAGAGTTCAAAGCAGGTCCCCAACATCCAGATTTACGAGAGGTTCGGGTTTAAGCTGGTCAGGGATCTGGTTTGTGATGACAACGGGGAGTCGTGTAAGGTGTGTTTCCCGTCCCCTGTGTTGTTGATTCAAGCTGATCGAGTATCTAGCTGTATTGCATGGTCAGAGAGCCGAAGCTTCCATGCTGAGGAGGAATAGATAGACGAGGCGTTCACTTAGTAGCTGTTTTCATCATTCCACATATCAAATTGCCAACGTTTTCCTTCCCCTTGTATTTCATTTGGTGAGCGTGGGGACGACTTGATAGACGAAGCCGGTTCCAGAGAGATATAGATCAGCGAGAGAAGAATCCAAACAAGGGCCGGAACTGCCTACTATGACCAAATGCTCCGTATGTGCATCTGCAACCCTTGTACCTGCATACAGTATATTAGTTTCCTGCCCTTGACCTCCCTATATCACAACATCTATCACACATCTCTGTCCAACATTATTTGACCGTGTCCCGCGTATTGGGCGGTCGCAGCTTAACCCCCTGGCGAACATGAAACAATAAATCTCATTAGGGTGAAAATGCATCACCGTTCCAGGGGCGAACAATTAATCTATTCCGGACATTATCACCACAGGGAAACCCCAGACAGCCATCTGATCGTGGTTTTATCCCTGAGCTAAGTGGATTTTCACCTCGGGCAACGAAAACTTTGGGGGAGAAACATCGCCGACCTCGTTCCCAGCGGCGGAAACGGGTTTCGATGCCGCGTGAACATCCATGATGTGATTTGATAGACGGCCATTCTGGAGACTCTTCTCCCCCCCTTCGCCACTAGCACTCCCGTATATGATGTGCAGCAGATTCCGATCTCGAGGACCACGATTGACTCTCGCCGCTGACGTCGTATCCTATTCTTGTCGTCTAACTGGCGCAAACGGCTGCAGGACATCGACATCGCGCTTCACCCTCCCTAATGTATATATACGGGTGCTCATTATACGGGATATTCTCCCTCCCACCCGGCCCTCTTTTCTCTTACAGCCGTCGACAAGAATAGATTCCCTGGCAAGCCTCTTCGACCCTTATTCTTATTCTTCCCCCCCAATCGGACGCTGGACAGAATATTTGGCGAACGTCAAGGCTATAGACGGTAATCAACCCCTGATACAAGGGGACCCGATAATCTGTTTCGACGTGATAAAATTACTTTTTCCTCTCTTCCTCTATCAAGTTAAGCATCCCCGGTCTGCGACTATCAACCTTCGTTATATTATTTGCCATTATGAGTTTCTCCGTCATCCCATTTGCTGCTTTTCCTTGCCATCCTCTCTTCCCGCCCCCTGTGGCCGGTCTGGGGTTCGGACAACTGCAGCGTCCCTCTACCTAGCTTTTGCCCTATGCGGAGGGCGAGCGCGAGCGTCCCAGCTGTTGGTTTAGGTTGGTCTTCCCGGAAGTTGATATGCATGTCAAGGGCTGCTCGCTATACAACATCCTCATATACCCTTGTAGTTATCACTGTATACCCAATCGAATCCATATTAGTTCATTCGCTGCATTTTTTTTACGCCTTTTAAGATCTTCTTGACAACTCTTGTCTCCGCGCTGATCGCTAACTAGCATTTGTCCCCTTACCCTCGCCTCGGGACGATTGCCGGCTTCCTTTCGTTTGCTAGTTCGGCTAGTTCGTACATATAACAGTGATGATGTATCCGGCTATGTCCTGAGACACCCTCTTTTCCTTCGATCGCCCGAGGAGCGGTGTGAACACCTATAACTTCTATCATCACTCTGATACCCCCGTGTTTTCTAGTCGTCAGCCTCAGTTTCCGCGTTTCCAACAGTAGGAGAAAAAAAAGGGAAGCTTGGACGACCGGGTCATTGTTTCAGACTACGCCAACGAAAAAAAAAGAGACAACCCCCGATTGAAATTATAGCACATGCTAGAGAGGCGGGAGAGGGGAGGCAGACGCGTGTCATAATAAGGATTCGATCTGCCTTGAATTAATTTTCCTGCCCTGGGGGAATGAGTTCGATAGACGAGAGTCGATTTGCGGAAGAGGCTTTTACCGCAACCTAAGACATCTCACGACGGAGACATAGATGGTATGTCATAGGAGATAAGAATACGGAACAGCTGGAACCGAAAGCGCAAAGTCCAGACTCGGAAATAAACTCGCTACGATTGTCGACCTTTTCTATCACATACGGAGAACACGATCGATCATAAATATGCACATCGTCTATACTAATTCGGGTTCAAGACGCATTCCGGAAACCATGCCGTCACTTGGACTAAGGGAGATAGAAATCGAACGAGTCGACATTGATGACGGTGACGAAGGTGCTACCGCGGCTGCATTCAATTCTACCGGCGAGTCCTCTGGTAGCCATAGCCCACCACGCATTGCCATTCTGATTACAACCGTGATAGGTGAGTGTTGGTAATATGCATTGCTACAAGCAGCGGCTGACATTGTTTATCTAGCTGTCATTATCGTTGGTGTGTCTTTATTCTTGTTTGTGAGATGGCGGACAAGGAGAGGCCAACGTCGCGCAAACTTCACACGCCGTCGGGGTTCAGATAGAACTGGAACCACTGAAATAATCCAGAAACAGTATCCGCTGCCGTCAGGCAAAGGATCAAAATCACCTGCACAGGGCGGGCTCGAGTGGAACCCAGAATCAACATTTGCAAAGCCATCTGCGGTAAAAGCATACATGGCACCATACACCCACTCGCAGGCAATGCTCTCCTCGTCGAGCATCAAGAGACTATGGCATAACTCCATAGGAGCGACTCGCGCACCGAAGCTACAAGTCAGGACCAAACTCTCCTCTCCAAATGCAGAAAACGAACTCGAAGGACTATCTACCCACCACCGAGAAGATAGTGGCGGCAACCCCCTCCTCGAAGAAACCGTAACGGAAATAGAAGCCCCTCCAAGGGTCTTCACAAGGACTCTAAGTACTCAATCATCGTCGATATTCCATCTGGATCGGCCCTCGGTGGACAACAGGCCGGTGTCAACTAGTTCCACGCTGGATCAAACGCCTCGAAATGTACCTTCAACCGACAATTCAACGATGATCTCCAAATATCCCTGGCCACCAACAACACAAACGAATATGACTCCGGTCGAACCCTCATACAACTCCATGACGTTCTTCAATCACCGTGAATCCTACGGAACGCAAGACGAGCGTATCACTATCGCCGAGACTACCACGACAGCCTCGAGGGACCGCCCGCCATCTCATCTTCATAACAGCTAGATGAACCGCATCAAGGCTGTGGCCAGTTTGGTTACAGCCCTTTTACATGCAACAACTTTATCATTCTATTTCTTCACCTACACCTTTTATACCAATTTTTTTTTTTCATTTGTTGATATTACGGTATTTTCCGCATGATTTTTTTTATACCATACCCTGCTAGATCTTGCATACCCGTATAGATCATATATGCTGTCTGTTTTACGTACACTGCTCCGACTAATGGAAATGGCGAAACGGGGCAACGAGGCTGGATTCATGTTTGCATATTTGGATTTTGAGTTATATACTGGCGCGCATGGGAAGGGAGTTTCTTCTGGTCTTTTAAGTGGCGTTTTCCATTGATTTTTTTCCTTTGTTACTCGATTCAAATATATTTATTTTCATTCAATCATAACTTTTTTTTAAGGCACACTTTGCCTTCGCCATGTGGTGGTGTTAGCGCGGCTGGCTTCGTGTATGCTTCTCAAGTTAAGCATTGAGGCATGGGCATAATTAAAATGTCGTGATGTAAACTATGACGTATCTATCCCTACACCTTCCTATACAATATAAATACCAAACACCATCAAAACAACTAGAGAGTATGAGACAAGAAAATATAGGTTTATAAATAGATAATGAGGTTCGAACGACAAAGGGATGATATCATACAAAACTAAAAGATGTTTCCTAGCTATTATTAGTAAACGCTCTTGTTTCCGCTAGACTTTTGTGGGATTGTGGGTGCATGCTTGATGCTCGTGGATAGTGGATCGGATGATATGCGGTTTCAAGTGCGGTCACGCGAAACGACCAGATTCAGGGGGGTAACAGTAGCGGTAAAGGACATTTATTCCCGAGAGACGTCACGGCCGAAGAGTTTGGCTTTGAGCCAGTCGACTACGACCAGGACACGGTTGCGTGCTACAAAATCAAGCGGTTAATTCAATGCTTTATAAAGTTCGATCCATGGCAGGGTGTATGAAAGTGTAAACTTACTGCTAAAACACATGCTCAGATAGGCGCTTCTCCAGAAGAGGTAGGTCAGAGTTCCACCGCTGGCGATGTTTCCGCTCAACCAGCTGATGTCGGCTACGGCACGCTCTTTACCAATGTATGCCAAACTTCCCTGGTGAGAGTATTGGAAGGGACCAACTTGCTTGGTTCGTTTCAACTGGTGTTGCAGGGCTCTGATTTCGTCTAGGATCTTGTTGCGATCTGTGTCGTCCTTGGCCTCTGATTGCGCAATCGATAGAGCACTGAGCTCCTTTTCGATGTCGTCGGTCTTCGCCATGGTGTTGAACAGTCTAGCTAAGAAGGCACCTTCCTGGCTGGCTACCTGAGCGGTTGGAGCATAGTTGGTTATGGCACAATCTCCGACAGCCCAGATGTTTTCAGTTCCGTTCACGACGAGATATTCGTTGACAGCGAGACCACGGCGGGACTTCTTCTGTGCAGGTATTTGGCCCATAAGATCGCGGACTACATCTCGTACAGCGTTTCCAGTGGCCCACACCAAGAGACCGTAGGGAATTTTCTCAATCTCCTTTGAGCCATCTTCTTTGGTGACCTGAGCTTCAATGTACTTATCGGTGACGTTCTTGACCATGGTTCCAGTTCGAATGGTGATAGCCTCCTCCTTGAAAGTGGATTCGGTATAGTCGATCAGCTGCTTGGAAAACATGGGAAGGACCTGAAATTGCGTTAGTTCCTAGTTCAAACGCGTCTGGCAAAAGAGAGTACTAACATTGGGAAGAGCTTCAACTAGGGTGACATGGAAGTTGTCCTTGATATCAGGAACCCATTTCCTGAGGTCCTCGTTGAAGAAGTCCTGCAGCTCACCGGCGAACTCGACACCAGTTGGGCCACCGCCAACGACCACCATATGGAGAAGTCGCTTGATCTCATCCTGAGTCTGGTCCTTGAATATGGCGGTTTCAACACAGTCCATGATGCGTGTTCTGATCTTCTGAGCATCACCAACTTCCTTCAAGAAGCAAGAGTGTTCTTGGACACCAGGGATGCCTATAATTCAGAATTGATTAGCAATTGCCGGTTAATCATAACGAGCATTGTCACATACCAAAAGTAGCATTCTGGGCTCCGACTCCTACAACCAAAAGGTCGAATGGAACTTGAGTGTGAGAGGTATCACCCTTGATCTCTGAATCGTCACTGATATGGACAACACGGTTTTCATAGTCGATCTTGGTCGCCTTAGCTTCGTAGTACTTGACAGTGGCTTTCTTGTGGCGGAGGATGTTTCTGATAGGCTCCATAATCGAACGATGCTCGATCAATCCGGTGGTACACGAAGGGAGAAGGGGCGTGAACAAGAAGAAATTCCGCGGAGAGATGACGACGACATTGTAGTTTTCAGTATCGAGCTTCTTCAGGAGAGACACAGAGCCCCATCCGGTTCCTATTTTTGAGCAATATGTCAGATATCAAAGCTACGTAGGGCAGACAGATGAGCTAGTATACATACCTAGAATGACGAGTGTTTTCTTGTCCGGACGAGGGGAGATCTGCTCTGCCGGATTCCGATGCAGATAGACATTATATGCCGTCCATCCGGCAGTCCCAAACATAGACAGTAATATCAACCGAAAGGTCCATCTGAAGAACCGAAACCTCTTCTTCCTGGGTGCCGGGGGTGGAGGCGGAGGTGGTGAGCTCGCCGCTGGAGGAACAACGACGGCATCTGCATAGGTTCTTCGAAAGCAATTACTGACAGCTAGCTTTCTGGACAACGCAGAGCCCTTCAGCAACGGCACTCCGCGCTGCAATTGCTGTTGTCCCGTTGCTGGTGTTCGGGTGCATATCGAGCGGCGCAAACCTGGCGATGACGAAAAGTCCCGGCCTGTTCGGGCCAGCAACCTCAGCGTCCCTGGAGCTCGCGCAGCCATGGCTTAGCAAGCTGCGTCAACAATGAAGCAGCAATGCGGTTACTGGGAAGCGCCAGAACCAAACGAACGAAGCATTGAGATCGTTACGAGACTGCAAAGAGTCAGGAATATATTCCAAGACCTTCAGAGATTTTTTCCTCAATCACGTTTTTGCGCAGCTTGTTTTGCTTTGACCGGCCGGTTTCGGTGGAGAGAGGCGGTTAGTCAGCCAGCCACTGACGACAGTGAAACAGAATATAAGACAGAAGATAGACGGAATATAGAGGACAGAAGATGAGATGAGAGATGAGACGAGACGACAGAGGATACGGCAGAGACAGAGGACGACAGAAGATAGAAGACAGAGATACGGCAGCGAGCGAGGGATGAGCAACCTCGGCTCAGCTATCTGGATGCTCGACTATGACATATGGAGAGAGCTTCATCCCCGCCAGCAGTCAGCCTGTCTTCCGATTATCTCCATCGCCGGGATGGAGATGGAGCTGGAGGAGCAGGACGAGGTCGTCGTCGCCTGTTGAGACAGCTCGACACAGTCGCGGAGCAGGAGTATCAACATCAGCAAGCTCCCGTCCTAGAGACGAGATCATGAGAATGCCTTGAGATCTAGAGATGCCTACCAGAGACCGCGATCTACATGGATCCCTAGTATCTGATGTCATCTTCGTCCTTTCAGCCGCACGAGAGCTGGATTAATCTTGCTCTGGCTTCGATCCCTACAGCATCAACGTCATTTGCCGTGCCATACATGAGGTCTATGAAGTCACGGCCGTGTACATGTTCATCCAAGTACCTGTGTCTACGGGTACCTTCCTGAGATCCATGGTAGCAAGATATTACTCCTGATTGATCGACTGATATTGATCACGCAGTACTTATCACCATAAAGCGGGACAGAGTTGGAATAAACAAAAGAAACACCTGCATCTGCATGGTTTCCCCTACATTCACACAACCTTAAACATTTTCGATGTCCTACATTTGTCCAGTCTGGCCGGCTTTTCATTGATCAGCTGAGGTTGGATATCTGCTGCCTTACACAAGAACAGCCGTCGTAAGTGATGATAACGATCCAGCGCAGGCAGCATATCAAGCAATCCGCCATAGAGAGCATACGTCACTTTGCCTTGCTTGCCGGTTATATTGTTCGTGATACCTAACGCCCACCGCCCACCGCCTAGTCCTATCGAAGATCTCATGTAGCACAGCGCCCGTTCGGTCTAACATGACTTCTCTCCCTCTCTCTCCCGGCTCAAATAAATCACGTTCATGCGTCTGCCAACTCCTGATTCTTGGGGGACGGTTGAATTATTAATAAACCAGCGGCATTGCGGAAAGCGAACCCGCGGAAACGGGAGTGCAAATTTCGTGTGTGACTGCAAACCTCGACCACGTTATAGACCGCTCTTAAGGACCAGGATTGAGAAATAACATGTTTGCCTTGGACATAGCCGGTGTGAAGATGATGTTTGATCCCTGTGTTGTTGCCTTCACATACCTATATTCCCCGGGTGTTACGGTACATATCGCAATATGGGCAGAGCCGGTGCCACACATCCTATCCTATGAAGAGCACAAAATAAGGAGTCCAAACCAGTAGACCGCCATTTCAATCCTGACTTCCCGAAAGCACAAGGCAGCCGTTTTCATTGCCGGGCCGCAGGGATGATGGTACCATGGCCGGTAGAGTACTCATCCAAAGCAACTGGATTCCAAGGTTTAGTCCCGTCGTGAATGCAATATTTTTCCTTCCTGGCAACGTCTTTATCTTGAGGTTCCTTTATTTCTCAACGTTCTAATTTTATCCCTCATGCGCCATAAAGGGTTCACGGAATAGGGTATGGGCCGGTTATCCGCAGGTGAAAAGGAACCCGCTGCGGACTCTGGTATGACTTTGGATAGAAGGGAATCCAAGGTAGTTCAGGCCAGTCTAGCCTTTAGATACTCCCGAAGTCGGTATGCTCAATCCAAGGCCCAAATAATGACATGTTGATAAAGGAAGAAGTACTTCCCAGGAGGTTGGAACGCATGCATGCGTTAATATTCGCGAACATGGGAATATCGGATCAAGACAGTAGATCCATTGTTCATTCAGAAGCTCATTTTATGGACACTTCCATAAAAATTTGTTTCTTTTGTCTGCTTTTCTTTCACCTCGTTTGGTACATGTCCGCATTACACGGCGGTTTTTATTATTGCCCATATAGCCCAGACAGGGTATTATCAATAAAATTGCGAAGGCCGAAAAGGCGAGCTGCGGTTCAGGCGGCATTACGATGCAGGATGCCAATAAATCTTGGACACCGTTCGTATGTACATATGTAATATGCTCAAAAGGTAACAGGGCACCGTTCATCAGAAGTAATCGGGGGTCTTACGGGCCTCAGCTGGGGGGTGAGGTGAGATCTTGGGGGCTGGGAACATGGTGCATTGCCTGCTGCGTCTTTTGAGCAGAGTAGATGGGGTTTCAAATGACTCCCCTCCTGGTGATTCGCCATGGCAACTTCACATATACACATCGTAAACAGGACGGGACGGAGGACTCGGTATGCAATCCGGCCAGGTATATCGATATGCAGTCCGCAGATCAAGAGCTGAGATTAACATGTCTTGGTCAAGTCATTCTGGTTAACTATATCGACTGAGGCGCCTGCTCCGCTACATCCATGCCCAATTGTATATGCATCTGGGATGTGGCAAAGAACGGGCGCAGGACTCAGGGATATTAAAAAAAAAGATCGCTGTTCGAAATAAATTGGTCATGTTCGTACTTGTGGTCCCCGATTCGAGAAAGCTTCGATACCTTTCTCCTAGAAGCAAACCATTAGATGCCACCACTGGTGAAATCAATGCAATCTGCGCCACCTTTTTGCATGTTGATCCAGGAGCCCGGGATATGTTTTAAGCCCACATATATACTTTTTCCTGGCTGAGAAATCGCATCCTGCGAGTTTCGGGCGTAGGAGTTGGCTTCCCCGTTCCCAAGAAGACGGCGACCCCGCCGAATCTCACCTCTCATGTGTGACGTAATTGAAACTATTGTTCGAAGTTCTCAAGACGGCGGCATTGGAAGCCGGCGACTGTACGGAGTAACCTGTAGGCGAGCTGATATAGTACGTTTAGACGCACGTTAGGTCGTTTTCTCAATCAACTGTGATATATGAGTTAGCATCCGAATCCCGGCTGAGCACAAGTTACATAACAGGCGTTTTGGATACTTAGCAGACTCCATATTGTTCGCTGGGGCCTGGTGTCACTCCCCTCGCTCGACTTAAAGGCGTTGCATCCAGCTGTGATTGGCGAGCGAGACCACGATATTGTCATATTACAGACAGGGGCCCGATCCCAGTCTCCATGCCTCCAGAGGGCCAAGCCGTCTTCGCGGCATGGATAAAGTGGGAAATGTGAGTTCAGAAATTTACTCCCGTACTCCGTATACACAGGGCAATGCACCGAAGACCGAATCCCATCATCTTACTCTGCAATCGACCCTCTTTTTCTTTCTTTTTTGCCTTGGGATTTTAGATAGAACCGCCAGACATCACAAGACATCACCGGACGTCTCCTTGCATTCTCCTGCATGGATTTCTCCATCTGCACAGAAGACAGAAAACGACTCCACGTGACCTGTAGATACCGCGGGTTTTACCCCTGGATAGAGACTCAGACTCAGACTCAAGATCAAGATTTAGGATCAAGATTCAAGAGACCAAGAAGGAGGCTTTGGAATAGAGTGCAGAAGGCAAATAACTATGGCGGTGCATCGATGACGCCTTTCGCAAACAGCCATCTCCGTCTCGTCTACTCCGTACCTACAAACGCAGTGGAATGCCGTTCAGACGAGCCATGAATGTATAAGTCTACTGGATAACTAACCAACCAAGAGCGGCAAACCCTGGCTAGGCTTCCTAGGAGCCCAAGCTCCGAACTCGATGAAATAGGATATGTTTACCCCTTGTTACTCCGTACCGAGTACGGCATTCTTTGTCTAGTTAGAGGTGCAACAACATCCAACGAATGAGCATTTTATATTACCATTGCAATCCTACGACCATGAGTCGCCGCCATCTCGGAACAGTACCTTGATAGACAAAGATAATGAGTACTCCGGATTCTTCGCGGGGTTTGCTCTGAGATCGATGCATGCCGGCAGGGCTGGGCTCAGTGTACGGAGTATCAGAGGCACATATAGGAACAAGATACGGAGTACGAAGCTCGGAGTACACCTTGCAGAACGTTTGTTACCCTCCTGTTGGTTCCTTGCATTATCGATACATCAAAGGGCCAGTTTTCTATCGTTAACCTGTTAGCATTTCCATTGCGTACTCCGTTCTCCATACAACTCCACGCAAACAGCGTACGAATCAGATGGAGATCCAACATGTGAAAAGCATCCCGTCAGCTTCAAGAACCTTAAAGGACCCTATGGCGCGAGGGTCGAGATCAAGGATGGACTCTAAAGTCTTCATGCATACGATGCGAGCGGATTATTGGGAGGGCTAGTTTCTAATTCGCCTAGCCACTCATGCCGCATGATCAAGCAGCTGGACAAAAGCGCCTCCATGCGCTACAGCTGGTGGGTGACAAGGGCTTGGGCTATATGGAGAACGGAGAAAGAGAGCAAGTGCTCCGGTAGCTCATGATGCATTTATTTTTGCTCCCACGGCGCCAAACAAAGGAGGCAAAAGAAACGGTGTTGGAGGCCCGAAGAAAAACGCAAATCATCCTATAGGAAAAAGCCACTATTCGTTGCCAGATGATCTGAATGGTACCTTCTTGTGATTCCCGATCTTGTGCGTGAAAGTGTAAAAGAAAACTTCGGGTTAGCTTTAATGGTGGCGCCCAGCGATCATAGATTTGTATTCCTGGGGAGGCCCATAAAAGTTGTACTTATGCGCATATCAAGCATGCAGCTTTAATAAGCACATTTATTATGAGCCGGGGAGGGTAGGATATTGAATATTCCATCTGTTAAGCCCTCATTTTTGCGCCTTTAGAGCCGCTTGGTGAGCTTTACGATTGGCTCCCAGATATCAACGAGAAACACAAGCCGAAGCCCGTCCCAGCTGGGGCCCCTT